CGACCGGCTACGAAGATTACTCCGGCCAACCGAGTAATCTTCGTCGTCGCCGCGTGTTCATCGCCATGTTCGCCTGGCATCCGTGGCCAACTTTGGGACCGGGTAACCGAGCATTTTTCACCAGTGTAAACAGCGGATATCCCTCGGCCGAGCTGCCAACAAGCGCAAGAAAACTCGGATTTGACTATATGTACCTGAGTCGACCACAAAGGTCAACTTTGTACTTCATCCATAACTTGGAGACATAACGGATATCGCGGCACTAACAGACCACAAAGGTCGGTTGTGCAAGCCGATCACAAAGATCGGTTTTGGGAAACTCGGAACGAATTGTTCAGAGAGTTGAAGTCGGAATCGCAACGATGCATGATCGCCGAACTACGACTTGCTACCTTAGCCGATCACACAGATCGACTAAGTATATGGTAGCCGACTAACGAGAAATCGACATTATGGCCGACCACACAGGTCGACCATAACGGCCAACAGAAGTCGCCCATGAAGAATGAACGGAAGCTAACAGTAGTTACGTGGCAGCCTAACCGGATTCTCCGTTTGAACCCAGATCTACAGGAACTCAACTAGGAACCTGTACCTGGAGTCCAACCGCAGTCTCCCCCGGACGATATCGGGTAAACCAGCCGATTCACCGGTGACCACGACTACGCGCGTCTCGAACGTGCTGCCATTACCTGAAGAGGAACAGCGACGGTGATTTGGCCACCACACCAACGACTCCGCCGCGACCTGCTTCCCCATGTCTTCTATGGAACATCTTAGGCAGAACCGTGCTACTAGACACGGACTGCACCCCTTTGACGAACCCCCGTGGGCGAAGAACTCTTGCCTGCAACAGAAACGGCCAAGAGTCCTTCGTTCGCGGCAAAGAAAAATTTCCCTGTGGACGTGAGTTGTCTACCCCCAACAGAAGCGGCTAGGCGTCTCAGGTTCGCGACACAATAAAATGGAAGAATCGGATCTGATAACCTCAGGGAAGTGCATGTGCATGAAGCTTCAAACCAATGAGCTCGGCTAGACAACCGGGCCACACAGACCCTTGGTGTTGTAAGCTAGCACACCTGCATGACGAAGCGCCAGTCACTCGGCCAACAGATGCCAAGGAAACCCCCACCTCGCAGGACTTGGCGGCCCAGAGGCAAGTCATTCGGATAAACAAGCCAACAGTGGCTCGGATCCGACCCAGAGTTCATGTCAGGAATCACAGAAGGAACGGAGTTGTGCTGCCGAACATCCTTCTGCCAGTCAATACTGACCGAAGGATGTCCGAACAACGGAGACCCGGTAAACTGTGACCGTATGCACAGAACTTTTAAGTCGGAAATCGACCTCCCAGCCGAGGAACTTTGTCTTTTCGACGGATGAACACACAGTTCATCCGACTCGAAGAAGTCGGAAATCAGCCGATCTCGGAATTCCGACATGGACAGCCAACCTCAGACGAAGGTCGGAAGTGACCGAATAGAAGTCGGAAGGACACGACAACAAGTCGGCAAAGGCATCAGGGAGTCGAGAGCCGACCTCCTGCCGGAAAAACTTAGCCTTCGGACGGATGAGCACACAGTTCATCCGACCTTCCGAAGCCGACCATAACCGACCACAAGTCGGAAATCGGAAACCCAGTCAACAAGACCGAAGACGATTGATCACTGGTTGCGGTGGACCTGAAGGCACTTGTCCAGCCCCACATGGGCATGTTATTGCAGGTTAACCTTAGTCGACCACCGACGGATAGGACAACCGACCTCGACAGAAGGTCGGATAACAACGGGAAATACCGGATGGAAGTCGACTGGACACTTCCATCGAAGAAACCCATGATTTCCGATCGGACCTTCGAGCCAGTTCGACTCGGATTACTTCAAACCAGGCTCGTGGTAGCAGATTGAACGGTTGTAACCGACCACTTTTTTTGAACGGAACTGCTGTACATGACGACCACACAGGCCGCATGATTTACATACAGCTTTTTCCGACCTGGACTTTAGCAATTCGGAACATAGCCGAATTTTCCCTAGCCGCCGATTGACTTATCGGTAGGCCGACCTTGGTCAAACCGACCTCGGTCCTATTCCCCATTTAGAGAGGATGCCTCGGCATTTGCATCTGCAACAGTGCCTCTCTATCCCGAACGGACGGATACGAGTCGGAAGTAAGTGTTTAACCGTGCTTATCCGACTTCGGTGAATTTAACCGGTTATGACGGGTAACCCGGGAACTGATGCCCCGGACCTAACTTACCGGATGAAAGTGGACAGGAGACCCCGTGGAGACTCAACTGCCCCGTGGACGTCATCCTAGTCGGAATAGGACCCCCGGACAGATTTTCGCATTTTTTTAGCATTTTTCCTAACAAACGGAATTGTATTTTTCTAGTTCGATCTCTTTGACAGATCTGTTTTGTAACCCTTTTTGCTCACTGGAATTGTGATTAAACTTTATTTACTTTCTTTCGCGCTGCATAAACTTTCATTACATTTTCTTTTCACATTGTTCTCCGATGCCAACAGAAGCAAGAAGCCAGCCAACAGAAGCATCACCGGTCCAACGAAACGCCCGAGCGGCTTCCGGATTTCTCGGCCGTGAGTGGCTTCCACTCATGGGTTCGGAAGTGAAGAAGGGACGGTCGACCAGACACCGGACTCCCACTGCCAGAGGACGCGTACCGGCGACCCCACATGGGTCCGACCGGAGAGTTGTGCGGTACTGGTGCGGTACCGAGTCGGAGCATCCTTCGCGGGAGCTCGGATTCCCGCCCAGAGGCATGTCAGAGGCGTACGACAGCGCCTGGTGCGTGCGGTCCACACAGGACGTACTTGCACCATTGCTTGCCGTTACCACCTCTCTCGCTGTACGTATGTGTGCTGCTGCACTGCACTCATCCGCTGAAGCGGATATACGCAGCGCATACACTGAGCCACACTTGCTCTCTCGTTCCTCTCTCGCAGTATGACTCAGCGTTCATACGCTCGCGTTGGATAGAGTCCAGTCTGCGCATCAACACACAGCTGATGGCACACAGCACGTGCTTGCCGCCAGTTGCTTCTTTCACACCTTGAAGACGCTCAAGAACCTTCCTAGCATCACTTGCTATTAGCCATCAGTGCTTTGTTCTTGCTTTCCTGCTATCACGCAGCATTGTTCCCCCTTTATTTGTACAATAAAGCATCACTCGTGATCTCCTCGTGCTTGTCTGTTACACAGAAAATCTTTTTTCCATATCCTCATACTTTTTCATCTGTTCCAACATTTTTGACTGTTTTTGGGGAAACAGATAAGTATGAATCCAGCATAACTTTATCACAGAATTTGTCTACGGAAACAGCAGGCTGGCAGCGCGTGTACTGCCCGCAAATGGATGGGCATGCACAAGCCGTCCGTGTGCTGATTTCTTGTACAGAAAAATACAGCCTTTATTGCGATTTAAACCGTACTCCTAACTTCAGCAGGCGCACCAGCCTGTATCGTTTTATATCATTCAAACGATCCTATAGCTGCAAGTGGTAAATACGATCATATGCATGCTTCAAGTATGTTACTTACTTATGTCGTTCAAGATAAATTAAAATGCTAGTTCAAGTTTCCCTGGCTCTCTATATAAACTCTGTGGGTAGGCTCGGCCGACTTCGGTGCCGACCGAGGAATCCGATACGAAAGGGAATAAGCATGTTCTCGCATACGTAGTGAAGGCGCTACTAATCGAGAGCATTAAGTTTCTTTCCTCATATTAAAAGGAGTATTAACGAAAATATTGAAGCACATCACGGATTCGAATCATGTAGTGCCAAATTGCACAAGTAGAAGGTGTGACCGTGGATGGGGTTGGCGGTGACAGGCGCCTGGGTTTATGTTCATTTGGCTTACAGTAAATGTGTAGTAGTAGCCTAGTAGGTACCATAAATAGTCAATCTGTTGACGTGTGTAAAAGTAAGAGCATGTGGTTGCAGAAGCTGTATTGCATTAGGTAGCGCTGTCCCACGGACAGACACCGCATTTTCAAATACAGTTGCGGATGGACACATAGATGACCTTCGCTACGCTTCGGCTCACTCGATCGGCGCAGCCAAGCCAGCAATGACTTTATTGTGTCTGCGCTTACTGGTGACAGGAGAAGGCCTGACTGCGTCCCGGGACGAATACCCGGGGCTACCAATAACTGACGGACTGAACGCACAGGAGAGTTCTCCGACTGTTTATTCAAGTTCACGCCCTATCACCCGAAGGTGTCCCCGAAGGGAATACCAAAATATAACCAAAAATATAAAAATAAGAATCAAAAGGAAGAACAACACTGTCCCGCTGGGCCGTGATGGCCGGCTTTTATAGCTATCAAGCCCTGTGGGCTATACATAGACCCGCCACCTACTGCATGCATAACCAATCGTGACATTGGAAAGACACCGCAGTAACATTCCGGTACTTTTGTACTCTTGTTCTGAATTTTTTAGAGTAGCTACTTTTGCGATCACACTATTATTGCAGCACTATGCAGATAAGTACGAGTATGGTTCGCTCGTATAATTATATAATTACAAGCCCAGCGCGGATGAATAATGTCTGATGATTTTGAACATGTAAAAAGGTTAACGTTAACTGCATAATAATAAATATTTAAATAATTGCTGTTTGCTGCGAAATAAATAATTGCTGTTTGAGTTGATTGGCACGATGTTTATTACATTAAGGAGGTACGAGCAAACTTTTGAATTTTTGGAAGATGTTAACAGAGTGTGCTTCTGTGCCCATAGTAAGTAACAATCTGGGGATTTACAGAAAGCCCATGTTAAGCTAACGGCCACCATGGTAACAAGCTTTTGAGTGACCACTGGACTGTGGGGATTTAACTTTCCAGAAAATTTATGATGCAGGAACACTCTCGACACTGAGAGGATTCTGTAGCACTTTAGAGCGTGCAGATTGGATGTGTGGAACGGGAGAACATAGAGTAGAACTTAGTGTCGATACTTAGTTGTACAGATAATCTGGTATTAGAACAGCGATGCTCTGGAAGACAGGAGATGGCTAAGCAACACGTACGACTAAATAAATGCAATCTGATGATATCACAGTTCAATCAGCAGATGCCGCATCCTTGACTTCCTGTTCTTCCGCTTGATACGAATCCGCCGTGCTTCGTTCAAGATACTCCACCGCCACTAGTAGGTTGGCCATTTGTGCTGACATTACCGGATCTTTTAAGTCCGACACTTCGGGCTGCAGACTCCGGAGAAAATGCAGCATATCGTACCGGACGCCTTTCTTGTTCCTTTTACTTTCCTCCCCAATCGTAGTCTCTTCTTCAGGAATTACATCCGTCCCTCGACGATCACTTGACAGATAAGACATGCGGGTAGGTGTCTCACCAATAGACAGGCGCGGGGAGATGTAATCCAGATGGTTCTGGATTTCGTTAAGCTGGTTCTGAAGGACAATCGCAGGGTTTTTCAGGCCAAGTTCTGGAAGAGGATACTGGTGGGGAAACGTAGATTTGTAGCGCTGTAACTGAATGATGTCGCTCATTACGGGGATGTCGTCTTGCCAGACGCCGCGCAAGCACTTCCCGGTGCGGGTAAAATAGTACTTGCCAGTGCCGTTTTTCACATTCTGACTGTACTCTCCGAAATGATGGTTGCCGGCACCTATAATTCGCAAGGCTCTGACGCTTTTTTTATAAAAGCACAAAACGTTCTACATTGAGTTTCTTAAATCAACTGCTAAAAGCTATCGCTAGTCAGTGGATACCTGAATGCTTCGGTCATTTACAATTTTGCGTGATATATCGAGGTTACTTGTACAACGTTGTACTTAGATCCTAAAAGACTGAAATATTTTTCAGAGATTGAAAGTGAAAGACTGAAACGCTTTTTCAGACTGAAATATTTAATTACTTAGCACTGTTTTGCTTTCAAACATCGCCAATTTCCTCTCGCAATAACTGTTTATTTAACTCTTTCCTAAGGAGATTTACCAACCTTCTCGGGTTGTTCCGTATCCTTCGCGTTGGTCATTCCGCCACTGTCCTTCATAAATGCTGCCATCCGGCGCGAAATGGCGGCCACGTCCTTCGCGTTTTCCACGCACCCAGAATCCTTCATAATACTCGCTGTTACTCCAGCGTAAGGTACCCCATCCCTATCAGGGCAAAACCTAGCATTTTCACCAACAGTTAACATAAACAGGCAAACAAGTAAACCGCGGTATATTCTAGCAGTGCTATGTACTTCTTTAAGTCCATTCTTGAATTCCCCAATGTAAATGAGAAACCAACTCTTATCCGGCATCCGCTTGAATAACTTGCCTTGTCCGTGGACAATTCCTTCTTTCCAATCACCGCGGTACAGAATGCCTTGTTTTCGCGACATATATTCGCCAAACCCGTGCCGCTTGCCGTTAAGGAAATCACCGATGTAATGGCTGCCGCCGGCAAGGTTGACCTTTTTCTTCACTGCTGCCTTGATAGTTTTGCTGCGCGGTAGCGCGTGTTTCATGGGCTTGAGCTGTTCAAGGACAGTGGCAGTCTTATACCAGTTCGCCACATCTCTTTGAATCTGCTTAAGTTTATTGCGCGGATGCTGCAGCTGTAGGCGCTCGAAAGGATCGATTGGAGCGAATGACTTCAGATATTTATCCATGTTCACCTGACCGTCTCTTTCATCGAACAATCTCTTAATGCGGCTACTACATCTTGTTTTTGCCAGTATATTCTGCCGGTATCTAAAGGTCAATTGACCACTGCGTTGCCAAGAAAAACGCCGCTTCCAGTTTAAGTGTTGGTGAGTCCACAAGTGCAGAAAATGGAAAAATGATACATGTAGATTCCTGTTAGGCCTTAAGGGAATCATCATAAACCTAAGACAAGTTTCCTGTTTCATTAAGTAACAATTAGCTGTTGGCTGTTCTACCGGTTAAATGATATTCACAATAATTCTCAATAATAATATATTGACAATAATAGTACTGTAGAGTAACCCTGCACTTGACAGCTTTTTCGTACGATATGAGCTGTACGGCACTGTAATACTGGCAAACGTTCAGCTGGCTCAGAGCTGAATGCACGGCACTCACATGTGCTGCCTGCCTAGTCACAGCAGCACATGTGAATGGTGAATGTGCTCGTACAGCGTACGTCTATCTGAGCTGTAAAAAAAGCTGTCAAGTGCAGGGTTACTCTACCCTGCACTAAAATGATTAGTAACTGTTTAGTAACTGCACTAAAATGATTTCAATAATAAATTTACGTAGAGCTCTACCGGATGGAAAATACTTGACCAGGTTACTTCAAAGTGTACACAAATTCAAAACAAACATTGACAGGAAATGTGTGGAGTGAGACAGGACTACTGTATCTTGCATAAGTAGTATCATACGAGTATGGTAAATGCAAAACACAACAAAAACAAAATAAATTACATAGTCAGCGTCTTTCAGTCGGCTTTTGTATCTTCTTTTGGTGCTGTTAGTGCGCTGAACTGGTATGGCTGTTTACTTTTTTCGTCGGTGCAGAAGCCACTATTATACACCATGCAATAGGTATAGAACATTTTACCGGTACTATACGACTACTGGTAATGCTGCACAATTGACTTTCTTTAGCTTTAGGCGAAATTCTTCGCTTGTGACAATACACCGACCCTGTCAATACCGGATATGTCTTGCACACCAAATGATAGTCACAGACACGAGATTTATCTAACGTGTGCAACAGTGTATTTTACGCTCCACTGGCTGATGTAGCCATTACATAACGCTCCTACCCGGTGCTTCGAGAGTGATGTGATCATTATTGCTGCACCACCATGACTGGCTGAGGATTCTGTGCAGAACGCGGAGGAATCGCAGTTTCAATGAGATCAGCGCGCCAAGATGTAGAGTGTTTATGCAACTGTACGCACCGTAAATCCGTATAAAATCGTTCCTTCTTCCATCGAATTTCTGTACCGTCGGGTTTCACAACAATAATAATGGATTCCAATTGGAAATTTAGCTTCCTATGCTCAGTATTAGGTACTGCATAGCCAATCATCTTTTAGACTAAAAATCGTCATTATTGCTCATCCGTTGTTTTTGAAGTATGACGTTTGCGCTTGCGTTTGCGTTTGCGCTTTTAAAATTACTACGTTCCAATTATTTTTAGTTAGCGATGAGACTATAACAAACACAAATACCTACTTATAATAATTTTCTAGCGCTTCTTTGCAGTTTTCTTGCCGGTTCAACTCACTCGTTGCCAGATCTCCCGTCCCTGTCTGCCAGAAAATCGCTTGATTAACCCCACATCCTGCCTCCAACGCATCTCCGATGGACTATTCGATGAAAACCAGTTTTTTTTCGGAAAAAGCTTGGATGCCATCTGCGACAATACGGCACAGAACAGTCCCGACGATGTGAACTGTTTTGTCGGGGATGAGAACACCCGCAAGTATACCATCGCATCCAGATTGTTCCCGGCCGGAATCAAAGCCGAGGCTATTGATCGACTGCTGACCGTTACGTATAAGACCAGCGCAGGTAGTCAGTGCATCCACATACCGAACACTATTAATAAACAGAAAATGTGGTAATACATTTCAGTTTTTTCTTTCAAAACTTTTCGGTACGTTCTTATAATAACGTTATTATTTACTTTCAGGAACATACAACGCTTGTGGTGGATCGTATACTGCGGAAGCGCGCACAACCGACGCTAATCCGGATATGGCTCCCACCGAGCCCATTTATGTACGGAACAAACCGAACTTCGATATGAAGAAAGATTCCAACACCTACTATACGATTCTGGTTGTGGATGTTACGTACGGTTTTGTTCATGGATTCTTCATGGGTTATCCCGAAATCAAGGTAAGTCAGATATTAACTGTTTTAGTGTTTAGTACAGTAAATAATCTGCTACTTCGTACGTGAAAAATTAAAATAAATCTACTGATACCGGTGCGAGTACATAGACGTCTCCCGCAGCCATGATTTCGAAAAAAACTTGTAATAAGGGTTGTTATATTTGTATTAAGCAGGGATGACGAACGTTTGAAACAATTATAACATTATTAAATGCGCACATACGCATTATAACATTATTAAATTATAACATAAGCACTAGTACTTCCTGCATGGGCGACGTAATAACCGCGCTTTTCACACAGCTGATAATTAATGCATACGCTCGTTGGTTCGGTTTGATGCTCACTGCACATTACTATTATTATCAAACTTATTTCGACTGCCAATGTAGGACATAATTCCATACCGCGCGCCGTACAACTTTCGCAACATCACCAACACTTTCCTTTTCCTCGTCTACAAGCAAACGGAAAAAGACTACATGGTGGAGCCGACGGTGCTCATGCCGATGCAGGGTCAGGGCTTCGGCAAGATCGTTACGCTCGACAAATTTGCCAGCGACCACGCGCTCATCGGTACGGACAAGCATTTTCACCGCCTTCTTTACCAAGTGGCGAAACAATGAAGCGTGATCATATTATAGAGTTAGACATGCCAGAATATGTATGATCGTAATTCAAGAAGCGACTAAATTTTTATCAAGCAAATTACTGTACGTTATTAAGCCCATACTGTTCATTGGGCAATCAATAACCATTTACGGGTTGTGTGCTGCTACATACAGGGCCGATTGCCGTCAACTGGATGCAAGTGAAACGCGACCCATGGGCGGTGCAACAAGTGGCCACCCATGAAGAAAATCACGGCGGCGCGGATTACTGTATCACGCTTATCAGTGACGGTAAAGCCACAAATCTTTTGTTTTGCGCAATTTGAAGCTAATTTAGGGTTGTTTGCTTTTACAGCCTTCCGACTATCCAACCTCCCATTCGGGTCCAAGGATTTTGCAACGATTGACAGTGTCCTAAAAGTGACCTTTACCAGTAGCCCCATCACGGTGGCTGCATGCTGTCAGAACGTTTCATATGGGTAAACTTATGCCCTTTATGAACAAGTAGTTACTGTATTACGCTGAAATTACACCACAGAATCTGGTATACGTAAACTGACGCACTCGCTCCTCGATGTTGTTTGTAACGTGCGCGATGCCCAAGGGGCATGCAGAGACAGGATCTGGAAGTGGTGCAATTTCGTCTCGCTGCTCCATTGCCTCACGCTAAATTTTCCTGTTTCTTCCGAAATCTCAATAAATATTTAACTTTTGGCCTTTACAGACTCTCAACCACTGTTATCAGCCCACTGGCCAACCAGGTCCTCAACGCCTCCATTTTTCGCAACCAGCCCAACATCGTGGTAGAGAAGACGGTTATCCGCTCAAAAAATAACGGTAATGCAGGGAAGAAATGTGCCTTTAATTATTTAATCGATATATGGCGCAACAGTGCTCGAAACTTTACAGAGCGAAAATACACCCTGTTGATGGTAGACCCCGCCTTCCCTAACGCTTCGCTAGCCACACCCTCGCGTCCCTTTCTCAACTGGCTATACACTGACCTGGACGAGGCGTCTACGGTGGATCTGACCAAAAGCAACCTTCCCTATATAGAGCCCCTTCCCCTGCCGCAGTCCACGCGCCGTCTGTACTTCCTCCTGTACGAGCAGACCATTCCAGCGGGCGCAGGGGCAGCGGAGTTTGCCGATAAATCGGACGTATGCCCGCTGGCGTACAAGGGCCGCTGCCGTTTCGATGTAGAGACGTTCGTCAAGGCCAACCAGTTGGTGTTGCGGTCGGTAACGTGGGTGACGGTGCAGAGCGATCTGTACAGCCTATGGGCCATGTTGCGACAGACCAAGAGCGAAGCGACTGTCTGTTCCGCCCAGACGGGCTGGTCCCGTGGCTGTGTCGGACTGGAGACCACGAGCAAGCCGTCAGCCGCTGGTTCGGTGGGGCTTAGTGTCAGCCTACTGTGTCTTTCTTTGGCTGTCCTCTTTGTATTTTAGAAACTGATTTTTTTTATTTATTTTACGCCGTTTGGAACAGAACTGCTGCAGAGTGCTGCATATACAGAGTTGTGTCATGTTAATTTCCATGGTAACTTGCAATAACAGTATTGGGAATATAAAGTTCGCAAGGCGAATTATGTACAGAGTATGTGCATGCGCTACATAATACCGAACACGTACTAACAAGTAAAGAATCATCGACCAAGGTTTTCGTTGGTTGCAGATCTTTTCCCTGTTCCTCAACTATAATGCAAATAGAAAAATCGTGTTTGCCCAATTTTTGAAATTTTTCTTTTGATGCGATTTTCGAGGAGTGGTATTTTTGTATTTATGAAATGAATAAGAATTTGACGTGATGAATCGTCTGCCTGGAGGTGCTCCGCACGGCGATGCCGTTTCTCCGTCTACTTCGCGGATCCCTTCCGCTGACGTCCGTTCTCCTAAAACGGGTGCTCAAGTAGGCTGGCGAAGGCTTCTTAAATCGATGTGTTGCTCTTTAATTTAACCAGCGTGTTGATAAGTTTCAGCCTACCGCCTTCGTTCGACGCGTAATAGACTCGCACAATCCCGACGAACTTAATCGCACACCATATATCGGTCAGAGTGACGCACTTGGGCCGTCGACGTCAATACATCGGTAAAGGTTATGATTACACGCTTGAGCTGTTTATCCTTGAAACGTTGAAATTTTACCAGTATTAAACGGACATAATTCTACGTGCGTACTCGTTACATGCGAGCGGTGTGCCGATCTAATGCGTAATTGCATGACGCATGAGTCATGGCTGTGCTGTCAGTTAAGAAGTAAGAACTTTTTAGAGCCGCCGGCTTCAGTTCGCCTCCTACACCTGCGCCCAAGCATTTCGCTCCCCTAAGCCGCCATGACGTTTTACAGCAGCAAACCGCTCCGAGTTCGACGATGCAATCCTCCGCCCCAGCACAACAACACTACCAGTACATAAGCGAAAACCTCAAAGCTATGCGAGCTGCTTCATTAGTGTCGCTTTGCAGACAGTCACATGCCGACCACACACACGTGGGTCCCACAAAGGCCTTTGACCGGCTGGCCTTCCGCGCCGTCAGCCAGACCTTTAACGATCTGAGAGACCGCGGCATCCTGCTGATCTCTGATGATAGTGCGCAGCGCAACGTACCCTTTCAGCTCAGCCCCAGCGTGGCTAAGTTTTTTATGACAGATAGTCAAGAGCAGCAACATGCGCCACAAGATCCCACTGCGTGGCCGGCGTTGGCACATTCCGATGCAACACGCCAAGGCTACCATGTGCAGTTGGGTAGACGAGAGAACCCGGTTGTGCAGCACCAATCACAGGTCATCTTTGCGTCTATAATTTTGCTCTAACAATTGCACAGATTGCCCGCACAGATATTTTTCGCTAAAAGAGCTGCTCTAAATGGCGAAAGTTCTAAATGGCGAAAGTTTTTACAGGTTGTGCATAGTGAAGATTTTATGCCACTTGAAGCACCACCCACAATTTATCCTAGAGTAAGCGATTTTGCACTTTTATTTGCATTTTGCACGCACATTAATTATTCGTCAGAAACTTTATTTATCATATAAGTACAATATATTAGGGCCGGCTAGTACAGATTCGGTGATTTTTCTACGTTAAAAGATTTTCACTCTTCGTGACCTTCTGCCTGTCATAGTCTTCTTCTGAACAGATATTTCCAAAACTTTTATGACAAGTTATTTCCAAAATACTTGTATATATAGATAGATTTTTCAAAATTGTTTTTTTGAATGCTGAATTAGACAGAAGCTCAAGCCGATGATAAGATCCGTATGATGTTGAAATACCTGGTTAAATACACCAACCACGGCTTTAACGGGCCCTGGATCAAGAAGTTCCTTTCGCGCAATCTACAGACCGAGTCACGCGAACTGCGCACAATCTTCGATTCCATGCACATGATCTGGGACATGGAGCAGTACTGGGACAATCTTCAACGGCGTCGCTACGCCACCCATTTCCGCTGGGTCTACAAGTTTGCCCCCATCAACGTCCAGATGTGGGCCAAGAAGCAACTGTACAAGCTGCAGTGGCCCACGCGCTATCTGCGCCAGAAAGCGTTGTGGCAAGCCGCCAGCCTTGGCGGAGAAATTCAGGAAATTGTCCATAAGGTGTACCCGAATATCACCCAGGAGATGTATCCGTCCACCGAGGAAGCCGTGATGCTGGCCGCCGTGGATGTCGGTGACCTTTCAGCGCCCACCGAGACCAAAGACGCCCTGGAAACCTCTTTCGCCGATTGGATTCAGACCTCCGCAGCCAACCTTAGCGTGACCATCTCGTACGCGTGGAATGAACTGCGGGAAGACGGGGTCCTCCATAAGGACAGCATGGAGTTGGCGCCGCAGGAAGCCGAACTGCTGACAGCGCTGCGTAATCTCGACGCGGCCATCAAGGACTACGGCGTCCATGGGGTGGAGATCGGGCAGGAGGGGGCGCTGGAATACGCCAAAGTGGTGCTGCGATTCACACAGGGTCTTCATGATTATCTGGAGATGAAGGAACATGGAGCACAGCTGCAGCAGGGGTTTATGGTGACGGGAGGGCAGATCATGCCGTTGGGGGCTTTGGAAGGAGCGCCGGGGGTGGAAGCGCCTAAGGAAACTATGGCACATGCTATGCCACAGGAACCGACGGTTCGGATACGGCTGGCGCAGCGACAGGAAAGCGGGTTGGAGTCTGAGGATTCGCTGGCAACCGATGCTGAGAGAGACCAGCTATCGACGGGTGAGTTTAAATGCGTATTTATGAAAATATGACAAAAAAACGTTACAATTATTTATTTACATTTTTGGTTGACGATTGGCCAGTGGCTATATGCATTTTAATTATCAGACTTGGGAACCGAGTCGGAAATGGAAAGCACCAAACGTGCACTTACCAACGAGCCAGAGCGCCAGTATCGAAACGCCGAAGCTCCTATGAATATGAATGCACAAGAGAACCTTCTATCGGATGAAACGCGAGCGCGGCTGCTACGCAGTGCGCGGTTGGACTTTTACGAAAAACATCGTTCCCCGTAAGTGTTCAGTTCCCGGCACAAAGAACACTGTAAGAAACTCCCCTTTGTAGGTCCCTAAGCCCACTCCGGCGCGCTCAGTTTAACCCGGAAGCCCCGCTGCATACCGAGTCTGTCTTCGAAGATGACAGGCAGTATGCAACTGAGCCTGCAACGGGTGGGAAGATAGCCGAAAGGGAGGAACCGTTCGTCGCTCAACTGCCAGGTAATTCTTGGTGATCACCATTCTCTAGTACGTGGTAGGAGGGCACTTTTGCTGTTTCAGAAGGGCAAATGAATTTAGCAGGGCAAAATTCAAAGGGTGGTAAAGAGCAAACTGGTGTGAATTACGAAGGCCACGCCCATGAGCAACGGTTTAATCTCACCGAAGCTCCGGAACGACATATTGTTATTTAAGTTGCCGTTTGCTGCTACTGACACTGTTGTGCAATGACTAGTTTTGGTCATCTATTTCCTGCTCTTTTTCCTTGCAACTTTTCTGTCTTAGATAGACCTTTTTAATGTTCCCTGACCGAACACTTTTTCTGTTTGTTAATTTGCTGCAGTTTCCTTATTGTTAGTTGTCGCGCCATAAATGATAGCTAAGAGTGCCTTTGAAAGGTCACAATATTTATTCCCGAATAACAAAATCTTGCCGGATGTTCATTCGAACTCGTGTTATTTATAATTTTTAAGTGCATCGTATCCGGGAAGGCGTTCACTGGCGTGGAAATGAAACTTCTCGTCTTGATACTCCTGTTCAACTTCCTTGAAAAGCTTCCTAGCGTTACCCGTTGGCAGATAACCCTACATGACAGCCCAACGAACAGACAAAATAACCAATCTTATTACTTGTTTTCGAATACGGGCACTCTGCGTACCAAAGCCGATGCACGTCGTAAACCGGGATCCCCAAACGCAGTATAAGGATCGTCACCGGCGGGAAGGCGCACAACAATTGGAAACCGTCCTCCTAATTCGTGTTCATCAACCAGCTTGTTGATGCATTCCAGGATCTACTGCAAACCATTGCCGCTTTTGAAAGTGCTAGAGTTCATTTCAACCCAAAACAGATGACCAAAGTATTACTGTGTAACAGAGCACACATACTCATACATCGGTGTTAATAATAAGAATCGCCAGGTCTTTCCGCTTGGTCAACCACACAAAAGCACTCTCGATATCCTGAAGGGGGGTTTCTAAGAATAAGGAACGCAACTTATGTGTACTTAAAATTTCTTTGAGATTAGATTGTATTTATCTACAACTTATTTATCTACATTATTCTACAAGCAGCAAAAATCAAATCACTAAGATACTTTATTTACGAATATATTCGTTATGTACGTATTACTCACATCTCACAAGCAAATATTAAGGATGGGCTGTCCCTGCAGTTCGCATAAGCACTGCAAGGTACTGTATGTAAATTACAACTAGTAGTATGGATTAGTGTTTTGCGAGTCTTGTGGCTTTGCATTTAACAGTACGATCAGTAACCTTTTAGCGCACCTGGGCGTACAAGAAAGAAGTTCCTCTTCCCCAGTATATTATGATGCACTACTGTGTCCCGCTTGCGTCGGCGCAGCTTACGCACATTTCCCCCGCTGAGAAACAACAATTCCGGCCGTGAGTTCTTGGCCGTAGGCAGCGCTGCTGACATCGTGCGTTTACCGGTCTCCAGGACGCCGGCCAGCGTTAGCCCAGCTGCTGTGGCCTCATCTGTAATGCAGCCCATGATCCAGTTCTTGCTGCGCAGCAGATTGACATTATTGGGGTCGGCGCTGAGATCCATGCTGGCCATCCGCTCCAAGATGTCCAGACCCTGGTCTCGGGCCTCGGAGATGGAAGCCCGCGCACCGGCTTGGAAACGCTCGCTTGCCTGAGTGAAATGGCTGGCACCGCTCAAGCGCGGTGCTTTGCGCGGCGCTTCGGGGTAAAACGTTGAGTCATCGTCGTCGTTGGCCATTGCTCATGGACGCGGCTCGGCTGATTACGGCTAAATAACGGACTAAATCTGTGCGGATGTAACGTAAGGGTCACTGTATGTGGCACCGAATGCGTTTTCATCGACTGATGTGGTGATCAGAAAACACTCTCCAAGACTCAAAGTGCAACAGTTTTTGCTCAACCAGTTTAAGATTACCCACACTATTTCTAATATACCTACCTTACCTCAACAATTTTAAAGCTTCTTAGAAAAAGCGCAATACTTTTATAAAAAAAAGACTTCGGAGAGTTGCAGACGAAAGAAACAAACTTCGGGCGGACCAAAGACAAAAGTTGAACAACGAACATCAGCCATCAACAAACAAACCTTGAAAATAGAACCTTGGTGTATCATTGCGTCTTGGAAGCATGCCACGACCTACAATGCCAGATATTTTGACGGTGACCAAAAATCAAACAAATTTTTAAATGGAGGAATCACAGAGACAAAGAGAAATGCAGATAAGCCTGGTGGTGTAGATGGGAAACGAGATGTTTTGAATTTCTGTTACAGTGCACTTCCTGCATGGCCATCACAGTGTGGAACCAAGCGAAAACTATGGAGTTGCTAGACAGCGCAACAGCGTTGGCGTAAAAATGCAGAAATCAGAGCAAGACCATAACAAAAATTGGTTTGCGTAATATCTGGCGGCTTCTGTTAACATCTGCACAAATAACGACTGAAATAAGCCAAGTAACAACGGATTTTAAGTGCTTCTGTGACTGTCTCATCGACGTGCGTTGTTGTCGACGCCGATCCAAATGACAATGTGCGCAATGCACTTGCAAGAACGAGCTGACTGCTGAATTTAAAATCCTTTCCTTTTCGCTTTCTTTTCATAGCCGCAAGTGTATCGCCTGCGCGAGTGCGCGTACATTGTCCCCCATAGCAGCCAAAAATGACGATGAATTTCGAGAAGATTCAAGATGAAGACGCCGATTTCAGCAAGCTCAGTCCGTACACGCCCAATGAAATACAGCGCATCAAAGACGAGCTAAAACTCAACAAAGCTAAAGCGCGACTGATGCGTTTCGAGCTGGAGCGCAAACGGCGCTTCCGGGACGTGGAAGAAGCCAAGCAAAGGTACTTACTGGAACGAGAAGGAACTCAATTTAGTGATTCCGCTGCTGCGCATACCCAAACATTTCGGCATATATCGTTGATAACTCGACAAGCTTCATTCAAGCTCGTCAAGCTACAAGTAAAATCAGCCTTGTAACTGCAGTTTCGCATTATCAGAAAAATCGCTAATGATCTGCGCATGGAAGTGGAAAGCCTGGAGCGGATCCGTGCAAATCTGGAGACGAGCGCCAATCAAAAGCGCCGCGATGCGGATATGCGAGAAATCGGAGAACTGCTGCTGCGCCTGAACCATGTCGAAGGCTTAATGGCCAGCGCTAAGAATCTGGCCGCTCAGGAGCAAGATAAGGTGTAAGCCAAATCGTTCTCAGTCGGAGCGTGCAGTGTCTGTTTGGTTTCCGATGGTTTCGCCAAACGACACAGTTTTCATTAAAGCCTATTTGCAGTTTAAAAAGCGCTGCGAAACGCGTGTAAATCACCCCAATTGCCTACCTTTCTTAAATTAAGTACATTGTGCACCAAAATCAGCTAATTGAAGATAATCGTATCTTTCGAATTCTGCAAGTTCTCTTCCCTTACTAAAACCGAAGATTTCTCATGTTACAATATTACAGAGTCAGAGCTGGAAAGGTATGGGTGTAAAATGTAGGTAAATTACAGTACTTTAGTTGGTACGGCAGTATAAATCCTTTGTCGGGCTGGCTTACTCGATGCCTGAAAAGCTCAAGCTGGCTGAATAGATTAATATGGCTGTGACCTCAAGCAACCGCATGCTGTTACAGGTTAAGAAGCAAAGTCAACGACTACGCAAAGTGGAGCAGCAGTTTCGCGGCGCACCGGAAGATGTTAATGTGGTGGCTATGAAACGGCAGAAGATCATTCAGTCGCGCTATTTGACTATACAACGTAAGCACGACCGCCTGCGGAAACAAGCGCAAGAGGCACAACGCTCCGTGGAACAAGGGATGATGCTGCGGCAGTCCTTTAGGGAAGCCTATACCCGTATTGAGCGCCAGTACGAAAGGAACGCTAATTTGCTCAAAAAGATGCTGACCGAAATATCGGCTCTTAATGAGAAAAGGTTGGTTTCACCAAATAAGCGTTTCGGCCCATCAAATCCTGCAATTATCTTCATACCAAAACTGAAGCAGTTATTGGGCTGCCACTCGAAGGCGGTCATTGTCTCATCGAGTCATCACAGCATTAGGCAGTTTGTATGTGACTATGGGGTTGTTATATCAGGTGGTGTAGCGTGAGTTGCGAACCGTCATCATAATTTGCGATGAAGTCCATAAACTTCACAACGGCTACTCGTATGCTTTATACACATTTTGGGTTTAAGCAATGATGGCAGCTGGTTATTTGTTACACAGGAACGAGTTTTTGAAAAAGGCCACCCATAATCGCGGCGCGAGCAATGAGAACAAGGAAGAAATCATGAATAAACTCCGCTCCGCCGAACAAATGGCCAACGTGGAGTACGACACCCGCAATTTGTCTGTTTGCCGGGCGGTTGACCGTACACCGTACTGGAAAAACGAGAGCATCACTCGCGCTATGAAAAGCACGTATTGCATTGGCTTCCCATCCACCAACCTATCACTAAATTTCGTGTGGCCACAGGTTTCTGGGAGAAGCCCGTCGCTCCACCGACCACCATGCAGGACACGGTGGAGCTGGAAGCCACAATGGCGGCCATCCGGCGCATTATGAACGTCGACAACATGAGCGACGTCATTAAGCTGCACCGCAAACGCGAAGAGAACAACGAGCTCCTGGCAGAACGCCTGCGTGATCTCGTTAAAGAGGCGGAAGACCTTGTGGACAGGATTGAAGGGCATTACAAGTATCTGCATGAGACAGAGCACAGCACCGCCCAATGGGAGGACAACATGGAGAAGAAGATTATGATGCTACTGGAGCGGACGCGTAACATGGAAGAAAATGGGCGCGGATGCCGCGAGAGTTTGTTGGCATTTCGGGCGTTCTACGATAAAATCGGGCCAAAGGTTACGGAGGTGTTCGATCTCATGTACCGGCTGATACCGCACAGTGAGGAGCTAAAGAAGCCCGAGGCCCCGTGCACGGGCCAAAATTATCGAGAATATCAAATGGCGTTCTCGCGATTGGCATTTTACTTCCATGCTGTCTTTGATTACTGGAAACAGCATGTACGTCATTATGCACACGTAACACATGGGCAGATCTTCACAATTTGCAATGTGAATTTCGTTAGTTGCTAAAGTGTAATGCGCATTCTCCATCAGTATTAACTGCCATTTCTTTTATACAGGAGCACGAGAGGAAATCGCGTACGGATCCTCTGTACCGCGGCACCGACGACGATGATCATCCGCTGGCGCTGCAAGAGGAGAAATTGTCCCACGTTAACTACCCTGTGGCAGCCAAACTGAAGCTATTGCCAAAGGAACTGCGTTATTACCGGTTAGTCCAAAAAGCGTACAAAAACCGTTGTAATAATACAAGTCGACATTTTTGACTGCTTCGTTGTACTTTTGGTTTCGTTCACCATTTTGAAACCGATTTCTCAGTAGTAAGTTGTGCTTTTTGTTTTAGTAAACGCAATCAGTTCGAAAACGAAGACGGAACTCCAGCCGTAATGTCGGCCAAGAGCATGGAGCACTTTGCCGAAACCGAGGCGGCTGAATTACTGCATAGTCAAAACGAATACCTTCGCAATATTGACGGCTCCGACATTGACGTGGATGAATTCTCCCGGCGCCACCTTGCCGATCAAGAGCGCATGCAACGGGGCCTGGTCTTCAGTCCACCCGATCCCGCTGCCGTGGAACGCCAAGATGAGATTGAAAAAGAGCAGCGCAAAACCCGGCAGTCTCCGCCGTTGATCGGCGTCAAACGGGAACCATTGATAACAGTTCGCCCCGAAGAGGCGCCGGCTGAAACCCCACCAAAGGTCGACGTTCACACTGCGCCAGCGGTTATGGACGCTCTTGAGGGAGTGCCGTTTGTGGCTCCAGATAGTGATCAACCACCGACGGAAGCGACGGTGGCACCACCTCAGGGAAACGAACTTAATGCAACTACGAGAGCGGCAGAAATGACACCACCATTACCTGCCCAGTCGGCTCCGGAGCAACCGATAGCTACTGAACCGGAGGCACCGCCTACGGCATCTACGACTCTCGATCAGCCGTTGTTGCCGCCGGCAGTAGAGACCACTCAAGAAGCAGTTCCTCCGGGATCTGCCGAGCCAGCGCCAACACATGTGGAGACGGACACAGCGGCGCTGCCGGCGGAGCCACCTTCGACGCCCTCTGTTATCGCGGAAGCTCAACCTTCACCTGTTGAAGGTCAAGCAGATCCAAATAGCTCACAGCCTCCCCCATCTGAGTGATAACTTATTATTGTGTTACTGCCAAGGATAAAGAGATCATGCATGAAATAAATGTTTGGTACTTAAAAAATTGCCACCAGGCGTAATTTCATGTTCATGCTGTTCAGAACGTTTAGCCGTTCGTGCCGGTGGTACAGTAATTAAAGAGTGTCAAATGAATTCAACGGCACCGTTGAGAAACCGACAAGTTCCTGTTGTGCGGCGTATCTGCACTTTCCAACGGACAGTTGTACATTGAGGCTGCGATATTGGGCGATTAGTCCTTTGTAGAAATTTGTCCGAAAAACGGCGTGAATAATGTTTAAGCATTAGCGAACAACAAAAGATCTCTGAACGTTACAGCTGTAAATCTGTAACCCAGTTACAACGACTCCATGCGATCCTCGGTTGTGGTTGTTGTTGTTGCATAAGTTTACAGTGTAGTCCATAATTATAAGGACCATTGCTCCAACAAATTGCTCCAACATGAACTTGTTTCCTGGATCCGTATTTTGTTGCCAGGGCCCGGTTCGTCTGTACAGTGTGCTTGAGCGGTGTTTAACGCCTTCCCTCTACGCAGCCGTTCCAACAGTTTAGCATACATTTTTACCCACTGGTGCGTACTTGTTTAATTTGTTTTAGTAAGTATGTAAGTACTTACTTGTTTAATTTTTTTCATTAAATATTTTTATATTTTGCATCAGTGAGAAAAAAAGTTACGCGTGTTTGTTGCCATCAGCCAGTTTTTTCAAAGAATGCACCTTTGGATCACTCGGTAGCGCGCAGTAAGGCTGCAATGAAAAAATGCCATCAGCCTTGCAGAAGTGGCAACCTCAATAATTATGGTCTGTTGGTTTGGGGAGAATTACTATAGTTGTTAACTTATTATTCCTTCGTGTCTTTTGCTACGCCGTTCGATGTTGACTCACACAACCTACTGGGTAGTGTTGAAGTGGTTGCATTGAATATCCGCTTTTGCCAATATGTCGGCGGATGCGAGGCTGTACCATGCTTATGGCTTGCGCAACGATGTTCGCAATCTACTGTGTTTCGTGGATGAAAATAATGTCATCTATCCGGCTGGCTCCAACATTGTATACCATAATCTGGAGTCCAACCAGCAGCGGTTTATTCCGCTAACCGAACAGGGAAATGTGAGTAAACCGCCGGGCAGTGTCAATGCCGGAAGAACAACATTTACGACCTCAATGCTAATGCATATGAACGTCTGCGTCAATGCGTGGTTTTTATTGCAGTTATCCGGTATGGATAAATTCCCGCTTTGCTCTTCCAGAATCTCAAAGCCATGGCTGTGGCGCAGGGCCAGTACCTGGCCTACGCGGAGAGCGCTGTACCGTTCGCCGCGCTGGTCGTCTACGATCTGGCTACCTTTCGCAAAAAACGAACGATGGTCACCAATGAAATCAACTCCACCACATGGACGGCAATTGATTTCGACGACAGCGGGAAACAAGTGGTCGGATTAGGCGGGTCTCCGTACAACCTTGTGTACTGGTGGTGGGAGAAGACCCGCCTCCTAGGTACCACTATTATCGGGCAGGAGATGCGACAGATTAAGATTGCCCCTGGAAACCCCAATCGCATAGCCATGTGTGCGCCGGGAATCATCCGCGTGTATAAACTGGAAGAGAACCAGTTTAAACTGGAACCGAAATCATCAGCTAAGATCAATGAGTTCTTTGAGTTTATCACGCTAGTCTGGATAAGTGAACTGCGCATGCTGCTGGGCACTCAAAAAGGGCAGGTGATTATCTGGGAGGATGGGAACTTGGTGAAGGATGTAATGGATCCCACGGCACTTTTATCCCTGCACACGCTGAAGTTGTCGAAGAAGTCTGATATGTCGATACCGGTTGACAAGATCGTCGCGCATCCGAGTGGGTTTGTGTGTACGTATGGAGCCGGCTTACTGAAGAACTACGAGGCCGCTGCCAACGGCGGGTACGCATTCCACAAAGACATTAAAATCATGGTAGAAGACAAGAGTTTAGAATACGGAATTGTGGATGAGCAGCAGATTGTTGATTTGGCAATTAGTCCGGCAAAAGACGTTGTGTGTGTTGTCACCGATAAACGGCAAATTTTCTCCGCAAAACTTCGGGATTTACGCCGGTCCAAAGAAGAGTTCTACAGGATGAAGCCGCTGTTGTACTTTCTTCACAGCGGTGCTGTGACCGGTGTGGATATCTGTGTACGAAAGCCGTTGGTGGCCAGTTGCTCCGCCGATAGATCGGTACGAATCTGGAATTTTTACAATCGAGATTGCGAGATTTGGAAGAAATTCCCGGAGGAACCGCACTCGATTGCGCTTCATCCCAGTGGCTTATATTTATTGGCGGGATTCACGGACAAACTGAAGTTGATGCATATATTGAATGATGATATCAAGACGGTTCGGGATCTGTCGATTCGTGGGTGCAAGGAAGTCAAGTTTTGCCGCGGCGGTCATTTGTTTGCTGCTGCCAACGGCTCTATAGTTCAGGTATGATATCTGGGAATGCGATCTGGGAACGTCAGCACAGTTTGCCACTCATATGAACAGATACCTGAATTGCTGCAGTTCGGTTAGTTATCAAAATTTCACTAAAAATTTCATGTATACTTTCGATGTAAATGCTTTCAGCGGTGTGCCTGTGATCCTGTGTGATCTCCTGTGTATGCAGAGATCTGCAACGAAAATCGCATTATTATTTTGTAGATTTATGGAACTGTGCAGTTTGACAATGTTGCGAATCTAAAAGGGCACACCGCACGCATACGCTGCATCCTGTGGGCTCACGACGATATACACCTGTTTACAACGAGCCAGGACGGATCGTTGTTTGAATGGGATATGCTGCGCGGAGAAATCATCCACGAAGTGACCCTACGTGGAACGATATTCACATCATTATTCGCCACGGCTGATGGAGCTACTGTTTTCGGTGTAACGGCGGAAGGCATCGTCAAGGAAATCGTCAACGGACATGTGACTCGAGACATCAAGTGCCCTAACATGGTGTTGACCTCAGTTAGCATGTCTCGCGCTGGACACTGCGTTTTATTAGGTAGTAGATAATATCTAATCTACATTTGCTGAACTAGAACGTTTACTTTCTGATGCTGAGTATGCGTTTAAATGAACGTCAGGGTTCGTCAGTCAGAGTACGCACCCGCTTTCGGCGATAGCCCAAAAGATACTCATGCATAACTCGATCTCGACTGTTACAAGCTGATTGGTTCATAGACAAAAATTCACTCTGCAGGCACCACAGAAGGACTGTTGAAAGCACTTTCGTATCCGCTTCCAGCGGACGAAAACGCTGAATTAGTCTGGCTCGATACACCCGCTCACCAGTCAGAGATTACCAAAACCATGGTATCTTACGATGACCAGCTACTGATAACGGCCGGCGCGGACGGCAGTGTCTTCGTGTGGAAAGTGGTAGAAGGCGAGATCGCCCGCATTCTACGCCGCGACAAACCCTCGCCCTATTCGGACGAACTGCTCATCGAACGCAAAGAGCTGGACTTAAAGAATGCCCATATTCTGGAGCTGACCACTAAAGCTGAGGAAATTCAGCTGGAGCACGAGTACCAAAAGCGCGCCAAAGACTCGGTGTTTAATGAAAAGATTAAAGACCTCACCGAGAGTTTCACTAAGGATATTGAAATGCTGAAAAGCAAAAACGAGCGATTGGTTCAAGAAAAAGACCAGAATGACCAGCAGCATCAACAAGATATGGCAGTGCTGATCGCCAAGTTCAACCATGACCTTTTGGAGCAAGAGCGTATTACCAATCAAAAGCTGCTGCTGGAATATGAAAAGTATGCGGAACTGATATTGGAGAAGGAGAAGCAGGAAGTTGATTTCAAGGACCAGTTACAGGATATAACGGCCGCCAAAGAAGACGCTATTGAGCGCCTGACTATTCACTACGAGAACAAGATCGAATCATTACACGGCATCCTGGAGCGCACTCAAAAGGAGTTCGGTGATGCACAGCGAGAGCATGATGAGCTGCGACACCTGATGGAGGAGGATGCCGATATGGAAATTGTCGATATCCGGGCTCGCTACGAAGCAGCCATCTTTGAGTTGAAGGATACTAATATGCGGCTGAAAGGGGAAAACGGAGTAATGAAGAAGAAAATCAACAACCTGGTCAAAGATATTGATGACCATAAAGCGGAGGTCATGAAGTACCAAGCGGATTTGACAAAACAGCAGAATGTGTCGAAGGGATTGGAGAAAGAGATCGAGTCGTGGAAGAAGGAATTGAAAGAACGGGAGGAAAACATTCAGGATAAGGAGAAGCGCATTCATGAGCTGAAGAAGAAAAACCAGGAGCTAGAGAAGTTCAAGTTTGTTCTTGATTTTAAAATCAAAGAATTGCGCAAACAGGTGCCAAACTAGAAGCAGCATTTGTAACGGAGAAAAAAATCGTGAACAGCTGCCAAGTGTACTGATTGTGTTATAGATAGAACCAAAGGACGATGAAATCCTGGAGCAAAGTCGGAATATCAAAGAGCTAGAAGAAAAGATGGCAGAGCAAGATGACAAACTACAGGACCTGAAGGGAACTATCCACAGCAAGAATAACGCACTGGAACAGACCAGAAAAGAACGCGACGAAACCAAGCTTAAGCTTAAAGAACAGGAAACATTTGTGCGTCGCTTTCAAGGTACGTAGACGGTAAAGTAATGACTGTATTGGGTAACTGGATTTCAAGTCGGAGGTCACAACGTTCCATAATGACTCCGGATTTTTGGTCCTTCTTCAGTGTCGTTTTTATTTTTAAATCCACAGCTGGTAAGCTATAACCGGCAGATGTCATGTCAAGGGACGCTTTTGCTTCTAATTTTAGGTGACATGGAACTGGCAACCGAATTCATCAGTAATCCCACAAAGCTGCGCGAGACATTTCTTCGTATTGTCGATAGATACGTCCGCCTTGGCGGTAAAACTACAAAGTCTGTGGCCAGTGACGATTCCACGCGAGCCCAGCGCTTAGAGCGGGAAGTGAGCGAACTGAAGGGCGCCATCAGCGACACCAAAGCCCTATACCAGCGCAAACTCGAAGTGCTCTCTCGAAAACTCTGGAAAATGATGCAGCAGAACACCAGCCTCATCGAAGAAATCAACATGTTCCGCCAGGAGGTCACAGCCCTGCGCACCCGGTTGCAGCTCCTAGACACAGCCGTTCAAGGCGCTAATCCACGAGCCAAAACCGACTTTGCCAAGATTCAGTCGCTGTTGAAGGAGATCGAGACACTACGCATAGAGGATCTGGAGAAAGATGGAACGCTTGAATTATACAGACAAGAATTACGGCGCCTGCACTTGTTGTTCATCTTGATGCGAGCGGTGGTCAATAACGACCACAGTCCCGGTGTACAGGAGCTGGTGGAGCGACTTCAAGACGTCAAACTGCCTCCGGTTGTGGGTCCGTCAAAGATAGATGCAGTAGCACAGATGGTTACCGACAAAATCCGTGCTCGAGTGGTCGATGCGTGTACAACTCCTTTACCGTTGAGAACCAGCGTCGTGCCAGAAATCAAGACCCAACCACCAGCACCGGTTCGGGAAACTGTTGAAGCAGAAGGACGAAAAAGAGTTTTCTTTCCACCCACGCTTGCAACCGACCTGGTTGTGCCGCCAACTACCGCTGCTGTCGCAAAAGTATTGCACGTGGATACTGTTCAGAATGAATCCATCGAGCCGAAAGCTTTTAGTGAAACAGAAACCGTTGCCACTGTTAAAATGGATACAGCAGATGCTGTAGAGGCCACCGCAACAGTAAACCAAGCAAGCGCTATTGACACATCTGTGGAAGCTCCGGTCGCAAACGAACCGCATCAGGTTGCTGCGACCGATACACCCGGAAACAACACACCTGCTTAATTTGAAGTTGCGAATCACTTTTGCAGAGGTTGCCTTGGCTTACGTTAATCCAAGAGAGGATTAGGCTAAACTGAAGCGACTTGGGCAGGCAGGGCAGTTCTCGGAGCGCGACCTTGGAAATATCACGCATAACTTCAGCGAAGTGTCCAGCTGAAAAGCTGAAATGCAGGGAATTTTTTAACGCTTGCTGTGCTATTTTGCACTCATAGAGTATTACAAAAAACTGTCGACTGCTTGAATGTCCCAAATTTTGCTACATCCTGCAGTAAATATCAGTACGAACTGCTAACGATTTACAACTTTACATTATCAAACGAGAAGTTTTGATACATGGTTAGTTTTACTAATAACGGTAATTACCTATTTATTTTTTGGTGGTCTCTTCTCGTCCTATTATATTTATCGCGCTTTATGTGCAAGAACCAACAGTCAACTCACCAAAATATTATAAAAAGGAACGTAACCTGCTACATACCGGTAGATTCGTGTACGTCCACGGGAACTTTCGATTTGGCGCACTACCAAACACTTTTTTGGAGTGCGTTTTCACCTTGTGTAGCAAAATGTTTTGTATACATAGGCGTGGACTCCGTTTGTGCGCGTAACGTCTGGTTAAAGAGTTATTTGGGGGAACAAAATTCCAGAAAGCTTCAGGTGTACCAAAAATTCAGGTGTACCAAAAATTTCATTATGGACCCACCTTCTCCAAATTTTGCATGTAAAATTGTAAATGCACATAACGATGAGGATCGTGCTTACACCAATCCAAACATTCACGGATTTTTCCAAATTTTAAGATTTTTGAAATTCATTTTAAAATTTGAATAACATGTTAGAAAGGTGGATCGATTGGTATACAAGTGTATGAACAATTTTCATTCTTATGTGCGTTTCCAAACAAAATCTGAAGGAGATCAATCAACATGAGATTTCGGTACCATGATACTACCATCCGAATGTCTTTTAACTTTCTGGACTTATGTTATCCTCATAATTTCGCAGTGGATGTTGAGCGCGCAAACGGAATTCCCGCCTATTTATGCAAATCAGACGATTTGCGTACAGAATAATAATAAGCAATCCAAAAAAGTAAAGTGCGCGAAAGCGAAAGTTTCGATCCCGTGGTCCCGTGGACATGCACAAATTTAGTGCTATTAACCAGGACATTGTCCTTAATAACAATCCTCCTGTCAACCGTGTTACTGCTTTACCGATATCTGTCAAAAAGGTTTCTCGTGGACTTCGTGAGCAAGACAGGAAAACTGGATATTTTAAGAAAAAGTGAAAATAAAAAAAAGCTGGTGAAATTCTGTTACTTAATCGATTAAAACTTCGACAAAAAGAAACTGCGCGTTTTCAAAGGTACAAAAACTGAAATTCATAATTACAGATACAGAAGTTGTTACAGGTGTCTATTTATTTGTGGGCCGTTCTTGGTGAAGCAATAAACGGGCAATAAGACTTTGCTGACGTACTCTTTTCGTCGTAGGCTCTCAACGACATGAATGCACATCCACAACGAAAAATACGACCGCACAAACAGTAAATTCTAAAAGATTCTTTTAGCGCAAATTCAAGTCCGAAGAATGAAAGCCCAAGAGCCAACCGAACACCAGGACGTGACCGTGATAAAGCGGCACAATCTGCGAATCAACCGGTAACGTCAACCTTCCCCATCGGCCCAAGAACTTTCTGAAGAGGTCAAAAACAGCATAATCTCGCTAGCAAACCGGAATCGCAGTTCCCTGTTTAAAAATTATGCCGTCCATACTTTCAAACACCCGGCCAAAAGCTGACGTTAACCGACATCGGAACGCGCTACCGATTTCTTTGTTATTGGCATTTCAGCGGTCACCGCAGTGATCCTCATCGTTTCCACCCGCACTGGCTCAGATGCCAAGACTTCTCGTTTTGGTTGCACAAAATTCAATCCAGTCTCATTGTAGGTCGCAAACCTGACATCTTTGAACAATCCGTCCAACACAATCCCGTCTTTTCCTGCCGTACAAATATCCTCATCCGTCCGGTTGTCAGCGCAGTTCATTCCCAGCCGATGGAACATGAAGCCCAACCGCCGGTCCTCCATTCGGTACGTAATAGGTTTCATCATCAGCATGTGAACATCGCAAGGCAGAGGTTTGTCTACCGGGGTGTACTCAAAGGCGCTGATGGTGGAGTTGGCCTGCTCAAAAGTAATGTAGGGCGGATGGTTGAGGTGGAGGTTGAGCTTGCTGGAGACATCCGTCGGGTTGGAGTAAGGGGCGTTGAGAATAAAACCTTCTGATTCAATTTGCAGAGACATAAGGGTCTTGACGACGCGCATGTCCTGCAGCGCTTCGCCGACACCGCGGGCGTCGTCTTGCATAAGGTTGCGGTCAATCATTACGTCCATGTCGCCGGATTTTAGGCTTCCCACGGCATGGGCTTGGGTTAAATGCAGGGTCAGCCTGACCGAGTCGTCCTTCAAAAAATCACACATTTAAATCGAACTCAAATTGCATTGATAATTAAACAAAATAACAGGAGTGCAAAACAACAGTTTTTATCTTTTCTAGAAAAACATTCCAAGTACTCGAAGGTCGTGATTGTGCCCACCTGCAAATATGCCATCGTCGTGGCTGGGTAGAAATTGGCCGCCATGGGAACGTCATGTGACACCGAACGGCGAATCATCTGGAACCCATTGGAATCGGTATAAAAGGTCATATTGCTCCGCACATCAGAGCTAATCCTCAGCACAATCTCCGAATTCGGCAACGATGTCAACTCCGTAATGGTCTCCATCTCCATAATCCGACCGTGGTCGGCTGTGGTATTGTAAATTCGCGTTACGTGCAGTATGTTCTTTGATCCGATCGACTGCACCTCGGTGAACAGGGGCCCTTCGATGACCCGCACCGTTCGTGGATACGGATGAATATCGGCGATCCCGTTGGGAATAAACAGGTACGCTCCGCTGGACTGTGTTTCGTAGCGCTTAAACTCTTGCGTCACCGTGCGCTGGCGTCCGTCCTTTAAGGTCACGGCTTCCAAGAGACCCGTTTCCGGGGAGAAGTGAGCGGAAAAGTGAGGAGTGACAACGTTAATCAAATTGTCGGTACCCATGGATTTAATCGTGAATCCCGGGATCTTCCCTTTCAGTGGGTGAGTACTGCGGATCACGGAGCCGGAGCGCTCCGCAATCCTGACCTTTTCGGAGCGCTTTCCCAAGGAACGGATGGTAATGGCTTTAAGAGCTAAGGGATCGAGAGTTAAGGAAAAAGAGATGCGAACAATGTCGAAGAAATCCCCGCTGGTGTCCAAGTCGTTGAGGGCCGGCGAGACTTGGTATGGAATTGTCTTGCCGTTGGAGTCCGTGAGCTGGACGTTCTGGGTTTCCACAAACAAATGGATGGTCACTTTGCGCGACCGGGAAAGAGAATTAAAGATGAAGATGCGACGTTCTTTGTCGGTTGCACCAAAGCGGATAGGCGATTTCACCGGTAAACTCACCGCAGACTGCCGGTAATTTTCTGAAAGTTAAAAACAGATGTGCTATAACTTTCAATCTTAAAATTATTAATTTCAATCTTTGTCATTAATTTTATTTGACAAAAGTTATAATTATCAGTGAATACTAAATTCCAGCAAAATATTTCTGTTTAAATCAGGATTGTTTTATCATTATTCACGTCTCTGGTATCCCTGTTAGACACAGGTTTTTATGTTTTAGCCGTGTCGTGATTAGAAACTTTATGGTTTGAACTGTTTTTGCATAGTAATAAGTAATATATTTTCGATTTCTTACCGAGTATGATATTGGCCGCATGGACCGGCGTCCTGCTGGCCACTTGTGCCAATCGAAAGACATTTTTTAGAATTACCGCATGCGCCATCAGCAATCCATTCTGCAGCTTTTCACCGTAATCCATCGCCACATAGCGTTTGGACGTGCCGGTTATGGCGTCGTGGTGTTGAAACAGTCCCAGTCCGATTGCCGCCCGATTCAGTCCTATGAGATCCTCGGCAAACAAGGAGGTGTTGCGGTTGGCCGAATGTGTGGAAAGTCGCACCAATGAGTACATAATTTCAGCGGTGCGCAGATCGCGCTCTAGTTCTCGGGACATTTGCTTATAGAACGGACGTGAGGTAAAGTAGCCGGTCCAGTAATCCTCAAATTTGTCGGCGTATGGAAAAAAGTCGCCTTGGACTCGAGGGACGGATGAGGGTGGAGTGGTCCACGTGGTGTCCAGACGTGAGGCCACGGCGGCATAGTAGTCTTTCAGTGTGCCAAACTGGACGCGCGCCTTGTTGGCGGGGTTGCCGTTAATTTCCTATGATAAACCATTCCCAGCATAACTTACCGTGGGAAAATTGTGACGCAAATAACAAAAGTCTGATAATAAAATTAACTGTGACTATCTCGACAGATATAATTAAACTGGATACGATGCTGAACAAAAAGACTTCATAAGTCAACTTGAGAATTGCTGATAGTATAGTAAAACGTTTCAGTAAGCGCTAGTAACATAAATATACAAAACAAACTGAAAACAGAACAAAGTTAATAAGCGATATGACGGTAGGAATTCCCCCTGCGAATGTATCGTGTAAGTCAAGGCAGTTAAGTCAAGGCGGTTACGTTGTTAAGGTTTGTAAAATAGAAAATAACTATTTCAATTAAAGTAACGAACACTCTTCGTTGACGTAGCTAAAACAAATCCCATAAAAACTGGACAATCCAATATTACTTGTCGCACCGTTTCAAATCACTTGTGCACTTAGACTTACATTAATTAAAAGTTTGTAGTTTCTATATTGATTGATCCATTCTGTCTTCTCCGCCCAACGGAAATCATCACCCAGTATATACAGCACTACATTGTGCGGATAAATGGATCCCGTCTTCCGCATCTGGTCCAACAGCGCCGTAGCTTGCTGCTTGAGCTGCGTTTTGTCAATCTCAAATCCAGAGTCCTTGAAATCAAACATATAGCAACTGGCTGACCGGGTGAGACCGCAGATGTTCTTGATGGTATAGAGATGGTGCGGCGCTAAATGTGTGAACATGGCCGAAGAATTTCCGGTGTCGTCCCACGGCTGCTCCCAGACGAACTCTGAAGCGCCGTTCTGTGCCAAATGCGCGCGGAGGTTGTAGTGGATGCGCTGGATGAACATCGTTTGAAAGTCGAGGTTCTTGAGGAAGTACGGCATGGACGAGGAGTGTCCGAATGGGTCGATGCTGAAGCCGTGGGTAGGGACTACCCCCAGATTTTCCCATAGCCACTGGTGACCTGCAAAAGTTGCATAATAACCCTTTTCTTTATACGGCTGGATGGTTTTTTTGTTCTGTGCGTGACTTCGCCTGCCGTAAGATTTTCGTTGCTAAACCGAAACCACACTAAATCACAGCATCCAGCAGTCACAAAACTAAACAAGCCTCCGAGTTTTGCGCTACTAAAAGTATAACACAAATACCGATTATTCTGTGCGACAATAATTTGAAATTTGAGTGTATTTGTGTATCACTCAAGATGTTCCTACTTCCTACTAACAGTTAAATCTTCATGCGGTAATTTATAAAATGTATAAACCCATCAGACTGATAGTTTTTGCAAAATAATACCGATAGATGGTAATGTTAATAACCGATATGGAGAATTGCTGGTGACATTGTTCACAAACTATCTGTAAACTAGGTAAACTGAATTGAAAGATTGTAATTACCGAAGACATATTGGTGGAGGATGGCGTAATAGTGGCACGTGGCTTCGTCGGGCATCACGTAGCCGCCATTGACGATCTCCAGACGACCCTCCTTGAGGAGTTGCCGCGTGGCGGCCTTGTCTTTGTCTCCCAGCATTTGCCACCAGATCTTGAAGTAAGACGTCTCCACCCAGATAAAACTCATGTCTTTATGCTCTTGCAGGAACTGCAGCATATTGTTCAGGGCGTGTTTTATTGATGTATCAAAGTATTCCTCCACTGCAGCAATAAACAAACCGTTCAACCAGAACACAATAAAACGGCGCGAAACGTTCATTGTGCCTATGTGAGGTCATTCATTTGAGTTGCCACTTAACGGATTTTGCAAACGATATTTACCGGTGTTAAGCCATCCCGGGTCGGCATGGCTGAATGGAACGATGTACACCAAGAGTTGATCTTTTGAAAGGCTATCGTTTTTCTGCAATTATCAATTGTAAATATTTTCAATATATTCCTGCATTTTGCAGGACCTAGCTATTCATCGCGTGACCGTGAATCAACCAATAAAGCAGCTTAATTCTTTGCAATATTTTGCAATTTTTGATGGTGTCATGCACATTGGTGTGAACAAGCATTCATTCACAAATCAAAGGCAATTTCTGAAAGTGTAGTATTTAAATTTGTTAATTTTCGTCTGATTTAATAGCAATTTCAAACCCAGCTTGTTGCCTAAAACTAAATTAAAGTAAAACTGGGATTGTAAACCGAGTGTAGCATTAAGTACTGTGTAGAGCAGAAATCAAATGCTGACATTCAGGTGGCTTGTGGTTTTTTTTGCAAGTCCTTTTTTTAATTACGATTCCTTATGCTACAGTGGCAGTTGCACTAGCGATGGGCGAGCGCCGAGGTTTCAATATTAATTGTTGCATTATATTATATAATTAGTTTTCCACATCGCGCTCATTGTGTGAAAGTAGCTGTACCGGTACCGATGTACTGTAAGACATAATTGCTTACCATTTTATCCTGATAATTCTTCTCCATTTTGTCATCCCATATACCGAAATCCCCGTCGGTCTGCAGATCCGTCAGGGTGTGCGTCAGATTTGCCAGATCATAATCGACCCTTCCGCGATTCCGTTCTGCCGCCGGGCACACCACCCGGCGCGCCTCTCCCTCGGCGTAGATCTGTGGCGGCCGCAAAACCGGCGATAACTCCCATACCGACTCCTTCAGCCAATCCCCTACGCCCGAGATCAGCGCCCGCGGGCGCCCGCCGTTCCCGCTGCTGCCGGGATCATTCAGCGGCAGATAGTTGACCCCGCTCTGGCTGTCCTGGTGCGCCTTGGTGGCGTAGTGGATCACGGCGAAGGGACTGAGGACGACTATGACGCCGATAATCAACAGCGGCGTGGGGATGCGGCGGAATTCGTACAGGAGACGGCTGCGTAGGCGCCGCATGCTCAGATGATCAACGGCACTGCTCAACATACTTCATCAGGGAGTGGTCGATGCCGGCATTGTGGTTAAGCGGGATGTTGCGCGAAATGGAACAGACTTAAAATTCCTCGGTAGAAGATTAAAGGGCGCTTCCGTTTGTACGATGATGGGGATTAAAAAATTGATCCACCTCTAGAGGTGGATGTGCGGCGAGCTAATTGACCGATTAATTCAGGGATTTTTGGCGGCAGTACTAGCCACTTCATTACTTTCCCACCGGAAACTGAACACAATTACGCTTTAATTTTTGTGCAATGCAGATCCGCTTTTGAGAATATTATAATTATCAATATATGCCAGCGTGAATGCGGGGAATTAAAAACAACAGAAATAAATAATCCACCGGAAAAGAAATATGATCACAATGGAAGCGTGGAAATTTGAGACCGGCGAAGCAGTAACCGAAAAAAACTGATTACACCGGCATAATCAAAATTCCATGTTTTGCAAGCTGCTCCACGATCCAAGTGGCCACTTGTTCGGAGACAGTGTCGCGATCGCGATTTTAAGGTGCATATACCGTTGTCGTTTGGAATGCAGTGGTGTAATCAGCAATCACCGATTTGAGTTGGCCGTAAAAATGCCAAAGAGAAATCTCTCCACGAAACAGCTGATGCAGCGGAACAAGCTGCAGCGTGGCACTTGCGACGTCTGATACAGTATTCCACTTGAAGTATGCGATGTCTCTTGATTCCCAGTGCAAACACCGGTGTGGTCACATACGATATTCAAGACGATGCTTACAAATTTAGTCCATTACCAGCCCCGGCAAGCACTTGCCGTCAATTAGCAATTGGAAAGTGGAGATAGCAGGTTGAACGTCGAAGCGATAAGGCGCTCTTATCGCATGACAATGACGACGGCCATTTATTCATTGTCAGAGCAGCTGCAGAAAACTCCCAGAATAAATGAATGCAAAAGTAGTGAGCTCAAAGTGCAACAAATAAAAAGAAAATTATTCGTCTCGTTGATGCGCGGTTAAACTTTTAAAATAGACGTAATTTGATCCAACGTTGCGGCTAGCAAAATGAAGTGGTTAACCGACGGACGAATTTGCGCTGTATGCCGCTCTCACGTACAGCGCTCCTTCCACTATTTGCAGTGGCAGCCAGCGTTTTCTACGCCTTGTCAACTTGTCCAGCCACAATGCAAGACGCCGGAGATATGAATTACTCGTTGTATTCACCAGCAGCACAAACGCTACACGGCACAGGTAAAGTATTAAAACACCGGAATCACGCTTTATCTGAGTTCATTGCGCCGCCTCAGACCATCAGTGCGCGAGCAAATCGCTGCAACATAGAATCGCTGCAACGTAGACGCTCTTGAGAAAACTCGTGGCATCTCGTATTAGTTAAGATTATGATTTTTTATATGTTTTTGTTGACGCGCACTGGAAACGAACATTGTCGTATAAAATGTACGATAATAGCGTAATTACTGGCAAGTGGCAGAAATCAGAGAAAACTGCAGATTCCAGTCATGTACAAGTTCAAGTTCCACTGTTCCAATGCCATTGCGACTTCGGGCCACCTGTTGGAACTTTCAACTTAGTTCTAAAAAAACATTTTTTCATTACTTATTTAGTGGGCGGTGAGACCTGGTCGTCCAAGTGGTGCTTTCTAGCAAGCGAAAATCGAAGGGATATTCCAGTGGAAATGGAAGTCACCTGTTGCTGTTTGCTGTCATTGTTGACCTTGTACGGGCGAGCGCACCTGTGGAGCGGCTATTATTTCAAGTTGTTATGTTCATAAAGATAAACTGCTTGAAGTAATATGCCGCCGGAGATGTGCATGGTGTTGTACAGCAAACAGAAGAGAAAATGCAGGCCAAAACTGCACAGTGCAAACAAGCACCGTATTTATAACCGGGCGGGCCGGTTTCCGCACTAGCTCGACGGTGTAATGGGCCGGCAAATGTAACCAACGATAAACGGCGCTACAATGCGATGCTGCGTCAATGGATGCACCTGAATGCTGCATGCCGAAATGTCATGGACGATATGAATGGAATCGTCGACACTCGTGATCAAAGAGATCATTGCAACCCAAACAGAGAAATTATATACCGCGATGTGATGCGAACAAACTAACAAAGTATGTGAACAGCGCACCGTGAGAATGGTCTCATAATTTTCCGGAGTTGCAATTTCGCGATAAAAATCAAAATCGCGCTAAATTGTTAATAATATTATACCATTACAGTTGTAAAGTAAGTACTGTAATTCTGGCAGAGCACCAGCATGATAATCTATCTTAAAATTTTTACTATGTAACGGAAACCCTACGAAGACACGGTGCGCGAAAAATCTTTATTCTTAAAACAAGCGGGATTTCGTGTAAATCGTGTCAAAAAAGGTAAATGAGGCGCATGATCAAGAAATCCGTGTGTGCAAATAACGTGTTATGGATCCAACAGAGATTTTGCCGATGCGAAGCGATCTCCTTCTTAAAATTTTACGCGCTCTTAAGCTTTTCCCTGTAAGCGTTGCACGTGTTTATATTCTAAAACAGGGATCTAGACTAAGCAGCGGCGTAAAATAAAATCGGCATAAACTACCCCATCTGCTGCAACTCGATATCCGCTTGCATCATCAAGCGTGATTGGCCGGCTGTAGAGGCTGGTAGCGATGTGGGTGGAGCGCTCGTCAACTTCCGCTGTTTTTCCGATTGAGCCAAGTTTGCTAAACATGCGATGACGTCCGACAGCGCGCTTATTCACTTTATTGATCAATAATCCGCAGTTCTCCACTCGGAATTCCCAACCATTATTTAAACCCTGTGCGAGGTTCTTTCAATTTTATGTTTTCTGCATCTTTTATGATATTATCGGAATCCAGTACGCGTGATGCGGTATTGATCGGTTTCCTCATCCTGACTAAGTTCCGTAAGACTTTGCTTGTTTTGTGACTTGTCGGATCGAAGCAGCGTTAAGCTTATTGGTTTTCGCTCCTGTTGTGTTGTGAGTCTTGTCTTCGGTTTTTAATTCTACTAGCGTGGTTCCCAAGAGGTTTCCTGGGATAAGAATCGTTCTTTTCGAGTCCAGTGCAGTTTTGTACGGTGAATTTTCTTCCTTTCGGGGTTGGCATCGCATCAGCATGTCATTGCAGCTATTAGAGAAGAAAGGAGAAAACCGGACGAGTAACCAAAAAACCACGAACAGGTAGGCACTCAGTAAATTAAATTGTGCAATCACTATGTCTAAATTAAATTTAATAACTATGATTTTACAGTTTACATATCTATGTAATCAGCTTTCCTAAGATTTTGAGGAAATTTCAGATTCTTTTTGGTTCATGAAATAATCGAAAATGTTGTATTTTCGTGGTGGTATTTAGCCTTTTCCCGTTTTTTGTTTGCGCCCCGTGTTTGCGATCGTCGTAGACAACTGACTGATGAGGTACTTAATTAATCATGTATCTGTAAACGTTGCAGCTGAATAGTAATTCATCTTTCTAGCAACAAGCGTAGCATTATTGGTAGAAATATTATGCCGGAACTGGTTTGCTTAGCCGTTTTATTGTGCAGGCAGAGTATTCGCATGGTGATTCATACTGTTATAAACAATTTCCTGTGGTTGGCTGTGAAATAATCTTTACCGATTTAAGGTAACTTTAACTGCCTTTTCTGGTGTTTGTATCTCTTTGCTTCTTTTACAGGGTGTCCATCTTGAAATCTGCTGCAGAAAGCAAATTTACAAACATTTTATTTATTTTGGGCTGTGTTATTTTATCGAAGTTTTCGTTTTTTGATGATTAATAATTGTTGTACTCGATTTTTTCTGCGCAAAAGTTGTGAATAATCCTTATGTTATGCAGCATGCATTGTTTTCATTTAAAATTTAAATAGTTTTGCGCTCAAACTTCTTTGCTCATAGAGGTATTTTTGCACGAGTATGACGACAGACGATCAGCAAATTTCCGGCTGACGCCCTATGTACGTCATGCGGTCAATTTTACCGTAAAATTTCTGCGATGTCAGATCAGGACTTGGCTTTTAGCTTATTACGGTTAAATTGTCAACATTTTGCTGAACCCGGTGATGATTCATCGCTGATCAGCAATTATCTGATCGAGACTGTCAAGGGCATCACGTGAATTTTTGTTTCGAGTTCTCAAGTACAATACTGTAATGTCAGTAATGAAGAATACTCGTATGCATCATAATTAATTATTGATACACTCGTAATTATACAGTAAGAAAAAATACATGTCCTTATAGAAGTAGTGGGAAATACAAATACGTACTTTATTCTGCATCTTATCAAGTGTTTTCTACTGAACTGTCACTGTCTCACAATTAAGCGAAACCAGGATGTAAAGATAATTAGATCAGGATCACAGTTTTTTCTAGCAGGTTATGAAGCCGGAAAAGTTTGAGCGGCGCTCGGAAAGAGTGACGATAACTCTTTGAAACTGAAGTTGAGGAATAGCAAATTAGCGAATTATAATTTTCGAAAACGGCGAAAGCTATTAAGTAATTTCGTTTTATTTGTAAATGCATAGTGTTAAGTATTTTAGTTGGCGTTTGTGCACAGAGCCACAATTTAAGCTTTATAACGATGCATGATATTTTTGAGAACCGAAAAAATATGCGGCATATCTACGAAGGCTGACGGAGTAGTAAAATGTAGGACGTATAAATACACCGTGTTCTTGAAAAAAATTCCATGAAATACATAATTTATTCGTAGACGCTTTATTTGGCTGAAATCTGGAATTATAATTTTACATTACATACTTTGATATTCTACTATTTATACATGTATTCACTTGACGTTTGCTCGACTTTGCAGTCTGGCATATGAAGAGTACGAGATCACTGCCAACCACCTTCGCGAGCGCACAAAGCACCGCCCCAGAGTGGCCATTATCTGCGGATCCGGTTTGGGCGGGCTGGCTAACACGCTGGACGAGGCGGACGTACTGGAGTACGAAAGCATTCCCAATTTCCCTGTTAGCACAGGTCCGTTACTGAAAATGAGTATTTTATATTTATATTTGGTGTAAATGTGACTCCCCCGAGTCAATCAGTGGTGCATAGTGCATATATAGTGATATATACGTACTCGAATGCTCGTATAGCACTTGCAAAGTTCAGTAACATTTAACAAGCATTACGTATATTGCGCAGAATATTTTTGCTGAAATATGCGCAAAAATCATATTTAAGACAGCAGTTTACTTAAAGAATAGGTTTGGCATTTAAATTATCGCATTTGTACTTTTTTCAAACTTGTTAGTACAGCAATTGTATATTTTCACATATGGAGATGTCGTGAAAGTTTTTTCAATTGAAAATAAAATGCGTTTTGGAATTCAGTGGTAGAACAGAATATATCTCTTTCGTTCTTGCGCAAAACGGAATTTCGTAAAATGTTTGCATGAGCAACTGATTCGAGTTAACATGCTCAGTGCGTAAATAATGCTGTTAATTGTACATAAATTTATGATACACTCTTCTGCCCACCAGTGTTTGGTCACGCGGGACGTCTGGTGTTCGGATTAATTGGGGCTGTTCCAGTCGTCTGTATGCAGGGCCGCTTCCACAGCTACGAAGGTTATCCCTTATGGAAGGTGAGGCCGATCGATGGCTCCATCGGCTTTTATCGTCGTTTAGACTATATCGATTATGTAACCCGCAACAACTTATACGATTCTTGTTTACTTGCAGATTACATTCCCTATTCGCATTTTCAAACTCCTCGGCGTGGATACACTGATCGTCACCAACGCAGCCGGGTAAGCAGTTAGCATTGCTTATTAATTTATTACTCGTAATGTCCTCCGTTATTTGGTTGCGTAGTAGAGCGACTTTTAAAGGCCTGTGTTGTAACGCTTCATATTCTCCATGAACATTGTTGGTTGTGGATTTGAGTGCAAAACCAAAGTTCATATATTGTTGGTTGATTTTTGGCATTCGCGATACATTTGTTAAAATGGAATATTGACTATTGCTACTGCAGACAATTAAACGGTGTTTTTGTTTTGACCATTTTAGTTTTCGCTAGCTGATGGTTAACGACTATTGAGAATTACTCATAATTAAATCAGCTATTTCTTTTACTTTGATATGCACTGTTTGATTCATTACTGGTTTGTGTAGTATTGTATTAATGCAGTACTGCAGTATATTTAGCCTCGTCTTCCTTGGTCTTGATGATGAATTAAAAGTATTTGCATTAGTGGCCTGAATCCATCCTACGCAGTGGGTGATATTATGCTGATCAAGGATCACATCAACTTCGCTGGATTTGCCGGCGTCAATCCGCTGTGTGGCGTGAACGATGAACGGTACGGCTAACTTCTACAGCCACGCTTCCACCGTTGCTAACTAGTGTCTGGTATTCGAAATTTTTTACGCGTGTTTGTAGTTGGGGTCCGCGATTTCCTCCCATGAGCAATGCCTATGACAAGAAGCTGCGCAAGATCGCCAAGGAAGTGGCCGAAGAGCAGGGATACGGGGACTACTTCAAGGAGGGCGTCTACGCCATGGTCGGGGGCCCCAATTTCGAGACGTCGGCCGAGGCCAGGATGCTGCGGGCGGTGGGCTCTGACGCCGTCGGTATGCTGAGCAAGAAATTCGTCGTTAAACGTGCTAGTCGTCCATTTGTTTTTGTTGCTCGTCATTCTCTTATTCTTACTCTCATTTTCCTACTTTCTCAACAAATGTCATGATTGTCATCTCGTACAAATCAAACTCCTGTATTTCAGTATTTCGTACTTTTTGGTTTACTATAGCTGTACTGTAGTTCTTATAATTTTATAACTTTTAATATGCAGTTTTAGTAGGAGTTTTTTATATAAATTCTGTTTTGTGATATAAATAAATGGACGTGTTGTAGGAATGTCCACTGTTTCGGAAGTGATTGTGGCGCGTCATTGCGGCATGCAGTAAGTATTTTGACCAGTTGATTACAGCAGAAGTTTCCTGTGACTCATGAATGTTGTGTTGCGTGCAGTGTGCTCGGCATGTCCCTAATCAGCAATCTAGTCGTGCAGGACGAGCACTCGGACGAAACGGCCAACCATCACGAGGTGCTGGCCATTGGTCTGCAGCGTGCCAAAGACCTGCAGAATCTCGTTAGCGGCATCGTCGACAAGATTACCGCCTGAATCTCCCTTTGTAGTCGCCTTTTCGGTCGCCTGCTGGCCATTTCATTCCTGTGAAGAGATGCGGTGTAGATAATGTTTGAAGAATTATTTTTGGTTTGATCTTTGTTGAGCAGAGGTTTTCATCGTGCGCATGACTGACTCATTTGGATGTTCTTTAAATAATTTATTCATAATATGTTAAACGGGTTCTGCGTCGGTCGAAAACACAAAATCACAAATACGCCGGAAGGGCGATCCCACGGTCATTTAGCATTTACTTGATTCTGATGAACGCAAGCTCTAATGAAAAAAAGATGGAATTCCTAGCAGGTTGTTGTCCTGAGTTTAAGCGCGTTTATATAACTGTGAAATGTGTCCTACAATAAGTCCGATCATACGATTTCCATACTCCAGAGAGAGTTGATACTCAGGAAAAAAAATTCGTTTTAAAATATTTGTTACTCTGCTTCCATATGCATGTTTTCTATGAAGCTGCTTCCAGTGCTTCCTTATTCCGCAATATTATGTAAAGCTTAATTGCAACAATAACTTATTGAGAGATGTTTCCTAAGCGAACGCCGCCAGGATGTTTGCCGGTTGAAAAAGATTTTCGGTTTAGAACAGATACCAGCGTCATATCAGTGTGAAGCTAATCATGGCCAGTTTCCTTAATTAAAAGCACTTTTTGGTTTCATCTGGAGATAACTTCGCCTAAAAAATAAATGTGGAGATATTTCGTTCAAGTGTTGTGGGGACCGATTTTGTTACTGGCTAAAGAGATACAGACCCCGGTATTTCATGCGAAATAATTTTACAGTTATCAAAGTCTATGCGGAAGTCCACTAGTATCTCGATTGCGCTGCACTCGTGTCTCCCTCTCAAGGGTTTTGGCTCCCATTACAGTATTGTTAACCAAGTACTTAATATAATTGATTTCCTGAAATTTCCTTAATATATGTGAGTGCTGTCCATTTCAGGGGAACTTGCTGACGAACCCAAGAAATGCTCATATATGATTTACCGGCTTGCTGCTAGACTTGTTGAACACACAATGGACGACAAAATTTACTTTACCCCGGACCGTTAGCCGCTGTCGGCTTACAGCGCATACGATGAATGAGCGCCGCATATCCGTCGCTATATCCGCTTACTGAGCAGTAAGCGCGGCAACCGTGTTCTCTCTGTTCTCTGTCTAAAAGCTAAAGCCGCAAAACCGGTTCCGAGGTAAAGTAAATTTCGTCGTCCATTGTAGTGTGTTCAAAAAGATGATGCAGTAGTGTAATACTATAAAAACGGAAGAAATTAAAGGTCAGTAATAAAGACTTGCAAGTTTCTTTTTAAAAATCTCCAAAACTCATTTTGCCCCAATGCCGAATGCTTCTGAAACCCGGGCATCCAGCATATTCCTGTACACGCTGTAGTGAGTGTCTTCTGGCGGCTCCATTTGCGCAAGCACATGCTCTTGCGAAGGCGTCCCAGATTCGGACTCCGTCAGAGACTGAAATAGTACGTTGTCTTTTTTCTTGGGGAACTTGTCGTACCCGTTAACAAAATCCTTCAGTTTGGTCCACTTCTCTTTCAGCAGCTCTTTCCGTTCCAAATCGACGAAATCCTGCCAGAATTTGGTGTCTTGTTCTTCCTTCATACGCCAATTTAGGCTATCTGCCTTTGCTGCAGATTGTCGGCGCTGTTTATGCGCTAACGCGGATTCCCATTCTCGTTGTGCCTCGTTGGCTTTCTCAGCGCGCCACGCGTTCAACCGGCGTTCCTTATCCGCGGCTTCCTCCGCCTGCGACTTGAGAATGTCCGAGTATTCCTGCCACTCTTTCCGCTTGTTATCTTCTAACGTCTGCTTCTTTTCCAACGAGGCTCTTAGGGCGGCTGACATTTGATTCTTCTCGAAGGCGCGCTTGGCCTTCTCCAATCGCACCTGCCTCTGCCTCTAGAAGAAGGGCCATAAGCGTGTCGTGAGACCACCAACACCGAATGACACTTACTTCTTCTTCGCTTTCGGCTAATCGGAGCTCTTCTTCGATCTCTTGGCGCTCTTGATCGTGCTGCTCTTTTTCCTTCATCTGCTGCGCCAGTTTCTTTCGCATCGCATCGATGACCTTTTCCCTCGCTAACAGAGCTTCCTTATGAGACTCCGCGCGTTGCTTGTATTGCTTAGTAATCGCGGCAATCTTGTCGTCTTCTTTACGGAGTAACTCTTTGTGCGCATCCTGCGTGCTTTTTCGCTCCGCTTTGAAATCATCGATAACACTCTGCCAACGTTGCTTATCCAGAATCTGCTTGTATTCCTTTTCCTACCGGGATCTAAAGAATATTCAAACAACCGTCACTACAACGATGTCGTGCGGTCCGCACTAACCAAAGCTTTCTTCTGTTCTGCTTTGATGCAGTCATCAATGAATCTGCGCTCTTCTTCCAGAGCCAGGAATTGCAGGTGCTTTTCGTGGTGTTTGTCCGCGAGCTGCTTGTTATATGCTTCGCGTAGCTGCTGTTGTGCTCGTTTTTGGTTGGTGAATTCAGTGTTGATTGCGCTGGTGTCTGCATCATCCAGGGCGCGCGTCTGCGCTCCTTGTTGCAGTTCTTTCAAGCGGCTGTTAAAGCGTGCCCTTTCGTTCGCGCGCACATAGGCCAAATTGGTGTGCTGCGCTTCGATGGCCGTTAAGGATTTTTTCAGCTCGCGCAGTTCATTGCTAGCATCCGCTAGGCGGGCGTGATTGACATTACGACAATGCTGCAGATCGCGCTGACGGAGAACTTCCTTGTTGCGCTCGTTCTCGGCATCATGTGACTGTCTGATGGCTTCCTGTCACCAATAAGCACATAATGCTGCGTTTGTTCCGTTGGGAGTCCAGTTATTAAATAACTGCATTCCCAAAGGAACGAATTATAACTGCATTCCCGAAGGAACGAATTATTATTATTTTTTAAACTATGAATAAAACTTTTTCAATCATAGTTTCAGAAATCTCTTTTTCTTCGGCGTAATCTTACCTGCATTTTGTGGATTTCGTCCACCCATTTCATAAAGTTGTTCGATTTTTGAATATCTGTCGGTAGGATCATCTCTCGGTGCACATTAACCAAAATAACTCTTGCGATTTTGTCGCAGAACGGTAGCTATAACTTATAAGTGATGGGAGCTATCGCTCTAATTTCTTAGCGAAAGAGTGAGTTAATGAGATTACAGTTGTTGTTGTTGCAAAAAATATTGTGCTTATAGCGCAAGACCATGGTTCCAAGAACGAAAATTAACTAATACTGGTATCGTCAAGGTAACTTCTGTATTAAGCATGTAGCAATAGCAATTAGCCGCACATTATTCTGGCAAAAAAAGGAGCGAATTTATGGAAAACGAAGGTTTGCAAATTGCAGTTGCCAATGTCAAAAGCGTCATTCACGCAACTATTAAGCATTATCATTTCTGCTGAAGGGCAGAAGAATTGGTCAGCATCTAAGAAAGAGCACTATGCAATACCCAACCGAACGTGTCTCACTCGATATGGAAAAAAACAGTACCGGTCACACGAAAAATTCAGGCACTTCTAACCCAACTTCGAATGGATCATACCAGATTGAATTGAGAGAGGTTACCGTACTGGCCGACAATTCCCCTTTTACAATTTCACTCCCGACTGTTTACCGTATTGATCGGGTTTTTAGGTTTCTTAGCTTTCCTAATGTTTTTCTTAGGTCTTTGGATTGTGTTAAACTTCTTAGATTGTTTATGTTTCGAAGTGCATCTACTTACACACTTTCATAGTATTTTTCTTAGGTTTTTCAGCGCATTTTCGTAACTTTACTTCGGTTTCTTATGTTTTTATATGATTTCTTGTGCCTTTTTTTATGTTTTTTTTTATCTCATCAGAATGTTGCCAACAAAATGCCGGTGTTCACGAGCTACATACTATTCGTAGTAGGGTAGTCTATTCGTTCAGCAACCTGACGATTATCGGGTTGTCGCTTCAACAAATTGTCGGGTAAACAATTTGTCTGTCAGAAAATTGTCGGTGTGCCAAACTGGAGACGCTGGTGTTTGTTTCAGTACCCTGTAAATTTTGTATGGCGCAACTCTCTTAGATATAGGAAAATTTGAAGCATTCTGTAGTTTATTAGTCCCGTCAGCTCGCACAAATATAGCACAGTAAAACTGATACGATATAACTGACGGTTCATTGCAATATCCATAGAAGTATACCTACTTACACCTACGCTTGGATCGTTATTTTTGCACTCATTATTCATATATAATCTATCAATAATTAGACATGACCCTAGAAATTACACTGGCCGGCGTAATCGCAGATTCACCCCAGATGTCACGGAATTCACTGACGTCGTGGATGCCGCGGAATGAAGGGAGCTTTCGGATTCCTGACTGTGCATGCTGTTGTCCGTGCTGCTGGCACCGCTCACATCGCTACCAGTCCGCGGCAAACGACCGCGACTGGCACGAGACTGTCTCTTCTCATGCCCAATTAACTGCTTCAACTTGGCGCGGTACGTACTGCGGATCAATGGGTGTACGATAGCTTCCTCCACAGTAAACCGTTCTGCGATCTTGGGATTTAGTAGGCACTCGATCAAATGGATAGCGGTTTCGGGGAGAATATTTTGAATTTTTTCCAAATAACGTTTGGCGCGCTGTCGACGCAGCATCTTCTTGGGATGACTGTCGTCAAAAGGCATTTTACCTGATCAAAGGTCATCAGCAATGTAAGCGCTATTTTTGCACTCATTAATCGGTATCCATAATGAATAAGTTTTTAGTTTTACCCATCATTAAAATATACAAGATGACCCCGCACGACCACATATCACTGATCTTCGGCTCATACTTTTCCCCCGCGACCACTTCCGGGGCAGCGTACGCCACGGACCCACAAAAGGACGTGGATTTAACCGCAGCGTACTCTCCTGACTGCTTGCGGCGTCGTTTCTTCTCACCGGCTTTCAGCTGATCCAACAACGCCAGTTGTGAGTGAAAGGCACCGGCATTGCTAGAGCGCGGTGAGTCATTGGGGTCACTGGTCTGCATTACCGACACCTCCGAATTGCGGAACTCTTCGATGGACAATCCCCCAATATGACCGCTGGAGCGCCGAGGGGCAGAGTCAGCGACGAAGCGGGCGAAGCCGAAGTCGGCGATCTTCAGTGTGGCGCCGTCAATCAAGATGTTCTCGCATTTGAGACTGTATTGAGTGGCCGTTGAACTTACGTTGCTTAAGGCTGAAGTAAGAACTTACTCACGGTGGGCAATATCCTGCTGATGAAGATACTGAATTCCCATCAGGATCTGCACAAATTTGTCACAAGCTTCGCTTTCGCTAAGTCGTTCTTCGTTGCTGGCTTTCTTTTGCAGGTACTTCAAAAGATCGCCATTTGCGCAATACTGCAACACAGTTTTACTTTTCTCACGAGTTTTGACGAATTTGTGAACATGTCACGAATCAATCGCACAACTTTTTGCACGGATAGCGAACCTACATCCATAAAGAGGTAAAACATGTGACGATGCTTTACGTATGTGTAGACACGAACAATATTCGGATGACTCAGACGTGCCATTACCTAAAACAAGCACTTGGTTTTCAAAAGATTCACGCATTTGCCCGCAGCATAACCATACTTCGAGTTCCCGGGGCAGGAATTTATTGACAAAATTCGCTGGGGCCGCAGCGATATTCATCGTTTTACAAGCAAAACGGGTACTACATCCAATCCGTGTACCTAGATAGACCTTCCCGTATGACCCTTTGCCCAGGATCCTCTGCAGGTGCACCTCATAGCCCGCGACCGTAAGACGCTTGGTGATCTTTCCATCCCGTCCCTTCTCGCTCTTCCGGCGCACCACGAGGTCCTGAAAAGAGTGCTGTGACGAAACGGGTGAGGGCGCAGCCGTCAAGGCGTCATCGTTGGGGGTGGGATCCTCGTTGTCCTGGGCAGAGTTTTCGGTCCTGGCCATGGGCGGGGCCGGCGCACTGGTCGCAGGCAGACCAGCGGGCCGGCTGGGTTGGGCTATTTTGTTAACTTTAGGTGTGACGGCCGCGTTGGCATTTGTTATGGGGAAAGTTAGTACAGCAAAGTATGAAAGTATTACTATTAATCATCTATACTGCTAGAAAAATCAGCCTACGACAGGGCTTAAACGCAATAAAAGCTGCTTGTTCATTCTTGTTATTTTCGTCCTTAACGAAATATTGTGCCCTGTTTCCAAGACGCAATAATTGTCAGAATATATTTAGAAACTAAAAACTATTATGTCTGCGTATACCAATATGAAGTAATTTCGAATTTATTTATTTATCGGCGACAAATATCTGAATAAAAACAAAACCGACTAAAAATGGCTGAATATCTGGAAATGGCATCTTCATTCTTGAATGCTGTCCCGCTTTTGTTCCAGTAACGACGGCTTCAGCAGCCCCATGTCGATCAAAAACTGCCGGCTGGATCGACGCCGGTCTGGATTGAAGCCAGAGGGCAGCTGCAGCGTACCGTCCACGCTGTCGGTCATATCCGTGCCCTCGGTAGCCGCTTTTCCCATGAACACGGGCCGGCGCTGATCGAATTCTGTCTGCACATCTTTTCGGAAATCCGGATTACTGAACAGCTCCAGCGCGGTGAGAGCCAGCGCGGCCGCTGACTTCATGGCAAAATGATTAGCTACCGGTTTGCCGACACTGTCACGGAACTCGCGGGTGTGGATCATGGTGCAGTGCGGATCGCCGATGCAGAAGCCGGGGTGGATGCTAGGGATTGTGGTGGAAACATTGCCCATGTCCGTAGAGCCGTAGGCGCCCGGTGGCAAAATCATGAAGCGCATGCCTGAGAAGAGTTTAAGTTAAATGTACATACTGCCCATCCCGTTTCTGAATTAGGTTACCGTTTTTCTCGCCAAAGTGCTTGTAGATAGACAGCAGCTTCTGGTTGCTCATTAAACCAGAGTAGCTTAGGTCATTCAATCCACATTCCACCCGGCACCCTGCAAAATCACAAACAGCCAGTTACACGTAAGCTAGTGAAATAAATAATATTTCTTATGTTAGCTAACCGGTGGCTTCTGCGCCAGCGTGCATACAGGCCGCCACACGGGTGCGAAGTTCGTCAACATCAGCGCTGGTCGGTGCCCGGATGTAGATCTCGGCCTTGGTGTATTCCGGGATAATGTTGGGCTTCGCGCCACCGTTTTTAATGATCATGTGGATCTGGTGACCGGGTTTCAGCTGTTGCCGCAGCATAGACACATTGTTGTATGCGGCGATGACCGCGTCCAGAGCGTTGACCCCTTCCCACGGACCGCAGGAGGCGTGAGCGGCTTTGCCGTAAAACTCCGCCTGGCACTGTGAATACGTGTATTTTTGAATACAGAAATAATGCCCACAGTTTTATACCATAAGTGGAAAAAAACAAAAACTGGAGTTTGCATACGAGTACTGTATTACAATACATCAACCATGCTCCGTGTTGAAGAGTTTTTGCTTACGTGGTCAATGCTCAAAATGCTGGGTTCTAGTACATCCACCGGCGCTGGATGACTCATCAAGGCGTAGTCAACACCTTTGAATGCTCCGGATTCCAATAACAGCACCTTGCCGCCTCCCAGCTCTTCCGCCGGTGCACCCATGCAGACGATCTGTGTTATTTAAAAAAATAGCCGGTTTCGATTGGATTATTGTTTCAGTGGAAGATAATGAAGTATTCTCGTCTATATAACCGTCATTGTGAAGTACGAGCGGGATTTATTTTTCAAACTCCGCTTCGACGTCCTATTACTATGCACTTATGTGGTACGTACATTGGTAGAAGCTTATGCGCGTGCGTAAATTTGTACATAAAACGCGGCAGTACATGTGCCGCTCGGAATAGGTATTTCGAACTTTGCTATCGATGATTTCGTACCCTGCCTTGCGCTGCGCTGCCGGCTGCTTTCAGCACTTCCGCCGCCGCCAGGAAGGCTCCCAGCCCGACGATGGCGATCAGGTTATGCCCGCATCCGTGCCCAATATCCGGCAGCGCGTCGTACTCGCACAGCACCGCCACCGTAGGGTGCTTGGCGGCATCGAAGCCCGGCGTCTGGTACTCGCCCAGGAAGGACGTCTCAATGTCACAGAATTTTCGTGTTACTTGGTAGCCGATCTTCTCCATGTAGTCAGTCAGCTGTTGCACTGCGTGGTGCTCCTGGTAGCCGGTCTCCGGGTGGCTCCATATCTCCTGGCTGATGGCACTGAGATCGTTAAAGTGCGCCTGTAGGGACTGCTGGACGGCCGATTCGAACTGGTCGGCAGTGGGAGAGCTAGCCGACATTTTTTGTCGAATTATTTTAACTCACTGCTCAAAATTACGAAAGCATTAAACGGTAAGGAAAACGGAGTGGTGGAAAGTGTGAGAAAGTTCTGACAGCGCGATTTGATGTTTGTGAGAAGCATGTTAACACGGTTGTCTTATCGGTGCCGGCATGCGGCATGTTATCGGTTAACCCAATATTACAGACTTGATGAATGTACTGTACTGTACTGCAGAATGGCCCGCGCTCAAGCTCTGACTCTGACTCAGACTCTGACCGCTCAAACTCTGACTCTGACTACTCAAAGTCTGACTCTGACTGTCTAAACTCTGACTCTGACTCTGACTGAATAACCTAAGAATAACTTGAGAAACCTAAGAAACCTGAGAAACCTAAGAAACCTAAGAAAGCTGAGAAACCTAAGAAACCTAAGAAACCTAAGAAACCTAAGAAACCTATTAAGAAACCTAAGAAACCCTCAGAGTCAGAGTCAGACTTTGAGCGGTCAGAGTCAGACTTTGAGTAGTCAGAGTCAGAGTTTGAGTGGTCAGAATCAGAGTCAGAGTTGGAGTCTAGGCCCTGCAGAATGTGTTGTTAGTTGTGTAAACTCCGGCGCACGATTGATTACCGATACAAAGGTTGACACTTGGAAAATGCTTTTATTACTGTGCGCAGTACGCATTTCACCGACATAATGTCGCTTGTGTGCGGTGAAACGGTACTTATTAATTTTATGGGGATGCTATATTCCATAGAAGTACTCGTAGCTTATGGCACATACTGGAAGCTGCTGACATGTTTACGATTACCTACTAGAATACGATTACCTACTCGCACTATTGAGAGTTGTATTTGCTTTGGCCGTGCCGCTAACGATGTTTACAAGTATAATATAAGTAATTATATCGTAAATTAATGTTAACGTCTGCATTGGCGTGTATTTGTGCGTTGTGTCAATCGACTACACGACCGTACAATTTTATGCGTCGACACCACCGCCGGACACATGTTCCCGGTATTCTTATTGCTGGACAAATCAAACAGTGACGACGCGGCCGCATCCAACCGTATCCCCGACACCACCATAGGGATGGCGGCAAAGTTCTCATTTAGCGCTACCCGCACCGTCTCAATGAACTCCGTATTACTACTCAACGCCTCCGACAGCTGGCGCAGATGGTGCACATAGTTTAGCAAATCTACGGGATCCCCGTCTCGCACCACCACAAAGGTCGCCGTTCGCACCAGCAGGATGGCCAGCTCCAAGCCCTGAGCGACGGCATGCCGGAGGAAGGCCATAATGTTCTGCAGGAACTGGCCATCGGCGCAGCCGCTGAGACTGATCAGGCTGTATACCTGCTGGCAGCATTCTGTCATGTGGGCCAACTGCATCCAGTTGGCAGTGAGGAATTCGTGGTCTTTCTTCTCCAGACCGAGATCCATCATGGAGAGGCATTCGACGCTGCCGTTGGTGCGCGGCCGGAAACAGGCGCTGTGGAGTTTTGCCAGCAAAGGGTTGCTCTTTAGGACGTCGGCGGTTAGGAGCGACAAAATCTCGGCGTCCAAGATCGCCAAGCTGGCCGGGATCTGGTCGCAGATGGCGTCCGGGTCGAATTTTGTCATCATCTGTCGTGGAGGAGTTTTGGATGGAACAACCGACCGATCAGAGTTTTTTGATTCTAGCTCCGATCTGGCCACTGTCCGAGGCGCGAGGCTCTTCCGCACGGAAGGAGCACTGCGGACCGTAGTTGGCGGCTTTTTCGTCTCCTTATTATACTGCGAACATATCCCCCGGAAACTCGGATCATTGAACACCTTGTCCATGCTCAGCTTGTCCATATGATGCCCGAGGGTCGACGTCACGAACGCCGACACCCGACTATCCGTAGTGTCTAATGTCTGAGTATCCACGTTGCTCATTTTAGAGGCGTGTGGTATCATCATCGAATTCCGCACATAAGGGTTCCGCGCGATGTGTTGCTTGCGAATCTGCTCGGCGTCCGGGGTGAACTCGGCTGAGTGGTTGAGATTCTGCTGGGCATTTTTGGCCAGTTCTTCTGCACTCAGTCCCCACCGGGGCTTGGTTACGTAGTCATTGCGGTGGATGTAGGAGTCGCTGACCGCCGGGATACTGGGTGAGGTACCCTGCGAAACAACACTGGCAATCTCCGAGGCGGCAGCCTGTTGTTCCTTCTCTAGGAGTTTCCGCTGGCTGCGCGCCGTCTCCGCTAGTGAGCGCAGGTATGTCTGAGCACTGTGGCCAGATCGCTGACTGGAAGTGCAAAAAGAGGAGCCACCGTCACGGAAAGTGGAGTTCGAGGGTGGATCGTTGACCTGCGATGAGGAGGTGGGGCGGTAGTGGAGAAGTGATTCTAGAGGGGGCTCTTTGATTTCAGCAGGGTCCAAGGTAGGCGTTTTTGGCCGAGCCACAGGTGCTGCAACGTAGAACATGATGGATGCAAGTTACTGACCACAAAATGTCTTGCGCACCTGCCGCGGACACCGCTGGTCGGCTCTCCACCGCCTTTCCCGTGGGTGGTATCGGGAGAAATTCCGCCGTCGGGGTGAAGAAGTCATCATCCTCGCTGATACTGCCGGCCCGCGTTGACGAGCCTGCATTGGTCCGCAGTTCCAGATCCAGCTCACTTTCGTAACGCTTCCCATAGGGCGGACGTTGGGGACAGAAGAAAGGGCTACTGTCAACCACTGATAGATGCGGCGTCTCCACTACGGAGGACCGAGAATCGTAGAAGGAATTAGATGAGGCCGCATTGGCCAAGTCATTAAGTTTCTGGTTGGCTTCGTGGGCGCGGAGAGGCGAGGAGTACTGGTGACGGCTGCGGACGGTTGAGCCGGAGGCCGCTGTGGAGGAATAGGTGCTGGAGCGGTCGGTGGAGTGGCCGCGAGCACTCATCGGGGGTTAAACAAACGCAGCAATCGTTATGTGTTTATGGCAACTGCGATCCCAATTCGTCCCATCAGCAACAGCTTAATGAAGCTAAAACCAGAGAATTACTAATAAAAGCGATAAAAATTCAGAGATTGTATTTGACATGGATATTTGTGAACTGATGAACTTTAAGGAATATGACGGAGCGCTCGATCTGGGGAAAATTCAGTTAATTGCTTCTATGATTGTACAACCAATACGCTTGAGAAACAAAGTGCTAACGTTTTGCTGACTTTGGCATACCTTCCCTTGAATTACGTAACCATGAGAACATGTTCTAGTCGCAGCTTCCAGTTCTTCGACTACTTACTGGATTATTTAATAACAACAACAACAACTGGACTATTTAACTTAAACTACGCGGACAGTCTATGAATTTTTTGGCATTTTTTGAGAGCTATTTACGTACGACAGTATGCACTCTGTTCGTTAACTTTATTTTCCAATTGATTCATAATCGTCCTGACTCTTGATCTTTTGCTTAATTAGTGGCGTCGGATTTATATGTGGCAGATGTCATTATCACACAATTACTGGATCAGTTCATGCGGTTAAAAAATTAAAAAGCGTTGTCTAGTTGCTCTTATCGGGTGGCTTGTTGTCATCAGGTCCAGAGGGCTTCTCCGTAGTCTCTTCAAAGTCGTTACGTACTACCGTCGAAGCCACTTCACTAACAGGTCTCTCAACGATTTCCCCCTCCGTAATCACGACTATATTCGTTGCTCCGGCTTCTGCAGTATCTTGCGATTTTGGCGTAGAAGCAATGCCCTCTGTTACAATCGATTCAGAAAGCAGGAACGGCTTTTCCGTTATTCTGGCGGACGCTTCAGAGTTTGCCGCGGTACCGCGATCTCTGACTTCTGATGTATTGTCAACTGACCGGGTCGCTTCTTGGCGTACAAGTGCATTGTGCACCTCACCACCACCATTGCAGCAAGTGCAAATACCCTGTTTGATTTTAACTTCTCGCCCAGAGGGTGTGACCTTTACCGGGTGTACCCGTATTCCTTTTCTACACAATACGCCACACCCTGGGTCAGTGTCTTGCATCGCCCTGTGGTAGAATTTGGAATACTCGGAATGCGCAGTGTACATCCAGATAAACCCAAGCTCAGCTGTAATCCCGGGAACGCTCTGACCGAACGTCCGCAGGGTGTTCCGCAGTACCATGAATCGCGCCACTAGCTGCATGATTTCACGCTGTTCCACCGAGAGGGCTTCTTTTCTGCAAAGGGTATTAGTCTTCAGTCTTAATAACCACCGCGAGTACTTGAGCATCCGAATATCTCGTTCCACATCTCGAAGTTCCCGGATTAGCTGGGCTTTTTCGATTTCGGTCAGCTCGTATTCGATATGATGGCCGATCTCCGCATCCCGTTGGGCGGACGCCACGTCCTTGCCTAGTAACCCGATCTTTACAGCGCGCAAGGAATTTCTAACCTTTTGGCCGGTGTTTCTCACCCGCCACGCCCAGGTCTCTCTAGTCTGCTTTTCCTCCCGGAATCTCCGTACGGTTTCCACTGGCACGCCCAGATTTGGATGGTTGGCGCTCCAGAACGGCCAATTACAAGCTTCGGTCTGAGCGGCGCATTCCAGTGGATTCTGCTCATGGCACATCAACCGATCCAGACTGCTCGTTAAATGTCTTCGCTCGACATCTTCACTAACCATGGATTCCATGTTAACCGGCATTCTCATAACAGTGCGCAGATGCCGGGACGTGGCGTGCCGGCATTCATGTAAATGCGATAAATCCATCACATCGAAGTAATTCAAGTCCAGTGTCCGCGCCAGACGACGGGCCACTTCGCGGTACAACGGTCCGTTGGCACTGAGCCTAGTCAAATCCAGTTCGGGTGCATGCGAAGCCCCCACGACAATCTTGTAGAACATATCTTCCTCCCCGGCAAAGAGCAGTTTTAGCCGGATGAAGGCGTCCGTGATGGGTCCGACAGAAATGATCTGCTGGCCGATGTAGTACTCGTAGCGGAAGGCCGGGTAGTTGAGCACCAGACTGTAAGTCCACACATTGCGCCACAGGATAAGTAGGCCGATGAGAAAGGCGATACATGGGAAGAAGACAATATCCAAGCGCGAGAAAGTGGTCGAATCGCTGGCTAACGAAGCAAAGTAGGCGATGGAGGCGATGAGGAGGAGGCTGGCGGTGGTTAAGTGGTTGGTGTGCAGGTGGTTCAGCACGTACACCCCGCAGGCGCGACGGTCGAAGGGATGAACGGGATTGGTGCGCTACAAGTACAGCAGAGCGTTTATTTATTCAACTGTCGGCAGTAGAGTAGACACCTACAACGAGATTTCTTTGGCATATGCCACCAAACGACGACTTTTAAGCGCACACGCTTCTGCAGAAGCTCAGGCTAAAGTGAAAACGAAAGGCATTTATCAGTCCTACATTTACATATCAGTCCATTACGCCTAACCCGGATTTATTTGAAAATTATAAAAGTACTAACCGTCAAAACGTGCTTAGCTGCATCGCAGAATTTTTAAAATAAAATTTCTTTGCATCAGAAGCTGTGGCAAAACGGCAGTGTTCAAAATCAAATATTTTGAAATCAAATTTATAGCTTAAAGCATGTACCATAATAACGGGTTCCTCGAAGTACTTGTAAGTTGTAAATGCTACTACTTGTACCTATTGCGCAACTCACGATGTACTTTATTAAACGGCTTTCAGATGAGCGAGAAGTCCATATGGCCAAACGGTCTTGTATATCCGAAAAATGCATTGCATGATAATCACAGGGCTAACATTTTCGTGCGGCCACGACTATCAGATTTTTAGCATCCGGTGCCATAGTTATGTCACACGTAAATCGCAATATTAAGCAATATTAGTATTTTATTACGCGCTAAAAATCAGTAAATGAATTTTTTTGGTGATGCAGGCTGAACTGTCAACTACCACATTTCGACCAGAAAAAAAAGCAAAGGGTTCGCATAAATCAGCCGCAGTGTATAAACAGACGATAAGGCGCTCAAGTACTTACAGTTTACTTGTTTACACCTTTACTTGTTTCGTGGTTATTTTAGACTCTGTTTCTGTATAGAAGAGTATCTGTGGAAACAGCATAAAACACTATGACGTAAAGTATACTTACTATACGTAATGTAGCAATACCAAAGAGACTCGGCAGTAAATGTTTCCCGAGCACCATTTCGGTGATTTTACGTACTCCCTCAAAACAACTGCGGTACTCTACAGAATTTGCACCATTGAAGTACTCATTCATCCAACGCCTTCCCATCTGAAATCCGGCGAGCCAGTCTACTGCGATCTGCGCAAAGTGATTGTCTCTGTTGGATGGGGAAATAACAACGCCCTGATGGGATCGCCGATTGGCCTGCGCTCGTCATATGCCGAAAACACGCACCAGTCCTCTTTCTACAGCTTCTACGTTGTCTATCTGGTTTTATGTGATTTTTATCTTTTTTACCTGTTTATCATGTTACGTACACGGACAGTCGACAGACGCGAGTACGAACACGAGCAGCAACACGACGGCGTCGTCAACCGACACCTCCACGTCAACCAGCAGCACGACAGACACCTCAACGACAACCAGCAGCACTTCCATGACGACCACCTCGACAACCAGCACCACAACCACCACGCCGACCACCACGCCCCTTACAACGACGACCGCCCCAACCACGACGACAACAGTAGTAGGCGCTACTACAAGGAACAGGACAGTCGGCGACGGATCGGGTACGTAAGAATAAATAATATTTTATGTTTATGAGCCTTTGTTTCCTGTAATGTTTTCTCTATTTATTTATTACCTTTCTACTGAAATTTATTGCAATATCGTCGATTAACTAAGATTATACTGTGGACTTCAATTTGGCAGTCGATAGCGCTATGCAAAAGGGTGGGTAACTCAAGCTTGGTATACATATAATATTATGTTACCCCTTTTTGCAGCCCACTGTACTTATGTACTGTGCAATACTGTCGAGTACCTATGAAAGGCTTTGCGAATTGTTCACGAACTGTTCATGTACTGTATACAATTAGTCACTTCACTTTTTATCATGTGTTTCGTTTAAAAAAGCGCCGATCTTAAGTTTATTGATTGATTGATTGGTTTGGCCGACCTTATGATTATTGATTGGTTATTAGTTTTGTATAAGTGCACTTGGATGTCCTCGCATTACTAACCCTACTCGACGTAAACAGGTTTACGAGAGCTGTCTCCTGTGGAGGCCAATCAAGGTGGTTGTAGTGAACATTTTTCTCCAGCAGCTGATAATGACGTCATGCTGTTATAGCGTGTTCGGGAAAGGTCGACTGTCAGTCTTGTTTGGCTGTAACGGCCGCTCGAGTAAGCCTCTCATACACTTGTAATATTTTGGCATGTCTTGACCGCTGCTTTGTTTTAGTGCTATTTTTGTGAAACAACGGATAATGCACGACGCGGATGCCGTGCGTACCACTTCCAACAGCTCTTCCCTGGAAAAACCGAGTGCACGCTACATGAGTCACGTGCCGGCTACTGCTGGAGTATGAGCCGATTGTACTTGCTCTTAATTAGACCGTGTGGGTTAGCAGATTTCTGGCTAATCATTGCAAATTGCAGTCAACTGGCATGTGCTGATTATTAGTGGAGGTGTCCTACTGGGTATTCTAGTTCTGGCTATCACGTACTGTATTTGCCGATGCTGTTGTTGTCACGGGAAGAAGCGCGGGTAGGTACCGGTATTCCTCGGTTGTACAAGATACCGGCTATTTCACGCTTCCTTGTTTTCTGCAGTAGAGAGATATCCGCACGGCAAGCAGCGTTTGAGCAGGAGGCTGCGGATAGAGCCGATAAGGCAGCGGAAAGGTTCAAGGATGACATTAATGTCTTATTTCTATTCGCTACTTTTCAAACTTGTACTCTTTTAGGAAGCAAATAAGGGAGCAGCAAATGTCGGCCATTCGGCAGAAATACGGTACTAAATTTCATGCATTCACTAAGTTTCTGCATTCACCAACGGCGAATGGTGTCGTTGCAGGTTTGAGCCCGTATCCTCCCTCGTCGCCGGCGGCTTCCACCCAGGGAAGCGCTCGTCCTGGTCATGCCCCGACCGCTGCCCATGCGACTCCTACTGCGCATGCTCACGCATCGTCAGCTCATGCTCACCCGTCGCCTACTCAAGCTTATGTGTCGTCTGCTCACGCTCATCCTCCGTCTGCTCGTCCGCATTAACATTGCTTTCCCACCAAATTTTATTGTCACAGGTGTAGTGACCTTTTGGTCGAAACCAGTGAAGAAATAAAACCAATTTAGTTGGTCTATACAAAATTAATAAAGAACTTTGACACGTTCCCTCCATAAAAGCAACATGTTGGGCAACAACAAATGCGCTTCAACAAAAAGCGTCCAACGCCCGCTGCACAACAACACTGAACAGAAAGCAAAATATACAACAACCCAACAGCGCTCACACAGGCTGCCCATTCCGTCCCACCCATTTGACAACATCGCCCTTCATAGGATTTCCCGTGCAGCGGCTCGGGTCGACGCGCTGCAGTTTGGTGACATTGCGTAGCTCCCGACAATGCACCTCATCGATGCGGATGGCTTCATCCTTCTTCTTGATGTCGTCGTTTAGCCGGTTGATCATGCCGCGTAGCGCTACCATCTGCATGTCGCACTGCTCCAGGTGTTCGTTGGCCTTCTGGTTGCCGTGCCGGTACTCGGCAATCTCCTGCCCTAGAACTCGATGGACGGGATCGGTCTTGCGATGGAGGGGAGTTGGGAGGACGCGCTTGGTTAACTCGAATTGAGTGACGCGCTCTGGCGTGATGGTGGTCTTCCGTAGGGTGTCCAGATCGTCCTTGGCGGCGCGGATCTTTTGCAGATTTTCTTGCACCTACAAACGTTCGATTAATCAAAAAATTCGCAAATTAATCTATCATAGCAAATCCACCCCGTGAGTGCAGTTCTCACGGCAAATGCAAATACAAATCGAAAATTTTAAAGAACATCCGCACGGAGCAAGACCCGGTTTAATGGTAGTAATATCATATGTGACAAGTAACAACCCTTGCACAGCATGCAGTTGTTCTACATTATCTGCGTCAACTGGATGAATTTAACCTTACCTTTTTAACTTCGTCCTCTAGTTTGGCTTTGGCTTTCCTGACATCTGTTATCCGACGCTGGAAAGCCTGTTCAATCTCTCCGTACAGTTTCTCGATATTCCCATTGGCCACGGCCAATGCATCATCACAGGTTAAACGCATGGCGTTTGATTTGTTAATTTCGCTCATGCCGCTCTGGAATGCGTCTTTGCACAGCGCAGACCATTCAGCAAAGTTCATCTTCCTGTGAATGTAATGCATTATAATGAGTTATAGAGAATGAATGTTTTAGTAAACAAATGTTTGCACAATAAATTAGACATCTTAGTAAAAAACTGTTTTCATTTTTCACAGAAGAGTCGCAACGGCGTAAGTTAAAAATCGATTTAGGCTTAATCACTGCACTTACACCGGATGCATCTGCACCAGGAGATTTTTCTGTTGATGCGAATGTATCCCGTCCGTTCTCGACAGCTTATCGCAGAATTTGGCCGCTTCCCTTGTCTCCTTGTCCAACTGTTTCAAGGTCTGACACCGGTACGTGACGGCGTTGTTTAGCCTAGAAACATGGAAACCTCATGACCTTAAACCCGGTACTCGGACACCGGCTACTAGGGGACGCAAATCAATGCCCTTAGCAGGTCAGAAGCTCAAATGTCATTAGTTTTTGCTATTTTGCCCTCAGTCAATATTTTTACCGGTGTTGATTCTCCAAATTGGATATCAGGTGATCAAAGTACCGACTGGTACGTTCACTGAGCTTCTGTTCATCACGCAGCAGATTATTCACCTCATCCTCCGTGGCTTCACCGGCCGGTCGTGCGGCTCGCATATGCAGACACTGCTGCGCCAGATCCCAAAGTGGCCGCAGATTTTTGGAGATACTCTCACATAAGCGGGAATGACACAGTTGAAGTTTGTCGTCCTCCTGCCTGAGATCATGCAGCATACCCTCCAGTTCATCCTCAAAGTATCCGACCGCGTCAACTCGTTGCTCTAAAGAAGAGACATCGGTTTATACAGAGACCGATAACGGAAAGCAAAGGAAGCCACTTGCCAACCTAATTTCTGCTTGACCTGGGTCTCAGCTAACCGGTTGACCTCGAAGCGGTCCCGGCACAAGCGGAGACTGTCTTCGACTAAGCGGTCACTGCGTTGTCGCTGGCTAGTACCGTCCTTGATGAGGGCCGTATTATGGGTGCGCCACGCTGTGATACTGGCACCCAGTTGGTTTTTGGGAACGCCATAGTCGTGCGGGTATTTGTACGGACTGATATTGGTGTCAAGCATGACGAGGTACAATAACGAAACACTTATTTACACATTGCACGTAGTGGTTTGCAGAATGAAATAAGGAACAAAATGATTTGCAGGGACGCGCTGCAAAGAGAGTGTCAAAAAGTCAGAACAAAGCAAACAAAGAAGGGCTGACAAAATCAAAGGGAAATCGAGCCCAACAGGATTTTAAAGATCAATGTTTTCTCAACTAAGAACAGTAACGGGGAAGAACGCGCTTGATTAAGGTAGGAATGTTTTCAGCTAGATGCACTTTAAAGACAACTTCAAAGACATTAAGAGTTGATATGACGTAAAAGAACCTATTCACTTTTGGCTGGGAGATGTTTGTAACGAATACCACAGAACTTGAGAAATATATTTGGCAGGCCCACCAAATAGTTGCTAAGCCGATGGAACGATCCGGGAGGGAAACGCGGCGGAAGCGCTCGCGTCCCAGTACCGGAATATATTGTGGACGGTTTCTCTGTCTGCTTGACGCCATCAAGAATAACCATTCCTACTTGCCGAAAGTTGTTTCGAAATTACAGCTGTTCGTCCACGTCGCTGGTTTGGTGCAGCTGGCTATTCGTTGGACTTCGCCGCAAGGAAGCGGCGGAATCCGCCTGCTTCCATTTTGCCGGGAATAAAATTCGCTATGTTGACCGGGTTAATCCGGCCATAAATCTTTCGCAAATCCTGAAAAGCACACCAAGCGCAGTGCGTGTAACCTTGACTACAACGCAAACCGTAACGTACTGCAGCAAAATAAGCACTGTACGCGATATGGGAATCTGACGGAGTTCCCCACATCGTACGTTCCGCCAACCCCCATAGCTAAATATAGCTATCAGTTATGACTGCAGCTGCATTAACTGTCGATCACCTGTTGATCATTGCGTGAAAGAAAATTTGCAGTTTCTGTGCTTGGGAGAAGTCAGCGACACTTATTTGCCGAAAAGAATCGTGCCATGGTCGCAAATCCTTGTTGCCGCCGTCTTGCCAAAGAATTTGACGGTTTCGATTGGCTTAATTCTCGAATATTGTAAGAATCCTCTCTATCAAATCCCCAATGACGCCCCCTCACCATTGTGACCTATGCACGGACCATGCAGAATGGCGAGTCGTCCTCTAACGTCACTGCCGTCTCATCGCGTCCCTCCAGTTCCAGCAGTCTAAACAGTGTTGACACCACCAATCCGCAGGTTTCCTCCAATACCTCGTAAGTTGCGAGCGCGGAGTGTATGATTATCGACGGCGGTTCAGTTGAGTTGGTAGGGTAGCAATGAATTTCTGTTGATACAGTACTTTTCTTATTGTGCAGGTACTGGGAAGAATTCGAGCAGCTGTTGAATGCGCACTGCCAGCGGGTGCTGCAGGAGATCGATCAGCGCTTCAAATCACTAGCTGAACATTTATGGGCGGACATCGATCAACACTGCGCGCAGCCGGATCTCATCCATCGCACTTTCACCGATAATTTTCACCAAATCGATGACTACCTTGATCAAGAGGTCAGCCGATGATTATATTTTGCAGTTTAATCTAGCACAAAAGACACCAGGTTTTGAAAACAACTAATTTGCCATGTATCTGTAATTTTTACCTGTTCCTGATTGATGCAGTTTGCTCAAACAAAACAAGAGCTTGACCGCGCATTGGGAATGGATCGACGCCGACCTTCAGGTTCAACATACCTGCAGCCAAGCAGTCAAGCACCCTCTTCGGCATATCCTTCGGGAACTTCTGCCTATCCCTCCGGAACTTTGGCTTTTCCCTCAGGTAAAAACAAAAGTCAAGAGCCAGCGCACCTTATTTGTAGCCAAGCAGCCCTACGGAAGTGTACTTCACATCCTGTCTGCAATGTTTACCCTAAGTTTTGGTCACAGTAATTGTTGTTATGTTTTGACTTTGACGCTCTGAAAACAAATTGCAGGTACGACAGCGCCCAGTGCTTACCCATCGGATGCCACCTCCTCCTTCTGCCCGCCCTCCTCTGGATATCCCAGCGATGTCTCGGCGACGACCGCGCCATCCTCCTTTGTTCAGCCTATCTCCAATCCCTCCGTGCCCTTTCCCACACAACGACGCTCATCGGCCAGCAGTATATCGCAACCGTTGTCCTCGGCCATTACTCCCCTCCATTGCTACCATGGAATACCTCACACCGCGGTCGTCACTCAGCCGGACTCCGACAGGAACCGTCTCCCAGGAGCCTTCGCGCGTGCGGAGTCCCTGGAGTGATCCACCTACCCGGGCGGTGACCCCCTCGACAGCATTAGCTGGAGGGGATCGGGTGACGCCAGGACTGCGAACCGGAAGCCTTGAGGGAGGGAATCATGGGGATCAGGCATTGCGGCCGCAGATGCCAGGTGCAGTATTTCCTGGGGACCAGATGTTGGGAGAGCACGCAAAGGGGTTCGCTGGACAAGCGTGTGCGTGTTCTCCGTGCACCGTGCAGTGTGTATGCCCGTGTCCGTGCCCCGTGCCATGTCCGCCGATGCCAGAGTTGCCTCCGCGGATCGTGGAGTCCACGGAAACCTGGCGCCGGTAAGTTCTCGCAATACCATGCGGCAGAGTGTGAGAGTGTCGTTGCAATGTATCATGAAAAATGAAAGTCGCTTACAAAGCTCTCATTCTGTAAAAGTCGAATTAAACGCCCCCCCCCCCCCAATTAATGTTCCATGCGGTTTTGAGATCCCTCTCTAGACGCTCTCCGAAAACTAAAGGCTCAGGGCGTTTAATTCGGGTTTTACAGTGAATGGCTTGCGCTTGCGGGGGTGTCCAAAAAGGCCGGCTACAAGTGTTTGCTAGGACAGGAACACCTATAGTTGGCTCTTTTGACATCAGTTTTCTAGTAAACAGAAGCTACAATATGCACATTTGAATTATCATAAATATGTTATTGAATCGCAAGTGTGTGCAACCATGGATTATATTCCGCAGGTATTCCAAAGGCCCGCCGTCTTTATTCGCCTGGGGTGTCTTTGTGGGAATTTGTGCGGTGCTGTTGTTCCTGTACTTGGGCAGTTCGCTGCCGGCTTGTGTTCGCCAGTATATACCATTTATCCGACAGAATCTCTACGCTGAGAATTACAGTTATCGCCGGAGGCCGTACGATGCTTTTTGGACGAGTTGCGGCACCTCATTCTTAGAATGGTGGATGTACACGCGGAATTTATTCTTCAATTACTGACGTTGGTTTGTTATGGGTGGGGAATTTATTTGACATGTTTCTGACTTCAGATTAGGACTTAAATGCTTTATTTATTTTATTTGAATCACTTTGTTCTGGGTAGATTTGCCCTGATTTTCTTCCCACAATCTTTTGTACCATTTGGTTTGTGACCTTTGCGCAGTTTTTGCGCGATTTGCTATTACCATTAAAAGATTATCGCGTCGATGAAAACTCTATTCAACAAAGGACGAGCTCTAACTCTGGTTCACCTTTATTGTCTTTCCTCATACTGCTCGTTCTCAGCAGCTACATTCGCTTGAGGTAACCAAAAAGTTAAAACTCCTACTGGTACTCAGGCTGGGCTGGTGGTTCTTCGGGCTGCGGCTGATAATCGCTGGGGAACGGCTCCGGTTCCGGTGCCGGGTCGGGCATTGGTTCCTCAAAGGGTGGTGGCGGCGGAAGCGGGTCGTCCTGGGGGATTGGAATGGGTTCGTCCTGCGGTGGTGGTGGCGGAGGGCCCATAAATGGATCGGACGGCGCTTCCGGAGCGGGCGGGGGAATTGGCGGCACGTTATCGTGGGGGTAAACGCTGGGCCCCATGGGGACGTAGTCGGGGTTATGGTTAACATCGAAGCCGGGGGCCACAGCGTGCGGCTGGTTGCGCTGGAGATCGTCCACTTTGTAGTGGATAATGTTGTCGTTGCGACCGTTGCACAAATCGTTAGAGCATACGCGGCAGTTCTCGTTGACGTCACCCGGATACCGGCCCGATCCCATGTGGTCCTTGCAGTCGTCGAACCAGTCGTAGTCCACGCAGCCCAGCCAAAGGGTGAGCTGTCCTTTGGCATGATCCATATCTGCAACAATTACCTCGTCAGCATACACATTACGAACAACGAACTGACAGCTGCATCTGCTCAGTGAAGTGGAATACATGGAATAATGCGGTCAACACTGACGCACCGTGAAACTGTTTATAGCCGCAGAACTTTTTCTGTCCCGAACAGCGAGTGACCCCCACCAGGGCGGGAGCATGAATGGGCAGGGTGGGGCAGTTATGAAGCATGTTTCCTTGGTCGTCATGCTGGTCCGGATCGAAGTCGCAGCTATAGCAATACAGGTTGTGGTCCCAGTCCAGACCGTAATTGGTCGCTGTGCAAATTGAACCCAAGAAGTGATTTATTGTATGTCCGCAGCACACTATATCACGCTGCTTATGCCACTGGTTTGTTAACACTGATTCGCATTCATACCGCCTTGACAAAGGCGGGATTCTTAATCTTACATCGTTTGACCAGGCTGTAACGATCGTGCTGGGTGTGCACCAGGTAGAACAAGGACGTCAGGAGTATGACTGGAAACGGCATCTTGCGGTTTGGCGATGGAGTAGTGGAGTACGTTGGTTGTGAATTGGAAAGTAAGGAGTAAGCAGAATTGCGCGCTCGAATGGCAATTAATTAGTAGCCATATTGGCGGAAAGTGACCTGCAGTTTAACACTGCGAAATCAGAACTGACAACTGACGGTGGCAATGACGTCAGTTTAATACATGCGTGTTGCTACGTGCCATCTACCATAAAGTTTAAGAGCATTAATTTAGTGCATCTCGTGAAAAATCATTTTATTAATATTTGCTCATTACTCGGCGGAAATTACAGCAATCGTATGCGTCGATACGCGAATGCAGCAGCATTTAATACTCGTATTGATTTTCTGTTACTGTATTATACGAGTAGAATGACCAACAAAATGGAAACAACAGTACTTGGACAACCTCTGCCCTTTAATTCAATTTTTATTTCCCTTCTTCGATCGTTCTTTCGTTGTAGGTACACTGACTTCCTTGGCATCACTTTGTGCCGCATCCACGTTCAAAATGCTTTCAGCTACTTCCCGCGGCGGCACTTTGCTGACCGGCTCCCTTACCGTCAAACTCTTAATGAACTCGTTGACCTTTCGCAGGATATTGCGGCGAATGTGGAAAGTGCTAGACGCTGCATCGGTGCCTTCCTGCTGAATGTTCATGAACAGCTTTAATTTCCGTCCAGGATCCGCTGACGGTTGGGGCGTATTCTGTGGGTCACTCCGGTCGTAACGGGGAGTAACGAGAGACTGCAGCAGACGTTGGCGTGCCAAACGGACCACGTCCTGTATAGGCTGCTCCGTCGCTATTTTGAACGACAAACCTGCAAAGGAAAACATATTGTCTAACCTTTAACTGATGAAACTGCAAAGATTTGCCGTTTTTTATTGTTTTTGCTTCACCATCTCTAACCTGTATGTGGGTAAACAAAATAATTAATTGAATAGTTTTTGGTGTGTAAAATTAGTCAAAGACAAATAACTCCGGATACTGCGGCCATCACATCACGAACCATTTCGATCCGGTACTGGTAAATTTGACGGGTTGGAGATGTATTCGCGCCCCATTTGACTGTCTTTGGGCAATAACAATCCGAACGAGTACAAAAGATCGACGATAAAGATCTCCTCTTGCCCGTTAATTCGTCTGCGTACCTCGTTCCATCCCTTTCCTCGTTCGCCGCGGTGTAGAGTGACCTTCAGGTCGCACACATCAGCCAAGACCTGCCAAAATATGGCTTAAAACGGGACCGAGGAAACTGTATAATTACTGGTAATAAAATTACTAAATTCAAATTAGTACAACAAAAACGTTGCTACCTTAAATAACATTGCCCGATGCATCCCATTTCCTTTTTCCACCATTCCTAACGGCACGCAATCACTACCAACTCGCTGTTTAGTAAATGCCAGCCGCAATTCCACATCTTCCTCATATACGCTTCCCCGCTCCACCACCCCACCCAAGGCGTTGACCACCACCTTGGCCAGATAATCCATCTTCTCGGCGTCGCCTTGCACCTCCTGACACACCTTCCGAGCCGACCGCATCCATCCCTTCAGGCGCTCATCCCCGGGAACGTCTGGGTTGTACACGGTCTCAGGCGCCAAATCCTGCAGGGGCACGGCATCCTCCAGCCGTGAAAGTCCCACCGGCAGATCCACCGGGATGTCATCGGTGGCGGTCGGCATGCTGCAACTGTGGTCATCGCGCATATAGCATACGGCAAACTGCGGTCGGCGATGATATTTCTTCGGTAGGGCAATGTAGACGACGGGACGATCGGCGGTAAGGCCGCGGCGGAGGTGGTACTCGATGGGACGCAGAGGGTTGGTAAGGCTGATAGTGCCCTGGTTGTGGAGGCCGTGTGGGAGGCGATCCGTATCATCCAAGTGTCCCAAGAAGGCGAACCTGTAGAAAATCACAGTCAAAATGTAATACGAATAAAGGCGACTTTGATACACACTTGAAGAACGCGCCGAGCTTGATGATTCGATGTACCAAAAATCCAGCAAATCCCTGACTAATACGATCCAAATGATTCTTCAATAAAAACAGCGCTTGAAAGCTGTCAGCATTAAGCATCTCCCACAGTGTTTTTTCATCCACCACCAAACCGGCTAAGCCGAAGCACACAGTTCGCAGGAAACCCATTTCTTGGTCAAGAACAGCGGCTTCGGCTAAAGCCGAATATCCACCGTGTTCCCTGAAGACATTACGGGCCTCTTCATCCGTGACGAAGATGGAGAGAGCGGTGGCTGCGTACTGGCGCATCCGGGCGTTAGCGTGCCTCAACCACAATGGAATCAACGCAGAGACGGAAGCTCGTAACCGTCGCAACACCTCCCATCGTTTCCGCAAAAGAAGGGCACACATCAGCGCGTTGCTCTTGGTCTCGTAGTCAGTAAATTCATCCTCCAAGCACTGCTGCAAAAGATCAACTAGTCCCTGGCCAAGAAGGCTCCCAATGACCACTTTATTGCGGAACATGAGGAACGCTGTAGCGAGAAATCCCCATTCGGTCAGGCCACGGTGTCCACAGCGCATAATTTTCACGATGACCTGATCGGCGCCCAGTGCGTACAGTGTTTCCTGATTGGTTGGACGTCGGCACATTACCGCCACCGCTTTTAGCGCCGCTATCCGCACATTAGTCGAACAGCTCTTAAGGAAGCTCACGATGTGCTCTTCGTATCCCAAACTGTGCATAACCCGGCGTTCGTCTTCGTCCTTTGCCGCATGGCAAAGCAGTTTCAATGCGTATTCTTGGAGGTCCTCTGCGGTTAAATAAGACGGATCGACCGCAGCGTCCATGACAACGCGGAAGAATGACGTCTCCTGGAGTTTTTTTGTGATGGCCGGTGCCTGGCGGACGAACTCCAGGATATGGATGGCGTAGGAAAATAGCTTCTTATTGTTGATGTTTAGGAGGTACTCAGTAATTAAGCTGACTCCCTCGGTTTGGTCGAAGCGGTAGATCGGCAGCCCGGCGTCGGTTTTCAACAGTTTATCGATCAGCACAAACGTCAAATACTGGATGTAGCTATACCGTGAGTTGACCAGATCCACGATCGCTGTGAATCCGCCCTTCACGACTAAATACCACCGGATCCGTGCGTTCCAGCACAGGAAGTATAATGTCTGCAGGGTGTGTTTGACCACGTCCGGATGTTGGTTGATCTTGGACACCCAGTCCAGGAGGGTCTCAACCGCATCTAACCGGATAAATTGTTCCTGATAAAATCGACGTTGCGAAACGTTACGCACCAGCAGCGATAGCCACATGCAGTGATCTGAATCCGGGTTGCGAAAGACGTCCCGTATCGGCTCGAACCCTCCGTGTTGGCGGAACAGCCGCGCTGTCACTCTTACTTCCGATAAACTAGCCAACAACATTAATGCCAGACGCTGTGGAACGCCCCCGCGGTATCGGATAATCTGCACCAACCGCCTTACCATATCCGGTATAACGGCGATCCGCAGTTGCATGTGTAAAGACTGCTCGGCAAAGAGAAACAGTGTCCGTAGACCGTTGATGATATGGCGCTTATTACGCTGCATTACGAAGAGGGCGGCCGTTTCGGGAGTATGAATGATGATCGGAAGGTTGTACGTCGAGGCTAGAGAGCGCGGTTCCATTGGCTGGGGTTCGCAGCCAACGGGTGGCGGTGGGGCGGGCTGGGGTTCAAAGCGGCGGGGCGGAGCTTTCTCGATGAGCCAGGGGCGACCGTCATGGATGGTCATGGTGTACTGGGGCTCGTCGTCCCAGATAGGAGGACGTGGGGGTGCTGGAGGTGGGCCAAGGGGCGGAGTCAGAGAGTCGCCAGGCGGTTTGCCTTTCGCGGATGCTTGGGGTTTCTTTGATTTTGCATCAGCGGGTTTCGCTTTCTTGTCTAGCTTGCTCTTTCCACCGGGAGAACGATCGTTAGTTTCTGCAGAGAAACCCGTTTAAAGAAAGTTCTGAAAGAGTCGCATGTCGCAATGCACTGTAACTGTTCGAAACCAACTCAAAAAGCCCATTTTCAGCTTTTACAATTCCGTTTAATTTCGATCTTTACAACTGTGAATTATCGGCGTCTAAATATTCTCACTCTCGATTCTGCGTGGGAAGAGTGTGTAAAGAACGAATTTTTTTCCATCCAGTATTACGAGTTCTCCAGTATTTGCTATTCCCGTTAACACTCCCCAACGTCAGTACTAAATACTAAGTATTTCAAAGGAAAGATCTGTACAAAAAGTGCGAATGCTTCACCCACCTCATACCTCTGGCCGCCATCTCCGCGGCCGCCTTGGCCATCATTTCTGCTTCCCGAGCGCGTTCCGCTGCGACCTGTGCCTCCAGCACCGCTCGATCGTACACAAAATGAAACTTGGGTTTCGGAGTCTTCCGCAGTGGCAGTCCTGCTTCGGTCCCCACATCATCATGATGCACTTCCACCAGCGGGTTAATAACAATCTCCGGCGTTTTGCCTGACAAACTGGGTCGGACGGCTTTGGCGGACAGATTTGCCCGTGGTGGAATCAAGAGCGTCGAACTGGAATGTGTGTCCACGAGACTTGTCTCTTTCTCGGGCTCGTCATCGGAGCTGAACAAGTGGTGGAAGTCCTCATCGTGGAGAGAAAGGTCATCGCCAAAATCTTCGCATTTCTCCAGACTGATGGATTCGTGCAGTCGAATCGACGTGCAAGAGGAAACTGTGACCATTTTGTTAGGCACACTCTTGGCACTGAAATGAATTTAGAATGGCGAGAGTGTTGACGTCATTCCTCGTAATCACTATGACAGCGGCACTTATTCGATAAAGCACAGGCGTAACTGTACAGTTGCGTTATCAGTACTGCGTCTGCGTGCAACGTGATACTTGTGACTGACTGATTATTTATACGAACAGTAATTTTTCTGCTTAATTCAGTGGAAAGTGGAAACCGAGAGAACTGTGACAGCATGGCGGTAGCGCGCAATAGCAATCCCGGCTTCAAAGCCGAATTTATCGTGCATGCTCCCACCAAATCGGACAGTTACGTTTTCGTGGCGGGGAACTGTGAGGAACTGGGTAACTGGAATCCAGATGAAGCAGTGCCGTTGAACAAAATGCTCGACGGGGAGATAATCATTCCTTACCAAATTCCACGTATGGGGTACTTTTTGCATGTTCCTGCGCGGCTGCCAATTCCCGTTTCAACGCTTTTTAATTTAATTTTATAGACTATGGTAACCTGCAACTCCATGAAAATAATTCAAATGTTTAATTTGTTAGGCAGCAAACGCTTGTCAGTACTCTAACCGTTCATTTTTATGACCTTTGCGGCTTTGCGTTTCCGAGCGTTAAAACACGCGGTCCACCGCTTACAATAGAGCGTTCGCCGTTTGTAGTCTCTGATTTGCGCATGTTTTCATAACAGGTTTATCTGGAGCGGTTCGGTGGAGATTAAATCACTGTCCAGCGCGTCCGAACTACGTTTTTATTACTTCATCGGCACCAAAAGCATAGAAACCCACACAGTATCGGTGCAGCGCGTCGAGGGTCACCATTCCCCCCGCATCTACCGTCCGCTGACCGGCGATCCGGAGACCGACCAGCCGGATTTGTTCGCCGTCATCGATGAGGAGGAGGCAAGTGTCACTGGCTACCTCAGCGACCGCTCTACCATCATCTTCACCTTCGACCCTGCCAACATTGAGTGGAATAGCCAAAAGTATTACGAGCGCCAGTTTCGAGTGCGATTCGAGCACGCCGAACCCGTTAGGTACGGCGCGCAACACGGTCAGCTAGGGAAGCGAACGCGGTTTTTAATCAACAACCGTAGATAAATCATGGAATTCTGATGATTAGCGTAACTAACTGGAAAGTTTTTGTTAATAATAATTCTCACTCAATGCTGGTTACTCAATTATCAAGCGCAGTCGCAATTTTGAGGGTTAATCGCAATATACCGTACGAGTAATTATGCCAGTTGAGCATTCTTTCATTCCGGTTTCAGATACAACCTCCAGCGCAGACCTGAGTTCAAAGTAGCGCGCTACTTCCGTGAGCGCAACGAGCACGAATTCCTGCAGCAGAGCAAACACGGACCATTGATCGATTCACAGCCGTTAATGTACCGCTGCATTATGAATACCCGTGAAGCCTGTCATGTTCGCGTGGATTTCTATGAGGTGAAGAAAAGCGAGGTTACAGGAGTGCCACCAACGTACTTTGCCTATGCCTTGATTGGAGGAACCTTGCTGACCAGCAGCCATGGCTGGCTTACGGTGCCCATACGGATACCGGCTCGTAAACAGGTGTGCTCAAAGTGGAATTCTTGCCGAAATCTTACAGAATTTGAAAACACTTTTTAAGGTTCTCCGGGTAACTGACTGCGGTCAGTTGAAACTCCAGTACACCGTTGTCAAGTCCTGTCCGTTGCTCGAAAAAGCTGGAGGTCGCAAATCCATCTTTCGATCCCCGGCGTTGGATTTTCACTGCCAGACCTCCCCTCTCCATATTGGACACCGAGGCTGCGGTTCTTCATATCACGGACCCAACGCCAAAAACCCGGAAATCTGCGAGAACACAATCGCTTCTTTCAGCCGAGCTGCTGCGGCCGGCGCCGACTTCGTGGAGTTCGATGTGATGTTCGACGTGGACCTGAAGCCTATCGTCTACCACGACCACACTGTTCTGGCCCGCAGCCCCGGCGGCACTCTTACTGAACTGGCGGTGAAGGATCTTACGGAGGACCTTTTGATTAGCGATGCCGTCCACCACATCACGGAAAAGGACGGCCGCCATCTTTTCCCCAAGACGGGTGCCAATCGGCCCTTTCCAGCACTATCCGCCGTCTTTTCTGAGGTGGACCCGGGCGTTGGTTTTAACGTGGAGGTCAAATATCCAGCGCAGATGCTTAACGGTCAGAGCGAACTAAACCCCACCGCCGGTTCATCCTTCCGCGAAGAGTACCGTGAACTGCGCATTTCGTTTTGGAACAAAAATGTCTACGTGGACGGGATTTTGCATGTGGTATTCCAGTGCGCTGGCGACCGGCCGGTGATCTTCTCCAGCTTTGATTTGGACGTCTGCATTATGTTGCGCTTGAAGCAGATCGAATATCCGGTTTATTTGCTATTAAGCAATGATCTCCAGAAGGGCTTGGAATACGAAGACGTCCGCATTAATTACTTGAAGCGCGCCGTTTACAGTGCGGCGTCCTTCGAGTTAGACGGAGTCGTCGTTCCGTCGGAGGTGGTCTTTCAGCACAGTTGGTTTGTACCATTGGTGCGAAAGTTCCGCTTGACAGTGATCGTATACGGAGAGGCTAACAACAGTGTGAAGGCCATTGAGGACATCAAGGCGACCGGCATCGTGAAAGGGATCATCTACGACCGGATCTACGAATTCATTGAGCAGACAAAGGAAAACCATCGGTTCAGGATTAAAGGACCGTGTTTGCCAGCTAATCAGATAAACTGCCGGGATTATGTGCTGGGCTATACCGGCTATGTTCCCGGCCGGTTGAGTAAAATTGGGGCAGAGTCGGTGCTGAGTGGGAATGCAAAAAATTCTCAAAATCTACAATGTCGAAATGTTTGCAAATAGTCGGCATTTTTCGATATTACTTATTGGCTGATGTACAGACTGTTCTTCTATTCATTTCCAAGTAGTGTTAAACCATAGTGAAAAGATACATAATTATACTTCTTTTCAGTGATCCTACTTTTCATAATAGCCGAATAACTTGAATCCTTATGTAAACAATCACCTCGACCAAATCTAGTTTTTATGAGGGTGCCAAAAATTAATACACACATTCAACCTGTAAGCCTGCACCCTGCACCCGGCTCAACTAGACCGGGCGAAGGTCTGCTAATGAGATTTTTGTACCTTAAGTTGGATTAAGGGACGGAGAGAACGTGTACTGTACAGGAGTCGACTGGGTCCGGTTAAACGTTCCTAGTTTTTTTTTATCTGCAGCAGATGTGCAGCAGCCACTGTTCTTGTGATTGGTGTATTTTATGTTTATTTCCATCTACTTCAATTTTTGCAAAACAGCATTTCATTCTGTTGGCTTTTTCGTTTCAATGGTTGTGCGATCGCCACCTGAGTAAGCTGAAGCTGTGAAAAATGTTGCAGTGGGCAGTGACAACTGTATCTTTAAGCGATACAATCTTCCCTTCCCAGTCTACATGTTGCCACGCAAAGCATGGTAAATACTGTATTTACCATGCTTTGCGTGGTTTAATGTATTAATGTATTTAAAATACATTAATACAACGCGAAGGCGTGATTATAAGCAATTTCCAACTTTTAATTTTTCTTAAAATTATTTTTCCCCTCAGACGTTTGTTTTTGCCAAATACATCTTATCATTAGTATAATTATGATATTTTGTTTTGGATAACACTTGAAAAAAGCGATGAAAAAGCGATGAAGCGATGAAAAAGCGATTTCGTCAATTTAAACCTGCATAGCAGTTTAATTAAGTATTCCGTTCCAGTTCATTTGTTGCACAGACTCGATGGCATCACATTATCCATCCTTTACCAGCCTCCTTGCCCGATCATCAGCCGGAGATTTCGACGACCTTTTTGCAGGTGACGCCCTCGTCAAGCCCGGCTACAGTCACCAGTCTGACGTCGTCAACTTAACCACTACGTATCTTTGGAAGATCGACAACGCCGCCCTAGTTATGAAGAACCGTCTCGGTCTCACCGGCTCCCTTTTCCAAGGCCCTGCCGACACCACCTGGCGCCTGTGTCTGCACTGGGGACCGGCGCGCAAAGATCCCCGCACCCGGCACCTCCGCATCCGTTTAACTTACGTTGGCAACATTGGCAGCCAGCTGCGTGTTCAAGCCGGCTACGAAGTGTATAAATCGGAACAGGACTTCCGCCGCGGCGCAGTCGACCTCGACGGATCGGTATACAGCCTGCGCAATGACGCCGGAGAGGGTGACACCCAGTCAGTGGAGTGGCTGCACCATAAGAATGTGGCCAACATGCTCAGTGCTGCCGTTCTCCCGGGTGGGGCGCTTTTCTTGGGAGTAAAGATAAGGTTGTTGCCGGCGTTGGCCACGGTGTCTGGTGTACGGTCGGTGTCGTCGATTCACGAAGTGCCGCAGTGGGATTTGGCGCTGGTGGGGAGGGACGGACGAAAGGTTACGGTTCACCGAGCCCATCTGGCGGACTGGAGCCCGCAATTGCGGCAGGTGTGCGACAGTCTGGACAATGAATGGAAAATGGAGCGCTTCGATTGCTCGACATTGCAGGCGCTCAAGGAAATGTTGTACAAAGGAGATTTCGTGGAAGGCGATGTTCAAGGGTGCGGTTGCGAGCTCCTAGAATTCGCAATACAGTATAGCGTCAATGATCTTTTGTCGCGAGTGTGCGATTACTTGGGGCGAAACTTGTGGCGGGAAGGGATTGTTAAAGTATTTTCATTGGCGGATGCAAATGATAGATTTGAAGCGTGTGCAGTATTGAGGAATGCTGCTGCAAAGGTCATGCAGCATAATCTACCTGCTATTTTTACCGGAGCGAATCTGTCAGATGACGTGATAAACTCGATCAAAATACGAGTTGCCGAATTAACAATACGGAACGAATGACAAAATTTGCTTTCAACAGTTGACATTTACTCGCATCTCAGCGGCCGATTCAAAATGCACATAAGCCCGTGCAGCATCCGCTGGGTGGTAGACATTCTGTACAGAAAAATTTCTATCGGTCGGATGCACATCACAGTGAACTTCGGGATTCGTATCGAACGTTGACTCGGTGGTTGTTGGTGCATCCACCACATCGGAACGTGTGGGCGTCGCTTCCGTCAGTTGAACGCTGGGATCGGGAACGACGCTGGGCACTTGGAGCACGTTGATCTGACCTCCGGAGTACTCGATGCCCCGACCGGCCAGAATAAAGGACGAAGCATTCTCCGTAGAGAAAAAGCTACCGTCGTTAGCGGCGGAGATGGTTCCGTTGGCGCCGCTCATCCCCGAAGTCACCGTTATGACCGAGCCGTTGTCGTGGAAGCTTGACACCGTCGAGAACTCCTCGAAGGTGTCAACAAAGCGGACGGAGCGGAAGCTACGCGAAGTTGTCCCGATACGCTGCCGGAAGAGGCGGGCGATCTCCGCTTCGGTGGCGTTGAGTGTCCGCTGCATGCGCCGACGCTGCACCGCCGCCTCTCGATCGGCGTCCGTGGTGAAGACACCGGGTGGGTGGTGGTTCTGTACCGCGGCTTTGCGCAATGCTGTCTCACTGAGGCTCTGCACGTCCCGAGTGATGGGATCCGTGAGGACCAGCGAATCCTTGGCTATCACATTTCCATATTTGAGGTTGGCACTCTCGCATTCGTACGAATATCCGATCAGTTGCAGTTTACTGGATGGTGAAAGCGGCTTTGGCTTGATGCGGCTGTCTAGAGCGGCCGAGCTGGAAGGAAAGAAGGATTTGTCGTTCTGGCTGGCAGCCGTCCGGGGCGGGCGGTTGGCAGAATCGCCTTGAGCAGCAAAAATGACGGTAGGCGTGACCGTCGCGGATGGTATTTGGTACAGGGACGGCTGGATGGATTGTGTCACGGCTGGAGCGACGAGTGCCGGATCCAGCTCTCTGCTAGCGGAAAAGGTCACCTGCTGCTTCAGCCAGGATAATCCCCGGTTGAAGTGTTTGCGACCTTCCTAAGGAAAGGGCTTTCAGATCGATGATTCCTTGTGTAACTTGCATTTGATGATGCATCGTTTTAAGAGTGCAAAAATTGATAATGAATTGTCGCTGCAGAAAAAATTTCCTACCCTAGCAAAATGAATTCGAAATTGTCGTAAACTGTACTGTAGCTGAAATATTTACACCCTTCAGTTACGAAGAAATTTGAGTTATATCGTACATAAACATATTTTTATTGAAAAGTTGGATAAACTGAATAAATTCGAATGAAAAGAAATCACCTTTTCCAACCCAAATATCTCCAGCCGCCACACCGCGCTGCTCTGTAAGGGTTTAAATACTTTCTCTAAGCAGACCTTTTCCAGTTCCATCAGAGCTCGTTTACGCTGCTTCTTATTACCGACTAGTTCCGGATTGACGTACACCCACACCAGCACCGGCATCAGGAATGATTTGGCCTTGACCAGCGTCTGAAAATGTTCCACAGCCACTGTGGGCACGGCCAGAGTGCTATCCCACAGCAGCATCGTCAGCCAGTGAGTGGCGCTCGCATCTACACAGCCTTCGTGCTCCTTTTCGCGCAGATCAAATAGACTGCAACGTCGCACGCAAGCCATAAAATCCGCGTTCCGGATCAGGTGCTTGAGGGTGTTGGTGACAAAAGGGTCGCTGGCGTTGATATTGGCTGCCAAAAAAAGCAGATGCGGAAAAAACGGTTCGCTGGGGTCCTGGATCACGTCCTCCACACACATTTTAACAAGTGAAGGTGGGGCATACTAGTGATCGCTTTACGTCTGTTACAAGCGTTTTCATAAAGGTCATCAATAGTCTACTGCGGGAGTACTGTTGGAGACTCCTGCGGCTCCTGAACCAGTGCACATGGTTTTTAGTGTTTCGCTATACCGCTCAGTTATCACAGCATTAAAGAGGAATTTCGAGAAAATCGTTCTGCAAGAACTTTTTCGTGAAACCCCCATAAAATGCACACGCTTTCGTAGAAAAACCAACTGGATTTTGAAATCGTTCAATTTTTGCGAAATCTTAAAAATTTGGTCGACATAGTACAGAAACTACTGGCAGATTCCTTGTTACGCGGTAACATAGCGTGCGCGTGAGCGGGAGTTCTTTGTTTCCTTCCTACAATTCCGTGTTTTCCGTTGCTTTTCTTTCGCCATGAAACCCGTTACGTTTTCCAATATTAGTGACGTGTATGACGCTGCCGAAGCGGTCTATATCGTTCTTGATGAACTCGGCCGTGCTTACGGCGAAGAAGCCATCGTGGACTTTGTACCTGCCATCGCCGAAGTCTTCACGGAGCTAGAACACGCTCTGGTGAAGCACGCCAGCGTAGATGTGGCCAATCTGAGGGCGGAGATCTCTCATGTGGAAGGGCAAATTGAGCATCTACGCGAACGACGCGTGCAACTGATCGATCATTTTAATTCGGTAGGGTTATGTTCAACTGCATTTTCCTACGCTCCTACATGTTTTCTGTGCACCTGCATATATTTTTGAGATAATCGCGGAAAGAAATGCACCATTCTGCAGGATTTCGACAAGGTCATTGAAACGTGGAAAACCGAGACGGCCGATATGCATCACTCTGCTGAACTGCTGCGCAGTGAAATCGAGTTCCTGCAGATTAAGATCGGCAATCGGAGAACGGACGCCGAGTGGCTGCAGAAATCCCACCGCGATCCCAATGCGGAGGCCATGCGCTACTTCAGTGAGGTCAATGCCTTGATACGGGATATGCAGAATTATATCGCTGATAAGGAGAAAGAGCTGTTTGAAGTTCATCAGGAACTCAATAAGGTGCGTGTAACTACAGTGGCGTCCTACGCCGATTTCTTATGTGGAGGAAGCGCTCATTATTATCTTTACAGAGCCTGGCAGAATTATCGGTTGTTGCTAAACTAATGGAACAGCCCACTGATAGTCGTGAAGCTGCATTAATCAGGGCCCCCTTGACAGCGTGACGTGCTGCGTCTTTTCTGCTGATACTAGTGTACGTTGCGTTACAATCAAGGGCACAGTTGACGTTCTGCATCGTTTTGAAGGCTGTTGTGTTGTTGTCACCGGTGAGATATACGGCGACGAATTGTTTCGTGATCTTAAGCCAGCCATAAGGCATCAAACATTCTGCCGTCATTCCACAATTCAATACTTCGAAAGCGCAAAGTACTGCCGAAGCGTTACCGGCAGCTAGTGCAATAAAAATGGCTTACTGTTCAGTTGAGAGTCCTAGGAAAAGAAGGATAATCTTTGTCTGAAAACAATTTAGTTAAGTCCTATACGTTAGACATTCGTACACTAGAATTCTCCAAGGTCATGAACTTTCATTATTACAGTACATTATTACAGTATTACAGTACCTTCATTATCACAGTACTTCTATAAAGATTTCTCCATGTGTAATGAGATCAAAAGGTTCTACACTTCAACAGGATAAATTACAAGCAAAGCAGTGCAACGAAAGACAGCATCTATAATTGCAATCAAATGGCAGAAATGCTGATTCAGCTTAACATCTTCGTAATCCGCAAATTTTTCACACCGCAACTTCGTTCTACATGTTGTCGCAATTTATTCGGGGGCCAACCAGTGGCGCCGTACACATCCCGTTAAAGCTCAACCCGATCTAGGCGGTGACATTACCCTTATTCTGTGATGTCCACCATAATATGAAGGTAGCGATTGTCGTTTGCCTGTTTCTGCACGCGGCGGTGGGAGTGACCCGCTTGGTGACTGCTACCACCGCGTGCAGCAACTGGAGGAATCGAAGTCACCAAGCGGTGGGGAGCGTTATGCTGTATGCCGAGAGGGGCAGCCGTTGCGGCATCCAGAGCTACACAAACTGTGTGTGCGATGCTCCTGCGCCAGTTGTGCCGTATTACACACCACATACGGCAACGACCCACAGATGACGGCCAAACTGGTCAAGGACGTATACCTACCTGACCGTGAATAACAGCGCGGGCTTAAGAAGCCAGTATTGTAGCGTGTGGATCGGATACCAAGTTCCTTATTCGGGCTCCTGGTAATGTAAACATAATCCGTAAATACATGTGGTGCAAATAGAATTCAAGCCAATTAGCAGATGCTGGACTTGGTTTGGGACGCTTGTGTACCAATGTGAAATATGTTGCTAACCGGTATTTTTTTCAGCAGTCCGACCGCGTTGGCTTTTTTGTAACTGCTGACTGTTGCCTAGACTTGTAGTACATAGATGTAATGATTTTAATTACTTCAGTTCAACGAAAGCACAGTGCACTTTCATTTTCGCGGAGCGTAACAAGTGAACAACTGTTCCGCTGTAATAAAATGCCACATTTCGTAGAGATCCAAACCGCGGCGCTATAAAAACACTCCATATAACCGACTTGGCCTGTTAGTACTTATAGTGTTATACAGTAATAAAAACAAAATGAAAACTAATATTCTAACAAGCAAAAATAGAAAAAATATTTAACAATAAGCAGCGACGGGTCAAAAGATCACATGCGTACGTACACGATATACGATCTAGCGATGCGGATGATTACAGTACTATCATTCTATCGGCAGCGATATGGCTTCAGTACAACAATTCCAGCACTCATCGTTTATTTTTTTGTGTTTCCGATGATGATGAGAATCTTCAGGAAGAGATTGACAACTGCAATCAAGGAAACCGTTAAAGCGCTTAACTACATTATGGTTGCCAAATGACTGCCTAGGTGCACCTGATATGAATATTATGTCAATCGAATACCAAATTGATATTCGATACGAGGACGAGCTTAGTACATGTGATAGACAAAAAAACTAGCGAGGGAATCTGATAACCATTTGCGTGCTGTGCAACACTGTCAGCCACCTTAGGCTGGCGGTAGCCGCGCGCCGTCACGCAGCCGTTAGCTGAACACGGTCTGCTATTTACGGTAACGCACACTCGTATTGAAATTTAAATGCGAGTTTTGTTTTGGTTTTATAACTCTGTTTATAATTGGTTCTCCGCAAAATTTCCAGTAACCAGTGACTGACATTAATTAACCAATCTCTTGATAGTAATGTTATAAAATTACCATCTAAATATAAAGATTCATCTGGCGAGATGTACTACGATGAGAAATTGAGAATATCACCGACGTACGGCTACCTGCCAGTTTGTTTTCTGCACCTGCGATGGAGATTTCTTTCACGAGTATCAGCGTTGTTTCGGGCCTACCGTTGAGTGAGAATTGTGTGGAGGAACCTGCCAGCGACGTCCTCAGAAAAAGAGAAAACTTAAAGATTCTCGTCTGCGCGCCGAAGCAGGGCTTATTGCGACTGACAGTAAAGTAATCGCAGCGCTCGAGCAACGGGAAGCAGAAAAACTGATGCAGAAAAATAAGCGAAAAAGAAACACTCGTAGCGGACTTAGCGATGTGACAAATACTCCGACTAAAATTAAAAAATCTTTCAGAATGGGTAAAAAGTGAGTACTCTGAAATTTCACATGTGGTTCTACAAAGTCAAAGTTTTACTGTAAGAAATAAAGCGTGCGGTATTTAATACTGGGGTGATTATTTGTATTAAATGTGATGTATTTACCAGCACTGACAGACCTGGGTGGTTGCCCGTGTTGCACGGGCCGGGCATGGTTATCAGATTCTCTCGCTAGTTTTTTTGTCTATCATATGTACTAAGCTCGTCCTCGTATACGATATCTGTATACGCGGTCCCAGCGACAAAATCTCGTAGTAAAAAATTTAGGCAATGAAATACACCCAAAACTGCTATTGTCCCTCTGGTTTAAAGGCATCCTAAAAACGACCGTTGTAATAGTTAGGATACTTATTTTGTCTTACTGTCGAGATAGATGTTCAGGGCAGCGAAGACGTACTCTTCCGGTGACACCGAGTAAGTGTGCTGTCCACCAAGCATTAATTGCACATCGATCACCAGATACTGCAAAATTAACCGCGCTCATTTGTTTGGTTAATGTAAAGGTTAAAAACTAGAAAGAACGGACAAGGGAAAGTACTTCATGGGATAACTGAGAACATTACTTTCATTTATATATAATTCCTGTTTTAAAAACAAAATTTGCCAACCTTATCTGGTCAGATTAAATAAAGGCCTATTATATTGGCTTTCTCAGCCTTTCTGTAACCGTCAGAGTGGGGACCGACTTACGATGCCGAAGACGAGGGCTCCCAGGGCGGCGTAGGTGACATGCAAAATGCGGCTTTGAAAAATGGCGGCGAATATGCCAAAGAATAGCAGGACGACCATGACGACCAACATCAGACCGCTGATTATGGTGAAGTCCCATTTGGTCTGCATGGCGAAGATGGTCAGCGCAATGGTTATAACGGCCGTTACGCCGGCTGCCCAGAGCACCGACTCCACCTCGTAGAACGCCGTCACCGTCGCCAGCATCCAGCTCATGCACAATGTCTGCAATCACGCTAGTGGTAAGTAAGTGTACAAAAACGCAAATAAGATGTGACGTTGAAAATAAAAAATAATGTTGAAAATAATGTTGTTTCTAATTGTTATACCCTCACGATTTCAAATAAAACAAAACGGTTAAGTAAGATATAAAAAACGTGATCACTCACGAAGAGAATGAGCAGAATGAAATTGACGGGAGTTTGCCGGCGCAACTGTTGGAAGCAGGCCAGAGCGATAATAATGACGAATGTTAACACCCTGAAAAAATTATTTGTAGTGTAACAAGATAGTCCTAAATGACTCTAATTTCAGTGTGAGTATTATTATGCCGAAATCTAACTTTTGTTTTATTTAGTACTACACACGCAGAACAATTTAATCGGCAAAAAATCGCATCAACAGCGCATTATATTAAAACTTTTTCACTCTATTTTAGCTCTTTCAGCACTAGAGGTATCTTGTTCTATAAATAACAATATAATAGTATAATTATAAGGTTACAAAAACCAGATTAACTCACATTGACGCAATCATCATCGGTTGGTTTGTGGCGGCAAAATAATGCAATTCGGGACTGCAAAAGTATAAAAAAGACAACGTTAACATTGGTGATAGTTCATTTTTTCCGTCTCCATTACTGGATACAAACAGGCGCATATGCAGACGTATTTATTCTAACTGCTTATCGTGTATTAATCAAACATGTTTACAGTTTACACGGACTTACATGAACATGAACAAAGCAATGAATCCGGTCGTTATCAGCAGCAACACCGATACGATGCCGAACACCTTCCGTACGAACGCTACCAAAATAAAGTGCAAGTTAATAGATGCTTTTCTCTTTATAATTTCCTCAGGTGCAGAACATCCTGCCCAATTTTCTATGCAAGTGAGTGCAGTTAACTGCCGTAAATAAAACAAACGGAGCCCGTTATAAGAAACTGTTTTTACAATTCGCGAAACCAAGTAGGGAAATAATCGACGTCTAACCGGCGCGAATGGAGGTCTCGTCGAAGCTGTAGTGCGCCTTGGGATTCCCTGTCTCCACATCATAATCTCGCCCGTCCGTCATCATCGGCTCCATTTTTTCACCCATCTTCCGCACACTAGCGACGACAATGCCCGCGTAAAAATCCTCCAACCAGATAATGCAATTAATCACGCCACCGATAACGTTTCGCAATCAAAACTGCCGATTCTCTGCAAAAATCCTTCGCTGCGTCCGAAATAATAGATTATTTATTAGCACCAACAATGTAGAATGTAGATATACTCTACCGTTTACCCCTAGAATATATTAATATCATATGCGCGTTGGCCAAGGCTAGCGCATTCCGCTACACCTCAAGTCGTAGTCGACGCGATCGATGCTGTATACGCGCTAGACGCGAGCGCTGTGCGGCACGTGAAACTACGCAGTACGCACTGCACAATCAAATGGCTTAACCGGTTTGTAGCCTACAGAATCTGTAATAATTTTATATTCCGCCGAACGAGAACGCACACCCTCGGCGCATTCATCAAGTCAAGATTCCATCGCCAAACCGGCCCAGTTTGTTGATTCATGAGCTGCGTTCTCTATATTATATGCTTTGTAAGCCAACGCCGGTCCTAACACACTACAATATTATGATGCATCGCTTTGAGAATACTCGAGCAGTTCTTAAATTTTGTGTTGTGGATAAAGTCCACTGGGAAAGCATGCGTAGTCTCTTGAAGTTGTCAGACCCGGCTGGTCAAAGTGACGTCGTAAGAAAAACCGCTCACGCAAATTTGGTTGCAATTTTCACAGTTAAAAATGTTACATCCCGATTGGAAAATATTTAAAGAATTTATTTAAGTCGGAACCGTTTAGGCAAATCACCTATTATTCAGATTTATTTTAATACCTGACAAACAAGCTAAATTTTGAAGAAAAAATGCGCTCGTGCTTACTGAAATTTTAGAAAAAAGAGAAAATTCGAAATATAAAAAAGAATCAGAAACAAGCTAGACTCACATGAAAAAATACGAACAACATCATTGACATGAGCGATATAAATTACAACAGAATAATGATTGTGTCTATAAAGCTAACAAGATCCCAGGAAAAATGGACTTGGCCCAATAAATAAAAAGGTACTGCCATTCTAATTTGATCCAATCCGAGCAAAACTCTCACCAACCACAACATTTCCACACCAACCGTTTTCCCGGCGGCATAACCAATGCCTGGCAAGAAAACCCATAGCAGTCGCCGCGGCTGTGGAATAAACAGCGTCGCCGGTTATCCACCGCCTTCGCTGTATCCGCTGCTTTCACCACCGAAGAGCAACCGGCGGAATTCATCGTAGAAGACCAGCACGAGGGCACCGCCGGTGCCACGCAGGATGTTACTGAAGGCGCCCTTGAAGAAGGCCCGACTGCCCTCGTCGCGGGTAATTTTTACGAAGGCGTCGACGGTGCCGCGATACACGCGATCCTCCCGCGCTCGACCCGACTATATCAGCAATACAAATGTGTAACTGGACATGAATACAATGGTCCAGTAATCTGGTTTCTTTTCCTTCTTTTTAGTGCAAAGTTATTTTCGTTTGAAATTATTTTATTCAAGTTTCCACTTTTTCAGCGCATTCCGGTTTGATAAATTTAGTTCAATTACCTTTTTACGTCTGTATTTAAACAACATCATTGCGACATAAACTTATCGTATTTGTATTGATTTACAATACTTTATTTTGTGTAATACTTTAACTTGTGCAGGAAAGCATCAATTTTAAAATTGTACTCTTGGAATCCAGTAATCCACTAAATGGTTCATTGCTAATTAAAGTCATTCTTGGTCTTACCTGCATCATGAGCCGTCTCCTAACCGTATCGAAGGGATAGCTCAAAATACCGGAAATGGTGGTGACAACTTGAGCCACTACCTACGAAGCCGGTGGATCGATAATGAAGGTACAACACCACGAACTGCGAATTCCATTCAGACTTACGAAACTGATAAGGAACTGCATGCCTTTGGAGTGCGATTGCTTTCTCGATTCCGGCACCATCCCTGCAGAACAAAATCAGCAATAGATAATTAATAATAAATCGCACTGCAGATTAAATTACTGCACATACTGCAAAATTTTTTTAAATTATTGCAAAACATTCCCACGATCCACGTCATCTGTGTAATACAAAATTAACTACGGTAGATGCGCTTAGTTTACCTTTAGCCGTGTCATACATTCCAAAATACGCTGCTCGATAAATAATAATACCTGAAGAAAGTTAACAAACAAATAAATTATTAGTGTCCATTGTAAAGCACTCTGCGCACCAAGCGCTGTCAAATTATGGCTGTAAGACATGCACTGCTTATAGCTTACCGCCGACGGAAATGCCGAAGCCTTGGTACAATCCCGTAATCCCATCCTTCCGAAAGGTTTTCATAATGCAGTCCGTCAGGCCCTTGAATTCTCGCTCCCCACCCTTCTTTCCCGTACCTATCCCGATGAGACCGCATTAGGTTAATTCGATTCTGTACCTGCATCGTAAAAAACATTTCCCCGTGTTTGTGGCTAGACACTAAAAACCCCTTCCTAAATAGAATTTGCGGAGCTAATTCCGGTTAAGGCAGCGGAGGAGGATGAAAGGTGGATCGGTGGTTGGTGGTTGGGCAGTGGTCGGTTTGTGTGGTTTGGTGCAGTGATGTTGCACGGGATTCTGCTTATAAGCAGTAAGATTGTGTGTGTAGTCGTGGTGAGAGTGAAGTTAGTCTTTGGTTGCTTCGAATAAGTTTGAGAATTTCTTCTCACCCTCCCGCCCCCTTTGGTTAGGGAGGGGGGGGGGTTGTTGTGGAGATGATTTTATGGTACCACGGTGTTGGTTACCTAGTGTTTAGATGACCTATCGAATCCGCTGCGTCGGTTACGTTTGTCATCGATACGCACTTTCCCCCAAATATCATTAAAGTCACTGGTGATGTGGACACGGAGCCTGTCTTAAAACCGTGTTTGTGGTTGGACACTGAAAACCGCTTCCTGATACTACGACTACCGCGCTAAGAGATTTGGCTGCAGCTGCTAATTAAATCGCATTACATCAGATTTACAGATATTATTCAATATTTAGTTTTTAGTCATTTGTTCTTTTTTTAAATTGTTATCTGTTTATTTTTATATTAAAATGTCCAATTTAATTTTCTATTTATTTTATTTGCACGTCGACTGGTACAATATCTGTAAATGCATCGTACAGTTTACATACTGAAAGTGCACACAGATGCACAAAGAGTATTTCAACTGCTGTTGTTTTAGTTAACAGCAAACTCGTTCTTTGCGATATAAAAGGACAGATTTATTAAAAAGCTTTTGAACAATACAGCTAATCCTGTATATTTAGAACTGCATCATCTTCTCTTGCTAATCCCATTTAGCCAGCTCACAGCCAGCCTAGCTGCATGTGGAAATTTGCGCGGAAACTGAAATGCCGATTTTTTTAAAGTTCTCTTTACTGCAATCACTTGCGCCATTAATTATAAACCACACAGCGGAAAATAAGAACAAGTTAGCAACTGAAAAATGGAACGAGCAATCTAATCTAAAATGAAGTACATTAACACATGAAGTTTATTGGTCACTAAGGTAAAATAACGGAACTGAGAAACAAGTTGATTACTCAGTTCCTCCTGTGCATTCCTGCTGTCAGGTTTTTTGAGTAAACCGGCAGCTCCATCGTGGCATGACCGGCCACCATGCCACGATGGAGCATTGTTACCTACGAAATAATAATGCGTCCCTGACTCCCGGGTATCACTATCACTTTTGAAAACAGTCACTAAAGGTCGGCATCATCATCTATCCCTTACCGACATCAGCGGCCAATCGTGTCCTGGCGAAATCCAACGGATAGACGAAGAGCAGCGATGTGGCACCGGCGGCGCCGCCCGAGGCCAGATTGCCGACAAAGAAGCGCCAGAACTGCTTGTTCTTGTCCACCCCGGACAGGAACATCTGTTTATAGCGGTCCTTGAAGGCGAAGTTGAGGGCCTGCGTGGGGAAGTAGCGGATGACGTTGGCCAGGTTGCCGCGCCAAAAGGCCGCCACGCCCTGCTCCTTGGGGATGCGCACGAAGGCGTCGATGATGCCTTTGTAGCGCTTGTCCTCCGAAATCTGCTTCGACACATGTTGTACCTGCAAACACCGACAAATCAGTGCACACTGCACGGTCGCCCGTGACATCGATATACCCGCAGAGTTGCAACGCGACATGACAAATGTATTTCGCTGTCTGTCCATCAGCCCCGCTGCCTGCATGTCGATATAAGACTATGAAAAACAGGTCAGACTTACGAGGAATACTGTTGAGCGGTTTCGACGAACGTTTAAAAAACATATAAAACAATATAGCCAAGAAAGCGCAGTTCCAGACTCGATTTTGCTCAGCGTTGTGTACTCACTTGTAGCAGAAGTTTTACGCGTTCGATGGGCGCCACGGCGGTCTTTGCCACACCGGCCGCGATACCACCGGCCGTGAAGTCCTTAAGGAAGCCGACGGCGGTGCTGTCCTTGCCGGCGGCTTTCTTGGCCGTCTGCTCCACCTTGTTGGCCGCCGAGGCCACGCTCTTCTTCACGTCCTTCTTCGCATCGTCAATGTGGTCGTTGATGTCTTTGGGCATTTTCTAGCACACAGGATGCGCATTCACGATCACATCAAGCAACTACAGCAACCGAGTCTCTTCAAACAGACCAAGGACCGTTACATCTCCATAATCAGCAGCGAGAAATACACAGTCCACGTGGGGACACATCGAGCAGATCGTACTGTCGTGTAGTGCGAGGACTGTTACCACAGTGATGCTTATGGCGCTCACCGTTAAGTATAACAGTAAGACTGTAAGAGTATTCGATCGAAAAATTATTAGCACCACTTACCTGGTTAGTGGACAGGATCTGCCAGTAACTGGTGAGCGTACAACATCAAAATATGAGTGAAAGGGATGTTGTAACACAGTGTTTTGATCCACATTTTATTCGGGTAAAATGAAAAATGAATGATTATCGACTTATCGCAGTTCCATTCTGACCGGTTATAAGTCGTGCGGAAAGTTGTTCCATGTGCGGTTGTTATTGTTGGGAAATTCCATTTTTCTCTGTCTGTTAAATTTTGCCTGTCATGGCGCAGTAAGTGACTGTGGTCTGTGTGTGCACTCAGTGCACTGTACGGCACTGTTCCGGTGGGTGCATATGCCGTACGTACGTACGGTGTAATATTGAAGGGATGCTGGCGCTTCCTCTCGGACATACGAACAGTATTTTTGCTTCTGGCAAAAAAAGCTTGAAAAAACATTGATTTAAAACTGAAAGCGTGCTAACATGTGCTAACTGGAATCTCGTATTTTAATTTGGTCATCCTCTCATAAACTTTTTCATGATTTTCGGTTTTACTATGATGTTCAAACGGGGCGGAACCGACAAGGAAACAGGAATAATACTACCTGAAACTGAAAAATGGATTAATACTACTACTACAGAGTAGTAACGTAAAGATGATTATTTTTCAGTAAATTGTAATACATAAATTACATCTGTTAAGGTTTTAAATTTGTCAGATAAATAGTTCACCGAATTTATTATTATACAAGAAACAGCCTCGGCTCCGCCTCCGCGTTTCTTGGGTTTAAAACTCCTAGGCCGGTTTACGGATTGTTAACTTAGAACGGATAAATCTGAAGAGCCCGATAAGAAAAATTTTATAAAAAAAATGGATGTTTTGCTTTCGTGCAGTCGAACGCAATTACTTTGACTTTACAGATCATTTTTTATTAAATTTTCGTAGCGAAAAACCATATTACAATCGTAGCGAAAACCATAATTTTCGTAGCGAAAAACCATATTCCGAATCTAATCACCCACGAGAGTGACTTACTCACCTAGAAATTCCGCTCTGTGGGCAGTTATGGTGTTTCGGTCACTCACTTGTCTAGTGATTTTTTCTTACTGGTCAGTGGTGGTAGCTCGGTAACCCACTCATCTAGAGATTCCGCTCAGTGGTCGGTGATAGTGTTTCGGTCACTCACTCGTCCAGTGATTTTTCGTATTGATTTTGTATTTGATATTTTTACATTTATATCGGTTGATTTTAAACGTGTTTCGAGCTCGGCAACACCGGCAGCAATGTTTGAATAAGGCGAGTGTTTGAATAAGTACAATAATTTATTTATTTTTCGGTTTGATTAATGTAATAATTATGTCAGTTGGTATTTAGTATTGTACAGTGTATCTAGGCAAATATTTCTAAGTTTCAAGGTGACCTTTAAGATGGGTTGGATCAATCTGTCTTGATGCCGGGTTGATGCCGGGTCGATATTTTCATAAAAAAAACACGTGCCGGCCACTTCTGAACTATCCCGGATCTAATGGCGTTGTCCGTTTTTCCAGAAGTTTTATGGTTATAGAGATCTCAAAACTATGGGGCGCCGCGCGTAGTATAGATCTTGTACTTAATACAGCAGTGCAATAAGCAACATAGAATATTATTTTGCTCGTACAAAGTACATATGTACTGGTCAATTGTATAATTTTAAGTGACCACTCCGTACTCTCCTTTTCCCTACCTTTTACTCCGTACGCTGCCTGCTGCACTACCTTTCATTCCGTGCCCTAGCTACATTTTTGCACTATCTTTCATTCGGTACAAGTAGCCTATATTTTCGAGCACTATCTCTGACTACGTACTCTGTACACTACCAGTTCACACTCATTTTCTTCTGCGTGCACGAGTTTTTCTTTTTTGAATTTTTTCTCATTGAAGTTATTTCCGTAACTGCCTTTTTTTCGTTTTTTTCGTTTTTTTTCGTTTTAAAAGTTTTAAAAGTTTTAAAAGTTTTAAAAGTTTTAAAAGTTTTAAAAGTTTTAAAAGTTTTAAAAGTTTTAAAAGTTTTAAAAGTTTTAAAAGTTTTAACATCAGCAGTTAAAAATCGAATTTCCTTGGGAAAGCAACTCTCAGCGCCCGTATGCCGGTTTTTCTTCGCAGGGTTTGGGCACTCAATGAGCAGTCCGTTTTTGAATGAATTTTCGACTCTGTTTCGCAGATCTCTTCCTCTGGAAGAAGTTGCTCCTGGGTCTTTTCCATAAAGAGCAATCTCTGCCGCGAACGCCAACTGGTAAAACGCGCACAGTCTCGACCGTTTTTTGACTTTGAACAGCAACTTTCTTCACCCTAACCTCCGCAAAATCTTCTGCTTAACACTTGCACATTTCAATTCTCGCTGCCACGTGAGCGCACCGAGTGAAATTAAAGGTGCAGAGTAGTGGATCGATAGGGTACCAAAATTTAATGAATGGCAGTGTCAAAGGTAGTTACCGAGAAAAACGTACTTAGTTTCCGGAAACGTAATGCACGAAATGAAAGGTGGTGCAAAAGGTAGTGACGTACGGATTAAAAGCCGTAGGGAAAGGTAGTGGACGGAGTGAACATAATTTTTTTCTCGATTCTATGAATTAAAACCAAAATTTTTTACGTGAGTTAGCGTGCGTTTATCCAACGAGACAGTGCTCGAATAACCTCGGGTACGTGGCCTGGGTCAAATTCGAAGACACATATCTTTTGTTCTTTTTTTTAAAAAAGCAATAAAAAATATCAACATTTACATAATTCCAAGCAAGTATTGATTACTTACATTTTCTCACGATCATTAAGTGCAATAACAGAGTAATAGCTATATTCTCCAATGCAAACCACAAAAACCCGTAAAAGTACTAGAGTATGAAAGTACGCAGTAGAGTAAAAAGTACGCAGTAATATTAACGACAAAACGGTTAATACTAAGTTGTTTGCAGGCTTGCAGCCATCAGCTTGTAGTACTGCACCGTGATTCCACAAAGAGGAAGATTGTTGTACTGCCGCGTGGGAAGCGATCGAATACACCTGTGCTTGCGCAAGCTCGTTCGTTGATGCCTTTAAGAACTGGAACGCGAAATGTAACCTAACGTGCTTCAACGCAGCGGCCAAATTCATAAGAGAAGTTTTTAAGGCAAGCGCTAGCTACAAAGCTATAGCTAGCTGCTAGCTATATATAGCATCCTACAAAAAGAAGCGACCACAAAAACGAACCAATGACCTTTGAACGGGTACCAGGATGTCCGTGTCGTCGCATTCCTTCGATGAGACGCGGTCGGTGCCGTTGGATCTATACGATCTCAGCTCGTTCACCGACTCCTTGGACACAGAGCCCCTTGCATCATCCACCCCCGGGACAATCTCCAGCGCCACCTATCCCTCGGTGTCCGCCCCATCCACCACCCCGCGCACACTTTCACCGGGACCAGTGCGCCCTGGAACGCGCCTGCGCCGCTTCGTTCGCACGCAGCTTCAGCGCGCTCAACCGCACGCCCAGGAACATCTGGATGAGCTGCGCCATAAACGATGGGCGTTTGTTGAACGGATGAGGCCGCACGTGGAAGAGAGTATGAAGGAAGGCGGAAAGGTAACGCACTGGTTGTTCCGCGGAACGGCACGCTGGGGGATCCGGGCGGCGCTGAACGGGGTGCGACTGGCAACTGGGCTGCGGTCCACCGCGAAAGACGAAGGTGTCGGGGAGGAAGAGACAGAGATGACCGATGGGGACCTGTATGAACCCACGGAGTTCGACGTCAATGAGCTGGATGATCTGCCGGTTGTGGTGCCTAAACTGGTGTTGAAGGACACCGAAGGATCCAAACAGAAAAAGAACCATATGTATTTCGAAAACCAAAAAACGATGAGATTTTCCGGTAATAATGCGGCAATCGCGGACTGCTGTTTCCATAAGTTAGAAGTACTGGAATTATGTGGATCGTTTTAGTCCGGCGCCTTTTAAAAGTTCAACTAACAGCCCAGTCTAATTCTCAGCTATATATGGCTCTCAGCTATATATATATAGCTCAGTTTAGTTCAGTTTTTATACAATAATTAGAATGATTTTCAGCATTTATAGAGACTTATAGCACTAGGAGCGCGATATCTTCTAGACGTGTACATTCAATGCCTTTAGCTATCGCTGAGCAGGCCACATCGAAATTCACCAAAGATCTGGCCAAGCAGTACCTACAGGGTGGCATCAAAAAGCCCATAAAAGAAGTCATCACATCGGTGGGGCCGCGCATCCACGTGGGATTCCGTGCGGATATCGAGAAGCAGACGCTGACCATCAGCATCATCGAAGCCAGCAATCTGCCCGGTTTGGATGCCAACGGTCTATCCGACCCTTACTGTCAGGTTGCTTATTACTGTACATAAAAATGATAAAATCAAAGCCAGAAATATTGCTTTTTACTTTATCTGCTACAAGGTACGCATAATCTACATGAGTAGCGCCGGTCAGCCAACGGCAGCTGCTAAAACGGCTTACTTGTATGTATATGGATAATAATACGCTAGATGCATGCGTAACTTGTTGCATAAAATTAGTAGGACTAGCAACACATTACTTTGTCGAATTATATGCCCTGCATCAAACCAAAAAAAATATTTTGTGATGAACATTCTGGCGATTGAATTCCATATAATTTCGAACAGGTATTCCTGAAACCGGACGCTGCCGGTTCGGAACTTCGCACCCGTATCATGCCCAAGACGGTCAACCCCATATGGAAAGAGGTTTTTGAACTAAGCGATGTCCCGCCGATCACGACCCTACTTCGACAGTTTCTGCACATCAAAGTGTGGGACTATTATCAGATCGGCTCGGACGAACTGATCGGCGAAATTCAGATCAGCTTTGACCGCTACGACCTCCTTGGCGGCACCGACACTTGGGTGGAGCTCCGCACACCCAAAGCTCAGGAGGTCCAAAGGGAGCTCGGCACCGTTGTCATCGGACTGCGCTATGAAGAGGGACCGGAAAAACTAACAGTTTTGCTCGAACGATGCCGGGCATTGGAGCGGACCGGCTGGCTAACCTTTAGCGTTTGCCTGCATATCAACGGCAGATTGATTAAACTGTTGAAGAAATCTGCGGAAGAGATCATTACCGTCAGTCCGGAGATCAAACGGCGGGTGACCTTTGAGAGCGTCAAGAAAACATTGTTGGACGAATACACGGTGACGGTTTACTTTGCGTTCAAGCGGCTGCACATCTTCAGCTCGTACTTCGGACAAGTCAATCTCTCGGAGAAAAGTAAGAACAGCGAAGAACAAGCACTGTGGGTAGAAATGCGCAAGGTCCCCGGGGAGACGGTTTTCAAAGAAATCCCGGTGCATCAGTTCGTGGGGATTGTCCGCAAGCCATGGCGCCGTGGGGAGACCGCCGCAACCGGCTTCCTTACCCTAACCTTGAAGTCTTTGCCCCTTTCCGGGTCTCCGGGAATCACACTGTGGTGTATGCTGGAGAAGGCCGAGGAATTACCGCTGCCGGAGGACAGCAACATCTTCGTCCGTTTTTATGTCGTCAAGAACTCCGTCAGCATTGCTGAGCAGCGGACTCCTCTAAAGCGGGTGGGGGAGCGGGTAACTCCCATTGAGGAGCGCTTCGACACCACGGTGGAGAACGACGACCTCCAGAAATTAAGTGTGGTCGTCGCGGTGTTCCGGCGGCGGTGGTGGCAGGAGGTGGCCATCGGACGGATCACGCTATCTTCCGACCGCCGGAAGTGCACGGCAGAGGAATACGAACAGTGGCAATCGGTGGTGCGGATGTTAAGCAACGCCGAGACCAAGCGGCACCCTTTAAAGGAAGTTCTTCCGCAAATTCACCCATATTCTTTGAAAAAGAGCGAAGAAAAAACTTTCATTTTGGAGGATGCATCGGGCTTACCGCGCCAGCTGTATATGTTGGGAGCGGTGACCTTTTCAGTGAAGTACGACGAGGAGGAGGAAGCGTTGAACGTATTTGTCACCCGCTTTCTAGGAATTCCAGTGAGCGGGCGTTTATATGTGCGGGCATTTCTGTACGATCTGAAAAAAGCGCGCCGGAGAAAGGTCAAATCTGCTGTTTACATCGTCAGGCATCCCAATCCGGAGTTCAATAGTATGCTGAAACTGAGAAATGTGCATTTGAGTTTCTTTGATAGTCACTTCTTAGTGCTTCAGTTATATCAGAAATTTTACTTCAAGTTTGATCGATTGGCGGCGCAGTGTGTTGTACGGCTAATTCGACCGCGAGAATTCGGTTCATTTGCCGTATAAAGCACTTGTGAATTTTGATACCCATTCCTACTTTTTCAATTGTTTGTACGAGTTATGAGTAACAGTGTTCAGTGTTTGCAAGAAAATCGATAGGATTCAATGAGCAAAAGCGATTACCTAATTATTGTTAACTTACTAATCGTACAATCGCTTTCTTTTTGAATTTACGTTTCTGTATGTTCTAGAAGTAAAACGGCAAACGCTACATATAAAAATGGCTTGAGTCCACACTGCCGGTTTTCAAGTGCGTGGAAGGCTTTAGATGACAAATACAAGTACGTAAATTAAAATACAAAATACATCACTGGTTCTAATTTATTAGATGATGACTTCGGTACCACGAAATTTTGCTAAACAACGAGTCTTCTAAACCGATGATTTAGAACCGGCAAACTACGAGTCTTTGATAGCGTTTATGGCTTTTGCATTTGTGCAGCTAAGGCGTCCTTGCTTGTGCTGAGCAGTTTAAAGGCGTCTTCGCTGCGGTTCAGTGGACATTTGTCAGGGTGAATCTGCGCGGCGATCTTTCGATAGGCTTTCGTTATAAGCGACCTAAGCGAGTATCTCATTAGGAGGTAAAACTTCTGGTTGACACAATTAGGGTTGCCATCAAGAAAGCATCACGTATTAAGACAGCAATGTCCAAGCCTAATATAACATGGATCAACGTTAGTTGTTACGGTATTAGGTTACTGTATGGGGCCAGTGCGCTAAGCAATTCTGAGCGATTACGATTCCGATTAAGACATTTCCTCGGAGAAATTTCTTAATCGGTCAACTTCTTAATCGGTTTGTTAATCGGACCGATTAAGAAAATTCGGGAATTTTGCAAATCGGAAATTTCTTAATCGGTTGCGATTAAGAAGTTTCGGTAGGAGGTGGCTTAAAATCGGCCAATAGTACATTCTGAGTCCGAGTTCTGAGTTGAGCCATTCTGTAAACTCTTAATCGGTCGAATTCTTAATCGGTTTCTTAATCGGTTTTGGAGCTTAGCGCAATCTGCCCTATGTTCAGTTCGTACTGCAGTAACCAGCGTCTCTGCCTCATAGTAGCAATGTGCTAACTGCCCTGTGCATACATATTGGAATTAACCGGGACCCCCAGTCGCTCCCAATCGTTCTCTCCATTAAGCAGTCGGTAGACAGAGAACACTTGTTCCGGGGTAACCTCGTGTTTGGCGGTTTGCCCTTCTCCAGCTGAATTATTGTCAAGAGGTATGGATTCCTCCAATGCGGATAACACAAACTGCAACGGAATACAGCAATTAATATTGTTATGCTAGATTTGGTACAGATAGCAATCGTTTCAAAAACTTGCGCAGTGAATTGCTGATACAGATTCCAGATTTGTGGCCCTGCCACAAAACTAAAAATACTGCCACAAAACTAGAAATACATGTTTGTGCCCACAAGGCGTCGTCTACTAGCTTAATGAGGGCATTATCGTCCGTCTGGCACTGTAGGTACAAAGTGGGCCAAGTCTTAAAACTTTTAAAGCTTTTAAACTTTTAAAACTCCAGTCTGGTTGGCTCGTTAGCGCATTATCGTCAGTCAGTTTAATTGCTTGTGAAAGTTTCCTCATCTTCGTAAAAATGTGACACAATAACCAAAATTAAGCTCCTACGTCGCTAATAATGTTAGCACTATTATTATTTCGTTATTATCTTAATTTTTTTCATTAATATTCAATAGTACTTTGTAAATTACTCCATAGGCAAACACTCGCCTCAGGAGATACAGTAAATGGCAAGTAGAGAATTTGTGCTTAATTGTTAATATTTGGTGAGTTATAACAGGAATCAATTTTGAAGTGTCTGATAAGATTACCAAAGATAAGATAAGATTACCACACATACCGGGCAGATCTCGCTGACGCCCCGCCCATCAACGGCCGCAGTCAGACAAATACGAAATCCACGAGCGTCCGCCCAGTTCTCCATCTCTTTCACACTGGTGCTCAACATCTGTCGATCCAGCTACTTAGTCGAAAAGAAGAAATCGACTCCGGGTTAACCGTTTTTTAAGCAAAATGAAGTGATTGGAATAATTGACAACTATGTAGCTGCTATGAAGCTACCTTATTTCCCACGAGTATTTTGACAAAGTTGCGGTCGTGCAAGGGGAAGACAGTATCCAATTCCCTGTACCAGGTCTCCAGTGCGTCAAAGGAGCGCCGCTCGGCAATATCGAAGACAAAGATGATTCCGCGTATCTGCTGAAAGGCATGAGCGTATACCGCTATCCGTCCGGTCAAGAAGCCCGGCGAACCGGCCAGGTCGTAAAAGGTCACCTGCCCCGCAGATCCTCTGCAAAGCATATAATATTTCGTACACTGTGAAATCGTCAGTGCGGTGATTATGGATTTTCATAATGTACAGTTTTTGTTTCATATGGATGCACACACCAGACTGGAGGCTAGCACAGAAACACTTACAAGGCGCTCAGACGTATGGGTTGGAGCTCATTGGATATTTGTATGCCTTGAGCGTAACAAAATAATTTTAAATTTGGAAATCATTTTTGATTGCTTTTTGAAGATCTTAGAGGTTAAACGCACTCGCTCTGGATTCTCATGTTCCTTCTAAAGTTTTATGAAAAATGGGTGCATTGCTTTCGGCGTCAACTCGAACAACTGACCAGTAGTTGAGCATACATGATTAGGGTGCGACATACAAAGTTACAAACCCACTGGCGAGAACGACAACGTCACACACCCATGTCGAATTGTTGCACTGTTCTACGCAGCGCTGGCCGGGATCCTGCATCTCGCGGAGAAGACTGGTCTATAAAAAATCCCCAAAAAAGTCTTTAAATGTACAGATAGTTACTGTGTGAAGTCGCCCTGCGGACATTTCTATCTTCGAAAAACCACCTTTCCTACACCGGCCATTCCACACACCGCAATCGCCGTTTCGGGAACAAGTGTCCCTCTCTTCATTATTCACAGCCGGTTCGAAGTACAAATGGAAGAAATCAATACAAATGGATCACTATTTGCCGTACAGATTAATAATTCTTTCGCCAAATGACGGGGAAGCTAAGTAGCAAAATTCCAGTTAGTGCACTTCTCACGTAATTATTGGTGGCATGAAATTGTGGTAGTTGTAAAGTTCTAATACAGATCTGTAATCTGTAGAGGCTTATAAAGCTATAGAAGCAAGTCAGTAACCTATGATTAACAGATTCACTAGATGCACTTGTACTTATAACTTATTAGTCTCAGTTATCAAGATTTTTTCGCGCTGCTTTCACATTCATCCAGTAAATGTAGTGTGATTTAAACGAACTAATCTAACTCTAAAGGGAAAGGTAACTACTATTTTTATTATGGCAAAAACACAATAAAAGTACAGTGGCGGCAGTTCAATGGAACCACCAAGGCCCAAAGACATCGTTCCCTTCTTGCACCGTATAACTGAATTTTGTTGCGATAGTGACATTACACAAGTGTTTTTGCGGCGTAAAATCGAATCATTTGATTCCGCACTATTAATGGTCATAAACGATGTTACGATTATAGAATCCAAGGGCGGCGATAGAAAAATTTTCGGAGGTAGAGTGGCCTAGCAAGTGATTACATACGACGGTACGAGTACTTACTCATCAACCCAACAGTTTGTGCTTAGCTTAGAAAGAGCCAAGAGTTTTGGAGGTTCTATCAGTTTGTGATCTAACCTTGTGCTCCTGTTTCTTCGAATTTTAGCGCTAATTCTGCTAAATAATTTTCAGTTGGGCAAGAAGCACGTGGAAGCTGTTTTGACCGTCTCCAAATATTATTCGTAATAACTCCTAAAAATATTCGTCGTAGTTATAGCCCTTCGAAGAATCTGCCCGTGACAGCTGTGCCACTGACACTGACATGGTTTGCACAGCTTTAAGCTTACAAAAAAATAGAATCCGACCGCTCCGACGAATCGTTTTCTGAACGAATGCAGTCATGAGTACAATGGAGACGTAAAGGCGGAAACACAGCTGAACAAACATACACTGATCTCCTAAGAGTAAAGGTCACGTACAGAAGCGAGGACGAATGCTATACAACTACAGATGGGATTAACAGTCCTGTCCCTCGTCGTAGGGAACTGTCAGTTCCAACTCTTAAATATATCGCAGATCGCTCAGTCCAGATCGCTTAACCGTTTTGCAGTAGGTACTCTACAATTTTTGCCTTGGATGCGCAATTCTACACATGTCGAGAAAGAATAGCTTGGCAAATGCCCTTTTCTGTGATACCAATTTGACATCCCTCAAATCAGGATCGTAAAAAATCTTTTAATTTTTGCCTGATTTAGCCTGCTAATGCGCATCTTGTTGGCAGTGTCCTGTGTTGGTTGGATTAATCCAGCTGACATCGCATATCCTTCACCGTCGATTGGCGTTCAAGCGGACTTGTCGCTGAGTACGAGTGCTGTTCACGTTCACTTGACGCCGTACATCAAGCATCTACTGTAAGTTGTTAATAGTCGGTGCCGCCTTCCCTTGGTGCAAGACAGTGGCACTGTCAAAATAAATTTTAAAGCCAAAGTTCGCGTGCGTCCAAGAGAAACTAAAACAGAATAACCAATCCAACAGCATCTTTCCAACAGAATATGGTCGGTCATGAAAATCAGAGCTGATACCAGCTGTAGGATTGCTTTGAAAAATTTTATTTAGGTGCTAAATTACGCTTTAAACGTTTCTTTCCCATTTTCCCCAACACCAAAATGATGGCGTGCCGTGTGCACCGTACTTAATTGTTGCTGTGTCATCGTACGGGCTTAAGCATTCTTAATAGTTTGCCATGTTATGGCACTTAGTTTTTCTTGCGCAAAAATTTTGTAGTATAGTAAATTCACTGCCGGCGGTCATTGCGTTCGCGCGCGTGCCACTAGGATCTGGACTAGATTAGGTTTTGTGACCTTTGTGTCAATCATGGAAGGCAGCAAGCCCACACGCGAAGAGATTCACTCAGTGGTAAGCCCTAAAACAAACTTTATTTTAACTTTTTGTGTCAGTCCTTGGGAAATCTGTTTGACCAGGGCCTTCCGTTCAGCAGCCACGGCTACGGCGGTGCCCTAGGCGTTGACATCAGCTCATCCGCACCGCAGGCCTCGGCGCCTGCCGCCCTCCATTTCCACCAGGTACTGGAGACTATCCACAGCGGCGATGAACGTGTGGCCCGACCGGCGGCGGAGATCCCCGTGAGTCCCTCAAAGGTCATCGACCCCCGGGCCCCGGATGAGGACTTCTGGAAGGATAAGCCTAAGAACCCGAATGAAGGGGTGCTAAGTCAAGTAATGAGTCGGGCGTCGGAAATATACGAGGATTATCGGGACCGGGCCGGGGAGGCCATCGGGGATCTGCGGGAACGGGCCAGTGGAGTGTGGCATACCGTCGCCGGGGCGGTGGCTGTAGCGTCCGGGAAAGAACTGACCGGACGGCCTAGTCAGGTCGCCACGCAGCAGGTCCAGGAACCAGGTACGTGGTTAAATTACATTAATAATTAACATTCCGTATTAGTTTGCCGAAAGGCGGGAGAAAACTGCAATAAATTCTTTATTATTATGTATTAGATAGTTACAGCTCTCAAAACATTTATGGGCAAAATTCTATCTTTTTAGCACAAATAAATACGACAGAACTGATCCCATTTGGATTGCCCATGATTTTTAACATCTTATGTGTGTTACTTAATGTCGTCCGCTTTGTGCACTGCAAAATCTCATGCACTTTATTCATCAAATAATTGATGGTGCCGAGTTATTTATGAGCCAGTCTAGACGTAGAAAACAATTCCTTAAACTTTCACATTGAAAATAACGTTGTGTACTGCCTTGATTGCGGGTAGAGCATAGACCTTAATCGTAATTATTATATTTGGTCACCGGACTACAGTCTGTACTTGTACTTACAGGCTGTATTATTTGAATTATTCGGTTAAAGATTGATTTTGCATGCAGCTTGCTGTCCTTTTAGTTTTAGCACTTGCTAAGTGACACCATAATGCTTGTATAATCAACAAAAATGTTTGAATTACACTTTTAAAATTTATATAAAACAGTTTTCAGGCCTAACCTTTGTAAAAAAGCAATAGTCTCAAGTTGTATGAGAGGCATGACCGCGGAAATTGCGCGTTAATTGCAGGTCTCATGCCGCATGGAGATGTGCGGACACCTGGTGCGGATGCCAAACATGGAACGGCTGGAGCGAACAGGGAAAAATCGAAACTGCTATCCGCTTGAGCATCACTTTTAATTGATCCACAATGGCTCTAATGTCTTAGACTAGTAGCATATTAGCGCTATGCAAAAGTCAACTGTTTTCAGCGAAGCTGATCGAAACGTTCCAACGGCGGTAATTAATCCACTTTCCCAAAAAAAATTTGATTGCTCACAGATCAACAGTGACGTCACCGGCCGTATTGGCCAAGATCCAGGGTATGTAAGCGGCCACGCGCGTGTACTGGCCGCCAGTGCCGGCACCGCAGTCGTCCCCAAAGGAGACGATGCCCGCCTGATAATACGTCTTCTTCACCGGGTCCAGGCAGATCAGCGGACCGCCACTGTCGCCCTGGCAGGTATCCTCCCATTTTTGGGCACCGGCACACAGGAACAAATCTAGGTTGGTGCGCTGTCCGCCGAAACCTCCCCGCGCTGGGAAGGAATTGAAGGCGCAGCTGCCGCTGTAGTCTTGATGGCGAATCTGCAGCTGAGTCCATTTCAGTGGCACCGGGTCACGATCATCTGCGCAATAAAACGCAATCGACACTGTAGTTCGCTAACCCTGCAGTGCCATATAATACGTAGTCCGAAAGGTCATTAGGTCATACCGCTTCGTATATTAAGGCTACAATCAGCTGTCAGAAATATATAAACTGAATATTTAAGTTTATGCCTAATCAGAGAACGACGAAAAGCAGAAAACAAAAAAGAAAGAAAAATGCAAAGCCACATACAGTGTACAGTTAAAAAAGCCACTGAATTATTATAAATGAACGAAAACCTCATGAGCCGTGAGTACAAAATGGCGAAAGGAGAAATACGTAGAAGCGACTGCGAAATCAAATTACGAACTATATAGTGCGTACATTGCAAAATTAATAGTAAAACCACAAAAACAGGAAATCTTACTGGAGCCGTCGCTGCTTTCCTCGCCATATCCGCTAACCACGCACCATTCAGCCACCTGCGGCGTCCTGGCCGTTAAACAGGCGCTGCAGGCGCAGGGCTTGTGATCGAGATCGATGGGTCGGTTAAGGATCAGGATGCCGATGTCGTTGTCGTTGAGATCGTAGTTGTAGTTGGGGTGGACGATAGACTGCTGGATGCCGAAGGGCTCCGCACAGCCCGTCGTGTCATGCCCGTACACTTCTCCCACGTCGCGGTTCATGCCGCCCACCACAACAATTACGTTTCGATCAGAGATGCGCCGCCTGCATTTAATGTAAACAGATATTCGCAAGAATGAAGAAACTCTGGTGAACATCCTAGTACAACCAAGTACACGTTTGGTTTATGCTTTGAAATTTGAATATATCTGCATAGTGCATACCGGTACTTTTGTGTTACGGTCAAACCGGGCAACTTAATTTCAAACTGTATAAAATACTTTAAATAAGTTAAAAATTTCGAAATGATATGATCATATTGAAAAACGCTCGAATAATTTATAATTATTTGTTTCATAATTACATACTGTCGATGATACTGACTGTAGGTGCGGTCTCTGTAATTGTAGCAGTGCGTTCAGCAGTTGCCTAATTATATATAAGTACTCGTATCGCCAAAATTACCGGCGGAATGTGTTTGTGACCGATGCATGTGGGTCCTGACAGTGGTATCATTAATGTATCATTTTGGAGCAATTCATCTGCACGCGATAATGTTCACAATAATACTTCATGAAGATCAAATGTAGATCAACATTTGATCTTTTGGGCACTCGGACGCACTCCCGACCGACTAGTTAAATACTGTAAGAAATAAAGGGGAGTTGAGTAATGAGTATTACCGTGTTTCGGAGTTGTAAAGGCAATGGGCGGCGATGAGGACGGTGCGGCTGCCGAGGATTGTGCCTCCGCAGATGGTCTCGTCGCGCACGTCGCCTATCTGGATCTTCACCTGCCAGCACAGCTGTCCCGGGATGGCATCGTAACCGCCCACGATACGCCGCACTCGCGCCTTCACCGCCTCCGTTTCCCGGCGGACACGGGTCAGCTGCTCGTACAGTCCGGACTGGCGCTTCCTACGCTTGCCTGTGCACGATCATTAAACACTCATATGAAGGCACCGTCCATCTTGAAGCGGCAGGAAATCTCCGGCGATGAGGAACAAAGCATAGAAATTTAAACTACTACTAACCTAGCAGTGTCATTATCTGCTGAAAGGCATTGAAGCTGTCCAGGGTGGTTGGTTGCCTGCAGTTTCACAAGCCAGTTTAAAATTTCACAATTTTACAGTACCACTCTACTGCTTTGAGATTACTGAGATAATTTTAGCGTCCATTTTACCGTCCGTATTTATCTTCCTATATATGTAGAAATAAAAAATAGTTTTATGATTACTATTGATAATGACAGGCAGCAATTGTTCAACTGCGAATAAAATTAAGGTGCAATTAATTAAGCAAGTGGACAGAAAGGGAACAGGAAACCTATAAGTATATTGTACGTAATATAAATACCGTAGTTAGTAATACAGTTCCTAATGTCAGTGCACAGCAGTGGCAGCACTAATATTAATAAGTACAAAAAAAATAAAGCAGACGTTACAAATATCCAGTGAAACTCTAAACTACTCTTTCAGTAGTAGCTCAAGTTTAAATCTCGATAAGGCTCGATGAAAAAAAAATCCAATAACGATCTTCGCGTGCGTCAACCGCAGACTGATGCATGCATGATCGATTCTTACCGGTTAAAAACATTCCAAGGATTGTTAATGGGGCTGGGCGATTGCGTGCTTGCACTTGACCGCTTCACGGGCGCCACGGGAACGGGCGGGACGAAATTGCCGCTGAGTTGTGCCATTAGCCCGAAGGGATCCGGTTGGCCGCTGGCCACCAAGCCGCAGCGTTCAGCGGCCGCCGGGCGCCCGGCGGAGCCCAGCACTGCTGCAGTCACAACCAGCATCAACATGCTAACACTAACGCGCCTGTCTTGATTTCCGCCGCATACAACTGCCACTCTTACCTTTTTCATGCTGAGCCTGTGTCAACGCCGGAAGAATAATTGTGAATAGGCCAGCGAAAGCTTGTGTTTCTTGGCAGGGTCCGGTGTTGTGCTGGTGGCAGGCCCACTAGGCGCTGAAGAATGGCTCGCTGCATTATGCTGCCTTGAGTTTTGCTGACGCAGGATGATCAGCAGCGGCTAAAAGGCGGCAAGTCATACACACTGATGGCCGTCATGTTAATGAGGTTTCTTTTCGTACAGCCGGAATGCGCTGAGACAGGGGAATTTCTGGTCGGACGATATGCGCTGGTACCTGTCGGCAATGAGAAGATCTGATTGTGCCCAGATATTCTATGGGGAAATTCAAAGCCCGGTTTTGATTTCCGGCAAATGCCAACAATGGCGCTTCTATCACAAGTTAACATTTAACACCATTCGTGTACCCTGCGTGTTACGTAGATAACCTTCATATAAAGCCTTAACATTTTAAATACACCTTCACCGGCTTTCGAGCTTTTCCATGCCATAGAAAAATCAAAATTTGTAGCGTGCTCGTACAAATTGTACTTACAGTGCGCACTGTTACAATTGACAGTAGGAAACCGGCGGTTCGGCTGCACTGATTTGCAATTGGCAACAATTAAAAAATCGGTGACCCCGCTGGTATGCGCTGTGCCCTTTTGCTTTTTAATGTGCATGTAATCATCAAAATATAGGACCATTACTTCATTAATTGCAATTTTGCATTAAGCCTGTTTCACGTATTCCAAGGTTAAGTGAGACGGTTAATATGAAATAGATCCCAGCTGGCGATGAAAAAAATAATTAAACAGATTTTCTTGTGACCCTTCAGTTGTTTCAGTTTCCGCCAAACTAAAGAAAACGTAAGTACCGGAACTTCTCGTATCGATGCTAAACAGAGACGTTCCGGTAGCAATAGCATTCGTGAATATCCAGGAAGCTAAGCATTTTATTGCCTGTTACTGGTATAATTTTCTTAGTTTATTTCTTATAATTTCTTATAACACTCTGAAACTGCAAAGTTATAAAGTTATTATTAAATGGTACGTAGTAAAATAATAGCAAAATATACTCTAGCGAATGATTTTAATCCTGTTATGTTATCCAGTAGAGCAGGTTTTTTTATTCGAGCACGAATTCAGTCATCGGAGTACGTAATGTATTTACAAACCCACCCCGGCCACCTGTATTTATGAAATTTTTAGTTTTATCTGGCAGTGTGACACAAAAACTGAATGGTACATCAACGAAGCAGTTGACGTTGACCAATCATCAGCCATCACAAAACAATCATTATATAACGTTTTCATGGAGAATTTGGGATGTCTGTTCCATCCTCTGACAGTCGAAACTCGAAACACTCGGGCCATATGGAACGGCCTCGCGGAAGTTGGCCGGAAGGTTACCGGAAACCTCGATCTACGGCATTTTTTTGACAGTTGCTTAGTGTGCAAGAAATGCAGCAGCTGTTCTAGGGCAGGAAATTGGGAATAGTAAAATTATGTAATACGATTATATGCATCATATTTAAGACCCAGATTTTGGTTGTTTGTTTTTTTCACTATTTAAATTTGTATCATTTTAATTAGTGCCACTGTCCAGGGCAGACATTTTTGTACCTCACCATCAGTACAATAATTACTACTATACTAGTACTTTGTACAGTGGTACCTGTACTTGTACTTTGTATGTGAATTGCTGATGGTGAATAAAACGGAAGAATCATACGAACTTCTACTCGTATTGAATTATGATTATCAATAATGTTGTCTGGACTCTGTTCGATTGCACAAGAGCGAGCGTTGGGTCCCGATGCCTCTTTTAATCTTTTGAGGGGTCGAAACTCCTGCTTGTGAAGATCCGCTCGCTCCACAATATACAGCACAAGTACGAAATTGTACAGCGCCATCGATCATTTCCCAGTGGCACGCAACATGGAAGTAGTTGAACTGAACAGCAAATTTATGAGAGGAACCGTTCCTGAACTTTTTGATCCCGTGTTCGTTTAGAATGTTTGCGTTTTTCCATCTGACGCTTGTTTCGAATATTAGCATCGATTGGGGTTCGAATAATTTTTTCTGCTTTACAGAAAGCCGTATAAGATTGGTTTTTTTGGTTATCTGAAATTCTGGACAAAAAACTAAATGTGGGAACATATATTTGGGTAACCCAACAGGCACTCATGGTGGTTGATTCGTTTCGTTCAATTCGTTGTAATCGTTCGTCGGATTTTTGGCTAACATAAAATGAAAAACATGAGGAGTTATTAATTTACGCTCGTATACGATCTGTGATATTTTCACCCCTTTCCCCTGCTTGTCTTTCATCCTCCATTTTACGGCCATGGATCTGTCCTGCCCGTTGGTGGATCCCTTTCCCGTGTGCCCCGTGGACAGCTGGACTGACTGGGGCAACGGGAGCGAGAGCATTTCTTCGTTGCTTGCTGCTGGACTGACGACAGCCTCCGGTGTGGATTCCAACGCGTCACAATCAGCATACGATCAGATGGCCCGCTCCCGCCTCTACAACATCTTCCGCCGAGCCACCGTACCCCACGGATTCGGGTCGGAGTACCAGTCTGAGTTAAGAAAGTTCTTCGGGGAACGCTGGACCGATTCCTGGCTCATCTGGGTGAGTTTCGTTACTGTACTCCTTTTGCTGGCTTCTGATACTTGAATGGATTCCCTGCTTGTTTGCAGTCTGTTTGTAAATTCTAAAATATACGAGAAAATTTATCTTAAAGTTACAGTAAATGTTTCGTACGTATGCACTAAGGCGACTAAGCAGTAAGAATTACGCAGTTTGCTTAAATGACTGCATGACTGATGACTACGTTCTTGCCTTTTGTTGTCCACATAGCACGGTGACATATGGCGTATTTAGCTGATTTTAGCATTATATTATTGCCCTTTTTAAAATTTTTATTGTGTTGGGATCGTACCCATGTTATTATGAATTTTTAAAAGTTTTTTACTTAAAACTTCAATATCTGTACGTGCAATATTTTGGAAGATTTAAAGTTAATTTGTAGTGAGTTTTTCTGGATATACGTATCTGTTCTGTACAAGTTAACAAGTACGATAATTCACGGATCTCGAAATGTTATGAAGAGATTCGCATCTGGATGTCTGATGCACTGACATGAAGAGTCATCGACCAGTTGTGTACTGTTTCAGTAATCGTTTTGCTGTTTCATAATATTTTGCTTGAAAATGTGAAAAGGGTTGTAACATATTTTTCAGGAGATAATCCGAGAAATGAAGGAACAATGTTGATTTTGAAAATATTGTACAGATACGTGATCATACGTAAGTAACTGTAACATTGAATGTTCTAAAAAATTTTAAGATTATTTTTATTATTACGACACAAGAGCGGACAAGTCACAAGTCCATCAGGGACATCAATCTGGTCGAACAAAAAACTAATTAATAGTAACTGTAATGACGTATTCGTCCAAAAAACAGAATGAATTAATTTCCCTGCAGTTGCGCACTACAAATTGCAATAGTAATGTTGTTAGTTATCGTAATTTTATTGCGGTACAGGTGCTATGTAATAATGTGGACTATCGTAGGCTTTGGCTATGCCTGGGACGTTCATCCTGGGCGTGATGGCGCAGGTGCTGGTGAAGGGCATTTTCGGCCGGCTGCGGATGCCCGAACGACAGCACACTCGCGAGCGCCTGTGGAACTTCGCGTTCTATAAGTTCATCTTCATCTTTGGCGTGGTCAACGTCGACTCGATTGAGGAGATGATCATCTGGGGATCGTGGTTCGCGCTTCTCGGCACCGTTCAGTTCTTCATCGTTATTTCGCGCGATCGGTGCGTACCGGTGTCCCGCAATTAGCTATTTTTATTACTAAATTCTTAAGTACTGCGTTAATTTGGCTTGATGAAACTTATTTTGTCATGGTTCTGTTTGATCACTGTAGATGGCACAGATGTGCATAGAAACAGAAGTCGTAATTATCGTGGTTGTGGCTAACGTGAGAATGTGCGTAGATGCGAATACATGACGTTCTCACCGGTGCCGGCGAAGCGAGCGCACCGGCGCATCGTCGTCCTGTTGGCCAGCATTATCGGCTTCGCGCTGTGCGTGCTGAGCTTCAGTTTGTACATTTTGTGGGCTGGTTTCGTCCACACGGGACTGTTCACGCTGGCCGAAGCTCTGCTAATCCTTATGCCCAGCTGGCACATTTTATTGCGCTACGGTTACCACCACCTGCGCCAGGGCAAGTCCACGCTGGCCTGGGAGAAACGCACGGCGCTCTATTATCATCTCAATATAGTCTTCGAACTCGGTTAGTACCATTTCTCTAAGTTCCTTGCTGTTATTCTTTGTTATGTTTTTGAATCCAGAACTCGTTAAAATTTTCAGATGTTGGTTTTTTGACTAGCTTTTCCGGTTTAATTTCTAATGAAACCTTTGTTAAATTTTCTGCAACTTTGTAGGTTAAAAATTTTTTGAACGCATTTGTTTACAGGTGTTTGACTTGTTTTGATGCTATCGTGTAATCTGAATGTTTTGATTGGTTTTGTGATAAATGGTTGTTACCTTTAGACTTTAGTATCCAGCGTGTACAAGTTTCTACCTTGACCGGAGGCGATAGTGACTAATGATAGGATTGCTTTAGCCGTTTACAAACAAAATTTCGTCTGTTGTCGTACATTTTCTGTTTGATCTAAAAATTTTGACACTGTTTTGTCTTTCAGGGACGTTGTTGGTGGATCTTGTGCACCATCTGCACATGATGCTGCAAGTGTGCAATCTCAGCGCTTCCAGTCTGGTCATCGTAGCGCAGATCCGGTTTCTCTGCATGGACTTTGTGAGTAAATTCCGCCGTCATCGCAATTACATGGCCATTCGCAAGCGGCTACAGGCCACGTAGGTTCTTCTCGTTTTATCATATTTGGTGTCAAAAGCCGAAGATCTTTCTGTGTGCAGTTATCCGTCAGCCACGGATGAGGAGATCAAGCAACATGACGGACCCTGCTCCATCTGCTGGGACACCATGGAGCAGGCACGCAAACTCCATTGTGGACACATTTTCCACGAGTGCGTTGCGCCCTTACCGAATTTTATATCAATTTTCTGTAAATTTATATACGGTATCTGTATGAGGAAGTGTATATATGTATTTATATTTATTAAAAATATTGATATCTTTAATACGAGACATAGTAAACGTCATTTTTCTGCATGCATTTTTTAGTTTTGAAATTTGAAATATTTTGGCTAGTATTATTAATTCCTGTAACCAAATCTGGATATGGAGTTTGGAAAAAAATTTGAGTAATGACCGCGTTCATATTTTTATTCATTTCGCGGTCTATTGCTTAATAAAAGGATTTGGATTGGCTCAATTTGGCTGCAGCTATCGGTATCGATAGACTCATATGGTTTCTGGGCTGCTTTTCTGACGGTAGCAGTTTATCAGTTTACATATCTCCTAAAGCTTTAATTTGGTTAATTTGAGAATAAACTTTCTGGCAGTTATAAGTCAACCAATGAAATTATTCTGTAGAATTCGTGTACAAGTTCATCCCTTGCTTTTTCGACAGGTCGTGTCTGTTGTCGTGGCTGGAACAGGACGTGTCCTGTCCCATCTGCCGCACCACCCTGACGAGCACTTTCCACAGTGGCCCGCGAGTGACCGCTCCGAGCGCCCACCTGCCTACGGGTGGCCGTTTTTTCTTTCCAGGCGCTCGTATCAACCGTTACCTGCCCAACATCTCCGTCACCGGTAATGCTCTGGCCGTCTTTGTCAACTTTGTCTTTTGGACTGGCTGTGTATCATTGTATAATATGTGCGCCCGCTGCGACTCCGTGGTGGGCTTGTTTCTGGGCTTGCCTTGCATGCTTGTCTCGTGGTTGGTGTTATGGCAATGTGATCGCTACCGCGGGTAACTGCATCCATTTTGTTGGTTTCTGGTTGTTTGTGTTTGTTTCATGTTTTTCCTCTTGGATTTCCTGTGGTTCAGCTTAGCGGCTCTGCTATGATTTTGCAATTTTCCACACGCATTTTCTATCATTCATTTTTATGCATAATTAATGTGAAGTGTTCTTTGTGTTGTGCTTTCGGTATTTTCTCTCGCTTCTTATAACAGCACCCCACAAACGAGACCGACCACATAATAATATTGTGATTTGTGATGTTTTTATGGTTACTTTAACTCTTGACAACTCAATTGCTGCGCGCTTGCGGCATGCTTACTGCCTGCACCGTTTGTGAAACATCCTCCAGGATCCGTTGTGCCGGTCAGCTTGCCGCAGTTTCTTGTTTTACGACAGCGATGGTCAGGAAAGAAATGTAATCTTATAATGCATCAGCATGAATGGTTATCATCTGCAGTGTCCCATCCCATGCACGACTACCTGGATCATCCCGGTGTGGATATAATGGCCGAGCAGGTGCAGCAGGTATTTCCCAACATCTCCCACCATCTTATCATTCGTGACCTCCTGGAGACAGGCTCCACGGAGCGCACAATCGACAACATCCTCAACGGGACGTTGTACGACAGCGGGCCGGTATGTTTACGAGTTGACTTTGTTCAGCGCCACAGTAGAGCTTGCACAGTACGTTGTCTAACGGTGTTTGGTAAATTTTATTTTGACCTGTGTAATTCTGTCGCTAAATCATGCATTAACAGATCAGACAAGAAAAATGAGTTCATCATGGAGCATTACATAGTTATGGTATAAGTATGAAGTAGGCAAGCCTGTAATTCTTTTAATGGTATGCCTGCGGTAAGATATTTTTTTTGGATTATCTTTAATTTATTGTTAACAAAATCACAGCAAAGCTGCGGTAAAATATATCACTCGACATCAGTTTTTGGAGTTGTTATGGGATGACTTTCATTTAGTATACTCGTATCTGTGTATGTGTAGGAAAGCATCCCTTGCGAGAATTAGTTGTTGACAACAACTATAACAACAAGTTGACGTTAATGTAAAATAACAATTATGAGTTCATTTGAATTATTACATGCCTCTATCCAATTTGTTACGGGCTTTTTTACACCCTTATGAATAGAAGCCTTAGGGATGGAGACAGAATGAACATAACTTAATGGTTAGCTGATAACCGAAAAATTAGGATTATTTGATTATATATTATTAGTGCTGTGCTGTTGCTAAAAGAATTACTAACGTTTATGCTGTCACTGCTGTGGATGCATTGCAGACGTTGCCGGGCGAACGTGATGCCTTCGGCTCATCGTCGTCCTCTTCGGATTCGGAGGACGAGGAAGCGTCTGTTTCCAGTGAGCCGCTGCATCCCCAGCTGGCTCTGACCGGTCTAAGTCTGACCGCCCCTGGTGGTGGCCTCCGTGCCATCCCCGATACACCCGAGGCCTGTCGGGCCCTGCAGATCCAACGCCGTGAGACGCTGGTGTATGAAGCGCGCAAGAAATTCTTGGCTAAGATGGCCATGGAGAAAGCACAAACGGCTAATACGTAACACACACCCTATGCTGCATTTTCTGTATGTATTAAATTTGAATTTCTTTATTTTTGCCTCATTTTAGTTGCAGTTACGGCTGGGTGTTATGTTCGTAATGTGGCAGGGATATTGGTTTTTGTGATACATGTGATTTTACTCGGTTTAGACTTTTAGTATGCTGTTTCGCGCAATTATTATTTTAAACAGTTTTATCTCTCATTTTATATTTTTTGCTACGGGCATCATTGGTAAGTACTGCTGAAATGGGTCCTCAACACGGGGAACGAATCAAAGAGCATGCACGAGTATAAAGCTTTGATAAAAGTAAAAACAAGATGATAAACATGACATGACGCAAGTAAAGTGCCGCTGATTGTGAGCGCTGTACAATAATAATATTACGCGATTGCCAATTGCTTTGCTACGATACAATTCGGATCGCCGGCAATTCGGCAAGCAAAAACGCGAAGAATGCTACAGATGGATCCGTTTGGCATCCGTTGCGCTCTGTTCGCTTGGGCAGTACGGACACTTTATCTTTGTGGATCTACGAAGAAAAAGAGCGTTCACATATTTGCTGGAAAATCGGTGCAGTGTATTGTCTGTAGAGTCGTAGACTACAATTCCAGTCAAATCTGAATAGATCTGGACTAAAGCAAACTACCCTACCCATACATTATTAGTACCAAACAACAATACTGCATTGCTAAATGCAGTACTTCACTTGAAAAATCCATAAAAGAGCGGTTTGAAAATTGCATAAATTCTTGTATAAAAAAATAAATAATTTCTAAAAGCAAAAATTACACTGCGACCGAAAAGGAAATACAAAAACGATGTATCAAATTATGCTAAAAAAATACGGCTAATACGACTGACTTGGTAGAGTTGCTGAGTCTCATGAGGGCGTCCTTGGAGATCACGTGGCCGCAGTTGAGACGCATGGGAGGATTTTTCTCCGAGGACTGCTGCCGCAGAATCGGACAGGTAAAACGAGAATGATAGAGATAATCCGGAACAACATCCACTTCGATCTGACGAAAAACAAAAAGTACCCAAAGGTTACGTAAACTGGATTACTTTATCCAGCCAAACCAAATCTGTGGGGGAAAACCCTGCAGCTGCTTACCGGTAGTTCCTGTCTGGAGTTATTCAAAATGTCGCCAACCTGGTGATTCAGCATGGCATGACGAATACCCAGCAGCATTGGGATGGCCCGGCATCCCATTTTCACGCTGCAAACATACTTATAGGTAAAAATGTTTGCTGTATCATCCTCACGCGGCAGTTGTTCGACAAACGGCGGCGGTATCAACTTGAACTTCTCAGCAAAAATAACATATAGTACTTCTTTTACGGGAGGTTGATCGGGTTTTCGAAATACAAACATTGATCAAAAGCGGTTTTACATACGTGGTTGTCAATTTGTCATGATAGGATAATTATGAAGTTTTAACGCGATATAACTGGACAGATTTAAAGTCGTAAAATTTGTCCGTGATAGCGTGCAACCAAAAATCGGATCGGATGTCACTATTAAACTATAACTATTAAATGATGACAAAGACCAGACGGCCGGCACTCACCAGACAGTTAAAGGACTCTCCATGGATAATCCCAGCAGGGCGCAGGCCTCCTTTGTAAAAGTTTCACTGACGTCCAGCCATAGATCCTGACTGATCAGATCGCGATAGGGCGATTTCTCTAGACCCTGATTGAGGAAGAGCAGCGAGCCCATCAGCCGTTGCACATCTACCAACCACACAAGCAATACCTTCACCAGGGCCCTGTACTGTCTGTACATCCAGCTAAACACGATTGCAAGCCAATATTAACCATCCCATAAGGGTTGATATCGTACATATCTCCCTTAACATTTCAATAAACTGTTTTTCATCTACTCGGGGATTTGCGTTTAACATCATGGCGCTCGTTGAAGCATTGTTTATGGTTGGCCGTTCATATACTTCTGTACGTAAAAGCGTGAAAAGAAAAATTCTTGCGCTATTATGCGTCATTTTATGCCAGTGACTTTGAGCTGCTTGCAAATTTAATAATCAATTATAGTTTATAGTACTTTATACTGTAATGTATTTTATTACACCGGCGCACACCTAATTCAGAATACACTATTGGGTTACCAAATGGAAGTAAAGCAGAGCTTATTAAAGCAAAGCTTATCATAAATCGTATACTTTTTTGTAAAAAATTAAATTTTATTACTGTTCGTAAGGATTCTTTTCGTGAATCTGTTCATAATTTCTTTTTTTAAATCTTGAGTAACTTACTCGCAGCGATAAAACAATGACGAATGCCATTTCTCGTGTATGCATGAAGTTGCCTACGTAAGTAAGTACCTAAGTATTGTACCTTTAATCTGGTCGTTACAGCGGAAGCGCTGGAAATGACGGGAGTACTCGAGGATGGCCCTTGGATCGTGAGGGAAGCGGCGGATCAGTTCGATGAACTGCAACCGGTGCAGTTTGTACTCGAGAACGCTGTGGCGCTGCTCCAGCTGTTCCCGGTGCTCCATCGTCCACTGCAGAGCCGGTGCTACGTTGTGCTCGCTCAGGCTAACCAGGATTGCGTTCAACTCCACGAAGGGGCGTGCCTTGGTCTCGTCCATCTGCATGTGCGCTTCCTGTCATCGCAGTGTGCAGTCAGTGCAGTTAAGGGTCAATTTATGTTTTTTTTACTAAAATTGTAAGATTCTTTTGCCGAAAAACGTGCTTAATGTGAGAAGGCTGCTTGCTCAATAAGTACCTATCCATTCACTTTTGAATGTTTCACTGTTCGCTATTCCGATTCGCACTCGTTTCATGATCGTTGTTTTTGCTATGGAAAATTTTCATTTTGGGGTTCATCTTTACCCTCTGCTTCGTTGTTTGCCGGATTTATTAAATACGAGCACCATGTCGCGTAAAAATTCATGAATCTTGCTATTATTAATTTTTAAAATAAAAATACTAACTGTACGAATATGTTTGTACAGTACAACTATTACAATATGTTCCACTCACTTCCAGAAGCTTATTGCCCACATCCAGCAGTCCTTGCCTGAAGAGATATTCCACAATGGCCTGACTGAGATGGTCCAACTTTTCTTTACCCAACAGCGCTTCCGGACAATTGATTGCGTTGAAATCTGCGGTGAAATTCTGCAATAACATCAGCACAGCGTCATTCAAATGGAATTCCAACTGCTATCGAAAGTCAAAGACGATTCTGGACCGGCAATGGACGTCCATCTTCGTCATACAACCACTTCCAATTCCAGTTGGAAGCACATGACTGGCCTGTTTTCAGATAGATTTGTCTGATTTTGCTTGGATTTTCTTTCTTCCCTACCTTGTCAATCACCTTTCCCAGTCGCGATACACCCGCATGCAGTTCCCGATGCGATGTCGACACTTTTCCCGCCACATCCTTGGCGTTTTTTGTCGCCTGACGGATGAAGGCGGTGTTTGGCGTCGCGCGCACGGGTTCATCTGTGTCTGCATTAGAGTATTGAAAAAAATTACGTACGTGTATTTCTGATAAATATTTCAAAATAAACACGAATTTAGCTTTTTTACCCATTGGACTCCGCGCTAAAAGTTCAGCCTTGGCGTTCTCCAGGATCTGGATACTTTCGTCCACATTGCGCTCGTTGATTTTCTTCTGCGTTTCGAATTTGCTAATGATCCTCGATAATTCCGACTCCACGGTAATGCATCCCTCCATAGCTGCCAAAACAAATGTGCAGCAGTCCAACCAATTTACGATGAAGATTCGACTACTGGTTTCAACAACGCAAAGGAAAAAGTCTGAGTTAATAATCGTTTAAACTAGGGTTTGAACCTTTAATACAAGAAGTCAATAACGTTATTGTATTAAAACTGAAAATTACAAAAAGCATAAACACAAATACTTAACACTGACAAATTGCAGTGAAGAATTTCATGTTTTTCACAGGAAAGTTGACTCACAGCTCGAGTGAGTCGAAACTGCGTTGCGCAATCGTGATTCGTGAAGCGACTTGTAGCTGAAGTTACGGCTGACAAAATTGTGGCCAAGCGGTTTCGGCTCCGCTGGCGGCCGTCGCTAACACAGAGTGCGGAGTCTGCGGACCTTCCGACCTGGTAAAGGTAAGATCGCCTCGTTACCCTCCCTGCAAAGAAGTTTTTTCTTATGAGGTGAAGAGACTGAAGACTGAAGAGTTTTACTCGTACCTTTATAATCTTTATCAAATTTCACTAATAAATTTGCTCCAGAATTTGACTTGAGACTTCGAGATTCTTAAACTTTTTATGGTTTGCAGCCACTATAAATTTTTTGCCTGTTTATTGGCCAGCGAGAAAGAAAGGAGCTGAGTTTATTTATTGCTTCCAGCAGAATGAGTAGGAAGGCTTCGAAGCCCGCAGTTAATCCGGATGACTTGCTAACCGTACCCGATGGATGGAAACCTCCGAAGTTTCAAGCAGAAGATAATCCCCATGGGATGTTGTCAGAAAGTAAGATGTCCTTAGTAACCTTACCGAACTTTGCGTTGTTTTTGTCGTACAATACGGATGGATTGCCTTAGGTTCGTTTGCCACGTTATTTCCGCGGTACCGCGAAAAGTATTTGAAAGAATGTTGGCCGCTCGTCAAAAACGAACTGGGAAAATACGTGAGTAACTTATGAATATTTTTTGTAAATGAAAATTTGAAAGATTTTAGTTCCTTGACTGCTTTTGTTGTGTGCCAGAACTTGAAAGCGGAACTGGATCTGATCGAAGGCAGTATGCGCGTGGCGACCACCCGCCAAACCTGGGACCCCTACGTCATCATTAAAGCGCGCGATCTCATCAAACTGCTGTCGCGCAGCGTTCCCTTTGAGAAAGCCGTCCGCATCCTGGATGACGACGTGGCCTGTGATGTGATTAAAATCGGATCCCTTGTGCGCAATCGGGCCCGGTTTGTGAAACGCCGACAGCGGATTGTCGGTCCTGACGGAGCCACGCTCAAGGTAGTCTACGTGCGATGGGATGATTTCCGAAATCGCTGGAAAATTTTTGAATTAAATTTTTTTGTGAAAGTTCAGTTTGTTATTGGTACATACTTCCCGGCTGTTTCTACTATTTGCTTCAGTTTGTACAGTGCGTTTTGATATTATTAATCACTGAATAGGTAAAATGAGCTATGTGGAACAACTGCGCTGTGGACCTTGATTGGAGAAATTGTTTTTTTTTCAGTTTGTTTGCAATTTTCGAGTGAAAAAACAGCATCATCCGTATTTTTAAAATAACGTAAAGTGTGCGCTCTTTGTTTGCGTCGCTGATTACCGTTGGAATTTTCTGCGCAGTTACTGTATTTAACAAGTAAGACGGATGCTTTTCAGGCCATCGAATTATTAACCAAATGCTACGTGCAAGTGCAGGGGCAGACTGTAGCCGCAATCGGACCGTTTAACGGATTACGCGAGGTAAACTGAGGGAATTACTGCTTGATTTTTCTGCTCCCTAATAGACATGTTGCGTCATTCGTATAGGTGCGGAAGATCGTCGAAGAGTGCATGAAGAATATCCATCCTATTTATAACATTAAGGTACGGCGGTAGCTATCATTTTCCTTCGGTTTTGGCGGAATGAGGTTGAATTTTTAATTAAAACCTGTATGACTGGAATCGAGGTTAATTGAAGCTGCTTCTATCGATCCTTCTGACGTGACGGGAAGAGTAATTCTGCTGCGGTCCTTTTCCATCTACATTTGTGGTACTTGTATTCTACACGGCCATTTGCCGAGTGTTTGATATTGCTCCAGTTTTTCTCTGCTTAGAAAAATCATCTAATCATTTAACAACATATTTTCAGGTTTTTCAATTTGTTTATGCGTTGCACCTTTAGCGCATTGTATTTTTAGGCTTTAATGATCAAGCGAGAGCTGGCCAAAGATCCTACCCTCCGCAATGAATCCTGGGAGCGCTTCTTACCCAAATTCCGCCACAAAAACACCAGCAAACGATTCAAACCTCATAAGATTCGCGTCAAGGGCGACTACACTCCGTTTCCCCCCGCACAACCTGAAAGCAAGGTAAATGACGCTGTTTTTTATAACTTTACCACGTTGGGATTTTACAGACTATGTAACAGTACATATACAATGTACGACAAAAAGAGGTTGAACCGATCAGTCGGTCCGCGGTTCAAAATAACCTCGCAACGACACGCCACCACTAAAACTTGGAAGATTGTTCACTACTTTCAGACGCTCGCGCTCCGTGAATATCAAAGTGCAGCTATACTAGTTGTATATCAAAAGGTGTAGAAAAAAATTTTAAACTTTTTGATACTAAACTTGTGGCTGTTTATGGCGAACAGCACAAATTCTAGCCATTTTGCTTTCTCGTGGGCACATCATAGGATCTGTGCGCATAACCGTTTGGCTTGCAATCAATGCTTAAGTCTATGGGAAAGCAAAATGGCTAGAATTTGTGCTGTTCACAGGTTTAGTATCAAAAAAAATTTTTCTACAATATGCATTCAAATAGTATTTTGAACCGCGACCGACTGATTCAACCCTACAATACAGTGCGGTTTCTCATACTGGGGATATGTGATAAAGTTTTATCTTCATTCAACAGTATATTCCTAATTTTTGTTTTTAATGTCTGTACGTACGTGGTCTGTACGTTTCTCGGTGTTCTCATCATTCTCTGTTTTTGACTTGAATTTGTTAGTTTGAATGCTTCGGCTGAGATCATTTACTGCGCAATGTGATAGTAGAGCCGACTCGAGAATAGTAGAATAATAATAGCACGGTAATGAAATAATTTTTTTACGAAGGGAATGCTTTCGAGCAGTACTAATCTGTAAGGCTGTATGTTGTGTGTTCACCGTCAAAGACGGGTTGTGCAGTATATTTTTTTCGGAATTATTATTGTCATTTGTCCGTATATTTTTGCAGGTTGACAAGGAAATTGCGACGGGAGAGTATTTTCTCAAGAAGGAGGACAAGCAGACGAGAAGGAAAGCCAAGAAAGAGTGAGACTGTTTAATTTGTGAAATGCGTCATTCTATTAATTAATATATAAATTTGATGCTTGATTTCCGCTGCGTAAGCATTGATATGTATGTATACGGCGCGCACCTTGCTGTTCTGCTTGTTAGTGGAATGTTGCTTGCAGTACATTTCTGAAAAAAATTGATATTTTCTCTCACCCCGCAAATTGCATACTAGTTACAATTTTATCTGTAATGGGCGAAAATTGACATGCGCGTCAGAGATCAATTAAAAGCTTGTCTCTGGTTGGATTATCCCGATTTACATCTAATCCGCACCAGCGGCTCGGCGGCGGCGGCGGCTTTCGGCCGCTGTGCAGGCGGCGCAATCAGTGTACATTTCATGAGACTCTATCCCGATGTTTCCTCCGCACATTTGCTCCTGCAGACCTGCACGTTGAAATTTTTTTAGCGATGAGGTGTGATATCATAGTTGCGGTGTTGTGTGTGGCGGTGTGTTGTGCAGCAGCGGAGGGGGAGGCCGAAGATGCCGGTGCAGTGGTTCTTGGTGAGGGTCCCGCCGCGGCGGTGGCGTCGGGTTCCGCTTGGGATTTTCCCGGTGGGAATGATGCGCTGTATGATCTGGCGCTGGCGAGTCTGCTCAGTGCGGCGCCGCCTGCAGAGGATGGCGGGGATTCTGCCGAGACAGCTGAACCGCCGAAGAAGGTCAGTGGGCGCCTGATTGTGGCGTGGCGTTAATGAACGGAATTAGGTACACCCTGTATAATTTGGCGTGCGTAGCGGAGGGGTTAATCGTAGAATAATCCAGCATAGTTGGCTTGTTCAACATCGAACAACCGGTGGCTGTTTATGGAGCCGATGTTTTCTCCAGGTTATTCAAAGAAATGCTTGGCAGTTCGATTACACTAGGGTAGGGTTATTACAGCTGACCTGCAATTTACTGTGCGGGCAATTAAATTGTTTTTATTTTTTTGTTGTCTTAATGAATAACACGTTATTTAATTTCTAACTAATTCATTTAAATCCTGTCATTGCCGCTTTGGTAGTGCAGTTATTTAATTTGTTATGAGAAAGCCATTGCATAAGCTGAGGGTGTGTATTTCATCTCGACATTCCTGAAAATTTTCAGGCTAACAATTAAGGACGTGAAATTCGTTTGATGGAAGTGCTTGTTGAGTTTTTGCTACTATTACGTAACGAAATAATCATGAATACAGTTATTGTATTATTTCCGAAATTTTTCTGTATGAGAGCGTTTGTTTTATGTTCAAGTATGTTGTATCAAAATTAACGACGCCCATGATAAGTTCATGCTGTTACCGCATGCTAATGCAAAGTGCTGACTGCCATAGCGATTCATCGCCTTCCTGACACCCCGGCAGACATTGCGCGCCATGTTCCGTCAGGTACACCGCCTGGATAAACCGCTGCCTGAGACGGTGACCCCGCCGACTGCCTCGCCATCCCCGCTGCACCCCGGCCGTTTGGACACCGTTATTGGCACCCTGCCGGCTTTCTCAGGGAAACGCCGCACCCGACTGGCGAGTTACGTCCGCTTCACTTGATTACTTCGATTAACTGACAGACACGGATGGCACATGTACCTGGCAATAGATCCGAAGAGGATGGATTTTATTTATAATTACTCGTACTGTAAATGACGACTTGCGAAGCAAAACTACTGCGCACCCAGTAAAATATAATGCTTGTAGAATTGTGTTCTAATTGTTCGATCTGCGGTATTTATTTCTTAGAATTTATTGCATTCTTTCACTTGTCCACAGTTTCTTTAGGAGATAATTTTAAGCGTTGATTACGAATAATATGCTTTGCTGGTCTTGTATATTATCGTCAAACCTTGGGAATGGCTCGGTCACTCGAAAAACAAAAAGATAATAAACAGATTGCTGTCAATTCGGTTGATTAGTGTACTTAATTTCCAAAAATATTGCACAGATATTGATTATAATAAATTATATTGCACATATCATTACGACAAGCCAAAACTAAAGCTGAAAGTACAGTATTGCATAAAGGAAAAGAGAATTTTTGCTGACATCGGCGGCGAGCACCAAGTGGAGTGATCGGCTGATGCGAAAGACAAACAATGATAAACTATGATGATTTTGTATTTTTATTATTAAAACCGTGCTCCTGTCAGTTTACCAATGGGAATCAAACGTGTTTTCACAGAAACTTCGAAACTGTTATTCTGTGCAAATCGATGGATATAATTATCAGAACAACAAGGATGACTGCGATCATGCAATGTGGGTCTGTAGGATTCTTTTTGCACAACGCTAGTTCCAAATTCCTGTACCGCTTTGCTATGGGTAAACAAGAAGCCGTGGATACCGGCTGATACAGTATTGTCTCTCACGCTATATACCGTAAGCGACCGTTGGGAGAAAAATATGTTATTCCTGTTTGGCAGAGGGAAAGATGTTGATTGCATGCCGAAGCGGCACACGTCAGCGGTGTGCCTATTATAACCGCCGACCACGTATGATTATCCCGTGTGTGCAACGTTTACCATATGCACACCGGGTGATATCTTGAAGATTCCGGCAGGTTTAAAGGTGTGCACGGATGTGGCGAGGTGCCGTTGTATGAATATTCTACCGAATTCGTCCGCTTAACAGTTTCACATAGCGCAGCCAGAGTCTTACTATGCCGTTTGTTATAAAGGTCAGCCAGTGTGTCTGAGACCGCTATGTGCGTCTTCTGCAGCATTTTCTTTTCTAGTCTTTATCCACTATCCTGTTATTGTTGGAGCTGGTTTTAATTAAGAAAGCTCCTATCTGTCATCTTCTTTTGTCCGAACTGTGAAACTTATAGCTTCGACTGCAAGTCTCTATTAGACAGTAACAGGTGAAAAGGTCACCACGGGATGTCGTATCCTGAGCGGTTTCTTTTGATCTTATTGCCGGCGATGTGGGGCATGTTGATAGGTCGGTACGCTGGGGCCATGTATCTGTCGCCCGCAGCGGGTGCCGGCATCCTTCCCTTTAACGTGGACGGGGAATACGCGGATGAGGCCTTCCTGCAGAAAAGGGACGGGAGCAGTGAGTTCCTGCCGTCCGATGTACTGCATTTACCGATGCAAGAGGGTTGGCCGGTTGATCTTTCCGGGGATGATCGGGATGAAGAAAATGGAGATTATGTCATTTCGTCGACACGCCGCAAGGTGCTTTGAGAGCGCGTCAGTGTTTATTAGTTAGAAAACATACTTCTATACCATATTAGGGGCTAAAGTATCGTAATCATTAGCTTCGGCCATTGGTTTTAATAAGCAATAAGAATAGTTTGCATGTGTCATCAAAAAGGGCAACTTTACATCCGTAAACAGTAATTCACTCCGTAATGGAATGAATTATTGTTTACTTGCACAAAAATGTATCTTCACTGATTCAATGCATACGACTCTGCTTTTGTAACGGTACTAACATACAGCGTACTAAATAAAATTCTGCCATTCGAATTTTCTCCAATTTAAAGAAGTGGTCGTCAATACACCAAGGTAGAAAATTAGGAGAAAGAAGAAAACAGCAACCTTTCGAGGTCAGAATGAATAAAGTCGAGAAACCGCTTATTCTGTTTTGTGCTTTTCTCTGCGGATTAATTAATATGAATGGCGAAATCATCAATGTACATACAGCAAAATGGCAGCATTCAGCTCGATTTAAGGAAAATTTATGATATTGTTCAATTATTCTAGCTATTACAAAAACCTCTCAAAGGCAAAAAAACTGCACTTATTTTACCTGTTGCTTGAGTTTCTAAAATCCAGTACGGACTGTACGGTTAAAGAAAACATGATGATCCGACGTCAGCTTTTTTTGGTTATGGTAACTTTCTTTGAAGACTATAGTGCTACAGAGCTCAAACGGCCCAACTTAGCTTTAAAAAACAAGATGATTTGCTTAATTAAATTAAAATGCGACCTCTGAAAAAGTTGTTTATTGCAGCGCTTCTTCTCCATATTGTCGCCTAAGGAGCGCCTTCGTGCTCTGTACTTCCGCACGAAGCCACGGCCCAGTGCAGAGCGGCAGCGCGAGGTCAACCGCGTGTTGGCCTTAGTGCCGCACATGAGTCCACGGCTGCCCAGCAGCGCCTTCGGGCGACTGTCTCAGTTAACCCCGGTGAACTTGCAGTCCCAGAGCGGGCAGGCGGCATCCGGTCTGAAGGAATCCCTTAGCAAAATCTTGCAGATGCAGGCCGCCTCCGCTCGTCACGGCCCGCATAAGTCGACCATCAAGACGAAGTTTTTGGCGACACCTGCCGCACCGGAACCGGATGCCCTCCTTAGCCTGAATGATGACCCCGTGATCTGAGCTTGTTCATACGCGCTTACCAGATTATTTATTTAGTTTTTCTTGTTAGATGTATATAATGTATTATAAGTCAGGAAAGTTCTTCGAGTGTCTGTGTTTCCCTGTATGCAACGCTGCTGGTAATACATTTCTGCTGTTCGCAACATTTGTTTGGTATGTGTGAGAAACAGCAATTAAAAACAATTATTTGCGATACCGCACAGGTGAACTGTATACTTGCTTGTATGTTCTAAACATAAACTAAAGATTCTGCAAACCTGTTCTTTGCTGTAGTTAAAACCTATGCTAGGAATACTCCTGTACTTGCGGTAAGCCGGATAGACAGACTTCTTTCCAGTTTCAGATTATAACTATCCTTCATATAATACAGTCCATGTTGTGCCATTGGCAGTAATGTATGAAACTGCGTGCAACGCCTACAATTTTACGGCTGTGAACTTAAACTGTAACAGTATATACCACTTACTGTAATTTTGATTAAATCAACGCAACGAGATGCAATCACACATGCGACCTTTGGTACGGTTCACGCGCTGGCAAGGAAACCCAGACGGTTGGCCTGAAGACAATAACGGCATCTGCGTTTTGTTTTTTTGACGCTAATGTGTATTCTGACTCGTTGCTGCGGTTCGAGCTCTTCAGCTGGCCTACTGGTCACTCATGAAGTGTCCGCCATGCAAAAATTTGTTTTGGGACTCTTGGCGGTATGTTCTACGGCTGTAATTAAATAAATTTTGGATCCAGAATTAATAAATTTGGTACTGCTCTATCGGTTGAATTGATTTCCTATTTATATTGCATCGTAATTTCACAGAGATTTTTAATAAATAAATATCTGTGTTGTACACGATATTATTTTAAACCGTCATAAAAACGAGTAAACTGATAAATTTTTCTGCATACTTAAATTGCGAATGTTCGAGTATTAAACAGTATGTAATACATCACTGGATAGATTTCGGAGTTTTATTCTGCCCCGGGAGTTGCGTTGTTTCCTAATTTACAGGTGGTAGGCAGCGTCATCTGCGGCATTTCCGGTGATGCACCAGCGGGCTATTACCGCGTCCAGGCGGATCTGCTGCAGCTGCAGAATCCCCTAGGCGTGCGGCACGACGGAAAACCCTGCGACCGCCTGGGAGTTTGCGATCCAGGTAGGTCAGCCGCATGCCAAAGGTCATGTTACAACATATATTGCCTGCCCTATACATGTATTACGCCGACATCACACGCTCTTTGGCAAGACTAATCCCCTTGTTTTCACCACTGACCGCAGTCATCAAGGTTTTCCTTGACACGTAAGTCATCATGGCTGCATAAACCAATCCACTTTCTGCCGTTTTTGAGAGCTGCATATAATAATCAAATTATTCAACGATACGAGTATTAGATATCAGAGCTATGTTTTTAAATCTGCCGTTTTCATAGTTGGTACCATTCCGCATGATTCGGTTTATTGACATTTTCTTAATTGCTCATTACTTATAAGAATGGACTCTAGTATTAAATAAATTAAATACCATTAATTGTGTTTTCTGATTGTATCAAAAATAATTGTAGCCGGGTTTTTATGGATAATGAACTGAACGCAGACAAATAATATATACAGTACTGTAATGTTCCGTAACGGGATCAATTATGTAATTGTAGTTGATGAGAAGCGATAAGTTAAGGATCGAGTGGGTGATCTTAACATGTGATATTGCAGTGAAAGGCCGATGTCGGCGTTTCCGGGACCACGCTACATTTCGCAGTACACCAAAATCTTCTCCGCCGTCGACCAGAACGAGCCAGTGATTAATAAAAATGTACGTATAACGGAATAGACTTGATCTATTAATAATCTCCGTTATAACCGCAGACGTAATGGTATCACTGCAATACGATACTGACACAGCACACTTTTATCGGTGATACAGTAATATTAGAGTGGGATGTTCGGTTATAAAGCCGGCTTGTTTTTTCCCCGGGGAAAAAGGATTGAGGTCTGATTAAGCGGTCGGGTAAGCAGGATTATGGTAAATGCTGAATCTGCTCGCTTACCCTCCACGCAACAAGTCGCCTACTGTTGAAATCAACGAGGTCATGACCTTTCATTTGCATTATTTGCACCAGAGTCGCAGTATAGAGAGGATTTACCGACTATCATGCAATAGTGTGTACACTGCTGCAGATTCATATCTGAAATTCTGAACCAGCGAAAATGAATATCCCCAACTCTGACAAAAAATTCAGGTCTAAAACGATGGTCGGTAGCGTAATTTACTATAAATCAATCATATGTTTAACTTCGCAATCACTCTGATTCTGCGTCGTTAAATTTTTCATATTGCGAACCGGAATGCATTTGTTGTCATGCCGGCTTTTATCGGACAAATTTTAATTTATGTCCTCCAGTACAACTTTTCATTGTGCTAGGCTATTTCAGTTAAAAAATTCCGGTTACCGGTATTTCTTTTTTTAAGTCACTGATGACAATAATGCAAGTAATCGCGCTGTGTTCAGTGTACACGTGCCATCACTTGGAATACTGGCACTTATAAATGGGAGCGCGATAGGGTAAATAATGTTTAGAGTAGCTTTCGCAATTGAATAAGCGTAATATCGAAGGGGAACAGTTTACTTAACTGCCTTCATCCTTTATTTTTTCCTGCTTTGCAGCTATCTGTTCCATTTAAAAAGGGAAGAACGGTAGAGCGCATTGGGCAGCAGCGCTGCTGCTTATTGTAATAATTATGATAGCATATTATGATAATTGTAGTGTCGCGGTTGATCGCCTGCACCCAAGAATCAATAGTATTACGAAAGGTGTGGCATGTGGCTCGGTACCCATCATCGAGTTACGCAGATTAGGCATGACGTGTGCGCGGTGTGCCCGTCTTCAAAGAAGTCCCCACGATGACTGCAAATGGTTAGAAATTTCACAAAGATTTTAAAATTTTCATATTTTTATACCAGTGTTGTGTGGAAGAATAAAAGTGCCGGCGACTTTTAACTACCACGTTTAAATTTGCAGCATGCCTAACAATTGTAAGTAAGCAAATGTTACATTCGTACAGATAGTTGTCACTTGACAGCTGATGGCTGAGAGTACCTTATTTTATCCCAGTACAGGCATATCACCAAACAACAACAAGGGCGTGAACGGTCAGTTAAGCCGGGGCAAAAACGAAGCCACAGAAATTTACCCTTCTCTATACCTTATTACCACGGCCGTTGTAGTTTACAAGAGAGTCAGCGTCATATTCATATACAGTACCTGGCCGCGTCAGAGTGGGGGCGCTCATGCACAACACAACGCCGACATTTCCGGCATCCGAATTAACCGCTCACAGCCGACACCTGGTCTTACGTAACAGCAACAACATGCTTAGATATGCGCGGGTGCAGTTGTTTTGCCTTCTGCCCAGCTAACAGTAATAACGCACAACGCATATATCACGGAATTGACTTGAAATTTCAACTCCCTCTCTAAACGGTTTCGAGCGGCATCGTCTACTCTAGTCATTGTAAATGTTGGCTAGGCTTTCTTTTGCTTTCTGTACATGTTTTTGCGATAAGTAAAAAGCGTTGATTCCGTCAAAACATTTGTTTTAATATTGCTATATTTACGGCTCATGGCTGAAAAACCCCAGTATTTCGGGGTTTGTATTTCGCGCCGGTAATACGAGATTAGCCTTAGTACGAGTCTATTAATTGTGTCCATTGTGGCGCGCACATGACGATGTCAGATATTTCGAACATACTGACTTCCAATTGCAAGTCAAATCTGATTACCTATTTGCATGCAAACGAAAACACCTATGGAATTCAATGAAACTGAGTACTGCACTATATGTACTTTGTACTAACGGTAAACGTGTTAACTCGCTGCTGGACTGTCCATATAGTGCTTTCGCTAGCTAATGGAAATTTCTTGAATGTTGTAGGTATCCGTGGACATTTGTGGACAACCGTTCTCGGTGATGCATTTACTGCTCCTTCTCCTTTGTAACGGCAATGCTATCCGTTGTTTAGTTGCACCATATGTATCGCTGTAGAAAATATTTGGAGTGAAATTGAAAACTTATTAATTAAAACCATGTCATTTGTTTTGCAGAAAGCTAATCTTCGGGCATATGTCAAAGACGGTAAGTATAGAACTAAAATGTCCCACTGCAGTACAATTCGTATACCATGATCTGATTATACAAATGTAATACGAAGTGTCTAGTTGGGTTCAGCCAGCAACCAGTGCGATTACTGTACTTAATTTCTTCTGCACAAAAAATGCGTATGTGGTAAACTGTGTATTTATGTAGTGTTTTACAGTGGTTTAATAAAATAAATATTATGTATGTATCTATTATGATTTACTCTGTAGACGATTCATTTCTGCGCCTGACGGATGACCATATCAGTGACTTCGACTGCATTTTTTCGCCGACACCGGCAGCGGATGAGGCTTCAGCTCAGTGGTCGAAAGGGGAGCCCTGTCAGGGTACAACACAACCCGGCAAGATCAAGTACGATTTTGTGTTTTCACCCCCTTGCGGATCATGTTGCTCTCACATACCACGATCATTCTCGTCTGCTTTTAGGTTGTTTTATCGCTACCGTGTCTTCACCATCCCACCTGAACAGTGCCGTCCCACGCCCCCACCGCAATCGGGATAAAATTATTGGAGCTTCCTCAACACTACCATGCTGCCGCCCTGCGGGTGGCGAAACTGCGCTTTAGAATTTGCTCTACAAATAATGTGATGTTGTCCACTTACGCACTTACGAGAACCCGTAGCGTATACAAGTAAACCTTTAAAATCCGTACGGTTCACGTCAATTACAACTGTTTTTTGATCGATTTGAAGGGCATTTTGAATCCTTAAATCCTTAAATGTTGCACTCGTACACATTGAACACGGAAATTCGTAGACAGCCGCACTGGCTAATCAGCAAATCTCAAGACTCAAATACTGTAAAAAAAACAATGCATAGCTCCACTTTTCACCGGGAACAATTAATCGAGTCGTCTGTGCATACAGGCATTTCGTCAAAATATCTGAAATAATGGAATGAAATTAGCAACCGGTGCGAAATCGCGATACACCTACTTTTTCCGCGTGCTGACTTGTTGATATTTGCCAAGAATTTTTTCCATTATCAAAATGCTAAGAAAACCGGCAGATTCTATCATTCAGGGCTTGCCCATTTTCTATCGTGGGGACAGTTTCCTTCTCCATCAGGTGCCACGCGTAAGATGGTTTTTCCATCACGTTCTCCAACAATTTCAAAGAACGTTAATTTTTTAAAACAGCGTTGTTGATAAAAAAAATTGAGTAATATAACGGGCAACTGCCAAAAATGCTGCGTACTTTGTTTTATTTCTTCGACATGTTAATTCTGTGATTTTCGTCGAATGCGACTCATCCTGGTCGGACCCGTTCATGGCATAATTACATTAATTGACGGCGGCGAAAAATCTGCCGGCCAGATCTCAGATTAAGCTATGCACTTCCGCCAGGCAGAGTCCACTTTGTTGATCAATCGACATCTTGAAAACCCGTACCCACTGCATGGTTGCTAATTCGTCTGCCAAGTGAAAGATAGCTTTATTCGGCTGGATACGTAGCATTATTTCAGTTAGTCTTCGTCGGCACCGGCTGCAAGTCACTTCCAATTCGCTGCACGCCGGCAGAAACCCACAATGTTTAAGGCTGCTTTCCTCTTGACCTTTATGGTAAGTTAAACCCACCACAGTGGCCATGTATGCAGTATGCTGCATTTCATTTGTTAATAATTATTCTTCGCATGAAGCATACATATTTCGGATTTAATGTTCTGCATAAAGTGTTCTCCAGTTGCTTTCAGTATTTCAAACCAGAAAAGCTTTCAATGTTTCTAAAATTGAATGTTTTATTTCTTGATAATACGTTTGGTTTAATGATTATTTTTATCTTGTTCACCGTACTTATTCAGCTGCATCTGGGAGCCTTAATTGCATGATTATTGGAAATCTTTCGAATTACCTGCCCATGTGGTGACTTGTTTATGACGCTCGATGCCTTGCTAATAAGTTCAAAAATTTGAAAATAGTATATATGCTACGGTAACGTATACGTATATTGTTTAAGGTTTAACGCATACCGGTATACTGTATAACGGTTACATAACGATCACTTACTACATGCAGTTTATCAGTTGATCTGATCTGCACCGCACAGGTCTACTGCGCTGCCTCGGAGCGCATCAGCAACGTGGAATCGCCGTCATGGAACCGGCGTACCACCACCGAAGACTATGGCTACCTGTCCGGCCGTGACCGGGACTCTTCGCGCTGGGGCTCCTCCGGCAGCAGCTACGACCGCGACAACGACCGATGGGGCAGCGCCACCGAACGACCCGGCTCGCACCGCTTCACCTACAGCTGGGAACGGGACTCCACGCGCTCCTCATACTTGGATCGCTTCACCACGCAGTCGCCCTACGACAGCGACCGCTATGACCGATACGATTACAGCAGCCGCCGGCCCAGCTACCAAACCGACCGATGGGGAGACGCAATTGGAGGCACCACCCGCAGCCCCTACGTCACCTGGTCCTCGGGGCGGGATGCCACTGATCGCTGGGGAAATCGCGCCACGACCGACCGCTGGGGCTACCGAGATACTACGGACCGTTGGGGATCCAGTGGATCAGGTTAGTGAAGGTTGTCGCCAGAAAAATTTGAAGAATAACATTTTCCAAAAATACAAACTACGATCCGTTAAGTAGATGCATGACTGCAAATAACCGTCAAGAAAGGCCGAGTAATGATCAAAAGGACGATTTAAGTTATGTGTAGAGCTGGCAGTTACTGCCTTTACAGTCGATATTTATAATATTATAATGAAACCGGTTAGGTTTCCTTCCGCTGTTAGTGGGTTATATGGGTATTCTCGGCGCAGTTTTTCGTGATCTCTCGACAGAAAAAGCGAGTTGTATAGCATATTTGTATTTAAGGATCGGGATCTTATTGGGACCGCACCACTTCCCGCTGGGGCTCTGGTCACGGCAGCAACAACGATCGCGATCGTTTTGACCGCAATGAGGCATATGTCCGCATCATTGCCGAGCTGAAGAAGCTGACCAACGACAAGGGCCTCACTATTGACGGCAGCAAGTGCGACACCTTCGGACAATGCGATCCCGTCTTCAAGGTCTACCTCGATACGTAAGTGTTCGCACTGTCCGGCGCTTTTTAACATACGGACGTGTACATAGGAACTACCATAAAAGTACAAAAAATGTATTATCTGACTACCACGATTCACCGTTATGTAGTGAACGCCCCAACGCTGAGTTCCCCGGTGCCCGCGACTCCAAGTACTGGCCGACCGTCTTCCACGTCGACGACAGCAACAGCCCAGACATCCGCAACGGAACCGTCACCCGCGACGTCTGTGGTGTTCCCTATCGTGTATGCACGTTTTGCTCCTTATTTTTGCGTTCCTCGTAAAACATTTTGCTCTTTATTTATTAACGACTAATTAAACATCGTACGTAACATAATAGGAAAGAAGCTTAGGAAATTAAATCTACAAAATATTCAGGTTCACCTAACAGTTACAATTAAGCCTACAATTATGATAGCACCGTTTACGGAACCTGCATATTTTATTGAAATACTATATTACTATTTAATTTTCAATAGATTTTAGCCGGCATATTTTAAGTTAGACGAAACTGTTAGTACTGCATATATAGGTGCACATTGCAGTACAGAGTCTGTACAGTAATTTTCTTACAGGATGCTACCCTGCGCGTGCTGGTTGAGGACAAGGACGGCCTTTCCTCCAATGACATCATCAATAACTTTGACTGCAGCATCACTCGGGAGCCGGACAGCAGCGAGACCTTCGCCATGTGGCACGACGGCGTGTGCACGGCAAAGAAGCAGGGCGATAAGATGAAGTGGGTGCCATTAGCTCATTGCTTAATATTGACCATGGGCGGATACCGCACGCGGCATCCATTACAATATTCTCCTTTACAGGTTGACCTTCCGCTACAAGGTTTTCGTCATTCCTCGCAGCCGCTGCGATCCCAACTCAGGAGCCCTGGGTGGAACCACCACCAAACGGCGCCATTAGACTACCCTTTGGCAATCAGCTGTAGTTATAAAATTAATACAATAGAGATTTATTGAGCGATGTGATTTTCGGCTTGGTTTTGATTTGAACCGGCTTTTGTCTACGGCAGACAACTGGTTGTTTAACGTACCGATGCTGCATGTACAATTCATATGCGACGTCGATTGTGATTTATGTCTTGCTTATAGAATTATATAACGTTTGTGATTCGTACAAAAAATATGCAAATAAGAATCGAATATGCATCAATATTATGCACGCAGCAAGCGGGGTTTGTCCATCCTTGAAAATTAATAATGATGGCAAAAGTATAATACGAACAATAACCAAGCCACTGTATTGCCAGCGAGTATGTCATGGCCCATGATCCAGTAAAATTTCCCGCAAAGACGACGACAGTAATCACGAACTCGTATTTATTGCGCCCACCCAATGCGTGTGGTTTTCAACCAACCATTAGCTCCGGAATCAAAGTAGGCGCTTTACTGGGTACGCCTGGCAGAGGCACCGCATTTCTTGACCATAGTTCAGCTTTTCTAATAAAACCCGTATTAATTTTGTTCGCTGGAGTAATAATCTGGACAACTAATCAACAACGTTTGCGCTAGCTGGAAACGAAGGCGTGCATAATGCATATGTACCCGCAGGCTGTGCAGACTACTGTAATGCTTTGTTTATAACTTTATAACATTACCAAGCCCAGTTTTTTATTTGCCGATCTCGTTCGGAATACAGTACTGCACCGGGGTAATTTAGGCTCGTGGATATTGATTGCACAGCCGATACAATATTAATTTTGTAAACAAGTTACGATGAAGGTGGTACTCTTTATTACCAGTTGTGCGGTAGGCATTCTGAATTCAGAAACGCACCAAATATACAGTACTACGGTAGTACACTATCTAATGCGTACGGCTGTTTCTGTATTAGGTGGCCCTGGTTGCAGCACAACGTGATCGCGACCGATGGGTTTCATCCAGCGAAAGGGACGGTCAGTAGAATGAAGAGAAGAATAGTATATTTTTTAACTTTTGAAGACATGGACTTTATCGAGTATTTAATTAGCGATTTACTCCGCTTTCTTATGTGCATCAAATTAAAAAATTAACTATTTTGGGTTGACATAATAAAAATTTTACTGCATAATTTTTTATGTACTTACTTCTTATACTCTTATACTTACGTAGTTTAAAGTGCTGCTTGAAACTTACAATTTTGCACTGAATCGCGTTAATCTGCATGGCGCGAATGGAGGCGTGTTTTTCGTTGTTTCATAAACCCGTAGAAATTATATTTCTTAATTATATTGACTTTTTAAGGCTACTTTGGTTTCTAACTTTCCATCGCCAAATTTCAAAACTTTTTCTGAATCAAGCCGGTACTACAGAGCCCACGTACAGATATAACCATTTGATCAGTGTTATTAATATGGACGTTCTGCGTTCTGAATGCCTGCAGATTTCGGCTCGCAACGCAGCAACCGTTTCGACAGCAACAACGCCTACCTCCGTGTGGACATTTTGCTGACCAAGTTTCATAACCCCGACGGTGTGCGGATGGACGGGAAGAAATGTGACTGGCTGTCGGCATGCGACACCTGGATACGCGGCATGATTGACTTGTAAGCCGCCATATTCCCCACATTCATTGTCGTCGCCATTTGTATTTGTACCGCAAATGTTTCGTCGGACAGTGAGAACCCAGACGCACCCTTTCCCGCGATCCCCGTTCCTTACAGCTGGCCGAAGATCGGCGAGAAGTGGGCCAACAACATCATCCCGACCATTCACCCATCGGAGGGCAATATTACGCGCGAATTGTGCGGCGACCGCTATCGTGTAGGTTATATTTGCGCGGAAATACTTATACAAAACGAATATTAACTGAAATTTTGTATAGGAGTATTTGACCGAGGCGCTGACAGGATGCAGTATTAATATATATTAGATGACGTTAGGATTCAAATACTTAGAAAACTTACTTCAAATACTTATTGTAGAGCGCTGAGTTTTACTTCGGATCAAAATGCGTTGCCGTCATTGCGTAATTATTAAACTTACCCAAGTACTGTACGAGTAATAAAAAAAAGGAAGATTGTAACCCCTTCCTGCACTCTCCGGCCAACTGGCCGAAACATCTCCCCGGCAAAATCAAACTGCACCCGGTACTGGTTGACTAGAGCCAAGTACTTACTATAGTGTGAGGAGGACTGGTAACCTACCGTTTGACGTCATCACTCTCGCATACACGGGAGGGCGGCTGCCATGGTGACAGATGCGCGTTTTTTACGGTTTTTGTCAGTTTTCTTAGCATATTTCTTTTCTCTTCTATTTCTAGCCCCTCATGTTTGGGTTTCTAAATTCAATAGGATCTGTTAAAATATCCTAGAAAGCTTTAGAGGAGAAAGGAACTGAGAATATCTTTAAAAAGGGACAATAAAATCTGTGGGCCTATGGTAAGCAATAGCACACCATTGCATTCTGTATGCGACAGTGATGACGTAGTCGACCGTTGCAGAGTCGCTTCCCAGTCCTCTACCTATAGTAAGTTCTTGCTAGAGCAGTAAAAGGAATTGTTCAAACGGCCTGTTTTTTATCTCTGTATTATAAGATACCTGTGATACGATTTAACATACGATACGTGTGGTAACACTGGCGAGTGCATGTGTTCCGGGCAGCCGTTATCAGTTGCGCATTATAGGGCGTCAACCTTCGGGTAGTAATACAAGATTGGGACGGGCTGGGAAGTCGTGAGGACATCAACTTCTTCGACTGCCGCATCACTGCCGATCCTGATGCTTCGGAATCAACGGCCATCTGGCGACAGGACGTCACGTGCATACCGGTATACAAAGGTCACACCATGAAGTATGCACAGCAGTTAACGCGCGCTACAGCAGATTGACTGGCGTAACGTATATCGTGCCTTTGTTGCAGACTGGACTTCAAGTATCAGATCTATAAGATTTCTCGCAGTCAGTGCAATCCACAGCGGCTGGCGACACGCTTCCGCGGGCGCCGCTAATCTGTGATCTCGAATCAGTTTTCCTGTAGCCAGGATGTTGTGCTTTAATTGATATAGCCTCCTATATTTACCAGGATTTAGGGAGTGCATGTACGTAGACCGCGCTCTTAATTCAAACGTTCGCTGATTTGAAGAAAAAAGATTTGTTGCGGGCAACGAAGGCAAATTTTGCTCTGTCTTATTTCGTATGTCTTATTTCGTAAAGTATCATTTGCTCGGCCTCATTAAAATTATCGTTTTGCTTAAATAACTTTGATGTTTTTGGTTTCCGATGGAATATCCAACTCGTCCGAAGATTGAATAAACAAGATTAACTTGCCCGAAGAAAGATTTGTTCTTATTTTTCTACAATCGTTCATATGGCATTTACTTTATACAGCAGTTTACTGCTCTTGTAACGCTCTGCAAATATCGAGCCATATTGCATTACAGTTACTTACAAAATTAATGATGCTATACAGCTGGTTTTCAGTTTCAACCACTAAATTTGCTAAAAAAAAATTTAGTGGTTGAAACTGTCGGTAGTGAAAATTTAGAACTGTATGCGAACGAAGGCGATCGGTATCATGTAGCGTTATTAACCGATTAATCGTGATTCGTGCAGATCGAAACTATTAACTACCATAAAGAAACAGCAAAAATCAACGTCAGTATTAGCTTCCGTATCTTACTGTATCTTAGACGGGTCACGGGCACGTTGTAGAAAAAGTATTAATTGGTGACTGCCGTTCTGACCTTAACCAGAGCGTTTTGTGTCATGATTAAGATTTTTTTGGGGAAATCTTTTTATATGAAGGCGGAGTTATCCACTGACTACCGCGCGCGCATTGGTCAGTCGTTCCTCCCCTGGCCAGGAAAAGCAAACGCTCTCCCATACCTGGCCACCTGGACTCACCTATATAAAGCGGCTAACCACAAGCCGCCAGTCATGACTTCGTCCGTTTTGCCTGGAGAAATTTTTCTTTCCCTCCCTCCATCCCCGTCACCACCTAATCTGTAACTCCTTTCTTAAAATGTGTTAACTTCTGCTGTTCTCATCAGATTCTTTTGATGTTTTTTCTGTGCATGGCTGTTAGGGCACTACGTGCCTGTGTTATGACGTTATATATATACGTGTCCGTAAGGCTCTTTGCTTGGTATTGTAACGCGGGCGGTTGTGCCGGCGTTCTAGTGGGTTGGCGTGTTGACCGTACCACGATGTTGTGTCGGCTGTTGATGGAAATGTCGGCACTGCCGGGCGTAAGCTCAGCAGTGAATCGGAAGTGGTTTTACAGTGACAATGACGAGCGGGATGATGGGTGCATCATCCCGAGGAGTCAAACAAAGCAACGTCGTTTTCAGGCATTTAATTAACAAGCGTACAAGCAGGACAAGCGGGTTACAAGCTAGGCAAGCGTGGCAAGCATCCATTCAGAGGATTCTCTAATGAAAGTGTGTTCCATTCTCTTAGACATTTACCCGGTAAAAGTGTAGAGAAAAAGAAGGATGAATCACTCAGTTACACGGTGAGAACAACAACCAATGAACAGTAAGGAAAACCAACAACACTGTAAACAAGGCGGTCATTCGATTACTCTCGTTACATCCCTCACGGTAGCGATGAGATATACCTGTCTCATCAAGACAATACAAAAGAAAGGAAATTTAAGAAGGAAAATGAAAATGGTTAAATGCGGTTAAATACTGGTTGTGCTTGCATGGCGTGTCCGGAGGGGAAAGGGACTGGTGCGGCGCCACGGTACGGTGTGTACTATTAAAGGTGATGATGGCAGCGGGAGCAGAAGGTCCGGTTAATGGAGACTTTCGTAGTAGGCCAGCTTGTCCTCCAACTCACGGATCCGCTGATTTGGGTCCCTCACGGTAGGCTGAGGCATCCGGTAGATGTCCGATTCGCTGTAGTTAGGAATTCCTCGCTTGTCCAGGATTGATGCAACATCTCGGTTCATATGCTGACCAAGGGCGACGTCCGGTAGTTCCACAAATGGCAGTACTTGATTGCAAATGGGTACATTCAGTTTGCGTGCTCATGTGTTGTCGTCAGAAGGGTATTTGATCCACGGTGATCTGCTGAACTTGTCAAAACGCCAAGATTGGAAATAGTGGGGGCTCAAGACGGTACACATGGGCACAGGAAACGAACAGTACTTGTTATCATTCAGATTATTAACGTTGTCGCGTAAACTTGTCAGAAAGGAGGAAGTGCTTTCCAAGAGGCGGCGCTCAGCGACTTGCATATTGTGCTCGGCCTGTGTGCGAGGCGGTCGAGCATACTGACCAGTACTAATGGCATGATTAAGATTTCTAATGTGTATATTGTAGTCTGACGTTTTGACGTGCTGTCCGATGTAAGGATTGTCAAATTGACTCTGTGGGTCATCGGCGCGCTGACGGGGGCCGGTATAGAAATACCGGATATTATCTGGTGGTGGTCTGGCGGGTGTGCCTTTAGCGGGGCGGGATGGCGCGTGCGACGCGGCAGCGTTCGGCGGCTGGCGCTGAACAATATTACTGTGTGAAGGGCGCTGTGCGTGCTGCTGTTGCCCATTACGGAAACGGTGCTTACTGCGGTTGGCGGAAGTGAACTGCATGGATTGACCGTGGTAGTCCGCGGTGTCATCTTCTGTATGCGCGACGTCTTCGTCTTCCAACACAACACGACGTGGTGGTGGAGCGACTGTGTGCAGCTCATGTGCGAGCTCGTCGGTTGGTAAAGGCGTGTGATGGTCTTCAGGCGCATCAAAACTACCGTCGTCATAGCCATCCATTTGAAGAACGTCTCGTTCATTATCAGTAGCTTCTTCATGATGTGGGTGCGACGAGTCAGTAGAAGTACTTTGCCGTGCTGGCTCTGATGCTGCTTGTTCAGCCTGGGCATTTGCGTCAGTGTCCATTGCTAACTGCAGTCGTGGAATCTTGTAATGCTGCAGGTAGGACGGGATTTCCGGTCCGGTATGGAATGGGCGAACGCTCCTCTTTGGAGTGCTTCTGTGGGCCGGGCAATTCAGGCGCTTGGCTGCCTTGATCCGGCTACAAGGAGAGTCGGTGGAGCGAGTGGGGATGGTGGGAATGGTTGCGATGTGAAGCTTCCGGGCTGGTTTTAACCCAGGAGCGCCATGTAACGCGGGCGGTTGTGCCGGCGTTCTAGTGGGTTGGCGTGTTGACCGTACCACGATGTTCTGTCGGCTGTTGATGGAAATGTCGGCACTGCCGGGCGTAAGCTCAGCAGTGAATCGGAAGTGGTTTTACAGTGACAATGACGAGCGGGATGATGGGTGCATCATCCCGAGGAGTCAAACAAAGCAACGTCGTTTTCAGGCATTTAATTAACAAGCGTACAAGCAGGACAAGCGGGTTACAAGCGTGGCAAGCATCCATTCAGAGGATTCTCTAATGAAAGTGTGTTCCATTCTCTTAGACATTTACCCGGTAAAAGTGTAGAGAAAAAGAAGGATGAATCACTCAGTTACACGGTGAGAACAACAACCAATGAACAGTAAGGAAAACCAACAACACTGTAAACAAGGCGGTCATTCGATTACTCTCGTTACAGTATCCACTTGTTGCCCGGAAGTAAAGTCCATACCCCATGCACCTGGTTGCTTGCCGTTAGACTCAACACCCTCCACGTAACGACAACAGTTCTCATTATAACAGCTAGTAACAAATCTGGACAGACCGAAGACCGTTGCTGACTCACAAAATTTGTTAGAAATAATTTTCAATAGCGAAAAACTATGACACAGCCTAGTGCACATACAGTTACTCTGTAAAGCAGGTTCTGAGTACGCATAAACTCAGCTGAAAGCATTTCCGACCGCGCACAATACACAGCCACCGACAAAAAAGTCAACCTCTAACGTCTGCAAGAGCTGCTAGCATTCACAGTGCACATACCAGTGCAGTACTTAAAAATTAAAATAAACTACAGGCTCTATGCATTAAATCAACCAAATATCAACATACTGTACTAACCAAATGTACGGACTATATCTGTAACCTAACCAAATTTGTAACCAACATGAAATCCAAAAGAACGCGACCCGTGTGTTTGAGCCCATCACTGCCCATGGAAGGAGCAGAAAAACTGGATGAAATTTCGGGGTGATTGTGTAGCCTTTTCAAGTACTTTCCAACAGTGTGGCAGTGCGTTCTGTATGCGACAGTGATGAAGTGATGACACCAACAAATTTTCGGTTACTTACTAGTCCTTCTACACTATAGAAAGTACTAATTGGTTTTTTGCATAATGCGTATGGCAAATAAATTTTGATCACATACTGTAATCAACCTGAAAACGCTTCTGTTGATGAGAGACACTGTATATCTCCGTACTGACCCTTGTTGTAGTCCGCATCTGCACACTTTTAACATGATCATAAATCGCTGCCTTCGTCTTTACAACTAATCGTTTGACCTCACACCGGATACTGGCCAGGCACAAGGCGAAGAGCACCGGATCGACGACCGCCTGCAGCGGATACACTACCCACAGTAGCTGCCATACCGCATCCGGCAGTTCCGCCCGGTGGTACTTCGTCACAATGCTCACCACGTGATTGGGGGCCCATATCACCGCGATACTGACGCTCATCGCCGTCAGAGCCACCAACGATTTGGATCGGTAGTGCAGCGGCGCCTTCCCGCCCTCGGGTGATACCAATTTAGCATGCTGCTGACTATTCTGGATGGTTTTGTAGGTTATCAAGGGGAAAGACAGCAAAATGATCGCATCAGCCACGTAGAAGATTACCGTCAGGTAGGCTTCGCTCCAGAGTTGGGCGGTAAGGTTTAGTCGACAGCCGGAGGTCGGTTGCCGAAAAAACGACCGGTCCATTACTAACAACGGTAAACAGAATAAATGAACGGATATCCATACACCGGCGCATAATGCCATTGCCAGACGTGGTGTATGAACGTTGCGATAGGAGTGGGGCCGGATGACCGCCCAGATGCGCGTGATGGAGATTAACGCGTGTGAAGATGTGATCACGCCGGGCAGGAGCCAGTTGCCGTATAAATAAAGGTCACAGGCGGTCTCACCCATCCACCAGTTGTCCGACACGAGATAAACCATCTCCAAAGGCAACATGCACACGCACCAGCACAGGACATTGGCAACGAGGATGGAAAAGAGATAGATGGTGAAGGATGTTATCAAGTGGCGTCTGGTTATGAGAAGGTATAACAGACTGCCATTCGATAGAAGGATCAGGCTGAATAATACTGACCAGATGTACACGAAGTGCGTATAATGAGGGTGGTCGGTGGTCTGCACACTGGTGTTGGCTGTGTAGGTGGTGTTGAAGTCATTATCATGTTGTTCCGAGAAGATGGGAAAGGAATGGTTATGGGGCATGGGAATCGCTTTATTCATCCCAGTTATAAGCTTCCGCTGGCGCTAGGGGAATTATTATAAGTGCCTCAAGAATGTCCGACATTTGCGCTAAACAATCTTTGCACTGAACATTTGTTACGGCTCGATTCTTAACACAATGAAAGTGCCGATAAACTTTTACACAAAGAAGGATAGGCGAAGAGCAATTCTCCGCGGACTACCGACGGAAGCTAAAATGGGGGTAAGGGCACATAATTACTGCCACTTCGACAGTGCATAATCTGGCATGCAGTCAATGGGATGAATATTACAGCAGTTCACGATTTCAAAGAGCGATTTACATAGTAACTGTTATGGGCGACGGATCAGCTTACCTATTTAAAACCGGCAATCATTTCTCGAATATTTGTGTATCGTGTGGTAATCTGATGTCCCGTGATTAACGCGGTATTCCAGAATAACTGCATATTGACAATGAAATCTATCCGATTAAATATCGCCGTGTGGCTAACGGCGCAGCAGTACCTGTGAAATAGGTTTTCTGTAGATAGAGTACAACTGGCTACTCTGCCAGTACCTGTACAGTGCGTACAACGACTTGAGTGAAGACTGTTTTGCTGTTCCGAACAGCAAAACATATGTAAGGAAAAAAACGCGTTGAATCTAAGCAAGGCATAGAAGGCGACAAATCTCAAAAGTCTAACCGACTTCCTGAACTGAATTCCAGTGATCGGCTAAGAATTCTTGAATGACAGACCAGTACTTCGTGTGCCAGGATGCCGTTAAAACTGAGCGGTCAACACACACGTTAAACAAACCTAATTAAATATTATTCTTGCAGGAACCGCATTGCCCATTAATACACAAAAAACACCAAAAAAATTAGTTACATCGTTTTAAGCACGAAAAGCGTTAACGGTACCCATGTTAAATGGAAAAATCGTTAAAAAATTGTTAAGTTGGGATTTTTTTTGCTTAACGCCTTTTGGCTTGAACTTTCTGAATTTTGTTTTTAGCTTTTATGTAGTTGTAATTTTTTTGGTGGTTTTTAACGCTATGCAGTGCATGCATCATGATGCATGGTCGCATACAATCATCTGTTTTGTCGAAATAAATTTACTGGTTGCATCACTTTCATGAATGCATTCTGCACAACAACAAAACGACATGCATCGCACAAGGACGAATACCATGTTTATTTGTTTTTTTCCTTTACTTTATTTAATTGTCGTTTGCACTTGTTCGACAACTGATTTCCTTACTGCATCGTTAATCTCATTGATTCTGGTAGAAGCTGCTATTATTGCACGTTACAGTAATGCAATATAAAATACTTCCACGGCAATGTTCAGTTCTCAATCAGAAATGAAACGATTAAGCACTATGGTGGTGGCGTTTGGGGGTGGACAGCTTGGCCGTGGGCTGAGAATCGCTGGACGGCGTCTTAACCGGGGCGAAACCAATCTGGTTGTTACCGAAATCGAATTCAGTGTAGTAACGGCCAATGAAGACGTCGCCGATGATCCAGATCGGACTGTAATACAAGCATAAAATTTATTAATTTATTCATTTCCAGTAAAATTAATTTTTAGGGAAAATTATACTGGTATGCATCATAAAACAACATTAACATACTCGTATTTTGACTGACTGGTTTGTACTGTACAATATACATACCCAAAAGGAGCCGGGATATCAATGCCGACAAAACCGAACAAACAAGTGGTTTGAACCTGTAAAAATTTCAGTAAATCATTGCATTACATCCGGAATGCTTAATCACAGCGGTCGATTTTCTGTATTTCGAAAGAAAACATCGCAAGATGCGAAAACAAAACTATTTGAGGCAGCCTCGAATTTAAACTGGCAATACTCATTTGAAATTTATAGCAGTACATGCCAATTTAATTTCTGCAATAAACGCCTGACCTGCAGAACGTAGTCTTTGGGAGTGAGATCAAAAGGCTTTCCGCCAATCACAAAGGAAATGTTGGGCAAAGAGTTGATTTTACTAAAACCACAGACACCGACTTAATGGTAAGGGTCGCGGCATTCTTCAAGCTCACTGGAGACGTGAGAATGACCCTTACGTGCAGTCAACAGTGTATTCGCCGCTGATGTACGGCTGGGCGCCCACTTGAGCGGCCAGCTTCTGGATTTCAGCAGTAGGGCCGGCGATCAGGGAAGTACCTGGCAGTGGACGTTCGATAAACGCAGGTCGCAAGGAATAAACGCAAGTCGTCGGTCACGCAACTTACCGGTATCAGCAGCAGCTTCGCAACCGCCCTTGCAGTAATCGGAGGCTTGACCGGCAACGTTGACGCTAGAACCACGTGCGTCCGGTTAGGTTTTCGTTAGAACACCGGTTATAGCGATTACGAAGAACTTTTCCAGATATATCCAGATTTGTGTAGCTTACCCGTCCATATGGAACTGCCAGTATCCTTTCTGGAATAAAAATTACATGTGATGTCCTAGCAGCACGGGTAGTGTTTACGAAAAGAGGTCTAAGGCTTACCTTGTCAACGGGAACGTAGGTAAACGGTGGCACGTAGTAGTTGGGATCACTTCCACCCAGGATCAACTGTAATACTTTCCTTCTTAGTCATATGGCAATTTTATATACTGTATATCAAGTCTTTTTACCTCTCCACCAACAGCACCGGTTTGGTCTCTACAAAATTACACATCAGCACTCTTTTGTTTTCGAAATAAATGATTAGCTGCAACAAAAATGAACGGATTTACCGGTTCAAGTAGAAAGAGAAGACAGGCTGGGGAACCAATTTCTACGAGAACATGTTACTGAATATTTGTTCACTAAAGACCGCATGGGCAAGTACCAACCTGGTCAATCATGTTGTTGAAGACTGGCTCTACTTGGTCAACGGAATACTCGGGATAGGCCATACCAAGGATACCTACAACATCATATAATTATGCTAATATGTTAGTACTGCATTGATTACTGTAGGTGCTCGTCAACTGCCGATCATCTGGGCTAACCCCGTTTCAGCACTTTTACATTTTACCAAACATTTTTTCAGTTTATAGCAAAATAAGTCAAAAGTAGTGTATAAAGGTACAACGTTAGAAATTCGGTGCAAATTTTGCTGGCATTTACCGTCGAACTTAGCCAAAGCGAAGGGAATGGCGGGTTCATCGTTGATCTCAGCAAAGGTCTGCGCCTTAACGGTAACACCGGCGATGCCCAGGTCATCGGTGGACAGGAACCCGGCAACCGCACCCGATCCGTACTGGATTTTGAAGGCGGTACCGTTCTTCTTGTACGTGCTAGATGCGCTGCTGTCGTACTTGTTGTGCAACACTAACCAACACGACACATACAGGGTTAGCATACCGACTACTCTAGTGTTACTTACTCTTGCGAAATAATTTATCACTTACAGCAGGCAATATCGGTCAAAGGGCAAGTCTTGCTCGGTACCTGATAATCACATAAGGAATTGAAAATTAATTCTGTAACTAAACATGACGGAAATATTCGTCTTTCGCGAACAAAACAACGTAACAAACTAGTAGCGATGTTTATTATTAAGTACTGTATTTACACGATATTAAGGGGCAGAGAAATCCCCAGGACCGCCCGCACTAGCTGTCGGTTCCTTTGACATCAATGGAGCCGACGCCTAGTGCGGGCGGTCCTGGGGATTTCTCTGTCCCTTAATATCGTGTAAATACAGTACCCATAAGTTGGATGAACCGGTGTCGAAAATAACGGAGAAATTCTGAGCGGGTGTTCCCAGACTGATAGGGCCGTAATATTGAGCCTGCAAAAAATGAATTATTATTTTAGTATTGGCTTGACTGCAGTATACACTTGAACCGATTCAGCAGTGGGTCATTACATCGGCGTAGTTGGAAAGCGGCTCCGGCTGAGGATCAGCTGGCTCTTCGTCATCATCCTCTTCGTACTCTGCGTTGAGGGATTTCTGGTAGGCGGCCTGGGCTTCCGCCACGGCGCCCATACCGGTTCCCTTGCCGGCCAAGAAGCGGCGCACCGACTGCATTTTCTGCAGAGGGATCCTGAAAAGATTGCAAAAGCTCATATCACAAACGCAGTACACGACTTACATCAATACTGTACATGGTCCTAATGACTCGAATCGAAAGGAAAATTGTCGGCTTAACGGAACATGGTAGTGAACGAAAAGCGCATATTTGAATGAATTTGCTGTTACTGACCACTCGCTAACGGATGCTGACAAGTCAGTGGTTACTGTGCCGATTTTGTGTTCACAGCCTTTTAAGGGAAGTGGGCCGGTACATGGTACCAAATTCGTGTACATGCACGAAAACTTGCACTTTCACGCACTCCCAAACACATTTTTGTTTCGGTTTATGAAGTTTTTGTAGCCAGAAGAATTGTATACACTGGCGTGAAAACAGTTTGTGCGCGCAAGATCCGGTTCGGGAGTTATGGCTGCTGCAAAATTCCAAAAAATTTAAATGCGTTCAGGCGTACCAAAAGTCTCATTATGGACCGATCTCTCTCAAAATTTGCACGTAAATGCGCATGTCCATGAAGATCGTTTTTACACCGATCCAGACTTCCATGATTTTTTTTAAATTTTAAAATGAATTTCAAAATTTTTGAAATTCATTTTAAAATTTGAAAAACATGCTAGAACAGTGGATCGGTGTAAAAACGTTCTTCGTGGTTATGTGCATTTACGTGGAAAATCTGAGGGAGATCGGTCCATAATGAGACTTTTGGTACACCTGAACGCATTTAAACTTTTTGGAATTTTGTAACAGCCATAACTCCCGAACCGGATGTTGCGCGCACAAACGGTTTTCACGCCAGTGTATACAAATCTTCTGGCTGCAAAAAGTCTTATACCGAAACAAAAATGTGTTTGGGAGTGCGCGAAAGTGTAAGTGTCGTGCATGTACACGAATTCGGTACCATGTACCGGCCCACTTCCCTTAAGCAATTAATAGTTGTAATTAAATGTATCTGTATGGTGAGAAAAAATTACCTTTGCATTTGACGGACGCGATGACGGCGAGCGTCGGTTGGCCAAGCGGCAACCAAAACGCACAGCAGCGCGACAAGGATGAGTTTATGCATAGTGAGAAAATAAATCGGGAAATTTAATACAACAACCTGGAAAAACCGCCCACTAACGCGCTTAGGCTACAGATCGCAGCACATTTATACTACAGTTTCCGTCGCTTATCGCCTTAAAGCGCTTTATCAGTGACACGGCATTATCAGTGCGAAAGGCTCGTACATATGTGATCTCCGCAGAAGAAAAGGCTTTGTATTGCGTTGACTGCAAACGATGATCATATTCGGACTAGGCAAATAGTTTTGCAAACGCTTTTTGATAGGCTTTTGTTGTTTTCGGTAAACAAGATTAACTGGCGGACTGTGAGCGATAGGTGACCAGACCAAGTGCGTTCTGCACGTGCTAGATCAATTTACAAAAAAATATATACTAGTGTTGTTTTTTCAAAGTATTTCCAGCCAGACATATCAGATTGATTATGGACATTTCCAGAGTATTACGGCAGTCGTACCGGCAACTAGCATATAAATGAGCGAACCCTGAAATAAACTACTTTAAAATTGACGTTATTATTTTGTTACAGAGAAGGCATGGAACATAACGAGCTGTAACCTTATTGCAAAAGACATCCAAAGCGAAGCTGTCGCCGATGACGACATGCCACTTGCCCTCCACAGCATACTTGTCGTCCATGTAGCTCTTAATCATTTTGGCACAAGCCTGCATACAAATTTAATAACGACTCTGCAGTGTGCATAGTATGACAATGACACACGGTGGCAGTCACGACCGAATGGTCGGTCACTCATACGTAAAGCACTAAAGCTGATATAAACAGCACATTTGAGCTATAACATACTTTAATAATCTTTAATTGTGTCTCACCGATCAATTGTGCATACAATACAGAAAACACCATTAAACTATAACAATGTACATACTTGTGCACGCTGGTGCAGCATTGTACATACTTTGTACAATGATGCACCAGCGTGCACACAAGTTTCAATACAAATTACTAGTTACTGTACGGTCGGTAAATTTTGCTGCTAGTAGTGGATCGATAAAATTTTTAAATACGAAAGTACGTATCGTATCTTCTGAAGAAGTGCTGGCAGTACCTCGAAGTTGGATCCGTATTTTTCGTAATAATTGTTAACCTTATCGACGATGTCTTCTGCCCACTCTGGACTTACATCACATTGCTGCAAAAATAATCCCGTGAAATTACACTGCAGATTTTTTACTACTTCGACATTTCTCAACAACCGCTCATTTCTCACCAGGGAACATTTTCCGCCTCCAAATTCATAAAATTCTCATGTTTTGTAAAATGGTAGTGTACTATTGTTATTTATATAGCTCATCGTCAAGGCCACAATTTAAAGTTTGCATACTATCATATTATACTGTGTAATGCAGTGCAGTACAAGTTATTCGTAATTATATTATGTTAACTTTTTCCTGCAGCACCGTGGACTTTTGCAATTTTTGAAAATGTGCACACGGGCAGCAATGGCCCGAGCCGACGCAAGTGGGCCTCTTTTACTTACATCATTTCACGACAGCGGACAGCTGCAAAAGTCCACGCTGCTGCAGGAAAAAGTTAACATAATAATAACGAATAACTTGTACTGCACTGCATTACACAGCATATGATAGTATGCAAACTTTTAATTGTTGTCTGGCCACGCCCCCTTGACGATGGCAGCTAAAAATATTTTTTTAAGCATACTACAATAGTACACTACCATTTTACAAAACATGAGAATTTTTTGAATTTGGAGGCGGAAAATGTTCCCTGGTCAGAAAGCAAGACACGTTGATGCGCCCCGATGGGTAAGTTCATGAGAAAGTGCTGCCCAGTGCCCACGGAGCCCGCTTTGCGTGGGTAGGCGGTTGTTCTAGCTGCACACTGAAACTTGAAATAGAGCGGCTGCTGGGAAATGTTGAAGTATTAGTAAATCTGACACAGTGAACAGTGACGGTGAGGTGTGGATTGCCCTTACTGATCAACGAACCACAACAAGCGGATAAATCGGCGGTCCCTCTTCTTCCTTCTGCTCCTCCACCACCTCTTCGCCGCCGGCTCCGCCTTCCGTTTTAGCTGAACCTTCATCGCCTTTGTCCGCCATGTATATGACAAACGTAAATCAACAAGAACCAAAAAAGGAAGTCCTGGAGAGTACAGGCATCTGAGTTTCAGAAGTCGGACTGAGTAACTACTGCGATGTCAAGGTAACTGCCGGTTCGCATATAGCATGCAGTCTTGTTGACGTCATGTTGACGTCATGGGTTTTTCTTATAAACTTTTGCTTAATCAACCCAGTGCAGGCGAAAACCAGCACGACGAAGAAGTCTCCGAGTTTGAATTAATATATTTGAAAGCGTGACCAGTTTTCTACGTTGCGTACAAATGCTGTAACTATTTCTTCAACGACGTAACAATGCTGCTGGATAACGAGTATGATCTTTTAGCCACTTCCAAGGAACCGAACCTTCGTCCGCCGGTCCCGCTACCTCTCAGTCGACGCCCCCTGCCGCCTGTTCCCAACACTCCCGAGAAGGAGCAGGAACGGCTGATCAAGCTACACCAACAGCAGTTATCTGACGTGAAGAATTTCCTCTTCAACTGGCAGCCCCTTATTTGCACGATTATCCCAGTGGTCCGGTGGACACACACCTGGCATCCCTTGCTGATCTTGAGTTTTAACGTGGCAGCTTTCATGACCTTTCGGTTCTTGCGAATGTCGGCAATCTCGCTTGGTTGTTTGATGGGAATGGGTGTGGCTCTAGGGGAATTACTGATTCCTATTGTGTATAGGTCGATGCTGGGGCCCTTCAAAACTAGGTCAGCCTAACTGGTTTTGGCGCTAAATATACTCTGGTTTAATTCAGGAGTATTGTTGTGCTTACAGGGATGAGCGAAAAAATTCAGAGTTTGATGCTTTTTGTGCAGCGCTGGTAGATGCCAAAGCAAAACTTGGACTGATCTGCGCCAGTTTGAAACGAACGCGGGAGGCCTTCCCACAGTTCTTCGCCACCGGAATCTGTGTACTGCTTCTTTTTGCCGCCATACTGTTCAACAGTCTGGGCGATTTTGTCAGCCTGTTTATTGGCAGTACCATGACATTGTTATTACCTGGATTTCTTTTGAATAATTATCATGTTAAGATGCAGAGGTTCTTTCAGTGTTTTTGGAGGAGCTCCGCTGTCAGCGCGCAGGTCAAACCCGCTGCCCAATAGGAACATTATAATGCTGGCTCGCTCGTGTAAATAACGCAGGTCCGTTGTTGTACTGCACTACTTGGTTGAATTTTTGCGGTGGTTTGCCCAACTTGGCCGTGTAAAACGGTGTAATGGGTCGGTCGGACTTGCAGTTTCAGCTTATCTGTACAATTAGATCCGTATGGCTGTGTGATTGTGGCGCTTTTTAATTTACCCTGAAATTCACAAACATTCTTTCAAACGATTCAGTTAAAAGGAAGATCGTTATTACCATGAGACGCGAATATGAGCACAGCAGCTACGCAGGGAGATTGCTAATTTGCCGCTGTAGCTGGTTTTACTGGCAAAGGAAACGATGGTGTGCATTAAAGGCTTAAAAACTCTACAACAAGTCTGTATTACCACATAAAATTGTTGAATTTGATTCAATCGACATAAAAATTTAATATTATAATATGACTATTGCCTCTGTCAAATAGTAAATCGATAACAACGATGACACCGAAGCTTCCGCTTTATTTGGTTATAGTATACAAAACAGTTTACCTATGTAGATGACGTTTTCCGAGAGTAAAAATAACGGTGCGAATATCTGCATTTCGGTAGTGGTCAGGGTTTAACGCATCTGCGATCCATAGTATTCGTCACTATAAATTGTGATACTTATTGATAGTTCTTCGTCTTCAAACTGCTGTGTCTTCTTTAAACGATCATGCAAGATCGGAGCTTGTTGGCCGTATCGGTTGTACTTGCGATTAGCAGCCATTTGGGCGGAGTTTGCAGTATCAAATGCTACTTTTGTCAGGACGTGGTGGAAGGCCGCGCTCAACCCAATAAGGCAATGTACGGACCGCAATGTTCCAGTGCCGGAAATAGCATGATATGTCCCAAACCAGACAGTTTTTGTGAGCAGAAGATTGAGATCTACGTTGCACCCAGCAATCAAACGACGATAGCATACCAGAGTTGCGGCTATGAACCGCCGGACGCCAGCAAACAGTGCACGCGCACGGACCGCTGGGACGCCAAGGGTAATCTGGTCTCTAGTGCATACATTTGTAAAACGTTCTGCAACAACACGGATTTGTGCAATGTGCCGGACAAGGGCCGGGACAGTGCGGCGGCATTGCAAGAAAGGATGGCGTCCAGTTCTTCAGCATGCCGAAGCCATATAATTTTGGATTGTGTACTGTGGGTTATTTCTTTGTTAGCCGTTAGAAGAGGCTTTCAGTGAGACCGTCTGCGGCTTGCTATTACCAAGTTGTGTCATATAATTTTCGCACAAGTAGACAGTCACCAAGTTATGGTCGTAGTTTGATCTTGTGTAGAACGTCGTGAAGTACTGCCTTTTTTCTAATTTTCGTTAGTGTTTTTGTTTTTGGTGTATCAGAAAACCCACCAGGTGCTGTTGTGGAGAGTCTTGTTTTCAGCCAGACAGCCAGTAAATCGTATAGAAAAAATGATCATGTTTACGAAAAAGCAAAAATCCTTAGCACAAATAACTACTAAATTAATCGAAGTGGCCATCTTCGCCGCAGTATGGTCGGCAAAATTGCCTTTTAGGCTACAGCAGCGTATCTTGCCGCACAATGCGTTGCAACTTGCAATAGTCTTTTACTAGTATTATGCCGCAAAGGCTGCGGCAGAACAACCAAATGGGTGTGCTGCGCCCACTGAGCGATCATTACACGAGTACGACATTATCAAAAGCGACCTTTCTATGTAATTTTGTTGGAACGACACAATCGATAGTACAAAAATATAATAACTGTAAAACGCTGTACTTGTACTTACTCGTACAGCGTGGAAAATTTCAGTGTTCCTCAACAAAACAGTTAACTGCACATAAAACTAACAGCATGTTACCATGGACATTACCTGGATTCTCGAGACACTCTTACATCACCAAAAATTCAAACTCGTACAGTACTGTATTCAAATTAAGTAACCTCCTCTGCTCCAACACAATCGTCAACTTGCAAGAAGGAGTAAAAAATCTTTGTTGTACTACTTTGTCACCAAGATACCTTTGCTGTCTGCTTAGTGCGTCAAATTTTCGATTTATCGGAACACGATTGAAAGGAACCGTGTTTTCCTATATTATCTGCTAAATTAAAAGGCTTTTTTCACTTGCGTTACTCCCTACTTATCCGTAATAATTTGCGTGAAAAGCAGTATTCCTTAATCAGTGGCGATGGCCAAACTGGCGGTAATTGGCTACGTTCTGGCGGTGGTAATCACTCAGATGACTTTTGTATCCGGCCTTCAGTGCTATTTGTGTGCTGCAGCAGTAGAAGGACCCGACAAGCCACTCTCAAGATCTTGTAGCGGTCCAGTCAACACCGAGACTTGCAACGGAACGACACCGTTTTGTGTGCAGGAGGTACATGTGGGCGTCAATCCGGCTTCTGTAGAATATGCGCTGTTTTGTGGTGGGGGCAAGCACGAGTATAGTCCAGAAAACAGTAAAACGTGCGGCTACGCAGAGACTACGAATGAAAAAGAAGAGGTAATTAGGTCTGAATATGAATGTACCCAACTCTGCAGCGGCAATCTGTGTAATACACCGGAGGCTGCTAAAAAGGCTGCAATGGACCTGAAGCAGAAGACGAGTGACTCTTCTAAGCTTTTTCAAGCGAAACTCGGTTCCGGAGCCACTGCCACCCAAGAGCTCAGCGGCTTCTCGATTTGGATTGCTTTTGCGATAATCATGGCTGTGTACAGCAAGGCGGCTAATTAAACTGCACCTACAGTCTGCAGGTCTAGTTTCACCAGTGCCGCTAGAGTGTTTGCAAAGCAAAACTAAAACATTTTGTACTAATTATTGAACTTTCTTATAAAGCTTACGAAGCTGGATGCAGTATAAATAAAAATAACCGAAGCCCGATTATGGTCTTCTACTTGTTTGAAGTTCACGGATTGTATATTGACAGGATGTTTGTCTGGGCAACATACAGATAGTGAAACAATGTAGCTGGATTCCAAAATTAAACTATGATATACCGGAAATTTGAGTGTTTTCGAGATCTGGGATGCTGCGAAAGTAATTTTTCCAGAGTTAATAATAAAATAAATGGCAAGCCAAACAATCCACACATCAAAGCGCACCGCAACCTAATAAACATAAGCACACATCCAGTCGAATAATTTTCGCCACACATACTTGTCAGCCCTGTGATGGTACGCGTTTCCATGAATGTGCTTATTTATTGATTTAAACAACAGTTTTCTATAGTTTGCTTTGAAAGATTTTTTCCTTTTTTTTTGCTAATCAAGGCGCCAGTATGTTGACAGTGCATCTATCTAGCGCGCTTGCTTTGTTTTCTTTGAATTTGCTTTCTCATACAGCGGAGTGTGTTTACTGTTACACGTGCAGCGGAACGACTAACCGGAATGAAAATATATCTTGTTCGGCAACAAACCGCGTCGACTGCCAGTTAACCCATCGAACCGTGTGCGTAGTGCAATTTGAAGCAGCGACCCACTCCCGACTAAAACCTAATAATATCACCTACACTGTCACAAAAAATTGTGCTCCTCTCAAGGAGGGGGAACAGCTCGAAACCGCTGCGGCCAGCGCGCTAATTCGAGTGGCCCGCTATTGCGAAGTGTTGTACGACTACGGAGCCCAGCTGCTGGCCTATAAAAGCATTCATTGCTGGTGCAATACTGGATTGTGTAACGATGACCTTAATCCTCTCACACAAGAAAACACCACGGTGAAGAGTCCCTGCATGAAGGACTTCCTGAAGGAAGACGGTGATCAACAGAGCGGGTGTTCCCGGGTGCAGAGTGACGCTGCGTGGTTGTATCTTATAGTTGGTTTGTTTAGTATTGTGCGATCATCACCAAGAAACGCAACCTGGTAAAGTGCCGCCCGCGACAGAAGAGAAGTTGAAGTGTAAACAATGAGGTTATTTGGCACGCACCTTTTCTATGCTATCAATTCGCATGATGTTTTTCGTAACACTATGGATTTTTGGGAACATAATCTGATGGTGTTGCGAGCTTTGATTGCATTAACCAACATAATCCACGTCGCCCAGAGCTTACACTGCCATACATGCTTCGAAGCCACAGGCCAGGTACCCACAGCAGAGAACGTGCCCGAGGAGGAGACACCCAAGTGCGACGATCCCGCGATGACTGCCTGTGTGGAAGGCACCTTGGCCTGCCATACGCGCGTCACCCTCAACTTCCGAGCACCGCGCCACAGAATCGTGGAGAAGCGCTGCTCGTTGAAAGGTGAATTCGATCCTTACACCAGCCCAAAAACGAAGGTGGTCTTAAGGCGAAGATGCAAGGTCAAAGCGGGTTACATGGTGGACGGAAGCTCCGCCACAAAGGAGTATGTCTGCAACTGTTTAGACGAACTGTGCAACAACGAAACCATGCCTGTGGAGTTGGGTCCTCTTCACACAGACGACGATCTGCTGACATGCCTTCCTCTGAAACCTCGAAGCTCTAAGGCCAGTTCTCACCATCGATTTGGCAAGTCGGGCTGGGAGGTTGGTGTGGGAACGCTGCTTCATGTTTGGATAGGTTTGCAAATGGCTTGCTGCTTTTTCGTGGTTGGATAGTTCCACAGAATTAATGGTTAGCTGTATAGATGATTAGATTAATTACGGAATGGTCTTCTGCATGGCGGTACGTTTGGCATTTCCGTACACGACAAGCACGGCAGCAGAAACAAATGCACCATGTTACTCCAAGAAAACTACGTAATTACATTGTACATCTTTAGAGAATACTACGTAAATAAATCATACGGCAGCGGCCCCAGATCTGGTTGTGGTAATTCAATAATGGCCAGGCTGAAATAAAGTCGCGAGATATTTTGTCACAAATTCACTGCACTGCATTCACGGCATCAAGCAACAGCTGAACGCTGACATGTGTGAAGACGGTCTCACTCTGATGCAAGATCTCACTCCGGTATGATTCTGGAAGACATCTTGCGGCTTTGCCACAACCGTACAGATACTGCTTGCTTGGCGGTGGGCAATCCAATCTAATTTCTTGTTGAGATGTTACTGACTCAAATAAAATTAAAATTTGATGTTTGTTTTGGTCTTCAGGACTACGTGTACACAAATTATGGAGAAGTTCCAGCCAAATGTTCACTTTTTCAAGACCTACGAGTAATTCTTACTCCCACACAGATACGACAAAGGCGCATTGCGCTGGTTGATAGTTTCTGTCAGCAAAGCTTAACTGGCAGACCAACAAACAATTCTCATCAGCCAACATTAAGGGCTTTAAGTCTGTATAATGACCAACACCGTTACTCCACGGGATCTCAGCTGCTAAATAACGATGCATCGATAACGGCACAAGCGATTTAAACAGTGTACCGGAATCAGTCTTGCAGAATGTGAATTGCGAAGACGTTGCAGCAAAAAACCACCATAATGCTGAGGATTTTGGAACAGGACATGCATTAAGAGGATCTTTGCTGTACAGCATATCTGTAGTGTAACAAAAACGATGGATTCTAAGAAAACAACTTTAAACGACCGTGATCTTCGTGAAACTGCTTGCCATTTGGGTGTTGCCTGAACAATTGCTCCAAATAACTAACGGCAGGCCAAAACCTATCCAGTGTAACCGCAACAGAAGAATGTAGTAATGAGTTTTAAGTCGGCTGATTTTTGCCACAAGTACTTATCCCGCTTTTTGCATTCCGCGTTCCTATGAAAGCTCACATGTTTTCATACGTACTTTCCCTTTCCCCGTTTTTCTGGTTAATCAACACATCATTATGGTGACACTGTACCTATGCAGTGCAATTGCATTAATTTCCTTGAACCTACTTCGTCATACGGTGGAGTGTATCTACTGCTACACGTGCGCCGAAACGACTACTCCGAACAAGCAGATTTTGCCTTGCTCGGCCAAGACCACCGTCGACTGCCAGCAAACCGACCGCTCCGTTTGCGTGGTGCAATTTGACGTATCGAAGGAAACACCCAATATTACTAGTACCTCACTAGTGTTCAAAAATTGTGCTCCCAAACCGGGGAGCAAGCTCCCTAGCGGACCGGCCATTGCGCTTACCCGGGTGGACCGCTACTGCGAAGTGACGTACAACTACGGACCCAATATGTATTTGGATCTTAAAAGGATCTTATGCTGGTGCTCTACTGGTTTGTGTAATGACGACCTCAACCCTCTCGCACGGGATAACAGCACGGTGAAGAAAGCCTGCCTGAAAGAATTCCTGGAGGAAACTGATGATCCGCAGAGCGTTTGTTCCCGGGTGCAAAGCAGCGGTGCATGGCGGTGGGTTGTCCCGGGTGTAATCAGTGTGCTGTACTCTTGAGTCTCGACTGGCGATGGCAGGTTTCGTACAGCGCGTGTCATTCGCACGCTGTGCTTGATATCTTGACTGTCTCAGTTCATTAAATCACCTGAGTAAGAAGCCGTCAACAGGTGCAGCGGATTCCAACACACATCAAAGTACTTAACCGAACGGTTCACATTTCCTACCTGAATTCGCGCAATAAAATCGTCGGGAAATACCGTACATATGTACTTCGAACGAATTTGGCTGCGGATGCGCAGAATCTACTAGACACACCATCGCACAATATATTCTTGCAGCAGCAGCAGCGGACTTGCATACCTGTTGTAGACAGGGAATTCTATCTGGCGCTGCTTCCACAGGTGGTAGTATTGCGATTTTGCTGCAGCTGCACCGCTAGTACGGCTAGTTCAACTGCCATAAACGATTTTAAACTGGTCTTATTCTTTGTTGCGGTGGTTAACATCAGCACGAGCTCCTAATATCGTCTAAAGCCAGTCCTTCGCCACCAGTTTTCTATGGCTTGCTGGAAAGCTCGTGTGGCAGCGCTGCTTCTGAATGTTGGATGCAGTAGTTTGGCATTGTGGTTCAATGAGAGGGTGGTTCAATTTGTTCGGGTGACCTTTTACTAGACTATGCTTGGGCCAGTTTGGCTTCAACATTTTGCAACTACTATAGTACTTGTACTGCAAACGTGACAGCAAAAAAAGGTGCAGCATGCTATTGCAAGCTAAAAAATAAAGAGAATGCGAAGAATAAATATACGGCAAAGGTCACAGATGTGGTAGTTCTAGTTCAATAATTTTAGCTTTGTATAATAATAATAATGAAATCGTAAGAAATCCAGATAATTATGTACTTTAGCATATGGCCGACTCCGATCTACAGATACTACAGTACTAACCTAAGTACCTTATTGTACATAACTTTATTCAGGATATCTAAGAAAAGGCTTAGCCTTGCGTTCACATCGCTAAATGAAGAGCCCCTTCCACGTACTTTTTTGCATATCAATATCAAGCAGCAGCAGCTTGGGACTTACTAACCGATTACAGACCTGGATCTCTATCTGGTGCTGTTCATGTATTTCGAACTTTGCTTAAATGGCACTGTCTCACTAAAGTATTCAGTTTTAGTTTTTAAGTACTACGTAAGCAAAATAATAAATACTGCGAAATCTACGCCAGGGGCATCCTTTCCAAATCTATTAAGTACTCGTTCCAGCGCTAAGGCAAGGTCATTGCGCTAATAGTTCCTGGCAGCAAACCGTAACTGTCATCACGCATCCGCAGTCCCTTAATGCAAAAACCTGCTGGTTCTCTGGGAAAACAGAAAGCCAGCACCAGGAACTATTTTCCAGTCCTAGATACCACTGCCGACGAGCAGTACGAGTGTCGGCTAGATTGCACTCCATCAACTGAAAAGTAATTGGTGCTGCATAGTGGAATCGGACGGCAGAATGTGACGGCAATACAGCAAAAAGCCGTAATACCTAATTTCCGGGGTTCTGCATCAGAAAAAAGCAGTCAAATTCTGAAAACTCGCTCTCCCCGGTAGCTGGTTTATTCGGTTTGTGCAGACAGTAACCAGTAACCATTCTGCACAAAGCTGCAACATACATCTGGCTATATCATACATCGTGCTGCTGGCTATATTGTAACGAGAGTAATCGAGTGACCGCCTTGTTTACAGTGTTGTTGGTTTTCTTTACTGTTCATTGGTTGTTGTTCTCACCGTGTAACTGAGTGATTCATCCTTCTTTTTCTCTACACTTTTACCGGGTAAATGTTTAAGAGAATGGATCAGACTTTTCATTAGAGAATCCTCTGAATGGATGCTTGCCACGCTTGCCTAGCTTGTAACCCGCTTGTCCTGCTTGTACGCTTGTTGATTAAATGCCTGAAAACGACGTGTTTGACTCCTCGGGATGATGCACCCATCATCCCGCTCGTCATTGTCACTGTAAAACCACTTCCGATTCACTGCTGAGCTTACGCCCGGCAGTGCCGACATTTCCATCAACAGCCGACACAACATCGTGGTACGGTCAACACGCCAACCCACTAGAACGCCGGCATAACCGCCCGCGTTACAATATCATACATCGTGCTGGACTCGGAATACGGCTAACGCAGCAACGCAGCACGGGACCGTTCATTTCTGCACCGCTGCATAAAAACACACGCCCGAAGCAGCACATATTATCGAAACTTACGCCGTATCTTGTTTAACGGCACGTCGGCAGTCGTTACGGAAGGCTGCTCTAAATCTCAACATCTCAGTCTTATAATTAGGAAAACTTCTGCCATCTTACGAGGGAGATACCCGAACACGTCCGCGTCAGATCAGCATACATCTGGTAACATTAGAATCCTTAGAAATTCAGCTATTTTCTTCGACAATCAAAACACCCCCAGATAAAGAACTCAAGTTTAGGGATCCCTGAGAAGCTCACACAGATATGATGGCTGACTTCCATCGAAACGTCAGCAGACGCCATACGCAGTGTCCAGCCTAGATACGCCATGCGGCACGCATAGTCTGGCTGCAATCCGTTAATTCTGTACTAATTTTGTTGACGGCTGTCTCACCTGTTTTGCCCTATCGCGCGCACCAGCATCCGCGGTTGCATTGATCTCTATGCAGCCAGTCGATGCTGTTGCGCTTAATGAGTTAAAAACTGCGATAGCCATCGATAAAGCGCTATTAACTTCTCGCTGAAAGACGGTTGCGCATTCTCACATCCGTACAGAGGCGCCGTATAGCTCTGTATGGCGTCTGCTGACGTTTCAATGGAAGTCAGCCATCATATCTGTGTTAGCTTCTCAGAGATCCCTAAACTCGAGTTCTTTATCTGGGGGTGTTTTGATTATCGAAGAAAATAGCTGAAATTCTAAGGATTCTAATGTTACCAAGTGTATGCTGATCTGACGCGGACGTGTTCGGGTATCTCCCTCGTTAGAAGCGACGACGAATTGCCCGTTACATTAATTTCAGTGCGCGCTTTGCTTTAATAAAGCTTGAAAATTTCGACCTCCAAGCGCAAGGCTGTCTTGCTTTTGATCAGATTAATTTTAATTTGTTCTAATAGTTTTGGTGGAAGGTAGTTATCGCTTGATATAAATTTTCCGTCATATCTTCATAATATCCGTACAGACTTGCACTTTAATTAGCCAACTACCTGTTGCGGCTTCAGAAGAACGCTTTGCTGGTATTGTTGTATGAGCAATTGCAAGTCCGACCAGGGATCAGTTTTGCACTCTGCTGTCTCCGCATGAATAATGAATGGACCCAAATGCTGGAATTACTACTACATGTACATAATATACAGTATGACATCTCATGCAACAGCTCACTCATTTCGCACTTCAGCTTCTTTGTTTTAATGTGACAAACGATACAGCACGATAGTTGTTATGGTTGTGCCAATTAAGAACTGAAAAATGCCCAGATCCCCCAATGTCCACCAAGCATCCGCACGATTGTGAATATGTTTATCGATAGCTTTTCAAAGGCACACTTTATTCTGTTAGCCGTCAACGTGGCTGAATTGTTCACCATAACCAAAGGTATCCAGTGCCATCGTTGCTGGGACGGAGAAGGCCAAGTCCCGAAATCTACGAGGTGGGTACAAACCGTACAATTTACAAAGCGGTCAAAGTCCTACAACTTTTAAAGCTATTATCCCATTCTAGAGCCCCCGTGGGCGCTCCCCCCTGCAGGGAGCCCTTCGCCCCGCCCTGCCCAAATGCCACTACCTGTGTGCTACAAATTGTGAGGGAGTTTGCGGAGAAGCAGAGCATAGGCTTAAGCAAGTATAGCACCCTCACGAAAGACTGCGCTCGCAATAAGCGGCCAGCCCCGTTAGCGGGAGTCGCGGTGGGAAGGTTATGTTTTGACAGCGATGACTTTGACGTAGAAGGAGAACTGATTAAAAAGATTGTCACGTGTTATTGCTGGAGCGATCTGTGCAATGATCGGCAAGAAAACGATGAGAAGGTCAAAACGCTGCTTACGCCGTCGCCGGATATCATTCCCTGTACTAGGGATTTTGAATATGACGATAATTCTGCCCATGTTCGGGCATGTTTCCCCGGTTTTCAGTTGTTCCTGATACTTCATCTTGTAACACTTATTGCCGATGAACTGCGGGAATGGTAAAAGCATCCGTTTCATCAGTAAATTTAGATGTTTCCGGCGGCCTGCATAATGTACAATATTTTTATACTTACTTGTAAGTACTAGTACAACTGTACAGTAGTACTGTATATGTAGCAATGATATTGCACACGTATTTGACGATACTCGCTTGGGTCGATCGTTTCGTTGCAAGACGTACCGGGTAATTGTGAATTTTTCCTAAAATTTGAGACGAATACTATGGTGAATAGTGATAGTGTGACGTCAAAAAATCACATATCCATGTAAGACCATCACAAGGCCACCCAAATGTTTCTTGCGCTTGCTCGGAAACTGCTATTGAACCCCTGCTCTCATGAATTTAACTGATCGGATTAAGTGCATGTATGAAGATACATGCTACTTTTCATTAAACGGCGGTAGTGCCGCCGATTATGCGTCTCCCAACCGGCCATGATCAAAGGCTCAAATTTTGCGGTTATGTTTTGTGCAGTTATGTCAATTAGCACGGGAACAACTATAGACGCTCTACAATGTTCCTGGTGCTACGAAACGACCGGTGTGAAGTTATACAGCCTTCCGACCGTCCAGGATGCCCCACCCTGTGCAGCGGCTCAGGTGGTGGACTGTATCGATAAGGCCATTAACGCCTGCTTCTCCTACCGGCGGATCGACACTTACCCTCGCCCTGTGCGCCTCTTGGAGAAGCGCTGCGCCCGTCCTGGAGAGCGTCCCAAGGAAGCTCTGTCCCATTCCTATAGCTACTGTTTTAGGAACACCTATGATAGCACCACAGGGGTGAAGCTGATGGAGGAGACTGAGTGTTATTGTTATGGGGAAAACTGCAACGAAAAAACCCTCAGCAGCACGAACGACACAATTAGCGCCACTAACACCACGAGCACGGACACGGGACTTGGTCGGTGTGTCGCTCCCAAAGCAACGAATTCTGGCGTTCTTGGCGAACATGATGGCGCCTTGGTGTGCGCGATGTTGATTATTATTGCGGTAATTGGACAAGAAATGTGTAATAAAGTGGCTCGAGAACGGTACGTTTCTTGCCCCACAAACTACCACGTTCACGTGCCAATGTGACAGTACAGCTAACAACCGAGAGACTGACTCCCTTTAAATTGTCGGTCTTAGAGAGAGTGTTGAGCACGCTTCGCTGGCAGTGGTAACCCTAATAAGTTAAGTTTTTTTGGATCCCTTTTTCGCCTTCTCGTTTTCTTGGGATAACGAAAGTGAACATCAGCGGGACAGCGGAAAGGAAACTGCTGCAAATTTTATTGGTGTTGTACATACCCACACTTGTGTCAGCGCTACAGTTTGGTAGGTCCCATAGCCAAAAAGCATAACACAGTTAAAAAATTAAAATAAGGCCCCAGTATCGCTTTCAGTGGGGTGCTTTAATGCACTTCCATACAGCGGTTTCTGCCCGGGAACTTCACATCCGGATCGAAGTATTCGGCTAGGTCAGCCTCTTTGAATCCCAGCAATTCATCACTAACCGCCTTAGCCACGATGGTGCGGACCATCCTTCGGCGTTCACAGTCCGGCTTCTTGTTGTCGTAGTAGCTTTCTGCAGTCAGCGCCGCTTCCAGCAGCTCGATATCGAAGTTACCGCGCATCACGTTGCCTTCCATTTTCACACGGGTGGCCACGCTATCCAGCCACATTTTCTGCAGCTGGTTGACCTTTTCGGCTTGCTCTACAGAGGTGGCCGCTACGCCAGACATGCGGCGCATGCCCGACATAGTGGATGCGGCGGGTTTTGGCTGCTTGAAGAGGTTCTTGCCGTTGGTACCAGCCTGTTCTCCGGCGGTGTGGATCTGGTTGTTGGGGTCAACTAAAGGCTCAAAGTGCTCCATTAGGTCCGCTAGCTCTTGCTCACCTAAACGCATTCCGTTAAATTTATTGATTGTTTTTTCAGCCGCTAATGTATTTCATGCTTATCTGCTCACCTAGTGTTGTGTTGAGTGCATCCTCGAGATTTCGCGTAATAATTCCTAATTTAGCCTTCTCCTCATCAAACAGCTCAATAGTCCGCTTCAGTCGGCCCGCCTCTTCCTTCAAACCGTTATGTTGCACCCTGGCGCGGCGACAGATATTCAGCTTGCCGGCTTTCAGTGTTCCCTTCCACTTCTTCTGCTCGTTGGTCAGATTAAGAATAGTGTGCTCGTACTCGCGAATCTTTTTACGCAGCTCCTTAATCTGATGCTTGACATTGCGCGTGCAGGCGGGACGTTTCTCGATCTGACTCTTCATGTCTTCGAAGAGCACGATCTCACCGGCGCGCAACACCAACAGTGCTGCATACATTTCAAAGATCTGATCGCTCAGCCTGGCCAGGTCACCGGCGATTGAGGTATCCTCGGGCGGTGGGAGCTTGGGTGGCGGTTGGTTCATCAGTAGATGGGCTTCACAGCTGTACTGGGTGGCAGTTTGCTTGTTCTCCTCCACCTGCAGACAACGGGACTGTAAATTTATCCCTGGGATTTACGCATTATGATGAATTCTCTGGGGTCAAAAGAAACGGCTGGCTACTGCGACAAACCTGTGTGACCTTTTCAAATTACAGAAGGTGCTCGACTTTACGTTTTGATAAAACCTTCTCAAACCTTATCTTGAATTCCTGGAAGAGCATCGCACAAACATACGACGGCCAGAAAAGAGTGTGCACTCTAAAATGACAATGATGATTGCTATTATCGCACCTTGATTTGCTTCTCCTGTACAGCACTTTCCAGCTGCTTAATTTCTTCCTCAAACGTTTCGAGATGATAAATGTGATCGCTACACTGCCGGGTCAGCTCTAATTTCAACGCTTTGCCCTCGCGGATGGCACAATTGAGACGCGAATAGCGCTCTTGCAGTTCGTTGCAGCGTAAGAAAAGGTCACCGTCGGAGGCCTGACACAGAGTCTGCCGGAACACATCGATGTTAATGTGGTTAGGCCAGCGTTGATTTACGCTGAAATTAGCGAAGCGCCCGCCGCCCCCGGAATCCGCCATTTGACCGTTGAGAATAAATCAGTGCAAAAATTAATATGAATACAACAGTGATAAAACCGTGAAACCCTCAACAAACCACACTTTCGGTCCGGAAAAAAATACGAATATAATAAAATTGACAATCCAAATCGAAGCGCACCAGAGAGCAGCAGTGATTTTAATGTTCTGGGATAAATTACAGAGAACCTTTTAATGTGTTGTCAAGGTACTTCGAATTCTGGCAAGAACTATCGAAGACCTTTATGGTTCTTTGGAACTTTTCTAGACACGTGCAAAGCGCTCTTGCAAGGAAATTCGTAAATAAGCTGTATAGTCTGCTCGACCAAAATTGACCGAAGCAGACAGAGTATTGCAGTGGTACATTGTCGGATCATAGTACTGCAAGGGGAATAATTCGAACATCGTAATTTTGAAAAAAAACTTTTCCGTAAAACTGAAAGTAAAAAGTTTATTAGTCATACACGCGCACGCGAAAGCCAGTCTAACGCTAATACACTATAATAGTCAGCGTTTGGAAGGAAGTACCTCGTAGTACAGAGTAGTTGTTGTTGTAGAGTAAAGCATAAGTACTGTATAGCAATGAAGTACGTACCCTGAGTAGAGGAAGGTCACCTAGCAATAATGCAGCTTTGCAACAATGGAAGTTTTGTGCGGCTGTTTTCACAAATAGTAAAGTAAGAATTCGTACTCTTCGAGACTACGAGTAGCAATCAAAACTGGGTGAATGACTACGAAAACAAGTGGCCAACATTATTTTACGAGAACGAGTAGCACATTAATTCCATTCTTTCTTGAACTATCGATGTTTCCGGTAAATGTTAACAACAAAATGATCATTCCAGTAAAATGCTAACAATAAAAAGATTAGCCCAGATAATAATAAAGATCATGCAACATCAACACACAAAACCCATATTGTTTCGGTTGAAAGCAAGAATTTATAAAATGCATGCACCCTGCAGGATGTTGATTTCAAAGATTCTGCACGCGTTTTCTGAGTTTAGCATGGGCTCGAAAAGGCCGTCAGCCTCAGTTCGGCAAATTGAACACTGCTTTTGTACAGTTCTTTAGTATTTGAGATTCATCCCGATTCTATTGGCGAAGGATTCATCGTAGAACCTGTAATCAATTTGAAAAACAGAATAACTAAAATCGAACAATCCGTACCAGAAAACAAAATCTCATCGAAAGACGTACTGCATTTGTGGCGGGCAATTCTCTGCTGGCTCCGTGGCGCACTTCTCGCAAAATTCATCGAAACTCCTCCCGTTCAAGAGTGCAATAATCTCAATAGTCATGTTATCTGCACCCAGTCCGCCCATCGATGTGTCCGGAGCCAAGCACGTGTACAGCAAATCCTGTGCAATCTAAGGAAAGCAAAATGCGTTCTCATTTTAGGGTACAGCAAACATGCTCCGTTACAACTAACTCGTCGCGGCTCCAAGTGCTGCGCAAACCGGTTGCGGACGAACTCCACCACTTCCGCATTGGTCATTACATCCCATATCCCGTCGCACGCCATCACCAGAAATTCCCAATCATCCGTCAGCGTCCGCACCGTAATATCCGCCCATGCTACCAATAAAACGATTTCTCAATCAAAAATAAAATCATTGAGTATTTTGGTAACCTGTTGATAAATTAGTTTTTAAGAATTGTGACAGCATGGGCTCTCCTATTGTTGCGTTAATTACTACTGCCGAACAAATCATTATTTCTCAACCGGCACACCTGGATAATGTGGTCTTTCTTACCGCACACAATTCGGTCATATGGCGGACCCTCCATGTTGTTCTTGTAATAGAAATCGCCGATGGCGCGCGGCACTGCCAGGTTCCCATTAATGCGGCCATTCTCAACGTACCCCTTCATGTTTCCCTTGTGGTTTATAACGCGCTCGTACTCCACCGGATCGGTGGGTTTGTGTTCGATGGACAGCTGGATAGCGTGACCGCTAACGCTGGCGATGGCGCGCGAATCAGCAATGTTAGCCTGTAAAGGGTTCAGTCCTTAGAAGGGCACCTTGTAAAAGGTGTCGATTCCTCTCAGGCTCTCACTAACTAACGCAGTACAGCTTTTTATCCTTGATCAGCGTCACCACGGCCGTGCATCCGATCAAGTGGTATTTTTCCGGGTTTTCACTGTCTGAGACAAATTAACATTTGCTTCCAGTAAAAGTAATAAGGAGTAAGTATGCACAACGGGCGTTAAACGTTGTGGTAAATGTACTGCGGCCTTAGGATCAAACTTTGATGCAGCAACATGGTATTACCGTTTCCCAAAGCGTAAGCTTCTTTATCGATCTCCAGTAAAGCATGGCGCAGAGCATAGCATGTGTTCTCATCTAAAGGGCAAACAACGTGATCACTGCTGGTTAAGGAAACTGTTGTCCGGCAGGGGAAGGTGAACTGGAAAATGGTTACAGATCACGAGCAATGCACGGTGAGAAGGCTCACACAGCATTAGCCTTCGTGCCGGGTAGCGTCTTTGTTGACCGACGATCACTATTTCATTGAGTTCACGTTCTTGCCAGTTGCTCACGCTGCGACAGTACCTACATAGCTTTGGATGCTGGAGTACGCGTGCTTGAATGTTGGCAGCGGCAAACTGTGCGATGTCGGGACCTGCCGAAACGACGGGTTCAAGACAGGCAGAATCTGACAATTAAGATGCACAGTACTGCATAGTTCACAAATAACATGCAACATGCCTCCATGGCCGTCAAAGAGCGCGAAAAAGGCTGACTGCTGATCATCACCGACTGCGCCCAGTTGAACGATGTGTGCATCTTCCATTGCTAGCAAAGAGAAATTTGTACTAACCGCAAGCACCATTAAATTTCGATAAAATAAAAGAATCGCTGCGTTTTTCAAGAGAACCCGCCACCAACTTGGTCGCCATCCTTGGATCCCCGTGGCAAAGACCATGTAATAGGGATTCTTCTCCTCGATGCTGTCCTCATCGAACTGATGCACGATGGGATAATGGCGCGATAATTTTAACCCCATCATGGGTGTAACGTACACAAGCGCGGTCCGTGTAATTAAGATCTCCCACTGGTAGCTGCAGCAGCTAAAAGGGTTTTGCTAGTTAGCAAACGCGAAACGCTTTATTACGGAAGCACTTAGCTCGTGCCAAGTGCCAATTTTGTACACCAAGAGATACATTCTGAGTAGCTGATGACATGAGATTGGGTTTCTATGGTGTTCCTTGATCGAACAAACGAACTCAACGGAGCTGCTGCAACGCCAGCCCGATACCGTTTAATAACGCGAGTACGTACTGTACTTGTACTTCGTCAGTACTTATACTTGTTAATACAATAAGTATTATACAGGTACAAGTTACAACGGAAGCTGGAAATGCTGTTTTTTTCTGGAACTGGTGGTTTTGATTCTGTATAACCTACAATGACAACAATGCCAGTTACTGAAGGCGGAGAAGAAGATGACACGATCGATGTCCTCCAGGACTTATTGGATACTGTGCGACTGTACGAAGAACTGGAAAGACAAAAGAGCAGCAGTGCTGCTGAGTGGTCAAGCCAAGAGGAAATTCGAGAGCAGATAACGGAAGATCCAGACGAGGGTGAACTTCTTTGTTTTACGTACAATGTACCCAATACAGCGTACAGCTAATTCCATACAGCCCATACTCCGTACAGCTAATTAACCGATATCGTGACAAGAAAAAATTCAATCGGTGCTTGCATGATCTAGATTACGATACCCGGAAAACAATTCCGCCATGCTCACACAAAACGCTTCCAACGTTGCAAGCAGACCTCCAAATCGAAGCAGGTGTAAAAAATCTGAATGTACCGGAATGGGTGATTTCCTGGAGTTCGCAGGAGTCAGACAGCAGCTCTACCGCTCAGGAAACAAATCGTATAGTGGATTTCACTGTGGAAAGGTGAGAATGTTGCTTGACCAGTTGTGATTGTGATAGTGCAATCATTACAAGATTTGCAGTTATCATGGACTGACGAATTCCTTGTTGGATAAGTTTGGGTCGGTTCGGTATTCTTCAGGTGTGACTTATCAAGTGCGTCACCGAGAAAATGACGTTCAGCATTTGCTGTAACGGTACCTGACTGCTTAGGGTCAGTTTAGTAACAGAAAACTCCCGCACGGAATCGGACGGTTGCTTCTCTCCGATGGTGCAATTTTTGATGTAAGTATCCGTTATCTTTATTGCAATAATTTAACCTGCAGCTTTAATACCTAAATAAAATTGCAAACTCAAAACAATTTTTTAGGGTGAAATTGTGGATGGGCAGATTGGCTCCCGGGGTATCTACACGTGGCCGGATGGATCCGTTTACGAAGGCGCTTTACAAGATGGACTGCGTAACGGCTACGGACGATTTCTGCATAGGCCCAGCAAAAATTTCTACGCCGGTGAATGGCTATCCTCCAAGATGCACGGATTCGTAAGCGTTGTGGTTGTGATGCCTATTCAAAAAGGGTCGTTTAACGGTCGACGGTTGTAGGGCAAAATGGTTTACGCAGGAGATAGTACGAACGTGTACCGAGGTTACTGGCATCAAGACTTACCATGGGGTGACGGTATTCGCCAATGGCCATGTGGCAACACGTACAACGGCCAATGGGCGCAGGGACTTCCTAGCGGACGCGGCGAGCAGCTGTGGCGGAAAGAAATGATGTTGTACCGAGGAGAGTTTCGCTGCGGGAAACCGGTACGTCGTATTTCAATACGGTGCTGACAATTGTCATTAAAAATATTTTTTGGTAAATTATAGGACGGTTATGGTGTGATAGTATGGCTTGCGAAACAGCCGCCGGAATCGTTTTCGCAGCGGTATTATTATGGCTATTTTGTAAGTGGCTGCATTAATGGTTACGGCACTTTGAACGAGCAGGATGCCACTCGCTATGAAGGGACTTGGAAGCATGGCAAGAAAAACGGCAAGGTGAGAACGTTATGATGTTCTTAGGGTTACTGCTGTTCCAAAAATTACAAAAGTAAGTGGAGCGCGTTGCGTTGCGTGCTTACGTGAGTTACGTCTATTCAGTTTACGGTCGCCCTGCCCAACGGTATAACGCTTCGATGTCGCTTCTCCAATGATGCCATCGACAATCCGATGCCACGGTTTCTTTTCAAAGAAGTGAGTAATGAGCAATATGCCTGGGCGCTTCCCGGTCCAACTGTCCAGCAACTGCAGTTGCCTGCTTTTATCCACAACAATAACCGCTGCGCACTGGTTCTACCAGGAACCTTGAGGTGCCTGACAAAAAACGGATTCGCCGCCGATATTATCACTGCCGAAATGAAAGGACTCGGGACAATCATCGTAAAGTACTGGCCGCAAATCAAGCGCGTAATGACTGTCTACAGCAAACTCACAGCGGAGTGGGCTTGCCAGGAAAATTACACTCTTCGTGTCATTCAGTACTGGCAGCTGGTCCTGGATGTCGGGGTGGAGAAGACCAACACAGATTGTCCCGCCCAACAAGGACTGTTCACGCTGATCGAAGAAATTGAGAAGAGCTTTCCGCGAGTTAAGCGATTCGGAGTGTTGTCCCATCCGTGTGTTCCAATTACGGAGACTGAAATCATTGACCGGATCGTGGTACTGGCATATATAGTCGAGCGCGAAAAGAAGTTCTTAACGCATCTCCGATCGAAAGCTTCCAAGAAATTACTGAATACGGTTAGCGACGAACACATCGAGCTAAATCACAATTCAAAGCCAGAAAATCCAGTTAAAAGAGCATGGTTAATCCCCGGGGAACCACTGAAGAATTTTATGGAACGTCGGTTACTGAAAAAAGCGGGACTGTTCAAGGGAACGCTGTTCGATGACCCGGCGAAGAGCGCTGTGTTGTTTCGATATGTGGCAGACCTTTTCCATTTGTACAAATATATTTATGAATTCTACGGTGGCCAGGATAAAGAGATGCCCAGTGCACTGACATTGCGATTGGTGCTTGAGGGTTTGCAGCATGCGCATATCCTGGGACTTCCCGGTTTGTCATCAACAGACGTTCTTAAGATTTTTCAGTCAGGATATCCAGAACTGCGAGGGAATACCGGAAGTATCGCCCTTGAAATACCTCTGACCTTCATCGAGTTTATGCAACTGCTGGTTAGTTTGGCGATCAGTTATAATGGGCCGCTTCAAAAACAGCCAGAAGCGGTTAGTTTGTTGGTTGGGCGGGATCGTAGCGGTGTTTATGGGAAGATCGCAGAAGCCGTTGACAGTGTTTACTTACCAAGGAAAAGCGGCCGCAATTGGGGAAAGACGATGGCTTTGTTCGGCGGAATTTTGATGTGGCGTTTTTCAAAATCTTGCGACAAGGCGCTGACAACGCGGAACTTTTGTCGCCGATATCTAACGAGAAGTTGAGACAGTGCCAGCTGATATCGACCTGGGAGAACTGCACCCGATTGCTGATTGGTATAAACGTAACCGGATTTTTGGAAGAAATTTTGTTCCCTAATATGGTGGTGCTTAAACAGACCAATGATTACTTGATTGGGCATGGACATGCAAAACTACTGGGAACGAGAGCGGACAAGCCGCTTGTGGCTGAGAAAACTTATGAATTCCGACACGAGAATAATCGTACAGATTCGGGTAATCACAGTGAAAGACAACCGGTGGAACAAATCGTTCAAGATTTAATATACAAGCATTTGGTCGATGAGAAGACAGAGATTTGTTAATCTTTTCCTGGGTGTACTGTTTGATAAGCTTCGATTAGTTTGTCGTCTTCTGCCAGCAGGATTGCTTCGTACTTGTTTTGTAGCAGTTTCAGTTCTTTATTGCCTATAGCGTCATTTTGCTTATTTCTCACATGATTCTGCTTGTGCTTGTTAAATGCTAAAACAAAGGTGACATGTACCGTCTTCGCCAGCAAGCCAGTACGTTGTCAGCGCTCCCTTTCCTTTGACGAATACCTCTCCACGCTCTTCTGTCTTGAAACTGCCAAAGGTTTCTAGAACGTCTTTTGTGTAGCAGCTTATCTGAATTCGTTGAGCTAAACAGCCAAAACATTGTTAAGTCAAGAAGAGGGGGAAGAAAAAGGGACTTACGAAATCCTGTGGTTAGCATTCGCTTGGAGATGTCTAGTGTGTCGCCAGTAATTGTGTAGCGCGGTATTTTCCGACCAATCACAGCTGCTACACATGGGCCTAATAAAGTACTTACGTAGTTATTATGCTGTAAGTACTGAAATTCCGGTTTTACAACGGCAAGGCTAGTCTGAACACATTGAAAGGTACAGGTATCTGAAGGATTTTAAAATAATTTACAGTACATGCCGCTTGTGCGGCGATTGACGTACCGCTGTGTATTCCCATCTGCAGTTTAATTAAGAGTTACGTCTATTCAGTTTACGGTCGCCCTGCCCAACGGTATAACGCTTCGATGTCGCTTCTCCAATGATGCCATCGACAATCCGATACGGTTTCTTTTCAAAGAAGTGAGTAATGAGCAATATGCCTGGGCGCTTCCTGGTCCAACTGTCCAGCAACTGCAGTTGCCTGCTTTTATCCACAACAATAACCGCTGCGCATTGGTTCTACCAGGAACCTTGAGGTGCCTGACAAAAAACGGATTCGCCGCCGAAATTATCACTGCCGAAATGAAAGGACTCGGGACAATCATCGTAAAGTACTGGCCGCAAATCAAGCGCGTCATGACTGTCTACAGCAAACTCACAGCAAAGTGGGCTTGCCAGGAAAATTACACTCTTCGTGTCATTCAGTACTGGCAGCTGGTCCGATGTCGGGGTGGAGAAGACCAACACAGATTGTCCCGCCCAACAAGGACTGTTCACGCTGATCGAAGAAATCGAGACGAGCTTTCCGCGAGTTAAGCGATTCGGAGTGTTGTCCCATCCGTGTGTTCCAATTACGGAGACTGAAATCATTGACCGGATCGTGGTACTGGCATATATAGTCGAGCGCGAAAAGAAGTTCTTAACGCATCTCCGATCGAAAGCTTCCAAGAAATTACTGAATACGGTTAGCGACGAACACATCGAGCTAAATCACAATTCAAAGCCAGAAAATCCAGTTAAAAGAGCATGGTTAATCCCCGGGGAACCACTGAAGAATTTTATGGAACGTCGGTTACTGAAAAAAGCGGACTGTTCAGGGAACGCTGTTCGATGACCCGGCGAAGAGCGCTGTGTTGTTTCGATATGTGGCAGACCTTTTCCATTTGTACAAATATATTTATGAATTCTACGGTGGACAGGATAAAGAGATGCCCAGTGCACTGACATTGCGATTGGTGCTTGAGGGTTTGCAGCATGCGCATATCCTGGGACTTCCGTTTGTCATCAACAGACGTCTTAAGATTTTTCAGTCAGATATCCAGAACTGCGAGGGAATACCGGAAGTATCGCCCTTGAAATACCTCTGACCTTCATCGAGTTTATGCAACTGCTGGTTAGTTTGGCGATCAGTTATAATGGGCCGCTTCAAAAACAGCCAGAAGCGGTTAGTTTGTTGGTTGGGCGGGATCGTAGCGGTGTTTATGGGAAGATCGCAGAAGCCGTTGACAGTGTTTTACTTACCAAGGAAAAGCGGCCGCAATTGGGGAAAGACGATGGCTTTGTTCGGCGGAATTTTGATGTGGCGTTTTTCAAAATCTTGCGACAAGGCGCTGACAACGCGGAACTTTTGTCGCCGATATCTAACGAGGAAGTTGAGACAGTGCCAGCTGATATCGACCTGGGAGAACTGCACCCGATTGCTGATTGGTATAAACGTGTAACCGGATTTTTGGAAGAAATTTTGTTCCCTAATATGGTGGTGCTTAAACAGACCAATGATTACTTGATTGGGCATGGACATGCAAAACTACTGGGAACGAGAGCGGACAAGCCGCTTGTGGCTGAGAAAACTTATGAATTCCGACACGAGAATAATCGTACAGATTCGGGTAATCACAGTGAAAGACAACCGGTGGAACAAATCGTTCAAGATTTAATATACAAGCATTTGGTCGATGAGAAGACAGAGATTTGTTAATCTTTTCCTGGGTGTACTGTTTGATAAGCTTCGATTAGTTTGTCGTCTTCTGCCAGCAGGATTGCTTCTGTACTTGTTTTGTAGCAGTTTCAGTTCTTTTATTGCCTATGTCATTTTGCTTATTTCTCACATGATTCTGCTTGTGCTTGTTAAATGCTAAACAAAGGTGACATGTACCGTCTTCAGCAAGCCAGTACGTTGTCAGCGCTCCCTTCCTTTGACGAATACTCTCCACGCTCTTCTGTCTTGAAACTGCCAAAGGTTTCTAGAACGTCTTTGTGTAGCAGCTTATCTGAATTCGTTGAGCTAAACAGCCAAAACATTGTTAAGTCAAGAAGAGGGGAAGAAAAGGGACTTACGAAATCCTGTGGTTAGCATTCGCTTGGAGATGTCTAGTGTGTCGCCAGTAATCGTGTAGCGCGGTATTTTCCGACCAATCACAGCTGCTACACATGGGCCTAATAAAATACTTACGTAGTTATTATGCTGTAAATACTGCAATTCCGGTTTTACAACGGCAAGGCTAGTCTGAACACATTGAAAGGTATCTGAAGGATTTTAAAATAATTTACAGTACATGCCGCTTGTGCGGCGATTGACGTACCGCCGACGCGATCTGAAGATCAGCCAGTCTCCACTTTAGTTATAATTCAATTGTCCAACGCGGACGTGTCTGTTACCGTGATCAGATCGACATCCATATCCATCTTGCGGCAGTCAAAATACTGCACGGTGTCGTCGATGAAGCGACTGTACTCGTTGAGAATATCAATAAGCTGCGCCGGTGTACTGTCAACGACAATATGCTCAAAATGATTCATCTGCATCATGAGCACGGTGACGATTTCGAAGGCCTCAGGTGAGATCGTCTGGCTGGTCTTCAGTTTCTCCGCCAGTGTACTATCGACCAGTCACACGTTGCACTGTTGTTTAGCCTTAGACAAGAGGCGTCTTACTTTTCAAAGCATAGCGCGATAATGCGATCAGACTTTTGCGTCTCTTTAAGGATATGACTGCATTTGTTCTCCACGACGGCCTGCAGACGCGAGTTCTGCTGATCCATCTGTACCAGCAACATATCCATGATAGAGCCGCGGTTTTCGATGCCCCTGCAAAACATGCGGTCAAAAAACAACATATCATTGAATTACGTCCAAATACTACATCCGTGCTGCTGCTTCCTTAACGGTTTCCCTTGCGGTGTGGAGGTTTGGACGAGCATCCGGGTTTTCAGACCAGCAGGCTTCCGCTAAGTGCATCAGGCCAGCGTCAATGTGGGCGGATTCATCGGGCGGGAAGAACGGACGAACCAGTTTATTGTCTACCGGTCGTTTGATTCGCAGATAACGCGTCAGCGCTACGAAGAAAAAGAAGCTGCTTTTTTCAGTAGTTTAGTAGTTTTTTGGAACAGGTGGAACTAATCACCTGCAACTTGCAGGTGATTACCTTCAAATTAGACAGCCACCATTGCTTGCAGGCTGCCAGCAATGGTCACTGCTGTTATTCATCTTTTGAAATTACGGTGGCGGGTTTCGTTTACATTTAATGGATGTTTAGTGAACGATTCTGTTTCGCCGATAGTTTATATCAGAATAAAGCATCACTTAAGGTAAGAGAAGCTTCTCACTGTCGGTATCCAGATCCGGATACATTGAGTAGGGGGCACTCCGCAGCAGCACTTCCTGCAGAATAATTCCGAAACTATACACATCCAACGCCACACCCTTCTTAAACTGGTCGTTTTGATCGATCTCGGCTTGCAGTTGTTCCGGCGCTTGCCACAGCTGCGCCTCACTGTACTTGGGATTCCTTTTGGCTATCCATGACTCCAGCGTGTTGTGATCGAAGAAACTGGGCAAACCATAGTCCGATAAGCGAATACTAAACCGGCGCTCAATGTGACAGCATTGCGAGGTCAGTCGGCTGTGGCAGCCCACCGCTGTCTTCTGTAGATACAGCAGAGCATTGAGGATGTCTTCCAGGAAAGCGATGCGCATAGCCCATTCGAATTTGTCGTCCTTCCGTTCGATTAATTCCTGACGCACAAGCAAACATTTCATTCATAAATCGCAACACGCTGCAGTAACGGTTACCTGAAGGCTTCCTCGTGAGCAGTATTCGTAAATAATGAGAACCCTGTCTTTAGCCATGCATGCACCAATGAAAACAGCCAGATTGTCATTCTTCAACGAGCGAACTTGCTGCACTTCCCGAGTGACCCTTCGGGAGAGAGTCACTGACTTTTTATTGCACCATCGAACTGTCACCATCGTTTTTTTCCAAACACCTGTCATTAAGACGACGTTGCTCAGATGAAGTTAGTGAAAATGAAGATCGATCTTAAATCCCTCTTTGTAAAAATTCACCGGTATCAGGATTTGCATTGGAACGGCGGTTCCAATGCGTGTGGCCGGCTGATGCCGACACTGCTGAGACGAAGCTCTGTGCCTCGAAAACCCCACTGCCGCCCTGTTCCAGTCGCTTGCCTTCCAGCTCCTCCTTGGCTGCATGGATTGCGCGGCTGAGCCGACTGCGGCGCGTGCTGTGCTCATCGTTGGGGTTCATTACGGTCAGATCATCGGGGTCGGCGATCCAGTCAGTCTTGTTGCGTATGTGGCGGCGGTAGCGGCGCGTAATATACACCCCGGACACAACAAAGACAAAGAGAACCGGTATCTGGATGAGGATGGCGTCCATCAGACGGTTATCGCTGCCTTCTGCAAAAGAACTGAATTTCAGATCATAATCAGTCAAAACTAATGGCAAAAGACTACCAGAACGTTTTATGTTGGAATTAACAACGATATAATCTGCACTCAGTTTTAATACTCGTATAATTTTGCAGTGACTTTTCGCTCTAAGTAATGACCTGGATCACATTCGGTGCCCGTGTAGCCACATGACGGATAGCTAGGCGGCACAGTACCATTTTCCCAGCCGATATCCAGCGTGAGATTAAATTTCCTCTTCAGACTGTCGTAAATCGCTGCCATCTACCACACACCGAAGACCGAAGGTGTTGCACCGGAAGCTATTTAGATAGATAAAAGTTGCCCTCACCACAAACTGTCCCGTAGTGGAATTCATATACCACAGGTCGTATTTCTCTTTCTTATCGCCAGCGGCGCTTATACTCAGAGCATCACACGATAGACCGTAGTCTTTTTGCAGCAGGGTTTTATTGAGGTACTGCCGGGAGAATACGCTATCCCATGCATTGGTGCGGTTGAAGACGTAGCCTAGTTGGTGTGCAGCGCGGTACGCACCGGCAATGATCATGAGGACATCATAGTGGTTGGCCATGTGGAGTACAAAACAGAATTAAGGTCACCGCGTAATTCGAAGCGAGAAATATGAGTTGGGAAATGGTCATATAGAAAAAGGATATAAATCGCTTCTCGAGACGTGTAGTTCGTCACGCCGGCCTCATCCGTCGCCTGCATCATCTTTTGCACAAACTTGCGGTGACTGGTGTCGTTCTGGTAGTTGTGCACCGACGCCACAAAGAGATGCTGGTACCCTTGCTGAACGATACCGTCAAATCCGTCAGCTAGAAAAAATCAGATAGTTAGGAGTGCCATGTACGTATATCAGCGGTCGCATTTACTCCGTACTTCCTTTACTTCGATTGACGTTGAAGATGATGTTGTCCACGAACTCATCGGTCGCGAAGAAAACATATTCGCCGCTCATAAAACCCAGCTGTGAGGACTGAATGAGGTAACCGCGGAGAAGATTCGTTGGAAGGAGGAAGATGATCACTACAGCAGCAGGTCAAAGTTAGCTTCCATGCATAGTTTTGCCATGATTAGTTACTTCGCGATTTGAGAGATGCTCGGTATAGATTTTCTGAAGCATTGGTAGATTTCGGGTCTGCCATGTTGTGCACGATCTCTTCCATTCGTATTTTGGCTACCGAGGAATTCGGGCTTTTTGCTGTAATAGCGGTGTCCAGTGCTAGAAGGTTAGACAGTAAGAATAAAAAGCAGGATACTAAAACGAACTTTTAAATGTTTCTTTAAAGCGGATTTAATAGTCCTACCGAAACGTGGATCGCGGTAAAAGAATACAAAAAGTAAAAGAATACAAAAAGACTGATAAACTTTATTTTGAGAAAAGGTAATGTGAAATTTGAACCTCGTAAAAGGAGCTCGTAAGTGTAATTCCGTCCATCGAGCGTATTAACGGGATCCATTTGGTACCAGATCACCGACAAATTAGTCCACTGGTTCATTAGACAAAACCGAATGATCGGCTGAAAGAGATCTTTGGCCGAATACGCGATGCGGTTCAGACCATTGGACAGACCGAACATATCCCAGTACGGCGTTCCAGCCGTGAACGTGGTAACGTTATTGCCCATGGCCAGTTGCGCAATGACTCGCATATCCGCATCACAAAACGGTCCCACGACCAGGTCGGGCTGGTTACGGCGCAGGGTGCGCGAGAAGTTGGCGATAAGAACAGACGCCTGCACCAGGTCGCAGGTGTCGGTGGGCGTGGCGCCGGAGTAGGCTACGGTCAGGTTGACGCCGTGGAGAGTCAGTGCGTCACCGCGGGCCAACTCGATGATGGGACGAAGGTAGTACAGAGAGAAGATCTCCTGCGAGTTCATAGAAGCCACAATCAGTAGGCTGACATTGAGGACGTCGGGGTATGGTCCCGCGGCGCCATGGGAGAAGATTGACAGCGTGGAAAAAATCGGAAGACAGAGAAGCGCCAGTTGTTGCATGCTCCTGTTGAAGGTCTTTTGCGGAACAGTCCGTTCCGATCATCTTTACCTTCAAGCTGCACCTGAGCTTTTGTCTTTATTATTAGTATTATTTGATCAAAAAGTAGAAGACTGATAAATTTTGTAAAAATAATAATTATCAAGCTGTATTCAGCTGTATTAGCTATTGTGTACAGTTAGCCATTCGGGTGTTAACCAGCTTGTTGCCAGGCAAGCAAACATTACTTATGTACATATTAGAATATGGAGAAAGCCAGTACCAGTCACACGAAAAATTCAGGCACTTCTGACCCAACTCCGAATGGATCAATCAAGACTTAATGCCTCCCGACCTTCTCAGATACATGGTAATCCATCTTTGTGCTCTTGTGGTTTAATCTTGTGGTGGTTCTTGTGGTTCACTTTTTATATTTTTTTTACTGTTCCATTTATAAGCATCCTTGACGATTCTATTTATATATTTGTTGGAACAATGGTCTTTAAGGACTACGCTGGGTTTCAACAACAACAACAAACAACATATTGGTAAAGCGGCTGCTTTCTAAAGTTTTGGAGTTTTCAAACAGATTTCGTCAACGGCTGTCGCTGAGATTCAGCGAGGTAACGCCGCTTCCGTACTCGAACAATGGAGGAGCTAGCAATGATATTTGTTGAAGATTAATGTTTGATCTTGTTCAGGACTACGCTGTATGTTTATCACAACAACAACAACAATATATTAGAACTCACTCAAAACGATTATCAAAAATTAAACCATGTTACTTATCATAATTATGTACTAATGCAACAACAACAACAACAACAAAAATTAAACTGTACACTTATGCAACAACAAAAAGAACAAAAAAAAATTAAACAGCGCGCTGAATAGGAAATGCTAGCAGCAGCAACAAACAACCGTTGACGGAAACTGCAAGCAGCATCTCTACCTTAGTGCGTTCGTTGTTAATCACGCTTGCAGTGTGTCGTACAGTAAGTGATTAAAACGATATGGAAAGTTATAAAACGATATGGATTTGCCAGAGTTGTGTTAGTTTGAACGCGATGTCAGAGGATCGATGCTGCTACGACTGCGAATATACACGTCGAGAAAACATCGGAGCGCAAGCTTAGTGTAAGGCGTTTACATCATCCCGTTTTGAACCTTACAGTGAGATAAAAGTTAATTAGAGAAACCATGGCCAGATTTTTGTAAATACCGAATATGTAGATTCTGCAGTCATGCATTCATGGAGGTGGTCAGAAGTTAAAACACGCTTCACAACTTGGTAAACCGATTAGCAACATCGCTTCGGCTTGGGTATTAAACTGTTAAAGTGAACGATGATTAAGTAACTGTCTTTAAGAAAGCATCAAAAACAACTTACTTTATGCAAAAGACTGCAGATACACTTCATTAGGAGCCCACCATTTCCATGTTTTAGAGCTCGCTGCAACAAATACAATCATAATGTTAAATATAATCTTGCGAAAGGTTGTTGTTTCTAGATTATTGGGTTTTAGTGTAATTATTCCCTGTACTGGAAGTTAATTCTTCCTAATTTCCAACTGGTTTTATGAAAAGATATACAGGAGCAGCAGGGATAAAAGTTTTGTGCTGGCAAATACCAGTTTCCTTGCGAACGAGGTATGATTCGGAAGTAGCTTAACCCACGTTCATTTTAGCATAACCATCAATCCAACGCCACCGGTATAGTGGAATCTGCAGTCGTGGTTCTCGTGTCCTATCACTTATCCAAGCTATTGCGCCATAAGTAGGCACTTTACATGGAGAAGATACCTTTGAAAACGCAATGGGGTCGTTTGGCCTTTGCTGAACAGTACTTTCCCGATGAACTGTTCCAGCAAGCCACTGTCTTACGCACGCGGCGCATTATTCGCAAGGAAGCTCCGCACAAACGCGAACCCATCGAGCTGACGCCCGATATCCAGCTGCGGCTGCGCAAGATCATCCGCCGTTTGCAGAGCAAGCGCTGGTACCTGCACGAGAAACGTGGTTTCAAACGCCAGGCACGCCAGCGAAAGCTTCAGCGGCGCGCTGATTTCGTGCAGAAGCAGAAGCAAGCCGAAAAAAAGGCCGGCGAAAAAGCGGGAAAGGACGGCAAAGGAAAGGAAGCGCCGAAAGCGACCACATCTAAAGGCAAACCGCCGACTGCTAACCAGACATTTCCGCCAAAATCGCGGAAAAAGTACAGAAAATGGCGGGAAGGGAGATACCGGAAATGGAACAAGACCAACTTTCGGTCGGAGTTTATCAGACAGGTATGCCAAATAATCTATTCGCGCAGGCCTAACCGCATGTGTAACCTCATTCTTAAGTGTCACGTCTGCGACCACTGTTAATATTCTGGTAAGCGGGGAACAACTCCAACAAAACGCGTTCGAATGAGAAATTTATTTGAAGAGAAACATAACTAATTTGCTGTTAGAATAACGCAGAATGCTTTCTTTTATGTTGTTCGCTGTCTGTTTAGGAATACGAGCACATGTACTACCGGGGTTCCCACCCCGGCACACGCCCTTTTCTGAGTCCCAGAGCTTCCACATATCGCCTTATCAGCAAGCCATATCTGGCTTCGAACAGCACAATTTAGCGTCCGAACGGCTGCCGGCAGTTTTTGAGCCGTCTCCGTACTGCAATGTCGAAAAACCATTAGGATCACTGGAAGCCAAGCGGCGCTTGACCAAACTGTACCAGAAACAGTGGGAAATTGAGAATTATGACCGACTGAACCGCAACCGTTTGGTCAAAGCCATGGCAAAACTCATCATCATGGCGAAAGAGAAGTACGATGCAGAGCAAAACCGAAAGAGTATCGACAAGAGCGCAGCGAAAAGCCATCAGCCAGTCATTCTGGCGTACCCGACGCAAAATAAACCTGGAGCGCTTACTTCTGGTTCGTTGTTTCCTAAAACTGCACGGGCTCGGTCTTTTTTTGGTTTTTCGAAATTTTGCGACTATTCTGGGACTGTATTTTTGCAGAGCAGGCTGAACGCGAAGCTGAAGTGCACGAAATACTCCGCAAACAGCTTCAAGAAAAGGTCCGGGAATTTCTCCAGAATGATCCAGCTGAACGGAACCGACAACTTCAGAAAAAAATGCTAAAGAAAGTTCTCCAAAATGCAGAAATAAAGAAAAATACATTTATCAACCGACCAAAAACATTCTATGACCACTTTATGCGTCGGCAACTCCAAGATCACACAGTTGCCAAAACCATAGAGAAGCGTCAGTTAATGGGAGCCACAAAGGCAGTTACCCCGTACTGTCGCTACTTAATTGGGTTTATCCCCGCCTCGAAGATCGTCTTACCCGGAAGCAAGATCATTCCCAGTCGACAACGCCATGGTCCTCGACCAATGAAACTCTTGTCGCGCATTTTGCCTCATCAACATGTCCACCCTAAACGGCCAGGACATAAACGGGAGCGTTACACCAAGCAGCGTGATCCCCACAAACCGATTAAAGAAAAGCCGAAAGTTAAGGAAAAGAAGGAAGATAAAGGGAAGGTCAAAGGCAAGCCGACGGCGGCTAAATCCAAAGGGAAAGATAAAGGCAAAACAACCGGCAAAGGCGGACCACCCAAAGACCCCGAAAAATACCGAAAATGGCACCGCCGACAGAAGCGGCAACGCCGGAAAAGAAAGTTGCGAAAGTGGATTCCCGATATCGAAAAACGAAGGAGGATCAAGATCGCTCAAGAAATATTGGATGAAAAAAATTTTTGCCGGCCAAAGCCAAGCAAGTACTTTCAACAAAATAAGTTTTATAAAGTTATCAAAATATTATAAAGAACGTAATCATGGTACAGATTTAAGAGGAATGCGGCAGCGGATTCGCGAACTGGAAGTTCAAAACGACCGAGCTACCCAGTTAATCGAGTATTTAACCCGCCGGAACGAGTACCTTCATGAGCAGTATACTGACTCCTATACTAAAAAACACAGCGAATACTTCGCTGTCTTCTCCGACTGGCGCTCCCACAACGACGAATGGTTCCACCTCAAGGACCAGATGGACGAAATCCAGTCGGCCATCCATGCCGAATCAAAGTTCTACGAGGAGCGCTGCCGCTCCATCATTGCCGAAACCACACAACTGGACCATTTGCTGCACAAAGAAATTTCCAACATTGAGATCGACTACATGGAAATATTGCAGTTTCTGCAGCAAGAACCCAATTGGGAGGTGCAGATCGCGCATCTGCAAACGCGGCCGTTGTACTATGAATTTCTATACGCATTTCGTGAGGCTGCGGAAGAGCAGAACTCTGCGTACATCAGTGACCTTTTGCAACGGCAAATGCATAAAGATTTCTTGAACTTGGCGCTTTTGGAACGCCGACGTATGCGTAAGCTCCTTCCCGATGCATGTAAGCGGGTGCTGGAAGAAAGAGGTTTACTGGCACAGGAACAGAACAAACTGCGAATGTGGTGTAATCGGCTGCAGCGGAGACGCGAAAAGGTCTTGTTGCCGCTTTTAAAAGCCAAGCGAATGCAGTGGGATAACGTTCGCTGGGAGAAGCGTCACGTGATTTGCCAACGCCAGCCAACCTTATGGAAAATTTTGGATAAGAAAAAGCGGCTTCGTTTCTTGCGGCCGGTTAATGGCGCAGCCGTCAGCCGGCTGTACAGGGCGGCGGGGCGCCATCACCAAGAACTGCGCGCCCAGATAACTGACGAGAAAAAAAAGCATCAAGAAAATCAAAACGACTTTCAAATTGAGCAGCGGAATTTAGAAGGATTCCGATCGCGCTTGGAACGGTTAAAACATAAACGTTGCACATTGGTGAAGCTGGTGGTTGAATTAGCGAATACTCTGAAAACAGCATTCGGTTTACCAGACGATTTCTTCTCTATACGCTGGGCGGCAAAACCTTGCGTGGTGCCGAACACCAATGAGCTTTTACGTCATGTCCTTGATAAACTGCAAAATGAAAAATTGCTGGAGCGTCATGAACCGGAAGAGGACATTCGGCATTTTGTTTCCGGTTTGGCTGGAATGGGTCAGAGCGTTAAATCCTTCTCGATCAAGGCGTTTGATAATCGTTCCTAAGCAACCTCCTCAAACAAGCGCAATAACCATTGATCAACTGACTGAGCGTTGTTTTTGCTGTAATTCATCCAGGCCGCCCTGTGATCCGTGCGACGTTGTTTCTTGGAATACCAGTCATCGTACACACGGAAACGAAGAGCCGATGAAACTGGGACCTAGTGTTTTCGCAGAGGATATGAATAAGCCTCAGAATGTGGCATGCAGGCCGCCGAAGATGGTAAGCTTTATTAAGACCCACGGAGATCCGGCGGTGATCAAGAAGGGCGGATGTGGAGCAATCAAAGGGAAGAACTGTGGAGCTCCTAGTCAAATGGACGCCGAAGGTATGGTCCCCTAAAGTATTGACATAATAATGGGGATCAACATTGAAAGCCTACTCTTTTTTTCCCGATGGTTAGAACTTATGGCCATTGAAGAAGATATGAACGACGAAGAGCAGCAGCAAGACGCTAAGAAGATCGCCATTTACTTAAGCGGTGACCTCAAGGAACAAATGTTTACCGACGTTACCGTGACCTCCAAAGACCATGTGTACAAGATCCACAAGGAGTACCTGTTAGCCTTTACCAACTACGATATTCCCGTCAAAGAAGGAGAACCCCTCCGTGACGCGCCATCTCTAAACCTGTGTGTAAGTACATTCGACACGCCCATTAATAGTCTAAGAGCCTGTGTACTTTGCAGGAGATTGATGGTGCTGACGTTGCCGCAGTGCTCCATTTCCTGTACTATGGCGAACTGAAGGCCAACATCCATAACATCCTCGGCATTATGGCGGCCGCCCATGCGATGGACTTGGTCGATGTGCCGGCTGTCATTCAAGAGTATCACGATAAACTTTTTGCGCCGCCAAATCAGACGAACATTATCGACTACGCCGTGTGTAAAGGAATGGAATGTTTGGAAGCGTACACGTGGAAAGTATTTGTCAGCTGCTTTTCGGAGCACGCTAACGGCTGTCACTTCCTTAACTGGGACGTGCGATGGGTCGTGAATCTCTTGTGTCATGATGACATTCCGATCTTGGTACGATAAAATGTTCGACCGCATTATACTATCGTTAAACGCATTTACCAATCGCTGTAACATCTGTGCCGTTGTAGACAGAACTGGAAGTGTTCGAAGCCGCTCGGTTGTGGATTAACTACCGTCTTGAGGAACGTACCGATCATGTGCGAACCGTACTGAGCTGTGTGCGTTGGGTGTACATGACGGCCGAGGAAATGGTTTGCTGCGAACGCGAAGATCCATGTCTGATGAACAGGCCGGAAGCCCACGAGCTGATCGCCGATGCCAACTTTTACAAAGTCATGATTCAGAAAGGCAAGAGCTGGCGCGAATTCAACATTAAACCTCCTCGCGGCGCCTACGCGGGCAACCACCCCGTGGAGATCCCCAAGGTACCCACCGGCAAATGCGGAGATCGGGCGACCTCTACCAACAGCGGCAAGTGCGGGCCCAAAGTGGCCATGGCATGTCAAACTAATTGCCAGAGACCCGCCGAGGACTCCAAGAAGTTTAAGTGTCCACCAGGAAAGGAAAAGGACCATTGCGGCAGCGGGAAAAAAAAGGAAGATAAGAAGGACGGCGGATGCGGGAAAGAGGATGCGCTGCAGCAGCAATTGCGGCTGCTTCCTATACCCCCGGAGAGCGATCTCTTCAGCACCATGTCTTACTTAGTCGCCGTCTACGTTGGTAAAATACGGTAGTTTATGCCATACTTTATTATGCAACCAAGTTATTTCGATAATACTGAGTTAAAACGGTCTACAGATAGTTAACCGAAACCATGACAGCACATATCTACACAGTTTCATTCGAGTGCATTTCGTGCTCGCTGTTTTCCGAGTTGCTTGTTGACGTAAAAGGCAAGTGCTATGCTGCTGCGTAAGCGTTCGCCACCCAGTTCATATCTGGGCAACGAAATCAGCGCTTCCAGTGCGGTTTCCACGGTGGCCTCTGTAGTACCCGTGTAGGCGATGACCTTTTTAGCCCACAAAGCTGCTGCTTCTTCGTTGTCTTCCTCCAAACAGAGCCCGGCCAACGAGCCCATCGCACAGATGTTGCCATGTTTTGCAGCAAATGTCAGATAATCAACAGCGAGTGGAAGGTTTACTGTAGTGCCCAGTCCGCACCAGTGCAGAAATCCAGCTTCGAATGCTCCTTCGGGAGAACCCTATAAATGACGCTGCTTTATGTAAGCAGCGTAAGGACTGCACTTAGCTTAGTACGCTTGCATAAAAGAAGTAGGCTTTTTTGAACATTCATGTTGACCTTATTTGCCGCCTCTTCATACCACTGCAGACTGCTTTCCCATTGGCTGGTGCGGGCGTAATATCGACCTAACATCATCTGGCAGCGAATACCCGCAGCATTCATCAACGGACACGAATGACCTACTGAGATAAAACATCTTTCAACAACGTTTCGATGTCTGTTACAAATCCGAAATACCAGCCTCATCATAGTGGAGAAAATCCGTCATATTATAACAGCACTCCGCTCCCTTGATCCACCATTTAGCCGCCTTGCTCGCATCCTGACCTTTAACGCCGCCTATCCACAAAGCCATTCCCAAGTGGTAGCCAGCAAGCTGGCCGTAATACAGTGCTGCATTGTGCTCGCAGGGATCGACAGTTTTGGGGATGCGGCGGAGAATGTCCTCTAGCAATTGTAGAGCGTTGCGCTCGTCTTTCATGGTCCCGATGCCTTGCTGCAGCATCACACTTTGGCAGTACTGAGCAGGTATGCTGCCGGACTGGGTCAGACGATTCACAAAAGCAAATGTCTCAGAGTAACGCTCTACAAACACATAACAAAACTGTGGGCCTAGAACCAGGTCCAGACTCTGGTTCTAGCCAACATAACATTTTGAATCAAAGCGCTAACGACTAGAGCAATAGGTAAGTATCTGTATATAAACAATTGAGCATCTAGTCATTAAACAAACTAATTAAAAGGAGTGACAGTCATTCTTCCTGTAAAGTGTAAAGCAAGAAAAGTAACATATGCTGATAGAGGAATGACGGAATCATCAAAATTGCGTAATAAATTAAAATAATAAATTATAAACTGCGCCTGATTACCTTGTGAAAGCAGTTCTGAGATGCGTCTCAATTGGATATATTCTTCGCTAGCTTTAAAGACGCGCCAACTATCTTGCGGAAGGTGCTTAGGGGTGCTGTCAGCGGAGTGAAGCAGATTGTGTGGCATACACTAGACTAGAAAAATTAATTATGTTTGCATATCCACCCATACGCATATGTACTGTGGGTGTAAGTGACTAAGTGTAAGCATAGTTTGTAGTCCACCGTAACATCATTACCTTCCTTAGGTGTTCTTTCTAGGGTGCTGATATTTGTTTACTATGGAATACGAGAACCCACAATTTTTTACCAGTCAGTCAAATCTTCAAAACCCTTGTTTTTATAAGAATAGTAGTAGCACAAAGATACAAACAGTTTTGTGATGTCTTCGGAACTCTATATAAGAATATACGAATAATAGTTACTAGTAACTAGTACCAGTGTCTAGTATTATTATAATAACAATGATGATTACAAAAGTGTTAAACTTTTAAGTAAGCTTGCAGTTGCAATCACTGTCACAGTGGCTCACTTTAATAAGTTCTAAATTCATACATAAAATAAGCACTGATAAATCTAATATCTATAGGCATGAAGTATCCCCTAGAGTGATAAAAGCAAGTGGCCCCGTTAACATTACATAATGATACGTGTAGTTAGAAATTAAAGCACAAAAAATTAAGTAGCTGCATGATATAATTATGGCAAACTAGATAAGTACTACTACCATTATAACGATAACGGCCGCATCGTGCTAGCTGTACGTGGCCATTGACAGTGTTGGGCCGGCCCGGGCCATGGCCCGTTGTGAACGTTAAATACGTAGAAAAACAAAAAATTTCATTGGGGTTTACTGAAATTTAGTAGTTTTCGATGAGTTTTTCTTAATTTTTACAGCATTAAACGTTTCTAGGCGAAAATCCGTCTATTTTTCCGTTGACATACCCGCTGTAGCCGCTTGCATAATGACATCCGGAAATCAAATATTACTGTGCTGCAAGACGGCCCGGGGACAGGTCGGGCCGCAGCCCGGATCGGCCCGCGGCCCGGGCCGACCCATCACTAGCCATTGAGTAAGCCTGCACAGTGCCGCTCTGCAGTAGTATAGGCTACTGGCCAGTAGCATAGGCTTCGCCAGTTACTGTAGAGCGGCACTGGCCTGCATTAACTTGTAACTCATGTGTGTTAGAATGAGAAATTAGTAAAACAAGACAGACTTTTAAAAGATAAACAATAACAACAATCAGTATGAGAAAAATTGATTAGCAGTGGTAACGACACTTGACAGACATACATGTTGATCGTCCTTAAATTTTGAATCAGCAACACGGACATTTTCATCGCCTGATTCTCTGATCGTATAACTTGTGGTTCCGGTTAAAAGTACGTCGACTTGTTGTTTCTGTCATGCTCAGAAGTTTCGCTTTGGTGGCTAGTTAAATTTTACAAAAGTAAGTACTTTTTAGTCCAGTAAGGAAAGCATCGTACGGATTGCAACCAGTATCTTTGCGCTACACTAAGAGGATTATCGGATTTTGAGAAAGAATGCATCCTCTACAATCCAGTGGATCGCACGGGTATGATGATCGCGCTGTTGTTTCTCCCAAGAAACCGTTCGAGATCAACAGCGAAGAATCTAAAGAAGTTCCAGTTCCGTGTGGCAACTGTGGACGCAGCTTTTCTGCAGAAAATCTCGTAAGGATTTGCCACTAACCATGTTATAACGAAGATTTGTTAGCACGCACCTATATATTCGCGTGCACAGCAGTAATCAATAATAATAATAATATTATTATAATAATAATAATATTGTTGTGATACTTCCAGGAACGGCACAAGCCAATATGTGAGCGGCTTAGTCAAAAGCCGAGACGTGAAGCTTTCAAAGCTATCGTCCAGCGTTTGTCCCACGTGGCACAAGAGAGCGCTGTACAAACCATCATTCACGAGGCGCTGGTCAATAAGCCAACTCCAGCGCCTAAAGTAGCCAGTCCACCACTTGTGCCTGCAAAACCTAAAGGTCACATGGTTCGTACTGGCAATGCGGTAAGATGTGCAAGCTTCGACAGTTTCCTCATCAATTGCCGATGTTCTGCCACTGTTATAGGGAGCGGACCTGTTTCTAGAGCAGCAGAAAGGTATAATCAACTGCGGCGGAATTTGGTACACATTGGTTAGTTCGATTCATAGGACAGTTTACACATAAATCGCGTATGCTACAAAATGCAAGACCAAAGTACATAATAAAACCCGCAGAGTCTGCCACTGTAAAGCGCATGTTGAGCAAATAGGAGTTTCAGGTCTGCGACGGTGTTCGGGCTGCGAGCGCTCCTTCCGCACCGAAGCCTACGAACGGCACGTTCCATTCTGCGAACGACATCATTCACAGATCTCTCGTCATAATCCAGCCGCGGATCCCAAGCTCGACCTTCTGAAACGTCGTATGAAGGTCTGCCAGTGCACTGCTCTGTTTTTTATGTACAGAAGCGGTATTTCCTTGGTTGGTGTTGTAATTCCAGTACCGACCACCGAAACCAAAAAGCGGTTCCAAAGAACGGACGTTGGCTGCCCGGAAAACACAGAGCTCGGTGGATACCGGCTCGCGCAATCTGCAAAACATGATGATGACGAAGAGCCGCTCTACTATGCTGTCCACATACACATCTGTCTCGGAGAAGGTCAAAACAAAGAATCCAGGGAAAGAACAACATGGAGAGTTTGAAGGGAAGGTGACGGCGCTGATTACGAGCGCCGTAACAAAGACAAAGTCGTTAATGCCGGAAAAGCAGCGCCCACCTGGTCACATGTCTTTTACAAACCACAGTCAAAAACAGAATGACGTCGTTCATCCTGTGCTGCAACCTGCGGGCGATGCTTCCAGAACCAGGTAATCTGCGTAAGCGGCTGCTGAACTTATTTTTGACATTGAAAACGCGAGATGATCGTTGAATATCACCCCGAACATCTTCGGTAGTTTCCACATTGTAGGATAATTTCGTCTCCCGTAGTCCGCTGCGAAAAAGAACTCCCGCAGTTTGCGTCAGCGCGGAAAGACCGGGACGAAACTGTGAGCCGCAAAGGGATGGATTTTTTCCTACGCCCGGCTGTTAGCACAGAGGGCATGGCATGGGACGACGAAAGATTTTTTCAACGGAACGCTGGAACGTATTGCTTGCCGCCTATGGACAAACGTCCCTGTGTCCGATTGACGGATATCATTCCAACTTATTCAGTACAAATGAGAGTGTGATTCGATGAAGGGACACTTGGACAATATCTGAGTTCAGCCGGGATCTTGGAGGCAGGAATGCACTGAAACCCTGCGTGAGGCACCGGTGTAAGTGCTTATTCATTGTACTACCGCTGACCGTCTCTGGATGTGCTTTTTGTACCAGAGTCGCGGGTATGTAAATATGATAACTACTGCTTCGAGAGCGGAGTGCTGAGTGACAGCTAACTAGTAATCGAAGTGGCGAAACCGATGTAAGCATGAGGCCATGAGCTCGATGTACGAGTATTTAAAGCGTTCGCTATGGGAAAAGCATAAGGCGTTTGTAACCGTTTATTTCGTCCCATTAAAATGATAACATGTTTTCTTACCTTGACGATACTAATTTTCATTTGTCTGAAGCAGTGGTGTTTGTAAGGACTACTCTGCGTATTATTTTATGCAGCAACAACTATATTTATGCAACAACAACATGAACAACCTGATAGATAGTAGATACGGGTCCCGTTTGGCAGATGTATTGTACAGAATTATTGTAATACAAGAAACGGCTTCGGCTTTGCCTCCGCGTTTCTTGTGGTCTGCGGTCGGTTTCTCAAATGATTTTGATTAATTTAGTCTTACTGTGTGCACTATTTGCGATCACTGTATGCACTACACAGTGGTGTTACTTCTGTTCTTTACCACTTATCACGATTTTCGCTCAAGAAAATGACGGTAGTTTGGTTACTCACTCTCGCAGTCGGCTCTGCGCATTGGACAGTAATGGAAACTGGTCACTCATTTTCTGCAGTGAGCAGTAGTGGTACTTAAGTTACTCACCACCGCTCGTTTTGTTACGTACCCACATAGCGAGCGGTGCGCAATAATTATTTCCAGTAGGGCGGTCACCCGCTCTCCTACCGTCCTCTGCAAACGAAATAGTGGTACTTCGGTTACTCATTATGTGCAATTCCAGTAGTGGTACGTAGCTAAGTTACTTACTCCTTCGTCACCACTTGTTTGGTTACTCGCTCACCTGGCGAGCTCTGTGCACTGGAGAGTAGTGGTAGTGCGGTTACTCACCCATCTATCGGGCTAGTAATTTGATCACTATATTTGTACAATAAACAGTAGTGTTAGTTCGGTAACTCGTGATCCGAACCCCAGTGACCGTACCCCCGTGACCGTAGTGTCCAAATTAATACCCGTTTTCTTAGGAACGATAGTTGTTTACGAAGCAGTTTTATTTTTACAAGCTCAACCTCGGCCTCCGGCCTCGGTTGAGAATTTTTAGAACTGAAGAAAGTGATGTGGTAGTTTTATAAAGATTTAGGAAGCGGAATTTAATTGGATCGGAAAAGTGGTTTGTTTTGGATTATACAAACGGTATATGTACACACGTTCCGTTATAATTAACGGAACGTTCATCGGTAAGCGGTTGGACGAAGTGTATTACGTAGTGAAGTGATTTACTGCGTGATTTTCTGTTTCGCCAATGTATTCTTATGTAAAAAACCGACTAAAAGGCGACCAGCAAAAAAAAACGGAACGTATATACATATACTTCAATTTATTGAGGTGCCATCGGTAAAATCGTCGTCAGCAAAGAAGGTTGAGCCAAATAACATATCAGCCAAAAATGTTAATAATAATATATCAGCCAAACACCTCCTCGTCCATCTGACAAAAAATTCCTTTTTTTGAATAATCGGCCAAAATCATTCCACCTCCGTCTAACCTAAAAATCCCTGCCCCTGTGTCTGCCGGCGAAAATCCCTACCCCTCTGTTCTAACAGGCGAAAATCTCTACCCCTCTGTTCTAGCAGGCGAAAATCCCTGTACTTCTATCTAACCGGCGAAAATCTCTACCCCTCTGTTCTAACAGGCGAAAATCCCTGTACCTCTATCCGACCTGCGAAAATCCTGTACTCCTATCTAACCGGCGAAAATCCTGTAGTTCTATCTGACGGACGAAAATCTCTGTACTTCTACCTAACCGGCGAAATCCCTGTACTTCTAATTAACCGGCGAAAATTTCTGTACTTCTATCTCCGGCTAAAATCCCTGAACTCCAATCTAACCGGCGAAAATCCTGTAGTTCTATCTGACCGTCGAAAATCCCTCTACTTCTATTTAACCGGCGAAAATTCCAACCCCTCTGTTCTAGCAGGAGAAAATCCTTGTACTTCTATCTGACCAGCGAAAATCCTGTACTCCTATTTGGCCGGTGAAAATCCTGTAGTTCTATCTGACGGACGAAAATCCCTGTACTTCTACCTAACCGGCGAAAATTCCTGTACTTCTAATTAACCGGCGAAATCTCTGTACTTCTATCTGACTGGCGAAAATCCCTGTACTTGTATCTGACCGGCGAAAATTTCTGTACTTCGATCTCCGGCTAAAATCCCTGAGCTCCAATCTAACCAACGAAAATCCTATAGTTCTATCTAACCGGCAAAATTCCTGTACTTCTAATTAAGCGGCAAAAATTCCTACCCCTCTGTTCTAACAGGCGAAAATCCCTGTACTTCTATCTGACCGGCGAAAATCCTTCCCCTCTGTCTCACCGGCAAGAATACCATCGGAAATTATATCTTCCAGTCGGGAATTTGCGCATCACTGGGACATTCATTGTTCTCACCGTCTTCCCTACTTTTTGTTAATACGTACTTATGTTAGTTTTTGTATGTACCTTGCCCGTTAAGGTACAGTTATCCTTTTCTTCTTTCCGCCAATGTAAAATGCCGCTCACATAATAATATGTACGTGTTTGCATTTTTGTTCGAAAAGTTATACATTTGCGCCAATCATCTATTGGTTACTTTATGTTAAGCCAATCAGCGAAATTCGTTTTGGTAATGCTTTGTAATTCGAATTACGAGAAGATCGAAAAACCAAAATCATAAGGACAGATAACATGAATTAAGCGTTTTTCAAGCTATCGTGGGAAAATCAGCGCCGAATAGATAGGAGGAAACTAAAGAAAAACGGCGAAGTTAGCTCTGTATATAAATAATAGTAATTATAAAAACATATGCATGTACAGAACCAGGCTACCAACCACGTTAATTACTGTTACATTAATCAGTCCATTTTACGTTATGCCTTTCCGTATTTTTGTATCTCCACTTTATCCACAATATTAACGGTACAGTGCTCTTCGGCTCATAATTGTCGTTGTACCGCATGCTGTTAGTCAGCGGTTTTCGTTCGAAACGATTCGCATTTCCGCCAATCCAATTTTAATTTCTAAAGGTAAGCCAATCAGCGAAATTCGTTTCGAACGCGTTTCGTGAATCGGAGGACGAAGTTATTTAAAAACGAAAGTCGTTGACGCAAACTACATGATTTTAAAGAATTTTGGAGCTGTCGTGAAAAAATGGGTGGCGAACGGTGTAGGAGGAGTGTATTTTTTTAACGATAAAATTTGCATTCCCGTAAAATGAACCAGCCGAGTGGCCGAGTGGACAAACTGAGTATGTGGCTTAACAATATGCATATGTTCGTACGTATGCCTTGTGTCAGCGGTTTAGGTTCGAAAATTAGGGGCCATCCATAAATTACGTAACGCCAAAATTCACGGTTTTGAATACTCCTCTCCCCTCTGTCACCAATGCTAACAAAACTGAGATCCCCCTCCCCTAAGCGTCACGTAATAAAATCAAAACCCGTCCATAAGCTATACCATTGTGACGTCATAATTGTAACAGAACGTAACAAATTTTTTAAGGCCCCCCCCTTCTCCTTTGTCATAAATGGTAACGTTTCAAAGACTCCCCCCTCCCCCTGCTGGCGTTACGTAATTTATGGATGGTCCCTTACGCATTTCCGCCAATCCTCTGTTACTTTCTAATGATCGACCAATCAGCAAAATTCGTTTTGGAGCCGTTTCGTAAATCGGAGGACGAAAAGATTGAAAAACGAAAGTCGTTGCCGCAAACTACATGATTTTAGGGATTTTTTTAGCTATCGTGTAAAAATTGGTGACGAACGGTGTAGGAGGAGGTGTTGGCCGAAGAAACGGCTCAGTTGGCTTTGTATATATAATAATGAACTGTTCTTTGAGTCGATGTACGTGGCAGCGGTAATACTTTGCAATCCATGTAATTATCAATTTTTTTCTATGTATGGTTATTTCCATTGTGAACAGCCCTTTTTGTATTAATTGTGATTATTAATATTATAAAATTAGCTTTTATTGGTAGAGGTCAATTACATTTGGGTAACCGATGCGCGTCGGGTAACGAAGAAACGCGTAAAAAACTATCCATGACTCAGCGACAAAATTATCGTCCAATCGTAAGTCGAGTACGCTCCGTGCCAAGAAAGAAATTGAACACCGAAGTGGAACTGAAAAACTCATTTTAATGTTGTAATGTGGTAAATGTGGCATTACGTCAAAGAAGTTAATTATGAGTTTTGTAATGTGACTTTGGGTCGTTGGTTTTACTTTTGTTCCAAACTCCAAACACACACAAATTTTGTCGATCTGTGCAGGAGAGTTACGAGTTACTCGTAGTTTGGGTAATGGTTAACGCTTACGCGGACAAGTAAGCTGAAAACCCACCTCAGATTTTGTAACTGCGAATCAGAATGTTTACTTGTTTACGCGCTGTTACGTCACATTTTTTACGCGTTTCCCGTTACCCGGCGCGCAACGTTACCCAAATGTAATTGACCTCCACCATTATTCATTGCACCTTGTGCTTTCAGCTCTACCGGCACCAGCGTCTGTGCACAGGAGCTGGAGCGGATAATTACCAAACAAAAAGCGTGTAACACAGTTTCGAGACGCTTAATCGAATGGCGTTAGCAGTTTTTCGGTTAATTTTTTGGTTTGTTCTGACCAGATCGTACGGGGTTTTCCGTTGTAAATTGTAATATAGATCTTTTCCTTGATATTATTAAGATTTAACGAATTAATCACCAAAATGTGGATACAAAATCTATAGAATTTTATTAGTAATCCCTCCGTTTAACCAAAAATTTGTTGCTACGCTACTACTACTTGTTCGCTGAAATTGTCATGTGGCTGCGATTTTGGCGTAATAAATAAAAACAAATGATATAATTAGGCAAAAGCGTTTTTCTGGTTTATGAATGGCTTAGTAACAACGTGAACCCCCGTTCCGCTAATATTGCTGCTTATTTGGCAAGCAGAAACAGCTGACAAAACATCTGGATGATGGCATTCGTTACTTTGTAAACGCTGCTCTTTTTAATTGGAGCTGGTCTTTTATGGATCCGATTTTTAATGATTTTACCGATTTTTAATGATTTTTTACCGATTACCGATTACCGATTTTTAATGATTTTTTTGCGAAGCTGTGCGCTACGCACTCCAGTTTCAACACGAATGCATGCAGTTCCTTATGGGTAGACAGCGTAGCTAGACTCATCGTTACTGGAATTCCTGAACCAACCCAACCCGTTTCCGTGTGAAGGATGAGCGGAAGGTATTGCGGCGACCTCTCGTCGCTGATGGACGACTGTCAGGGGGCCGGTCTTATGCAGCTGGAAGTGTACTACAAGGACCTGGAGTGCGAACTCGAGAAGGCCCTCAAGGAGCGGTTGGGGGTCATCACGCATCTGCGGGAGATGGACGATGAGATGGCCCGCATCGACGGCGAGAGCGCCGTTCTCGTGCAAGAAATAGAGCAAATGAAGGTTCGTGGCACACTCTCCACATGCATGTGCACAAATCCATTGTGTTAACTTTTGACCGACTGAACCTAGACACGTACAAAATCAGTTTTTTTCTTGGGATCTTGTTTTCGTTGGTTTGTTGATGAGTGATTTAACTGATTCCCATGTCTAACTTGTATTTCCGCTAGTCTAGCCTAACTGACGTCGAGGACATCATCGAGAAATTAAAAGAACGCTCCAGTGAGATGGCGCTGCAAGCCGACCGGGCGCGGGCCCAGTTGGCCGATCGTCGCCAGAAAGAGACGGCCATGCAGTTCATGGAGGGGGAGAACCGTATCAATCGGCTCAAAGGCGCGCTCATCGATCTATACGCTGAACAGTTGGTTCTTAAAGCGGGCTTTCTCACCTTCGCCGCCTCACTGAAAGGTGTATCACGCAAAGCCCGCATTACACGGGAAATCAACGAACAGACCAAGCAGTACATCAAGGATTTCCCCATACTGAAGGCGGAGATTTTTGAACTGCGGGAACGTATCACTACTTTCAAAACGGCCACCGCGGAGTTGACGGTGACCTTGCGCGACAAATTCGAAGCGGAACGCCAGCAGACGTACGCCACGGCCAGGGAGCACAAGTATCTCTGCCAGCTGTACGATGAGGAAGCAAAAATACTGGACCGGTTGGACGCCGATCTCAAGTTGCAACTAGACTCCGCGACAGAGGTTGGTGACTTTTTGGAGGGTGCACCGTTTATCGACCGTGATAAATTACGTTGTGGAATATAAGAAGTTCAATTACATAGACTATTGTATTAAAAAAATACATTAACTACAGAAATGAATTAGTTCCCCAAAAATATTTTTTTAAAAGTAAATTTGAGAACAGTTTATACTGATTTTTGTTGCAGATTGCTAGCAAATTGACCATGGAAATGATGGAGAATGAAACTTATTTTAAATCCCTGCAGAGCCGGCTGCAAGCCGCTCTGGACCGCGAAAGTAAGAACACCTTGGCCTCGAAATTTCGTAAACGTCGGTCCTTTGCGGACATATTGCCGGGCCACAAGGGTTCCACCACCGGGGGCACCTCCCTGGGCGGCGATACAGGTTTCTTCGCCAGCATCAGGAAGACGTGCGTCAAGTGCTCCGTCCCGGTAGGCACCAGCAACTGCCCAGGCTGTTCCACCACCGCGTCCATACCGGCGGCCGCCCGGAAGAACCTCATCCAGCCCAAACCGGACTGTGATCAGAAGCGTGCCGCCATGAAAGCCCAGGTTAAATATCTGGAGCACAAGATCCACCAGTTGGAGATGGAAGTGTACATTTCCAAGATGAACGTGGAGATCCAGATGCTGCAGACGTCTTTGAAGATCGAGCTGTGGAAGAAATCGGGACAAGTACCGCCCAGTGTGCAGTTATCGGGAATGCTGGATTAAACAACGGATTGCTTAAGCTTGTATTGCACCATCGTCTAACCGGCTGACGGCCAGTTTTGAGGGAAGAGCTCCTCAAATGCGAGATCAGCAAAAAGTTGCAAGCGCACGCCTTGATGAATAAGGAGCGGGATTTATGGAGTAAAGGAGCCTTGCCTCCCAGTTAGTAAACAGCAGAGATCAACGTTTTTTCATCGGCAACCTCGGCTTACTTTCAGAGATCAGACTGTTTCAACAAAGTCGGCCGTCAATTTTCATCGCTTACTACAGTGGTCCGGCTAAATATGTGCTGGCAAAAATCATGGCCAACTGCGTTTGGTGTTTTATGATCTTTTTACACGATCACACGCCTTGCATTAATGTTTAATTCGTCCTCTTCACGGCTGTTTGTAAGCGGAAAGCCGACCAAATCTTATTTCCAAGACAATAATTAATATTTCACTCAGATTTTAGGCTAACAATAAATGAACTCGACCTACTTTAAGTAATACCATTACTGTTTGATCGAGACTGAAGAATATAGTAAAACAAGTTTCGCATGTTCGTTGCTCGCGCCGGATCAAATCATACAACCATTTTGCAAACGCCTGCAAACCAACCAAATTCAAAACGTGTTATCACCACCATTCAGTCGAGCTCTTTATCCAACATTAGTCCAGCTCGGCATGCTCTTCCTCCAGCAAATCTCTTAATCGTGTCCTCGTTGTGGTGCAGACATTTGCCATTTCCATCTGGAACTTCTGAACCACCTATCAACGTACAACTAAAGGTAAACATTTCTGTATGATATAGTAACCGACTTATCGATAAATGCACCTTCTCCAGATCGGCACGGGACAGAACGTAAACCTCACAGTTGTCGGTGGCACGCACCGTTCGCGATGCCGGCCAGTCGATCAGGACCGCCTGCCAGTTAATGTGGCTGCCGTGCCGGATGACCCCAATCTCTACTCCCGTCTCCACCTCGACGGCCTCGCCGCGATGCAGGAAGTAGATCTCCTGCACCAGATCGCCCTGTTGAATAATGAAATCTCCCGGGACGAACTGCACTTGGTGTAGGTGGGCGCTAACCATACGGATGAAGGCGTCCGACGCATCACGAAACAGCGGCAACTGCAAAGGTGTTGCTTAAAAAAATCAGCCCCAGCATACCCCGATTTAGTCAGCACACTGGAGTTTAACAAACTCTAACCGAATATGCGCATGAACTGCAATATGTTTCTGTTCGTAGGCATCCACTACAGCGAATTATGATGCTAGAGTACAACTGCTTTTATAGGCCTTTTGCTTAGATATGAGACCTACTTGTCGCAAGTCGCGGTTGTGTACAGCGAAACCAATTTCCGTTCGCAGGCAGAAGGGAGCGTCACTGAGAACAGAGGCAATGTCATTGATGCCACGACTGATTATCCATAGATAGTTAAAGTAGTTCTGTACGCGATCGATGATGGGTTTACTGGCATGCTGATCCAGAAGATATGTTTTTATCGCTTGAAACTGGCTCTCAAAGTTCTGCCGACTGATTTCAGCATTGGCTAGCGCCGAGGCAATATCGCCGATAATGAAACCAAACAGGCATTTTCCTACAATCTACAACAGTACACCGAAAACGATAAAATTATAGGAAAGATCGCCAAACTGACTGCAAAACTTTATAGGAAAATGTTAATGAAATTAGGGAAAATATTGTTGCCGAAAATCACCTGGACGATGCAGGAAAAAATCCTGGATAAATTAGTGGGCGGAATGATGTCGCCGTACCCGGTACTAGTCGCTGTGTTGGCCACCCAATAAAATGACGTCACATACGCTTGTTCTGCCGTATGGTTATACACCAGCAGCGTATTCTTAATCCACGATTGCGGATTACAGTATCCGTGCGGGCAAGCGATATAATACGCGACTCCCGTAAAAAAGTGCAACCACAGCGCCAATTGCGTAAAGGAAAACGTTAACCGCACCGTTAGCATGTTAATGTCCAGTTCGCTCAACCAGTTCTTAAAGAACTCTTGAATGCGCAACAATCGCGCCGGTATGCGTAATAACCGTAGATAGCCCCAGATTTGAGGCTGGATCTCCCCGGGCGCCGTCAACGCGAAGATTTCATAAGGACAACAGGCGAAACAGTCCAGGAGAAGGCCATTGCGGCTGCGCAAGTATCGCTGCCGAATGGACACCGGGATCATCACCTCGTTGCCGAATTCATCCAGAAACCCGGTTTTTAGAGTCAGAATGATGTTGAAGAGGAATACCACTTCGAGAATGTAGTTGGCTGCGTATAACTCCATGCCGTAGCTGTTAAAGGACGGCTGGAATAAGATCAGCATCACCGAAACCGTCCGTAGCCCCATCATACTGAATTTGCTAAAGTAGCGAATAAATTTGTCGTCTGGGCGGAAAATATGGCGGACGGCCTTATCCAGGCGGTCTCGGAGTGGTACCGTCTCGGGTGGGCGGTAGATCAGGGAATTCTGCAGGGTCTTCTTATGCGGCCGCTTTTCAAATAGTAGCTGGTTTTCTGTTTCCCGTTCCATGCTCTCCTTAGCCTCATCCATCAGGCGTTCTCGGACTTCTGGGAAGTGCTCCAGGACGATGTCGAAGTCGTTCTTGGTGATGAAGTATAGGTCGCTGTTCTCACGTGCTCGGTAGCTGGTATTTGCTTTTTGATTGGTAAGAAAGGCCACCTCACCCAGGATACGGCCAGAGCGGACAATGGCAGGGGAGACCTCGCCGTTGGTATAAATGAGGTCCATGGTGCCGCGGTACAGGAAGAACAGATCAGCACCGATGTCGCCGCAGCGGATTACATACTCGCCTTCAATAATATACAGCGGACGGATTATGGCCGCCAACATCTTTTTGAACCCAGCGGGAGTGTTCTTAAAGATCTGAATCTGCTCGATGACCTTTTTGTACAGCTGCAGTGCCAGTTCCCCGGTGAGGGACGGCGGAAGGCCGACGATCAGAGTCTGCGGATCAACGCCGTGTGTCCTCATCCACAAATATTCATAATACCTACAACGCAGAAATAACCGTTCAGGAAGAATCAGTTTATTAAAAACAAACTTCAGTTAGTGCTATTATTATCAACCTTGCAATACATTATTGCTATTGTTAATCATGCTGTTGTTCAACTATTTTTTAATTAATTAGTCCCACTATCTTCTCAGTCTTTCATCTTACTTGACCACTCTTTTTCGTAGGTTTTTTCCCAGCCGTTCATGCAGCATATACTGCTTGACCGCCACCAATCTCTCAAAAAACCGTGAACGTTGCGCATCACTATTGGCCTGCGCCGCCGCAATGCTAGCCACAATGTACCCGTAAAATATATTCCCGGAAATCATGGAGAAAAGGAACACCACCTGCTCCAATTGATTAGTAGCGTAAAGGTCACCATAGCCGGTGCTCGTCGTGGTCGTCACCGCCCAGTAAAAACTAGCGACAAAACGTGTCCAGTTGTCGGTAGTCTCGTCGATGCCGCCATTGTGCAAGAAACACTGGCCAAGGCACACGAGTGAAGTGTCCAGGTTAATGTAACCGTCAGCGTCTGGGGCCGGGCTCGTGACCGCTTGGCGTTTGACCCGTGACAAGTCGCTGTGCCGGGTAAAGTGCGATGTCCAAGGACGGCGTGTGAGCCCTACAGTGCTAATATCGTCGATGTAGTCGGGGAAATCGATGTCCAGCTGAATGTTCAGGTCGGACTGGGTCTTGTTCTGAATTTTGAAATCTGTCAACATTCGAGTAAAACAATGCAAAACATGTTGACATCAAACAGAAAATTAATATTATTCGTAAGAAGCAGTGAAATGTGTTCGCACACGTATTAAATTTTTGTCCCATTTCTTAACATCCATGCCAGTCACTTAAAGCACACGCCAGTTGGTTCATAAAAATATACTGTGAACCTGAATGTTGGTGATATTTCTGGCACACCTTGGTAAAACCTACCAAGCCTTACATCAGCATACTTTTAGCATGCATTATCATGCATTGTACATTCATTGTCACTGCATGCGTTGTACTCGTACATCTAGATCTGTATTGTACAATGTATGTCAATCTGTGCATGCTCCGGCAACGGCTGGTGCAGCCGGCAATAAGGATTTAGCCGTAACTAGTCGGAATCAGTTCAGATCATCGACTGTAGCGACCAGACCATCAACTGCGACGACCATCAGCGACCGCTCATCTCATTAAAGTTCCATTTAACATGGTTATGTATTCACTCGTAGGAGGTACAGAGTATTTCTACACATGTTCATTCGTTTATCCTACATATTATATTAGCACGGGAGGGGAGTTATCCAGAATACTAAGTCTTGTTTATACTCCTATTTGAAACTCAGTTAAGTGAGTGAGTCAGTTCTACTCTAAGGGTTGATTTTCACGGTTGACTGGATTAACAGAATTATCATAAAACTAGGAAAATGCACGTTGGCGTGCATTGGCAGACCGGAGCGCAGAATGCAGCTTTTCGCTTGTGCAAATGATAATCAATTGTAACTTACAATTAACATAATCAATAATTTCCACTTCCAGCCAGCAACATTTTCGTAATGACCTTTCGTAACAACCTTTCGTAACGGACACAGATATATTTTTGCATTGGTGCTGAATTAAGAGGACCTTCGCTACGCTCCGGTCGATTATGTAGATACCGAGCAATTGCTACTATTGCTGTTCTCACACTTACAGCATCCCGCGGACGTTATTGCACATTTATTGGGCAGACACTCCAGCGTGACCGGAATGCAAGTGATGAAGGTAATAAAAACAATGAAATAAATGCAGTATTTCTTCAGGAGTAACGATGACGTGTCCACCTTTATGTCGGCTTCCATGAAGGAGAAGGCCAGAGGGATGCGGTAAATCTGCAGACAGCGATTTAATCGGCAGTACATAACCCAGTGCAGGATCTCCGCACGACTTAGTCCATCCGGCACCAGGAGCATGAAGAATTCAAAAGGAAATAACGCTATGAAATCCATAAAAAAAGTGGAACTCAGGTAACGCTTCGCGGTCATCAGTGGATGCGTCACCACAATGTTCATATCTAAATAAATATGGCGATCTTTGTTTATTCAACTTCTTTCGGTAATAGCCTGGCACAACCGACTAACCATTGGCGTACTGGATGTGGAATTTCAAATACAAATCAGTGATCGCGTAGAGATCCAGCGCGTACAGCACGCCGAAATAGAACCTACAAGGGTGATCTTTGGTAACGTACTCGCAAAGTAGTCACGCTGGCATTTACCAATCATCAATTTGGAATGCGGTCTGTACCATGGACAGGACAAAGAGCAAAAGGCATTCGGCCAGCCGAATGCGCTCCCACACCAAGAGGAAAGTCCCATCCATAGGCACGGTGTACGACATCAGCAGTCGCGTCAGATACGCCGCCCATCGCGACACGTGTACTGCGTTAAGGTCCTCGCGAAAATGCAGTTTGCGTTTCTCGCTGTCGGTCAGGCGGGTCGGGGACTGCTGTTTTCGCTTCTTGGCGTAGGGTTTGGCTTGCTTGGCTGCTTCCACGAGGTTTTCATAATAATCGCCATCCTGGGAATAAACAGTTTTGTTTCTGCAGGGTTTGATAATTGTAAATGCTAAAATTCATGGAGATTTCTAAAAATAAACGGCAATAATACGTAATACGAAATATCCATGGTGTTTTTGTGATCAAACCCAGGAGGCACTCGTTAAAGTCTGAAACCAACCTCTGAAATGCGATTCATCTGATGCTGCAGCCACTCCACACTGGTCGCCACGTAGTCAAACGCCGGTCGCGGTATAGCCAGAACTTCGCAGTGCGTGATTGTCTTGACGCTGATAATTTCATTGCGATTGAAGATGAAACCAATCTCTCCAAAGTACATCCGCGGATGCAGGATGCCGATGCACACACCTTGCTGCTCCGGGTGGAACATGCTGCAGAATCCCCGCCGGATGACGAATAGCTCATCGATGAGGTCACCCGCTTGGATTATGTATTCACCTGGCGGGAAGAGGTACCGGCGCACCGCGGGCGCAAAGTTCTTCAGAATCCGCTCTTCGATATTTTTGAAGATAGGTACACCGGCCACCAAATGGATAAGATCGTCAACCTACGCATCGTGACTTCTGTTAGCAAACCCAATCTTACCCAATTAAGCTTATGGATGGCTTACCTGAATCTCTTCGGTTAGGTGCTCCGGCATATCCTCACACATGTTTTTCACTCCCGGGATTTCTTCACCTTTGCTCATGGTCCACAGCAGCGCCACAGAATCAATGGCTCGATCCTGGACAATACGCGCCAGTTTGTTGTACTCCATGAATTTCATCATGGCGAACAGGCGATCTTGAAATTCCACCCGCGGTGCATCCATGTTGGCTATCGTTGCCGTCAGCACCGCCAGGCAGTAACCGTACATCAGCACCCCGGCGATCATGACGACATTGCACACCAGCTGTTCAATGAGCGAATGCGGATACAGATCACCGTACCCAATGGTGGTCATCATAGTGACGGCAAAGTATAATGCGGAGGTGTAGCGGTAATCCGCCGGTGAGTCAGTGTTGCTGATATTGGGCGGGACGGCCGGCGGCCAACTGTACTTGGGGTCATCGGCGCAACGTTCCGGTGAGCAAGCGCTGAGGAAAAGAAGCACCGTGCAGATCTGCGTGGCCAGCGCGATATACAGCATGAACTTTACGATGCGGACGGAGGCAGTGGAAGTGTCGAGGTTGGCTGTCATCTGGTCGAAGAAGCGCGGCAGGGTCAGAACACGCAGGATGCGGTTCAGTTTCAGATAACTGAGCAAGGACCACTGGGTGTTGCTGGCGATGCCGATAGGGGCGAAAACGTCCAGCGGCAGAACAGCCAGAAAGTCCGTGTAGCACCCTACCGAATACCGACCAGTGACTTGTACGGCATAGCGTGACGTCAAAAACACTGTAAACATCGTTTTGGTACATACCCCAGGTATTCATATAAGCGCGCGCCATGGCCTTATGCTCGGTGATCTTTCCATTGGCTGTCACGATCTGTGTGACAAACTTGAACCCATAATCCACCATAAACACAATGTCCACGATGTAGCTCATGGCAAGAATCACCATTCCGACCGGTGTCGTTACCAGCTGATTGTAGCTCTGGAAGAACCCGACGTACGTATAGAGAAAAAACGTCACCAGCACCAGGAACAGCATCATGCGCTGCCAAAAATAATAGAACAGCCCATCGGGATCGATGCTCAGCTCGAAGAATGCAATTTTGAGTCGGTGATAACGGGAGATTAGCCGCCGACTGAATGAGCCCATATTGTACTCCACCATCTCGTCCATGGGGTCGCGAATCTTGAAGAGCTCCATGGAGTTGGACACCTTCAGCGTTTCCTGGGGGCGGTCGATGTTAAGGGCCGTCATCAACGGCCGGAGATTGATGCCCATCTCGGCTTTCAGTTCTTCCATCTTGGCGGCGAGTTCTTTCTGCTGTTTCTTGCGCTTGACGGCTTCATGATTGTCCGTGTGAGCCAGTAAGCCTTCTTCCACTTTCTGCTGCGCGACGCCTGTTCGCTCTTCCGCTCTTTGCTGTTGAAAGTTGACACTTTATATCATTCAGTCAAAGCAGCTGAAGAAAAATGTTAACGAACACCACAACAAGGATACTTCGAAGTATACAATACGTGCAGTAATGAGTAATCCGAATAGCTCAGATCATTCTCACCCGCAATTCATCGGCAATATCAGGATATGATTGTAAACAGTCCATTAGATCTTCCGTTCGCAGTACTACGAGGTCGCAGTGGGCAATAGCGCGTACGGTGAATTTTCTGGGCATTCGGGTGATCAGGTTGATTTCGCCGAATAGTTTGCCTGGTTTGAACAGTATCACCGGCACTTCGGTTTCGTCATCGCTTAACACTTCCAGTTCACCATTCTGGATGTACACCATTAGGTCGCTTAAATCACCTTTCTTCATGATTGTCTCCTTGGGTAGCGCCAACATCGGGCGAAACTTCAGGCTGAGCATTCGGAGAAAACTCGCGCTGATATCCTGTAGAGCAACGTGGATATGTTAAACGAGAAGAGGAAATTCCTATAGCAAAACTTGCTCTGTGACAAAACTAAACGATAATAGAACTTCTAAGAGGTTGAAAAACAAGGTAACAGAACACTTTCCCATAACAAAAAATAGATTTTCCTTGTTACGGAGTGCTCGATATCGCAGCCACTGCACATATGCACAAATAAACCGTAGCGGAATAACAGTAAATACCTGAAATAAAGGTGACTTATCAATGATACGCCCGCTTAATTCCATAGCAATTTCTGATCGCAGTGCAAACGGCAGTTGATCAAACAGGCCCGAACTGCTCATGCCTTTACTCCGCTTCCACAGATAATCGTAAAAATCCGTCACATTCCGTACCAACTCCGTGGACTGATTCTGATCGCGCAGGTACTGCGTGATGGCCGCCACCCGGTGCTTATAGCGAAACTGAATGGTGTCGAAGTTGGTCAACATAGACGTAATCCCGCCCTGAATGATCCCAAATAAGACAATCATCCCTGCCAACTGAGCGACAACAGAGAAGACCATTTCCGGAAAGGTTATGGCGTGCACTTCACCTAACCTGTATGGCAACAATTACACCTCATTGCTGATAAACTTCAAAGAGTACGGCATATACAGTACTGTAAATTAGCTACGGAAAAAGGTCAACGTACCGCATACCCGACGCTGGTGGTGGTCATGACCGCCCAATAGATGGAGTAGTAGTATTTCTCCCCAACCGTGGCGTTCAGCCGCACGTATCCTGATTCCGGTCCTCCAAGGCCGTGATCGAAGCAGCCAGCGTATATGTTTTTATTGGGCGAGGGGGCGCTCTCCGGACCGTACAAAGAGGTTCCGTTGAGCGGATCAGCGCCGCTGAACACCCATGATGGCGCCGTGCACAGGGGCATCCCGTCTTGAACTTCGCTCCAGTCGTGGCAGGGGATCAGGAACCAGATACAGGCCGTGATGTGCAGCATCAACCACGAGAGAATGGTGTAATAGGCGGCGCGGATCGTTACGAATGAGGCGCCCACTTCGGCCTCCAGCGCATTAAGAAACTATACCAACAAGATAACGCGTCACAATAACACGGCATAGTTGGTCGACCATGCTTGATGTTTTATTTCCTTTTAATCTCGAGGCGGAAAATTGAAGGATTCCTGTTACTACAGTAGGGCGCTCACTCTTAAGCACTTTTAGCAAAGCTATCAATAGAGGATTTTGTGCCCGCGCTTGCTTGTTGGCATTCAATGTCTGCTGACTACTATCCGTTCAAATTAAAAAATGCAGGTGTTTCTAGACTCACCCGAAATGTCTTGTATCCACACAGCAGGCGATTGCACCGCAGGAAGGCTAGAAACGGCATCTTCATCTGCTCGGACACAGTGATAGACAGTGCCTCCAAGGGCGCCACACTCAGCAGATCCACCATGAACCACGACCATAGATAGGCGTCCAGTTTGGAGTTGCCCTTTCGCAGTTCCACGTTCCGCTGGTCCATCTTGTAGCGCTTAACCACACTGACACAGATATCGATGACATTACATACATCCAGCACGTACGTTATGGCTAGCAGGGAGTCCATGAAAGGCGCAAAGGTAGCCTGTGTGCTGATTAAAGTAAACTGCAAGATAGCGAGACCAGCGATGAACCCGTCCCACAGACGGAAGAGATGGCTGCGCCGCCGCCGTTGTTCGTACGCCGACCAGCCCCACTCGATGTGCTCCTTGGATCCGACATGCGTCACCACTTTCATCGAGTAGTGGCGCTGGCGCTGTTTGACCGGGTCCGGGTCGTCGGAGGTGGCGGCATCATGGGGTCGGTGCGCTACGCCGTGATGGTGGTGCTTCTTGCCTTCCACCATAGTCAGTACGAATTGTGCGCTATAAGTGCTTACGATGCACCTCTACTACCATTTCAGATTTCTCGGGACTCGCAGGTATGCAGCAACATTCTTATGGTTTATATCGGAACTTGTACGGCACGGTACCAGTTAATCCTATCTACACAGGAATTTTTGATCACAGCACACACTCACAGTTAACGCTGAGTTTGGCTCAAACCTACGCGCTTTCCATATAGTCTACATATACAAGTATAACAACTGTGTTTTTCACAAGCGTACTGGGATAATGGAGTAACACTTCACCGCGAAATTTGTTGCTAAGGAAAATTTAACGTGTATCCGAGCAGACTTGAATGAAAATGGCTACCCACTTTCAGATTGGAAATCCACCGCACATTCGCACACGCAGCTATGCATGCTTATGACATACGTGTTCTACATTTGTTCTGCCTGTAATTTAGAGCAACTGACTGCTTGTAAGTCGTTACAGACGTTACCGGTAGTGTCTTCTGGCAGTGGTTTGTTAATTATTTTAAATTACAGGCAGTGTTTTGTTAAAGTTTTGGAGCGCTTAACGAATAATAATTGTATGTTTTTATCTGAAAAAATCCACGGAAGAAACGTCATGTTGGGAGCACTGTTTGCTCACCTTTACCGCACTCTCCCTTCTTTCACATGGCCAGCGATGAAAAGCTCAAACGCCTGCAACGAAACTCCCAAAAAACCATCGACACTTTAGAGCGGTTGCTAGATTCTCTGCACCACCAGCCACCCGACACCAACCATGTATCCTGGCTGGAGAAACTCATCCAGTGGATCGCTGTCGTTCACTTCCAAGGCCTGCTTCCGGATGCTTGTCAGCATACAGTGCGCACCCTCTTCCATACTTTTCTTACCTTACCGGTGACCTTTCTCGAAGAATGGCGGGCACTCTTTGACTGCATTGATTTAGCCTTGTATCGCCTAAAAAGTTTGGGATGGAGTTACCAGGAAGCCTTTTGGCGCACCTGGATGGGTTTAACCGGGCGGGTGTACAAGGCGCGAGGGGAGGAAGTTTCGGGACAGCTACTGCGACCGGTGTTTATAACATGCAGTATTATAATTCATTTGCACGGAGCAGAAAAGCTGTTTGAGTTATGCAATACACGTGCTGATGGGGAAGCTCTGTGGAGTAATCCGTGTTTTGTGGAGCTAGTAATGCGCTGTGTGGTACGCGCGGTGTTGTGTCTGCCGCATCACGCTTTCCCTGCGCACCAGACGGCCATCTTTTTCATTAAGTATGCTCTGCTAAGTTCGGTAAGAACTTCTTGCATAGTGTAATTTTTTTATTTGTGTATCAAAGGTACGATTATGACTGTCTTACCTTTATCAAAACAAGTTTCAGCATCGCTAATCGCTAATGGATTAATTTATTTTTTCCCAAGGACTAAAACCATATACGTAGTCGTCGTAATTTGCGATCTTACTCTAGTCGTTACCGCAGAACTGAGCAAGAACAGCTTCTCTTACTCTTTAGTGCGCATAGGTCAGAGGAATTTTGTTATTTTATTTTAGCCATTGCTTTTCGCGTATTTTATTTTATCTGAAAAAATACTTTCGCGGCCATTACTAGTAAGTGTGACTGCACTTCTTTAGGTAAGCTTGCTGCGCAGAGCAGGATTAGAAGGTCTGAAAGCGTTGTATCTTGCCAAGAGCGGGTGTGATGATATTGTGGAACTGAACGGCAGTATTCGCCGCCTGCTATCTTTGTCACATGCAGACGACGGGAGGCGTGCATACGACGCCGTATTAAGCCGGATCAAGCGGGAGCAAGCGCCGGAAGTTGACAGCCACACACAAATCTTGTATTTCTTCTTAGACATTCGACACGACGGCAGCGCATATCCAGAGGAGGCAGTTACTAGCGATGTTGCATGGGTGAAGGCAGCCGACGACCAATATCTGCGTCACTGTGTACGCGACGCGACCTACTGGACAAAAAAGGTACTATCTAAGATCTAGCTCTATGTCGTACGATCGGGTAGTAACTTCCTGTATGCGCCTGTATGACATCAATCCCATTCGCTGCATTTGCCTATACATTTTAATGCCGTTGGACGGTTCGACGTTTCGTCAGCCTTGCCGTTCCCGCTTCGTTCGGTTATGTGCGACATTAATTTCGCTCGATGTTGAAAGTTTTGTAATATATGCTTCCCTCAATGAACTAACGAGCAAGTTATCGGTTTAGGACACTGCTCAGGTTCACAACGACCTGCACATGCTGGCCGCGGGAGATCGCAGTCCGAATTTCCTGAAATCACTGCAATCCGAATCGGTCATCAGTCCTAAGCAAGCTGCGGTCCCGAAAATAAAGCATCCATCCAATGGGTCCTTGTCGACATTTGTTGTCGATGAGCATGAACCGCTGAACCAGCCGGCACACGGTATCAACAAACTGACCGATTGGGCAGAAAAGCCGCTGCACGATTCCGACGGGGAAGGTGAGCCGGTTGCCTGCACAACAGCGGGGTCTGGAAAAGAATTCCATGGTAAGCGGCTCATTCCAGCACAAGAGTGCAGTAGATCTCTGACTGGGTTTCTTCAAACAGTGAATGAAATGGCGCTTGAGCACGTGCTAAAAATGCCAAGTTTCCCGGCGCAAACCGCTCGACTGTTAAGGCGCAGTAACACTAGCGATGTGGCGCTGCCATCGATATTGTACGTGGCTAAGAATGCCTTGCAAGGTAAACACTTACTAGTAACTTATAATTAACTGAATTCGTTTAATAAAAAAAAACTGAAAACATAAGCCTGCCTAAACCTAGTACGAAACTGATTTGCGAGCTTTCTGTTTACATCAAATTTTAAAAGCTAAATCAGCACGTCTTTATTCAATCGGGTTTAAAAGGCCAGACGAAAGCAAAGGAACCAAAGCCATCGGCGCCTTTGCGCCCGTTTCCTTTACCAGCCTCGGATAGGTCATCGCCGGAAAAACTGTCTCATCGCTGTGATGGTAGAAAATGCGCATCTGATATCTGCACGACCTGCGCCGGATATCTGATTAATTTTGTTTTGATAGAGAAAATTGCGGTAAGAAAAATCACACCGGAATTTCAGCATTCTGCTCCCAGGAAGCAAATTAGCAAGGATTCGCTAAGTCACTCCATACCCACTGATCGTTCGCCCATTGAGTCCAGCGAGGTCGCCACTGTTTCAGAAATCCTACCGGTTCACGTTCCCGTACATTCAGAAAAGGAAATGAGGAATCTCAACGGCAGAATGCAGAACCATGTGGACCAAACTGAAAACGGAACACTCGATAACCTTTCCACTGATCAGTCGTTCCTCTGCAACGAACCAGTTTTAAACACAACCGTCACCAAATCCAAACCAGAGAAACGGTTGATTACAAAAAAACGAATGTCGACACAGCTGCCTTGTGATCCAATGTCTTTCGAATCTGCTCCTCCAAAAGCGTCTGCAAAACTTAAACCCGAGGCGAAAAACCGATCAAAGAACACCAACGGCCAACGCAGAGGTCACGGTGACTTGACAGACTCGCCATCGGTGACGGAAGCATCCTTAGGCAAGAAAACAGAGGAAGTGCGCATGGATTTGCAGGTGCTACTCGACCGTATGCAGAGAGGTCCCCGCTACAGTAAGGACGTGGTGCAGGCCGTAGAAGAGTTCGTGCAACTCACTCGCTGTTACCCGCATGTGGTAGAGAGCGCCATTGGGGCGGCGTTTGCACAGTTCCTGCCGTTAGTGTACAGCTTGAATAGCCATGTTGCGGCGGAAGCCGTAGCGGCGCTGGAAACGGTGATGCCGCTTGTTGAGGGGAAACTGCATTTAGTGGCATCGCAGGTCCTGGAGGCGCTGTGCAGTAACATGCAGAACGCAAGGACATGTGACCATTCGAAGAAGGTGTTCAACCAGATCCTTAATACACAGGTTAGTTATTAATACACAGGTTATCTCGCGTGAAGGGTCAACCGTCTCCTTAAGTGGACCCCTAGCCGCTGCGTTTTTAGTTTGACCGCTTTCATAAATTTGCCAAGTTTTGTATCCCCTTGCTTGTAGAGAATTCTTTTGTCTTTATGATGATGTATTGCAAAAATCAGTTGGTAAAACTTCCTTTAAGTTGCACTTTAAAAATCGAAGCCGGCCCTTAGCCGGGTAAGCGCTCATCGAGTAAACTCATTGCTGTAGCCGGCTGGCCATGACCACATACACCTGCGGCAGGCAGGCAGGCGGTCAGATAGTATGTCCAAGCCAGTTGATCAGCCACGATAACCAGCCTGTCTGCCGAACAGCCCATTCTTTGGTTGCAGTTTTGAATAACACCAAATTCATGACTTTGAAAATTAAAGCTTGAGAACTGTACACGGTATGGACGCACAATTAACACCTTAAAATCAGTTATTTTCCAGAAAGCTTATATACCGAAACACCACTGCTGTTCAACATCTTATATTCCAAATAACCCAAAAAAACAGTTTTCGAAAAGTATTTTTTGCGTTTTGTTGATCCGATACTAAAGTTTTTTATTAGCATATTTGGGTATGCTAAAAGCTTTCTAGCTGATAACACGTACAGCAATGTGGATTACGTCAAAATTCAAAAACAAAGAAACTTTGTCGTTCAATTTTTGCTTTCGAAATTTTTTCTTTGTTCAGTGAATAGCTCGGTCTAACTCTAGACACAGGCCAGAGAGGATTGCGCCACACCATTGTGTAGCTAAATCCTCTCTGCGCTCAGTCCGAATAAGGATAACACATATCCGGTCATCGTTTCCATCCTAATCCCTTTTCCCAGACCCACCAAAATGCGGCTAGGGGTCCCCTTGAAAGTTACCAATTGCTTTCCTTAGATTGAACGCGCCGGAACCCTGTTGGCTCCCTTAGCCGCTAATATTACTATCATGATGAAGAAAAACAAAAAGGACGCTTTCGCTTTCGTCACCGGTCGGTATGCCGAGGCTCTGAAGTACGCTTTTCCCAAACCGCCCAAAAGCCAAGCGGCGGCCGTGCAAATCCTACAGTTTGTCAAGAGCGTCTTGGTGTGGATTACCAATTACGGGGACCTGCATTCTTCCTCCAAACCGGAGATTGTGGCGGTCGATGCGCTAATTCAGCAGGCCATCCGGTCCTTCGGACTGGAGATGGTCAATAAAGTCTGTTACGATTATCGGGATACCATTAAACTGTTTCTGTCACGCAACGCTGGCGGTGTGCCAGTAGTGACTGCCAGTGGTCCCGGACTGCGGAAAGTGGTTGTCAGGAAGAGTTCCCTGATGGCATTCAAAAAACAAGCTCGATTTTAACTGACTGAATTGTTCGGTCGTAGTGCTTGCGTGCTGCTATAATAACAGAAACGTAGCTGGTTTTTATTTGTATTTATCCTGTGAAATATTACACATTTGAAACTGCAAAGAATGACGCCAAAAGTACGAACGTGCCATCAAAAAATTCCTCACTCTCCCCATTAAAAACTAAACCGTTACTCTTTGGATTCTCCAGTAATAAATAAAACTGGTTAAAATCAGGCACAGTAACACGTAGCAACAGCAACGTAATAAATAGCTTATGATAGCGTAAGTAAGATGTTTTTGAGGAACAGAAACCGATAATTTCATCGGAGAAATTTGCGGAAGCGTGACGCGACAGCAATGCGTTTTTTCATCATGACTGGTTGCCAAGAGCGGCCGTCACCGTCGCCATTCTCCTATTGTCGCTGTAGCTGTTTCAACGTTTGTGATACTTCTTTGCCGGTCGTAAATGAGCCAATCGTCTTATCTTACTCCCTACAGCAGAATGTCCGTAATCACCGGTGACAGTGCGGTTCACGCCCAATCCGCTAATTCCCAAATCTTGTCGTCGGATACCGAACCTAACGAGAAATCTCCCGTACAACACTCACTAAGCAGTTGCGCCGAAGCAAAATCCCCCAAGAAAACAAGTGTGCACTCATCACCCGCCACTACCGTAGATAGTGCGTCCAATAGTGATCCCAACAGTCCTACGCCGAAGCGTCGGAGAAGACTGGTTAAGAGCCTGAAAAATATCTGTGTAGGGAAGAGGTCAACCTCTACTTTAGGTAAAGCGTAAAAGGACCAACCTAAATTTTCCCGCGAATACATAGTTTTGCTACTCCGGTAGCAATTTGCTAAAGGTTTTAAGTTTCTCTGGCTAGTTACTATACCTTTACCGTTACTTACGCAGAACGCGCATTTAAACGTGACTAAATATGATTTTAATTTTTCGGAAGATTTTAGACGTGTCTTCATGGGACTTACGTTTTTAGCGTAAGAATTAATATTTATGCTTTTGTGACTAGGAATGGCAGCGGCCAGCGCACCCTCTCTTGTAAATCCCAAAATTCTTAGCCTGTCCCAGTCCGATTCCGAGCCTGAGGGCCTGCCGCTGCGACCCGTCGATGCTCGGATACACGTGGATACGCCCGCCGTTAGCAGCGAGAGCGAACTGGAGAGCGAAAGCGAGAACCAGGAAACCTGCTCGTCAGCCGTCAGCACTATAACCTCACGTTCCTACGTCCAAGATCCCAGCGGCCAACTCAAAGAAGTCTCGGCGGTAAACTTTGACAGCGATACCTTGCACGAACGACACCATTATTCCGACGACGATTCCGGCGTCCCCGCATCTCTCCTGCGAATCCAGGATCCACCGTGCCCAATGTCTCCATGCGTATCGAACGCAGATGCCCACTCCATCTCCGGAGATAGTCAGAGCACCATCTGTGACGCCACAATGCGGGCCAAACTGCACCGAAAACAGAAATGCAAAGCTGCGGATGGTAGCCGCAAGAGCAAGCGTTTCACAAAGTTCTTCCGCGAGCTACGAGATAATTTGGGCCGATTGCCAACACCACAGGAGAGTCAGTCGTCGGTGTCAATGCGTGGGTCGGATGGCGAAGAACGGTTGGCGCAGCCGTCGGGCATCAGTATGTACGATATGCTGGAGTTTGTTGGAAGGACGTTGAAACTGGTGAAGTCGTGGATCAACGAAGTCCCGTTGTGCTGTCGGCAGCGGTTATGTAAATACATAAAACTTATTTATTTCTATTTAAGGGCGCTTGATGGTGTATTGGAAAACATACTTATTACGCGCTGACAAAATTCATCTTGCGTTAGCCGTATAAAAATAAGTTGACAGTTCTCCCATGTTTTGTGCAGGTCGCTGTGACGCATTCATTTCGTTCTTTTGCGCCGAATTCTACAAACAAACCGAAATCCTCGTCAGCGAAGAGCTATTCGCTTTCATCTTCTGGCACGTCCTAGAGCACAACGGTTCCCCCAAAGAATACGACCTGGAATTTCTCAAAACGATTTTTGACCACGCTCGTACCGAGCCTTGGGCTGAATCCTGGCGGCGGTGTCCTCTCTCTAATGTATTCGATCACCTGTCCCATTTCCTGAAGTGCCAGAACGAGCGGACAAGTGCTACCCCTGATTCTCCTGGAAAACTGAGTCAGGCGACCAGTGCTGTCGTCATGGCGCCGACCACCGGCTCTCACCCAACTTTGGCGCCGAAAATTGGGTCGGTACCGGTTGCCGAGGTCACACGACAACGTAAGGCAAGTGCAGCGAGTAGTGTTGGATCGGTTAAGAAAGCGGCAGCACCGGTGACACCGGTGGCGAGCGGATCCAGCATCCCGGACAAATCGGTAAGATAAAAGAAGCAATTAATTTAAACTAATAGTTGTATAACTTGGTAATCTGTTCAGCAAATTAAGAAATCCGACGTGATTCTTGCTCCATCGACCTCCCATACCCTGAAAACCCCGGTGGTCGCCAGTGGCTCCACTTCCAAGAAATCTGTAGTGGAGCTGGTGAAATCCAGCGACAACAACCGCGCTATGTCCCTGGAAAGTCTGAGCGGTGCCCTGTCCAACACGCGGGTCGTCAAGTGTCCCAGCAAATTGTCGACGGTGACGAACAGTGTGGAGATCCCCAAGGGATCGCAGTCGGAGAACACCGTTTGGAGGGAGGACGTCGACAAGCTTAACGCTTCGCTGGCGGTGATGCCGTCTCGTTACCCCAATCCTCAGACGTCGAAGAGTGCCGTCGCCAAGAACGGGTTGGATGTGGAAGTGGAGAATAAATGCCGAGATCGGCTGCAAAGCGCCTGTAGCGTCTTATATAAGACCGGTCGGCGGAATCTGCTTCGGTATCGTAAAAATTCATTTCGCCAACGTGACGAAGTTTTATCATGCCGAATCGTTGATTGGTTGTAGAATGGCGGATTTTTCTCTAACCGAGTTCTTCATGCAATGTCCCAATTTGACATGCTGCCTGCTGACAACGAAAGGTCCCATACTGGTGCATGACGCATTGTTCGGCATGAAGCTGACCAACTGGAACAGCGTTAAGAAGACGGCAACCAAGTGGGCCGGTCGGTATATGGTGCTGGATCTGCGCAAGGAACAGATTCCCATGATGGGCTTATGGACTGTCATCGAATTCGTCTACAACGGATCGTTTACGGTAGACCACAAGTTCACAACTATTAACAGTTATCTGTATTTTGAAATCCAGCGCAGTTAATTCAGTCAATTGAACACATATGAATTTAGTATTACAAAAGAGATACGACTACATAAACACTCCTGTCTCTCGTCAATCTGACTGAGCGCATCAGCCAGTTACACCAGTACGACAAAAATACACAGTCAAGACTTCAGAATTAAAGCTAACGATCACAGATGTGATTAAATTACTTGCTACAGGTCACCGCTGCCAACGTCTTCGAGTCGCAGAAAGCCGCGGAGTTCTTCGGCGCACCGGTCATAACTGACGTTTGCTTGAGATTACTGAACTGCTTAACCAGCTCTAAGATGGTGTGTCACACTGTGGAATCGCTGCGGCAGCAGCAGAAACAAAGCCATCCACTGTGGACGCTGGCGCTGGGCAAACTGATCGTCTGTTTCGACGAGTGCCGCAACGATAAGATCATGGTCAAATGGCCGCTGGATCTTATTGTGCCTATCTTGGAACAACCAGAGCTTTGCACAAAGGTCTTTAACTTTTTTTCAGGAAGCCCATTCCCCATATATTCGCCGTTTATTATATTTTTTATGAGTATATTTTTGAAAGATTTTATTCGTTTTAGGACGAAGTGAACGTGTACAACTTTGCCGTTCGTTGGGTGGAAGCTGATTTTCCACGCCGGAAAACAATGGTCCCGCAGATTATGAACACCGTGCGATTTGTCTCAATGCCGGCAGATACACTGCTTTTTATCAGTTCGCACGCCAAGATTCTGGACGGACATCCTGAACTACGACAAGAAATCGCAGATCTCCATTTGTACGAGTTTTTATCCTTTATCTTTGTTTATTTATAATATATTAGTTGACAATGACCTGTTCACTGCAGGAAAGTACGCATGGAAAGCAGCGGCTTTGAGATACCCCCGGAAATGGACTGGAGCATTCCCCGTCGCACGCGCCGCGTCCCCACCGCCGCTAAGGGTTACATACACAGCGGCCGGGATATTAACGTGCTTATGCTGTATTTCTGTCCGCGAGGTGCCTATTTTGCACTTTCCTGTACAAGTTCTTACTGATATTCCCAGTAACTCGAGTCTGTTTTAGTTCCTCGCAGTAACTCTGATTCTAATGGCACTGCCGATGATCTCATCCCCATCCTGCGGCGCTACCTGAAGGTTGCCATGAAGTTTGTCTTTATTGATGAAGAAGGTCACATCAGCCGACATTGGCTGTACTCCGGCCCGCCTAAACCCGAACTGCGCGAGATTATCAGGCTGCGGCAAAAGGATCTTAAGAAACACCAAGTGTGGAATCAATCAGCGTCGGATCTCAGTAGTGCCAGTGCGACAGGTGCAGAACCAGAAGTAGAAGTCAACGATGAGAACGCCGATAACGTCTCTACGAAGACCAAGCGCTCGACGGACTTCTCCAGCCGGCGGGACCCGCGCTGTCTAGAAGCCATTCCCGGGACGGCCTTTGAGAATATCCTCAAATACCTGACTGTCACCGAGCCGGAACTGCCGATGGGCGGTAGAAAGGAATCGGTATTTGATGCAACGTACGCCGGGAAACGGTTAGTGGACAGCTTGACGCTGCTGGAGCAAACTAGCCACGATGCAACGGAGATTATAAAGTAGGTCAACGATGGTTATATTTTTTTTAGAAATTGCCGAAAATCTCAGATTTCCACAAAAATAGCAGTAAGATCAAATAAATTTTGAATTGATAGTGTCAATAATTTAGGAATTACTCCATTCTTATAATTAACCACGAAAAGTGTTTTAGTAGCTCCGAATTTCTCCTGTACGATGCTTGTTTTTCAGACAGCAAACGATAAGAAAGGGAGAGCGCGACAGGCAGCCGGTATGCAGTCCACTGACCAGCCCCAAAGAGACCACAGCCATCCTAACAGCCGCCGCCGAGGAGTTGGTCCGCAGTACCAAAGCTGATAAAGTTGAACTGAAGCTGGAGTTGGTCAAAGATGCGGACAAAACGCCTTCAGACAAAGCGACGCCCTTGTCGCCCCCCGTTCCCACCATGGTGGACGATGCCTTTGCGGCACTGCAGGACGCTTCGGCCTCGTCGTCATTCTTCACGGATTGGGTTGTCCGTAAGTGCCTACGATATCTGAAGCAATACCGCTATATTCGTATGCAGATATGATTCAGTTTTTATCCACGAAATGCACGGTGCAGCATGAGCGTCAAGCTAATTCCTGATTTTGCTCTTTTTTAGCCGACAAAGAAAAAGAGCAGGAGAAAGAGAAATCAGAGGACAGGTCGGACGCTTCCGGTCCGAAAAAGTGGTACTTTGACTTGGCTGAGAAAATGAGATTGTTTGGTCGCGGTCGACCATCTAGCGGTGACGCCACACAAATCTACCAAACTGCGTCCTCCATTTCCCTGCGTTCGCGGGACCTTGATAGTCCAGGTGACCGTTAACGAATAAATTCACTTTGCATGAAATAATGTGACTTCTTTTAGGATCGAGTAAAAATCCCAGTCCGAACCGGACAGCGGCCGCGTCCGGCGATGTGATCAAGCACGATCCACATAAGCTCGCCTCTAAGCGTACGTTCCTTAGCGAAGTTAAGAGTGAAGATGATTACAGCAAACTCGCGTACTGATGACTTTTTATTGACGGACTTGACAAACTTATTCTTTGCTACAGGAATCGACGAGCTGGAGCTGACAAAAATCAAGCTGCTGGTGAAAGAGCAATCCGGTGATAAATAATTGTGATTTGGATTTGGTTGGGTTGTGTGATTGTATGGTCACTGTCCGGTGAACGTACGCGGTTCAACGGGCAGGTTCTTTGTCCTACTCCATGAGATCAGTCTTGTCGGTTGCAATCAATCTTGATAATGCCGTTGAACTGGCAGTTATGTGCATACATATATAAAAGGGTTACATAAAGCCCAAGGACATGATCAGCCAAACTCCAGTGACCTTTCTATAGTAACCCTCACCATTCCACATACCAAAGTGTAGGTATCTTTGTACTTCTCCGTTTTGTATTACTCAGGTCGTGTTTTCTGTAAGACTGTGAATCAGCACGTAATATCGGTCCGATGACCACTCCTTCGGGAACCGTCTTGCCATTGGGCGGCAGCGCTTCCAATGTCGCGGGCGTGGTACCGGCCGCCAGTGCATCAAATTGTCCGCCGTGCCCGTGTCCAGTTAAGTGTGAGTCAAAGAGTGGCGCACAGGCGCTGTTCAAAGTCCCACCGGGGTTCCAAGCACTGCTTAAACACATCACCCGCGAACTGCTAAACGGGAAACCCAAAGATCCATATTTGTATATTATGGAGTATCTGCGGACCAAGATGCATGACCGTCGTAAAGGTACGAAGAAGACCAGTTGAAGGCAACAGTTTGATCAGCTCAAAGATCAACTAATAAAATTCTGAAATCTTTAATGAATTACGATATTTTAAAATAGATTTCTAGATCCCTCTTAATTTGGCTTATCAAATATTACGCTACCAATAGCAGAATATCCCAAAAGTTTATACTGCGCTTGTGCTTGCAAAATGAAAGATCTGCTATTGTTCCAACAGGTTTACTGGAAACGGGATACTTTGACAACGATACCCTGAATATTGACATTAAGCCGCCGATGCACTATCTACAGCAGACATCACTGCACAATGTACAATGTCCAAGCACGACGGCCTTCGATCAAATGGCCACCGATGCAGCGACGACGCTGAATGCCGCTTGCAAAGGTCAGGGTGTTATCTTCACTGCAACAGTGTGTCTTCGGTGCAGCAGCACTTGGCTTTTCAGGTGTGCAAGATCGCCAAGAAGTAGGTGAGATGCGACGTGATCCGGCACGCATGGAGAACCGGCTAGCGGCCGCGAAAAGCCAGCGCAGTACGCGCTCGATTGCCAGTGATAGGGAGAGCTACCAAAGGAGCTGTTCACGCAAGTCTGGCGAAGGGGGGTGTGGGCGACGTTAAACACAACATCTAGTTGAATGTGTGCGGAACTCCAGAACGATACAGAAATTTGACGTTTAGTGTCTTGTACGTGAAGTAATGAATCGGCAAGTTCTGCTGCGACTGATGCTGATAGACTTCAGTGTTGGGTAATTTTCAGTAAAGTCGGTCCTGTGCGTACTTAAATCGGATGTCAATTAATGCTGTCAGCCAGAGACCGTCGACACTGTTGTTAGAGACCACAAAGTAGAGAGGTTAAAATTGCGGCGCACAATATCATGCAGCGTGAAAGTGCATTGTTGGCCAGCAACAAGCGTAGCTACATGTTTGCAGTGCGGGATAGTTTCTGCTCGACGGTGTTTTGTACTAGTTCCCAAAATCACCACGTTTTACTCAATACGAATGCCGATATGACGATTTTGTCCATGTTCATCTAAAAGCTGTTCTATTGCGTACTCATTACTCATGCGCTTATTTCGCACGTTACGCTAGTGTTTTACCAGATCACTTGCGCCCACGAAAGGTCAGGGGATTGGAATGATCTTTCATCTTCCTGATCGTGGATGTTGTTGGGCCAAGTTATTTCTTTTAACCTGTAATGATAACATTACTAGCATATTTCGCTTTTAAAAGCGTTGATAGCATTATGCAAATTTACCTGATTAGTTTTAATTTGCGGTTTTTGGTAAAGCTTTTCTTGCTTGAAATAAAACATTTCGAACTGTAGTTGGTAGCACAATTTCTACTAGTGTATACTGGAGATGTATAAAGAACCACAGCTGGTTCTTTTCTTGAGAAATTTGCGATTTTATGCTGTTTTTTATGTAAAGTTTTATCTTTCGGTTACAGTGTAACCTCTGAAAATTGTTCCTTTATTGAAACTTTTGTACGGCTGCAATCTGCCTCTACAATGCGGAAATGCTAATATTTATTAGCGTAAAGAATAAGTATTTGCATAACTGCTTTAGCAGCTAATCAAGCAGATTCCATAAGAGCATTTAATTCCGCTGATCCTGTGTTGCAGCATCTTTGATCGTCGTATTCCTAACTACTCACTCTACCGCCATTTACCATCCTCTTGACCTTGCGGCTATCTCCCGGACTCTTCAACCCGACACTAACCGTTTAAACGACTCGAGCTACTTCCGCCAATGGTTACGCATAGCGTACAGTCCGTCGGCTCTGAAACTGGCCCACGCCAGCGGCCTCACCCAGTGGGACTACAACATCAACATCACCGAGCATAACCAGGCCGCTACGGTACGGTCAGCCACATTCTCATTTTACTGTTTTCAGCATACATTTCATTACTACAGATCCGTTCGTCTCAAGATGGCGCAAAATTCGCGCATATTGTCAGCGCCGCAGTCTCCCAATTCCGCCTCAATTCCAGCACCGACGAAGAAGCCAAGGGAATTCAGCGGCGCTTGAGTCTGCTGGGTGATGCGGCGCTGCCGTCGTCCGAACTGGATGAACTGCATCTGCTGATTAACCATATGCAATCGGTGTATTCCACGACGTGGATTTGCTTTAACCCCAATGGGGACCTGGAGGAGATCGCGCTGCTGCCGCGGGATGAGTGCCCGCAAGCAATGCGACTGAATGTAGAGCCAAGTCGGTGATTCTTGGGTTCGCAAAATGTGGCTACCTTGCCATTATCGTCTTGTTGCAGGTCTTGTGGATTATCTACGACACTCGTGGGATCTCGATAAGCGCAAATACGTGTGGACAAAGTGGCGCGATGTTAGTGGTCGTGCTATCCGCGCCAATTTCACCCGCTATGTGGAACTCAAGAATAAAGCTGCAAAAATGACAGGTTTGATATAAACCTTACGGGGCCGATTGTTTCGTTGATACAAATGTAAATTCTGGGGTGGCTAACTGCTGCACAAGTGGAGATTCAACTCAGTACCAGAAAGCAGACTGTCTAGGCCAGCTGAAACTGGCATTACTTCGTTTATGACTGATTAAATACTCGTTGTTCCCCTCACAAGTCGGAGTTTGCACGTTTTGGTAACGTGGCGTGCATAGTTATTGTCGTCATGCAGGCTACAGAGACGCTGGACAGATGTGGCGATCCGAGTACGCCCGAGAATCCATGGGCTACAACGACAGTACTTTCCTCAAAGACTTGGATAGCATGTGGCATACGATACGGCCGTTATACGAGGAAGTACACGCGTATGTACGGGGTGTATTAAGGAGACGGTTTCCAGATCAGAATATTCACCCGCACGGACCCATTCCGGCCCATCTAGCCGGTACACCGATTTATTCGATATAATTAATTAATAGAATTTCGTTCAATCAGATCGCCCAGCTTTGTTGAAGGCGGAACTCGAGTAACCTATCATACGGAAAAGGTCACTTGACTGTGAGCTAGGGGGTCACACTAAAATAGCGGTTAAAAATGAAAGATTTCATTCCATATAATCGTTTCCTTCGACCACGGCGTACTTGGGACTGGAATATTAATTGTGATTACATTGTCAGGGGAGATGTTCTCACAGGACTGGTTATCCGTCTTGCCTTTTGCACAGCTGTATCCTTCCAAGCCGCTGCTGGATGTGACAGAAGAAATGCTCCTACAGAACTACACCATCCGCCGCATGTTCGAGCTCTCCGAGGAGTTCCAGAAAGATCTCGGGTTGATTCCCATGCCGGACACATTTTGGAAGTACTCTATGTTTGAAGAGCCCAAAGACGGGCGAAAGGTCGTCTGCCATGCGTCGGCGTGGGATCTCAAAGAGGATAACGATGTTCGGTACCGATAATAGAAATCAAAGTGATAATAAAATGGCTAGAGAGTTTTTGCTTTTTTACAGGATTAAAATGTGCACCAAAGTGACCATGGAGGATCTCGTTACTATACACCAGTACATACAACATCTTCATTCGTCTAAATTTGGGTGGCCTAGTGTTTTTATTTTCTGCAGCGAGATGGGGCATATCCAGTACGATTTGCAGGTAATTATTGCGATGCAAATTAAGCTAATCCAAAATTACACTACCAAAACAGGCAATACTGTAATGACACAGGTTTAAGGAACGCTCCAGGGGCCGGGCAGCGCACACGAGACGTCGGCCCCTTTCAAGATCAAAGAGACCGACGGTCCGGGTGCGCTGACCACGCCTCCCCTACGTTCCTTAAACCTGTGTCATTACAGTACTTGTTTTCCAGTATGCCGATCAGCTGTCGTTCTATCGCGACGGAGCCAACCGAGGCTTCCATGAGGCCGGTAAACGATCGTTAAAAAACGTAAGAGCAAAACATTTCCCTGAATTATTTGGGGCTAATACAGTAGGTGACACGCTAGCATTAAGCGTAAAAACTCCGAAGCATTTGGCCTGGCTTGGACTTTTGAAAAACAACGTGGAAGATGATGGTAACTTTCGCGAACGTCCGCTTTTGCAAACCCGCTCGACTACAACAGTACGCTGTGTTACAGAAAGCGACCTAAATTACATGTTTGCCACGGCGCTGGATAAGATCGTCTTCCTGCCGTTTGCCTACGTGATGGACAGTTACCGGTACGACATTTTTGCCGGGCGGATTTCTTTCGACCAGCTCAATGCCGGATGGTGGAACTATATGTATGAGCAAACAATTCAGCTTGCCGTCGAACTCTCCAGATTTTTACATGCTTTCTTTACTGCTAACAATGTAGTTACAAGTATCAAGGTCTGGTTCCCCAGTTCCCCGCAGCGAATGGGACTTTGACGCAGGTGCAAAATATCACATCGCATCCGATACGGAATATATGAGGTAACAGCAGAGTCTGATGTGCCCCACAGCCTAATACGCCAGTTGATAGATATGTTTTATTGTTATGGTGTGCGATTGCAGGTATTTCATCAGTTACATTCTACAATTCCAGTTCCACAAAGCATTGTGCCATGCAGCCGGTCATACCGGTCCTTTGTACCAGTGTGACATCAACAAATCCAGAGATGCCGGCAAACTATTCAGGTAATTATTTCTCATATTTGCTCACTGAAAACTGAATATCTCAGCTGCTCATGATGCAGCGACATGCTGTCTATGGGCTCTTCGAAACCATGGCAGTTCGCTCTGGAGAAGATTACGGGGTCACGGCGTATGAGTGCCGCACCGTTGGTGGAGTTCTTTCAGCCGCTGATCAAGAAACTGCGTATTATTAACCAGCAGAATGGAGACGTGCCGGGGTGGTTCGTGTAATTTTGTCTGTTTTTAGCAGTTTTTTTTATCAATTTACAGAATAGTTATTTTGTTTGTCTGATAATTCGTTGGTGTTCACTGCTGCTGAATTAAGATATACTGTACGAAGTACTTACTTTTATCATTCTTTTAAGGTGTTTTGCTAAATTGTTTGTTTATCTATGCGAAATTCTAATACATCAGCCTGAATAGTAAACTGTTGGAACGTATTCAAATACTATAATATACAGTCTGTATATGTTGCTGGTCGTCTGGCTTAATCACTATATACAAGTATAAAATATTTCCCATGTACGTATTTTATTATGCTTCGAAGCTTTCGGCAAAAGCATCAAAACAATCACCAGTAACAACACAAAACTCCCTAACTGTTAATCAACGTTGTAACAAACAACAAAAATAAATTTATTTAATTTCATTCCCATCCCGTGATTCACAGTACACCCTCCACGGCCCATATACGTAGTGATTGCCACCCTCCTGATCATCCAGCTCCAGGCGCGTTATTGACTCCAGATCACTTTCCAGCTCCTGCAATTTGTAGCAGCGGGGTATGCGCTCTGCCGGTGGATTGGCCGGATCCGGGAACGACTTGGCGGGTTCGGGGGGTTTGCGGGGGATATGGAAATACGATTTCCTGGCGGCAATGGAGGCATTGTCCACGCTGGAGATCAAGGCGATCAAGAGGCAGGTAACACCGGCGGCAGTGGAGATGAGGAACAGCGACATGAGCGGTTGCGCCACGCTGTCTTCAAAGTAGTGCTGGCGCGCCCACTGCGAACCCGCCAGGGCAAAGCTGGGCAGCGCCAGATGGAGGATCGTGTCCATTTCGGTGTGGAGCCTGCGTATGTCGAGGATACTCTCTTTACAGGGAACCGGTCGAAGTAGCAGAGACTGCGTTAAATCTGTAATCACTGTACTATTTTGCTGCTAATACACATAATGTTCTTACTCTACCCAAGCGTACTCTGCCCAGAAAAGCGTCACAGCATGCCGCTACGATGTTTTCTCAAAAAAGGATGTCTGTGACTTATGACTCATGAGCATACTGCCAGAAACACGGATCATCTGTGTGCAACGCTGTTTTAAGTTGGACAGACTGCCGAAGACCCAACCAAGTGGCTATCCAATGAGCCAAAGGTTTGCTACAAAGGTCACACGAAAATGAATTGTGTACTCACTGTCATGGCGCACCCTGAGCCCATTGAGATCGGCCATATAATCGTCGTTCTGGTACTGCGATATCCTTAGTTGCTGTTGTCGTATCTTGGAATCACCGGACATTAGACAAACACCCACAAAAGCGAACGATGCCGCCAATCCGCCGATGAAGTAGCCAATGAAATCCCGGTAGGCAACACAGTACTGTGAAACGGTGCGGAGGTTGAAGTGCTGGCGATTGACAATCACAGGTGACGTCATCGCACTGCACGGCACCCGACAATCTCCTGCCTGCCTAAGATCATGTTGTCACGATTTTCATATGAGGCAATTCCACAAGCTGTCGCTTAAAATCATGTTGGCCGTAACGCCGAATTAGATCACTCTCCCGTGCAAAAGATGGTATGTTTGTCAAGGTTTGCTTTTAAATGCAAACAAATTTTGCAATATGTATTGACTGTCAATCTGTCATCTATGAATTTTTTGAATTGATATACAGGGCAGTAGACGGTTTGCGTTAACTTCAGTTGGCAAACAGCGCACCGCAGGGCGAAGAACACCCAGCTGGTTACCATCAATACAGACAAATTTTTCCGTTGGCCACGTGGTAAACTTTATGGCATGCGCTTTCCGTCGTGAAAACCATGTTTACAATAGTATACTAATAATATAATTAGAACAATAAATTGATATCAGTTGAGAGAAAATATTTTTAATTAATCATGTGTTCGGTATAATTTTTGTACGTCTGAATATACAGAACCTACGTAAATAAAAGAAAGAGTACCCACGTCAATAAAAGAGAGAGAAGCGTATCTCGTTCCTATAGCAATAGTATCCGGCAAACATCAATGCCGCCTGGGAAAATTTGGAAACTTAACGAATTGTACACAGCCTGCACAAAATTATTTATATTTAATTAAGTAGTACTACTGTTGTATACAAGCACAGCACTGTAGTTCTATCGGTATGCGGTACGTAATTCTTATCGAACAATCAATCCATAACTGCTATTATCACTGAGCTTAATTGTAGAATAACAACATACGTAATCACAGACGTACAATTAATATGTTTTCATAAAGACAATTTTTTTATATTTACTAAATATTGTGCTATTATTAAGCAGCTGGCTTAAGCCGTTGAGCTTATGGTAATTGTTGACAAAGGTCAGTGCCTCAGGATGCTGCACCAGCATCATCAGTGCCACACGCTGGACTTGCAGCACATCAAGCAGTGCGGACTAATTTCTCTGGGTGTGGCTATTCATGCCTATTGGTTGTACAGCATTTACCGCAACTACCCCACATCCATCTTCGGCAGTGGCCCGTCACTTCCACCGGCGACACCCGGTCGACCGTCACAGTCGGCTCCCGGCACGCCTGCCCCATCCTGATTGACAAAAGATAATTTTATCTCAGTAGTTAGTGCTTGTCGTGTTTTTGACTTTTTTAGCCTGTCTTTCGATAGCGGCTCCTTTATTGTGCGTAATCCATATCGTTACAATAATGTCATACTTTCGGCGACCTACATCTCTGGCTGTTTCGCTGGAAAGAGCGCACAATAAAAGGGCATAGCAGTCCGCAACTGCGGAATAGACGACTTTAGCATTGTGTGATAGATAACTTAACTCACTTGAGATAACTTAACTGAAGAGCGCACACGTTAATGTCGGCGCCAGCGCCAAACTTGTCGCTAGCTGCTAAGAGCGCTGCACTTGAGATGAAGCGGCAAGATGGCAGGATCGCTGAATACGGAAGTCGGTCACACAGACATTTTTGTGACCAACTTCACAGCAAGTAAGTAGTACGCTCTACTGACCGGTGAGTAGTGCATTATTATTGTTAACGTTTCCGGAAGTAGTTTCACCGCACACTCAAAGTGGCCAGCCTCACGTGATCATAGTCGTGGACCTCGTGGTACCGACGCAGTAGTCTCAGTATTGTGATGGGCCACGTTAGATTACGTGTTTCAACTTTACATACCATTCAAAGTGTATAAAATGAACACAATCGAACCATTTTCACAGAATTCGCCGAGCTACAAGCAAAACTGCATGCTGTAAAAGGCCGATTCTTTGCGATTTCGTTTCATTTTGGCTTGCATTCTGCTTCGCATGCCATTTGGCTGTCATAGTTGTTAGCGTTTCCTTCACAACCTCCATAAGGCTAAAATAAGTTCACACATGGTTCCGTTACTAGTATTACAATAAGCTTTCGAACCACCTACTTAATTAATATTAAAGATCGGCTACGGCTAATGAGCCACTGCTAAAAAAACCGCTCACACCACGCCACCCTCACTACTATTACTATTATGCGACTATTACTAAGCGAAAACTAACGCTAGTTTATATGACGTACAAAGTTTTTGCATTGTCCAGAGCTGGGCTCGAAATACCAGCGGTATCCTAGTCCTCTGCATGGTCCGGTTTCCGGCTGTGCCGTGCATTTTTCATTGCTCGCGACTACCGCAGCTAGTGTACATACAGAACCAGCATCTTGCAAGTGTTTCAGATATGTTTAGGTATTGTATTAATATTATTGGATCACGATTAAGTTTTATTGTTTCATAAACAAAATTATGAAATTTTGCCAAATTAGTAATGCTTCGACGTTTCTCGCATTTGGATCATTGATCCTCATGCACTTGACATCAGTAACAAACCATTTACCGATGCCCTCAACCCCGTAAGCCGCATTCCCGGGCAGTTGGTAGAACAGCTCATTGCTGAGAATTTGTGACGCGAGCAATTAGCAACATTGCTCCTACACGCCACGCGAGAACACCAAAGGTGGGATCGGAATTTACTTCCTTTGGGCAGTTATGCCGAACATGGCCGGAACCGGCCCCAAGCCATCACAAAGACAACAAAAACAGAAAAAATTTTACGACGCAAGTGACACACGTTAGCGTTCAACATTTCCCAATTTATACCAATTCAACCACACACAGATAACTGTAACAGAGAGACTACTAGAAAGGGGGGCGTGTCGTGTGTCGCAATACCCGGATTCCTGCGTCCCTCTGAATCCAATCCATTGCTCCTACACGCCACGCGAGAACACCAAAGGTGGGATCGGAATTTACTTCCTTTGGGCAGTTATGCCGAACATGGCCGGAACCGGCCCCAAGCCCAAAAAAACCCAGACGAAAACACGAAAAAAAAAACACAGTAGATGATCCGATGCGGCGTGATGATGACGACAGTTAATAGGATCCGTTGCAGCGGTTATGAAGACTGATTCCCTGGATTCAAGGGAACAGTTACATGAGCGCGACTAGTGAGGTGCGGGATTCCGCACATCCCTGCGCATCCACGAAGTAATTTACGAATTAAGTTATCCACACCAATAGCAAATCAGTACGGCTTAGGGCGGTAGTCCACCGAGCGAAGTACAAGAGTTTGCACGAAAAGTATAATAAAGCCGGTTGCAAAGAAGTCCTGTGCATCCGACGGCAATAAGGCAAGGCAGACGAACGATTTCAGTTTGTCTGGGGATTCCACAGACTGACCTAAATCCACGGCTGAATGTTCACTGAATGCTGCTAATAATCAAAGTGCTGCTCCGGCGGAAATCACGCCAAGCACTGCGCGGCTCACAAAATAAATGTCCGCAATCGAAGAATCGTGTACACAAAACAGGTAGCGACGGAATTCCGTCGCATCCTATGGCAACGACAATAAGACAAAATAATGGCAACCACGAAAACGATGCTATACAAGGTGAACGTGACATAGTAGTGCAAAACTGGAAGATGAAGTGATCCTTTGTTGGAATTCACATCATGCAGTAGGAAAGCACACACTGCAAAATTTATACATACAGCAGGAAGCAATGGAATTCCTATCGCATCCTACGAATTAGGGCAAAACGAAAACGTAATTTTCCAATAGATGTGGGATTTCCACAGGTCAACCGCAAAAGGACAGTTCCGCAAGTGAAGAACTGTTCAAAGCCAAGCGAATGATGCACAATACAATAGGGTCGAGGATCCGGAATGTTGGAGGCAAACAGGTCATGGCAGCAAAAGCGGTAGCGACTCAGTTATTACAGGCCAACTAAGCGAAGACTATGAATCCGGGTCAAAAGAAAACTTAGGTAGGAAAACAGGTAGGAAACAGACAGAAGTAACTCTCCAAGAACATCATACAGGTCATGTTTAAAGGGGGTACCGGTTTACCGGCTTTCGGAGTAAAAGGTGGCGCGACGATCTCCCCAGCAAGGTTTGAGCAGTCAATTCCGAAAAAATGCGTGCAGTGGCAATAATTGTGGCATCATCCAGTGGTAAAGAAAATGTGTCGGCAGCAGACAAAAACTCCTGGGCGGGTTTGACATTCGCGTCGTCGGGATGCGAAGGTTTAGCGGAATTCCGCCAAATTGGCATGAACCACAAACCTGCGTCCACAAGGCTGAGCAAAATATATGCAGTGATCCAAAGCCTGTCTCGCTTCCATCTTCCGGTTATAGGCAGTTTTTCGTTCCACATAACAATGCTGCGTTTGACGTGTTGCCGATTCATGCGATCCAACTTCTTCTTACTAACTGGTCCGACATAATCAGCCGATACACACCCGATGCAAGCATAAAGAAATGCAGACATACCGAATTATTGCAAGTTATACCTCAAAAACAACTGCAAGTTGTCAGCAAAACGACGCTCGAAATCATGATGGCGCGTAAATGCTAAAGGTCACGAAACTACTATTCAGAAGTACTGCTACATAGTCGGTATACAAAATACCGGCATAAAAAAAATTTTACGACGCAAGTGACACACGTTAGCGTTCAACATTTCCCAATTTATACCAATTCAACCACACACAGATAACTGTAACAGAGAGACTACTAGAAAGGGGGGCGTGTCGTGTGTCGCAATACCCGGATTCCTGCGTCCCTCTGAATCCAATCCAATGCTACAGAGCACAACTGCAATTACTGCATGTTCATTCAGCTTGAGGCTTCTGCGAAATGCGTCGAAGAAAATACCAGGTCATAGACCGAGTCGTAAAGCCAACAAAATGCAAGAAGAATGGAAATTTGACCCAAGTTCGCAACTTTAGCAAGTACCGGAGTCTGGATATGATAACTGGCACGAGCCAAATACGTTGACGAATTCAAAAAATAGAGAATTCCACTAATTACACTTACTAGTACTACAGATATTTTATACATACTGTCCCCTTCGATATATCAAGGTTACTTGTTGATAATATGATTATTTAGTACCTAAGTTTATCTCCACTTACAGAGAAGCAGCCATAACGCGAAGGCAGAAAAGAATATGTTGGTGGATGGCGCCATAATCGAATAACCAAAAGTCATTTATAAAAAAACTGACTCGGCACTTTCTTCGGATTCTCAGATGGCAGCAGTCGTAAGCGTCTTAAAATCTTGCGCGCAACAAGACCTTTTAACGCGCTTACAACTTTACGCGCTTACACCCTTTTTAACGCGTAAGCGCGTACGCAGAACATCGACGAACAAAAGAACATCATATGATTTCGTTCCTCATATAATTATGTACATTGTCACTTTCTGCGAATGCGAAAATGTGAAAACACATACAGCAATTTTAAAAGCTATGTGATAAAAGTTAATTTAATACGCTCCGATCTGCCAAATGCACGCCAATGTGAATTTTTGTAGCTACTACTAGCTAGTATTAATCGACCGGAGAGTAGCGAAGATCCTCTATATTCAAGACTATACAGTACAGTACTTTCGTTGATTTCTGTTCGTTACGGTAAGTCGTTACTTTCGTTGATTTCTGTTCGTTACGGTAAGTCGTTACGAAAGGTCGTTACGAAACGGGTTGTTGGCGGGTATTATTTCTAAGTTTAAACTAACAATAAAGTACTAATTAAGTAATTGTTAAGGGTGCTCCTGGTAACGTTAAAAACAAGTTATCATTCGCACGACCGAAAAAGCTGCTACGCTCCGGTCTGCCAAATGGACGCCAACGTGCATTTTTCCTAGTACTTGAAAGATTCACGGTGCAGTGCTTAGTACTGCAAAATTAATGGTTATAACGATAGATACATATCTCTATCTTATCTTAAGAGTTATACACTATTACGTCTTTTTACTTTTGTAATTCCAAAACAAATTTCAGACTCATACATTCTAGCTCCAAATTTTATTAAAAATTCCGACACGTGTCAGAAGAGATTCATTTGCAGTTTTAAAAAATGTTCAGTCCTGCAAACAGTTTCTAAAAATCTTTAAAGTTTTCGCAGTACGTAAGCAGTACTTTCCAAAAGCTTCTAGAAATTTCCCGTTGTTGTTGTTGTTGTTGTTGCATAAACATACAGCGTAGTCCTTTCAAGGACCATTGCTCCAACAAATATAAAATTATTAGAATTGCCAAGGGAACAGAGAAATTTCCCGTAGAATGACTTAAGGTTCTTACAGATATGGATCGCATGATCAGCTTAGCAACTGCTTCGTTCTACAAAAATTTGTTCTAAAAGTTGCAAAAATAGAAGCCAGTCATGCGTGTTCCTGTATTACAGCTGCTAGTGCACGTATTTTACCGACCTAACGGTACTCGTACAGTAATTTTGTTGGGAGCTTGGCACGTTTGCACGCGCAGGTGAAACTTTTTTTTTCAGCCAACCCATCTCGTACTTAAAAGTTTGCAGATTGTTAATTTTCTCTTTTGCAATTTGTGGACGAACAAAGGTCACATCTGAAAGAAATTCAAAAATTTTTGTCCGAGGAATCTGTGAAACTTTGATTTGTGTTAATTTATTTAAGTAATGTTTTGCCTTAACATTAACTCGTCAATTTTGGAATCTTTTATTTGGAACTGGAGCTTTGGCACTCTAAAATCTTAAACACCTCCAGTTTCTAAGCTGGGAGCGAATACCTCTATATTTCGCTTCCACGTTTGAAAGAAATTTTTTTACAAAAATTTTAAAGAAATTCGTCGACGAACAAAATTCTTTGATGAACAAATCAAAGGTCACGCTATTTGAAATCTCCGGAATTCTGCCAGAAAACTAATGCCAAAAATAGTTCGGTAAAATCTAACATAACTGTATACGCAAGTCTAGAAAACTTACAACTTTTTTATTTATTTTAATATTAAATGAGGTTAAGAATGCTAGTTCTGCGCAGCGCGGTCGCTAGTGCTACCTGTATATTTTCGTAAATTTGTACATGTTCAAAACAGCTTTAAATATTTAAAAATGTTTTTAAAGGTGGGCTGGCCGAAAATTTTATGGAGTTAGAAAAATAAGTGGAAGAGCGCAAGGTTCCAGAAAAGTTGTGAATGGTATTTCGAAATTAACTTTAAGTTCTTGCTGCTTTGGAATTTTTTATTTAGAATGGCGGTATAAAAATTTCACAATTTTTCTATGAAATTAAAATTTTCGCTGAATACACAGCCTCAGCCGACAGCAAAAATAGGCGGCCTAGTTATAGAGAGAATTTCATCTAAATTAGCCGATGCTGGTGCTGTTCCCAAGACAGGGGCACATGTCCCAAGAAGAGTCAGAAACTGTTAAAACGCTCATTTCCTTACCATTTTAAGAGACCTAAATTTCTAAAAGCCATAAATTTCTGAAGGCAAAACTGTTCAAAGTTTTTAGCACCTCCATTACCTCCAACACAACTGGTCGCGCGCTAGCGCGACCGCTACCTTGTATTCATACAAGCTTACCGTTCAAAGCGTATTTTTCCTGGGTTTCTATGGATAAATCAACGCGTGGTCAGTTTAAGTCAAGCTTAGTCTCGAAAAATTCCTTATTTTCCATAGGTGTGCCTTCTGAATTTTGATTTTGTTTTGAAAGCGTTGGTCGGAAGAAATTTTGACTGGTTCTTAAGTATAGAAAATAGAGTAATTACTTAATATAATGACGTTCTTTAGATACTGGTACGCTGTACATTCTTACGAGTAAAACAAATTGTTGCCACGGAGGCAGGAATTAGTGCAATAATGTAGAAAAAAATCGGAATCGCACGGACCATTTAATGAAAAAGTGAAAAAATAGCCTGTGGTCACAGGTTCGAGAAAAAATCGTGTAGAGGTCAAGTATTAGTTTCCGTCCAAGAGGATTTTGCCGAGCGCGGAGCGCGAGGCATACCTTGTTATATTATAATTATAACAGATGGTTATATCGATAGATACATTACTGCTTGGTGAATACGGCGTAACGGCAGGTACAGTATATTACTGCGTGCTAGCGTGGAGACTCATATTGATTTTGAGTCAAATGCTGTATTTCAAAGCTGTTGTGAAATACAGCATGTGAAATACAATGTGAAGTGCCTTACGTGGACTGTTCTGTAGATTGGTACAGTACTTACATTATTACGTCATACGACTCAGTGATACGAGCAAGTAGTTTAGTATCCCTAAAGGAACGAAAGCAATGCGACGCCACATGATTGAAATCTCAGCATGGCACCACCGCATGACGGCTCTTTCGGTTAGAGTAGTTCGGCTTGTTCGACTTATTGCGGCACAAATTAAATATTTCCACGTATGCTTTGTGCTTTGTTCGACCTTTACGCCTGCCTGGTGTGTTCTCAATAGACCCAAACTTGACTTGAGCGCTCCTTATGACTTTGGAGTTATTTTGTTGGGAAATTCTACCCAGTTGAGTGACTTTCGAAATATTGCTCCGGCCATCGATGTGGCCATCAGTGACGTGGCCGCCGCTTACAGCTTAATTCTGACACCGTGGTATCGCCTTTACGCCAATCACTGTGACTCGGTGGCCACGTGGTACTCGGTGGCTCAGGCTGTTGATGTAATGCTGAATAATAATCCAATACTCGTGCAAGACGGTCCGGATCCCCAGTATTGGTACTACGATCCCCAAAATAACGTAGTGGGGCAGATGCTGCTGGGGCCTGGATGTGCGTCCGACTATCAATCGGTGACAATGGCGACGCAGAAAATTATGTCGGTTCTCATGACAGGCAGGGCGGAGTCGGTTTACAGCACACAGGACCGAAATTTCACTGTGAGAACCGGCTACAATGTTTACAGCATGTGGTAAGTGTCCAGGGGCTACTCGATAATGCCTTAAACCGAAAAGTACAGCATATCCAGCGAAGAAAGAAACAAATACGCTGGTGCTGGTGCTTTGCAGCATTGTGCAAAGATACTGTATGAAAATTTTGTAAACATGTTGTTTATAAGGAGCAAACGGGCAACAACATTAAGCAAAAAGAGGAGAATGTTACATTGTTGCAGGCATATCTTGACCCAGGGCATGGCAGCAGCGTACAACTGGACATCCATTGCCGGTTTGTATAACACCAGCGATCCTACAGCGCAAACGCACTTCGACAGTTGAGTGGCAAGAGTCAACTCAGGCATGTCACGGAAATATAAGATTATGCTGCTGCTTACTGTTACTGTAGTGGCTCGCACATCTTGAACCACAGAGTTCGTGTACGGGAAAAAAGTGCATCCAATATACACACTCTAACCGGGCAAAATGCACGGCGGCGAAATGATGCTTGATTTTGACTTCAACATGAACACTCCTTCTGAATCTGTCCAATTAATTAAGCATTTTCATTAAAATTGTAATTCACCTTAGAAAGAAAAGATCTGTATTTGAGAGCTCGAATTGTTCTGTAGCTGCAGCATGTGGACGCTGAACGTACCCCTCACACTGCAGGAGCACCCCAAAAACCACAACAAATCAGCGCTAGAATTCGAGCTGACGGCAAAGACTTAAGTTAATGGCTGCTTTTGAGCATAAACATAGTTATTAATTGTTAGAGCTCTAATTTTTTTAAAATTCAAGAAGGTTCTCCAGACCAGATGTTGTGAAACATCAGAAATTTATCAATGCACACCAACTGCGAATCGTGCGTTTGGCCCTGTTAGAGTGTGTACACTGGATGCACGTTTTTCCCGTACACCAACTCTGTGGTTCAAGATGTGCGAGCCACTACAGTAATACGTGCCTGTTTTGCACATTTTTACCTGTGAGCCAAGGGTCATGTGCCTTTTTATGTTAGCTCTGCGCTTGAATGTGGCGGGTGGTGATGTACGTGGATTCATTCCTCCACATCGAGATGGCATACCTGGTGGAAAGATCACGGAGATCGCTTGCGATTTGTATCCCGACACACCAAACAACAACGACCGCAACGCCGCTATCGTTCTGGACTGCCTGAATCGTGCCAGTCTGACGTCACGTAGTAAGCGCATTATGGCGGTATTGCGCATTATGGTCCACAAGACAGTTTTTGAGTTTTTCCTTGCAGTTATCGCCCTTCTACTGTCCCCGACTTACGTTCGCCACACCATGATTATCGCTCAGAAAAGCAATCTAACAAATGCGGAATATCTTTATCTGGTTGTTGATCCACTGCGCGATACATTCATCAATGTGGCTAAACCAGTCTGGCAAAATGGTACAGTTGGATCAGAGTTAACAACTTTTCGACGAAAATTTCTCGGTATTTGTATTACAAAATATGGTGATAATAGTTGATGTGACGATCCGTAACAGATGACAGCGACGATGCAATTGCCAAAGTAGCGTTCACGTCCCTGTTTGTAATCTCAATGGCACCCTTTGAAAATAATGAGATGTATTTGGATCTGGCTAAACGAGCCGCTAACGTGTCTCGTGTCAAGTACGATGGAACGTTCTCCATGAATTTCTTCGTGGCCACTTTCTACGACGCGATCATGATTTTTGCTAAAGCCCTTGTGGAGTCAGCCAACGGCACTGGAAAAGTTCTCTCATGTATGCACACAAATTCAAATCCGGTCGGCTATCCCAACGGCACCGTTCTTAAAGTGGGAATCGATTTCTGCAATGGCTTGGTTGAGTCTATGACCAACGCGACCGTTCGAGGTGACGATTAGCTACGTCTATGCACTTAAGAGGCCCAGTCTCACATTTAGCCGTATTTTGCAGTAGCCACAAAAAATTATGCAGTTGCACTAATGTTGATTCCTGTTTCTAGGAGCTAGTGGGAATCTCAGCTTCGATGACGCCGGGGATCGAATCGTCCAGTTTGATCTTTATGCGATGGTTAACGATTCTTACCAAGTATAGACCATTTTTCTACACTTGTCACTTTTGAAGCGATAGCTCATCATGCTTTCCACATTTTGCACTTTTAAAGTTTAGATCCCATCTTCCACAACCGATTAATTGCTACGTACCATGACAATCTTGGTTGTAGTGTGTTGCCGAATTCGATCCAGTGAACCGCACCTACCTTCCATTGATGGAGCCCATACCGTGGCCAGGCGGTTCAAAAACCCCACCGCTAAATATCCCGACGTGCGGGTACGACGGCAAAGCGGAAATTTGTGCAAGTAATACAGATTTTGTTTTAAAAACACTTTCACCCGATCGAATGTGGGTATGTTTTTTGGATACTGATTGGTCGTTGACTGATCTACAGCTCCATTTCCCACACTGGAAGTGGCTCTGGGAGTGGTAATTCCGGTAGTACTGGGCTTTTCGGTTCTGGCCATACATCTCATTCGTTTGGCCCGCAAACAAGCGAAATCCGATCACGAATGGATCGTGCCGTTGCGGCATCTGAAATTCCATCGCACACGCAAGAATGATGCTGTCAGTCACATATCGGAAGAACACGACGGTAATCGAAGAAAAACAACAACTGATAATAACTGTTCAATAGAAAAACTCAAACTTTATTCGAATTTCACCGCCAATTTTGAGGAACATTACGCATTCGGTCCTATTGCGCTCGTTGAGGAGACATTGTGGTATGGGAACAGATGGTGATTGCTTGTACAGATGGGCACTCCATGCAGGGCTTCTCCATGGGCGCATCCTGCAAAGGCTCCATGGGACAGTCGATGGCTCTGACGGCATCCATGCGCAAACGATTCACGGCCATGAGCGACCATTTTGGCACATGGAACAAAATGCCGGTCGTCCTGCGCTGGACCAGCCGCAAGCGCGTGGTGGTCAGTCGACAGGTTATTCTGGAAGTGCGGGTCGTGCGCAAAACACATCATGACAACGTTGCCCGTTTCTTGGGTGGCTGCGTAGAAGACGATAATATCTGCATTTTGTACGAGATGTGCGGCAAAGGACCGCTTGATGTACGTGCTATTCATGTTGGTCTCTACTGTCTGACGCCAGTTTCAATTTCTCGTTCAAAAGCTAGAAACAACTGAGTACGGTTCTCATTTCGTATAGAAGTTTGGTCGCAACGATTTTCAATGTGGCTATTTGTTTTAGTTGATGTTCGAGGGCGATGGCGGTACAAAACTGGACTGGACAATTCGAATATCCTGGATTCGGGACATCGTTAATGGTGAAATCTTATTTTTTCGTTCTATAATTTCCGAGAGTCCGAGCAACATCGCATTTGCGACAACCAATGCATCGAAGCCGCAAAATCGAAAGGTATTTTTTCAGGGATGGCTTATTTGCACACCTCACCGATTGGTGCGCATACCCGCTTCAAATCGTCAACATGTTTCATCGATAGCCGGTTCGTGTTGAAAATTACGGATTACGGCTTAGCCAGCATTTTCACTCCAACAGTGTCTGAATTTTGGATGGCCAAACGCGACCCGGAATTTTCCGCGACACTGTTGTGGACGTGCCCTGAAAAGCTGCGAGCGGACGCCAGTGGAGCACTGAACTTCAGCTGTACGAAGGAAGGCGATGTCTACAGCTTCGGCATTATACTGCAAGAAATCATAATGCGCTCTAAGCCGTACGCAATGTTCAACATGACGCCTAATGGTAGGACGAGTATTGTCCGTTTGTTGCCGGCAAAACTGTTCTGGGCGACACCTCACTTCCGTCGGTCCCAATAAGAAGCGCACTGTTAGTCGATGAGTGTCTAAGCCTTGTTGTAGTTCGTGCGCTTGGTCCGTTACCTTCACGTAGCGGAAGTAGTGTATGCCACTTTTGCTGTTATTGCCCTGAGTTTGAAGATTTCGAAAAATTCATAACACATCCGCCATCGCAGTGGCAGTTGCTGGTAATTGTTGTGATTTTTTCAACGATTTTCAGAAATAGTTGACGAAGTGCGGAAGGGCATGTCATTGAGCGGAGTGCCCTTTAGACCAAAAATCCCGGATCAGGATGTGCCGCCAGGAATGATAGAGTTATGCACGAAATGTTGGTCGGAGAATATCGCTGAACGACCATCGTTCGAGAAAATCAAAACAGCGGTTCGCAACATTGGCAAAGCAATGTAAACATACATGTGTTTTGTGCAACTTAATTATAAAAAAAGTAATACATTATACAGTGAACGATTTTTCCAGGCATCAGCTATCGTTTGTTGCTTAATTCAGCCAGCTGTAATGATTGTTTTCCGCAACAGGAATATGGGCGATCAGACGAACATTATGGATGTGTTTATGCAGCAGATGGAGGAGTCTGGTTACTTACTGCAAGCAGCCGTGGAAGAGAAAGACAACGAGCTGCTGGAGCAAAAAATCAGGAGCGATGAAGCTTTTATGAAAGTATTTCCTCGGTAAGGATACTATGTATTCAGTATCACACCTACGACCGAAAGCGCACCCCATAGCAGGGTTTTGCAGTTTCTGGGAAAATGTGTTAAGCCAGCGGCCCGGCATGCAATACGTTGAATAACGTTACGTCTTTTTAGTGCTGTCGCGGAACGAGTAATGCTGAACAAGCGCGTCCAACCGACAATACATCGCAACGCTACACTCTTTCTCGCGGACTTAATGGGTTTCGAGACTATTTGCGTAGAAAGCCAGCCGGCACAGATTACGAAGCTTCTTGACCATTTCTACGGAATGTTGGACAGCCTTATTGCCGGTTTCGACTGCTTTAAGGTGGAGCACAATGGGGAAACCGTATTGGTACGTTGATACGTGCAATATTCGAGTACAATGACTGCCAGCCGTAATTAGCGCTTTCACAGATTTGCGCTGAATTGTCTTCACCGTTTTCACTTGTTTTACACAATAGATGGCCTAGTTACCCAAAAAGCTGCCACAATCATGCATTATAGGTTCACTATAAAATTATTGGAAAACAAAGACATGATACTACGCTTAAATCGACAATACTACATTTTCTCCGAAAAAACTTTTAACTTATTGATATTAAATTTTGTTTGCCATGAAGGTCACAGCGGGGATATTTGGAGAGTCTGCCAAGCAGGGTGCACGCGAACTAGCCCGATTAGCGCTATTCAGCATGGTAGAAATACGCCGGTTTATCGTGCCGCATCGGCCAAACGAGCAGGCCAAACTTCGAATTGCGCTCACATCGGGTCAGCAAAATTGCAGAAGTCTTTAATATGAGTTCTCAATCTTGCATTTTTGGTTAATTTTTGTTTTTTTTTCTTGATAAGTTTTTATACAAATTTCCGTGTGTTTCTGATGGAAGCCAAATTGATAAGGTTATGAAGCATGTATGACTACATTACAGTCGTTGATTATATAGGTCCGGTGGTAATGGCTACCTTGAATTTGGCCGCTCCAAGATTTGGAATTTGCGGATTGACCCTGATCATTGCCAAGAGGCTTCTGCAGACTTGTGATCGTCAGTGGATTGAATTAAATTATTATTATATATATATTATTTTTAACATTTCTGTAATTATTAAAGCTTGAATGAATAATAACACATAAATAAAGTATTAAAGCCAGTACTGTAAGTTTAAGACATCCGTAGTCGAGTTTCTTAGTAGATTGGTAGACTAGAGAAGTAAGTATCGCTGTTGTATTTATTTTCACCTCCGGCATCCGACGCCGGACTTACATTTTGCTTTGTCCCTGATTTTATTACTTACCAATATTTTTTAGAATTGCAAATCCATGTTGCGGCCAGTACGAAATCGTTATTAGATGCTTACCGGCATTTCTTATTCGTGCCATCACCGGTCAGTCCTATTTCAATTACGAATGAGGAAGAAATGGAAACGTTCTGGTTGACGGACGAAGAAGGTAAGCTAATTTAGCTGATTGATTAAGGAATATTTTCTCACGTTCAAACTATTGTGTTTCCAGTACGCATCCGCCTATGCCTGTGAAAGGTCTGTTTTTTAGGAAATTTTGACCTTCATGACGAGCGGGCGGCGGTAATGGGCAAAGGGCAGGTTGAATATTTTGACGAACATGAGGCGCTGTGAATTAAATAGCAGACGTTTTTATTTGGATGTCCGTTTTTATTTGCCACGAGTTTTCACATTTTCAATCGTATTCATATCGTTTCATTTTCGATTGTGAAATATCATTCATTCTTTTATTTTTTGGGTGCGAGGTTACGGTTGCGCTTACTCATATTAGTTTTCAACCAATAGGATCTTAGCACAACTTCTATAATTTTTAATATTGCATTTTAAACTTTGTGTTTGCTGTTGCAAACTTCATTGTTTTGCCACGGATGCATTTGATCCGCAACAACAGTAATTTTTTCTCTGTAACATTCTTAAAATTTAGATCATAAACAACTGTCCGTCTTTATTTACGGCACTGCTCACCATCAACCTGTGCGGCTAGCTGGCACGCCCAATATGCCAGTGTCCCTTTATCCTGCCCTTCTGCGCAGTACGATCGCACCGGTTCCAGCAGGGCGCTGCATTGCTGCGCATGCGGAAACGATCCACTGAGAAATCCGCCCCAACATTTGCCTCCATCTGTACAATGAAACGGCCAGAACTGCAGCCAGGGCTTCGTTACGGTAATGGACGGCTTGGTTTCGCGTAATCCGCGCTTGGAAGGCCGAAGACTCCATAGCTCTGGAGCGCGCAGTTCGTCAGCCGCAGTAACCGGCGTCAGTTTTCTTTGTCGGTATAATAAATACAAGAGCAGTAAAAGAGTTAGCACTGCAAACCACTTGACAAAACCCGGGATCTGAGCTGACGCTTCGCCTTCGGCACCGCTCGCTACGGGATCGAAACGTTGCGCTAATCGCGGTTCAGTCGGAGGCGACAGGAAATCTAACGGCGCGTCCGTCATCAGCAAAGGCTCAGCATCCAGGTTGTTTGTTAATGGGCTAAATTCGTCTTCAGGGCACGCTTCGGGAGCTGTGGCTGTTAGTTCTTCGGTGCATTCAGGAGGTTCCCTTTGCCCAACACAGGGTTCTTCGGTTGCAGCAAGAGAAGCCTCTTCCACAGCTCCGTGACACTCAGTGTTTTCCAGTTCGTAGCAGTCCTCCAATGCGGTCTGGGTTGCAGCTATTTCGCACGGCTGACTAGTATCACAGCAAGCGTCCGTTCGGTCCCAGATATCCGATGGGCACTGGACCTCCGTACAGTGCTTTTGTGTCGTATCCGTCTGGCTCTCGTTCTCGCAACATTCCGGTAACGCTTCGTTCAGCGTTTTGTTTGTCACTACACAGGGCATTTTATCGCCTACTTCCGCTGGTTCGCATGTGTCACGCGTCATCTGGCAAGCATCGTTGCCGGTCACTGGTTCGAATGTATTATTGGCGCATGAAACTTCTTCGACAATGTGCCCACTGTCTTGCTGACATTCTTCTAAGCTCTGCGATGTTAGCTGGCACTGGGATACCTCGGCGGCAGCCACGCTTTTCACAGATCTGGACATGCGTTGGCGATAGGTTTTCGGTTTCCGCTGTGCCCAACGGTCTCCACGCGCATAATTGTACTGTTCAACCGCTTCGCTGATGTCGACAAAATCTTTGTTAAGGCATGTAACGTGACTGTCGCTACTGCTGCCAGAGGATATAGCTTGAGGACGACCAACAGATTCTGTCGAGTCCACTGGTACAGGTTTTGAATCAAATAGCTGCGCGTCGGTGTCGTTCATGCTGTGCATTGAGTTTGTCACCTCGATTTTGGAAACGATTAGGTCACAGGTACATTTCAAGATTACCTATTGCGTAAAAAATGTCAGCGGTGCAGTGCAGTGCAGTTGCGACATAATAAAATGTACACAGTTCTCTTGCAGTTTAAGACAACAAAAGTCTCTTCCCATATCCCACTCGATAACGAGGGATTCTGTAGAAACCCAGTTTTTTTATTTGTTAGCCTTCACTCAAAGCATACGCATGTGGGGCAGTACGCAATGCACATCCACGTACCCTCCACGTTATACATGTTCCACTGGACCATCGCACTTAATTGTATGCGACGGAGCTATTGTTCTCAGCGCTAAATAAAATAAAAGCTAAAGAAAGAAAGCATACCTCCCCTTTTTCTCGTTCTATAAACTGCCGGATAGCCGTCGCATCGCATCCATTCGCTATTCTTCCGACACTCTGACTATGAAGAACGTAAATGTGCAAAGCGATCGTGTCGCCTATCTGCGGGGATTCATCCTGGGTACGAATAATAAATTCCTGAGCCGCGGGATAAGGCAATAAGAAAACGGCGGACGGGCGGATCGTGTATGCTGGACGCTTGGGAACAAAGTGACAAACAAGAAATGCTTCCGAACTAATATTCCGAACTGTAAAGGAAACAGTGGATAGTTCGGTACGGTTCAGCTGTGTGATGACTAAATAACGGTCGGTTGTTTCAAAATAGTTCTTGACACTTTTGCGGCGGGCTTCCTTTGCTGCCTGCCGCTCGATAGTGTTGGACACGCAACTGCGGCTATCCGCGGATTGCTCCCCGGTCATGCATTCATTTCGAGCTAATCTTTGGTAATAGTCCGGCAAAACGCTGCAATAAACAGTGTTATGGCACAGCCCAGACCAGAGCCCTTAAAATTCTACTCACAACTGAAGATTTTCTTCCGTTACACACCACACCTTCCGTCGGAACTCTCGTGGCAGCGCTTTCCATTCTTCACACTGCCCTTTGTACTCCTCCGGGAACTCTACGAAGAAGACCCTTTCGCAAAATCCTTTATACTGCGCCAATTCCGCCAGCAGCTTCCTCACTACTTCCATGCCGCACCCCTCACAAGGAAAATTCCCGAAATCGACAACAAGATCCACGGCCTTTGTGTCCTCCTTGAAAGCCGTTTCAATCTGCAGCAACGCGAGGGAGATAGCCCGTTCCGCCGTAAACATCTCCGCAAAACCAGCCAGTTTGCGGGCAAAGATCCCGATGATGCGCTGGTCGTGCTGTTTCGGGCAGCGCACATGCACGACGCCTACACTGCTGGTGCCGGCAACGTTGCGGCGCGGGGGACCGCGTTCTCTTAACACGCGAATTAACCGTGAGACGGCGCTATTGATCGGCTCGTTGGCGAGAAGAACGGAGTGGATGATCTGGCGAATAAGGTCATTGTTTAAACCCAAAATTAGGGTTGCCGCGTCCGCGCTCCCACGAGAGTACAGATCTGCCAATTCCCGGAAAAGGGCGTAGCGTACTTGTCCAACCACGTCCGAGGTGATCTTTGGCGGATTATAGCATTTGCTGGAGGATGCGGTTTTCCTCCTTCGAGATTCTGTGGATCTCGTCGGTGATCTTTATGAGGCAAGGGTATAAACGGGTTCAAACAAAAGAACGTATGACATGAATTTGGGTACTCGTATGCTAAATAAATTTTTATGGATTTTCTGTTGAAGTACCTTACTGAATCACATTGTGTAACGTCTGCTGATTTTGATATGCTCTGACGTTGCGATACGTCTGCCGACTGGGATCGCTTGGTACGGTCACATAACAATTGTGACAAATTCTTTGAGAACTTCTCTTCTGCCAAATTACTGGAATATTTAAATTGGACTGCTGCATAACACTGACGGCACTTATACAGGTGATACTGATACCTGATTCGTCTTTGGGTGTACTGTTTTTCGCTGTCGCAGGCTGAAGTAGAACTATCGGATTTTCTCCATGAACACAAACGCGCCCTGCAAAATGGAAATGAAAGCCAGTTGACGTAATGCTAGCTAGATCGTCCGCAAAGACACGGCGAAACGCTGAGGTTACGCAGCCAAGTAAATACATTATCATGCATTAAACTGAAACTGTTGTTGTTGTTTTTTTGCAGAATCGTGTTCTATTCAATGCCCGTACACTCTATCAAAGAGATTACAAATTATATTAATACTTAATTCAGATTCTCTAACGCGGTCATAAAACACACTGGAATGAATAGCTGCTAGCGGGCAATCCCCCTTTCTGGCAACTTACTGTGCAGCGTGGCCACAGTGCTGCGCTCGATGGTACAGGTTGTCGGCCATGGAAGATATGGATGAGGACAATTGAGACGACTGTGCTCCCATCATCCATGCGAACAGCAGCATTTGGACAATGCCGATGGATGCTTGTGGCGTCACTACAGGCAATTGCCCTTAGAATCGATTTGTAGCGGATGATATTTGTTGAACCAACAATGATGTCAAATTGCTTTGCTGTCAATCTGCCATACGAAATTCGTTCCGTCTGGACTCGTTGTCAATGGAAGTTGCTGCATCGCTTAGTGCTGTCTTAGGGATTATTCAATTATTCTTCTTCAACATCAATTATTCTTCTTCGATCTAAGTAATAATTAATTTGTTATAATATACTTGGTATCTTAAATTTCTTATTGTGACTTGTAAGTAGTTATTCGATACGGAGCAATGCCATCTCTGCAGCAAAGTATTTGTAGAACGGGGAGATGTTGGTGTCATAGTAGCCAGAAAGTCTACGAAACGACGTGAAATTGCTTTGCTTCGTACTAAAACCTGTCTTACTTCAACAGCTAAATCTTCCCGACTGCAAGGTTAGCCGAAATCGATGCATGACGTGTCCGCCTATGGTTCAGTCAGTACAGTACTTACTTATCGCTTAACGCGTACGAGGACCATTGGGTGCTGTGAACATACCCTGCACGATTAGGCTACGATGAACAGCCGTAGCTCGCAACGCCACTGATATCACAGTCTGAATGCAAACGGCTTAACTTTAGCCGGCTGTTCATCGCAGCCTAATCGTGCAGGGTATGTTCACAGCACCCAATGGTCCTCGTACAGTATCACCAACCGGCAACCAGAAGCATTCGACGTTCGAGCAGCGTCAAATGAAATGTCTACGGATGCATAAAACCACAATCAAATACTTATTTACTCAATAACAATAACAACTAACAACGCAATCGTGTTTTTTGGATAGGGTTAAGTTTTACAGCGACTTCGCCCCACCAGGTCAAATTAATTAAGTACAGTACTTATTGGTAGCGTCATTGGTAGGTGTACTGGTAAGAAGTTATGTTAGTAGAAGTGATGGTACTGTACATACTAATCATTACGGTACTGGTACTGTAGTAATACTCGTTTTTTAGTGCAATCAAATGCCGGCTGTGAGACTTGCAGTTTAATGTTCACTCAACTTTACCGACGATGCAGCAGAAACATAAAGCAAACAAAGCAATTAAGCGGTGGTTGCGGTGTTGGCGAGAACGTGACATCCGACAGCAAACGACGTTGGCAAAAAAATCCGATAGCGTATGCAAGATAGCCGAGCCGGCATGCATCTGTGGCTGTAAACGAAAGACTCCGCGTTCGAGCCCCAATCTAGGCTCATTTTCGCAAAAGTGTAGACAGTATGAGGACGTTGAACCAATCTAGCCTATCGATTAGCAGTCATTAGATTTTCGCTTTAACAGGTGTAAGTGGGTGCGACTCCCGCATCTTGCATTTTTGCTCAAGCAGTCTTGGACTCTTTGGTCGACAGTCATACAACTACAGAATTTTTTATTTCCCCAATCACGCTCATAAGGCGTGTTCCTAATGCTCAAAATTCCTCAAATATCATGCGTATGTGTTAGTCCAGCAAAACAGATTGATTGAAAAACCGTTCATGTAGCAGCAGCCATGACATTGATGACATGCTTGTAAGCTAAACTCCACCCCAGACAAAGCTGTAAAAATGCAAATATGAAAAAGTACAACTTACTGTAAGTTAACGGATGTACAGCAAACTGCCAACATCAGGGGCTAAAGGCAGCCATATCGTGCGGTCCGGTGCGGATATCATGCTTCTGAGTTCGGTTACGGCCATGATGGCCGAGCACATAACCGGAACAGACATCAAAGACTACGTTGTGCCCCACACTTCTACCTCACACAACGTGATAGGCAGAGAATCCGTACTGATAAAATCAGACGCCATTCTTTGTATTACAACAGTCTTTCCTTCCAAACCGATCGGCGTTTCAGCCATTCCGTAATCACAAATCGTGGAGAACTCCCTCATCTTTCCGTCCGGCGAGGAAATCGAACCGCACAACGTTTCGTCCACGAACGCTTTCAACGACAGTGGGAAGATCCCATACACGGATATCCTCCGCACAGTCGCATTGCTCGGTAAAACCGCTTTCCACAGGACGACCTCCACACCGCGCGTCTCATAACACATCTCTCGCCGCGGTACCTTCATCCCATCCACAGTGACAAAGGCATCTGCCAGCGGCTTCAATGGGGCTGCTGCAGTCACGCCCGGCAAGGCCAGGACCAGATTACGGTATGTGGACCTTTCCAGTGGGTTGTTTCCACAGCCAAAACTGATAGCCCGAATCTCCCGAATCTCCACCGGGACGTTGCGGTTGGAGGTATTGTATATCTCAACCCAAACATAGCGCGCCCAGCTGGCGTTTTGGTACAGTCGCATCGTAACCGTTTCGTCTGGTTTAACAGAGGAAGCCACCTGAGACGCCACGGAGAAGTTGTCCCACTTGTGGCCCGTGCTGGAGGTGGAAACGTTGAGATTCGTTAAGGGGTACCGGCCGTTGACGACCTCAACATGCGAGAGAACATACGTACCGACCATGTCAACGATCAAGAACGGGTTGCCTTCGGGATCCGTCGCGAAAGCGGTGCGGGGCTCTTCATCGGTGGCGTAAGACGGGGACACACCGCTCTCACCCTCACTGCTATACTGCACCGGTTTATAGAGGGCACGGTTAATGCGCTCAGAACAATTTCGGGCCCACACTTTCACCTCACAGACAGTAAGCCCTTGGCCTTTGTTAATCTTGCCGACGGTAACGTAGCGGCCAAATACCGGACCGTCCGTGCAAGGAATAACCACCCTGCCATCCGTCTCATTGCTAGCTGTTCCGTTTGTGCCGTCCCAGCAGCTTTGGAATCTGCAAAAGCCTCACCTTTTTTATGTTGTCCATGTATTCAAGCAACCTGCTTACACGTAGTCAGATTTCTCCGATAAAATGGGAGAAACGGTAATATTCAGATTCTTCCCGTCTCCGGCTCCGTACAGAGTCACGCCATACACCGCCGCTTGACTGCCGAGATCTATGGTCATAAAACCAGGCGTATCAGTGGTTGTGAAGCACGTGCTGTTCCGGTATGGATCTGCGTCCGGGACGACGTGATGACCGTCAATAGCTAGGAATGCTGGGGATGAAGATTCTTCCGCCGAGCTCTGTTTGACTTTTGTAGCCTGGGCCACTCGGCCCTGTCCGCCCATCCCTAGGTTTTCATATGGACCACATGAGGTCCCACGTGCTTGAATGGAGCAAATAACTAGATTGACGGGTTCGCTCTCGCGGATCTGCACCGTAATGTAGCGCCCAACGACCGGGTGGCGGCAGGCGATGTTCAGCCAGCGGCGGAAATTGCTTTTGGCGTGGACCTGGCTATGGCAGAGATCGTTGAGGGCGTATTTTGGGTTGAGTGTATTTGTCACGTAGATGTTAAGGTTCGCATTCGGAAGCTCTACACAAAAGAGAAGAGCTACATTCTGGCAGCAAGCGACGATGATTACGGCAAAAGACGCTTAGTACGACGCACTCTACTGTGCCGGCTGACTGGCAACGATTAGTGTGAATTTTGTCGCCGCCCAAAGATATATATTTTGTGAAAAACTGTTTTGAAGCCTCTCACCTTCACCGATCCCGAAATCAATGGTCACACCGTACACATCATTGGCGGCAATCATATCCACGGTTACGTACGGATACGTCGTCCGTCGTGTACTACGGCAACTCAACGACGCCGTTGTCCATTCGTTACCACTGGGCCACGCCATAGCCATAGCTGTGTGTATATTGCTGATGGACGAAAATGTCAGCGGCCGATTCCCGGTCAAGTCGTCACTCCAGTACTTGGGACACTGCGCCGCAAATGGTGTCCATGTTTCATTACGTTGGCACGTCAGATTAATCCATTGAGACCGTGTGTTCAAATAGTCGTACAGGCACTGATACGAGACATTCTGCGCCGGCGCATTTACCACTTCTGAATAGTAATAATTGTATCCAAATTTTCGCGCACAGCTGATACGCCCCGGATGTCCACAGGACACTGCACATTCCGGGATGATGGGAGCTGACGGGTTGGCCGGGTCGTCGGTGATATGCGGCAGTCTATAAATAAACATTTTACATTAAGTTGACCGTAAACTGATAATGGCTCCCGTATCCTCAGACAATTGCCGACGCTTTATAAAAAACGATATACTATACTTGCTTGCACTGACTGAGATGGGACTCAGTTTCCGGGCATTCGACATGGGAGATCAAGGGCCGCGGTCCCCAGTCTGGATTCGCGTCATTGTCAGGCCAGTGTAAGTCATACAACTCGTCGCGCTGAAAGCCGAGAACAGCGGTGTCGTTGAGCGCGCGCGCTTCTCTGCAGCGACCGTATTCCGAGTAGTACAGGAAAGCGCCGTGCTGGGCGGCTGACATAGCGTTGTAGCAGGCACGTCTAGATTTTGCTTGTCCCGCAGGGATGGTAACGTTGTCATATACCAAAGAGGTCTTTCGCAGAATACTGACGCCCGGAAAATGGGATGACTCTACCACAGAAACTAAACTGACTTACAAGTCCTTCATAGGTTTTAGATTCAATTGGTTGTTATTGCTGGGATAGAACGCTTCGCGGTAGAACTTGGAATTTAATTTATTGAAATAACCTTACTGTTCACCCCAACATACTAGAAGGCGGAATAGTGCAGCCAAAGAGCTCCAGTCGCAGCGCTATGCGATCTTTGGTTTGTAAATTTTGAATTCGAATAAAGCGGGCCTGATCAATGGGTGGGTTCAGTCGTATCATCAGTGTCTCGATCGGGTTGTCCGTCACATTGTATTCGCGATATAACGTCCAGTTGTTTCTAGCCAGTGCATGATACAGAGCAAAACTCTTCAACCAATCCTGGAGAACCCCACGGACACCGATGGCCGTTATCGAATGCGGCATAAACATGTCAACAGTCAGTGTCTCATTTAAGTTGTTGGTCTTGGGAAACCATGCCGAAAATCCTGCAAGAAGTCACTTAGCAGTTGGCACATGTATTTCTTACTCGAGCAATAAATTAATTTAAAATTACAGTGCATAGGCAAAAAAAATGCCGAGTAACCAGTGCAGTTAAAAATTGAATAAAGCATAGCATAGCAAAATAGATCAAGAATACGTAAATAGGCATGGATTCCGTATGACAATAAAGTGCCTGGAAATACGGTAACTAATTAAGATAAACAAATGTTTATTAACACAATGTTCAGTAATTTAAAATTTTGTTTTGCATTACTACGTAGAGTGGTATAGGTCAGTTGCATTTGGGTAACTGATGCGCGTCGGGTAACGGAGAAACGGGTAAAAATCTGCCCATGACTCAGCGAAAAAAATATCGTCCAATCGTAAGGCGAATACGCTTCCGTGCCAAGAAAGAAATTATTGAACAACGGAAAAACTGAAGTGGAACTGAAAAATCTGTTTTTGATGCTTTAATGCGGTAAAACGTCAAAAAAGTTGATTCTGAGTTTAGAAGTGTGAATCTGGGTCGCTGGATGCACTTTTGGTTCAAAAAACAAAAATTTTGTTGATCTGGGCAGGAGAGTTACGAGTTACTCGTAGTTTGGGTAACGGTTGCGCTTCGACGTCGAAGCGCAACGGTTACGCGGACGGGTAAGCTGAAAACCCATCCCAGAATTCTGGGTTGCCAATCAAATCGTTTACCTGCTTACGCGCCGTGACGTCATGTTTTTTTACCCGACTGCCGCTTGCGCGTCGCGTAATGCTTACACAGAGCAATTGACCTATGCCAGTATACGAGTATTGATCAAAAGTTACCTTTGTCTATGTTGAACTCGGACGACCGATCCTTTTGCGATGACATAGTGACATTAAATCTGCCTGCTGCGACATTTAACTGCACTTCACAGTAATCTTCGATCCTTTTGCCAATGACCTCGAAACGGAAAGGACAGTTCTTGTCGAACTGCAGCCGCAAAAGCCGTGCATCCGGCTCAAAGGCGGGATGCACAGTGTATAGAGGCTCGTTCTCGCTGAGCATTGCAAAGATTGTCTCCTGCACGGCGATGACGGTGCCGTTGACGTGGTGCAAATGGTGATCCAACGCTTCACGGCTGCCATCGGCGCTGTAGTACGCCTTGATGCCGGTGATCCGCACTGGGCGGTAGGGATTGCCGGCAAACACCAGCCCGTCGATGTGCACATACTCAGTCAGGTCCAGTTCGACTGACGTAAAAGTACAGTTGGCATGGGACAGGTAATCGTCTTCGTTAAGGAGAGCGGCGTAGCCTGTACCGTACTTAGTCCGGCCGGCCACCCGATAGGCGTGGCTGCGGGTTTTAGTCATGGCGTACCTGCACCAAACAAAAAAGCCATTACAACAATCATGAAATTATCATGAACTCTTAATATTCCGCTCACGTGGAAAGCGGGTGCGCGTTTAAACCGCAGCCGTATAATCCCCACCGCAATCCCGCCATTCTCTGTGTTCCATTGACCGCCACCACGTCGGGTACAATCCGGAAGATCCGGCCCCTTACCGGTTTTTTTAGCTTGATCACTGTCCGCTGAATCCCATCCGCCCGATCTACCTTGAAGACTGTTTTCATCGTTTGGAAAGGTTCCTCCCACGCCGATTTGTACATCAGCTGAAATGTTGTGACATAGTAGTGGTCAGTCCGGTTGATCCCAGCCGTCTCATTCACCACCACCATCCGTGTGGTGCCAGCAATAACCAGCTTGGAAATAAGGTGCTCTCCGATCAAATCTACCTGGATCCATTGTCCAGGAGGCGCCGGAAGGGATCCCGGGATCCAACCGGCGCCCCAGAGAACGCTCTCCCGAGCCTCAGAGCCTCGGAGACTAGAAGAAGCGTACAACTGTCTTCTGGAGAAGTCCCGCCTTTCAAACAAGTAAAGCGGATACGAGCAGTTATCCAACGAAGTATCATGATGGACTTCCCGAATCCATAAGCTGGTATAGCGGGGATCGCGACGTTCTCCGGGAACCCATCCATTAACGCTTTCAATATCTGGATTACGGGTAATGAGGTTACCGTAGGGTCCAGAACCCCAGCGATTGTCGCTCATGCGGTACAGAGACAATCCCAGACTCCAGTTGGAAAGATGGGGAATTTCTAGGGTGAAACCGGATTCTGGGTGCTCTTGAAAGCTGTCTGAAATCTTTCAAATTTCGGTTACATAATCGAAATATTAAGGAATATTTTGTGTTACCTGGATGGTTTCCATGGGACGGTTTGGGACACTTGAAACCAGGGACTCGGTCCGGGGGATTCGAAAGATCCCCCCACCGTCGCTGAACACGCCTTTTCCGTTAACATCAATCCGGATATCGTATTTATTCCCTGGAAATCTCTTCAGAATCTGGTCAGCCAATCCGAGAATGGAGTAGCTCTGATACGTCGTATAGTTAAAGGGATGCAGCCTCATCACGTCGTCATCGGACCAGAACCAATTGAATGTGTTGTTGAACAAAAGCAACCATCCGGGATCTGTTTTAGTCATATCGCACACCACCGGATAGTTAACCCCATCAATCATCATCTGGTACTGTCCGGACACCGGATTAATGCCACGGGTGGTGTAATAGTCATGGTGCTCCAAGCAACTGTACATCCGGTGGGCGCCGAAGACGTCCATCCTCCCAGTGGAATGGCAGGCCATTTCGTTCTCCGTCGGCGTCCAGCCCATCCGCGAAACCGGCACCCACCGGCCGTAATTGCTTTCGAAGACCTCGAAGGCCCGCGGTATCGAGGAAGGGTTGGTTATGAGGACAGAGTCTGGGATAAGAGTAGAGTTAGACGAAAGCGTGGAGTTAGTGGAGAAGGTGGAATTGGTGCTGTGGCTGGAGTTCGTGGTAACGGTCGAGTTGATCGCGACGAGGGTTGAGAATTTAACAGTGTTGGGATCCCGATTACCGTCCGTGCAACGGAAATGCAGGGGAACGCCGGCGTTGCAGTGTTTGTCGTCGGAGTCTTCCATGGTGCATTCGCGGAGGTGGAATTCGTAGCCGGTGCAGTGCAGATGGAAGGGAAAGTATACCGTGGCGCTGGCGACGTAGTTGTGTTCGTAAGGCAGCATGAAACCTGGGTTGAAAGAAACCAGGTACGTGCGTAATACAGAAGCAAGAAATATTTGACTGAATTTCTTTTTAAAAATTATTTGGCTATTAACAGTATCACGCTTCTATTATAGTGACCTTTCGATGAAGTTACAGTTTAAAAGTTGGCGGTACAAGAAGTTGGCGGTACAATTTAGTAAACTAAAATAATGCTATTCACTTTAAGTGAGACACCTTGGAAGCGAGGGGCGAGACTCCAACTCTGACTCTGATTCTGACCACTCAAGCTCTGACTCTGACTACTCAAAGTCTGACTCTGACCGCTCAAAGTCTGACTCTGATTCTGAAGGTTTCTTAGGTTTTTCAATAGGTTTCTTAGGTTTCTTCTTACGTTTCTTAGGTTTTTTAGGTTATTCTTAGGTTTCTTAGGTTTCAGTGATTTCTTAGGTTTCTTAGGTTATTCAGTCAGAGTCAGAGTTTGGACAATCAGAGTCAGACTTTGAGTAGTCAGAGTCAGAGTTTGAGCGGTCAGAGTCTGAGTCAGAGCTTGAGCGCGGGCCGAAAGCGAGGTCTGTCTAGAGACTCCTTACCAAATTTGGGAAAGAAGTCAAAACCGAGAGAGCGGCAGACAACTGTGGCTATCGCTTCCACGGCAGTGAGCTGCGCCAGTCGCCTGGCCAGCAGAGTGGTACCGTTGGGCTCCAGTGTCTGGCGCTGAGTCGGCAACAGCCCGCCATAGAGAGCGGACACTTCGTAGATGTCGGGAACGCAAACCGGCAGCCAGGCAAAACTGTCCAAATCCCGCAAGTAACCGAAGGTCTCCAGGTATCCATTTGTGCCCTCCGTTAAACGATGCGTATCGACTGGAATGGAACAACTGTCACACAAAAATCTAACAGTCTCATACAGTTAACGTTAGGGCGGTAAAATGGTAAAAAATGCGGATTGCAGAGTTAAATTTTGTATTTACAGTATCTTCCCGTTCAATTCCGATCACGACTGTAAAATTCGAAATTGAGCCGATACAAGCTGAGTCAGACCTTGGATGAAACAGTACTTTTTGCCACAATGTTGTTTATTGCTTCTTGCAACGATACTCGAACTGTCCATTAAAATTCCATTAAAAACTCGAATTGTAATCTTGCGTGTGAAATGTGAATTTAACCCTGGCTCTATACCATACTGACACAGTATTTAATAACTTACTTGCATAAATTGGGTGGTGAGATGAATTATTTTTGCATAATGAGAAAATTAACCCACCAAAGTCAGCTACAAGAAGGAGTGCGAATATCAACTTGAAAATTGGCAATTCAGAATCAAATAATTCAATCAAGAAAAACTGATTTTTTGAGAATTTTTGTGACCATAGGTCAACCAGGGCGATAGCCTGCCAAACTGACAGGGATGGGCATCCTGCCATTTGGCAGGTAAAACGCCGAAATTTAGAACTGATTATGGAAGAGTAGCGCTGAGGCAAACCAACACTTTATCGGAAGGCCTTAAAAAGCTCTTCACTTCTAGTACAGTGTTGTGGTCATCGAGTTGACCAGTGGTCAGTAATAATAAAAATTGTTAAAAAACTTCATTTTTGTGCCGGCACGTGTTAAAACAGATACAATTTCCACGCTTTTCAATAAAAAACGATATTGAGCGATTCTTAGTTAGACAAAAACAGCAAATGAATCCTTACCAGTACATATGCGGTGTTGGTCGCTTATGTCCTCGTTATACTGTACGTTAACCAATCTTCGTTGTTGTCGCAATCCGCAGACAATGTCGCTTACTGATTTTAGCCAACTTATGGTAACTTTGTAGTGAATAGAGGTTGTACAGGGAACTCTACCAAAAGCCTCAACAATCTTTGAGCGGTTTATTAGCCAAAAACCACAGCGACAACTACCCGAACCGCATCACCTACGTCCTACAGTATACGGTATATGCCGCACCGGCACTGAAAAACTGTACCCGCATGGTCCTTTTCGTTATTATTCTTTATGGCACGGTAACTCAACGAAGCCCATGTGTCCGCGGAATGCAGAAATGCTATACAAGTTCAAAAATGGATACATAACTTTACAGCAGGTTCAACTTTTATCATTTCTCCTAACCCTGGACTAGGTATAGTGTGTAGTATATTCATTTCTCGAATCTAAATCTGATTTTTTACATGGTACTCAGCAAAATTTTGGTGTCAGCAAACGGAAAACACTTTTCGGTCCATAATTCGCGTTAGTTCTTGTTGTCTACACTATATTTGCAATTAGTTTTCCAAATTTTCCCCCAAAAAAAGCGGTTTTTGAAAGTTTTCGAGCTTACTGACCACTGGTCATTTCGATGACCACTGAAATACCACCATTTGTAACACTTTTTTTGCTGAATTTTTTGATTCCATGTGAGGCTTTTCACCAAGCTCCTGAGATTTTATATGAAATTTATACTTTTACTGCTGAAGTAGCACCATGCCCATCCCTGTCAAACTTGGCAGGAAATTTTAGAATGACCGTGCTTGTCCACTGTCCATTTAGATTTCTTGCCATTTAATGATTTTGCAATAAGGGCCGCTAGGTTGGGTCGAATAATTTATTGTGGAATTATCTGATGTTGGGAGGCTGCAAGGGCAACCAAGACCTTCGCGAACCCAAAATTCCTGATTTTGGGCACCTTTGGTCACTTGGTGCATGCCCAGGCCACACTGTGTTTGACGGTCCTATTTTTTAAAATGACACTTAAGATGCCTGCTGTGAAATATAACTTAAGAATACGGGCAATCTGCGTTACGGGCCCTTTTAGAAAAAGAGTCCCCCACCCTGCCATTTGACAGGGATGGACGGGAACGGGTTAAGAAATTTGTAGTTTTCGACTGATTTGATTTTGATTTTCCTTACCGGCGCAGGTCCAGCGCGCCGCGCCATGGCACGGACAATGATAAAGATGCGCGTCGGATCATTGCACATCTCCCGACTATCGGCCCAGTTCAGAAAGCCGTTGTAATTTTCTGGCGGGCAGTCCTCCTCGCAGAGAATCCGGTCGCCATAATCTGTAGCTAGATTCTGTAGTTTGATCTGGTAACGGCTTGAGTCCGTGATGTTCAGAATTTCGAAATTTTCGTGGCACATCTTGGGCGCACGCCATAGCAGTGGGAAATAATATACCATAGGAATCATCTCTACCCACGAGGATATCGCCCCGCATCGTCAAAGCAGTCCTTTGACTAATTCGAACGGGAAAGAAACAACTTGGCATTAATATCACCGTAAAGGATTGGATCTGCCGATAATAGAACTAAGTGATAGAACTGCCGATTCGAAACGACAACACTTGTCGGATTTCGACATGATTATATACGCATGAATACATTCGGTGCATGTGTCCTACTGGACGAAACGCGCCTCACTGGCTGAATTGAGCGAGTGCTAACTCATTTCTGCGATATTATTAAATGTGCAAAATTTTGTTACTAAGAGACGGTGATAATTTTAACGTCCTGTTAGTGAAATCTTTTCATTTTTACAGTTTGTTTTTTGTTTCACATTATTTCCTTTCGATTTCCGCTGCTAACTGTTAACAGCTGCTGTTGTTTATTCAAATATCAAAGTTTCAATTTCGCGCTTTTTGTGGTTTCAAGCAACATATTCAATAATACTTGTGTATAGTGTATATGCATGTATATAGTACTAACAAATACTTGAAAATTGTGAACATCGCAGAAGCAAATGGTTCCTCAAGCGGTAACACACGTTTGACAAACGATGATCCGGTTATCGAGAGCCCGATTAGCGCCCCTTTCATGGGCTGTAGCGCCACTGCGGTGGAGATCCGCGCCCGCAGCTCTTTGCGGCTGTCCTCATCTTCGGCGCAGACTTCGACATTCAGCTGCGGATCCCGCTTCATCACGTAATAGTTCAGCCAGAAGAAGCACGTGCTGACCACCTGCAGTGCGAAGGCTACGCACGCATAGTTCCGGTGAAAAGCGTCCAGGTCGTAAAACAAGCAGGACCCACTTCCGGTGTCTTCCTCGCACGTCGTTTCCGCCCACAACACACAGGTCAGATCGATCAGTGACCCAAACAGCATGGGTGCCGGAACGTATGCCAACAACCGGAAGCAAACCATCTGTAGCGCCAACGCCAAGGACTTACTGTCGGAAGGCACGGCCCGCATCGTTAGGAAGACCACCGGAAGGTGCGTATTCCCCGCCAGGAAGGCGATGCAGAAAATGACAACGGAGAAGATCACGAGGGTTGTCAGGCATTTCATCCCACAGAGACCCTCATGGACAATTTTCGTCGAGGAGCAGGCGCAGTCCAGGAAGGTGTGGTTGGTGCGTCGACATCCGGCTATGCATGGAGAGCTGTAGCTGGTTTGTTTCTCCGTATCGCAAACAGGTTGGAACAGTTTTGGGGAGCAATTACATCGGTGCATGCAGGCGCTTTGCTCCACCAGATCGAAGCCCCGCTCCGGGAGGAATTCGGGGAGCATTAAGGTGACGTTGCGGAGGGTGATGCCGATTCCGATGGGTGGATCCGGAGAGCAATGAATGAAAAAGAGCGGCGCAAAGGCTACTACGGTACCCACAGCCACGCGAGCGATATGCTTGGAGGTGGCCAGCGGAGTCATAGCCCATCGCCGCGTGACCCAACCGCCGCAGACGATTCCCATGGTGGCTGCTGGGACTGCAACCCCGCCGGTCAGAAGCCCTGCCACCGATTTACTGACGTAAAACTGGCTTTCAATGTATTTTGGCAGAAATAGACAGAATCCACCGACAATTGCGCACTGAAAGCCGGCGGCGGAATTGATTAACAGAAAGTACTTGTTGCGTATAATGTTCACCGCTTCCTCGCCCATGCCCCGTAAGGAGCAACTGGTCACGCCGTTCTCACCCGGAGCGTCGTTGTGACGTCCACTGGGCAGGGTCTTTGGAAACAGACACATCATCCAGCTGACCTGCAGCAGAACAACGGCAAATAGCAAATAACCGCCCCACCATGCCCCGCTCCAGCTCTCCATATCCATGGACATATTGTGTGGATCATCCGACAGAAAATGTTCAATGTCAAAGGTTAATGTCAGGGCCCCGAGAGCGTATCCGAACACTGGACCTAGCGCCGCTCCAGCGTACACGAAGGACAGGTAAAAGGTAGCCGCCTCCCGGTGCAGCACGTGATCGTCAATATATGTGGCTCCCAATGAGACCATCGGACCCATACCGATGCCGCAGAGGAACTGCGCTGCGACGAAGATGGCGCTGTACAGCCAGTGAGGGTCGGGCAGATCCGCCAGATGACCTTTCTCGCACGGGATGCTGGTGGCAGGGCAGACGTGCCAGTTAAACTCGTGGGTGTGGGTATTGACGTAACCAGTGCGGTAGTAGTGGATCTTGATAAGGTGCGGGACCAGCATGATTGCGCTGCCGGTGCTCATCAGCAATGATCCGAAACCCAGCCAGGCGGGAATGCGCTGTCGGCATCCGTAGTAGCCCACAAAGAGTATCGTCAGGAGATTACCAGCTGTAAAGCAGGACACAACAACTGCTGCAATTTTGCAACCGCGAGTAAAAATTCGAAAATCTACAAATTTCAACCAAAAGCAGTTTATACAAACATTAATGTAATAATTCCGACCAAAATAATGTTTCTTATCAACAAAACTGCTATTACACAAGCCTGCACGCGCCACAATAATGACGAAAAAAGATCTGCGGGCACAACAATAATATTAAATTAGCTCTAAAAGGCGAGTCCCGAAATGTAAGAAACACGGCAAAAACTGATTACTCTTAACCGTACAGTAAGTCGTAAAAAAGTTAATGCCGTTTTACTAACCATAAGAATGTTAACAGCCAAACGTTTCGGAGGTGTTACGGTACCTTACACTCAATATGTTAGACTGAACCTTCATAAGCACTGACGACCAGTCCCATGGACACGCTGCGCATCTCGAACTTCTTCTCGATCGTAGTCAACACCGCGCACGTATAGCCACTGGTCAGAGCTGACTGTACAAACAATGTCAGACTGCACAGCGCCGTAAACATTTTCACGTTGGCCAGCTTCTGTAGGCAGGGCAGGCTGTAGGAGAAGCAGCTGCATTGCCTGTCTTTATCACATTGCTGCGCTGCCGTTGATTGGCTGAACAGAACAACGTCCACTTCGGACGCCGTCAGGTAAGAATTCACGCCTTGTTCTTTTTTATCAAAATTCATTCTACGCATCGATTTTTATGCGGGATTACAAAGCCTACACGATCATTACAATAGATAGAAGTTAAAGTAAAACAATTTACGCTGACCCACGCAGTGATGTGGGTGAACGTTGCTATGGGCATACACCCTAGTCAACCGATATATTGCTGTGTGGCTCGATCCAACCACGCAGCAAATCTCTGTACCAGTCACGCTCAGTGTTGTATCCCCTGCTCAATGTTACCGCAACCTTAGCGAATTTGTCCATAGTCAACACGATACTCCCAGTGGCATGTTTAATCCGCCGTCGGCTTCCCATGTCATCGGCATTGAAACGGCCGCTAAAGAGGAAACACTGGTGGCCATCCTTCCGGCCAAGAGCCCCAGTAAAATCCTGGATAGCGCCACGCTCGCCTCCCACTCCCGTAAACGCTCCGGACCACCTGCAGACGAGCCGGTCCCGATGGAGACTGTGCTGACGCGACCTTTCCGACTGGTCAACGGCGAACCTTGTCCTAAGAGGCGCAAGGTTGTCGTCAGTGTTTTGGTGCGGCCGTGTGAACGCGCCCGCGTCCATACAAAAAAACGGCGGAAGGAGCTTACGGCCACAGTCCACCAAGATGCCGGTGGCATGCAGAACCTGGAGTTGAACGTGGAGAACTGGATGCCGCAAAAGCCTCATCAGCCGGTCATGGCGGATGGCTTCAGTTTTACTGAGGGGCTCCGCAAAGAACGCCTGGCTAGTGTGTGCAGCTATCACAAGATCGAAGCTAAGAAGGAGTATTTTCACTGTCTCTGGGAGATAGACAATGCATGGAAGTCGGATTTTTTTAAAAAACTTCCCCGCAGAACGCGCCAACAGGTAATACGGTTTTGCATGCTTGAATTTGATAACATGTAATGAGCATCTCAGCGTGTACCTCGTGATAGCTTTTCATTTGCCATTTAGATTTTTACATTCGAACCGTAGAACATTCAAGCCCATCTTTCAACACAGTCACAAACCTGTTTTTACCTAAATACCGTAAAAGGTTGCGTATATGTGGGCACTTATGTGTAAAACACTGCGGCACTCATCAAAAGCAAACTATTACTGTAACTGATAGCCTCGAACCAGCAAATGCTATCACACGCGTAAAATGGTATGTGATTTTGATGCAAACTGATTAATTAGCACTTTCCACATAGCTAATTAATCAGTTTGCTTATTATGCCACTAATTAGAACCTTCTGCATTCTGCACGTAGATCAATGGTAACTACGCCGACATCACCATTCCCGGTCCGATCTTTGAGGGTCCCCTGGGCACCAGTTGGCAAGCGGTGGCTTATCCATTTGGCTACCGCAGCAACCGCCGCGAAGGCCTGGTAGCCATGGCTGTGCGCTACTTCAACGGTCCCGATGCGCAAGTCTCCGCCGGCTTCCAGATCTCCCTTGTTCCACCCTCTAACTATAACTACTGTGGCCTCCAAGAAACCATTAGAGACCACTGTGATAAACTGCAAGAAGCAAATAAGCGTAGTAATCTCTTCAAACGCGGCAAAAAAGGCTGGGTCCTGCGCAAATTTGCCACGCGCGCCCAACTAGACGAATGCAAAAGCACGGCGCTGGTATTTGTTTTTTCCTTCTGCATTTACGGACGGGTACAGACACATTACCGTCACCGGTTCAGTCGGGATTTTAAAGAGGCCGAGTCCAGCATCAGCAGTTTTATGAAACGGCTGTGGAATAACGGGACGCCGGCCGGCAAGATTCGGGTGGAGGGCAAAGCCGGAAAGACGTTCCGAGTACACTCGTAAGTGACGCGCACAGCATGCTTGTAAACAAAGCACCGCTGTTTAAATTACGGATTGTTGTACGGCTTCATGCATTCGTATGAGTCATACAGTATATATGGCTATTCGGCGAGGACAAAAGTTCATAATAAGCTGCATTTTGCCATTTTTGATAATTATGACTTCTGGAAACGAGTTTTACTGGACAACCTTTACGCTGCGTGTGCTAAAAGCAAGACCGCAGAGCCGAATTCAATGAGAAAACTTGCGCTTTATCCCATCAGAGATTCTTCAAACGTCTCTAATATTTTCTTCACTGGTCATTCAATGCACTTAAGGACCAATGAGCAACGACTCTCAAGTTCTGTACGAATTTATTACAGTATTATCATGAGGACACGTATTACAGTATTATCATGCTGCCAAATAAAAATTTTCATTCAATGAGGACACTCATTTATTTTTGAGGTCCTGCATTGAAAATACTAGATTTGTCGTTACAGCGGCACTTGGTAAAAAACATGTGTGCAGTAGATTGCCTAGGTTCACTGGTATTTAAGTAAGCTTTTTCTAGTTCAGTGCTGCAGTTAAATGCTGGCGGGATAAGCAATATGGCGGCTAATCATTCACCGGAAAACCGGCGCTCATTAGTCTTTCCCGACATGACCGAAGCAGTCCTCAAAAAGGTATTGGAGTTTTGTTATACCCTCCAGGTTACCCGACTGGATCGGACTCCCTTTGAGTTACTGCTTACCGCCCACCGCTACGGCAGCGCCGGTCTGCAGGCGCTGGCGGAACGGGAGATTGTCCGCCATATTGATCTCACCAGCATCCTCGATCTGTGTGTATGGAACGACCATTTGCAGAGTCCTTTTCTCGCTCATTTCCTTGGCGCTTTTCTCCTCACCAACTTTGAACAAGTGCGGACGTTGCCGGACTACGTCACTAAATTATCGGACGAGCAAAGATCACAGTTTGAGGCGGAGTACGCTAGCCAGTACGATCCTACGGCGGCCACGGACGCTGATTCGGACGATGTCGACGACAACAGTCCGGCGGAATTCGACTCGGGGATGGACAGTTATGGAGAAGATGACGATGAAGAAAACTTTGGCTTCCAAGACGATGAGACCGACGGGGCCCTGACGGATGACCTTTCCGATGGGGAACGTATGCCGGCACTGCTGGAACTAGGGGAGGAGCCCGAGGAGCCGCAAGCGCTAGCCATGCCCAATCAGCTCGCGCTGGATCAGGCCGCGGTGCTGGCCAACATGTTTGGAGCTGGCTTCGGCGAGATGGACGCCGACGCCATGGATTTTATTTTAATGTTGATGTAATGTCGGGTGTTGTTAACCTGCATTGTATGCCTCCTAATGTTGCTGCTGGCATTTTCTGTGTTTTAGATTTTTGATTTTTGCTGTGGGAAAAAATTTATGAGGCAGTGCTATTTTCGCAAGCAACCAATTGTGTTCTTATTTTTTGTTTTTCACTGTGAACGAAAATCTAGTACTGTCACGTTGCGGAACGTTGTACGCGCACAGTTTTGAATAGCTCAAGTAAGTAGCAGTCCGGGCAAGGTCATATCGTATGGTTTAACAATCTTGTGCTACATACTTCTGTATCTACCCTATATAGATTTACCTATCCCGATTTACCTTCTGTATCTATCACACTTCTATGATTACCACCATTTACTCAATTTTCATCTCAGTACCTAGAACACAAACGGTCGCGCGCTAGCGCGACCGTTTGTGATTTAAAATTATAAATCATTCTATAATTTATAAATCCTTTTATATAAAAAAAATAAATTTATAAAATTTATAGATCCATAAATTTATAGATTTACAAATCGCTACGTCTTTATTCTAAGACAATTAACTCCTAATTCGAGATTCAAGTTTTGCAGTGATTATCATTTTCAAAAAAATGATTTGAGACATGTAGGTTGGCCATAACTATAAGTGGTTTTGAAAAACGTTTGAAACGATTGAAGTTAAGAAAAATTTTTTTTTAAATTTAGTACTGTGACATTTGTTTTAAAAAGTACTAGAAAGGTCAACAATATCTAGATCAGATTTCTTTTGTATTTGCGCTGCCAGTTCAAAGTACGTACATACTTAGCAAGGAAAAAGTTTATAATATATTTTATAAAATATAAAGTACTGTATTACGGCGCTACGTCTTCATCCAAATACAGTACATGGTACCGAATACGCACGAGACTTCATAAATCGCCAACGCATCACAGCTATACTGTACTGTATTTCAGAATTTTAAAATAATATGTCTAAACATTTCGGAATATTATACTCAATATACTGTATTCCCGAAATTATCTAGAAACATTCACTGAAATACCTCGAAACGTGAAATTTCTACAATTCGGACACATGTACACCATGACACTGAATAAAACCTGGTTACCAATTTTTAGAAAATAAAATTAATGTGAAATGCGGTTACGTGCAACTGGTTACGTGCTTGCGCTACCGACACCGATGTGCAGGTGACACATGTACACCAAGACACTGATCGAATAAACCTGGTTACCAATTTGTAGAAAATAAATACACTAATCAAATTAACAAATTAAATATAAATTAATTTAAATTATATCCCGCGGTGCAATTATGTGGTGGTGATATGTAGCGCAACGGTAAACAGTACAGTATATTCACAAATTATAGGTAAGTACATATCTTTACAGAGCTTTTATAACCTTCATTACCTTTAATAACTTTCTTTCTGTATTTCTGTTCTTTCTTTCTTTCTGACCAGTTGATACCTGAGTAATTTAGCATTATTTTCGACTTTTTTTCAGTATAGGAAGTTTTTCCACAAAATAAGCGACATATTTCTTCACTCCAAAATTTCTTAATGATATTTTCAGACCTAAGACACAACTGGTCCTAAAATTAGGTATTACCTATATAACGTTTCCTAAAATTTTCTGAAATTTCCTGAAAATTTCTGAATTTCCTCAGATTCATGATTCATCAGATTTCGGAATTTTCCTAACATTTCGAAACATTCCGATTTCGAAATCTGGCCAAGCCTAGTGGGCCAATACCTCTATAATTTACCATAATATCACGTTTTCAAATAATATTATACGAAATTTTCCACAAAATAGACCACATATTCCCACATTCCTAATTTTTAAAATTAATTCCGTACCTAAAACCCAACTGGGAGCGCGCTAGCGCGACCAGCACTTCGTATAATAATCACGATAGCATCTAACCTTGCTGCGTTTATTATGGCCATTGCAAACATAAGACAACAGATTCGAAGCCAATCAGACTGTTAGGACAACATTCACTGTCAGTACATCACTCTCGCGCTAATACATTCGATGCGATCTTTTCCAGTACGGTGCTCCTCAGTCCTCGTTAAGTTCCACCCGGATTCAGCTTACTGCAACGATAAACAGCTTAACAAATCCAGTCGGTAGGACTTGCAATACAGTTAACTGGCTGCATGATCCGAGCCACTGACCACTGCATGGTGAGATTTGACCGAAACACTACTTACAATGACGCCGGTTCCGCCGGTGGCCGTCTTGCCAGTGGCGGCGGCCACCGCAGCGGCGGCAGACTCCGGTGAAAACCCGCCACTTTCCAGGCTGTTCTGCATGGCATCCACATTCGTGGCATAGGCGACCAATCCAAATATGTAGTCCTGATCCGCCAGGGTCCGCACGTCGCCGCTCTGTCGCATCAGGGGGGCGTTGTACAGGTGGTGGGCGTAGGCCAGCGGATGCGCGATTGGCCGCGGCATCTGCTGCCGCATGACCGGCTGATGGCGCCAGTAGGCAGCGTCTTGCTGGCGCTCCAGATACTCGGTTGGATAAAAGAAGGCCGGCTGGTCGGCGTAGTAGCGGCCCCAGGCGTAACTGCCTCCCAGGCACAGCGACAGACCCAGAAATGTCGTCAGATAGTGCATTTTGGAGGTGTATGTGTTTTTAGTAGGAGGATGGGAACAAGTGGCGAGTAAGAATGGGTAATTTTTGATCTAAAAAACCAAAGGTACCGATGCCAGTATATGTATGGATAAGGACAATGCGGGTGCTGTTCTGTAAAGATGGAGAGATACACTGCTAAATGTCTGTTGGGCGTATCGTTGCGTAGCGTCAGCCGTTGTTAGCGATATGTGCGTACTGTCCTTAACATAACACTGTGCATTTGCACGGTGCATTTACATTTGTTGGAGCAATGGCCCTTGTAAGGACTACGCTGTATATTTATGCAACAACAACAACAACACTCTGCAAAGACCATTACACCAGTGTAATTACATGAGGGCGTTACTGTACTTGACTATGATTACACTATGATTACACTATGATTGTTACTTGACTATGATTACACTATGCAAGGACCATTATTGGTCCTTGCAATGACTACGCTGTATATTTTGCGGCAGGTTCATTGAACCGTGACAGGTTCTTATATGCGGTATACGACTAGAATCAGTCGTAGCATATATGAAACTGTAGTTTCGGTTTTTGGTCTTCGATATCCGTGTGTAAACAAAAGTAATTTTTGGCGCCCGTAGAGTACGGAAGGGTCCGGCCGGTTGAAGGAAGCGGTGGGGCCTAACAGTCATGTGACATGAGTCGAGTAACGATGCGTGAAACTTGTAGATGGCGTTGTTGGCTCGGCATCTTTTTTAGGTTACATTATGTGCTCCTACATTATGTAGGAACACCTTGCAATGTGCTCGTACATTATGCAGGAGCACATTGCATCGGTTTCATCGGTTCTTGGAGGAGAAAAACGGAATTGTAGTACCCAAACAAACGTAATCCAATATGCTCCTGCAATGTGCTCCTACATATGTAGGAGCACATTGCAATGTGCTCCTACATAATGTAGGAGTACATGGCAGGAGCATATTGTATGTGGAGATTATAAGGGGTAGGAATATAAAGTGTTGAATAGAGAATTTAATAATATAGTAAATTATATTAAAGGTGATATGTTTGACGAAATGTGATAATGAAGAAAGAGTCTACATTGAATTTGGGTGAAGATAAAGGGATTTTTACTGTAGTATGATATAAATATATTCGACTTTCTGGTTGTTCGTATTTGAGTGTTTAATAAAGTGTTGCAGGAAGTGGAGTGTGTTGCGGGTTGTAGATAGTGATGGATTATTGTGGAAAATTCAAGAAAATTCGAGAAAGTTGATTGCTTAATGGAGCAGACTATTATGTTTTGCTCTGATAGTCTTGGATGTGTAGGAACAGGTGGTTTGTATATGGAAAGTAGGTTAGTAGGTACATTAAAAGGTTGTTCGAGAAAATGTATAGTTTAATTGGTTTGTTGACTGGATTTTTTTAGTTCGGTGGGTATATAAGAAGTTGAGGAGTCTTGTGTTTGAGTTATTATGGAGTGAACGAAGTATATGGAGTGAGCAAAATGTTTTTCTTGTTGGTTATTTGTTGGTGGCCGGTGTGGATTTGTAGATACTTACTGATTCAGGTTGCTGTCTCTTGTTTGGCTTTGGTAAGTCTTTTTAGGTTGAGTATGGTTTAGTAAGTTTTCTTTTATACATTATTTTCGTTTAAGAATTCTTTTCTTAATAAAATAATGGAAGGTGGTTGTGATTGTAAGAAATACACGCGTATACACTTCATTATCTTCCTTGCTACAATTACCATCAGTTTCCGTTTTGCGGTTTTTTCTCTATAATCGCGCACATGCTCACGCTTGTATTTCTTGCGATCACAACCAGTTTCCATTATTTTATTAAAAAAAACAATACTTAAAAGAAACTATCTATGAAAGCAAACTTACTAAACTATACTCAACCTAAAGAGACCAAAGCCAAACAAAACACAACAACCTGAATCAGTACGCTTTCGAAAATCTAAACCGGCCACCAGAAAATAACCAACAAGAAAAACATTCTCCTCACTGCATATACTTCGTCAAATCCATAATAACTCAAACACAACGTTCCTCAACTTCTAATATACCCACCGAACTCAAAAATCCAGTCAATAAACCAATTAAACCAAACATTTTCTCGAACAACCTTTTAATGCACGTCCCAGCCTACATCCCATATACAAACCACCTTTTACTACACATCCAAGACTGTCAGTGCAAAACATAATACTTTGCTCCATTAAGCAATCAACTTTCTTAACTACACAAATTACTACCACCAAAATGACTGTGTAAACCTATGGAAAGTTACATACTCTGCAGCTTTGGACAGCGTATTAGCGATATAATATGTGGCTTTTTGTTTCGCTTTCGCTTCTACAGGATGGGGCCTTTTTCCGTTTCACTTCAGCAGGAACGTCCGTTATCCATTAATTACAATTTATAGATATTAATGCCATACACAAAAGCAAGATTGGTGTTTTCGTACTGTTCTGCTTTGGTGCTACCCTACCCGTATCGACGTCTGGCAAGTTGTAATTACTTCGATATCTTTGTCGTGGAAGTAGAAAATTGAAGTTGCGTTGCCACTGCCTGCTGAATGCAGATTCGTACCAATTTCTAGAAAGTGTTTCTCTTTCTTTTTGACATGATTAACGTTAGAATTATGTTGTTGTTATTTCGTGCTTCTGGATTTGTGTGGAATTTTTTCAAACTTATTTTTGCGCCTTCTCGATGTAAATTCAAAATCTGCGTTTCTATCATTGTGTTATTTAAAGGTGGTTGCCTCATACCAGGGTGTCGGCATCACCCTGGTATAAGATATTTTCCTGGCAAGCTGCCTGCCTATCCAGAGGCCGGTGACCGCGTGCTCATCGGCGGCAACTTGGTCTTCGCGGCGCCCACCGGCGCAAAAAAAACTTGCGCTAAGCATTCTGATTTTATTCACTTCCAAGGAGTGCATAGTCGGTTCATGGTACTTGTACGAGTTTGTTGACAAATCGAGCACAACGGCACAAGTACATACAACGAGAATTACAAATTTGCGGGTTGCGCCTAACTCCGTACTACAACGCTCCACGCTGCGCTATTAAACACGCACAATGGACTGTAAAATTGACTAAATGCTGACCGATATGGCCGTTTAAGCGGTTTGTTTGCAACTGTCGCAGTACAGAGTTCTCCGAGTTCTCCTGCAAGCGCCTCTGTATGCTATCTGTGCAGGTCGAGGACGACATTTACATATTACCTGTGTTATCCCTATAACGATTAGGCAACGCACCCGTGAACAGTGACCCTTTTTTCAATACAAAACTATGCCCACAATAAGAATGCTAATGCTAGATAAGCCTGGTGTAGGCTGGGAGTCGACTGAGAGTGTGCTTGTAGACTGCTGCCAGATCTAGACTACTGACTGGTACGGTGCGAAGGGGGTCCTTATTATTAAATGTTAGTGGTCAGGATGGGCTCGGCTGCCATGGGTGGGGCTGGTGTGGCGACAAGCCAATGACAGAGTGCATGACGGCATGATGATGTAATATGCGGTCAGCGTGATGTCATATTACCGCGCAGGAATATGCAGGGTGTGCCTGCACGTAGGCTTCCGGTGACTAATGGTCGTGCGGTGCGACTATTGACGATGTCGTCGTGCGGTGCGACTATTGACGATGTCGTCACACAACTGGTCCGGTCCGCCTTTTAGTCAATTTTGTAGTCCAATGCAACATGGCCAGTGCACAGCAAATACTGTAATAGGATCAACAGTAATCGCCTGGTGGATGGTGGCTAAATTAAAGCCGGTGCAGCAAAGAGCGATCTACTGGTACTTGTTATTGTGATAAATGTAGTCCAGTGGCAATCATTATAAGTGCTTATTTCGCTCTGTTTGTACTTTGTACTTTGTAAGTACGTTACGTACCCTACATACGTAACTTACGTACTGTACGTAAGTAAGTAGGATGAAAGGTTTGGCACGACCGGCAACGGTGCGGTCGTGGACGCTCTTACTAACTTAACGACGTAACAAACGTAACAACGGAAGTTCACGGCATGTTTAATGACAAGAACAATGCATGACAAGGATCAAGGTTTAGGCAAGAGTTTAACAAGCGGAACAAGCTGATCAAGCTGATGAAAGCTGTAACAAGCTGAGACAAGAATGAATTCTAGAAATTGCGAAGAAGAACAGCTAGCCGGTAAAATGGACAGAAATTCATAACGCAATGATGAATCATAACTGGGTGGTCTTATGGTTGTACAACTTCTATTGCTACTATCTATCTATCTCTATCTATCTATCTATCTATCTATCTATCTATCTATCTATCTATCTATCTATCTATCTATCTATCTATCTATCTATCTATCTATCTATCTATCTATCTATCTATCTATCTATCTATCTATCTATCTATCTATCTATCTATCTATCTATCTATCTATCTATCTATCTATCTATCTATCTATCTATCTATCTATCTATCTATCTATCTATCTATCTATCTATCTATCTATCTATCTATCTATCTATCTATCTATCTATCTATCTATCTATCTATCTATCTATCTATCTATCTATCTATCTATCTATCGCTTAGTCCTACCACAGAGAGACCAAACAGTACCGCTTCGCTCAAAGCGGAAAAAAAACGCAGCGGTATGAAAAGCGCGTTATTGAAAAGCGCAGCGGTACCGCGCAGCGCAGCGGTATTATAAAAAATTTGCCTAGAACAGTTAAAATTAAGCGGCACCGAAATAAAATTTTATTGGTAAGGGTAATAAGAATGATAGGTAAAGTGAAAGCACGCACATGCAGGTACTATCTGCAAGTGACAGTGTGGCGCTGTTACGGACGAACACGTGCAGAACCATTTACTTCATACTTTTAATCACAAAAAGTGCGCTTTATTCACAAGAAGTGCCAAGATTTCTAACAGAGACAGAGTCACCATTAAAGTAAAGTGCTACGAGGTGTACAAGAAATTTAATGTGCGTTTTCAACTTTTGCTCTTCTTTTATTTGCTACGAAAGCCTACGATCATACATACCAAGTATAATCAAACCATGATGAAACTGGGTTAATCCTGATAACAAGATCGTAAAAAATCCACTCGGTGCACCTTTCCACAGCGAGTCTGCGGCAGACAAACGCATCGAATTGTGCGCCGCAGTTGCCAAGCCGATGGAGTCTGACCACGCTCTACATGAAAAAATTCGCTATAACATGCAAGACGCAAAGGCCATGTGTGACTTCCACAGTTCTACTGCTCGTTTATCATAATGTCCGCTCCCGTCTGAATTATGCACTCTGCTCGCTCCCATATTCATCATTCGTTGCCCTGCACTCCTCGGCCGTCAATGTACTCACAACCCGTCTGATCGTCAACAATGGACCACAAAAAGGACAAAGCCAAAACCAGCAAAGACCCCGCCGCCGCCACCCCTGGGAATGCGCCAGCCACGCAGCCGACAGTGGCCAACCAGGCGGCCACTGCCGGCACCGTCCGCGTCCCCCTTCCTAACATCGACGCCATCGTGGAGCAGCCACCACGTCGGCGCTCCTCCATTCTAGCCACCAACTCCCCCAACGCCCTGGATCTGCAGAGGATCGGGCGGGTGGTGGACGCCAAAGACCCCAAGGAGCGCGAGTACCGTTTCATTGCCAAGTGCCGCGCTTGTTGCAATGTGTACGATCTGGCTGATATGGCCCGGGATATCACGGCCAAGGAACTAAAGCGCGCCACCTTGCAGGAACTGTGTGATCTTCTGCGTTCCACGCGGGGATTATTAACGGAGGCTTTGTACCCAGAGATCATCCACTTGGTGGCCATAAACGCTTTCCGAGCGCTACCACCATTAAATCAGAACATCATTCCGGAATTCGATCCGGTGGCGGAAGCCGAAGAGCCCACGCTGGAGGTGGCCTGGCCACACCTCCAGCTGGTGTACAATGTCTTCCTCAATATGTTGGAGTCCTCGGATTTCAACGTACGTTCAGGCCGGGTTTTTTTAGCGTGTTCTCCGTATTAGTGTGCTGCTTTTGCACTAACGCCACTACAGTTGGCTTGTAGGCACAGCTCGCCGTCAGGTACATCGACCACACCTTTGTCATTCAGCTGTTGAATCTCTTCGACAGCGAAGATCCTCGAGAGCGGGATCTCTTGAAGGCCATTGTGCACCGGATGTACGGCAAATTTCTCATGCTACGCACGTACATCAGGAAGCAGTTCAACCATATTTTCTACCGGGTCATCTATGAGGTCGGTCGTCATCATGGCTTGGCGGAAATTTTGGAGATCTTGGGGAGCATTATCAACGGGTTTGCGGTGCCTCTGCGGGAAGAGCACCGTGTATTTTTGTTCAAGGTATAATACGCCTACCAAAATTGTATGGGTTTCGGCACACATTCCAGCAGAAACTAATCTGGAAAGACTGCATATATGAAACAGACGCAACACAGGCTACACAGCCAACCAGTCACGGTTCTCGTCAAATTTGCAGTACAGTACTTTTTCATCTTACTAAATGTGTTACGAAATTTACTGAATGCCAGGTTTTGAGGCTGAACTGTGCGTGTTAACTGTTAAGGTACGTACTACTTTACCAAAGCGCTATAGTTTTATAGAAACAGTAGTTTCATTACCTTGTACATAGATTAGAGAGGAGGTGTTCGAGTACTTACTACGCATGGGGCCTTAAGTTTTCCCTTCATTCAGTACGGGAAATTTTGTTTTCCCCCGCACATATGCGCTTAGTCGCTCACACCGACACGAATGCAGCCTAAAGCTGGCTGCAGCTAAAAACCGGTTTCTGGTCAACTCGGTATATTCGATTGCGCAACTGAAGAAGAGAGCAGAGACAACTCAGATAACATTAACGGCAAACGTATTGCCGCAGCGCACGCGGCTTTAAACTGCAGTGCTTTAAGCGTGTTTATGCGGCACATGTGTGGGGGAAAACTAAATTTCCCGTACTGTATGAGGGGAAAACTTAAGGCCCCATGCGAAGTACTGTAATAAAAGTCCAAAGCTATTTCTAGTGGCCATTATAATAAGTTTATAACTATTATTAGTAAGCAGCAAGTACTTTTTTGTTTGTAAGGTGCTATTGCCGTTGCACAAAGTGGCCGGATTAGTGCAGTTCCACCCACAACTGGCCTACTGCACGGTGCAGTACCTGGAAAAGGAGCCCGGCCTCACCACTGATCTTTTGCTGCTGTTCCTGCGCTTCTGGCCCAAGACGGACGGTGCCAAAGAGGTGATGTTCCTTAACGAGCTGGAAGAGCTGCTGGACGTTATGGAGCCAGAGCAGTTCAGCAAGGTGATGGTGCCCGTGTTCCGGCAGATCGCCAAGAGCGCCGCCAGCCCGCACTTCCAAATTGGGGAACGAGCGCTCTTCTTCTTCGGGAACGATTACATTCTCGGACTCCTAAAGGACCATGCGGCGGTCTTGTATCCCATACTGTATCCTGTGTTGTTCAAGATCACGACGGGGCACTGGAACCGGTCTATACACAGTCTCGCCTATCATGCACTGAAGGTTATGATGGATATGGATCAGAGGATGTTTGATCTGTGCATTTTAAATCACTCGTAAGTGCTTTCCGTGACCTTTAGGAAAGCTAGAAACAGAAAATTAGGATGTTGGTTAATAAATGATGGAGCGAGAAACTTAATTGGAAATAAGCATTGCAAAGCACAGCAAGTTTATTTCCAAGTAGCATCAGCATACCAATGAACCACCAATTTTAGCCGCAAATTTTGACGGCTAACGTTGACAGCCCAAGGCTTCAGATGCCGTATTCCCTTTTGCAGCACAAACGGGAAAATTAAAATTGCGCGAATTGTAGCTGCCATCGACTGCAGCATTTCTGAGTGCTTGCTTGTCAAGGTGAGGACATGGAAACGAAATGTGGCCTAGCCAATCCAGAGATCTAAAAAATCTGAACCTAGCAAGTGTGTGAAAAATTTGATTAGTGAAATCATTGGCTAATGCACAATTCGAAGTCCAGATTCGTCGTCCAAGGTCTCCGTCTTCTCTTTGGGTCGAATCTCGGTGTTAATTTACCATAACCATCTTTAGCCGTTCCCATTTTTTGGCAGTCCGTTGTTTTCACGTCTTGATTAACTCCAGAAAGAATAGACACGACGAATAAGACAGAATACCGCAGAGGCGCAGACTAACAAGTTTATTATGAAATCATCGGTGGGCAAAATCGTTTTCTTGTCGATTTGTTGAGTCAACAATCTATAGTCACAAATTGTGCATGGTTCTTGCCAATGAACACCTGTGTGTCTGCAGGAGCAAACAAACCGACGAGCGGGACATGGCCGAGAAGCGGCGCCATTTCGACCTGATGGTCAGTCTGCATAAAGCCGCCGAAAAGTCCCCGCTATTCCGTGCCTTGGCGCCGTCGCTACGCATCCGCCCGCCCGACATGGAGGACTACCTGGACGCACGCAACATTTCCATGAAATATGAGAACTGGAAGGTCACAGCCGAAGAACTGAAAGCCCGCGAGGCCCAGACCCAGAGCCACCGGCCGTCCTCTGATAAAAACGACGTCCTTGGCATCCGCCGCCGCTCCCTGTCGTCAGCACCCAGCATCATGCCACAGCCCCCCGCCGCCCCGGCGACCGTGTCGGCACAGACATCCAAGTCGGTGGGCAATGTTCCATCAAATCGTTCACTGTCCACAGTAAAGGGGACGGCGTCTACCTCCAGCACGAGCAGTAAGACCGGGGAAGGTTTATCGGCGGGGACCAGGAAGAAAAAGTCTATTTGAGCGTAGAATTTTGGGTTGTTCTGTTGTCTGCTTAGTGTGTGAGTGTAAGTCTTTGCTGTGCTGATGCTGATGGATCACGAAATCTGCGGTATCATACCTGCTGCGCATGACCTGTGCATATGCAACAGATTTGATACTTTTTTTAGTAATGGCTCATGCGTAACAGTACACCGGTTTGTACACAATAATATTAATAAAATGGCCGGGATGCCAAATGAACACCACCGAAAAAAGTTGTTAACGAGATGCCGTCGTCGTTGTCACTTCAGACTGAACGTTCAGAAGTGACTGAACTGTGTAAGCCTTCAGTTCATGGTTTAGTTTTATTGTCAGCCTGATATCTCAATGAGATATCAGGCTGACAATTCATTACGGGCAAGGATGGTGATCTAAAAGTAGCAATAAAAATTAAACCCAAATATCAAAAAGTAAAAAAATTATTGTTTTACTTAAGGTGGAAGTATGGAATCAGAACTGCCATAGATTAAGTGGTCGTTCTTGTTTGTCCTAAAATTTCATATATACCAAAATCCGGAACGTCTATGGTAACACGGTTCTTGGACATTTGACCTTTACCTTTTGCATGTTTCCGCATAACGTCTTTTACTCCTTATTTCACAAAAATTCATATCACAAAAACTTCACATTTATGGCAAAAACAAACATAATTAGATTTTGCTAACTGTTTACTAAAATCATTGTCCTTTTTTGTCGTATTTCTTCCACTTATTCCTAAAAGGGCGAAACTTCAGCAAAATGGCCGCCGGACTACGTCCATCGATAACCGATCTGAGCGATCTCACCACCCTTGCCATGCATGATGAGAACGCCGGTAAAAATAATGATTCTCCCGGACTGGGTGACGGTGACCAACTAAACATCACTGACGAGAATAAGCCGGTTGTGATAAAAAATTCTCCGAACAACGCTAAAAAGTGCCGTCACGATGAGGATACGGACAACGAGGATGTCCCACAGCAAAAACGATCGGTTAAGAGAGCCCAGAAGAAATCGTCGGCACGAGGAAAGAGAAAGCGTCGCACTTCCTCATCTCCACGACCGGCTGGGCGCGGGAAGAAAGTAAAAGATGCGGACTTGCTTGCGTCGCAAGACTGGCGCGCCGACGAGAGCGGAATAACGAAAGGAATGTTGGCCGAGCCAAAAGTCATTCTAGTGGTGGACACAAATGTTCTACTGGAACGGGAAGGATTGCGATTCCTGGAGGACCTGACGGACGGAAAGTACGACGGACCGGGAATTCCGGCGATTCAGATACGCGTGCCCCATGTAAAGATTTCCCCAAAATAATGCGATATTCGAAACAATTTTGAAAACTAACTGTGCTCGCAACTGTAACCGATGGAAATTCGGTCTCGTGTAGGTAGTGTTTTTGGAATTGGACCGGCAAAAAAACCGAAGTGGTGCTAACAATCTTTCCCAGCGTGCACAGACGGCTATTCGCTTCCTGCATGATCAGTTAGTGGACCACCGGCGTCTTCCCGATTCGGTGGAACCGAAAACCGGTCTTACGTCCCCTGACGGCTACATTCCGCGTTTTGTTGGCCAAACGGCGCGGGACTTCACCCGGGCGGGCAAGGAATACCAGCAGCACATCGATGATGATCACCTGCTGTTTTGTTGTCTGCAGACGCAACAAGCCATTACCGCGCGACGCAACAACACCGAATCTGTGGACACCCGGGTGTGGTGCTTGACGAACGACCGCAATATGCGCACGCGTTCGGTGGTTAACGGGGTAGCGGCGTTTTCTCTGTCGGCTGTTGTCACAAATCTCCATAGACGGAGGGCGGGCGGATCGTCGATATTTGATTCGTGCTAAAATACCCAACCAGGGGCGTTAACGAGCGATGTTCCGACCAATCAATTAAAAAAATTTCTGTGATATTCTTTTCACAAAATGGCTTGATAAAGATAACTGCATTCTAGAAGATAAATCCATATCTAAAAGATGTGGTTCAAATTAAATGCCAAAATTATTCAAATATTAAATGTCGTCAAAAACTTTCGACTGGAACTGTTTACACTCAACAGCGAACCAAGAACTATATTATGCATTCCCTCAATAACTAGAGTACTTAATCCATACTTCTGTTAATATTATTTCTTTCGAAAAATCTGGAAAACGTTTGTACAGTCCCCAAGTTTTATATTAAAACCATGAGAATTTTAATTTTCGACCACAAATAAGTGGCACAAGCAAACATATTAACTATCCTTCTGTAGTACAGATACTTAGTCTGAACACTGCAAGCGAAGTTACCTATAACAAGCAACCCTAATTTACTTGCACAGTCGCTCGCTTGCACTACAACGCTTATGATTTCCTCGGCGGCGACTATTAAGTACTCGTAGTAGTATATTTAGTAGTATATCAACTCGTACAAGCTTTCGATCGCGATCGTCTTTTTTTAGTTTTAGGCAACCTCTGTCGTTTTCAAGAAGGCAACCGTCCAAAATCAAATATCGAAAAAATAAAAAAATCCGATGCACTGAACAAGTAAGTGCCGAATCACAGACAAACTTTCCCAACAACAGTCACCCAAAACATCCAGTTAACAGGACGCGTATGGGACACTGCGTATACCCTTCAATTTTCACAAATAAAAGTAAGTAAAATCAGTTTTTAGCCCACCGAGCTGGCGGATGTTTTCCACTTCCACACAGCAACCTCCATCATTCACAATTAACTGAAGACGGTACAAAAGTGTCGGTCATCGTCTGCACCGCAGCATCGCGTTCCTTCTCGCGCTCCTCAAATTCCCGAATAATCTCCGAAGCGCTCTTCCGCGGGTACCGATCTGCGTCGTTTAGATAAAAGCCGTTCATCCGACTGCGCGACCGGCGAAAATACCGCGTTCGATAGCGACAATATTGCTCAACCGATCCGTCCCAACCGCCGTGCTTTCGTGTCTCCTGCTTTTTGGCCATTGGAACACCGGATAGTGATCTCTGTATCGGTGGCAGTTCGGTGAAGCGTAGATGCGGCTCCAAAAGGTCATCGGACAGACTGGTCGATTCTGTGGACGAGGACGCGCTGCAACTACAGAGGTTACTTACTACTGACCCTAAAGGTGGTGTTCAGTAGCGTACCTGGATGGCTTGCTTACGCAGCGAGAAAGATGCTTGGTGGATGGTCGAGGCAGAGCGGCGTTGATAGTTGCCCCGATATTGCGTGCAGAAACATTGGCATCCACAAAAGGCATGGAGCTCTCTGAGTGATGGATATTGGACAGTTTGGCCAGTTCGTCGGCGCAGCAATCATCGTCGGAATGCGAGATTAATGGATTTATCAGCGACAGGTCACCAAAATCCTTAGGCAAGCGATTACTGTCGGAATTGGAAGTCGATGGGGAGATATCGGTATCTGTAGCGGCAGGAACTAGTGGTAATTCCGGCTGCGGTTCGGCTGGGTACTGGCGGTTAATGCGACCACGGTAGTTGTTTATATCATCGGATACCTGTATTATCCTTCCCAGAAAACTAAGACACAAGGTTAACCGTTTGGCATGAGATAGTTAAGCAGTAAAAAATTTTAATCTTTCTCCTACCTGTAATGGGACGCACATAGTTTGTCGTCCGTTTGCCCTGAGCTTTCTACAACGGCAGTATACAGACGAGAATAGGCGGACTCAAACGCCTGTTTAACCTGTGGACTAGCATACGATGTCCGGCCGACGTCATTGCCTACCCAAATTTGACCATGAAAAAACTATTACATAGCAATATATATCTGGAATAGCTCGCTATTAAAATAATGGATACAATCATGACGAATCTTAAGTCACGATATGCGTGTGATGACATACTCGCAGTGTACCTGGCAGTAGTGGATCTTCAATACTAAAAGTCGGAGACCTTTGACATCCGCTCACATCGCGCCATAGCTCTTCCTTAGCCAGATGACAGCCCCCATCCTTAATACGAATGGCCGTGTCCACGTAGTTGAAGTGACGGCCGTACAGTTCCAGGAACTCGATTAACAGGGCGCCAACATTGACGCCATCTTCGAGGGTATTGTAGCGTGGATGCAGCTGCAGGAAACTGACTGTGAGAAGTACCAGAGCGTACGAACCGATGCCGCCGGTGAAAGACTCGTTGAGGCCGTGCTGCTGCAGGAACTGCTTCAGCACCAGCACCAATTTTTCAAGACAGGGATACTCCTTCAGAAAGGTCAGCACCAGCTCGGCGGTTTGCAGGCCGCTCACCATGTTAAAACTGACATCTATCTATAACAAAGGCAAAGGTCACGTAAAACTTTGTTAATATAGCGTGGTTGAGTTTAAATCCAGCTGTAATAATTAAACTAAAAATACTGACAATATTTAGTCATCGTTTTTTCATCGTTTTTTTATTTGTTAAAGAGAAACCACCAAATTAAAAACGAGTCACTTGCCTTGACATCGGTATGTCGGTCTGTCAGCTTGATAATGGGCACTGAGGCCCGGTCGAGGACCTTAACCGACTCCGGCGCGCCGATATCGGCCTGCAGAAGGACATCCTTAACAGTGTACAGCGGTAGCGCGGTGCGTTCACTCAACAGCACCACGTCGATATCGCTGGTGGGCAGGTACAATCCCGTACGGTAACTGCCGTAGTAATCTACCTGAAAAAGAAGCCAATGATAGTAAGAAACTCTGATGATGCAAGCAGGCCGCGTATGCATTGGTCGACCTACCCACCACGGCATCCGGAAAGCGCTTCGTGACCGCCGTGCGTAAACGCTGCATCAGTTCCAACCGCATCCGCTGTTCGGCCGGGGTGGGCGCGATCCAGTTAGCAAAATCTTCAATTTCCTCATGCAGACTGTTCAAAGGCAAACACCGTTGTACCCACTATATCGATGAACGTATCGTATACTGTGAGATCTGACCGTATCTTTCTCTGAGGTCAGACCAAAAGATCTGTGTATACGGATCGACCAACATTGAAAGAGTGCACATACCCTAACATGCCTGTGCGGTAGCGGCGTTCGCGGGTTTTCCAGGGCGTAGGGGTTGTACAGAGTAGGTTTGTCGCAGAACGTTGCGGTTTCATAATAAAAATAACAGCAGACGAATTTCAAACGACAATAGTCCGCGGGAAACCAGTAGAAAAGGAGCGTTTTATGGCTGGTGCAGCAACGTAGCGTAGCAACCGATGTATCGGAAGATAGTGTCATAATGTCTTCGATGAGAATAGGGATGGCGTATAGAGTGTGTGCTGTACTACTGCGTACGTACAGTTTCTCATCTGTTCTCTCTCTTCCCATTGTGTTCTGTTGCGTTGTGTAGACGCGGATGTGATTTCTTACATTTTGTTCTTTTGCATTCGATGTTTGATCATCTCACGCATGTGCAGCCTCAGTCGCTTGGCTTGCACGCCAGCGTCAGGGCATATTCCCTTCACTATGTGAGCCTGAACCCATTGTTCGATAACCTACCTGTCGCAAATGCTGGGCGTAACCACCTTGCTGAGCCGTTAGCCAGGCAAATGCGGTACAGTACTTTCCGTCGTATAAGTCCCAGCTGAAAACAATGTAACCGATGTGCTCACAACCTGGGGAGATGAAATGAGTTCATTGATTTTATAATTCATTTTGTAGCAAGTGTACGCCAAGATGGCCAACACGAGATGCTCGTACGCAAAGCGAACCAGCCGACCGGTAACGTTGTACGGTGCGAGGTCACAAAAGTTGCCGTTTTGATGCTGCGATCAGTTTTCGGTATAAAGCGGCGAAAAGCTGCTCGATATCAAGAGACTCTTTTTAATTTTCCTGGCAATTGCCCATATTAATGTTGACATTTATCGCCATTCTACAACCCAAGACAAGACAAGAATTGTTCCACTGTGCGGCTAAGCACGAAACAAATTCTGAGCAACTTTTGTTGTAACGCTGGCTATATCATAACCGAAAAGCAAACTTCCAGCCTGCAGTTGCTGAACGCGAGTTTGCTCTTGCATACTCCTGCAGAAGCAGCCAGGATAGTCACTGGGCTGTCAAATAAGTGTGCCAGTTGCTGGAATGGTTTATTATGGAATGTTTGTGGGCTCCTTCTGCTGCAATACAGAATTCTGCAGTAGTCATATCCAAGATAAAACCATAGCATCGCAGTGATCACGCAATTAAGTCACAGAACCGATTAACCACAGTGCTTACGTAGCGCTAAAACAATTCACAGGATGCACTGTTTGGCGTGAAGAAAGGAGATAATTAAGTCCAAAACTTTTGGCACACAAATTTTCCACATTGCAGCCAAAACCGTCTTTCAGTTGAGTCAAAATAATGCTGACAAAACCATCTTTCAGTTGAGTCAAAATAATGTTGACTTTACAGCGGTCGTGTCTGCAGAATGATGTCACGACTAGCCGTACGAAAATCTTATGTACACAGCATGACTGGTTACGTAACCATGACGCATCATATCAGTGTGTTGTCTAATTATGGTAACGCAGGCTAGTGTGATTTAAGCTAACGTGGAGGTGCCCTCAGGTGATGAACGCAGTACTAAAATATTCTTGCATTAAACTGGACGAAAACGCCTTCTTATAGCAATCTTTTCCTGTACTTATTCTTCTCAGCCAGAAACCTTCCTCTTCCTGCAGAAACCCTGGAAAGAATGTTGCTAAGGATTGTATTACGCCTGAAACCAGGTTAAAACTTGTTAGCACCAGCAGTATCGTTGTAGATCGTGCGCCGGAGGGCGCTGTCCATCTGTCCTACGCATATGTGTAGAATTATGCACATGATGATCTAATCGCCTTCCCGATATCCCGGAAAAATTGTACTATGCCCAGATCGTCTGACGTATTTAGCCTCGTCTGAGACATGCCCGGCGCCGCCGGACCCCCACCGAAGAATGAGCCGTCGGGCACTTCGGTGGTCAGTGCCCTTCAGCGGCCTATCATCAAGCAGGGAAACGTGGAGCAGCGCGTAGAAAAGTCGTGCTGCCTGTGTTTCTCCACTACCGCCATGGAGTCTGTCAACTGGGTACTGCGCGAGGACGGTGTCCTTCGTCAGATCAACAACTCGCCCCTTGTAAGTTATTAGGTGCGTATACGATGCCGCCAACCCTCTAATGCTCACCGGGGCTTAACCTTTTATTCGTAGCTCGAAAGAGAATGTCATTGTGATTTTACCGTGAGCCTGCTTTAGTTTGTTAGAGGTTATAGTGCTCTGACCTTTGAATATAAAGGTTTGTTTTTACAATGTAGTATTAAAAATCGGTCAATAAAACATTCGAATTTTGTTGGTTTCGGTTTTAAGAGTTTCTGTTTGCTTTTGTTTTATAGTAACGCTCATATTTGTTGCCTCATTTTTATTGAAATGAGGTTACCTTACGCTCGGACGTATTTCCTCTGTCTTTAATTCTCATCTGATTTGTAGAAATTATCGAAAGACAGCAAACTGGTTAGCTGCAACCCAGAATTCTCACAAAACCCACATTCTTACAAAATCTAATGCTCAAAATATTTCCTTCCTCGTATTAATTTTGATTATTGCAGTCCAAGAATGACAAGCATGTCTTCGACATGGCACAGTGGGAGGCCATTGCCCCGGTGGATCCGGCCGGAGAGATTCCACCTGCAATGGCCATCCGGATGTTCCTCGCGAAGGATGGCACCGATATCTTCTATAAAGCCCAAAGCCAGACGGACCGCGACGAATGGATCCGCCACCTGAAACGCTTCGACCCGAAAGAGAAAAGCAAAGGTCAACCGGCTAGCGGGATCAGTCTGGCGCCCAGTCTGCGTAGTGTGCGGAATGATAACCTCCAGGACAAACTAGCCAGCACCCTTGACAAGCCGACCACAGTAGCGGACGCTCGCTCGGGACTACAGCCATCCCCCAGCAAGACAGAAGTGATCTTGGACAAGCTCATCGACACCGCCATTAAACACGATATTCCTGGAAAAGTTAGTCGAATGGCCGACGCTGTCAAGGACCAGATGGACTCGGTGCAGCGCGAGCATGCCGGACATGTGGGCTCTGAGTTCGGCGGGTCACCGTCCGGTGTTTCCATATCTTCGTATCAGAAGGACATCATGGGACGGCTGCATGAAGGCCAGGCAAAAGCGGCAGAAATATACCAGAATCAAGTTGCCGGTCGCCTACAGGACGGACAGACTAAAGCAGCTGATATTTACCAGAGAGAAGTTGCTGGTCGCCTCCAGGAGGGACAGGCCAAAGCGGCCGAAGCGGTGCAGAAGGCGGCTGAAAGTATACGTAAAGCGGCTGATGACCTGCAAGGGCACGCGGAAAATCTGTACAGCAATATGCAGTCCGGGAGCAAAGCGGACATCAAACAGGGAGGCTCGGCTATGGCGGACGCTAAATCCCTGGAGAATGCTACCGCCACAAAAAATGGTACGAAGCCGGGAGTATTCGACACATTTGGCGTTGATCCCAGCAAAGCGGTTGTCCGGTCGGGAACCGCGAGGAGCGGAGAGGCTTCAGGGTTTCCAGAGGTCACGACAAGTCGTAGTGGGCTGCGGCCTATAGACGGAAGGACCCCAAGCAAGCAGGACGAGCTTCGACCGGAAAGTTCCACCAGATCTAACCGAAGCCTTAAGGAGATTCCGGGTGCGAGCACGCGGTCCATCGAGAAAGCCGGCATTCCGGGCACGGCTACGTCCCAAACTCAGACCCAGAGCGTCACCGAAGCCCGACTGGAAAAGCTGAGCCAGAATGCCGCCAAGGTAAAAAATGCGATGATGGCTAGGGCTGCCGAGTTGGGCGAAACCGCCCGGGATCAGTTGGAGAAGCTCGGCGCGGAAGTGAGCCAGCTGAAAGAGCAGATCTCCGAAACTATGGTGGAAGATGCAAACACTGGACAAAAGGGAATCCCGGGTCAGAAGTCATTCGGGACACTGCAGACGGGATTTGGCGGGATGCCCGCGGCGGTGCCCCAAGCGGGACCGGCTACCGCGGAAGGACTGCAGCACCCTGGACAAGCAGTGCCGGTGGACGTTGCGACACGGGCCGGTGCGATAGGCGCAGCACCCGCAACGCGAACCAGCTTAATACAAAGCGGTACTTAAGCTCTTCCTGCACTGTATTGAATCTGCTAAACGTTTTTTTTTGTAGTCAAGTCCGCAGCTGCGCCCCAAAACCACAAACAGACTTCCATGAGCTTAGAGCTGCCTGCAGTGCCTACGACAGCCGGGACTCCTGTAGCAACCCGGTCAAAAGGTCAAGCCCCGAGCGGTGCAGCGGGTGCCGGGCAGCTGCAGCAGGGTCCATCCTCTTTGGGGCAGTTTCAACCCGGCGCAGCTCAAGCCGGGGGACAAAGTCCAGGGCAAATGGTTCCAGCAGCTCCAGGGCAAGTCCAGCCACCAGCTGGTGCCGGATTCCCCCAGTATCAGCAAACACCTGGAGGAGGACAGTTCCTGCAGGGTCAGCCCCAGCAGCAACAACTGGGTGCAGTTAACCCATTTGCTCAGTTAAGCCAGCAGGGCGCCGCTGTTTCACCAGGGACAGCGTACGGTCAGCCAGGAAGCACAGCCGGCCAGCAGCAGTACACCGGACAGCAGGGAATGGCGCCGGGGCAGCCGGGTGTTTATGCCAGTCTCTCACAACTTGCGCTTGCACAGGTAATGCATTTCACACTAGTGCGTGTCATCGTAAATAATCCGATGTTCACTCACATCGATACCTATACTTCTATACGAGTATATACTCGCTTCTAGTTGCTACGTGACGTATTCTTACCGTAACAAAAACTAGTACATTTTTGTGTCAACTTAGCGGTCTTGGCTCTTGAAAGATTATACTTGACTGGCGTCAATAAATGCAACGTTTCGCATACCACATAAGGAAAAGATCATTTTATCGTCTTTTCTAATCTTTTTCCGGCACGAGTTTTACAAAAAACCGTGCAAACTGTGCGATCCTAACAACCCCTACGTAAGTGGACAGAGCCTCCCTTGGTTGCCCGCTGTACGCAATCGGACTACGTTCAATTGCGTCTTTAATTACGCGAACCAATTTAGATTCGTGCTGAGATTGTTCGTCATGTAGGGTCAAATCGGCCAACCGGCGCCTGTGCCCGGCCAATACGCTTACCAGCCTCCACCCGGCACAGTCTACCAACAGTCCCCGCCTGGCTACGGCCCCGTTCCGTACCCCCAGCCACCCGTCCAAGGAGGTTATCCAGTGCCCCAGGCCCAGCCATTCTATTACCCGCAACAGCAGCCTCAGATTCCGTATTACCAGCAGACACCCCCGGGCTACGGTCCTCCGCAACCTCCTGTGTATCCACCTTCCAGTTATCCGCCACCTGGAAGTCACCAGCAACCTCCGGTTAACTACCAACAAGCCCCTGGTCTTTCGCCTTACCAACAACAAGTGGTCCAGTACCCGACAAGCGGTCCATTACCCGGTCAGCCATTTGCTACCCCTTACGCGGCGCGGAGCCATGAGCAGCTGTCTCCCAATGCTCCCTTCGGCCAACCGCTTCCTCGCACTGCCAGCCACGAGAGCGGTCTAAACCCTAGTCCATCGCGCCTCTCGCCGTCGCAGACCACTACTGCGGCCGGAGGGTTTGACCTCCACTGCATTCCGGGTCAGCCAGTCCCGGGACAATCTCCTAGTTTTGTCTGCGCTACCACTCCGTCCGGCAGTGAGAATATAGGCGGCGCCTCACAAGGTCGGTCCACTGTAAGTACGATGGCGGCTGAATTAAGCAACTAATCGCAACACTGATCCATTACAGGCCCCTCCTCCCGAAGCAAAAACTGAGGACGGAATAAAAGAGCTTGTCGAAAGACCAGACGAACGATTGAAAGTTTTACAGAAAGAACCGGAAAAAGACGCCCAGAAAAAAGAGGAGCGCCGAGCCAGTTCCGCAACAGAAAAAACCCCAGCGCCCCCTGCACCGACACCAGCGTCGTCCTCACAAAGACGGGCTACTTCCGCACTAGAAAGGGAAGCGCTTCTTCCGGCTGCTCCTGCGGCAGTCGCTCCTAGTGCCGCCCCCGAAGCAAAACCCGAGAAAAAAGAAGAAGGCGGTTTCTTTAGCCGCTTCCGGCGCCGGTCTTCCTCCAAAAGCGCCCCAGCCGAAAAAAATCAACGACCCGAACCGTCACCGGTGGTTGAAGATAAATCTTCTCGCCCACCGTCTCAATCAGCCGTTAACAAGCAAAAAGATTCCAAACCTGCAGTCGGCGAGAAATCTCAAAATTCTGAACTTCCAGAGAAATCCCAAAAATCCTCAAAGCTCGCAACTCCTGAAAAATCCCAGAAGACCGACAATCAACATTTGCCAAAAGGTGAGATTTCTTCGCCAAAATCGGACAGAAACGATAATCTGATGCCGGCTCGTAAGACCCCGGAGCCGCGCGGTAAATTTTCGGCGTCGTCAACTAAATCGCCTGCCTCCAGCCGTGACGGGGCTCGCTCGCCGGTCAGTAGCGAGCCGGAGGAAGAATTGTCCCTTGAGGAACGGGTGCGGCGCTGGGTGGAATCGGTAATTCGCACGGCAATTAAAGAAAGTCGAAAGGTCAACGACGGTACGCCTCCCATTGCTGTGCGTTAAGATTTTTTTCTTAAAAATTGTGATAATGTTTTACGTTAAAATTTGTCTATTTTTTGTTGCTGTCTTTGTGGGTGTTTTAAAATCGTATTACATGCGATCAGTGCGGCGGTCTGAGGGCTAAAAAGGTAATAAAATCCGGGTGTTGTCTGCGCAAAAAACTCATTAGCAGCAAAAACTAGTTTCTTGGTGGATAAATAGAAAATGATGAATTCTAGTTATCGGATTCGGAACGTGCACACTTTTCTCCACTTTCAACGAATGCTATTGTGCGCACGATATTTTCTTACCTAAGTAATAAGGCCACTGGACCGGTTAAATTTTGGAGTGGTAAACGAATTCATGAAATACGAGCAAATTGAAATTAATAATTGCTAAAATTATAATTATGTATGATCGCCAAAGTAGTAAAAAGTCCAAAATTAACAGTTAATTGGCCTCTAAGCCAAAACGAACGAAATTCCACTGAACCGTTGATCACACCGTTCAAATATGCTGTGACAGCTCAATGACTGGTTCATTAATACGAGCTGTTTACACAACATCAGATTCAGGCCAACGGTCCGCCGTCCACCAATGCTTAGACGGAAGACAGATTAAAACAAGCTGGCTTTTGCTCAGCTTCAGCAAGCACATCACCGATAGAATTTTTTCTCATCCTCCGCACTGGCGGTTTTCATGCCAGGTAGGACCTGTAGCGTGGTAGTTACGAAGACGGGCAGTACCCCGGTGGTGGAGTAAAACTCCTGCTGGATGCAGGGAATCTGCGGCCGACTGAACTTGAACACATCCACCGCGGCGTCCTCTTTGTTAAAGCGGCCGATCGCGCTGGAACTTAGGAGAGGGACGCTGCGCGCCTCTTCCTCTTTCCAGATTTGCATGCGCGAAGTGCGCGTACTGCGTCGGTTCTCGTGTTTGGCCTTCTGGTCGTAGCCGTAGCTGGAGCACTGAGCGTCGCTGCTGGTGGTTAACACTTTCTGCAGCAGCGAACCCAAGAGGTCAGCATTGGGAATTTCCCCAAATAAACGCCGTCATTGTTAGGCGCGCGTATGATAACTTTACTTTGCGTGCCTGATCAACGTACTCGGAGTGCAGTCGGTGTGTGGTAATAGGAAAACGCAGGATTCTCGGTACGCCGTGGCGGCACGTAGCCGACGCTGCCGATGTCATTGGGATGGCTTTTGATGGTGTACTTCAGATCATGATGATACACTTCCAGCGTCACCTTAGGGTTGACGGAGGGGAAATTCTTGGTGTCTGTGAAGGCGGAAATATCCATTCTGTCTTATTGCTGCGTTTGTGGAAAATATGTTACACGTTTGGCGTTAATTCTGAAACATGGTTCAAAGCGATAATTCGCCTTTCTTTAAGCAAGTAATACGCATAGTCGGAAATCCGATCGAATGAACAGAAACGCGTAAGAAACGAATAAAATGCGAGAAGTATTTTCGATAATGATGTTTATTGTTTTGTTGACGAATATCACTATGCGAGCCCTCCATGTAATTTGACTACCTTCTGTTAGCTCGCTGGCTCTATATAACCGTTTTATGACAGCATTAATGTAATAATATTGCAATCAGAGCATCAGACCAGTCTCTTTACCAAAAGACATTAGCCCCTAAGATTAACAGGATAATTGGGATTCTGTGTTTCCATATCAATCTCGGCCGTATTCCAGCGCATGAGATTCCTGCGTAGATTCATCAGCAACCCGTTGGACTCGCGATAATCATTAGCATCTAATTCCGCCAGCATTTGGAAGCCGCGATTGGCATCATCTAGGGCGGCCTTCGTCACTCGCCAGCCACGCCCAGAGTCCTGGCAGGCATCGCGCAGGAATACCCCAAAGTTCAGTGCCAAACCCAGTCGCAGCGGATGCACAGCCGACACACAGGTCTTGATGCGGTCAGCTTCTTCATACGCTGTCCTGCCCAGACTACTCGCCTCCACGCGATCCACACCCGTAGAGTATTCCGCTATGTACCGGTAAAGATCACCCTTACTACAACCGGCGTTATTAGAGTTTATCGCAAAAGCACAATGATAAAATTTCACTGTTAGCTGGCACGCGATGATTATTACCTACACTTTTTGGAAGTACAGACGGGTTTCCAAACTGGAAACCACTTCCGAGAGAATTTTGCTGGAAACCATCAGGCCTTCATTGCAAATAACTCGCATCCTGATCTCCAGTTCTGCGCGGTACTACGAATGGGGTTACTTTAAAAGCATGATTTAACACTGCCATGTTCATGTCGGTTAGTCAGTATATTACGCAAGTTCTGTAACTAAAATAGCTAAGTCGTGATCATATCCATGACTAATACACCGGCAATTAAATCAGCGCACAATGCATTTCAAATGTTTACAAAGCCGGCAAAGAAACAAAAATGAACCTGAAGTCACTCTGGCTCACATTTGCAGCTGTTTTCGCTTTAAAAGTGTCTTTCGCTTCCACATCTGCCCGGCGAATTTTCCTCCAAGAATCCCTTACATTTCGCACCGAATCTTTATATGCCACCGCAATAAAGTATCGCTCATCCTTTAGCAAGTCTCTCTTCCCATCCCGCACCATCAAAAAGGCTCGCACATGGTTCAACAGTTCCTCGTGTCGGTGCGCCCGGAACGAGCAGTCCGCCAGAAACAAGTAATCCTCCTTCGTACTGGGCTCTGGCGCCCCCAGCAACTGGGGATTAACCGCGAGGTTCCAGCCGCCCTCCACGCTCCGGGTGGGTGAGGGGGCTGCCACCGGGGAGGGCGGTGGGGCACTGGCTGCTGCGCGCTGCAGCCGCTGGTTATGGACGGTGAGGTCCTGTTGGGATAAGTTCAGGGCCTGCAAGAGGGGGGTACGCAGTTGTTCGTCTAACGAAGTGGGGGTTGGCTGGATGCCCAGGGACTGCAACAGCTGGGTCTGGGTGCCGGTTAATTGTTGTTGGGCCTGGCTGAGGGCGCGGATGATCTGGTTGCGTACAGAGGCTTCCGTACCGGTACCTGTCTGCAAACATTATTTTTTAAGTAGAAGAACCTCCATACTGTAATTCCAGTTTTAAGGAAACCTTCCTTACGCTGGTACCGTTCAATACACATTGTTACTGTATCCGCGCGAGTTTAAGGGACAGAGAATTCCCCCAGACCGCCCGCACTAGATGTCGGCTCCTTTAACATCAAAGAAACCGACGCAAAGTAAACTTTGACATCAAAGTAAATTAAACTCGTTTCAGAAAATAGAGTTAAGTTAAATAAGATAAATTATTTATTTAAATAGTTTAGACATTTCGAGGGGAACCTTCAACACCGCTAATTGTAAATAAAGCACAAGGGACTCGTAGTAGTACTATACTGTACTCTCCTAGCCTGACACAAACGAAATGCCCAGCACTTGAGCTAAAACAAAAAAAGCATAAGAAGTATCGTTAGCTGAGGCTTTGACCTTTTACGCATCTTACAGCAGTCTGAATATTTGAAAAAAATTAGCGCACCGGCAAATTCAGCGCCTGCACCAGGGTATTGCGCACCGTATTCTGGTCCTCGAAAGGGTTCAACGCCTGCATTAACGTCGTACGCACTTGAGTCTCCAGGGCGGTCGGCACTGCCGGGCGCAGCTGGGCGGCGCGCTGCTGAAGGATAGTTGCATGCGCGTGAGGGTGCCCAACTCCTAAAACCTGCCGGAAATTGGCCCGCACCTGGTTCTGCACCATCTCTAACGGTTGCTGCGCCAGTCCCGTTGCGGCCGAAATGATTACCGGGCCGATAGTTCCCGGGGTGGCGGCCGCCGGTGGACTGCCATCCGACTGACCAGAAGAGCTGGTGGACAGGATGGAACTGCGCTGGATGCCACTCGGTGGGGGTTGAGCCATGAGTTAGTGGGGATGGGGCATTCCCCAGTTTTCAATAGCGGATAAGTAGAACATGTAGGAATTACGACACAATAATTTTTATTTATTAGCTGAAGTATTAATTTTATCAAAATTACATATTATGCAAAAAAGGAAGCATCAGTGAAGCTGATTGTGGACACCAATAATTTGTGGCGCAGTTACGTTGGAAACACAGGCGTTTGTTCGTTAGGATAGCGCGAAAGCTGCAATTCAAATGCTTAAATAGGACGTGATATCATATGTCTAGTCTAGTTATTTAAAGTGTTATAATTAGCGAATCTACGCTCTCGTACTACTGACTTCTCCAGATCGCCGCACAATGCCAAAAGGGAGCTGGTTCCACGGAAAAGTGTCGGACGGTATTGCCAACTCATACTTCAAGCAGGCCAGCGCGTCGGCCTGCCACCAACTGGACGACTACGTCCCGGAGAGTATCGCGACCGCCATAAGGCAGTGGGCGCACCAACACAACACCCACGAAAATGCAGTTTTAGCGGCGCTTCTAACTACTACCGCCGCGGTGGTAGCCGGGAAGGTGGTCATTAACTACCAGCCCGATACGGCGCCCATGTGGGAGCACGTGCCGTCGCTGTACCTCCTTACGCTGGGTCCCACGCAACGCAACCTAGAAGAGCCCATGACAAAGTTCTGCACGAATATTCTGTCTAAAATCGAAAGGAGCCACGAGAAGAAGGTGCTGTGTGATGTCACTAGCGCCAACGGTTAGTAAGCATCAACCATGGAACTCAAAAAACCTCATTCTGTCGATTTACGGACAGCATATTCAAAAACACGATCGAGTCAAATTACTTATTACTGATTGTAATAATACTATAGTTGAATTATTATACAAACAAATAATACGATGATTTTAGTGAAGCGTTTTCGTGCTCTGCAAATCATTTCAGATTATAACCACGTAAATAGTAAACTATAATAAGTGTAAATACAACGACGACTTTTCGGTTACGAGGTTTAGAGAACCAAGTGCTCTCTAGAAGCACTCTTTGCTCTGTCCTGTACTCTGCTATGGAAATTTCATGGTGCAACTTAGAAACTTGGAAAATTCAAAACTACCAGACGCGAAAACGTTTCAGATAGCTTCCTAGTTATCGTATTTATAAGAATACGAGAGTGGTGTAGAGAAAGCTCTTTTGCAGGTTTGGATAAACACATCGTCGGCGCTAAGGGTACTCTGGTCCTGGTGAAAGACAACATTCTTCCGCATCTACGCGCCATTTCCGGCAACCTGAGTCGCTTTACGCTTTTGAATCGCGGATTCGCTGGCCTGAATTTAGCGATCCAGACCAACTGGCGCCGTCCCGTGGACAAGTTCAGCCAGGGCTGCTTTATTATGCATGGCAGCGCCCACCCCAAACTGTTTGCCAACGTGCTCCGGATGGCACCAGACACTGTGGAGCGCCACCTGGCCCGTTGGTTGGTGACCTTAGTGGGACTGCCCGCTGCGACGGCCCCGTCCGGAGCACCCGCCATTGACCTAGAAGGAACGTTCACGGCACTATATAACGCGTACTTGGAAACGGTACGAAGTACTTTGTTTTAGTATTTTGTACGAATTTTATTAGAATTTTTACGATATTCGATTCTATTAGAATTTTTACGATATTCGGTTAGGCTTAGAGTTGTGGTCACTCACTCAGTTGTAGGATGACACTTGCGAAACCTTCCACCTAAGCCGCGAAGCTCTCAACATCTACAGTAAATACGACCGCTATTGCAAAGATGAAAGGAACCGGGAAAAACACCCGACCTCCGAATGGGCCTTCGACCCGGCCAAAGCCTACAAGACGGCGTTTATCCTGCATCTTATGGTCAACAGCATCTTATCTTTTCTGGAAAAAGGCAAAATACGCGTGCCCCGCAAAGTGTCCGGCGATACCATGAAGAAAGCCATCAAGTACACCCAGGTATCACGGGAAGTCTTCCAGATTTTTACCGGAAATGCGCCGGCCCGTACAGAGAAGGCGCCCAAACCGAAGGTCGCGGAGAGCGAAAACAAGGAAGAGACGCCGGTTCCGGCACCGGAAGTAGCGAAAACGGAGGGTGGTGAAACCCCAGCCAAAGCAGGAAGCGGAGAGCGGGAACGGAAAAAACGGGAGGTGGTGAAAACGGTGCGGGAGGTCAAGAAGCGGCGGCGCAGCGTCACCGAGAGTCGGCCGGTGAAGAAGGCCACGCGCGATACAGCGCCGCGGCGCAGATCATCGGTTAAATGATTGTTATACGTTGCCTTGTGCTGTCCATAAAATGTTCTCTAAAGCGTTGCTACGCTACGAGAAAATTGTGAAATGTCTTTGTGTGTGACTTGGCTCAGAAAATCGATAACTGTGATTGCACAAAAAGATTCCACATCCAAAACTTTCACACGATTTCTTACGCTGTCTCACTCTCCGATTCTCCGATCAACATGATGCTACTTGTTTAGGTAGCTCTTTGGTTCTCATTCTGCTTCCGTTTTACTCGTCTTAAAAGAAGTAAAACTTTCTAACAATTAGTAAAAGCACCTGTCACTCAGTCGGCCGCAGCCGATTCCGATCAGGTCCCTACGGCACTTCTGCAAGGATAATTTCGATGTGAACATGCATAACACTTTACCAATGCTTCTGTTTCTGGCCGGCAGACTATCGGATGCCGTTCCAGCCGCACCCAGAAAGATCTACATTGGTAAGGAACTGATTTACACAACAAGATGGCTCGAGATGCGCGTATCCTACTTCGACTTTACTACGACTATCTGTCGCGGGTAACAGAGGCAATCACGTAGTTATTACGTGCAAGACCCCTGTCTATCTACAGTGAAAGCGATTATGCGTCAAAGACCGGTTAATCATTTTATTTGCTAACGGTTTGTCAATTGCCCACGATAAAGCAGGAGTAATATCAGCAGATTCTTGGAATTACTGGCAGTCTGACCGCTTGTTTAGATTTTCAGCATATTTCACACAAATAATTGTAACTTCCTCGGCTGAAAGAGGAAAAATGAGTTCAGTTCTGAGTACAACTGAGTTACCCGATGGCCGCATGTGGCGGTGTGCAGAGCATGGAAAAGTGGGTGGGGGGGGGGCCTCGTTTTTCTCATAACAGTTGGGGTACAACTTGATTTGAATTATTATTCCCTGCCTCCTGCGCAAAATTACTGTTACCAGATGAGAATGATGTCGTACTGGGTCTCCTTTGTAACCTTTTGTATTTCGAGTGGAACAGATTTTACTTTGCTACGTAATTCATGGGCGATTATGTTTTGTTCTCGGCAAGAAAAGTCGAAAGAGTTGAAACACAGATCCCCTGGCAAAGGGCAAAGGGGTACAAGCCGTAAATTTAAAGTAAACGGTTTTTAGGCATATCGTAGTCTTAATAATCCTAACCTGTCAACAGCCGTCAAACTGTCCGCGAGCTTTTACTGAGACGGTGGTTTTCACTGTTGATGTTAAGGCTGTGCCAGCAACAAGTGATCCCGGCTTAAAAGGCATTGTTGCCCCGTCAACGTGCCTTCATTACTACGCTGAGGGCGTGTTTCGAGTTTCAGTGAGGTGAAAACTAGAGCTGACAAGCATAAAAATACTGGTCAACCCGTGGACAGTAACAGCGTTCCCCATATGCTTAATTTTTTAACCATCCATTTGAGGCTATAGTCTAATGGTGATAAGACAAAATTATTTGTCATCCTATCCTCTTGCGAATCATGCCTAACATGCATGAATTGCAGTCAAGCCAGCGTGACCTTTTCAGTTGGACTGCGAGCACTGTCAAAGTGGAGGGCGACCTCCTCTTCGAATTCTCTGGACAGTCGTGGAATGCCACAGACAACCATTCTTGATAAGTTCTTTTTTTAACACATATCGATCGTCAACTTTAAATGTTTCGTTCATACAACAAGTCTAAGACACTCCATTGCAACGAAATGAAACAGCACCCATAAACGTTTTTGCGATCTGCTTTGGTTGTGTTTCTTGCCATTCTTCCGGCACTTCCGTTTCCCCACCGGTATGCTAAATATTTGTCGGCATATGAAAACTTACTAACACGACTCAGGTCTTGTTTCTAAAAATTATTTGTTCAAGGCATTTACTCTGTAGATCCGGCAGCTAGGCAACCATGTTCTACGAGGGGTCATGTTTAACATACAAGTAGATGCACTTTCTTCGGCCGTCAGCTCAAACCCTGATCGCTGAAGGTTTTGTTGCTAACTGATAGCGAACACCATTTTTGACCCTTAACGGTTCCCAGAAAAGTTCACGAATATATATTGGTCTTTATAGAGTGAGTTATTAGCATACACAGAATGACCCTACCGCATCCCCTGAATCAGTGCTCGGCTCCCTACTGATGCTTCAAAAGATTGCGGTTTCTGTATTTCTAGATTCGCAATAAAAAGTTATGCTAGAAAAGTGCAAAAAGAAAAGCAATGCTACATGTTAAATTATTTTGTTGTTTATTTTACACAACTGCCCCAATTTTGCGTAGCACCCCTGTATGATTCGAAACTAATTAAGTTGTCATGTACCCTGCACTTCCCTTAAACTCATATACTTAACAATTTCCAAGGCCTGCAGCTTCAGCGCTTACCTGTTTACAAGACTGCACTTTATAGTTTATACATTCGCTGCCTTATACACTCAAAATTAAAAACCGCCGCCCGCTTGCTCTAAGGGCATATGAGACCTTATACTAGTTACCTTAATTGCAATAACTCAGATAAGCCGCCGATCTAGAGCTAGTTTGTGGCCCACAAATCGTGCGTACAAAAACCAATTAAAACGCTGCGCTCTTTATGAATGGGTATGTGCACACAAGCACGGGCCGGACTGCCACAAGTGTGACCATCGGTGGTTGGCAGTGCTAGAGTGCACACGAGAGTGTTAAGGCACAGAAGAATCATGGGAGAAGGGATATTTTTTTGCCCTGAGTCGTTCCGTGATGTAGCCGGTGGAAGGTTGACGGGTTGATGGTTGATGTTCAATGAAGGTCATCAACCTTTCTGCCAGAGGTCATCAACCTTTCTGCCAGAGTCATCAACGTTTCTCTAAAGGTCATCAACCTTTCTGCCGGCGGCAGAAAGGTTGATGACGAAAATTCCTACTTAAATTTTTAAAATAAAATTGGAAAGACGAAAATGAGGGGATAAAAAAGAGTCAGATAGCAGGCAGCCACTGATAAACGCTTCTGTATAACTGCATCCAAATTTCTGCTGGAGCAGTGGTGACATGGATTGACTCTCACAATGGGCCTGAATGCACTCAATGGCGTTATTGTTTGATCAATCGGCGCCGACAGTATGGTTCGGCAGAAAGGTGGATGAGTCGGCAGATTGATGCATGAACTTCGGAAAATTGGTTGGATGAGCTTCGGCAGATTGGTGGATGACTTATCCACCATTCTGCCAGACGTCGACAGAAAGGTCGATGCAATTCATTGAACATCAACCAATCCACCTTCCTGCCGGTTGCACTGCGAGTCACTCGTGCTATGAGTCCCGATGCTGCATTAGTAAAACATCCTATTAAACAAACTACTTTACGTATAGAACGCATGACTGTAAAAAAGCTAGTAATCATTCAAACTGCAGCTGAGATTAAGTTACTGATGCCGGATGCGCAGTGCGCACAATAAACCACAATGCATACAACGGCGACATAGACAAATCAATAGATGCCGTCGGCAGAAAGGTTGATGACCTTTAGAGAAAGGCTGATGACCTCTGGCAGAAAGGCTTATGACTTTCATTGAACATCAACCATCAACCCGTCAACCTTCCTGCCGGCTACAATCGTCTTTCTCTGTAAATTTTTGCCAGGCGAAAGAGATGAGCATTTCTCAGGTCAGAGTTAGGTGTACTGAACATAGTGTCCCTGAAAGCCGTGGAATTAACAGCATGGTCGCCAACTGGCTGGTCGTCGTAAATACGATATCAGTTTGCTAATCAGTCCTGCTACTGGCAGGAATTACATCGCTGTGAAGTCGTGGCTGTGTCCTGAGATTCTCTACAACTCCTTTCCCCCGTTCTTAAACTGTAAGCTGGCACAGTATGTTGTAGACTGTGTCGAACTGCTGTAGCGCCTGCTGACCGTAACTTACAGCAGCCTATCGCTTTTCAAATAATCCTACGTACATCAGGCATGTTCATTTGACCATTAAAACAACTGGAAGCGCGATCATGTAACCGTCAACGTATTCCGATGAGCGAAATAGTAGGTGGTGTTTTTTCTTAAAGTAAACTGTGAAATGCGCTATTCGTGCATGGATAGACCAGAGCGCAGCTCGAAAATTTGACGGTAGCTCATTATTAATTTTCTAGCGCGTTGTTTGAATCAGTAGATCATGCACTTGTAACCGTATTCCCCTGCCTTTATTAATAGATGGTGTTGGTTTAGAAGTAAATCATGAAGCAGCGGTCTATTGCAGGCCTCATCCTGCCAAACGACACCACGCAGGCTCCTTTGCGCTTCGTCATGCCAGCAATGTACGTTGCAGTGGACGACATCCTGGCCAAGTACAACCTGAAAGCCGTCCTGTCCACTGCCCTCAACGTTACCTATCCCTGCAGTGACACCGGGTCCCTGTCGCGGGGTGAAGCCTTTGTCAAGTCTTTTAATTACTTTTACATGCCTCCCTTCGGTGGTACCCAAAATGGGCCCTGGGCCACATCGGCAATCCTTGGGCCATACTGCTCCGACAAACTCTTAGCCACCATCATCGCCTCTACCGCCTTTAATATATCGCAGTTCACGGGCGGTGGCACGGATATTTCCGATATCAGCCCATATCCGTATTTGTGTCGGACGGGTTACAACAAGTATCAGCAGTTTGTCGTCTTCCAGGACCTATGTCGCCGGCAGCAATGGTACAATGTATCCGTTATTTATGATGTGAATGATGCCGATCGGGTTGGCGATTATACAAGTATGCCCGCGATGAAGTACGTTGACGGTGTTTTTATTGGGCTGTGCTTAATTGGCCAATAGCCTAGCCAAAATAATAAAGCAATTAATAGCTAAGCAAGGCACTCATAACCCCTTAACCTCTGTTTCTTATATACGCAGATTACCACGAACTTGACCTGGACAAGAGTGACCTCTCTGTCACTTATTTCCCCGTGAATATTGTCAACAACTCGGTAACTACTTTGCATTTCATTTGCCGAACTTAGGTTTGGTTTATAAGTAAAGTGCACATGCTTGTCGTGCAGCAAATTTCGTCCACACTAACTGAGGCGTCCGGGCATGCTAGAAGTAAGATCAGGATAAAATTTCTATCCTTATTCGCCACCACCTCGTTTATAATATCGTTTTGTTGCAAAGTTTTCGGATTATTCATGAATAACACATTACTGCGACCCTTCATGCTGGCGGCGGCCAATTTAAGCATGACGAGCGGCGACTACGTCTTCTTCACAATAGACAAGTACGGCGACGATGCTTTGGGACCCAAAACCGGCTGGTACCGATCAGGTGAGCGTTTCCCGGTTTCTGCAACAACTATCGCGTTACCCATCATAAATATTTTTGCGCCCACCCTTTCACTTATAATTCAGGGAGCAGTCTTTCATCGCCGCTTTCGGCAGCAGCGAGTTGCATAAATTATAAGTTCAATTAATATTGGAAAAGGTTATGGTAATTGGTACCATACTATGCTATTGATAAAGAAGCAAGCAAGTGAAAAAGTTTTAGCTGTTTTACGGAATTCGGCGTGATTTTAATTAAACGAAAGTTCTATGCACCGGGAAATTTCCTGGAAGGGGCCGTTCAAAAGATCTATTTATTCCTCAGATGATACGAATAGTTCCAATAACGCCGCTAAAACCGCCTACTCGTTCCTGCTGGTTTCCGGCGTCACTGATAAAAGCCAGAACCCCGTGTACCAAGCCTCTCTCGCCAAGTTCCGCGCTAAAGCCTTCTCGACAAAGTTTAATTATACATCTTACACCATGAACTGTGCGTATTCTGAGTAAAATTCAATAAACAAACAACTTTGTGAGTGGACACATGCGACAAGCGCCGGTGCTGCAGACTTTGCATTGAGCTTCTACAATGCCTTGATGTTGATTGGCTACACCATGAACCTATCGCAGCCAAAGGATTTGCAGATGAACTATGATCCCGGCCCACTGATGAAGAACGTTGCCGGGAAAGTCTTCAACGATGGTACGCGTTGTCGATATCTACGACTGATGGAGGGAGGCTGTATCTCCTGACTAGCACGTTCACATAGGCGCGGCTGGACCGATCTACATCACCAATGGCAAGGATCTTCGTGAGGACTACACGCTTTCCGCCATGACCGATGTTGGCAACGGGACATTCACCGTAATTCACTAAAATAGTTTACTGGAAATATGTGCTGCTGAAACTATCGACTGCAATAAAAGAATTTTATTTTAGCCCATTATGTCTTATTTCGGTTTGAATGACACCGTTTCCGACATTCTGCCAACATACCAATGGCCTGATGCCGACGGAACATTTCCGCCAAATGAGCCTAAATGTGGTTTTAAAGGAACAGCAGAAGTTTGTCAAGGTACCAGGAAATACATGGCACATACCACTAAATGCCAACAAGTATATTACATTGCGTAGCGAAGACACCAATCACAGAGATCGTGGTGGGCATTGTTCTCTTTTTGGCGCTCCTCTCCGTTTTACTGGCTTTCTACCTCTACCGAAAACATCAAGAACAAGTTCGCCTGGACAAAGCCTGGATCGCCCTGTGGTCCGACCTGAAGGTTATGCGTCCCGACGACGGCATCCCTTCGGCTGCGCTCATCACCCAGAAACGGCAGTCGATACGAGCGCGCCGGGAATCCCGCCGCAACTCCTTGGAGGAGGCGGCTGGGGCCAGTATGGGCGCCAGCATGGGTGAGGGTGGGCGATCACTATCCACTGCCGGCTGGTAGTAAATGTTGCTAATTTCATAGCTGATCGTGCGGTCTTGCAGGCCAATCCATGTCCATGCTGGCCGTGTCTCCAACACGGGGACTATGGAAGAAACAGCCCGTTAGTGTCCGCTGGATGAAGAAACGCCGGATGCGAATGTGTGACGGGCTGGTGCAGGAAGTGCGCAGCATAACGAAGGTGCGCAATGAGAATATTGCGCATTTTATGGGGGCGTGCCTGGAGACAGGACGGATATTATTACTGTACGAACTGTGCTCCAGAGGAAGTTTAGAGGTATTCCTACATGCGCTCCTTGTCAATGGTGAAAGAACGCGTGCATTACTAGCGGAATAAACAACGGATTCACGCTGCAGGAGACCATCAATAGCCCCACGGCCAAACTGGAATGGCCGCTGCGTTTCTCCTTCATCAATGACATCGTGCGCGGTATGTACTTCATCCATACGTCCGCCCTTAAAGTGCATGGTCGCCTGTTCTCCGGTTGTTGTCTGATTGATTCCCGCTTCACGATGAAGATCAGCGATGTGGGACTGAGTTCCTTTTTTGATCTGAACATTGCCGAGTACTGGCTACAGAAACGACGCACCGATTTCTACTACACCCAACTGTGGACGGCGCCCGAGATTATCCGCGAACAGGAGACCAATCCCGAGGAGGTCACCCGCTCCAGCAGTAAGGAGGCGGATACGTACAGCTTTAGCATTATTCTGCAGGAAATCATCATGCGGATGCGACCGTACGGAATGTACGATCTGCCGGCGCAGAGTAGGTAGACTGGCGTATAGCGCAGATGTACACCAAGTTCTTGCTAATGGATTATGATTGTGTCACTGTAGTTTGTATGCAATGATAATTAATTCTGAAGTAGGCATTTGAATTAACCGTAAGGTACACAGCAATCTATATGAGAACAGTAATCGTTTTTATTAGAAATCTACAACTCCATTAAACAACATGCCACCCCGGGCGGTAAGCCATTTCGGCCGCTGATCGACGAGTCTATGTGCCATATTGACCTGATTACGCTGTGTGAGCGCTGCTGGAGTGAAATTGCCACCGAACGACCCACCTTCAGCCAAATCCGTGTGGTGATGAAAGATGTCGTCAAGAACCTGTAAGATGTCATGATACAGGTGAAAATTGGGCCAACTTTTGCTACCGCTCATCTGTCTTGTTTTAGTGGAATGGGTGATAGGCTGAATATCCTGGAAGCCCTTTTGCAGCAGATGGAAGAACATACGCTCAGTCTCCAAGCTATGATTGAGGAAAAGGATATGTTGGTGATGGAACAGAAGGCCCGTGCTGAAAAACTCCTCTTCAGTAATCTTCCACCGTGAGTACCTTCTACCGCACATTGCGGCTTGCTGGTTGTAAGTATCGTCTGCTGTAGGTTGATGACCGCGGCACTGCTGCGGGGGGAGAAAGTGGAACCGAATTACCTGGATGTGTGCTCTGTATTGGTGGTTGATGTGATAAACTTCAACAGCGTCATGGAACGTAGTAGTGCGGATGAGACGGCCAATTTCCTGGGAGCGCTGCATACGTTTTACGCGTCAGCCGCTACGAGATTCGACTGCTTCCTGCTGGAATCTCTTACGCAGCGCGTAACGGTCAGCTGAGTATTGTTTGCTTAATTAGTCTCGCGCAGTTCTAGTTTATACAAAGCGGTAACAGAAGCTGAGCTAAACAATCCTTCTACATGCTGCCGTCTGGAATAGGACGTTGCGGTTAAACATGGTGCTTTATGTTGCTGGTCGCGTGCATTACCCGAAAAAAGTCGGACTGTAAACATACCCACACTCGACATCGTGATGACTGCATTTGCACTATCTCTTCATTCGAATCGGCTGCATTTTTTTGGCTGTACATTATTTTGCACTTTTATAGTTGTACCAATTGTGTATAGTAATTGTACGCTTCACCACTTTGATTATAGGCCGCTTCCGGGTTGCCTATTCGCAACGGCATCCTGCACGCCCGAGAACTGGGTCGTTTGGCGCTGACGTTACTGTTCCAGGCTAAAGAGTTCCCCGTTCCTCATATGCCGAAAGAAGGCATTCAGGTGCGATTCGGCATCCATTCCGGTAAGTCTGTTTTACATGATCTTTTAATAGGAATAGTGATCGCTGCATTTTTTACAAAGGTCCCATCGTGTTCGGTATTGTGGGCAAGCATGTGCCGCGGTTCTGCTTGTTTGGGGAGACCCTCAACATCGCCACACGGATGATGACCGTTGAAGAAGGTAAGGATGCGGTGCTACCGTCGGTACATTTGCAGAACCTGGTTTTGCGGTTTTTTAGCATACAAAGTGCGAATAAGCGCTGCAACTCGTAACATCATCGAAGCCTTTGGTAGCTTTCGCGCCTTTGACAGTGATGAGATCTATGTGAAAGGTCATGGCAAAATGAAGACGTATATCTTGGTTGGAGAGGATGGTACTTCACTAGGGCATGTTGCTACGGTTAGACTGCGTAGTTACACGTTTTACTTAGGTAACATTGAACTGATGGAACTGCAGCGGAAGTTCTACGGTGGTGACGAGGAACCGGGTGGCAAACGCAAATCGCGGTTAACCTAGTTGAAAGTTCTACGGCTATAATTATTGTTTGAATATTGAAGAATATTTTTGGTCAGGGCACTTGTAGGGACCTTTACAAACCGCAATGATCTTGTTATTCTAATTGTTCATTTTATGTACGCTAATAATATTTAGCCCATTTGTTGCTAAGATGTGAGAGGGTAGGGAGTAAGTATTCGTACCTTTACAGTGTATCGCTGAACAGCGGCGCGCTTAATAGTAAAACAGTTGTTTACGTTTACTTGGATCTCAGAAAGAGCGCTGTTGCAAAACAAGCTATAAGAGCTCTGACATGAGTGATGCCATTACCGATAACGAAACATTGGCCAACATCGAGGCAATCGATCAGAAACTCGCTGAAATAACCAAAGCGGTATCCATCATTCCCGAACCTCCTCCTGACATTTCCTATCTTCCAAGTGCAGCTTCCCCGTGCAATGTTATACCAGCGGAGTGCACCGACACCAGCGCTTCCTACATAACCAAGAAATTCAACTCCGACCAACTAGATTTACAGCGCACCGAACGCCTCTTCGAGCGGGTACGCCATTTGTACGACATTGGCGTATTAGGGCAACCGCATTCGTTCACAGAAGACAGCGGCGACTACGATTGGAAGAAGCGTTTCAGGCATCTCTTGCCCACCGACGATCTCGGCTTGGCCGACCATGAAAACCTATATCCGCTATTAAGAAGCGACAGCGATATCGAGACCGATCCGAGCACACCACGCGAACGCCTTCCGCAATTTTCGAACGATCGAGAAAAGTCCGCTGCCTCTCCCGTATCCGTTGACACCAGTCGAAAATCCCAAAGATCGCAGCGCTCGCGCGGAAGCATATCGTCTTTTTTACGCGAAGATTATATAAAGCACAGTAACGTGCATGAACCAAAGCGCTTGCAATAAAGCTTTTGGGAAAAGAAAGCCACAAATTTTTATTCATTGCCATGAAAGTTGTTAGACGGCTGCGGCTCTTCAAAAGGGCGCGCTCGTACAACGCTTCGATCAACATTATTATCAAGAATGTTATTTTTAATCGTTAATCGGTTGAACAGTCGATGGTTCTCTTCATCAAATTCGTTCATCCACCATTCTTTCTCGGCGACAATACTCTCCACCTCTTGCCCCTCGGTTGGTGTGCGCCACTCGTCATCCCGGCGGTCATTTCGCACGTGAGTCGAATCACGGCGCTTATCCCGCTTTGCCGAGACCAACGCCCGGGCATCGACAAACAGTTCATCGGGAATCGGCACATCCGCGTCTAGTTCAGGATCGTGAGCCAATTTCCGCAGCACAGATGGCAATTTGGCCCAGTCCGACTCGGTAAACTCGGGCGCCGGCGAGACCGGCGTAATCGGCAGGTACTGCATCTTCATGCGTTTCTCGTTATGCACCCGTTGGATCATTTTATCGGCTTCGGCTTTGGCTTCCGGGACAAGCTTCTTAGTCAATAATTCGCGCTTAGTGCGGTGAATAGCTTTGTCTTCCTCGCTGCGCAGCGGGAAGAAGGTGTCCTCGAAGTTGTAGGTGTCCCCCATGTTAGCCATGGCCAGGTAGCGCAAGTGCCGAAGACATCCGGCCGCGTGTCGAGCGCGCTGTTCTCCGTCCTCCATAACGTAGCTGAGAAGACGGCGGACGACGCGGTCTGCGTGAATTTGGATGATGTTTTGTGGGTATTTGGTAAGTTCGTGAAGAGCCAATAAGGCGTTAGTCTGGATCTCTTCATCAGGATGCCACAAGAGTTTAGCGATTTTTGGCAAAATGCTAGTGGTGCTGAAGTTGATGCGGTTAATGGCGTACTCGCTGCCGACGGCGATGGCTTCCGTTACAAGCCGCAAAAGTCGTACATTCCTAAGACCAAAGCGGCAATAACAATCTGTCACGTCATATCTATGCGGATTTCTTACGTTGTATCAATTTGTTTTGCGATGATTGTGCAGAATCCCAGATCTGACATCATAGCTAAAAGGTCATCGTCGTGCGCTAACAAGCAGGTGAGGTTGAGCACCGAATCCAGGACACGGTAATCGCGAACGTCAAAGAGGGCAAACATTTGACCGAATGGGTTAACGATGGTCTTGATTACCTTTGCTGTGTCCTGCGGGCGCGCTACAAAGAGCGGATAGATAGCCATGCAAGCGTGCACGCAGACGATGGGGGCGTAGGCGATGTTAATCAAGTCCCAAATGTGGACAATTCCGTTGGCGTCATTCAGTGTGTTATAACCTAATGAAATATTTAATGTGTGACATTTAAACAATATCCAGCAAAAAATTTTTATAAAATCAGGGGCAAACTCACTATCGGCATCGGCGCCCATTCGCCCAGCTGTCAGCGCCGCGATCATTCTAATGTGTTGATTTTCATGGAACATGTAATCGATGACAAAGGGTAATACGCCACTGCTGCGTATATAGTGACGACACCCTTCCACCCTCGCCATTTCACTGAGGAAGCCAAGCAGATGAAACACGGTTGTCTCTCCAGAACCTTCGTACAACCTCCCAATCACTAGGTCAGTGACCTTTGTGTTCTTCAGCACCTCGCAGTTCAGCACTGAGCCGGCAACAGCATGCAAAGCCTCCGCGGTTATCTGCACACAACCGCTACTGAAGGGGACGTGTAGCGGTTTCAGGAGATGTGACAACCCGCCTGCCGCCCGGATGCACTCGCGCGCTGCGTCCATCTCACACACCAGGGCGATGACGGATGCCACGTTCTGGAACACGTCCTCGTTGGTGTCGCCTTTTAGAACGCGACACATGGCGGTGAGAGCACCGCTGTTTACAATCGACAGATGATTCTGGCGCTCTTGAGCCAGTTCTACGAAGAAAACCGCAAAACAGATAATATGCCAGATGAGCATAAAAATTGCTGCGGGTCGATTTACCCGCCAAGATCCCAGTTACCGGCACAATGGCATAATCGCGGTGCTTTGCAATTAGCAGCAGCTCCTGGCAGACCACAATTCCACCGAGCTGTACGAAATCATACCGATTTCTCCGCTCCCGGAGTGCCAACCACACCGCATTGGCCGCCTGCGCAGACGTTACCGCCAAGATCTCCTCAGGCCACACCCGCTTATGTTTTCGCCTGAAATCCGCATACCAGTAATCCTCTGGTTTGGTCTTCTGACACTGCATGACCTTCAGCAGCAGCGGAATCCCGCCGTCTCGCCCTAGGATCTGCTTATTTTCCCAAACCGCTTCCATCAGCATTGTCAGGCATACCGCGGCAGCGCATTTAACTTCTAAATAGCGGGATTGCAGCGCCTGGATGATGGCTTTGATTCCGCTGAAGAAATTAATCTGGCGCAGGGTAAACTTACAGTTGGTCATGCGTGTAAGTAGCTCCAGCGCTTCCAGCTTCTGCCTGCCGTACTCTTTAAGACTGGCTTCGCAAAGGTTAAGCAAAACCTCTACGATAGGGAACTGGTGAAAGGCGGCGGCATTGGATTCCTTCAGAAATGTCGCTCTGCTGACCATCATGGCGCCGGCGCAAATACTGTCAGCGCACCCGTAGCGGATCATTCGGTGGGCACGGAAAAGCGGCCAGAAATCAGGGAGGATGCTGGCTTCCCCGCTGGAGATTCGTACTTGGTTGTCGTCCAGTTTGGTCTTAGGGTCGTAAGAGTACGCTTCCGGGAAATGTTCGTCCTGCTCGATGGGTGCCTCCAAAGCTCCGGGATGGAAGCGTTCACCTAAACCCATACTGTCGGATTTGACCTCACTGCGCGATAGATACTCGACGCGGCGTTCTTCTTCCATTCGCTCATCAGGTGGCGAGTTACCCTTGAACAGTTTGGATTTTGACTTCATGATTCTATACAGCACACGGTTAGCGGAGTACAGGTTCTTGTGCACCTCCCGCAAGCGCAGCCAAAACCCTGATTTTCTCTTTATAGCCGGTTTATTCTCCAGATGGTCCAGTAAAAACAACCGCCGATTGCGATCCATTGCGACAAATTTTCGTGGTGGCAATACGATGTTGATAGCATCAATGTGACCTCTCGCAACGCGGTCCCGTTCCAGCCCCAAACGCGTATCATACCGGTACGCCGCCCGTACGAAATGCTCCCGGAAATACTGGTCGTTCTCTCTCAGCCACTGCACCATTGTTTTCACGTTACTGTCGTTCGGCGTGCCGTAGCCGTTCTCATCATTTATCAGATTATTCTCATAAATCCCGGTGATATTAATGGTTAAACAGTGCTTGGCATCATTGTTCGTGATAACGATAACATACGCTACGTCGCCGTACAGTTGGCGGTGGAGCGGCGCCGCCCAGCCCCATTCCCTGGGATCGTTGAGCAACGCAATACCTTTTAAGGGTGCGTCATCTTCAAAGGCAGCCATTTCTTCAAGCATACTGAGTTCGCGGTACGGCAGATTTGGGTCGAGGTAGGCGCTATCTTGGGCATTGACGAACAACCGGCGGTACAGGTATAAAAGATCGAACTGTTGAAGCAACATGTACAATCTCTGGTATGCCAGCTGTTCCAGGGCGCTAAGCTCCATTTCCTCCAAAATGTCTGCAAGCAACCTGTTAACCGTTTACTAATGGGCTCGCGAACTGGTTTTATAAAACAAAACTTGGTAAAACTACTTGCGGCCGTTTTACCAACTAAATGTTCGTAGAAAGCGCGTAGATTGCAGTATAATATACGCTTTTTCGGTGTTGCAATGGCTTAAAGGAGTTCAGGGCAAAACTTGAAGTTGTAGCGACGCGTTACTTCAAGCTTCGAAAGAGTAAAGTCTATTAGACTCTGTTAACTGAAATCTAGAAGGGAATTTTTTTACTTACGGGATACGGCCGGCAGCATCTGGTGAGGTTCCACGTTTCGTGTGTCGTACTTGTCCCCGAACATGACGGCCACAGGATCCGGCTGGAAAAAGAGAACGCTGGCAATTTCCATATCCCAGGTCTTTTCAGTGATGCCGATAATGACAGCCAACTGGTGTACATTCCACACCGTCAGCAATCGGCGATCCTGGTCGTCGACCTGCAGGTCGAGATAGGGTTCTCCGTCTGCTTCATCGCTAATGATAACGAATTGATCGTCGAGACGGTGATAGCCCCGCTCCTGGGTGTAATCTGAAACGAGGGGGTACTTGCAGTTGAGAAGGTCATCCTCGTAGACCAACGTATTCCATCGAATGGGGGCATGAAACTTTAAGCGGGATTCAACAGGGAACTCGGTGACAAAACCAAGAATAAAATCCGCGACTAGGCCGTAAAATTCTTTTATGAAGGGCGGGTCAACAAAGTAACGCTTCTCTTCTGGCACAACGGCCCATAGTCGAGCGTAAGTGTTGCCCATAATACATACTGCAGAAACTGGTGGATTTTTGGTTGTTGATGTTTTTCTGTCTGCTGGTTGCCCTTGGCAACAACTTTACACCCGCGGAAAGCTGTATAGATTTTCACACGGAGAATCATTAGACCACCTCCTGGAACTTTATACCGGCCCATGGAACTACGGATACGTTATCCAGGTGCTGTTGACTTACCATTGCTAATTAAGCAGGGATACATAAGGAAAAAAACCTCTTTGGTCACGCTAGATTTACTGGGCCCATTTGACAACGTTTGACTTTTTCTATTGCTGAGACTGTTGCAAGCTATGGGATGCCCTTTCCGGATTGTGAAGTGGATAAAAGGCTTCTTGCTTCAAAGGTCCATCAAAGCTGATGTTTAGTCAGGTAGACCAGGGCGATCGATTTTGTTTGACCAGTGGTGTTCCCCAAGGCTCGTCGCTTGCTCCGATACTGTTTATTTACACTGCTGATCTTTTGAAAAAGTTTCATGAATATATTGGATTCATAAGACAAGCGTACGAAGACGATTTAATGCAACTAGTCCGTTCGCCGCCGGAAACGGATAACTGTTCGCGGATCAATGATTTACTTACTGAATCATCTACTGCAGCTGAAATGCCGCGTGCTTTTGATAAAACCGAGCTCATGCACTTTACTTTCGAAGAAATGTTCAGACGCGATCTCCTACAATATTCGGTCAACACATTATCTTTCTGTTGAGAAACTAAAATACCTGGGAATCGTCTTCGATCTGAAAAGTTTTCGAAGCGAAAAGTTTACTTGGAAACCACACCATGTACCGCTGGAGCTATCGGACCTGTGCTTAAGTACCCATGGCCGGCATGGCGCTATCGCATTGTGCGCTGTTGGGAAGTCAACTTCTGCTAAGATCAACAAAGTACAACGTCTAGCTGCAATGATCATACAGCTTAGGACAAAAAAGACGCATTACCCCACACCCAGATACGTATCCGTAGACCGTACGCATGTGGCAAGTGCACTTGTACGACAACCGGATATTTTAGCTGAGCGGTACAGCGCAGTGAGCGCACTGCGCTGCATGCGTTCGGAATGCTGTGGGTGGGATTAGGCGTCTTTTTGGTCCTAAGCTGTAACAGCACCCAAACGTACATCTCTTTCTGCTGCACTGAATGTCGAAGCCCAGTTAACACCAATGAATTTACATCTGCTTGAAGTCGCTGCAGTGTCGCTAACCCGCTTTATACTTTGAAAGACACTCTTTGCGTTTTAAGGTCGTTATTCCCGCACTACGAGAATCGTCATGGATCACCATAATTAATACTACTTGTAAACGTCTCCTTTCGGCAGGATATATATTAATTTATACCAGTGGTGCATTGGATCAAAGCAACAGAACAAGAACTGGTCAAAGCAACAGAACAAGAACAGCAGTTCCAACATTGTCAATATTATAAAATAGTGACAATGTTGGAACTGCAGTTGTTGTTTTTATTGGCAGTGCAAGCCGACAAGAATACCGTCCACAGGCACAACGGTCTTGCAAGCGGAATTGTGTAAGCCGTATGCAGTGTTTCAGGCTCTGCTGTATCTCATCCATTCGGATGTACGAAAAGCCTTTGCTTATTCTGATTCAAAGACGGTCATGGAGGGCATTTATGCGACAACCTATGATTCGTCATATTGTTTGGTTAAGTTTTTTTCCAGAGTTCACTGATATATTGCTGATTATGTATGCCTAATTTTGCTGTTACCTCCTTAATTTGTCACCTTGACGATGAGTACGAATTTTCATGTACTGGAGCAATGGTCCTTGCGATGACTACGCGGTACATTGATGCAACAACAAAAACAACGGAGAATGATGAAATCCGAAAGATCCGCGTCGGAAGGCGAGCGATTATGGGAAGATATCGGTCCGGCGCAATACAGCGCTCGAAAGACCGATTTCTTTCTTCGCGTTCCCAATGTTGCCCTGACAGAATGGCAGGCACATGAAAACAGTGATTTTGCTGATGTGATACAAACTAACGCTAAGCTAGATGCGATTCCAAAAATCTGGTATTCTGAAGGAAAATCGGCCGGGCCGCTGGTTACCGATTTGCAGGCCATTGTGCGGGATGATATTCCAAGAAAGCATAGGCAGCGAAAGAAAACCAACCAATTTTCCCACAGAACCGCGGTGGAATTAGAGTTCCCGCAACAGGGCAAGGAAACTATCCACGATTCCAGCCGCCATGCGTACGCGGTCGTTCGCTCCGAGCAGAACACAGACCTCCCATCGGACCTCGCAAATTTTAGCCATCCAACACGAAGGTTATTCCAAACAAAGAATATTACCGTCAAAGACCGAACCAGATTTCCGTCGGAAATGGGAGATACGTTAATTCAAAGGTCGTATGGCGGTACAATGTCCCAACTTGCTGTTGTCCCATTCCCGCAAACTGACCTCTGCGTGCCCACTAACGGGCCGCTGCAGAAAGAATCTGGTTGCCTGCAGAAGGTCAAAAACCTGTTAATCAACGATAACGCTGCTTTTCGCGTTGGACTGCCTTCCGGGTACTCGCTTCGGATTCCTGCAGTAGCCCTAAAAGTGTATGACTATGGTGTGCCGCGTTTTCAAGACATCGACCCGGCCATAACAGCCGACGATGTCCGGGCTCGCGTTCAGAGAGAGGCCGCAGCTGGAAGTGCGATGGATTTGCACGAACGATCGAAGGATGCTAAAGAGGTGCTGGAACTGTCCATGCACCTACCGCAAACTGTGGGAGAAGTGCTAGCTACGGAGTTCGTATGTAAGCGAATATCAGTACTGCCTAACGAAAAGCATCCCGATTCTTAATCACTTGACATACATAGATGCCGAGATGGAGGACAGCCCTGTTGAGCCAAAAGTGTTTAAAAAGGTTGATGTCAACGAAATCATCCGGACCCGTATGTTAATGCCCTTTCATTAAATTTTATGTGCATGATGAGCAAGTTTTGCAAAGATTTTTTCGTGCAGAAGATGATAAAGCCGGTGAAACGTACGCCTCTTTGAAGAACTGCGTGGAAGAAATGGAACGGCCTGTAAGGTGAATAAGTATTTACATTCCTGATTATCTTAACACCCTCTAAGGGCTTGTTTAATGGACAAACGTGTTGTGTAGTTAGTGGACAAATTCGTATCGGTTCAGGATGACCAACCGCCAAAGTTTGGCCACACTCATAACACCATCAGGCAGTACTTAAAAGATTATGGCTTGGAGACGACGGAGCAGGCTCTTACAAAAGAGTGGTAGGATTTTGCCGTCTAGTATCGGGTTGTTTGCGTTTATACTCGTATTGGATATCGCAGGTGGCTGGAACACCGAAACAATGATCCGGATTATAATTTGCCGAGTGTGATGGACGAAAACAGTCAGTTGCGACGCAGTTATTCGGTACTGCGAAGGGAATACGCGGCGCTGAATGACGATACAAAGTATTGCGACTGCTTTCCTGTAAATGTTAGCAGTTTGAAAAGTCAGTAAAAGTAAGTTTTTGAAGGAAATTATCCAGCCTAGCAAATCGCCGTCAGGACAATGTTCAGTTTTTGACCATCAACGTTCGGCGATGCTTAGACAAGAATGCAAACCTCCAGAAAGAACTCAAAGAGTACGGACGACTAAAAACATTCCAAAAACGTTGGAGAAAAATTAAAATATGTGGGCAATTCTTTTGTAGTGCAAAAGCATTAATTCCAGAAGATTATAAAGAAACTCTGCAAAAAAAGGCTGTCATAGAGAACAAGTACCGGCGTATGCGACGTCTGTGTGGACACCTACATGCACGTCTCAAGGCTGAAAAGGATGCCATGAAGCTCTTTCAAGAGAAACAAGCAACGCAGAATCAGTTGCAGCGAAAGGTCAAAAACGCCCGCGACGCCTTGTTCCCGGATTACCGGGGCACCAACCCGTACGCACTGCTTACCCGACGTAAACCGGTGCAGATGACGCGACAGAACGGAATGACCGTGGCGCAGCGGATCATGGCTCACAGTGGATCGGTACTCGAGTAGGTGCTTTTTTTCCCAGATTAAGAATCCGATGAAAGCGGAGAAGATCGTTCCGCACCAACCGCAAGCCACATTAACATGCGCACAGTCCGTAGTGTGGCAATGAATCCATTATCCTCGCTGGCAATCAGTACGGGTGCGGATGGAAAGTGGTTCCTGTGGAACACTGGCACATCTAGCGCGGCACCAGTGCACCACGGCGGCGGACACGCTGGAGCGATCGGTCGTTGTGAGTTTTATCCTGAAGGTACGCATTTCGCAACCGGCGGGTGCAACGATATGGTAAAGATTTGGAAAACTGAAGGCCAGTTACTAACCGAATTTCATCACAGAAGCCCAGGTAGTTTACTTTACATCGGGCCAGCGCTGACGTCGTTTTCTGTCAAGCTTTTGATGTTGGCAGTGAGTGCCTTGTCCATTCATTCCAGCGGGGACTTCCTGCTAACGGGTATGTCCAATGGAATGCTGAACCTGTGGGATATGAAGAGCAGCCGGTGTCGCAGCAATTTTCGACAATGGCAAAGAACGAGCAGCGGTCACGCTGGCGCCATAGTGAGCTGCCAGATTCTGCTGTTTGCTAATACGGCGGTGAGCGCCGGGGAAGACGGCACGGCACGCTTATGGGACTTGCGGACGGTAAGTGCTAATGCCGCGCATTCCTTGAGCTAAACCAGCATCTATGAGACTGTGCACAGGAATCAATGCAAATTCTCCTGAAGAATGGAGCTCCGCTCCAAAAAACCCAAGTGGCCACCAGCGTATGTAAAACTCTTAGTATTAAAAATTAGAAGTTTTTTACATAAGTAGCAATCAAAATAGCAATTAAGCGAGCTCGTATGATCGCAGGGTAACATTATGGCAACTGCGGCAAAATGCGCTGCGGATATCCAGTTATGGGACATTCGCAAAGCCAACGCCCAGATTTGTGCGCAAAACTATTCGCCCTATACGGTTTGCAGTTTTGATGTGGAGTCGTCGTGTCACATGGCGGCCGTTGGGTTAGACAGCGGCTCGGTCAGCTTCTGGGATCTGGGCAGCGGAGGATGCACCATCTACCCAGCACACGCTGCGGTGGTTACTACGGTTCGATGGGATATCTGGGCGGAGCGTCTGCTAACGGGTGACGAGCAGGGAAACCTGTACTTCTGGTCATAACGACTGTAACTGTAATCTAACCCTTCGCTTTTTACTTTTGTGCCCGGCTTAACAACTTACATGATACCGATTGCAATACTGCGATAATTTCTTGGAAAGAATTTCTAGGGTGAAGTTACTGTACTGTTACCAACGCAACCTAAAGATCACTGTACAGCGCACATAACTTGAGAATTCGGAAGGGAAATATCCATAATATTGTCAAAAATGTCCTAAAATTCCTGCACTATTTCCTGCTTTTGTTTATATAGATAAGTTAGATATCCATACATTATTTCACCCGTAAAATTCTCAAAACATGCCGACGAGTAAGCAACCTCCAGTCGGAAGCGAAGGACATAACCACGATGGAAGCGACGACGAAAACGACGCATGCCGCGGGTGGGTTACCGGCGTTAATCAGCGCTCGTGTCCCTCAACCACCTATAAGTTTTTCAGACCACCCGGACGACGAGCCAAAGACGAACTGCTCAAAGAGATCAGGCACTTAGAGAAATGGGTCCGCATGAATTTCGTCGGCATTCGAATTGAGCCTCTAGCCGAAGCTTGCCAGCGCGCCAGGGAGTGTGTGCGGGGATGTTATGAACAGCTGCAGCACGATTTCATGAACACGGACTTCCCCAGAGCTAAAAGAAAAACCTGTGAGGTCCACGGACGCGAAGATGAGCACGACGGTGACAATGAGGAACCCGATGGAGGGAACGAGAAAAATGGGAAGAAGAGTCCTAGGACGAGCCGGGGCGGGTACAGCCGAGGGTGCCCTCGAAAATCTCTTAGAAGCAAATGAGGAGCCCTCCTTCATGAAATGCAATTAAACCAGCGACTGCACTAGACGCTGATCACGGCTTTATTCACCCGGTCAAATAAGACAACAAGAGCCAAGACACAATATAGCACAATAAGAAAAACTATAACAAAACTCACAGATACAGTGCTTTCATTTTAATTGGAAAAAATGTGCTCGTCCACATGAACGAGCAATCAAAACAATCTACTAGAAAAATAACTGACATGGATACTTTTCAGTGTGCTGATAAGAACTTGAAAAACACAAAAATCAGAACGGTTGCACAGTGCTGAGCGCCGCGGTCAACTTTGATACGTCCAAATAACAACTATCACGAAAACGCTTGGGTGAACACTGGAATCCTTTCTGTCTACACCGCCTAAAATCAAAATCCCTAAATTTATTAAAGGTCCCATAACGTATTAAATAATCAACAATTTCTGTGGGGAAAAGTACGAGTACACGTTTAATTTTAGTCAAAGTAGGTTGACCGCTGGTCCGCTTGACCTACTTTGACCGCTGGTCCGCTTGACCTTTTAGTTGCCTGGTAGTACCGTAGTACGTTCCCAATGGAAGGTAAGCTCGCTTACAACAGAGCAATTGCTTACCGTGATCGATACTCGGAAGTGTCTCGTTCTCCATCTCCAGCAGTTCCTGTACATTCATGGGTTCATGGTCACCCTCGTCGTCATTCGTTGGCGTGCGGTCGCCCGGAGAGGGTCGTACCGGTGGATTAACCACGGGCCATTTGCTCACGTTAAGCTCTGCCCACGTGTATGTATTGCAGTAGAGATTGGGCGCCATACAGAAGCACCAGGCCACATCGTACGGTCGATCTTTGTTTGGGGGATCCACGCAGGCGATTTGGATCTTCTTCTCAGCCAACTGCTTGTACACATCCACCCTCAACCGGTGCGTGTAGCCCGTCATTACGTAACTACAACTCCGGCGGATGGATTTCTCCTCTGCCAAAACATGAATTCAGATATATTCATGTTTCACAAATTCATGGTGCAGGGATCATTATGTGCCTCTGTAAAAAATTATGTGCCTCTATAATTTTTTACGTTCTTATTGTCCTTGTGTTTCTTAGGTTTCTTCCTAGGTTTCTTAGCTTTGAGTTATTATCGTAATTATTAATTAATTATCGTAATTATTATCGTAATTACTTATGTACTTGGGTTATTCTTTACTGATTGTGTCAGTAAATAAAGGTTTGCATATATTTATGTCCACCTGTCGATCGACTGTAGTAAATGGACTGCGTATAAAATATACCAAAGTTTGTAATAATATTACGTTTCTTACTTGAATTATAATGTAGTTTAAATATTTGGATGAACCATGCTTGGGTTTGGTAAATGAACGCCACATAATCAGAAAGCTAAGAAACCACCGATCCTCCAACTGGAGGATCATTTCACCACATATAATAATGGTAATAGTATATATAATTATTCATTATTAACATAATAATAATAATTCCCATTCATAACTTATTCATGGTTTCTTCAACGGATATGCAGATCAATGACACATTAAAGGCACGGCTATGGTTAAGTGGCTAAGGAAAAGCAGTTCTTGCTGAAAATTCATGTTTCATGTTCTGCCAAAAGAAGCATCCCTCACGCGTTGGACACAGTTAGAATTGGGCGTTAACCACATCACTTGCACCGAGTGAGCTCCATTACAGTAAGGGTACTCAAACATCCTTTACGAATGGCTCTATAACTTAAAGGGGCCAGATCGTTTAACTTTTGGCTCCGTCTCTGCACGACCATTGGACGAAGGGCTCTATAATTTTCCTCTCTTTAACTTAAAGTCCTTTAACTTAAAGTACCAAAATCGTTACTTTTCGGTATAGGGCCCGCTGAGTTGGAAATCGCTAGTGCAAACTGAAACGGATCCTGCATCTAATATGCAGATATCTGTTGCGGACTACTGAAATTTGTTTCCAATGGTTTTAGACTTTCTGTCCTCTTGTGAAGTGGGATGCGTAAACACCCATTCAAACCTAACTAATCATTAACCGATTTAGAGAAGTATGATTGGCTAGTGAGAGTTAAAGAGAAATCGCATCTATAACTTATAGAGCCGTTCGTAAAGGATGTTTGAGTACCCTTAGTCTACCTCTGTGAGGTATCCAATGACAGGCGAAAAATTTGGTGACATGGTTATCTCGCAAAAAAATCAAATACTGGTGAACGTTCAGTGACCACAGACCACAGTTCGAGTGATCCGATTACATAAGTAAGCGTAGGGCGATAAAAAGGAAGAACTGCGGCAAGAGTACTAGAATGCTTTCACTTACTTATCATGTTTTCGCCAATCTGGCGATCCTGTACCATAAGCGCCATAACGCACATCGTGTCGTCTTTAAAGCATACGTCAACGTTTGACGTTGGTTGGTTAAGGGTGCTTTCCAGCTGCGTTTGCCAGTTGGGCTGTTTCTGTAAATCCCTGAACCTCTGCCCCGTTGGACAACTGGGATCGAGATCCTTATTCAAGTCATGGCTGTCATAGCGCGACGAGCAGCGCAGACACTTTGTGGGAATGTTGGGCGGCTGGGTTATCATACGGTATTTCTCTGGTATGGGTGTTGCTGTAAAATTAAGAGGCTTGCCTTTGTAAGCCTTCTACAGATGCTATACCTCGATGTGCCTCAAAGATGGATATTTGAGGGAGTATACGGTTGAAAGTAGATCACCCATGTAATGCGATCAGGAGCACATTATGTAACGTGCAACATGGGGCCCGTTATCCACGTTTCAGACCGTATGATCAAAGTGATCCGTCTTTAATTGAGGTACATCGAAGTACGAGCCATGTATATCCAATGCGTGGCAGTCTTACTGCGTGGCAGCTGTTTCGTGGTTGGTGCAAGCGTTGTGGTTTTGGAACAGGCATCACAGCAGCGGTGAGTGGCGAGGATCAGAGTCAGAATTGCGACGGTGCCAATATCAGCCATCATCCCATCATAATTTTTTTACAGTTAGGCGCAGCGAAGCAGTTTACCCTTGGTCATTACAGAATTGCCCATATCGTAACATGCTTCATTCACGGCGAGTCTAATGTTGCACAAAAAAAATGTGCGATCAAAACTGTAGGAGGAGCAGCGTTTTAAAAATCTAACCAGGGTCTCCAAACGGGCCTGATTATAGCCACCCCTTTTCGCACCCCGTTAATTACATGCACCCTCTTTACATTAGCGAAGTAGGGACACCCTGTTCGGTTATTACAGACACCCAGTTCATTGCCCATTATTAAGAATCTGTGATTTATATTAATTTTATATTTCACCAATGTCAAGCGAAATTCATAAACTTCTGTTATTTATGACCTTTCCAGTAGGCAAAATGACAATATCAACGACAGTGTCTGGATCTTTGACGCGAATTTCGTTATACAACCAAATACTGTAAGTGGTCCAGCATTATGGGTGGTCAAAATCTCTGTGTATTCTTTACGCGGCAGTTTGCGCGGCAGTTGGGTAAAAAGCGTGAGTCAACGGCGCGTAAACAAGCAAACGTGCTCATTCGTAAACAAGAATTCTGGGATGGGTTATCAGCTTACTCTTCCATGTAAGCGTTGCGCTTCGATATCGAAGCGCAACCATTACTTACCCAGACATACACACGTATATGTCAGCCAGCAGAGTTCTTTGTTGTCAACATTTTGCCAACCACTGCATACAATGGATTTGTATAATTTCATATGTAATGATCTGATATGTCGCTTGCGTGATTAATTACGGAATTACCAGCATATTTTGCATTTCAGTCTGTTTGACTTTCACTTTGCATTTGTTGCCGGCTTAAATAACGACGGCTCTGGAGACACACTTTAAATTTCAACATGAACTCAACATCGTCGTCTTCTGATTCAAGCGCATCAAAATCGCTATCGCTGGTGCTTTCGGAATCGCTTTCTAACAAGGCTTGCTCCGTTTCATCATTGATTAACTCTTCGATCTTTAAACTGATAATCTTTTTGTCGCATAGATTAAGAAATTTCTGCCTTTTAGATGGTGGTGCCATTGCAGAAATCACAACAGTTATTGCCACTACTGTAATTTATACACGTGCAATTAATTTTTGAACGCCTCGCAAATAAAGAATAGCTGCAGCGTGACAGGCGCAGCGATGTCTTCGTTATGCCGGGACATGATGCAGACTAGTTCATGTGGCGCCGCATTTTGCATTAAAAGTAACTTTTGTTTTCACTTTGGTGGTCAGTTTCTTTCCTGGCACGCAAACATACTCGTCTTATCATTTGTTGACAGATTTTTGGCTGATTCATCGGGTTGTTTTTACTTGTTCTGGCCTTTACGCTACATGCATCGATTACACAGAAGATTTTGACCACCCATATTGTTAATGTTTATTGTCCTTTGCATGGAGCAGTTGCTCCCTCTAGGCTACAGACAGCAGAAGTCTAACAACAAAATAATAGAAAACATTGAAGCGTGTAGTCACAATCAACAACATCAGCCAAAACAGTCAGCAGCAATAACATTAGGATGCATACAAGCGGAAGTAAACGTTTTTATGTTGGTTGCGATAACTTGACGCTATGGTGGAAAACAAAATGGAAGAGAGACAATCGCGCTGGGGTCGATGCATAAAACCAAAACCCAGGTGTAGTTAAGTTTTTAAGTATTCAGAAAGATTTTCAAAAGAAATCGTGGGAAAAAGGAAAGCAATGACACTTGCGCACGTAATCGCCTTTCTGTACTTTTTCAACTAAATCGCAACCACATTAAATAACCTATTGACACTATCTAATCATGCCGGTTCATTCCATGAGTAACTTGGTGTTACAAAAACGTTAAACAAGGGTCAATTTGCTCCAGTTGACGGTATCGAGCGCAGTCGTGAACGCGTTGAGCGAGGTATAACTTTCCTTGTCCAGAGCAGTTTCGTTCCATAATAGCGCCAGGCGACTTGAGAGGGAGTCCGGGGAAGGCGGTAGAGTTTTCCCACATAAAGTTGTTGGTACCGCCATATATAATGGGAAACGGGTGTGCACATAGCCGCAACGCTGACCATGTATTACCTGAAACAGAGGACACGGCGACAGCAGTTTGCTCATACAGTAAGAAAAACCGTTCACCAAGTGGGATACGGTTGAACACAAGTTTGTAAATTAAGGCAAGGCTATGTTTCAACCTACGTAATTCAAAACAGTCCCAGTTTAGCTTCAGCAACCGCCCTTTAAGACTGGTACTACCAACTACCAAGATAAAGTGAATCAAGGAAACGAGATAAACAACGTTCTAATTTTTCCCGGCAAGTTTTATTAACAGGCACAATAAAAGGGCAGCAATGATCAAACGCCGTGAACCCCAAAGACTTGAACAACTGAATTCGAGCGGCAGAATCAGCTTTCCTGAACGCAATATTAATCCAGCGTATTTTTTTACGCAGTTTAGTTACCAAAATGTCGGTATTGTCTTTGAATTTCAAACTGCGGTCAAAAAGTATACCTAAATACCTAACACAGTCGCTTTCTCGATCGCATTACCATTAAGATAATACTGTGAGTCAACGATCGGCACCCGTTTTTTCAAAAAGGAAATATGGTACGATTTCAGAACATTAAAATATAGAAGTTTATGGTTTTTAACCCAACTCTCTACAGCAGTGAGATCAGACTGTAACGCAATTTCATCAGCTTTTTGTTGAAACTGGCCGGTAAAGAGCTACTGTATATCATCGGCGAAAATAAGCAGCTCGCTGTTGTTGAGCAGCGCAGACGGTAAAAAATTTAGTACACAAAGGAAGAAACACGGCCCAACAACTGATCCTTGCGGCACACCGCTAGTAACATTAATAACTTCCGATACACAACCATTAACCATTACACAGTGCTTCCTGCCTTTCAGGTAATCAGACACCAAGTGCCCAACCTTACTATTAATTCCCAGTTTAATCAAAGCTTCCACAATAACCTGATGATCACATTTGTCAAATGCTTTTGAACAGTCCAGAAATAAAGCATGAACTTCTACGCCATTTTCAATGAAATCTGTTGTAGACTTTACAAACCAAGAAATCTGTAGTTCGCATGATCGCTTCTCCCTGTACCCAAATTGGTGATCGGTTAATTTTTGATGGTTTTTTAAATAAACCCGAATGTATTTGTCAATACAACGCTCAAAGATTTTGGAAACAGGGTCCAACAGAGAAACTGGCCGGTAATTGAGAGGGCTCGTTTGATCTTTAGAACCTTTGGGAATAGGAGATATGTACGACGATTTCCAGCATGCAGGATAGCATTTCTACTACACTTGTAACATCGGTCGGTTGTTTCCGCTTTGATGCGAATGTTTGCGATATCAACAACAGCTTAAATTTACCCGTCTCAATGCCCATTTGACGTTGTATGGTTGTTAATGGCTGCAGCGACGTCTGCAATTCTGCACTACATGATAGTTCGATACCATTGTTTTTTTCTCCGCCGAACTTATACAGTTGGCCGCCGCTTTTCTGGAACTTCTTCCATCTTTCCACAATGAGCGGGTGGTTGTGACCCACAACCTTATGGCTAATCCTTAGAACTTTCGTACGTGCACAAAACACGTACGTTGAGATTACAGTAACGCACTGCTAAGTTTCGCATTTAATTAACTGCCAAAGGGGTGCCTATAAAATACAGGGTTTCTTAAAAGAAGTTAATTAATTCTTTCAAGGGTGCCTATAATTAATGGGGCGTGGAAGAGGGTTCGCCTATAAAAACAGGGGTGTTTGTGGTGGCTATAGTGCCACCCTTATATATATTCACATAGGTAATATAAAGTATTTCCATAATAATATTTCTATATGTATTATGGAACTGGCCTTTGTGTTCGTGCGGTTATGCACCGGAAACAACATCCGATCTTTTTTACCATTGTTTTTTTTGTTTTACTGGAATTCCTGGAGCATGCTGGCTTAAAGGCCATTTGATTCGTTAGCAGAAAGTGGGTGTTGCCGCTGCTTTTAAACGTCTGGAGTTTTTTAACAGATTTCAGCGATATTGCTGGACATGCGCGACTGATTCTTAATGCTACGCGCTTAATTTGTTATGTTGACCATACGAATTTTCATTCCTTGGAGCAATGGTTCTTGTAACAACTTCGCTCATTTCGCTGCATGAAGTACTTCTATAAACTAAAGTTTAAATTTTTCTGTACGTCTGAAGTTCACTTTCGAGCACTTCGTACTATCCCAGATTTATGTGACAATTAAATCACTACTAAAAATAAATTATGGGCGGTGATTTTACTGCCACATGTCTACCTAATTTGTTACCTTGACGATTCTAATGCTCATTTGTTGGAACAATAGTCCTTGTAAGTTGTAAGGAATACGCTGTGTATTTAAGCAACAACAACAACTTCGCTGTATACATTTATGGGACCACTTCTACAAACCAACTACTACTGATGGTATAACACAGATTATGAGCCTCGTCTGACAGCAGTTTTAACATGAGCTCTGTTCTACTCGTATAATTTAATTTGTAGACTGTACGTGTACGTGCAACTGCGCCACGATGAGAGGCACTTCCGGAAGTTCGAGGTGCCAGAATGTGAATGCCGTGACTGATACAACATCAGCGAAACTACTGATGCTGTGACAACTTTGTAATTATTTTAATCATGTTCGTGCACAGGTGCTAGCTAATTTCCGCTATGGCATCTCCCGTTCCTTCAGCTTCATCCTTCCATACTCCTTCCAATAATAATCTCCCCAAACATCCCGTGACACCGCTAGCCGACCCGGCGGCCGCCAAGCTCCGCGCCCAACGCAAGCAGGAGCGTGCCGCAGCCAAGCGCCGTCCGGACAATGTGGTTGACGCGGGCACCGCTGTAAATTTCGACGACGCCCCGCAGACAGAGACCAACGAGAGCGTCCACACCGATCTGTGCAGCGATGACCTGAAGATTGCTCTGCAGTACTATGCACGCCATAACAAGCAGTTTCTGATGGATGTCTTTGTTAAGCACTTTACTGAGACCGAGTTGGAATACTTCTTCCAGGAGCTGCACAGCTTCGAGAATGAACGAGTCAAGATGGAACAGGCCTTTACCAGTCATGGACGGTGGAGTTTTGACGATCTGAACCAGAGGTTTATCGGGATACCGGCCACCAATATGAGTACAGTGAGAAGATTGACCTTACATATGCTGTAGTCAAATCCGTCTCTTCAGTTTCAGTAACGGATATCACACTTCACTACTGTAAAGTGTAAACCACTCGAACATCTTGATCCCGTCTTTTGCTTAGCATCCCGCTTTGTGCTTCCAGAAAAGTACCCCTCGGAAACCTTTCAAACGGATCCGTACCGATATAAATTACTAGGCGAAGAGTTACCCGAAAACGTGACGAGCGAATCCACCGAGAAGAAATCTCAACCCGCTACGCCCCACCTGTACGGTAAATGGCATAAGTCAAAAACCTCCGCTGTCAAAGAATACATTCGCGTCGGCGACATCCGCCTGTATGAACGTTTACTAGAGAATTTAACAGCTGACTGCACAGCAACCCATCTGTTTAATAAAAAGAAGGTCAAACTCAAGCCCAAAGCCAAACATACGCCCTGTGTGTTGAAAGAAGATCCGGCGTCGAGAGAATCGATTCTCGTCCACCCCGGCACGAAGCATGTCTTTACCCCACCGTCTACTAGAAAGATTCCTCGGGATGTAGAGACCGTAGAGGTGTGTGATCCCGCAGCCCCAGCAGCGTACTTTCCGGATCACTCAGATCTAGCGGTGCTGTATGAGTATGTAGAAAATTACAGGGAGCTCATGTGGGCGGACGAAGCCGCAGTGTATGTGCTGGACCCGATGAGCAAGTGTCTAACAAAGGTCATCAACGAGTCGCCCGTTAAGGTAGTGAATAAAGATGCGCGGCATCCCACAATGGCTGCGTTGCAGAGTGATCGCTGCATCGTATCAAATCATGTTGACCATGATCTGAGGTGAGGTGAGTCAAGCAAAGCGTGTTCAGGAAAACAAGTATTTTTACGATTGAGTGGACTCGCCAGTTCCCCATTCTAACAGACCAACAATTGGCGGTTTTACTTTACAGATACTCTATTTTGACTGGTGACGATACCACATCCGACGTTAAACATATTATGGCCATTCCGTTTCACGACACCAACGGCGCCGGTCGCGGCGTTATCGAATTCAAACGCACTCTGCGCTTCCCGGCACCATTTACGGAAGCCGCCCTCCACTCTGCCACCGAGGACCTCCACCATTTTGCCTACATGCTGTATAAAGCCGCTGACTATCGTCGCGAGCTGAATGTCTACCGGGTCCTCGGAAAACGGTTTCATGAACTTTTCGTTAAACCCAACAATCTCGATCACATTATCTACCGCTTTATGATTCTCGTGAAAAGCCTATTGAATCCCGCGCGAGTCCACCTATTCCGGGTAGACACTGACCGGAAATATGCCGTTGCATCCGCGTACGATACCGGGAGGATGTCTCACTACGGCTACCACTTTGACTACTCCCGGACCATCAGAATTCCGGTCTGTGCGACCTTTGTCTTCGACTTAGTGCAGCTGCGACAGCCGATGAACGTCAAGCATCCTAGTGATGCGTCGATCGCCGGACAAGGTTTAGAGGCATACCTTCCGGGCCCACCGATCACCAGTCTCCTGGCGATGCCATTCACCGATGACCTGGAAAACAAACTATGTGAGTTCATTCTTTTGATAAACGACCCCGGGAATAACGGTTTCTCTGCATCCGATGAACACATTCTCAGCGCGCTGCTGACTTTTTTCGTGTCCGCTATCGGGACATTATCGTACCGCTACCGGGTACAGGCCACATCGCGACCGCTAAGGGCCGAGGGGGACTTATTCTGCCGACTGAGCATCGAAAGCCTCGACGATGTCGAGGATCTTCTGCGAATGTGCCAGGGAAACTTTTCAGTGCCGTCAGAGTTCTACACGCATGATTTTTACTGTAAGGCATATTTGGAAGATAATTTGAAACTGCCGTATTTGTTCATGATGATGGTGGAGGATCTGTTTGGAAACGACGCTTTTGACCAGCGGAAGTTGGCGGCTTTTACGTTGGCAGTGCGCGAAGGCTATCGGAGTGTCCGCTACCATGGATGGCATCACGGGATCAGCGTAAGCCGTAACAGGAAGCGTTGGTAATATTAAGTTTTTTCTTCACAGGAAAAGCCTGTTTCTTTAGGTAGCACACACAATGTTCGTGATGCTGCGCGATAACCGTGACCATTTCACGGATCTCGAGCGGAAGTCTTTAATGGTCGCCACCCTTTGTCACGACCTCGATCATTTGGGCTTCAATAACGCCTTTGCCAAGAAGTTCATTTCTCCGTTGGAGAAACTGTATCCGGCCTCACAGATGGAGAACCACCACATCCGCGAGACATTCCGTATCCTGTCCATTATTAACTGCGACATCTTCCATAACTGGTCGGAAGCGGACAAATCCGCCGTTGCCGTCATGATCAAAGAGGCCATCCTGGCCACGGATCTAGCGCTGTATTTTGCCGGGAAACGCTCTTTCGAAGCCATGCTGGACAACGATGAGATTCGCCTAGACAACGGCGACCACCGACGGCGGCTGATGAATATCCTGATGAACGCCTGCGACCTGACGGCGTCCACCAAACCCTGGGGGTACCAGGCCGAGTGCACTCGGGATCTGTACGATGAATTCTACACCCAAGGCGACATTGAGAAACGCTACGGCGAGCCACCCATCCCAATGTTGGATCGGGATAACGAAGGCAACCTGGCCCGGGAGCAAGTTGGATTTTTGCGGTACGTGTGCATGCCGTTGTATGCGCTAGTTAGCCGCATACTGCCCAGTACGCAGTGTCTGGTGGACAGCTGCGTGGTCAACATGATGCACTGGGAACAGGAGGTCATCAAGGCGGAGGAAGCCCAAACGGAGAAGCTCGCTGTGGGAACCCATGAGCGCGCTAATGAGGTTGAGCATCTGGATCCCAGTGATGTGGTTATGGGAGGAAAAGCGAAGCGGCCTCGCACCCCGCGCTCGGGAGCTAGTGATGTGGATACTCGGGACAAGCATGGAAGGGGGCTAGCAAAATCACCCAAACCAAAAGCGGGAAAAGTGGATGACAAGGCTACCAGAGCAAAAGCGAATGCGATGTAACGGATCGTATACTTCGAAATACAGTAAGATGTTTCGTTTACCATAGGAAGTTTTTGGCTATAAACTCTGTTCAGTGCTCTGTAGAGTTGAGCAATATCCTAAACAACACTCAAAAGTATTGTACCCGGTTGTCCTCTGTCCTCAGTGTAGTTTACGTTGTTAATGTACAGTAACACTATACAGTATGAAAGATGGTTGTCATCCACATTCAGTTTTCTGCAAGAAATGTTAAACCGAAGCTGTTGAACATCGACACCGACGACACGTACAGTATGAAACTTGTTTAACAGGTATTATGGCGCCACACAGTTATTATTATGGGAGATGACCCTTGTTTAACAGTTACAGTATTATGGTAATTACAGGGTACCCACATTGGATCGTATAGCAAATCCTTCCCTTAAAATATCCTCACGTGCATACGGTAAAACTCATTGAATCCTTTGCAGTATCGCTTAATTCATACGTCCTCATGATCGAAACAACAGTATTCTGCTATTGAATGGTACCTTCCGGCTTCCATTAGGCACTAGCCATTAATCAAGTCATCTAGCAGACTTATTTTCGCTCTTGCCTATGCCTCAGTCTCCTCAGCTTCCGCCTCGGAGACATCCGTGACTTCTGCGGAAGTGGGTTCTCCCTCCGTCATCTCCTGCTCTGTCGTGTCACCGCCGGCCCCGGATGTCTCCTCGCCCTTCGACTCCCCTTCTACCTCTCCCGGGGCATCTTCTTTCACCGGCAACGGCGGCAGCAGTTCCTTCCGGCGTTCCTCATCGGCCAGGAATGCCTCGTCGGCCTCTTTCAGCGCCGTTTCGGGGATGGCCTTGTAGTCATATTCCGGGTAAATGCCGATGTCCACCACTAGCTCTTGGTCCAGACTGCTGCCCAGGATGAAAGGGGCGTCGATTTCCTTGTCGCCGCGGCCGATATAACAACGTCCGTAGTTAGGAGTGCCAACGTTCTGCCAGAAGTACAAACCCGGCCACAGAGCGTTCTCCATGAGGACACAGTTCATCTCCATGGCATCTCGGAAAACCCATGACCCTACCAATGAAATAAAGTCTCGGTTTATGAGGCCGCTGATTTAAATGTCAATAAAGATCACGAAAAACCGACATAAAAACACTTAGAAAGGTCGCACATGTAATAAATAAAAACCTATGCAACAACGTTTTCCGTAGTTGTGCAGTGCTTTGTTTCCGCTCACCAAACGTTGTCTGTGGATCCGCCGGCTCCATCGCCAAAAGCGGACGCAAAAACCGGTAATCTGGATCGGCGATGCCGACATCGGACGATTTCTCAATGCCAGATTGAAAAGCGGGCTTGAACACTACGTAGCTGTGAAAATCCCGGCAGTGGTCGTAGGACATCCCTACATGGCACACAGCTTTCAGCTTATTGTTTTACCTCGAATACGGATCTGCAGCGGCGGACCTGAATAGGTAGGATTTCTTACCAGAAATCCTTTCTCATTCAGCCCCACAGCTCCTTTGGGGAAGATCGTGGCTTCGTTATCCACGGAGTATACAAGATATGCCAAACGTTCTTCTTCTTTGACAGGAGTCTATATCACTCAGAATGCTCATCGTTTGGTAGAATGAATAATATGACAATAGTCAGCAGTAGGTAGCAGATAATAACAAAAGAAGCTAAGTGAGCCATACCGTTGTAGGCTCATAGTAGGCTTCGCTGGTGTAACGATACTCTACAAAATGACTCGTAAAACTAGGATCTCCCGTAAACATTCCGCTGAGTCGTGGAGATTTCTTCTTAAGAATGGCGCTAACGAGCGGTAACATTTGCCAGATGCGAGCATCGCGACTGCAATCAAACATTGAAATCGTTCATCCTCTGCGTCGAATAAACAGGCAAAATGTCATCTTTGCGATGAAAACAGCCATAAGACTTTAACTAAGCGAAAATCGTCATCAAATTTACTTATCTCGGAATAGTTTCCTTCTGATTGAAGAAAGCATATTGTGAATGATGTGAACCATCACGCACCTGTAGTAGGTGACGGGTGCACGAAAGGGATGCAGTGTGCTGGCTTGTATCACGTAATAGTCATTCTGTGTACCGAAGACCTTCCCCCAGAAGGCAAACGGTCCCTGCTTAGTGTCGGACTCCAAAAGCCGACATCCGGTTCGGATAAACAGATTCTCCTCCACGGAAATGCTGGATGCCAAAGGAGATTGCGGATCCATGTAATACTGATCGACTTCAGTTTCAATGGATGTGTTAAACTTCCTCTCTTAATATTGTAGCCCGAGCAGGTTCAGGGTTCAGTTATTAATTTTGGCGAGCTAGCCGTAGCAACAATGTTGCAAGTTTCAACTGCACGTGCTGAACAGTGCCCAGTACTCAGTACTTACCGAAAAGACGCTCTACTCTCGAGGTGATCTGCTGACAACCACTCAGACTTACTATTTCTAGTGCTGACAATTGTGGACTACCTGAGGAATTAGCGCAAATTGACTTCAGCCAACTCAGTCAAAGTATACAATTACAGTCACTCAGTCAGTGATACAAAAGGAACCCGCCATTGTTTACGTTCTACGATTAATAATTTTGTTAAAGCAGCCTTATCGCTCTGAGAACTAGGGCGATTTTGTGGATCATTTCTTCTTGCTTCTCTATTTTTGAGCCACTTCGTAGGAATGTCTGCTTCTGGTATGGAGCTTTACTGCGTACCATTAGTCAAATAACATAAATCAGTTTGTTGTCTGTACCTTGAGATCACTTTACTTGGCGGATTTGGAGCACATGTCATGGTGGTCTAATCCATGGTCTTTGATTACAGGAGCGTCTGCCCCACAAGTGGTTTTCCAACAGCCGGGAAGCATGCCTAGTATGCCCATGGGCATGAGCATGAGCATGCAGCCGTTGGTCATTTGGGCTCCCATGCCCACGCCCATCCCTGGCGTCCCGCCCGGACTGGAAATGCTACACGGGAAGGAGTTCGTTAAGGTCGAGCAACAACACGAATGGTTGGAAGGTGCCATAAGCAACCACAGCAAATTCCATTTTTTCTGACCGATTTCATTGAAGAACGACTGCTTTTCAGTGTTTACGGGCTTCGAGGAAGCCAATCGCTACATTTTGAAAGACGAGAAAGGCGCCTACATGTACTTCGCCGCGGAAAACAGTCATTTTTGTGCACGTTGGTTTCTGGGCACTTTGCGTCCCTTTGAGATGGGCATCTATGACAACATTCAACGCCATGTGATCAATATAATCCGGCCCTACAAATGTGACAGCTGCTGCTGTTTCTGCTGCCTCCAGGTGCGCAACCCGGCATGTCACTTCGAACTGGACACGACGCCAACAGATTGATGTTTGCAGAGGCGTGCTTTCTCTGTAGACTATGGAGATCCAAGCCCCGCCCGGCACACCTATCGGCTTCGTGGAGCAGGACTGCTCTTGCTGTCTGCCTAAATTCCGCATTCTGGACGAGGATAAAGATGTGATGTTCCGAATCAAGGGACCTTGTTGTACGTCCAGTTGTTGCTGTCGGGACGTTGAATTCAAGGTAGGCACATCGCCAGACACCGCTTTCTCAATCTTACATATATGTTAACAGCTTACGCCGGTCATTTTTACTCAGATTCTGGATCCGGAAGGCGAGAATCAGGTGGGTCGCATCGCAAAAAAGTGGTCGGGCATTCAAGAGTTCTTTACCGATGCCGACAATTTCGCCATTGAGTTTCCCAGTAATGTGGATATCAAAGGAAAAGCTACGCTTCTGGCCGCCTGTTTTATGATTGTGGGTATCATCTTTCAGTACAGTTGTGAAATGCTCAGCGTTAATTTATACGTCTTTCAGGATTATCTGTACTTTGAGGACAGCGGCGGGCACGACAGGCTTAATCAATAATTACTACTGTTAACACTTGTTGGTGAACCTCTTCGATCCTGACTAATCAGGGAACATGCAAACTTCGCGCTCCCGGCGGACCGTTTGGCCTTTTATAGCACAGTTATATTTTTATGTAACTTTCTTTATACCAGCTGCTCTTTTAGTCACGTTTGTTACAGTTCACAAAATTATCCTGTTTAACAAATCCGTCTAAGAAATTATGGCTTTGTGATTTCTCATCTGGATACCGAGATTCATTGATAGTTCGCTACATATTCGTACGTATCACAAATTCCTGTTTCTTATGTGCAGTTAGCAACGCCGCACAAAATTAACAGTGGTTACAAAATAACAATGATTTAACTGTGAGCGGTTAAACTGACTCCAGGCACCGGCGCAGTGATGCTCTTTAGCACCCTTCTGGTTTCATCGGACAGTCTCGTTTCCGAGAACTGCCCACTTGGGCGGGCAAAGAATTTTCCCACGCGCTTAAAAGCTGACTCGCTGGGTCTACTTGCCATATTGACCCCAGACTGGTGCATGATGGCGATGCGCTCCAGCAGTGCCATTTCCATGGTCAAACGGTGACGTTGGTCCTTCAGTTTTTGCAGTGCCGCCACATGCTCCAGATATTCCGACTGCTTACTGTTCAATTTCATCATACTGGCGTTAATCTTGTCGATGTTACGCAGCACCTTGGCCAGATTTACGCTGGTCTCTTCGGCGACTTTAAGCAGCAGCTCCATCCCCAGTTCGCCCATGTCGGGGCCCTCTTGTATTGTAGGTTGTTCCTCCTCTTCATCCTCTAGTTTCTTGTCTAACTCGAGCAGTGCCGTCAGGCGCTTCCCGGCAGCCCGAACGAAGGCCCGCTCCGTCTGGATGTCCGACTGGATGCGCTTCAAATGAACCTCTAGTTGGTCGTGGAGGTCGTTCTTGGTGGCCAGGTCGACCTCGAGGTGGTGAGCAGAGCGGCGGTTCTCTAGTGCCTCGGCTAAGAGTTTCTGGACCTCCAGGTGCATGGCCTGGAAATCCGGCTGTTGTACCGTGGTAGCCCCATTCTCACCAGCGAGCTGGGCGAGATTGGCGGAAAAGTCAACGACGCTACTGGTGGTGGCGGCTTTTTGGTTGCGGCTATACTTTGCGTGGATATAAAAACAGATCAGCAAGATCAGCGTCCCGATCGGGAGTGCCGTGGCTAAGAATAGAGTCATATTAAATTTTATGGGAGTTTTTACGAGTACAGAAACTGTCTCTTTCCTAAATCGACAAGCCTGTTCCCCTGGTTACTGAGAATGCTTTACAGTATCACCAGCATTCTCTTTATTATACACAGTTCTGGGTCTCTCCAATGTTTCCATTGCAAAGGCTTCCATAACCTCGATGAGAAACGGGTTCCCTGCAACGTCATCCCCGAGACTTCGCGTGTGTGTTCCAACAGCTCCACTTCCTGCTACACTCAGGTGAGCACGACGCCGGTGGAGAGCGAGCAGTTGTCATCCTATGCCCTGACTCGCGGTTGTGTGGAGGGCGGCAGCGTATCTTGGCCGGATACGGCGACCGGATGTGTGACGATCATCGATGACAAGACCCTGTTGAGTGCATCTCTGTTGAATGATATACGCAGTGACCGCTACCGGATGCGCAAGCAAACGGTTATTTGTCGGTGTAAGACAGACTGCTGTAATAAAGCGCAGCTAGCTGATTTCGACGGCTGGCCGGAGCTACAGGTAGAGCCGCGCGTAAAGGACCCAGATAACCAGACATTCGAGTGCCGAAACGCTAGTGCGATTCCAGAGGTCACGGGGAATTATGCGGAACGGATGCGCTCATGCTTGCCTTTGTTGATAACTCTGTTTACTTTTTTATTGACGTGTACGTAGCATAAGTAATAGAAAAGGTGATCTTAACTGTTCAAAACGATTACCTTGATTTTACGGTTTTTTTGGATAATAATTCGTAAGAAGATTATTATTAAAGCAAATCTCGTGTACATACTGTGAAACATCGAAGCAGTATATTGGGGAGCGTTGAAAATCATCGGAAAATTAGGTTAATCAAGGGGATTTTTCTGCAAACTACAAAAAGAACAGTGCAAAAATTCGAATTAAATGACTGCGTGCTTGTCAAAGCCGCCATGTGGAAGACCATGTTGCTACCTTGACATAGACCGCATCCGTAATCCGGTGTTGTTATCCGCACGGTTTTGCTCGTCTTCTGCCTGACACAGCCTGGCGTCTTCGAGCACTGGTGCTTGGCCATGGCCGAACGCAGCGGCACGGCCGGAGTGGGGCGGCGCTCCCGTATCGAACTCATTGCAGCACTTCGTGGGAACGGTTTGCGTCAATTAACAAAAGTCTTCATCCAGTAATCGATGGGAAACGCTGTAAAATACTTGCTGAAAGCCGCAGAGCAATTGGCCGTCTTTAAAGAATTTTCGTTAAGTAAACGATGTCTTATGGGGACGGAATGTGGTTTTGCTACTTCTGCTCAAAGCAGAGAACCTAACTGTATTCGTAAGTACTACTTTTTGTATACTGATAATACAGTACTGTGGGTATCATGTTCTGTTATCGTTAGTTTTTGCATTTTATTCCGCATGGTGTATTTCAGCAATTCCCTTAAGTTTTCTAGGACTATGTCAAATCGGTAAACTGTCCCAAAAATCTTTTAGACTTGAGTTTATTGAGCCAGTAGCATGAGCGATATAATAAAAATCCCGCACTTTCCGTGATTTCCGTTCCTTCACGCGTTCTTGCCAAATAAAATTCTTGCTGCTGCTGCTGCTAAATGGTGGCGCTGCCGGCTGCTGTTGAACAAATTTGCAGGTCGTTGGTTGCACAGCAACGTGACCGCGGTCGACATAAATGCATAAGTAAACCCATGCATTCATTACAAATCTTTTGCGCTTCCGTTGAATGCCCAGACGTGAAGTTTCGCGGCAATAAAGCTCTCGTGAGTCGTGCTGCATACATCACATCCTTAACTTTTTCGAAATTAAATGCCGAAGGGAGACGACGTCAAACAATTAGTATTCAAAAGTTATTTTAACAAATTTTCTCATACCTCGTAGTTCTCCATCGGCACTTGCTATTCGGTAAGAAGACAGATCCACGAATCAACTGTTTCATATGCCGAGCCGTTGTTTGACAAAGGGTTTCTGCTTTGCAGAATTAGCGGAATTCATAATGCGTGAAATAGTTCATCTGCAAGCTGGCCAGTGTGGCAACCAGATTGGTGCTAAGGTCAGTCGCATACGGTAATAAAAAGTACCTCCGTAGACGTATTCCCGAATTATCCATCCACTTTCATTTTTTATCCTCCGAAACTGAAGGGAAGGGTTTGACGCCATTAACGAATGCAGAAAATGTGCATTTTTGAGAGAAGTGACTTTATTAGTTACTTTTCTAATCTTGTCCTAAAATCGATCCATTTTCAAACGGTTGTGGCCTTGCGCCCAACCTGACGACTCCTTTGCATCTACCGATACCGATAGCTCTCAAACAGGGTGGCACTTGCGCATTTCCAACAATTACGCGCGTCACCTAACTTTTAGTGCTGCGGAATACTTTGCGCAGATGGCACCGAACTGCTAGCATGCTTGTTAGACGATCAGTAGACCGCTGTAAGCGCAACATGGATTCATAGAGCCACAGTGCTCAGGTGTAACGTTCGACTATAAACGCGCTGCTACTGCTTTCTGAGCATGCAGAACAGCAATGATTTTTTGCTGCACGCTGCCGCTGTAATACGAGACAGCGGCTTTAGCTAAAACTGCTCGCAAATTTCCCGGTTAAGTGACTTAACTATCGATTGCCGATCGAGCTTGCAACTCTCCCGGTGAAAAAGGTAGACAGGTAAACATCAAGCTGCATAATTACATTAGCAGTTTGATGGTTGAGAGTATGTTAGCCATAATACAAAATAAAACTGTTTGTTCTTAATACGACCGGTTGTGTCGGCAGTTCTGGGAAGTGATCTCTGATGAGCACGGCATCGACCCCACCGGCACATACCACGGTGACTCTGATCTGCAGCTGGAGCGCATTAATGTCTACTACAACGAAGCGACGGGTCTGTGAGCATCCTTTTGTAGGCGGATCAGCAGGTTGTTTGTATGACGAAATGCTTGTAGGTGGCAAGTACGTCCCGCGGGCGGTGTTGGTGGACCTTGAGCCGGGCACGATGGATTCTGTTCGCTCCGGTCCCTTCGGACAACTCTTCCGGCCTGACAACTTCATTTTTGGTACTTTTCAAATTCAAAGAGAACATTGGTCATATAATGCCTGAGAAAATCGTTTTACTTCTGTTTTACGTGGACTGTTCTTGCTGAATTTTCGGCACTTAATAGTGCTTCTGTTTAGTCAAGTGGCACATTTCAGGAAAAATCGACATGGAAAATCATTAATGATTATTATGTGCGCTACAGGACAAAGCGGAGCGGGTAACAATTGGGCCAAAGGTCACTACACTGAAGGCGCCGAACTGGTCGACTCGGTGCTGGATGTCGTACGGAAGGAAGCGGAGAGCTGCGACTGCCTGCAGGGTTTCCAGCTGACCCATTCCCTTGGCGGAGGCACCGGATCCGGCATGGGCACGCTGATGATCTCCAAAATCCGCGAAGAGTACCCCGATCGCATTATGAACACTTTCAGTGTTGTACCCTCACCCAAGGTAAACTTTTAAACCAGCTCCATTGTACGATGTCACAATGACGTCAGACCTTATGCTAGGTCTCCGACACGGTAGTGGAGCCTTACAACGCTACCCTCTCCGTCCACCAACTGGTGGAAAACACCGACGAGACATTTTGCATTGACAACGAGGCATTGTACGATATCTGTTTCCGCACGTTAAAGCTGACAACACCTACGTATGGGGATCTGAACCATCTGGTCTCGGCCACAATGTCAGGCGTAACCACATGTCTACGTTTTCCCGGCCAGTTGAATGCGGACTTGCGCAAGTTAGCGGTGAACATGGTGCCCTTTCCGCGATTGCACTTTTTCATGCCCGGATTTGCACCGCTGACGTCGCGCGGTTCGCAGCAGTACCGGGCGCTGACCGTTCCTGAATTAACACAGGTATTTCAGTTCCAGTCGGAACCAAGTTATAAACTGCCAGCGCCAATTCGCCAAATTTATTTCAAACTGAAAGAATTTGCGTCATAATGTTATCACTGTGTTTACATTGCTCGGTATAGCAAATGTTCGACGCCAAGAACATGATGGCGGCTTGCGACCCTCGCCACGGCCGCTACTTGACGGTGGCGGCTATCTTCCGCGGACGGATGAGTATGAAGGAAGTGGACGAGCAGTTGCTAAACATTCAGAACAAGAATAGCAGGTAGCTTTTCCTTTATATTCTGTACCAGGAATTAGTGTTGACAGCCGCACCGTGACCTTTAGTTACTTTGTGGAATGGATTCCCAACAACGTCAAGACAGCGGTCTGCGACATTCCGCCGCGGGGACTGAAGATGTCGGCCACCTTCATCGGAAACAGCACAGCCATTCAGGAGCTATTTAAGCGGGTGTCGGAGCAGTTTACCGGTAAAATATCATTAGTTCGTAAGTGCTTACTTACTCGTACAATTTAGTAACGGTTTCTTTGTGCGACTTATTCAGCCATGTTCCGCCGCAAGGCTTTCCTTCATTGGTACACCGGTGAGGGCATGGATGAAATGGAGTTCACAGAAGCCGAGTCTAACATGAATGATCTGGTGTCGGAGTATCAGCAGTATCAGGAGGCCACCGCTGAGGACGAGGGCGAGTTCGAGGAGGAGGGTGAAGGCGGAGAAGCGGAGGGATAAAAAAATGATAGGGCGGTTGGGATGCCTACAGTACTTTGTACCTGATTGATTCTGGTCTAATTAATGGTTAATTAGTTGCTGTTATATCTACAGCCAGTTTGTGGTTTGTGATGATCAGTGATGACGTTTTCTGTTGTAACAGTCACCTACGAAGTTTCTTAGTGCGCCCTACGTAGCAACATACCATGCATTTAACAACAAAGAACGTAAATTATCTAGAAGCCCGAGTAACCCAAGCATTTACGCAAGGAAACTTTCCGAAGCATGCGTTAGCAATTCCAGCTGGCTGGTTATTTTGCATAAACGTCCTTCTTTCTAACGTGGGAAAGCCCAAGCAGCGTGGTACAACATAAAGGTCATACGTGCTCAAATTAATTAATTAAAGATGTTTGCTTGATGGCAAACCCGAGTTAACGTGAAATTATGCAAGGTCACTACGAGCACACGCAAAGCAAAGATGGCCATAAACGTGAACTTTTTGCTTCTCACCGCTGTCAGCGCGGTAGACGCGCGGCTGCACTGCTACGACTGCCGCGGACCCAATTATCTAGACGCCGACGGGATTCCCTGTAACCGCCTGCCCGACGACCGCATAATGGCCTGCTACGATACCGTACCGTATTGTTTCGCTGAGGCTACAGCATTCATCAACCCTCCTTTGCCATCCAGCGACAACCGCACTGCCCCGGCGAACCAAAGCGCTCCTGCATTTGCTCTCAAACGCGGCTGTCTCACCAGCACGGCCGACTTTGGAACCGCGAACTGTGTGACCTTCGTAGATGATCAGCCCCTCACATCGGAAATGTTGACTCAGATTAAAGATACCAATAAGACTTTGCAGCCACAGAAAAAAAGCATGCTGTGTCGCTGCAGCGGGGAGTGTTGCAACAGTTGGGTGCTGCGGGATTTCGCAATACTAACCCAGCCGGTGTTCTTGGCTAATCCAACGGTGCGTATACCAGGACCAGCGTGTGCGGGCTACTTTCGCCCAGGTGGTGCACTGAATGGGACGGAAATAGAACCGGAGTCACGAGTTAGCAGCAGTGGCAATGGTGCCATTGATTTGGTTGTTTTAAGATTTATCTTCATTTTAATATTGGCGGCTACGTTCGTTACAACGAGAACGTAGCTACCTTCATCGGGAAAATGAGAAAGAACTAAATAAAAAAAAAACTTTCACCGCCGACCCTTGCGCTCACTGTCACCAGTTTACAAAATCTCCAGGCGACGCTTCATAAGACGAAACCACGATGTTCTTTTTAATTTCGGTTTTAATTACTTACTTGGGTGCAGGAAAACTATAAAAATTCATGAAAATATGAAATAATTCCGACTAGTCAACAATGCATGAAAATTATGAACCATGATCACGGCGGCATAAATGCATGTGCAACCAGTTTTAGAAGATGGCGATCGTTCTGTCGATCCCTGATACTGTCAACCACGTCAGCAACAGCGTGCTGCAAATCAGCATTCACACGGGTATCGTCGTCGTGGATCATCTCCTACACTCGGGATTACTGTTGCGTTCATTTGTGCTCCTAAATATAAGGTCACTATCCGCTGCTGTTGGGTATGTGAGTGGTGACGTTTGTTACTGTGCAGTATATATTAATAAATCAGAAGTGTCACTGTTTTCGATTTGGTCATTAACATTAAATACAGATACTGTAGTCATCGCGCTTGCCTTGTTTATTTTCGAAATTCCATTTTGTTTTTATTATATTATCGTTTTGCAATTTTTATTGCAATTTTATTGCAATTATTGAAGTCTTATGATTTTTAATTTACGCTCGTCCAGGACGAGCGCATATTAAAAATCGTTTGTCGTTTTATTCGAGATATATTCGTTTGTCGTTTTATTCGAGATATATTCAATGTAGGACGAGTCGTCCTACATTGAATATATCTCGAATAAAACGACAAACCTATTTGTTTTACTTCTCCCCACAATCTTTTTGGACACATGTTTGTAGGAAAACATTGGCACAGGCTTGCAAGCTGTTAGGCTACCGCGCCCTGGGCACTATCGAGCAGCAGGTTATCACTACCTCCACGTCGTTCTCGTCCGCGCCCATCTTCCGCTACCGCGCAACCGCCCCAGCCCACTCCGATTACCCACCGGAAGAGACTAGCATCGACTCCCTTACCCTTTCTGCCATTTGCAACGGTAAGCCGCTAGAGAGGGAGATCTGTAGTGTGTGTTTGGAGTTTTTCGAGCGGTGCGACCGATGTTTCATGGCACCATGCCGACATGTCTTCCACACCCACTGCATCCTGCATTGGATCCACATTAGTCGGGAGTTCTCTTGCCCGGTGTGCCGGCTGGACATGTATTGCCCGGATCGGGAGGCCTACTACGCCGCCAAAATGTACACCACCATGGTGGATCTGTATGATGTGTTGTTTACTTATGAGTTTTTGCCGGTGGGGAAGATGCTGCAGTTGCCGAATAGTACCAAACCAAACAAAGGTTAACCATAAAGGGTATGCATTTAATAGACGGCTCTTTTCCATCGTTTTCGACCAAACATAACATTTCAACTTTTTATTAGTACAGTGTGGTGCTTTGTCTTTGGCAGAACGAAAGTTTTGATGAATTTTACGCTTACTTGGTGGTTCTGTATATGTATGTCCTTGCGCTTTGCTTTTTTATGATAAATGTTTGTTTAAAGTAAACGTGCAATTTTTTAGTCTGGCAAAACAGCTTGAAGCCCAGCTTTTCATCACCATAAATTTGCCGACAATGTATTCATTTATTTGCTTTTGATCGACGCCCGTCTACCTTCCAACGTCGGCAGCGTCCCTTTGGAACCGCGTGACCTTTCCGCCGCCCTGCCTTCTCCACGCCGCTTCCCCGGCGCCTCGTACATCTCCCGGAAGCGTGCCAACTGTCTAATATCCGTTACGTACTTCTTGACCGACCCCTCGCTTTCGGGATCCGTATCTCCCAGATGCTCGCCCTCCACCCAAGCTTCCTCTTCCGGCTTCACATCGTACTCCTTCATATTCAAATTGAATAGCACCACTTTGCGTTTGGCCTCATCACTGTCGCTAACTGGGGTTAGGACTCGCGAGCGCATCTCAGAAGCGACGGAACGAGGCGGTGGAGCCTTCTCCACGGGAGCGGAAGTTCCGCCCTTCTTCCCTTTGGCCTTCGGTTCATCGAGACCGAGCTCCTTGGTGCAGGTGGGTACGTCCGGAAAAAGCAGCCAACTTGCGGTGCGGGCGCTTTTCTCCCGCTTGAGTTTGCGGCGAATGAGTTCGAAAGCGTTGGGACGTCCTATCGGGATGTCTGGGATTTCCGGAGCATCCGGTTTGGGACTCTTGGCTTTCGCCTTACCTTTCTCATCTTTTTTGCCCATTGGCGTGCGTTGTTAGAGTATCAAGGAACCATGGAAACGTTACGTACGCATTCGACAATCGGCCCGACTATATGATGTCGATGCAAGTTCAACTATTGTTTACAATTCAAAATGTTTCGATTTCACAAAAATGTCCCAAAACAATAAGGGAACTTTTCAACTAATTTTTTGATTCGTAGTATCATGGGTAATACCATCTTCAGTCGTATTTTCATCTTTATGATGTGCGTGCGTGGAGATTAATGGCCATGATATTTCTATGGAATCACGTTTTTCTGTGCAAACTGAAAGCCGATGCCATCTTCGAAAGATAATCAAAACAATATAAACCCTGTAGGTGAGCTCCATTCGTTTTGCACAATAATGAATTACCATGTACCTTTAAAGTAAACGATCCATTTTATTTTTGTTATTAAGATTCGACCGATTCGGAAAGTCAGGCAAAACCATATCAGCCGAAATCGCAGAAACCCAAACTTGGCGACCTCAAGCATCGGTTCGCCAGCGTCCAGACCACTGACGAGACCGATCCCAAATTAAAGGTCATCACTGCTAAGCCCCGCCAAGAGGACGGCGGCCGTGAGTGGCATGATCCAACCATGTTTTCCGGTTACTTTCGCTCATCGAACCGCGACGCAGCGTCCTCCACCTCCGCACCTGACGAGGACCGCTCTTCCAAAGATCGGTCGTTGTCGCGCGCCGGCCGACGATTGTCCCTGGTCACACCTGAAGTGCAAAAGCGGGCCAGTATAACAAGAGACTCCTTGAGTATTCCGCCACGTCGCGACAGCTTGACTCCACTGGCCTACTTTGCGCAGCATGAGGCCGTTGAGCAGTACATCGAGCCGGCGGCAGTGATCAATCCGGATGCTCAGGACAGTGATTCTCCGGAGCAGACGCTCCCGATCTTGGCACCAAGGGATTCTGCCGAGCACTTTCGGTTACCACGCAGCTCAGTGGCAGGTGGAATAAAAATTGAGATTACTCCGCCCAGCGCGCTGAAAGAGGCTAATAACGTCATTTTGGAGACGGTGGTCATGGAGGTCCCCATTGACGAATCCGCCCCAGTACCGTCGCTAGAGAACAGCCGAATTTTTGTCGTACAGCAGTTGACAAAGTCTACCGCGGATGTGCCCGAGATTGCCATTACCAGCAGCTCCGAGACCGCAGAGACGGCTTCTAGCGGTCCCACGGTGCCACGGCAGTCCGTTCAAGAGATCAGCAGCTCTCATACCAACTCGGTCCCCGACATGCCAGCGCCGCCTGCCCGACGCCGTACCAAACTAATCGCGGTTAACGTCCGACGACAGACCCTGTCGGCTGTTCCCCGCATATCCAAGACCGTCCGCTTTGCGCCAAGCCCTATCCGGGAGACCGCAGTCACGGTGGCACCAGACACAGAGATGGAGGACCGAAGTCCTCATTTGTGGTCGGACGAGAAGGCCCAAACTTTTGGTGGCCCCGAGGAACTGGCCATGGAACAAGACGAACCGCTGGTTCCGGGGTTATTACGTTCGTCGGATCTGTCTAACAAGGAGTTAAATACATTCCAAGGGAAGATCAACAATAAGTTGTTCCAAGATGAACGAGACGCCCTGCACCACTTTCTGGACAGCCGTTTCCCGGAGTCCTCGCGAAAAGCGTTAGTGGCGCGTAGCTAAAGCAGCACCGCATGGACGCGCTTGAATAATCACGTACGTACTGTCTGTGTTTTAGTTGCCGTTCGCAGTCTAACTGTCCTGCATCCTCCCAACAGAGCAGCCCCCGGCCACCGGGAACGCCGCGGAAGAGCGCCAAGAAGCAGTACGCTTGCTGTTCTACCTGCGCCCTGTGTTAGACACTCCGTTTCTTTTGTGTGTTGACTGGATCATGAGAGCTTTTAATTTTTGTGTTTCTAGGAATCATTTTGCATGTATATAATATTATAATTATTTTATATGACTTTGTTAGAATTTTTTACTTCCGCTATTTATTGCGTTTCTGTTTTCACCTAACATAAAACAACGTTTCCCACCGCACTTCTTAAACACACAAACTTTCGTCAGCACAAGAGCACAACTTTCCGGCTACAGTTTAAACACAAAACTTATCACAAAATATTAAAAATAAGGTACGATGATCTAACAGAGCGGCCGTAAAATCCATTGCGGATCTGTTAAACCATCATGCCATCTGACTCTACGTTAGACCATCTTAGTCTACGGTAGACAAACATATCAGGTCACACTTCACTGGTAAAGGGCTTCCATGGATCGTTGAACTCTTTGGCGTTTCTCATGGCTAATCGCAATTTTGCCACGTCTAACGAGGGATCTTTGGCTGGAAGCGGGGAGCAGTTGCAGGACTCACGCAACGCAAGCGCCTACAGCAACAGACTTGGATAAAACGGATTACGAGCCGATTTATCTCGTAATGTGCAGAAAAAACATCACTTTCGTAGATTCAGCCATTAAATAGATGGGCACCGGCGAACTACTTAGCGAGCGTCACCTCCGGCATCTGCTGCGCCAGTTTGGCCGCTCGTTTGCGGTGGCTGGGATGCGTGCTAAAATACTCCGGCACAGTGACGGCGTTTATGTCCACGGAGCGCTGGATTTTGTTGATAAGGTGCATCCGCTGCCAGAATGCCACATTCTCCCGGACGTCGTAGCAGGCTTTGGCTGTCAGTCGCAGACCCACTTCATCGGCTTCGAGCTCCAGCAAACGATGATGCGGCAGATACACACAAAGCTAAAAAACACATTTGCATCACACTTTGTAATGAACGTAACTATCACTTCCTGCGGAAAAAATGGAATACCATTTACTGCCATGAATCTAGATACAGTATATTAAGGCATACGTATAATATCGGCATATGTGGTGACGCATTTTCAGACAATCGCAACAGAAATGAGAAGTTCCAATACTTTTATCGAAGGAATACGCAACGAAACAATTACCTGAACGTGCCACTTACACTGATAATTTCATAAAGCACGACAGACGCCGCCAATGCCAACATAAAAGACGGAATCCATAACCAAATCCCGGCAAGCGCCTACAACGCACTCCTCTTAACTCCGCCCAACGGCAACCAGTACTGTTTGTGCGTTCTTACAAAAAGTGCCGAAATCTCGGCACAATGTGTCGTGCTGTGCAGTTCCGGCTGCAAAAGCCCAAAATAGTGAACGAGTTAGAAGAATTTTGTGAAGGGTAGGTGGCGTGATCAGGTGGATAACAAGTAAGATTACCACGTGATCCAGGATAGTATGCGCCAGTTCATGACTGAGCACCACCGCTAAATGATCGTCGTTGGCCAGAATGTCCAGAATCCCGGTGAAAACAAAGATGTGTCCTGTCTGCGGCAGCAAACAGGCATTAGCCAAGCGAGCGAAGCAATCTGTTTGCTTCTCGTGAAAGTAGCTAATACTACTGACTAAGTCGGCTCCTTGTTTCCGCACTTACAGGAACAACAAATGCGTTTTGTTTGGGACTGTCGATAACGGTAACCATCCAGTGTTTGTTTTTAACCGCCGGCAGATCCGCATTGCTTTTCAAAATGCGAGTGACCACCCGATTGACCTGTTTGTACGCCGGATGACTGGTGGTGATGAAGTGGTTCTTCATCAGACGGAATAGCTGTAAACAAACAACATTCGAGTTCCGTAGGGCGAGGTTGAATAACAGTTTAGCGGGTACCATAGCCTTTTCCATCTCCACGATACTCTCAAATTCATTGACGTTAAATAACATAAAACGCTTTCGCTTGGTCACCGGTGCAGTGTCCAGGTGGATATAGTAATAGAGCAGAGCAAACATCGCCAAGCCCATTATTCCCCCTACGCTTTCACAAATACACTTGAAACAGTTGTTGTTCAAACGTTTGCGGTGATTGGACCATACCCGCTGCATAATACAGATAAGCATCCAATAAACGTCGCCGTTCCGATAAGGATTTATTCATCCAGTAGCGCCGCGCATATCTTCATCATGAAAAGGTCAATTCAATTTACGCTAAGTGTATTCTGTATGTACTAACTTTGAATAGAACTGTTCAGTTGCGGTAAAGCAGACAGTACAATTGGGAAACTAAGACTGTTTCCATAAGATTAACTCCCATCAGAACTTCAATACGCACGCAAGGAATGCGCACTTTAAAACACATTCAGGCCTAGGTCTTTCTGGGGGTTCATAAAGCCCGTATAAAAACCCAAAATACTGTAAAACTTCCTTTCCACGGTTGCAAAAGAGCACAAAATAATCACGTGGTGGCTTGCTTATACATATCGCATGGAACGACTGCATTGTGTCACTGGTTACCAATTATTCAGATTTTCTTGAAAGAGCTTTAGTTTTAGTACCTTCCGACCAGAACGGCCAACGGGATGCCCACAATCCGTATGGCCAATGTTGGCACCACCAAAGCATGTCGAGGGGTATTGGTGGAAAAACAACGAGAAACAAGTGTGCAGTACGGAATGGAACAAGCAATAGCTTTTCGTTGTGTAGACGCTGCAAACAGCTGACAGCGAGCGCTGCGCTGTCCAAGGAAGATCGGGACCTGGGACTGCAAAGACAATTGCCACTGTCTGCTCAAAGCCTCTCGATAAATCGCACGATTACCACTGATTTTCAGTAAATTCCGCCATCTAGACATTTAAACCAAGCAGACATATTTGCTTAAATCAAAGTCTCAGATGTCAGTACAACCAGGTGGAGACGTATTGACCCAGGACCAAGATCCATTGATTATTAGGCAAAGAGCGGTCAAATCTCTGCAGCGCACGACATCCTAACACCAACACATTCGCATTCAAGTCAGCTAGTGGTGCTTAGCAACTCACCGCACGCAGAACGCCGTCTCAAGAGTAGCAGCAGCACCCCCGCAGAACAAGCTTTACCACTTTTAAGGCGCACTGTAATCAGTCTCGCTTCTCTGAACGCTACGCTATGGATTACTCAGCCGACATCGAATACTCCTTTTCCCCGTTTGCAATCTATTAAATCCCAAATCACTTTTTGGTTTTTCTGTTCATTATGGCGAAGTCGGAGTCAACCGATTCAACAAAAACCCCGGGCACGCCCTCCCTCAGCAAGCTGAGCTCCATTTCTGTTCCCCGCGGCGGAGAACAACCGGCATCATCGCCGCCCCTAAAAACCAAAAAGATGAGCACCATTGCCTGGTTCAGCAAACACTGGCAGCAGTTTAAGCGCCGCCTGTCGTCGACGGGAATGGCACTGCGCAGCAAGTCTGTGCCTAACACCACTCGCTTCCACCGGGCCACAGAGCGGCGTTCCCGGTCGCGAACATCCAGCGTCAGCGGCCCCTGGCGTAACGATTCCACTACGGAACGTTGTGGATTCACGGCGCGCGGTAGTACGTTGTATAATGTATTTAGTGACTTTGCTTTGGTTATCCTGGTATTTTGGTAAACATTGATTACACTGTCTTTCAAAGGTAACGCAACAAATAGCGACAGTGAGGGTTCTTCGGGCATTGGAGTGCGGCGAGTGCCGGAAAGTGTACAGAAATTTGGTAAAAATCGTTACGAACTTCCTTATGTTACTGATTCAATCGTTTGATTTTTTCTGATTTATCCTTATATTTCAGATATTCACGAGAACACATTGAAAACTAAGTTTCGCCAGTTACGCGACCAGTATGCACAAGGTACTGACTAAATTTTACTTCAGTCTGGTCCCAGTACAGATAGTTGCAATTACCCGTCTTTAGGTAAACTGAAGAAATACAAAGCAAACGAAGTGACCACAGGAAAGTTGGGCCGGCCGAGTACGTTTCTCGCATTTTTCTGGAGCTCAGCTTATCAACTATCTAAGAATTACGGTTCAAATTTGTGTACGCGAACCATCCCGAAACCGACGTCATACATTGGTTGCTTTAGATAGGGAAGCCGCGAAACCGACTGAACCATCCACCATCCTCATCGCGACTGGCTCGTCGAGTACCTCTTCCCGTCCCCCGACCACCTCACGAAAAACCCTCACTTCCTATACCGCAGCCAACTCGGAGAAAACCGACGCTGTCCGTCCGGACCTCTCCTGCAAAATTGTCACGGCTCATTCCGCAACCGCCATTCAAAGAGTCAAGTCTTGTCAATTCCCAGCCACCTCGCGAAGCTCCACCAGCTCCTTTCTCAGCGGGCTCAGCCTCTGTAAGCGTTCAAAGAGGAGTAAATAATTGGCGCCGCTGTGAAGAATATCTCGCCAGTATTCCGTCCGATTTATCCTTGAGTGATGTCGCGGACCTGGAGCAAGAAAGGCAGGTGGTAACGGAAGCGGTAACAGAGACGCCGCCGAAACCCCCGCGATCAAGCGCTTTTCCTGCACCATCCGTCCGGGCGGCGGCTTCCAGAGCTTCCCTTATTGGAGATCTGGACATTAAGTCGAGAAAATCAAAAAGTCATCAGCTGCTTTTGTTGAGCGACAACGATGTTGAATGGTTTGAACAGCAAGAGCAAACCGTGATCCCAGAGAAGATGGAGATGGATACCGCGACACAAGTGTCGCTTTCATGTAAGCATCCGAAACCTGTACAGGACGGGTAACTTATTTGTTACAAGCATTTTCTTTGTTTAGCGGAAGAATCACCGGCACCCACGGTTTTGACCCAACATATTACGGATAGTCCGCATCCATGCCCACGCCCCCGACGTGATCGTCACCTCCGTATTCGTTGCCGGCCGAAACCGCAACGTGAAAAATTTGTACACCTAACCGTCTACAACCAGGCTCCTCATAACCGTTTTGTCATTGAACCTTGTGCTTTTGGCTTGCCCTTGCCCACTACCCCATTATGTCCTTGTCACCAGCGCCAGCTGGCTGACGTCAATAATGCCGCGGTGCAGTCCGAAAGTGGCAATGACAAAAACCAGTCGATTCCCGTAGAAGACCCAGCAACTGCCGGTAAAGAGGCAGTTGCACCAAACGAAGTTGTTGCTGAACCGACACAAGAAGCGTTGGCGTACCTACAAGAAACCTTACGCACAATAGGGGCTCCTAACAGGTAACATATTCAGAGTGTCGTTTTTGTCTATGCTGATCAAGCCTAAGCCTAGCAAATTTGATACATATATTCTTGTCAAGACTATTTTATCAACCCAGTCTGCAAAATTAACAACCTGTTACCATAATTGCAGTACAAACTTAGACTCACAAGTGCCTGATCCGCAATCTGAGCCACCGGATGGCGATGTTATCGGACTAGACAATAAACCGGCAGCGGAAGATACAGATCACTTCGAAAGCACTCAAAATAAACTTGAAGAAAAAGTTCCCCAGCCTGTATCAAGGCAGTGGTTGCGCCGATTACCTAAGCGGCGCCACGTCCTTAAGCGCTACGGACGGTGCCCGGTTCGTCGAATTATTTACATTAGGCAATCGACCAGTGATAGTCCAGTTGCCGTTCCCACCGAAGCACCGTCGAAACCAACTGAAGCTGGATCTCCCGAGCGCAACGACTTGGTAGAAGTGAACTTCGCCCCCGACGAAAGGAACCATATTCAAACTATCAGTCACTATTCTATGCCAGAAACTGTCGTCGAGGAACAAATCGCTGCTTCCCATGCCAGCACGCCGTGCGAAATAATCACCGCATCGCATTCGTACGAGTCTTTCCAAACATCCGATTCCCACCCAGAGATCCCCGTCATACCACCTGGCAATATTACTGCCGAATTTCAGCAGATGCTGCTGATTTCTAATCTAGCCAATCTGACCGCCATATTAAACAAGGTCACGACCGAGAAAACTGATGCAAACTTAGCAGAGCGCATTAGTCTGTCGGATAGAGCTGAACAGACGCATTTTGAAGCAACTGACACAGTCTTCCACAACGAAGCCGTTCTGCTCGATTTGCCCAACGAACCGCTCCAGGAGCCGCGACAATCTCTACCCTGCATATCGGTATCTGCTGGCTGCCAGGTGTCTGTTTGTAACCAATCAGCGGCAAAGGCCCGAAAGCGCCGTGTGCAGTTCATTCCGACATTGTCCAAATACCACAAACACCGCAACTTCCATTGCGACGAATGCCGACGAAAAAAGAGTTTCGACCGGAGTGTGCTAACAAGAATCTACACTAACCGGGATTCAGGCGGTGACAGCTGTCGTGGACAACCACAGCCAGTTGAATCATCATCGAAGCCGCGAGTTAAGCAGGTAACATTTGCCGAATCCGAGCCAGCGCGACTGCCTCCCGAGATGCTCCAAGAAAAGCTGTCGCTCTTGCAAGTGGAAAAAGGTTTCGTCATCCCCACCCTCGAAGTATTGCAGCACTTACTCCATATCTTCCAGCTAGACGCACCGTTAAAATGTCATCCCAAGGACGTTCACGCCATCTGGGAAGCATGGAAGTCTCAGTTATCTTCCCTTTCCGGAAAGAAAGAAATCCATAGTGGCATCTTTGCTCAATACGCACAGTTTTCTTATAACCGATTCATTCATTTCATTAAAATGTATTGTACATCCACGCCCGCGCAGTCATCCTTGGAAATTCCCGAAGACGATTCCATTGCCGCACAGGAACTTTTTCAAGCCGGTGTATTGGAAATCCCAGTCAATCGTCCCAAGGCCTTCACCTTTAACGTACCAACCAACCGGGACTATCTGCGTGACTACTTGGTGTCGCATTTTCGGGTGGACGCCGATGGCCGATCCCGTTCCATCTTTCGGCAGAAGTTCCCTTTCTACTTGCACCTGTATAAAAGCGGCCGAACCCGGAATCTCTCCGATGACGAGGTCAACGACGTCAAACTCATGCTGCATCTTTTTCGACTGGACCGCTGTACATTGTTCTCCAAGAGCGAGACCAAGTTGATCGATGATATTATGCGGACGTGGAACTCAGCCAATGCCGAAAAATTGTGTCGTCAGAATGTTCTCGACGTGCACCGTGTTACACAACGTTGGCTAGTGGAAACAGCATACATTAATTATCGGCAGAGTCTTGGCGCTGAACAAGCCATGCAGATTCTGGGACTGAAGTACCTTAACGCGGACTGTCACCCGAAAACCACGCTTCCGAAGGAAAGCAAGCCGGAAAGGTCTCCGGTTACTCAAACAGTGGAGGAATCCCTTAAGCGGTTCCAACAGCTGAACAAGAACATTTGGTCCGTGTGCCGCCACACCGAAGAAACGTCTCCGGCGACAAATCAGCAGCGATCGAGCTCAGTCATGCAGAAACAAACGGTACCGCACTTGTTGAGAAAGCTGCATAAACGCATTTGTCGAATGTTTTGTTTACAGCAATCTAATGGATGTGCTGTCGAAACTGGCAAAGAAATCTGGAAAAGCACCACGGTGACCTTGGCGAATGATTTGCGACAGCCGAAGCAGTTCGACAACCTGAAGCCTCATCGAATTATGGTTCGTCGTGCCGAACGGACGGCACGGGTAGAAAAGAACTCGTTCGGCAACAGTTCCGTGATGGAGACCGATAGCAGCTTGTCCATACAGATTTGCACGAGCGATACTTGCGATGGTTTGAAGAAAACAGCCCTTTAAATTTGTGCTTCGGCATTTGAACGATCTGATGTTAAGTTTAGCGGAAGTTGTTGTAACCATGGTTTTCCTAACGTTTCGACCGAAACTGAATGTTTCGATTGCGTCATGATGCTAGAATAATTAAAAACTGTAGGCGTATTTTTTACCAACAGCAAACAAACCTGCTTAAAAAGTTCGAATCGGCTGATATTCAAGAGTTCGTAAATCCAAAAGACGCCATTCCGGATAGTTGACAATTTTGTTTGATTGATGGCCGGATCATCAGCTTCCAGCGTCGGTAAAGCTACTGCCAATTTATTTCGATTCCCTTGCCTATAGTATTAAGAGCTTTGTTTACAAAAGATATTAAAATCGAGCAAGAGTATATTTTGAAATATGCAGAAAGAAATGGTTTTACGAATGTAGTAATAGCGTCTTCGTAACTTCCTTGTAGGAAGTGAGGGAAAAAGCGGTAAGAGTTCGGCCAGTTCAAAAAAGAGCAAAAAGGATTCAAAGAAAAAGGGAGGCAAAGCGGACGCAAAGAAGGAGCAATCGAAGGAGCAGTCGAAAGGTAGCAGGGCCAGTAAGGGCAGTCAGAGCAGTCGCGGCTCCGGGGCCGAAAGCGGCGGAGAGGGCGATGCGCCAAAGAAGGGAAAGGGCAAGCTCGCGCGGGCGCCCAAAATTTACGCCAGTGCATACAACGACGTCATCTGGACGATGTTGAAGGACTACACCAAAGAAGTGCTGCGCAAATCGCCCACGGACATTTTGGCCTGGTCGGCCGAGTATGTGCTTATCAACAAATGTTGAGCCCGTACTCGCACGTTGACCATAAGTTACAGAATGTGGCGCGAAAATATCGAATGCTTAGTAAGTTGCTTAATTGCAGGTACTATGCAAAGAAGGTAACCGAGCGGCGCGCTGCATCGGAAGCCTATCGGAGCAAAATGTGCGGAAAGGGCGCCCGTGGCGGACCCTCCCCGGGGCCCTCCACCGGGACGTCGCGTGCCGCCAGTTCCCGCGGATCCAGCCGCTAATCGTTCTTCGTTCTCTTATCTGTCCTTCATTGCTTGTTTTCCTCCGACTTTTATAACTTAACCATTTTTAACACTTTTACTTTGTAACAGACCATTTGCTTACGACTTGTTGACTCGCACCAATCACATCTTAGCAACGTGTACATTTACAATCCACAAATGCGTAATATTTACTATATTTCGTGGTGCATTTATGACATAACCTGACATATCAATCCGTGCGTACTTCTCAAATTATCCCGTATGAGCCTCCTATTCACCATTCTCTCCCACCTTCCTCTCCGGCTGTTAACCCGCATCCCATTCCGCGTCGCTATCAAGTACGTGGACGGAATGACATAAACAGGTCTCCTTCTGCCCAAGTGTCCTGATTACAGAGCCATGCTGGACTATTTCGTCATGGGCATGGCCAGTGCCCTGGTCAGCTTCCTCGGCGGCATCCTGGCCACCAATCCGCACTGGAGTGACTTCCTTACCGATTTGTCTTTCATCATTCTCTACGTCATCCTGGCCGTGTGCCTGACGCAGGTGCTGTGGAACTCAGTTCGCTGGTCCAGCAAGAACCCGGTGTCCATGTGCATGGCCGTAATGACGGTGGGCGTGGCGGTGACCATTATGGGTTTAATGCACAAGAACCAGCTCTTCACCGAAATTGTGCAGCATGTCCGGGTCATGGCACCGCTGACCAAAGAGTATCTGCTCAACTGGTTCCAGCCGGCCGCTAAAGTGGCACACGATGCCGCGCAGTCTGCGCATATTATCGCTTAGCGCATCATGTCGCATCTTTGGTAGTGATCATTTTTGCGCTAATGTTTTTGTTGTGTTTCATCACTTACTTTCCTGTCGTGTTTAGTTGAAAGTAACAACGTTACTGGCATGTAAAATGTGAACGGTGTGTTGTAATGGCCACACAACATGGAGTTTCCTTGATGTACAAATATCCGCAGATGTTGCGAACATTAGAAATCGGCGTTAATTATCATTTACGTCAATCCAATCAATCGGTTTGGAGCCTGAGTTCTCTGAATAGAATATGCATAGACACTTTTTGTTGAAGCACGATCAGTACTCGTAGTCAAATTGCAGTAACTGGCAAGTACAGTGACAACAAAATCAGCAAACGAAATAAAATGGTAAAATGCTTAAAATTTATACAATGTAATTCCTAGCATCTCATTGACAAAAATAGCAATAAAAATTTCTAGGTACAAGCGAGAGATAAAAAGTTTAACACGAGGTCTGATGGTTCTACATTCGATCTGGATGGGTGTCCCGCATGGATGGTTTGTACGGCGGAATCTTCGATGCTACGTTGCCAGGATTCCGAGACAGGGCCGATATGACCGGCATCGGTGCTCCCGTCAATGTCGACGAAGCCGGCAAAATATATGGCTTCTCCTCTAGCTGTGCACCAGCGGGGTAAGTATCCCTCGTTGACGGCGTATACGGTGGTATCTTGGAGACCACCTTCCCAGGGTTCCTGGACATAGTCGACATCACCGGCGTCGGAGCCCCTGTCAACGTCGAAGACGCCGGCAGTAGATGCGGCTTCTCTTCATGTCGCGTGCCCGTTAACGTCGACATCACCCGCCCCGGAAAGCCTGACCTTTCGGCAAAACTTCCCCGTTTACCAGGCTCCATGCCGTTGGCCTCCATTCCCGGTGGTACAATGCTGCTGCGGCGTCGCTTCTCCTGCTCATGGACGGTACTCTCGGTCAGCTGTGCGTTTTGGCTGGGCGGAATCCATGGTGGAATGTAGCTCTTACGACGGGTAGGTGGCATGACGTTGACGCCTTCAACTAGCGGCTTTTCGGCCAGAGCTTCCGGTGCCACACGGTATGTGTTAAACCCTTTTTCTTTATTGTCCCAGTTCTGCTGTTCACCGGAGCCAAAAAGGACGTACACCAGGCAGCCGAGGAAGTAGAAACCGGCGGCGATGAAGAAGACCTTCTGCCAGTTGGAAGAGGAGTGTCCATGGGGACCGCTGGTCAGCGTGCCGGTAACGGCTGGGCCCACGAAGCCTATAGCGAGCATAACCAGGCATTTGAATAGATTACCAAAAAAATTTTTGTAAGTGTTACCAGTAATGGTACCGACGCTGTTCCCGATGGCATAAATAAATCCAGCATGACTGGGGGAAATATCATTGAAATTCACACGGAATCCACAGCTGGCGAACCCCGTAAAGCCCGTCGATAGCGCCAACAACGCCAACACTGAAGGAATTGAACAGCCGGATAGCGGTATGCCGATCAATAGGAACGCCGGGATCACCGTCCCAATCACCGTGGCCACCTTGCGCAGCACGGTCACTGAACACATCTCCCTGGAAATGATCCAGTCGGCCACCGGACTAAATGTCACAATTACCACCCACATGACAATGTACGGCACTCCCGCGAAATTGGCGTTGTCTTTCAGCCCAAAATGAAGGTTGCCTTGAAGGTACAATGGGACGTCGGACAGGAGAGTATAGAAACCCCAGTCCGAACACCAACAGGAAGTGATCAAGGACCAGAAGGGTAGTGACCGGCAGATGCGGCGCCACGGGACCCGACTGGGTTTGGCGCCCATGGCGGGTGCCCCGATGGAGCTGACAATGTAGCTCTTCTCTTCGCCGGTAATGCGGGGATGTTCCTCCGGGGAATCGAAGGCGAAGAAGTACCATGGAATGCAGAAAAGCAGCCCAAAAATTCCGAAGAAATAAAACATGCTGGCCCAGCCGAAGGCGATGCCCAAGGCGCCGCAGAGCGGAAAGGCAATGACGGTACCCAGCTGTACACCGGCGGAAGTGATAGCTAACAGCTTTGTGCGCTCCGCTGGCGGCGCCCAGCGGCCAAATATCGTGCTCATCAATGGGAAGCTGACACCCTATAGAAGTTTGCCAGTTTCATGCATACCAGCGGGTATTTGTATTTATTACTACGTTGCAGTAATTTATATTTCGGATGAATTGTTATCAGCATGACGAAACCGTTAACTTATCAAACCAGACCACAGCCCAAGTAGGGAGAAGAGATTTTCTATATACATATGCAAACATACATATGACTCAAAAGTAAGCAGCACGAAGCGATATTCACATTCTAGATACATATGCATACATGATTTTCTAGATACACATGCAAACCAAAGGTCGTATTCGATAAATTCGTCAATAAATAAAGCAGCGCGCAATAGGTGGGGAAGTTATGAGCTTGCGAGTCCCATTCACGATACTCGTATAATAATGATTATTTAACATGTTAAATTCTATTAATGTTCATTGGACTAACGTCCCTGTTGCGTCTTCTCAGTTACGCCCACTGTCCGGCTGTGCATGTCTCCCTATATAAGGCGTTTTCAGCAGCACCGATCTGTTCATTTTCAGTTTTGCATTTTACCGGCATTTCGATGTTTTTCTCTCAGCGATAGTCTGATATCGAGTCAGAGATAACACTCAAATCGATCAAGTGTGATCGAGTCAGAGACAGCGTGACCTGCCATCCACATTGTCTGCTAAACAATTACGCAACCCACTAACACGGATCCGCATTATATCATGCCTCCAAAGAGGTCAAACAACAATGCAGGCCAGCCATCAGGTCCGGCTGCGCGCCGTCGAACCCGGACAGCGGGAAATACCGGTAAAAGAACTCGGGATATTTCGCCTCCGCGACCCAGCAAACGAGTGAATTCCCGAGTTGTCGTGCCACCGGAATCCTCCATCCAGACAACCAGCGTCATGGAACAGCTAATGGCACAAATTGCGGACCTGAAACGCGAAGTTACCGAGCTGAAATCCACTGGGCAGCATGGCTCCCGCCAGCCGGCGCTGCAGGTCGACAGCTCTTCCTCCAAACGCTCACTTTCCCCGGCGTCCAACCACATCACAACCGATACCGGTAAGCGAGCTGAAAGTGTGATCACCGAATCTGTTATACCGCCAAAAGTATCCGTGTTTAAACGACTGGGAGCTCCACCGAACAGCTGCACCGCGCAGTCCCACGGACTGCCGGCAGTGAGTCCGAAGGTGCGGGAGCAACTCCTTGACCACACGCAGTTTGTGGACTTTGTCGACCTTCTGCCACATAATCGCGCACCTGCAAAAAGGTCAAATACCGGCACCCGCATGATCCAGGACGAAACCGGCGAGATTGCGTTCGTATCAGGCCCGAAGAAAGAGCAGATAACGTCGGTCTCCAGCTGGACGAGGGCGTTCTCCGTCTTCATGGGTTATCGCATAATCGACCACCCGGAACTCACCCAGCCACTCTTACGATATTTGGACCACATTGCGCTGCTTATGGATCCACTACGGGGCTACAAACTGGAGCACGTGCTGGAATACGACATTCAGTTTCGCAACAATGCTGCCAACAACCCGGAGGACACTGAGGTGTGGACGCGACGACACGAAGAATCCTTCCAGGAATGCATAGCAAATCCCAGGACCCCCTCCACATCCACAGGCGTGACCTTTACCGGCAACCCAAAACATCAGCGCGCACAATGCAGGAACTGTTCTGCCACGGGTCACCTAGCCAGAGACTGTCCGTCGCCTAAGCCGCTTTTTCGAGCCGGCACCGCCGCAGACGGGGAAATCTGCCGTAATTTCAACTACGGACGCTGCCGCAATCCATGCCCATCCGGTCGGCAGCACTCCTGCTCCATCTGCGGCTCAAATGGCCACGGCTACCACAACCATCACAGCCATGGTGGAGCAGACATATCCGGGGGCGCCATTCGCGGCAAGCCGGATCACTCCGCTTAACTTCTCAGCGTGGCGGCGGCACCTTACTAACTATCCATTCCCTAATATTGCTAACCTTATTCTGGACATCCTCACTAACGGTGCGGACATCGGGTATCGTGGTCCAGACAAGTCGCGATTCACACCTAATGCAATTTCCGCTTCCACTCATGCCGATATCCTACGCGCCGCGGTTGCCAAAGAGGTGGCAGCAGGTCACACGCGCGGGCCATTCTTAACCGTGCCTTTTATCCCGTTCACAACAAACTCTCAGTCAGTGCGGCCCAAGAAAAGCGGCGGCCATCGAATCATCTCCGACTTATCACGACCAACCGGCGACAGCATAAATGACTACATCACCAAAGATTCCCCACCACTCAAGTTCTGCTCGGTCGACGACGCCATCAAATTGATTCTACGCAACGGAAGCGCCGCAGTCATGGCAAAACTGGATATCAAGAACGCTTTCCGACTAATCCCAGTGAGACGCGACCAGTGGCACCTACTTGGATTCCAACTGGATGGACAGTACTTCCACGACGTAGTCCTTCCATTCGGCTGCCGGTCTGCACCAGGGATATTCTGTAAGTTCTCCGACGCATTACACTGGATGTTTAGTCAGATCGCTAAGCATTTTGACCTCCTACATTATATCGACGACTTCCTGTTGATATGCAAGAACATACAGCGGTGTCGGGAGCTCGTACTTGCATTCCAAAAGCTTTGCGATGAGCTGGGTGTTCCCCTAGCAGTCGACAAGCTTGAAGGCCCATCCACCGAAATAGTTTTCTTAGGAATCGTCCTCGATTCCGTAAAGAAAACTCTGTCATTACCAGCTGGCAAACTGCAGGAGCTAACAAGCGCTCTGGAGCAGTGGCGCCACCGCGACTTGTGTACGATCAGAGATCTGCAGAGTCTAATCGGTCTTCTCGCATTTGCAACCAAATGCGTCCCCGCCGGTCGGCTCTATCTAAGGCGCATGACCTTCCTCCTCAGCGAAAATGAATGTCACAAAAAAGCCTCAAATGCGACCATCCGGTTAGACAGCAACTTCCGCCTAGACGTCGAATGGTGGTTAGAATTCCTTCCGCGCTGGAACGGCACGACCAAGTTTTTAGAACCGGAGTGGACAGTAGCAAACACCCTTGACCTCTATACCGACGCATCCGCAACGCTCGGTATAGGCGGCTACTTCCGAGGCCGCTGGTTTCAGTCACGCTGGCCAGATTGGATACTGGGCTGCTCACCATGCATAGAGTATCTCGAAATGTGTGCCATCCTTTTCGCAGTCGCGCTGTGGGCAGATCAACTCGTACTCAGGCGCGTTGTTTTTCACTGCGACAATCTAGGGGCTTCCCAAGCGTGGGAAAAGCTAGGCTCACGCAATCCAGGCGTGGTCGACCTTATGCGGCGTTTAAGCTTGATTGCTGCTCAGAATAACTTTGCGTTAACCATTAAGCACATCAATGGGACAGACAACGCAATCGCTGACGCACTATCACGCTTTCAGGTCAGCCGGTTCCGCCGCCTTGCACCGGGCGCCGCAACATTACCGGATCCCTTACCGGACATGTGGGAAAGCCTGCGACTAAGCTACAGCTAACGGCAGCCCTGGACGCTACCATCGCATCAGTCCAGTTTCACCACATCGCTGCCTCTACCAGGAAGACCTACCAAACCGGATGGAGCCGCTTTGCGCAATTTTGCAAAACCATCGGCGAGCCTCCTATACCAGCGACAGAGCAGACTATTCTCCGCTTTATTGCGCAACTCCACCTCGACGGCCTGGGAACATCCACCACCATCGTCTACCTTGCCGGAATCGACAATGCGCACTCCGAGGTGGGCATCAGTCGCCCTTCAGCAACCGCAGCCATCACGCGGGCGGTCAATGGCTTGAAGCGGCTCAACATGCCAGGTACAGATCGGCGGTTGCCAATAACGCTGGATCTGATGCGCTCCATGAAAGACAAACTACACAACTCGCATCTTCCGCAACAGGAACAGCTCCTCTACTGGAGTGCATTCTGCGTTGCCTTCTTTGGCCTTTTCCGCGTCAGCGAGCTGGTAGCGAACGAGACCGGGAAGTGTTGCCCAGCCTCCACTCTCCGCTTCAACGACGTTATCCTTCACGAAAATGCTCTAATCATCACCATTCGCAGCTCAAAAACGGACCAATTCCACCATGGCTACCGCATCACCCTGTCCGCCACCGGCCGCTCAGTTTGCCCAGTGCGCTCCACAAAAGCCTACATGGACGTCCGAATTACCACCGGCAAAAATGACCCGTTCTACATTCTACCGAGCGGCAGTTACGTCACCCGACACTCCTTCGAAAGAGCCATGAAGACCGGTCTAGCGGGAGTTCCCGACATCGACAGATACGGCACCCACAGCTTCCGCATCGGCGGCTCAAGCGCCGCAGCGGCAAATGGCACTTCCCATCAGCGTTTACAGGAAGCGGGGCGATGGCGAAGTAACTGCTACACCCGTTACGTACGAAACACGGTACCCATCCGCGGCATCCAGGCCTACCCTCTTTGATTTGGGTGTTTGGGCCAAGGTGTAGAAGGGCGCAGGCAGGACGGGTCGATCGCTGCGCACGCACGTGCAGGCCGAGCACGACACCTGCCGGGTGCCCCTTCAGCCTCCGCTCAGATAGCCCACACACTTCCGGACCTCGTTGCGTGCAGTTAGGAAGATTAACATTAATGATTATTTAACATGTTAAATTCTATTAATGTTCATTGGACTAACGTCCCTGTTGCGTCTTCTCAGTTACGCCCACTGTCCGGCTGTGCATGTCTCCCTATATAAGGCGTTTTCAGCAGCACCGATCTGTTCATTTTCAGTTTTGCATTTTACCGGCATTTCGATGTTTTCCCCGCCCGCCACACCTCTGTTTTCTTGCTGTTCTCGATTGTATCTCGAAATAAAGGGCCAAGGTGTAGAAGGGCGCAGGCAGGACGGGTCGATCGCTGCGCACGCACGTGCAGGCCGAGCACGACACCTGCCGGGTGCCCCTTCAGCCTCCGCTCAGATAGCCCACACACTTCCGGACCTCGTTGCGTGCAGTTAGGAAGATTAACATTAATACTTCTATATTTAGTATGTCGAATGTGAAAATGTTCATGAATAACGAACAGACTGGCGCTTATAGGGTGGCAGATACAGAGTAGCTGTTGCATCCCGTGTGAACACCAGTCTGGTTGTAACGGCGTAACTCCCGGCCTCCCGCGTAAGGTAACAATTGTCTAATATTCGAAGCATGGTACCTGCGATAATCCCATCAAGATGCGAATGGCCATCAGTGCATTAATGTTGTAGCGCGCAGCTGCTGGTGCACACAAAGTGAAGACAGATGTCAAGAAGATACCGACGAGGTACGGAAGTTTGGCTCCGTAATATCCGGACATGTAGCCCGAAGGAATCTGCGTCACGACATAGCCATAGTAAAAAGAACCCAGGAGCCGGCCTTTTTGCTCGCTCGTCCAGTCAAATATTTCGTCCTACAAATGCCATCCATATTTCTAGAGCAACAGTTATTTCCAACTTCGCGTCTGCTTCTTCAAGAAGGTTGATTTAATGAAATCGTGATTTGGTTGGTGTACGTACATACGTTGTGGCCATCGGCAACAGTTAAGTTGGCATCCCGTCGCGGACATTCTTCGGCGACGGTGGTATTCGTGGAATTGTCGGCAGAACTGTCGCTCTTTGGGGCGGTCATCTGAACGATGGCCATGTTCAGCGTTAAGCGCATGGTGTAGGAGACGAAATTCCCACAGAACCCCAGGGCCACGATGGAATGCCGATAGCCCAGGCGAAAGGCTTTCCGCTTCAATATCATTCATCGATTTTTGCTTAATCTCTGCTGATACTTTTGCTAATTTATTCGCGAGAATTGAGAACTAGGCTAGCGATCTGACGTGGTCCCGTCAACAGCACCGCTATGTTCCGTTACGGCTCATAGCAACTTACAGTGTACATGTATCGCTTCGTGCTGCTTACTTTTGAGTCATTTCACGATTTCAGTGTAACCATTTTCAACATATTGTTACCGTTCAATTTTTGCCTCCTAAATTTCGAAGCGCTGGTGCTGTGAGCAAAAATGAAGGACGAGGAAGATGAGGACCTGCCGTCTCCACCTACGATTTTCATCCACCGCAGTGACACCTATTTCGGGAAAATTCTCGCGCAACATTTGGGCACCACCGTTCCTGGTCCCACCGAAGAACCCGAAGACGCTGAGGACCAACCGATAACAGTCGATTTCCTCACAGCTTCATCGGCGGCCACGACCTTTCCAGTCACCGCGGCCTGGCGACCTCTTACAGACCCGCAATCGGTTGTCACTCCCCCGAACCAAACTGAGGCTCCGATACTTCCCGCGGTGAAATCGTTGATTCGTTTCGATGATGAGCGCCAACGCAACAAACTGATCGAGGATGCTGATGTATGCATTTTCAATATCTTTGAAGATAACGCCGTCAATCAGGTTCTACGTGACGCTAAAGAAGCCGTGTTGATAGCTAAAGATATCGCAGTAAAGCAGAAGAAAAAGAAAACATTCATCCTTCTGTCGACTACGATGACTTGGGCGCTGACCAAAAAACCCGGTGATAACACTGAAAAGGACACGGAAAAGACCGAGGACGACGAAGAGGAGGAGGGTCTCACAGAAGAAACCTTCCGAAAACGCCGCACCCATCCGGCTTACCGGTACCATCTCGAACTGGAAAAGGACGTTTTAAAGTATGGCAGCGATCATCCTGGTCAGCTGACAACGGCCGTGGTAGCGGTGGGATTGGTTTACGGGCTGGGCGAGGACACGCTGCACTGGATGCTGCGGGATGCGTGGGAAGGACGCGATGCGGTGAGGTTACCGGGAGAAGGCAAGATTAGGACTCCCATGATCCACGCCCGTGATTTGTGTCAGATTGTACAGAGTTTCTGTGAGAATAAACCAAGCAGGCGCTATTTGGTGGGTGTGGATAGTGGGAGCATTAAATTCCAAAAGGTCAGCGGCAGAGGTACGTGTGTCGTGTACAACTAGGTGAAGAAACTGGTTAGGGTAACGCTGAATACTAAGTCCGATGGGAATTTGCAGATTGCCGAAGCAGTTAGCGTGAATCTGGGTTCTGGTTTCGTTGAGAACATTAATCCATCTAAGCTCCTCACGCTCCGCTTAATCGATCAGGTGCAATTCGACATCCTCACCACTGACCTCCACTTCACCCCCGGGATCGTCAAATCCGATATGAAATTTACGTGGACCGCCGAAACCGGAATACTTGATGCTTTGCAAAAGGTCATCCAGGAGTATCGTCTCGTACGGCGCTTAACGCCCATCCGGATTCTGGTCGCTGGTCCTCCGTTCACTGGGAAAACGCAGTTATCGCACCGCCTGTGTGACCATTACCATTTGCACTATCTCGACGTCCATGAAGTGGTGGAAACAGCACTGACCGCGTTGCGAAAATTCATTGACAGCGAAACGAAGCGCCGCGCCGCATTGACGGAAGACGAACTGGAGAATGAACCAGAAGAGGAGTCAAGCCGGTTGGAGACGTCCCAGGAGCTTATGATCAAAATCGAGGAGAGCCAGGAAAAGGATGGGAAGATCGGGGAAACGTTTGTGATACGGTTTGTTAAGGAAACGCTGGCGAGTAATCCAAGTAAAAACCAGGGTTTCGTCCTGGATAATTTTCCGGATACTTTCGGCCACGCAAAATTGCTCTTTGGAGCTGACCGAGGTGAGGACGACGAGGAAGAAGAAGCAGAATCAAATCACGACGATGAATTTGGTTCTGCACCAGTTCCAGGTAACTCTTAGATTTTAATGGCATTTGATGTTGCTAAACGTTGTTTGCTGCAGAATTTGTTTTTTATTTGGATTCGCCAGAAGAGCTAATAAGAAAAGTAAGAACTTACCAGTCAACTTTGTCTTAAGCACACATCTGCGATAACTTCCTCTATGTATAAGATGGTTATGGAACGCCCCGATGAGCCCGGTCCGACCGCCGCGCCCACTTCAGAAGACCGCTACCGCAGTCGCCTTAAAGAGTATCACGAAACTCATCCAGGCAACGAAAACGGTGTCGTCAAATACTGCGATGAACACTCCCATCCCGTCCACTTCTTAGACCGTGCGCATGTCGATCCCGAATTGACCTTTCAAACGGCTGTAGGGATCGTAGGGCCGCCACACAACTATGGACTTTCAAAAGAAGATCGGCTGGAAGAGCTGCGAAAAGATCAAGAAAAGGAACGGAAACGACGCGAAGAAGAGGAAAAGATTCGAAAGATGAATGAAAGAGAATTTCTTGTCAAGCGGCAAAAGAACTGCGCGGAGTGGGCAATGAAGCTTGAGGACCACCATCGATTGCGCGGCCAACAAGTGCAAGAAGGTACGGCCAATGTCCGGGATTATCTGCTGAAGAACGTCCTGCCGCAGTTGCAGGCAGGGTTGTTGGAGGCGGCGAGGGTGCGGCCGGAAGATCCTGTGGACTTCCTCGGCGAATTTCTACTGCAGTTAGCCAACCCGGAGAGGGCGCAACCACCATTAACGACCAACCAAAAACTAGCCCGCGCTTCCCGGTTCTAGTTTGATTTAAGCCGGCGGCTAGAGATGGTGATAATTAAGGCATTCTGTGCATATTATCATATTATACATACTTACAAGAGAGCCTTGGCTTTTTACTTATCTGTTCATGACACATCCGTCATGCCGCACTTTGGAATTTCTTTCATGCACTTTTTGGCAAGCGCACGAGCCGAGACAAGTACCGTATTGCTCACGAAATTCGGCTCTAACTGGTAAGCAGTATTAAAAAATTTTCACTACAAAATCGAACGAAACCGTTCTCGTCGGGGTGTGGGTGCAGTACTGTTATGAATTAAAACAACTGTCGGTAGGCACCCAATGGTAAGAGTTTGTATTTAAAAGAAGTAGGTTACTCGTACTCGGGAAGACTAATAATAAATTTTATCGTGTAAGTACTAGGACTATATTAAATTTTTTGAGGATATAAAAGATATAAGTATATTTATTATAAACCACTTGCTGTGCGTCTGGGCATACAGAGTGTGAGCCGGAAGTGGAACTGCCCTTTGGCTACAGCGCTAACTGCTGTCCAACTTACGCGGGGTTGGACATTTTTCAAACTAAATATCAGTGAAAACATGTGACGATAAAGTGGATTTTACAGTATTCATCTATCTGCGGGTTATTAAAATTGATAATTATTTAAAACTAGAAAGTACATATCTGCATGCACAGTACCCAGCTTGTGTCGTGCAGTGTGCATGGTGCACACCATGATCAGCTGAGTACGTAAACAAGACGCGCTCACTGAGCATTGCAGCGCGATGACTTCGGAATTTTTGAGTTGGGCCTGTTTGGCTATTAAATTTTTACCCAGTTGAAGACTTACTGTTTTACTACAGTTTTACACCGTGTTGTCATTGTTAGTGTTGTGGTCCATTAAGTTTTTATCTGGATTTTTTTCGTGAAAACCGCAATTCTTGATCTAATAAACGATGGCTGCATCCTGGCAGTCAATATTGGCCATCGTGCTGTTGATTGCCGTGTGTTATGATGCGGGGGTTTCCGCAGTGGGAGGACCTGGCAAATATCTCCGCTATTTGAAAAGGTAAGCGTAAACAGACTGTAAACTGGTAAACATCATACAGATTACAGATACATATTTGTTGTTTACTAAATAAGTAGTATTTCAATAGCCAGCTGTGCGTCCGTTTTTCAGCTTTGAACCTTGCATTGAAGCATTTGCGATGTGGTTTCTCTTTATTTTTGTATCTGTTATCACTAATTAGCCTGCTGAATTTTCTGTTGAAGGAAAATGCTCCAAAGAGTGAGGAATATTTCGTTAGAACAAACAAAAATTGGTATTGTCAGAATCTGCACGCCGACAGATAACAGCGTACTGCGCATAATACCGTCACGTTGGAAATATTGCAGTGGCTTGGACCATATTTGGTTACTACTCGTATAATTATTAAGCTCGAATGCTATTAATGAGCGGATCTGCTCATTGAAAAGACGAAAACGTTCACCGGATCAGTCTGAACTTAATCTTCACTATTTGTACTGAAATTGCGAAATTCGTGAAAGTTTCCCAGTGTGTGATGGACTATTAACCTGTAAATCAGTAAATGAGATTCGTGTACAGATAACTAATTAAAGATTGGATTGTTTTGTTTATTGTTTAGCTTTTTATTTATAAGATATTTTTAATAAATTTTAGAATCTTTTTAGGGATTTTCGCTGGCTTGTTTTCATGCATGTGGATCAGTCTTTTTATCCAGGCGCATTACCTACAGAATTTGGTACTTCATTAGTTTGGCGTTTTTAATTCGTTTGGTTGCTGGTTGCAGAATTCCGATGTACCGCATGGAAACCGCCCGTCGCACTCTGGCCTCGATGGGCACGGACCGGGCGGCGTTGGATGACTACTACAAGCGCTTAGCGGCGCACGAAGCGGCATCCGGCGATCGGCAGCGATACGGCGCCAGCAACGGGCCCATCCCCATTCCCGAACGCTTGCAGAATTATCTCGATGTACGCCTTCGCATGCGCAGTAAACCGATGTCCCACGAAGAAACTCAGTTCGGTCTTTTTTCTATCCTTTTTTTGTCCTTTTTCGTAGCCTCTGTGGTGTCGGGCGCTTAGTTTCTTACATTTATTCGCAAAAATAGCAGGGGTTTACTGTAATTATTTCTCCGGTTAACATTGCGCATTACTTTGATTTGAATTTCGAAATTGTTGCCCCATTGTCGGATGTATCCTTTTTGCCTTTTTATTTTATTTATTTATATATTTTTGTCATACTTCTGAATTTTTGAAAACATGTGTGCGTGTGATTTTTTATTCATTATATTTTATGGATTGTACCTGTTATCATTTACATATCTAGAGTAGATCTTTATCGGACCTTAGGTCTTTCAATTTTTAAAACACTGAAACAGGAAATTTTTTATATGAACTTCTTTTTTTATTTGACACTCTTTGTTAGGTTAATAAGTGCTTTGTGATTTGGTGCTGATTTGTGTTTTGAAACGTATTTCTAGGCACAGTACTACGGTGAGATCGGAATCGGTACCCCAGCGCAGAATTTTCGCGTGGTTTTCGACACCGGTTCATCCAATCTCTGGGTACAACTCTTCATACCCTGCCGGCACATCTTTGTTTTCTCTCCTTAGCACTGTCTTATGACCTGATCGTCGTTGCAGGTGCCGAGCAAGAAATGCAGCATCACCGATATCGCTTGCTGTAAGTGGCATTAAAATTTTGGCCAAAGGTGCTCTCTGCCTTCCCAGTATTAATTATGACTAGCACATATCATGATGAACTGAAAACCATAATAAACGGTGCTGGTTTAGGGACCCATCGTCGTTATGATCACGACAAGTCCAGCACCTACGCCGTCAACGGCAGCGACTTCGAAATCCACTACGGTTCGGGCAGTCTCACCGGTTTTCTCAGCACGGACAGCATTGAATTCGGCAACGTCACCGTGGCCAACCAGACGTTCGCCGAGGCAACCAAACAACCGGGCATCGTTTTTGTCGCCGCGAAATTCGACGGTACTCGGATCATTGACTAGCTGTTTTTAGAATTTCACAAAATTTAATTGTCACAATTTCTAGAGAAAATAGACGAAAGGTGTTTTATGAATTTTAATTTATTTACAGTTTCATTCAGTGGTTAATGGTTACTAAAATGTTCGGTTAAAATGAGATAGGTAATAGTTATGTATTTTAAAATGTGGCTGTTTAATAATAATTTTAATTTTCATTGCATGTAATGTTTGTAATTCTGATAACTTGCAGCAGTTTTGCTGGTGTCACATAACTTTAGCCTTGAGAAATTGCAGGTATCCTAGGCATGGGATATCCATCCATCTCCGTAGACCACGTGAAGCCGGTCTTCAACAACATGGTCGACCAAAATCTCGTCCCACAGGCGGTTTTCTCCTTCTATTTGAACCGGTATTCTGCTAATGTTGAGGCCACAGTGCAGCAAAGCGCCATTTATGTTGTTTTTGTAGTGATGCCAACTCAAGCATCGGTGGCGAGGTGATTGCATGGTTCTGTTTTTGCTTATTTCATAAGTAACGTGGGCAGGATAGCCCTCACGGAGACCGTTCACAGGACAAATTAATGTCAAGGACTGGTCAGTCATTGAGTATGGTCTTTGCAGATGATTTTGGGTGGAAGTGATCCGGATTATTATGTCGGTATGTCGGACAATGGCATTTGCTTATTGTGCGGAACATTCTTATTTCATGCATTTCAAATGGATTTGTTTTGCTCTTTTCCGCATCGTGCCCGTTGTGACATTTACCGGTATTTCAGCTCCATTTGCTTATTCCAAAGTGACGAAGAAAGGTTACTGGCAGTTCAGAATGGACAGGTGAAATTTTTTGTGCAGTATGCATATCTGTATATTGATTCGCATAATATTATAGTAATCCTTGTTGTTGCTGCAGCATAGAAATTGGTGGGAAATCCTCGGATGTCTGCAGCGGTGGATGCGAAGCTATTGCTGACACCGGTGAGCGTTCGTGATCGTCCGCTTTTATTGACTATTCGTTTTATTGCATTCGTTATTGATTTATCCAGTTAGTTCGTTATTGAGTGTTGATAAAATTAAAAACGAAGTCATGTGACATCTCATCACTTAGTTTAATTAGTACATGAATTTAATCAATATCATATTATTTAAAAATGCGTAGGAACTTCCTTGCTGGCCGGTCCGACGGACGAAGTGAAACGCATCAATGAAGCCATCGGTGCCAAACCTTTTGTCGGCGGCGAATATATCATCAACTGCAACGACGTAGGTTGTCTCCATGTATGAAAGCTCAACCCGCTTAATAATTCCCTGTATTTGTTATTTTTGTTTGCAGATCAGCCGTTTGCCTAATATCTCCTTTATCATCGGAGGCGCACCCTTCACTCGTAAGCGCAAAAACCGACCAACCCAACCGTGAAGTCTATTATTGTCTGTATTTTTGTTCTAGTGCGTGGTCAGGATTACGTTCTTGTTGTGAGCCAGATGGGACAGGTTCGTTTACACCAAATTTAACAGTTTATGGTTTTACGCTGTTTACGATTATGAACAGTAGTAGTCATTTCGTACGCTTAATCTATCTGCAGTACTTAATTCAACTTCAGTTTTTTGTAATAAGAAATTTATTGAAATGTGGTGCTGAGCCGGCGCGAGGCTGAATAAGACGCTTTGTTTGCCCCATTGTTTTCCAGTCATTAATAATTTAAACCAGTTTATCCTGTTTTCCAACGGCGCTATTTGTTGCTGTTTCATTTGCGGCTGTGCTCTTCTGTAACCTGGTGTTTTTGTGCAGACCATGTGCCTTAGCGGCTTCATGGGCATCGACGTCCCGCCACCCCTGGGCCCATTGTGGATCCTGGGTGATGTGTTCATTGGGCGCTACTACACCGAATTCGACATGGAAAACGACCGTGTTGGCTTCGCCAAGGTGAAAAATCCCACGTTCCGACGTAGTCGCGTGTAACCCGCTCCGCGCATCTAATCTCAATCACCTCGTCGCTTTCATTTTGTTTGTTAACTAGCTTTTGTTTCTGTTGCCTTTTTGTTTTCCCGGCTTTCGCTGCAGCTACCAGTACCATAATTCTTTTTGTTTCTAATTTTTATTAGTTAAAATAATTAATGTTAACGCTTAATATCGACGCAACACAATGTACATAAACGATTTGAAATGCGACACAGAAACCCAATAAAATCAACATCTATCTATACACACCGGGCCTTACAGCCCGTACTTCGACGTCTTCTGCTGCTTGGCGGCCTGTACACATTTGGCCATGGTCCGCGAGGCCCGACTGATTGAGTCCGTCATATAGAACTCTTCCAGTTCCTTCTGCAGGCCTTGCAGTGCTTTCCCCGAATGTTTAGGCCGTTGCTGGGTAAAGACAAGGTCATGGGCCTGTTTAAAATAGTTAGCCGGCTCCACGCTGTTATAACGGAGAAGATGGGGCGCCACGTCGGCCATGCGCGTTCGCACGTCCTCCAGACTGTCGTAGGGAAGACGGGCCCCTGTTACGAACTCCGACAGAGCCCGAATGATCTTCCAGTCCTCACGGGCCATGCCCGGTGGCGTTACGGCCACGTTTGTGCGCTGCGGGCGGCCCTCAGTATTCACGTACGTGGCGGCTTTTTCCGTGTATGCGGCTCCTGTAAAAGTTAATCCCAATGTTAAAACAGTCCGACGTCACACACATGTATGTCGTTCAAATAACTGTTTTGTTAAAAAACAAGAGTTAACAACATCCTTCAAGTAAGTATTCCTCACCTGGCAGCACGGCATCGGCGATCTCTGCGCCCTTGTCCCCATGATGTCCTTGGTAGATTATAAAGGCGCCCGGTGCCAAATCCTTGCGCGTAATTAGCCCTTCATCCGCACCCATCAGATAGAGCACCCGTGGTTTCAGCTGTAACACACAGATACGACGAACTCCGCAGCGCACTAACGAAAACACTACCAACCTCTCTGATGGCTGCCGGACCCGGCTTATAGCCCACATCCAGCGCACCCACTTGCCCAGCGCAACGGTGCAGCACGTTCAGCACTTTCCAGTCGTCGTTTAAATTACCACCGGAGGATTTGGAGCGGAGTCGGTTGGCCAGCACCATACTGTTGGCCAAGAGGGCTGCGCCATCGGCGCCCTGCAGACTGGCACTGCCCACAATCAGCATCGGTTTCTTAGCCTAGACAACCAAAAATAAGCTTAAAAATGCAAGAACACTTAATCCTAAAAATTTTACTAATCTGATACTGGACATGCGAAGAAACTGCGCGAAAACAAATACAGACTAATCGTAAATAACGTGAATCAATATAAAGAATATGCCATAATTATTATAACAGAGACAAGGCATCCCGTGCGCATACTAGTACATATTAGGAATTTATTCACAACTTTTATTGTAGTACTGTATATCTATGAAATCCTTACTGACACTGTCAGAAAATCTACGGGATGTGAAAATTTACAATCTAAAAATTCAAAACTGATGCTACTCAAGCATAGTAAGCTGTTGTTTGATACGGTCGTTCGGTAAGGGAAAGAAAATAGGTATCCTGCTTCTGATGTAAGCTGAGTAGTAATACCTTAGACAACACTTCTGAAAATTTATGTTTTCCATCGGCCAACTGCTCCAGCGCGGCCACATCCCCGCCCAGATGGTCATACTCGTAGCGCAAATCCACCGCCTCCCCGATGACGGCCACCCGCAGATTGTTGTGCAAGTAGCCCTTGCGGATGCGTGCATTGAGCACCGGCGCTTCGAAGCGTGCGTTCGTCCCGATCAGCAGCACCAGATCGGCCTCCTCAATCCCATTAATGGTGCTGTTCATCAAATAGCTGGAGCGCAGATCCGTTGCGCCGGAGCCAAGTGGCAGATCTTCCTCGGTACACAACGTCTCACTGCCCAGCGCGTTCAACAAGTCCTTCAGGACAACAAGCGCCTCCACGTCACACAGCCCGCCTACCAACGCCGCCAACTCGTTCCCGTGGGCGCCCTCCAGTTTGCCGGCTACGCGGGTCAATACCGTTTCCCAGTCGGTTGGCTCCAGCAGTCCCTGTAAATTATAAGAACCTCCCCGATTACCCTCCTTATGATTCTATCTATCAGAACCGGTGAAGCCGCTCTCTGATCACTTTAAAATAATTATGAAGAATGTTTCAGTTCTGCACCTGTATTCTGTAGAACAGCTGACAATTTACACCCATCCTAATTTACAGCTGACAACTTTTAGATTTAATTATGCCACAAATCGTTAATCGCTTGCAGTTAAATTAGCAGACCTTGTGGTTTTTCAACATTGGCAGTGTCAGGCGCTGACGTTTTAGCCCATCATACGCAAAACGCGTCTTATCGGAAATCCACTCCTCATTGATGTTATCGTTCGGCCGCGGCAGCACCCGCATTACTTCTCCCCCTCGCGTGTGCACGACAATGTTGCTGCCCAGGGCGTCCATGACGTCCACCGAGTCCATCTTGCGGATCTCCCAGGGGCGCGCCGTAAAGGCGTAAGGTTTGCTGGTGAGAGCGCCAACGGGACACAGGTCGATCACGTTGCCCGACAGTTCCGAGGCGAAGAGCTTCTCCACATAGGTGCCCACCTGCATGTCCTGGCCACGGCCGGTGGTACCTGGAATGGCGTCAAGTGCAAATGTAAACAATCGCGAGATTCCGTATGCGGTATAAATGTCATTACATTAATCAAGTTTAGGGAAACTACAATTTTAAATACGCTATTAGCATTACAGCAGATTTCGATAACGTACTACAATATACAATCAGAATATAGACAGCCGTGAATGCATAAAAATTAAAAACCAAGCCCAAGAAATCAAACGCGGATATAACAGTAATACTTAATCAACCAAATCCGCCGATCAATCTATATAATAAGCTGCGTGATCTGAATAACTGAAACCATTAGTGCAACATCAACCAAACTTCTGGTTACAGTGCAATTATTTATTATACTAAAGCATGAAAGCTCCGCATGATTGAGGTTCGACACAGTTGCTGATGTCAGGTTCAATCCGAATGAATTCCGAGCCATTAAGGCTGCGAAATGTTCAAATGCAATCATTATGACTGTATTACCCAGATCCTCCACCCCGGCCACTTCGCTGCCGAAGCGAATGCAGCGCGTGCAGTGAATGCAGCGCGTCATGATGGTCTTGACGAGGGGCCCGATGTTCTTGTCTTCCACCGCGCGCTTCCCGTCGAACTTGATATCCGTGAAGCGACTGCGATCGCTGCCGAACATCATGGACTGATCCTGCAGGTCGCATTCGCCTCCTTGATCGCAAATCGGACAATCCAACGGATGGTTCATCAGCAGGAACTCCATCACGCCTTCACGCGCTTTGCGACTCATCAGCGAGTTCGTCTTCACGCGCATGCCCTACACAGAAAACAATGAAAACCATTACCGCGTTATTCTGCAAAAACCATCGGTTGATAAGCACCAAAAAAGCCATTTCAAAACAGCACCTGCATAGTGTCAAACAATTTCTCAACGCTCGCTTATCAAAAACTGTACTCAAAAGTCTCAATGTAACTGTCAGATAGTAATATTTTTGTTCCATTGTATTTCAGTATATCATGCTCATAAAAATGCAGAAAAAATGAACCAAATTCGGTTACACTTTTAAATAATCTATTACTCTGATTTCAAGATCACCTACAAAAATCACCGAAGGCAGCAAAAAATGGCAATTTTACAATACAAGAATCCAAAGACACACTGCTCACCTTCATGACGGGCATCGCGCAGGAGGCGACGGGCTTGGCAGACTTCTCTACCTCCACCAGACACATGCGACAGTTGCCCGCGATGCTGAGGCGGTCGTGGTAGCAGAAGCGGGGGATCTCCACGCCGACGAGGGCGGCCGCCTGCAGCACCGTCGTCCCGGGCGCCACCATCACGGGCTTGTCGTCGATGAAGACCTCCACGCGGGTGTCGGCCGCGGGGGCAGGGGCGGCCGGAGGGGCCGCGGCTTTGTCGTCCTTCTTGGCTGTCTGCTGCGCCTGCTGGAAGGCGCGCGGGGAGGAACAGGCGCCACGGGCCAGCCGAACGCAGACGGGCTTGCTGCACAGTGTCCCCAGCATTCTGACAAACGGGATCATCCAGGAAAACACAGCAATTTGCAGACTGCTAAACGATCATACAATCGCGCAACAGCGCAAATAGTCAATCTATGTATACAAAAACAAACACGCTGCTTAATATCACTAGAAACACAAGTTATGAGCTACACTGTTACAAGTCAGGCTTTCAGCAACCGTGTTTAGAGGCGACTGCCTTCGCCTTCGATTATAGCTTTTGCGCACAAAATGTGCACTGAAAGGTGGAGCAGCCCCCAAACTTACCGAGAATATTAAGCAATTATGATGCCGGATAACGGATACGTAGCTAAATTTGTGAACAAATAAAAAATCAGAGCACAGTTCTTACGGTTAAGTTACGAATGAGAAAATTTACTAGTAACTGAGGGTGAAGCACTCAAGAATTAGCACAATTCCACGGGAAAGCAACGAAATTCAAGTCGTTCCTGTTTTTGACTGACGAGGCACGACTTACAAGCGTGGCGTAACGAGCGTAGGCGCAGCCAAATGTAAAGTAATATAAATCGATACAAGTATGGAGCGTGCCATGGCGGTTGCCGGTCGGGACTGGAACGAAATCAACAATTATACTTCCTACTCCCAGAGTCCAGACAGAACAAAAAGCTAGGATAGGACGTGGGATCGCACACTCTACCGGGCAACAACGTTCCATAGATTTTTTCGACAATGACTCGTCGACTGTCCATTCATGTTCAAAGAGGATCAGTTATGCGTTATGGGCACCCTGCCCGACTCGGGCGACATATCCGAAGCGTTTTGTTGTAACTTTCAAATTTTCAGTGTCATTATTTTGCTGTTTAAGAGTTTTGGTATTTAATAATACTGTCTTTCTTTCAAGATATCAATTATTGATGATTTTTCCCCACCGGCTCCTGCATCAATTTGTCATTCCACAAATAAGCATTTTTGAAAGTGTAATAAGTTGTTTCCCGCAAAACATTTTTACAAAAAGCTTATTAATAGAGTATTCAGTCAGTTTTGTCTACCGGACCAACGCCATCGTCTACTCTATATATCGAGCTAGTGTCTCAAGACTCAAACTCACGTACACGGTATACCACAGTTGTTTAAACTGGGCTGTTTTTAAGCCTTTTTTAATGCAAGAGAGATTCCCTGTGTTTTAATCGCTGCTTATTTTAAATGCACTATTAAACGTTAACCAGAATAACGTTCTCAGTTAATGCAAGTTTCGCCTCGCACTTTTTTTTTTAAGACAATAATTTCACTCATAATACACTGATTTACATGCCTGCATCATTTCATACAATCGTAATCTGTTCTTCAAAGTCTGACTCATCATTGTCGTCCGTCGATTCGTCGCTTTCCTCATTACTAAAAATTTCCATCGAAACCCGGTCTTTCCTCCCGTGACGAGCATCCTCAGCCCGCATAGCCAACTGCTGCGTGTACTCGTACAAATCCTGCGCGTCCACATTCCCTTCCTCATCCGCTTCCAGTTCAAACAGCTCCGTTGACCTTTCCGATCGTCTCTGCATCGCCCTTAGTTGCATCGCCCTTAGTCTGGCCTCTTCGCGCTTCCGCAAGATTTCTTCTTCGTCACTGGAATCTAGCTCCTCCGACAGATCCGACAGATCACCGTACTCAATCGGATGCATGCAGATGGTGCACATGTTGTGCAGATCACGGAAGCAGTCATCGCAGTAAATGCCTTTACAGCCCGGTGTCTGGCAGTGCTTGAACGTCTCATAATCATCCTGAAAACCTGGTTTGCTGCAGACGATGCAAAATTTTTTCTCGGTGTAACCAAAGAATTTGAAAATCTGCCTGAGAAACTCCGATTTTGTCGCCAAGTATTCAATCAAACTCGTCTTCTCCGCGGCGGACTTGGTAAATTTTTCGATGCCGTACTTTTCGCGCAGACGCCGACGCATGAACTTAACGAAACCACCGCGTTGACGCAGGATGTTGTTGTACAGCCAAATTGCGCGCTAAAAGGTCAAACATTACTGACATTGATATGCGGTAAAAATCAAGCCACAAATTTCGTTATTTCTGAAGTAAAAAACCTGCTTTACCTCTTTTTCACGATGCGGCGCGAACCAGCTGCAAATTACATGCCGGAACCGCAACCCATACGCTTCCCCCACAATAAGCAGCAAAACCAGCCATAGCAGAAACAGGATGAGTTTATAGCGGTTGTAATCAGGGATACTGGCGACCGGTAGACAAGGTGTCGTGTCCACCCGTGGCATTAGTTTCAGCAGCGGTTTGAAGGCCTTAATGATGGTGCGGTACATCCGCGCAAGGAAACCCGAGCCCCGCACGTGCAGTTCGATACTGGCGGGAATCTCGATTTCCGCATCGAAAGCTCCGTACTTGCGGATGGTCTTCAACAGCCAGAATAAGGTGGTGTCCATAAACATGTAGAAGACTGCCTGCATGGCCGGTCCGCTGAAGAAGGCCAGCGATGAGAAGAGCTTCTTCTTCTCGGCGTGAGCAAAGCTCCAAGCGTTGGTTTTGACGTAAATCTTCTTCTCGTCGTGGCGTAGTGGTAAAAGAGTTTCTTTCCCCAAATCGAGACGCCTTTCCTAGCGAGTAAAAGTGCAAAAAAACAAACCCATTTTACAGTTCAATAAAAGTTTAAAATTTGCAGAATTTGAGTGTCTTAATGCAGAAAATTTTTTCAGGGGTTTTTTAATCAAACTTAAGCGGCATTTTATTCGAGTAACACTAAGCTTACATCGATATCGCGCACGGTGAATGTGATGTAAATGTTATCGTAGCGATCCTGCGTCAAGTATCGCTGCCGGTACCAAAACGCTTTCCAGACGATGGTGAAAATTATTAAGAACAAAACGACATCGGTCCATTCCAGTGTCAAATCGAAAATGTCCACTCTTTGTCGAATCTCATCCATAATGTCTTTTCGTATGTCCGTTACAGACTTGCTTTGCTCTAATGTGTAATTCATGTGATGGCTAAAAGCAATTTTGACGTACAACTGATATTTGATCTTAGCCACCAGCGTCTTCACCAGTTTTTTAATCGGCTCCAGAATGTTCTCCTAAACATCAAGCATTGTGGTCACAAAACAGCTTTGGTTGGATGCTTAAAGTTAAAACTCATCCAGAGTTGCAGCATAAAAATCCACTAAATGTATACATACGCTGACGGCTTTAGGCAGGTTGCATAGGGCCACCACTAGACTCATTGCCGCACAGGCGATGTATGCCACGTGCGCCACATAACACAGCCAGCTAAACGTCTTGCCCAACGCCACTTCGCACTTCTCCACCGCCTCGTCGATGGACTTGTAACATTTTTTGGCCGGAGTGCCGACGCGCTCGTTGCACTCCTCCACGACACTGGCCAGCCAGGCAAAAGCCTGTTTGATGGAGTCCACAATGTCCCGAAACACTTTCACCACCGCCAGGAACGCCGCTTTAATCTTCTTCGCCAATTCGGCCAGCTCCTTGACGACCTTTTTCAGTACGGCGTAAATGGTGCGAATGGGAGCTGAAAAGCGCAAACGTTATTATCGTTATCTTTAATCGTATGCTTATTGGCTGGTGCTGCAAGATGCGCAAACGCAGTCATTAACCGGATAGCTTCACTGCGGAGTGCGGTACTTCTATAGCTCTGCAGCATTGCGGCCGGTGTTTGCACAGCTTAGCTAACTTGCAGCATCAGAGTGTCAGACAAGAATAACCGACTAAGAGCCTCTTTGATGACCTCGATGGTGGTGTTCCGCAGCAGTTCCTGTCCGCACTGAATCGTCCCCGCCAAGCGCATAGCGTTCTCCCCAGCATTCATCGCTGGCCCGTTAAAGGTCATCACCATGGCCGTCGCCAGAAGGGCTGTCCGGCCCTTCCCCGTACATACCGACGGCACAATGAGCAATGCGATGCATCGCACCGGGTCGCTGAACGCCAATCCCAAAGTCAGCACGTTGCCGGCGATTAACGCCCAAACGGTGGCAGTCAAAAGTTGGAAGCGTAGTTGGTATATCATGTACAAATAGATGAGGTAGTTGATTAGTATTCCGATTAAGAAACCCAGAACGCTCTTAAGGACTTGGTTCTCGTACGTGCCCTGCAGAAGAAGGATGCGTTACTGAACACTACATAACATTTTTTGTCACTCGAATTGCCTTTATGGTATATTATAGTTTTCTGGAAATTAAACTATACTGAGTTTAGGGTTTGCCAAGATCTCAGTTTTCAGGATCGTTCAAAAACGCACGCATCAAATAAACATCTGTTCTAGTTAAAGTCAGACGGAACATTATCCAGAATGCTCATCGCATTGCGGCTCATAACTGAGAAACGTGAACGCTGAACGCAAATTTCTGGCCCGCTGTGCTATGATCTTTTTCGGCACGGCATACATGTGTGCGCAATTGCGCATGGGAGCTCAACTTCATTATTATTGTGTCAATCGTTAGTCTTATGGTGATTGGCTGCAAGACACACCATGCAGTCAATCTGACTATGACAAAAACAAAAATGGAGCCGTTCTGTCCCGTTATGACAAATGAAATCTTTACTGTTATTAGTTCCTTATTGAAGCGCTACCTGGAAGATCATGCGGCCGTACCAAGTGGTCGGCGCAGGACGCCGGCGCCGTTTCTCATGCCGGTAGCGGTCATAGATACAGCATGGACACAGAGCATGGTAGATGAAATCCAGAGGTTTGTCCACCAGGTACATACGCAAGATCTCGCTAAATGGATAGATCGGAGACAGACCTTGCTCGATGCGGTAGGTGTTCTCCTTGGCTAGCTTTAGCCGGCGGATCTTGCGTCGCAGCTTCAGCAGCTTAAAAAACATTTTTATCTGCATCCACATTTCTGCTGTAGTTTGGCTATGAGCGGCAATGCCAAAACAACCTAGACAGAGAGAACTATGTCAACCCACTATTACGTCGTAAAGTGTTACGGTTGTAAACGCACTAAAAGCTTTCTCTTTACACAAGGCAAGTGTCGTCGTTAGAAAGTTTCAGAATTTTATACAGGTATTGCCACGAAGTTGTCAGTACTAAGTGCCGAATCCAAAGCAGTACAATCTTCAGTCAATGCAGTATCATTCCAGATTGCACACGGCACCGGCAAAAGCGTTCGCTAGATTCTACAGTACTAGTATAGAATAGTACAGTACAGTACATGTTTCGTTTTGAACTCTGACGCCTGTTATATTACCAGCAGTTCCGCAGTTACTTCATCTCGAATCGACTAGCTAGGAAGTGTGCCGCACGATCTTTCACGGTATGTACTGTAAGTACAACCGTTAGTCTGAGAAAACGGCCGGCACCATCGGACATGCTTAGAAGCGCCGAAGCCCTAGCAACCAAGGATGGCCGTTAATGGTTTTGATTTGCGTGACGTGCTCGCATAAGACGGATGAGTGCAGGATTGTTTTATTTTGGTGATGTGACGCGTACCAGTACATCCGTCTCTGCTGTTGGTTAATTAAGTACATAGATATTGCCTCAGCCAATAATGTGTTCGCCTGAAACGTTTATATCAGCCCACATTTATGGTTAAAATAAATCTGACAACGACAGCAGCAGTCTTTGGTGCACACTAAACATGAGCCAAAATTACTTACCTTCACCATGCTCACCTTAATGTCAATTTATTAAATCCGGCGAATAATGGACGTCAGTTCGTTATTAACGACTGTGTGGCTTAATGAGCGTTGTAGTCAATGACCGCACTATCCTCCAGCGACCCGTGAAATGGGTGTTCTATTCCAGTTCCTGGACTTTTCCATCCATCTGACCTTTTTTTACCTTTTCCGCACTGACGTCAGCGTCCCGTGGTACGTCATTTCAGAGTTCATTTACTGCCTCCTAAAGGTCATCACTGCCTTGCGCCCCACGCTAAACACCGGTCCCCTGCGGCCTCTCCACCCCCACGAGCACGACATGGAATCGGTCGAGTGGCTGAACGAGGTCATTCGCCGGTTGTGGACGCCCATCAATCGCTACCTCCAGCATATTTTTCGCGTAGAAATCACGGCGCTTCTCAATGAGGAACTGCAGCGGGCAATTAAAGTGTCGTTTGCTTTTGTCAAGCTGGATCTGGGGACAATGCCGTTTCAAGTGGAAGGGGTTCGCAGCTATCCGGAGGACCCGACAGAGGAGGTATGCGTGGATTTAGATGTCCTGTACCGCGGCAATGCGGAATTTGTGGTCCGGGTGGGATATGTGCAAGCAGGCAGGTGGGGCTGGTAAGGAGTGAGTCCATTGCAATGACCGTTGTAGTGGTAAGGTTGCTGGCTTTACAGGCATCAAAAACATCCAATTACGCGGAACGCTGCGGTTGATTTTAAAGCCACTGCTGCCAGAATTACCAGTTATCGGTAATGGATGCCCGTATTCGACGTCTCCGGTTCTTTTCGTTTCGTGGTTTCTGAACAAAAAGTTCTCCTTTCTTTAAAAAAATGTGTATCTTTAAAGAATGTATATTCTTTAAAGAAAACCTCTTACGAAGGTTATCTAAAACCATTTTTATATGTTGAATTATTTTAAGTGTTTTTTGACGGTTACCTTGTTTGTAACAAAAATAAGCATAATAATAGTTTACAACGCATGTAATTTAAACGTTAATATCAGCCAAACTTAGTATTACTGTATCAGTATACTCACGTTAGATTCTATTTTTTTTATAGTTGCACCTTTGACGTTTGTACTCATTTCTGCTTTCATTTTCTTTTGGTGACTGAAAATAGTTTATTCCCTATTTGTTCGCTTATTTCAGGAGGAACCCAGCTGTATTTCTTGGAACCACCACAATTACACTATGAATTTACCAACTTCCTAAACTTTCTGAACTTTGAGGCGGTGGCCGGCGTTCTGGACAAGACCATCCACGGTATTCTGCGCCACACTATGGTGACCCCGCATGCTCTTCAGATTTACATCGCCCAGAACTATGCCAGCCACGATCTGGAGATTGACCTGCCTCTGGGCATCGTCCGCATTCACCTCATCGATGCTTTTCAACTGGAGGCTGCCGATCTTCACGGCGTCTCAAACCCCTATGTAGAGTTCACTTACGGCAACGAGGTATTCGTGTCGCCGGTGGTGGAAGACAGCCTAAGTCCCACCTGGAACCATTTCTACCAGATTGTCTTTCACCGGCGCAGCGAGCGTATCCCCTTGACCTTTACGGTGTTCGACCAGGACCCGATTACCCGCTTGCCGCTGGGTGAAGGGCGGTTGGACCTATTACGGGTGCAAATCAACGGAGTCATTGAGGAGTTTTACGCTTTGGAGAACGTCGGCAGTGGGATTCTACATTTACGTTATGAATGGCGGAGCTTATCCGATCGTTTCGACGACTTCACCATGCAGATGCTGATCTGCCAGCGTATTCGGGAGAAGACCAACTGCATCCTACCGGTGGCGCTGTGCTACGTGGTGGCGGCGTCCAAAGCTCATCTAGATCCTTTCCACCTACCCAGGAGTTTCCCGGTCAAGGTCACCGCACGGCTGGGTGACCAGCAGCGAACCTCCAACCGGCATGATTACGCCAAGGTACCGGCGTGGAAGGAGGTCCTAGCATTTCCTATCTATGACCTGCTGCACGATGAGATTCAAGTGGAAGTCGTGGACGGGGTCAAGGACGTCCGCTTGGGGCAGGGTTTTGTAAGATTGGCGAGTGTGTTAAAATCAAAGGGGTTGACTGTGTCGACGAGTTTTGAAGTCAATGATGGATTTGTCACACTGTCAGTGGTGTCGTTGAGGGTTGTTGTGAGGACGTTCCGAGCGGAGGGCGATGCGCCGCTCTTCGAGCCGGATATCAGTGTTCGAAGCGTGGCCGCCGCGCGATGACAATAAGGTTTATATAATAATAATACGTAATAATAAAAGAACTATATTATTGTTGTGTGACAATGTTTTGGTGGTTGTGCACGGAAAAACTAGAACTACTTGGAGTAAATGTCATAATCAACCGAAAGAATATGTAAATTATGTGGCTTACTGTTCGCGCGAAAAGTCACGGGATGTGAAATACTGAAATACTCGGATCTGGATAAGCATTACATTTTAGAGAATCGCGAGCAACCAATACCGTGTCGATTTATTACAAACTAAATTCTTTGCGACTTAACCTCACAACCAGCAGCAGTAATTAACAGTCACTCCTCCAACCAAACGCTAAGGATAACAACATCCAGTCAAGAATGGCATCACTTTCCGGCTTACATTCCGGCTCCACAGGCACTAGGGCAGGATGATTTCTGCAATTAAAGGCCTTCATTACACATCATGAACGCTGGGTTGCTCAGTAACTGACCTTGGACTTCTTCATGCCGCCGCAGCGAGAGCGAGAGCGAGAGCGTGACTTGCGACGCGCACCACACGAGCGCTTCTTGGATTTGGATTTGCAGCCGGAGCGCTTTTTGGGTTTGCAGGACTTCTTGACCTTTTTGGATTTGCAGGAGGACTTCTTCGGCTTGCAGGAGGACTTTTTAGCCTTACGCGAGCAACCGCGGGACTTCGATCGGCTGCGCTTCTTGCTGCCGCATTTCGACTTCGACTTGGATTTGCCGCAGCTTGGCTGTTAAAATCACAGCCGAAGGTTATGCTGCTCTCTTTTGAATGGTATGAGATATTTTTGTTGATTAGAAGCATTACATTATTCAGTATTATGTATTCAGTTAATTTAATTGTTGTTCATTTGGTAATGGCGTTACGACATTTATGTAGTCATACCTTTTTCTTGCCGCAACTGCCACTTCGTGCCGCGAACGAGACCATTTCACCCTTGCAAGTGCGGAAGAAGACGAGTTTTTTGCCGCTGCGCAGTTGTTTGGTCAAAGTCATGAGCAGGGAAACAGTGTCGAGGTTAATGTAGCGCAGATTCTGTGTTGGGAGTACGTGGACAAAATTACAACTGAACTCTAAACCATCCCATCGAGACTGATTCAGCTGCACGATGCACCGGTTGCGAAACAATAAGAAAAGGGTTGCAGTCATATCCAAGCAACCAGAAAACGGTTTTCCCCATGACCTTTGCCAAATTTACCGAAAAACGTATGTACTTATTACAACTAATTTTTTCGGTGGCACCGTGTATTATAGTAACACTGCAAAACATTAACACGTGCGGGCATAGTATGTAATGCGGTGACCTTATCGACCATCGCTCGTACCGGTATATGTCTAATTATCAATATGAAACTATTACAGTACTCAGTACAGTAATCACAAACTTGGATATTAAACGTTTCTTTTGGTTAGCTTCATCCAAAACGTTTTATTCTAAGTATTCCAACTGTTCTTTACATTTGGGAACTCCAAGGGCAAAAAAAACATAATGTATCCCTTAGGGTTAATCAGGAAAGGCTTCGCAACTGAAAATGCTTCCACCAATGGATTAGTCAACAATATCAAGCGGAAATGTGTTCAGGTGGATGTATCGTCAAGTAAAAAAAACAAGTACTGAGTACTAGTACAAGAATAGTACGCGTACCATGCACTCGTAGATAATTGTATCTCTCCTTTAAAATCAAATATTCCCCTCAGAAACTCGAATGCAGACATCATTATCGGCTAGATCAGTATTACATGATCAAGCTTTGCAGTCAATTGCACCACTGAACTTGGGTTGGTTAACTTGGGTTGAACGAGCTTTGACTCATTTTGTTTCTTTTGAGCTATGGTAGCATCACCCCGGTTCCCGGTAGAAGGAGTCTGAGGCGAATTGTTGGGAGTAATTAAATCAACTGCCAGGTTTGGCAGATAGGACCTGCATATCGCATAAAAAGCCAGTTAAAATGTAGGTTAACCGGAGTTCTGTACGATTCTCAAAGAATTTCCATGTGAGCGGTTTTGAATGCTTTACGCACAAAGGTCGCCACGGTTTCCAGAACGCCTCCACCATATTTTTCCGCAAGGATCCACAATCGAAGGGACTACGGAAACGATGCATGCTCCGGTTATAATATTTGTCCGTTTTCTGTTGAGGGAAACAACACAGTGTATCCGCAAACACCCGCTTGACACACGCTCTTTAAAATCACGTACGAATTCGTGCACAGTCAGCCCCAGTTTGAGCAGATCCCGCTGACATGATAACAGGACGTACAGAAAGTGCAGATTTGCTATCCCAATGCCTATTTGTATAAGGCACGCCGGGAGGTACACAATTCCTGTCCAGTGTTCCAGAGAACCTAATCAACAATTTTCTAACTTCTCAATACCGGTAGTAACACGTACTACATTAGCCTACTTAACTTACGCATTACGATGTGGACGATCACAGAAGCGATCCAGACTATCCACATGACCCCATGGATAATCAGCATCAGGATGAAGTAGGGGTAATTGCGCAGTCCCACGCAGTTGTCCAGCCACGGGCACTAAATACAGCATCATTGGTGTAGCTGGGGTTCATCGACAGCGATCAGTGCGTACATGATGATCAAACCTTTCTGCAAAACAAACTTTTCTGTTTGACAGTGTGAGTAACAGGTACATATTTGGTCCATACGCGAGTGCTTGCACTCTTTGATTGTGAGGCCAATTCATGGTGATAAATTATAATTTTTTATGACAGCGTGCAGTCTTAGTTTTGAATTCGCGCTTTCGTACCAACGCATCGTCCGCACAGCTGACAGTGGTGCACCCGCGGAGCCTGGTACAGGCGACAGTGATAGCAGAACTCGGTGATCACTGTCTGTCCGTTGACCAGCCACTGGCTCTGACGCCGCACCGATGCGCGTTCGGTGGGGTTGTCCGAGGTGACGATGAAGGCTTCTGCTACATAGTGCATTCCCTCCCGAATTCCTACAAGGAATCCCAAAAGCCTGCGTCGATAAGGGGCGCGGATAACAATAACAGAGTGACGTACGCAGTTGTTGTTCCAACCGCAACAGATCGCTGTGCAAATACGGCTGCACAACGCCCGGATCCATAAAGGAGTTTACGAGGAACAGGGTGAAGACCGTGAAGAAGAGTATGCCCAGGGTCATCGGAAGGTACGGCGTCATGTGTCGGAGGAGATACGGCGCACTGCATGATTAACACCTATTATTATCTACTGCATCCTATTGCTCAAGCCTGTCTACTGTGCAGACAGTGCAGTAGAATACAATGCTCACTGCTCAGTCGACCGATGGATGCTGCTAAATTTATGATGTCAGAATTGCCAGTTATGGCATGGCAGCTGACATTCACATATCTATAATAAGTACCTATACTGAATGGTATTCAGTATAGGTACAAGTACTTATTTTTATATTTCGTTATGATAATAGTTATTGATGTGTTCATATTTCGATTGCACGTCTTTGAAGAAATTACAAGCTAAAATCATTAAATGTAATGACACATTAATCACGAATTTACCAAAACTGATTTAGATTGGAGACGTTACTAGATCTTTAGGTAATTTATTTTGCGGCGAGGCTTTTCTTGGAAACAAACTTCAAAAATTAAATGGTAGTATGTACTGAACAGTACCGCGGATCACCGCCGTACACGCACTCAATGGCTGCATGAAGGCTTAGCGGCAGTACGGACATGGCGATGGTCAGCCACCAGATGAAACGCTGATTGCGCCCCACCATACGGTTCAGCCAGATCTCCAGGCGGACCTTCAGCATCGCAGCGTTTTCTCGTTCCCATTGAGCCTGCTCCGGGAGATCTTCCGTTTCGACAGGACAATCCGCTACATCGATGCTGTTAGCTGGAACTGAAGTCTCCATGGAAGTGAAATGAGCCTGCTTTCTTTCTGCCTGCACTCTTGCTGCTTACAGCTTGCTTTGCCAAGTCACCACCAACTAATTACTGTATTTTCAACAGTTAGCGGATTCTTTCTCCAGTCTGGTGTTGTGTTGTCAAGCAGCTGCAAATTAAAGACGCGGCGGCTAGTAATTCATTCTCAACAGTAACAACAAGCAATTCATTCTCAAGCGTTGTTGTCGTTGGCACGTTGCAAAAACTACGCTGTACGTTTGTGCAACCACAACAACAACAACAAATATTGCGCCCATGCAGTGGGATAAGCGCATTAATGATGTACCGATGGTGAGTCACTTAAATGAAGACGCCCGCTCATTGGATGAGCGGTCTTCGAAAGGGGAATCAATGTAACTGACAGCACCCTTGCTCCGCCCAAACCGCAAAAACACAGCCGGTACTTTGCGATTGCTTTATGCGGCTAGTTGTTTCGAAAACGGCTCGGTTTACATGTTCAGCAATGCATTAATCAGGTGACAGACAGAACATTTTGTGCAAAGTACGGTAATTCATTCACGCAGAGTTACAATGGAGGCTATAACACTGCAACAGATCGTATGCAGCAGCTCGCAAACGCGAGCGCCAGCTTTATTTTAACGCGCAATGGCGCTAACCGGCTCGGGCAGAGCAAGACGTTCAACAGAACCAGACTAAGAGAATTCTAAACAGGTAGACAGCAAGCACATCTCTAGGGAAGGCGCCAATCCTCTGCTTCGACTGATCTCCCTGTCTCCTTCCATTTGGCACGATTGGTACTGCGGACATCACAGGCCTTTCAGTCCAAGCCGTTACTGAGTAGCCAGGGTGGTATTGTGATCCTCCATCTCCCGTGCCCGTCTCCGTGGTGGTATTGCTGCCTCAGCCAAGCACTTCGCACACAGGCCTTGCGGGCCGTGCACTCGCAGCCTGAACTCAGAGTGGTCACCCATCTAAGTCCAAACCGCGCTCGATGTAGACTATCTTTCAAAACCCGAAGGTTTATCCATCTAGCCACAACGAGTGTGCTTCCACAACGAGTGTGCTTTAGTTAGGGGCCTTCGTTTTCCCTCAGTCAGTTGCCACGAAACTTTCTATTTCACACATGTGACTTGAACAACAATTCTGTGCCAAGTTAACGTTTTGCCGTGGTAAGCAACTAACTGCAGATGCGATCGGAGTACCAGTGTTCAAAACTCGTAGGTAATTAGGCACAAGACCAGGCTGGAAAACACAGCTACCAACGGCTTAGTGATCATTAGTAAATAGTATGCATAATTCTGAAACACTACGTTGTAACATGCGGTGAAACACGAGAAGATGGTGCATAATTTTTATCATTCTGTTTATTCGGGAATCGGGAATACGAATTTGCGTTGACAATCGTTGTTAAACGCTGCAAGTGTATAATCACTGAAGCATCGTTTATTGAAACGCTGCTTGCTTTTGCTCAGCAGCTAGTGTAATACGAAAATGGCATCGTCGTTGATACGGCTCTCATGTTCTGGATTTCTGTTGGCTGCTCTGTCCATTGTGCCAGCATCTTACATACTGAGTGCGAACGGTAAGTGGTCTGGGAACTGTTTGTACGAATTTCTGTATACAAAGCGTGGTAAAGCACGCTTAAACCCGCTACTCCACTCCCCTTGTTTCGCCCCAACTACGAGGTCACCCTCGGCACTCAGCAACGCTCGCACAACTAAGGGCCAAAATCCACCGGTCAAAAGGTGGGGTCACGTATAACTAGCCAATGCAGCTACTACACCGCGTGTGTTGCACTGTTGGATGTGAGCACGTAATACAGTGCGGAATCCAACGCTACTGAAGTGAAAGTATAGATTTCATTTGCTTTTCTTCTTTCTTACCCTGTTGTACACCACGGAGCAACCCTGACCGCCGCTCCCGCCGTAAGCCGTCAGCCGGCTTCGGAGTATGTCCTTACTCGGACAACGCCGCTATGATGTGTCACAGAAAATCAGCTCGGAAGCGTTGGAGCTCCTCAACGACATGCGAAAGATCGGCCAGCTGTGCGACGCCGAGCTCTTACTCCATGATGGGTCCCTAAAGGTCCCAAGCACCCTCCCACCACGCATCCGAATACCTCTCGAAGATGTGATTTTTATCGTTGTTCGTTGTTTTAGGTCCACCGCGCCATCCTGTCCTCATGCAGTCCGTATTTCCGGGCGCTCTTTACCACCACGCTACGCCCGGCATCTGCCGCGAGCGGAGACCACTGGGTGACGCGAATCCATGGCATTACTCGGGAGTTCATGGAGGTGCTGATTGACTACGCCTACACCCGCAAAGCCAACATCAATGTCGATAACGTGCAGGACGCGGTGGTAGCGGCCGATATGTTTTGCATGCTTGGTCTGCTCAACGCCTGCGTGGACTTTATGCGCGACCACATTGACCCGGAGAACTCCATCCAAGTGCAGCGGTTCGCCGATGCCATCGGCATCCCCGAACTGAAGTTCTACGCGTTGCGCTACCTCCTGGAAAACTTTGCAGAGATCCGTAAAACCGGTTCGTTTAGTCAGTTGTCTCTGGAGGAATTGGTGGCGCTGCTGCGCCACGATATGCTCAACGTCAGTCGGGAGGAGCAAGCGTGGGAGGCTATAGGTGCGTCCTTTAGGTAAATGCCCGCTAAATAATTACAGCATGCTGTCTGCTTGCACCCTTTATCGCTTGCCGCTCAAGTAACGCTGTAAAGGTCATTGCAGTCCAATGGATAGAAGCGGACCGGGACAGCCGCAAGCGCTGCATTGTCCATATCTTACCGGCATTACGCTGTGGATTGATTGATTCGCAGTATTTCATGGAGAAGATCAAGAGTAATCCGTTGCTGAAGGAATTTGATAATGAATGCAAACCGGTCATCATTGCGGCGCTCAAATACATCTACGATCTGGATTTGAACAAAAACCCCGAACAGGATCCCAATGATGTCTATATAACACGCTCACGGGCTCCACATGAAATTATGTTTGGTACGTAAACCAAAATAAACAAAAAAATGTACCGTTTTCGGTTAGCTTCGCTCATACCTCTATGGTCTATAACCGGTTAGTGACCAGGATATACCGCTATCAAACAGTTATTAATGACAAACAATTTTTTTTATCAACACTTGAATATTTATAAAATACTTAATTTCCGTGCAAATTTTAATTTCACACTGAAGCTTGGCGGGGAATTTTTATTGGTATTACTGAGTCCGAAAAGTACTAGTAACTATTCCGTTGCAAAGTTACCTGTCTTTTTCCTGAATTGTTATTTGGCACCATCTGCAAAGCCTAGCCCAGTGAACGTAGGTGATTTCGGTTTTGTACCAAATCAGTTCAGATTTCAGTTTTATACCTTTTTCCAGTAAATACTTTATTTTATAATTATACTCAGAGTAGGACAGACTACTCGTATGATTTCTATGCATGACAAACATCTTCCGCGACTGTTTGATCTGTAGCCATGGGCGGCTGGTCGGGCGGCTCCCCAACCAACCTGGTGGAGGTATACGACGTGCGAGCAGACCGCTGGATCCGAACCAACATCGGTGACCGCAACGGGCCACGCGCTTACCACGGTTTGGCGACGATGAACGGGCTCATCTACACTGTGGGCGGCTTTGACGGCATCAGCTACTTCAACACCTGCCGCGCCTTCGACCCGGTGACGCGCACCTGGTTGGAGATCTCCCCTATGCAGACGCGTCGCTGCTACGTCAGCGTCATTAGCGCTAAGAACCACCTGTACGCCATGGGCGGATATGACGGGGAATCACGTATGTACTACTTACAAGCGAAACTGGTGACCTTCAACGTTCATAAATAAAAAGCATGCATGGTTACGTACTTCAAGTGACTGAGAAAGAAATCGTCTACGAGAGTATATAATTTGGCATTTCGACGGCAACTTGTATTTAGTCAGAAGACCATATTTAGCAGAAAATGTCGTCTTTAGCGGAACGACAATGTTTATTTTAACGGGTGTTTTGATTAGGACAGGCGCGCCAAGCGACGGTGGAGCGCTACTCTCCGCGTAAGAACCAGTGGCGTTTTGTAGCACCCATGAACTCACAACGGTCAGACGGGTCGGCCTGCGTGATGGACGATAAGATCTACATGGTAGGCGGGTTCAATGGGCAGGAGTGTCTGCAGTCAGCCGAGATCTACGACCCGGCCGCCGACACGTGGGAATTCATCCAGCCCATGCGTAACCGCCGGAGCGGGGTGGGTGCATGCGCACTTAACGGCTGTATCTTCGCCATCGGCGGGTTCAATGGTGTGGCACGCATGCTCAGCGGCGAAAAGTACAGTCCGGTCACCAACCAGTGGACGGCCATCAAGGATATGCTAAATCCACGAAGTAATTATGCCATACAGGTACGAATATTACTATTGCGCCGGTGCAGAAGTCAACAGTGATGTCGCCAAAACTGTTAGCAGAGTAAAACTGAAGTAAATCACACTAGGGTTACCAAATTATTATACTTACATTACGCATTACGGAACTTAATTAAAGCAAGTATACATCGTATACTGTACAAGTAAAAAGAATTATTCTGCTAATAAAAACTATCAGCTGTCAATGGCATTTGTTTAATATTATAATAAAACGTTCTCCCTGTACAGCAGACAGGATTTTTTTATGTATATGGATCTACGTTTTAGCTACTGGACGGAAAAGTTTTCGCGGTCGGCGGCTTCAACGGCGTGACAAGTGAGTAAGCGCTTAATTAGCCTGATGCCACACAGAATAATCCCAGTGTTATGCTTCCTAGCTATCGTAAACGTGGAGTGCTACGATGAGAAAAGCAACGAATGGCAGGAGTGTGCCAGTATGAGCTTATTCCGTAGCGCCCTAAGTGCTTGTGTCATCGGTAACATTCCCAACATCGGCTCCTTCATCGAGCGGCCCGGCATCGACGAGTATGTGCCGCGTTCGCTGCAGGTTGTCCCGCTAAAGGAGGAGGACAGCCTCATGGTAATCGAGGCGCCTCGCGAAACGACTACCACTGGTGCGGAGCCTACGCTGGCAACTGTGCCGGATGTCGATAGCGACGTCGACATGGAGGATATCATTTAGATTAGACCTTCTTCAAGTTTTCCAGTGTGCTGCACTATTTTCCAAGTTTAATGTATGACTTATCAGATACGCCGGTTACTTTTACATAATCTCAAACCGAATTCCGAATCTAACAGTAAAGGCGCGATTTACATGTATTTTGTTGAGCATATAATCTGTGTTTTGGGCGGGATAGCAGAAAGCCAATAAATATTTCAACATTACGACTTAGCAGTATAGGCATAGTGAAATAAAAACCACTCCGATAATCCATCAAACTATCGGAATGCCACTTTAGTTTGACTTAACCCATAACGCCGTTCTTTAACCACCGGAGTAGTAGGTTTCAGCTCAACCGTTCTAGCGGGTTTGGCCGTCAGCCGCACAGCGGGTGGTAGGGTGTGGGCGGTATGCGTGGTGGCCAGTGACTGTTGTCCGGCCAATGCCGTCGGATCGGCCTGAAACTCTGCCCCTTGGTTGGACAAGCGCAACCAGGTCTCGTAAAGGGCATTGACTTTAACAAACATCTCCTCGGCGTCGCCGTTGGCATCGATCTAAACCACACAAGTCACACCATGCTGGTTATGTGCTTATCGTTCATACCTCGAAAATTCGTTTCTCCTTATCGAGAAGCTGTATCACAGACATGGTCTGCTGGTCAAACGCGGTTAACCTTCTATCGATTTCCTCCGGTGATATCGGACAGATTTCGCAGTACTGGTTTTTGCGCTGAATGCGAGATTTGGCCGTTTCGTTGGTGACTTTTAAATAAATCACATGCTTCATGGGAAGTCCCTGTTACGCCAACTATTACGTCATCGCTTTTTAGTACATAACGCATTTTTTTGAAATGTTTTGAATGCACAGTTGTAACCGACCAAGAAGTCAGGTGGACATTTTGGCCGTTAAACCGATCACACCGTCCAAAGGTCAAAAAAGGCCGCCGTAAATTTTGCCCACCCTGTTGTTTTGCGTTTACGATGCGGTGATCGTATTTAAATAATAATTTCCCGCCGGACACTTAGAGTACTTAGAGTACTCAGAGTACGCCGTACAGCCGGATACACTGGTTGAAGTACAAAATCAGCCCAGTATGCGTATGTCTCCGGACGACAAAATGCTCGCTCCGGTCGCTTTAACGACCAAAATGCCCGCTGGATCTCTCGATAGGCCGGAATTTTGGTTGGTTACACCTTACACAGTCTCTAAAAGGTGAACTGTTGGTTATTTCGTTCCATGTTATGGCACAATGCGCAAACAAGCTCAGCATTGTGCGTGAGTAATAGTAGGTCGGTTTGAACAGAATCGCTCCGAATGGGACGGAATACAGGGTATGAAACGGAGCTAATATTACCTAGTAAATCATATACAGTCTACTCTGTACGTACCAAATTCTCCAGTTCCATGGCTTGGTCGTAGTTCCGCGGGAACCCGGAAATGACAATGGGGCGATGCACGTACAGCAGTTTACTAATGGTTTCTTTTAGGAGTTCCAGCATTAACGCCTGCTCATTATCGAGACTGCTTGAGCGCGGTTAAACAGCAAGACTAATCATAATGCACATACTTTTGGCACCGGCTTCGACGGGACGGCATACACATACTGCGCCAGGGCCCGTCCCCGTACCGTATTGGTGCTGGCTTCATCGCGCAGCAGCTGCCCAATGGTGACATAACTGATGCCGTGTTGCGCGGCCAAACGGTGGCACACTGTGGCTTTACCCGAGCCTTGTTTTCCTACAACGAACCATTCATTGGTCACCTTTTGCACCTGTTTCGCAGTATAGACGGCGCACGCACCGACCACGAAAACGATGGGCAGACCAAAATGTCGGAGGTACTTTAGCGGCACTTGTTTGCGGTATCTGTCAAATGCATCCTAAGAGGAATCGATACACTAATGCGACGACGTCAGCAAGACGCACAGAGCCGCAACGCCATATATACAAGACGTAACCGACCCAAACATAAAACTTTCTACACAAACTGAAAACGCAAAGAAAACCGATCTAGTCCTAAGCAAAAACGATAATAATTATTATTTCAGCCGTGAAGTATCGATTTCCGCAACTTACCGCAGGCAGACCCATGATGATACGTCTTCGACGAAGTAGAATTTGCTTCCAAGTTTTAGCCTGGATGTTTTAGAATATCGTCTAGGTAACAGGCTGACAGCAGTGGGAGAGTTTGAGGTTTTCGGTCCAACGCCAAGTCCACCGCATGGGTGCGTATTATTACTTGTGTGATATCTCCTCTTATTGTCCTACCACCGACTTAGCCCCGCCCCTTTCTTCTCCCTCGCTCCCCGATGAAGGCCAGCCACCATGCCCTGCACGTGACCCCGTCCGGGGTGCTGGACAGTATGCAGGACGGGATGACAACGATGCGCTTTTTGGCCATGTCCAACAACGACATGTTGGTCTATCACCGTCAGGTGGCGGTCGCGGCGCTCCTCCCTCTGCTCTTTGGAACGGCGGCCATCATGGCAGTCAATCTGGATATCCTGCACACGCCCTTCGCCTTTCATTCCGCCTATTTTATACATCTGATGTCGCTGTGCTACGCGGCGGAAATTGTCAGGACGAAGCTGTTACCGCGCCAGCAGGTAATAATAAAATAGGGGCAGTAACGTGTGCAGTGCAATACAGCAGCTGTGTTGTGTCCACCTCGAAGAAGGCTCTTGGCAATTTCCTGAAAATGGTTTTCGTTTTTTGGTTTTTTCGTTTAATCATATATTCACTAAGGTATTTTTAAAGTATTACTTGGATCAAAAGCTTTTCCAAGAATGTTCTGGAATCTTGATTCTTAAATCGTGCAGATTTCAAAATGCTTTGTCATTTTTTGACAAACTGCAGTTAGCTCAGGGATATCTACTGTTTGAGTAGCAGCTGTCGTCAAGTCTGCCAATCTCAGAGGTGGGCTCAAGCTCGCCAGTTCTCAGTTCCAATTATTTTCCTTCGCTATTTTCTACAATATTTTAAAGCAGAAAACCGTTTATCAACAATTGGTGTTTATTCAGACGTACGAGAAATGGAACGAGTATATGTCGTCCGTTAGGCACAACCGTCACGTCTGCTCAGTTCTACTTGCTTACCACATGCAGATGGAATACGGCAACGCTCCACCAGGTGAGCTTTTCGACTACAGAAACTCTCTGTACTGCACAACAAGCTGATTTCCATACTATGATTTTTAAACCCATTTTGGGTTTTGATGAGCTGGCGTTTCTAGAGGGTTCCCCGGAAGCTAACAGCATCCCGCACGAAGCGTACAACATTTGGCGGACCAAAAATTACGGTGACCTTCTGCGGCTTTCTTCAAAACTCACCCACAAATGAACGCTTGCATAACCCGTAGCCTTTTAGGCCTCAGTCCAACGGAGGTAAAGATCAAGTACGTCAACTTCTGTTGGCGTTATGCCTACCGTCTGTGGTGCAATAAGGTCCATCTCACCCAGAAAGATTCCCGTCTGATTCACCACGAAGAAGAGCAGACCGCTACCAAACCATCACCTGCCGATCTGCATGGCGATGTTCACGCCCATGACGCAGTGGAGAAGCTACTGGATTCCGCTGATCATCTAAAACTGCGGACCCTGCAGAAACTGGCGCACCGTGTCAGCAAATTTGCCGAGGTATTACAAGGGGAAGCGGCCGGTGCCAGCAATGGTGGGGGCGGTGCCGAGCATCCGCAAGACGAGCAGATCCTGGCGCGGTTACGGGCACAGTTGCATGGTCCGCATGAAGGTCACCAAGACGGTCATTAGCTGTGATGGTCTTCAGCAATTTTTAAACAATGATATTTTATCTGTGCAAGTATTAATAAAACAAGATGGTCCTCAATCCTCACAGTACTTTGCTAAGTACTCTCCAGTTTATACAATGTATCGTAGCACCATGTATCGATTCGCGGTGCACTGTCCATTGCTGCTGTTTCTTTTATCAGGGTCTTTTTTGCATCCGACTGCATTCGTTTCGCCACACTTACATGATTGGCTTTGGATTGTCTCTGGCGCCGCGGAAAATGTGGATGCGGTGTGCTCTTCAACCGCAGATGCAGAACACTATGCATCCGACTAATCCGCCGCTTCCGCCACACTTCGCTTCCGTGCGGCGCCGTCCGGCTCATCCGCTTTTCGCGTTCATCTTGCTCAATCATCTCTCGGCACTGCTCCAGCCATGTCGGCACCGCGCGTTCCCGCGCCACTAACCGCTTGTAGAACTCCTTGGAGGTGTACAAATCACAAAGATCACGCAGTTCCGGAGACGCGGGATCCAGGATGGGAGTTTCCATGCGCTGCAACGGTTTCTGTCCGGTGACTCGCTCGAAGGCCTCGTCCGACTCACTCGCGCCCGGTCGCTTCATCTCTTCCGTCACCTCCATTTTCCGCCACAGCGCCCGGTCCAGATACCAGACACCGTAGCGACACCGTCGCCGGGTGGTGGCGTCGAAAACATTCCCCAAAGTGTTGCTGTGGTACCGGATTGCTGGACGGAACCCGAAACTGTACTTATTGCCCACGTCGATATGCAGTTTGCGGGCCTTAGCGGCTGTCAGGGATTTCTCTCGTTCGCGCAGTCTAGCGAAAAGCCGCTCGCGGAGGTAGTAGTAGTTGTCAAACTTCTCCAGTTCTTCGGGGAGTTTATCCATATCGTGGATATCGACTTTCAGAGCCAGTGCGGGACGGGTGCCGTAGGCATTCTGAACCAGGTCCACGATTTCGTCCTCCTTAATCACTGGGACGGGTTGGAACTCCTCTGGGAAGGGCAAATACGGCCGCATGTTCACGTTCTGTCTGGTCCCATCTTTCAAGGTGATAAGGTGGAAGTTGAGCTTTTTCTGTGGCCGCAGAGACTCGATCCAGGCAATGAGGTTACGTGTGGCGCGACGCAGTTTCCGGAATTTTCTCTACAAGAAGTGCTTGCCTATTTTAGATTCTTGCTATTTTCCCCGGTACGAAGCCAGCAAAACAACAAAAAAGGCAGTCCCGGCGTGGCTACATGTTAACAGATCGATCATGCATGAGCACGTCAAAGAAGAGCGCCTAAGTACGTCTTGGCCGTTCTAGGTTTTTTAATATCTTACCTGCTGTGGCTTCATCATTCCTACAACAACCGGAATCGCTTCCCTTGTGGGGTCACTGTCTCCCATAAACATCTGTGAGCTCTTGTTGGTGTCATCGACTGATGAGGAAGCACTTTCATTGAAGAGACCCTTCTGATCCACCGCTGCCACGAAGTCCTTTTGCTCTGAAATCTCCACTTCCAAGGACTCTTCGATAGCATAATCAGCCTTTTCCCGTGGTAATTCCCCAAAATTCTGGAACTTCCGCCGCCATTGCGCCACCCGAGCGGAACTCTCCTCCCACTCAATCGACAATCGCGCCAAGGTTGTCGCCGCGCGGCGCGGTCTGAATGATCTGGGTTCATCATTTTCCAACTGTGAGACGGTACGTTTCAGCCGCTTAGCTTCTTCGGCTAACAATTGCTCCGGAGTCAGCGGTGTCGGAAAGTACGCAACTTTGCGAAAGGTCTCACTGTGCTTTTTCCGCTGTTTCTTATCGACTGTGATCAGTAAGGGAAAGGGTTTTATGTTTGGCTTAACAAGCTTATAAGTCACGGCGCCGCTGTCGGGTACGCATTCCGCTTTTAACCGCAGCCAATCCTGTGTCCGGTAATTGAAGGAGGACGAGCGCGCGGACTGACTGACGAAATTAGTGCGAATCCCCAAGAATCGTTTGTCGGGGAAGGGAAAAGAAAGGTCACCACGGGAAAGACCTCGATACGCTAACATTGCTTAAATTAGGATAAGTAATTTATCCCTCAAATTTCAGCTTTACGCTTATTACATATGCTACAGTACTTCGTGTACTGCGTTGCCTTAAATTTTGGGTCCCTAAATACTCTGAATCCAGAATTCGAAACCAGAAAGCAGTCTAACGAGATCTAAATACTGTAAAGTAACCAACAAAAAAAAATTAAACTGACCAACCAAAAGTTCGTCATCTGAGTGCGAATAATGAGCATCTATATCGACGCGAGCGCTTTCCAGGAAATTACCTCAACAATGCGCCAACTAAAATCCCTGCTAGACCGCAAACTACAAGAACAGCTGACCGTGGAACGGTGCTACCAGGACAAATGCCACAACCTCTTCCTACAACTGCAGCAGGCCACCAACCAATTGAAGTCCCTCCAGGACACCCGCACCAGTCTCCAGCAGCGTCACGATTCAGAGCTGCACCTCCTGACCTCGCAGGTGGAATTCCTAAAGAAGGAGGTGCAGGTGCTCAAGTGCAGCGAGTGCGTCGATCCGGCGCGATCACAGATGGCGCCGCATCGCCGACAGATCGAACAGTTGGAACGCTCAAATCAGCAGCTGAGCGCCGAATTAACGCGCTGGCAGGCACTGCACAACATTGTCCGCAAAGAGATGGGAGTGGTCGTGCAGCTGCAGAGTAGCCGGCAAGGACTTCGTGCTGATCATGAGCAGTGGTTGATGGGGGCGTACCGGGCGCTGGAAGACAACTACCGCAATTTGCTGTCGAAGTACACCGCGCTGCAACGGCAACAAGGTTGTGACCTTTGCCATGAGACTTTTGTGGAGACGCTCCCCGCGGAGACGCCGCGGAAATCGGTGAACGAAGATGGTCCACGAAAGTCCGTGACGGCGAAGAAATCGGTGAAGATCAGTGACGATACGAAAGTCGAAGAACCAGTAAACGACAACGATAATAATGAAGATGGCGAAAAAAATGGCGACAATATCGCAAACGATATGCTTCCAAACGGCGAAGTTAACAAAGTAACAGTTAGAAAATCCGTTAAGGGGTTGGATCAAATAGAAAATGCTCCTAACGATCCTAATCAGACTGATATCCCTACAAAAAAGTCACTAAATTTGAACGGTGACAAAAAGAGTCAAAGTATAGCCAATGCCACCCAACCCGAGATGAAACCGAGCGACAGCGATAAGGAGAAAGTTATTGAAACGCTACAGCAGGAACGTCGCGAATCGCTGAAAAAAATTGACGAGCTCAACGATGCGCTAAAATCTCAAAAAGAGGAACTCGTCGAGCTAAAGAAAGACCGCCGATTTAGTAGTGCAGCGTCGATCAAAGCGCAAGAAAGTGCGATCAAATCCACGGAAGCGGAAAAAGCAACCGTGGAAAACCGAGTGAAATCCATCAGTAAATCCTTATCCATTATGCAGTCCAACAGTGCCGAGAACGAGCGCTTAAAAAACGAGAACAGCGTCCTTAAGCAGGAACTTCGCAAATCCCTCGATCTCGTCGACCGACAGGCATTCCAGCTGAAAAAGGAGAAACGCTCCTTTTTTGATGAGACTGACAGCAGCGTCAGCATCGACGAGCATCCGGCGGTGCCCGGCGGCGAACCGTCGGCCACCGACGCCAGCAGCCATGAGTTCGACGGCGCCGGTAAGCCCACGGCGGACCTGGGCGCCTCGTCTCTCTCGGTGGCGCCGGCGACCCGGAAGTCAACAAACCCGAGTGTAGTGGTAACGGCTCCTTCAGGTGAGGCTTCCGGGAACGCCGAAAACCAGCTTATCGCGGAGAAAAGGAAAAGTTCTGGAATGCATCTGGAGCCACCCCGCAAATCGGTCATCCAGCGAAAGAGCAGCGAAGGAAAGACGGGACAATAAGTTTCGTATCCTGGAAACCGGTTTTATTGGTGCAATATACGAGAGGGAGGCAAAGTGTGCCTATTACAATCAGTGCCAGGATGATTCCGTTGGGTAGAATATGTGATTTGCGGAAATATTTTCCCGATTGGTGGTACTTTCATGCCGATGACGGGCAGCAGAATGCTTACCGTCACAAACGCGCTCTGCACCACGTGAGCGTGCGGGCATATGCTGATTTTGCACTGTTAATTAAAAGGAAAAATATCACTGGAACGAGATTTGAGCCAACAAGGTACATTTGCTTCTTCAAACTGGAAGTCTTATGTGGAACAACTCCTTTCGTCCTTCTTTCCAGACCTCTATATTTGCTGCTAAATAATGCAACGGTTTAAATCGTCTTCAAACCTTTCCTCAAGGAAACTGGGTTCCGAAGACGTTATAGAATAAAAATTAACGTAGTTTGTTATTATGTTTGGTGGCCTTTCCATAGACTAGGCTGAGCCGTTCATGTCCAACTGGCCATCGAAGAAAGAAAATGTCGGGGCTGGTAAGCGGCGCGAGATGTCACTGGAGAACGAGAACTATCAGGCGGGGAGCCCCAGTCCGTCCCCTGGGAAGAAGGACAAGGACAAGACCAACCCGAAGACCTCTATGCAGACCGTGAGACTGCCGCCGCCGGAGCCATCATCCGCGGCCACTCCCACCAAATCCAAAGTAGACACCAAGCACAGCAGCCGGGGTAGCAGCCCCGCTACACCGCCGCCTAGCGTCGGACCCTTCCGTTCGGCGCCCGCCTCCCCCTCACAGTCGGCCGCCGTTACTGGGGGGCCGTTTCGAGTGTCTCCTATGAGAAATTCAAACCAGGTTCGCGGAAAACAGGTTTATTACTGCCATTTTGTTATGCTGAATCAACAACTTCTTTTGGGTTATAAAGCTGTTCCTCCAAACGTTACAACACGACATTTTTTTACCGTATCCGAGCGAATTTAAGGGACAGAAAATTCACCTAAACCGCCCGCACTAGGCATCGGCTTCTTTGGTGCCAAAGTGGCCGACGCCTAGGGTATTATGGGTGGTCTAGAGGAATTCTCTGTCCCTTGAACTTGAACTCGCGCGGATACATTAATTTTTTTCGAGTGTACAGTAACTGCACTGTCTGCACAGTAACTTTTGATTTGATTGGAAAATTTCATTATTGCGCAGATTCCACTGTCGCCGCTGAACACCGAAAAACAGTATTCCAAACTGGAGAAGACCCAGCAACAAGTAGACGACGTCAAGGGCGTCATGCGAGACAACCTAGACCGGGTACTGGAACGCGGGGACAAGCTGACCGATCTGGACGCCCGCGCCGAGCATCTAGAACTGAGCAGCCAGCAGTTCGCTCACACCGCCCAGCAACTCAAAAAAACTATGTGGTGGAAGAGTAAAAAATTCGCCCTCTGCATTGCTCTTGTCGTTTTTATCGTCCTGGCCATTATTGCACTAGTTGCGTACTTCCTCCTCCGCCCGTCGGAACCCCAACCGGCGGCGCCGGGCTCAGTAACCTACAAACCTAAGCATGCCGGCACATAATGACAGGCGCTGGTGAATATTTATTAAAGACGAATTTGACTTGCATGCATCCACCTCACATTGTCTGCAAGCATTAACGGCACAATTGTTTTGAAAACGTGACCTTAGACTTCGCACAAAATGCGGTCAAACAACAATGCTTCACAAAAAAGCCAGCTACCGTTAAAAACTGAATATTATATCGCAAAATCAAGCAGCCGGGTCAATGTTTCCGCCGATTGACCATTAATTCGGCCGAATGAACGATCCACCCGTGCGTCTCTTCGTATGGCCGATACAAGCACTCAACCCGGCCGTCATCGGCCAGCGGCGTCAACAGGCAGTACACCAGTGAAGGAGCAGTATCCATACGTTCCACACAACACAAACTCTACACTTGCACCGGGGACATTTTTCACCGGCCGGACGAACGCCTCCGCTTTCGTCAACTGGTCACTGCTGACTAGGGACGAGTAAGGCGGAACATTCTGCCCTTCAGGCGCCACATAATAATCCGCGTGCCCAGTGTGGCCAATACGTGCGCTGGCAGCGGCAGACGAACTTTGCAGTTGAAATAAGCGAAGTCCCCTTCCCATACCCACTGCGGCTGCATCACCTCGCTGAAGACTTCGCTCACGCGAGTAACGTACGGCAAAAGGCGGTAGCGTCGCAAGGTCCGGTGCTTGTGCGGACGACCGGGAGATTCCTCATGGCAGACCACATCACCGCTGGTCTGTGTGGAAACATTGCGGATGTCGAAGATCTTCGCGATGCCGGAATCACTGAAGTTGTAACTTGCGCCTGAAACACAGTACGAGGACGAGCTTAGTACATGATGTCGAAGATCTTCGCGATGCCGGAATCACTGAAGTTGTAATGCAGTACCGAATCAACCACAGTGGGCAACCACCCAGGTTTGTCAGTGCTGGTAAACACATCACATTTAATACAAATAATCACCCCAGTAATACCGCACACTTTATTTCTTACAGTAAAACTTTGACTTTGTAGAACCACATGTGAAATTTCAGAGGACTCACTTTTTACCAATTCTGAAAGATTTTTTAATTTAAGTCGGAGTATTTGTCACATCGCTAAGTCCGCTACGAGTGTTTCTTTTTCGCTTATTTTTCTGCAGCAGTTTTTCTGCTTCCCGTTGCTCGAGCGCTGCGATTACTTTAATGTGCGTCGCAATAAGCCCTGCTTCGGCGCGCAGACGAGAATCTTGAAGTTTTCTCTTTCTCTGAGGATGAGCGCTCATGAAATTATGGTGCCAATCTGCAGCCACTTTGTCAGCTGCAACCGATGGAAGAAAACCTTCTGCTTTAGAGATTGTGAACGCCACAATCTCTTCTATCTGTCAGGTTCCCCGTTCTACAAGCCTTCAGCGCCAAGGCCATAAAATCATCGTACGCTGCTGGTAAAGGCACGTCGCTGGCGGGTTCCTCCACACAATTCTCACTCAACGGTAGGCCCGAAACAACGCTGATACTCGCCCAAGAAATCTCCATCGCAGGTGCAGAAAACAAACTGGCAGGTAGCCGTACGTCGGTGATATTCTCATCGTAGTACATCTCGCCAGATGAATCTTTATATTTAGATGGCAATTTTATAACATTATTATCAAGAGCTTGGTTAATTAATGTCAGTCACTGGTTACTGGAAATTTTGCGGAGAACCAATTATAAACAATGTTACAAAACCAAAACAAAACTCGCATTTAAATTTTAATACGAGTGTGCGTTACAGAAAACAGCAGGCCGTGTTCAGCTGACGGCTGCGTGACGGCGCGCGGCTACCGCCAGCCTAAGGTGGCTGACAGTGTTGCACAGCACGCAAATGGTTATCAGATTCTCTCGCTAGTTTTTTTGTCTATCACATGTACTAAGCTCGTCCTCGTACAATTTAGTTCATCTAAATGTTGCATGTCTCACGAAATGTTACTTGCTTTAAATTTGCAAAACGACTTTGAAGTGGTACGCCGTTGGCTTTAACCGGTTGACCTTTGTCGAACACCACATGGCCCTGATGCAACCAAGATATGGTATTAGCGTAAATAGCGCTTCCTTCCGCAGACGCCACACAGGTGAACGTGGCGGGTTCGCCCAGACGCGGTCGGGCAAAGATCTCACCGTCTTCAGCCGAATACCGTGTCACATCGTTCTCGACAGGAAATTTCAGCGTTATTTTGTCGTTTTCCGGATAGCGAAGCGCCCAGTCGACAACGTCATCCACTGTAAATAAAACCGTTTTTACCGATTCTACTCTCGTACAGTAGTAACTCAACATGACATTAGCATTAGTTGGTAACCGAAGTGTAAATTGGCTGCTGTTATTAAAATTACTTAATGCTGATTAGTGAGTTTACCATTGACTTACGTTGGGTTCGCGGTCGCGCAGCGAGCGTCTGCGGTGACACCAGAGCAATGTTAAACTGTACTCCTCCGATATTTACTGTGCCGTGCTGTACCGCTACAGGCACGTTGCTTTGGAAGGTGATATTGGCCGTTAAAGCCGGCGGTGAACCGCGACCCACGGAACAGGCAGTACACCAGTGAAGGAGCAGTATCCATACGTTCCACACAACAGCGACCCCTGCTACCCACATTCTCGTCACAGATCTTACGCTCCACCACACTGGTTCAAGGTCAACATTTTCTGGGTTATCCAGGCATACCGACCTGTTAAAGTTCTCTTATCGTTATTTCCTGACTCACCAAAGGTACAGTGTATGAACTCGGGGTGTCTGCGGCCCACGCGAGACTGACCGACTTAGAAAATTTCGGTACCATGAACGCGCATATAAGGCAATCATCGCAAACTAGTTGATGAGTTGATGCCAGATGGTTCTTAGCTAGGAATGTCATGTTAACGCCCGTACCAACATGGGCTGCCCTGATGGGGAGAATGAAAACATTCATGATATTATATGAAAAAGTTAAGTTTCCATACTCAAAAATTCCGTCAGCAAAAAGTTCGGTCAGGTTTTCAGTTTTCACTGATTTGAGAGAGCGTTCATCTACTAAATATGCAAGTGTAAATAAGTACAAGTACTGCAGTCATACACAGTGCATTGCTGTTGTAAGGACACCGCCCGTATTTACTCGTGCACACGCCGGAGTGGACACCAAAAGTGAATAAGTTGTCGATTAGCAACTTGAAGTCGGATCGCTGGTGCACCGCGTCTGGTGCTACCCGCACCAGCTGCTCTCGTTCAGCTATCTCTGTAAGTGTACAGTAACTTTTTAGCGCTGCAGCTTTATTCTCTTCGTAATTCGCTTGCGGTGCAGTCTCTACCGTACACGGAACAGCAAGTCCTCAGAACTTTGGGATTGACGTTGGAACAGCAAGAGTAATAAAATAATGACTTTACCTTGTGCTGCTGGATTATCCTACCTGGATCAGGTACTAGTAACAGTGTTGCAATCAGGCTCTGAGGTTCTTATTTTGTCTAACAGAAAGGTCGTTCTTAGTTGACGAAGCAGGATCATCGCAAAGCCCATCAGTTCTGCTACGCCAACCATGAACCATACGCCCTGCCACCCGGAGCAACGGCGCACAAACCAACCCAGTCTACTGGCTACACAGACTACTCTACCGCCTCCTCCGCGTTCTCGACCCTAACCGCACCCAGTCCCTGGGAGTACCTTTCAGGTGCCGTCTTCCACTTTGGCACCTATGTCTACGAGGTATGTCCAACGCTATAATACAAAAACGCTGAATGCTGTTAGTTTGAGGGTGAATTGCCGTGACGATTGATTGCGTGTCAGGGCCAACGTCATCGGTTTACGGAAAATTGTACGCAGATTCTATTACCCCATAATTTAATTCTTTCTCTGCATGATGCACAAAGTATCCAATACATCAAAGCCACCCATACACTTACAGGCGTTCCGTTAGGATTTGGTACACGGACGGTTGGACGAGAAGCTGCGCATCCGACTGTTCCAGTTGGCCTTTCACCTGGAGGACGACACCATCGCCATTACGGAACAAATACCTAACAGTCCCCACCTTTACGACAGTAATGAAAGAAACCATTACGTGACAACTGACAAGCAGTACATCGCCTAAAAAATTATTTTGAGCAAAAGACGCTCATTTTATACAGCGTTCTTATTCAGAGAACTATGGTATTATTTAACTTTGCTATTTTTTCAGAGAAGTTCCTGCGCCGTCAGCGAGTTCCCAAGACCGATAACCCCGCCAAACACCTGACGCTCTATGACCTGAACGTTGGTCAGCCGGTGGTGATCTACGGCCGACAGCATATGTTTTACAAATGCGACGATTACACCCGCGCCACCATGACGCATATGGGCTTCGAGGTCCCCGATGATCTCCCGGCACCGGTTAGCCAGTTCGCCATTGCCAATAACGCGGTGCGTTTCTGAGCCCGTCTTCCTGACACGCTCTAAGCGATAACGGTAATATTGTAGAACAAAGGAATGGTAGAGACGCTGCACCGACATATCAATCCCGACTTCCAGTTCGCCCACTTCCTGAAAAATGACGGGAAGGTACTGCGGTTTTACGCAGTGCATGATGACCGGCAGGCCATGTACGGGGACCGCCATTGCCTGTTGATTCACTATTACCTCGGGGATCAGACGATGGAAGTGCTGAAGAGTGTGGCAGGTGCCAATGGGAAGCCACGCTGGGTGCCCTTCGTGCGCCGCGGCAAAATCCCCAAGGTTCGCAAAGTTCTCAACCTGAAAAGCAAATTTCAGTTTATTCAGCGCATAGTCTTTGCTCGCTTGTGAACGCTTTTCGTGCACGGAATGTCGCGAACCCGCAACCTAAAATGTTTGCAGCGAACCCATGATTTGGACAAACTGCATGCCGGTTCGCCATGGCCGGTACTAAAGACTATGCCCCATCCGAAGCAGCCCATCAAAGATTATCATCTGTTTGATCAAGCTCAGGTAGCTCAACGATCTCCAACTGGAAGTAAGATGGGCTAAGATCCGTTTGCGCAGTTGCCAGATAAGGTGGAAGTATATACGGAAAAGGACCTGGGTTGTGGTCAGTCGATCTGGGTCTTTGGTCGGTTACTCTTCATGCACGATTGTGACGGCTACACCAAATGGTATTACAAGACCCATTACGGGAAAATAATGGAGCCCATTGACATAAGCGAACCAGCAGATCCAGTTCCCGAGATCACTGTGCCGCCGCATAACGGGTTCGGACTGCAGGAAGACTCGGTTCAGAATGTGTACCGCTTGATACCTAAAACATTGGTTAACGACGCCAGAAAATATCTCGCTATCGATCGGTTCGTCCGGCCTCTCACAGATAGCTTGCTATCGATATTGACCACTTACATTGTGTTACTTGATTAATTTTGCAGCGATCCTGAGGATCCAATATGGCTGACTTTTCGGTTACGCGCCCTCACCGAGGATCCAATCGCGGCGGAGCGTGCGTACATTATGAAGTACCATCTCAATGACAACAGCATTTCCATCAATTCTCCACAGTGTGCGGCTAGTTTCCTGAAACATATTTTCTGCACTTTAACTATTAACCGACCTATGACCTTTCAGATGATTGGCACGGGAAGTTTTTGGAAAAGAAGCACGTCAGCAAAGGCAGTGACCAGAACTCGTCGTTACCCGAGTACATCCAACCGGAAGACCTATACGTCGGTGGAGTAGTTCAGCTGCGAGAACAGTGCTACGTGATTGCCGAGGCCGACGAAGCCACATTGAAGTTTATGGAGAAGCATCCCAAACAAGTGCACATCAGGTTCAGCGCTTGAATGCTACACAGTTTAAACGATAAAAAATTATTGCAGTTCCCAATGTCCAATATGGAGATTGTTATGAAGAAGTACCAGGATCTGCTGCGATCACAGCAAGATGCATGTCATCGGCTGCAGCAAAAGTTCTCGAGCGAAGCGGTTCAAAATGGGACAGCATCTAACGAACTTTTCGTGTACGATGTTGTGCATTTTTTCAATAGGTTTCGTAATATTCTGTGGTTCGGTTGAACAGTTCGACATTGATGGAGATCACCGGCAACGCCTTAACCCCCCACGAATACACCACCATCCTTCGTGCCTATCAAATCCACCCGCACATTCCGTTGGACACTCGCCGCGACGTGTACCGAGCGTTTTTACAGCGTGCCATGAAGCGTGAGATGTACGAGCCGAAACACCGGCTGCTTGTAGCCTGTCAGAAACTGGACGTCAGCAATAGTGGATACATTTCCCGGGAGGAGATGGTGCGCGCCGGTCGGGCCACAAAAATCCCGGTGGCCGGCGGTGTGTGGGAGGATTTTGTCGAGCTTGTCGTGGAAGACCGGGGCGTTCCTTATCGGAAGGAAGTGGATGGGCTGAATTGGGTGCGAAACCCGGTGATCCATTGTCCTGTTCCTGATACGGTGAGATACAAATACAACCATCAAGTGCCTTGTTTCTGGGATAAGTAGGCAGCGCAGTTTAATCTTTAATGATCGTCATCTTTACAGATGGATGCCGGTTTTGACTTCAATCGATTTTTCGGTTTGAAGAGCACCACAGTTCGTTACAAAGATTTCTTGAGAGATTTAGGATGTGAACGTACCAGTGTATCTGCCAGGCCGTTCTAAATCTAAAAAGCATGTTATCCTTTTATTTATAAACTGAAATCTTTGGAATTCTGCACGTGCGCAGTAACAATTTTGATTAGCTTTTTCACTGTGTAAATATCACTTTGATTGAGATAATTATTAAAGACCACATCAACATGTTTCTTAACACTCGACCTGTCCAAAACATTCATGACCTTTAGTGGCAGTAACGGCAATTTAACTCCCAGCGCCTCGCATTTATGGGCAAAGATGCAGGCAATACCGGCATAAAAAGACGCTGTCTTCTTCGGGATGTTATCGTGCTTCTCCATGTACCGTGACACCAAATGGATGAACTTAGCTACTTGTTGCAGCACTTCGAAACTGCCTTCTGGATAGATTATGGAATAGGGTTGCAGCGTCTCCGCACAGCAGTGAAGCGCCAGGCCTAGGTGCTGCGAGGCTTCCGCGGCAATGGTCAAGAGTTCGTTGAGCTCGTGCAGATGCCGGTTGGATGGTGAAAGGAAAGGAACAGAGTCAATGCGTACGGCGAATGCCATTCGTACTACGTCCATGCGTTCTCAGAAAGGAAACGATATTAAGCGACAGCGAAACAAATCGATTTAAAGTGAATGCGTACTTTGGTTGTCTGTCAACTTGACGCATCCCAGGAGTTGCTCCTTGACTTCCTTAATGGTGCGATCGTTTTCGTAAAATATCTGGAAATCTGCCGTACACCAACCACAGTCGGTACACCAAACTTTAGCATCGTTTTCAGCTTGAAGGGTAAGCAAGCCTTGGCACTGCGCACCGTCAGAAGCCCTTCTCTGGCACCGCCAACCGTTCATGAGATCTTCCTAAATCTAAAGATTTTAAGGCCGTGTCTGATTCAGAGATACCGTATACTATAACGTATACGCACATGATGCCGAAACTGTTGTGGATTGCCGCATACTGCGCAGGTACAACGAAAATGGTACTTTTCGTGTAATTCATCACGGCGCACTCCGGGATGCTCATACAGAACGCCATAGGACAAGCGTACCTGAAGTTTACCCTTGTTGAAGTCAAACGAGCCTTTGTGCTTAATACAATATTCGAACAATAAAAAGGAGCCGGTGCCTTGTTGCAAAAATCAAGAAACCTTAAATAAGTAATGTTCAGGAAGACCGTACGTCTTCCAGTGAGGCAACATCCTCCAGTGCATACACGACAAGATCCCGCCCGCTAAAGTACTTGGAGGCGTTGGGGCGGCAGGCGTGGTCGAAACGCGAGCCAGAGAGGTAAATTCCGCAGCCGACTTCGTTCTGCTGGCGGTCCATGATGGTGAAGGCGTTGACGGCGAACTTGCCCAACGCCTCACAAATCTGCTCCAGCGAGAAGCGGTGCTCGGTGCGCAGTAGCTGAATGAGCCCATGCACGGTGCACGCGTGTTCCATGAAGGTGGTTCGCTGACGGAAACGCTCCCAATCTGGAAAGATCGAAAGGCGCTAGCGCGACCTTATTGTACTAAACACCACACCAACGTGATAACAAGCGTTCCCATGTCCGCTGCGCTTTGGGTTCAGCGATGATGTTAGACTCGTCGGTCTGACCTTTCTGTAAACAGTGGCTCCACAGTAAAAATTCCCGCAATAACTTAACACGCTTGCCCAAATATTGATGAATAACACAAACAGCAAGTAACCTACGGTAACTTTCAGCAGCGCTAGGAAAACGCATCGAGCACTCCGCGGCAGCATCCGCATGCTACTCGCGCCAACGCGCTGGATATAAGCACATTCCAAACCGTGAAGGGACGCAGCATGGTTAGCCTGGAAAGCCGTTCAGTTGGTTTAAAAGGGTAATTAAAAACATTCTGTCTTGATTGCAACAACCAACCCAAACGTACCAAGCACGTTTTGGAGCAATAGCATGCACATTGGCAATACGGACAATAGATCTTGCTGGGATGCTCTTCACTCAGCCTGTCGCGCTCTTCGGCGTTAGGTTCTTCAAATGCGGCAGTGGTGTGCTGGTCTAACCTGAAAATATAGTGGCACTGTGGCAGTTACAGGACCGCAGTGGATTGTATCTGCACGTACGCGGCAAAGCAGAAATCGCAGTAGTGCGCGAAGACCGCGGGTTCCAGTACCCACACCCAGGGCTCGTTGTACAGAACACGCTGGCCTTTACGGATTGCCATGTTTGCAGAAAGTCAACAGTCACCGCCGTTTTATTTATGGAAAATACTGAAGCAAATCGTAAATCGAGATTAACTGCATCTCATAATTGCATCGCACTGATTGATCTTCTCAGACGCAGTTTTGCAATTACCGCACGTGCGCGCCGTATAAACTACGTAGTGGTAGTGTCAACTCGTGATGTTGATAGATTTGGTGACTCGAATCACGAATTTCACAATATGAAACATCTGTAGAGTAAATACTGACTAACGTAAACTTTATCAATTAAGTACCTTTTGATATGAGTCATAAAAACAGTTGATTCTGAGCAAGCAGCTATTCGTACATACTTGTATTTAATTATGCGACGACCGGCTTTTTAATTTTTAATGCGTGATTTAATTAATATTAAAAGGTCGTAATATTATTTTTTCGGATCGAAATGGGAAAAGCACACATGCACACATATTCATGTACACATAGAAAATACTAAAATACAATTATCAATAAAATAAGGCTGATGAAACTATTTGAGTCTGTGTTTTCGCAATTACTGATCGCCGCTCAGGAGGGCCAAAAGTGTAGGTTTTCTGCTCGTGGGCAGTGCATAATCCGATACTTAAAGCATGCAATTTCCTGCCGTGCATTTTGGCTGCAAATTAAAACGATTAACAACCTTTATCGTATTGTAAGTCGTAGTTACTCGTAGCTTGATTTTTAAAATCCCTTTTCACTCGCTCGCGTTTCAGCCGCTGCAGCAAACCGTTAACATGGAGCTGGAAAAACATCCGCATTCCGTTATTAATTTCCGTAGCCACCAACTGGTAAGATGATTAGAAAATCTGCTGTTCAGTTAGGGGGCGGCATAAAGCCAGCCCTTGCCGGTGTAATCGCCTCTGAGAAGTCGCTATTCACTGTCAATTCGCATTGTCGCAATGGTATGCGCTAACGTCAAGCTTTGTTGCGGCGTCGCCTCTGCAGTAGGTTGGAAAATGCCATCCTTTGTTAGAATTAGCCGTAATGCAGTCGGCAAAACAAAATAATGTGGCGTAATCTACTTTACCAATTTTACACAACACGGTACAAGCAGGATACCGTTTTCCTCACCAGGAGGTTGTACAAAAGCAAATAAGCCGTGTGCGGTGAATACTCGATCGGTCCTATGCGAATCATTTTCCCTAGAGTAGGCAGCTCAGTCACATATTTGATATTTTCCAAATTTTTTAAACGACGTTCGACATTGGACATATTCCATCGTAAACCTTCACTCGTGATCATGAGCATCTGTTCCCAGCCGATTCCTCGCCAGCAACGCCGTCTGACAGTGAGCCTTCACTATACCATCCCCACGGAGCGCTTCACCAAAGGTCACTATCAATGGGCGGCCCCAGATAGTGACGTTTACCGGGCGTGGTATGTGGCCAATGTACGCGTGGACCACCAGCAGGACTACCCACAGATCCCGGAGGCGGTGTGGACAGTGCAGTTAACCGTGGAGCAGCGCGGTCAGCAGGTGACGGCCCGGGTTCTGCCACAAGACGCTCATAAAGACGTCAAGGCGACCAGTGAGCTAACTGTCCAGTGCACCGTGCGGTATGTTAATTCATCAGTTTTCTTTCTGAACGTTAGTTTAAACGTTTTCGTTAGTCCGCTTAATCTGGAAACCGAGCAAGCGAACTTAGAATTTTAGTTTTATTTTTGTCGAGATTTTATTGTTATTTTTGTCGTCAATTTCAAATACCAGTCATTGGCACTCAAGCGAGTAAAACCAATATTTTATCGGTTGCAGAGCCAACAGCGGTGCTTCGTCCACCGTGGCCATTGGCCAAGACGGATGGACCGAGGCATACCCTGACCAGCCCAGCAGTGATCTTTCCACCCTCGTTGCCCCTATCCTGCACAAGCCAACCGGCCACGTCACCGGGTACACCCTCCGTGGCGGTCAATTGGTTTATGTGACCCTGGCTTTCGACATCGCCACGCCCCGCGCTGACCTCGAAGCGCTTTTAATATCTGGACGTTTCACCGACTGCATCTTGGTGTCAAGCGACCACAAAGCTTTCCCAGTGCACCGCGCTATCCTGGCCGCCCTCTCACCGGTCTTTGCTGCCACGTTCCAGCACGAGTTAACCGAGAAACTGACCGGTGTCTGTCGGCTGGGGGATATCGACGGCGATCTGTTGGAAACACTGCTACGATATACGTATGGCCGCGGGCGACTATCGGCGCAGGATCGGGTGGAAGATCTGTGGATGGTGGCTGATCGGTACGATATGGGGTATCTGCGGGCGGAGTGCGAGGACATCATGGCGGCGGATGTGGATGCCGACAATGCCAGTTATTATGCGACGCTGGCCCGCGAGTTGGGTCTGTCGGATCTGCGGCAGAGAGCCGAGGAGATGGTGCAAGATCGACGGGTGCCATGGCGTGGACCGTATATGGACGGCGGTTGCTATCGTTCTCTGCCGTCCGTCTGAGCGGAAGATTTTCGTGTAGTAATTTATTTTGATTTAAGGGGACTAGGTTTTACATAATTGCTTGAATGCCTCTGTGGTACCAGTGTGATGGCGGGAATTCCATTTAACGATTTCTAGATATTTAATTTTTGTTCGCTTTGATGCAGTTTAAATTGTTAAAGTTTATTTAGTTTTACCTGCTTGCGTATTTGTATTATTAATTTTAGTTTGTGAGGAAGATTCATTCTGCTTGCAAGAGGCCCAGGATGAAAAGGTCTTACGTGGCGGGCTGTCATAAATTATGTGTTGTTTTCGTAGTCGGCAAAAAGATAGTGTTACTAGTTGTTCAGTTTGGGTAATTTGACTTTTGCTGGATTGAATTCTGCGTGCACCGATGCAGAGTACAGTACCGGGCTAACACTATCGAAAAATCAAGATATACAATTTGGGGGAACTGCTGCAGGCGTGTTACAGACACACTATGGGAAGGCTAATGTCATTGGCATTAATGCTGCGGCCTCAGTTTGCCTTTTATATGTACCATACTCAATGATACAGATACGCATACCCAAAGGTCAATACCCAAATGTGTAAAAAATACTTGTTACGCACGAATCATAACCTTATAGTGACTACGACCTCTAACCGATGACCTAGTGACTACGACCTCTAACCGATGACCTTTCGACACATTTATACTAAATTTTATTTCGATGCGACAACATAAATTTTAACAACAACATTATTTTAAGCCTTTGTCTCTGAACAACCAGCAGTAAGAGCACTTATCCGTGACCCTATTGGTGTAAGTGTACACCCAGCGAGGCATTAGGCCAAACCACCACAAACCCCCCACTACCCCACATCCCACCAACAACACCCCTAAAATTACCCACAGCCACCTCCTGGTGTACTTGTTGCGATGCCAGTGGGAGCGGGTCCACATTCGCGGCGCATCGGGATTGACTTGGGACGCCAGGAAAGGCCGCGGTGAAATAGACCACTTGCCGGCGGCATCTGCCCGGCCTGCGGCAAACCGCAGGGAATGCTCATCCGCCGCGCTTAAGGGACCTTCACTCATGGAATCTACTTCCGTCTGGGTGCTGGAGGAGCGCAGACGGGAGCGGCTGAACAAACTCCCCGAACTGGCGGTCAGCCCCGCGTCCCCAGCGGAGTATCGCGGAAGACCAGAGTAACTGCGCAGATCATTTTGATCAGACCGACGCATTGTCCCTTCACCCGGTATATGGTCAATGGGACAATCGGCAAACCTCCGGCGGGAGCATCTAGCGTTGCCATCCCGACTGGAGCGGGAAGTGGCAAGGGACTCAGGTCGTCGGGATCGGTATTTTTTGTTTTCCTGCTTTAAAGGACTGGTATGACGGGAATAATTGGGGACATGGAGTTCTGAACGGGAATTTTTGAGAAGGTTGAACTTTTTTGGGGAATAATCGGAAAGTGGGGATGCGCTGCGAGGATACTTGGAGTGACGGGATCCCTGCCGTTGGTATAACTGGTGAACCGAGCTGTTCTTGTCGACCACGGCAGTCTGGAGACGCAGACGTTCTTCTCGGAGGCCAAGTTGCGTGGCATGCTCGGCCTTGACAGCCGCCACCAGTCCGTCCATGACCTGCAGACGCTCCTGCTGATGACGTACCAGATTGGCCAGGACGGTGTGGGAGATCTTCGCACACCGACATGCTTCCTGCTTTCTGGACATAACTCATGTTGTGGCATAGCAGACATCCCCTTTACGCTTAACTACTGTATTGTACGCTGCTCACGTTTTGTCAAGTTAGGTACACTGTTGTACTTACCAATTCCAACTCAACTGGGGTTAGCCGAAACTTAGCAACTGAAGAAATTAAATACATACCGTACTGCATGTCCGTTTTAAATAGTCAGCAGTACTGATAAAATCTGCATGACAGTTTTGTATTGCAAATTGTTAAGCAAAGTATCAGATAAATCAGCGTTGCGTATCAGCGTTCGCTTACCCACTGATTAGTTAACGATTTAGAAGGCCAGAAATTCTTCGCCTGGATAGCCGCAAAAGTTTGTCACTAAAGCCTTGTCGACAAGCTTCTCTAAAATCGTTATCGAGTGCCACAGAATTATCATACTACGCGTGCCTTATGGTTGATAAAAGTTATTATCAATGCAACATTTTCGTCCAGTTTTACAACAAGAACTGCACACAACTAATATCATTCTGAAACGGTTAAATTTACCCTGCTGCCAGCCCAACGCACTCATTGTCTCCGATGACGAAGCACTCCCACCGCACACACACACAGCCACCACGACGACTACATCAGACACAACTTAATAACAACAAGTAAAAAATAAAATGTCTGCAACTGCACACTATGGGGCGGAAAAGACATATATCATATCGTTGGTGTAGTTAAGGCCGGATAGCATTTTTTTGCAGTTGTCCGCCATCTCCTTCGGACCACATATTAATACTGCAACAAAAACAACAGCTCGTAATGTGACCGTACGGATATTTCTACAGCTATGGGTCACATAATTATGTGATATGGGTTTATCTGGAAAATACGTTAAGTCGTCTTAGAAATAAGCATGTATACATGTATATATCAGGAATCGCTTTGACGCCTGGCTGGTACAGGGGGCAAAATACGAACAACTGCGATTGCTTCTTACTTAAAACACCGCTCTCCGCTTTGGGCATCCAGTCCTTCAGCCACTCTTCCGACATCTGGCCGATACCATACTTCCATCGGCTGGGATTAGTAGGTTTATCCACAAGATACCACAGCTTAAAGCGCTTCCGGTACTTGGAAGCCATATAATTCAGCTCGCTCTTTAATATTATGTCTTGATCTGTCAGATTACTGTACACCAGCGAACCTGTGAACTTCCCAGTGTGAACTATAGCCGATAACTGCTTACGTAGCCGATAGCTGCTTACATTTTGGTGCTTCCAGGCTCTCTTTCAGCATGGCTCGTAATATGGGAATCATTGCGGTCACCCCGGAACCGGCGGCTAACATGCCTGCAATTAGTCACATGTGACCTTTGATACTGCTTTAGAGTTGTGAACGGTACCGATTCGCCTGATTTCTTTCGACTCAGGAGCGGCTTTCTCGTTAGCTTTAATCATAAATATGCCGTTCTTGTCGTAACTGAGCAGGCCGTACGGTCCGCTGATGGACACCTCGTCGCCCTTTTGCAGTTTATCGATAAACTGCGATACGACGCCACCGTTGGGGTTGGCAGCGTTTGGCGGGTACACCTTGATTGCGAAGTCTACAAAACCTGGGAAAACGATAGAGATGTTGTAGTTAGGCCCATGGAGTTTTCAAATACCAGGCCGTGCGTAATTATAAGCATGCACAACGGCTTATAACCGGAAAAGCCACTCTCAAGTGGGCGTGTATAAGATTATTATCGCCATATTTTTATATGCACCCACTCTAACCAGTAAGGTGACCTTTGCATACGGCATTTAGGGGCACGATTTTACGAAAGGGATTCTTTAATTTGACTACTGCTCTGCAAAACCCATAACTGCCCTAAGTCACCAACACAGAACGCTCAACTCTAAGCTTACTCATGATTTATTTGATCAACCCGAAAATAATCAAATAGGGTGAAATCCACAAGCAACTAACGATAAAAATTCTGAAATTAAAAAATCATAAATTATTAAATAAATTATGGCACAAAAGGCAGCATGCGACCTAGAGTATGATTTAGGAAATGCAGCTAACATAGGCGTACCTCGCTCGTTGGGATCGGAGATCGGAGTGTAACAGCGCGTCTCCCTTTTGCCGTTAATCGTCACTGTCATCATGATAAAATTACCGACGGGCACTCCAGAGACGTGCATATGCGAGGGCAACTCAAAGCGGAAGCGCTTGGTGTCCGGCGTCAGGGCTTTCTTTTCTCCGTGGAACTTAATGGCCGCCTGCGCCTCAGGCGTCGTCACCGTAGGGATAGTGGTACTAGTGCTGTCCCTGACCTTACGATAGATCTTCACTCCGATAACCGCCCCCGCCGCCCCCACCAGCGTTCCCAGCGCCACCTTGGCGGCCAACTGCTTTTCCGGGGTATCCAGTACTTTGAGGATGTATTCTTCCATGGCATTCTTCAGGGCGATGGGATACGGGACGGCGGAGGCAGACGAAGCAGGAGAGGACTTCTTGGCGGCGGTCTTAGCGGCTACTGCAGCGGCGGCCGCAGCGCCCGCTTTACTCGCGGTTTTGGCGACGGATCCGACACTGCTCTTGGCGGAGGGGCCGGATCCGGTGGTGGACGGGGCCCCTCGTCCATGGGACATGTTAGTGAGAAGTCGATATAGTACTAGAAATTCGGGAACATTATACATCACTGAATTCAACAGCATTTGGCAGTGCACGACGTATACGCTGCGAAGCATGGTTGCTACGGATGAACGAGTAGCGTTGTCATGAAGCGGATCCCTATCTAGTACGCATTATAGCCAAAGGGAGGAAAACGATTCACTGCATAGAATGAATTGTAATGGAATATCGATTACAGGTTGGAAATTCTCCGACCACTCTCCACGGCAGACAGATTTTATTTGCGGGCGGTACACTAATAGTCCTTTGTGTTTATGACTTTATGCACAAACTGCATTCACATAGAGTAGGTACGCATGGGAATCACGGCATTCCGAATCCCGGCGATACACAGCGCAATCGTCGTTTTGCCTTGAGCGTATCTCAATTTGCACAGGTTGGTTGGCTGCAGAGCCAAATTAGCGCTAGTTGATTGTTACATACCTGCGTATTCGCGGTACAAACGAGGCTTTCCACAGTGCGAGTACAGGCTGTAACAACTGCGGTCCATGATCATTTCCTACTTCCTTGTAACTAGGCATGCAGCCATGCAGGGAGTTCTTAACACTGAACATCGGCAGACTAATTTGACAACCTGGAAATGTTTCACCACCTAAGAATTATTTATGGAAACTGTACATTGTGCTTGTGTGAACAAATGCCTTTAAAATTGGTCAGGAACCTCGATTTGATGGCTTCAGGGATTTGATGGCTTCAGGGGACCACAAATCAACGCGCGGAAGCAGGAAAACAGATTCGTGTTTGAGAATAATTGAAACTCATATAATATTCTTATGGGCCAGCATGCTGCTACATACTAGTAATACATTTACACAATACAATAATAGTAAGTAAATGTAAATGGCCGAGAGTTCGACTGCAAAAATCGGGAAACTTGCCACGACTACTCCGTCCCTCCTAAATACCAAAATCCCGACGTCATAGCGACGATATTTCCTCACGGACTTTGGAGTTACACACACTCGGATTACGCTGTATATTCGTGCAACACTCGTAAGAGCTGTGGCGAATTAACTGACTCACTAGATCACACCAAATACCAATACTCATCATACTTCAAGACAGTTCGGCTTGTTCTTATTACGTTTCGTTATAATCGAGCCAAACCACCACTCTGACTACTGATGGCTCGCATTGCTTTTATGCTAACATTATACCGGTTGTTTGCTAATAACGTGGACTTTGGTCTAGCTTGTTCACTGTCGTCGCACAATGCCGCACAGGAACCGCCAATTCACAATGTGAATGCGGAATGTGACCAAGTATTCCACGGGAAGATGCAAGATGTGCGCGTGCGGCACTATAAGCCAGCCTCGTTCCAATGCGCCATCGATTCCCAGCTGCTGCTCAACGGCTCAGCTAAACTGTTCGTTCTGCTCAAGTGGACCTCCATTCCCTTCGGATTACACCTGGAAATCCAGCCATCCACCCAACGCGTAAAATGGAGAGCCGCTAATGGGGACTTCACCGTCAACCGGACGGAACTGGAAGGCGGTTTCACGCTGTACAACTTCACCATTGCAAAAGTGTACGAGAAGATGAACTGGGCTGAGTGTGCAGTATTAATGGTACAGTCCGGAAAAGTATTGGCTCAGCGGAGCTACATTGGCACGTGTGGGTATAAAAATATCGAAGTGGCTATTTTGCCGCAGTGTTTGCGGCTAAATAGCCAGTTCGCTATTTTGCCGCACTAGGGTGGGCGAAAGAGCTTGTTGACTATTTTACCGCACACTGTGTTAAAATAGCTGCTCAACTATTTTGCCGCATTATGGTCGGCAAAATAGTAAGCTGGCTATTTTGCCACACCATTATTGCAGTCTGTCTCGCTCGGGCGCACTTCCAGTGCACTCTGTACGTTAAAATGCCGGAAGTTCTGTAAAACAGCGTTATTAGCTTAAAACAGCGTTCAGAAGACCCGGGGTTTTCCGGTTCTTCTCCGGTAAAGCCGGAGAAAATCAAAACTGGATAGCATTTTCTCGCACTCGTCCAGAAAATCAAAAAGAAGCAAATAAACGCCTTTTTGGACAAATTAATTATCAAAATAATTTTTTTACAAAATAAGTATTAATCTTTTGAAACAAGAGGAACAAAATTCGCCGCTTTAAGGTAGTCAGCATAAATCCAGTCTGTTCTTTGACAGACATCACCCTCCTCGGTAGACCATTCACTGCAAAGTCGTCCTCTGGGACCGTTTAGTGGTTCTTTTGGTTGATATCCGACTTAAGTTGACCACGTTACCTGCCACCAGCTGTCGGCTGTTGGGGGTTACACCAAGCCCCCCAGTTTCGCGAAGCCGCGGCACTAGTTTGCGCTTTGTGCAGCATTTCGTCCCTGAAGAAATCAGTCTATTGTGGCACCAGACAGGCACCTATCGGGCGCTCAAGACCGGATTGAGGTTTCACTGGGTTCTCCGCGCTCTCGCCTAAAGAGCAAGCTGATCCTCGGCTGAGCTTCGATTGGCTCGGAGGAAGCTCTGTTCTTGGCGTCCTTATAACTGTCAGATGGGTTAATCGGGTAGGTTAGTTCCTGGTCCTCAGGTTTTGTCCGTCGGGTCAGAACCGGTTTGCTATCCACTCGGTGAATGGTGCGACGGTTTTTACCAGTTTAGCCGTATGCACACATTGCTGGCTGCCTCTGGTATGGGGACAGAGGCTACCATCGGATTGGGAGGATCTAGAGTCCGGTTGGCGGATTGTTCCATCGGGACTCTGCATGGTGCCCTACGTTTCTGCGCAACAAATCCGTTATGCTGGTGACCGACGGGGCCGTTTGGGTTATGGCGTGCTCAATGGAATGGGTAACTGCTCCGTTGCCATTGTACTCAAGCGTAAGCCTCCTTGCATTCAGCGATTGTCACTGCCGTTGACGGGTTTCCTTTTCTGGGCCCGTGGGAAGCGAACATGCCCGCGGTTTATGCAGACGAATCATCTAAGGCTTTACCGAGAGATCCTTCCGCGGTTTTGACTAGCATTATATCCGCTGTACATATGGTGAATGGCCCAGAAGGCATTACTGCGTCCTGGGGACTAATAGCGCAACGTCTCGCTGAACCACGAGTTCCGGTTGCCCCGACGATGTTTTTGGCGCCTTTCGGTTTGGTCGGCCCGGCGTCGCCATTGGCACCGGCTGGTCAGACGACGTTGTTGGCGCCGATCGATCTGGTGGCGTTATTGACAGCAGACGCTGCGGAAGCGTTACTGCATTCGGGTAACTCGACTCCATTATGGGTGAATTTATGATATTACAACGTAGTCTTAGATGCTACACACTGGATTGCCTTTCCGGTGCCCCAGTCGCCTAACTATCCGTAACTGTATTCAACTGATGAAGTAGGAATAATCGGAATTACGGGAAGGTAAGAACAACAGGTTTTGGCAGTAGTTTAATAACGGTCGGTCGATCGTTCTTTCGTTAGAAGTCGTAAGAATAAGATTCCATGAATCCCGTAAACAGTAACAGACTGCCATTTTATAGGCGGAGAAACATGAGTGTTTAGGTAAGGCTAAATGAGATGGGATAGGTTTTTTGATATAAGATTACACTCACAAAGTTTACACTTTACACTCACACAGTTTACTCATACAACACTTGTACATCATTAGTCACATACGCTATAATATTCTTATCATGTTCAGACCCACTGAAGCCTGTTTAGACTACCTTGGTGAATCTTAATGCCGGTGTGGTTGCTTCGTCCGGTAAACCAAGCTTTTCGCGGGCGGTCACTGACCATATCCGGAGCGAGGCGACGGCGTTATCGTCGTCAGTCAGTCTAACGGTATCTTGCGTTCAGGTCGGCCGGCTGCGTTATTGTTTCCCGGTAACTCGGTTCTGTGCACTCCGTCCTGGGTTCTCTAGTCGGGTCGTAGTTCGCCGGCGCAACTCTTGGCAGTATAAGCCGATCTTGCTATGGCTAGGTTCCGACTTCTACGAATAGTACGGTCCCGTTCTGGGCTTTTAGTGTGACAAGACAACTTAGTGTTTAACTTTTTGCCGGGCGGAAAGTCATTGTCGCAATGTTGGGCACATGTATCAGGTCCCGTGGCTGTTTTTTGACGCACAGGGTTATCTTTATCCGGTGCTTTGGTTGTTGGCAGGAGGTCAGTTGAGCCACCAGTGCTCACGGACCATACAAGTTTCCCGTCGAGCAATCCGGGGGCAATCCACCACCGTTGGTGGTGGGAGAGGAAACCGGTCCAGGGTATGAGCCTGAGGGCTGCTGAGCTATCAGCTGTTGCATTTGACCGGAGAAGGTTTAGCATGGCCCACGACGATGGTAGTACCCACCAAGGACGGGTAGGCTCTTTGCGTTTCATTGCCGGGAGGCAAGACAGGGGCAACTCGCAGTCTACCGCGCCTCGTGGGCGCGGTGGTGCAACCTAGGCTGCGCGGTCCGCGCTTGCCGCACTTATTGGGCCACCGATATCAAGACTCTTATGCAAATTCTTGAAAAAACCCCCGATTCGGGTTACTTGCCGGTCGTCGTACGCGCATGTACTGCTTAGGTGTTCCCCCACATGAAGCTGCCGCAAGGTATCCCATTTTCGAATGTTCATTGCCTGAACTGGTTGTTTTGCCTGTATCTTGGTTCCGTTGGTTTTCGCCGGGAACGGGAACCTCTGGGCCTCTTCGGAGTTTGGTGCTTGGCGTTGGCCGCTCTGGCCTCCGCTGCCTTCTTGGCTACGACGTCCGGAGCCACTGTTGCCGCCGCCTCGCTTTCCGCTAAAGCTGGCGTTTTGGCCTCCGGAATAGCCGCCACTTTGTCCTACACCACCATTTCCCTGGTTATAGCCAAAATTGCCCTGGTTCTGGGCCTAGCCTTAGACGCCGCCACCACCGTTAGGCGGTGTGGAACCCCATTGTGGGGAGCCCAGCTTCATAGCCGCGATAGCGGCATATGTTGCTTCGACCTGAGCTTGGGTTGGTGTGAGCGTCTGTGGAGCTGGTGATGCTGGCTGCTGAGGTACGAGCAGGAGGCGTTGGTGCGGCCGCCCGGACAACGGGGTATCCTTGACCCGCCTTCCCGTCGTATTCAGGTTTGCCTGCCGTAAACTGCCGGATGTAGTCCCGAAATTCTGTCGGAGACTTCCGCAACCGGATGTCCAGAGCACGACGCATTCTGACTCGTTCATGTTGCTTTTCAAAAAATGGAGAGTCATGGTGTCATCTAGGTTAGCGCGTGCCTGGAGGGTAAGGATCGCATCGTGATATTGCTCTGGCGTCTCGAATCCGTGTCGGTAGCTACGGTGCGAGATGACGCCAAGAGCACTAGCCTCTTGATTCTCATCATCATATCAAGCGGCAAACTTCAGAAGCCACTCGTCGACTGTCCTACCGTCGCCTTCTTCGCGGTTGGCCTGGCCGGTGTACCAGTCCTTGACCGGTTTGGACAAGGCTGCGTAGATACGGCTCATGAAGTCCGGATCCGGCTTGTTTAAGTCGGATGATTGCTTACAAATCTTTCTGATCTGGGTAATCTACCCTTTTACGGCTTTTTTATCGCCGTCGAAGGTAAATAGAGTGATCCGGACATTGGCCTTTGCATTGGCCTTTGCATATGCATCGGCAACCGTTTGCATGTATACCAAATCATGCACTGGCGGGCTGGCCCTTGGCGATGGTGCAGGCGTTATCTGCTGTACCACTACTTGTAGCGGTGGATGCAGTGCTTGTGGCACTTGGCCTGGCTGATATCCCTGTTGAGGGTCCACCAACAGTCAAGGCGCGTATTGTATGGCTCCGTTGAACGCCATCCACCCATATGCTTCATTGGGCAGCTGGATCAGCACGGGCGCATTCTGGCCCAGGTTTGGCTGAGCTGCAGGTCCGGGTGGCGTCGCCGCCGCTGGCAGTGCGCCGGGTGGGTGGGGCACATTCTGGCCCGACTGTGGTTGGGCTTGGTCCGTTTGGGCTGCCGCTTTAATAGGAGGACAAGTTAAGCTTAGTTGGCCTATGAGTGGCTGTGGCACCGTTAGTGTGCCACTTTGGCCTCCTCTTTGTCCCTGTGTTGCTGATGGTCCGAACATCGGGCTCGGCGGATTGGTCCGGTTTGGATCCGTGCCGCTTATGGGAGCCTGGTCTGAGACCAGGTGTGGGCTCAGGTGGAAATTCATGTTCGGAAACAGGGATAGGTGCATTGGGCTTGACCCAAGTATCCTTGGCTCGGCGTCTGATTCTGAGACGTCGGCTGGCTCGGGCCAAAGAATGGCCTAGTTGGCACAGACGGTTGAGTCTGTGTTGGGGGCGTCACCATGGTCGACTGACTTATAGTTGCTGATGTGGTGACCGGAATTGGTGGTGGCGGTATCGTTACTGTCGCCGGTGATGATTCCTGGTTCACCGGACTTAACGACCCTGGTATGGTCGGGCCAGTCGGACGATGTCCCACTGATGGGTCCCCCACGGCCATGTTCACGTGGTAATGTTGTTGGTAATACACGGGCTGACGGTAGAACCGTTAGTCCTGCCGTAAAGCGTCGTCGGCTTTTTCTTGTTGAAGTTGTGTATCCGAGTCCGGAAAGGTGTGGTAGGATGGTGGTTCTGCGGACATCTCGGAATGTAAATTCTCGAGATGTGATTTTTCCGCGTCTAAGCGGGCGTTCTCCGTGCTTAGCCTTTCCCGATTCTCTTTGATTTCAGTAATGCGTTGGGTGGTCACTTGGTAGTTTTCGACCAGGTTGGCGTTATTGGCCTCCAATTTGATGATCCGGTCATGTTTGCCCTGGAACACCTGTTTGGCTTGGGCAAAGGCCTGTTCCAATTGGACAAAGTTTTGTTGTCCAACGGCACTGTTTTGCTCAAGTTGGACCCGAATCGTTAAATTGGGTCCTAAGATGGTTCTGGAGGGCCGCGATCTGCTGCTGGAGTTGCAGGATCTGTGCTTCCTCCTGTTGGACCGTTTGGTCCAACAGCGTTCCCTGTTGGATCGCCTGCACCAGAGTCTGGTGATTCTGGTACAGCAGGTGATATCCGTTGCGCAGGCGGTTGATCTTGTCCTGCAGTTTGGCCATGTCGTTGGTTAGACGATCATTGTCCGTTTGTAGGCGGTCCGTTTCAGAGTCAGCTTCGTCAATTGTGGTCCGGGCCGCGTCCAGGTCGTCCCTGGCTGTGGCCAGCTTGGTCCTCGTTGAGGCGAGCAATGACTTAAGTCCCGCTTCCGCCACTTATTGGCCATGGACGTCTCTGTCGAGCTGGTCTCGCTCAGCCTTGGGACATGGGGCCAACTTGAGTTTAGTCAACTCGGGTTGTGTCTGGGCTGTTGGGCTGAGACACGTCTTACCTCTGCTTCCGCTTTGGTTGCGAGGGTTTTGTACTTGTCGATCTCCTCTCTCATCAGCTGTTCAGCTGTGAGGGCCGTTTCGGCTGCTGCGACAAGTTTCTTGGTCAGGTCCCGCACTCTGCAATTGAGGACTTCGACTTCTTTGATTTCCTCCGGCCGGGTCGCCTGTATCAGGTTCTGTGGGCCCAGGCTGACTGGTTCAAGTCAATCTTGGTCTTGGTCCTGATAAGGTTAGCCAGGTCCACTATTGGGCCCGGTTTGGTCCGGCCGGGCGCGCCGAAGACGTCATTGGTGGGCGATGGCGTTGGATGAGTTGAGCCATCAGCTTCAAACATGACTGGCGACTGACTCATGAGCGGTTGGCCCTGGTCATGTGCCTTTGGACCAAGCTTTTGGCTTTGGTCCTGCGCCTTGTCTCCCTCTGTGGTCACCGTTGATGCCTCAGGTTGGATCCGGTCCAGACCCGGTAGGGTTGGACTTGTTATCGGATCCTGGGCGACAAGGTTGGCCCGGGCCCCCTGTCTCGTGTCCTGTCCCCAACTGTGGTCACCGTTGGTGCCGCAGGTTGGGCTTGGCCCGGATCAGGTATAGTCGGTTGACGCGCCAAGTCCCGGGGGACACTGTTGGCCTAGGCCGGCTTCTCGGCGCCAGGTTGGTTGTCTTGAGGCTGGTTAGTCCTAAGCAGCCCTTCGGACGCTTCCAGGAATGTATCGCCCTGGGTGGCGTTAAAAACTTTCCTCACTTGTGTCCAAGTCGGCCGGCAGGCTTTGGTTGTCCCGCCTGGCTTTGGCCTCGACCTAACCCGTGGAGCCGGTCGAGTTTGGTTGGTCCGGGTCAGGACTGGTCCGCCTTGCGCAACAAAAACCGTATGGCCCCGTTGGTTCGCGCGTGGCGTAGTTATTGCCGCGGAATTTGGCGTACTCATTGGTTTGGCGCCTGTCCCTAGGACTGAGCAATCTCCGTTGGAGTTGCTCATGGCTGGTGTATGGCATCACCTTGGCCAAGGCGCTGTGAGTTTAGTAAAATCTTTGGTCCTGGTCAGGACCGGAACTTCTTTCGGGTCTGGACCGGATCTAGATCGCGGGTCGATGCTGGTCAGGTGCGCTAGAGTTCAGGTTTAGCACTAGCTCCCTATGGCCCTCTGCTACGTTACTGACCAGTGTGACGTCACGAACTTAGTGGTCTTGCGATTAGCTCTACGTCACGAGTGGTGTGGCGCCCTGCGTGCGGGCGACAGAGCAAGCCACAAGAGGTGTCTACCGCCTCGAGTATGCGGTCTCTGAAATTAGCAACACTTTTAGTGGTATTGTTTTGTCCCGGCGCTTTGGTCGGCTTAATGACGAACACGTCCGCCGGACGTGCTTGCTTGCCCAGACGTTTCGGCCGGGTGCCCACGCAAGACGCCGTTCACACGGACTGCCGCTTTTATTGCTTGACCACAGACCAGTGACCATATGCACGTTTCATAGCATACTCCCTGCATCTGTTTTTCGCGCTCTTTTGGTGCCGCTGTTTACTGTTTGTGTGAGTTTTTGGCAAAAGTCCGGCACTGCGTTCTTTGTGTTTGTTGTCGCCCTGGCTGGTAAATGACGAATTGTGGTATGAATGAATACAATTGTGATGTACAATTTTCGTTCCCCAGTTGCGCCAGTGGTGCGCTTAAAGGTGATTTCTGGCAATAGCATACACGCGGGAAGATGTTTCGGTCCCCCGACTTGCTTCATTGCAGATGCAAGAGTGCGGCAAAATAGCTGACGAGCTATTTTAACCGGCAGTGTGCGGTAAAACAGCCAACAAGCTATTTCGCCAACCATAGTGCGGCAAAATAGCCAACTGGCTATTCTGACGCAGTGTGCGGCAAAATAGCCTGAGGGCTATTTAGACCCTTATTGTCATACTGCGGCAAAATAGCCATAGCCTAAAAATATATATATCGGATGACGAAAATCCGTTGACCTTGACTCTAAACTGAATTATGAATGTACAGCGCAGCTGCGCATGCAAATAATGCAATGAGCTAATCCCGCTTATTTATTCCTTGAGCAGCGCGTGGTGGCAGGGTGTAAAAGGTGGCAGTGGCACCTGCCACTGGCAATTGCCACCGGCAATGGCATGTGCCATTTCGCGACTGGCAAGCGGTAAAACATGGCAATTTTGAGAAATACTGAAACAGCTAAAAATGATTCTGCCATCAACAAAATTTAATATGAACAACAAAAATCTTCGGAAAACTGATTTTTCAGTACTCCAGCATAATATCTGAACCGTGCCTGTCAGTGCAATGAACGCTGAAATGCCGAAAAGCGGATTTATGCTGCACAGAACGTAGCGCACGAAACGTGACTGCAGTTCGGGTCGCACAGTAAGTTGCGTCAACGTCAGGTAGTTTTGTTTCCTCAGTAGCCAGTTGTAGCTTCGTAGTCTGCATGGTTACTTGAACGAGGGTGCTTAAATTATTTGGAAGGATTGTCCCGACGACCCAGCGACGGCAGCCATTCAACACAGTAACTTTGGCTGTTAAGATGTTACCGTCGCTGGATGGCGGTTTGAGCACTAACAGCGTTCTCACTCACTGGGTCCTGCAAATAGTGTATGAAAGGGACAATCCTTCCAAATAATGTGAGTACCCTCGTACTTATTGTCTGCATAATCACTTTTTGAGTTCCTTTGGATTTCTAAGATTTCTTAGATTGTTTAAATTTTCTTAGATTTTCTTGCGATTTCAATGTTTTCTCATGATTTTCTTACGTTTTTTTTATATTTTATTTGTTTTCTTATGTTTTATTATGCGAAGTAAATCGAGTGCTTCTTAATTGCGAAATTTCTGCACGGATGCTAACATCAGTTCTATGCCTGGCTGATCTGTTATGCCTCAGGGCGTTAAATTTCAGTACAGTATTTGTTTCACATCCGAGCATGCTTATTGGAAATTATTTTCAGGGTAAGTGGTCTGGGGCGATTACGATAGATCACGTCCCACGCGGACTCCAGCATAATGTCTGATCACTTTGGCCGCGTTACATTTCGGCCGCAAGCGATCACTTCGGCATAGGTTCATTCCAGCCGAGGTTCATTTCGGGCAGCATCCATTTCGGCCCCCGCTCATTCCGGCAACAGGACATTTTGCCATCTTCAGTTTCACAAGTTTCCAAGTTTTTGTCATGTTGCTTAAGTTTTCTTAGGTTTCGTAGGTTTTCTAAGGTAATTCTTGGGCTACTTAGGTTTTCTTAGTTTTTTAGGGTATTTTCGGTTGCTTGGCTTTCTTAGGCACTTTTATTCTTATGGTTTAATTTTTCTTAGGTTTTTCGGGTTATTCTTAGATTCTTCGAAAGGTTATGGTACGATCAAAACGTAGTTACATCGAACGTATCTTTTTCTTGTCCAAATTTGACCAAAATAAGCGTCGGCCGAAATGAACTGCGGCCGAAGTGAAAACTGCCGAAGTGATCGGTAGCCACGCGGAGATAGATCTCGTTATGACCAATAAGCAAATGTTGAAGAAAAAGACGGCATTTTCTTTCCTCGGGTCGTGGGAGTTTTATAAGCTGTTTTTGCTGCTTTTCAAATCCTCAGAACATTATATCTCGGTAGTTGCCAGTTGCCACCTTTTATCGCTTGCCAGTAGGCTGCCAGTGCCACTGGCAACTGCCACTGGCAGGTGCCACTGCCACCTTTTACACCCTGCCGCGCGTGGTAAACTGAAATGGCATCAACCCAGCTCTTTTATCTCTTTTTCGGATCAATTAAGCTTGGACTAATTTTAATGTACGAGTGATTGTTTAAACCGCACAGCCGCAAAACCTTTTTTAAAACGTCAATGGTTTTCGTCCACTGTAGCTTTCTGTATGCTACGCTTTGCAGACCGGGATGATGATGCCCCGTTTGATTACTTCCGGGCTAACATGCCCACTGTCGTAGCGATGCCGGAAGGCAGCGCGATCTTTATCTGCCGCATATCACACCAAGGTAATTTTTCGGACACAGACCCCATAACGTTCTGGACATCATGGCGGCACAATTACAAGTTGGTATACGGTGACACGATCCGTGTCGACGGTAGCAGCAGGACATCAGGGTCATTGCATCGGTACCTCGCCACCTACGACCGCGCCCAGCATCAGCTAACGTTGAACATTCATGACATCTCGTATGGCGATGAAGGCCCAGTAACATGTTGCGCTCGCCACGAAAATGCCAGTCTCTACCTTAACATGGAGGATTTCTTCCGCTACTCCATGTGGAGTCTCCAGTGGAACTGCGTGACAGCGCTGCTGGCTGTAAGCGCCACTCCATCGACCATCAATCCCTGGTATGCGCAAGTGGACCAGCAGCAAAATTGTCGCATAATTAACGGGTACAGCTGGATGTTCACGCCAAATAAACAACACCGTCACCTGGATGCTACGGATTATTTTTAATAAAGCCTGTGACTTACAATTAAATAATACTGCGCGCACACGTTAAAATTTGACTGATACTCGTGCTGTAACGTGCAACAATCACAGTGACTCTGTCCACGTGGCTACGCCTACCGGTACAGCAGTAACAATAAGAAAAAGATCTGATAGTAACTGCAAACCACCCTTATTTTTTTATTCCCATGGTTCTGAGATCTCGCTAAAAAAATGGGGGAAAAAGTTGACACTACCACTAGATCGTTCGTCATCCAAAACTGGCATCACATGATCTTGTTTCATAATGCGTTTTAAATTGTGCCGCCATAATGCGCAATTCAATCTTTCCTCTTTTATTACGTACATGCCAGCCATCTTTCCTTGGGTTGTTTCCCTTGATACGTACATATATCTACAAATATATAGGTACAAGCCCAGCACGGATGAATAATGTATTTGGTTTTCGAGCATGTGAAAAGGTTAACTGCATATTATGTATTAAATAATGGCACGATGTTTATTACATTAAGGAGGCACGAACAAAATAAACAGGCGTGAGCAGAACCTGTTATTTTTGCTAATTCGCAGTTCGCTAGTTTCAATGACAATTCGATATAATAACACATAGTAACAATCTGAGGATTTACAAACAGCCCATATTAAGCTAATGGCCACCGTGGCAACAAGCTTTTGAGTGACCACTGGACTGTGGGGATTGGGCTTTCCAAAAAACTTATGATACTTATAGTTAGTAGTAGTAGTAGTAAAAACTTATAGTTAGTATTCATATAACTATGCAGTGCCACTGCGCTTGAAATTTACACTAGCCGGTAAGGCTTTCAAGTTTCCACGATTCGGTTGTCTGTAGTACTTCGAATTCTACTGACCATGAGTATACCTTCTTCAGCAGTTTTAACGTTTTATACTAACTTGCAGTAAGTACAGATACAGTCTGTAATTAGAACGTCGAAACGAGTATGTAAGATACGAGATATTCTGCGGTAAACTTTTGAATTTTAAGAACATGTGCCTTGTTACGGTTTTGTTTACGAAAGTGAGGATTATTGAAAATCAAGATAATTATGCCAAATACCGAAACAAATTACCATGAAGGGTTAGAATAAAATAAAGTACGTACTGTCAACTGGCAGACGCAGAACTCTCAAACAAGTATTCAACGTCGCGCATGTTGAAATTACGTGCATAACAGGGAGCACGTTAAATGTACGATTACGCCCAGTATAGAGTACATCCATGCCTCGCCAAGTGTTGCAGCGTCATTCTGGCGCACCACTGCACATGTTGCAGGAGTTTCAAAACATCCGAATCGACAGAGCTGAGAAGGACACCAGTGTTTTTCAGATAATAGATGGCAGCGACTTCATCTGAAAGGTTGAGCGATTATTACCAGTATTAACAACGGAGCATGTTTCCTCAATATCTAAAATATCTCGCAGTATTTTAAAATTTTCATTTCAACCGCCAAGGGTTTCAACACAACGGCTCGCGCTGAAAGGCGACTATGACCGCGGTAGTACAGTACTGTACAGATATATGTAACCTGTGCATTCTACAGAATTAGTCATTTTTCTCCTTCCGGTCTGCTATTGTTGTCAAACTTTTTGCAGTTATGATTTTGACTAGCATACCAGTACACGTAGTTTAAAACCTACACAGTTTCTAGAGCATGCTGGTTTAAAGGACATTACGGTTAGCTTGCTCAGAAAGTGGCTTTTGTCGCTGGTTTTTGTAAAATCACAGATTCCTAAGAGATTTCAGCGACGTCATTAATAATAATACGAATAATATAAATAATAATAAATAGACTACAGTCTACACTACGAATAATATGAATAATATGTTGTTCATACAATATCTATATACTATCTATAGTATATATGAATCTGTATGAATAACATATTATGTTATTCACAACATATTATGGTATTCACAATATGTTATTCATATAGCGTGCTGGGTGATTTATATATACTGTGGTACAATGTGCCGCCAATTGGACGCTAAAAACGTAATTCCGGTAATAATGTTTAGCTACTTTATATAGCGACTAATTGCCACCGTCACATGCTTTATTGTACATACTTTGTTGCATTGACGATTCTAATTTTCATTTGGTGGAGCAACGGTTCTTGTAAGGACTACGCTATACATTTATCATTTGTGCAACAACGTTATCAAGTCAACAACAAGCCTTGCATAATAGAGTGACGGCTGACTGTGTACCATGCCATAATAATGAGCATACATAATTAAGTACAGTAATTAAATAATTACCAGTGATGCACAGGAGAGTTTTATAACTTGATGGTTCAAGGTACATTTAAAATTCAGCGTAAATACATATGGAAAATAAGATTTTTTTCAAGACGACTAACCGGTAAGCTTGGCTTAAGCCGATTACTGGTTGATTTATCCGTTATAAACCACGAGAAGTAAATACGCTCTGGACGGTAGGATTGTACGAATATTATTATAAAGGTTAGAGATAGAGATATGTACGATATCTATATCTATTAAATTCATAGATCGCACCATCTTCATTCTAAGACAATTAACTCCTAATTCGAGAATCACGTTTAGCACTGATCATAAATTTTAAAAAAAATAGTTTATGGCATGCAGGTGCGCCATAAGTGGTTTTGAAAAAGTCTTGTAGCGTCTGAGATACACAAAACTTTTTGAAATTTAGTACTGTGACATTGTAGAATGTTTTAACAAGTTCTAGAAAGGTCAGAGTAGCAGCAAATTTCTTTTTTTTGCGTTACGATTCAAAATAGTTAGCAACACAAAAGATCATAATAATTATAAAGTATTGATACTAATAAGTACGGGGCTTGATAAATCGCGAAGGCACCACATTCATATTTTAAAATTTTAAAATATTTCTATATCTTCTACTGTAAGCGTTGCATACAAGAAACCACTGGAACATAGCTTTGGCTTACCGCATTGGAAGTAGGACATGTGCTTCTTGTCTTGTTTCCAGACTACCGTGTATCGTCTGTTGGCGTCCAGTTGAGCTAATCGGACTTTGCAGGTAACTTCGTCACAGCAAAACGTACAGTAAAATCCGCGGTGTATCCCTATCGTAATGTTAACGCACCACTGAAGTTTAAAATCCATCGGTGAATTCGTCACGCTCAGTAAACGCTTATAAAGTGCATATAAAAAGCACTGTAACAGTGGTAAGGTTTTCATTCTTACGGCACGATTCAGCCATTGTGTACCTGCGATACCAAGTCGGCAAGACCCCACCAACACTGCTTATTAATCGCTTAAAAGCTTGTGAATGCATTCTCTTGAAGAAACAAAGCATGTAGATACCCTATGCAATAAGCTTTTAAGCGACCATTGGTTCTAGCAAGAAAGGAAAACTAAAGGTCAACAGCCGATAACAAGGAGGCGTCGTGAGTCTCGTGACATTTACGCCATTCTTACTTGCTTCAACAACGGATAATGACCGCTTTTGCGGTATGTTTCTTCACAATCTTTTGATCCGGATGGTGATACAACAAGTTTAGTTGTCCTGCAACTGCGCACATCTATTTCAAACAGCCAAGGAAGATCTTCGTTGGTCCACTTAATGACTCCTCTGCACGGCACCCCAACTTTAGTGGAACATTGTACAAGTTTGGATGTAGCATCACTATCATGATGCCGGTGAGGAATTATCTCCTTTGCCGACTTCGATTGAGCCACGGCGAATGCTGCGGAAAAGATTACAAGTATACTTCTAAAGGTGAACATGCGATGCATATTGGTGTTGTGTAGGACTATCAGTACCAGCTTGAAAACTGAAGAAGAATAAATCGTCATATATAAAGGAAATCTCAGCAACTGAAATGTCCGTTTACAGTGAACGGGAATTGTTAATCGTGGTAATTGTTTGTAGAAAGGACTTTTTTACGGTAAGGTGTAAGAATCAGCAGGCCGAATGGAACATCCTGGCAGCTGGGCTGAGGCCCAGATGACATCCGTTTACAGTGAGTGGGAATCGTTAATAGTGGCAATTATTTGTAGAAAGGACTTTTTTTTACGGTAGGTAGCAGGAACCACTAGACTGTCTAGACATGACTGGAGTATATCCTGAGCAGCTGGTTTAAGGCCAAACCACATCCGTTGCGAGTGGGGATTATTAATCGTGGTAATTATTTGTAGAAAAGACTTTTTTTTACGGTGGGCTATCAGAACCACTAGACTGACTGGAACATCCTGCCAGCTGGGCCAATGACAATGAACATGCTGTGGTTGAAAGCATCACTACTACTAGTACCGTAAACGTTCGTTAATTTTGGGTAAATAGTAAGTACTTCAAGTTAAGTCCTACTTCCTTGATGGCCCAGCAGGTCAGTACGGTACGAAGACCGTGCCGAGTTTGCCAATCATACCCGGTCACCTGCCGCTAGTTATGTCGCCAATTCAGTTGTGTGGCTGCGATCGATATCGACGATATGACATTGTAGTGGTGTCTTGTTTCTCAGAATAAATGATTAATTTTATAATACAATTATGGAAAATTAACGGAGTTTAAAGTTACTGACTATCTTTTCTTCTCAACAGGTTGGCACTTCGCAAACGAGTGGCTATCGGCATTTGCACCAGCATTTGCTTCGCCGAATAAACAAGCACTCGAAATCAGCAGGATAAGAAATTGTCCCAGCTCACGTTAGACGTTTTATGCACATTAAGCATTGGTGGACTGGCATTCCGACCCAAACGAACACTACAATACTTACACTATAATAAAATACAGTACAGTATTCATACTGCGCTTACACTATAATAAAATAATTTCTATCGCGACAATGATGGTATTAATTATTAACATAAGGAAATGAAGCGGTATTAAAATTGCACAAAAGGCAAACTCAGTGAGCGACACTTAAATCAACACACCCGAGTAAGCGGGAAGCCAGCATTACATCATTGTCTTTAAGAAGAGCAACGACGAAGAAACCGTTGGTTCAGTAGTCTTCCCAGACGAAGATGGCTTTGATCATGCGCAGAAACCAAGCCCAGGTGCTTTTCCACGTCTCGTAGTCGTACCAGCCCATCAGGACGGCGAAGAGGAAGAGCAGCCCGGCCACTGCCGGCACGCCGTATTGGCATGCGTACCGCCACGATTGGGGCGCTTTGACGTATTTGTACGCCTTCCGTTCGTACTCCTCAATCACCGCCGGCTGACCTACAAAAAGATAACTAAACTGCACACAAACTGCAATTTTGACGTAAGTACCAGGTAATTCAGATATTATGCACAATATAAATATGTTGCCTATTGGCTATTGTGTACTACTCTGTACATTATTCACCACCGGGATTGTTACCGGTGCAGCTATTCGGCATTAAAATCTGATATCTATATCTTATTTTACAAGGATATACAACTGTAAATTACACCGGAAAAGAAATAGTTTCATGCGAAAAGCAGATCTTAACAGTTTCTAGTTTTCATCAACTTGCTAGAATATACGAGTACCTTTATAAAAAAAGTTCACAAAAAATGTGCGAGCAATGCGGAAAATAAAATAACCACCGTAACTCGTACGGTTAATCCATTGAATACAGGTCGGTCAGCTAAGCTGTCACCTTCGATAAATTTCTTCAGAAAAAATTTTGGGTTATCGATTTCCAAAAACTAATTCACTAGAAGCATGCAACGAATTTCCAAGGGTTTCGATATGGTTTGCTTCCACATGACTTAATGATGAAGTACAGAAAAAGACTACCATAGGAAGAGATTAGTGCAGTAGTGTACACAATAATTCATGCAAATGTGTGAGAACTGAGAACGGAAAAGCGTAAAAATATTAAGGATTTTTTGTAAATAATAACCGTAAGTTCGTAAGTATCGTGGGGAAGCGTAGCGGATCACAAAGCTTACCATCCCAGGCTTTGGCTGCTTCGACGGCGGTGGCGTGCAGTTTGTCCTGGACTTTCTGTCGCTGGCGCAACTCCTCCTTGGCCATTTTTCTTTCGGCTTCCTATGAAGTAAAACTGCAAAATGTACACAACTAGACTAACAGCATACTACAGATCCTAATGATAAAATAATTATGACAGTCGTGTTGTTAATTTGTACTCACGTGAGATGGCTAATTTGTACTCAAGAACTATAAATTTAAAATTAGTTTCTTTCGTTTTCGAAAGTTAGAGCTTCGCCACTGACACGGTTAATTAAAATACATAAATTTTAAAACTACTGTAATAACCATAATTCATAGAGAGTACCTAAATGATAAATGTACCGTGATAATCTTTTGTTCTTCTTAAAATCGAGCATTCTCATTTCTTTCTAATGAAGCTATGCACGTAGTTAGTTCTTACCTCTGGTCTTGAGAAAGCTTTAAAAAGTCTACTGTAGAGACTGAGAGCATTCATACGGTCTAGACTCTAGACTCTAAACTCTGAAGTTTTAAATCTTACGGTCTTACTACTGTACCTCCAAAATAACAAGAGACTGACGAGGAAATCAAGAGGTCTCACGATGGGATTATGAGTTAGCAAAAACTTCCAGCTTCTGCAGTTCCAAAATAAACGTACTTTAAAAGACAATCCAGTCGATGAAACTACATATAAAGAGAAGGAGGTACTGTACGAGTAAAAATGAGCTGATCGATCTGCGAATTATGGCAAGTAACTTTGTCAGCGCAAAACAACAGACGAAAACCACAATTTCGTCTGATTTATCACGGAATGTGGATTTCCGGATTTTCCCCAGTGAACCAGTTTACGTCGCAAACTGCCCAAGTGGGCGACAGTGCGTTCGACACTCTGTAGGTGGAGCTGACCACCGCTACCGGCAGTTAATTTAAGTACGTAGCCAAGCCAAACTTTTCGTCCAAAAGTGGGCCAAAACGAAACAAACGCTTCTGTATTCATCAGTGTTTATTTCTAGTACTAGTGCTTATTTCTGGTAAGTACTAGTTTCTAGTACTAGTGTTTCATCAGTGTTTATTTCTAGTACTAGTAATAATTTAGGTACAGATGAGATTTGTAACTTTTCAAAGGGGAAAAGTTTTTGTCTTCTTCTTTTGTTTCATATACTGTATAACAATCTTTCCGGATGTTCTGTAATCAAAACTGGTCATAAATAACCACTTAACGGATGTTAAGATTTCCTCTGGCCGTGACCAAGACGGCGGCAGCCGACAGCGTCTGACTGTTGAAATATACGGGTCCAAGTTCAGGATAGTGGCAGATAGGATACCCTGTAACAGTGTAACTGAACCATGGGATCGGAGACGGTGGGCGAACCTCGTGGCAACATCTTCGCGAGCCCGACTTGGACCTGGTCCATATCCCCTGACCAGCCCTCCCATCGGATGACGGCCAAACTGTACCGCCTGCCGCATCCCGCCAGCGTCTACCAGGCCGTCGTGCGACAGCGCTTCCCGGCCGCGTTCCTCGACGCTCGCATGGTGTGTCTGCTATATTACCTTTCCCTTCTGTTTCTTATTTGTTTTCTCCTTCTGCGTGTACGATGATCGGGTGGTTATTGTAGTTGACAGGCAGCATCCTGGACCTGCAGATTGCCTGCTGTAAGGCGCTGGCTCGTCATTCCCGTCAAAGTATGCTGACCAAATCCCTTCCGATGGAAATGCTCTACGCTCTTTCGCCGCGAACTGGTGTAAGTTTCTCTATAATTAGCGTAATGCGCAATGGTTATTTCACCGCAAATGCGGTATATGCTGCCGTTCCACTCAGTTTTTTCTATCTTTTCCTTTTTTCGTTTTATGATTTCAGTGAATTTTTCGGATTTTTCGGAATTCTTCGAGGCTTTCATACGAACTAGGAAGCTAGTTGATTTAATTTGATTTCGGTAATTTTGAATCTGTTTCAGTTTTCTGTAGGCATTTTGCCGATTTATACGCAATTTAAGTTCTGAAGCCTCTTGCTTGTGATAGTTTCGAAACTTTAATGCTTTTGTAAATTTCCATCGTATTCATGAAAGTGAAGTTATATTATTATTATATGTTGTACTTGTTAACTTGTATGTATTTTTTCCTCTGGTGGAAGGCTAACAAGATATAACAAGATATATCATGAATATGGTTGTCTCGAAAAAAGGTAATTCAGGAAGTATTTATTACTTTTTCGTCTTGCAAAGTGTGTTTTAACTTTTACCTCCAAGTTTTCGTTTAGAACCAGAAGAACCTGAGCAGAGTACGCAATACTTTAATAGTGTTTTAGGATACGGGCAGTTTTACAAATTAAAAGTTTCGTTATAAGAAGTGCAGTTTATTGGAGTTGCACGGTGTAATTAACCAAGAATTTTGGGTGACAACACTTTTGAGTGACAACTCTTTTGAGTACCCACTCTGAAATGACATAGACCAATTTCCGTCGGGAAGGTTTCGAGGTTACGGTTTTTCAGATATCGGACGCACTGAAATTGTTGGGCTTCAAAGCCGACTGCGAATGGGTGGTGGTGCTGTGGATTATTCCGGCCAACGAACAAGTGCCTTCGCCTTCCATGCAGGCTTTTGAGAGTCTCTTAGCTCAGGAAAAAGGCCAAGAATTCGCTTTCTCGGACCTCACAAGATTATCTGACTTCAACAAAATTGCACAGGTTGGCTACATTTATATAATTCTTTAAACATTTATATAATTCTTTAAATTCTTTCTATAGTTAGCTCTTTAAATAATTTCACGTTTTCGCTATTTTTTTATTTACGGTACTCGTACTGCCGATTCTGGCTAATATCGCAATAAGTTCCAGGGAAAATGCGAATTATATATTGGGGCACTCAGGGGCAGCTAGCAAAGAGCCATTTCCAGTTGACAAAATCAGACGCTTTTCATACCAGTTTCTACAGATACGCTATACCCTAATTCCGCTACAGGTGTACGATTTTCCCATGGATCTCCCGGAAGCTTATGCCCACAGTCCGACATGGAAACGTTTTTTATTAAGCCATGTCACGTCTAAAATCGCCATCAAAGAATAAACAAGCAAATTAGAAACAGATAAAATGTTATTAAAACTTGTGCAGTTACCAGTGTGAATGAAAGCCAGTTTAATTTTTAACCAAACAATAACTAGTAACTACTATCGCAAAATGAAAGTTTTAACTGGATAAGAAAGGGAACACTGGATTGTCGGCTGACTCTGTCCACGGCAGACCGCTGAGCGTTCGTTCAGTTCAGGGCTGTGGCGTATAGCGCAGGTACTCCTTGCCGGAGGGCAGCGGCTGGACTTCCACGCCCTTGGGATAGTTCTTAGCTAAGTCCGCGGCCGGCACCGTGGGCGGCACGATCACCTTGTCGCCGCTCTTCCAGTCCACCGGCGTCACCACGTTATGCTTGGCCACCAGCTGCAGGGAGTCGATAATGCGCAGGATCTCACTGCAACACCACCACAAATGCTACAGCGGCACTAGAAACTCCAGTAGCCAGCTAAAGTCTTATTACTGTCATTGTGGAAGTAATTCCTCAACGGATACGTTTTACAGCGGTTTCTGGCGGGTTTCAATAAATTTCTGAATCTGCATTTATCTGATAAAGTGCAGTATACAAATCTTTGCCGTCCATCTCAAAACTGGCCGCTCAGAAATCAGCGCCGGCATTGGCGATTTGATGGTTTCATACAAAAGGCACGAGTGTGCCTAAAAGAAAGCACTATGCGATGATTTCAGTGACCATTTTACGCACTTACTCGAAATTGCGTCCAGAAGTGGCGGGGTACAGAATCAGCGTCTTGACCTTGTGATCAGGCCCGATAACGTAGACGACGCGGGCCGTCAGTGGCATGCCCTCGTTGTTCAGCTCATCCGGGTCCAGCATGCCGAACTTCACCGCCAACGTGCGATCATGATCAGCGATGATCGGATAAGGAAACTTCCCGCTGCCAACGCCGCAGTACGCCTCTAAATCCTACACAGATCACAAACACCATATAGCATGACGTACCGTCACGTACTTTCAGGCAGTATTTTCTGAAAAATCTACGTGGACAAAGCATTATTTTGTCATAAATACTGGAAAAAAAGTGCGAAGAAAATTAATGATAACAGAAAACCAGGCATAACTTGTAAGTCAGTAAGCAAAATAATTATTCTGAAAAAGCAGCAGCAAACGCGGGTACTATAATGGTGAAAAATAAAATAAAAACGAGAAGACACAGGGAAATTAAATACCTTAATCCAGCCGCGATGCGATTCAGCATCATCACAAGACAGGGCAATCATTTTCACGCCGCGCCGCTGGAATTCCGGCGCCAGTTTCGCAGCGCGCCCCAGTTCCGTGGTGCACACTGGGGTGTAGTCGCGAGGATGGGAAAACAAAATGGCCCAACTGCAAGTGCAAGACAAAGATCTGCCATTTCAAATCCAGTGCAGAAACCTTAATGATTCAACTATTCAAGTCAAACAATAAGCAGTATCAAACCAGGTACAAGTAGGCGACAAAGTAACATGTCAAACACACAATGTTTTTAATGCGGAATTTCCCTGCCACAACTATGGAGAAAGATGGTCATGTCACAGGCACAAAGGCCATATGCGCACGTTTATCAGCTGATCACCTGTTTCCCAGCCATTCGTGGAATTTGATGGGGCCTTCGTTGGTCTCTGACTCGAAATCCGGCACAACTTCACCCAGATTCAACGGCATCTTGCAAAAAAGTACACGAAATAGTTATTCTGAATCCAAGGAACACCACAGAGGAGCAGTCAACGAAAGCGGCAGCGAAAACCAGCGTGTCCAGGTATTTATCAATTTATGCGGCTGACTGCGTCCTGTTGCCGCGTTGCGAGAAAACTTTCCGATTCGCTTCTGATTTCAAACTCGTCACTTCCGCAGCCGGAAGTAATAAAAGCTGCAGCCTAGCAGGATGTGCCCATACTCCCACCCCGGAACCAGACTGAAAGCTGAAAAATGACATTTCGTGAGATTATATCGATTATCGACTGCAACCAACAAGATATAATAAATTTATAAAAAATGTTAAAAAATAATTTTATCCGGAAAACTTGTGTCCTATTTTGTTAAATCACGTTTTCAGTTCGCGGTTACACTTACGGCCGCTTTAATACGCCTTACTGTACGTCGTTAGGAACTATTGTATAACCATGCTCGCAACGCTCCGCGCTCATCTGTTTTACTTTTCAGTTCATAATTTTTCAAAAATTGAGTATTTTATAATTTTTATTTACTCCGGAATTCGGGATCGTGTTTTCGTTATACCGGTGCACAGTTCCAAAACTTCGTATTTCTATCGCAGCTTCAATGCAGTTGTTATTTGGAAGAACTGGTTTTGTGTAGAAAGCGGGTGGCGGATCGGTGATTGCACACTTTCGTGCTATGACATCAGCCGACTGAATCCTCATGTTCCCTTCCTCGAACTCCATGAAATCTGGCTGGTCTTGCAGAGTTCACTGAATCTGTCGAATCCCGCATTTTTATCCTTGCCATCCACTGCACCTTCGAGTCTCCGACGATTTGCAATCTAGTGGATGCGCTCTGCAAACCATGGCCAACTTTTTCGAGTAAGAATTTCCAAACACTATGACTCAAGCGATGGTTTCCCCGTAGGCCACCCGTACAGGTCAGTGCGGAACTACTAGCAATATGGGCTAACGCGTCGTGTTACTTTTTAGCAGTGTTACCAAAGAGGCTTCCTCAACCGACAGCTTCCTCCCCGCGCAGACCCTGGATCTGGATGCCCTGGCCGCCATCCCCACGGTGGTGGAGAAGGTGAATATTGACGGGGTGGGCCGGACGAAGGATGTGGTGTTGCAGCGTGAGTGCCAGCGCATCTTCGCCGCGGCGACATTCGAGGAGTTGGTGCTGAGCATCGACCACACCATTCGCGAATTTCAGCGTCTGGGCCTGTTTAGTGCTGTCGGGGCGCTGATTGATGTGGGCCGCGGGGGACCGCAGCAGCACAACTATGAAGTGTCCTTCTTCGTTAAGGAGCCTAGTCGGATTCTGGGATCGCTGCAGACGACGGTGTCGGGCAGCGGCGACACGGGGCTCAATGTGGCCGTCGAGATGCCCAATACGTTCGGGGCGGGCCAGCGGATCCGCGTCGAGGAAGGTAGGCTAGCAAAATTTCAGTGCCGCTCTGCATCAAATCATATAAATTTTAGGATGTTCTCGTATTTTTTGGCTGCTGCTTTTGTAATACTGTTAGCTTTATTTAATTGTAAATGTTTCTATCCGGAAGCAGGGAAGCTCCAAATGCATAGAATTTTTTCTGCCAACTAATTTTCCTCGGGAGGGTTTGAATTTTTCTCGTGTTTTTGTCGTTCTAAGCTTACGGCATAAGTCTGGTTTCCTCTTAGTTTCTGTAATGTTTTTGTATTAATGAGCTGGTACCTGGTGCTTCGTTTGCCGTATCATTTCTTTTCTTTTTAACATGTTGAGTGACTGCTCACTACTCTGACAGTTTTCGGCTGAGTGGGTTCTGTTATAAATATTTTACTGTGCGTCATTTGGGCATTTTTCTGTTATTCGAGTGCCCAGGATTTCATATACAGTAGTGTAACTCGTATGCGATAGCATAATTCTTCTGTGATTTGGACAACTTGTACAAGCGTTTGTGTTACCCAGAAAATCATTAAAATGTGCAGAAAATAAAGTTACAGTCAGGTACGAATTTTTTTAGTTGCAGTTGATGTCTCTCTGAAATTAGAATCGGCCCATTGTTTAGGTTGTTACGGTTTCTGTTGTGATTATTATAATTATCTGACTGAAGCAGGCTTATTTTTGTAAAGCAGGCTGTTAGCTTTTTGCCTTTTTGGTATGTTTACACTTTACAGTACATGTTTCTGCGTCTGAACAGGATTCGGAACGAAAACGAAATCGCATTTCTCCTTATCCTTCACTCAGCCTATACAGCTGTCCCCTCTCCAGCACATCACTGGCGCTCTTTTCCGCCGCAACTTCGTCCTAGACGCCAGCGGGCTCTTTAACATTGATCACGGCGTTTCCGTGGATCTGCACACGCAGCTGTCGCCCTGGATCCGCCACCGACTGGGCTGGGAAGGCGCGTGGCGTTTCGTCAACTCCGCCTCTCCCCTTACGCCCTACGACGTGCGCCAGTACACTGGGCACACGCTCAAGTCAGCAGTGATCAATGAAGTGGCGCGGGATACGCGCGATCATCCCATGCTCCCGGAATCAGGCACTCTGGTCAGGGGCAGTTGTGAAGTAGCCGGAGTGGGCGGCGATGTGCGGCATGTTAAGCCGGAGGCGCGGCTGGAAGTCAATGTGCCGTTGGTGGCAGGGATCAGTGTCCAGGGGACGTTTGGGTGGGGTTACGTCGCCCCGGTGACAGCCAGACCGGTCAATATTGCCGATCGCTACTTTCTCGGTAAGGTTTCATGTATTTTTTACAATCTAAAGATAAAAAGTTAAACAGATGCGTATTGCAGTTTGATGGCTAATATCATGAGCGCAGTCAATATTAATTTATGTTGAGTAGCATGCGATGACGTCTTGTATGTTTGAAACATTATTTTAAGTATTTCCTTTTTGCCGGTTTTTTTTTAAAATTTGCTTATTTACTTTTTGTAAAGTAAAAATTTGGGCAACTTAGTCCACCTAAATAATTTTTCCAACTGCGTCCGAATGTTTGCTTCCATTTTTTCGGTTCTTTTATTTTTTGAATTTGTTTCTTATAATTATCTATTTTTGCTGAAGTCTGTTCCTCTGTATTTCATTAATCAGCATTTGTTTTGCATAGGCGGGCTGAACTTTCGGGGTTTCGCTCACAACCACGTGGGTCCGCACTCGGGCAACTACGCCTTGGGCGGCAACATGTACTGGACGTCGGGCGCGCACGTGTACGCGCCTCTGCCCTTCGGCGACCCCTACCATCCCTTCTTGCGGCACATCCGTCTGCACGGCTTTTTTAACACCGGCAACGTGGGCAGTGTGGGCGGCAGTCAGCATCATCACTGGCGCACTCTATTCAGCGATTTCCCCGCTTCGGTGGGCGGCGGCATTGCCGTGGCGCTAGGCAAGTTCGCCCGGCTGGAGATCAACTGGGCGCGGGTGCTGCGTGCCAACGACAGTGAGATACAAGCCGGCCGGCTGTCCTTCGGGTTGGGCGTGAATTATTCGTAGAGCTGTGCGCGAGGGAGGGGCACGGGTGAGGATAAAACTGAAAAGGGCATTTCGGGGATTTTTGTGAGCAGTTTTGTTTTAGCGTGAACAGTTGCAGCATCTGCGTGCCTGTGTGTGTTTATTGGCAAAATGGGTGGAAATTATGGAATTAAAGTGGTTTGTTATTGAGTAAATTAAAGATGATGGTGATAATAGAGTTCATTCGGCATTAAAAAAAGTCAAGATTATTTTACCCGTTAACGGTGAAGGCTCAAGTCTTCCGCAACTAGTTACCTGTAGCTAAGAGATGTTGTAAAATATTACAAGTAAAACTTAGTAGAAACAACGATCAGCGAAGTTTGTGTCGCGAATTTTGGCTAACCGATTAATAGGTCTGTCGCCAGGTTGTCAATAGAAGAAATTGTGTCACAGTGTATTTGACGTATCGTATTTCATGGAATCCACATACTTACAAGTAGTACTTAATTTATCACATCTCTGACGCATTTATTTGCCACCTACAGGCTGTAATACCATTCAGGTCAATAAGAATTACAATTAAAAATCAGTAAAATCCATGATGACATTTGACTTTATTCTGAACACAACACACACAAGCGGCTCTCACACAGCCAACACGGAACCATTTACAAATGCAGCGGCTGCAATAAGGGTTATTTCGGTAAAACTGCAGTTCCATTCTTCGAACAGCCAACGGTCGACCGAAACGGAAACTAACGAACCATCGCATGTGGGGATGCTGTTGGTGACTGGACAAGGGACGGGGCGTCCTTATGTCTTCTTCTTCTTGGGATTAATGAGGGTCCAGGAGAAGTAGAGGGAGAAACAAGTCCCGCCAATCACTCCCAACCACGTCAGCCGGTACAGGAATTCAGCCAGCGGCGTCTTACGCCACAGCGGCTTACCCGTGTTCGTCTGCGAGGAGAGAACACAAAACCATGTCAGAGGCTACTTCAGAATTAACAAATGTTTATCCAACGCTGCTATCAAAACGTTTATCCAACACCGTCCAGCAAACTCAACACGAGTTTCCCAAATTCCTACTAGTTATTTTCCTGAAGCTGTCCGTCTATCTCTTGCTACCGGATCAATGCTAGATGTTGCAGGTCAAAGGAAGAATAAACAGCTATAAACAGAACACTCTCTTCAATTATTTATCATGTTATCCACAAATTAAACTAAAAAAAAACACTGCCAAACAACAAATTAATAATTACTCTATCAATTCCCTGACAATGCCCGCTATCTGTTTTCTGTTGTTAATTTATTACCGCTCCTGTATGTAGCATTGCTATGACATCGTACGTTGTAAACGTTTCTCATAACATATCATTATTAATTTATTATCAATTTATTCAGCAGAAAAATATCGTTCAGTTATTGTTCAGTTCGTTAGTTCTTCTCTGTTTACAAAAACATACAGCAGGAGTGCTGCAAGTACTTATTTCTGAATTTTTGTTCAGCGACTTGGTTTCATTTTCCTTAAGTCTGGTAATTCATTAAACGAAATGATTTCAATAAAAAGGTAAAACTCTAACTTATAGATAATAGATCTATAAGATAATTAAGAACAAAGTTATGAACAATCGAAACAAAGATCTGAAATACTTCTAGTCTTCTACCCAGCTACTGCAAGCTGAAACATGTGTCCATTTAAGCAATATCCTCATGAGACTCTGGCAAAGAAAACTGTTTTTTTACGATTCTTATTTGAAAGTTTTAACCTGAAAAGTTACGCTGAAACGAATGTTCTGGTAGGAAAGTTGAACGCATGTACGAGATCTTAGCATCGCAGCAACGTGACATGTTTACAATCTCGAAAGGATCGAACTCTTTACAGTCCTTAATAAATTATGGCAATGCAGTGCAACGTTGACGTGGATCAAAACTCGTTGAACGGGACCTGACAAGTCGAATATGGCTGGTGCATGTGCAGTTGCGTACCTGATAGAACTTCTGCATCTGCTTGATCTTGGGGTGGACGGGCCCAGGCGGACCCGCCTCGGGGTCGAAGCGGCCGCCGTCGCTCTCGAAGCTCTTGTCCAGAGAACTCTGCGGATTCACGCTCGTATCGTACGACACCGTCCGCCGCCCCAGCACACTGGCTGCATTTGGTCGCGAAGCCAGGGTGATGCTGCGCACCAGGGGACTGCGCAGAGCTATCAGGCCCAAACGGGACTCCATCGCGACGGGCTGCAATCAAGACGACATACCACCATTGCCAACTTCGATAAGCCTGATTCATTCATGTTTATGCAGGCAAATGTGTACAATAAAGTGAACGTTCTCACCTGAATCACGAAATGACGATCACAATGTGGCAGGAATACCTCCTCATACACAACAATGAGATAAACTGGATTTGGGAAACGAAAAATTGATTTATCGAGGACATCTGCATGCGTTCAAGCGCCCAGACGCATGCGTGCAATTACTGCATCAACTTCTAAACGGCTCCGAGATCACCAAATCCATGTCGATAGTGCTTTATTTCTAACCTGCTCTACCGGGATGATGTGTTTGACACTACGGTACGGGTTTTGTATTGTGATTCCATTTACCTAAACGTCCAATGGAACTCGGATAAACCATACGCAGGCTCACTTACAGTTACAGCTGACCGGAAGTTCGGAACACAGTCACAATGCACACAGAATCACAGACAGAAATCGAGTTTTCTTTCATGACTGATTTTTGACACCACTCATAGTTACGACAAGTTTAATAATAATAATCAGAATCCAAAACACAGCCCATACGTTTCTCGATTATTGCGCGGATTTGGAAATCACGCGCCCACCGAATACCCACCCCAAAACTAACAACTTCCGGCACCGGAAAATACGAGAAAGTCGAATACGAGAAAGTCGAATTTTATTAAACAGTGATATATACTCTAAAGAACAAACTAAACTAAAATTCTACACCCAGATGTCAGACGTGCAGTCACCGCCCGGATAGCGCATTTCGTGGCCGCGCACAGCTCCATCCGGCTCCTTGCCAAAGTCCACCAAAAAGTCCGGATTCAGCGTCAACCCCTGGTCCGTCACGTCCAACAACAGCATCACACCGCCATGTCTTTAACAAGAACAAAATCAGAAAAATAATGGCATACTAAGCATATGAACTACGTCTGTACAGATACGAAGTATTGTATAAAACAGATACTTTATACACTCACGGATACAGTAAGTCGTTAAAAGAACAATTCAGTATCAAGTTATCGACAATAATAATATTCCGCTCACTTGATTAAGTCTGGATAGAACTGCGCATCCCACGGCGTAATGATGGACACAGTGACGTACAAGCGTTTTCCGTCGCGGCTCAGCTGGATCATATGTGGACCACCGCTACACACCACGACAATCATTACTGTGAAATCACCCACTGCCATTGCGTATCACTTACTGAATTTTGCGGTTTTTAATAACCGTTCTCGACGGCTGATGCGAAAGCTCCTCGTCCCGGTCCACTTTGACACCAGTATCATCCACGATAACACCACCCACAAAGATCTGCATTAACAGTGAAAGGTTTCAGGAAATTCAAATATCAGCAATTTACAGGTTCTATAATCTGAGAAAATCTACCAGGACATTTTTATAATTTCAAAAATACAAAGTTTCATTGCCGCCGCGCACCTGTGAGACAAGACGCGGCTGATCCGGTTGGGAAATGTCGTACTGGCGGACATCTCCGTGAAGATAGCAGGTCACAAAGAGATATTTATCGTCCAGGGAAATCAGCGCATCCGTAATTAAAGCTGAGATTGAGAAATAATTAGAACACGTACCGCGGAAGTTTTCAAGTTGTTGTATGTGAATAGGTGACCAAACCCAAAGGTATTGTAATTATAGATTTATAGTCAATTAGTGCTCAGTTACCCGGGACAAAGGGCAGCGCCCAGTGGGAAACGGTTTTGTGTGGGATCTTCACTGCCGCTTTGGCCTCCCATTTCTTATCCTAAACGCAAACAGTACAAACACTATTGCCTTGCCCCGATTATTAAATAAAAAACTAATATCATCTTGGTCGTTCTGAAGTCAGAAATCTTAATTTGGCAACTTTCTTGCTCCGAAGAACAGATGAGCACGAGCAAGAGTCCAGAGTTCTTGGCACGAGACATTATTAATCGCTCTCTCAAAATTTTCCGTCTGGGCATCCGCCCAGCCATTACATCACAATGTATGTCACTACCGCTGCCCACCTCGTTCAAGCGGACGTGAAAAATGGAAGCACCCAATGCGGTAACAATGTAAGCATCGGTAGCCTGCGGATTATGCACAAAGCGGATCTCCATGGGAATCCGGCCGTCGTCGCCCAAATCGATGGTCTGGAAAAGCTCTCGTTCCGTCCACCGCCAAAAATGAATTTTCGACCCATAATACCCTGCAGAAGATTTTTTTTATAAACTCCAACATAATCCTTTACCCAGGTATGTTAGTACTTATAATCCTTTTGCAGTTTTGCTAAATCATATTAACCTAACAATACTTGCTCATCAATCTTCACAATCAAAACACGATCACAAACGAACAGGCATTCAGTAAAACTGCAAATTGAAATCGGAAACTAAATCTGGAAATCAAATAACTAGATTCAAACCAAAAGTTATAGTAGGCGAAGTACAATTACGGGCTTACAGCGTCAGTACCGCTCTAATTTACGAACCGGCTTCAACGTCCTTGATGTCGAATCCCTTGGTGAACTTGTTGGGCGCTCCAAATTCGGTGGAAATCATGATGTTATGCCGCGGCTGATACCAGAAGTCATGCCCCTTAATGGCCTCCGTCCCGGAGTTCCACAGACCCTTGGGCTCGAACGTGTTCCCGGCCAGCAGGTAGAAAGCGCCACGGGCGTCCCCTTGGGCATTTCCCAGAGTGTGGATCATCACGTCGCCGCTGGGAATGCAGTGCACCGTGTGCGGATAGCTGACGTTGTACTTCTCCGCGATGTCTTTGCCTTTGATTTGCTGCACCAATCAAAGAAAATAATCAAACGAAGTCCAGCAGGAGTTTACAGTCAATAACTCAGCATTACCTATCCATTTTTTATGTTCTACAACTTTTACTTCCAGAGCATTTCATCCACTAATTTTCCGGTAGTGTTCAATGGTTAATCATCACGGTAAAATTAATGGATGAAATTAGTGGTTAAACAAACCGACTAATTTCAAGCCGCGTATTTGAAGTCAGATAAGTACAATGTAACAGTGCCATCTTTTTACTTCACATATTTACACTGCATTATAGTACTGCAAAAATGCCATCAAAATGGTTAAAGGCACAAACAATACAGAAGTGCTGACTGGAAAATGGTTTAACCCTTACCGCAAAATTCGGATAAATTGTGAGAAAAATGTCAACAGACGCAGATGCGTACCTTAATCAACTGCGGACGACACGGGTCCGTCGTGGCGTCCACAATGTGGATGTTGCCCGAGAAGAAGCCCGGCAGAACAATGTAACGGCGTGGAGTGTTGGGGCAGCTGACGCAGGCATTCCAGCCGAAATGGTGCAGCTCATCATCAGCATCCGGCATGTACAAGCGATGCACAACCTGCCAGCACACTTCATACGGTCGCCGTAAAACAGTTTAAGCTCACAGTCAGTACAAACACGTAAACTGTTTAGACATACTGTAATTAAAACTGTAACCAAAACTTCAATGAAAAATAACAAGGAAGCTGCAAACTACCCATAAGTGCCGTGCTTATTTTAATTTAAAAACAGAGACACTGTATGGCTATGATAGTATGATGGAGTGACTTTTTATTTTTCGGACAAGTTGTGTATGTCACGTTTTGTGTTCTGTACGAGTACTGTAAGCGCATTAGGCAGTGGTGCCCGTATTGCAGTAAGCAAATGAAGTTATTTCCAGGACCATAACCATAAATGATAAGCTACAGCAATAACAAGACTGGGGATGATTACCTATTCAATTCTAACGGTTAGCCTGTTAGTGTTTGGAGTTAGATTGTTAGAACCTAAAATCCTAACCTGACAAAACGTGGCCGAAGCAGGATCGATATCCACCGTGGCCAGATAATCGGGCTTCTTGTCCTTGACCAGCCCGGCGATGAGTCCCTGAGGGGACTGGATGCAGGAGACGTACATCAGCTTCTCCCGTGGGGCATCCATGCACTGCGCAGGCGAACGCACCGCCTGCATTCCATCGCCGCCGCCACAACAACCAGCCATCTTCTTTCCGACACTACAAATCGCAAATCAAATCAAAAAGCTGACCTGAAGGTTTGTTCCTACTGGCAAGTGACACCTTGCCCAAACTGGCTGAAGCGCTTAGAAAAAATCTTCTCGGATGAGAGTATGCTCTCCTCGGATTCGGGAATGACGAAAGGCACTTCAAAAATTTCGAACGAAATCTGCGACGTCATCTGTTCGTATCTGCTCTGTTTTGCTTTCTCACCATCATCTGTGCGCCTGTGCCTACATTGGTGTCAAAGGCTGGCGGCCAAACTGTCGCTCTGGGCGGTCGGTTTTACTGTACAGTTGTATATATTTTATACGAGTATGGATATGACATTTTTTATAGAATATTACGAGTACTAAATAAAACTTTACTATATAAAACCGTACTATATAAAAATCTGTACTGCACTACATAAAACCGTTGCACTGGCATGGATGGCTGCGGAGTCTCGCCCGGCCGGAAGCCGGCCAAATGTGGGATGATTGGGTCAACTTACCATCTGGCACTACCGGAAATCCTTTCAGCGCCGCTGTTGCGGCTCTTAACATCACAAGAAACCGGCAAAATTAATGGCAATGGAACTATATTGTATTGACCACGAGTACGGGTCGAACTATATAGATATTTATATATAGAAATATGTGCATAGAATAGAATACGAGTTTATCTATATTCGTACGTGCATAGAATACGAGTATATCTATACTTCGTATCTATATAGTATTCCATGTACGGTAATCTGGTAATTTCCCGCGCGGGTATTTATTAATGTGCCACTACCCTAGCTAATACGACTAAAACTGACACTTGCCCGAGTAGTACTAGAAGCAGTGTTATAATCACACTTTTATAATCTCGTACAGTATTTACTTTCTGTAGTTACTGTGTTGTCGGGTCACCAGTAATTAATGTAAGCAGTAAGCACTCGAACGTACAGTATAATCTGGATATCCGACGATGTGTCTATATTATTTTTTTCCTGTTCGCCTGTTTGCTCAGTTCGCATTTGAAACTGTCGCGGTTTGCAAAATAATCATATAGGAAACATTGCAGCACAAAGTATGCTACTCGTAGTACTGTACCCAGATATTCGTGTACATTTACAGACAGTTACAGTACGCGATGTACTGTTACTTATCGTTAACTGAATTCACGGAAGTTCCACAATACAGAACTATATATATAAATATCTATATAACTTCTATTCATAAAATTTGTACGTTAGCGAACAGAAAAATGCTAGCGAACAGATTTAGGATTTTTGTTTGCGGAATAATCTAGCATCGATCGAGATCTCAGATCACCAGAACCTGCCGGCAAATATCAACACCCCGGTACTAACAAGTAATTACTGTGATATCGTAACATTAATGCAAGTAATAATACTGAAAAAATGGTATGGAATAAGTGTCAGCTGAATTTGTTAGAGCGATCCCAGTAATTTCCACTGCCGGCTACGTCGAAATCTGTCCGTGGTTGCGGTATGTCGTACACTTTACGGTTATTAGCCGGCAGTCCTTGAGACAAGCGCCAGTACGCCAGTTGGTGTTGGTACCATGTCTGAAAATTAAAATGAAAGAATATTCCATGAAAGTTAATTCCAAACGGTACGAGTATGATACTATCACAAAATGAATGATGGTTGATGGAGAAATGTTAATGTTTCGCCTGTTACATTATAACGCAGACCTGTACATGTTGTGCTTGTGTTAATAATTATAATGTTTTATAATGTAATTGAAATCCATTGCGGGACCATTTTACACATTACACAAAGCTTCCGTTTACAGTTTATTTATTGTTCAGTGACTGCGACTCAGTGCTGTAGCTCGGGCACTATAACCTCGTACTTATCGCGAAAGTAGTCCAAATCTTATTGTTAGTTAGTATTTCTTACCCTTATTTGATACGGCTGCAATCCTAGTTCAGCCGCGATAATATTGATATCGGCCACTTGGGGGTTTTTATCTTTCCGGAAAAACTCCATGAGGATTTGTTCCTGGTCCATCCGAATGCGCGGCAGGTCCTGTGGATTGGCCAAACGCGCTTTCAGTGGTATCATAGTAAATGGTAATCCGGGCCAGTCAATTATAAATCTGTGTTGTTAATTACTGGAGAGTCAGAGACGATGTCCAGTTCGTGAATAGGACACTTACTTACAGCAAACCGCACTTTTTTATGCAACCGGCCGTTGTGCCGCTCCTGGGAAGCGACAACAGGCGAGCAAGTTAGCAGAACAGTTTAACTCGAAACTGGACAATTAAATCTCCAAGAAACAACGTTTTTATTTGCCTGCTATTTGAACAATTGCGTGACGAAATGTTGTTGCCAAACCGGCGTATTCAAATTTACTCAGGACGGCGACGTACGAGCCTTACGGGGTGTGTGATGCAACAACGCACGCCTGAACTTGTCAATTAACTTGTCGAATGTGTGGCCGTTAGTTTCGTGCCATCTGATGAATGGACGATTGGCGACGGATCAAAAGATGCCCTTCTCCATGTTGAAGATAAAACGGAAGGAAGTGTACCGCAACGGATCATGTTTTATCCAGTCGGAAGTGCCATCGAAGCGCGGAGAACATGAATGATTAGGCGCTCATAATCTGGCGCAAGGAGATATTTCCTGTAGCTCATGCGGGCGACTTGTTGGATAAAACCGAAAAATGCGGTATAAACTTGATTTACTTATTAATCCTGGTCAATGCAAGGAGCTCCTGTACAGTGTTGTGTTTATTGTATTTATGGAACAGAGAAACAAGCAGCATTTGCGCTTTGATCGATTCAGATTGCCAGTGACAATGGGCGTGCCTTGCATACAGCCAACAATTTACGGAAAGTAAACGTTTACGCTAGAGCAATAAAAAAATCAATGGCTATTTTCATATGCTGTATAAAGCGATCGGACAGAAAAGGAAATTGATGGGGAAATCTCGTGTTAACTCCATAAAACAATTCGTTCAACATAACCGATGCTCCGACTATTACCGCATTACAACTTACAAGTGCATGTTCCAAGTGCGCAACTTTGCAGCCTTGCCTAATGGTTGCTCCTTCCTTACAATCGTTTAAAATCGGTACTAATCCTAAATACCTATTCAAAAACATTAAGTAAATAATTAACACATAATACTTAATACCGATATCTACCTACTGCATCTCACTTTTGTTGTATTTTGCTATTGTTTGCGTAATTTGGTTGTTACTAAGACTGACTTATTAGTATGAATTCGCAAGAGAGAAATTTCACAGTTCACAACTTATTACGATTTACAGTCGATGTAGGAATCACAAGACCTGCCCGTAAACAGTTTCACAGTGTTAGGTTTTAATATTTTGCTTTACTTCGATTTGTTCGTTCTTACTGGCAATCAGAGCGTTTTAGCTTTTAGGCGCTCGTCGCCAGAATCCTTATTATTCGGGTTGCTCCAGTAGTGTTGAACTTTGAACAATATCGCAATGCAGATCGTCAATGCAAGTAGAAAAGCATCTTAAATAAACAAGATAAAAAAGAATTGGTTACGCCTCATCAAACAGATCAGCCCACGATTCCATTCGCATCCATCCAGCGATCTCCCGCATTGGTTTAGGTCTGCGAAAAGTACAAATACAAATACCACAAACTAGTCAGATCTATCTCGAAAATGTATTGTACTCGTTTGCACACAACTAACGACAAACAAAATACTCGTACAAAGTTTAAGCTTACATTCTAACATGTACACTAAATTTTTTTAGCTGTAGGATACTGAAAGAAAAAAAATTATGCGAAAAAAGCGAAAATATAACAAGGGACGCGTAACATTATCTGAGGAAAACCTGAATTACAGAGTACAGTAAATGATTCAACCATGAGATGACGATGATATCGGGCAAATTGTAAAATTTGTACTTCACTTCCTAAGAATGGGAATATCCATACAGAGAAAAGGCAGCAAAGTAAGCGTGCCCACAAAAGTACATATAAAAATAAATAAGTTAAACGTTTGTGGACCAACTGTGGCAAAACAAAAGCAATTTATTAAAAAAAAAACAAGCAAGGATAAAAACTCGGCATTAAAAAATGCCACCAGCAGAACACACACCTCCCGTTTAAAATTTAAAAAATCCTGGCAAAAACGTTTTGCACGAAACAATAATAAAAATAACAATTAGGGCAATTATGTTTTGATCCAGTAGAGAATCAAGCTGACCTGGTGTTCAGTTTATTTGTTTGGGTTGTTGCGATGGCGGAGGAGGAGCTCGTAGATGGCCTCCTTGATGAACTGCTTGCCGCGCGGCATGTAGAGCGGGGAGCCGTTGGCGGCCTGCGAGACCATGATGCTGATGTCCTCCAGACGGTCGAGGAACTCGTAGAGATCGCGGATGTCGTAGGTGATGGAGCCCTCGCCCGGCATGGACTTGCGCAGGTTCAGCTCGAAGATGCGACAGATTCCTTCCAGACAGTCATCCTCCGTCTCGTAGTCGCAGTACGTCCGACTGGCCGGATTGCTCGTCGTCTGCAGCAGCAGGATGGTGTGGCTCATCGTCGGACTATGCTACGGGTTACAGTAATGAACAACACAACGGAGCAAGGTAATGCAGCCTCCGGGGAATATCCGTCTGGGCTCCTTGATTTTACAAACTGTAAAATCGGTCCTGTCAGCCAATACCTACTGTATTACTGTATTACAGTCAGCATTTGCAGACTTGATGCATCTGCTAATCGAAGTTTATCACAATAACAGCACTGTACAGTGTAACGGCACTGTAACGGTGTAACCCGTATTTACCTCTTCCAGACTTTGTACGTTTCTTTCGCTGAGGACCCCGCAACACTGCAGGCATACAATAATAACTTAGGAATTCGAGCGTGGAAAGTGATACAGTCGAAGGACCAAGAGACTTCAACAGACTGGTAAGATTCGCAAGAGTCCTGTCGCTGTGTGTCGTTGTTGGTTGTTGCGGACGTTTCTTCCAGTTGGAACCGATTCGAAGTCAAAAAACGAGAATGTTTCTCAGCGGCGCTGGGAAATCTTCCACCGTTCCAAATTTCATCCAACTATATATAAACTTTGCGCTAAACTCTAAAGTGCTTCAAACGAGTCAAATGTCCGAGAGATCATATTAATGGTCCAATGACGAACAGTATAAGAAAATTCAAAACTGAAATCCAAAAACACATTCCAGCCATTTCGAGGCTGCTGAAGAACTGCCGACTTGACGGTGCGGTTACGTTTGAAAAGGAGACCGACGCTTCCGGTCTCACTCTCACAGGACAACTAAAATGAAGTACAGCTACTTCGAAGTATCCTTTTTGATCATCATGTTTGTTCAAAAATAAATTAAAACTTAATTCAGCAAAAAAGGTCTTTTTTTTTAAAAATTGTGTTCTCTTTAATCTTGATCTATAATTACACTTGAACAACAATACGCCTGCAAATTTAGCTTTATACAATTAAAGAATAACAAAAATCGATAAATTCTTTCCAGTTTGATGATTTTAATATTTACGACTATTAAATATATTTGAACAAGTACAGTAATTAAATAAGTATCGATTACGTAAGTATTCGAATTATTGTATATTGTGTAATGTACGAGTAGCCCGGAGTAGACGTGCACGTATGTTTGAAGACGTCGCAATTTTTAGACACTAATTAATTCCTCGATATTGTTGTAAAAGGTAAGTACTGTGCTTTTACATTGAATTTTTAATTATAAGTTATGTACTTACATATCTGCACTTAATTCAGAGGTGTGCGATTCTTGGCAACGGGCAGCAATTACCGCCGCCAAATCAATATTACTGACCTGGGACAGGGTCACTCTCCGGTCACGTGGATCTCCTTGCAACTCGTACTGTACTAAAAACTATGCCAACTTATGAACATAAAATTAATAAGACATACAACGATTTTCAATAGGTAGCACGGTATTCTATATTCTGAGTTTTACTGCGGCCGATTGGCTTTGAAGTAGCGACAAATGTCGGCAACGCTCGATCGGGTCACGCTCCTGCAACAATTAATAAATTTAGTTAAAGAATTTAAGTTGACTGACCGCGATATGCAGTCCATCCAGCTACCTGTTAACCTGTAATATTTCTACCTCTGACTTACGCACTTTCGCCTATGGACAAACTGGTGGTTACGTTGATGCGTTCGCAGATCTTCTACCACCATCACCAACAACGGCTCCGCTTGTGCACGGTCCATATTGTCCGGCCCGTGTCCAAATTGTTTCTCACGAGGGGCGGCTATGCATCCGCTTTCAAACATGTCATTCCGCGGCTCAAAGGCGAAACCGGTTCGTTATTACAGATACTGGAATACATTAGAGCAAACAAGAACGTTATTACAGATAAGAACTACTCTAATTATTTATCTCTGGAATATTTTCGCTAAAATCAGTATTATTTTATGTAATTATCATATTTATTTGTTTATGCTTACATGATTACATCGTAGAACTCCTCTAAGCTGACTTTTAATTTTACGTCCTTTTAAGTGATTTTTTGCGATCTTTTTTGAACTTTGCTTGATTTTGTAATTTTTTTTATCATGTATAATAACCTCAAGTTAACAAAATTATCCTAAAATGAAATCAGGAACCACCGGACAAAAGATTATACAAAATTGATCCTGCTTTTAACACTTGAGCGACATCGGGCAGTTTTTTTTATTATTGAGAAAGTCGAAAGTTATCCTGCGTGCACATACCTAGATGATAGCCGCTGGTACAAGAAACTGAAGAAGACGCTGACAATTTTGAAATATGGTCTCGCCTTCTCGGGTATCGTCTACGCTCACTGCAGCAGCAGCCGCAACAACGGCAACGCCCCCAAGGATCCCTCCCTGCCCGCCTCGTCCGAATGCGCTCTCTTCCGTTGCTGCAAATCACCACGCAGTCTGCCTGAGACGGCTGCGCTCCTGCAGGACGAAACACTGAACATTAACACGGTGCATCCTCTTGGCTGGACCTTCCTGCACGTCAGCGCCGCTAACGGCAACGCGGCGGCCACGCGACTGCTTCTCGAGGCGGGCGCCGATCCCAATGCGCAGGATGAGTTCAACAATGTTTACGCCGTATCGGAGGCCCGGAAGTCGCAGCCGATGGAGATTCTTCTGATCCGGGAAGAGGACTTCAGCGGGGGATTGAATACGCGAGCTAGTTTTAAGGGCTGCACAGCTCTGCATTATGCCGCTCTGGCCGATGATCTGGAGACTGTGCAGGTGCGCCCACACCACGGTAAGTAGGTGTTTTGTTAACTAATTCAGCATCGTCAGTGGAGTGTTTTCCGGTCTCGAATTTTTACAAATTTTTTCGTGGTTATTTGGTACAGACACTTGTAGAAAATTGCTATCCGGTGTGCAAAAATTCATTGTCATTCACCGTATTGAAAGCATGTTACTGTCAATGTGATTTATCGTTAGTAATATCTGAAGACTACGCTTCCAGATTACGAGTACGGAGTATATATATAATTATGTGTCATTATAGCTAATGGCTTCTTATACCGCTGACCTAACTTCGAATTGCATCTACAGTAATTTGTGCATGTTTGTGGCTGCAGTTGTTGTTGCAAGCGGGCGGCAATCCGCTGATCATAAACGAGAAAGGTCACACCTGTCTGGAATACGCCAAGGAACCGCGGATTAAAGAAATGCTGGAGCAGGCGGTGGCTAGAGGAGAGGAGTTCCAGCGGCGGTGTGAGGCGGAGGAGCGCAGCAAATTCCCTCTGGAAGAGCGCCTCAAGCAGACACTGGTCGGCCAGGAAACCGCCATCGCCACTGTGTCGGCGGCTATACGCCGGCGCGAAAGCGGATGGTAGCTTTATGATTTTTTAATAACAAAGGAAGTGATGATCCTTTGATTTTTGTTTTATTTTCATCTTTTTCATATCGAGCGCTCTTTTGTGTAGTATCCTCCTGTTGTTAATCGTAATAGCCGTAGTATACTGATCGAGCGGAGGCGGAAGTCATTGGACATAACCTTTTGCAGGTATGACGACGATCACCCATTGGTGTTGCTATTTCTCGGCTCTTCGGGAATTGGCAAAACCGAGCTAGCTAAGCAGATCGCGCTCTATCTCAACAAAGACCAGAAGAAAGGATTTATTCGACTGGACATGAGCGAGTATCAAGAAAAGCACGGTACCAGCTTTAAATTGTTAATTTATTAGCATGTGAAAAATGATTTGCCCAGAGTTTTTAAAAAATACTATATACAGCGAAACGTAGGTTGCAGTTAACGCGAGCGTGTTCGACTGTCCGTAGAGGTGTCCAAGCTGATCGGTTCACCGCCGGGCTATCTGGGTCACGAACAGGGCGGACAGCTAACGCAGAAACTGAAGGAAAGCCCGGGGGCGGTGGTCCTGTTCGACGAAGTGGACAAGGCGCATCCGGATGTTCTGACAGTGTTGCTGCAGCTGTTCGACGAAGGTCGCCTGACCGATGGCCGCGGCAAGACGGTGGAGTGCAAGGAGGCTATTTTCATTATGACGAGCAATCTGGCCACCGATGAGATTGCCGAATTCGCGGTGAGGATGCGCCAGGAAGACCAGGCAATGCGCGGTTGGTTATTACTTTCACCCGAACTTAATTTTTTTGTCAAATTGTCTCGCCAGTTGAACTGCTCCCTTCCGCTTACCTATATGCTGCTTATGAACATATTACTGTTTATTACCGCTTAAAATATTGCAGTATTTTATGTTGTGCATTCATCCTTACTTACTGATAGGCGCAGCCAGTGATCTCCGGCCGTCCTCCGAGGTCATTCACTTTCCCCGGAAATTCAAGGACGAAGTGGTGGAACCGAAACTAAAACGTCACTTTCGGCGCGATGAATTTCTTGGCCGCATCAACGAGATCGTGTATTTTGTGCCGTTCTCGCACGGGGAACTCCTGCAGTTGGTCGACAAAGATCTGACCTTTTGGAAAGATCGCGCCCGGCGAAAACACGACGTTCAGTTAGAATGGGATGCCGGTTTAGTCGAAGCCATCGCGGATGGCTACAACATCCACTATGGTATTTTATTAAACGATTGTTTTCTTTTCTCATTTGATTACAAAACAATTTTCCAGTTTTTTATCGTTCACGTCAGTTTAACGGTTCCCCAAAGCCTTTTATTTTCTAATACTATGTGCTACAGGAGCGCGTAGTATCCGTCACGAGATCGAGCGCAGTGTCATTAACCCGTTGGCCGCGGCATATGAGCGTCACCTCCTGAATCGGCAGTGCTGTGTGCGGCTGACCGCCGACACTTCGCTCTCCCTGCAAAATGATGCCGGTGAATGCTTATGCGAACCACGTCCCATCAAGATTCTTCTCAAGCCTCAGACACAACAGGACAATCAGGAGAAAAAAGCGGATTTTGTTGACATCACGGAGTCACTCAAGCAACCGCTTCCACAAATAGCGGCAGAATAAAGTTCTATCTGACAGGGAAATTCAACACAATAAAAAGACATCATGAATATACTAACGATGTTTTAGGAATAAACTGAAGAAATGCACCATCGCTTAAAAATTCAAGAAGATCAAAATTAAAAATAAAGGCACATGAAGTTTTCAACGTTCCAGGGCAGCAGCAATCCGGGCCCGACGCTGCTTTTCTGTCACGGTGGCTTTGTTATAGCGCTCACCGAACGAGACATTGTCCGCATCCACACCGAAGATCCGTCCGCACCTAATAGAACCGAAACGTAATTTAGTCAATCATTATTCGAATTAAAACAATTCTTGCAGATAGTAACTAGGAGCATAGTAACATTCAAAAGGGGTACAAACTGTAAGCAAATGTTCAAAAGTCGAGTAAAGCAACAGATAAACGGCATTTAATGGCGATAAAATCTTATATTATTAGCTTTGATAAGTTACAATATACAGTAAACTTGTGCAAAGTATGTATACGTAGCGTACAAGTCCAGCATGGCCAGTCGACTGAATTCCAGATCGGCCCGGGCGCCCCATCGGTAGTAATTCTGCTCACCGCCGGCGTTTGGGCGCGACGCCTGCAGCAGGTACTCCTGTTTGACAAAATCCCTCTGGAGTAAATCCTTCAGTTTCCCCAGATGAGGGTGAACCAGGTCTACGTCGAATCCGAAGGGCTTCAGAAAATTCCAGATTAAATCAGACAGCACATCTCCACCTACACAGAGATAGGAACTGCTATATAGTGCTGAGATTGGAAAAATTTCATCAGCTAAATTTCCTCTACCGCATTTTCAATTCTTGTTTAACGATAAATCACTTTCATTCTGTCGAACATTTTGTATTGTTGATGCAACAGCCTCCACTACGTAGATTTTTAACTGCATTTATGAATTTAAAAAATGTCATTAAACACAAGAAGCATGTGATGCTTATTCTTGGTAAATGAGACAAAGTCATCACAAGGGTTGGAAGAAAACTCAAAATATGCCCACCTTCCATGAAAATATACAGCAGCGTCAGGGTCAATAATGTATGTCGTGCCGCGCCCAGCGCTTCCACTTCCTCCACCGCATCTGCACTGAACAGAGTCCGAGGTCCGCAGCGATGGAAGGATTTAGCGGCATCGGTGCTGTTGATAAGAATGTAATGAATCGCCGTATGCTTGCGTCGTCTGCCGGACTTTTGTGTGTCCTGTGTGTCAACCGGCCCGTCCTCCGCAAGGCCTTTATTTTCCTGAGCGCCTTCCTCCAGGTACAGGTTCGCGTTGTCCATGGGGAATACCGGCTGATCGGGGCTGATCTCCGCCAGGACGAAGCCGAAGTCCTCGCGCAACAGTTTACGCGAACGTTTGAAAACCGCCTCAAAGTCCACGTTCGGTCGGTTGGACAGCTTCTGCCATTCGTTCTTTAGTCCTAGTGAAAACGATCAACATAATAACACCACGAAATACAAAAAACATTCAAAAAAGCATTTTCTCGGAAGGTTTTCCATAATTACAGCATTACGATGTTTTCGGGATCGTAAACGCGTATAACAAGTGTCAACAATGCTATGTAATAATGTACGTAATTAATTAAATTCAGTGGAATTAACCATCAAGTCTGAAGTCACCTACTATTTTGAAGTTTACTGGAAACTAATAAGACCGGAAGTATATCTATATCGACTATATGCAATTTTTATTTTAATAATAAAATTTATATTTCGTAGTTCTAATACAAAGGGGATACCAAAAGTTTTTTTCTCTATTTTTTATCTTCCCCCACAAACTCACTGTACTCTTTCCACCCATATTTTTACTGATGTCATTCATTAACTAATTAATGAAAATTGTAATTTAGGTTTTGCTCAATCCGGGTTGGGGAATTCGCCACAAAGACTGTTGGCGGCTTCTGGCAGCCTAATTTCTGGTCTTCTCGCAGCATTGTACTATTATTAAAATTCTCCTCGTTTATTCCCCGAGAAGCAAAAAACGCTTTTATGTTCAGAATTCTTCGCTCTTGCAGTGTAAATCAAAAACGAAAAAAGGCAGCCCCTACCAGTTTTAAAAAAGAATTAAAACTGTCAGTTACCAGTTGTCAAAAAAAGAAACTTCTCAGTCTCCAGATGGCAAAAATATGGAAAATCTAGAAAAAAAATTTGCGGTTTACCAACTGGCAATAAATTTGATCATGGCTACTATGCGCTGGAGTGGGTCGAGGGTAAAGTTTTTATTGAGGAAACGGATCCGAAGTTCGGGATAGCAAGAAAGAGGAAAATCAAAAAACTTGATGACTTGGAGACATAAAATTATTATTTTAATCTGTGAAAGTTTAGAAACGTTTCGTTATCACGATAATGGCTAAGGCATAGTAAGCTTTCAGTATTAGAAATTATAGGTAAAAAGGTTGAGAGGGAGAGAAGTGGCAATAAAACAACTGAATTTTTGGAAAGGGAGTGGTTAGGCTGCCCAAAGCATCACCGTCTAAATAATGTTTCGTCTGGTTCGTTCTTCTTCGACAGTTAGATTTATTTTTTTCTTCGATAGGTAAGAGATTAGGCTATGCAACAAAAAATATATCGCTGATGAATCACATCAACTGGAAACCAGGCAAAATAGGCAAAAAAACTTTTGGTATGTCCTTTGTAAAAACGTCTCCATTATGATTTCGAAACGAACACGTTAGAAAAATCCGCCGATTCGTTAAATGCTGACAGCTGACTTCGCTAACCCTAACACTATAACATACTGGTACCAGAGCTTTTAATACCCCTCATGAAATTACACTGTTGGTACTCAGGTACTGTACTCGTAACTTCGTAAGTAAGAAAAAAAATACAAAATACTGGGCACACAGATCATGACAGATGTGTGTAGTGGGCAACTCACGATTATTGGTCATGACGCCGCGGCTGTGATGGCACATCAAAATGAGCGTAACCAGTAATGTGGCGTTGCTCTCCAGCTCGTTTTCCTCCGCGGCCGCCCTCCCCCCTGCCACGGGGATGGGGGGCAGGTCCATCCAGCCCTCCTCCATCCATTCCAGCTCAATCTCCGACACCTCCACGGCCGCGGTAGGGACGACATTCGGAGTAGAATCGGTCTCCGTTGCGTCCTCGTCATCGGAAGCTTCCTGCGGACGCACACGTCCCCGCAGCGTGCGCTGGGTGCCTGCGGTAGCTTGGGAGGAACTCGCTTCACTCTCTTGCGTGCGAGTTGTACGGGGCATGTTGCCTCAATAAATTTCACACGGAGGCAATCAGAATGTAAGCTGCAGTAAGTTATGAACGCTCACGGTAACGCTCATTTAGTTCCTGATTTAGCAGCTCACAATGATTTAACTGCAGTGCAGGGAAACTGAAAAAGCAAACAGCAAACAGTTTGCTGCAAACTGCAAACTACGCAAAGTTGCAAACAGAAATTGATCCGACACGGCAACACCTAATTCATTCCTTCCGCAATCAACAATAACAGCAACCTCAAAAATTTATGAGAACGATAAAACGCATAAATTGTTGTCCAAGACGACCATAGCGGAGTTTCGCGATTAGTCTAAAGTCTCATTTTTTTTCAGAAAATTGTGGCAGTTTTCAAAAATCGAAGCGACAATAAACGAATAAAACACGAAAACGCGCCATTTATCAGTCTTTGCACGACTGATTACTGAAGCAAGCTACCAGAGCGGGTGCCAATTTCCAGTTCCATTAATTTGCATTTCCACTCCAGTGTTCACCGTATAAAACTTGCGCCAGTTTATTGTGATACGCCTGGCACTGGCATACCCAATGCCAATTTCGGGTGAAGGCCGGAAGTCCAACGAACAAAGCAGCTGGCATCGTTTCCAGTTCAACGTCCGCGATAAGCATGGCATAGCATATAAGCAAGTTAGATTCGTTTCGCATTTTACCATTTTTCTGGTTTTTTAATTTTTCCACACTTTTTTAGATTAAATTTTTTATATTTCTAACGCACTCACCTTGCTTTTCCCTCCTGGCCGCTTTATTTTGGCGATGGATGTAATTTTTGTTGCAGAAATACCAGGAACGGCGCAGTCTGCTGCCGACGCCCAGATCCGCAAATCTTTCCAAGACGCCTTCACGGTAAGCTTTCTCAACGTTTTTGAGTTTTCAGTTTAGTTTCCAGCTGTTTAATGCTGTGAAAAGCCTGAGCGTAATGTCCTGGGCGAATTGGCATATTTTGAAAGATGGTGTACTTTTTTTTTGTTTGTAGAGTATGAATCGACCAACAGAGAAAAACTCTCCGAAAAGCAGCAGGAATCGCCCCGGGTCCGTGACCAAAGCGCCTCGCAGCGCTGCGCTGAAGGACGCCAATGCCCGCTGGGTGCTGCCGCAGGATGTGGGGGATATGCTGCATAAGTATCCCGAGGCCTTGTTTGTCTGTGAGAAATTCCAAGGATCCAGTTTCGACCAATTGGTGGAGGGAAAATGCTGGTAGAATTGAGATTCCCGCCGAATTTTTCGTTTATTATTACTATGTCTCCGTTTTTTTCTTAGGATGAGGGGAGCGGAGAGTCTGAGCAATTTGCCGTCCAAACTGACTTTTCAAGAGTATCTTCCTGTTTACAGCGGGATCATGGATAAGATGATCGTCTGCTTGTCCGGATTACCCAAATCCGAAGAGGTGCGTTCACGTTGAAAAATTGAGAATGCGTTTTAAAGAAGCCATAGTGATTTATTCTGGGGTTCATTATCTATTGCTGGAAATATTTTTTTTTAAAATAGCAGAAATGATTGAAAAAAATTCGACCTGCTCTCCCACTGTTGGAGTCGTTCAGTTAATTTTTATTGATCAAACATGCATGTAATTACTGTGTACACCTAGATTTGGTCTAACTGATAAATTTTCCGCCTTTGAGTGTGCTTGACGGATAAAAGTAGGTCACAGTCGATTAAATCGTATGCCGCGGAATGTCATTTGAAAATTTGTAATTGTTTTGTTGAAATAATCGTCAATGACTGCAGTCGGCATGGGTCATATTGTGCACCGATTCATTCAGTTTTCCAAGTTCCAACAGTAAAAATTTCCTTGAACTCACGGTCAGTGTGGTTGATGAAATGCTTTTGTAGATGCAGCTGCATGAGATGATCCGGATAATGGGCGGCCGCGTTAGCCGTCACCTGCGTAGCTCTTGCACGCATTTGGTGGCAGCGCAGGCCGGGACTCCCAAGTACTTCGTAAGTGCTTCCGTCATTCGTTTTCATTATCAGTATTTTAGGTCATGGACAAACGTTTTACTAGATTTTATAGCTTTTTTATTCTTGTATTGTTATTGATTTACTTCCATTGGTTGGCTGTACGTCGTTGATCGTTTGTTGGTTTCTGGCGCAGGCAGCCGTGGAGCAACGCATGGCCGTCGTCCGGCCATCGTGGGTGCGGGATCTCTGGCAGCAGATGCTGGAAGGCGACTGCGCCCAGCGAGCCAAATTCGTCCACATCCACCAGCAGAAAGCCGCGTTGCCTTACTTCCAGGGCTTGCGTATTCATATTGCTGCGGAGCTGGCCACTTCCATGCCGGCTAGTCAACTCCAAGCCGTAAGCAACTTCATTCATTTTTTCTGTACTCTCGTTTCCGATGTATGTTCATGGATCATCTACTGAAAATAAGGTTTCGCAGTAGTGCTGGAAGTCCTACTGCCCTCTGTACGTAATCGATTCTGCCAAGCCTCCTTCCGTGTATATCTTTTTGTGTGGTCACAGATTTTATTTGTATGTGGCCAGAATTTTTGATATGAAAATTTTAAGTTTACCTTGGAAATTTTATGCTGCTTTCCAAATGGCGATTTTACCTAAAAGTTGGATTTCTTTTAGTGTCGCGATCTAGTCACTGATCCCGCGGCGGGTGGCCTGTACATTGACGCCCCTACTGTTGGATTGACCCATGTCCTTTGCAATCGTCTTCCGGAGGACACGGAAAACTACCCCCCAGGATGCCATTTTCTCCGGTTGGACTGGCTGCTGGATTCCGCCCGCGAACGTAAAACATGCGTCGCCCGTCGATACTTATTCGCTGTGTTTAAACTTCATCTGCTCCTTCGCAGGAGTCTGTCTGAACTGGAAACAATACCTTCTGGAGTCGCCACGCTCGGCGGACACCACAATGCGCACCATCGCGGAACTGGAGAGAAATATCACGCATTTGGGGGAGGTGGAAGGGGAAGGTGTCGGCGGTGCGCAATTGTTGTTTTCGCCCGATCCCAAGCAGCGGGCGCGGGCCGGTGTCAAGCGCACATACTCTGACTGCGCACTGGCTACTTCCACGCCGAAGAAACCTGTGCGCAGTAAGTTCCATTTTCCTTATCTCTCTGCTCTATAGTTACTTTGTTACTTACTTTTTTTGCCATTGAAATCACCTTAATTTTTGAGCTGTAATGCTGATTTAGTTATCCGAACTGTCCTTGTTTTACTCTTTATTTCCTTAATGTTTATTGTTGTACTTTATTTTGAGTATTATTTTTTTAAAGTGATCGCTACTGGGTAATTAATCTCAGATAACGTTCAACGCAGTGTTGAAGTTGCTTGCGTATTCCGTTGCACGCTGGGATGTCGTTGAGTTATTGACGACATTTTACGCTTTAGCCTTTTCCGCTGCGAAATTCGATCTTAGTCCCATCAAAGAATCGGACCGCAATGAGAAACCGCAGGTTCCTACCGGACCGTCGGAGCCGCAGTTGGACCAATATCCCGAACCACCCGGTAGGTCCTTGCTATGGAAGTGAAAGGATTTCATAAGTAGAATCATCTTTCGGTGCTCATGATGTTTTTTATCATTCCTCGCTAAACTGTATTACCTATGTCTAGCTACTCCAAGCAGTCTATCCAAGCGTGTCCCGCACATGTTCCGCCGCTCCTCCTCCGAGAGCTGCGTGACCAGTCCCCAGCGCTCGCCCCGCCGATCCAGCACCTCCCACCTGGCCCGCCGCATCCTGGCGCTGCAACCGGACGCCACCCGCACCACCAACTCCAGTGGGGATACCTCGGCCGCCGCCGATAAGACCGCTCGCGATGACCCCAGCCAACGGCCCCACCACCGGTTGGCACTGCCGGCCGGTCGGGGCCTGGCTAAGAAAATGCTGGATGAGTGCCAGCGCAGTGAGCCCCGTGCTCCCAGGGTGACGTGGGATGATGCACGGTGAGGCGAGGGTGGATGGGATCGCTGACATCAGATTAATGAATGCGTTTTACAGACCGTCCGTGGCGTTGGCCCGGAGTGCCAGTAAGAGCCAAGTCAACGGAGTGGGTAAGGCGTCGCCTGTGGAGATTCACAAGGTTCGTTAAGAAAATTGAGTTGCGCTATGGTAATGATTTCGACATTGATTCCTTGTGCTGTCAGTTTAATTTTATTTGTATTTGCTTTGCTTTTTTATATTTTGCCAGGATTTATTTAGCCAGACAATTTTTCTCACGTCAGTATGCCCTTAGTTTTCTTTGCAGTCTGTTTTTTTGGGACCGTTGATTTTGTTAGACTTCGTCGTATAAATCTAATGAGTAAAATGTGGATTGTCTTTTGCTTTCTCCCTGCTTATGTTAACTTGATTGGACAAATTTGGTTATTAATATTGCGCAGATTGTGGTTAGTGTGGTCTTGAGTTGAGGCACCGGCTTTCCGAAAGGCATTTTGTTATTGATCGGAAATGCTCTTTTTCATTTGCAGCGGGATCCGTCGCAGTTCTTCTTCATGTTTAGCCGACCGGCCAACTCAGAGGCGGACAGTCGGCTGGCGCAGTATCTGGTCCAGAGTATCGCCACCCTCGGTGCTAAACAGCTTAAGGGCTCGGCCTACGATCCCCAGGTGACGCACCTGCTGTGCAGCCGGCCTTATCTCACTGAGAAATTCATGGTGTGCTGCGCTGTCGGCAAATGGGTGCTTCACCCGCAGTATATCGGTGATTCGCTGCGCGCAGGATACCTGCTACCGGTACGTAATTTCCCTGATTGATAGTAATACAAGGATCCATTTTATGTTGATCGTGATGTCACATTCTGTGCGCGTCAGTGGCATAAGTAGTATTAAGTAGTACTAACAATTAAAAAAACTATAAAACGAACCTAGAAGGACGGGATATGATGTTAAGATGAGGATGTGATATTTGTTGTTGGAACGTTAAAAGGAGGAAGACTACGAGTGGGGCAACGCCAAAGCCGGTCGACTGATGGGCAGCTTGTCGGATACGGAGCTGCGCTGGGCCACCGCCTGCCACTACTGGCGCCTCCGCGTAATCCGCACCGGCCTGCACGCATTTCACGGCTGGCGTGTCAATACCCAGGCGCTGACGGAGCGCCGGGGATCCTACGAACGGTGCCTGCAGTCTGCGGGAGCCACTATCCTGCCCGCCGAGTAAGTTATCGCCTTTTATTACGTACTTCACAAAGCACTGAAATGTCTTGCAACAGTACTTCTGTCCACGCAACCATTTTTTTAAGAATTGGTTTTATTATAAGTTTGTTTTAACAGTTGGAAGCACGTAAAACCCGTTCGTATAAGTAGCCTTTTACGAAGGTGCAGGGACGGGAAGGCGCGCAGCTATTAGATAAAAATGAAACACGTCAGCAGTTATGAAAATAGTGAATAAAAATAAACAAATTAAAGTTTTTACAATTTTTAAATTTTAAGAATTCATGAGACTGCGAGCTGCTCGAAAATTACAGGATATCTGATCGGCGCTTTTGTTATATATTATCAGCGCTACGGTGGAAGAAGCCACGCATATTCTGCACGATTTCAACGACGAAGGCCGCTCGGAGGCCTTTGAGCTGCGATACCCGGGGGTGGGGCGGAAGAAGGAGTACCTAGAGGAGTATCTCCTCCAGGAGGCCCATCCCGGCTATCGGCATCCGCCGCGACTGCGCCGCACACAGTCTGCTCGTGCCGCCAACAAGTAGTCCCTTGTAGTGAATAATTCAAGTAATTTAACCGTAATTGGTGTTGCCCGTACTGGTTCTTTATTCAGTGTGGATTTGTTCTTGTCTGTGGTACTATTGTTGTCATTAACCTATTGGTCCATTGTGCCGCGCTGATTCTGCTGATCGGTGTGCATTGTTTTTAGCCTGATTTTGAACATATATTTATATATCAGATATTTGTAAATGTATATTGACTACCTACGTACTCTGTAACGAGTTAGGAATTTTTATTATTGTTTTTTAGCAATCCGATTATCGCAGTTATTGTTGCGGAAATGTTTTTTCTGACTTTTGTGCCGAAGTGCGACTTCAATAAAGGACTGATGTCCGCAAAATACTTACTGCACGTGTAACGCCAAAATAAGACAAAGTCTTATACCATAATATTACTAAACTAACAGGTATCCAATCAACTAGTGTGACGTTACGGTAGAGGAGACGCACAGTGCGACACAGTGGGCAACCCCTGCGGGTTTTGTGTTTATCGAAACTTTCAAATTCCCTCATACCGCTCGTATTATGGCTCAAAAAATGCAGAAAAACTTCTAAGTTTGTGAAATGAAAACTGGGAAATGAAATCTTGTCAGGGAAACAAAATTTTTAGATTCTCGTTAGCATTGAGGTCTATGGGGCGGTTGCCACAGACCTCCATGCTAAACGGAATTCGTTGGTTTTTGATTTGTGATCAAACGAAACGACCAAAACCTTGATCAGTCATTCAACAAACAAAACAATTAAAATTTAATCAATCATTCAAAGCCATTAAGCAGGATATTTTGATTAAAACAAGTGATTTTTGTTTAGCAAAGAATTATAGGGCAAACTGTCTCGTAGACCTCTATGATGAACAAGAATTACTTAAGTCATAAAATTTTCGTTTATCTGACAATTTTTTATTTATCTACTTTCACTTCACAAACTTAAAATTTTTTCTGCATTTTTTGAGCCATAGTACGAGCGGATTGTACGAAACTGAAAGTTTTGATAAACACAAAACCCGCAGGGGTGGTCAATTGCGACACACTGATCGTCTCCCCTACCGTGACGTCATCGTACACGGTGCAAGTTCGATTGGATACCTGTTAGTTTAGTAATATTATGCTTATACGTAACCTTTCTTGTTTCCACCATGGCAACACATGTTCTGTTCTATGGTTCCTGATGTTCACAGTTTAAATTGGCATTCACCACTTATCATGCTTAGCATGGAAAATAATCGATATTTATTTAGTACGTAAATATGGTACGTACGTACAGTCCTTCTACCATTCGGCTTAAGTAAGTAATTTTATACTGTACTCACGCTCTTTATCATTATTGAATGGTAAGTTGGTAACTCAGTGAGAAGACGTACGAGTACGAGTATTAAAGCAAGGGGGTTAAAGTAATGTTAATTGTCATCCTGTGTATTGAATGTTAACGTTAACATTAGTATGAACAGCTCGAATATAGTACGTATTACTACGCAAGCAATATTACTGGCACAAAAATAAGAACAAAATGGATGCGTTTCTCAAGACTAAACGGCCATTATTTGGTATCTTGAAACTGTCGATAATAAGAAATTGCAAATAGTGTAAAATGAGGTTGCGTGTTCATCACATAATGTTTCTGGCGCAATCTGCAAATGACTACAATATGCGTTATTGACTCCTGCCATTCACCCTGTTGGCTGCTGAAAATTTATTAGGCTAGCGTAACGAAAGAGAATCATTCCACCGATAAAAGGAATTATTTGAGGATTGCGCTAACCAGCGCGCGGAATGTCCGACCATGGAGTTGTTGATCCTTAGCCTGTTCGTTGTCCCCGTCCTCGCCATGATGACACTCAATACAACGACATACACAACACTGCGGGGCCGCGGCGAGCACGTGTACCGTCTGGTAATGGACGACCTGCTGTCGGCGTACCGTACCGCCCGCGGGGTCCGCGACCGCATCAACACCAGCTACGAGTGTTTAACGGGCAACGGCGGCGCTGCCCAGATCATGTTTCCACCGTCCCGTCCGACCACCAGCGCAGCGCTAAACTTTGTGGTTAAGCGCGGCTACTTCTTTGCCACGGAAGAGAAGGCCTACATGAGCATCAACCGACATCTCGTCGTCTTTCCGCTTTTCGTCGACGCTATGGCGTTGGTGCACACGCTGCGCAATACCCCGCAATTGTCCCTCACAGCACAGCAGATTGTCGGCATTTTCAATCTGACGGTCAGTCGCCACGACGATAGACGTAAAGGTCATCAATGGCAGTACGCAATTAACCGTAGGATAGCATAGCACTGGAAAATTACCAGTCGAACAACGCCGTGAGATATGTACAGCTGCTGGCGTATGAAATAACGAGGGTCATGACAGCAAGTCCCTACGGGCAGACGGGTCATTAGGTAATAAGTAGCAGCACTGACTCTAGCTTATCTCCTTCTCTATCGAAGGAGCTTGTGCTCACTTGGTAGCGCACACATCCTGTTTTACACAACCACGATCTTACAATAATGCGTCATTATTCGACCTGTATTTCGCATTTGCGTCGCCAAAGCCACTGCACCGTTAAACTGAATCGTTGCAGTTACCGGTATATTATGTTTATCGACACAGGTCATGAATTCATGAATCGATAGACACAATTAGACAGAGGAGAAAGCGCATAGGGAAAGGCGATGATCAGTCGGCGCTGGCGATTTGGAGGTGCCGAATGCCTCGGCGGCGCTGATCGCTCTAACGGTTGATGGGGACATGCACGACGATACACGATAGTATGTAATTACTGGCTAAAAAAAATGAAAAGGTCAACGTTAGGCGGTGCTTTAACATCAGTTCAGTTATAATCAAATCAGGGTGGCTTGCCCCAAACTCCGTTGCATATACTGTGCTTGTGGTGAAGGAAACGAAAAGCAGTGGCTGACCATGGTGAGGCCTAATCGATGTAGATGATAAACCACGTCATTGAGGAGACATCAGTCTATAGTCCCTCTGTGAGGTGTAGGATCGCATTAGCCCACGCTCGTTTTATTGCTGCAGTACAGTGCGGGTGTAAGTGATAAAATATTGTAGCGGCCGAGCTGCTAGAGACTAGCCATGGCGGAATATCGCCACCTTATCCCACTAGAATTCGCAATCCATGGTTATAAACTTAGTCACATAGCAGTGCGATCACGACACGATTACGATAAGTTTTAAAAAAAATAGCCGCACCAGTCGCTTGTCCTGCTTTCAAACGAGAACAGGAAACTTGCAGCCAAAAAGGGTTGACACGGCTGAGCCCAGCTCCGCGCATTAGTCCGAGAGATCGCGCTGATCATGGCACCATCAGTTCACAATATTACCGGCGCTTCCGCAACTGGGATCGTTACTCTCCTACTACTTCAGCAGTCGTATTAATTGCGAGGGCTAGCATTCCTGACTTGTAAGAATACAACCCAAATGATCAACAGGTGTGAAACCGGTCATCCATGTTGCAGGTGGTGAACTGGAGCGACCAATCACTGCGCACCGTCGGCCTGAACCTGCCCACCTTCCCGGCTGACACCATCAACGTATGGGTGCGCCAGGACGCCACCACCGTCGATAGTGAAGTGGCCGTCTACTGGATGACGCAGCTGATCGACCGGTACATGCCGGCCGATCTACCCAAGGTGACCGTGTATCCCTTTCTATGGAAGAACAACGTCATGGCTGCCAATTCATCGCCCGCGCCGCAAACGGGCTACCACACGGGTCTGACATCGCTGGGCGTGCTCAGCGGCGTCATCGCCGCCAACAACTCCATCGGCTTAGTCAGCTATGCTGATTACGCGAAAAACTGTCATCCGGAGGTGGGCGACTGCATGCTCAGCGCCGTGCCCGATTCCCACGGGAATCTTGTGGAACTCAGTGCCGAGACGGTACTTGTGCACTTATCGTACCAAAAAGTTTTCTCGTATTTTAAAATTTCTTCGGCTGGTTCAGCGAAGAACCAGTTTACTTTAAGAAATTTATGAAGCCCAATTAGAAAATTATTTTGAAAGGTCAGCGGTTTAAGGCCCTCCACTGCAGGTGGATGGGTCTAGCTTGGCGGGTACCGGGTGTGACGTCATCTGTATGGGATACGGCGTGGACAGCACCTACCAACCGGCCAGTGTGGTGAACTTGATCGTCTATGGCGGGGCACCCAGCGGCACTCTTGCCTTGGACTGCCTTAGTCAGGTGGAGACGGCTCGCTTTCTGCGCTGGGTGCACCTTAGCCAGGAAGCCCACGCTATTATCCATGCGCACTACTTTTACATCCTCAACGAGAGCGCCTACGATAACGTAGTGCTGAGTCAGTTGAAAAATATGCGCTGCGGTCCCGACAATCTGACCAGCGTCTGGGATTTGCTTCTGCAGAAGCTGCAGGATGAGGTCTACACGTATGATCCATGGTAAAGTTCATTGCAATGAATTAAACATTCATCTAATTCGCCATACCTGACAATTATCTGCCATGCTTTACAAATATTTTGTATCTAATATCTTAAGTACCCAGTACGTATGCATTTACGAAATTTTAAATTAAATTATTTCTTCACAAAATTAAGAAACGCTTTTTAAGCCCTGTTCAGTAATCTATGCATACGTGCCCGCAGTGAATTTGCGGTCCCTTTAACATCGAATGTGCCGCTCACGGGATGGTCTCTCATTTGCTAAGTTTATAAAAATATAGCAAATTTATGTTGTTCATATAAGTTATATTTTTCAGCTGAATTAATTTGCAAAGAGCTGGTGTTACACTTTCAGGCCAATAGTGGCAGCAGTCCTTTCCTTAGTCCTCATTATTATCCTCGTCACAGTGTTCTGCATTGTGCTAAAACGGCGCCGCCAGACCATGGACAGCATCATGCGCCAGTTGTACGTCATTCCCGACGACAGCATCCACGTTATCAAAGCCTCGCGCGAGAAGTACCACTGCATGATGCACTTCCGCAAATATTTAGAGGGCCGGCACGCGCGTCCTCTCTTCGTCGTGGGCGAGTACCGTGCCGATGTGGTCATGCTAACCAGACTGGACATGTTCCTCACCAATGTCCATGGTGGCGGCGTTAAACTGCGCCTGGTGCGCATGATCCGCGATATCAGCCATCCCAACGTGGTGCACTTCTTCGGCTTGACGGAGCACTCCATCTTCCAGTCAGTCTGCTTTGCAGTCTGTCAGTTCTGTAAGGTTTGTCCCATTGTCATTTGGCCGACGGTTACGCAACAGTTGCGATAAGTAGAGCCCATAGAGCCCATAGAGCTTAATTAAGGCGATCGATTGCTCGTGACTTGCTGGCACAACAGATGTCGCGGTGTTATGTGACATCTGACTGTCATCTGTCGCTCGGCGCGACAAAATGCCGCCAACATTGTCAGAAAGTGCCACTTGTTTAAGCGAGATTTTGAATTTCCACTACCTTACCGTCAGTGACTAAGTTCGCAATCCCGTATTATCAAGTACAAAATTAAAACGTTTTGTGATCAGACAGAATATCAAGCACGAACAAACTATGCAACGAACCAAGTTCCATGGGCAAAGTTACCAAAGACTGACATTGCTTAGGTCCGCTGGGTGATCTGCGCACCGCTTTAGACAACAAGCGCAACGAACTGGATGCGCCCATCAAAGTGGGCATGGTGAAAGGCATCGCCGAGGGCTTGACGTATCTCCATGCTCGCGGATTCGTGCACGGCAACCTTCGCAGTTCCGTTGTGTTCCTGGAAGCTGACTGGACGACACGTATCTCCGATTGGTACAGCAATTCACAGCGTCCTCTGTACCAGCTGTACTGCTCATCTCAGCTCCGCCTTCTGCAGGCACGTCAACGAAATCGAGAATCTTATGCACAAATTCCGCAACCGCGAGCGCGTCCTGAACGCCCATCTGTCTTCGGAGGAAGAGCAAGTCTACTTTCCGCCGCTGCTGTGGTCGGCGCCGGAGATCTTAACTGCGGTCAGCCGGGACGAACCGCATCTGCCGACGGTGGCGGGTGACGTTTACAGGTCAGACTTGTAAAACTCGTATTTACAATAGCTCGCAAAGGTCACCCAAAGTGCAACGTAATTCAAACTGGATTAAATACTGAGCGCTTTGACAAAAGGCCATCGGAGAGCTACGGCAGAAATTCTGAACGTCAAAGCGATGCAAATTTGGCTGATTGGTGATTTTTGCAGTTTCGCGGTGATCGTCTTCGAAGTGATGACGCGAGATCTTCCGTACGAGTATAATAATATACCGTACAGTATGTCATATGAGCAACTCTTTGCCATGATTAAACGTGAAATCCGTCCGATCCGTCCTCTGGACTTTAAAGAGCCGGAGCAGATAGCTCTCAATATACCGAAATCCATCATCGAAATCATGAAAGCCGGCTGGTCTGCGGGTGGGTTAAGTTTGCATATAGCGGCGCATCTATCAACACCAATTAATCATGATGTTAAATAGCAAACTTATGTTACGATCGTCATAACATAGCTGACTGATTGGCAGATCCCCAGGAGCGACCTAAGATGGTAGAGCTGCGCAACATCTTGCGCGCTACCAGCTCGGAGATGAAACGTCTGGCCGACTTGACTATCGTCAACACCCGCACCCAGATCGAGCATTACAAGCGCAGTATCATCAAGAACAGCGAGGAGACCGTCGAGCTGATCAAGGAACTATCGCGCACCGAGGCTGACTTCCTCACCCAGTGGGTGCACGACGCCGAGGAGGAAGGCCACCGCATCGAACCCAAATTCCATCAGGTGGTCTATGTTCTGCACTGTTCGCTGGTCAACTATGACGGCCTGTGCGCCGTTGCCCACGGAGACGCCGTACTGTACTTCGCCAACCGCTTCTTCCACATTTTAGACCAAGTTCTGCCGCCGGACCGCAACATCCACCGACTGCATCCCAACGGCGACAGTGTAACCATTGTGGCGGCCATTCCCAGTGGCGGCGTGGAGTACGCCGCCAAGATGGCTACGCTAGCGCTAGATCTGTTGGTGGAGGCCTGGAAAGCCGATCTCCTGGACATTGACTGGGATCGTATGGAGGTGCGCATTGGACTGGCGTGTGGGCCGGCTGTGGCGGGTATCTACGGGAATAACCACCGGGCATTTACCGTCACCGGTCAGTCAACAGCTCAGTTCTATACCTAGTCAAATGTCCTCAGAATGCGGTATTGTATGGGATGCATTTGAATATGTGGAAGTTCGAAGCGTTACTTGAGTATGAACAGGCGCTAGAAAAGTGTAATGTGTAGTTTCACGGCTATCATGCCTCCTGCGTTATCTTCAAAATATGCCAAAGTATAGTAAGTCGCGTAACTGTTCAGTTATACCATATACTAAAGATTTTCAGATAAAATAGCTCCAAGTAAGTTTTTAATGTAACTGTACAGGTATTGCACATGAAGAAGCCCAATTAGCGGAAAGCGCCAGCGCCCCCTATCGCATCCTCTTGACTGAGGCATTCTACGAAGCCCTGAAAGTTTACCCCGATTACACTACTGTCGATAATCTCGACGACCGTCACACCATCCCTCACAAGCACACCTACTGGCTGCAGGGTCAGGAGCGCTATCGCCACCAAAAGACTTTGGACGACATCGAGAAACTGTACCCACCCATCGTGCACGGTTGCGTCCCTGATGTCGGTCGGGCCGCGCAGAGCCGGGTGCGCATTAAGCAGAAACATACCAAGCTCAGCGTCCAGACACCGGTGGGGTTTTACATCCAGAAAGACCATCGCTCCGGCTACACCATCGAGCACTACCCGGAAGGTTCCCGCGACCGGCCCCTCAAACTGGCCACCATTCACGAGCACGCCGACCATCACCGACTGCACCATGTGGGTCCGTCGCATTCGCAGTCGCGGCTGTTTGGGAGTATGCTGGGACCACAGGGATTCGCGCCGTACCGGAACTACAAGAAGGAGCGGGTAAGTCTCCTGTCGGAAACGGAGCCGGTGGATGACAGTCAGTTTGTGGGACAGATGGGACTGGCCGGGATTAAGTTGCCGGTGATTGTTAACGAAGAAGAGGAGGTTGACGAGGCGGTGCAGGTTCGTCTGACTGGATCGACAGGATCCACGGAAGAACTGGAGATTCGCGCATCAGCTATGGAGATTGTCGATGACCTTTCGCGGAATATGGGCGGAGAAGACGAGAGAAAGAAGCGCCGCAAGAAGGACCGCGAGGAGTCCCTTGTGGAAGTAATCCGCAAGACTAGTTTGTGGGTGGCTCAGCTGCCGGAACCGGGATCGGCCCCAAAGGAAACTGACGACGAGAGCGAAGAGTCGAAAAAGCCGAAGAAAAAGAAGAAAAAGGAACGGCAAAAGTCTGATCACTGAGGTGACGGTTATTTGGGTGCCACTGTCGTTGTCGGGAGCTCACTAAAGCATTTTCCTTTCTACGATTAATTTCACGGGAATAGTCGAACAAGGGTCTTTTATCGTAAGCGCGTTCTTTAATTAACATGACCGTTCGTTCCATTCGAGTCGGCTTCTAATGTGAAAAATATGGTATGTGCGGACTAACGGCATTCCGCCGGGCTGCGAATACGCTAGCAGTTAGTTTGGCAGTTGGCTAGAATATTGATTCGTGGATGTATTTGTGCAACGGCCGCCATTTCGCTATTCTGTCAATTTTCTTTGCTTGCTCATTTAATGCCTTATTCCAAATCAGGCGGTGTAAGCTCCACGATAAAATAAACTGTGGTGCACCATGCATGTGCGTTGATGGGCTGGTAAAACGAGAGTCGGCCTTCCAGTTTTCCGGTACATGGTACCAAATTCGTAAACATGCACGAAACCTTTCACTTTCGCGCACTCCCAAATACATTTTTGTTTCGGTTTTATGACATTCTGTAGCCAGAAGATTTGTGTACACTGGCGCGAAAACCGTTTGTGCGCGCAACATCCGGTTTGGGAGTTATGACTGTTGGACAATTCCAAAAAGTTTAAAAGCATTCAGGTGTACCAAAAGTCTGATTATGGACCGATTTCTCTCAAATTTTGCGTAAAAATGCACATAACCTCTAAGAACGTTTTTACACCGATCCACTATTCTAGCATGTTTTTCAAATTTTAATATTCATTTTAAAATTTGAAAAAAATCATGGAAGTCTGGATTGGTGTAAAAACGATCTTCATGGCCATGTGCATTTACGGGCAAAATTCGAGGGAGATCGGTCCATAATTAGACTTTTGGTACACCTGAATGCTTTTAAACTTTTGGGAATTTTCTAATAGCCATAACTCCCGAACCGGATGTTGCGCGCACAACCAGTTTTCGCGTCAGTGTATACGGATCGTCTGGCTACAGAATGCCATAAACCGAAACAAGAATGTGTTTAGGAGTGCGCGATAGCAAAAGTTCTCGTGCATGTACACGAATTTGGTACCATGTACCGGGCATCTACATACTTGTAACGGTTTCATTTTACTTTCTAACGGAGAAAAAGTAAATTTCGTCGGAGAAACCGACCTGCTAGGTCAACGTAGCGAAATGCTTTAGCCGGTTTGAACAACACTAATTTGCGCACCGTTATTTATTTTTCAATATGCACATCAACGAGCACGACTCAGTAAATGTTGTACAATCAGATAAAGAAATTTGTCCCAGTTAACATGAGAAGGGACTGTGCACAATACACAGTTTGCGCACCTGTTAATTATATCCTTAATGTGTGATATTTCGCAAAGTACTACAACGATTACACCAGTAAAAAACTACAGTTTTGTAATATTCAGAACGACTGAAAAAATATGGTGCGCTAAATGCATATATGCGGTAAGTGATATTATTATGAAATACGATTATGCAGGTAGCCTGAGGTAGGTACATCTGCTTTAAATATAGATATTGCTAAATTGCAACATCAATGAAGCCTGTGAGGATGATGCATGTGCCGATGATGTGCGGCGTCCTGCCGATGGTTAATTCCGAACTATTTGCCCTGGTAGGAAATGTGCAACGTGCAACGTACAACGTGCAGTGATCCGTGCAACAGAGTGGAACCCCATCGCATTTAGTAATCGAGCGATAATTACCGCGCCATGACAGTGTTTTTCTGGTGTTTTCTTTGTTGTTGTCAGGAGGATTCAAATACTGTAGTGAGACGAGTACTTTATTCGCCTTTCGAAGGGTAGATATCCTGCGCTAATTGTCGGTTCTGTAATTACCAGAATACTTTGTAGTATGTAGTAGTATTTACCAGAGTAGTATCTAATTTGGAATATTGAAGTGCTTGTGCGCTCAACGTTACCACAACATAGCGTGGTTTTATACAGGTTATCACATAAATTCTCTCGTTCTCGAATGTAATGGAAACACAGTTCAATGACACGACGGGCCGCGGTGATTCTTTAAATTCGCGCCCCTCAGAGACGACATCTTGGGTCATGTTATAAGCAAAAAAGAATAGGGGAATACTCACGTGCAAGCACTACTGAAGGATGGAAATAATCGAAACGCGTTTCTACCAAAGACAATCATAGCGGCAGGAATATGCTTTAGTAGCCATTGCGACAACTACACAAATCACACGGTATCCGGCAGACAATTAGAAGGATTTTAACTGAAAATAGATCTAGACGCATCTCGCACGTGCCGGTTATACTCTGTACTCGTACTTATTTATCCGTTTGCTGAATCATTTTATGCCTGTATCCAACAACAACAGCATCATTTGGGCCAAACCGTGCGACTAATGGGCAGGTGCGCATGTTGCCCAAATTAAAGTGCATGTATACTATACTGATAGTTTTTAAACTGGGCTAAGTTTAAAAGCTCATGATACATGCTGTGTGTAAAGGGTGACAAACAGTAAGCATTTTAACGTAATACGACATTGCTTAAAATGGCTTGTAATGGGTCTTCTGACTTGCAGTAGTGTCGACCATTAATTTGATCATGAGCTGCTTGCACACACAAATATTTGTGCTTATGGTCATTTGGTTAAGTTTCGTTTGCTGCATATCGAATCTCAAGAACAAGTAAATCAAACGTGTACTAAAAATTAAGAACAAATTTACACTACTGTGTTATTTGAGGCAGGCAGGTAGTGTTATTTGTCAAGTGCAGGGTTATTTGAGTTATTCCACCAGAAAACGGCACAAAATAAACTTGAGTAAAAACTGCCCCAGTACAATGTACACTGCATTCAATCTGCATTACCTCCATTATGTTTGAAACAGACGACTACTTATCTACTGTACTGGGTATACGCAATGCTTTAAGCCACGTTGGAAGCGTTGTGAAAGGGTAAACAGGAGTGACCTTTGGGCCGGTAGTCACGCCAGTGAGCCGTACTGTGGGCCGTCGTTGACGTCCTATCACGCACACATACGGAGCCGTTGCGTAACCGGCCCCATCCACGCTTACCGTAATAAGAATACGCTGGCTGTGGATGGGAAATATAGCAATAGCTGGAGCTGTTTATTGGAAGGAACAATATCCTGCGTTAGTAAAAAGCGCAGCGCTCGGTGCCGGACAGTCCCATTATCACTTCCGCAAGAAGAAAAATTAACGGGCAATAATCGGGAAGCCTTAACCTTTAAGCGGTAATAGAAAAAGCAGCGAACCTCGCCCGGTTATTGTATTACCGTTCATGTCCTAAACGTGACGCTTTTTCATTAATTAATGTCATACTTCGTCCGCAAAGCGGTTGTTAGCTGGCGTGAAGGTGATGCCCTGGAGAACACCAAAAAGGAGCGTTGAAAGAACAAAACGTCCGTATGCGTCAGTGGCAGACTTTCAATGCAGCTGATGTCTTTTATGGAGGCGTAAATTACAGGGCTTTGTACGGTTACAGCAGGGCAGCTGGCCTTGACCTGATCAACCGGCGCAGCGAACGAACTCCTGCGACGTTCTGATGCGGCCTCATTAACACTGCATCGCACAAATTGACATTTGTTCAGTTATGCTCACTCATCCAATCATCATTCTGACCCGGGTCGACACAAATATTAATGAAGATGCATTTGCTGCGGCCGAGCAGTTGTCCTGAAATTCAGGTTAACACGCGTTATGCATTGGATGAAAAGGAAGTCTAGTCGAAGAGTGGAGCACGAGTCTTGTAATATTTTCCGTAAATATTGTTGCAGATAACTATTGTAAAAAGTGCAAGATTGACAGAACTACGAAGGAATCATGCCGGGTTCCGGTAAACAGTGGAATGACGCAGTCGGTGGTCGGTCAATTGGCTAAGTTGCCCGGTGTGCCACTTATAAAAAGATGAAGGAAGTGACAGGTGTGGCAGATAGCGCTGGTTTCCTCTTTCTTAGTCAATTACTTTTCCTTCGTACGTTTGCCCGTACTGTTTTAATTCACTCTTGACTGATCCGACTATTTTTATAATTTAATGACGGATGGTTATAAATCAGGTAAATATACAGTACATTGCAGCATGAGTCAGCGTCTTGCTTATTGTTTTATGAATGTATCGATTCCTGTCGGTAAATTAACCTGTTTACCGGTGCAACGCACCTCGTCATCCAATATCCATGAAGTCGTATGTTGCACCGACGCAGATACCAGCTGCTAATTGCCAGCTATGACGCATAAACACACACGGCATTGCACTTCGCCGGCGCTAAACTGATCTCTCAATGATCAGTGCCTCAAGCAGGATGCCTCTGCGCGGTGCACCGGCGCATGATCAAGTATCCCCGGCGCCACTTAGCCGCATCCGCCAAGATCCGGGTTTTTACTGCGCGTATCTCTGACACGTAAAGCTCCAGCCACTAATTCATGCACAAACGTCTATCAATAAATACGACACGGCGTCTATCGGTGCGCAGATCCTGTTGACTGATCGTCTCCCACTTTACGAAGAATTACCCAGGATCATCGTCATTCCGCGATCAATGCCAACGTTGGCCCGCTTAGCAGGAAAGTTCCCAATTCAACATCTTTATTCAACAGTGATTGTACATTTTGCATAGCACTGAGCCGTAATACAATTTCAGACAGCGAAAGCGGCGCATTAATACTGCATCGAAAGAGTTTACAAGCCTCATAGAAAAAGTATTAGCATTGCATGGTATATTATGTTGTGCTAGGCGAGACAATGTTTTAATGTCTGCGGAGGAATTTTCCCTGGCCACGGGGTCAGGAAGGGGAAATGATCCGGCTGGCCACGGCAGTGCGGGGCCCTGATGGGCCCATCAACATGTACAGTCCCTGACGGCCAGGCGTGTCCCGTGGGAACCGTTGCCCTGCTCGTCCTCCCCAATCAAGCGCGCTGACGCACTGCATTGTTTTGCGCTCCGCCGGCATCACTTGTTCAACGTATAATAATACAACGGGAATTCCAGGTTTCACAGCTTAATCAGGCACTCTGTAAAAGCAAACAATTAAATTTAAAAAGGTCAATAATCGCCAGTTCTGTAACTTGCGACAATTTGATTCATAATTGTATAATAATCTATAATCTTATAATTAATCTGATGGGTGTGTTGAGCAGTCACACAATAATTCAATTTGCTAAGGTTAATTCGATGACCTGTGCTTGCGGCAGCCAATTCGACTAAGTGCCGACGTCTTTATCAAACCGATTAAATCTGTGGTCGATTATTTCGGTGGTCATACGACAGTGCGGCTACCATTTACGCCGAAGACGGGCTCACGCTGTGCGTCGTTTGGAGCAAAAGATTATGACTTAAAATTCGATTAAAAGATAATATACGTATATTATGATTTAATGACCATCGAAAGTAGCTGTACTTGCCAACTGTAAAGTGGAAGGTCGGCTTAGATGCAACTGCGCTGAATCGCAATTGTCTGAGTATCTAATATCGGCGACTGGGATAACTGTATCAATGGGTGACACTCTTGTCATACTCAACTACTGCTGTGCTAGGCGCAAAGGTCACCATTTTGCCTCCGTTGCCATTTAGACGGATTGTGAAAGACCTGTCAAGAAAAGATCTGAAGATGCTTTAAATAACGCTGGCTTGCATCTGCTCCGCCCTGACAAATCTCTGGCAACGGTTGGCCTGAATAGCGCTTTGTGTTTGCAAGATTGGGACTGCGCGAGCGAGCAATGGATGGATGGATGGATGGGTGGAAAAGCAGGTCGGTCTCCATTTCCTTCTCGGGCGGAGCTGGGAAAAGAAATTACGGACATGCTCGATTAAAAGACGATTGTGTAGCGCGCGCAGTGTGGTTGTGCAATAGCCGGTCGAGCGGGATCAGGCCGCAAGATGTGTATTTCTTGGAAAATTGCTGCTGCGGCTGCTTGATCAAGCTGACTGTGACTGTGAATGGGAATGGATATCTATTGATTTCCCTTAGCAGTGTGCTCCACATTGCAATCATGTCTGTACACATACAGTTGCCGGGCCAAAGTGAATGTACTGTTGTCCGACATGAAAGGGAATATTATCCCGGCCAAATCACACACCGCGCATAACCGTCGCTTTCTCTCTTCATATATGTATGCACTTTTGCCAATCGGAAATGCAATGACCCAACTCGAGCGTGCCGCGCATCGGTCGTGTGTACCATATTTCGGCTAATGCTTTCCCTTTTTGGCCCAGTCAAAAAGAGAATAATGAAATATATCAGACTACGCATTACGCAACCCGCATCTCGGTTTTGAATTTGGCGGGAAAACAAACATCGAGACTTACCAAATGCATGTACAAAAGACATCCATATCGATCGCGGGCGCGTTAATTCAATCCTCACTGCTGACGACTTCAATAACACTCTCGTTCTGATCGGCAAACAACGGATTGACCACTTCGAATTCACCAGGCGCCGCCAATCCTGGACACTCGAACACCGTATAGTCGCCGTACTGCGTGGCCACGCCCTCATCGGCCTCCTCCTCCTCGGTGTCGTAATCGGAGTGTTCCGGCACACGGCCGTGCATCAAACTTCCCGAGCGGCTGGACGATCCTGAGGACGATATCATGCTGCGGCGTTGCTGCTGGTAATGGTAGGTTTCGGCCGATTTGGCCAAGAGGCGGTCATTGGTTAGGTCCAAGGTCAAGCCTTTGCTGGGCTTTCGAGAAGGAATGGGCTGACTTATCCCATAGCCGTAACCGTAGCCGTGCTCCTCGTCAAAACTGGCTTTCCGGCCACGGGCTCGGCGCTGGAGAAAGAAGGCAATGACTCCAGCAAAACACAGCGAGCCCACCACGCCCACGGTGATGGGGACGGCCAGGTGGGTTACCGCCTGCTCGGTTTGGTGATCTTCGACATCGGTGCATTTGGCCAGGTCATACGTGGGCGCCGGAAGGTGAGCGGAGTTGTGGGCGAGGCGGGCGGGTGCGGTGTCGATGGCGCGGCCAGGTTGGATGACCAAGTGCGGCGGGGTAGTTGCTTCCGTGGTCGCGGGCGTGGTCTTGGTGGTCACCTCATCGTCAGTGTCTTCATTGTCCTCGTCGCTGTCACCACTGTCGTTATCACTGTCATTACCATTGTCCGTTTCTTCGTTGTCATCTTCATCGTCTTCCTTGCCCAGAACAATCTCCACCTCTGGCGCGTCTGTAGTGGATGTGACTTGCTGGGTGTGGTGGTTATAGAACTGGTATAGCGGCATCTCTTGGTGGATGTTCTTGACGGCGTTCCGAGTGGACAACGGTGTTGAGGTCATAATCCAGCCTAAACCGTTGCTGACCGTGCGGAATTTGGTCCGGATGGTGTCGATGTCGTACGAACCGTCCACATTATCATCCCAGCGCAGATCATGGTCCAGCTGTTGGCGGTAGATATCCAGGAGGTCACCGGTGGAGCGAGTGGATACAGCTGACAGCGACAGGAGGACGATGGCGGGAGTGTACACGATGCGGGTCATAGCTAGCGCGATAGCCATCACAGCGTTTGTGTAGCAGAGAGAGGAAGATAGATATCGAGTGCGTTGTTAGAGAAAACTCTTCGGAGTAAATGGAAAACGAGCAGTGGAGTGGCAGTGATGCAGGCCCTTTTTGTTCTAGAAATGTTGCGGCTCATCGCTGCTGCGTGTGCAACGCAACCAAACAAAGCCCGGCCGATCCGCAATTCCGCGTATGATCAAGCACCGCCTACAGCGTACGAACATTAGTGGATGGTGGGGAACTTGTTTCTGTATTTCTCTGCAGTTTTCATACGCAGATTTAGGAATTTAAGTACTCGTAATGTGCCGGTACAGTTTACTAGTCCTAGTGTACGGATATAATCTACCAAGCCCTTATTATGTAAATATGACATAGTAAGTTAACTAAGTTTTTTAAAAACTGTGTCCATGAATCTCACGTAATTTCATTCATCTTTTGAAATTAACCCTGCAGCTGCCGTGCATCATTGGTTTCCAGTCTGTGTTGTTTCCGCCGCCGTTGCCCTGACGGCTGCATACATCCCGGTGACGTCAATATGTAATCCGTGTTGGCCGGATCGATGGGAAATTGATTGGCAGTAATCCCGCTTGACTGCAGCCAGGGAACACTTTACTTACAGAATCCAGCTTAATTCTGCATCTGCTTGCAGCTACAAAGCTGCAGCAGCCGGGTGGGTAGTATAATAATATATAGGAATCCACAGTTAAATAGCGACTGTAGGACCAGTATTAAATACATACACCACGGGAATCGTATTACACCGCTGCTATGGCGCAGTCTTGAGACAGTCTTCTCCCTTTTTCCCTTTACATCGCTGATCCAGCTCAGTGCTACAGCCGGCCAATTTCCCGGTGATCCGTGTATGTATATGGGCGCGGTGCGCGGTGGGATCGAATGAAGAAAAAGGAGCACCTTGCGCTATGTGCAGTCACGGAAGCGCTAATTATAGACCTTTTCACGGGAACATGTATACGCCAACATTGCATGTGCTGACAATACACCTTTCTGTGGCGAAGAAAGTGTAGAGAAAAAAGACAAAATTGACTGTACATAAATGTGTACAATACATGTACAAGGCGCAGATCGAGAAATCCGTAACTCCCTCACTTTGTTATATTTAATCTTTGTTGTTTGCTGTTTTGTAACCACATTCACCGTATTGGAAATCAATGGCGTCGATTATGCAATGCTAGCAACCTATAACTATGTACACAACTTTCAAGCATCTCCCATAAGGACACCACAGAAATTGACCATAATTATACGCTGGCCTTGTTCTGCTTTGCCGGTTGCAAATTCAGGAGGCATTGGATAGGTTAATATGGTTAAATTGCTAATAAATCGCCCACCCCGCGAACGACAGTCGGTAACAGCGATCAGGCAGCAGCCTGGATAAACAGCGGTTTGCCGGGAATCCTGATACTCGTTAATGACCGTGTAAACAAGCCATCCTAGTAATTGTTGCCGCTAGCATGTTCGACGTAGATATCCGGCCGCATCTTGTGTATGCCAGGAACGCCACAGCGTTCCTTAGCGTGACTGACAGTCCAAAGGTCAGGCCTGTTTACCCTTTTTCCGCAATGCCGGGCCGCGGCAAAGGGCATTGTGTAACTGGCCGCGCGCGGTAAATACTCGCATTCACCGCTTCCGCGTAATATGACATTGTTGACGACTGTATATACGTATACATGATATGCTTATACGTATATCGTTGCGGCAATTTTAATGTTGCTCTATTTTTGTCCTTATTTTCCCGTGGAATAACCCAAATATTCGCAATTGCACTAGTAATATGTCGCCTAATGGCGATTAAGGAGTTGTTGTGGAGGAACACGGAAACTTTATGATTAAGATTTCTTTGGGGAAATCTCTTTATAATGAAGGCGGAGTTATCCGCTGACCACCGCGCGCGCATTGGTCAGTAGTTCCTCCCCTGGCCAGGGAAAAGCAAACGCTCTCCCATCCCTGGCCACCTGGACTCGCCTATATAAAGCGGCTGACCACCAGTCGGCTACCATTAGTTCGCCCGTTTCGCCTGTAGAAGATTTTCCTTCCCTCCCTCCATCCCCGTCACCACCTAATCCGTAACTGCTGTTCTCAAAATGTGTTAACTTCTGCTGTTTTCATCCTTGATGTTTTTCTGTGCATGGCTGTTAGGGCACTACGTGCCTCTTTTATGATGTTATATATATACGTGTCCGTATTGCTCTTTGCTTGGTATCCGCTTGATGCCCGGAAGTAAAGTCCATACCCCATGCACCTCGTTGCTTGCCGTTAAACCCACACACTTCACATAACGACAACAGTTCTCATTATCTAAAATTATTAACCCGAGTTTGGATAACGACGCCGATTACATATACCGTGTATTATTCGGCGTGACATTTCTGCTATAATAATGATTGTTATAGATTTAACCTTTACTGAATGTTTGTCATACTGCACAACAGCTAGTAACGTGTATATCGATTGGACGTTTGCTCTGTGATCTGTAAAGATATGCACTGGAATTTCTTGGTCAGGATATTTTGCCGACTTTAATTTCGTATTTTACCTATCATTGATCTGGTAATCTAAATTTCACAGCAAATAATGTACTCGTATAAAAAATGAAATAAAGTTTGCAGCTACATAACACGCAATTATCACCGCGAATATGTAAAATATTTTGAAGAAATAATAAATCTGAAGAAATTTCAGCTCTCATTTAGAGTATTGTGCTGTACTGATAAAGCCATGCATATGGTCACTTCAAAAGAAAACACCGCATTAGAAACAGTATTATGTGCTTCATAAAACCTTGGTTTATTTATACGCCAACGTCTGCTGTGTGTCGCCACACTTAGCAGTCACTGTCGTTTGTGACCATGCCGGGAATCTACTTCTGCAGGACAAAACTGGCATATTGAGACCGGATCAGGAGTTGCAATAATAACCCATTATAAATACATTCAGGGTATAGACTGTACTAAATTATAGATGCAAAGCTGACATAGGAGCACATAATCAGAGGAAGTGGACTGCAAATCGGAAGCCCACACCTTGCCCTAGCGCCCGGCCGGTGTATGCTACGCGACGCCCCCGGACGAACGTTAAACGCATTGAGCCCGGCATGGGTTGGGGCAGAATCCGTACATCCGCATTGTGAGTATCCCCCGAGGACACCGTCTACATTAGCACCTTTGCCAATCTTCTGGGAATTTTATGACGAGAATGATCTATAATTCCGTTGGCGCGGGACGCTTCGCCGTAACCCACTACGGCACCGTGTGCGTAATTGCAATTATCAGTAAATAAGTAATCAAAATTGGCCGCATGATGTTCATGTGGTACAAAACATATTCTGCCGTTGCGAATTGATAAGTCATCAGTGTATTTGCACAGTAGTATGTGATTACACTTTTTAAAAAATTAATATGACGAAGTATTTTCTTCTTTCGACTCTGTATATAAGCATGAAGCAGAACGAGCTTATTTATAAGCATACATATATCAGCTCGTTCAGAATTTAAAAAATTAAAGAAGCCGCAGAAAACAGTAAGCTGTTGTGAGGATCAGTGTATTGCATATCTGGTCATTGAAGTGTCACATTAGGCAGATGACCGTCAACCAGTGACAATGCACTCTAGTTCAACAGAGCGCGGGGGACGTCAGCCCGCTGCCTGTGTGCCCAAGCCACCTTCCCGTGACTATGTGCCGGTCAAGGCCATTTGGCCCACACAGTTCAGCCATCCCGGTAATTGAATGCGCGCATGGTTGCCACTTATCTGTCAGCGACACCTTCACTCCAACGGCTGCATGACGCACATTGGAGGCATCCCTGGAAAGTGAGCGCTGCCGGTGCTCGGCGACGCCGCGTGGTTGCTGCGCAGAATTTATTTTTGGTCGCCTCTTTAACGTGCAGTAATCGAGTCTCAAAAGGAGCAAATTGCCACTAAGCAGCGAAGAAGCCCGCCATAACAAACCCGATACACTGCCACCAACAGTCACAATAGAGGGACGACCTTTAAAGCGGAGATATAATCTGCACGTGCGGCGTGCGCTGTGCAATTTATTTCCGGCTGGGCTATTTTTGCTCTGGCAGGTAATCAACGTTTTCATTTCAATGGAGCCACTAGCCGGGAAACTGTCTACCTACAGTACTGTGCTAAGAGACTGAATTGTTATTATGTGGGCTCGCATCAATGACACCGCTGTTTTCTATGACAAATTTACCAAGTCTGCAGCTTTTTGTTAATTAATCAAACCATCACATGCACTGGAAATTTGACACCGCCCAAAAAAATTATGAACTGCAAAACTTCTGTTTCGCCTACTAAAAACTATCAAGAAAACGCGAAAACGTTAACTAACTGGTTAACTGGCTACTTCTACAAGTATTAGAGGAGTCATGGTGAAAAAGTGTAAAGCGTGGTTGTAAAAGCGTGATAATACTCGTATAATGCTCCTTCCGAATCCGGAGTTGTTTGGCTGCCGGCAACAGGAGACAGCTGCCACTGTAGGCGAGAGGCAACCTGCACCAGCCACAACAGTGCGATGTGTCTGCTGCTTCTTGGGATCCCGTTTCCGCATTTCTGGAAAGTGACAACTATATGAACGTGATGGAGGTCGTTCATTTCCTCCACAGCCATTCACCTCAAAGTTCAAACCACGTAGGCCCATTGAGAAAAGAGTTGCAAATGTTGACCTCTATTCGTGCGCCAAGCCACGTTAAATGCATCTTCATTACTTTACTTTTTGTCCAACATCAGCAGAAGGCGGTGAGAATGATGATTGGAAAAGCGATCATAATGGATCAAATGTCAATTCGTGGGATGTGGTATTAATGAGGCAGCAACACGAAGCTACTGTAGTTCGTTCCCTGCGCCCGATGAGATCAGGTCAAGGGTACAGTACTACCTCGCTGCAACCGTACAATTGCAAAGCTCCATACAAGTTGTACAGTAATTTTAACGCCTCCATCATTCCAGAAATACTTACAATCAGCCGCGTGGCAGTCTGCCACAGACGGATGATTCTTGCTCACCCTTCGTTAGCTAATTTTCTCCCATAAGCATCACGTTCATGCCTGGTAATAACCAGCTTAATTTTGGCAAAGCTTAATTTTGGCAAAGCTTGGTATTAAGCGTCACGTTTAGGAAATAAGCGTCAATGGGCGGATCCGCTCGACCGCTTTTTTTCGGTTTTAGGGTGGCTCAGTAACAATTTCGCCAGTTCCCAGCTAAGGGTTGCTGGTGGTCAGTGTGTCAGTTGTGAACCCTAAGGATTTTGATTGAATAATTCCGAGGTAGGAGCTGCAATGCGTACGGTACGAATGCATGAGCCATGAAGCCTGACACAATCAGTAACATTTATACTGCGGTATTAACCTTCTCCAGTTCGATACAAGAAGCCGTTGAAAAAAATTAAATGGAGTACCCGTTATTAAAAAATTTCCCAAAGGAACTGTAACAGATGAAATTTGGCTCGTACACAAAAAACCAACGACACCATCTCACCATTAGTAGCTCCAGTTTATAGCAATGAGTGAGTAATTTCTACCGTAAGTAGTTAATGCTTATCGCCAGTAGCCAGTTCAGATGACTGTTAGCCAGCGCTAGTGTACGCTACTTAAAAAAATTCTAAAAGTAAGTACCGAAAAAAATCGATAATCATTAGTGTGATTTCCAAATCTTAGCCGAGTAAAAACGTGCCGCAATTGACTGAAAACAGTAAACACCGGAAATATGCTATCTTGGATATGAGTCTGATTCTGTCTATTCGTGAATATGATTTTTGCCTGCCGCGGTCGACTGAAAGCTGTCGTCTGGACATGTGTTTTTCTACCTGGAATGTGCCATTGTATATTTCCGTAGACCACGTATGTCGGTCGTGTGGAATTTCGCGTAAAAAAGGGCTCTATAACTTGCCATTTTCCTGATGACCTCTTCATGTGGAGTTACGTAAGCCCTGTTTTATGACGTTGTATTTCCACGTCTGGACTACGTAGTCTATGGAGCTGTAAAATGTCGCGCTCGGAGCTGAAAAATATACGTTCTGCCACTTTTCTGCCGACCGCGGCAGGTAGAATTTACGTACACATGTTTTGACGAAGCCGAAACGGCGCCAAATAATTTCTTGCCATAGAACCGGAAGAATGTGTGTTCTACCCTCCAAGAAACGAAACGTTTAAAGTATGCGGAACTTCCTTTAGTATGAGCAGGTCAGAAGCAGTTAACGTTCTGCATATACGTATTCCGCCGTGCCCGAGAAAGTCGATGATAAAAGGTCACCGCTTGGCGCTTGTTGGTGTCGGCTTTGCATTTCAATGAACATAGATGGCAATTAGTTCGGTCCCGGTTGCAAGGCGCGATGTGATTGTTGCTGCCCAGCCGGTTTTAAGGGATTTTTCGCGGCCAGACTAAAGGTCAATGGATTTCCATGGTTTTACTTGGATGGAAAAAAAGCGCAGAAGATGACGATGATAAGTATGGCCTGCATCCTTTGACGGAGGCTTTTAACTATGTTACATCGCACAATAATTTAGAAACTAAAAACAGTTTACTCCGTAGACAGCAAAATCTGAATTATGGTTGACTGTGCTTTACGATCGTTCACGTACCGAAAGGGTAAGTAGAACTTACGAAGCTGCTTATGCTGTAAAGCACCCAAAAGGGTTACACATGTACTACCCGTACTTTATGGCCCATCAAGTATGGTAGAGAACGCCACAAACCGGTCGCCGTGATGGGAGCAGGCCGATGTATCGAAAAACCCTCTACCCGGATCTTGCTCTTTGCCGACACGTGCAATTAATCGGATTGTGATCGATGCAGTAGGTATCCTCGAAGATGCAGTAGCAATGGGGTTCATGATGAACTGCCGATCGCTTACCTTTAATTTGAATAAGCAGAACACGCGCCATACCGGGCTTTGTTAATTCTGGCGGAATATACGACGATGTGTACTTTGCCTTTTTACGCTGCCAGGAAGCTTTTAACGGTAGTATAATAGCACTAATTTTTGTTGCGTTCCCATAGATAATTTTGCAAATTTATCTGCAAATTTATTTATAAATTTGCAAACCTGACGCTGTGCAGGTTCCGTTACAGTTGACTTAACGCTCTAGCGCCAAACAAATACATTACAACTGCGCTGGAACAAACTGGAACAGGTTAGTCAAAGCGGTAGACAAATAAGGCTACATGTTAAGTTCTACTTTGCTGTGCGCCCAGATTACAGCTCCTCATTTCACTGTCTGGGTTTTTCTGTGCAGAGATGTTACAACTGGATAATGGTTCTCACAAGTCAGTTTTCAACCAGTTTGTGAAAATCCTTTATGATATCTTATCGTTGATGGAGGGTGACCTTTGATATGTCGGCACTGTTGGCAGCGCAGGGCCCTTGTGCAATATTAAGAAAAGCCAAATTTATAACTGATCTGTCAGATATGACACAGAAGCACATGGAAAATGGGGCAAATCGCCTTTATTGAGAATCAATAAAGCCACAACAAAACCAACAGAAAACCCGATAGGGAAAAAGCTGTGGAAAAAAGTAGCTGCAAGCGCGCTCGTCAGAATCGTGATAATGATTCAGCGTGCTGCAGGTATGCAACAGCCGATGCCACAAAGCATGGAATCGCCCGTAGGCGCTGGGCTACGCCCCCAAGAGTGCTGCGATGCGCTGATTGGTCAGCGAGACAAAGTAGACGCTGAGTAAGCAGCGTAATATAGCGGCACGAATGGCGTGGCCATGTGCGGGCGGGCGACAGAGCGAAGCCACGAGAGGTGTCTACCGCCTCGAGTGTGCGGTCTCTGACAGATCAGTCTAAACGATGAGCCTGTATGATAGTTAACCGACTAGTTGTATGTACAGTATGAGGGAGTTTGTTAACGTCGTAAGATTCAACATGGTTTGGTCTAAGCTAAAGGACTGATTTTCTCATTTAACCGGGTGCTGCAGTCGGCGAAGGAAGAATTTGGATTTGACTGAAGGTTTTGCCGTACCGACTTACGGATCTTATGTACGTATGTACTCTGTAGTTCGGATATCGAGGGACTGGAAGGGATCTAGTGACGGTTAATGTACATTCGTGTTACCATCGAAAGTGAGCATAACGCTGCTTATAATACGTACTTACGAGTCGAGTTACGACCATTAGTTCATCGTTGAATTTTGTTGTAAACTTGGGATGCCGGTTATTTAGTTAATCCAACTGTTTCGTAAAATTAGTCGGCTAAAGAGAAAGCTGAAGTATGCTGCGTCACTGCAGTCTCAAAGTATTGTGTCATCTGTATGAATGGTGATGATTTATTGTTTAACAGCATGACAAACAAAAACAAGGGGCCTTTTGCTTTTTTTTTGCTAGTTTTTATACTGCTCTTGACTATTCTGGTTCAGACCGTTCAGTGTATGCAAAGAACAGCTAAAATTTGAAACTCATTAGAGAAAAATTTGGCTAAGGGTCAACACCTAGCAGACGCCTAAGGGTAGCGGCTTGGAGTGAAAAACGCGGACCTCGCTGCTGGAGATGGATCGTTTCTTCGTGTGGCCCAGGATAAGTTGTCGCAGGTGCTTTCCAGACAGCGGCATCCACAACAACAGGCTAATACCAGCACCGCTAACAAGGTCACGACCTGCATAATAACACATTAGCATTTGCATAACCTTTTGGAATGACTGTCGAGTGAGATAGCTACGATAAACGGTACAAATGGTGACGAATACACAATCGTGTTACACTGATGCAAACGCAAAAAATGCAAACGAAATCTGATGCAAACGAAATCTAATGCAAACGAAAACTGATGCAAACGAAATCTACTGGCTGATAGACTGGTCCATGACTATTGGGTGTAACCGACGAACGAACCCAAAGGTGCTGACAAGAAACAGCGCGACCGTGTGTTATCAAGAGAACTGGTAAAATAACGCTAAAATTAAAAAGTGCGGAACGATAATACTGTATTCATAAGTACGTTATACATACATTATTATGTGTTAAGTTTCTTTGATTTTATTCGAGTGATGTTATTACCACTACGATAACGCTGATTCCGATGATGACGGCCAAGGACAAACCGGTTCGATTGTGTACATAGTCCGCAAAGTCGCAGCAGTACATGGTGCGGTCGCGGTTGCGACAACACCAACTGCCGGTATCCTTGAACAGCGTCCCGTGGGCGGCATTGGGACATGTCAGCAAAACAGTGCAAATACCTTCGTCCTCTTCGGCCTGCGTCGCGGTGGCGCCAACGGACGCACCTGTTGCACAAAGTCAGAGCTCAAGGAAGGAATACAGTACTAGTACTGTTAAAATTAATTCGCGCGGAACCGAATGGTATATTCGAGGCATGCAAATACACAAAAGCCAAATCTCAGTTATTTAATGGTAATGCAAACCTCCGATACATGTGGTAAGGAAAAGTGCGGCCACAGTGAAGCAAGCAGTTCTGACAGGCATCGTTATTGCGATATTTCTAACCAGCACAAAGCAGCTGCAATCGAAAGGTCACGCAACAAAATAATGCTTGGTTAGGAAAGAAGCGCTCAATGAGAAACCGGTGCTCCGATACCGATGGAAGTTAGAGTAAACTGCACCACTCTCGATCTGGACATGAAATTTATTACCTGCCTACAGGCGCGACCGCACAAAGTGAGCCAAATGTGAAGCAACCGGTCTTTTGCATCATGATCTGAAGGCGCGCGACAGCTGCAAGCCTGCAACTGTGGACAGTTCTCTATTTTTGGCTGAAATCAGGATGACTCAGGCTTTATCTCCAGTTCCTCCACTAACATTATGTACAAAGAGTTGTCTGTATGTGTTGACCTGTGTTCTTCTCTCCAAATGTGCACCAGAGTGGAAACACCGTCATTTCCTCCACAAAGAATAATGATGAAATAATTAGGCGCGGTATTCGTGCAGGAATGCTACGTTTCTAATACTTCTTTACAACGCGATGAAAAAATGGGTGTTCAATACTATCCTGGGCACCAGCGTGCAGGCCAGACGACGCATTCTTTTTCTACTGACTGATGAGCCAAAACTAGTACGATAAGGCACGCACGCTTTGCCGCCTTCAAAAAAACGTTTACCTCCATGACAAAATTAAAACGAAGAAATCCCTTGCGGGTCACACAGCCTAATCTGAATTTACGCAAGACTCAGTCAGATTCAGAATTCATACTCGTAACGAAACGGAACCGTCGAACAGGCATCCAACTGTCGAAAAATTTCATCAACTGACTTCGCAAATATGTATCAAAAGCTTTAATTTAACGCGTTCACAACAAATAAAACAAAACTTTTAGAAACACGTTCAAAGATTTTAGTGCCATCAAAAATAAATCCAAGTACGTCAAATGTCCATCATGCAAAGAAGATTTAATGACGATTAAAAGAACCCACATTAGTCAACCCAAATAACAGACCGTCAATTACGGTTGTCCCGAGATACACAGCAAAATGGAGAGGTACGGAATCCAAGGAGGGCAGCCGGCAAATGAGCATGAAACTTCCAATGAAATTCAAAAAAGCGAGAAAGCACGGGGATTAATTTTAGTGCACCGGGTTTAGTTTGGGATCTTCCAGGCCGCGGAAGGCCTCGTTGACCTGCTGTGTGACGCGGATGAAAGTGGTCCGCTTACTGAGCTCCTTCAGATGCGGCGCGCCCACGTACGTGCAGGCGCTGCGCAGACCGCCCAGGATGTCGCGCATTGTCATCTGCACCGGGCCGCGATACGGCACGCGCACCGTCTTCCCTTCCGATGCCCTATATAGCAATTAACTAAATTATTCCTCTTGGCTGCATTCTTCAACAACCCGTGAAATCAGTCTAACAATATACCGCAAAGGGCAAGGAAGGTAATAATAAAATACAATTAGTTCGCTGATGGCGTAAACCGCATTTTAAGGCGTAAACGAAAGTCGATTTCGTATGCCGTTACGACCGGCGTAAGGGACTGAAAACTAGTGAGCCTACGCCTTACCGATAGTCGGCCAACTTAGTGGAATGTTTGTCCATGGCCGTCCGACTGGACATGCCGTAGAAGATCTTGAATTTTTTGCCGCTCTCGTCCTCCATCACTTCGCCGGCTGACTCGTCGTGTCCAGCCAGCATCCCGCCCAGCATCACGAAGTCAGCACCGCCGCCGAATGCCTTGGCAATATCACCCGGCACACTGCATCCGCCGTCCTAAAATTAAATTCATATTCAACCGTCACAAGATAGCGAGTGCACTGGCTTCACAATTTCCCCCGACCACCCCGAGGGCTCTACTGAGTAATTGCTGTATATTCGATACCTGACATCAATTTTACCACAGAAAATATGATTGTATAAGCAAATAGCGGTTAACATATTAACCATACCAACAGCGTTTAAAATCATTAAAGAATCAACTCTGATACAAACAAGCAGTATTTATATATACCATCAGCGAACAGAAAAGTAACGGAAAAACTTCTCAAACCAAGCGTAGGGAAGTCGCATATGCAGGATGCATCTGTTACAAATACAGTACCCCATAGAAGCATATAATAGACCTGGAAACAAAATATGGTATTCACTAGCAACATTTCCAAATTTTCAAAAAAATGTTTAATCAGAATTTGAGCAATTCTGTTACTCTATCATCACTAATGTCTAAACTAACAATATTTCATTCGTCGTTTGAGTACTTAGGTCTCCGTCTGGCACATATTATATAATATATATTGACACTGGAACACTGGATATTTTGACACTGGAACGGCACAAACCACATCGCTCACCGAAATAATGTGCCCATTCAATCCGTGCGCCGCATCCGCGCACTCCATCACCGCGCTGAGCTGCGGATAGCCCACGCCGGTCTTGGTGCGGGTAGTACACACTGATCCCGGTCCGATACCCACTTTGACGATGTCGGCACCGGCCAGGATCAGCTGCTCCACCATCTCACCGGTGACGACGTTGCCTGCCTGTGCAATAAAAATGCATACATGAAGGCAACAATTGGGGAAGACAGCTAGACAAGGTGCGACTCAGGCGTACTGTACTTACCATAATGGTCAAGTGGGGCAGTGCTTCGCGCACGCGACGCACGTAGTCAACAAAAAACTCCGTGTAGCCGTTGGCTACGTCTAGACAAGCGAACTGGATGGCCGGCAAGGTGTCGCTGATGGTCTGCAAACGGGTCAGGTCGTCGCTGGTGCCGCCCGAACTTATCGCAATATTCTACAAAATAATGAGCGACAGTGTTATGCGCAATTATTCTGTCACAGAGGTCAACAGGAAACAGTGCAAAAGGCAGTACAACAGGCAGCAGCCAATTCCATTCTTCTCATAATGGATTAAAATCTAAAATATCTGAACCACGAATGCCGCAAAAATAATGCGAATTCTGATAATTCTCGACAATCTTAATTTTTGAATGAATACCTAAATTATTAATTCTGCTTAAGTCAATAATTATACCAGAAATCAGCTGAAACGAACTGCCTACCACATAAATGGATGATTATTTCTAGAAGTTATCATTAACAATTGGGTACCCGGTAGCATGTTATTGGCAATACCTTATTGGCTTATGTTATCTGATCGTCCTTGACTGCTGCTGCAGATGATTTATCATCTATAAATTCTACTTACGGTTACATATTTAACACCCATCTTTATTGAAGAATACAGTACATGTACGAAAAACCGAGGGGAAACAATTAAAAGGGCTGTTTAATTACTAATGAAACGTCTTATGACTCACAAGTCAACGGAAATGCAAGCTGCGAAGTCAAGACCAACCTTCTCAATTCCCGGAACTTCTTTCAACAGAGATGCAACCTCCTCCACGCCGTAATATTTGTGCAGCGCAGTAAACAAATCAGACTACAAAAAAGAGAAAAGAACATCAGAAAATCCATATATTATTGCGCTCTGCCGTATTCGGAAATTCGCAAGAATTCGTGTTATGATAAGTGTCGTGCTAGCAGCTATGTTAAACGGAAACCGACTTGGTGGAATGTTTTGGCCATCTCCAGCGTCCCGACGGAGTCCATATTGGCAGCGATGATAGGAATGCCATGGTATTCCGCTTTGGAGTGCCGGAACACATACGGACGGTGGAGATCAACCTGAAAAGCAGCAGGATTCACACACGATCGCAGGCAATATGGTTGTGCGAGACACGATCACTTCTTCGCGGCTCTTCAGTGTGCTGCGCTTCGGTCGGATAAGAACGTCTTTGAAGTCCAACTTGATGTCGTTCTCTACGCGCGGCATGGTTGGGACTTGGGATGACAAGCAATAATAATACGAGTCCAGACAAGGCTAATAATCCGAAATGCAGTTGTCAAAAATGAAAGCTGATCATTCCATACTGAATAAAAAAATTAGCCGCCATTTCTCGCCATGTTTTGCTGCTGTCGCTGTGATTTCAAGTCTGCGCTCCGGAATTAATACACTAGAATCGGCTAGATCAGCAGGGCAGTGCGTAGGCGTGCGTCAGTAGGGCGGGCGGATTTCCGGATTCATGAGGTTTTAATCTCCTCTCTGGGGCTAAACTTGTTAAACCCTGGTTAAAAAAAATGTATCCATCCATGGGAATAAGACCGAAAAAAATTAATGTTTTCTTATTGGCATACTTTTTTATGGTACATAATCCTGTAACCAAGTAAGTAAAGGTTTTACGTGAAATATGGATGTTAAAATTTTTGTTCTTGGTAGATTTCCGGGTTTCATATTTTTGCACCCCTTAGCATAAAGCTCGCTACCGCACTCGTCTGCTAAAGCGATGGCTCTGAGTTTCTGACACACCGCCAACCACCAATGGGGCATTAGTCTATCCAAATACAGTTTAATACAGTATCCACCGCCCCAAGCTCATTTCGCCTTCGTCACATCCGATCAAGCTAGTCACACTGTCAGGCAGCGTATTCATCAGCAACAGCTGTGGAAAGTTTATTTTATCAACAGATTATCCATCCATCCTTGATTCATCCCTTTCCCTCATTCACATATTCCGGCTTGGGTAGCCACTGCATCCCGCATTCCCTCCAGCTGATTCTTTGTGTTGTTGCTATGCTGTGCGCATTGCTGTACAGATTACAGTGCAGGTAGTAGTATTTTGCTCGCAGATAGATGGGCTAAGTGACGCGCGGTGAGTGTGCTGTGTGCGTTCACTTCGCCATGGTCTTCATTACGGCGGAGGACATCAGCCAGCTGTCCATGAAGGAGGAAGTGCCGTCTTGTTCCCCCACGGACAACGTGGACCGCGGGCTGTTGGAAGGGGTGGCGCGATGGGGACCCAAGCATTCCGGAGCTAAAGAGTTGGCGGGACTTTATACGGGAGGTGAGTACGCGTCTCTGACAACCTGAAGCGACTGAAAGTATTCTTTTCCATACGGTTTCTTGCACTGGTGTACCGTCTGGCGTAAATAAATGATTGTTTTGCTCGGATAATTTATGCAAGATTGAGTTATTTACTTTCAAAAAACAAACGAAAGATTGCTTCAACTTGGTTTAATTAACTTTCAACAAGATAATTTTTTGTTGTAATATTATATCATTATAATACCTTGTAGCGTGAAAATATCTAAGCTGAGTAGCGATAACGTCGATAAGTGTTTCTAATTTTTATTCAGCGTCGTAGCAGTGGAAATTCGACTTCATTATTGTCTTTGCTCGAATACCATATTTAGCGTCTCCAGCTTTCTGATCCTAAAATTTACGATTTACGATTCTAAAAATTTACGATTTTTTTGCAATTTAATACGAGAATTAACCACCCTAGATAAGGCGCATTATTGATAACTGCGCCACGCTTCTATCATTTATACAAATTTAGTAACTCGTTATACAGAGTACATGGAACTCATAAATAAAGAAAAAGTGTGAACATGCCGGAAAAATATTTTCTTTCAGTTGTTATTGGATTTCGAACTGCGGATTGTCGGGTTCGCTTTTTTTAAAATTTTCCACAGCAGATGCACGCAAGATTAATTAATTAAGAACACTATCATCGTCAGCTAGGCTAGCGAAAGGCGTTTTGTTGCAGATTATTTACTTGCGAGTTACGATTCCGCTCTTTTTCTAATCATTCGCATATTTTTTCAAGGTTTAAATTAGGCTTTTCCTTTCGCGTACGAAATTTTTTCGCAGATGTGTTTCGGTTTGGGTAGTGATTGTTTTTGTGGTTATCGACTGATCTAATTGGCCTGTACAACGTGAGTGTACGAGTGAGTGTGTGGTATTGGAGGACATTCATTGTGGCATTGATGGCGCGGGACTAGAATGTCAATTAGCGTTAATGCAATTGCGTTGCGTAAGCGTAATCCCACTACAAAATTCTGTTGCTTCGTCTTGCACAGGGAAGCGTTTGCAGGAGTGCCTGTGCATCGTCGTCAGCGTGGCGCTGATGTTGGTGGATTTTGTCTTTCTTATCAAATACTTTCGTCCCAACAATTGGCCCTCCATCCTCCTGTCCGCTGGTAAGTGACTGAATGAAATAGGAGTCTAGCACAATTCAGTTTCTCCAATTAACTTGCCAATTACGCGCACAAAAAATCCCAGACAGTAATGCAATTGTTGGCTAAAAGACTGGCGTTTCCGGCTGTTATTCTCCTATCAAATCGTGCCTGCTGGCCCTTTCGATTGAATTCCCGTAGTTCTATAACTGTACTCGCTCTACAAAGCATCAGAACGGCAGTGACTCGTGATAATACCGTTTTCCTTTTCTGCATATGGATATATTCCGTACTTTTGCTCGAGTATTCGTAGTCTTGCACTACGCTTTTATGACGTTGGGCGTGGAGGTTGAAGTATAGGTTATTTTTTGCAATTCATTTCCGGTAATTAATGATATATTGGTTAAAACGCAGATTTGTTCATTAGCTGCATTCGTTATTGGTAAGATCACGAATCTGATTAATTTGCATCCGGTGAGACCTCGTAATTTGATTTGTTTTGGAAATAGGTAGTTGTTAAATTTTTCAACAGATTTCCGGTTTGCTGTGGAGTAATCAGAGCAATAATCAACGTGGCGACGTCTTGTAAACGCCTGCACACAAAACGTGTGACAAAATAGTTATTTTACTGAGGAAATTTAAATCGAACCTTTCCTGTTTTACGCTTTGGTTTTTTTAACATTCTTCCTACTTAGTGAATAGCCGGCTTTTATTTATGTGCGTACCCTTTTCCCCGGCCTGCACTCAGCTGCGACGTGCCCGTATGAGAATATTCCTTTAGCGGTAATGGAGAGAAGTTGAGTTTGCTGTGTAAATTTCGTTTGTTGTGTATATATTGACACAAATTGCCACCTGAGAGGGTAGAATGTGAGAATCAACAATGTTGTAATGGGCTGCCGTCAGCGCGGTGTTGTGTGTGTTTCCGTGTATTGCCAGTTGCAGTAGGTAGTAAGGGGTGTTGTCTGTTTGACAGTGGGAGGCATAATTACCGCCGATTTCGTCAGCGGATTGGTGCATTGGGCCGCCGATTCCTGGGGATCCATTGATGTGCCCGTCATCGGCAAGGTAAGCAGTATTCTGTGAAAAGGATGCCTAATTCGCCAGGGGAATTCTTTTTTTCAATTTTTCTCATGCTTTCTATTTCCTCTGACCCCTGGGTGATGCTGGGCATTCAGTGTACGGTAAGAGCCGCATGTCGCTTTTCATAGAATTAACGGAATCTGTCTTTCCAGTGAAAATAAATCGAATTACCAGAGTTTTACCCAAAACTGCAGATAAATATGTTGTTTTATTGTTAGTAAAAGTCAAAAGATATGGTATCTTTATAAGTATTTTCAGCTAGTTACATACAGTACTTGTTATTTCCTCTGTTGTCCAGGCTTTTTGGACGGTATTATTATTTCCCTTATTTGCGGTCTGTATTTTTATGAGGTAGAATGCTAATTATTTGGAATGGAGTTTTCTCATTAGTTTATCGGAAAATATTCTCTGACAATTAAAACATGAAAAATTATGGATAATTCTATAATAAATTTTTAGTAGAATGTTTTGCTGTATTTGATCGGTCTATGCATTTCTAGTTTTTCCATGACATTCAACATTAATTTAAAAGTCATTAAATTGGAAACGCAGTGCATCGGTGCAAATCGTAGTCAAATGATGGAAATGGTATGATATGGATAGTATTGGGTGATTATTGCAGGCACTGATCCGTCCCTTCCGTGAGCACCACATCGACCCGACATCCATCACCCGACACGACTTCATCGAAACCAACGGGGACAACTTCGCCGCTTCCCTGCCCGTCCTCTCCTTCATGGCTTACCGGTTCGCGGTGTACAGCGAGAGCCAGCTGGTCAGCGACTACGCCTACTACTGCTACTTCTTCTGGCTGGTCCTCTTCGTCTCCGTCACCAACCAGGTCAGCGCCCATCCATCATCCTAACTTATTAACAAATAACCAGCAATTCCCTGTAATCGGTTTACTGCCGAGTGCCGATAGTACATTACGTTTTCCGGGCTTTTCGTAGAACGTTCGCCTGTGATTTCATTTTCTTCTACCCGTTTTCTGCTCGCCTCATGGTAGTCTTGTTAGACAATATTGGGAAGGTACACTCTTAAAAATTTTGCTAAAGATTTACATATTCTAAGAAGTTCCTACTTTTGCAAATTTTTTTGTGGCGTTAGTTATTTTTGGTTTATCATAATTATAGGAATGCAGTTTGGGATTTTTTTCTCTTATATTAATACCGCGTTAGACGAGACGCAGAGCACATTTCGCGGTTTGGTCTCAGTCTGGCTTTTGCCCGACAGCGATATTCGAAGTGTTCCTGTTATTCCCTTTTATCTTTATGGTTAGCATTATTCAGGACATTCTTCATTTACGCAACAATCGCCATAGGTACCCGTTTCGTCTTTGTCAAGAAATTGTATCCGAGCTTCGTATGAGCGTCTCCGGTATTTCCTCACCGGAATTTTCCCCGGACGATTCTTTGAATTGTTTAGATAATGCGGCGTGTTGAATTGAAAGAAAAGTCAACCGTGTAACCGTCGACCGGAAGTAACGGACTGGTTGCGGCAAGAAAACAGTCTCCAGAAGCGAATGTTAGTAGGGATGCAGTAGATCGATGCGGGGTGTGGGTGTTTAAGGGGGTGTTAAGTCGGTGCTCGTAGAGGCAAGTTAGAGCGGCTGCAAGGTGCGATGATGGCGTGGTGTAACGCGCGCGAGTAATTGATGGAAATTTGATAGGACGCAGTTGACAATGCGTGCTAATCCCCCGACGGCTGAGCGAGCCAATGAAGCACCCAACAGTAGACGGACCGTGTCTAATTGTGTCGGCTTATTCGCCTGGTGCTTCCGGACTGACGCACATTGCGCCTGGCTGATTACATTGACTGCCTACAGTGTTCCCGTTTTTGAATGTCACGGCTTGGTTGCGGATGTGGTCGACTGCGATCGCATAATGACGTATCATTTGAGGGAATGGTGCTTTTTTAGGGCGTAAATGAATTGATTTAAGAAGACCGTTAAATCTTCAATTGGGGATCATCCGTCAGTGGGTGGTAAAAGTAAAAAGTCTAAGTGATGTTTATCTGCAGGCCGGTCAGAATCAGTTTGAGTTCTCTGCGGTAACGTGGTTGCGTTGCAGTAGTTGCAGTGAGAGAAGACGGCATAGTTAGCAATTCAGTCAGTTTTATATGTCTTTTTAAAGAAAGGTAACTTGTGAACAGGCACGTGTCACGCAATTTGACGTAAACATTTTATAAGACTGGTATAATCCTGGGTGCCATTTTTTTGGCAATGAACTGAAGAGGGCAGAAAAGGAGAAATATAGAGAATTGGCAGAATATAGAAAAAAAGGAAGAAATATTGGAGAAGAGAAGGAATGTAGGTAGGAATATGGTTAGGTTTGATTTAAAAAGAGGAAGTCTGTACTTTGTTGTAAGGAGGGAAAGGGGACGGGATACTGCTGGTACTATTTGTACAATTTCTCTATTATGTACAAGTATGTCTTATACAGTACGCTTCTCTTATACAGTACGTACAAGTACTTACCATTAGGTATCTGTACGACTCCTGTGTTCAGCGTTCATTTTAGTTTTAAAATGTTAATAATTTTGATAAATTTGTATCGATTGTAATTTTGAAGTTGGTGGTGTTTTCTAGTGTACAGACTAACGACTATCTTTCATGGAACGGAATTTATTTTTACTAGATTTCGATTTTTGTCCACTGGCATTGATCAAATTCTTTTACTCAATTGACACAATTTGCATTGACATTATGGCATCTAGAATTTAATCCGGAACGAAGCGCGCGTGTTCGTTACCGTTGTGTGGTGATTAAATTTTGTCTTATTTGACAGATCCACAAGTGGTCGCACACGTACTTCGGACTGCCGCGCTGGGTGACCTGGCTGCAGGACCACCACGTGATCTTGCCGCGCAAACACCACCGTATCCACCATGTGGCGCCGCACGAGACCTACTTTTGCATCACCACCGGCTGGCTGAACTGGCCGCTGGAGGTGTTGGGCTTCTGGGCCTTTCTGGAGCGCAGTATCACGCGCTGTTCAGGCGCTCTGCCGCGGGCCGACGACCTGTTGTGGGCCAAGAAGAAGTGATGCGTGAAACGAGCCCTTCATTGATTCCGTCTTCCTTTGGCAGCTGTTTGTTGGCTTTATAGTGTGGTTAACAGTGGTTTGTAACTTTGTATCGATTGCTGTTTTCTAAATTTTGATGATGCGGATGCTACGATCAAAACTTATTTATTCGCACTATAACGTTGTATTTCAACGATTGTTTTCCCTGTTTCTCTGATCTGACAGACTGACGGTGATTGCAGATGGTATGCCGCGTGCGGCGACTGCAAATCGGTTTTATTGTGTGAACCTGGTGTCTTATTTTGAACAATGGACAAGATGAAGTGATCTTGAATACGATTGTATGTCATAAGAGCACAGAATCAGATAGCGAAGGATATTGACTGTGGTACCATTTATCCAGTGCAATATTTTTTGCATACTTAACAAACTGCAAAGTGAGTGCAAACCGTATATTTGGACCGGGAGATATTTTATTGACGGTTTATTGTTGCACTGTATGTCGTATGGATTTTTGCGTTGTTGCTACATAGATTCGTCGAATACATACGTACTGTTCGCGTTAGTAGCAACACAATTTTTCACACTTTCTACATAAATCGTGAGAAACTTAAACACAAGCGAGTTATACAACATCTACAAACACAGGCGGGCAGATACTTGAATTATCTCGAATTAGACGGAGGCGTAGGGAATGCTACAGCGCTGCGTAACACATCACCGGGTGTCGACTTTGATGACTGCAAGTCTGCAATCATTATTAAGAACTTTAACACGAAAAAAATTTACTCGAACAGTTTAATAGCATGTCAGTGCAGTGAATGCAGTCCTGATTGTAGGCGGACAGTCAGACAACAGCCGGCCCACAATATTCTCACAGAGAAGTAGTAAAAACGCTGCCGGGCATGGCAGTGCATTAATACGATGGAAATATTAGACAATAGGGAAACAAATATAAAAACATTAATGAACACATATCAAAGGAATAAGTATAAAGACAACAAAGACAAAGATAACAAAGAAATATAAATCACCACTGAGTAACAATACTCTAGTATTCCTCGACAAGCCAGCGTACCGACATCGGGCTAGACCCTAAGAAACCCGTGGGCCGCGGAACGAACAACCACATATCCTGCTTAAGCGGTCGACGATCGTCGATAGAAGTAGTGGTAAAGCTATATTAGTACTTAATCGATTTAGACACCTCAAACATTTCGCTGCATGACGTCATGGATGTGCGGCCAAGCGTAGCAATGCTGGTTGCAACTGCCAACATCCCGGCCGATGCGTGATGCAGTGGTGGAGCATTCTGTCCCGTCTGTGGGTTTTCAGTTTGCAGTTCGTGCACACCAGCAGCGCGCCGGAGGTCCTCTGCTGGTGCGGCCCCGACAGCAGGTGACCGATGAAGGAGGTCTCGGCGGTCGTGTAGAAGAGGCAGACCTCGCAGTGGTACTGACTGTCCCAGGCCGATCCATGGCACCCGATGACCGCCACGTTCGGCGGCTGACTGGCCCCATCAGCGCGTAGTGCGGATTCGGGACAGGCTGCGTTGAAAGCGGCAGTGGCAGTGTTCCACGTATCCGCTTCGATGTGAGGCTGGACAATGACCTCTGCAATGGGATCTCTGGCTGGACGTTTACGCTTCTTCCCAGATGGCAGTTTGCGTTTTTCTTCTAAGTAGCAGAACAACTTCCACGTACAAAAAAACATTAGATGAAAACCTGAGAGCGCAATCGAAATTACTTGTTTTGTGGCTTTGCGAACGGCGGCTTCGTACGTGGACAGGGACTTTCCCGGAATCTCGCACAGTGGGCATTTCGTCCGAAATCAACGGCCATCCGCCGGTGTCCGGCAGTGTCAAGCCGGTGTCCTGCTCCACTGCGATCGGTCGTGCAAGGGGACGTCGGTTCGTTTGACCCTTCTTTCGCCTGCCGTTTCCTGCCAAATGCAGTGTAGCAACGAGGTCAGGTTCGGTTCCAAGTGCAAATCGATTAGCTTAAGTATATTAGAGCCGGCCAGCTGCAACCAGGTCTTACTATGAATTTTGCGGTCCTTAGCACTTCTCCCCGCGGACAAAAGCACATGCGACACGGTTGTAACACAAAGCTTCACCCGACGCGCTATCTCCGCCAGACTGACGTTGTCGTCGAACAACTGAATGATGTCTTCCCGGGCGTCGGCAGTTTTTGGGGTAAAATACATGTTGATGCCTTAAAATTAATTATCATTTTACCTTCGGAAAAGCCGCAAAAAAATGCATGAACTTCAACGAAGGAAGATACTATACGAAGAAAAACTACTGTGTAGGACTCATGAATAAGGCACACCGCAGCCTGGTCAATTTACTAAAGCGAGGTTGAGTCTTACCTTTGCCAGAGGACAGTGTCCCCTGCTCATGGGCGTCGCGCAGCTGCAGTCCCACGCCGCGTACCACGCCGCGTACAGTGGCCATACCGTGGCTATCCTCCTCAAACACGCTGTCGGTGGTCGCACGTTGCGCATCGTTCACGGCAGCCTTTCGCCGGGTCCGGCGCTTCCGGGGCGTGGCGGCTGGCCGGCGACGTCCGGCATTACGAGTCGCATGAGGCGGCACCATCGATACCGGTCCTACCGGTGGCGCGGCGATCTCCGGAGATTCGCGGCCGTCCGGCTCGTCGGTGAGCGCCGACGTCAGTGGCGGTTCCCGACTGGCACAATCACGGATATCGTTCATCGGAAATCAAGTTAATGGTTTATCCGTTTATGGACAACGGATTCGTGGCGTATTCAGCGCTTCACGCTATGCTTTAGTGCGCAAATGAATATAATGCAACAACTGCAATGCACATTCGTGTACGCTAAAAAAAGGAGCTGTTACAAAATTCAATAATATTTGCTCCAGGTCCAGCGTATGATCAATTTTTATTTAGATACCTATTTGGAGTGCGTTGGATTGCACTTTGCAGCGATTTATTAACTTATATATACTCTTATAAGAGCAAAAAGTACTTGCGGAAACAGTTTAACAGGCATCATTAAACCATGGTTACTGTTCACAGAAACGGTAAAACAATATACAGAGAAGCGAAGGAAGCCGCAGCAAGCCCTGGTTGAGTGTGGCCTCACATTGTTCTGTTAGTAGTGGTTATCGTCACAGTCTTACAGAGGCAGGCGGAACTGCCGCGGAAGGTGGCTTTGTTTCTTTGTCGCTGCCATCAAGGGGCGGCAATAACAGCCGGCAACAAAAGCGCTTATTGTCGCACATTGCGAGTCGCGACCAAGCGGTCGACATAACATGCAGTTTGCTGAATACTGGCCAATGAGACACTGCAAAGGGCAGATCCCAATCATCCCACAGTGGACCCACTTTCGTGACATTCGGAAACGAACTTCGGGGAGTTTATTGGTTGACGGGCATTAGCCTTCCGTGATTCTTGAGTGTACGCGCTATCAACTGTGCCGTAGATACAATAGGATGTAGAGCCGACACCAAACCGGAAATGAAGTCGGCGCAGTATTTAGTGCGTGCAAGTAACTCGAGTGACCGAGTCACGCTCTAGAGTGCGCTAAGCAGTTCTGAGCGATTGCGATGCTGATTAAGAAATTTTCTCGAGGAAATTTCTTAATCGCTCAACTCGTTAATTGGTCTGTCAATCGGTCCGATTAAAAAAAAAGGAAAATTAAGAAAATTAAGAAAAATAAGAAAATTTGCGAATCGGAATCGAAGAAAAGCGGAAATGCAAATCGGCAGTTTTTTAATCGGAAGTGATTAAGAAACTCGGTAAAACTCTTATTAATAGGCCATGTTGTTAAGGAGACTCCTAGCAGTAGAAAGTGGGTTTGGGAAAACGGGAACAGTTTGAATCAAGTGGCCGGATATATGTTTCCCACCCAAACTGAACACAGAGAGGATTTGTCTACACAATGTTGAATGGTGTGACGCGTCCTCTCTGGCCTCCGTCTAGCCCGAGCTATTCAGCAAACAAAGAAAAAACTTCGAAAGTAAAAGTTGAGTGGGAAAGTTTCGTTGTTTTTGATGTGATGCATGCTGTTATGCGTGTTTTCTACTAGAAAGCTTATCTACCGAAACCTGCTAATAATAGCAGTACTTAGTGTTTAGAGCTTAGCGCACAGGCCCCGCAGGAGACAGTTTTTCGGATTTCGTTGTTACGCTCTGGTCGCCAGTTTTTGAAATGATCTTGTGCGTGCGCTCAGCTGTGCTGCATGTGTCTCCCTGTGTCCAGTGACCCAGTCACGTTAAAGCAAGATAACTACGCTATTATTCCCTGCTAGACCTGATTGGTGAATGGGGAACCAACCCGGATATGCTTTTGTTTGGCAATATTACCGGGACCAGATTAATGACCGCTGCGGCGGCAGTGTAGTGGGCAATAGCCAACGGGCAGAGAGCAGTACTTTTTAGTACTAGTACCGATTGTACCGCATTCTGTGCAGATGCAGTACTCACTACTGAACGAGCCTCTGTTAATTTACAGTTCTGACAGCACTCGTGGCCCTGATTAAAATTTAAAAGCTTTGCCCTTTCACCCTGTCGCAGAGTCGCCTCATAAGCCACATGCATTTTGAATGTTAGTCAGGTCAGGTGCCTTATCAGAATCGAAATTATTGGCGTCTTAACTCTTTCCTTGCATTTCAATGTGTTGTACAAATACTTGAACACTTGTTTAGTTTTTCACAGCATGCAACAACTCTTTTTGTCAATCGTCCTATCATCTTTACTTCATGTTTACTACTAGTCCCGAATTCAGCTTGTTTCTACAACCTGTGTACAGGAGAAAGCATAACGGTTTTTAGGGTTCTTCGTGAAAGTGAACCGTCGTAATGGCAGAGCTGATGGAAATGGACGATGAACTGCAGTTCGGTACGGAACGTAGAATTGAGTTACGAAAGCCTTTAAGGTCTGAGTAAGTACAAAAGTGTGACGATTTGTGTTGTGGTACAGAGGAGAGCGTGGCGGATCTGCCGGTGGAGAAGCGGCAGGAGATTCTGCTACTGGTGAACTCTGGCTATTCGCGGAAGGCCATCGCTCGGCAGACGCTGACGCCGGTGGCTACTATCGAGCATCTGGTGGCCAACCGCTTGAGTCTTCTGGTGGAGAGCGACAACGATGAAGAGGATGACGAAGATGACCAGGGATCCGATGAGGAGCCGCAGTACTCCGACGTGTCCGAAACCAGCTTCACCAAAACCCCGCCTAACAGTAAGTGGACTAAATAGTGTGCGTGTCATAGAACTGCAGCTGTAATAGGGGCCGCGCTTCTCGATTCGCATAATGGTATGGATGATTGGATCCGTTGGGTATAAGAATAATTTATGTCTAGTAGAATTATATAATTACCAGTGGGCACCACGGTCGGCGATGCCCAGCGCTTTATATATCGGGTGATCCGTGTTTTCGCCTGAAAAAAAACCGTACTTAAAAATAGTTTTTTAAAGCATCGCCCGCCGATTGATATCGAACACATCATACCCCACATGGTATAATACTGTACTGTAATTGAAACTGATTTATTTTGGATAAGTGTGTGCATTGCTAAGTTTAGCGAATTTGGAATTGAACACTGCTTACAGCGTATGCATTGCAGATGAAACGACTGAGTCCAAGCAGCCGTCGGAGCCCGCGAGTGAGGCCAAAGAGACACCGGAAGCTCTGATTCTACGCCTGTTCGATGAGGGACTACCTCAGAAGACCATTATGGAGCGCGCGGGCAAATCTTACACCACCGTGTGCAAAGTAGTGGGCGCCGCCGGCAAGAGCTTCGCTGACCGATTGAGCCGGCAACCTCGTAATCCCCGCAAGGCCTCCCAGCGCGAGCGCATGCCTACGCCGCGCGTCCAAGAGGACATCGTGGAGCTCTTCGACAAAGACTACCCACTCGACCGCATAGCCAAGCGCCTGAAGACGGCGGAGAACACAGTGCGGTATGTGCTGTTCATGCGCGGCAAGATTACCGGCAGCAGCCTGCGTGCCACTCCCGCGCAGAGAGAAGCCATCCGCACGCTGTATAATCAGGGGCAGTCCATGGGAAGTATTGCTGAACAGCTGGGCATCACATTGTCCTTGGTCAGCCGGGAGATTTTCTTACAGTCAGCGTCACGGACAAATCCAGAAATTCCCGCTGAAATTGGTACGCTGACTTTAGTTTGTGTGCACTGATAAGGATGGCTTTATGGGCCGTTTTGCAGATGCGGATGCGAACAATTCTGCCGCACTCCACGCTAAAGAATCAGTTGTTGATGTCAGCATCCTGCCGACGCACCGTGCAACCGTTGCAGTCGAAACCATACCCCTCTCGCTGGCGCCAGCATCGAAGCACCGAGTCCCAATCGACGAAAGTTCTACTGTGGAAGGCAGTGACTGTTTGCAGGTTTACTTGGAATCGGTGTACGGTCCGTTGGTTAACAATGATAATTCCAATACTGTTCCAACCGCTATTGAAACAGTAACCACAGAAGCAACGAACCGTGCCGATTTGGATCCAGGTTGCAAGGTTTCACAGTTCACGGCCGCAGCTATGGACAATATTCCAGTCATTGTTGCTGACATGGCAGTGAGTCCAGTGACGGCTGTGACTGACCTCGATGATGGTCCCAGCGTTAGAGAATCCACAATCGAAATCACCGGGGATCTCTCCATTACCATAGATCCAATGGAATGTGCAGTGACGGATGCCGTAGTTAATGCCGATTCCGACGCTCCCAGTACGTCGCAGGTCACCGACCAGGATGATCTCCCAACCGGCCTCGATCCAGTACTGGCTCCACTAGTGGAGCCACGGGTAATCGATGCAGAGATCCCTATTAAATCCGGCGATCTCCTTGTGACGGAATCTTCAGAAGAATTTGTCAGTAGTTTGTGGACCGGCGCCGTCCCAATACCCGACGTGACAACGGGCCAAGCGGATGCTTTCGAGACGCGTGCGGATGCCGTCCGAGTGTGCAGTAATGGGGAAGACGGCGCGAAACCGTTGGATGCGGGTTGGCTTGAAAAGGAGGCCATCTGCGAGGACGCAGCCCGAATGGAAAGTGCCGAAGCCTACATACGATTGTACAGCGCCGTTATGTTCGACTATAACATAGAAGCACTGACTAACGAACACCCCAGCGACGTCGCTGCTGCGATCGGCCACGGCACTGACCAGAATGGGGTTGCGGCCTACCAGGTGTTACAGGATAACGCTGCCGGACGCTGTGACAACGTCGCCGCGAAACAGTGTCTAGATGATACTTTCGCCACAACAGCCGTTGGTGTTCCGCGATCCGACTGTTTGAATATCAGTGACATCGCAGCAGACTTTGCGCTGCTTTATCAGTACGTATCGACACCGGCAATCGCGGACGAAGCCGATAAAATGACATCGGAATGCGTCACAAGGACTTTCGGCAACGAAAACTATAGCCTGGCAATCAGCGGAAAGGAAACGGCAACTGAGTGTTTAAAAGAAGCGGGAGCGACTCTGCGTGCCAGCCCGGCGAAAAAATCGATAGGTCGCAGATTAACGAAGAATGTTTGAAGGAAACGACCCACGACATCCCGGCCAAGTACCGATGTGACCTGTGCCAGTTCTATTCGGTGGATGAAACGCTCTTCGTCTCGCACCTGCTCAATCAAAACCACGCGCTTTTGGCCGCTCACCAAGTCGTGCTTCGCTGCAGCGGCTGTACCTTTCAAACGCGCCAGCCTAAGAAAATGGCCGGACATGTCGCCACCTACCAGTTCCACGCGGTGTCCAATGAAACACACCGCCACGCGATTATCGCCGTCGACTGACCTTTGACGTCGCTGTTTTCCTGTTGGCCGATGCACAGATACGCTCCTTTACCGGCGCTTTCGTTCATTTTATAATTCAAATTCTGTATATTTTTCTCTTAGCTTAATCGTGGTTGTGCATAAATAACAAGACGTTGATTGTATAAGTTGTTATAAAATTCAGTTGTCGTTGTATTTTAAAAGTGCTGAACAGTTTCGAGCTTGGTTTATGAAACATAGTGCAATGCTAAGGAGACTAATTGCAATGAAATTATCGTGCGTATTAATGAGCTGCTCGTTGAAACTCCATCAGCAGTGTGTAAATTCGCGATGATGACATTGCCGATGCGTAAGGAGCTTCCATGACATCCCTTACGATAGCACTTTGAACCGTACTGTAGTAAAGCATCTGTTGGAGAGTCGCATGCCGCACTCGATGATGACTAACGGCTCGCGGAATGTAGCGCGCTAACACTGGGTCCTGTGTTTCATCGATGGAAGGTATTTATTTATCTTGTACACCGTCACTATTCGAGGTTTCTGCCAACTGTGCTTAAAAGACACTGAAACTTGAAATTCAGAAACGTGTCCAGCATGGATCGCGTATATTCCTTAGCCGTCACAAACTGTATTAAGATCAGCTCCGCTTCTGCTAACCATGGCATCGGATTTCGATTATGCGTACCAGGATCTGGCTGGCTTCATTGTTCCCGTCACAGTGATCTACATTCTGTTGTTCCTCAGCGGGATCATCGGGAATGTCTTCATCTGCTTCGTCATTGTCAAGACGCCGTACATGCACACCTCTACCAACTGCTATTTGTTCTCTTTGGCGGTGGCGGATATTCTCATGCTGCTCTTCGGTAGGCAGCTGATCGGCACTCACCTTGCCTGGTCTATTTGCCAACTTCCGTTTACTTCTTGCATCTGCGTTGAAAAATATCTTGTGCAACTGTGCAAAAGGCACAATTTTTTGTTTGTGTTAGGTGTTCCAATGGAGTTGTACTCTTTCTGGATGCGAGAATGCAATGTAAGCCCGCATAGATAATATAACGGACCTCAGTTTAGTTCGGTGACAATGTACTGTTCTATTGTAAGAATACTTACGCACATCGTCACCAAGCTGATGGTCTTGTCATAAGACGCATAACTGCAGCATTACCACTGCGCTGTTAATTTTGCAGTTTGAATTCCCCTCTTTTGTGTGCACTGGAAGAGCGCTGTTGGCCGAGATGACCAGTAAGTACTGCACAATTGTGAAAACTGCCAGCATGACCTTTACAATCTGCACGAGGATGGCGTCATGTTTATCCTCATGTTTATAACCGTTGACAGCGTGCGCTTCCGTGATGACCATCACTGCCTTCACTGTTGAACGGTATCTTGCAAGTAAGCAATAATTAGAAATTCACGGGTGATACTGTAAAACTAGTTTACAGGTTATCGTAGTTACGACAGTCATAGTTATATTACCATACACAAGGTATTCAGTGCATTCTTCAGCACTTAAGTATTACGTACTTTATTCTTTTAACAACAAACCATTTAAATCTGGATTCTTTTAATGGTAGTAACGATGATACAACTATATTACGATGATACAACTATACATCACTTGTATACTAGAAGTAGAGTAATATTCTCACAATCGTATAATTATACTATCATGTGCAATGATGGTTGCATTAATGGGTATCTATGCGTTGTTGATGCTTTGTAAACGGCGGCTCTGGAAATGAATGGATGCGATGATTGTTGGTGCATAAAATGTGCGTACGTTTACAGTTTGCCATCCATTCCGCACAGAGCGACTAGTGACGGTGTCGCGCAGTCGCACTCTGGTGATCCTCATCTGGCTGTTTGCGCTCTTCCTGGCGGCTCCCTTTGCTCACTATGCCAAGGTCAACCACGTGTACTACCCGCTCGACGACAGCCTGCAGCGCATCCCGGGAACGGGCTGGTGCAGCTTCGACCACGAACGCCAGCGACAGGTCTTTGCCCTGTTCCTCTGTCACGCCATTGCTTTCTTCTTTCTGCCCATGGGGCTCCTCACTGTTTTGTATGCAATCTAACTCTCGGTAGATTAAACTATATACTGTGAATTTTTTTATACGGTATGCTATGTGAGTAGGTACGGGTTGATCGCTTTGACACTGCGCAGCCCCACCAAACGCTACCAACTGAGCGGCATGCACGCTCGCTCGGGGACATCCGAATCGTCCAACAGCGAATCGCTATCCGGGGCATCGCGCACCCAGTCCCGCAAGTCCACTATTCTCATGCTTGGTAAATACACATCCGTCAGATAAGTCAAAATCATATAGCAAAATTATCTAATAACTATTATGTATTTTGCAAATTGGCTTCAATAATCATATAATTACATAATTTTCCTCCTAGTTGAAAGTACGCGAAATTTTAACCAGAGTTGGTTGTTGTATGATGGCAGTGGCGGTGTGCCTCGTGTTCTTCTTGAGCTGGTCACCTTTCCATGCTCAACGTTTGTTATGGTCAACGGTCGATCGTTGGGATCAGCAGGTGACAACGGCCAATGCGGCGCTGTATATGGTTGCCGGTAAGTAACCAAAGATAACTAAAATGTTATCACCGTCCAGTATACGTAACTCCTCCCTACTTCTCAGTACTCGCATCTCCGGGCTTTGCTTACGTTCTCCCACCGTATTTTACGTTTATACATCCATAATTTGGTGGATCATTGTTGCATTACTTAGAGCGTCTATTTTGCGATTCTTCTACTACTGCGAAATCAGGAATGGAAAGCTAAACTGCCAGCAGTGGTTCAGACAGGCGTAAACAGCCTTGACTCTTTCGCGAAACTGATTTGTGTGATATGTGTCTGTATTTCAGCTAACCATAAGCAGGCCTGCTTCACTTTTGCTTCCTAGGATGCAAAAGTTTAACGGACGTGTATACAGGTTGTGCGTATTATGGCAACGGAATCATCAACGTCATCATCTACAACGTGATGAGTTTCCGCTTCCGACAGGCTTTCCGCGAGACGGTGTGCCACCGCAAACGCCGGTCGGTCAGCCTGGACGAGCCAGAGCATGGCGGCGCCCACAATGCCGGCACGGTGCCGTCCACTCCGCGTCATCCCCGATCACATGCAACCAATCACACCACCATTCAACCCTTTACTGTCTACACTGTTAATCCATGATCAGGTTCTCTAGCCCACAACAACCCATGATCAGTCTTAGTCTGCCTCCGATCTGCTCAGTTAAACTCTTTTTTTATTTTTATATTTTACTGACAGCTTTGGACCTTTGGTCACGAAGTTTCTTCTTGTTATTATTTAAATCAGCAAAACCCTGCACAGTTGGGTACTACCACACTGTAATATTATTTTATTGTACGTTCATGATTCAATTTACCGTAATATTTCTCATTCGGGTCATTCCTGTTCACGTATTACTGCACATCTGAAATCTGATAGTTTTACATAAAATTATGGTGACCACTTGGTCCACTCCACTTGGTCGAAGACATTCTCCATAACTTTTCACTTAATACACAACCTTTACGCGCGCTTTAAACACATCCGGCGCACTGCTTTTCATTTTGCACTCGGTACATTAAGTTTCGTTAATTTCTAGATCATTTCACGTTCAAAAATTACAGCAGTGAATCGGTGACAGCATTTATTGGTATTTCGCGTGACGGCGTGTGTTTTGTGTAGCTTCTGCACCGGAAGTAGCGACAGCCTGCGAAATATTTACTGAACGGCAAGCCAATAATTTTTATAAAGAAGCACTTATGACGAAATCAAGTGGTAAGTGAAAACAATTATGATTTTTGTTGGCCACTAAAAGTAAGGAACGGAGTAAGAGGCAGCGCCAACAAGAAAACCTACAGAGTATAATGCACCAAGTCAAAAATCGGGAGCGGAAGGACTGGTTAATAATGTTGCACCGCTTAATACGTTTATACAAAATACCCTCTGTAAATAAAACGGTTGATAATTTTTCATCGCTCAGAGACGTCAGTAATTATACAGATAGATCGCTTATACATATAAATAAATGCTTTTATTCTGCGTTGCACTTATTATTATTCTAACCATTAGTTCATTACAGATAATAATATTCATATTTCATTCAGTAGACAGTAACGGAGTCAATGGGTATAACCGTCTTGCGAAAACTGTGCCGGGTTATTCAGCGCAATCTCCGTCGTACTGGTGGCTTTCTCCAGCGTGCTGAAATTACTATGGATATCCTGACCGAAGGGGCCTTCTTGTCCAGCCGATGGCGCAGCGTGTGGATCTCGTCGTGGGTTACTTCCTCCGGGACTTCCCAATGGTGACTATCGTTGTAGGAACTGCCGGCCGATAGACCCTTCCACCATGCTAACCTGAGCACTAACCCTGCCAAATTAACGATCATTTAAAACGCGAGAATCGAAGAAATACACTGAAAATGTAAGAAGGTTTACCGGTCACGATGCCACCGGAAATGGCGATGCCCAGGGTGGTGGCCATGGCGGCCATCTGGTAGCCTGCTTGTTGTCCGATAGTACGCCCCAGTCCAGGCCGAACATCCGGGTAGATGGACTGCAGTTGGGCCAGTTCGGTGGTATTGGCGCGCGGGGCGGTTGTTGGGAACATCGTGTAAAAGCTGCACAATATACATAGCAGTTGTTTGCACTGAATTATTCTGAATTGTACAGCTATTTACAAAAAGAAGCTGCGGCCAGTGAAAAGTGACCTTCCGTTACCTTGACCCATAAACATCCGGCGTGGCGCATCCAATCACGATCGCGCTCATTATCGTCCCGAAGAAACTGGGCATGGCGTGCAGATTGTGGACGCCACACGTATCATGGATGCCCAAGTTTCTCTTCTAGCAGTGGCTAAAATGTGAAGTTGGTAAACGCACAGTATATATTCGTTATTTCGGCATTTCGGCCCAATGCAACAAGAGGCCGAAATACAGTTCAGATTCAACCGGCTGCTATCACAATTATAGCATACCATGATGAAGTGAAAGCCGAGAGCAGAGATACAGCCCGCACAGAATCCGACAATTAGCGCTCCCCATCCGTACAAGTACATATCGCATGCCGAACCAATGACCACACCCCCTGCTAAAGTGGCATTCTGGATAATGTCCTGCAGAACGAAAAAAAAACGCCAAAGTTTAACTTCAAAAATGAAAACACCAATTAGGGGTACACTAAAGTCTTGTTCCTACATGAAGAACAAGTTATATATGGTCATAGACTCATATACAACGCACGCTTTTGTTATACTTTTCTAAGGCGACCTCTACAGGTTTACAGATTTGGAAAGGTCAAGTACGAACTTCAAAAAATACGCACAACCATTTAATTGAGTAATGTGTGTCGCTTATGCTTACCATTCGAAATCGCTTATTCGAAGTCACGGCTGAGATCATAAATGCCCCGATACAGCTAGCCGACACCGACAGGTAAGTATTCATCACCGCCCGGTAGCGACCGTCGCCTACAGCCGGTGCCGCATTGAAGCTGGGCCAGAACATCCAGAGGAACAAAGTGCCGATCATCGTCAGCAGATCATTATAGTGCGTCCCGAATTTCAGCGTGTTGAACTTGCTGTCCGAGTACTCGTCCAGGTGCAGCGTCTTCGCCATGGCCAGCCCGAAGTACGCTCCGAATAGGTGGATGGTGATGGTGCCACCGACATCGTTGGCATTGAAAAGATCCATGCAGATCCACTCGTTGACGGTGACGAAGACCACCTCCATGAAGATGGTGATTAGGTATTGCAAACGGTTTAATTTGCCCAGAATGACGCCGAAAGTGATGAGGATTGTACCGGCGGTGAAGTCGGCGTCCAGAAGGCTGAGGAAACCAAGTCACTGTCAACTGTTTGTGCCAAAATGATTGCAATAATAGTATTTGGCTGGTGACTAACTTCTCAACGTCCAAGCGAATGCGGTTTCGGTTGTCCTGTAGTCGCAGCAGGCCGCGCATCAGCAGCGCCCACTGCAGGACGTATGCGGCAAGGATAAAGGTGAAACCCACCCCGCTATATCCATAACTATAAACACACCACGTTAGTTTAGATTTCCGTGAAAATTTTTATATTTGAAAATTTTTTATATTAGTGTTGCTAAAGTTTTGAAAGAAAAGTGTATTACTTTCTCATAAAGGCCACGAGAAATCCGAAACCGACGAAGATCATCACGTGCACATCTTGGAACACTACAAAGGAACCGCGCATGCATACTGTTCTCGCGGGCCGAATGGTGTAAAGTCAACATACTGCCATAGTATCGCTCAAGCGACTTCCGCGGCGCACTGAAATCCACATTTCGCCCGGCGTCCACGTCGTCCTGCACCAGATCGCCCATCTGGCGTTCGCGCAGTGACACCGGCGTGGCATCCCAGCCGTAATCTACCAGGAATCCAAACAGAATGATAAACCCGGCTTGACTGAGGAAGAGAAAAGCCGCAAAGCGGCTGCTGGTGAAGTACATGGACATGGGCAAAGGTCACGCTTCTAATTCATAAGCAGTCTCGTTCTTTGGTCGTTGAGCAAATGAGCAGCGCCTGAATAAGTGGTACAGCCCAGAGTTAAGAGCAGTTACCGGTGTTTGGCTTGACTGGATGCCATGCCGTGACGACATTTGGCCCTTGTGTGCAGCGCTGTCCATTCTTGCAGAGTCAGACTGACTGGCTGTAAAGAGCGATGTTGCTTCTGTAAGCGATGTTTAGCAACGCAGCGTGCAATGTCATTGTCGAATTACTTGTGATCCTTTGTTGATTCTACCGTGCCGACATTGTGTGTCGATCGTGGTCAATGGCAATTATAAAATGTGAGAGGCTATAGAGATCTGTATAAGTTTATTTTGGTTCGCTCGGCATGCTACTTAACAATCGCGCCGAGCACGTGCTTCGTATTTGCCGAAAAGATGCTTATGCATTATTACGCTCGTGTTAATTCGTATTTACACATTTGTTTTATTCATTCTTAATTTATTTATATTTAATTCAGCAATATACAGTTCCGTAACAATAAACTTAAATGAATCGAAATGTATGTAAGCCATGCCTAGTTTGAGTTTACAAATTAGTTGCCCATAATACTCTTAATTTGGTCTGTTCAGTGATCATAGTACACTTTAATGTCATATAATTATATTATACAGATACGCAATCAGAGGGCAGGAGAGATCGGTTAATGATTCGTATTCATCACTGTCGCACACTATACAAACATTTATGACTAATAAAAATTTTTATTCGATCACAAGTTTTAAGGTTATGTCAGCATAACGCATACAACGGAGCCTGATCATAAAAAATTAGCATAATCTTCGGCAGACGTACCAACACAGCCACACATCGCAGTTAAGCCTCCGGAGGAGCCACAGCGGCAGTGTGCACTATCCCTTCGCTTTCTTGACGGGAGCGCGCCTGATAGACGATAATATGGTTGGTCATCTTCAGCGGCTTCCGGCTTTTGAAGGAGCATCCCGTGCAAGCAAAGAAGCCTCCACTGGCTGCCAATTTGCGATGTACGGCGCCTAGCAGATGCGATCGGAGATCGTCCTCATGGTGCCATGATAGCTGGCACGTACTGCACGCATACCGCTGCCCCTTGCCGGCAACAGGAGCGCCATCTCGCCGGCATTCTTCCATGGCTTGCTCGGGTTTGATGTTTGAATTTCCTGTAAGGGCGTGGCGCACGATTCCTTCGGCGAGGCGGACTTTTGACGCCTGGGCCTGCACATGGAGTTTCCCGCCGGCAAAGGAGGTCACGGAATATGCAGGAGTGTTAGGCTCTGCAAAAGAAGGGTGGTCACATTTTTGCTGGCAGTATGACTAATAATCAACCAACGGGTACATAAACGGTGCCTCTTACCGTTTCCGTCATCATAGGATTCTGCTGCATTCGTAGGGGCCATTAGCGTTTCTTCCGGCTTGTCTGTCAGACAGCTGCTTCTCCGCAGTAAGACACGCCGAGATACACTGTCTCCTCTGTTTCCGTCATTTTGACTACGTTCGTTTTCGGGTTGAGAAATGGCTGTGGCGTTGAGAACTTGTTTGCCACGGAGAGCTTTTTCCAGCACTGCAACCGTTTAAGCCAAACGATGTAACTTGGAATCAACAGGTGCAAGTTCTTAAGCATTTCTTCGTCGATACCAGTTTTATAACTTGAACAAAGTTATTAATCCCGGACGCTTCGAAATTTGAGTTATATGTAAGCATTCTGAAGAGTCCTGTAATGCGAACGTACAGAAACACATAATTATGTATTAGATACGGCCATACCGAAGTACGACAAAACAGTTGTTTGAATTAACCGTCTATTAATAACTATGAAAAATGACCCCGCTTTCGGAGTTCTGTCGGAAGTACTCTGTACTTGCCATGTGGAAACCTATAGAGGATTTTGCCGGCTAGTGCCAGTTCCCGCTCCACCTGATTCTTTGTCATACCAACGCTCTTCCCTATCTTCAGTCGGCTGCAACCCTCGTCAAACATCTGGCAGATGCGCTCTCGTTGCGCTGGCGTGGCCCTGCTCTGCCATACGGCATCGCGGTTGCGCAGTGTGAGGCTTTTCCCAGCGTGCTTAAGAACTCTCTTTACCCCACTGGCATGTACTCCCACCTGCTGCATGATCTGCAGTTGGGTACATCCCGCGTCAAACAACCGCACAATCTGGCGTCGCTTTTGGTCGCTAATGGGACTAATCGCGGCGTTATTGCGCTGCTTGAAGCTTCGAGCGGTTCTCTTTAGCAACCGCCTCAGATTCTCCTCGCTGATATGCGTCTTTTGCCGGATCTGCCGTGTGGTGCAGCCCGCATCGAACATGCTCAACACCTTCGCACGCGTGGCATCCATTTTCGATGAACTGGCTGACAGAAGACTATTTAAACTATCCACCGAAGATTTCTCCAAAAGCGACGAAAACTTCTACGCTAAATTTTGCTCCATGACCATGAACTTATAGGGTGACCAGCGAAAGAAAACTGTTAGATGCAAACTATGCAATCTGTGCGTTAGGTCGAATAACAATGCCCAACCACATCGGACAACGTTTTTTAAGTGTTTTTAATTCTCGATGCTTCTCTGGCCGCAGATGATTGATACTATCGTGAGAAAACTGCAACCTTCAGCAGTTTCGCAGAATTAGTCGCTTTTGCCTCAACCATTTGAAAGAAACATTTCGCAACAGTCTCCAACTCGCGACACTACCGAAAAGAATTTTCGGACTACAGACACATAGTGCATAACTGAAGCGGATGCGCTGGTCTATTATTCTACCAGTACGAGTACGTTTCTTGATCAGAAAGCTTCGAAAATGCAACGTATCGGCCACAATGATGAATCTACAGAATACTGATAACATGGCACGGCACATGGCGTCCGCCGTCCACCGACCGTAACAAAATCAAAACGTGAGGTAGCGTACACGTGCAATGATTGGAACGAAGTACGAACCGCACGATAAACCGCTGCCTGCGTTCGGTTCTCTTGCGCTCGTTCACTCAGCCTAGCCTCATGGCTCATTGCTGCTTGCTAATGCTCACCATCAGATCGAGGCTGAATTAGGTGACAGTAGAACATGCTTCACAAATCACAGATGGTGTGAAATAAAAATTTGAACCAATTCTGCCATATTCTTTGTGCGTATCATCGAAGCTTAATAATTACTGTCAACGCATGAGACGGCAGTTATGGAAAGGCAGGAGAGCCTACCTGAGCGTCGTCGGCTTCGGCCACGTAGTGCGATTGGCGAAAACGTTGTTGTCAGCGCAAAACAGCCAGCAAAAAGTGAGTCTTGAGTGCTAAAGGGAAAAAACGCATAGATGCTGTCGTTTGTACAACTTGGCAACTGCTCAATCAATCAGTCCGCGCGCTTTATCCGTTGAAGGCAAGCGACGCCATCAGTCAACGCAGAAGCACAGTGGACCATCCAGTGGCGGTCGACAGTCGCCGGAGTTCCCCGAACTCGATTTGACCAACCGCAGCGGCGTGGTTCCTTCTAATCGGATAACTGCCGTCGAGCGGCCTGATCGACAATTACGTCGACGCAACATCACCGATGCACAGCGGCAAGCCATTTACGGGATGTTTGAACAGGGCTCTACTGGACGGAAGATCGCCGGTACCCTCGGAGTGCAGCTGTACGATGTGCAACGGGAGCTGCTGTTGGTCGGCAAAACCTTGTCTGGCAGTAAGTGCAGTGAAGACACTGTGTAAATGTAAACCACTCGCAACAAAAAGGTGTCTCGGTCCTGTATTCCGTATCTCTTATTATTCCGCAACTTATTTCTGTCCCATGGCGAACGGGTTGGGTTCTGAACCCCTTTCTGGCTTGTTTAGACATACGAGGCAGTACACTAACTGGTAGAGGTCTCACGTGGAAAGCACCGCCTTAAGCCTCGTTTTTGCGTGTTCCCAGTAAAGGAGGCAGAGCCACACTGGTTCTGCCTTCTCTCTCTGTAGTGGTAATGGTTAGCTTACGCTACTCCCATGAATTAAATTGTTGATATTGCTGTATCTTATCTTGAAGGGTCAGGTTCAGGCCGAGGAATGTCGAGGGCGAGTAACGCGAAGAAGCAGTTGGTGTGTCAGTTGTTCCAAGAGGACCTAAGTATGTGTGTAATTTGTGATCGTGTCGGTCTGAGTATGCCGACGGTATCCAAAATACTGCATCTGGCTGGCAAAGACGTCAAGCAGCGCTTCTTGAAGAGTGAGTTCTTTTGGGTTTTCTTAGTTTTGCTTTTGCATAAACTTTTTTTGAAGACAGCAGAAGGCATGGAGGCACCATAAGACGGAAACGGCAAGGTAAACCACGTAATTCGAGCCGCGCTACCATGCCGAAGAGCTCACTGTTACGGGAGAAGGTCGTCCTTCCCGAGGAGGAGAAGGAGGAACGTTCGAATGCCTTCCCGACAGGCGCCGCTTCGGAACAATCATGCTCACGAGTCCATCATGCCAACCAGCGTGCACACCGTCGTCTTTAATTCATCGGCAAAGGAGGTCATCATCGGCTGTCATGCTTCACCGCATCCGTATCGCTGCGAAGGGTGCCAGTTCCATTGCAAAGCGGAGCAGACGCTAATCTCCCATTTGCTAGGCGGTCAGCATCAGCAGTTATGTCGCAACGCACTCCTGGTGTGCGCTGATTGCCGCTTTAGAAGCAGCCAAATCATCAAGATGGCGCGCCACTGTATCAAGCACTCTGCATTACCCATGGAAATCAACGGAAAATTTTCGACCACATGCGCCAAAGAAACGGAACAGCTTGATGGAGCCGATGCGACTGAATAACAGGGCCTTGAGTTTATTAATTGATACTGTAATAAAATTATGATAACTGTTTGTTTGACAGATTTTTAGACGTGGTTTTGTGTGTATTTTATGATGCTGTTCACAGTGTTCAGTAATTCTAGTACCACTCCCGTGTTTACCAGTAGGACGAAGTGTTATTGCGCGATACTGGTCGCGGCCTCCAGCGAACAGACATAAACCCGGCATAACTCCAGCGACACCTTATACATTTGGTCTACCACCAGATACACAAAGCGTATTTGTCGTTACTGTATAATCAAACCGTAGCAACAATTCATCTGATTCACTGGTCAGCCAGAGGGCTTGTCGTTTTCCTCTTCCAACAGTTGCTGTGCTGCTTCCTGGCGCAGTTCTTTGGTGACCAGCATCTGGTTGCAGCGCTTCAGTGCTGGACAGCTAACCATAGCGTGCTGTTGCAGCCGTTCCATGTTCTCGCACACCGGATTATTGCTCATCACCAGCGTCTGTAGTTCCGGTAAGTCTTTCAACACACCAAATACTTCCTCCAGATTCTCCAAATAATTCCACGATAAATTCAGGTATCTACCACAATCAAAGATCTGCAGTTTTCCTTGGCACATGGATGTACGTTAATTAACCGGTCATTCACTAATAGTTGTACGATTAAATGCACAATCACGTATAAGCATATTCTCTTTTGCGTGTAACGGAGCTTGCCGTTTTGATTACGTACTTTAAATATGGAATCTGCCATTTCTGTAGCGAGCGGATTTTATTGCGCCGTAAGTCAATGAACTCCAGCTTAGGTGTACAAGAGAATTCACCCAGAGTGTCAATGCAGTTCTGCGCCAGAAACAGCGTCTTCAGCGAAGGGAGTACGGCGTCGAATGTGCGCAGACGGTTTTTTCGCACTTCCAGTGTATCGAGATCCTTAAGAAACTTGGTCTGCGACAAGTTGAAGGCCGACAGCTTGTTGTAGCTAATGTACAGGCGCTGCAGATGCGGCTGCTCCTCAATACCGCGCAAATCTTTCAAGAAGTTTTTGCTCACGTTTATAACCTTTAAGAAGGGGTGCGGCTACGAGGCAACACCAGCTTAATAAATTAACACAAAATTTGTAAATGTATTTGCACATTTCCTGTGACAAGGCGCTATGCTGAAAACACTGGGACTGTTAGCAAGAATATTGTTAATAACAGTACTGACTTAATAAGTTTACTCTTTGACTACGAGAATTAACGCTCGTTGTCAAAGAATAAACTTATTAAGTCAGTTAATTTTGCAAACTAACCAAAACCAAACTTTACGTTTTATTTTTTCAGTTTGTTGATTGAAAACTAAATACTGACTCCATAATGTGCAGTTAAACCTTACATTGCGCTGATAATCTATAATCTGTTGTACAAGCACTGACGCTATTGCTACCTCCAAGGGCTGCATGGAAAGGAGATAGTTATCGGACAGATCGAGTTGCATAAGGAAGTGCAACTGATTGAGCGGCCGGATATCAAGCAGATGGTTGCCGGGCAGAGCGACGTAGCGCAAATGCTGGAGGTGCTGGATGGCGGCGATGTCGACGAGGGAGCGACCTGGCAGGTCCAGTCGGACGAAGACGTGTCCCAGACCGGAAATGGTCTTGGCCAGCATCGACAGGCCCTCTGTCAGTAGGGGCTGGTTCAGTCGACGTCCTAACTTTCCGTAGCCCTCCTGGATGAATTTGTAGAGGGGAACGGTTAAGTTGGGAGCGTGATAGGCAATGTCCACTGCCTGCTCCAGCCAATCCGTTTCTCCTGTCGAAAATACAGTTTTAAATCCAATGGGCAAATTCATTTTAAATACCGTAATCGCTTGAAATATCTGGAGTAGGCTTCTAAAGGATTGTACCTAGCAAGTTTTACAGTTACCATTAGGTAAAAGAATTATGGGGTTACATTACAGGGTTACTTTATTCAAACACTCTAAATTGGTTAAACACTCTAAATTGGTTAATTAACTATACTCGTACAGGACTATACCAGAGCGCGTAATCGCAAACGTTTCAGCCAATAGACCGGAATGTAAAGACTTTGCCATCTTTTAAAAATATTATGTACGATATCCTGGATTTCCAGTATCCATGTGAATAATTATACAATTTAAGTATAGTTATATTTACGTAGTTCCGCTATGAATTTTTTCAAATGCTTTAGTTGCTTACATTCCCTCTTCAGCTCATTTTCATTTCTATGCCACTGTCTTCTTGTGCAAGGCTACTGTTGCATCGTAGCGGCTGATTTCTCCTATTAAGAATTTCCGCATTACTTTCAGCGAGTTTTTAGGACGCGATGCACTAGCGATTGTTAAAAATGCGTAGACTGGGATACGTACTGTACATATCTCTATGTGGAGTGTCATACAGGTGCAATAGGTGCAGGAATCATGTGAAACTTAGTTCAATATGAGTATGACGAAGCATCCCATAACATCAACATTAATGTAATCAGGAGTTGCTTACGGCATGTATTGAGGAGTGTTCAGCGCGCTCTTGTCGCACCTAATGCATCGGCGTCGCTCTTCAGCAGAACATCCTCCGGGTCCGGGGCTAGTGTGGGCTCGGGCGGTTCCACTACGCGGGGCGGCTGCACTTCCGACCCTTCCTCCGGTGACTCCGGCTGCTCGCCCTCTTCTTCATCCATTAAATTGTTGTTGCGTAACTGTTATGGAGATGGTGCAAATGTAATGGATCCGATTAAAGAAACCACTCCACTATCGATTACACTGATGGTCCACGGCGCAGATAAAAACAGTATGCCGCGGTCGGTGGGAGCTAGTTGTTGCTAAGGGAGTACGATGGTTTCGGCACTTTACGTATCGACTTATCCGATGCACGTTTTTATTTTAGCAACAATTAAGTCGTGCAAGAAATGTATGTAAGAAACAGCTTTATTAGAAACAACTTTAAACGTTAGAGTAATTAGAGTACGTAATTACATGTCAGTTTACAAAATCGAATTAATTTTCACTAAAAATCAAATTAATGAAATTCGATCCTTAGCTAATTAGGCAGTCAAGGTTGTAGTCCAATTCGATTTTGATGATGAAAATACGACCTTTTGTGAATTTACTTATGCTTTCATTACATAAGTACTTAATTGCATGGGTATTATCTTCTAAACAAAATATAACACGCGCCGTTGTTCTTGCAACCGTAAGACAGGTTATGCTTTATACTGTATGACTGCCGTTAATTTGTAGTATTTAATCACATTTTATATATTTTGACCGCCTTAAATATTTATCCCAAATACACGATGGTGCTAGACTTTTGTCCTACCATGGCCCCTTGACTTATGGACTTGCTAGATATATGCACCATAGGCTGAACCATGGTACTACTTACAATGAAACTCACCTTTGTCCATGGCCCCAAAGTTTTGCTCGCTATGTAGTACTCGTTTTAATTTATCTTGACATGCCTGCGACCACTCACCTTTTTATAATATTTAACTACCTGTAAAAATTGTTGTTTGATACATAATGCTTCAGAAAACAGCTGAATCCAGGTGTTGTAAATATTTACAATTAATTTTGTTGTGGCATGGATGCCCAGATATGGAAATGCTGGTTAATATTTACTGTGCTCAATTACTTTACTGTACTTTAATTTGACGGCACGTACAGTATATTGCACTACAGTGCACCATTATTGAATGTAAATGATTATGCAGTCGACACGGAGATCTGTTACTTGCAATAATCAAGCCAATCAAACGCCGACACAAACAGAAATGTGCATTTTTAATCAGAACAGCTAGTCGGACAAATAAAGGTCATGAATGGGCATGATTGAGGGATAGGAAACTCGATCTGTTTGCACAGGACAGCGCGTATCAACAAGCAATTAGCCGGGTACACTGCATTCTACAGAGTGGTCTGGGTGTGCTGCAGCTGCGAGCGTTGGATAATGTCGCGGCAGTCGTTAAAGACCCGCCGTACCGCCTCCCCGTCGATGGCCGCCGTAAAGTGCGGATAACAAACGTGCTGCGTGTTGGAACTTGACGTGATCCTCTGTCAAAACATGCCGCTGTTCACTTTATTTGCGTTTTACAATATTCTACCAAGTTTTCATTCCACACCGAACATGAAAATTGCCGAAAATTAGATAGTGTATTCGTGATAAAACCAAATCGGCTTTTTGTAGAACCTACTTCTCTGCATACCGTACAGATATTCTTGCAATTTCTCTGTGGTCGAACTCAAAAAATACCGTTGTCGTTAAATTTACCGTTATTTCGTGGCGTATGTAGTATCGCGCTCGTAGTGATTCCAGGTTATCTCCTGGCAAGGTCATTGCTGTAACGATAATGATAGAATTTTTCAACTGATTTTAAAGTACATAGTTATTTGACAGCGATTTTTGTAATGACACCTTGTATTACAATACTTATTCGACTTTTTCTTACATATACCTATCAGTTCTTCCGTACATCTAAATCATTTTCAAGTTCAACATGGTTCAGAAAAAACTAAAAAAATGGAATGTGGTGGAATTAAGTGGAATTTAGGGGCTGCATATCAGTTGAAATAATGGGAATAAATGAGGCGGAAAAGAAGAGTGATGTGTGCGCCGGCGGCATGGGCTACTTGCTGGCTGTAATTACAGCCGGGCAATGTGCATTTGTCAGAGAATGATCTGCGTGATGATGGATGGTGTAGTCTGCGTTTTTTGCTGTTCCCCGCTCCCTTCTTCCGCCGGCAGTCGGCAGTGGGGGCGGTTGGTGTAGTGGAATGCAGAATTAGATTGGCCCATAAAACTGTCGACGATGCCGGGTGATGGATGAGGCCGATTTATGCCCGGCCGCAGTTAAGCAGCTGCCCAATTTCCCGCCGCTTCCGGTCACAAATACACCGCGCTATATATGCTTCTACTGCTCACATATATACATCGCCCTAGCTCCAGCTAGCAACAAGTGCACTTTGTGCCGGCTTCCGGCGGCAACGTTAAGAACATACTGAACGCTGCATGCTGTCATTGTCAAGTTCAAAATGTTTTAGTTTTCTGTTGTTCGGGGATGAAAAAGAATGGTTAGCGATAAGTATACCGGAAGATGGAACGCAATAATCCTTGTAGCTGGGGAAGAAGGCCTCCAGCGAACTACAGCTCCTGATGATCTTCTCCTGAAACTGATCGAGTTTGTTGAGGAAGAGTATCACAGTTTTACGGGTTAGCCATCTGCAAAAGCAATTAATTATGTTTGTAAATAACGAAAAATAAAAATCAGCCTGTACGCAGCGTAGAATATTTGCAAACGTAGCAATAAAGACTCTGAGCTAGTATCATAAAACACCACAGACGAGAAAGAAACTGGCACGGAGAAATAATAATTAAACGTAATTCACAATTATTGTGTAATTTCATTAAATTGGCTGTATGTACTCTGTACATGTACTCGTACTTGCTGTTCCATAGCATGGCGAAGACGTGGAGCGACTCGGCCAGCCGGTTGGTCATCTGCGTCTCGTCCTGCTCGTCGGGCACGACTACATCGTAGCCGCTCATGGGAAGCACGAAGAGGATGGCGGTGATGTTGTTGAAGCACTGGAGCCACTTGCCTTTCTGATCCCGCTGACCGGCCACGTTGAACACACTAAACATGAAGACACTCTTTAACCATCTACAGATATGTGAACTAACTTCTCATCAATTTGTCTCCCTTGCAACTGATTATGTACGTTTACAGTTTCTTCCTATTTCAGCGTTAAACGTTTTTCATGCATTTCCGGTTGCTTCGGCATTTTAAACCGCGATTACAGGATACTTCAGCGTGACCTTTAGTGTATCTGTAGCACTCACTGGTAGCGTATATGGTCGATGGCGAAGACGGTCTCCATGCTGTTGGTGGAGTGGACGCGGACCCGTAGAATATCCTGCCAACCACGCGGACAGATCAATAGCATTATACACTCCACACTGACATTTACCCGCGGATTACAACAATTGCGCCGCTAGCGTCCTATTCATTGCGTCATATGTCACGCTTAGCACGTTTGACAATGCTAAGCCGGCAGTTGTAATTCAGTTGGGCCGTTTTAAGCGCAAATCCCTCTTGAGGCATCGATCGACGTATTGGCTAGTTTAATGTCGATTATACTATACTGCCCACCTGTTCATCGGGAAGGTAATCTGGACAGCGGATCAGCGGGATGCGGTCCAGGAAACTGCGAGGAACAATCGCATATTGTATGTATTAATAGTGTCTGTTGACACACTGGTTGCGGCACATGTCCATGACGACAGGCGTGAGAGACACATGAACAAGAGGATGTTTACTCGGGACAGCGAGTTAACTGTGTCAACAGGCGTAATCTCTAACAGACAAACGCGCTACCAATGTGTACATACATTCATCTGCATCTGTCCCGACCACATGCGCCAACATCCGCTATCGGTTTGATTAGCCCACTATCCAAACTAGAACGTCGGAGAAGTTTCTTTTGCCTTTTGATTTTTTAACGCGGTTCAATCTGGACTTTGTTCAAATTGTACATTTTAGTTAGCACAGCAGCTGTTAACTTGATAATTAATACATAGATTCTGATTAAGAGTCTGAAACTAGTAATATAATATTTTTCAAAGATTACCTGCGATTTCCCAGATTTGCTGAGCAGCAAATGAGAAGTCTTTTTAACGTGTAATTTTAGGATCAAACGGGCAAGTTGGAAACCTCTTCAGTTTTTGTAAATTTTCATAAAAATGATCTGGCCATTTGTGCTTATATAATATCGAAAGTGTGTTCCTCTGGTGATCAATATGAGAAGGCAATGTAGATGAATACAACTTACAAGCTACGCTAGCAAAAAAATGATGGTTATATACGGCGTTATCTGATAGGAAATGGTCGGCTCGATTAGGAACCATCCCAGCGCAAAGATCAATTCTCGATATAGCGACCAGCAATGGGAGGTTCAGTGCGTACTGTGCAGTGATACGCAGCCCTGATAGCGGTGCTATAGCTCTGCTGCGGCACAGTGCAGATCAGCGCAGCGAAACGAACTTTCCGCTTGGATGTCCGCCGGTCGGCGCGGGATCAGCGATATCGATTAGCCCCGGCTTCCTCTTGTCCCGCATATCACACGTGTGCATGCACACGCACACCATAAACAATACGATTACAAAGGAAACATCCAGAAACATGCATGCATATGCACACACCACCAAAATTACAAACAGTATATGCATGTATGAATAGACTAGAAGTACAGATAAAGTGTTGTGGTACACTACTACAGATGCACACGTGCGACGTACTATTTGGCATTGTCCAGCAGCTGAAACTGTGGACTGTGGCCGCACAACTCCTGGAAGCCCCGGTCCGTCCACAGCGCCTGGGCGGCTTCCCAGAACTCCTGACAACATCCATAATCATTTATTTTCCCAAAACAGAGTGAGTGTTTTCACTGACCGGTGTGACCAGGTCAAGATCGGTGTGACTGTCGTTGCCGTTGAGCTGCAGCGGCACGTGCCCGTCGTCCGGCCCGTGCGCTTCCACTGCTTCTACCGCGTCCAGGGATAATACATACTCAACGTATCGGTCATTTTCTGTGCGCTCCAGACGGATACCGTTGCGGTGTGCAGCGGCGCTGTGTAGTGTTTTCTATCAAAGAAAGCGAAGAACGAGTAATTAAGTTTTCCGACAGTAAATCAGATTGCAGCACTGATAATGGTAGTAAAAGTTGCACAACAAAGATCATAACGGTCGAATAATGTTATACGATTAGGACTAGAAGCACGAGGCTATAACCTCGGAAAACGTTTTATGAAATCATTTAGGGTGGTTATTATGATAGTTACATTTTGAATTGCAATACCTGCACGATTTCTTTGACGTAGTTGCGTATGTCTTTAACAAATGCTTTCTTTTCCCTGAAATTCCACAGCAATTGTGTATTTCGTCATAACTGCAAACGTTTCGATTTAAATGCGTATGGAGCTGTGCAAGGTGTGCACTGCACAATCAAAGCAAATTTGCGAATGATTCGTGTTGTCCTGCGCCTGAACGCTAGCAATTACCTGAATTAAAGCTTAAAGGTGGCTGTGAAGGAAAAGACAAACACGCTTACAATCCTCTAAAGTACTACTTGAAATCACGACAACAACTGGACACTTGTGCGCGCTCATATGCATTGCTCACGGGGAATATGCGTCAGTCGGCTGCTCTCCAGCCGACCTGATCCACCGGCGACTACGATCTAATGCTGACGTAACACTGCACTCCATCAGATTCTTAAGAGCAGCAAGAGAACGACACAAACACTGTTGCGAGTAGCAAAGCCCGGAAAGTTCAGGCCTACGTATAATGTCAAAGGTCAACCGTCATCTGTGGCCCCTTCGCTGCGGCTAATGCCATGCTAATCACGGCTCAGTGTCCGTAATGTGTCATCCGCATTAAGTTGCTCGCGTTCAGCTAGAACTCTGCTGATACAAGGAAAAGGTCAACATCATTAGCATTAGTACCCGCTCCGCAAGGAGAAACATTTTGGTTTAGCCGATCGATTGGCCGAACACAAAGTAATGCGCATAGGTAGTATGGTGGAGTGAGTATACACCGCTGATTCACAACTGAACTATTCCTACGCGGCGGCCCATGCCAATTGTGGATGCCCCTATTGACTCGGGAATTTAAATACATTCGGAATCGATGGTAAGAAACGGCGGTGTATACCCATGCTCGTTTGTAAATAACGAAAGACCCTACAGTCCCATTTCGGAATTGCCTTTGTTCACAGTTAAGGCCTAGCGCGTCATGCAGTGGATTATTTGCGTTAATTAATATAACTGATTTTTAATTTTTTTTGTAACATTGCAGTTTTACGTCTCTACTGTCTGCATTTATCATCAGCGAACATACCGGCGTATTGGGATGTCTGATCGTTCTAATCTGTGCTCGTCACTGTGACGCGCGAAAAAAACAACTGACCCAACACATGACGGCAGCGCCAGTACCGCAGCGGCACAGATTGCCGAGATTGAATGCAATAAAAGAGGATGGCAATTAAATTGAGTTTGTATCGTATCTATCTATCTATTTGGTATCGGTGTTTGTTCAGATGGGTTTGCTGAGCGGAAGCCGGCGGAGACCGGCACCGGCATGTGAGCTGCAGTCCACATCAGCCACGAGCGTTAGAACAGAGGAAATTCGCTAAGATTGTGGTGCGTGCGCGTGCCAGATGTGGCTGATGGGGCCAGCAGTCAATTTGGCAAGCGGAAGTTGTCCGCATTTCCAACCTTAACGACTAATGGGACCACTTTCTAATTTCACCACTGTCTACGCATCTCACGCGGCTGCTGCTCCTGCCATCGCACCGCCGCACTGTAGAGCATCACTGCCAGCCGGGATGTCCGCGGAATTCTAAACAGACACTTAATTTACACCCTTCGCTTCGCGCTCCGGCCCTTTGTACAGAATCTACAGATACAGGGCATAGATGGCACCTTCGGTTGGACGAGCTATGCTACCGAATTACAATACTTACGCGATGAACAAAGGATAAACCATGCAATTATTTGTGGAAAATTACCGCTGAACTAAAATATTCGGTATGTACATAACAACTAACCAACAAAGAAAACAATTAAAAATTACTGCATACGAAAATTCGGTCGGAAAATCTGGAGAATTTTCTGAATCTGCCAGATTTCAGTAACACATTACTTAAATTGCAAGGCTATGCCCAATCTGTAGTTGCAAACGCGTGAGCGTTTTTTCGACTATTTTAATTGCGGTCTTACGACAAGGGCTTAAAAAAGGCATGTCTGGTTTTTTCAGAATTGAAAAGTTCGGGTAAAATTTCTGGGCACTGGTTAGTCGGTTGTAATTGCTGTGTGGAAACGGGAGCGGAAATTGGATATTGTAATATTGTGCGTTCCATGGAATCGAATTACATCGCCTCCACCAGCATCAGGCACCACAATATGCATAACATACACAAATACGGCCGCGATATTTATACCCATTCGACGCCACATTTAATTGCTGTCAAATTTTATTGACTCACACTTCATTAAATCCCGCTCCATAGAGAATTTTCATCTGCTTCATAATGGTTGTTTTACCGGATTCCTTGGTGCCTGTTCAAAAAATATCAAGCATTATGACAAGATGGAATTAACAACGAAGTTCATTCTCTAAATAAGCACGTGGATTAACAATTACTCAGACTTATTTTTAATGCAATATTATATTGATTGCTTTAGCAATAAAAGCAGCAGAATATTGTTATGCATATATTTCAATTGTAATGAAAACCTCAATAAAGACACTTTAAAAAACTATCAATGCTTAACAATGCTACTTGATCTCGTATTGGAGAAGTATATATGTTTTTGCCTTAACACATGTAGCAGTTTAATCAGCACTGACCGGCATTTTTGTTAGTTAAAATAATATGATGCTGCATTTGCAGAGAAATACGATGGGCTAAATTAGGCGGGTTTGCATGGGAAAAGAATAGCCGGTCGCCGCTTACCGAGGAGTAACAATCGATACGTCCGGTGGAAGTCCTCCTGTTCACGCTCAAAATTAGTGTCTTTTGTGGTGAAGATCTTCTTGCACATATCCTTCCACTGCTTGGACATTTTTGCATAGATACCGGTGCACACGAAACGGTTAGAAAACAGCAGATACGCAATCAAATCCCATTGACACTGTTGCACACTGCGAATCAATCAGCTGGCCGCTCGCCCGCTTGCTCATCCGCGTAATGAGAGACAATGAATCAATTGCCGCTTTATTTATGCCAGAGGATGTCGGGATTGCGTTAAACGGCCAAATGATCCGCAACGGCGCTGCGACTGATTGCCACTAGCAGCGAGATGCGATGCGCATGCACAACTCCTCGCAACGTTAACGTTGCCGGTCCCCAACACTTACAACACTCAGCGCCGCACTGCAGTGCCACTGACATTTCTCTCCTTGGCGATGGGCAAAAGATGCAATCCCTTCAAATGCCTGCAAATGCCGCCACTCTCCAGCCTCGATTGCTGCTGTCACACCAAACCGACGCCAATTCCTGGCGCAGGCAACCAAAACGTGTCGCAAAGCACAACAATCCCTGTACAACCTCGATATAGCCCTCGAGCAAACCGGGAAGTTTTTAATGCGCGGCAAGTATGTGATTTGGTAAAATAACTGTGCGTGTCATTGACGCGCGCTGTCCACCGCAGTTTAACCAGTAGGTGTGAATACAGGGTTTGTGCGATAGGTGCGGATTTCACCGGTCGTGCAACATGCAGGAAGAGGATGACGCAAATGGACTGCTTGTCGCGTTGCCTGCGCGTGTCAGGCGGTCCAGCAGCACGCGTCTGAATAAGCCCCACAAGTGGCGCGGGGAATCTTCATGAATGAAACATGGGTCGGGGGCTGCGTGCATGATAATGCCGTACTTGACGGAGAAGTAAACATGAGATGGGGAGTCCGTGCGTTTGCCTGGCGCTGCACTGCAGTAGTGGCTCATTTGCTCAATTACGACTCAGCCACAGCAGCTGGGCGAGAGCAGCAAACAGGACGTTCCTAACACTGCATGTAGTCCATCACTCAATCAATTACGCCTGACAATCGAACTCCAAAGAAAACGTTTTATTCTGATTTATGAAGGGTTGCCACTAATAAGAGAAACAAGTTTCGAAGTAACCAGCGTTTCCAGCACGTAGCAATGGGGAGACACAACCAGCAACGGCGCTGGCCAGCAATTGAGTTTCAAGCCGATCGAATACCGAGGCGAGGAGCTGGCAGAAAGGGGAGCCTTTTGACCTTTTTGTTAAGAGTCTGGCGCAGCTCTTGGTCGTTTCCGGTCTGTCACGAGACAGATGCCTTCCTGCCGTTCAGCGTGTGCGATTGTGGCGTAGCGCGCCAAGCATTCCCTTTGAAGACAGCACGTAACGTTTACAGAACAAGTACTTATGACGGGAATACAGTACTGTGGAGTTCGATTTTGACTTTATGAGCATATACGGTGCTCACGAGTCACGACAACGAGTTATGGTATTCGAAATTTTAAATTCGAGATTATCAACGTATGTTATCAAGAACAAGTCAAATAACAACATTCCCGAGTCGTTTTTCAGAAAATTGTCCTAATGTTTTAATGCTGAGAGCAACATATGGTATTATTTTACGCTAGTGTCGACTATCGAGAATCCTCAAGCCAACAACTGTATGTAAAGATGAAGTCAGTCAAAGCAGCGCCGGGCGAAAGCGACCTGTGGGACCAACTGATGAGCAGTTTCCAGATCAACGTCCCCAAAGCACCATCCTCCTCGCCTTATCAGGGAAAACAACAAGCGCTGGCAGCAGTTAAGAGATCTCACGATGGGAAGCCTTCCAAACTCCCGTCGAAGCCGAAAGATTTTGAGGTGCGTACTGACGGTCCCACCATTAAATAGCGTGAGAAAAGCTTGACGCTTGTGACGGCTTGTCTTCCCAACTCCACAGAAAGAGTGGATTGCATCTCATCTCACTGAAGCCAATGGATCGGCTGTATCGCGGGATAAAATCTTCGACCGCTACGTGGAGGACTGTTGGGAACACAAGCACCCTCCGGTCAAAGCATCCCTTTTTTCCCAGCTGATATCAGCGAGTTTTCCAAATTCGCTCCTGCGGAAATTTGGAAGCAGGTTAATCCTCGCTTTTCGTTATTTCTGTTGTTGCATGAAAAGACGTAAAGTTGCAGAGTTCAAGCGCAGTTTTATTTCATCGGCTTACAACTCATTGCGGATCTTCCCAAGCCGGTAACCCCGGCGGAAATCCCCACTAGTGGCACTGCGCCGCAAGCCATAATTCCAATCGACTCCTTAAGATTGATTCCGCAGCCCCAACCTGAACCAGAAATTCAGCTATGTCAAGTGCCGTGTGTAGCGTCACCCCGCTTGGAGGTTGTCACTTCCGCAGACGGACCGGTGAGCCTATGCGATGCCGACGTGGCGGTCCTGGGACAGCTGGCCGCTGAGTGCCTATCGGCCAAGCTGGATGTTAAAACAAATTGGATGCCGGTCATTCTGTGGGATCTGGGCCGGTGGTCTGAGGCGGTGCAATTCGAGGCGTTGATTGTGCAGTATAACATTCCTGAAGCAGATGTTGTAAGCTTCCTCTTGTGCCTACGCAGTCATTTACTGGTACGGAAAAACGCAATCAAATCGTGTACAATGTACATGGTGCATTTTAACGATGGTTAACAGCTAGTAGGAACCAAGGTCACTCGTGGAGAACTTGACGATTTGGCTACAAGTTTAACGGAATTCTGGATAACGTGCAACCCAAAGTATACTTTGCATTAGCGTTTCTATTAATTAAGTTGTCAAAACAGTTTTTTTACAGTGTACAGATACGGAAAATCGTGTTGCAGCGTTTAACAAAGTGTCCCCCAATGTGCCATTTCATCTCCACGGTTTACCTGCAGTTTTATGCGAATCTTGTGCAAGTTGTAGCACCGCGAGATCGAATTTTGAGTAACCAAAATAACTGGACATTTTAATTATTTCAATGTATTTCATTCTTAAGAGCTTTTATATGTAGCTCAAAACGTGCGTTTCCTGGAGAAATTGTTGGGTGTTTTGGACAACTGGATGGTCTGCATGGGAAGAGCGTTTCCTGGGATGATTGGTGGCGCTGTGGTTAGTGTTCCCGCAGCCAACAGAAATTTTGCTTAGACGCTAAGGCAATTTTATCCAATTGCAGATCGCGGCCACCTTCGGGTTCGTGTGCGTGTTGGACAAGCTACTACGGTTAAATAACAGTTGGCGCAAGATGCCGAAAGAGCACGGATATTCGCAGACGACACGAGAACTCATGGAGCAACTTTTTACCGGTGTTTGCGTAAGGCACACGTAAAGAACTGGTAATTGTGAAATCCGTTGTATCGTACGCTCTTTAACTGGTTACAGATATCAACGAAAGGTCAACTGCAAACACTAACTGTTCAGTGCGCGGAGATCTTATGGACGTTCATCCATGAGTCAGCGTCGCGTTACGGGTTCTTGTCGTCCATTGAGGAGATGCTGCAGAATAGCGATATAGTACAACAGACCAAGGATGCCTGGGAGATCATTTTGTAGGTTATGTGTTCTATCCTTGATCATGTTCACTTGAAAAATCGGATAAAATTTTCAATTCTTTTATACATTTAATTTCAAGATTTTTTACTTGCGTTTGAAGTATCAAGATCTCTAAGATAGCTAGCTATGAACAAAATTTAAACCAAGTAAAGAAAAAGAGTTTAAAATAAATGTAAAGTCTACAATATCGACCCGATTCGACAGTTCACTGCTTACACTTGTCTGCTTTTTTAACGACGAGATTGCCACCTGTTGGGGGAGATCCAGAACTAATTCGTTATTATTTGATTTGTATTGCCAGTGTTTCTGTTTTTAAAAGTTGACTCCAGATAATAGAAACAAAAGAATATAAAATAACGTAATAATGAAAAAAATGTTCAACATACAGTATATCGGAAAACTTTCAACATAGAAAAATTTTGCCTAGGTCGGTGATGGAAAGCAACATTCCATCATTTCATCCTAGCGATCATTCTGCCGTGGAAACGTTGGTGCAGTTACTGTTACAATGCGTGGCCTATTTTTCCGACAAAGCCACCGCCCGGGAGCAACTCTTAAGCCCAGTTGAATATTTTTCCAAGGTTTGAATAAGTAAAGAATTACATAAAAGCAAAACGTAAAGAATAACATTCGCATAAAAATATTAACAGCAAAATATCTGATGTGTTTACTGGTGCGACAACGGCAGACAGCGTTGTGGTGTCCGCCGGTCGAGGCAACACCGATAACGGTTTGCTTGACCTGTGCGGACCCGCAATGCTGATGCCCTGGGATGTACGCCTACATGATACTGTACGATAAACACATTAATTTTGCAGACCTTTGCCCAAAGCATGCCGGCGCTAAGTAGGGAGACCGACGGAAAAGGTCACATAGCTGTCGATTATTATGTTCACTGTTTAGCACGGGGCGCACGGTGATTGTTTGAATGAAAAAAGTTAGCAACTTCGAGCCAGCAACACATGTATACTTGCGATAAGAAAGCAAAATGTTGTGTTGGGTTTGTATTTCCGCTACTTTTTACCGCAAAATTGTCGATACCATAAAACTTGTGTAATTTTGTACGCTATTTTAATGTGTCGGAGTTTGAGAGTGTGTCAATATGGCCGATAACAAACTGAACACCGTGATAAAAGTTGCTCCTGATTCAACACAGCGGTATGAATGTATGTAATTTGAATACTAATATAATTTTGTTAACAGCATGAATGTATGTAATTTGAATAAAATTTGGTTAACGCAGCTGCTGTATGTTTATTTGTTTCCTATGTACAGAAGTGTTCGACATGCAAAATGCAAAGGCACGCAAAAAACTGGAAAGATCAGTCATCGGCAACTCGGCATATATAATCTGTATCGCTCTATATGGGCACAATGTTCCCATTCGGCAATGGGGTAACTGGCGTATCTTCGGCCTCAGTGGCCGGGATGCTTGGCTCGTCGAATATCTCCCGCGTCAACCAGTAAGTTTGAATTTCCAGGTTGTCGTTGATGCGGATGGGCGCTTCGCGGGCCTCTGTCTCGAAGGTACCCACCGTCTGTAACAACCGTTCGCAGGGCGCACTGATCTGGATGCGCATGGCTATCAAACAGAATCATCCTATTAAAACCCATGATTCGACCAATCAGATTTGACTTACGTTGCGACGAAGACTCCATTTTGGCAGCAATTGTTATTGTCTCCCCAAAGCTACATTTACATAACCATTAATCCTGCTGTTAGTTAGTGTTAGTACTGTTAAATACGTGTGGCTAAAGGTCACGTACAGACAAAATCTCGGCATTACCAATCCAACAACACCAGAGACGCACGGACCTAAGTACACAACCAACATGTCGTCAATGACACGGGGTAATACGTTGCAAAATTAAATGCATACCCATGTGAGCTCCCAGCCGTAAGCGCAACTGTTCATTCGGCATGTGGCGAATCTTGAACACCCGGATCTCGTCCAGTAACATGATGGACAACCGGCAGATTTCCCCTGAATGTTTGCTTCCATTGCGTATCGGCACACCGGATGCCACCTGAAATACAAACCCCGCTGTTGGTGGCAGACAACTTCATTCAGTGCAACGGTTTTTCTTACGACATAGCAATCGCCGATGGTCTCCACTTTATAAGCATCAAACTTGCGAATACAACTGTCGAAGATGGTATACAAGTCATTAAGGAGATCGACCACCTCTGTGGGCAGGCTGCGTGAGGACAGTGTGGTAAAGCTAACGATATCGCTGTAATACACGGTCACCGCGTCGTAGTTTTCCGGTTTGACGTGCTCGCCACGTTTCAGCTGGTCGACCACCGTCCTGAAAGTATCCTCGGTAATTTGATCATGTCGACACCCTGAATGCTACCCTAGGAGTTAGGCGCCTCTCTTTTTTGTACAATAAACTGACCTGGGTAGAATTTGATACAAGAGCTGTTCACTTTTCTCCTTCTCCACCATAAACTGCTGGGCTTTCTCTTCAACAATGTGCTCCAACTCCATTGTGTGCTGTTCCATGCGACGAATTAACGTATCCAAAATGCTACCGTGTTCGCCCAAATTTCTAAAGAAAATTCAACCTTTTTTCTTATAACTTTAATAGATAGCTGTTGAATAAGCGATAACCTTTCGCTTTCTTTCATGATGCTCTTGATCTGGGCCAGCCGGGGTCGCTCCAGAGGATTGCTGGCCCAACACTGCTTCATGAGAACGGTGATCTCCGGTGGACACTGGTTGGCGTCCACCTTTGGGCGGAAGGCTTTGTAGCCGGATTTCTTTACTTTGGCCACAACCACTGAAGCGTTGATTACGGACTGGTTAATAAACGATCGCGATGCAGCAACACTGGGCAATATTATAAACATACCGTCCGGGTCCATCCCATAGGACGCAAAGGGTGGCTCTCGCATAATGACTTCCTGAAGGATAATGGCGAAGGCGTAAACGTCACCTTCCGGCGTACCCTTCCCAAAGGGCGTGTCCAGCAGCTCCGGCGCTGTCCATAGGAGGCTGATGTAGTAAGCCGCATCGGGAATGGGCGGAATGGCGCGCGTGAAGAAACTGGGCAGACCGTAGTCGGCTACGCGAAGGACAAAGTGGGCATCAATGAAGCAGCACTTGGACTTGAGCCGGCCGTGACAACCCAGGGCTGTGGTAATAGCGTTCAGGCCGTTCATCATGTCCTTGGCGAAGGAGAACCGAAACACCCAGTCCAGCTTCACCGCGTCGGAGCCTAATAAATCCTACCAAATGATGCGCTTATTAACCGTCACCTCAAAGGTCAGCTAATGTTTTTAGACTTTCAGGTTTCGTACGGCGATTGCCGGTGCACGTATTCGTCTTTGTAGAGTAACAAATAAAAGCTGAGTTTTTTCTTACAAATAGGCTGCCCTTAGAGCAGTAGGTGTACATAACCGCCACCCGGCCCGGTCCACAGCACAGTCCCTGTAGTCGCAGGACATTCTCGTGGCTGATGGCGCGCACCGCTTTAATCTCGGCTAGCACCGGTCGCGTGATCTCAATCAGGCCCGGTTCGCCCACCCTGACAATAACGCGCACTCCGTTGTAGTGGGCATTGATTGTCTGGTTGATCATGGCATTAGGGTCCTCGTAGATGGTTTTCTGGTTAATCTGAATATGACTCCCCATCAACTCAGCCTGGCTCTTGGTCACGTTGCTGTTTTTGGGATTGGGCGTGCTGATTTTGGTGACATCGCGCCATGTGCCCAGCAAGTCCAGCTGGGCCAGCTCGGCTTTACGGGACAGATGCCGGTAGAGGAAGATGCCAATGATTATGGCAAGGACGAGGAGTCCGCCCACGATGCCCATCGCGATGCCCAGTGTGACCACTAGAGCGACAATAATAAGTGTTTGCATTTGCACGATGACCTTTCGTTTATTTTATGATTCTTTTTGTACACGCACATTGAACGCTTTTAGTATATAATGCCCAATAACAATGATATAATTTCCTCGAAACTAACTGGAATTATCGCATGCCGCGGCCTGTCCGTCGTATCCGCACACCGGCTCGTTGAGCGGCGGTGTATTAGTAGGGTTATGCCAGTTAAAGTACGGTGACACCGGGTCGAATTCGTACTTGGGATTATCGATGACTTTGTAGCCGAAAAACGATGCCACCACCTGTGATCAGCAAAACAACTGTTCTCAAACGAACTTTGCAGCAGCTGAGCCTTACACTCTCTGCTTATCTCTGCTGGCTCTGCCCATTAATTTTAGAATAAGTAGAATAAGAAGCTGGACTAGCGACATGACGCTACGTACGTAAGCTTTGCCATCGGCTTTAAACTGGTACATGGAATGGTCATCGTTGCGGTCGCCCATGGGGTTGATGTAAACATTACCGGTGGCGCCTACAGAATAAACAATACTAGGTCATGATGGCTCTTGCGGAAGGCAAACTGAGGTTTGCCTACCGGGCATTGTCTTGCCCCACTGCTCCGTGGACAAATTCTGGACGTTGACCGATATATCTATGGACTGCCCCATCTCCAGGGTTTTATTTACGGACAGCGCATATACTAACACCGAATCGTAGAAAGCCGCCACGTAATAATTGAACTGTACCTAATTGGACACATACGTAACGCTGATGCACTAAACGAAACCTATAAAAACGTCATTAATTTATGTCCAGTTTATGTGTCCCCACTTTCATGCCGGGGAAATCGCGGCGGGCAGTCTCGTTGACCTTCTGTTGGAAATCGATGTATTCCGGTACGTCGCTGGTGTCGCGCAGGGTGAGCACCATCAAGCTACGGTATGCTTCCCGGGCCTCGTAATCCATCGTGTCACCTGCAGCCATTTAAAGACAAGCACACGTACTGTAAGTTCATGTACACAGTGTAAACCTTATAAACCAGTCTATGTACTGCATAAACCAGTATGGACTGAAAAAAGTTACAGTAAATAATTTATTCAACTCGGTAATCTTGTTTATTTGCATCGTTTCGTTGTCTTACAAGGGTCATTCAACAAATTTTAGAAATTGCTCTGCCGTTGTCCACTGCATTAACTTTAACTGCATTAACTCGTACTAGCTGTAGCGATTTTATCGATGGTTGTTCTGTCAAGCAAAAGGTATGAGTGCTGCAGCTTTCATATTACAGGAGTAATACCGGCCTGCTTCGGTTATGCTCAGCTGAATGTGATTCAGTTTACGGTTAATTGCAATTGGATAATCACATACCGCGCTCCCATCCGTTCGGTCCCAGAATATCATCACGGAACGGGTCTAAGGTGAAGAAAGCGTAGTCGCCGTTGGTCAGATAGCCGGCCCGCTTGGCGCCCAGCATAAACCACCGTAAGTACGCTCCCTTGGTCAGCACTACCACTATGCGCGCCCGCGACGTAGCGTTCTGTAAAATGGCTATGGCGTCTTCTGCCGAGTTTACATTTGTGCCGCTGAACGGGTATTCTCTGGGGTTAAGACTGCTGTTGCGTAGATTAGTCACCAAACCTGCATAAGATTACTAGTATATGATCAGTAGATTCAGTACTTATCTTATATACTGCAGTGCGTTGCCGATGTCCGAATGCGCTGCAGCGAGTGATGGATGACGGTGTGTGTGACGTACTCTGTGCATTGGTCACCTTGACGGCGTTCTGGCGGTTGTACACCACGGCCACATTGGTCCATTTATATTTAAGACACAGATTGACGAAAAATACCCACTGGGTGTAGGTGTTGTAGGAGCAGCGTGTGATGAAGGGGAATTTCGCGGTGGAATCCACCAGATCGCCGGCCCCCGTCACACTGGGGACTCCGAGAACCGTCTGCAGCTCCAGTGAGGCCATCATGTCGTTGGTGCAACCTGGACCTGGAACGAGCACAGCCTGATACAAAACGGCAAATAATTACAGATATGAACGACAAAATTATATATACGACGAATGGTTGGCTACATGAGCTGGCAACGGGGTGAGGATATTGATTGGGTGACACTGATTAGGTGACACACGCCAAAAAATACCGCTATAAGAAATGTGACAAATCAGTAAAATTATTCATACTACATACCCATTTAGCGAGCGATTACAGCGTTAAATTAAAAAGAAGCCCAGAACAGATCACTTATGAAAAATTAGTTGCTATCTCAAACGATAGGCGCTGTGTTTGGCTGGACAGTCAGCACAATAGTCAAACGCCACAACGCCATTTCTATACTGACCGGCAAGTGCCAACAGACCAGTCCCTTACCAATGATCAGCTGGACATTCTGCAAGTAGGTGCACTCGTACGTCTTGCCCATGGCATTGCTGGTGCTGCATCCGTCGCTGTTGCTGCCGGGATACAGACAAAGCACTTCCTCAAAGCGGACATTGAAACGCCGCAGACTCTCATCGTAGGCGGCGTGCAGTGCCGGCTTTACCAAATCATAATCATAAGCCACACTGCTCCCGTCAGTCAGCAGGACACCCGCCCGGATTACCGGCGTCTCGGCGCCGGCAAAGGTCACCACTGGCAGCAGCAGACACCACACCACGCCGACACCACTGAACATTGCCGGACGAAGAAACGGGAGCGGCGCGGGAGACTATTTCAGTGGGGCATAGTTGCCAAATGTGGTCGCGCCAACCGAGGAAGAAAGCGGAGACGGGAAGAGAAAAAACGATCGTACTTATCAATTATGCATTACAGTCGGCTGAACGATTACACGTAGGCCAATTTGTGAGTGTATGTGTGTGTGCAGCCGGTCGATATAGTGGCATGCAGTGCGCATATAACATCCGCCCAAAGAATAACAAAAGCCAAGCGATCTATTTTCTCACTAAACTTGCCAGCGGTGTGCGAGCGGCGTCCCATTGTCCCCCTGTTGCGTTGGCTAACATTATGTACTTCCGCGCGGAAGTAGCACACCGCCACCCTTAACGATCCTCTTCGACGGTGTGGCCTGGCCCGTTTGTTTATCTTCCCAATCTCATGGGGAGGCTCGTTTAAAAAACACCCGCAAAGGAATCGATATATACACAGAACAGTGCAGTTCACGGTGGCGCTGAATGGCTTGTTAAGGTGGGCTTAAATGTGTCCAGCGCCGATCGATGCCCATCAAATGTTGACCCAGCATTCAGCGATAGCCTGTTCAGATTAGGGATTGTGTGTTGATTTTGCGCATTTACTCCGGTGCCTCATTAAATCTTCATTTAACCACCCAAACGGTAGGATATTGTATAAAATCCCCGTTGCATCGATCAGCGCGGCTTAAAGCGATTGCATTGTCATTTTGTGAGGCACATTTAAATGGTCGGGAAAGTTTCAGGTTTGGACCGACATCAGCGCTTTCATCGGTTTGACCGTAATCGATAACCTTGGACTAGGCGTTGCAATTTGATGATGCGACAAAATGATGTTCGGAAAAAACACAGACAGATACAGGAGTTCTTGTGTACTGGTATATAACCGTTTTCAAGTGGTGACTGCCAAGTGTCAAGAAACTGTCAACTGTCGAATACTGTCATTAATGTCAAGCGGTAATGCGATATCTGCATCTGTAATACGGCACTCCTGTGGAGATATTGCTAAGATTAACATTCATCCAAGATTTCAGCCGTTAACAGAACATTGTACTCTGTGTAATACTCTTTACAGAAAAAGGCAAAACGGTGAATTCATAGAATCATGTGTTGCACTGTCCAATCACACAAAGTATGGGCAAAAAAAGAGACCAGCCGCGGCTGTAGCTTTAATAGTAACGTAACGCAGTCCAGCTTGTTGAACTGAATTGCCATTCACGACATTTTAGCCAGCTCCTGAGCCTGTTTCTCAATGAAGCCGGTCTTCTCGCCGATTAGCCAGTAGGTGGTCATCGGGCCCTTGCCCTTCACCTCGATTTCGCCGCGCTCGATCATCTCGAACATGCCGAAGTTGTCCAGCAGTTGCTTAGTGGACGTACTGATCTGGATCCGCAGACCTAGCGCGAAAAACAACCCAGTTACCTTTTCGCGAAAACAACGCCACAATCAACTAAAAAAATCCAAGAAACTGAAAGAATCACTAAATTGTTACCTTCGCCGGTGGACTCCATGCGGCTAGCGGTATTGACGGTATCACCAAATCTGCAAAACACAATGACCGAAGTTTTCCCATCATGGAAGTGCGTGGGAAAAGGGCACAACTTACAAGCAGTAGCGTGGCACGGCCAGGCCAATCACACTAGCTACCACCGGACCTGCAATCGGCGCGTTAGAAAGGCCGGCTAAAACAACAAACGACTAAGAGGGTGTCCCACCGGAATTAACTCCGACCCGCAGGCGCGCCACTTCCAGTGGCCGATGCCGGATGCGAAAGGTTCCGATCAGCATCATTAGTGTCAGTGCCAGACGTGCCTGTTCTTTGGAGTGCTCCAGGCCGTTGCGATTGGGAAGACCAGAGGCCACCTGGCGTCGATAGTATCACGGTCAATAAGGACAAGCAGTCAAGATGACTTAGCATATTTTACCATGTACGAGTCATGGATGGTCTCCACTTTGTATACGTCGAATTTAGGGAGGGTTTTATCAAAGAGGGAATCTGCAAAATAAATTTCATATACTTCTGTGTGAACTAATTTGGTTGCGTTATCATATCGCAACAACGTACACAAATCGTTGAGGAAGTCGACAATTTGAACGGCCGTGCTCTCCATCGTGATGGTGGCGAAACCGACAATGTCGCTGAAGAAGATGGTGGCACTGTCGAACGCTTCCGGCTCCACAGTTTCGCCCTTTTTTAATTTCACTGCTATCGAACTATAAATCACAAAAATTAACAGTCATCACAATTGATCCACAATCTGAACACGACTGAATAATCCTGACGATTTCGGCTGTTTTCAGTTTCACAGTTTAAGTTATTGTTGGGCTTGTGTACCTGGGCAGTATTTGGTTGAGAAGGGCATCGGCCTTGCGCTGTTCTTCCTGCAGATCTTGCGTCTTTTCCTCGACGATCTTCTCCAGATCGGCGGTGTACTGCTCCATTTGGGAAATGAGCAAATCCACCAGATTGTGCTTCTCGATGGCGCCCCTAAAACGCATCAAAAATCACTTTTCGACACTCGTACTAACAAGGCATGCCGCCGAACTGACGGACCGTGTTGCCTGTCGAATGCTGGTCTTGATCTGCGGAAAGCGGGGTCGCTCCAGCGGATCATGCTGCCAGCACAAATCCATCAGAGCGATCAGGCCCAGTGGGCAGTCCGGGTTCTGGACGTTCGGCCGGAAGAGCAGCTCCGAACTCTGCACTCTCGAAATTATTTCTACAGAGTTATCATGCTTATAGTCGGAAGTCATCAACGGTGAAAAAGCAACACCGCAAACATTTAGCGTCAATGAACACAATTGACGGCATACAAATGTAGAACTAGTGAGGTTATGCTCCTTGCTTCGATTTGCCCATTACATTTCGTTGCAAAATTAGTTTAATGAATTGTAGAAAGGGCGAGAAGTCGGGTTATGCATAAAGCGTCCATAACGACAAAAATTAATGAATTGCCTAATCTAGAAAGATATTCCATTCCCACAAATTTTTTCTCTTTGGGAAAATTCGGTTGTAATCAGCTTAAAGGCAAGAAGCCAAAAGGTCAAGTTCTTAGCATGCATAGGTGATGAGGAGATGAAGTGCGAAATGTCTTACCGGAGGGTTCATAATCATACATGGAATACGGCTCCTCCCTGAGAATAACCTCCTGCAGGATGATCGCATAGGCGAAGCTGTCGCCCTCCGGCGTGCCTTGTCCGTAGGGATTCCCCAGTAACTCCGGCGCCGTCCAGTACAACGCAGCGTAATCCTGATTGGTCATCTCCTCCTCCGGGGGCAGGCTCTTGCGGTAAAACGTTGGCAGTCCATACTCGCCCACCTTCAGCACAAACTTCCCGTCCACGTAGCAGCCGCGCGAGGACAGCCTCCCGTGACAGCCCAGCGTGCTGTTCTGGATGTAGATGACGCCCTTGACGATGTCGTTCAACAAGGAAAACCGGAAGATCCAGTCCAGCTTCTGCGTCTCATCCACCAGGATGTCCTGTAGTGTCCCTTTGGAGCAGTACTCCCCGATGACCACCACGTTTTCCGGTCCGAGCGTGGCGCCCAAGAAACGCCACAGATTATCGTTGACCATGGCCCGTGCCGTGCGGATCTCTTGTAGAATGTGCTTATTGATGTGAATGGGGTAGTTGCGCCGCTCACACTTGACCACCATCACGGGCGGCCGCGCCAGTTGACAAAAAATAACCGGCCGCTGCTGGGCGGCGGCCGGCGTTTTGAGGCGCCGGTGCTGGACGTGTCGGACTGCATGGAAGCCTTGGACTGCGAGGTACCGGAGGCAAAGCTGTTCATGGACATCCGCGAGGAGGTGGCCGGCGCGTCCACGTTCAGCTCGTCCCATTCGGCGATCCACTCTTTCTGCGCCAATGCCTGCGCCCGTTTAGCCTTGGTGTAGAGGACGACAAAGGCGATGCCACCACCAACCACCAGCGCCGTTCCCAGGATGCCCGCCACAATGCCGGTGGTCTCTGTGTGTGCAGGAAAACCATGGCATTGCTCTACATGTTTTTGGTGGCTGACTGTTTTATACCTGTGTCGAAGCACTTGTCGTCGTCGTAGCCGCACACCGGCTCATTGATGGGCGGACTGCCGTCGGTCGTGCGCCACATAATGTCCAGCCGCGGCCGATACTGGCCTTCCAGGCCGTAGTACTCGGCGATAACCTAACGACAAACTATCATTGATTCTTCCAAATAATTTGCAGTTTGATCGTCCTTTACGAGGCAAAATCCCTCGTATTAATGGCAGCAGCTATTACCGAGAAAGTGCCGGAATTGGTGTTAGTCATGTAGTAAAGATCCAGATCGTGGTTGCGGTCGCCGCCCGGGTTAATATACACTAGTCCACTAGCCCCTAAAGGTCAACGCGGCTATTAAATCCTCTCCGGTACAGTCCACTACCTGGCTGTGCTCGTACCGTGCATGGTCTGGTTCCACATCCCGTCCAGCACCATGGCCTTGGGGTCCCAAGTGCCGTTGCCGTTAGCGTCCACCTGCTCGCGAATGGCGCGCGCCAGCATGAGGATCCCGTCGTAGAATGTCGTCATGTAGTAGTTGGTGCGCGGATTCCCCGAGGCTATCATCCGTGCTTGGAATTCCTGGAATTCCGGCGTGCCGCGCACATCCTTCAGGCTGAGGATGAACAAGTAGGAGAAGCCAACGAGGGCGTCGTGATCGTAGCCGTCGCGTTGCTTCCAGCTGCCCGACGGCGTCAGCAGCGTGTCCAGGAAGAAGTCGGTGGCGAAGTAAATGTATTCGCCGGTCATCAGTTTCTGCCGCTTGGCGTACACCAGGAAGTAGCGGACCAAGGCCGGTGGCAGAAGAAACAACACCACTGCAAACATAACTTTAATTCTTTTGTGAATAGCGCTTTCATAAGTGAAACTAATAATTTTTACTAATTATCTTGCACGGGTACCGGTACTTCTGCTGCATGTGTGCCATAGTGCGAGTATTTTACCTCGGGCATTATGCGTTGCCTGGGTCAAGTAATTCGGCACAGAATCGAAATCTTCGAACGCGGTTGCATTGAAGGAGATGACGATGGAGCGCATTTCGGGGAAGGTTTTTAGTCGCGATTGAAAACCTAAAATTAATAACCGACACCTTAGATAATTTTTTAGCGAGTGGTAAAATTAATACCAGTGGAATTCTCAGCAGGTGGTACACTCAAGCACAAGCTGCACAACAGGTGCCAGTTATTTATTAAAAAATGTATTACATCTGGTTTCGAATCTATCCGAGTAAGAAACAGTATATACGGATTATGGTGCTCACTTGTTGCGAGAACCGTATTCTGGAGATTGTCGTTGTCGTATACAATGGCGATGTTGATCCAGCCGTACTGCTGGAACATCTTGATGAGAAAATTCCACAGGTCGTAGGTGCTGAAGCCGGTGCGCGTCAGCAGGTCGTACTGGGCCGTACTGTCCACCAAGTTAGCCGCCCGGTGACGGTGGGGATGCGGAAGAAGGTGGTCAGCTCGTTGACGATCTGCATGTCGTTAGTGCAGGCCGGCCCGATGATCACCTGCACGCTGTCCCTGTAACCACACCGTAGTGGTTGCACATCCCATCGGAAACAAGTTAATCGCCAAACATCACAGTGTACATAGTTTATAGTCCACAGATGTACTGTACGGTCTGTACCGAAGCTGAGCACCTTAACCTTTACTGATTACGGATATCGGTCACCGTAAATCGTAATTATCTTGCTTTTTTCCTGGTATAATTCGAAGATCGACGAGTGACATACTTGACAGCCAAAATGGACTCGCCACTGGCATTCCACATCCAGCAGCCCTGCGTGCGGCGCAACGCCGGATCCGGGCTGGAGGAGCTGTCGGCCGAGACATCGTAGATGTAGTTTCTGTTGCGGAAGACCACGCTGTACTGCGACTGCGCCTTGGCAAAGGCGGCGTCCAGCGCCGGCCGCATCACCTGGAAGTCATAGAGGCACCGGTGTCGTGCGTCAGGATGACGCCGCTGGTGACGAAGATCTGGTTGGGCGGCGGCGTAAAGGAGGTGGTCGTGGTGGGAGTCGTCGTGGTCGTTGTTGTTGTTGTGGTGGTGGTTGTTGTTGTTGTCTCGATTCCTGGAGGAGATGATAATTTAAAATTACTGTTAATTTTGTCCTTCAGTTTTAACTGTCTGCCCTTTAAAATTATTAGAAGCTAAAACTGAAAGATCCACTGGACAGGGCTACTGGTTTATGTTGTGTAAATCGTTCAGAATTTGACGTAAGGTTTCATTTCTCAACGCCCGCACACGCTAGATTCAATGTAGATGTGTCCTTTACAGCCATCAGTGCGGGTATCATACCAGCACCGCTGTGGCGTGCTTGCGGCCGGAAAAGGACGCACTTCCGCATATTGCTGCATTATCGCTGGAGAGCGAAGGTGTTTGGCAATGTAGACTTAAGTGCATTAATAAATTAGGCACACAGATCGATGATTGCCCGTCTATATACGCGCGCCCTTCCTGATCAAAGGGCTTCCTTTGAGCATATTTTTTGTATTTTTTATACGATTCGCCGTACAATACTTTATACGACACCTTAATCGCAATGCCAAAAAAGGATTTTGATAATCGGTTTAAACCAATCAGCTTTTTACAAAAAAATCAAAATATTACACACAAACGGTACAAGGTCGTAAAAAGAGCAAGGAAAAGATTACCGGCACAATTATTGCAAAGACGTAAAATAGCGGACTTGACGTTACGCAATCTGCGGACGAACGCAAAAGCTATGTCTAAAGCAATTATAAAATGATAGAACCTCTGATAAACGGCAAAATGGCTGGCTTACAAAAAGAACACAACGGCTGAAGTGCCGGAAACGACGACATCCTGCACCAGTCAAATCCATACGTGGACGCGCGCATTCGACATCCGCATAACGCGGCGGGACACGGGTAATCCGCAGCCAATAATCATATTACTGCCAGTACGGTCGTACCAACTAAACGTCAACAACGCCACTCTGCGTCTTACTGAATCCCGTTTGACCACTACTAGATTCTATAGAAGCGTTAGAAACACTAGAACCGTTTCAAAAACTGAGGTTCGTTAATTAAGTACATCACTGTACATGAAATTACAACCCAAACTCAACGCATTATTATGGGTTTTATAAAAGAAACAAACACCGGAACCAAGCGAGCAGTCTTACCTTGAGCCGATACGGAGGGAAGAAGAACACAGTAGAAAACAAGGAACCTCTTCATCGCCCGCGATGCATCGCAATATCCATTCAAGAAACCGTCACACATCACCATGATTCGGCGATAGCGCATAATTTAGCCGAAAACAAGACATATCATCCAGCGATTAGCCGCGTCCAGAAAATAAGAAAACGCCTTCGCTCCCGGCGTGTGCGATATCGACGCGCAAGATGGCGAAGAGCGCCCACTTAACATCTTCCTTGGCCTCTTGTCAAGGTCATACAGCGCGTTGCGCTCCGTGTGCCGGGGCTACTCTGTACATATGTGTCGAGCAGGTGAATGAATAGCTGCGGCAGCGCGCGTCTCCATTATGCGGCTGCCTGACAAAAGAGCGGCCTTTGTCAGCGTCCCCAGCGCGGCTGTTTGCCTACCGGCATTCTTCTGTCGTGGCTACGCGCACTGCCTATTGATCCCGTAGCCGCGGCCAAATTGGCCGCTCCGCTCGTTGGCCGGGCCCCTCTTCACCGCTCGGCGATGTTTGCTTTATTACTTTTCATCCCGCTCTTCTACCTCCCTTCATAATTCATCTATCCCGGATGAACGGGAGAGTTTTTTGTCGATAATGCCGCGGTGATTAGCCGGATCGGATGTGCATGCTATGATGATGGCCGCGGATCGCAACAGTAACAACAAACCACGGCTTCGATCGCCGTGCTGCGAGGTTTCGTAACATACGGTGGCCTTTGCTCACCCGGCTTGCCGATATGTTTCCGCTCCAAGATGTTGTTGTCAGTGGGCACCATTGTCAGCACCGTGATTGCGCTCGATATCTGCGGACAATGACAGCGCAATAAAAAGCGCTGCATTTTGTTCGATTTCGCCGAAGAGCAGCGAAACCTACCAGTCTGTGCCGCTTTGTACCTAGACAAAAACGCAAAACATCGATGTCTCTTCTCAGCGGAAGACGTTTCTCTCAAAACCACAAATTCTTTTGACTGACTTGTCGACGGTACGTAGAAGTAGAACCGCACTCAGTCTTCGCAATATTTAGTGACCTTCACACGCGGTGTGAAAAGTCCTTGTTTTCGATGCGATGGTCTCCCTTCGTAACTTAACGGACGCGGTAATTAATAACCAAAAGCGTCTTATTGGACATTGCTAAACATTCACTGAATATCTATGCTTCGTTTTTCTGTTGCGTTTTATTAAAACCGTACAAAAATAATAATAAAATTACAAAATTCACCAAAGCATGAGTAACTGTTACCTGAAAAGTAGCGAACAATAAAGCTACAAACACTTGCTTGTAACAGACCGTGCTTGAAAAACACCATCCGTAATCTGAATAATCTCATTCTCAATTAGGTATCCAAATGGAAGCCCAAGAAACCGGTTTATTTAATGGAATAAAGACAATTCGAAACGGAAACGGGATTGTAAATTCTCCAACATCCGGGAGGGACGATCATTGAGAGGTCGTAGTATTGGCGGGATTATCGATGCTGACAACATGGCACGTCCAGGAGCGCGGCGTCAAATAGTCCACAATGATGTTGTCCTGCCCGTACAGATTCCGCCATTAAAGGATTACCAAATAAGTTTTTGAGAAAAAAACTTTATTTAGGGCAATGCAATACTTACGCTGCTGGCGGGACAATTGAAGCGCGCGTAATACTCAATTGTGTAAAGGCACATCAGCATTCCTAGAGTAGATTGCATAACTTAACCGTTAAAAAAACGTCATAAGTTATGGGGGTCGTGATGACCGAACTGTACCGAGTCCCAGCATCAGCAGCACCCACAGGACAACGTTCCACGGCGGTGAGGAACGGTGTTGCGTCGCAAACATCAACCACACTACAAATATAAACAAGGTCGTTAGCAAACAATCTGTTACAGATGCAGTGAAAAACACACCTCCAATGCCACCGAACATGACGAAAAGCACCGGGTAGAAGAACTGGAAGGTGCAGCAGAAGATGTACTCGTGGAAGATGGCTGACGTGATGAAGGTCACCAGGGTGGCTACATGCCGGTATTTGGCGCCCCACAACTGTCATAACCATAGAGTCATCACATGTTTTTGAGTTGGCACAGGGGGAGAAACACGCACCAGGTAAAGATCCTTGTAGATGTACGAGTAAAGCCAATCGTGCACCACCACGTTCCATGTGCGGTAATAATTGGAGAAATTAGTTGAGTTCCACCAGTCGCTGTCATAATAGCAAACTCTTAAATAAATGTGACAATGTTTTCACACAGTCATCAGGAAAAAAACATTATCGCGATTACATTGTCTTATATCAGAAACACTACTGCGCAAACAATAAATCCATATATGACAATCGAAGGCGCACACAACCGTATTAAATTTTTACATTTGGTATTTTTGCATCTATCCAAATACTACGAACACTTCGTACCGATAGAACATACGATCAGCGAAGCGGAACATCTCGGCGAAGGCGTTCATCCAGCAGTGCAGCAACGCAAAAACAGCACGACAAAGAGAAGTGAGCCGGGGAGGATGCAGCTAAACACGGAACTGACAAACGTCGGTAGATTTACATGCACCTACACACGGTCATGTTTGCCGTAATTTTAATAAAGTTACAGTACTGGTTGGAAATTAAATTTCTTACATGATTAAAATTGCGAAAGACAGGAATGCAGAAGCGGATGAAGACGTAGTAGGCGTACATAATGGCGCCGGCCACGTTGGCCAGGTTAGCCACCACGAAGCTCCAGCGTATCTTCTTCGTCCTAAACACGCAGTAAAACAGCATAAGAAACGTATGCACCGTTAGTATACTTAACTGTGCAATGCTCTGACATAAAACATTGTAAACTTCAGTAAACGAAACTGATTCAAAATAAAAACAGCGAACAGATAGCCGGATTTCATAGTTCTGATGACCATCTCGGACACATGAAGTTTATTTAAAAACCGATGCTCTTCGACAAAAAAAAACAGGACATTATTTCGTAACAGACTACGCTTGTACAAAATGGCTACTGACCTTGGATAATTATCGCGATAAACCAGTGTCGGCACGAACTGAAAATACAGGTATCTGCTGAAATCCAGCACACCTTCACCGGAGCTCCCGTCGGCTCTCATGATCACCGGGATCTTCTCACGAACAAACGCGTGCGACTTCATCATAAAACGAATCTAGCAAGAGAAAACCAAAATCCAGTGGTGCCAATAATGCCCAAACTTGTTGTGACTGCACCTGCTCGCACATAACAATGGCCGTCGACGCCGGCGGCAAGTCCAAATGCACCAAGTAATAAACGGGAATCACGAGAAAAGTGATTTGGTAGACGATATACAACGCCAAGAACCCATAATCCACGCCTCCTATGTCAAGCACAGCAAGCAAACTATGGAAGTGCAACAGACAAAGGGAAATATTAATACACATCATTCTGTTGTTCAGATAATATCAAAACGCTCGTGTTTTGATACCACAAAGGTCATGTGTTTATAATATCAAAACATTTTGTGCTGCATTCATTTGACAAGTAATATAGCTGACAGTCGCACAAGCCACTACGGTACAATTTATTGTAAATGTTTGTTAAAAGTCTGCAGATTCAATGCATAAGCTACTGTAGTATTAACGTTGTTTTGCCTACTTTGCACTTGTATCTATACGATAGCATACTAATATCGGCGAATGTGTTCTTCCTGTCTTTGCGCTTCTTACTCCTTTTTTTGACTAGGTTTAAAATCCCACGGCCCGCGCTAGAAATGCGACCCTAGCGTTGTGGGCACCTGTTGCGTTACATTACTAAGATTTTAGAACCGTCATGGCGGATACTTACATGCTAGCAAAGCGCAGTTTTCTTTCAGTGAAACATAAAATGATTTTATTCTCTACATAGCGTGCATTCAGATGATTCGGTATACTGGATAAGCGGACGTCCAATCACGACTTACCGGGCCTGGAGGAAGTAAACCGGGAACGCGACCAGGCTAATAGGGCACCGAAGACACCGAGCAACGTGAAGGCTTGCATGAACAGCCACACCACCATTACCGACGACAACTTGCCGAAATTGTAACGCAGCACTTTAAAATCCAATCCAAATCTAACAAAACAGTTTCAAGGCCATTTTACCGGAAATAATGCAAACGCTAAAGTAGTGCGGAATGAATTTCCCTTAAATCGTAAAACATTCGTTTGTTTCAGAATTTTTTACTTATAAACTCAAACTTTTCGTTTTCAAACTTAAAACTTGTTTTCGCATTTTTTAAGCTATGGCACGCATGGATTGTATGAGTTTGAACAAATCGAAAAAACATCAAACCCGCAGGGGTTGCCCAATGCGCAGCGCTTTGCTAATTCCACAAAATGCTTCTCAAAATCGCCTCCTGGCACACAGTAAGTGGCGTACGTAGAATAATACTCGTGGATTATATTATATACTGTACTTACGTTCCGTGGAACATGAAGTCGTTGACAATGGTCGACAGACCGAATACCAGCAGAACTACAAATTAAAATATCATCGCGGTAAGGCAAGCGGTCAGTCAAAACTTCAGTCAGCACAAACAGCTACACGTTGAATGTATTTTACTTTATTTAATGCTAACGATGAACCGCATATAAAGTAAAAGATGAAGATACACAGTAAATTGTTGTATCTGTTTTCATTTTAAATGAAAATTAGGGTGACTGAAGACAGCAATTTCTCCTACTCACCGGCAATGAAAATGTAGTGGATGGTTTGGAAATGTGGAATCTCGAACAGTTCCGTCAAGAGCGATGGTCGCGCGTAGAAGCGCTTGTTGACCAGTTTGCCGGTCTTGGGCACCGGCTTCAGTTGACTGCTAGACGGATACGCCGAGGGGACGCCTTCCGGGTGGTCCAACTGCCCCATCAGCTCTTCGAACATAGGATATCTCCTGGAAGTGCTCCACTTGTTCCTCGCATTTCGCTTTTAAAATCTGTTCAATTCAGCGCAAACAGTTTTCTCAAACGAAATCTTTCACAACATTAAATACAAAACCCGCGCGATACGCCAGTAATACTTCGGTACGAAATCAAAATTAAATAAATAATACAAGCGTGTTACCGTACTATCTCGTATTTGGTTTGGCTAGTTATATTAATTCGTAACAGTAAACAATTTTAATTTACTCGCATACAAAGTAATAATGTAACCTTCGAAATGAAACAAGCTCTAAAAAGTATTTGTCATTTCAAAAAGTAGCCACATTAGTGCTGGTGCTTGTGATTGATGGTTATTTTCACTCGCTCACCTTGGCTTTCAATCGCATCTCATTTCGCTGGAAAATCCTGTGAAATTCCCGATTTGGCAACAGGCGGCGATTTCGGGCGTCTGCCTACGAAAACTCACTGAATAGTGAATACAACTTTTTGAACAAGATTTTGCAGCCAGGCCGGGCCTGTTTGCAGCTGCAACCTACGTTCACGGAGCTGAGCGCTGCCTGACTGCGACGAGGATGAGGCTGGCTCGTTGTCGTTGCGCTCGCCCGTCAAGAAGTCCTGCAAGTCGCAGTCAGGACTGATGCTGCCCGACAAGGACGCCGTGCGATCCCGATTTCCCTGCGGATTGTCCATTCTGTGCGCTTCAGTAAGAACAAACAAGCACAAGGAGAAGACTGCAGCTTGAAGGGAAAACGTTGACTGCCAGGGGTCGGTTCGATTACTGTAATGTTTGTGTACCTATCTGTGGCACGTGCAACAACAGTGATAAGAAAGGGGCTACTCGGAGGAGTGGCCAAGCGAAGTTCCATCGTGAGCGATTGCGATAATATTCTTTCTGTAGAAGTAGTGGAAATGGGCTACGACTTCCGATTTAATTCTTGCGGTAGCTTCGACGACACGTGAGCAATAAAAATAATTTTAAGGGGATAAAAAATTAATTTGTTCTGATCCATTTTATGACGACTGTTGTTTAATTAACCTATCGTCGAAGAGGAGCGGTTTTAAGTTCCCAATCCATTATCCATCAAAACAGGAAGCAGTTGAATACAGTACTGTATTTACTAATGGGTAATGGCAATGGAAAACTGCATCGCTGGAATGGCAGCATCTCCACTGCTCGTAATGGACTGTTTGCAACTTTGTGCATCAGTTGTTGTTTTGATTTTTCTATACTTTTGAGTTTTGATTTTCGAAAACACAGTAAGTACATCAAGTTTCTGGTCAGATAAATCTGCACTCGTCAGATCTTCAAAAGTCTAAAATGTGTGAATTTCTACGGATGTGGACGGTTACTGCAAAGTTGTGAACTGCTGACATCGTAAGGCAGTGCGTCACGCTCATCTTCGAAGTACAGTACTAATACTTTAATCAGTAGTCGCTAGCTGTAGTTCCTCACTTCTTGATTTGGAATTGCGAATCCTCCCGGGCTTAATGACATCTTCCTTATTTCCCCCTCAGTAACCTGAAAATTCTCGTCGAGCTCAGTATGAACGCGATACACCAGAGCCTCTCCCAGTCAGCCATGGAGCCGCCTTCGATCGCCATCACTGCCGCCATGGCTGTTGCTCCTGCGGGTCCGCTGCAGCCAGCGCAGCGGAATCAGGTACGCCTGATGGATCTCCTCGACATGCTCATCCAGCGCGCTTACCACGATCTCATCCTGCTGGCCGAGGTAGACCTGGCCTACAGCGCCCGCAAGACCGATATGGACCGTAAGCTGGAGATCATGCAGTATCTGTCGCGGACGCGCAACTTTTTTATGCGCTTCCTGGCGCTTCTCAAATGGTCCTCCAATATGACCAAAGTCGACAAGTGCTTTCACATTATCAATACGCTGGAGGAGCAGTCTGCGTTGTTTGTGGAGACTGCCGATGTGCTGGCACGATTGTCGCGTGAGACGCTGTCCAATTCCAAATTGCCTTGCTATCAGGTAAATGCGGCGCGCACGTTTGCGGTTCAGTATGAGCTGAAAGGAACACGGTGTCCACGTACACGGAAACCGTATTGCGCGGTCTAGTTTGAGTGGCATATTTTCTGTATTTTTTTTTCACGGAAATCGTTTTCTTACTTTTCCGAATCTCAAAAGTTGTTTTCAATACAGATATGCACGAATTTATTTTTTTCTTGGTATTTAAAAAAAAGGTCTTGTAACTCTTTTGAAAATCTTCTGAACAATAAACTGACAAAATGCTTTTAAAGAAACCGAAAATTATTCGGTTAAAAATATGATTTTTTAGATAGCGCAAGCACTGCAGAACATTTCGAATACTTACAAAAGTACCGATAAATTGCCGATGGATATTTTGTACTGAAATACCTGTGAGGAATATGAGTTATTTATTAGCGCTTTTTTTCTGGGGAATTTTAGGTGTCCTTCGCGGTGGACGTGCTCAACTCACGCACCTGTCCGCGACTTCCGGCCTGTATCAAAGATAAGATCATCGCGCCGGAAGCGCTGACCGAGGAAGAGACGGCGGAGACTGTCTGGGAGTTGGAGAACGCGCTGATGTACCGACTGGTCACTAGTGACCGGCCGCCGTTGCCCATGCGCCACTTTACCGTGGGCAACGGTCGCGTGGTGTTCAGGGTGGAAGGGGAATTCAGCGTGGCCATGGCGGTGATGGGAGATGACAAGTCGATGCCCTTCTTTATCCTCGATATCGACATACTCGTGGAGCACCGCCGCGTGGGCGACGGGAAGCCCCTGGTGCACGCGCAGCAGATAAATTACGTCAAACAGCTCATTCAGACGCGGATTATGGACTGCGAGCAGCCGCTCGATGAGGTCCGTGAATGTTTCGAAAATTATCGACATCTTTAGAATTTTATAAAAATTAAATACTTTCATATGTGATCACTCACGTTTATGCTTATACGATCATCCTTTCGTTCAGGATATTATAGACGTCGCATTTTTAACTACTTTCTTTTTGACAGGTCTACAACATTCTGCACAATTTCTGCCAGAGCCTGAAACTGGAAGTTCTGTACAGTCAGGTGTCCAAATACATGGTCAACACCGGTATCGACTACTATCGTATCGAGTTGTACAAACCCAGTCACTCGTTGACGCTGGCCTACTGGGAGGATAACACGAAAAAAATACCAGGCACCCCGTCTCATACCGTCACCATCGCTCTGCCGGCCGACGACGATCCCAGCCCTGACTTTGTAGTACAACACACCCCGCCGCTCCTAACAAAGTTCCGCTGCGACAGCTGGACATCCAGGAGTGCCTGATGGGAGTCATCCACACCCGCGTCAAGGAGCGTCTGCGTCGTGTGGAGAAGGAGGTGGGCCGGTATCTTGCCTGTCGCTCTGAGGGGCTGCCGTGCCGGGTGGCGGTGGAAATGGGCCACGCCGTGGTGTGGATCGGGATCAACTACTACACTGGATTTTTTAACGTGCGGGTGGATTGCCTGAAGGACAGTGTGTATGTACGGCGCGTAGAGGACTATCTAAACAGCACGGCGGTGTGGAAAGTGGACAGGTTAGTGGGGTTGCTGCGAGAGGTGTACCTGGACGTGGTGATGACCGTGGTGCGAGGATTGGCACATAATGCCATGATCCTCGAGCATCCCCGACTGTTGCCGCAGGCCTCGGAGGTCTTCCGCCGCTATGAGCAGCTGGGACCACATAGCGCCCTCTTCCGTTTCCAGAAAAAGATTGAGACGACGGCACTGCTGGCCATCTCCGCCCACCTCGACCCCACCGTCCCCGATCATGTCCGCATTGACTATCACGTGTTGTTAGTGGAACCGCAGGGTTTGGTGTTACGGGTGGCGGGGATGATGTCCCGTGAGCAGATGGAGCAGGATCTAGCGCGGGAGACCCCTAAGAGCGTCCCTGAAGTGAAGAAACTGAATCCATTTGATGTGCTGAAGCAGCGGTTGGCCGTGATGAAGGCGGTGCGCAGTGGGGCAGTCAAGTTCGACGGTGGGAAGCGGTTCTGTCCCCGGGCATTGGAGGGTATGGAGGGAATCATCGTGGATATGGCGGAGATGAGTATGTTTGGGGATCTGCGAGCGGTTTTGAAGGAGAAGGGCTGGGCGGTGTTGGGTGTCCGGCGGGGCGCCGGAAATGTCGGACTGGAGATGCGGCTGCGTCCCGCGGAGGCGGAGATCCGCGGAGTGTCGTGGCGCCGCATGGCGCGTTTGAACGTCACCTCGACGTCGTGCTGGTTTGTGGATGTGGCGCTAACGGGTGTTCCCTTCCAAAAAAACGAGGACGTAATGCACACCACCCTGGCGTACGAGTCCAGCGTCCAGGCGGAGAACGTGGTGGATTCGTTCGGGTACGAATATCACGCCATGGTCAGTCTGCTACGCATAATGCAGCGTTTCCACAAGTTTGTCCAGTCGCGACCGGCATCACTGGAGAATTGGGATTATGATGTGGAATACACGGTGAAGATGGTGAAGATCAGTTACGGCGTGAATCGGGAGCTGATGATGGTTCTGGCGTGGTCCGGTGGGACGCGGCGGTTGCTGCTGGAATTCGGGACGCGCAGCGGGAACAGTTACAATCCCCATCGGCATCTACAGGCGCGATTGGGTGAGCTGCTGAACCGCGGCGATGTACGCAATGTGCACCGAGTACAGTTTGCGCGGGTGGTGGAATTAGTGGCCCTTACCACGCCGCTGGTGGTGGGAGCCCGAGCGGTTATGCGGCCTGTGGGGCTCAATATGTCCCGCTTCCCGCGGCATTTGCCGCCACAGAGCCAGTTTCAGGTCAGTGCTGGTGATTTGACACCTGTGTGAATTCAAACTGTGATAATCTGCACTTCCGCTTACATATCTCTGAAGCTTTGCACAAAATGCTTTCCACTTTATTTTTTTGATTTAATATAATTCGGAATCGCCATTTTAGTAACATTTCTTGATAATTATTTTAACGTTTTGAAAGAATTCTTTCTTTATTAAATGTATTTTGTGGGTAGTGATAGAAAGATAACTGGAGTTAGTAAACAGTTAACCTAATTACTAAATTCACATCTGCTCTGAGTCTTTGACGATTTGGATGAATTTTACCAATCGTTCATATTGAACATTTTTCAGTTTCTTCATATAAATTTTTTGATTTTAATTTTATCCAATAATTTTATTAATATAAATTTCGTGGCGCTTGCAGTTGGTCCCGTTGTCCTTGGCTCACTACGTTGCCTGCTGGAAATCCACCTACGGCATTTTAATCCATATCCAGCCGGGTCGCCGTCCACTGGTGAAGGATCTAGGCGTCCTGGGTGGACCATGGCAGTCAACGCCGCATCTGAAAGCGCTGGTGGAGCATGGCGATGGCGATGTGACGCACATCAAGACGGAGCCCGGTCTGCCCATATTGCCGCCGCTGGATGCCGACGTGCAGCTGTCCATGGAGCGCTTTTTTGCCTCTCTTCGCGCCTCCCAGCCGCATGTTGTGGAAGGACCCGGCAGAATTCTACGGGCTGGACAATAAGAAGAGAGTTGTATTAATCGAGTTTGCCGCCAGTAGTTTTTGAGGCATTTTGGGAATGTCGTTGTAATTAAGTAAATATTATTGATTTTCGTTGTCAGTATGTTTTTGACGGGTCGGAATTTTTTATTTAAGCTGATTTCAGGACCGTTGCTTTGTGAGTTCATAGGAATACATCTCAATATAAATAATGCAAAGAAGAAAAATCAAAAAATGGATTTACTGTTCGACGACGGTGATTACAGTGCTTTTATATTCCTGTAATTGTGAAATAGCGTCGTTGACGGAGTTACGTTTCATTTCGTTCAACATTGTAAACATGATAGTGTTACATAGCTAGGTTGGCCGAGTGGTTAAGGCGTCAGACTTAAGATCTGATGCTCAATAGAGCGCGTGGGTTCGAACCCCACACCTAGCACACTTTTTTCCTTTTTTTGTCTTCTAAACACGGTCTTTATCGTTTTCTTTACATTCATAATACAAAACACGGAAACAAAGGTGAACCTGAACTTTTAATAATATTTTAAAGAGATCTAAAAAGCGGAATTCTGACATGTAGCACTGCATGTTGACTAGTACACAGAACTAAATCAAGTAACATTTCAATACCATGCCTATCGTTAACAAAATGCGTTAAAAACAGTACAAAAACCTTCGATTCACAATTAAAAACGCAATAAAACGATTTGCCACAACCGGATAAACATTCACCGAGAGTACTAATCGGCATTCCCACATCAGCCGGACTGGATCTCGAACAGCGTCACCTTCGTATCAAACCAAATCGCCGGATTCGTATTCCTACACCACAGAAAATTTCATCGTTAGCCTATGACTTTTATTCATCGACGATTCCATCAAGGACAACCCACGATCGTAGCAAAAAGTGGAATTTTCATCAGCGGAACTCAGCAAATGTAACGAAAATTGTGATCATAGTATACTATAGTTGATAGTATGTAATATCATCTGATTACTACAGTACTTCATGAACAGCAAATCAATCACATCAGTACTATAGAAGTATGCACACCAGCATGCCTATAGTATTAAACTCACCGCAGGTACAGCACGCCCCAGAGGTAGGTACGCACCCACGTGCTGGTACCGGCGTTGGCTTGGTAGCGACGGATCAGCAGCGGATGCGGCACCGGCAGCAGCCCAACCAATGTTCCATTCTGCAGAAATTTGACGATCTCCGTCTCCTCCGTGATGTTTCTATATACAGCAGCACATCGGTTAGCGGCAGACAACAGGAGACAGGGGATTTATATATCTTACTTGTCCATGCAAAACTTCTCCACCTGCGGTACCAACACCTGCAGTAAACGCAGCACAGTTGCCATCGGCAATTTATGCTTCCACGACCGGACCTATCAAAAAAAGTTAATTTCCAAGCCGGTTTTTTATTCCTCTGTTTTATTTTGGTGCATAGCAGAGCCCGTTGCTATAAAATCACCCTGTAAAATGATCTAAAGCCGGCTCAAGAAGAAATTGGTAAAACATAATTCGGGACAAGATTTAGGGAGAACTAACCCATTCGGGTGTCGGCGTCCATCCTGCGCTTCGCGTCGTACTGGCCACCGACACGGACCGCGACAATGCTTCCCGCCCTGTCTCTACGCCAACTTTTTCACTTCTAATTTCTCCCAAGGCTCCATGCGGTCCAGGAGCAGGATTAACCGGCACCGTATTCAAATTAAAGCTCTTAAAATTAAATTCAAATTAACATGCTTGCATGAAATACTGTATGACAAAAAAATCTGTTTGTCTCACCAGATTGGCGTTACTACGCGAGACAACCGGGATGCGCGTGGTCCCGACATTAGAGGCTTCAAAAACGACATCCCCGCTGGATTCGCTGGCCGACTCCTCGAGAATACCGGATGTTCCGGGCTCGTAGGCGCCGCTCATCGAGGGACGCTCCTTACCACGCAGAATACTCGGGCTATCGTCCATGAAACCCTCCAAATTTTGGCCCGAAGCGCGGCCAGTCATCTTACCCACTCCTAGAATACAAGATCATTACTGGGACGTTAATTCTTTAACAGTTAAGAAACGAAGGAAAATGCTTTGTAAAATATCCCAATAAAGTGTAGCCGACTGACCGGGAATTTGAGGCAAGGTTGTGTGCAAGCCCGGCTTTTCTTTTCCTCACCATCAGCCTCTTCGAGACGCCGTGTCTCCTCGGTTGTCTCACTCTCCGTCTCGATGGCTGACCCTACCGATGTCCGCCGACTGCCTTTGCGGTTGCGTACCGTCTTCTCGATGAAGGCGGGGTCCATAGGCAGATTGGCCAGCTGGTGAAATAAGGCGCGTTTGCGGATGATACAGTACACCAGTGGCGCGTTGCCGTCGAACTGATACTGGATCAGGTTGTTGAAAGTGTCCATCAGATAAAACACCAGATTGTGGTTGCTGGGATTAGCGTACAGGAACCACGGCGTACTAAAGGCCTAAACCAACGACAAAATGTCTGTTACTGTGAGTGTTGTTAAAATATTTCAAATAAACACTAATGGATTATCGGAGAATCTTAAAGCTTTAACAATAAGTTAACAACTCCTGCAAATGCTGCTGCTTTATTTATGAAACTGAAATGCGAAAACATACTTACCTCGAAAAGGTGGAGCAGCTTGGTAGCGGTGACACTGGCCAAACTCTTGACATACGGCGAAACTATCAGGAGAAAAATCACTGAGTACTGATAATCGAGACTTTCCACACGCATCGAGCCGCGAGCGCCCACTTACTGTTCTGAATGATGGTCAGTAGACAGTCGAAGAGCGGCTGCAGTTTAGACTGACCCGAGGTCACCATTCGGTGAAACACCTGCGGGTGACTTGGTTGTAACGAAAGTTGTTGGTTTAGGGAAAGATCACTCACCAGAATGATCAGATCAGCGTAGTTGCCGGTGAAAGCCGGTAAATCCGGAAGCGCCCGACCCGTGAAGGGCTTATTCAGACGTACGCCGAAGTTTCTCTCTCCACTCAACAGCAGCAGAATAAAGACATTCAAATGAATCAAGCCAATTTTACCTGCATTTCAAAAACGCCCATTCATTCTTATTGTGAAGATACAGCAATAAAAAATAGTGCATTATAAATCAGCAAACGATTATTTCGTACTGGGATTCAGGCGATTCTGATGCAAGGTATGCAAAATGGGGATCAGAATGTCGAGAACAACGCAGCTTTTGAGAACATGGTAGAGAAATTTCTGCAGTAGCAAAATATTTGAGGACATAGACACGAAGAAACAAAAAGCGGCACTGACCCGGTTGTATTCACAGCATTTCCAGAAGAGAATGAGCAATTCGGCCTGGAAGTGAATCTTTTTCGTGGAGCTGGGTAGGTAGCCTACCTGCAGGGGATTGTTCAGCAGCCGCACCATACCATCTGCCATGAAGGCCAGGTCCTCGTCGCGATGGATGCGCGACAGGTAGTTGATGAACATGTTCTTCAACATGTCACTCTGCACACCGTTAAAAAATTCACACTTCACCGTTACAACACGCCGATTAAACTTGTTTTCCAGTACATATACCGTTATTAAAAGTTTCCGGGCTGACTCGGAAAAAATTTTATAAATATTTTATCAATTTTCTATCGTTTGTTCCAGCTGTAAGTGATCGGCATTCGAAGTTAACAAAGATCAAGGGACGGTCTTATACATGTAGCTTCCGCATCCTATGATTGTATACGTGTCTAACCATTCAACCATATTTCCTATTCCGGCATTTTTTTAGCTAAGCTAAAAAAATGCCGGAATGGGATGTTCTATGCTGCACAGAATCATATTGCAACAATTACTTTTTCAGCAGCTTATCTAATTCTACCGCAACTGCTATTTTCCTTCTGTTTGAACCTAACTCACATCGGGATCGCTTTCCATCGCTAGCTGTTCCTTCGTGATGGCCTCGGTGACCTTCACCCGGCAGACATGGTCCAGACAGACAATCAGCACCTGCAGCGCCACCTCGGCTAAAGGCTCCTTGGAGTCACCGAACATGAGATAATTATAGGGAACTCCGTAGCCCACCGGATCATAGGAGAAGACCACGTTGAGCAGGGAGGTGAAGAGCGGCAACACCGGCCGGTTTTCGGCGCTTGTGAAGTACTCTAGCCAACGGTTGGGACACACCAGTCCCTCCGAAGCTAGAAACCAACACTAGTCAGGCCTGTAGGTTAAATGACACGCAGCAATTCGGCTACGGAAGAAAATCTCAAAGGGGAACCAACCGGAAGTTCCGTACATGGACTCCGAGAAACACGCCAGGAGTAAACGGAGAATCTCGATCCGTGCCGCGTCGTAGTTGGCATTCTGCGGCGGTGACACAGCGAAGCCGACCCCGGCTGCCCAAATGTATTCGACGCAGTCCAACGAAGTCAAATCTTCCGTTTGCTCCTGTACACGTAGCAGACATAGGTTCGTGTTCGACTACACAATAACGAAGTACATACTATGCCTGTCTTGTACTTTAAGTGAAACTGAAAATATCTGATCTGCTGATTTTCCTATATTGCGCCGTGATATATCACTGCTTCACGTATATATCACTAAATGTTACATGCATGAACTCCATATTATTCCATCAAACAACAATATCCAACTAAAGTGCCCTAACCGAAGGTTTTTTGTGCTGATTGACCGTAAATCCGGGACAGAAGAGCAGTGTCTGTAAACGAAATAAATAAAACATGATGTGGCGACAAAACGAAAAGTGAAAGATAGTGCACACACCGAAAGCGAATTGATGAGCGTGGTAGCCAGAACCGGGCCGTCAAAGAGGCGGAAACGCGCCCCGGCACTGGAAGGCGGCGTGGGAGGCTCCGGATAGTCGAGGGAGCCGCCGGCCGGGTAGGAGGGGAAGCGCGACAACGGACCCTGTCGAGTGGAGCTGGAAGCAGCGCTGGCCGAGGGCAGAGCGGACCAGAAGAAGGAGCGCCACTCCGGCTCCTCCAGAAAAAACGGCACCAGCCGGGTCAGCAAGCGCACGCAGTTCAGCACTGTCACAATATACAATAATGCAGGTTCTTTTGGTCACTTTTAATGCTTCTCACACGCGAATATCTGACCAGAAACTTCAATCTAAGATATTTTTCACATATTTTATAATAACTACTTTTTACCATACTTTTTTATTTTATTTTTATTTTATGAATTCCAGAAACTTAATCAGCGACAAATAAAAGTCAGCACTGAGTTTAACTGAATTGTTAAAAAAACTAACTGTTGTCGTAAAACGCGAAAAAATATGGAAACAATTGAAAGGAAATTGGAACACTAGCTTCAGTGCTCGAAACCATATGAAAAATTTGATCTGAAATAAATGGATTCAAAATACCGCTGTTTCGTTTAGGTATGCATTTCGCCGACTGACCCGTCTGTTGTTGGGCGGGCGTGGTGCAGGGCGCGGCACCCTCAGTGGCCACCCGCAGGTGGTCGATGGCCTTGAAGGCCAGCGTGGCCAAATTCTGCGGGACATCCTCACGCAGACTGCGAATGTCTTCCGCCGTCACCAGACTGAACACGTCCGCCGCCGTCAGCTGGAAGTTCATCTGCTCCGCACTCCAGAACTGCCGCCAGAACGCGTCATTGTCCGGCTCAATGATCTGCACGAAACAATTTCACATACCACATGATGTATGATACATCATCCGACAGCACACACGAATTCTTTCATAAAAAACAGTGCAAATTTACTTAAATCCCTTCGCCTAAACTCATAAAGAAACAATTTTATTACAAGCAGGCAAAGCGGTCCGGTAAATTCTGAGAGCAAATTTAAAATGTATTAGTATTAACGGTTTATTTTGTAAAATGCGAGATCAGGAAGACTGACTGTGCACTCATCTTGAGCGGCTCGCACGTATGCGCACGAACTTACCTTATCTTTGTTCTTTAAATCCTGAATGGCTTTTCGGAATCCAGCCTTTGAGTCCGTGTTGCCCATGGCGGATAATAAACAAATAAAGCAAGATCAGGAAGACAGATATGTGACAAACATATGGTGAAAAAGACTTCTGATTGACTGTTGCTTAAAACCGGTTTCTGTACGACTGGCAGAATGATAATGTAGACGGCACAGTACTAATGTACTACAACTTATTCTATAAAATCTGAACTTTTAAAGGAAACATAGAATCCAATTATCCAGATGGCACGGATGCGGACAAATTTGCGCGTCAGTCAGGATAAATTTGCTGCAGCAGACCAGCAGCAGTCTGTCTATCTACGACGTACAAACGGAAAGCTAGCCAAATGAGGTAAACGCCAAATAACAGCGCGCCGAGCAATTGAGTGTGGGGGAAAGATTGATCACCCCGCATTGAAAACAGCAGTGACTTCATGGGTGCCATGTGATCTCGTTTCACTACTGCAGCCGGAAATGACGTACCAAGAGCATCGCGATCGATCGCCCCGCATCGCGATGCAGGAGGATCGGGCAGCCGTCCGGCACGGCGTCGTATCGTTCACTGCGATGACGTCAATCTGGATCAGCGACAATTCACGAAAATCGATTGACTCCAAACGGCACATGCTGCCGGAATCCGAGTGCAAGAAGGGAATAACTTATTAATCACATTTACGCAGTTTCCAAACTTACTTTCTTTTCTTCGTCGATCACAATACCATTACAAACTACAAAGGTAGTCAATGCAAATAAATTATATTTAACTACAGAAACCAGAAATCACGGCGGAAAAAAACGACAACAGGTGAGTCATATAAAAAAATAATTTAATCGGACCGGAAGAAGGCGAATGGCCGGCATTTCGATAATTTACACAGTTGTTCGTATAGCGTCAATTGTAAAAATCTACTACGCAACGGAATGGACCCGGAATCGAATTCACGTCATGGCACAGCGCACCGGTACGCAGAAAAGTACAGAACTACACTGAACGTAAAACAGCTGCCCAGTTTTGATTACGTAACAAAAACGGTACAGTAGTGATGTTCCCATCAAGGCAAATCGTGAAGTTTAAACTCGGTGTACAACTCCTGGGTGCGATCGAAGACAGGCCGCATGGCCTCGGTCATACGGCGGGCAATGTCGGTTACCTCGGAGTAGGGATGTTTGGAGATGCGCTCCATCAGCCGGTACTTGGTGGGCAGTGTGTACATGGCCAAGTGGGCGCCTTTCTGCACCAGCCAACCGTGATACCTACGAATCACAGTATTGAATTTCCAAACATTCATGCAAAATTCTCAATATATCCGGATGCAAAATGCTCCAGACATTTCTATGCTCCAGATATACAGTAAGTCTCATATAACACATAACGAAACTACTACCACAATAGTATTGGTTCATAAATACTGTGATTTGCTGTGAGACTTCTATACAATTTCGAAAAGATCGGCAACAATGTACTAAACATTTTTATATAAACTACTCTGTACTTTAGAAAATCTTTTAAAAAATAGTGGCACACACCGAAGAAATAAGTACTTAACATTCTGGAGCTTTGCAGCAATTTCAATCTAAAGCCTTTTAGAAATCGGCTTACCATTAACTACGTATTCATTTTCAACAGTGATTTTAAGAGCTGCTTTTTTAAGGGCACATTCGTAAGCAATTGGAAAAATAATGAAAAAATGATGTTGTACCTGGCTAATGTTTTCTTGTAGCAATCCTGCGCCAGATGTCCGACCCTTCGCAATCGGGCGCGCCGATCAGCGACTCCATGAACATCATGATGAACTCCAGCGCCCGGTGAAGTCGAAGGAGTGTGCGGGATGCGGACGGCAGCGGTGAAATCTGGGGTGTGCGGGTGGGCTCCAGACGCGAGGGCTCACCTGTTTCGAAAACCATCATGAAGCGGATGGTGCGGTAGTTGGCGCCTTCCGCGCCGCTGCGGTGCTTGCTCAAAATGTCCAGCTTGTCCTTTACGTCCGCACCCACAAAGCCAAATATCGTTCCCATTAATTCAAAGAACCTGCGCAATAGGAAAAGAATAATCAAAAGATACTGCCCGATATAAAATTATTGACATTATTAACAATCTCTAATAGTATTAACCAAGTCACGATCAACTGTTACTGTACTGTAAGAATAAATCCGAATTCGATAATTAGTTATGCATGTAAATGCCATGTAGAGTAGTAATTTACAACAGTCGCTTGGCGGTTAACTTATTAAAAGCGAAGTGGAAATTATGGTGCGCCTCATGCTTCCACAGAACCAGCAATTAAAAAGACAACACTGAATAAGCGAGAGCGCGAAATCAAACTCGGACAAGGAAGATAAGCAAAAAATCCAAAAAACGCAAAACTGCATTCAATGAATGTCAGAAACGGTGGAAACTCTCTGATATGTGGCTACGTCGCCACAGCGAAGAATAGAATCAGATTTGTTATACACCTCCGTGAAAGCCGTTAAAAGCAAGTAACAAGCGTACCTCTCGAGCTCGCGATAGGCCTGGATGTAGTGGTCCATGCCCACTTCGCTACGAGTGTCGGGCTCCGTCAGGGCCATTTCGAAGTTGTAGGCCACGGCGATCATATCGAAACCGTCGGAACGCGGGATGAAGTGTCCCGAGTCAGTCACTGGTGCGGGAGGGAAGCTGCCCGGTGCGTCTTGGCATACTTCGCGGTCCACGCGCGCACCTGATGCTTCATGCAGCACGCTGGATGAGGATTCATCGCCGATAATTTCCTCAACGTCGCTGCTGCGTGGTCCATCCATCAGAACAAAGACAGCACTGCGGGAAGCGTTAGTTATCAGAGAGCGCCAGCCACCAAACGGTACCCGAATGTTTTTGTGACAATTGTCACTGAGCTGAGACCAGACTTGCAAGTTTGCAACCAGCAAGTCTGCTAGTCAATCAAATCGCTAAATTTAGAAGTCACGAAAAACAACGACGATGCAGTCGTTGGTCAATCTAATACGCTGACGTATTGTGAATAGATCAGCTGTATTTGCCACTACATATCTGGAACAAATACGCCACGAGTCGTTATAATCAGATAAACTAAATAGGTAACAAGTAGTAACAACTAACTACTAAACCAGGTTATCCACAAGATGCGATAATAATCGTAATGGTTATTATGGTTATGAATCATAAAATAGTACAAGGAGCCAGCAGTTACAACAGCAGAGAAATCAAAAGATTCCCAAAACAGAAAAGTGAGAAAACATAAAATTTAAAAAACATACAACACTTCAGAAACTGAAATTGTTTGAGGAAAATTACCACGGCATGAGTCTACCTGAATGATGATTGCTGACGCCGTATTCGAAGCGCATAGGCAACCGCCTGGTGGTTCTGTTCTGTCCGTCGTAACAGTCTCACCTTCAAACTCGTCGATCGCCTTCTGCTTCATGACTCAGCCGTTCGTGCATCAGCAATTTTTACCATGACGATGTTCTGAAAATTTGATTTATCTTCTCGTTTTGCACTTTTGTTCCAAAATTACTTCGAAAATTTTGGCATTATCCTCCGAATATATTGTTTTACCACAAATATTTTTCTGTTCTACAGCATTTTCTGTTTTCTATTCACCATGGCCCTTTCTCGCGTCTGCGGCGCTGATTCCACATGGGAATCCCTGGACTTCTCCGCACCGCAGCCCGAATGTCTGCAGGATGTGCGTTTTACGCATCCCGTCAGTAATGAGTTCGCTGTGGGCCTTCCGCTACCGTCCATCCACGTAGGCCAATGCTTTCCGCGCAGAATGATGCGTTTCTGAGTTGGAAATGTTTCTGATAGGGTAAGCAACGCGTAATCCAGGCGCTGTTGGAGGACGAGAGCGACGTGCAGACGGAAGAACGTCTGGTGGCCAATCCGCGTTCCCTCTTCCTCCACGGCACCACCACGCTCAGCTTCAAGTTCCAGGGCGGAGTTATGGTGGCCGTCGACAGTCGGGCATCCGCCGGACAACAGATCAGTAAGTGATAAAGCGAAAAGTGAAAAGAGTTTATCCCCAGCGAAAATTGATAAATGGGATTCGAGGTTCGTCCATTTTCCCAGTGGTTTTCAGGTCGACGATCCCTTGATGAATTTAAAAATCTTAAGTTTAACACCGATACATGGATTATGAATTATATTATCCGCATAAAAAATTTTCCTTTAAAACTATTCTTGATTCTATTTTTCGGCTACTGTCAACCTGTTAAGAGATAATTGTTGATATGAGGAAAACCCAACAGTTGTAAGAATTTCTTTTTATAATGTTCAGAAATAAAAACGAGATTCAAAACATTGTCTTTAAATATTACGGTTTCTCGGATGACGTTTTACCTGATTTCTCGCAAGTTGAACATTGTGGCAGTTTTGTGGATAAAAATTAATTGACCTAAGCCAGCTTGGGCACTCGCACAAGTCTTAGAACTTGGATAAAATTACCTGTTTTGGATTTTCTTGCGTTTTTTCTTGCTCGACAATCCCACAAGTCACTGTTTAGCTGAATTGTCGTTACATACAGTGTAAAACTGTAAATATAATAAAGTGAACCAACGTAGTACATGCACGTATGTTGTAAAGGCTCATTAAATAACTACCTATTTCATTGTTTGGTTGTACAGAATGTGTTGTGTAAAGGTTAAAAGTAGTTGAGCATGTTATGTATGCTTGCAGGTTCGCAGACGGTGAATAAAGTGATCCCCATCTCACGCTTCCTGCTGGGCACGATGGCCGGCGGTGCCGCTGACTGCACCTACTGGATGCGCGTCCTCAACCGGCAGTGCCGCATGTATGAGCTGCGCAATCGCGAACGCATCACCGTGTCAGCGGCGTCCAAACTGCTCTCCAACATGCTCTACGGCTACAAGGGCTACGGCATCTCCATCGTGAGTCCCGCTTTTTCATTGTGCGCATTGCCATCAGCATAAACATGTTTGCCTTGCAGGGGTCAATGATTGCCGGATATGACAAACGAGTACGTCGCGGACGCTTGACAACCGGCACTCCGGCGTGAAATTGTAAGGGTGTGTTTGTGTTTTTCGCAGGGGCCGGGATTGTATGTTATCGATAACGATGGACTGCGCGTGGCCGGCAACTGCTTCTCCATTGGGTCTGGCTCGCCGTACGCCTTTGGAGTCCTGGACACAGAGTACCGCTATGATCTGACGGAGCCGCAGGCCTACGAGCTGGCCCGACGGGCCATTTACCACGCCACGATGCGTGATCCCTACAGCGGTGGCAATGTCAGCGGTAAGAATACCAGATTCGTTCTCTGATAGTGTGAATTAGTGTGAATTTGCTGATGTGTTGTCGGATTTTCTGCTTTTCGTTTTCACATTTACGCCTGGTCTGGTTTTCGTATTTGATCATTGCACATGTCCATCCTTTTGTTTTTATTTTTTAAACTTTATTTTGTATTTAACTTTATCTTATTACTGAATCTCGGTCGACGGTTTTTGTTGATTCTTCAATTACTTACTCTTGTACTTATTTTTTAAGTTATAGAAATTAATTTCATTAAATTATGATTTCGTTACTCCATGGATTCATTATTGTTGTGGTAGGCATCTAATGGTAAGGTGTCTTGCATTAGACATAATTATTTTCTTTAACTTATTTGTTTCTTCCATAACGCTGAAATTTCGTTCGTTCTTTTCTGTGCGATAAATAAAAAGTTTTCTTCTCGTGTTAATTGTTTACTTATTTCCATTTTATGCATATTGCTGATTTTTAAAAAGATGAATATTTTTGAATAAGTACTGTACTTACGTCATTCGTGATTATTCCTATTGTTCGAAGGTTATATTGCGTAAACTTGTTTCTTTTCCTTGTGAATAAAATGTGGTAATTAATTGGCAGTGTACCACATCAAGGAGACGGGATGGGTAAAGATTGAAACGCAGGACGTCAGCGATCTATTCTACAAGGACCGTGGACTGTAAAACGAGGCGAATTAATTCCACTTTTGATTATAACTTTCTGAAAATGCAGTTCTATATAAAAACACCATTCATTTTTATACACAATTGATGTAACTAATTGATCCACTTGGTGAATTGTGCGTTGGTTTAACTTGTTTGTCACCATTAGGCGCATTGTTCATCCGCATGACGGCAGCGTCAAATAAACTCTGCGAAAAGTTGCCCTTTCTCTGCCATTTTCCCGTCCAGTGCGCCCTGACAATGCTGGCGCAGGTTGGGCCTCTGCCGGCCCCGTGATTACAGCGGGCATTGATTCAGGACAGCTGTGAAAGCGCACAACACAACGCGCCTGGTCTTTTCCTCTTAATTCCCCATAAAACAACAATTATTCGCCACTCATTGTACGGCCGTCCGTACGCATCGAATGCCATCGATTAGCCGCGTCCAAGCAATCACAGCCGATCGAGCGTATCGCTGCACATCAGCGCCGCTTGTAATTACACTCCGGCCCCGCAGGCTACCAACCGCGCGTCCCATAAGATCCCGCTTCCCATCCCGCTCAGCTTCACTAGCGTTTCCCCATTCCACCATACTCTTCCTAACATTTTTCCAAGGTCACCACGATTAATTTGCAATGCAGGCGGTTATGTTGGGAGCATGTCTCCTGGTGACCTTTCTCGTTGGTGCCGAGGCGCTGATCCGCTGTAACGAGGCTGGCTGCTACCTTGTGGAAGCCAAGTGGAAGCGGGAAGACGGCGATGCCGGGATGATCTTCATGCCCAACGCGGATGCCTACGAGAAGGCGCTGCAGGCCCGCGGCCGTTTCGGCTTCGGACTGGGCAAGCGCAAGCGCTCGGTGGAGGGATTGTCCTTCCTCAACGGCCACTTTGGGGAGACTTATGTGGCCGGGAAGGAATTAGTGCCGGCACTCTTCCCCACTTTTCTGGTGGTCGATCCGGAGGCGGGCAAAACGGTTCAGCGACGTATGGTGCCGATCATGGATGGCCCGCTGGACAGTAAGGCCAAGAAGGCGCTGTAACTTGATTCATTAGGCTTTAATTTATATAATTAGTTTTAATTTGCTGATTATATCCTGGTTTTCTTCCGTTGTTTCTTTTTTCATGACCATTCTGCAGCACTAACCTTCAACACGCAGCCTAACTTTAACAGCAGCAGCACTAGATTTCAAATAAACATTCTACGGATATCCGACATCGGATTGAAGTGTACTAAATTGTCCGTTTTAGTTGCGCAACTGTCGAAATTGAATTTGCTAGAATTATACCGGTATTGTATATTTATGCCGCAATCAGATGCGAAGATGCGCCCGATTGTACCAATATTGCTGGCTCACGACTTATGTTTTCTCTCCAAGTTTTGCATTCATATTGTTTTAACCTGGCATGAAATGGATGATGGGAATGTTGAATAAAAATTTAAACTTTAAATCGATAATAATCGCCCCGGAATTGTTGTTGCACAGTACAGATACTGCCGTAAAAGACTTATGTACGAGTAGTTAAATGTTTTTCTGGTGGCAACAAACTCATAAAAATTATTATTATTGCTCTACACTAACATTATGAATAAGTGTTGTACGATAATTTCTTCCTATAGTTGTTGAAGTACTTACTGTACCGTGAACACTTTATACAGATAGTAATCAGTAGTACTAGTCATTAGCCTGCAAACTTAGATTAAGAGAAACCAACACTTTCAGGTCGTCGTACAAATTTTAGCTTGCAAAGGTCGCCGACTACATAAACAATCGCATCATGTTACTAACAATTAATTTTATTAAACCGTAAGCGTACTCCAATAGCAGTAGTAGCACTAATCAGTGGCCAGTGCTACTTCAGATTGTAGACGAATCGATAAACTAATCGGGCCAAGCCGCAAAAACCCATCAGGCAGCGATTTGCCATTTATTCCCCATTGAACGACGTACTTCTCCGTGAACAAAACAACCGACTGCTAATCGCAATCAATACTTTCAATGATGCATTTGCACAGCGGTCAATACATCGCATTTCCATTTTATACACAACACACATGCCATTTACACTCAAATCTTTGTTTAGGAAACGGAGAAGACATAAAAAAGCGAAAATTTTTCTAACGCTGCCTCCAGACACCTCTTCCGCGTCCCCCTCGTCCACCACCTCTTCCACCTCCTCGAGACCACTGTCCGTCGTCGAACCCTCCCTCTTGCTGGCCGCTGCCTCCTCCATCCTCCCAGGGCCGCTTCATCCCTCCTGGCCCACCGCCTTCCGGTCCGGCAGCGACTCCCGTGGGAGGCGGCAGCAGTCCACCCCGTGGCGCGCCCCCTTCGGTGGTGGCGGGAACGGGAGGGCGCCAGTTCCACTGCGGCACCGGCGGGGGTCCTTGTTGCTGTGGCGGCGGGGGATTCCAGCCTGGGGGCGGTGGGGCTCCACCACCCGGGAAGTGGTGAGGCGGCGGGGGGCCCATGGGCGGTGGCTGGTAAGGAGGAAAGGGACCTGGTGGAAAATACTGGCCAGGCGGAGGAGGGCGGTAGGGTGGGGGCATTTGCGGTTGAATAGCAGGGAAGGGCGGAGGAGGAAGGTCGGTAGGAGCCGGGGGTCGCGGGGCGTTGGATTCAAATTCGGTGATGTCCTGAGTGTCGAAATTGGCAATGTCTGCAAAAAGAAAACGATTTTCCAGCCATCGATCACTGCAGATCATATACAGCACATTGTAGCAGCATAGCGTTGAAGAAAACCACTAATAACTGCAGCGCGACAGCACGCTGCCTACATTCCACTGAAACATAAAGAGCAACAAACACGTAAAGCTCAAAAAAGATCTAGGTGTACCGTCGCTTAAAAAAAATATTTAAAAATGCACCCAAATGTTCGGCTAAATGTAAACAGCCAGACGAAACGTACCAAAGAACTCCTCTTCTTCCTCTTCGATTTCGAAGCCTCCTGAAAATCACAGCAAAATCACATAAGCAAATAAGCTCACTACAGCACTGAAGTCTAGGGCTCACGTATATCCAATGGATTGTCGACATCACTACGCGCTTTGGCGTTGTACTTGTCCTTCATGGTGTCACCCGGGCGATTACGGGTCCAGAATTTCCTATAAATGCATCGAACATATTCCTTAGGGTCCATAAAAGCACGCCAGCACTGCTACTTACACGGAACAGTCATTGGACCCAGTACATAGTATGTGGCCCTGCGGATGCCAGCTCATACTCCAAATGCTTCCGTCATGAGCATTCTCTACCACGCCCACCTCCCGCTCGGTGCCTACGGCCCAGAACATGAGGGAACCGTCGATGCCGCCGCTGCAAAAGTGGCTCTGGTAGATTGGATGCCAGCCAACACCTGCCACAATTCAAAAATTAATCTGACATTAAAGGAGAGGAAATTCGCTTTTTTAATTAACATACTCATCACTTCGCGCTTATGGCCACGACACGTCTGCACATCGCGCATGCTGCGCAGATCGAACAGCTTGACCAATGAATCGCGTGATGAGCTCAGCAGATAGTTGGAATTAATGGGATTCCATTTCAAATCCGTCACCGGGCCTTTGTGTAAATATCTATAAAAGTAAAATGTAAAATAAACACAATGTTGCTACACGCAGCTGGCAAATCACACGCAGAAACCAACGCAGGCACTTACAAAAACTTGACCAAAACGTAATGGTTAACAACTTTATACAGTCCAACGTAAATGTCTGCCAAGTGCCGTCCACACATTCACGAGACAATGCCGTTACAATGCAACACTGCTATCGCACCGGAATAAGTTAACTTACAATGTGCCGATGGCATCGGCGGTGCGGGGATCCCATAGTTTAACCGGCTGTTGATTATCCCGGCTGCCGGTGACCAATAGGGACTTCTTAGGATGCCAGTCCACACATTTCACCTCACCACCATGTCCGCCGCGCAACACCTTCAGCGTCTCACAGCTCTCAAAATCCCAGATGCGTATTGTGCCGTCATCGGAGCCGGTAGCAAATTTGAAGTCCGTCGGACAGAATCTGCAAAACCACAACACAGTAAAAAGCGGCCACCAGAACCACCAGGAATGCAGCAATGCGCGTACGAGATGCCGCGGATGGAGTCGCGGTGCGCTTGGAAGGACTTGACGTTGTTCATGTTGGCCTGCCAATACTTGATGTATCCAGATGCGTCGCCGGTCACCAGCCATGTGTCACTGCGGCTCCACACCATCGAACGCACCGCCGTGTCATGCGCCTGCGTTCAATAAAGACATGACAGTTTTAACTAGACACCATAATATCACATTGCGAAAGCAGTGAAACTAATGTTTCAACTAAATTTTCAAAGCGGTAACTTAAATTTGTTAATGTTTTTTTTGCAGTAGATTGCACTCAATACACAAAATTTCGTGCTTTAGTCAGTCGGCCTTCGAACACTAATAAAGTGTCATATTTTACGGTGGACTGTGCAGTTTTTTGGAGTACGACTGCTAGGCACTACCATGCACTGACCTGCAAGATGGTTTCGAAGTTAAAAGTTAAGCCGTTCCACAACGTAAACTCGCCGCTTGACGATCCGGTCACTAAACGACGTCCTTCCGGTGTCCACTGCAAACAAAACATGCGCTACTTCTTATTATCTGGCTTTATAGTTGATGTGATTGCCTTATTTTTACTCAATCAATGTTTTCACAACGTATGTCCAGCCATTTAACATCGATAAAAATTTCATTTTTCCATACATACGAATAAGTGCTGTAAAATTAATGACTTGGTCTGAACTGTGGACCGTAGACGGTCATAAGGTCCAGCGGAAGCCACTGCCATCACGGAACCTTTTATCTCTACGAGTTACTTCTACCAAACGAATGCTCCAACGGTAGGGCATAATAAAATTAAAGTGGGAAATTTCAATAAAAGCCCAAAAACGCTGCTGAGCAGGCGAATCCAGCTACATCACGCACCGGAAGTTTCTAGTATTGGTGTTTGTTCAAAAATTTACGTCTTCGTAAAAATTTCAATGATGTACAGTAATTAAACGGGAAAGATTCTGACAGGATTACAGGGCAGCCTGAAGGAAACCAATCATACGTATTGCGAAGTACGCGTGCTAAAACGACTCAATGGGTATCCGAGACAAAATTTGACGAGTGGCAAACTGCAAAATCACCTTCCAGCTTGCTAGACGTACCGAAATATATTGCGTTAACCTTGCTTATATCAAAATGAAAAAAGAACTGATTGCGTACTACTTGATTTGTTATGGCAGAACAGTTCATGCGCCACTTACCAGCACCACGAAGACAGGACACTTGATCTTGTTGGTGGCCTGGCGAATGAATTTGGTGGTGATCGCGTTGGAGGCGTTGTGTGGGTAGGCCACACAGGACAACATCTGAAGGCACGCATTTTAACATCAAAGCGCCTTTGCGGAACACACTTCGCATGCTGCAACCCAGTGAACCCACCTCCGAATAATAGAGCGGATCAGCCAACAGATCGCGGAAGCTGGTGGGATTCACGTACACAGATCGCTCCTGTCACGACAACACAAATCTCGTTAATTTCCAAATTCATATTTCATGAAAAGAGCCATTGCAGAAATTTTATCCCATAGCGAAATTTACAAATGCACAAGAGAAAAATGTGTAGCGTAGTCGTAAAGTGGACCGTAGTGCACCCAACTACTACTGCACCATGTACCTGCAGATACTTGACGACAGGCGTGAAATAGTCCACCGTCCGCCGATGTATAGCCTTTCGCAGCCGTTTAGCATCCAGCTCCTGTTTAGGCAGGTAGAAGCCCGACGCGGCACTGCTGTAAAACTCTTCATTACCGCCAGACGGCCCGTCCTGCGGCGGCGCCCCCGCGAAGGGGGGTCGTGCATGTGCATGGGGGTAGTTGAAGTGGGGGTTGGGGCCCGTGGACAACATTCCTGTGGGAGAAATCATGGAGGGATTGGGCGGCCGAGGGGGACCACGGGGCCCTTGGGAAGGACCGCCTTGTTGCACTTGTGCAGCCATTATGGAAAGCGGATGAGATTCTTTACTGCTGCGAGCTCTGATTCTCGGTACGCAGTGGTTCAAACGAGCGACATGATCATTTTCGACATGCTATTGCTGGCTGCTCAGTGAGGAAGAATGGCGTTACCGGAAAACCGAATTGCTTGAGTGCTTTAGATACTATTATAAAACAATCCGAACTGATAACAATGCGGCCTTGATAATCGAAAGCACCATCATATTTGTTGCTGGAAATTTTACCACAATGACATTTCACAAAAATTAATACGATTCTGAAAAAAATAAAAATAAGATTATAAGATGATAAGCAAAGAGTCTCGGTCATCCAGCTTCCGACTTGTTAAAGCAGCCGCCTCTGGGGGTTCACCCGTACATACAGCATTTTGCTTGCCGAGTGACGACGCGACAGAACTCTGAATGCGTTCCAACCAGAGAAAGGCCTTTCCAGCTGATCGCTTTTTACGCTCTCCGTAGTTCACACTGAACAGAGTTCGGCAACATCGCTGCTGTCGTTCGATAACAGACAGGCGCTTCCCACTACCCCGCATTGCCCTTTTGACTTTGGACTGAATTTTCTGTTATTTCACCCGAAATCTCTTCGTTTCCATCTGCTCAGCACACGATTGCAGTCATGGCTTCGTTGATTGGGAAAGCGCAGATCCTCGTCCGTGGAGCATCACACACCCGCTCGTTCCTGGTCTCCAACGTCACTAGGATGATGCAGGCGCCTTGCTCTGCCGCCTCTACACAGGCACAACAAGGTAAAACTTAATTACAACGAGCATACCAAGGAGTTGTTGGAGTGCTTTAAATGCATCGCTCGGAGCTGGGAGCACGCGGCTGCAACCGACATCGCTGCAGTAGCGTTGGTTTGCCTGAGCTGCGTTGACACTCAAAAGTCAGTTTATCCCTTTCAGAGGGAACCTTCGAGAATCTGATCGTGGAGGTGAAGGGCGACAAGCGCAATGTGGGCCTGATCCAGCTGAACCGTCCGAAGGCGCTGAACGCGCTGTGTTCGCCGCTGATGGACGAAATCAACGCGGCACTGGAGCGCTTCGATGCTGACGATAACATCGCCGCCGTCGTCATCACCGGCAGCGAGAAAGCCTTCGCCGCAGGGGCCGACATCAAGGAGATGCAGAATCACGCCTTCCCCGCCGTGTACCGTCGCAATTTCCTCAACCGCTGGAATCGCATTACCGAGTTCCGCAAGCCCGTTATCGCGGCTGTCAACGGATTTGCAGTAAGCACAAAAACTAACCACCTTTTCAGTTTTTCTGATCAAATGCTTTTCGCCTCTCACCGAGTCTTACGTATGCTATTGCGGATGCATCTGCAGTACAGCAGTACTCCTGTCCCTTGCTGCTGACTTTGCAATCCAATGTTTGCCCTTCTTTATGTGCGCATGAAAATTAATTATGAATTTTCGTATTTGTAGCTTGGTGGCGGTTGTGAACTGGCAATGATGTGCGATATTATTTACGCCGGAGAGAAAGCTCAGTTTGGCCAACCGGAAATCAACATTGGCACGATTCCGGGTATGGATTGTTTCGCTGGGTGATGCCAGATTTGGAAATGTCTAAGAAGACACTTTAAGTAATACTCTGTTGTTGATTCCCAGGCGCCGGTGGTACGCAGCGCTTGGTGAAGGCCATCGGCAAATCCAAGGCGATGGAGATGATCCTCACCGGAAACCGTATTTCGGCAGTCGAGGCAGAAAAAGCCGGTAAGTTGTAATATTTGTGCGCTTCCTGAAACTTTTACAGCATTTACATTTTTTAACTAATATGTGCGCGAAAAGAACGAACAAAAATTTCGTTTAGGTAGTTAGTTCAGGATCTGTAAACTTATGTACTTGGTTGTGTAGGGGTTTTAGAAAACTTATGTACAATACTCATAGGTGTTTTGTGCCAAAAGTGTAATAACATGGGTGGCTCACCCAGGCAAATTAACAACAATTAAATAAACTTCTGTTTAATGTTTTTGTACCCTCGCGGGTTCCAAAAATTACGACAACTACTACACCGTAGCGTAACGTGCCGTGGGTTTGTTTATCGATGGGTATCAGCATGATTGGCCTCACTTGTCGCTCATTGACCAATACGCTCCCCCAGATAAGGACGGTAGCGAAACGAGGTTAACTGAAGCATTCTTTCTGCGTGACAAAGTATTCTGTACAATCGCTCGTTTTCGCTTTTCTGTCCGCTGAATTTGTACTGGCTTTTAGAAATTACTATTTTGATTGATTGTTTTCGGTAAAATATATTTATTTCCCAATTATCAAGTTGCGATAATGAGCATTCCTATGTCCTGCAGGATTGGTCAGCAAGATTTTCCCGCCCGATCAGCTGGTAGGCGAAGCGGTGAAGCTGGCGGAAAAGATTGCATCGCATTCACGGGTGGCGGTTATGATGGCCAAGGAGGCCGTCAATGCTTGTAAGTGCATTAGAGTCATTAGACGCTCTCGCTGATTTTTTAAATCAGTTCAGCTTATTTCTTTAGCCCTTTAAATTAGTAACTCTACAACTTTTTTGTATGTGTAGAATGTTAGGCTGATCATAACTTTATCTTAATCAGCGTTCGAGGTTCCACTTAGCCACGGTTTGGTGTACGAGAAGCGACTCTTCCATTCCACATTTGCCACGGTATGCTTTAATCGGTTTTCTTTTCCGCCATGCAATATATCCAAGTTTCGTTTCCTTTAGAATGATCGCAAGGAAGGTATGACGGCCTTCCTGGAGAAGCGTTCTCCTTCGTATTCAGATTAGAGCTGGCCTCGCTGAACTGCTTGCTGCTGGGACTTGGGAGGAACAACGTACTGTCCTGGATGCGTTTGATCATTAGTTTCTTTTATTCGCACAGCGTTTTGAAAGTTTATTCTTGCTTATAACTGATACCATTGCCTGCTCATTGTCAGGGGCACTACGCTGATTGTTTGCTTCTTCTGGGGTTCAGATTGTTTTACAAGTAATTGTAATTTTATTTGGTCAACCGCGAATAAGAGAAGTAAACTCCTTGAAACACAGATGAGGGCGCTAATCTTTGGCAGTTACTGGCACGTCAGCGCCGCGCAAAAATTGTGATTACGGGAGAGTAGTACGACTTCGCCTTAATTGATGCTGATGTATTCTTGCCGTTGCAGTCCAGCGGTACGCGGCGGTATTATGTTAAGGACCGCGTTTGCTCTGCTCTGCATCAGTCTTGCTTATAGCCCCAAAGCTGTCTTGAGAACTGCAACCGGAAGTGCGCCATAACTGGAGTTGGGTGACAACGTCCCGAGTCGACTCCGTGAAAATCAACGGTACCGGCTGAGCAGCGATCATTCTCATGGATCAGCCGTGCCCCAGCGCGCCTCCACCGCCCTACGCCGAGGATCCGCCGGTCTACGGGAATGCCGCACCGCTCGTAGGTGAGGGACTGCAAGCGGTGGATTTCCTGCCGCGGATGTTGGCGGGTGACTGGGACGACGGTCCTTCCGGGTACGCATGAGATCCGAAGAGCTTTCTAACTTTAGTTAGAAAGTTTTGCTGTCTGGATATACACTATAATTATGCCGTCTTCGAACTTTGGTTCGATAGACTGCATAATTATAATTTTCATTCAGACAGCAAAATTTGAATACGGTACGGAATTATATGAAGAACTGGTGGCATTAGCGCTTTATCTGCAGCCGTTCAACTCCGCGATTCTATCCGGAATACGAGCCGTTCAGTGTACTAGTGGAGCGCGCCAACACTTTCCTACACCAGCACCCGCGATGCTGCGTCAACACATGTGAGAGTGTGGAGCTGCGGGTGCACAAGCGGGGTCGTAGTGTGGACAAGGAGTGGTCGCTCTTCACCGTCTATGGTAAATTGGTAACAGTAACGGAAACAGTGACATATACTGTACTCGTTGCAACACGCCCCCATGTTTAACGCTTTTAAATGCGTGCAAATGCTTGTTGGATGGGTACCGCAGCATATTGAATTATTTATTCCTCTCCAGTTTTGAGGTATAGAGGTATAGAATTTATACGCGGTAATGTTTTATTATTATTGGTATTTATACACCAAATGGGGGAAAAGTATAACAATTATGTTAGTTTAGCTAATTAATTATGTTAGTTTAGATAATTATTAATTTTCATTTAATTTAGCGTCTTATTTTCGAATTTTTGTTACTTATCGTTAGTTGGTTTGGATTTTTGGAATGCATCCATAATGTATGATTAAGGCCGGCCAAAACGTATGATTTCGGTTTGCAGGAGAGAGCAGCAACCGTTATATCCGCGGCTTGCGCTTGTGGACGCAGCGCGTTGTTTCTGCCAACCAGACTGAACCCGACCAGATTGGTTACGTAGACTTCCTGCCGCAGATCGCGGCTGACCAAGTGGAGCGACTGGACGGCGTCCTTCATCGCGTCAACAGCGATCCAATCAAAGGCCAGCTCATTACAATGGAAACGCTGCCTATCAAGTGGGGAAGTAACGGTAGGGTCCTGCCGTCCGCAGAGCTACGTTTCCGCAATCATGGTGGTTTATTTTTCAGGTCTCGACCCGGAACGCACTATCTGGACGGAAGGTACATGGACTAGCGAGCGTTTCGTCCAGGTTATTCGCATGTTTTACCTCCGGGGACGGGTGCAGCATGCGCAAGTCGGAGTGATGGATTTCGTGCCGGTTAGACTGGATAGCGCGGGCGGCTCTGCGCGGCCACGGATGGAGACTTTTCCGGCCGTCATGCAGCGGACCAAGGAGTGGCTGCTATCGGTGCCACCTAACTACCGCTTAATTAACATTCAGACGGTCAGTTTCCGCTGGAACGACAAAAAAGCGCTCGACACGAAGGATATGACGTACAGTCTGAGCAAAAAACAGCTGGTGTATTTGCGGTCAGAGATCATTCATTTATAAAAGTAGTCGTAGTTATAAACCTAAACATTCTTGAAAATTATTTCAATTTACAGTTTTCTTCGCGTGGCCTATTTAACCGAAGATCCCGCCGACGGTCCCATATCGCGGTCGATGATTCAGCTGGGCTGCAAACTCATCGTTCCCCAGCGAGTTCCGCGCACGGGATTTTTTGACGAGATTGTCTTGGAATCACAAGAGGCCTGTCGTCAGCGTGTAGACGCATGGGTGAAGGCAGCCGGCGCGCGGGTTGTTGCGGCGGAGACGCTGGTGATGCGGGTGGCCGGAGGCGGCGAGGCCGTGTACGGTATGGATGCCATGCACACGTGGAACGACACGCACCAGGTGCACGTGCGCACCAGTAGTCGGACGGTTCGGGAGGATGAACAGTTCATGTACGTCTACCGGATCTACACCGACGGAATGGTGGCGGAAGTTAGGGAGATACGAACCGAGCCGGATGACACGAGGGAGATGGAGAATGGTGCCGGGTGCCCCATTGTTTAACAAGGTCAGTCTGTGTGACACGGAAATCTGTAGAATGGATTTTAACGCAAGCATGTAACGTGTTTTGGTGCCCGTTTTTGGTCGCCGCTGCTTCAGCAAATTGTCGTATCGTTATCCTCTGGGTCTGTCATTTTTCTGTCTACGTTTTTGAAATTGCAGTATTATTATAGATATTATTTGCACGTAATATCTTCAAACTACACCTTTTTGTGAAAAAGAAATAGGATTTTAATTGTTGTTATGGTCTAGATTTTTTATTGACAGATACTGTGACCGCAAACGCTTTTTGGTTTTATTAGCTACTATCGAATAGAATTTCGCTGATGTTTTGTTTAGTTTAAGTGATAAGTCAATGACTATTTATTACAGTAACCCCGAAATACGCTTGCGAGCGGTGCTACATGGTAAAATGAAGAAACATCCAATAATGAATGTTTCTTGCTCATTGCTTTTAAACTGAGCGTCATGCTGAAGTGATACGGGAATGGCTTATTATGTACTGTACTGGTATCTGGTTAGAGCTACTGTGCAGTATTTAGAGATTCATAGCGCGTAAATCGATCGATAGATGGCACACTGACATACCCAGACACTGCGGTACCGTATGACCCTGTCGTGGCTGCAATACGATGATATCATTTGCGTGGAAATGCCAAACTGCAAACATATTTAGTCGACGCAAGCGCAGACAATCGAAGGGCCCACTTTCACAGCATTGTATGACGCATGACATTAATGAGCAACATCCGAGTCATTATGTTCGCTTGTAGAATACCACTTGCTCCCTGCTGCACTGGGATGGAAATTCATTTCGGCACATCACTATCTTCGACAGCATTGCGTAAACCTACCACGCTCCTTGATTATCTTCCAGACACTGCAACCCCCTCATGCAACATGCTAGCGCATCCCGCCCTTACACGGACGCCCCGCCGGATTACGGGCTCGTCATGCGATCGCCGCCGACGACCACTGGTCTACAGGCCGTGGATTTTCTGCCGCGGGTGACGGCAGTGGCCGGGCCGTGCAATCGCCCGGTGTACGAGTCCTTCAACGTGCTCGCAGAGCGAGCCAGTGTGTTTCTCCGCAATAATCCTCACTGGGCGGTCAACACCTGCGAGAGTGTAGAGTTTCCGGTGTACAGTAAGGGATACGATATCGATGCGGTGGAATCGGCTTTTACTGTCTACGGTTAGTTCCGATAAAATAAATGACGGGTGGCGCCTAACCACAAGCATGGTTATTGGGAAAATGATTTCTTATTGCTGAAAGATCATGCCACTTTATTGTAAGCGTATCGTTTTGAATCCAGATAGTCTTGTAATTCGTAGGCGATTCCGACAACCGGTACATCCGCGGTTTGCGCTTGTGGATGCAGCACCGCAGCTCGTGTTCTGCTACTACTATTACCGGCGCCCAGCAGATCGGCTATCTCAACTTCCTTCCGAGAATCAACTACGACGATTCGGTGGAGCGACTGGACAGCGTACTGCAACGCATCAACAGCAAGCCTGTCAAAGGGACGATCATCACGGTGGAGACGCAACCCGTCAAATGGGGCAGCAAAGGTAATTCGATGAAAGCAAGTTTTCAAATATTTGTACATATGTGAAGAATTGTATTACCATATCAGTGACGTTGTAATTTCTGTGATTAACTGATTTTAATTCCTGGGCGATAAAGATTAGTATAAGTTCCGGTAATCTCGATAAATTTTTCTTGACCATTAGATTGTGACGCCGATCGCACTGCTTGGACCGAGCGCAGCGGAACGCGAGAACGCTTCCTCAACCTGGTGCGCATCTTCTACATCCGCGGTCCCGCGCAGCGCGTCCAGGTGGGACTGAAAGACTTCCTTCCGTCCAGTGGTGACGATTATTCGCACCCGCACACCCAGACCTTTCCGGCCGTCATGCAGCGTGTCCGAGAGTGGATGTTGTCCGTGCCGCCCAATTACCGTCCCGTCAACGTCCAGACCGTAGCATTCCGAGGGAGCGGTAATAAATTCGACACGTGGGCCATGACGTACCGGGAAGATAAACAGCATCTGAATTATATGCGGTTAGTAGTGTATCAAAAGCAATACCGGTATTACACAAGTACTACTTAGTGGACAGTGGTCAACCCTCAGCGAATTTATTGTACCATCCACCACATTCTGTAAACGTGTACTTTGAACGCTTTTTCCAAAATACGTTTCCTTGTGAAATACACCTAATAATCCTGGAAGAACTTAAACTTATGCCTAACCTACGCATAAATTGACGCGTCTCGGTATAGTAAATTTCATACAACCTCGCAGCTGGTACGTATGTTAATCACATGGTACGCAACTTTATCTTTTCCCTTTTTCCATGAAGCACTTGTTTGTGGAATGCGAACAAACGAAAGATTACCGACTTGAGCTGCAACCTGAACACAAGACTATCGGCCAGTTTTTGTGGTTGCAGATATCTTCGCGTGGCATTCATTGTCGAAGACCCCACCACCGGCCCCCTGAGCCGGTCGATGATCCAACTCGACAGCCAGCTCTTCACTCCTCGGGTACTGCCATCGCACGGATTTTGCGGAGTCGGGGCGTTTGAATCACAAGACACGTGCCGACAACGGTTGGACGCATGGGTGCAAGCGACCGGTGCACGTGTCGTGGCGGTGGAGACACTGCTCATGCCGATGGTCAGCGGCGGGGAGACCGTCAACGATGGGGACGCCATGCGCATTTGTAACAACGTACACCTGCCGCACTCCGACAGTCACACGCACAATCAACGTTTCGTCTATATGTACCGGATATACACGGACGGAATCGTCCCGGATCAGCCGGTGATCATTCACGATACCCAGCGGCACGCCTACGCGACGCCAGTGCACAGTGGTGATTTGTGCACCATTTCCTAAATACGTGTCTAGCTACCAAAAGGTTTTTTTAAGGGATCATGTAGTAATTATTGCACATGTTGTAGTTTCAGCTCACATTGTATACTGAAGTAGTTTTACTCTGGGTTTAATTCCGCATTTCTACTTCGTACTAAAATACAACGTAACAACATAACATCAACAATAATGACTTATGACACTTCATCACATAAAGCAACGGCTATCAATGATTTATTTATATTCCTACTAGAAAGTATACGTATACGTCACGTATACCGTATACGTTCCTTCGATTTTTTCTAAATACTATCGAGCACAATTAAAAACTATCCGCTTTAACCGTTCACCGGAAGGCAGTGTACTGAATTATAAAATACGCTGGAAAAAAAATAAAAATTCAATGAAACATCTCAAAAAGAGAATGAATAGTTTAGCAGATCGCTGCCAAAAAAACCGGCAAGAAAGTCAACGAAGCATGATGCAGATAACGGATATCCTTCACGATTTGTGCGAGAATTTAGCGTAATCACGTTCCCCGCTACCAGAATAGATCGTAAAGTTTTCCAACCGCGATTTCGCCACCGTACCACCAGGTTCCGGCACAATTTCGTCGGTGTAAATCCGATACATCAACGCGAAACGCTCATCGTCGCGTTTGGTTAAATTGCGAGTGCCCGAGAGCGACAAGTGCATCTCGTTCCAGGTGTGCATAGCATCAAAGCCATACACGGACTCCCCGCCACCGACGATGCGCATCACCAGCGTCTCCACCGAGACGACGCCTGCCCCGGTCGTCTTTAGCCACGCATCCAGCCGCCGACGACATGATTCCTGCGTTTCAAACTCGCCCTTCTGCGATCGTGTGACAGACTCCTGTAGTCTAAACGCAGCCTCCTGCGCTTTCAAAGCAACCTGCTGCATCGTGAAGGCGGACTCCTGCGATTTCAACGCAGCCTCCAAGGATATCAAATCCGTCTCGCCGGATTTTATCGAAGCATTCCGCGATTCGAAGGCGGCAGTTTTCGATGCCGCGGCAGCATCATGCGCGGCTTGGCGCAGTTTGGCAACAGCCTCCTGATCCAAGAACACCGGTTGTTGAATCATCTCCGGAACCATCAGTTTAGAGCCCAGCTGGATGGTCGAACGCGATACGGGACCGCTGTCCGGGTTCTCGATGACGTACGCCACCCGCAGAAATCTATAAGACGACGGACAAAACCTAACAAATCTACAAATCTAAAATATTAACAGCGGCTTCTCCATCTAACCGGAGATAATTGAGCAATGTCTTGTTCTCGTGGTACGTCATATCTTTGGTGTCGATGCCCTTGTTGTAGCTCCAGCGAAACATGACCGTCTGGACGTTAACGGGTCGGAAGTGAGGCGGCACCGATAACAACCACTTCTGGACGCGCTGCATCACCATCGGGAAGGTCTCCATGCGCGGGTTGGAGGAGGCGGTGGCCTTCTCCAGGACGGCCGGTACAAAATCCTCCAAGCCCACCTGCAAGTGTTCCACGGCGCCGCGGATGTAGAAGATGCGGACGAGATTAATGAAACGATCTCTTGCCATGCCCCGCTCCGTCCAGATCGTCCGATCTGGATCTAGTGCTAGGGAAAAACAGATTTCTATACGGGTATGAAATAACAGAATAAAAACCCGAAAATATCTTTTGCTCACTCAACGATAAGCAAAATTGCAGACACGGGGACTAGAACGAGAAACGACATCTGTGTTGGCTCACCACTGTTGCCCCATTTGATGGGCTGCGTCTCCACCGTAATGATTCTCCCTTTGATCTGCGTGCGGTTGATGCGCTCAAGAACGATGTCCAATCGTTGCGGCGCATCATCGCGCTGAATATCGGGGAGGAAATTCACGTAGCCGATCTGATCGGGCTCGAACTGGCTCACTGCTGCTGACGTGCTCCGCGGCTGTATCCACAAGCGCAGACCGCGGATGTAGCGGTTGTTGCTGTCCCCTGCAACGCGTCGGGTCTCCTTATCGTTACTAGTAATTCAAACTGCAGACTACTCATTGCATTTACCAGTCATGGATTATATAGTGAATAAGCGAACTCTTAGGATGGAAGTTTATACCGTACCGTAAGCGACGAAGACTGATTGCACCGTGTCGATCTCCCATCCTCCATCGCAGACGCTGAACTCCACGCTTTCGCAGGTATTGACGGTGCAATGGGGATTGTCGCGCAGGAAGTGGTTGGCCCGCTCGACCAGGATGTTGAAGCGTTCGTACTCGGGGCGGTCGGATGGGCCGTCTTCGGCTGTCATGAGCGGCAAGAAATCCACCGCTTGCAGACCAACGGCTGTGAGAGAAGCGGGAAAGGATCCCGTTGCCTGCCCGTAGGCCGGTGGGGCGCCCGGATAATCGGGAGGAGCGCTGGGGTAGTACTGTTGCATCGCTCGATGTTCGGTTGCACGAAAGATGTCAAATTTCCGTAATGTCAATTTTCGCGGTGATGAGAAACGTTTCTTGACTATACTGTAGTCCAAACTGATTGCGATAATTGTGCGTTGTCGGAAGAAAAAAAAGGATGATGATATGCTTTGTCCGAACTTAATGAATGAGTCACGTATTCAGGCAGGTATCAATCTAGTAGGGTGGAATGATGGAATCTGGATCAGCTGTGTGCCGAGCGGTGAAAAGCAAATTAACGTAACTAATACTCAAGCTGAGGAGGCCTAGGCCTGGTACTACAGTATAAGGCCTCGTCCCGAATTCAAAACTTTTAATAGGCTGTATGCACCTGCCTAGGGTAACAATAAAGCTGAATGCAGTTAATATTTTTAACTTTCTGGCTCCAGGGCCGTTCAGGCGCAGCTGTCGGATGTCTACATTATTATTATTTCGGCGAGATTCCAGAGCGAGAGCGTATACAAAAGCGCAGAAGAATTCCCATACACCAGCGAAGTGTTTTGGCATATTTTATTACTTACGGTAACAAACCAGTAAAATTCTTCAGTTTCCAGAAAATGTAATAAATTGTTAAGCAGACGGTTCAAATAAACTGAGATAATCACATAATTAATTTTATTAGCACAAGCCAGCGCGGATCACATAATTATATGGAACGTTTATATACTACAAATAAAACATTTTGAACCAGAACGCAGCTAGTCATTGGGTGCAATTGGTCTGTATAATTTTAGCAAAAAAAGCCCACAAAAAACCTGGAGAAAGCACGCATGAATAACGAAGATTCTCAAACATAACGCGAAAATATCAGGCAATCGCACAACCTTCGCCGCTATCCGTCTGTGTCGTATAGTTCTCTAACCGCGATTCCCTGACCATGCCACCGGTTTCCGGCACAATCCCGTCGGTGTAAATCCGGTACAGATACACAAAGCGTTCATCGTCCCGCTTCGTGGAGCTACTGTTGCCCGAACGCGTCTGATGCGTGTCGTTCCAGGTGTGCATGGCATCGAAGCCGTACACGGACTCTCCACCACCGGCGATGCGCATCACCAGCGTCTCTGCCGAGACGACGCGCGCCCCCGCCGCTTTTACCCACTGATCCACACGCCGACGACACGACTCCTGAGATTCAAACGTGCCCTTATCGAAAAACCCTGGTTGCTGCGCCATCTCTGGAACAATCAGTTTGGAACCTAACTGGATGGTTGAACGTGACACAGGACCACTGTCCGGTTTCTCTATAACGTATGCTACCCGCAAAAACCTAAAAAGCAGCATGTGTGAACAGAAGGTGAAAGCTTAACGCAGATTTCTAGCCAACCGAAGATAATTCAGGTGTTTCTTGTTCTCGTGGTACATCATATCCTTGGTGTCGACGCCTTTATTGTAGCTCCAACGGAACATTACTGTTTGAACGTTGACAGGGCGGTAGTTGGGCGGAACCGACAGCAACCACTGCCGGACACGCTGCATCACGGTCGAAAAGGTCTCCATGCGTGGGTTGGAAAAAGTGCCGCCATCTTCCAGCTTCTGCGGCACAAAATCCGCTAAACCTACTTGTGACTGTTCGACGGGACCGCGGATGTAGAAGATACGAATGAGATTCACGAAGCGCTCACTGGCGGAACCCCGCTCCGTCCAGATTGTGCGGTCTGGGTCCAATGCTATGGAAAGGTAATATTTGCATACTCACCAGAATATGTCCGCAAGAGCTTGCAACTGTCGAAGCTGCATTGTCGGCTCACCTTTGCTGCCCCATTTAACCGGCTGTGTCTCCACCGTGATGATCGTTCCTTTAATAGGGGTTCGATTGATGCGCTGTACCACGTGGTCCAGTCGCTCCACCAGCTCACTGTTCTGAATGTCTGGGAGGAAGTTGAGGTAGCCGATCTGCTCCGGCTCGCTCGCCGGCATCGACGAATGCCGGTACTGCGTCCACAGACGCAGACCACGGATGTACCGGTTGTTCGCTTCCCCTGCAACTCAATGCTGTACAGCATTTCTCATATTAATTTTACTTTGTTATCCACAGGTTCTGAATGGACGCATTGCTACAACTATACCGTCTATACGAATTAAGTGCCAATTGGAGGTCTGTTACATGCGTCAGATTACGTTCTAATGACATTGTAAACCGTATCAGTATGACCATACCACTGGTGTTAGTAGTGTACATGCTGAGTGAAACTGATACTAACACTTCAGCAATAATTTATACAATGAAAACTTAAACTAGCTCAATTTCCAAAAACAAAATATATACAGTATTAAAAAAAATTTAATTGGAATCAGGGGTGTTAAAGCGAAACTCGACTCACAAGTCTCACAACGTACCGTAAGCAGTGAAGACAGACTCCACCGTGTCGATTTCGTATCCACGATTGTAGACGCGAAACTCCACACTCTCGCAGGTGTTGACGGAGAAGTGGGGATTGTCGCGCAGGAAGCGGTTGGCCCGCTCGACCAGGACACCAAACTGCTCGTATTCGGGGCGGTTGGAGGGCCCGTCTTCCGCCGTCATGCGCGGCAGGAAGTCCACCGCTTGCAGGCCAACCGCCGTCAGGGGGGCGGGGGAGGACCCCGTCGCCACCCCGTAGTCTGGCGGGGCGCCGGAGTACTCAGGAGGAGCGCTGGCATAGTGATACATGGCCGCGTCGATGTGCGATCGGTTCACTCCACAAGCTGAGCGCGCAAGATTATCGAAACTCGCGTCAGAGACAGAAATGAGAATTAGCGCTGGGGAGTGTGGGTTGTAGAGTTGTTCCTCGTAAATTCGCACCTATCCTTAGGAAGATGAAATCATATTGAAATGATTGGAATTGATCACTTCACTTAGACTATTAGGGAGCTCGGTTGAAATTAACCATGGCTACCAAAAAATGGTAAAACCAAGGATAAAATCATAAAAGTGGCAAAAAGTTCGCGTTCATGACTTAACTTACTAACAATCTAAATTCTAACCGTATGTGATTTCCGATTCCATAATCCTATTGCGTTAGCGACCGCTCTTAAGCGCCAGTTACTATACAGAATGCGGGCGCACTCTATCACGTAATACGTATGTTGTCATTTTCATGAATTTCATTTGAATCATAAATTGCACTGACGCAAATCGCTCCCATTCTTCCTCCCTTTTCCAAGCACCCATGATGCATACTTCCTCGTAGTCTGAGGAGCATTTGAATCATCAGTTGCACCGGAATTGTTGCAATTTTTTTCTGCATCGTATAGAACCAAGTTCAACCAACATCCAAAGCGAGCATAGGGGCATCCACGCGATAAGGATCACATATCTACCTGTCTGAACACTTTTGACGGTTTGACCAAAGCCCGTAAGGATGATGCATGCTCGTGCTCCTCCCGCGTATTCCGACGCCCCACCAGACTACGGGGAAGCATCAGGATCGGGGCCGGCGAAGCCGTTGACGGGCATCGGTCTGCAAGCGATGGATTTTCTGCCGCGCATGACGGCCGAAGACGGCCCTTCCAACCGTCCCGAGTACGAGTCCTTCAGCCTGCTCGTGGATCGCGCCAACGCCTTCCTTCGCCAAAACCCCCACTGGACCGTCAGCACATGCGAGAGCGTGGAGTTTCGGGCCTTCGACCGCGGACGCAACATCGACACGGTGGGATCCGTCTTCACGGCATACGGTATGGTAGAATACTTATGACTGTGTCAGCTGCAAAGTTTGAGTCTAGAGTCTCTAGACTACTCGTAGAATGCAGCGGGGAACTCGTAGAATGCAGCGAGACTGATAGGAATAAGTACTGATTTTTCATCGTTTAGCAAGAATTTATCCCATCGTTCCGGCTCGTAACGCACACTGCATCACGAGTACAGCACATTTTATTTTGATGCCAGTTTGTAGCAAACTTCTGTAGTTTTCATTTGTGATGGAGATAAATATATATACTGTACATATATATATATACTGTATTTTTACCCTTTTTGTCTAAATTAATGTCGTAATTTTCAGTATGTAGCACGGTAGCAACTAGTACATGTACATAGCTGTTTGATTAACTTGCAGTAAATATTGTATTGAACAATAAACAGTACTGTATGTTATCCGTTATGACGAATGTTAGGTACAAAACCGCACAAGTATTTCGAAAAGTAATTTCAAAAATTAAAAAAGTAGTAATATTAATAAAGGTAGATAGATTAGAAGTTCAGAACGTTCGATTGTATGGAGATCAGTGATCGCTCTGACGTCAGATATTGATAGCGTTGAGAGCTGTGACCAGTCGCTGATTGGCGAACAGTATGACGTCAGCGGGACTTGAATAGAGCCGGCTTCACTGCTGTTTGGTGGAGGAGGTGATGTCATCTCGCACAGCACGCAGAGGATGCACCATCGGTGCTTTTGTTAAATATTACTCGCAGCAAAAAGGTACAAAAGATAAAAATGGGATGTTTCTTCAAATGGTACACACCTGCACAAAAGCACACAGGAATGATGACAGGATCAACATTTTCATTAACTTTGAGGTCTATCTTTTAATTACAGTACTATGCCATTAACTTTTTATATCTCATCGATTTTTGGACAGATCACTTCCAGAAAGTATCGTTTTATAATTAGCTTGCAAAAGGTTAACAAAAGCAGGGCAAACTAACAATACGACTACGTTTCTTCTGCAGTTGCAAGGAATTTAATGCAGTCATGTAAGTACGATCCTGAGATTTGTGACTACAACAGAACAAAGTGAAAACAGCAGATATCGTTGCCTGCATATTTCAGCCTGAATCTTTTTCTATAGCTAAATGTCGAAAAGGGTCAGACAGTTGTTTGCAACAAGGCATGAATGCTGAGCAGCGTCAGTTTCTTTTGACAGGTGAAGCCAACAATCGTTACATTCGAGGCCTGAGGCTCTGGGCGCAGCTCCGCCCTCCTGCGTCTGGCCCGCCGGTCGTTGAGCAGATCGGCTACCGGAACGTTCTTCCGGAAATCCGCGGCGACCAGGTGGAGCGGCTGGACGGCGTAGTGCACCGCATCAACAGCATTCCCTTCCAAGGCCGAGTCATCACGGTCGAGACACAACCTATCAAATGGGGCAGCAGCGGTAACTAACTGCCTTGTTCATATACTGTGTTTCCATTGCAAAATTGACACCGGAGGAATTCTTGGCAACTATATTAATTGCTATTTTTGTGCAGGGCTGGATCCGGATCGCACCATCTGGACGGAGCGGGGGTCGGCGCGCGAGACTTTCGTCAATCTCATCCGCATCTTTTACATTATGGGCCCGGTTCAGCACGCGGAAGTGGGTTTGGCTGATTTTGTGCCAGCCATGTTGGATCAAGGCGGCGCTTTTTCCAATCCTCGCATGGAGACCTTCCCGACGGTGATGCAGCGTGTCCGACAGTGGCTGCTGTCGGTGCCGCCCAATTACCGGCCGGTTAACGTTCAGACTGTAATGTTCCGTTGGAGCTACAACAAAGGCATCGATACCAAGGATATGACGTATCACGAGAACAAAAAGCACCTCAATTATCTTCGGTAGGATAGAAATCAACTGTTAAAGAAGCGGGTTTCGTCGATAGTTGATGCTGTTTAGGTATCTGCGTGTGGGCTACATTGTGGAGAATCCGGCCGACGGGCCCATCTCCCGTTCGACCATCCAGTTGGGCAGTAAACTCGTTGTTCCCGGAATGAGTGTGGAGCCGGGATGTTGTGAGGACGGGGCTTTTGAATCACAGGATTCGTGCCGTCAGCGGGTAGATGTTTGGGTTAAAGCGGCCGGGGCACGGGTCGTCTCGGCGGAGACGCTGGTAATGCGCATCGCCGGCGGCGGTGAGTCCGTGTACGGCTTCGATGCCATGCATACCTGGAACGACACGCATCAGACGCGTTCAAGCAACAGTAGCTCCACGAAGCGGGACGATGAACGCTTTGTGTATCTGTACCGGATTTACACCGATGGGATTGTACCGGAACGAGCAACGGTGGAAGATATGCAGTTACAGGATTACACACGACGGACGGATAGTGGGGAAGGATGTACAATTTTATAAGTTTCAGTCGGATACGGGCTTCCTTTTTAACCGTAGTTAATTTTATTTTTATTTTCGATAATTATATATAATTTTTTATCGTCTTAGGTTGTGATTTTTGTGTATAGCGAATTTTAATTCATTTTATGGCATATTAATATATTGTTTTTGGGTTGTTTTTGTTGTTTTCTTGTCAGTTGTCACACTCAGAAACGTATTGGTGTTAAAATCCACTTTACTGCCCGCTGATGAAAACATCACTATCACAGCGAAAAACAACCAGCGCGCCATCATCTCACCGATGACATCCCGGAAAACTAATATACCAATAGTAAACAAAGACGCATCCAATAAGAAAACGCGGATGACGCTCAACAGACAAGAAACGGTCTGACATGAATACAGATAAAATTTAAAAAGCGTGTAGAAAAAAGCACCATCTGCTAAGATAGACAAGATGGGTTTCGAGGAACCATAAACGGACAAAATAATAGCCTGCCATAAATAAAGCCAACTTTGCGTGATCAGATCAACATGACCGCCCCTCCCACCCCCAGATGCGCCCTTACTTGTGGGGCTCCTGTTTGGGGATGAGCGGTGTGCGCTCCTGATTTTTGAGGGAGCCCGAGGAGGACGAGGGCTGCACAGGCCCGCGGTTCTTCAGACCGGCGGCGATTTCGGCGTCCGACATCTTGGACATCTTCGGCACGGCGTCCGAGGGGATGCCCATGGAGGAAGAGGAGCCCATGCCTCCCATCAGAGGGGAGTTGCTTGAGATGGGAGCCATTGCACCCGACGCAGAGGGAGCCTGTCCACCGCCACGTATGGCTTTGGCTGAACAAAATACGCACAGAATGGGATGAAATATATATTTAAACATAATAAATAAATAACCAAAAAAATAAAAATACGATTTCAATTAAGGCAAAGCAACAAATTAACTGCAGAGTGCAGTATATTTAAACAACAAATTACCGAACCATGAAAATAATTAATCAAAAAACTTACCGATTTGGGGTTGATGTGCACGACGTTGAATGTTCTTTTGTCGCACGGCCTCCTTGATGCGCTCCACCTCGTACATGTATCGCTGTCGGTCCTTGACGGCCACCTCCCGGGCCTCCTTCAGCGCTGTCTCCAGTGTTTTGACGCGCTCCATTGTGCTGCGCATCCGCTTCTCCAATTTGGGTATCTCGCAGCGCAGATCGGCATTATCGCGCACCAGCTAAAAGAGAGAAAGGCGAGGGCTAACAGATTTAATCTGCATTTTCATTGCGGTCGCCGCCGTCCTCACCTGTTTGTGGATGCGCGTCAGCTGTTCGAGGTTGTTCTCAAGGAAGGCTACTTTCTGGCGCTGCGCAAGACTGCCGCCGGCCTCCAGTTCGTCTTCTTCCAGTTCGGCCAGAACGTTCTTGGGCTGGTTTTCCTTGTTTTGCTGCTGTTGTTGCTGATTGAGCAGCTGCTGAGCCTGCTGCAGTTGGCTCTTCTTCATGCGATTTTGAAGTTCATCCACGAACAAACGGCGCAGATTGTACAACTGTTGAAGCTCCTTTGTTACTGCTTCCTCCATGCCCTTCAGATCCTGTTTGGCCTGCTCCGTCAAATCCCTCTGATTGCTGCAAAAACAAAACATAAATAACAATTTTCAGCCCATTCAACAAGCGGATCATATTACCAGTAGCGCATTTTGTCAAATTCGTTAACGATGTTTCAAAAGTTATTGTAATATCTAACCGAACGCTACTTAGGATACACTTACATGAACTCCTGCAGCCTGGCGCTCTTTTCCGCTTCCTCTGTCTTGAGTTTATCGAATTCCTTCTGCAGCTGCTCCTTGGCCAGAGCGGTCTTCTCATTTGCACTACAATTTAAAAAAAATTATTTTATTTGCTCGAACGAACGACCGTGAAATATGCGACATACTCTCGCAGTTGCTCCAGCGCGGCCTCCTTCTGGTGTATCTCTTCGCGTAGCGCGGTAACCTGCTTGTGATGCTGCTCTCGCTGCAGTTGCATCTGCGCGTCGACGGCCTTCTTTAGTTCCGCTTCACGCACCTGCATCTCCACCGCCGAGGCCTGATGGTCGGCTGACTGGTGCGTCTTCAGTTGTTCTAATCAATTTACCAGAAAACTGAAAAAAATAACAAAACATACAACTCAAAAACACTCCAACCTTGCGCCTGCAGCCGGGTGAGTTCCTCGTTAAGACCATCCAACTGCTGCTCCAACTGGAATTTCTTATCCTCATTAACACGCAGTGACTCTTGTACCGATTTCAACTTGGCATCCGACTGGCCCAGTCGCAGCGACGTCTCACTCAGCTCCTTTTCCAGATCCTCCAGTTTCTTCGCACTGTCCGCGTTGCTGCTTTCCACTTGTCCCAGTTTCTAATCAAGATGCCATCATCCTGTAATTTGTACAACAGGAAGGAATACCCGGCTTTAACCTCACCTGCACCAGGTTGCGAATGTCGCTCTTCAGTCGCGACATGGACAGCTTGGTGACCATGAACTCCTCGTCTAGTTTCTCGTTTTTAACGGCCATATCCAGTGGTTGTGGTATGGGCATCTTGAACGAGCTGCCGACGGAGCAGCTGGCCAGGATGCTACTAATGTCGGCCATCTCCGTCGACATGTTAGACAACATTTCCACGGTGCGTCGCTTCTGAATCTGGGAGATCTCATGCGCCTGCTGCAGTTCTAGCTGGGCTTGCGCCAGAGAGTTCTGAAAAACCCCCACCAAAAATATCAAAAATGACCTGACGTTTGCAAATAGCGAAATAGTCTATGAAACTACTGAAATCACCGTTGCATCGTACAGGTTAACTTTTTTCAAACAAAAATTCATTAAAGAGAGAAAAGCTTGAACGTACCCGGTTTTTACTGTTTTCTTCCGAGAGTTGATCAACCTCGGCGATCTTGGATTCTACCTCCGTCTTCTTCTGGTCGAAGGACAAATACAACTCCTCCAACGCCTGCATGACTTCCTTCAGTTCGCTCTTGGATAGATCGTTCTCCTTGTTTACGCGCAACAGATCCATTTGCTGCACATCCATGTCGCGTCGCAGTCGCAGCAGTTCTTGTTGCTTCTCCAGCAACTGCTCCTTTAACATGTTCAGGTTCTCCGATTGCGCGGATAGCTCATCGTCCTGCACAAAAAACAAAGACAAAAATTAAAGTGGTTCAAAACTGAAAAATTCTCTAACAAGACAAGCTCACATGAAGAAAGATAGTAAAAAAAGAAATCAGATTTACATTAAAAATTACTATCAATATACTATCCAGGTATACTTCGCTAATTTAAGTAAATAAAACTAAAATGAGTACACTTCAAGGCGAACCAAAAAAACAAATGTCCAGAATTTCAGCAAAAGCAACGTGAAATCAGGTTGACTCTACAATCATTGTTATTTGCTTATTGTCAGTAAATTAATATAAGATAGAGATACTATAGGAGTAGGAATAAATGACTGACCTTCTCATCTAGCTGGCGGTACAGATCGGCGCGCTCTTTTTCGAAGGCGTCTTTGTCCTTCGCGGTGACCTCTTTCTGCGCCTCGGCTGTGCCCTTCTCGGCCAACTTAGCGGCGTTCTCCAGCGACGGCAGCGAAGCAGTTTGGCTGGGCGGCGTGCTGGCCACTTCCGGCAGCGACGTGGTGGAGGCACTCATCAACGCCGCCAGCTGCCCAAGGGACAGCTGCTCTTCCTTGCCCACCTTCTCGCCCGCTCGCCACCGATTCAGCTCCGTCTCTAGTTTGCTGACGTACAAGCGGAGCTTGCTGGCCTTGTCGCGCTCTTTCTCGTATAATCGGCGCCATTCCTCTGCCGTCAACTCCTCGTTAACCACAACTGTGTTCTTGATGGTCTTCGCACTGCCAAAAATTAAGTCTTCGCTATAATCAGGTACCAATAACTGCTATAAGCAACAGAAAAATTTATTCTGCTTATCCTTGGAACTGTGCTTGCATTAATTATCGAAAAATCGCACCGACAAAAAGTGGACGAAAAAAACTTCAACTATATTAAAAAACAGGTAACTTACAGATCAGTAACTTCAGCACTAGCAGTAACTTTACCTATATCCCACAAAATTTTAACTTTTCAAAGTTCCATGTATGTACAGTATACGGTAGTTTTATACACGACCAAATTTTGGAAAAAAGCAAACATTATTACCTTTAAGACTTAAGTGTGTCTATTGATTTCGAAAGCCATGTGCAACAAAAAAAAATTGTCAAATTCCTTAGAGTAGATTAATATTCACACATTGACACGATAAAAATGGCAAAATTATGCAACGTAACCCATACACGATTTCTACTGGCACGAACAAAGCACGCGTCAACTACCGGTGACAGCCTGCTTGTTCAAACAACAAGATGCGACCGAATGCGACCACCGGCAGCGTGCATTAATTAATTACCACGAATTACAAGCTAACCTATGGAGCTCAATCAAAAAACCATCAATCTAACCATTTACTCATTTCACGCTTATCTTTTCATCTCTTTTTCCGCGTTCAAGATTGAATTTTTTATTGAACCCCAAAAGCAGATGAAAGTGTAGTCGTCCAATATTTTTTTATTTATTTGTTATATAGATAGTTGCCGTCAATATATGGAAAAAAGAAATAAAAAATATTAGAAAAACCCCACAGAATGCTTGTCATACCGTTGACCAAAAAGTAACGTGGATTTCGTTTCCGATTCGTTGTAGCTGGCCGGAGAAACGCAGGTGATAATGGTAGTACGTGCGTTACCACCGAGAGATTCTTGCAGAATACGAGTTAACTTGGAATCTCGATAAGGAACGTGCGACTTCTACAATACGAAACATCAGCATTAAGTACAACCGTCAATAACAGACTGTTGGTGTAAAGCTGCAGGTACATTTTTTATTTTTTTTATCATCAAATCAGTTTGACAGCCACATAATTTCTTCAGTTGGCCTCTCCCTTACCGCCAGCCTATCTATTTTAATATAATTTTCTTCGTTTGTGGTACTCCTTGTGACCCAATCGTAAATATTAATATTAAAAACAGGTTACACAGCTCATCAAAAATCAATCTCTTTTAACAAGACAATCCAGAGTCACTTTCATAAAAAACTACATATTACAAATTTAAAACTGCCACAAAATTTCTTTAGTAAAACGCCGAAAAAAATTGCCTATCGAGAACACAATTCAGTGGAATCAATAACACTTAAAAAACTAAAATCAAGTAATTGTAAAATTCGCCAGTGCCTACCGTGCCTTCCGCTAAAGCGGCGATAACGTTGCCGAGGGCCGAAAGGGATTTGTTGATGTTTTTGGCTTCGTCCAGAGTACTGCCTTCAGCTCCCGTCTTGCTGACCTTTTCGCTGCCCGCTAGATCTACCAGGTAGAGCTTGCCGCTAAGCTTTTTCTGCGTCTTCAAATTCTCCTGGCGGACATCAATGAGGAAGACAGAGTGACTACGTGAGCTGTGCTCGTTCATGTTCGTCACGGATACATGCCGATTCTCCTTGCCCTCATCTATCACATCCATCACTTCCTCGGGACTAGAGACAAAACGTTCCGTCACACCCTACAAAGTAAGAACACATTCATAACTCCGCCAAAATGTGAACAAAACGGGTTTCCGAGTGCAAATAAAAATTATTATTACGACCGCTGAACTCCTTTTATTTCCAATAAAAAATGAATGAAACCAATTCAAAGGAGACCAATTCCGCTTTTATTTTATTACACCGGAAAGCAGTTCTCATTAAAGCAGTTCCAGTAACAAAAAAGGATATAGTCTGTTTATTACTCGCAGCAGACAGTTTACCAAATACACCAATTACTGACCTTCACGTAAGGAACACGGTTTTTATCTTCGTGGACGACCAAATTACTTTTGGATACATCTAACAAATCCCTGATCTTGTCCATATATATTTCGAAATATGAGACCTATAATAAATGATATCCCGTCACTGCATATTCAGTGAGCATTCATTCAGTTCAGCTCCGGCACACCTTGATGTGGAATTCCAAATTCTCATCCATGCTGTAGATGTGACTGAATATATCCTGGACAATTCGGGGAATAATTCCCTGATTATCCGGATCCCCCAAAACACCCTGTTTACGAGAGAAATCGTTTGTACGGGCGTTAAACAATGTGTTAAGCAGAACTTCTGTACGAAGTGAGATATCTGTTCGATCTTGCCTCCATCGTATGCGTCTTCCCACTGGACGTCTGTCCGTACGCGAAAATCGTCCCATTGTAACCGGAAAGCACATCTGAAAAAAAGTGTATCAGTCTATCGGATAGTCACTCACGAAATGCCCAAATTAATCAAAATCAAATAATCACCAAAACTTTCACCATGGGTAAGCCGAAATAACAACACTTTTATGTCTCAACTTCCAAGGCAAACAACAAAAATGCAACAACAAGAAATTGCAAATTTGTTATTCACTTAAAAAATGTCATTCATTTTTCGACCAGCGTCCGTTCAACGAGCTTTTCTATTGATCAGTTGACGCCCAGCGCCGGTCAGCGCCGCGACCCGCCGAAACGGCAACTCTGTCGTCTCGTCATGCCCAATGCAGCGTGAAACGTCTTTACCGAAAGACTATTTAGTACTGAATCTACTGATGCTGGTTAGCTACAGCCAGCCTGCGTCGACAATTTACACAGCGGGTTCACTGACTCAACAGCTACTGGAGCGCCGCGGAATAACAAGAAGCTATTTAACCCCATTGCAGCTGATTCATCATGCGAAGCGCTAACAAATCATCCAACAAGATGCAAACTACAAGTATCTAGTAAATGCTCAACACTTCTCGCCGTTGTATTCATGCTGAGCTAACAAAATTTCAAATCCCACATGTATTATGAAATTTCTGAAGAGAAACGACATAATCGCGCAACAATGCGCAAGTCGTACTTGAAATGAAAAAAAAAACAGTAAAAAAACGTAACATCTCTGTAACTCTCATCCACGCATATCACTGAATTTCTCTTTTAAATATCAACAAACGTTTTCAGAGAAGCTAACAAAAATCGAAATAAACATGAAGAGGCTGAGCAATGCTGCTAAAATTATCCTGACAAAAATCGCAAAAATCAATAATCTGATCATTTCGGCAGGCATGTGGATCGATATTGATACGGTAAATGAAGTCATTAAAGGAATGTATCTGCTGACTTTTCCACATGATGCAATGCACCCTCAAACAAATCTCCCAAAACGATTCAAACTTCAGGCACCATCATAAGAAAACCATGATATTTGCCATTTGGTAGGAAATCGCGCGCAGTAAACATCAACGCTACGTTGAACAACCAATTTGACAGAATCGCTTCACATGTAGAAATTATTAACTGCAGTTCACTGCTTTCACTCCAATTTAGTTTTACAAATAACGCCAGAATAACGGTAGATTATTAAATCATTAATATTTAATACAACAGGGAGAGCAAAAAACTGAAAATTTCAAAATTTGTCAATGAGTTCAAAATTTTGAAGTGTAACTCACCAACAACAATCTGCCTGGCAGTTTCCGCGTATACTTTTGCCTGGGCGCTTTTCGGGTGAAATACCCGGTCGAAATTAAACGGTTTGCCCTAGAGACAAAATAAAAAAAATTGGAATAAAGATCAAAACGCAACTAGTGCACCACAATGCATCGAGATTCGAGAACACCATTTCTCCGACCAATACTGGTCCAATACAGATGATGATGTAACTGACTGATGGAGTATTTTTGAAGAAACCCAACTCAGCGACAACTCAGAACACTTTTCAGACCTACCCCACACATGAGCGCATCATCCGTAATGTTCTTGATAACGAACTGTGACCCCGTGCGTTCTTCAGCGTCGTTGAGGGGCCGGATGCGACACACCACCTTGATGTTGCACAAGGCGGGATCGTGCTCCAGGACGCCCGGGATATCCGAGGAGGCGACGGAAGACAGGGACATGACGGTCAACGGGAGTCACAACACGGATGCAATTACGCTCCCCAGATTACATATGACACAGAATGGCGGCACTCACGAAAGTTGACAAAATGAAAGCTGACAGTAGTGTCTCAAGCAAAAAGCCAACGCCTGGGCAAACTTCGCGTTCTAACACGTCCTGCGCATATCCAGGGAGTGAAAAGGTATGGCGGGGTGGGAGATTCTTCCCTACGCAGATCCTGCTGAAAACCGCGACGTAAGCTGTCCAACTTTTATCAGTAAAGAAGTGAAACGGGGTCCTGCTCCGAAGTTCAACAACGTCAATCACACAAACCGTCAAAACAGCGAAAATAGTCTATCAGGATTCAGCGTTGGGCCAAGCAGCAGCACTGCAGCGCACGTTCGATAGATACACATGAGGGAGGGCGGGTATGCCGCAGATTGGCAGACTGCGATAGATGGCGTGATTGTTCAATCAATCGTACCACTGCAGGTTTGTCTCTGTCCACTATGTAATTCGAAGTACTGCGCAGACAGAGACATATCGCGGGCGCACTATTTTAGCGTTTTAAATGAATCCAAAATTCCAAATTTGCAAACGCAAACCAAAACAAGTTGGTGACTGTACTGTACAACACATTGTTATTGGTACAGCTGGACTTCAGATCTTACCGATTACTTACGATTGAATTTTTGTTTAAATTTTATTTTTGAATCCTGATCTTTTTAAATTCTGAAGTTCTCATTTATAAAACGGTAGGCGCAATTAATGATGGAATGTATACTGTACTATAGTTTTGTACTTACAGTACTTACATAATTACGTGTCACGGTATGATCTGTATCGCTCTCAGTCTATCCAGTCTATCGGATGATTCGCTGTACCTTTTGAGTACTCAGCACTGATTTGAAATTTAAATTGGTTTGAAATTTGAAATAATTAAGTGAAATAAATGATAATCGTTAATCTACTCGTCCCTCGATTCGCTGCTACCACTCCACTGATGCGGTCTGTGGATTACTGAACGCTTAATTATAAATTACAGATCGAAGTTCCTGTTTTTAACTTTCTGCAACTTTATTAGTTTTATATGTTGCAAGTTACAACGAGTTGCCGTAAATACTTCGTGATCGAATAGATCGATCTTAATCGTTAAAATTAATAATTATTCTTATATCTGATATCAGTTCAACCGTAAGGAATGAGTTCCTCGCAGTTGAACCGCCTGTACTTCGTGATAATTGGCCATCGTGATCAACCGCTGTTTGAGTTCGAAGCTTTGAAACAGGATGACAGCATGGGAATTCCGGTAAAACCGTAAAACAGGTTGTAAAGTAAACAGCTCTGAGCTATGAATAATGTGTGAAATTGTGATTTCTAAATGAACATAGTTACATAGCCCATAGGACATGTAGAACACGAGTATAAGAAATTTTTTTGGGGTTTTCGTAAGTCTGCACTCTGTGCCTTTTTGTGAGGTTACAGTGTTACACCGTTGTATAGTTGTGGTACATTTTCATATGAAAGAACGGCGTTTACTGTTTAATATTATTAATTTGGTTTATTTGCCTGCGCAGCGCGAGGACTACCGCCATCTGTGCCAGTTCATCGCGCATGCCGCGCTGGACGCCGTGGACGCCAGTCTAGCGAGCGCGCAAGGCAGCCAGATGTTTTTCAAGAACATCGACCGCTTCAACGAGTGGAGCGTGTCGGCCTTCGTCACCTGCAGTCTGGTCAAGTTCGTCCTTCTCCATCCCAACCGCGAAGAGAGCCAGTCGGCGCTGCGCAAAGAGGAGTCGGACATTATCCGCAACTTCTTCTATGCCGTTTACGAAATCTATATGAAGGTACAAACGCTGACGCTCGCATAGTTTTATTTCGGAAACTTTTGCTTTCTGTTTTCTGACTGCCGTCCGACTCCCCTTGTTTCTTATAATCTTATCACATTAAAATCGGGGATGTTTTCATTGAAGTGATAAGTACTTAACTAACGTACATTGCAGCATGCGCAAAACGTGAATAGCCTCTGGGAAATAATTGCGAACACCGCTAATCGAATTGTTCAGTTTTCGGACTTTGGTTTTCGCTTTGCAGATGATTCTGAATCCGTTTTACGAGTTGGATTCCGAAATCACATCCAGAGCATTCCGTGAAAAATTCCAGCAGTTGGTCAAGAAGCATCTTCTTAATTTGTGATCTCTGGTTTGCGGCTTTTGGTTGCATCAACGGTTCTACTTGCATGAATTGTTATAATTTTGTGATATCAGGATTTGGAATTCACAGATTCGCTACTCTGTTCATTCTGTTTGCCACGGTTTAAAATTTTGTCAGTTTTAGAGTGGGCCTCTGTTGCGAAAAATAAAAGAAATAGTATTAAAAGCGGTGAAATTTACGCGAAAGTGTTGGCTGACTTTACGTTATAACTTTTAACTTGTGCTTAAAATTCTAATTCCATCTCCTCTGTTATTAGCTGCAAGAGGGTCACAATAATAATGCCACTGGGCCTCGTGGATTAAAATAAAAATTTGCCCTTTCAAAAAACCTGCACACTTGTTTCTTACTTTATTTACCTATTTGGGTTTTTTGTTGTTTTCCTCAAAAATGTTGCCGCTTTTGGTCACACCTCAAGGCGTTCTGTCTGAACGAATGGTGAGATACGATTGGCTGACAAGTGAACCGAACGTAAACAACAGCCGTCAATCGGTACATGCACAAACGCGTTCTTTGTCAGTCTTTCTGGCACCACTGTCCCATTTTAAATTCTGCATTTTTGTAATTTTATTTTTCGAATTTCGCAGTTATTTCTTGCTTTTAAATGGATTTTGTCATAATTTTCGTTGATCGAGTTCCTGTTTTATCAGTTGATATTTCGCTGGCATGTAATTTTTTGTCGGATTATTCATATGGCTGTTAATACGCACCGATTTTTTACTTAACGGTTTAAGTTTTTAACTGAATCGTTCGTTCGAACAACCGTTTTTTGTCGAATTTTGTTGATCTTTTAATTTTGCCGCTTTTCCTCGCATTCTCCGCACACAATCACAATTTTTTGCTGTAAATTTTAAGGTGAGTTTTGCAGGGCAAACGATTATTTGAACAGTTGGCAAACTACTTTATATGTTTAGAATCCTGATTATTGCCTAGGAGCGTTGCAATACGTGGCTCACCGGCTGTGTCCCGGTAGCAGTAGCAGTCAATCTAAAGCTACTTACAGTAGTTTTAGCTAGTCAATCTAAAGCTAGCGAGGGCATGCAGGAATTCTGCAGATCGCGCTTATTTTAACCTGTGCTTAGTTGGTTTTTCACTTTTCGACAATACAGTTGCCCTCCGTTTCTAACGATAATTAACGCAGTACTTGCTACACGATTTTGCAATTTACATGGATTATCCATCATTATTAATAATCTGGCAAATACCGGAAAATGTCTTTCTATGAAATTTGTGAACGTCGAGCGACGGTAGGGCTGATAGCGTCTGCGTGCATGCTGATTCCGATTGCTCCTTATCGTTCTATCAACACAGCTTGTTGACGCTCAATCTCGCACGACTTCCCGATTAAAAGTCGAAGATAAACTGTATAGCTTTTGTTGGGTGTGTTTTTGTTATCGAGTGTGGATGGAAAGAATGCACGACGTACGTTATTTTAGATATTTGATTACTTGCAGGTTTCGAAGACCTTCGAGTATTTCGACGATTTTATCGTTTGCCCGGATTGCACCGTAGCTCTCAATTCAAGTGGCATTATATTATTATTGTACCTGGGTCGTGCTGAAAAATGGCAGCTGTAAATCGACGTGTTGTGGACGAGATCACTCTGGATTCCGATTCGGATGATGATGCTCCAAAAAATACAATGGACGACAACGATTCCATCATCATAGGTATTTGCGTTAATAAGATTTGTATTCTGCACAAATGAGAGTGAAAGATAAACGAAGTTCACTTGCCTTCCTGGAGAAAATTGAAGAGTATTTTAGACATTTCTTACCCATTTAAATTTTAAATTACATTTCAGTAAATAGTGCCGCATTAATATGGAGCGTTAAATTAACTCTCTTGAATCTTAACTGTATGTTTTTTTGCTGATTTGCAGTATCTCCGGGTCCATCCGTGCCTCGGAAAGCCGTGGTGGGCTTATCAGTCCCGCCGAAAGATGACGCCCCATCCAAGAAACGACCCTTATCCTCCGATCAGGACCAGCTGGATTTGTCGCCCTTGAGCCTGACGATCGAGGACCCCCTGTCTCCTCTGTCCCGCTCCACCCACATCTCCCTGCCGATCCTGCAGCATCGCAGCGAACAGGTGAAGCAGCTGTTGGAAGAGTACGGCGAGGAAGACAACGGATGGGGCTTCAAGGTGTTCAACAAGACGGTGGAGGGACAGGAAGTGGCCGTGGCCTTCTCGCTGTGCCTTATGCCCGTACTGAACCGCCACGACAATCCCGAAGATTCCTTCCATTTATTCGCGGTCGAACAGTTTGAGGACGATATGGGAGAGGTGGAGAATGGGCATGGCTTTAAAGTCTTCCCACCAATTCGACTGCGCGTGGAGTTTGCGGGCTTCGCAGTGTACAGTGCCAAGTTCATTCTTAACTGCTCGTGGCTGCTCAAAGACCATGTAAGGATGTACCTTTATTTACTTATTACTAGTAATAATTCTATTAAGTTCTTGTGAAATAAGGATGATCAAAACATTAAAAATCAGTGCATGATATATATTAGAAATTATCATTATTAGAAATAATTAATGCATTATCAGTATTAGATATAGATTCTCCACTTGCTGGCAAACACGGATCAACTTCGTGCTTGAGTTTGTGGTGGCGATAAACATTAAGCATTGGCGCGGTTTATTCGGAATATAAACTTCACGGATATTCATGGCCACTAATTATGTTTCAATAATAATTATCAGTTATTATCTGGCTGCAATAGGTATCACGAAATCCTTCTGAAAACTGTTGTTTTCGAATTTCAGATGAGACGTCTGATCGCGGAAATGCAACGCCATTATGTCAAGCATAATTTCTCCGTTCTCAAAGCAATTGATTGGCTGGAACGCAAGTCGATTAAGTTCCTTTCCATTATGAATCGGCGTCGTCTGTATTACGTGTCGCCCCTCGTTCCCAACAAGCAGCCTTATCACATTGTCTTTCACGAGCCGCGCAGCATGCTGCAGGTATTCCGCAGTCATGCGGCCAAAGTGGAGGCTTGCCAGGCGGCGGGGCTGGATGCTCGTCGCACGTTTGACTGCGATATCTGTTTTGATCATCGCCCGGTGATGGCAGCGCTGATCTTCTCCGGATGTGGGCATTATTTCTGTCGCCGATGTGTGGCACAGGATCTGACAATCAAAATCCAGGATGCAGTGTTGGATCTGACCTGTTTAGCCAAAGACTGCAAAAGTAAAGTGGATGTGACACTGGTGAGCTGCCGTTAGGTTAGTTAGCCTGCTTTTGTATTGACTAGCTTGTTGTTGTTTTAGTTGCGCACATTGGTTGACCATAAGACATTCCAACGCTACTGTGATCTGACGACGGAGGTGTTCGTGGATAATAGTGTGCTGATGGTCCGTTGTCCGCGCAAAGAGTGCAGTGTGCCCATGGAGCTGCATCCGGATGCGCCGCGGGAACTCAGGTGTCTGACCTGTGATTATCATTTTTGTGCTACTTGCAAGAACAAGGCGCATCCGGGCACGCCGTGTTTGACAGACGGTGAGAAAGCAGTCGAAGCTAAATTTGAATTACGAAGTATAATTTTTTCTAGCTGTGAACTTGTGCTATTTTTTTAAATGAATTTTTGGCAACTTTTTGGAATTTGAAATGATTTTATTTGGCAGGTTTATTTCGATCTTCGTTATTCTTTGTATTTGTCAGTTCTTTTAATCGTGAGCTGCTTTTTTTCTACTTCACGTTTGCTGCCAGAAATAGTAAAGCAGACCAGAATGGTTGAGTCAGTATTTCGGATAAACGGTGGATTTCTCCATGTAGAGCAAAAAAAGCAGATTCGTGACGAATGGAATGCGGCCGACGAGCGACGTAGAGAAGAAATGCGCAAGCAGTATGGTGCTGAGAACATCAAATTCGCCTTCCAGGACGCAGAGTCGGAAGAATGGATCACTCAGAACTCCAAACCGTGTCCGAAATGTAAAACTCCCATCCAGAAAGTGTCCGGCTGCAATAAGATGATCTGTACGTCCAAGGGTTGTCGCACGTACTTCTGCTGGCTGTGCCTGGCCGTCCTGCCGCCTGAAGACCCATACCGTCACTTCAGCGACCAGGCCGTACCGTGCGCCAATCGTCTGCACGAACAGCCCAACGGCTTCAACCCGGCTAATGCCAATGGAATGCTTCCGATTTTCCGTGCCCCGGCGCCTCCGGGCTTCCCCGTCCCTCCAATGAATCTACGCGCAGCTCATCGGGCAGCCGTCCGTGCTCAGCGTGCGCACGCCATTGCTCTGGCCGGTCTAGCTCGTGGCCGTGGAGCTGCGGTTCGCCGACGTGGTCCTACTCCGCCACGACGACGCGCGGGCGCGGATGAGGGACGTGCTTTCCGCCCGCCTGATGCTCAAGTTAATTTGCACGTGCATGCTCCGGTTCCTGCACAGGAATTCATGCGTATGCCGCCGCCGCTCCCACAGGTGCCGCTGCATATGCCGCATTACGCGGTCGGTTTAGGAATGCCAATGCCGCCGCAACCGGTCATGCCTCAGCGTCACCATCAGGTAGAAACCGTACCGTAGGTTTGTTTTGTCTTCTGGGACTTGTCCACCCTGTTAACCGTGTTAGTACTATTATACATAATTTTCGACCAAGAAAGCAAGACTTATATCGATCACGCATTAATAGCTTGAAAACTGTATTTGAAGTACACAAAAAATAACCAGTAAAATGTACACTCGTATGAGTAAAAAATAAATCAAAAAAGGCGCGTTAAACAGTTTTCTCTAATTTGTTTCCTGCTTCGCTTCCTTTTTTTGCCAGACAACCAGCGATGCACTTCCCTAGTTCAGTAAATATTTTATTGGTGGCCTTATGTGGTTAATGGTATCTTGAAGCTGTTAATGTGGCGGAAGGGTTTCATGATGAGAGATATTAGATGTGTCACGTGTGGTTCGTTAATCATTATTGGGATGGGGCTTCCTTTCTTCCCGGCATTTTACTCGTAGCTTAATAATAATTTCTTGCTTTTTTACCAGGGGATGCCGCCGGTCTTTGTGGGCCACATGCCTGTAGATATGGTGTGGCGTGACGGGGGTCATGGGCGCGGCGTGATGCCGCCAGCACAACCCATTCTGAACCCAGTGCCTGCACAGCCTATTTTGAATCCAATGCCCATGTTGCGCCAGCTGCAACAACAGCAGATGGCCCCACTGCAGCCGCCGCCGCGCCCCGTCAATCCACCACCCATGGCCCACAATCTGCAGGGCATTCAGTTGCATCGTCAGCATCCCTTTCTCAATGCGCAGGAGTACGACGAGCTCCTGAACGACATTGACGGATTGGTTCAGGGCAATTTCTGATCTGCGTTATACGCTGTGATGAAGGGAGTGTGCTCAGTGTACAGCCTGGCTTTCGTGTGGATGTTTTTACCGCCGTTCCTTTGGGTTTATTTTTTAATGCGCGACATTTCTTGTCTCTTTTAGTTTGTCTGTGCGTTTCCCTGTATTTTTGTGGCAAGTGTTTGACTGCTGTTTCAGCTTTTTTGGGTTATTGGATATTTTATTCAGTATGCTTCGATACACCGTGAAAAATTTGCGTTCTAATCGGAAAGCTGAAAAAGGGGATTCGCAGTGATTCTTGACAGTTCGCAGAATCTCTAATATAAAGTCAATAAAGAGTTACCGCAGTGTGAAGTCGAGCATGAAACAGTTTTGTGGAATATAAACTATGGAGTGGAATAGCCACAAAATAATTAGCATTCGATATTTATCGCGCACCGCGACATTTACCAGTAATAAAAGCGTTGAAAAAGGCCTACACTATTTGCAACGGCGATCTTACTCTCAGATATAGTCCGAGCATTTACAGTACAGTAGTGAAAAAATATGCACAAGCTGCTAAAAATTAATAGTGGTACATACCGAGTGTGTTTTGACTTTCGAAATACCGCGAATCTGGAAATGGGAATTTTTTTTTCAAAGGAGGAAGTAATCATTTTAATGCTAATAAGCATTCAGCAGTTTTCAATAAATAAAAAAACACGAGTACTTTGCGAACATCTAACCATAAGTTGTTTGAACCAAAATATCAAATTGACCCATGAGTCATGACTGAAAAAACATAGGTACCGTACAACAGATTTCGGTGCAGTTTGAAAGAATAAGAAACGCATACGTTCCGAGGGCTGCCAGTCTGCTACGTTCGACATGGTTTCCTTATGTGAGATGAAAATCGATGAAAAAAGGGGACTACCGGGTTTGAACCGGTGACCTCTCGATCTGCAGTCGAATGCTCTACCACTGAGCTAAGTCCCCGTGCACAATTTCCCAGAATTTTTTGCGGAAACACATGTAAAGGGCAAGACTTTACGGTAGGTTCCAGATTTGTGCACTAACAGCAACGCAGGTTTGTTATTTAAATGGTAAAATTTTGGTTTACGTTTTACAGGCTTTTCTTTCCCCTAATTTATTCCAAAACCTGTTGTGACTTTTCAAGACACTGAAGACAGTTTGCAGTTACAAACTTACACAGTCGGTGGAGCCGAAAGTTTTCGATTGACAATCAATTTTTTCCACACTCCAGCCTTCGATGACACCTTGCAACTGTCCCATCTGTTGGTGTTCTGAAATTTAAGGCACGAGTTTTTGGCTTTTTACAACGTCAGAAGGGACCAACGTCAGAAGGGACAGAAACAAATCAAACACTGTTAATTAATAATTAATTTTTTAGATGCGAACGGATGGGTTCACACAAGCCGAACTGACCAACTGACAACCACCCACAGTCCGTAAGCTTGCACCGGTTTATTCGTGCGGGTCACCTAAACCGGTCCACCTTCGACTTCGGCCCGAACTTGATACCGGAGCAGCTATGGAAACCGTCACCATCCGCGTACTTCGCACTCGTACAATTAACAATTCTGTTAACTTTTAAGTTTTGAAAAAAATTCCTTTGGCTTTGTTCATTTTCATCGCAAATAGTTTTTGATGGCAATCTAACCTAGGTTTGTGTAGTTCTCTGCGGCCTGTCGGATTCATCGTGCTAATCCTAAGCACTGCTCGCCTTCATGTCGTACCGTGTAAAATCGCTGTAGATACGAAGAATGAGCGTCGTCTTCCGCAGCCTGCTCCTGCCCCTTCGCGCCCCCCTACCGCCCCTTTCCACCCCCGCGCTATCCTTCCACACCAGCCCATCCCTCAGCAGTCCCCGTTGGCGCAAATACCGCTGGACGCCGTGGCCGTGGCACGTCGGTCTGAAGTGCCGTCGCAATCCCTTCCCCAAGAATCGTCACGGCTACATGCGTCTGCGCCGCGAACCCTGCCGTCCGGGGGCCCACCCCGGCCAGATCACCGGGCCCTACTGTCAGACGCCGCTGACGGCCGGCTTCACCGTCCCGGCAGTGCTGTATGAGGAGGCGGGGAAGATTCTGCGACTGCTGGTGCGCCAGTGCGAAGTCTACGCGGTGCAGCGAGCGCGGCGAGCTCGTGAGTTGTTGCGCATGTACGGCGGGGGCTACTATCGGCGCATACTGGGTGGGATGCTGATGGGCATGGCGGACAAGGCCCAGGGGAATGTCTCGCGGAGTCTGCTGGCATTTGCGGGGTTCGTGGTCTTCGGGATGGATAAGCGGAACCTTGTCATCACCGAAACCGAGCTTGAAAAGTAAATGCGTACACATGCTTACACAGTTAAAGTGTGTACTGTGTATAGTACTGTAAACATGTACAATTACACTAATATTGTTCTATCTTAATTTTATTCTCGAACTTCTACTTGTAAACGCCGTTTTTTATAAGAAGTTTTTTCGTGGAGCATTTTCGTTAACCGCGGCATGAAGACGAAAACTGCTGTGTTTGCTCTCATTTGTCTGATAATTACACCCTACATTCTGTTCCAACCTCCAAAGGCAAAGGCAGATTCGTGCTTTAATTGACCTTATGCGACAGGGCAGCCGCGTACGGACGGCAGTTCGTGAAAACTTACGAGTTTCCGGAAGTCGCTGTTTCTGTCGCTAAGCACATGTTCGAAACAGCGACTTTAAATACTGCTCATGCAGCTAATGATCTGTTAGCAAAACCAAGACCATAACCAAAATGTACAGAAAAATGTGCTCTACAAGGAAATGTTAGCTGTCACGTGGAAATCTGTTACTGCAGTGACTTATTGCCGCCAGCGCTTTGCACCATAAAATTCGGTACTACAGATTCTCTTATAACTGCGCACCTGTAGTTTGCCCTGTTAGCGCTATGCTTAATTCTCTGTTGTTTGGCCACTCACATAGCCAATGAGCGTGTTTGCACCGGCACCGCCCCTCTACCGCATACCAGGAATTCGGCTTTATATCTCGAGTGTTTCCTGTAAAATGTAAAGTACTAATACTTAAATAAATGTTAACAGCGCATGAAATGTGGTCTCGCTGGTCTTCATACGCTGATTCATCTAACATAAATTCACTGTGCAATATCCACCAAATTTTTTTTACTAAGTCGGTTGTAATTTCGTCGTAAATCGTAATTGTTCGTTATAATTATTGGCTGAAAGTATCTATAGACTAATCCTACTCTTGCTTTGTTCGGTTATTTTAATTCAAGAACTGCAGAACCAAACATTTTCCAATGAAAATGTGCTGAAATTTTATGTTGTTTTGCGAAACTTTGTTTTAATTAACGGTATGGAGAGTTCTGTAAATGAATTTATGATCAACACCGAGAAAACACCAATGCTGTTTTTACTAAAGCGAACCAAGACGATGATTAAATTTTATGAATAAACTTTTATGATTTGAATTATTTAACAAATATTTTATTTGTGGTGGCAGATGCTTTGAGGAGCTGGGCCAGTGGTCCACACTGGTGCGGGAGAACCAAACGGAGAACTTGTCGGAGTGGGAGAGCGTGGCTAAGCATCCCAGTTGTCACGTGTGGCAGCGCCTGTCCCCCAGTCCGGTGGCCAACAACCGGCCTTCCGCTGGTAGCAGCAGCGCCGAGTACCGGGCGCTGGGCACCATGCCCGATATCCCCGCGCGCATCTTCTACAAGACCCAACTGGACCTGCACTACCGCAAGCAGTGGGACAAGCTGGTCATCAAGCTGGAGGTCATCGACGCCGACGAGCAGACCGGCACGGAGACGCTGCAGTGGGTCTCGCAGTTTCCTGTAAGTTGCAGTCTCCGGCTTTGTAATAATGGGATTTATATAAGCATTAAGTATTAGTATTACCAGCCTCTGTAATCTGCTGTATATGATAAGCTTGTACGGTTTTTTTTCGGTTTGGAAGTATGTTAGTACTTTGCAATTTTTGGATCAGTTATTTATTTTTATCAAAGATATTCTACCTTCTTTGCTGTGTGTTGATGATAACGGTGCACCATTGACAGTTCCCGTTCAGTCCACGCGAATACGTGTATCAGCGCCGTCATAAGTTGGACGAGCAGCGCAACGCCATTCTTGTCATCTCCAAATCCTGTGACCACCCGAAGTGTCCGCCAACGTCGAGTTACGTCCGTGTCAGCGGCTACTATTCCGCGCTCCTCATCAAGCCCCATAGAAATTTCGACGAGGTGGGCACAAAATATCATGTGTTGATTTTGTAACGTTTTGCACTTCTTGGCAGCTACTGCAAATTCTTGTGAAATTTGAGCATGATAATTAGTCAGTAATTGCCGAATATGTACTTACATGAATTGTATTTATGGGGTTTCTTTGCGATTAGAATGGCTTCGACTACGTTCTGAGCTATTTGGACGATCCGCAGACCTTCTTGCCCAAGATGGCCGTTCAGTACGCCGCCAAATCCAGTCTGCCGGATTTTATGAACAAACTCCACGAAGCCGCTCGAGTTATGCTCAACCGGAAGCGAAAGGCCACGCCCCCGTCATCCTCGGTGGTCGCTCACTCGCGGCCCCACCTGGACGCGGAGCAGCCTGCTCCCGTGGCCGATGTCCCGCCCGTCAGTCCTGTCACTCCCAGTGAGGCGCTGACGCCTGAGACGCCGGCGGTGAAAGTAGCCTTGGGGCGCCCGACGCCCTGACTGGCGGAGGCCGCCTTCGAGGACTGGGAGGAGGTGCTCCTGACGTCGGCCTTCTTTTGACCTAAGTGCCTTGGAGGCGGTAGCGACCGGTGCATTGATGTGCAAGGGATGGAGACTAATGTTGGTGCGTCCTTTGTAAGGATGGATTTATTTTTGTTGGGCGTTTTATTGTTGTTCGATGTGTTTCATTCGTGGATTTTTATGGTATTTTTGCAGACATTAACAAATCAGGAGTGTAAAAAACTGGATTTATTATGTTCATTGTGCAATAGGACAAAAAAAACCTCCCGAAAACAAAAATCACAACAAAATTTCACCAAAACCAGCGCACCAAACCCAATTTAAAAAAGAGACCCCGTTAAAAATGGTTAAAAAAAACATATTGGCAAATTGGAAAAAAAAGATCACAACGTTCACAACAGAACAGTATTGGCAACACCGTATGTCACCAACAAAACAAATGCTCAGAATTATCCTATAAAAACAGGAAATCAAAAACTCTCTATTTCTCAATGAGCAGTGGCTTTCCCTTGTTCCCCTCCTCGTCCTCCTGTAGGAACACTGCAAAGGGGTACATCCAGCCCGTCCAGCGCCCGCATCTGCCCAGCACGCCGACCACCACCGGGAGAACAGCGCCGCACACCAGTGCCACCACCCGGCACACTACCATCATGCCTAACAAACACAGCAGCACCACAGCCAACGCATGATCCCGGTCTTCCTGGAGAGCCTCCAGTGCTTGCACCACGCGGATAGAAACTGAAAAGGCCAGACCGGTAAGAACCAGCATGCCGAGGGAGAAGAGCGACGGCACCACGGCCATCCACAACAGCACGGAAGGGGCCACGGCGTCACGCGCCCCCGTCCAGGAGGTAAAGGAACGACTGGAGGGGGAAGAGGCCGTTCGGACGGCAAGGGCGTGGGCCTGCGCGAGGATGGGACGCAAGTACAGCGCTACGGACAGATTAGCCAGGCCGCCGAGGAGTTCCGGAAACCAAATGGTCAGGATGCGCAGACGGGAGCCCGGCCAGGTGGGGTCCTGGGACAGCTTAGTAAGTAACAATCCAGATGCTGAAAAATTAAAATAAAAACTGACTTACCTAACTAGCTAAATTTACTAACACAAAAATTGGTTGAAATTAAAAAATGGCTAATGCCGCTAATCACAAACAACATCACTTCCGGTACGACTGTACGAGTATAGTCTGGGTGTGACAGAATTAAGACAGACGTTATCACTTTTATTATCAGTTACTGATATCATCTGATTCTCAAAACGCATGTATGTAGTACTGTACGAGTACTTCAGAAGTATTAGTAAAAAGCTGTAAAAAAAGGCGGCAAACAAAAAAGTACAAGTTCATTGCAATTTCGCTAGGTAAAGTTGATGAATTCACCAAAAAATTATTAAAAAATCAATAATAAAAAACCTTTGATCGTTGCTAAAGGAAATTAGTAACAGTTAGTGCGTATCTCTACTTGTACATGTAGTAGCTACCTGTGCACTGAAAAATACAGAGCAAAATGGATACGGCCATGAGCACGCCGTTCCACAGCTGGAGCTGCTGGAATGATACTCCGGCAATAAAAAACTTCCTGGCGTGCGCCGTACTCAGTGAATGTTGCGCGTCATCGGAGGAATTATTCTGGCGGCGCGCAGCTGCTGGCGACGCAGCTGTCAACTCGGCCTTATCCTGCACAGTGCTCGTAGTGCCCGCTTCACTCTCATCCAGCTCCATCCCGCTCTCATTCCGACTTCCCGCTTCCCCGTCCATGGAGCACGAGGAAAATGGAGAAAATAATCACGAACACAGACGGCGCTCCATGGTGCTGGTCGCCAATTAATTCAACCACGCATCATCCGCATGATGACGAACAATCCATCAGAAATATTCGGAAAAATTTTAATTATGAATAAAAATTAAAGAGTGTGCTGCGTTCGTTCGTAAGACAACGGAGACGTGGGAAAACGAGTGTGTAACGAGTGTCAATGAAGCGTAGATGGCAGACAAACACGGATCGCTCTAATCAACGGCGACGGATGTGTGTCGAAATGGGCCATTCACGCGGGCACGCTCCGTTGCACTGGTAAAGCAGAGCCTATTCAAATGCAAACTGCAGCATATGGAAATCGTGCGTGAAGAACAACAACATCCACTGTTTCCAATGCCCGTCCCGATGCAGCCACACACCGTGTATCAACAAGGATTGCCTTTGTTGGAGATGTTGTGCCGAAACCTCAAGAAGCAAACTAAATAACCACGTTGGGCAAGACCAAAAAGATTTAAGATGCAAGGAAAACCAGTTTGAGCAGGATTATTTACTCAGCGCGTCATAACTCATGATCGGATATGAAACTGGAAAGCGTCCGCCGTTCAGGAAATGTACAGCAGCGTTGGGTATGCCACTACCAAGGCTAATGGAAACGAGCTGGTTTCCATTTCCTTTCTCTCTATCTTGCCAGTTGCCACCTGGTTTAAGTCGTTCTTAGAACGGTAGAACTCTTTCCTCGTGGTCAGATAACTTTTAAACGTACGTATTGTACTCTGCAGTGCGTCCTGCACATACAAAGTAAATATTGCAGTTTTTTTTACTCATAGAACTGATAGAAGTACTCGTTTTTCATTCCAAAGAAACTACCAATACAGATCGTAATCCAGCGTAGTCGTCGTAGCTCCACCACCGAAATCATGCTCATGTTTTCTTGTCCTGTTTGAATCGGGCGACGCCCCCGCGCCGGAAACCGTTTGCAACTTTCTGGACAGTCGCAATAGTCAATGCCTCAAGCCGGGCAATTTTCAAAAAAGCTTTCATCGACTTTGTCACCATTTTTTACGTCACTCTCCAACCTTACAGCTTTTCGAAAGCTGGAGGACTGAGTTAAAGACATCTTCTTGGTTTGCACTTTGCAGTGTTTTCCAAAGATTTCCATAGACTGGCTCTTTGGTCTGCTCCGCTGCAGCCCAGCCGGCGATCACGGGGAAACGTCGTACGTTTTGCACGATAGGTACCAGCGGCAGTACGTCAGAGCATCGACGCAGGTCACATCTACGGACCACGAGTATCAGCTTCCCTCGCTGCTGCAAATGAAGGGCACATGTCGTGACATCCGGGGTCTTTTATAGGTATGGTGAGCGCACCGGTCCGCACGGGCCAGACCGGCCCAGACGCTTGAGGTTTTATAAGGGGGCCCCCGGATCATCTATAGCCTGTGCCCTCCTGTGCATGGACTCCAGAAACATCTTTATCATGCACTGTTGAGAAAGTTATGTACTAGCTATATATATACAGTTTTAATCGGTGCGAAGTGATTTTGTCTGTAATTTTTATCTTTGTTTTATTTTGCGTATTGTTTTATCTTCTAACTATTTTAAAGTCTGAATACCGCTGACGGCGCTGAGCGCTACGCACTGTACACTGGAGTTTCCAGTTTAACAAATTCGGCATTTCCGACGCCGGCTGATTTGTAATTTAGCAAGCTTCCGGTATCGTCGAGGTTGTGTAAACAACCGCGCTGATCGCCTGGCTGATGGGTGTTACTTGGTATCTGTAAGTTTCCCCCGTGAAGGTCACGGCTTCTGGCAAGGTTTTCAAATTCCACTGTTTGGCCGTTTCCATGCCGTCAGTGGAAATGGTCTCACCCTAATACAGTTCGCACTTCCGGCGGAAATGTATAGCAGCACAACATAGGGCCATAAATACAATTATATATTATTATATAGATATTATGCCCTTCTGTGCCGATAACGGCTTAATAGATAAACATTAATAAAGCGGCAGTGGTATCGCAAAAGAACAAAAGCACATGAGCGCGATTAATGATAGTAGCAGTTCATGACCAGACAATCTGGAGACAGTTTGGAAGTGCTTCTCGATCTAACTCAAATTATTAATTCAGGCAGTATCCTTTCTGCCCACGAAATGCGTCTGAAAGCAAACCAAGCAAAAGGTCGGACGCCCTGGGGCCTGGCATCGCAATAAACGAAATTTACTGTGTTGTAGTAAGTTTTCACGCAGACCTTACCGTTAGAGTTAGGCAGTTAGCTGCTGGTGGTGGTGGTTGGTCCGTATGCATAAAGTGCCGTATGTACTGATTTTAAATGTGCTGCTGAACAAAATTAAGCACTGAATGAGTACTGAAGTGTTTAACTTTATGCTTAATTGTAAAATTTTGTACAAATATTTATTTTATATTATTATTTGTTGAATACGTAATAACGCTGCTTTGATAACTTGTGGCTACGTGTATCTGTACGACTGTACCTATCTCGTACTTCGCTATTAACCGCCCGAGTAGTCGTTTGTGTGCTGTTGCAGGCTTACAGCACGCCCCGCCACCGCCGCACTTGTCAGTGTTGTGGCGAAATGTTGTTGAGTGACGCTTTTGTTAGCTTTTCCGGTCGTAATCAGCTGATGGAGCGGAATACTGTACCTGGCAAACCTGTTTTCACCTTGCATAATCGCTTCTTCGTTGGCATTAGAAGGCACATATTTTGTCGGTGGTTATCGAGAAACCATACTGTATGATGGTTTCAATGTCAGATCATGACTTAGCAAGTTGGCAGGAATGCAGCCTTTGTGCACGGCCACCTTGATAAAGCGTGTTGTTGTCCCGGTTTTGTTGGCTCGATAAAATTCGCCTGATAAGGACACCGATCGAGGCCTGTTTATCGCGACCGGGCAAGCGGGGAACGACCGGGAGAGAACAGTGAGATGAATGCGAGAAGCTACTCAGGGTTGCATGTCGATGGGTTTCTGCATATTCAGCAGCAAACGACGATCCCCGATTCTGCTGCCAACATGCTTCGTAGCGGGATAACTGGGAAGAAATTATGAGTGTGTGGCAGATACTACCTTGGATTTCCTTTGATGTCCCGTATAGAGCCTTTTCGGAAGGAAGTCTGGTGCGACGAGATGTGATTGCATGTGTGTGTTCAGCTACTAGTCACTAATCATTCTAGTCGACGGATTCGGTGGAAGTGGATGATTTACTGCTTATCACCCTGAAATCAGCAGAATTTTCGTTACACAACTTTTATTTCGTTTGTTTTACTGTATTCCTCGTGAAACCGCGGCCCGATGGAGCACGACCGGTCGTCGTTGAACGTGGCCATCATCCCGACGGAGTTGAGTGGCGCTGGAGACGTCGCGGTGGTGGCCGTTCCAGAGTCGTTAGTGCGCTCGCAGTATTCTGTTCCCGATGGAGCGGACCACCTGCCCGACAAATGGCCCGTCCCGGCAAATTACGGGACCACGGAGAAGGCGCAAGAGGCACAAGAGCGGGAAACGGCCAAGCTGCCCACTTACTACACGGCCATTCGCCTGGCGCCGCTGACGCTCTTGTTTGGACTGGCCCACGGGATCGCCGGACCAGCCTACACCGAACTCATGAAAATCAGGGTCAGTGCTTTGTCCTGCACCTGTTAAATTTTATATCCATTCAGGTCTATATTCAACCGAGTCTATTAATATTAATTGAAGTTTTACTAATCTGTGTTTTTTAATTAGCATAATTCAAATTTTTCCGTTGGACTGGTTTTCGATTAATTTGTTCATAATACGGCATTATAAGGAATCGTTGTCGCGATATCTGTGGGTTATGTATTTCCGGTTGTAAGAGTGTGGTGGTTGAATGGGCAGGTGTGTGGACAGTATTTTAATTACACGGAGGAGGTGTGCCAGCATTTGGATGAGAAGATGTACATCCACCAGGCTGACAATGTGCGGTCGGCGACAGCGCACTTCCAGCTGTACAACACTCTCATCAGTACCATCCCGTCCATCCTGTTCTCCATTTTACTGGGTTAGTGCCAGCCAGGTTGACAACTTCCTAAACCCCACTTGATTTCCCTCTTTTTACGTGGCTGCTGGTTTTTTGTTTCTTTATCGGTAATCTGGTTAACGCTTCCGTTTCCACGTTATTTCGCTTTCTACATTGATTTATTTTCATTAAAATCGCCACTGGAAATAAATAGTTGTTTTGTGTTACTGTACTTGTTGTTGCCATTGTGCTTCGTTGACGCAGTCCTTGTTTTCTCGCAGGATCCTGGAGCGATCAGTATGGGCGCAAAATTCCCATGTTGTTGCCATTCTTCGGAACGTTCATGGCGCAAGTCTACATTGTTCTGTGTGCTCATTTTCCCATGAGTCCTGCGTTTCTCTTGATATCTCCCGTTATCTCGGTAAGACTTCCATCCTTCACACTGGATAATTACCGTATATTTCCCTTCTCTTCTCTTGGTCGCAGTCGTTGTCAGGTGGTGGTGTCATTATCAACATGGCCATGTTCAGCTACATCGGTGACTACACCACCAAGCGCACCCGTGCCCTCAACATTGCCATCATCGACGGGGCCATGTTCCTGGCTGGCAACGCCGGTAACTGGCTAACTGCTAATTTTTTCAAATTCTCCGTTCATTTCTAAAGTTCAAATGTACACTGCAGGCAGCTTCCTGGGCGGGTATACGTTACAGAACGATGGCTTGGAGGTGCCGTTTTACATTAACTGCGCTATGACGGCCGCTTCCTTTCTCTATATTCTCCTGGTAATTCGCGACCGGCATCCGCAAGCTGCAAAACCCCGACTGCGCTTTGAATGCGGCAGTTTATTCTCCGTGGAGCGGGTCAAAGAAAACTGGCGGACACTGAGCATGAAACGACCCGGGAATGCCAGACAGCATATTTTACTGGTGTTGTTTTGTATGCTGCTGTCAAGCACGTGTTTGATCGGTAAGTTGTCAGTGTTTGCTATGCTTCGACAACAGTCAACACCTTAACTTTGCGAATTTACAAAATTCTGGGAACGACAGGAATTTTATAAGCAGCTTCGACTACCAACTCCAGCTAAATAATACGAAAACGAAGGAAAAAGTATGCATTATTCACAACTAGTTGCGGGGAATTTCGCAAACCGATAGTTCAATACGGCATTACGGTTCTGCCCGAAAACAGGTGTGATAAGTTACACTAAGCAATTATTGCATAGGTGACGGTTCGATCATGCAGCTGTTCCTGGAATTTCGCCCATTCAACTGGACAGTGGAATTCTACACTCTGTACTCCGCCATCCAAGGTACCATCTCCAGCGTGACCTTCATGGCGGCCGTCATTGTCCTGCGCAAATACCTCGGCGTCCCTGACACCGTCCTGGCCATTTTGGCCACCATCTCCGCTATCGGTGCCTTCTTCGGCTATTCTATCGCCGTTACAAATTGGATGGTAATTCTTCCGTTGTTTGTTGTTGCTATTGCATCCTGGTAATCCATTACGTAAATAGATCTACGCGGCATCTGCCGTGGGCGTCTTCCGCATGGTCATCATCGTCGTCATTCGGTCGCTGCTGTCGGGGATGGTGCGGCGCAATGAGATCGGAAAGGTGATGAGTCTCATCTCCTCCCTGCACTCCGTGACGCCGCTGTTGGGCTCTCTGATCTTCACCAACGTGTTTGCCGCCACGTCGGCATGGTGGCCGGGTTTCTGCTTCGTCCTGGGCGCCTTCATGATGGTCCCAGTGTTGGCCATTTTCGCCTATGTGGATGTGGCGCGACGGGGCGTGGATGTCGGGTACAATTTGTTGGAGTCGGAAGAGGAGTGATTGTTTTCCTGAATGATTTTTTATTGATCTTACATTTTAATATGTATATATTGTGATAGCACAGTGTGAAATAGAGTTTTTATTGATTTGATTTTCTGTTTTTCAAAGGCCGGATTTGAATGTAATATTTATATCACAATTTGCAAGATTGAGTAGCCACGCCGGACGACCAGTCGCCACGGGCGGGTGGGGACCAAGAATAAATCAGATTCTTTTTTACAAAAACCGTAAGAAGGCCGGTGTGTCGAAGCTGCGGGGCACCGCGATAGGCCGGAATTGGTCAGCGCGCGGGGTGAGGCCGGCGTTGCTGCGAATAAGATGTCGGTTGGGAATGGCCGGGAAGTTGGTGAAGCGGGCGTCCAGGGCGTTGGTCTGTACCCGGATCCATGGGTAGAACATGCCGACGTCCGTGGACAGAAAAGGCCGCCGACCCTCAAGTGCGCAGGGTTCCGTGGTCAGGCTGACCAGGCCGCGGAGGTACCACTTCTTGTCGCCCATCGACTGGCACACCAACGGGGCACCGGCATCACTCTGCAAAACAGCTAGGTTTGCACTGAGTATAGTAAGTCACGGAATAAAACTGGGGCGTACCTCGCAGACGGACTGGGACGTGTCGGTGGGGCGGGGCTGGGTGACGGTAGCGCAGAAGTGGCTATCAGGAATGGTAAAGCCGACGACGCCCATATCGGCGAGAGCGCGCGTGCACTGTGCACGGTCAGTGAGTTTGACGGGCGTCTCGCGGAGGGCATTGGTGAAACCTACATTAGTTACGCACTGTTAAGTGGCGGCGCGTGTCGCTTGAGTGACAGCTGAGCGTAGCGAGCCGATTTAGATGTTGCTCGGCATCTGTGTTTGCCACGGCGCAAACGAAGATTGCATTGACTTTACCGGCATTATTGGGCGCGCCCCAGCCGGTGATATAGCAGTGTTCCTTCCCACTGGACTCCGGCATGCCCATGCGATTGGCATCCACGGGGAGGTCGGTGATGCATACTGGACAGATGTTGCGTTGCTCGCAAGGTGCCAGCGGAATGCGCAGCACCGCTAAATCGTTGGCAAATGTCTACAAATTAAATAAGTAAACATATCAAGTTAAGTTTATGTTACCTACATTTGCAGTCCGGAATTCTGCAGTTTTTAGACATACTCTGTACGGTATAAATATGGAGATCTTAACAAAATAACGTTCTAGGTACAAATGGCACCATTTTCGGGTTGGAATCGGTAAATTTTCAATGAATGATGAACTGTTTCGGAATAGGATTAACATTGAATAAGTGCAGCATGTGCAGTTATTGTTGCATCATTCGGTTTACAATTTAAAAAATTCGAGTGATAAGTAAAAGCACCTAGTACCGCAGTTGTTTATACCATTGGATCGAACTGATCATGGACGACAATCTGTTTGGGATTGGTGAACCAGACCGCTTGGTTGGGGCTGTCCAGCGGCCGGACGAAATCCCAAGCGCCCAGTACAACAGTGACATCCTCGGGTTGCCTCCTGGATATGCATTGCACAATACGCAGTCATTACACAGCTGTCAAGTGGCACCATCAACTTCGCGCGCGCTTTACTCGGCTGATGTGACGCGCAGATTGGCTTTGATTAGAGTGCGATCAATCAGATTAAGCGATTATTATTATTATCGTGTGTATATACGAGTAGATGAGGAGTAAACAAATACTTTCAGTCTTTGACGTGTTGGCGACACCGCTGCCAGCGCTACTATCAATGCAACGACGCTTACCGGTAGACGTTGCGCGCGAGGGTCACCACATTCTGACCGTCCACGAGAACGCCGCTCGCGAATATTGTTCCATTTCGATCCGTAAGTGCTACCTGCGCATGCGGCATTGTTGTACTACGTACGGCAAGTATTAAATCGCGTTAACATCGAACTGTTCTAAGGGCTTCTAGACTCTAGTCCCATTGTACAGGTGTAAATTAACTGACATTTACACAAATTACTCCATTTTGCCATTATCGAATTAAGGCTTAATCCCAAGTGGCGCAAACGGCAATTTCGTCCAAATTACGGTCATGCACGTCTACGGACGCGCTTAATTACTGTGAGCGCATTTAGGATTTTTCTGTAATTACCATAACGAGTCTATAACCCGCTGATTTTGTCAAAGGAGAAATTCCGAAAAAAACTTCACAAAAAGTTACGGGTCACTACGTGCTCAGGACAAATGTTACAAAAAATGAAGCATTGCCCGAAAATGCAAAACCGCTACTCTAGATCTATATCAGGTTTCTTAAATTTTATATATGTAGTAAAAAATAAATTAGCAGGTGAATTAAAGTCGGCTACAAAATACAGTAAGTCATGGCATGAATTATTTCATAAACAAAGGGTAAACTATAAAGCACTCAAAAGTGTTACAAAAATTCATAAAATCAGGAACGCTTTTGCTGAGAAATGGGACTGGCTCAAACTTCACTGTCATACAGTCATCCGATATAAGCGTACCTGCCAACACCATCGGTTCAGCGCGCTGATTCTGGACACCGGCAGCGCCTCCTCCCCATCCAGCGGGCCCACTCCGCGCTTGTAGCGGAAAGCGTCCATTTCCGGCTGGAACTGTCGCGGTCGCCACAGTCCCCAGGACACCGCTTCGAAGTTGGGCAAGATGCGGCGCGGCATGTCCTCATCGGCCGCCAGCGATCCAGCCGCCGTAACTGCCCCGACGGGGTCACTGCCCGGCTGGCCGCAGGTCATGCAGTGGTCGTCCAAGGGTAGCGGAAGCAGCACACAGCACACTTCGCCGCGCTCGCAAAAGGCTCGCGGCCGCGGTAGCGTCGGGAAGGACTCCTGGTCGGAGGTGACCCCGCCCAGGGCGTCACATGCCGACTCTGACGAGGTGCAGCGACCACGGCCCAGGCTGCTCTTGCAGGAGGAAACTGCAACCACGGAGAATGTAGGCTCTAGACAATCATCAAACTGCATAATCGTTTAGATTAAAACCTTACAAATATAATCAAAATAAAAGGCATATACGATGTAAAACTTTAGTCTTTAGTTACTGTACGAAATCGTTATGGCGGTTTGCAGGGTATGTACATGCATGTACTGTGATATGTCTGAAACTATCTGTACTGTATATACATAGATATTATCAAAACTGTAAAGTGCAATAAATTATATTATCAGAATTTTTGAAGTTTAATTGCTTATATTCACAGAACTCTAATAATTCAATAAATCTCTTGTTCAATAAATCTAGTTTACTTGTGCAGTGGTGCCTTTGGCTTTATTCGAACAAGTTCTATTTATATTATGAACTGTTACTTTTTAACAATATTAGTTTACTCAGTAAGAATGCAGACAGACATCACTAAGAAAAACACATTGAATCTATAATTAGTTTAATTAATTTATTCTTGAATGTACTCGCGCCTATATGCGTGAGAGTGTGAGCAATACTATAGAAGTACTTTTAAGTTTTAACCGCAATTACAGATTATGGGTACGGTACCGGACAGCTGGCAAAGGTCGAGCGAGCCGCAGTGAATAATTTATTGGTAAAGCGTTAATTCTGGTGTCAGTAAGGTAACAAGGGCAATATCACCGGAATTAGATCATGTTTAAAGTGCGATCACAGCGCCGTTCACCTGTTAATTGCTGCTGCCAGTCATTAAGAAGAAGTACAGTACGGTATACGTATGCTCATTTCACCTTCCTGGGCATTATAACGGGATGGAACCGTTTCATTGATTCCTAACATTCAAAAAGTCCGCGACACAGTAAAAAAAGGATAAGAATATCCTACACAATCTCCTTCTTACGTTATTTACCCAATACAAACTGAATTACGGAAAATAAGTTCTTAAACATTTATTGTCGGCAATTTGCCGCTATAACTACAGTAAAATAAATTTTACTTACAGTTACTGTTTTTTACTGCAGCTCAATTCGTCGTGATGTTATAAATAAAAAGTTGCGGACATAGTTTAGCACGCCAGAAGAAATTATGCATAACATTTGTTTTCGATTTACATAGTTTAATTGCCTTAAAATACAGATTATTATGCGCAAAGGTTTCGTTGTTATCAGGAATAATTCCATTATTTAAAGTCCGCTGGAGCAACACGTACTGAGTCTGGCTTGTTGAGCATGTGTTCCCAGGCAGAAGAACAGCTGAGAAGCAATCAGCGCCAGAGTAATCATCTTATAATCCATGCCGGTCGAACGCCGGCGGAATAATCCACACGCATCCACTGACTGCTCAGACGTGCGTGTATCAGTACAACCAATATTAATAATTAAAGGGGAAGATGGCATAATACGGAATAATTAATGTATCATCCGCGTGAAGACTAATAGAGCGATCAATCACCGACATTGCACATAATTCACGTAACATGAAAATCGCAGCTGAGCATAGAAGTGCAGGTACATCACACAAACAAATAAAACGCGCGCGAGAGCCACAAGAGCGACTACGCGTCGACCGGCATAATGCAGTAATTAATCATTTCCAGCCGGTGGAAAACGAAATCTGTATCATCGGTCCACGTTTTTAATTGCCTAATTGTTCCCACACAGTGCTGCGCGACGACGGCGGGGCTGGGCAAGAACATCATCAGCAACCGGCATTTATTATTATTAACAATAAACAGCGGTGTTGGTGGCAGCCGTTGCATATATGAATCTGCCGATGCGGCGTACCCACAATGCGTGTTAGCGTTCGAAGGGGCGGCAATAATTGCCGGTATACGGGCGGTTTTTGTGTAACTATAGAGTACTAATACCACTGTATCAACTCAGCTGTCAGCTTTGCACAACTAACAGCACTCCGACGGCGGCTTCATTAGCGCAGCCGTCGTCAAAACTGGAGCAAAAACCGCCGGTTGATTCACTAGTATTTTCAACCATTTTTTATTATGATGTGCTGTCTTTTCTTTTTGGCTAAATGTTGTGATTATGACCGGCAACGCGTAATCAATGCCGCTAATTCTCATCGTCGATCGGACGTGTCTGCTTTGTGTTTGCAGCGGCTTTTATTGGACCCTTCGCACATTGTTCATACATACTTATAAAACTAACAGCATGCGTTCTTTACAACCAGTGAAACAGACGACTTTACAGCTTCCTCCACAATTGGGGTTTTCATAATTAAACTGATCTGATTATCTTAAATTTTTTCGAATTGCTGAAAACTGAATGTTTATTTGTATTTACTTACTATTTAATTTTTTACGAAGTAGAAAAGTGAAACTACATATAATGAATTTTGTCATTATATAGAAAAACTTATGCATATTACCCAAATCTGACACTACGGTAATACAGCAATAAAAATTCGAAGTTGTTTCTACCGTACATTTATCAGCAAACGTAAGTAGGTGTACCATTCTGTAGAATTACAACACTTATAATTTCCGGTATACAGATAGTTTATTATATAAACGAATTTAAATATCAGATACTTACCGTGGCAGATTTGTTAATGTATCGCGTGTAATATTCACCCGGGTCGAAACGGATCCGTGGCTGACCGCAGCTAATTTGCCTATAATCGGCGTACAGCATCAGGTGTGTCTTCCGGTGCGCTTGGAGACGCGTTGCCGCTACCCAACCGGCAAATGTTGCTTCAGTCGCACAAAAAGCCCCTTTGATCACACTCTCAAGTTGTGAACTGGGGCTTCTTTCTTGCTTTTTTTGGGCGCTACTCGAACAACTGCAACTGCAGTCAGTCGACATCTTCGGCACCACCGAATCAATGTCGAGTGCAGTAATTTTGCAGGCTCCACTGCACCGACGAGAAATCGCGCACTCGTAGAATACGGTATGACAATATTAATCTAAACTTTGTACCTCTAATTTTTCTTTTCGGACTATTTCCGGCATTCTGCTTTTAACGTCACTTTAATACGTTACGATAACGTCAATCCTAAAATTTTTTGCTACTTAATAATCAACATCATTACGTACATTAGGGACCTTTACATTACTGCCTAATTATAAAGTAGAGTAGTGCCTATACTTACACGACTATGCATTGGTTATAATTTGTATCGCATTGCAGCTCCTTGCTCCAGTTGCTTCAAATGTAAATTACGTATATAGTTTTCTGACGCTCAAACCATTTCGCATGACTAGCTTCAGTCTCTTCATAGATGTTTGAATAGTGTAGAATTATTGTTATTAACATATTAATTATTGTTGTTAACAGTTAACAATTAATTTTATTAACGTTATTAACAGAATTATTGTTATTAACATAGTAATTATTGTTGTTGTCGTGATCTGTAGTCTAGTTTACCAAAATAAGTTAATAACAATAATATGTATGTTAACATACATTTATTGTTATTAAGTTATTTTGGTAAACTAGACTACAGATCACGACAGGGTATGTATGTACTGCAATATGACACTCTATTACAGATACTGTGCATCAGGAGAATGGCACTACTTCTTTTTTTCTTTTCTCTCCTTCTTTTCTCCTTCGTCTTTTTCTTTTTTCTCCTTCTTTTCTCCTTCCTCCTTCTTCTCGTCCTTCGGGGCAGGTTTAGGAGCGTCTTTAGGGGCGTCTTTTGCCGCAGCGTCCGCTGGTTTTTTGTCGTCGGCCTTAGGAGGCGGGTTAAGGCTGGGTTTCTGGCCGGGGGCGTTCTCGTTGGATTTAGCAGCGGCCGGATCCTTAGGCGGTACACTGAGGGTGGGCTTCGCCGCTGGATCTTTGCCCTGCGTGGACAGGGTCTGTTTGGGTTTTGCGTCCGGTGGATTGACGCTGAGGGTCGGCTTAACCGGCGCCCCGCCCGCCGTCTCCGCCGATTTGGCTGCCGCTGGATCTCCCGGTTTCGCAGCTACATGTCAGAAACAAATGCGCTTAGGGTCACATACTTAGTACCTACAGCTTTCTAGATTTTTTTCTATACGGCGGTCAAAATCGTATAAGGAAAAAAATATCCAAGTGGGCACGTTCATTTCACCGCAATTCTTGAGTCTTCTGAATTTTGCTTTTGCAACTTGCACGTTATGATTTACGATTAAACAATTAATAATACAATAATGACTTACAAAAAAATTATTTTTTACTAATTATGATACCTTTACTAGTTTACTGCATTTTAAAAGCTGCCGTTGTAAAAGTAAAATGTTTTAAAAACAACATAAATTTACTGTAATAAATTTATTTAAAGGTCACATATCGGTAACTTATCACCGGGAGAATTTATCCTCTAAAAACAAGCTTTCAATGTTTTTAAAAATGAGCGCCCACGCGTTTAAAAAGAGGATGCTACTTGTTGAAGGTTCGACCAAAATCTTAAATACCAAAGGCAGTGAATCTGTTGCGTACCCGTAGCGGGATCCAACTTGGTCTTGTCCTCCGGGGTCTTTCCTTTATCGGCCATTATGGCGAACTTTGACGCTGTACGCGGACGAACTACGACACTTCAAATTTAGAATGTAATACCACAAAGCGTCAACGCAAACTGCAGTGACGGTTTCAGCCTGGTAGTAAAAAAGTAAGTACGTAGAATTTAAAACAGGGATTTTTCCACGGCTGCGCCCACTTTGTGATCACCCAGATGGAGAACGTGCGAATATGTTGCCAAGGAATCGCGTGCTCAACAGGCGCCTTACTGCGCGTAAGCGCCCTCCATGGAAGGTGGCGACATGGCTCACACAGTCATACTACTGCGGTGAGCGTAAAAATGTTCTCAAGATTTCAACGTGCTGAGAACGACGCAACCACTCTTCAGCATTCCTTAAATTAAAGAAACGCACCTACTTATGCGATTTCATAATCACGATTTTCCTACTCCTTAAGACAGAACGGAAGTTGGCGGATTTGCTAGATGATTGAATTGTGTCACTTGTTGTCGTGACGGGATAGTTCCATTATTTTTGGATTTATTTTCTGGCCATGCACGGCTACACAATGCGGGTCGGGTGCAGTAGCTGCTCGTGCAACTCTTGCCTCCACCGTCGAACTGGTGCTAAGTATAAACGGCAGTGCTAAAAGATTAATTAGCCACCCGGAGCAGGATTATTTATCACATGTATTAATATTATTTTGTATTAAGCGACGCACCGGTTGCATGCATGGATTTCAGTTAAGCCTGTTAAATAGCACGGCATTGTGTGGTCAACAGCATTTTATCGTTTAAACCGTCGCAGTGCGAGCCTGCAGCTGCAGTCCGAAGGAACGTGCAAGAAATGGATACGAGTGGGGTATATAGACGTCACCGTTGGGCTTCCGGTAGGTTGGAAGGTGGTGGAGTACGATCGGTGGTTGCTTCTTCCTGTCGCCACAAAGGCAGCGAGTGCGGGCATTCAAGCACTGAATGGCGTAACGCATGCCGGCATGCGTTGCGCCACACGCCTTCCATAAACCGGCCGAGTGGCTGCACAAAGCGGTCATCTGCCACCGCCCCACTGTCACCACTTGATGTACTGCACCGTCGCATCATCTTACTTAATCAACCGGCATCATCTGACTGTACAGCCAGCAGCCACGCCACTGCCGTTGGATTAATCAGCAGCCAGGCTGTATTTTTGTTTGTGCAATATACGATGATGATGCCGCTCCAGGGCTGAGCCGGCGCCATGCGGACCTCGTACCGGAAGACGTCCAGTTTGGAGCCCAACTTTTCCTTTGCCGAAGCAGTCCCAGGCAGTGAGAGCACCCAGTTGGGAATAGAAGCTGGGCGCCACGAGGCTTTTAGCTGCCGCTTCGTTGACAGCCCGCCACCGCCGACGGCTGCTGCCTCCCATTCCCGACGCGTGAGGATCAGCAGCTGCCACGAAGAGCCCAACTCGCCTGACTCTTCGTCGGCGCATTCCATTCCGTCCACGGCAGATTTCGTCCTTCACAAGACCACGCATGGACACCTCTTTAACTATGTAAGTTATTGCGTACAGAATAACGTTTTTAATTTAGTAATATTCCGATACTTTTAGTTGGATTAAAATCGTGATTGCGATTTGCAGAATTTCTAATGACTATTACTCTAGGTATTTTAGGTAGGTACTACAAGGTAGTAAAAATACTTTCTTTAATAGTTAACGCATTTGCTATACGTTTTTTTTTTCGTTTTTCCGTTTGATTCTGAATTTGTGAATACTTTAAATACGCGTAATATAACGTTACATAAGAAATTGTATATGATGAGTTATTGAATAGTGATAAAAGTGATTATAAAATGAAAAATTTGCTGATTTAAAGGGCTTGTGCAGTTGTACTCTATTATCAAATTAGTCATTGTGAATTCTATACCGCACAGTACAAAGCATGTTTATTTCGTTTTGTGAGTTTTCTGTGACGATAGCATATTGCTGTACAGCGCTGTTATGACAGTCAAATAAATTATTCAGTGCTGAAGGGGCTGGTGAATGGTGATGATGGTTGTTTATTGACAGAAGGGCTCGTGTGCCGAAGGGATTAGCACGGTGATCGCGGCGAGGTTAAACGGGGCGGATTATGACCTCAGCGGCGACGGGGCCCAGCGCTGTTTGGGCCATCTGCGTGCCCACTACGGCCTGTATATCGTCTTGGCCTTCGGACTGGTCAGCGTCAGCGGTTGCATTGCCGCCGGCATCGCGCTTTCCGGTAAGAAGACAGTCGCACCAAGTGTATCCATAATAAAATAATGAAATTAATAGGGAAAAATTTTATGTACTACTCGGTACTCGCAGCTGATTATTTGTTTGCGTGGCCTTTGTAAACATTGCGTCATGGTCATCTTGGCTTGTCGATAATGCTTATCCTCCATGTTTCTGTATAGTTAATTATTACATCGATTTTCATTTTTAAAGGGGTGCGTATCAGTCTCTAGTATATTCAAGCCAGTAGAAATTAATTACTTAATTATTAGTCGTGACTTATTTTACAGCATTATGGGAGTAATTTCCTGCCGCAGCGTTAGTCCCGTAAAGTTACAATGCATGTTATTGATTTTGTTATCACCACACTTGCAGCTGTCCAACCACACGTTGTACACGTTCCACTGACCACTACGACCGCACAACCAGCCACGATCGGTAAGCGTCTGAGCAAGCAGGGAGAAGCGGCGAGGCATATCGATTAGCTAACATGATATAAGCTTCACACTCTGCAAGCGCCAAACAATGCGCCGATTATCCTATAAAACAACACACTGACATCATTCGCTGTCATTGCATCCACAGCCCCTAACGACCTTCTCACCCGCATCCTCTCCCACGTCAGAGAAGCCTCTGGTCTCCAAGAAGTCCAGCTAGAGCTCCGGAACACGACACTTCCAACCGATGCTGACCTCATCCTCCCGGACCCATTAGGCTCCACCCCGCCGACCTACACTTCCACACTTCAATCTGGGACGACCTCCGAGGGTCCCCCACCGAACATGGCGCTCCTGCAGAACGCCGACAGTCCCAGTGTCTACGTCCTCCCGGCACCAACGTCCAGTCGGAAACAGAAGCAGCTAGAGAAGATCTTCCCCAGCATCCCCACTTGGCCGAACGTTCGGGTATTCCACCAGAGCGACCTCTTCGGTCGTGGAGGTCTAGTTATCAGTGATCCTAAGTACCACGATCTTAACATCACCTTCGACGACCCCTTCCAGCCCGCCGTCCGAGGCCCGGCGTTCCTTCCGAAACCCGGAAGGACACTGAACCTGGCTAAGAGGTCGGCCAACTATATCAACGGCCATACCAAGCGGTTTCCGGTAATTAAACTGGCTCGCTTCACCATGACCCAGAGTCTGACGCGGCCATCTTCTTCGGAAAGTCCCGAGGGCACCGTTGCGCCCATCAACCCGAAGGCGCTCCTGCCTCATAAAGAGGGGACATGCGCTGAGGGCTTCGAGTGGAATTCCGGAAGCGGCAGCTGTGCGGATGTGGATGAGTGCGTGCAAATGGGGGTGCGGGCTTGCGGAATTAATTCCGAATGCACTAACACGCCGGGTTCGTTCGTTTGCCGGTAAAGGTCACAATTGTATTTTTGATGGTGTTGAAATAAATAATTTGAATTGAATATGTAAATGCAAATGTGCAGTGCGCGTACAGGTGCAGTCCCGGTTTCCGGGTGGATCCTAAGAGCCTAGTATGCCTGGATATTGACGAGTGTAAGGAGAGCAACGGGGAGTGCTCACCGTTGGCCTTGTGCGAGAATATGCCGGGAGGATTCCTGTGTAAGTGCATGGAAGGTTTTTATGGGAATGGTATCGTCTGTGAAATCGATGCCAGCGGTGTTGCCGATCGCCACAGTAAGTCGTTTTCAAGAAAGCTACGACTGAGTACGACAAATAAACATCTCTTGCCAATAAAAATAATTTAATCTCTGACAAAAATTTTGTTTAATTTGATTTAAGTACGAGTTTATAAATCTTGTAGACACCAAACCACTTCTTCCGTGTCAGACGACCTTTCCGCCGCGGCACCATCAAGTTATCTCCAATCCGTATTTTCCGGAGCCCTTTCCGGTCCTGTCGCGCTATAAGTTCTGCATCGACAAAATGCATGCCGCCTGCAAGACCGGCATCAAACTGCAGAACTTCCTGCCCTCTTCAACTAACCACCAAGATTTCGATTACCTCAAGATTGGCGGTAAGCACCAAGTAGGGACTAGGGCAAGCGGGAAAGATGACTCGGCTTGCGGTCACGGTTATTATGTTTTCAGCGAGGTGCGATAACCACCCAGGCGTTCAATAACTGATGTGTGCATTAGGTTCTGATTACATCATTGTGTCGCTGATCTGCATTTTATTGCGAAACCTTTACTGCTGACTTTTGTCAAGTGTCTGAATTATTCACGTTTTACTGCGGCAGTTTTAAATACTGTAGTTTTCTTTATTCTTCTTTAGCATAGATAATAATTTAGAAATGTTTTGTCTGAATGACCTCCTTTTATCTCTCAAGGTAAATTGTTTTCGCCAGGTATAAACTTTTCCAAGACATACAGGAGCTGTATCACTAAATCAAGCTTTGCGCGGAGCACTTAATATCTTCCACAAATGGAGAAGCACGGTTTCTTTGCAAGTTGCGAACTTTGCGCGTGCTGCATTTCCGTTGGAATCCTAGACTCTTGCTCTCTTGCTCGTACATACTACATAGCTGCATACGATCCTGCAGTACTCTTTTTGTCTCCTCATCACAGTGTTAATTGCTCTACTAGGCAAAGTGTTCACCGGCACCGATCTAAATGGACAGACATTGTGGCTGCTAGATTCACGCAACGTCCCCATGGAGATGGAATTCTCAACCGACTCGGAAATGAAGGGAAACCGCTTCACTATGGAGATTGTCCAAGAAATATGCGGGCCGCTACTCTGTAAGCTTAAAGAAGAAATGTATTTCTCTCTTACAGAAAAAGGACAAAATACTGACAATAGTGATGTTATTTAATAAAATAACCATAAACTGCTGTCAACAACTGAAGCCGGTTTCAGCGGTGCCGGAGTGTCCGGAGCTGCTGCGCATCAGCCCACGCAGCATCAGCAGCATGGGTCCCAATACCTTGCCCTTTCACCCCACCTCCCCGTGGCCGCAGCCTGGACATTACCTGGACAACATCGCCTGCACCACAGCCCTGTACCCGCCCACGGAGGCCTGCGGCATGGAACTGTACTTTCACGAATTCAGTCTGGAAGGGCCGCGCGAGACCTGTCCCTTCGACTACCTGGAGATCAACGACGATCGTCTGTGCGGCAACATGAAGAATGAACTGCGCGAGGTCATCTTCCCGCGCAACACCCCCAAGATCCCCATCATTTTCGCCACTGACGCGACTTTTGTCGCACGGGGTTTTAATATTTCGTATACATGGATTACGGAATGTGTACGATAATCAGTCATCATAACTTTCGGTGTAGGGGCTTTCTGCTGCTATTTTAAACCCTTAAAATATTTCGAACAATAATATTGAACGAATAGCTGAAATAAGAAAGGTCATTTGGCACAAGGAAACATAACGAAATAAAATCGCTATCAGAGAAGATGCCGGTCTATTGGAGGTAAACTATCAAAGGTCACGAGATCAAGATGATAACATATAAATAAGCCCAAGAGACGACCGAAAGCCTTTGAAAGGTCACGTCTGCCCAGGAAATACGTCTACGTCACCTGGTTGTCGTTAATCTTCAACGCTTCAATTAACTGGCAAATATCCTTTCCGATATCGTCCCCGTCGCGGGCCGCCTTCCCACCTATCAGCGGCTTCCGCCGGGCACCTCCTGCGGCCCGGTGGACATTTTGAGCAACGATGCTAATGTCATTTTGCAGATCCTTGCGTGCCACGTCCGCTAAGTGTACATCCACCCGCGGTAGTACCTCCTCGAAGCTGGACGCCGCTACTGTCGTCTGGGCGCGATTGAGGACGGCGCCAGTTATCAGGAGAACGTCCGGGAGGGCGCGAAATTCCGCTTCGCGCTGGATGTCCTGCACTAGGGCGTAGGCTTCGTCGAAGTAGCCCTGGTACATCAGCACGTACAACAGATTGGTCCAGTCCACCAGGAAGCTGGCGGGGAAGTGGATGCGCGAGGGGGTTGGTGGGGTGGGCGGGGTTTTGAGCAGCTTCTCCTTTAGCTGCTCCAGGTGGGCCGACAACTTGTCTAGGTTGGGCTTTAGTGCTTGGATGGCTGCCGCGATGGCCTCCACTTTTTTTCCACTGGCAGTGCCCCGTTTCGCTTCCGGTTTTGTCTTGTTACCGGTGTCCTCCAACCTTTAAAGAAGCGGATAATTAGCAGTATTGTGAGCCAAATTATTCCATAATAACATTTTCCGATATTAATCCCAAATATAACAACTGTTAATTTTAAATAATTATTCAGTGAATTGAATGAATTAAGTAATCTCATAATTAAGATTAAGTAATCTCGTAATATAGTATGACGATATAACTATGAATCAAGCGTCAGTAATGAGTTCCACAAATAGATTTGTAAATTAAGCTTACATGCTAATATTAATACTCGTAATGAGGATATTACTGCTCCAAGAAAGATTACTGTCAAGTGAGTAAATTATGACGATAGGTCTATATCTACCTGAAAGCAATCGAATTCTGCAGCAGCCGCTGGGTAATGGTTATGATGCTGCGATGACACGCCTTATTGCAATGCGCCAGATGCTCCGTCAGCGTTCGCGTCATGTATGAGAACACCAACCAGCGAGTGCTGCGATTGACGCCTTCAATAAACGGATATGAATGGGCCGGCACCCGGGTACCAGCCGTCGGCACCTCCCGATTAATCTCATTGATGACCTTACGCGGGAAGTCCTGGGCGCGGTGATATAGACTGGAGTAGTTCATGCTGGGCATGACGAAGGTGCTAACTCGCGGCTGGCCGGTCTCGTCTGTCGTGCCCAGACAATAAACAGCCAGCAGCAGCGCCGCCACCGCCGAATGACCGGGTCGGCCGTCCTCTAGGAAGTAGCGCCAAATCAGTGCTGGGTACAACTGCAGGAAAAAGCGATTGTGATGGTCGTCGCGGGAGCGCAGCAGATACAACAGCACTTCGTAGACACGGTAAGCCAGGTCGGAGAGGTGGTCGGAGAGAAGGAAGTCAGTGATGAGGGTCAGCGCCGCCTCGTCGACCGAGACGCCGGGCGTCGATGGCTCAGCGCCCGCCATAGCCAACCACTCTTCCACGGGCTGCACGAAAGCCTTCTGGGGCGTAAGAGGGCGGGGATCCACGGGACGGGTGGGAGGTGGGGGAAAGGTCACATGCGAGGGGCACCCACTTAGGTCGGTTGTGTGGAAAGCCGGGGGAATGGTCGTTTGGCCGGCTTCTGTATGGCCATTAAACCGCATTATCAGGTCAGCAAATTTGTTTGTATGTAAGTATGTCCGTAAGCTATTATTTATTTATTTTGTTATATTTTTGGTTTATTGTTCGTTAACATTACGGTTCTGGATAATTACGAACACCAGAAGCAGAATTCCTGGGTTGCAACTGCACAGTAAAGATATTAGTTATTTATCTGGTAAGTATCATTTTTCGCTTTTCTTCCCTCTTGGATACTTGAAAGCACAGTGTCATAATAAATTGTCTGCAATTGTACTGTACATGTTGGTTTAGCAGCGACAAAGGACTGCATATGATTAAGGCAATCACCGTCTATAACTATCCATTATTCACTTGTTTGATTTCACAATACGAAGTTTTATCATTACTTACCTAACCGGTAAGTAAGTTTTTATGACTGTGAACTGGGTCTGCTAAGTAGATTTATTTTTTTGCAGCTACTTCAGCCTATCTGGGATTGTGCGATAAGTACCTATGTGCCCACGACACTGGTATTCAGAATACTGGTATTCAGAATTCAGTGACACTGGTATTCACGACACTGGTATTCAGAATTCAGTATTCAGAATGCAGAGGAAATGTAATTTGTTCGCTGAAAGTGAAGTCTACGGGTCCACCGATAGTATTACAGCCCTTACCTGACTCGGTTATGAATTTCTCGAACTGCTGTGAGATGCGCTGGATCATAAGCCGTTCGAGGTCCGTTGGCGGCTGTTCGGCGTCAGTGGGTGAAGCCGGCGCCACGGAATCGTCGTGGAACATGGAGAAGGCCGAAGACATTCTTAGTCGAACCGAGGTTCCACGTACTGATCACTACCAGCACGCGTCCCGCGATGCTCTTCTCGATAACCGCTATAATTAGAATATATATAGTCCTGGCTAACGCGCAAAGGCCGTTCGCCAGAAAAGAACTTTCGAGTTGTCGAAGTCGGGCACTAACGGCACGGTATGTTGATGATGGTGACATTCTCATAATAGGCTAATAGCAATGCGAAGCGAAGAATCATATTAAATGGCGTGTTGACAGTGAGGCATACTACAGACAGCAAAAGTAATTGTTGACTCTCGTTCGACGTATGTACGTATTAGTATACGCCAAAGGTGCACGCTGCTTCATACGGCCGCTACGTAAATGCGCAAATGCAATAATTGGTTTTGTAATTCACTAGCCTCGTGCAACAAGCTAGTGCAGTCGAAAAAGCCAGCGCTCAAGTGGATATTCAAGCTAATTTTTATTATTACCGAAATTCATGGATTCTATATATGAAAGCTCCGGGTTGGAAACGCAAGCACAGATCAATTGTACATGTAAACAAGTACAGATAGAGAGATAGTGGAGAACTGTACATTTAGTTCTCCATTTAGTATCAACAAGAGAAAAGACGCAGTAATCAGTAACGTATTGTTCTGGAGCAATCAAAGCGAAGCATGAGCGAACCTAAGGGTCAACAGTCGAAAAATTATGCAAGGGTGAGCGGACGGATGGTGCAGATATTAGGCCACTGGCCAAGACCACGCGGGGCGGGCGGCCCGCGCCGATGAATCGTCGCGCCAGCCGCCTGCCGAAACATAACTGACCGGCAGCGCGTAGGCGCTACGACTGCGCCACCGCTGAAAGAGAACGCTACGCCAGGAGCTGTCGCTGCTGTCGGTGCGCACCACCGCCGGCGAGTGGGTGCGCAGAGGAAAGGGCAGCTGGCGGCCGTTGACGGTGAGGGACCGCGGCGGCTTGTCGGTGCGGCAGGGACATGGGCAGTGGCAGCAGGCTTTCAGTTTGACCGCCAGCCACCGACACACCGCCGACAGGTTGAAGCAGCCGTAAATAATAGGATTGACGCAACTGCTGAACCAGCATAGACATTGCGCCAGGACGCCGATCGAGGAGCTGCTGATGGCGTCTTTGTACCTGCCAAGGTAACTAACTGGGTTATTTGTCCTTTGTTAATCCAAGTTGTTTGCTCCATAGCCATACTGCTTAAGAGATGCAACACAAAAAGTTAAAAAAAACACAAGAAAATTTCAAATTTAGTTTTGCAAATTTCTTTTTAATTATTACTTAACATGAAAACACTGCGATTCTTTTTATTCTTGCATTTTATTATACCCACTTAACATCTAATCATAATGTTGCAGTCGCTGCGGGACGTTATTTAAAGGTCGCTCACCTGTAGTCTGACCAGACGTTGACGAGAGCAACGGTGAAATAAGGAATCCAGCAAAACGTGTACGAGACCAACACACACACCGTCACCTGCACAAATGAGTTTAAAGAGGTCATTTTTGTGCGTGGTAGAAGCGACAGGCGTGTTTGTGAATATTACACAATGCCAGTCGTTGCGTGCAGTTTTATAACGTTCAACATGCACTTCCGAGTGTATTCTGTCCTGGATTTACGCATTTAACTCTGACGTATTTTTATCTTAGGTCAGTACGCGGTTTTCCGGTCATGCGAACACTCTTCCGGCAAATGCTGTTTGGGTGCTGCCTGCTGCTCGATGGTGGGTGACCTAAAGCTACGTAGAGCGGCTCACCTGCACGGTTTTCAGTTTGGCCCGCGACAACGTGCCAGCTGGTGCCGCCTCCTCCGGGGGGCTAGGCAAGAGTTTTCCATTAGCGGCACTGCCCATTGCGGCACTGTGCATCCCATGCCGGCTGCGGTTCAGTGTGTCGGAGCGGGTGTTCCAGTGGCGGCCGGCCGACGCCGATGCCATCTTGCGGTCGTAGATCCACACCGCTTTGGCAATGCGTGCGTAGCACACAGAGATAACGAGCAGCGGGATGAGGAACATGTAAACCGCTGTCCAGCTGACGTACAGTTTGCGCTGCCAGGCGGCGCTGTAGCCATTGGACGCACAGGAGCTAATGCGGCTGCCGTCAGTGCTGATGCCCACGTCTACCTGCAAGATAAGAGCAAATACTGACGATTTCTCTTTAAGGGACAGATGAAGGTCACAGTAATCATTAAGGAAAGCTTATTGCCTGCGGAACATGTGCGTGATGCACAAAAGCTGACACAGTAAAGCTGTTCTTTAGTAATCATGGATTTGCCTTAATGCCGAACAGTAATTCAGCGGTTACGCATGCAAAAAGGTGGCCAAGTTGTCTTCTTATGCTAAGTCGCGTAATGGATAAATTCAGTCAAGGGCGGCTGCACTTTAACGTATTATTCGCTTGTCTCCGTTGAAGGCACTTCAAAATCAAAGAGCCAGAGGGCGTCTTTTGCAGCGATTTTTCCAAGAAGATGTCAGAAAGCCATGCCAGGTATCTACAAGCAAGGCACTCCTTCTGCATGTTCAGACTGAATACGAACAACAAAAGAAGCTAGATACCGTGACCTTTCGCTACTTGATCTTTTCATATTACGTGGGAAGGCAGACTAAGGGTTGGTGTCGGCTGGATGTGTTATAATGCTTAATGGTAGCCGCCTTTTCCTCCTGCTCTGCTATAGGACACGGCAAGTGTGTACCATTTCAAAGAATCTTCTTACTTGAATGCATTGTTTGTGTAGTATGTGCGCTTTGCTTTATACTGCGCGCGTTAGTCAAATGTTCGAATTTCACACTACTCTCTTTTCACTCTTACATGTAATATACAACGTTGATGCAGCTATCGTTAGTATTGTAAGAAAGTCAAATGCCGGCTTTGAATTTGAATTAAAGTACTGTATATTAAAGTTTTGATTAATTTTGAAAATGTGCAAATGCTAGTGCGGAGCCGTATTACTGGCGTAATTGGCTACTTACTACCATGTAGTTTTCAGCAAAGTTGTTGTGTAAACGAGCAAATCAATAATAAAGCACGCCGTTTTAAAGATTATTAATAATTTTATTGCCGGACAAGACAAAATAACTCTAAATGGTTTTCAGATGCAAATTGTAAAAATAATAAACTATACTGACCACGAACTGAAAACTGTAAAGAAAGCGTGACCACCTGAAGGCGCGTACCTGAACAAAGACGAAGAGTTGCGGCAGAGCAATGAGTGTGGCCAGGAGCCAGGAGGCGGCGACCATGGTGTAGCGGCGGCGCATGCGTTTGGGGCTGTGCAGTCGCAGGGTGCTGCCGCGGTCGCTGATGGCCTCCCATCGGTCCCAGGCGATGCACATGTGGATGTGGCAGGTGCTGGCGAAGAGGATGAACTGCAAATAGGTCAAACCCTTGCAGGCCACCTCGCCCAGTACCCAACCGCCGAACACTTCCCAGAACACTTCCGTCGGCATGCTGAATAGCGCAATCAGGATGTCGCCTACACACACAACCATCAGGTTTATTCTAATTAAATAATATTGTATAGTATTATAATACGAATAACGAATGCACAATCTTTCGGAACAACGAAATGGTTTCCTATTTATGATATGCTGCGGCTGTATTATGCGGTCTGCCAGCCGCAAATAAAGTTCGTGGTGGAACTTTTAGTTGATTTTTCCAGTTTTGGCAACAACAGTATGAATAGCATTGTCAACCTATGTGTACATACAGAAGTGCCTATTGAAAGGATGGAATTGCATCTCGATTAATATAATCTGCAGTACGTTTTCCCGGCTGCCACACTGGCGATACGCAATTTTTTGTAGTGCCTGTCAGCGGAAAGGGCATGTGGATCGCGACGTACGTAATTATTGCTGTTCCTTATGGGTCGAACAGCTAGGATTGTACTTCTTTAGATTGATATAATTATTATTAATTCGGCAGAAAACGCATTGCTGTAGGCGATAGGTAATGCGGAATCATACTAATTTAGGCGCAGTCTGCAGCTGCAGATACCTTGCGGTGGCAAGAACATGCACGACTGATGGAGCTAATCAACAGACAGGAAGTTGTCGACATCATTATGCAACAATTGCATGCAGGCGCGTCTACCGGTTTTTGCCGAATTGTGCGTATTTGTCGCGACCGAGCAAGGGGACGGCAATCGGGCGCTTCATATTGCACCGGAAATCACAAGGTGCCGGCTCATGCTGGATGCCGGTAGGCACCATTTACTGACCGAATGACACGCTTTGTTTGGCCAACGATTCTAACGCTCAGCAGTTGACGTTGCTTTGTGGACCGTACTGAAGCCAAATGCCAGACTTCCTCATTTCTTGAAGCCACGGACATTGCGTATTCGTGTTTCTTCGACGTCTTAGCTACGTCGTGCTAAGGAACTAGAAAGTCGTTTTAAATGTGCCGTGTTCAATCAAATTCAGACCTAATCGACATTTCGTGACTGATGCACAATCAGCAAAATTATTCCTTATTGGTTGGATGTATTAGCGTAAATAACGAAACTGCCGGCTATTTTTAATGGCATATTTTGATTCTTTTCTGGGGCACTACTGTACAAAATACTTCTGGATCAACGCTACCTTAACCTTGGCTTAATTAAAGCGATGGAACCACCGAACAGTCGCATGCAGGTTACACGCGTTCAGTACCCACAGCCACGATAAGGAAAAGGTCAGAAGTGAAAGTGTGTGCTCAAGTTGTAGACAACAATTTCCGGTTGCTGTTTGCCGCTGAACGCCGGCAGTGAGAGAAACCGAAACAAGACAACACTTATGAGATCGGGGCGGTGTAAATACGAGTACATCAAGGCTTCTTGCTCGTCTCATGAACAATGATCCGATTAGCCGGGTCTGCAAGAAGCCCTTACAACCGGAAATGCTACACAACAGGACACCACGCTTAGCCGGCCCAAACGACGCGATCGGGTCGTGACGTGCCTGCGCGTCATCGATCCGCAAGCGTTGCAAATGCCGGGCACGTGCTTGGTGGATTTTTTTATTGGGGAGATAATTGTTCTCTATGCTACTTAAAGCTGGAATGGCCTTGTAAGATGCGGTCTTCCTGTCACCGGCATTTATTATCACTTTAGGCGGTGCCGGCATGCACTACGTACTAAACCACAGGGATTAAACTGTTTGTGCTCTTCCGACTGTCATCAAATGGATATGGGGCTAGGATTATGCGGCACCGCAAAACAACATATGCCGCTTAGCGGTGGGATCATCCGTCTGTTGATCTCTCAAAGCACAGCCATTATAAGATGAACTTGTGTGCTGATTACAGCGACAGATTTTTAAACGGTTTGTGTAGATACTGTTAGCTGGGATTTTGTGAGCAAGTTCGCGCATACTGTTTGCGGTCTATATGGCACAAGCAGTATTAATTGAATACATTCTCGTCCGCATGACGCCAATCAAATTTGGAGAATAAAAAATAACATTTCCGGGAATTTCCTTTATTTTGTGAAATATAATTATTAATAATCAACGAGCGGATGCTGTGCAGCGCTGCTTGTAGATGCGCCGGTACATGAATATGAATGCTCGGATCTGCTTAACCTGATTAGTTTACACGATTAGACTGTCTCCGTTAAAAGACGCTAAAGACTGAACGTGAAGAATCACAGTTAGCCATCATCACCCCATCACCAAATTCTTGCTGTGCTCCATCAATATCAAATGGCATAATGCCACTTCGGTAACAAGCCCCACAACACAATGGACTGCTCCATTACGTAACGGTCACCAAATGACGACACGTAATGGAAGTCTTTAATGATATCAGGGCACAACGGGCATTTTGCCGGGCCCTCTAATTATTAGAACATGGTGTTGGCTAATGCGAGCCCATTATTTGTGCATGGGGGCGATAATTATCCAGACATGCAGCAAAAACGTTGGTTAACTGTATTGCAGTGTGTATATCCGGTACTTTATGTATTGTAGCAGGGAAAGTGGACAATGGGATACTGTGCGCAAGCAGCAGCCCTTGCTATAGTCCAGTTTACTTCCTGGTCGGTGGAATACACAGATATATACACGATATAATTAAGGATACTGTATTAGGAAAAGTACAAAATAATACTGTTATCAACGCTTTGCAGTATTAGTGGGCGGTAAAGCCGCATCACGTGCTCATGTGACAATCAAGTGCGCATTGCACAGATTTTTGCAAACTCCTTTACGTGCGTCATTGTGACAGCTCGGAAGCCGGACCGACATGTGTGGGCAGTCAGTGGTTAGTACAAGTCCGCTTGCCACGAAATAGCACGGCCATTATGGTCAAGCGCATGTAGTCCTATGTTTAATTTGTTGAAAGCTAAATTCATCACTACTCGAGTACTGATTGTGAGTAGGTATTTTGAGGAACAACCAAGGTGTGATTCCGCCAGTTGGGATTACCGGTCAACGATGTGATTCCGCCAGCGTACACAAAGGTACCGAAGGACACAATAAATTACTTTATGGAGTACTAGTGGCGGATTGAGCACTCTCTTTGTACGCGCTACCGATCTGTCCTGCACTTTGTTCCTGTAAACCTATTTCACCGGTAGTGATTTTGGGCGATCCCACATTTAATTGTTACCGTTGTCGGTATTCTTACTTCTATTGTTGCACTTACTGACGGCCAGTGAGACGAAGAAGACTTGTAAGGGCTGTTTGGACATCCGGGTACGGCAGACGACACACAGCAGCGTCACATTGCCCACCAACGCCAACACCATGAACACCGACAACAAGGCAATGCGCTGGATGACCTTGTGTGGTATCTTGGGCGGTCGGCAGTGCGACTGGTTTAGCCAGAGCGAATCGGATGTATTGCCGGAGCAGTCGCTCAGCGAGAACCACGCATAATAAGCCAGACTGCTGTGGTTAGCCATCCTCCCGGGTCCGACAAATTACCTGATGAGGCTAATTCGACCTTTATGGATACACCCTACCGTGCCATCACGGAACAACCACAACCATCACACGAATTGTGCAACTGAATTCAGCCTAACAATGAAATCGCGGGATGTCGAGATTCTCCACCGGCATATACATATAAATGTTAGCCTGATTGCGGAAGTAACCAGTGTTGAAGGGAGTGTGTTAATGGTGCGTAAAAGTTGGGAATGGCAGGATAATGAAGTGCGCAGTATGGCAGCCTGACAGGTTGCGTGAGTGAAAGCAGTGGCAACGGCATAAGATATCCACGGCACTGGCTTCTTTCCCCTGCGTTGCTGTGATGCATACAGCCGGCTTCTCCTTCAGTCGTTCATGGCGCGATGACGCTCCGCGTACAAATTGTACCACCGGTGCACCGTATAGACTGAACATCCGCCAGGATTTGTTAATACATTGATTTGTTCCCACCAACAACCGCTGTACAGTGCACCCGAGGGAATGTGCAGAGATAATACAGCCGCGCGTCAGTTGATTGTGGCCGGCGTGTGGAAAAAGCCTCATGTATTGTGGACCGTTAATTGCGGCGTTAGCAGCAGTGGAAGAAAAGCAGAAGATAATGCCAACCATTTTTGGACGACGCGCGTGACAATATGCGGAAGCTTTTGTCCGTGTGCAGGCCGCCAGTTCGATTGCTGCCCGACTGGGGAATTGTTGCCATTACCGGTGACTTCATCCTCCCCGGTGGTGTTGCCACGAATCTGTTTTAATTTGGCGAAATGATCAAATGAAAGTAGAGCAACGCCGCATAATGACCCCGGCGTGAATGCGGGACTTCGGCGGGATTGATCGGTATCCTCATACATGTAGCGCACTAATCCGCGGGTGCGAGAACATTACAGAATAATTTAGGCAACGAGTCAAAAGATGACTGGTGGGGGATCTTCATGATCGGCCGGATATTAACAAGAGCGGGCAGCGGTGGAGTTGTTTTGCTCACACTTAGGAGTCAAATAAACCATCCATCGTGTGGTCTGTGTAAAGTCGATCGGCAATGACATGGTACAATACAGTCATGAAGAATCGATGGCGATGCTATTGTACCTTCGGTCCGATATTTGAAATCTACGGAAGTCACTATTTGTACTGATTACCAACATCACCGCACTAATGTACCCTGCTTTTATTATCGATAAGATACGAACACAACCATCCAGCATCAGCAGGATTAGCAATTAATTTCTTGCGGCAGTTGCCTAAAAACCAACGTCAGCTACCTACAATTCAAGATTGAATGAAGTCTTTATAAGTACTTACTTAAGTTGTGATCGCCTGTCTTGATCGGCTAAAAGTAGTTTATTAAAGTTGATTTCTAATTACATGGATAGCAATTATCTGTGCCAGGATTTTCGTTCTCTGCCGCTAACTGCTGTTCCACCCATCCAGTTTTCGTAGAATAAAAGATGCTAGAATCTTGTTCATCTAGCGGTGGTTACTTGCTCTTGTGCTCTTGATCATCTCTTTCCTCAAGTCCAGTGGTCATTTAAAACTTTTTTTGTCATGGATTGCCGTAGACTTTATATGAGCTGATTCTAACTACTGTATTATTTTATTTTTGTACAGTACTTACTTTCGATGAGTTACTGTACTATACAGTACTCTTAGTTCTACAAAAACAACAACAAATGCCGAAGCAGAATCTAAGTGATGTATTACAGTACGAGTTACGGAATGAATTAAAGAAATAAAACGCATTTACAGGATTTCATTCAATTAATCGATGCGGTCCCAATAAAATTGACTCCAAAAGTCGGTAAAACTACTTAATACAATCGTAACCCAATAATATTATTATACTGTATTCATCCGTGCTCAGCTTGTAGGCGGGATCTGTACATACAGTACGTAGGTACTCATGTAAGAACATGTGCGTGTAACTTCTACAGACCATAATTATACGTACAGGTTGGATAAAAGCTATCTTTACATACGATATTGTACAAGACGTTCTTCTGTATTAAAGTTCATTAATTTTTCGTTGTACACTAAAACTGATTTCGTTGCATAATTATAATGTTATGCTATTGTAACAGACAGTAATTTTTAAACGGTAACTTTCAAACTGTTATAGTACTGTTAAGTTATTTAACGAAACTAAAAAATACTTAATTAATTCTTAAAATACATATTCCGAAAACCTGTTACTCGTAGTTTTGTTAATGATTAGCACGCGGCAGTTTCATACTGTACTTATTGTTAAGTGAAGTTTAATAATAAGACTCTTGGCAATTTTGCATCATTATTACATATTGCAACGCAAGTAATACGCGCGTTTCACCAACGCACCTGTTAGTAAATTCAGTGAATTAAAAGTAGGCATCGATGATCGAAACGACGGAACGAAGTGGATTCATAAGTGCAACGAAGCAAGGGAGCAGTTTGTGGAATTACCCCGGAGACAATGACGCTCCGGGGAAAAGCATACATCAAGCGAATCCTTCTAATACGAATTCGAAAAAATTGCCACACATGTACATCCAAGAATAGTAACCTTTGTCGGCGCGCGTCGATACTAAGCGCCTGCTTTGCTATTTTGGTTAACAAGCCACTTCCGGTCGTTGAATCCCTTTGCAATTGCAATTGGCGTCGGTGTTCTGCCGGCGGCAAACGATGTCACGGCTACAAGCGAAGACAATGGGTGTGGCCTGCCACCGCGATATCAAAAACAAGCAGCCCAATCTAGTTCGCCCGACCTGCGTAAACAAACTAAGGAAATCATCGTAAATGCGCAATCACATCACTCTCTGGTCAGTATAATATCACAATCAATGGCGGCTGGTTTACGAATAAACGTAGAACGCTAACATAGAATGGTGAGGTACGGGGTACATGGTTGTATCGGTTCGTCCCATGCTACACCGCGGTCCTACCTGCCGCGACTGTCCGCTTGCTTGCACAAAAAGAAGAGGCTTGATTCCACGTTCTGCTAACCATCGACATTACATGTACAACTATACGTACCTGTTGATGTCTTGAAAGAAGCGCAGGGCGTTTCCATAGGCACGGCGTAGTGGCATCCCTCAACGTACCACCAAGGCAGTACCACGAAGTAAAGTAGAAGTACTGTAGTGTTCTTTAGCGAACCACAAAATACTGATTTTTCCCAAGCGTGCGTACTCGTGGATAATCGTGCTGATTCGTACGTACTTAATTAACGATAATAACAGTACCTCAATAAAAATATTACGTATTATCACCTCCGTCATGTTAAGCCAATAATTATTACAAAAGAAATATGAATAAAGGCACTTGTAGTACGGAATCCTGTGTTTACAGTCTGTTAAGCATCACTGCGCCATAATTCATCATTTTCACATACACTTTAACGCTTTAGAATTGCTTATTCCACCTTGCACGCAAAGTATAATAATTATTTTAGACTTTCAGTGAAGTTAAGTAATACACATTGACTGACATTGTAGTTGATTTTGAACATCTGTATATAGCCGTAAATACGAGTATTTTATTTAAGCAAATTCAAATGAGCAGCAACATCTCCTATCGACTGTAAACCATTAATGCGGTGATATTAATTTACATCCTAAAGGTTTCCAAGATGCGTTTTCCACAAATCCAACAATGCAAACTAAGCACCGAGCGGGCCCAGGTCTTTATAAACGGCATACTATGGAAAGGATCGAACGATGCATACCAAGGAAGGCTGCCAGCACGAACTCTCATGTTCTGCAGGCTGCAGCTATGTATCCACACAAATCATCTCTTCGCACCGCGTACTGCTAAACATGTGTGACCCGATCAAAAAGCTGTGCATCACATAAATGGATCAAATTGCCAATCCAGCGTCTTCTGCCGGCCGACGACTCAGTCGTGCGGAGAGCGAGGCGCTGACTAGCTGTCTGGCAGAAACAGTGGGTCGCTCCGTTCCCATTAGCATGACCCTGGCCGCCGTGACCTTGTACGGACGCCATGCCGGTTACCTGCCGCGGCGTCTTCTCGGAGGGTCCACACCCGTTATTCTGTTGGCCGGGATGGGGGGCTACGCGGTGGCGCACTGGAGCGTCCACCAACGCTGCCAGGATCGGATGATGCGCAGCTCGAGTCGACGACCGCCGATGAACCCCGATGGATCTCTTGGTAAACGTTGGTAAACGAGCACCCACCTTAAATTCCAAGCTTTTTAAACGCATTTTGTACCGGGACTAGAATGGCATCCCCCCGCAAGCCGTGACCTTTATCGCACGTATCCCATCAAAGAGTCCGTCCTTGCAGCAAGTGACCAGAGACCAGCGGAGGACGAGTGGAAGGGTCCGTGGGACGAGGATTACTATGTGAGTAATCCTGATCTGGATTACGCTCTGCAGTTGCAGCGGGATGGGGGAAGCCAAAAAAGGGAGACCGATGATTCCTGGACAGGTCAGACAAGGGCGGCGCCTGCGCCCGCAGCAGACTACAACTTACGAAGAACTGCGCATCAGTCACCGCAGTCAGAAACTAATTGTTCCTCTTCAACAGCGAACCACAAAAGTGGGCCGGAAGGTCATGTCCCCTCTGGATTTTAACGGACAACCAAACTGATCCTGTGTATATCTGTAGCGTTGAAATGACTACCCTTGGGTACTGTACTGCCCGTCTTTTAATACAAATGCACACTGTATAAAACAGTGATTCAGATTCAGAACTCTCCGATTTGTTCACGCTTGCGAGAGTTTATAACGGTGCGGTTTAATTAAAATTTTCTGGGTTAATTTGACTGGACCTTCCGGTGTTCATCCTACGTGTAACCGCTGTAACGCTCACGCAGTCATGGCTGCCTTTGCGTTACAGAGCTAGGTCGAAATCGCTTTGACGAGCAGAAGCTGCTGGTTGAGTGTTAATTGCGCGCGGGTGTAAATGTTAATTAAGTCCAGGCTTTATCAACCAGTATTTAGCGCCCGTCGCGGTAAAAAGCCTAGATACTCAGCCGGCCTTAATGGAATCCGTTGTCTCCCTGCGCAGTCTTTTCTGTTTGCCTGTTCAAACACGGAACTGACAATGCCGGCTGGCGCGCCACACTACCGGCCACTGGTCACTCTTAACTCAGGCGCCACTGCGTCATTCGCATACAGCCACTCCAGCACAAAAATCACCATGCCGATCTTTTACAAACAATGGCTCTCAATAGATCGGATTACGTGGATCGTCCACTTGGGCCAGGAATGCAGTGTACGCTGTACAGGCCAGCGGGTTTTGTTGGGATGATAGCCCAGCACAGTGTTTGTGTGCAGCGGGGAAATAAATGTTATGATAATTAAGCGATAAAGATCGACTGTCAAGACACGTTGTTGTTGTTAAAAGCTACAATTTGTATGCAATTACTGATTACGATGGCTCAGCCCAGCCATCAAGTAATTTGCGCCTGTGTTGCCGTATCGTCGACTATACAACCGTCGAAAGCGGCCCCGCGGACATGGGTGGTTTATATTAAAACAGCAGCATGTGTTTTTGGCAACGGCTGTGCGTGCTTCACACTCACGCCGCATCATAGCATCGCGTCCTATGATTAGAAGGAGACCGCTTATTACGGAGCGGCGCCAATCGTAAACGGTAAAAGCACAGTATAATTCTGCAGCACGCGGCTGACGAGATACATACTACTCGTACATTTGACATCCAAAAATATCTCTTGCTTCATTGCACACATTCTGTCGCTGCAACCTTCGTCCGTGTTTGTACATGTTCCACTTTGTACGGCCAAGTGTTCACTTGAATTAATTAACGAGACACGGAGAATAGAGAATCGGCTGGTGTGGATTTACGGGCGCAAAATCGAGCCACTGGATATCGCCAGCCAATGTCGGACTGGCTAACCACACTGGCCCCGCCTGCCGTGGTTAATCGCTTTTGTCTCGATTAGTCGTGTCTATAGGTGCGTGTGTTTTTATCGTCGCTCCTTATCGGTGGCTGTTTGCATACGGCAGCATATGGATTCCCTGTACCGCGTCCATCTCTTTACGCAGGCACACGCGCGCGCTCCCTTATCAGCAGCAGCAGCAATAAGCCAGCTCAGTCCTGTCAATCTCATCGGCAATTGATGGCTTTTTATATAGCCCACTGATTGGCCTGCATTGCACTGCTCCGTTTGTCCTCTCGGCGCTCACTCACTCATATTCGGCGTTTTTCTCTCACTGGATGCAGTTCTATCCGGCTGTGCACACCAGCGCAAATCATGACTGACTTGGGATAACTTGCGGTTAATTGGTCATTATTTTATCGTATTACAGCATTTTCAGCGCAATGAGTGGATAAATTCATCAGCTACCAGTTCAGCCGTTAATTTTTTTTGCGCATTGCGAGCATACGTGTGTTACTGTATTTTGGGAAGTTGTCCACGACAGCGATATGCGATCTTTGGGGAAGGGAAGCGGGTGGTCAGGGACGACAGTGTTTTGGTAAGGTTGGTCGGGTGCGGATCAGTGATGGATTTGGCGGGGAAATGGCTAATGGTGATGGTGGTGTTGTTGTTGCGAATGACTCTGGTGCGATTATCTCGGATTAAGCCGCATACCATTCTCCACTCGGACAGCGACGACGAGGACATCATTGTCGGCTCGGGCCAGGGATGGGCATCCGGCTCGGGATTCCTTGATGTCGACCTGTACAGCGAAGCCGGCGACGACGAAGGTACTGCGCGTGCAATTTGATGCAAAAAACTGACTTACAGATGCCATATATTAATTATATTTAATTTCGTAGTTGCTTTATTAGTTACAGTCAGACCAACAAATCTGTAGAATCTCCCAAATCCAAAGTCACAAGTAGAACAATTTTTAATAATTGTGTTCACTCAAAAAGCACGTCGTGCATTGAAACGTCGGTATTTCATTTTTTAAGGGTGCGCAAATGTTTTTGTTTTAACCGAATTACCAAATGGGTGGTGCGCCAGGTTTTCTTCACGCATTTGGCAAATTCTTGGCCTTATGTTTATGTCTACTTTTGAAAATTAATTTTGGCTATTTTCATTATGTGTATTGTTGAAGGTTATTATATTTTCACATCCGTGTTTACTCAGGCGCCAATGAGTATATATTACAAATTGTGATAAATGGTACGGTAGGACACAAAAGGTGTGCAGCGGGGTATGATTTCCGTTCGGAAGGGAAGCAAAATGAAAAGAAGTCGGCAGTGGCCGCGAGGCACGAATGAAGTCAGTGTCAGGTGTCGCTCGAACTCAGCGCGATAGTTGCAAGTTACCCGTGGCGCATTATATTGTCGAAATTAAAAACGTACAACGTACTCGCAAGCTGTTTATTATGCACAACGCTGACTATTATCTTCAAGAAATTGTACGATGAATTAATGGTGTAATTAATATCCATCGTTAAATACCCATTAGGCCCATCTCTTACCGGCTAATTCGTTTACAGCTGCAAGGATAAAAAATACTTATATCGATCATTACAGATTACTGAGAAATTACCATATCCGTTAAATTACCCTAGGGTATCAAAACAGATTTTGGTGTTGTCAAGCATCTTTACACAAGCATCAAACTGTAATCCAGCAGAAATGCTGTTTTGAAACTGTATCAAACTTTTGTAATCCAGTCCAACCAGTCTTTTTAGAAATTTTGCAAATCCAGATTTAAAGATTGTTTTGAACTGGTCACTGTATAATATAGTTCTGACAAGCAAAGGCTTTATAGTTACGATGGTACGAGCCATAGGTATAAAATGAATTATTGACATTTTTGTTCCTATGTTTTGCTTGCGCAAGCGCACGTATAACTTTTTTGTCATTACTGTTTATCATATTTAATCCTTTACCCGAACGAAACTGAATCTTCTTGAACTATATAGATTTGCCGGTAACGCGCTCCCCGTTGCGGTCGTCGGCTGGTTCCGGCTCGCTGCGCTTCGCCACGCCCGAACTGGATCTGGAGCGGGCGCGGCGCATCTCCTGCATCGTCTGCACGACGGACGGCGACGCGTCCTGTCGGGATCCCTACGTGCGCAATGAATCTCACGTTAAGCCCTGTGAAAGCACCGTCGAGGGCTGCCTCAAAGTCCTCACGCCGTCCGGTTAGTGTTAGTGGCAATCATATTCATTTTCCCTTTTTATTTGCTATCGTTGTCAAGTGGTGATAAAAGGCTTCTTAACTATCGTCACCACCATAACAGCTATCGTGTCACTGAAATGTACGCAGCAAGTAACCTTCTTTTTGCGTTATCGCTGGTGTTGACCGATAAGCGGAGGACATTATTCTTATAAATTACTCGTTGATTGTTTTCTTTAACCGGTTTTTTATGTGTTTTTCTATCCGGTTGCTGTATCTTAATTAACTTGAAGTCTTGAACACGGATTCGCAGCGTGACACCGAACGCTATGTTGCGCCACTCCAGACACACCCAGCATTTTTAAAATATCTCGGAAACATTCATCTCGCATGCATCATCAGGCTAGCCGGAAAATACGCAAACATTTGCGAAGAACTTATGGAACGATTCATTCTAAACGGCCGGCATATCGCGAACTATATACTTGCCAAGCAAAGCTAATATTGTTACGCACTTACGCGTTTCATAATCAAAATTCCAAAAGCAGACACATAGTCTGAAACAAAGTAACTGCAATGATGGCTGCTTTATTTTTTTAAAAAATTTTCTGTTAATTATATTATTACATTCAGCTGTAGTGACGTAAGTAACGCTAGTTTTAACACTTTTAATTAACTTCCGGGAAGCCAGCAGCAGAGTGACGTGAATCCCTAGAGTACATTACAACACCCACGTGATGGCATAAACTTACACGTACAGTACGTCAGCACAGCGCTAAATATTTACACGAAGACGCAATATTTTTATTTCTGTTAATCGCGTTAACACTGGCCTTTTTCACTGTATCCTGCAGGTGACACATATCGCAGCTGTCTGTACGGGATGTTCGGGACGGCCGAGCAGGCACCGGGCTGCCGATCCATCCGCGAAGAACAGGTGGGTCACCGCTTCATGGCGAACGTCAGCGCCACCATCTGCGTGTGCCGGCACAACGAGTGCAACGGTGCCGACCTCAACGCGCCCCTCCCGCCCACCACCAGCGAGCCTCTGGACTTCATGGATGCCGCCAACACCGTCAGCATCCGGGCCCATCGCATCAGTCACGGCGTGGCCGGCGCCCGGGCGGACGCCATACTAACCGCGGGGATTTTGTTAGTTATGGCGGGGCGCTACCGATGACCTTTGTTGCTGCTCAAATTACGGTTATGTGGGAGGGGTTTCTACTTGTAGTCGTGATGATTTGTGATGCTGGCTCGACTGTTCTTTCTCTTTCTTTACCGACTGCAGTTGACCTTTTGGATTGAACCGGGGCTGTGTTGGGAGACGAATACCGTCGCCGCTTTTTTCTGATTAATTTTCCCGTCTCTGCTTTGTTGCCATTTTTGCAGTTGGTGTTTTTTTCTAAAAGGGTTTTTAGCCGGGATAGATATTCTGTGGTGTGAAGACTATAAATGTATTTTGAGAAGAAGTATCTGTGTGAGCGTGTAAACGATGCGGTGTCTTTGCTATTTGATGGCGGAGTAGCGGTGGGAATGCTGATGTTCATAATCTCGCAAATGGATGATTAGATTAGTCATGGTTAATTCAATTGCGATATTCGGGTGTTGAGTATCCCGTGCCGCGGATTATGTACACCGCAGCCGAGCGTTGGTATTTGGCGTGGCCGTCACTGCGTGCCAGCTAGCGTCAATCAGTGCCGGTCCGGGTCGCGCGCTCGCTGCGACTAATTCCGGCCTGTCAAGAACGATCACTTGTAAACGGTTTTTTGCCGATTTATAAATACCGCACTCTCCTGAACCGCACAAGTGAGTGCCGCTAATGCCGCCGTGCAGTAGCCAATAGTAGATTTATTAGGCATTACTGCAAAACCTACCGGCGCAGCTGTTTGTGTTACGGGCATTACAACACAGTCCACAATGTTTATGGTCTCTCGCACTGCGTTTAGTGTAACACTGACGAATTCTAATGAAATAATTTGCGAAGAAAATGGATACTTTGTCGCAACTACTGGATGCGTTTAATCGGGAGTGGAGTGTAAAGACTGTTTCTGAAATAAAAAATGCCACCAAGAATGAATGACTGAAAACGTTGAGTTCTCAATTACTCAGTTAATTTTATCAAAAAAGGTACATCGTAAAAATCCTCACAATCTATAGCATCGGAGTCTGTTTTATCTTTATGGTCCAAGAAATCAGTCTAATTATAGTAAGCACATTAGTTATTGCCGTAATGGTTTTAGTTTCACCTTTTAATTAGTGCCGCAGTATACGTACGCAATGGTATCAATGTCCTCCTCATCATCAGCTGCAACACCAGATGCATTCACATTACTGTAATTTTACGTGCCATCGGGATTAAGTAGAGTAATGTTGAATAATCTACAACCAGTAGGAAAAAAGAATGCAAAGTAGCTGGACCAATGCCACTCTGCTGCTAAGGATGCACTGGTTGCCAAGAGGGTTGTGCTAAGGTCAACTGAACTCGACGACAAGGACAATGCGTGCGCGGGTGTTGATGGTTTACAATCAGCAAGAAATGAAAGAAAAGACATCCTAACGCACTTCCACAGCGTACTTCCCGCGTTTTCTGTTCAAATTTTGTAGTATTTTGCGCACTCGTTGAAGTCTTCGTTGGGTGATTGCCGTCCTTTCCACAACAATTCTTAAGATGGTGGGCGTGGGCCAGCTGGATGGGAACAAGGGTTTCCAGAACGCCGTGTCCAATCCCAAGGTCTACACCGTAATCAAGTTCTACGCGCCATGGTACGAGCTGCAATTGTTATTACATAAATAGTAACTTTATTTGCAAGTTGTCTTCTGGTCCACAGTTAACAGAACTTAATACTTCGATGGAGATGTCCCATTTCGAAATCTCTGCTTTCTTAAAGCTGCCTTTTCAGTGGTTTAAGTACAGTACGCTGTCTCTGTAAAAGTAGCTGCATGACCTTTGAAATGTGACTAGGTGTGTTCTTGCTAGCCGCTTAATGACTGACATGTGTTGCGGCGTGCAGGTGTGGAGCGTGCAAGATGATGGCGCCGCACTTCAATCGCATCGCCGGGGAGCTGCCGGCGGAGCAGTTCGCCTTCTACCGCATGGACGTGGAGAGCAACAAGGACGTGGCGCGTCAGCTCAACATCGAGATGCTGCCGACCTTTGTCGTCTATAAGGGCGGTCAGCTGTTGTACAAGCAGACTGGCACCGTCCACGACAAGCTGCGCCGCTCCCTCGTTGACCTCATGAACAACCGCCGCGTGTCGGTATCCTAGCACGACGGAGTGCAGCCATCCCCGGGGCACAGTCACCACTTCTCCAATACCAAGCACCATGCCGCGGTGCACTGCACTTTTCCCAATTGCAACCTTGCAGCCACTTTTATTTTTTAAATATGATTCTGTTTTTTGTATTTGAATTGTCTTCCTTTGTTCCTCTACTGTAGCCTCTGCCTCTGTTGTTTCTAGCCTCTGCGCGAAATCTGTACTGACTTTACAACGTGTGTGCAGAGTCAATAGATATAAACATCGTCCTCAATTTTGTGTATTTCCCCATGCAGCAGCCGACTTTCCCAAGTGTGCCGAGGACGAATGCCCATTAGACAAAAAGAGCAAGCAGCCATGTGCAGCAGAAGCTCCGATCTTGGGAGATGCGCGCAGCCTTGCGCTAAAAACTTCCACTGGCCAACCGAGCGAAAATACAAAACAGTCCGTAGTTTTTCCGGTGGAGTTATATGTTTTTATTTGGCTCAGTACGCTTTTTAAATAGCAACATTATATTATTACTACAGTAGTTTAGTAGTAAGTACTATTATGATAGCAACTGTAAAAGTTAATGCCAAAGATTGGCCTTTCCATTTACCAGCATTCGCTGTTTTTGTCTCTGTTTAGACAGTTTTCAAAACAAAACAAAACTACAGAAAACTAAAGCAAACAAGCGAAACTGTATAAACCAGCTTGAAAAATTTACGAATGTCTAATTAAACGCATAATTCTTTGCTTTTTTGGTGCAGTCAACAATGGCGAGAGCCAGAGCAAAGCAAGCGAAGACTTTCTGTGAGTAACAGCAATATTGCAACGGCAACTTCTAAGCTGCCACTAGTGGAGTGGGTTACACACCCGTACCACGATAAAACGAGGTTTGATGGTTCGTCGGTGACCCTCGGTGATGTTACGAGTTAGCGAATTACCCAAAAGTCAGTTATGCAATTGCAAACATGTTAACCGATACCGGCGCGATTGTCAAAGTGCACAAACATTTTTAATCAGCTGAAAAGTCATTGGGGATTGGGGAAGAGCAAGGGCAAGGGCAAGAGCAAGAATGATTTTAGAACATTCAGACAATCTCAGAAGTCTAGAAAATCCACGTTAGAACTGGTCATTTCGTACAAGTACACATTAATATATTCAGATGTTTCCGGTTGAACTAGCACCAATGAGATGTACATCTTCACTACAGATCTCATTTGTACGGCTACAATATGTTTCAACGGAAGTCGAATTTGAATTTCTTTGCACAGCGGAAGATGAGCTGCTTGAAAACCGCAATCGAACACGATTCTCAATTACATCATTTGTAATTTGTATCCACCGACAAGACGGATCTCCCGTACCCGGCCGGCCGTTGCCTATAGCCGAAAAATACTGACAAATTAAAGAGTGGCTAAGGCGGCATCCATAAATTACGTAACGCAAAAATTCGACATTTTGATACCCCCCCTCCCCCTTTGTCACCAGGGCTAACAAACTTAGATCCCCTCCCCTGAGCGCTACGTAACAAATTTAGAACCCCTCCATAGATATAGCATAGTGACGTCAGAATCGTAACAAGTTTTTAATACCCCCCTCCCCCTTTGTAACAACAGTAACGCTTTCAGGAGTCAGGACCTCCCCCAGCTTGCGTGACGTAATTTATGGATGCCGCCTAACGATAAATCTACAAATGTACATGTACGTACGTAGTGTGCTAATATCCGGTCCTTCGAACGCGTCACGCTGGCGGCAGGCGAGACTTACAAACGATACTTTTATCGATAAAACAAGAAAACCGGTTACAGCTAGATGGACTGAAATGGTTAACGAAAATGATTTATGCAGTAAGAGCAGTGTTATCCTAATTTAATTTTGATTTTTTTCTTTTTGCCCTGATCGAAGTGATGGTGTGTAGATAGGTAAGTAACTGAAAGGTGAATGTGCCAGTGCGTAATGTCATAACGCAATAATTATTATAATTACACTACATATATCGTACTGAGGTTAAGTGGCGATTGTTTAAAAGTCTTGAACGATAACAATCAATCATGCCGGTAGTTTCAAGAAGCACGCCAGGATGCATGGGAAATGCCATTACACAGTATTAAGAGCTTTGAAGTTTGAACCTTCGTTAACCGGATTGTGGTTTAATTTAACGATAGATAGCAAGCATTTTCGGGCAGTCGCGTGTGTTGCGGTTATCTTACAGTTGCAAATTCTGTTTATCTTTTTAATTTCTTAAGTCTCCCGTCCGTAGTATTCCTGCGGCTATTTTTATTGCTCTGTAAGTTTATCAGATAATAAAGGAAAATATTTTAACCGGAAGCGGTAGAATCGCGTAATAACGTTCTACGCGCAGTCGCAGTCAAAAATATACACAGGAACCAGAAAGAGCTCTTTAATATTTTCATCTCAGGCGATTGTCCAGCTGCGTTCAGTTAGAAGATGGCTCGGAGAAGCGGAGGAACGGTCCTAATTACGACAATACTGCATGCGATCATCCATATGCTGTTATCAACGTACGGAGCCACCAGCGAAGCGCAAGGGAACAACCAGGTGCATCTAACGTCGCGGGTAACGCTGCTTGGAGAGGCCTTCTATTCCCGCACCGATGTCCGCGTAATTGGGCACAGTTATTATGGAATCCGCTACGGAACCGCCAAACGGTTTGAGGTAAGCCGCACGGCTGCGTCGACCGTACGACGAACTTCGGCTTGTGCTGTCTTTTAATTTGTGCCTTGAAGTTCGTCCATCATTGAAAATGATACGAGTACTTATACGAGTACTTATACTAATACTGTGTTACATTCTTGCCCACAGCATGCGACAGAGAACACCGATTTCGCATACCTCCACTTGCGGCCGGCTAATATTAATGGTAATGGCAGCCGCAGCGGTGCGGTGTGTTTGCAAGCTACCGGCACCGGCATGATCGCCTCCAGCAACCATGGACCGGTCGTCATGGACGAGGACTGTCTCTTCTTGGATGTCCATGTGCCGGTACTAAGCGAGGACGCCGGGGAACTTCCGGTGATAATGTATATCCACGGCGGCGCACTGCAAGGCATGTACATTCGCTGCTAATTTATTGCAGTTATTCTTTTAACATTCTATCATTTCTATGTACAGACATACTTCAGTACATACTCGTGTATAAAGTATCGTATGGTGCGCATGGGTACTTCTGTTAGTACTAATTATAAGTCGAAGCAGGAATTTAGATGGATAAACGCTCATGAGCTCAGTGATTAGTGTTGCAGCTGGCGATAAGGACATCTTCAACGGATCAACTTTGTCAGCGGAAGTGCAGGCCATCGTGGTAGGTATTAGCTACCGCCTGACCGTCTTTGGTTGGCTGAGCACCGGAGACGCCGCTCTTCCCGGCAATTACGGTCTGGGAGACTGCAAACTGGCGCTAAAATGGGTGATCAAGCACATTCGGAAATTCGGTGGTGATCCGCGCCGTATCACCGTTGCCGGTCACAGCGCCGGATCAATGCTGACTTCCGCTCTATACATGGACCCAGATTACCGCGGTACTTGACTATTATAGTTACATACTCACAATCAGCTGCGCACACTAGTGACACACTGGCATTGGTCTAGTTATATGTTACAGGTTTGATGAAAGCGGCGATTTCGTTAAGCGGAAGCGTCCTTTTAGAGCGTATGCTCATTCGTCACCCGCGGACAGCGGTGTTGGATCTGGCAACAAAAACTGGCTGTCCGAATGGCACAAGCGAAGCGGCGGTAGAATGCCTGAAGAAGGCGTCGGCTGAGAAACTGCTGCGGCATTCCAAGCGGGTTGTTAAAGGCGATCCGGTAAAGCAATCCAACCGGAAGTGATGAAACTGTTATACAAGCAGTGTACATGTCCACTTTCCAGGATCTGGTACCCTATGGATTCGTCATCGATCAGAAACACTTCAAGAAGGCCCCACGCCAGGTTATAGCCGAGGAGCCGGCGGCATCGGGTGCCCAGCCGACTCTCGTAACCGGTTTCACGAAAGAGGACTTCTCTCTTCTGATTACCAGTATGCAAATCTACTTCACTGAGTGAATATTAATTAATCGGTAATATCAAACCGATCTTAGTCACCGATCCCGACTACATGGACCCCACAAAACCGCTAGAGTGGAAGAGCTTAAGAGAGAGCGTTGCGCGCTGGTACCTGCCACTGCAAGCCGACTGCGCTCTCTTGGATTATGAATTAGCGGAACGGGTGATGCAGTACTATAACATCAGCGAAACGGATGAACGTGCCGATATGCTGCTCAAGTACATTCATGTACGTAGGTTGTTGTCAAAACAAACACGAAAAGCCACAAAAAGTCGCCCTCGCGACATTTGTTCGAATTCGCCTGACAGTTGACCTCGGATGCTCTTTTCGGCTATCCTGCTGCTAAGGAGGCGTTTCTCTACGCGCAAAAGGGATTTCCGAGCCAGGTGTACGTTATGTCGCACAATCCGCATTTCAGTAATTTCGGTGAGTACGTTGTGTTGCAAAAGTATGTTTATTTCAAACGTTAATAAACTAATTATAAAACATATTACCAGGCGCGTTCCACGCTATGGAGCTCGGGTACATTTTTGGCGCGGAGGTCAACGCGAAAATGCTGAATTTGACGCTGCACGTGCCGGTGCAAAAGAGCATCTATCATATGCTGCGACAAGTTGTTCATAAAGGGTAGAAGTATAAAGTGTTACCCATATTATAATAATTATTCTTCGAAGCGTGTAATTTACCGCGAGCTCGCAACAAATCAAGTGGGCATGACCTTATAATGTTTACGCGCCGCATTGCAGGCGCACGGATGGGCCGCTGTTTGGCGAATTTGGGAAATACATCGATCTGAATCAGAATGGAACGTGGGAAGAGGGAACGGCGGATTTCAAAGGATTAGTGGCATTTTGGGATTCAGTTGTTACGAGTAACTGCCGCACGGCTAATCAATCCCACAACGAGCTTTGAAAAGCTTATCCCATTCCCTTAATTAACGTGTAGCGCATTAGATTGATTAAGTACTCCAGTAGTGCTTACCATACCTGTCTGTATATTAATTTTTAAAATTTCGACGAGGAATGAGTACTGTACCATACTATAATAATTATAAGAGTCGATATTACAGTACTGCACATCGGCATACGTCGGCGCGCATTGTCAATATTATGTACTGTACAATACGAGCATGCCATGGTACGAGTATCAGTTCTTTGTATATTTACTTAATTACGTGTGATTTTTTGTTTCTCACCAATGTTCATGTGAATAACCAGTTAAATACCGACTACGTATATTATATTATAATATATTTATTATATTGTATAGATATAGATAGGTATAATGCTAGAATAGTGTATGTCGCCAGTGCGTTTTTACTAACTTACGTGCGTTTTACTTTTTACTAACTTGTCAAAGTTAAAACTTTCTGACGCTTGCGGAAACGTGTTTTTTTTTCCGAAATTTTCTTTTGGCAGTTATAGTTACATTTGATGATAATTTTTCTTTTAAGAAAGGATAAAACGCCATACGCCTTGACCACGATTTTGTTAACGATCGGCTCGGCATGCCACTGCCGCTGTGTGAAAGTTCCGAAGTTGACTGGAACAGCTGACGAGCAGAGTGGCTGATTGTGAGAGTGCTTGTTGTACGGCATGTACAATGTACGACAAAAAGAGGTTGAACCGATCAGTCGGTCCGCGGTTCAAAATAACCTCGCAACGACACGCCACCACTAAAACTTGGACGCTAACTCACTACTTTCAGACGCTCGCGCTCCGTGAATATCGAAGTGCAGCTATAGTAGTTGCATATCAAAAGGTGCAGAAAAAAATTTTACACTTTTTGATACTAAACCTGTGGCTGTTTATGGCGAACAGCACAAATTCTAGCCATTTTGATTTCTCGTAGGCACAGCATAGTTCGAACCGCGGACCGACTGATCGGTTCAACCTCTTTTTGTCGTACATTGTACGCCGGTCTTGTAGGACGAATCACCACCGTACATACATGATGCAAGTGCAGTGTTTGCAAACTGAAGTTGCAGGGTATCGATCGAAGAAACGGCGCAAATCTCCCCAGGCCCGCCGTCAGGTAAAATCAGCGATTTTGCATACAAGGGTTTCCGCGATAAAACCTGCCAAATCATCTGTTGTAAGCCGGGGCTCGGTACTGTAATTATGTCCGTATCAGTCAGTGCGCCTCTTTTCCGCAGCCTTCTCCGACCTCTCCCCATCGCCACATTCCACCGATCCTTCGCCGCCCAGACTGCTCCTCGTTAGGTTTCCTTTCCCGTAGATTTTTCTGGGTGATTTTTTTATTTTTTCTTCTCTCTTATAAAGGTACCGCTGCATCCAAGATGGCTCAATTGAAGGTTGGTAAACAAAATTCGAGAGAAAATGCTGATCTTAGTCATCTTACGCTGCGGTAATTATTGTTCCCTGTGTACTGGCCATTAATAGACCGACAGCGGGTTACGGGGAAGTAATAGACGACGACATATTTGTCTGAACTGCCTCTCAGATTTTCCGAATTTTAGTTTTCTGATGTTGTTACCCCGCAGCATCCGAGTACTGGTGCACCGTTGTTTTCTGTAGGAGGGTGATCAACTGCCCGATGTGGAGGTGTTCGACGGCGATGTGAGCAAGAAGATCAATATGCGGGAGCTGTTCAAAGGGAAGAAGGGAATTTTGTTCGCCGTTCCCGGCGCTTTCACTCCTGGCTGCTCGGCTGTTAGTTTGCTTACTCGCGAATTCCATTTGGCAGGTGTCAGTATGGTTTTCGCTGCAGAAACACCTGCCCAGCTATGTCAAGAATATCGACAAAATCAAGGCGAAGGGCGCGGAAGTGATTGCTTGTCTGGCTGTCAACGATCCCTTCGTGTAAGTGTGAAATGAAATCCATAGACTCTTGTGACAGTCTTGTCCCATTGACAGCAGCTCACTTTTTTATTGCGAATTTGCTATCACTTGATATTCATCTAAGAAAAGGCTTGGTTATATGTAACTAGGTGCGCACGGATGGAATAACTGTTTTTAGTCGGCGAACATTGACGATAAGAATTTTGAAGTCATTAGAATTTGGATGAAAAGTTTTGCAAAAATAAATTTTTCTTTAGAGCATCCCATGGCAGATGCCGTGGTCCGTTTGGACAGAAGTGATCTGATTTTTACATATTTTAAGAGTGTAGAGTATTTTTATAAAACCTTAAGCAGTTGTTGTAGAAATGTTATTAAAATTAAATACTGAGATACAATTGTGGCAATGCGCGTTATATAAATGAGAATTTATGAAAGAAGTTATTGAAAGGAGATGTGTATTTTCTTGCGGAAAGATCCAGACATCTCTGGGCGGTTGAGGTTGAGACCGAGTGATTGTCGCTAATTCGGCTGTTTTTGCGTTGAAAAGTGTTTGTTGCAGGATGGACGCCTGGGGCAAGGAACACAAAGTCGGTTCCAACATCCACATGCTGGCTGATCCTGATGGCAAGTTCACCAAGGCCGTCGGACTGGAGTTGGCCGCCAATCCGGTGTTGGGAAATGCCCGCTCCAAGCGGTAAGAAAATGGAAGCGACTGCTCCTCTGTGGCATTTTGCTTGCTGTTTTTCGGCACCCCCGTTAAGCGTTGTGATTTAAGGAACAGTTTGACTCAGAGACTTGTTGTAACACTTTATTCCATGCGATATATAAATACAACGAGAAAATCTGTGCGGATATTAAGCAAGAAGCAAGAAAATTAGGAGTATCAGAAATTCCTTGCCAAATCGTTGTAGAAGAGTTTCTTGGTTACTAATCCTACTCTGCTATAACTCGTTTTCTTCGGAGCAGCTATTCGGCCATCGTGGAGGATGGTGTGGTGAAGAAGCTGAACGTGGAGCCGGACGGCACGGGAACTACCTGCAGCCTGGCGGATGCCATCGTCAATGACCTCTGAAGCGGCGCTTTCTTAATGGTGTGACAAGGGTTCTTTTTGATTTTTATTGTGTTTTCTTCGAAGGCTTCGGCATTTGATTTGGTTCTGGTGCGCAGGAAATTAATATTTTGCTGAGTGAAGTTAATTTATTTCTGTCGGCTTAGTTTTGCTTAATTGGTTGTAGCAGATTTCGTTCTGGGTCTCCGAATTCTGAAACATTTCAATAACACATTGGCTAAAAATTTAAAATGATCGCTGATTTGATCTTTGTTCATGTGACATTTTTTGAAGAGCAGCGGCAAGATCAAGGGAACAGCACCATGTGATTGCTTGTGTGTCTGTTAACGATCCGTTCGTGTATGTAAAAACTAAATGATCTCTGTTTGGTTGATTAGGTTGATTATCAAAGGTTTCTTTTGGTTTAGACTTGCAGTTTGCTCTCATTTGAACAGCTAGATATTTTTTAAGATGATAATTGTTTCCGAATTGGCGTTTTTCTGTTTTCAGAATTTCCAGTGAATTTGCAGTGAATTCTAGAATCAGTAGAATGAATGAATTTCACAATTTACAATAAATTTTTCCGCAAACCGGAAGAAATTAATGTTTAATTTTAGTTTACAGGGCAGTATTAATATTAGTTATAGCCTTATGGGGGTGGACAGTTTCGGTGATTCTAAGTTGATAGAAATGCCATTGGTACAACCAACAACTAATCGTACAACGAGAATGTTGCAACGTACCGGTATTTAGCACGTTTGTTTCCAAAACGCACCGGTTCCGTACGAGTTTTTATGTTATTAATTTTTGTGGCCGGCCGCGCATTTCTAGCAGATTCCGGTTATTAATCAGCATTCTTAATTTCTTACTGTCAGCTGAGCCGAGTGTGCCATGCGTCACACATACCTTATACAATTTCCACCTGATTGTGAGAGCGAATTCTGCCGGTTGGACTCATCGTTTCGCAGTATTTGTGAGCCGGCGTTCGGAAAAGTGCCAAGATTAGCTAAAATCAAAGCCACAAACTCGTTCAGCGGTAGCAGAGGGTTCAAACCAGGCCAAATGGGTTGCCATGACAACCGTGAACATCGCCAGCCATTTGTTCGGTGCTAATCAATAGCAATCGTCCTCGGCTGAAAAATGCGCTTTAGCAAAAATGATTAATTGTTCCGTTGAAATTATTCGCTCCGCCATGTTTACTGTCATTTCTTACGTGAGAAAACTTAATGGAATTTCCGTTAGTCTAGAGATGAATTTACTGAATTAGCAGACAGAAAAATTACTGAGCGTTTTGTGGCTTGCTAAGTAACTCAGTGGTATAAAATCACAAAATCCATAAACCAATATAAGCACTTCATAAAAAAGCCTTACTTAAAATTATGGAAAGCTGTGAAAGCTCCAGTAGCAATATGCGAAGCATTATTCCAAAAAATAAAGCACCGTTGGAAACAAAAAAATCCAGAAGGAAAAGGAAAGAACACGACATTCTGTCAATGTAATTCAAAAGCTATCGCAAGACGTCGAAAGTGAAAACTCCAGTACCAGTCTCAAAGGGTTAAATTTATTAACAGAATTATTAAAGGCATGATAATTTGTACATACTCGATAATGGGATTATCGGAACACCATAAAATGCATCCCAGATAGAAACAACAAAATAACAACCGAACACGATAGCCGAAACAAAACAAAGTACATGTGCACGTCAACACAAATAATACTAAAACAAAATACCATCAACAACGAGAGAGAAGAAACAAAAGCCAGTAAAAACCAACCGTCAAATACTATATTTAGCTAATAACGTCCCGCTCACTGTACACATCCACTCTTAGGCAATCCCTCGCGCACTTTCTTCCGCTGAAGCGCAAGCACGCCGTCCACTTTCCCGTTCCACTTTGGCCTGTCTGTGCGTATATTTTTCCCCTCCGCTCACCCTCGGAGCCGGTCAGCGGATATCCCGTGCCTCCATCATACTACCCAGAGTCTTCTTGACCCGCAGCGCCGTCAGCCGGGCCATGGGGTTCTCGTACCAGCACTCTCGCATCACCCGCGTCAGCAGCGACAGTGCCTCGTCCTCCGCCGTCTCAGCGTTCAGCCATGCCTCGATGCCGGGCCGCATGCGCTTCTCACACACTACGGCAGCCACCTCCTCCACGCTGGGTTCCGAGGGCAGCATGTCGAAGTACGGCAGCTGGTAGTCGTCCACTGAGTCCTGCTCCCGCGGACTGTACCGCCGGCAAATCTCCCAGAAGACCAGACCCATGGCGTACAGGTCCGCAGCCTTGAAGGCTTCAAAGTTCTTGGTATTAATGGCGTCGCTCAGGACTTCCGGCGCCAGATAGCGGTTCGTGCCCACCTGCAACCGATCCATGCTGCGTATTTGACTGGCCAAGCACGGTATTACGACTGTACTATTAATTTTGATTGCGTACATCGACGTTTTTCCCGTTTCGCACACTATCACAATTTGAATTCGCGTGCCGGACATCAGAGAAACGGCATCCTCTGCGTTACCCGGCATTAGAAAACTCGATACTTTTTTATTAATATCCTATACAATCTTGTATAAAAGCAATAATTATTAGTAATAATTACCACGTTATCAATTTCTAAAAACTTTTCGTCATAATTATGGAACAACCCGGAGAACACCGTGTCTCTGCCGTCCGGTGCAACGAATTCATATTATAAAAGTATTCGGAAAGCGAAAAAAGTCGTAGTTCAGGTTAAACACAAAGCAGCTCACCACTTCTTATTTAACTATTGAAACAGATACAGTACGAGTATAAATACCAAATTAAGGTTTTCTGCATGACCAACTGAAAACAAGCAGCATGGTACGTTTTATTAAGTCATGAAAAAGACTAAAATCTGTTCAATATTCGAACCAACAACTTTTCACTGGCTTTCGTAGTTCGTATTATGATGCATCTCGCATATGCTTATAAAAGTTAAGACACTGGTCTCCCTCGCGGGCAGTCGTTTTGCGAAACGTATGCCGTCAAAACAAAGGGCTCACACAGAAGCAAAAATCTCTACATATTTCTTCATGTACCTGCTTGATGCTGCCTCTGCGGTGGTATTTTAAAAAAAATTTAACTTAGAAGTATCCAATTACCTAACTCAAAATAAGTGGTTCATTGAGACAGTTTTTCCCCTTCAATAGATTATACTGAAACCAAATTTCATATCACTCTGAAACCAACTTCTGAAAGGTTCGATTTTCGATATTGCAAAACTATCTCTAAACTAATTCCGAATAACTATAGAGTCTAGCCCAAACATACCTTGTCGTTCGTTGGGATATCGATGAGTCCCGTGAGGGAATCAAAACGCACCGCCAGTCCCAAGTCGGCCAGCGCACATTGTCCATTGCGCTTAACGAGGACGTTCTTGCTCTTGATGTCGCGATGGGCAATGGCCGGTTTACCTTGGGTACCGACGATCTCCATGTGCAGATGGGCCAGTCCGTTCGCCAGCGAATAGGTCAGGCGCAGTAGCGCCGCGGCGTCCGCCACCCGGTTCTCCGACAGATAGTCGAAGAGGGAACCGCGCTCATGGTACTCGGTGATCAGCCACAGCTGCGTCAGCATCCCTGTGTCTTTGTTGTCCGAGGCGATAAAACCCAGGAGATTCTCATGGCGCAGCATCGTTGTGTTGTATATCTCGGTCTCCTACAAACATTATCATTTTAAATTAATATATCTTCGTACTTTTTCCTTACCCTACTTTCTGCTAAAAAATCAGTTAATTTCAAAATACGTATGAGTGCGCATAGCTTATTGTAGCAATTTCTGGGTAATCGTTGATTAGATTAACAGCGCCCATAACGACTACAATACTCTAATTGTAAGATTTACAATACCGTACTTGCAACACTTTTGTCTTGTATTATGAGTGTCCCATTATTTAGGCAATATTATTGCATCAACTGATAAGTGCTTGTGCTTGTATGTCTTTTCAAAAGATTTTTCTCCTTAATTTTGCTTATTTAGTCGAAAAACATGTTCGGGTAAAGCACGCAAAATGTGCCAATCATTTCTTGACACAACGGCCTCATCACGCAAATTAATGATACAGGATCGATCAAGTTTAGTGTTCTGCAGAAATCGTTGATTAGAGATGGTTTCACCAGCTTTTTAACTACAACCACTAGGGTACGTACTCAAGCCCCAACGCAATCAAATCGAAAACATGTAGCGCCTTTCAACAGCCATCGCGGTGCTCGGCCGACACAACCGCAAACGCAAGTAGCTCACAATCAGTTCCGTGCTCGCACTCCGATTAACGGCAAAGCATTCCAGCACGCAGAAAATTTCACACAAAAATTTAATAGTGATTAATGGATTGAAATTAATGGATGAACAACACGCCGGCCAAACCCACACCGCTTAATGAAGCGTCATTAAATGCCACTCCGCCAGTCAGGCTCGTGTGGTAGCACACTAGCACACCAACGCTGCCGGCGCTCATATCGCGCTGGCAGCCAACAGACAAAAACATTACATACTGATCCACCACTGATATGTCGTGGCACAGGGCACTGCACAGTGCACATGCCAAAACGACTGGATAAAAACTAATCGTTTCCCCCGGAAGAAGGACGTCAGCAGGCACTCTGTGACCCGCGCGATCAGCCTCTGTCAATTAAGGTCAAGCCGGGCACTGACAAGCAGCCAGACAGCACGCTCAATCTGCCTAATTAATCAGTCAATCGCCACCACGCACCCGAAACCGCTACAAATTAACACTCGCATTTTCGAAATTCAAAGAATCTTCGTTACAGTCCGCTGATTGCCGAACTTTTTCCTAATGGAAATATGCAAATTAAATAAAAACAATAAACCGCCTGCAAAACTGAAGCTAATCATGTCAGAAAATAAAGGAACAAGGGTTCAGAAAATTAATTCAATGAGAAAGCAGAAAGACCAATACTGCACTCGATCACCGTGCCGAAAATTAGAGGCACCTTACAAAAAAAAAGTTAATACGTTTTAAAAACTAAGGTATTCATTGCTAATACTGACCAAACGAAAATTACTAATTTGAAACAACATTTAGCACAACTGGCGTCAATTACAGGCTGGTGTGTGTAATTTGCGGTGCGCAAGGCGTTTTGAAATGCGCTGAAGCATGATAGTGCGTTTGGGGCGAGACAGCATCTCCAGCAGGCAGCTCACCCGGTGGGGAATGGGGTCTATAAAAAGCTGGCCGAGGAAATTAAATATCGATTTACAAATGCGCAAATCGATCATGAGTACGCTCGCCGGGGCCCAAACCGCACTGGCGTAGCTGCGGCGTTTTCCCAACCAAATTATCAATTAGTATATCCGTCACACCAACACACACATGCGGTCATCTTAATCACGCCATTATTTTTCCACAACAGTCAATTTATTATTATTGCTTTTCTTGGGCATACGGCATACCCACAATCCAGAGCTTACACAGCCCATACAAATAGTCGCATACCATGCCATGCATGCATGATACGAGTACGGAGTACCTAATGTAATGGCAGCGCATCTTACGGCTTTCCCGCCACTCAAAAATCACAACTGTCCTCAATCGTCCCTGTGCAGCTTGTCCGAACACCTGACCCACTTTCTACCCACTTATCAAATCTCAGCGTCGTGTTCCGCCCCAACGCCCAGACACTTTCCCATTTGGTTCGGTATTTGCAGCGATCAGCTCTCCACCAGCTATTGACAACCGCTCCCAAAACGCAAGCAATAGAAGTACGAGGAGGTAATAAAGGATAGACAGAAACGGCAATAAGGATAACCATTCACGTGTTGTGCAACACTGCCAGCCACCAAGTGAAGGCAGTTCGGTGACACAGTGCACAACAGCCGTTGAGACTACTGTCTCGAGCTGTTTCTCCGTAGACTTCTATGTTAAACTTAATTCGTCTTTGCACACATTTCAGAATTAATCCGCGCAATCGATAGCTCAAAAGAACAGGGACAATTTACAAGATTTTGATACCAAACTACTCGCCACTTATTAAAACTGAGGCAAGATTGAGCCATTTGAGTTTCTCGTAGACTAAGCATAGGAGTTGGATGGTTTGCTTCCACGGAGCTCCTATGCTTTGTCTATGGGAAACGTAATTTGGCTATAACTTGTCGTGTTTCTCATAGATCACGGCTTGCGTGGTATCGAAAATCTTGTTAATTATTTCTTGTTCTTTTAAGATATCAATTGCACGGTTTGATTCTGAAATGTCCAAGACGCTGGTGTTTGAATATAACACAGGATTCTACGAAGAAGGCAGCTCGGGTCTCAAAGCCTGAATTTTGTGTAATGCCGCTGGACTGCCTGCCCTTGGTGGCTGGCCGCGCTGCTCAACACGAAAATGGTTATCCCTTATTATTGCCGTTTTTTCTGTCTATCCCGTGTATTTACCCCCTCCTCGTATAATTCTAAGATGTATTCATTAATTCAACTTTAATACAAGCATCGGAGAAGTGCTTCAGGAACATCGCTGAGCGGCCAAGTCCAAACTGATTAAAATTACATACTCGTATCACAATTTGCTCAAGACGCCTTCGTTTTCCAAACAGGAAAACAAGCAAGCCAAACGAAATACAGTAATAAATTGCGGTAGTTTTAAACCTTCTGTGGAGCTACTGTCACAGTGTGATGCTGATTACGGCACAATCCAAAACCTTCAGCGAAATATTTTCCAACAGGACTGCATCTAGTATCGCTCAGTGCAGAATTTTTAAAGTTTAAAAATGGGTGTAATCAGAAAAATTGTATCAAAAGGTTTCACATAAATCCCTTGTGCACTTTGTTAGGCAAGTGGCGCACTTGACATGATCTGAATAGTGGCGTATTTTCTCCCGCACAGTCACTGCTCAAGTGTGACGAAAACGCTGCTGCATAAACATTCCAGCGCGTTCCCGCGATCCGATCGGATGAATCGGATCGGAGTGTCAAAGTAAAGCCAAACGGACTTTGATGCTGGAGGATTGCCCTAGGCCAGGCACATTTGGCCAAAAACAAACAACACTTGCCAAATGCCGGCCACACCATTCAGCTGGTGAGTAGCAGCAACAGCCGAAAGAATACACCTCGCACCATCTCCATCAGCATCTCTCACGTTTCCGCAGTCAACTCCTTAATGATCGGAGGGGGAAATTCCCGGGCTGACGTGCTCTTCTAACACTCGGCCCCTCATTTTCGTGTTCGTCACAAATACATCGATAAAATCTTTCTGATTAACTGATTTGCAGATCGGACCTGTGCCTAATTACACAACCACGTCATCTCAATCTGTGGAATGAATGTTTTGGGCCGTGAAGTTGATGTTAGCGATAGAGCAGTTATAACAGATCACCAACATACTCGTATTAACGAGTAAGGAATTAAATTAAATGTGTTAGTAAGAGCATGCGTATTGCGTACAGATATTACCGCCTACTGTTGTCACTTAATTAATGAAATTAATTTTCTGTTAATAATTCAGTTAACATAATTCAGTTAAGCAACACGGTGAAAATAATTTGAGGAGAAATATTGAACAAATCGGCAATAAAGGAAATCGAAACCCTTCAGTTCACACCTAAGTTCCTCGCCTAACCAACAGTTCTGAAGTTTATTTATTTAACAAAACCACAAAGATACCGGTATACAAACTCCGTCACTGACGATGCATCCCTAAGCCAATTAAGCTCAATGACGAAAAGCTACTAAACAAACAGAAAATCTTAACGACCTCAGCCGGCGCGAACAAAGGAAAACCACAAAAAGCTAACAGAAAATCTATTTGTTTATCGTTGTTGTTGACGGCACCAGAACGACAAAGTGCGCCCGCCAGGCACAAAACAGTAATGTGCTTTTAGGATAAGAACAACTGTATCCAAATACACGAGAGCTCCGGCTAATAACAATGGCATCAAAAGCCAGGCTATTTAAAAATACTTTTCTCCGCTCAGCATGACTGGCTAGCGCGTTAGTTAGCGAAGAACGACAAGACAAAAAACCTGTCAGCGGCACATGCCACCGATAATGCCGTACCGCCAATCAGATTGTCACGACTACATCAACCAGCCCAAATCCTCAATGCACCGTGAGTTTTTCAAACTGATAAGTCACCGCTCAAAAGCCAAAACTCCACGAAAAAGTGTACAGTACATTTACGTTTTAGTAACAACAACTAAGGAGTGCAGCTAGTCGAAGTAACATTCATCTTTCCGGTAGCGATTTATCAACTGCCGAATTTTTTTTTGCTCAACTAAGAGTACGTCTAGCTGGTTTCAACGCTAACCCTGCGTAACGTAAGTTCTATTTCCCCGATAAAGTGTGGACGTTTCTATTTCCGCTGCTTCGATAAATACGAGTATAGAGTAATCTTGAAAGAAAATAAAACAATTAAAGGAAAAAACCGTTTTCCGTGATTACGAAGGGAAAACATCCCCATACACCGTGATTTCTGGGGACCAACTGGAATTATGTATTATTTACTGAGCAGTGAGCGTATTATTTTCATCGATCGGCCCGAGCGAAACCCGAGCAAAGCACAACAGCCCGCAGATGACACAGTCACATATCACGGAATTAGCCTGCTAATCCGCCACATATGTACCGAACTACCGATCTCTTTGACAATCAGCTGCTTCAGCCAGGAACAGCGCGCTGTTTATTTGCACCGCGTACTACACAAATACTCACCCATCGATGTTTCGTCGCATGATAATACAGCTCGTTGTAACGTTGTTTTTCCTCGATACCATGCGGGATGCTCTTTCGCATCTCGCTCAGCCGGCGGTAAGTAATACTTTTCGAAAAATTATCATATAATCGAATATAAGCGAATCCGCAAACAGTACTAGTAACTCGCCGACATCGATAGCGGATAAACAAAGTTTACAATGCCCGGCAATTTTCCAAACCATCGAAAGCATCAAATTGTAACGAGGAATTTATAAAACAGTCGACTCATGTCATTTTAACTACTACTTTAGTACAAATTAAATCACAAGCAGAAATGCACGAAAAGGGAAAAACTGTGCAATTAAAGAACATATTTTCACAATAATGTGCAACTAAACGAAATCACGAAGTTTTCAAAACAGCGTCGTAAATAATACTATAACAGCATAACTTATGGTTAAATAACACATTAGGGATGGCTTACCCGACTCCACGATTTGTCGTCACGCGAGCTGAAGATCTTGACCGCCACCCTCTCTCCATGCCAGCTGCCCAACCACACCTCCCCAAAGCGCCCCTTCCCCACCGCCGTCGACAGGGTAATCTGGCGAGCCACTGTCCTCTGGCTCAGCAGCGGCAATCCCGATCCCGACCCGGAGAAGGCCAACTGGTCGCCCCCACTGGAGCCCCCCTCGATCAGCTTATCGCTCTCCCCCACGCGCTGGCCGCCCATGATCCTCCTCTTGCGGCGCCGTCGCTGGATGATGAAGAACGGCACCCCCACCGCCAGCAGCACCCCTACCACCGCGATGACGGCCACGGCAGCGATGAACACCGCGCGGGTGTCGGGGTTGTCGATCAGCGCCAGGGGCGTGGTAGTGTTAACGGGGCCGGGGGTAGGCTGATGGATCAAATGGTGGCGCGGATTGCAGAAATCCTCCTTACAGCACTTAACCGTGTTCAGGTGCGGTTTTACGTAATTGCCCTCGCAGAGGAAGGGCCGTTGGGGCGGCATGAGATTCTCCTCGTTGATGCAGCCCCAGTTGGTGTTGATCTGGTCGTTGCGGTCGGTGCGGGAGCGGGTGAAACAGCGTCCATTCCCCTCGGGTGTGCAGACGCCGCCTTCGCAGAAGTTGCAGTGGCAGCTTAGACTCAGGCATACTGGCAACCAACAGGATACGACAATCAGGCCAACAATAAGTCCCGACATTTTTGTGAATGAAACGCCAATGAGATTTCGTCAGAGTACTGCAAATCGCTGTGCTGAACTAACGGCTCGCTCTTTTCCAGAAATGATCACACACACACACTCTCTCAACAGTCAACACTATGAACCGTTTCTTGCATGCCACTGCGTGCGAAACACGGTCAACTCGCTCTTACTCGAGGCCAAACCTTGCAGTACATCGAGTACGCCAATCTTTCTGCCTCTTCTCTCTTTCTCTCTATCTGCTCGCTGAATGCGCACTTTCTCTCTGCACTGTGGGTCATGTGATGAACGAGTGCAAAAGCGAACACACACACCACACACACACACAAACTACTTTATCGATATTTTGCAGTTGTAGCGTAAGGGGCGGGTGTACGCGAAGCTTCCAGCTGACAACCAATGAATGCCTTGTGACGTAGCCACTGACGAAAACGTTAATGGAGGCTGAGATCACCAGCAGCTGTTGTTTCCACCTACCGTAGTACATACACGATACCGCCCGTGTATGTACTGATTGTACTACTCGCTACTCGCGCACACGCAGCTGCCGGCGGAAGTGGGTCAAATCGCTGTTTATCGCCGGTAGAAAACCGGAATTTGTTCGCCGATTGCGGGAACTTGTTGCAGGGTGCCACAATACTACTCATGTCAGTGTATCATACATAAACTGTTCTGTTTTACAATAGCTTTGCACATTGACACAGTCATACGTTTGTCGCTCGTACATACTCTTGATTTCGGTAAATTTCCTGCTTTTATGGATTATGGAATAATAACTACATGTTATTTTACAGATATGCTGTACCTGCATGCGTAACAAATACGAATATAGATATTACTCTATTACAGTCTTTCAGAATGGTTACCAGTGGTAACTTACCACCGGTGACCATTCTGATGGGTTATTGAAAACCGTTATACGCGCTGTTATTCCCGCTAATTACCGGCACCTGCGTTGGTGCCGGTACCACAGCAAATTACTGTATATATATGCAGTATTATATACATATACCATAAAGTTCAAAGCCGTTATTTTTATTATGAGTCGCTTAAATTTACTTTGAAGAGAATTCGATTTAATGCTTTTGTACAATGGAGAAGATATATCCATGCTTTGCTCCAGAGCCCTTTGTCAATCGTGATCGGAATGCCAAATAATACTATCCCAAATTTAAGATTTTCTTAAGTGTACTCGCACTACAGTTCACGGGTTTGCCCTCGCACAGCCCAAGCTGGATAATTATAATAATATATAGTCATTTACATTAAACGGCGCCAGCATTTCCTGTCATATTGTCCGTTCAAAATGGTACATCGGTACCCGTGAAACACGTCAGCTGTGTTCTTCACCACAATCCAAATTACCACCGCCATCTGGACGCACACCAACAACAGAGCGAAACGCATTAATTTTACGGAAGACGTACGACTATTATGTTCGTTCTCTACAAATTTCCGGTCTGGGATACTATTACTTATCATCGCGCGCGCAAGCACGTAATGAATACGTGTGCACACTGCACACTAACAAGACTTACCATTAGTGCACCTTACAAAACAGGATTTGCAATCTATAGAGACACAAGTAAGTACTGTACGTCTATGTAAACTTACCATTAGAACTATACCAGTATAAAACGTAACTATACCGGTACACTAGCGGTGGTTGCGAACCACATTATTGCACGAGCGCGAGCGCCAATACCATTGGGAAATTTTATTGGGATTGTGGAATTGGAAAAGCGTGACGTACGCTCTTCTTTGGCGTCAGACAAATTTTATGCTCTTGACGAAGACTTACTGCAGCACCTCGCGCTTCGCGCTCGGTGCAAATTACGTACGTACATGTCACATGGATCAGATGGCACCGACCGGGAAATGGCCGTATCAAAGCAATGACGTCCGCGGGCTGGTGCACTAAAACCTTCTAACAAAACTACTCGTACATGCAGTTAACATTGGTTTCGCAAGCCGATGAGACAACGAACACCGCACTGGAAAAAGTTTCGGTCTAGTTCAATGACAACAGCTTGGCGCTGCAAATCGATCAAAACATACGCGGCATTTTTCGTATGCACCAAAAAAAAATAAAGAAAGTGACCGGTAGTGACCAGTGCTGTCAAATGGCCAGCCTTTTAGCCATGAGTTGCATGGAAGACACCTGGGACTGGAAATCGATTAACAATCACAACGGGATAAACAGTTCAAGATCGTATCTAGAAGGTAAAACGATACATCCATGCATTAAGGTACTTACCAAAGGATCGAGCAACAAATCCGGGCCCAACATCCCTCAGCGAACCACTATTCAACATCACACCTTCACTGTGCCGCACTCGCAAATTACTGTGCATTAGCTTGGTCGAAAGTGTCTTGGGAACTTGGTCACAGCTAGCTAGGCTTTAAGGATCATCAGCGAGCCAGGGATATAGTTGCCGGATAACACCGATCGCAACTGCCGAAGCGCTGGTCAGTGGTAATCAAGCCGGCGACCGAACGATGACGTTACAAGAAAGCGGTTCGCGGCTGTGTGTTGCTCTCTTCTGTGCCGTCGTGCTGGTGTTCATGGGAGATGTGATCTTTGCGGGGGAATACAGAACGTTAAAATGCGAGTAAAACAACTGCTTCATAAATTAAAATACTCGTAGTAGGAGATTCGTCTGAAGCATTAGGGGCCCGACTAGCGAATACCTCTGAGTTTGTCAGGTAACTCTTGTCTGAAAAATATATTTTTAAAAAATGGGCAAATATCTGGGTCTGTTTTAATATTGCACAGCAACGGCTACCATTAGTACGCAAGGATAACTAACAAACGCACGAAAACGCCATCAAAAGCATTTAATTAGCTAAATAAAATTCAATCAGTTATTCAGAGAGTATTTAGGAAGTGAGAAAAAACATGCGGGAACGTTAAACGTGTGCATTACTTGTTTAAATTTGATTACAATGCTTAAATGTAGCAGAGTGAGATAAATTAAGCTGCCGGCTGCTGCTCGTTGACGATGTGTCCATAATAGGTACTCATGGGAATGTGTTTCGCCTTCACCGTCATAGTCCACACCAGCGGTTTGTCGGTCTCGATGACCACCCGTTCGGCCACCACCTCGTTGCTAGTGCTGACCATTTCCCCCGAACTGAACCACCTGGTTGTGCAAGTTCCACCACAGTCCCTCGGTGGTCACCGTGGCCGACCCGTCCAGCGGGATCAGGCCACAATGCGCTCCGGGCTGCACCCGCAACTCCCAACGTCCGGGCTTCCCAGAACGACCTGCAGGTCGTTGCCGGAAGTAAGGATAACGGGAATACTGGTCAGCTTTTGCACCTGGTACAGGGTGTTGATCCCGCCCATGAGGTGATCGAACCGCCCGGCCTCGTTGCTGAAGGCCACGATGGCGTCCACCGTTGGGGCGGCGCCGGTCTGGATGTCTTTGAGAAGCAGGCGCAGGACATGGGAGAAGGCCGTCTCGTGAAGGTGGCGGGTGTAATCGATAGTGATGTCCTTCTGGGATTGATAGAAGGCCAAAACGTCCGGCCGGATGGAGTCGTGAACGTGACCGGAAATGATGGTCGGATGCCGCGTGCCCAGGTTGAAGTGCTTGCAGCAATCATGAAAGAAGTTGGCGCCCCCGTTGGCGGCAGCGCGGCAAACGGATTTGAAGAGGAGCGTGGTAAGGAGCGGGTGCTGTTTAGGGACGACGTCGGAGTCGTAGACGGTGTTCAACACCACCAAGGCTAGTTTCTGGGGGCCGTATAGATCAAGATAGTCGGATACGGGGATCACGTGGTATATTCTGTCGCTCGAACCCGCACGCAGCGGCGGTGTTGGCGTAGAAACAGCGCGATCATCTTCTACGGCAGTTGGAGGCACCGGGGATTCAGTTGTGACCTTTGGCGGTGTCGGGGAATCGTCGGAAATAGGTGGTGTGGGAGACTCGCTGACACTTACCGGCTTTTTACTGCGCTTGAACAATTTCAGTCCCATTTTAAATGTCAGCTATATAAATGCTAGAAGTACTACCCTAGTGAACAAAAATGAGAATATAATTTTTATCAACCGGAAAATGTCAACTGACGCCTCTATACACAGCCGGCAAACGTTTTTAAGAGAAATGTATGGCTACGCTACTCATGCATGACGCGTCGGTAGACTATCCTGTCATTCCCAAACCAATCCCATTATGAGTGACTACATTAAAGTGCTACCCGAAAAAAATGTTCAAGCTAGGTTGGCTAAACGATGAGTCACCATTGCCGACTCTGCCTGCACAATGACTCACTACTATCTGGTGGCGCGAGCTGTTTGTTGTACACTTACAGTACATACGAGTATTGTAACACGGCAGAATTCCTGGGATTTCACAGCCAGATCCACATCATAATTCATAATCAGTTGTTAGTGTTTATACAGCAATCAGTTGTTACAGCAATCACATGCTTTATGTACAATTACTTTAAAGAGACAGGATATATGGCTGTACTAAGTACTAATAAATTACGTAAATAAAGGGAACTACAGTTTGATAGATAAATAAATATAGTATTAAAAAAGTGATAAGTAAATATGGTTATTCCTGGTTATTTCTCGTTTGTAATAATTTAATATTACAATGCTATAAAAATCACTTCATCGACAAAATAATGTGATGTTCCACAGTTTGCGTTTTTCGATGTACCTGGACATTCCTGGCAAGGTTCGGTGGCTAGACTACAGTATGTATACAAATACATAACAGTGTTTTTGTCAAAAGCCGATCAAGTTCTCAGTTGCTCCCGTCAGTCCGAGAGTGGCTGACGTACAGTACTTTTCCGTTGAATTGCCAGCAGGCACCGTCAGAGGAACCCTGAGTTGAACGTGCCCGTGCAAAAATATAACGGTCTTCGAGCTAAACATTTGGAATTGGAATTCTTCTCGTCCGCTTTGGATCGAGTGTGGTCGACTGATTATCATTCGGCTCCTCTTACCTTATACGTCCGCGGTCACGTGTGTAATAACTGTCACGGCAAAAAAGCATGCGCGATTTCGCGTATGCGGCACACCAAACAGATGACGAGGCAGCAGGCAGCGCCTTCGAAATATTGCATGTGATGGGTGGCCTTTCGTTTTAACAATTTCGCCATTCCTTTCGGTAGCTACGTTGTATAGAATATAAATAGATAAGTATCTTTTGCGAAACGTATAACGAAATGTAGTGGAAAAAAATGCTCACTGATTTTCCCGTTCAGTTGCAGCGGCAGGTTTCCCCTCTATCTACTATATATACCGTGGTTTTGCTACAGTTAAATCTTCCGGTTACTTCAGAGGAAATTATGCGGCCACGCATGAATCCGGACCACAAGGTCATGACACCTTACCACCCAGGTCGTCCATCCTTCCGATGGCCGAATTACTTTACCGCTGACTGCCGACGACGTTAAGATACAATGCACCTATCAGCGAATCGAGCATAGAACTAAGGCAGCCAAAGCGCGAACTGTTTCTTCCCGGTAGCGTCATGAGAGTCACTGTGAAGGCTGTGTTTCCCGCCCGTGCACGAGGTGTCAGGGCGATGGCAGCAAAGCGAAACCAGCGGACTGGCCGCGTACCCAACATTAAATTAAAGCAGGGTGACGGATTGCCGATCAACAGATATCTACAGAACGCTGGCTGGTCCTTTCCTGGATTGGTACAGCCAGGTGTTGGTTGTGCCGGCGACGGAGACATCGGTATGGTACGAAGTCTTGCGGCCAGTTGTTCGCGCTCCGGGTTTGGAGACCAGTATTTTGGAACCGGATGTGCTTGCAAGCATTCCGACCGATTCAACATCCTGGTGGTGCGTGATCTTAGCCTACATGGTTCGCATTCACAGTATACAAGCAACGTGTTGCTGTTAGAAACGAGTACTATATCCCAAGCTGTTCTGTCGGGGTATAGCGCGTCGAAATGGGAGTAATGCAAGGAACTTGCAGTAAGTCTCTCGTGCATGAGCTTCGATGTCGCCCCATCTCACCACCAGGAATACACCTGAACACTGCCTTCCGTAATTGCGCCTTGTGAAGGCAGTGGTGGTACAGCTTTTTTCGTTAGAATTTAATGAAACGGTTAACGAATGAATAGAACAAATTTTCAAATTAACCGGTAAGCTGCTTGCACGTGAGAAACGAAATTAATTTTGAGCACATGTTTCTCCCGCTGGAGTAACATTTTTATAATTTCATTTAGTTTAAAGGTTACTTCGATGCTTCCCCTTACATTAATAAACTAAGCAAAAAAATTTCTTGTCAAGTGAGACTGCCGCAAGGGTGATTAATGAATATCCAAAGTTATCAAGCCATGAATACAATGTAAGTTTTTACGCAATACAGTAATGATGCCACTTTGTACGTATTGTACACATGGACGGTATGGTTATCGGATAGGCACATCAGCAAGGTTGACAGGATAGACTGTACCGTACAAACAAAATTGTATAAAGAAGAACAGTTATACTGTAATATAAATGTAATTTCTATCAGAGAAGCAGCGATTAAATGCGTGCTTGAAATGCGACTGCGTTGAAATGAAGAAGAGCAGTCCGTTGGTCATCATTATTTTCTAATGCAAATTTTCCAATGGATCACCGAGCAGACTGTGCACAAACGAAAAACAACAGCTTAGTCGAGGTCATAGTCGTGCTCGTATTCAAAGACGAGGCCCTGCAATCCCGGTCGCTGTTTGAAATTGCGGCTGATCCATTCGTCCACTTTGCGATTCATTTCCGGTGTAAAATGCTGTTTCCAGTTGCCCACTTGCCCTGCAATGCTCATATCAGTTCATTGTGCGGTATATTTTTTACCGCCATTTGTCACGTATTGAGTGCTCATCGGTCAGCTATCCAGGTCTATACTGTATACAGGTGCAAACTACTGTATCACTTATATTTATATGTAGATTTAAAATATGGTGACTATAGAAGTATGCGTAATTTATTCCGTATGAACAATTATTCCGTAATTCATTCCGTATGAACAATAATATTCCGAATGGACAAATACGGTGCGCACATACCGGTGCGCATAAAACGGGCGATGCGTCCGTTGATAATGCCGATGTTTTCCAGTTCAGCCAGGTTGGCCAATGGATTTCTCTCTTCATGGCGTTGAATTCACTCTGTGTCACGATGTTGTCAATCTGGGCATTGGTTAGGTCTTTGTCCAAAAAATTTACTAATTCTTTGGATTGTCGTCTTTGGTTTCTGCAGTTAATAAAGACCGTTGGGTTGGTTATTGCATAGCTCATTGTAAACGAACTATGCAGGCAATACGTGAATATATAGTTATAAGAGATTCTTGAAAATCAATTCCCTTTACCAATTAGATGTTAGCTTACCTCAAGGAAACATCATCTCACCTCAAGCATTTCACGTGACTAAGAATATGTAATTAAAATGGCACAATAATTATGTCTTACTCGCCTTAATGAGTTCCTCGTAACTGGTAATGAAGACGTTGGGCTGATGGCGGAGCTTCCAGAATCCTTCGAGATGCTCGAAGAAAGGCGCATTCATGCAATGATCGCGAATGACATCGTCCACGACCTGTTCCAAAGTCCCGCTAAATCCGAACCAGATGGAGGCCTTCATGAAGAAGTACAGCGAGACGATGGTGTCTTTGGGGTTGCGGTAGATGTACACTATCTGTCATTAACCAAGGTCAAACCATTGGCATTAGTCCCTTCAGCAACACCGAAAGACATACGCGCAAATACTAGGCATTACCTTGGCGGTGTCAATGACCTTTTTGGGAGTTGCGGCGGCGTTAAGGTGTGTGACGTAGGCACGCGGGGTGTCGGTGGGTTGCGCGGCCAGGAAGTCCAGCGCCTTCATCTCCTGCTCCAGTTCGTCGCCGTATGGAATGGTCATCTCGATATAGGGCACTTTGAACTTCAGCGGCGGTCCAGTCAGGATACTGGCCGAGTCACCGTCCTGCAGGATCATATGCACGATCGCTGACAGCCAGGTTGTACCTATTTGGGCAAAAAATGATGCTCATATGCTTATTCAATGATATTCAATATTCATTGTATTCATACTTCTAGTGATATTCAGTCATATTTATCGTATTATCGTTGCGGTATTATCAAATTTACCAGCTTTTGATTACACTGTTCAGTATTTCTTGGTCGCTGTTTTAGCGTTCATTTGGTTCGCTTGTGGAAGCACATGCCCAAAATGCGAAAGTATCTTATTTGCTTTAAAAACTGTTTAAGCAAAGAAAACTAAGGAATAGGAGGAACAATTAAGAGCTTGTTTACCATAACAAAACGACAACGATCACTAATACAGGTTGTTGTTAGGAAATTTCCCACAAAATTACATGGCTGCACAATCGTCTCTCTGATAGTGCAGCAATGCCATACCGGTTTTGGGGAAGGCCGCAACGCAGACATCTGTCGGTCTCGCCTGGAAAGAGTCCAGCTGGTCCAGATTGAGATAGAAGGGATAGTTGACCTTGCATCCTTTGTAATCCACTCTGCAAGCCACCGAATACGGAATCACATATACGTTACGGAATCAATACTAAAGTTCGGCGTTTACAGATAATCGGGATCGGCGTAGACCTTTGGGCGGCTTGACATTGCGCAGGAAGGTCAGCGTCTTGTGGAGATCGGTGATGCTGGAGAAGAAAGGATCGGCGGTGTAGGTGGTCATAGTGTTATGCTGGATAGATAAGAAGGTACTCCCAAAGGATTAGAAAAGTTGTATGTAGCAGACACTGATTCCGCCAGATGCACCGCACCGCAAGTAATTTGGTTCGCCCCACACTCAGCCTAACTGATCATAAGCCAACTGCAGTTAACTACGCGCGGCAACTAACTATCGTCTGCGGCAGTGTTAGCCTAAAGGCGTTTGATCCGCTTTTTCATAATATCACTTTGCGCTTTTGTAGTTTTCTGCTGACTTTTTGTGCCGGCAGCATCTTTCTTCGCTTTACTTTTAACATTTTTTTATCTGATCACTCCTTGGCTACTGCAGTTTTTTTGCACCGATTGGTAGGGCATCTCTTCCTGAAGAGTAATGCACAGGTGTAACATACTGCCTCTACGGCTGCTTACAGCGAGCTGTTTGTACGGATTTTCGAACTAAAAAGCCATGGCAGTTTTTTCGCAGGCAGTTTATTTATACAACAAACAATTCAATTTGCTAACTGGGACTATTTGCCGTCAGACTATTCTCGCGGGTTAACTCTGCAACCGCGACATTTAACGCAGCCGACATGGTGCACTTCAATACGAATAGACGGAATAGTTATACCGTACACTCGCAAAGACAATGACCACGCTGATGTACGCGTACTGTACGATACTTGATTAACAGATACGGCCAAGCAGCTAACTAACAAAAATGGCTAACTTGGATGCAGCAAAATCACTAAGCAGCTGCAACAAAAAAAGACTAATGCGCAAATGAGTTTATTTCCTGGAGATCTAGAAATTTTTGCACGGCGTAAATTATGGAGTGCGAGCAGCTTATCAGGCGCAAATGTAAGGGATTTTAATGCTACCGCCCTAAGATGTGGTAAAGTAGTTACGTACATAAAATTAAAAACTTGATAAAGAATTTGACACTCCACGCCGCATGTTCGGATTCAGATAGAGCATACTGCATTACAGTGCTCGTTAGTCGTTAGTACGCAATAACGCATACAGCTCCCAGTGCGTTATAGCAAGGAACGATTACCTTTCTTGTGTGGTGACTGCCAAGCATCCGCCCCATCGCCAGCAGATAGGTATTGATGTTGCTGGCAGCTGGCTTGCGACGACGAGATGCCGGGCTGTTGAAGAGATTACGACGTACAGGGTAGTCTTATTCTAGCAACCGCATGCTTAATTTAGAGATAAATAAATATTCCAGAATCCTGACAAGCTCTGTCGACGTTCTTTTTCGAATTATCTGTATATGTCAAGGTCCTTTTCTGTCTACGTATTCTGGATGTCTGTTGCATGGAATATGAGTTCAAAGCAAAATTTAATAATCTCTTATTAAATACAAATTACAGATGCGAGTATTTGAATAATTATTGCTGTTAAACAATCTTAAAGCGATCCATTAAATACTGTACTCGTTAAGCAGGCATCTGGACCTTACTGTACGTGACAAGGTTAGTTTTGGGGCATGGGACACCTGGGTGGGGCACAACTAACAGCCTGCTCTAGTACTATTCTTGTAACCTGTGCTGTACTCAATGCGCTTGACTGATCAACCTGTACATTTACTGACTACTGCGTAATAATATTGTGTTTACAGCGTTCTTTTGATTAGTTTTGTAATAAATGACGCACCTGATATACTGAAGCAGTTCCTTTATTTGTTTTTGTTGGGCCAGTTGTGACCTCCTGTACTATCGCTGCAAATCTTACTGCCGACCATGGAATCGATCGTTTCTCGTCTACAGCAGATCAAAGACACAGACCCTCCGAAATACTCCCGTCTGTGTCACCGCCTCATGCAGCCACGCCTGCATCCGCCCCCGCGCTTCTCTCCACTGAAAGGTCATGGCCAGACAGCTGCCTTCTTTCAAACGCTGCAGACCTTCGACATTTCCAATCGCCACTTCTGGATGGATATTGCCCGCTCCTGGGAGCAGCGTCCAGATGAGGAGCCCCCACCAGGAGCAAATGCTTCCCACATATCCCGCCCCAGTTTTTCGCTTTTAAAGGATCTGGTGACCGCGCCCCGGCCCGATGACGTCTTCGCACGATTGTGTATGTTCAACCATCCCTGGAAGATCTTGAGAGTGATACTACAGAATAAAACTCCGCGCAATGTTCTTTTTCTTTTACGGAAAAAGTTCGGACTGACCTTCCCGGATTTTTTAAGGCTGAAGTCTGAGGGGAATTTGCAAGGGCTGACTGCCTTTAAAAAAAACCAAGAAGCTCTTGATGAGCTGCAGAATTCGTTAGAAGTTGCTGGCACCTTTGTCACTACTACTAGTCACGAAAATATTGGTGACCTTTCCCAGGAAATTTTGGAAACCCCTAAGCGCCATCCACGCCGTAGTTCTATCGTGGAAACCATACTGTTCCCCGATGACGTTCCACAGCCAGAGCAAACTCCACAGACTTTCCACAGCTCGATGGTGAGCGAACAACAAGAAGACCCGGCTGTTCGTCTGGCCAAAGAACGCCTGGAGCGTTTACGCGTCATCTTCGAGGAATCCGACATGGACGACGAGCCTGGACTGGATATCGGCGAATTCAAACTGGCGATGCGGCGTATCAGCGGCGACGCTATGACGGAGCGGGAGATAGCGTTGGTTTTTATGAAGGTGGATGCCAACTGCGACGGGAATGTCGACTGGAACGAGTTTCTGGACTACACGCTGCGGGAGTATCAGGAGCAGGACGCCATGTCTCAGGTGGCACGGGAGATGTATTTGGAGCCAGCGGCCGTGGTAAAATACCAAGGGACAAAACAGATCAAAGCGGTGGTGTGGTCCCCGCAGGCGGCTGCCGCTTCCGAGAGTACCATCGACTGGGTGAGTGGGCGCTACTATTCCGTGACTGCAGAGGGTATCGTCCAGTGTTGGACTCTGGATTTAGCTCCCAATGGTGATCCGATGTACCTCATCCCAGAGTTCCGTTCGGCTGGCTGCCACGAAAAGGTCACCGATATGGTGTGCATCCCTGAGATCCGTGCCCTGGGTATCGGGTTCGCTACGGGGCTGATTAAGCTGTATTACTACGATGAAGCGCGATTGGAAAGGGTCTGCACCATCTACGGCATGCCGGCACCTCCAGAGTGCATGCACTATGTCTTCCGCGAATATCTCGGGATTCTGTTTTTCGCGGACGCTGTCGGAGGGTTGTTTGCTGTAAAATTTCCAAATTTGTTTTACGATGGGTTTTGGACGTCAGCCGGGGTTAGTCAACGTTCGAGCAACCTGGTTGCTTGGGCGGACCTTCGGAAAGCCGGGAAATGCATGGAGATAAACCGGGTTACAGTGGCCGCTCAGAATCCAGTGCTGCAGATCCGATTCTGCCTGGATATAAACGCGGTAACAGAAGTCTGAAAGCAATCTTGTAACGGTTCACATAATTAATTGGCACGTTTAAAGCGGATGTTCTGTAGACAGGTCATTGTTGCCACCAACGAACCGGTGCATTCGCTAATCCTCTTCCCGGTGCAGTCGCACCGACCACCCCTATACATCGCTAATGCTCCCAACGGATTCAACTGCTTTGACTACCAGCCGGCCGTCCACCTCATTGCCACTGGTTCCTCCGATCGATCGCTTAAATTGTGGCAGCCAGATAAACTGACCACGCCCACTGCAACCTTTGCCGTCCACACCGCCAGTGTGGACCAGGTACGGATTGTCCATGAAGCGCACTTTGTCGCCGTGGTGACAGTCGATGCGCTCCGTACCATCCGGGTTTTCAATGTGCGAGAGAACGCCTTGTGGCAGGAGATCCCCAGCCCGGTGGGGAACTTCAGAAAGGTTATGATCGGGACGTTGTTTTATAACCCCGTAGGGAGGCACTTTGTTTATGGTGGATGTGAGCTGTTGACCATAGAGCGGTTGGTGCACCGCCGGCAGCGGGACATCTTAGTGAAGACGCACGACCTCCCAGTGGTTGCGGCGCTTTACAATGACCTTTTTGACTGCGTGGTCACTGGATGTGAAGGGTCGACAATAATGGTGTGGAACTTCCAGAACGGTCACAAGATAATTCATTTTGCGAACGCTCATGTAGAGGACGGGATTATGGGGACCCAGCCGGTACCCATACGCAACATGACCTTCGACAGCAATCAACGACGCTTGCTAACGGTGGGAGAGGATGGGCTGACCAAAATGTGGAATTTCAATAACGGAGCCTGTCTGTCGACATTCGATCAGGGTGCGGGAAAACCGCTCAGTGCGGTGCAGTATCACCGGAACCGGGATTTAGTGGTCGCCGGAGGGTGTGGCCAACGAGTAGTAATGGTTCGAGACACGCGAGGAGACGATGACGTTGAAGCAACAGAGTATAAATTCCCGGTAATCCATCGAACAGATATCACAGATATCAGAATAAGATACAAGAAAACACTGCAAACGACATCCGATGAATCTATATCCATGTCTGGGAGTTCTTCCCTCGATTCTAAGTTGGCGGACGACGAATCGCAATTAATTTCTGTCAGCTTTGATGGAGAAATAGTCGTCTGGGACGTGTTCACCGGCACACCGCTGCGATTTTTGAACACAGACGGCTCCATCACTGCGTTTACGCCTTCCGAACGGAATCTGCATGTTTCCCCATACATCCTCGGCGTGCCCCACATTCCCCGTCTTCAACCGGAATCGTCTAGTATTTCTGATTTTCTACAGTTTATCCACTCGCCCCTCAAAGTGCGGAAGATCAACAGACGGAGCGTCCGAGACGATATTCCAGTAGATTTCAACACCGGAGAAAAGACCCCCTCGCTGGCCGCCGCCTCGGGGGAAGCTGTATCTTGCATGATCCATCTGAGCGCGCGGAGCACCCATCCCAAAACGGCTACGATCCTAACCGCGTCACTGGACGGGTTCATCCGCGGCTGGTCAGACCGGGGACTGTGTGCGGTGTTCCACGGCGGGAAGACCGCTCATCACTACATCCGCTGCATGACTACCGACCCTGAAAATGAGCTCCTTTTCACCGGGGACAACGCCGGATACATGACGGTTTACTTACTGTGCGACTGGGCCAACGGTGACCTTTCCGACCATCACCACAACTTCGATCCGCGTCCGTTTCCGGCCATTCGCCAATATAAGACTTTCGCGCCCATTTTGGCGCACCTACGCAATCGGCTAATGCAAGAAGTCCTTCCAAAACTGGACAGCCGCCACCGAGCGTACTTCTCCATGCCGATCATCCTCAACGTCTACCGAGCACATCTGTCGGCAATTCAGCACATCACAGTGATTCCGCAGCGACAGGTGGTGATTACGTCATCCAGAGATTGCTCCGTCCGTCTATGGACGTTCGGAGGACTGTATATAGGGACACTGGGACAGTCGGAACCCCTGTTCATTGACATCAGTACGGATGTACCGCCGGTACCACATTATAATTTCACCAGTGCCCAAAACCAGGACGAACACGCGGTGTTTGAAGAAATCTTTGCTGAGGACACCATGGACGAAATCATTCTGAAACCTCGAGCCATCGTGCCACAAGATCTTGCCGAAAGAGCATCCGCCCTGACGCTTCAGGTCATTCAGGACATGAAAAATTCCGATCTACCACAACCACAAGTGCAGAAATCAGAAGAAACCAACAGAATGGTCACTGTACCGAAGGATGGTAATGAGGATCCAGAACCGTTTCCGGTTGAAGACGATTTAGCGGTATATCGGAATTTCACCGTAAAATCGCTAGAAAATCTCGGGAATCTAGAAAACCTCGTCCCGGAGTGTATTTACAATTATAACGTAGAGAAAGTCCAGAATGACTTTATCGACCGCCTGGCTCTTTGGCAGCGACCGGAATTTCTCAAGGCCCAACGGGAGGGAACGCTTCACGGGGATAAAATGCGCGAACTGGTCCGCGTTGTCCATGCTCGCCACATGCAACACATTGCGAAGAAGTCTCGCTTCGACGTGGGACACGTGAAAAAGACCTTGGCTCGAATGGGCTCGACGGGCCGCCAGACGCTAGTGGACTTTCTCCTGGAGCCGGATGCTTCTGAGTTTGTGGGGACGCTGTTGACTATGCAGTCTTCGTCGACAGAGGTGGTCAGCCAGGAGGAGCGGCGAACCACCACCGCGGTGCCAGTAGTTTCGGGGAATATGGAGATGCTGACGGACATCCAGGCGGTGGAAAAGACAGCTCGAAGAAAGAAACGGCCGGTCCAGCCGGTGGAACTGGTCTTGACGGCGAACAAGGAGGAAACCAGACGCCTAAAGGAGAATTCCACCTGGATGAATTCGAGAAGCGGGAAGATAATGTACTGAAAGAGCTCGAGGTGGCCTGTCCGATGTCGGACGAACAAATCTTATGTGAAGGTCGACCGTTTCCGGAGGGGGTCAAAGTAATGGCAGCTTTGGATAATGATGCGGATAGTGGGGAAGAAGATGTCCCTCGAAAATTCAAAGTAACTGCATTTCCGCCGCGGGCAGTTCACCGGGCACCGATGTCTAAAAGCAAGTTCATCGCACAGAGTTTTCACCAGAAAGATAATACGGCGCACCAGAAAGTTTCTCCGGTTTTTGAGGAGCGTACCGTCAAAGACGAACATTACGCGAAAATCTTGAATATACTGTCGCGACCGGTACTAAAATATTGATAATTTTGTTTTTTTTATGCACGGTTACTGTATACGTAACTGTAGAATATACTGCCGAGTGCCGAACAAATACGAGTTCCATTAAGATAAAACTTCGTTTCGTTAATACATAAAACGAATACAACAAATGGGAAATTTTGTCTGCTCACAATCTGCATCACAGCTTAAGTAATCGAAGCGACGGCGCAGCCCTCGATCATCCGTTAAACAGCCCGGAAAAGAAGCTCTTAATAGCCCCGGTAATCCCGCCAGAGCTCTTTTGCGGAGCCTGCGTCGTAGTGGTCGTTCGCGTGACCACCTGCGGCGGCGGCGCCTCATCGCGGCCGGAGGAAGATGTTCCGCCCAGGCCGCCAAAGAGAATATCCAGGATGGAGGTGCCCCGGGAGCCGGAGCCTTGGGAGGGGCTGGAGGGTCGTGAGGAGCCGCTACCCTGGGAGGAGGTGACCTTTGGTGCTTTGGCTCCTGAGCACTGGTAGAGGAGGTTGATCTTCTGCACGTCGGTGGCGCTCATTACTTTACGGTTGCCGATGGTGGCTTGCTTCTTGGGCACGATGGTCGGCTTGCCGCGGTTGATGGCGAAGTAGTTCCATCCGTAGTGCATAATGCTGTCGTAGTCGTACGGCAAACCCAACAAGTTTGACTGGTATTTCTCAAACTGATCATAGTTATCTGAAAAACGCTGAATTTTATATTAAGCATCTAATTTTTTTATTTACTCTGTATAACACCAAATTTTCCCAGTTTAGAATTTGCAGTCATTTAATAATGGTTGAACAAAATTACGATCTGTAAAATTTCGGTAGTCAGTTTGTTAAAGCTTTTGCACTGAATTTTTTATAACCGTTTCTTTGCGCAAATTTAAGTCTGCTTTTTTGCCTATAAGAAGAAAAACTTATGAGACCGAATAACAAAATCGTCGTGACCTTACTGACCGCGCTGGATATTGCTCCAGACGATGGTGACGTAATCGTCGCGATCCTTGCGGCTCTGCTCGTGGAAGAAGCCCAGCGCGTGCATAGTCTCGTGTTGAACCTCGCCAAACTCGTAAATGCAACCTTCTTGCAGATCAATCAGCTGCTGACCGCCAACGCGCGCCACATACGAACTGCAACTGCACAACGCACACAACCGGTCAGTGAGTTATCTCACAACGTCCACACGGGGCGGTGGCTACTGATGAGTAAGCGTTAAGACGTACCCGGCGTTGCGGTTGACAAAGGTGATGTAATCACGCTCGTTGGTGCGCTGCTTGAATTGCACACAGGTTTTCTGCATGATGTCGTTGAGGGCGCCCTGTATCACCTGCTTCTGCTGACTGTCTGCAGTGACAGATCAATAATTCTTACGATGTCAACAGAGGATTACTGCAGTGAAAAGTGCTGGTGAACGTACTGTATCCGCTGCCGATGGTGTAGGGAACAATTCCGTTCGGCCACAACTGGCTGCGGTCCATCACGGCGTTGTGCGCCATGTTTGACAAGGCGTCCTACCCAATATTATGAAATGTCAGGTCATATGGTGACGTATTTACCGTACAGTTAATGCGTTGCTGGAAAAAACTGACGAATCGATCGGTGAGAATTTCTACTTTCTCATAATTATATCCCGGTAAGAAACTTCGGGTAATTCGTGGAACATTCGGACGTCATTAAATTCGCCAACTGCGTGTGACGTCAGTGGGCGTACCGAGTTGGTGGCGGATCGGTCGATGCCCTTGATATCCCCCTCGAAGACGCCGCCATTCTGCAGTAAATCGTGTGACTGACCCTGGCCTTGACTGTTCCCAATTAAATCCTGCCAGTCTGCCAAAGGAAGACCGCTTAACAAATGCCCCGAATTTAGGCAATGCAGGCAGTAGGTACCAGTATAAGGAATATGCACAACAGTTTCATGAACCGTTTATCTACAGTACGACATGCTATAAATACATCACTATGCACCCGTAATAAACAGAAATTTTTAATTATGATTTGCGTTTTAAGCTAGACGCTGTTCGAATACGTGGATGGCGTAGGAACTCTTTAATAGAAGTAAACATTAACTACTTGCATTATAAATACTTACTGGCCGGCAAATCGTTGCCGGTTGGCGCAGCGGGCGCCGCGTCCATCCGTAATAATCCATTGAGCAAACAACACAGTATAAACCCAATCGCCAACATCCTGACAAAAAGGCGCTAGACCAAGGACCCTTACGTTCAGCCCAACTACCTGATTTTGACGCGCCTGATCCAGCGACAAAGTGCACTACAGCAGCTGATCAGCACACGCATGCCCCTTAACTGTATATGAAAAACGCCGGTGTGCAGTGTTTTTTTTCTACGACACAATCACTGTGTAATGCTCAGCACCGCTCATACCCTCGAGGAGCGTAGGTACAAGCTATAGAAATAGATGTATTCGTAATGCAGCTTTCAGGAAATAATAGAAAAAAGCAGAGAAATTCACTCGTTTTCCGACGAGCCCCGATTGCTAACGCCAATATGATCAGCTACTGTGCAAGAGAAACGACACACGCGCTGATAAACAGGTTTTTTTCACTGTCAGCGCATACGGAACACCGGTATTGTGTTGGATGCATTTAACAGGTGTTTGTTGATATACAGTAATACGTTGGACACACTGTATAGTCAACCGGTATCCTGTTGGTGTTGGCCGTTTTCGCTGAATCGACCGCTAATGTACAGCATGAGTCATATACGCGTACTCTCGGATGTGATGCTAAAAAATATAATTGCTAATCACGGCAATAGCGCACAGCGCTACTTTAACGCTGAATATATATTTGCATTTTGCGGAAACCGACATAAACGGCTCAATGCGGAAATCAGAACAACAGGAAACTAGGCTCATATTCGTTGACACACGCACAACAGCAGAATGACGATGACAGAAACCAAGTTTCCGCCCGCGGTGGTTATGCTAGCGACAGAGTGCTGTGTGGAATTGGCAGCCGTCGGTGCCGGTTTCCTGGGGGGTTCGGCTTGCAGACGCTGCGAAGGTTGATTCGGTGTTAAATTGGGACACATCCGGGTGGCGGGGTCATCGTAGGGAGTATACTCCAAAGGTGGGGTGGGGATGGCTGTCCGATTCTAAGCGCACCGTAATTGTGAATTTTATCTATTGAGTTGTCACGATGAACACTGTCAATAATTGAATTTGATTTATGCTTATTTATATCAGTATTTACGCTTAAACGAAAATTTATCGAGATATTATTAAGTAATATCTATATTAGTAATAAAAATGGATATATACATACATGTACTTATATAAACATTTTACACTTACACAATTTCTTAAATTTTAAAGTAAATGAAATTATTAGATTTGCTTGGAAAAGACAACGGATGCCAGGATTTACCAGGTCGATTGTGACGCATTCGGAAGATGTATCGCCGTTATAAAATCCCTGCAGTGTCTGCACGCTGGTGGTGTCCCACTGCATCTGGCTGTTTAGAAAGTCCTTCGTGGCGATCTGGATGGAGCGGTAATCTGTGAGGGAGTATTCGGCCGGCAACGTGTAGTTAATGGTGGTGTAATAATTGGTGAAGTTGACATTGGTCCCGCATGATGCCAGCGGAGTAGCCGGGTAATAGGTCAGGTAGGCTAGACACATCTCGTCGTGCGAACTGAATCCGCCCTAATTAGTAGGACATTGTAACTATGCATGTACAGCCTTTACACAGGTCACACCAAATTCGTAAAGGCACAAACAAAGCGCTGTTCATCTCGCCAGTGCAACATACAAATAAACTCAGTAATTAAATTCACCAAAAATAATTTTAGAGGAGCACGTACAGAAGGAAAAGATCAGAAGCGCCTAAGTAATTCGTAAGTACTGCACTGGCGAGGCTTAACGTACATATGCCGGTTTGGACATGCCCGCCGTGGAAAAGGTACACTCCAGTTTCAATGTATCACCCTATAAAAGTTTGTCAAATTCAGCGGCATTCGAATCCATATTTAAAGTTTCCATAAAAAAGGAATAAAAGAACTAACCGGAAGTATGGTACGGTACGGCTGGACGTTTCGTGATTCTTGGTAGTTGAAATCGTAGGCGTCATCTTTGCCGATGGGCGGCAGTTCTTTTCCATCACGAATGTGCCGCAGAATTATCTTTCGTCCTATCAGCACATCCAAACCAGTCAACCCTTTATAATGCAGCCGACAAGCTCGCTGGTTGACCCTTGCGTACCGTGAGTGTGGGCGTGCAGGAAGGACTGGAAGATGTTGATGCCGTCGGCCGGAAACTGCCACCACATCCAAGCTCTTGATAATTGTGTGTGTACCATAAATTCAGCAGGTACAGTTCTTGTACCATACTTGAAGTATACTTGCAGTGACGCATATACTATATTACTTACCATGCTCGTACACTGGGTGTGGCAATACGAAGAGACGACAAAGTCATCCACATTGGGAGGAATGGTAATTAAAACTGCAGTGCACAAATACGTTATTTGATGAAATTACTTGTGTTAGATAAATAACGATGTGGCGTTAAACTCACAGTTAAAATCCATGGTGCCGGTGCTTAATACAGCAGCATCATTGGGTCTCAGCTGTTCGGTGAGGATGAAACTCATACCCGAACTGTCTTGCACGTCGGCTACAGTTAATATTAATTTACACGGGAATCATCCTTCTTACCGGGTAGTGATTACACAGCAAAATCATGCATAATTATGTACCCTGATCGGTACGCATGGAAAGGTCGTAATGGATTTCCACCATGACGAAACGGTCGCTCATCTCGGGGGTCAGCGGTAGACCGGCTTCAGGAGGGAAGTACATGTCCTGCATTAATGAACAGTGCAATACACGTCCAGTGTCCATTAGTATAGGGCTGTAATCGCGATGAATGGTCTTACAGAGCCGCCGATGGCCCAAACGGCCAGCACATTGGAGTGGCAGTGCACGGCGATGTTCATCATAGCCTCCTCGTCGACGTTGTCCCCGGCGCACTCAAATTCCTTGGGCGTCACGGTGTCGTTGACGGTGCTGTCACAGTAGTAGACCACCACATGGTGCACGATGTGCTCGTTTCCACGTTGGATCAGTGGCCGCACCTAATAACCACACCAGACTAGTGTATGCCGGTAATGACCACTAATGTCCTGCAGGGATCTGATGCAGTTGTATAGGGTTGTGACCGCTTACTACTGTGCATACAGTTTCACTTAATTGTATGTTACATGACATTTAACTATCGCCTACTGTGATATTTTCATAATTTTTAAGCTTTGTGACAGCTGCATGCACATACTCCGATTATGTGGTATTTCTTATTGACTTCCGGCAGTTTGATCAGTTTGCAGTGGTAGCTCGTGTCGATGCCGGTGGGAATGGGAACGTTATCGACACGGACATCCATCTGCAGGAGACTGCCGCCGCCGAGAATGGAGGCCGCGCGTTCGGTGAGGAAGGCATCGGTGAAGAAAACGACACTTTTAGTGCCACGCATACTGTGCTGCTCAATCATGGCCGCCTCCCCAGCCGGGTCACGTGGATTAGCCGCGAAGATTATCCGCATCGTGTCGTTCTGCAACAGCACAATTCTTGTAACGCGCCTGTTTATTTTTCGGTTCGCAAAAAACGCTCGCTGCTGAGTGATTCCGCTGATGAAGCAGAATAACGGTATCGTCTTTGTGTCGGTTACCGGCATCGGCAAACAGACGTTTTTTGAATGTCAATAATATTCTGATTGGATTTGTCAGGGTCATATTAAGAGGCGCCCATTATGATCAGCCGACTTGCATATATCGCACAAATAAAAAAGATTAATAACAGTCAATAATGCAAGCCGACATCAAACTGTGTGACAAGTGACGTACGGTGAAGGGGCGGTCACGTGGATCGCAGGTGGTCAGGAGACGCGCAACGCGAACGATGGAGTGGGTGGTGTTCTGTTTGCCGGATACGAGTGTCCAGTCTTGTTTGTCGTCTAGTGTTGGGTTCACGCCCGAACTGCCCACGTCAATCCAACGGTCCTATATTTATTTTCAGTTACAGCCAGTCTCAGTATTAATTAGCAATTTAATAAACATAATTATAAATTCGTGAGCAGTTTTTTTAAAACGAGTACAACAGAAAACATCCTCACATCCTATGCATTTTATTAAATATTGTTGATTGAATAATTATGAGCGCTCACTGCGCTTTGCGCAATTAAAAGTGATGGATTTTAATATGAAATTTAGTCGTAACTAAAAAGGGTAATACCACCATTTAAAAATGCTCGAAAGCAAGCAGAGTAATATTTCTAAAGAAAGTAGTTTCGGAATTAAAAATCAAGGCGTACACTAAGCGCACCTCTGTACATATACGCATACCTGGACATGCGGCAATCCGGTGGTATCATCTATCCAGGCGAAAATAACATCGGACTGATTCATGCCACCGTTGGGCGAAATACCCAGCGCCAGCCAGCCCCTTGTGGCGGCCGTGTACTCCAGCTGAATATGCGTTGCATTGTAATCCCATGCCAGATGGAAGCGTCGTTCGGGGTCCAGGTAACTGCTGTAGCGCAGCGCCTGTCCGGCTGCCCTTTCCGCCCACAGTAACCACACCGCCACAATCCAGCGCAGCATGCTGGCACACGGATTTTCTTAATGATAATAAAATATTTAATTTGTGGAATGTAAGAAAACCTGCAGGCTGTTCGAGTTGGTGGGACGGTTGTAAATGTTTAAGACTGTTGCTGTCTTGCCGCGGTGCAGCCTGCTGAAGTGAGCAGAATAAGCCGGGCTTTGGTTGGAGTGAATGGAGAAATCTGCTGGATTGGCGGAATATCGCCGGATGCATGCACCTTCAATTTCCATGGGTCGGATAATACTGTTGCCGGTCGCTGCTTGTTACACTCTGTTGTATGTGCCAGGGTGCGGAGTAAACACAATACATACTTGATAGTAAACTTTCTTAACGTGTTCGTTGGTTTCTGTGTATATGGAATTTGAGTAGTAGCAGTCTTTATTGTTGCCCGTTTTAGGTTTAAGTAGCTTACATATCGCACACTGATACACGCACAAAACGCTAACCATTTTTGATTAATGCTAACGCTAATCTGGCGCTTGTCTAGCTGACAGAAGCGCTCCGCCGGTAAAAAATCAAAAATGTTCGAATACTGTTTTCAGTGTCATCTTATCAATCCAGAAGCTGAAAGTGGCAACCGCTGAATCCTGGTTTGAACAAACATCGTTAAGGGTGCACAATACGCTAGCTGCTGTTTCCACTCGTAAATTTTTTATGTACAGGTAGAGCTATATAAGCACCACTCCACCGGGACAGTCTTCGGCGTCCGCAATCTGAGGTGTAGCTCTGTATCTGCCCGTTTCTTCCGGATCGGATAGTCGTCAGTACCATGAGAGATCACACTGATCCGGAACGCAGGTCGTCAGTGCGCCCAGGAATGTCGTGTATAGCTTTTCACTGTGAGCCGCAATGAAACGGCATTTATGGCGCCAGATCCATTGTCACGGTAGTTCGACCGATGACCATGCAAGTATCACAGCAGCGTCATGCAAAAGCAGTTAAACCTCACATTGTCTCCGACTTCCGTCGCCAGGTTCTGCATTTTGCTCACAAAAGGTTACAGGCGCTGCGCAGTTGCGGCAGGATTTTGTAGAGACGCAGTATGGTTCTAAACTTCTGAGCAATTCGCTGCATTACTCGTAAGCTGCGGAAGTACACCAAATTTAGAAGCAGACAGGTGAATTGGCGCCGCGCTGTCATGAAAATGCACAGCTCGGACAAGGATAAGAAGGGAAAATGATATTATTATGATAATAATTATTACAGTGTTGTATCTTACTATTCCCGCCGATATGGTCTTGTATTACTATTGCCCGTGACGCTCAGAAGTCCGAACCTTAATGCCTTGTAAGAGGCCACTATGCAATCACCAAGCTGGTGATGATGATTTTGTGGACCGTTTTCTATCGATGGCCTGTTCATTTTCATACCAACCGCTTTATTATGACGTACGTAATCATCGTTGATTTTGACAAACGACAGTCAAACGCTAGTTGCAGTAGTACAGAATCAGGTAAGAACGTTTGTGCAGAGTGCGTACACCAGCAAACGCCCATCTTTCTATCCGTAATACCAGATAAAGTTGTTGCAGTAATTGCAGCGGGCACAGCATTCCTGATAATTGCGGCAACTGCACATTCCCCGCTCCATCCTGGCCCGTGGGCTGGCGAGGTCATCGGCCGAGGGTATCGCCAGCGGGGCGGATCCTAGCGCAGGGTGCGGTTGTCCGCCGGCCATCAGATCGGCTCCGATGTAGGGAACGGGTAAGGCGGAGATGGGCTGCAAGAAAAGGCTGATGAGGACCACACTCACCACGGACCAGATCCACGCTGCTGACATTCTCAGGCTAGGTACGGTGGATGATGCGCTGCTAGGTGCAGTACTGCAAAGTAGGTATAAAAATATTACAAAATCTACCACCTGATTGCTTCGACTAATGCAAGTTGATTGAGATGAGAAAGCGGAACCAAATGCCGCAGCAGTTGCCAAGGAGGCGATTACACAGGAGACAGGCATTTATCATAAGCCGTTGTTATACTAGGGCTTTACTGTAGTGAGCACATCTTTCGTGATTTAATGTAAGTTCGTACCTTTTTTGTCAATGGAACTATTCTCCCCATTGTAATCAAATGTTTAATTCAGTACATAACTTCACAATTATCATTAGTTCAAATTTATTTACAGAATAAAATTATGAGATTCACTCATGTGATCGATAAAGCTGCTGGTGAACTGTACACTACATTATTCCTGTAAAGAAACGGGAAGAGTAACTGCGTAAAAATGGTCAATCTGTCCATGACGGATCCTATGGATGATGAACGAACGCCCAATGATGACAGCGACATCGCTAACATCATCTCCATCAGCGAACTGGCCGATGCCTTGCTGCCCGACAATGACCTTCTGGCTGATTACACCCCCAACGAAGGCGAGAGCTTACGCAATCAGGTACAGTTGCCCCGCTCTCCGTCAGCAACCTTATCACCTATTTGTTGTATTTCTTCTATCGCAGCCTAACTTCGCCGTCTTTCGACAACGCTACATCGACCGACTGAAAGGACAACTGCAGGATCTGGACCGCACTCTGAAGGCGCAGGCCTTGGAGACTGAGGCCATCCAAACCGAAGAGGAGACCAATGCCGACTGGATGTGGGATGTACAGCAGAATTATGCGCGACTGGAGAAGGACACCGCCGCGGTTAGCGCACAGCGTTTACAGCTGACCAACGCCCTGATGGATCTGCAGGAGGAGCTAGTCGGAGCAGAGAAGGTGCTCAGCCAGGAGGAGAAGTACAAGGCTGATCTTTTGGATAACGGTGAGCATATTACTAGTGGCTCAAACTGTTGCGGTAATTAAAGCGCTGAATGTGTAGAGAAGAAAAACCAAGGGGAGATCCAACAGTTAAACGATTATTACCATAAATACTACCAGGAAAAGGAACAGACTTATAAGGACGCCAAGATTGTCGACGTTGGAATTACACGCCAGAAGAAAGAACTGGTGCTGGCCAAACTGCAGAAGCGCCACCTGGTATGGTATGTACCCGGGAAATGTGAACTTCACCCTGTCTCGTCAAACACCGAATTCAATATATTTTGTGAAGACGTCGAATGTTGTATAGGACTTTGAAGTGTACCGCTACCAGCGTCAGATCATTAGCGCCGAGGAGCGGTTGGAGCTGCGCGCCGCTATCCAACGTCAACGTCTCGATGATCTAGCGGCGCTACGGCAGGAGAAGCTGGAGACTGAAGCGGAGTTGGAGTTGCTGCAACAACAGAGCGGCCAGGTGTCACGCGCCCTTACCGCCGACATGCGGGTACTGGCTGAGCGCAACCAACAGGCGTCCGGTCTGAGTCAGCAGCTGAAGGCCAGCGGAGAGGCCTTCCGCCACTGCCTGGCGGAATGCAACGGATACCGCAAGGATATCCGGGCGCTGCAAGCCGAACATGAACATTTGACACTAGTGACAATTCGAGCATCGCGGGAGCTACTGGCATATGAACGACGCATTGAAGGACTGAATCGGGATATGGAGATCCTGTATAATAAGCACGGGGAGATGAGCCGGCTCACCGTGGCGCTCAACGATAAGGCCGACGCGCTGACTAAGGTGAGTGGAGCGACGAATACAAAGAAGACGGGCATCTCAGTGATTAACTGCTTCCGCTCATTTTTTGTCTTGTGAATTATTCATTAGTTTTCAAACACTTTTACTGTAATGAGCAAACATATAAATTTCAGTACTGCTTATTGAATTTCAGTACTGCTTACGGGCTACCACAAGTTCATAAATTATTGCTGTACTTAAATTAGTATGAGAATCAACGCCAGCGGGAGCTGCAAGACATCCGGGAAACACTGACCAGTGAAATCAAGAAGAAAAACGATGCGGAGATGGCGCTGCACGAGACTCTAATGGAGAACAAATCCTTCACAAAGGGCGCCCGCTACTCACAAGCGGAATTTACCAAACTGTCGGAGAAACTCAGCCAACTGGTAAACAGTTGCATGCAAGACCGTTAACAGGTGGAAAAAAATGCATCTGCTAACAGGAAGAAGATGCCGGCCAGCAGGACTACGAGATCGCCCAGCAGGCAATCCTCCGCATCGAACTGACCAACGAGACCGAAACCCGCAGCAAGGAAATGCAACAACTGGCGGATAAGGTCAAACAGCGCGAGCAGCGCTTAAAGGACGCCGTAACCGCCCTCGAGCACGAGAGCAGCTTGATCGACCGCCGTCAGGACAAAATCAACCGCTTGCAGGCCAAGCTGGATGCTCTAATTGCCGCTTCCGGGGTACGAATAAAGGTCATCGTGTCCGAATTGGCACTGTGACAAGGCTGTGGTTTAGGGGGAAGAGGTGCGGCCCATCGAGATTCAGCTAGCCAATCTGCAGTCAGAGATCCAGGCGAGCGAAGAGCAGTACCGGAAGTTAAAGAACGACTGGCTGCGCTACCAGACCAGCATCGTCCGACTGACCGAACAGCGCGATAACATCAAGGCGACGGCCACGGATCTCGACAACCAGGCTTTCATCGCTAATTACAAGCTCAATCGACTAAACAGTAAGAAAGGTCGCACACGAGGGTACGTCGGGTGGGGTAATTCCTGTGGGTTGTAGAGGAGATAGGACAAATTGATGCGGAGTGCGCCGAATACGCCAAGACAGATAAGAAGATCCAGGAGAATATTGCGCGCGCCAGTCAGCAGTTGTTTCGGTTTAATCAGCAAGAGCAGGAGACGGTGATGAAGGCACTGGATGCGGAACATGCGGCTATTGAGGGGCTGAGAAAGGAGGAGGTGCGGCTGGAAGAGGAGAAGGCCCGGCTGGAGCAAACAGCCGAGCAGCTTAAGAATATCGAACAAGTCATCTATGACACGAAGTAGGTACGCACTGCACTGTCTGGCTTTTAATTTATCTTTCCATGTATCATCTTTTAGCGGTAACTGGGAAAACTAGTGTGCAGATATTTTTGCAGTATTTTTATTCAGAGAAAAAACGCTGATGTGGGAGCGAAAACTGGAGCTGAAGAAGCACGCAAAGAAATCCTTGGAGGAAGACTTTAACCAGGAAGAATTGGAGAATCTGAAAAACGAAGTTCATAAACTGCAAGTGGGTTCATCATTTTTACCGAAAACTGTAGTTGTTTTGTCAGTAAAATAACGCTGTGCCATCGGTATACGCAGCTGGACAAACAAGCACTGGAGAAGGAGCAATTAAAGGTCACCCAGGAGATGCTCTTTTCCGCCGAGCGTCGTGACCAGCTACACTCGCAGTCCCGCCGCCGTGTGTTAGAAGGCGAGGCACCTTCTCTAAAGAAGCTGCAGCAAATTGTCGAGCGGAAGTCTAAGGAAGTGCAGCGCTTACAAAAGGTTACCTATCTAGAGTAGCGTCTATAATACGAACCATAGGTAAGAATCGCTTCCATTAGGAATTGCGGGCGGTGCAAATCTTTGAGAACGATTGTCGGAAACGGTTGGATCTGGGGCAGAAGGCAGCGGAGCTGCAAACGGATGCGGTAAATAACCTAGAGGGTGTCTGGAAGGGAATCATTGAGCGAAAGGGGCAGCTGCTGAAGGAGCGTTTTCAGGTTAGTTTGCACGTACAGACTGTCGAGCTCTAAAGCAATTAGGAAGGATTTGTAGGTGCGCTTGGAGAACTTTGTGGCTCAGCAATATGGCAAGCTGTACTTGGGGGTACGTGCCGGGAGGGCGCCGGCAGCGAGACGGATAGCCAAAGCCACGGAGCTGAGCGATCTCAACACCATCATCACTGATCTGCAGGCCAAGACGGATTCACTGCAGAAAGTCATCGATGCCATCGGCGAACGGCATCCTGGGATTTACGGTAAATTATCGCTTGTTTAACAGAAATAACGGCGATATTCAACGTTTTAGTCGTGACTTGCTGTATTTGAACTGTACTCAAGCTTTGGTTTACAAATAATTAAAATTGGATTAAAACAAGCAAAACTAACATTGGAAATAATTTGCAGAAGATAAGAAGGCTCAAACGGCCACGACATCCCGAAGTGGCATCGCAGTTTAGAATACTGGTTGTTTTTTTAAAAAGAAATTAAATGTGCGAAGCAGTCTTCGCACATTTACTGTTTGGTTAGCCCGGGCATCCTTTTCTTTTGCAATGCATTTTGCACTGTTTAAAGTGACAGTTACAGGTAGGATTTGGCCTAGTACAGGCGACCGGAGCCGGCTTATATTGCTGGCTTAAAGTTTGAGCTAAATCTGCTGCTGCGTTTGACGTCCAGTCTGTGTCATTATAAGAAAAGGGCGAAATCGGCAACTGTTCCGATTAATTGTCAGCACTTGATTGTATGCCGCGCTGTGAATAGACAGCCGCCCTTAAGCAGCTACGGAAACTGTAGCACAGTGCACAGCGATATGATTGTTGTGATTCGCACCTGCCAGCTGACCTCACCGTCTGGAGTCACATTTCCAAGCGGGAACGCGGAACGCGCCACGAGACTGCAACCCTTTAAATTCATTTCATTCCGACTCGCCACCGAACTGTGCCGAAATCGAATTGAGAAGAGGCTGCAGCGCGGATCAGCCAAGACGAAATGTTTGTCTAGTGGATGATCGTCGCGCGACCACGTGCGTCCTTAATCACCATTAATCAGCGCTCAATGCACGCCCTTGTCCGACTCAAATCCAACTATAATTAATTGCTTCTGTTTACAGAAATACTTGGCTCCTTTATAATTTTTACGTATAACGGGCAAATCTGTATACTCGTTTTCAATTAAAGTCTTCAGTTATTAATGGATCGATGCAATAATAGTAAAGTATTACAATTTTTGTTTCATTATAAATCACGTAACGCTTAAAATTTGTGCTGATTCTGTGGTGCGAGAAAATACGCATTCGCATTTACTGCTTAATTGCATATTTTAGTTTCGGGAGATTTATTAAACTATGTTGCAGACAATTTCAACAAAGCATCAGAACTGAGCAAACAACAAAATTAAACTGCAACATAAGTAAGCACCCGTAACAATTCCGAAGCAAAAATACAGAACACGTAGAAATATAAATCAAAGCCATACGAAATAGAAAGATACACATCGCTGGATATCTGAACACAAGTGTGAGCAGGTACATATTGAGAAGACAAGTACGTGCGCCTCTGGCGATATGCAATGAAGAGCTAGTTAAGTTTCCCTGTGTACAAACGTCTGTAATAACAATTAGATTATAATCGGCCGGGACTGGGCAGACAGCGGCGTTTGAAACAGAGATCCGTAACACCTGTCGCTAAGGCACTGCGGTGTGCATAATATGCAGGGCAAGGCAGCCGGCTGTGTGGCTGTCTGTGTCCTGAAATGCACGCTGGTACGGCTTGGGTCATCTGAGGACAGCAGACGTCCGCTTGCGTAATATACTGAGAAACCTGCTGAGACAGAGAGAGACTGAGACTAGGCACAACTCTCCATTGTCCACTCGGCTGAATGGACGGCTACTTAAGTTCATTTGAGGATATAGCAAGACTGCGTGTATAGGCGTAAATGGATGATCACAAACACACGACTGACGCGAGTGAGCATATAGAGAGCTATAACAGAAGGAATCCATTCCCCATCATCAAACTAATGTGCCCTCCAGACTGGAGCCGGTGCGGGGCCGGTGTGGCCGGCACGTGCCGCTCTGGTGCTTGTTGAGGAGGGACATGCGCGAGAAGGTCTTCTGGCATAATTGGCATTTGTACTTTTTGATTTCTGCGTGGGTTTGCAAGTGGGCACGCAGATTGCTACGGTCGGCGAAGGGCCGCAGGCACTGGTTGCAGTGGAAGGGTTTCTCGCCCGAGTGTGTCCGCATATGACCTACATAAATCAAATTATTTAATCAAGAATCATATCTTGAACTCGCTTCAACGGTTGTCAGTCTTGCGACGTTTTGAACTTTCAAGAAATACAGATAATTATGTATCTTCCTTTTCCATATAAATGATCCGATCACAATTCATGCGGGGCAGTTACAATAATGAGTATAAATCTTAGATTACAAAAATGGCGTTACAATATACCTTTAAGTAACCACGGGCGGCTGAACCGGCGACCGCAAACCGTACACTGGTTAGGGAGGGTGTGGGTGCGCATGTGCATCTTCAGCGCTCCGATGGTCCCGTACAGGCGATTGCAGCTCTTGTTTTTGCACTGAAAGGACTGCTGGTGCAGCACGCTGCAGTGGAATTCCCGATGCTTCGTCAGACCCGACACCGTCGAGTAGCTCTTCTTGCATTCAGAACACTGGTAGCGTGGGCTGGAACGCCGACCGGAAAGGCTAGAATTCGGTTTAATGTCCAACTCTTCCATCTGGAAGCAGCCGACAAGGGTTTTAATTTTTATTACGGTTTTTATCAGTGGTTATGAAAAGAAACGTACTACAGGTACGAACAAGTTTATCTGAATAACGCAAATGCCAGAAATCTTTGGTAAAAAATGACACTTCAGAAATTTTGCTAAGAAATTAAAAATTATATATTCTAGGTTAGTTAGGAAAATTTCTCAAAATTTTTTTAAAATGCACTTTCTACATACCGTACAATTTAAATTTAGTTTACTTGCGGCTCTGTGTGTGCTCACCTCATGATCGTCGCATTCTTCCTCGATCTTTCCCAGTTTTTCGGCCAGCGTGGCCGGATGCGTGGCGGCATTGCCCAGAATAGTGTCGATATCAAAGGGTGTGCTGAGTGGTTTACAAGTCCTAACTGGCAGCGGCTGATTACTTATAGTCTGAAGATTGTGGCGTGCCGGTAGAAACGGCCCGGTGCTGGCCGGGGGGAAGGTGGGCTGTGTAGCCTGCAGACTCCAGGGGCCGTGATGCGGCAGCGGCAGGTAGACGGTGGGGAAGCCGGGCAGCGCGTTGACAGCGTTCAGCCACAGGGCATCGGGATTTTTTGGGGCCAACGGCTGGCGGTGGGTGTGCGTGTGTTGCACGTCCAGCGTGCTGGGGGAGGCCACACTGGCTGTCGGTAGGCCGATGGGAGGCCAAGGGTGGCTGGGAGAAGGGAAAAAAGGTAGATTGGCCGGGTGGGAAGGGCATTTGGTGTCGCGTTGGATACTGTCTGTTTATAAACAACGGAAGGCGTTTAAAAATTGATTAGACATTTTGTTGTTTAAAAGACTGATAAAAAAGTGATCTGGAAAAAAATCTCGAAAATTTTAATTCAGTATCATAGACAAAAGCTACCAAACGCATTGTTCAAATTGATTTTTTATTTACGTATCGAAATATTTTGCTGAAATAACGTAAATATGTAGTTCAAGAATACTGTAAATCTTATTAATTTATTTACCTCTTTTCGCGGGAAAAGCCAGCTCCATTGCGGCGAGATCCAGTGCCGAGTAGAGATCCTTTTTTAAGAGAAATGCTCGAGGCATTTTAACACACGTCAACAGATCCAGTAATACGCGATAAAACAATAATTCCGACTCAGTTTTCTTAGCTGAATTAATTATTTATATCCTAAGGTTAATCCCATTCTGCTCACGCCATAACAGAAAGAAGAGTAAGATATCAAAAACTCAATCGGAATACAACTGAATTGGCAAACTGCGTTCACGGCGGTAGTAAAAATGATTCCGATGACCAAAAAGAAAATCGTGGACTGAACCAGATTGCCACTCAGCCAACTGGCCAGCGGCTAAGCTGCTGCAGCCTTCCTGCAACGGTTGACGCTTCAGCGTTACCCCGCCTACTGCTGACCAACGGTCAGCTGTGTCCACCAATCAGCATTTGCTATGTCTTATTTAGTCGCACGGCGCTGATTCAACCGGTTAGCACAGCTTCTCAAGAAAAAAACAATGTAAACTGCGAAGTTAGCAAAAAAAGTTATTTTTCGGTAATATTTTTGACAGCACTCGTGATTTAAGCAGTAGCCTTTCAGCAGGAGTACAATAAGAGCAAGGCAGGCAGATTGATAGATCAACAGGTGCAGCCAAGGCAGTTGGTTTTAAGATTGCCCAGCCCGGAATTTTAACAGAATACTGGTCTGACCCGACATTAATGGAAAATGAAGGCAGCGTGCACCTGCCGGATTCACTTGAACGTCCAACGCCACACCAAATCACTTGAACACCGATATACACATTACACGACGCATGCCGGTCAACCACAAACTACACGGTCCGGGTAAAAAATGTGCTGGGCAACGGCGGAAGGGGAATGCGATCTGGAGTGTCGTACCGTGCTGATCAAGTGGTTAATCGAGGTTTGTATACGACGACTGGAATGCGGAGCATCTGCCGTATTCTGCTGATAGAGTTATAGTGTATTCATTTGACGGTGTACAGTACAGTATAGATGTTTTTGTTCTTGTGATATGTTCTGTATATAAGAAGTGCGAGGAGACAGCTCCGGCTGCAGGTTGCATCTTCATCGCCACTTCACCACGCTTAACCAGGCAACCGAGTAGCACAGGGTTGTAACATCAGGTGTTTGCTACATGTAAACTATAATTAGCTACGAATAAAAAGGCAGATTTATACTGAATTTATTGCGCAACCAACTGAAACATATTACCGCTGTTAGTTTACTTTTATACTACGGTCATCTGATTATTATCTGACGCTTTGAAACTTGATAAAATTTGGAGCCAGTGAATAAATAATTGAGGAGTTAACGGAATATTGCACTGAAGATCTGCTGCCGATATAAATTTTGCATAAATTCAGTTTCGATTTATTTTGTTTTATCTGTTTATACTCTAAGTACTTACTATAATACAACGCAAACACAATAATTTAGAAGTTGCTTAAAGCAGTTTTACTATATACATACAGATTACATTTAATTTGCCTATTATTAATAATATTAAAATTATGGATGGTGCGGACCATGCGGTAAGAAATGAATGAATGGAACGTGGTGTGGCAATCATGTGCGCGATATGCATACATTAGGCTCAATTAGATGAATAGCCTGGACAAACATTCATTCATTGAATCGTACGGAGGATACGATTTCAGTATTTCCGTCATCGCGCCCTACAGAATCAACAGATATCGGTGCTGGTCGACCACACGCACAATAAGCTCGGCTGAATGCCCATTGCAGCGGTATGCATGCACGCACAGCTATCGGAGTGACCTTTGCCTGACCCCGTGCATCCATCGAATGTGGGAAGGGGAAGGAAAAGGCCAAACATAATGGTTGATCAAACCCATCTCACTGACACACTTTGCCTTGCAAAAGCCATCATTCGCAGCTAAATGCGCTGAAATAGATTTCATTGAGATTTCTTCGATTGTGGAATCATTGGAATTTGGGCGACTTCCTCTTGCTCAACCAGCGTTCCTTCTCTGGGGCCAAAAAGCAGGTGGTCATTTCAGCCATCAAAAATTCCCCTTATTGTAAATTAGACGTTCCATACAACGGACAACTTGCTTTTATTAACCCAAAAAATAAGGTTTTTGCGTGTAGGATGATTCAAGGATCGCTGGGAAATGCGATCGGGCCATGGCTGCCATAAAGATAATAGGCGAGCATATTTAATTAGTCATAGCATGTTTGACATTGTATATGGATACGCGTCTATCTGCCGGGAAATGAATGGCGGCGGAGACGGCCTAATTGGCGTTGTGAGTGCGGACGGGCAGTGCCAATTGAGAGTGGCACGCGCGACCACCTTATCGGTCCCATCATCGATATCGTCCCGTTACATGCATGCTGTCCTGTTCACAGCGCTGCGCCTCAGCTGAGTTGACATCAGCACACACACTGCCGCTAATTGCTGGGAACACTCTGATTTACTGCTCCGGTCAGCATACAACGGCCAAACATTTCCCACTGTATAAACGCTGCATAACTAGCGTGTAATGCCCATTATCCATTACAGATACACATCGCGACATTGCTCGATTACGCTGCTCTCCTGTTTCAGTGGCCTAATTAAATTAACGACCGTTGCAAACAGCAGTGTTAGGGAGAGCCGGTCACCGTTGCCGGCCTAAGTAGATTTTGTTGGGAATGGAAAAGTCAGCAATGGACGCTGATACGGCAGGTGCGCAGCTGGTTGGATTTTAAGACGGGCTACCAGTTGCATCTTCTGACCTGCATCGCGGTGAGGAATGCGCTCATTGACAAGTACACCGTTATATTATACACGCCTCCTGCCAGCCACCTGCCGCATCAGATCGCGCAGCCACAATAACGGCGTATTCTGCAGCGTTAAAGTGAAGAAGGCCATTCTTTGCGCTGTGGCACATTTTGGACAAGCGACGGTGCAACGATCAATCGGCAGTGCTTCGGGATTGGGATGCAGCCGTTGAAACTTGCTCCTGCGGCATCTGTTGACTGCTACCTGTCGCCACTCATGCACTCGCTGGGCCGGACGGAAAAGCTCAACCAGGAAAAAGGAGCTGTTGCTCACAATTTAGACTGGATGCGCGCGTACATAATTGATGACAACCGGCATCGCTCGGCGCTCTCAAGTAGCCGGTTTAAGAAAGGTGAACAGAAGGTCAGCAGCTCGCATTTCCCGGCTGCGGATCACCGGCTGCCAATTACACTGCCCTCCACCGCTCGCCTGGCTTAATTAATCTGAGCCAAGCAAATTAAAAGTTGAATTTAATTTCGATTTTCGACCGCTCTGATGGGCAGGAATCGTGTCTGACATATGCAGTGAACAACTCGCAATTCATACCAAAGTAAAATACAATGTTGTTAATCGAGGCTTAGTATTTTTCCAGCGCAACAGTCATATTTACCTTCTCTACCATTTCTGCTGTAGTCGAGCGATGCCATTATTTGGCGCAAATTAGGAGGAACAGTCACGGAAACGTCTTGTTAAAACCAAGACACCATCTGCTTTGTGTGCGGCAGAATTGTGTGCTGACAGCGTAATGTGTTACGCCCGGCACGTCGTGCATTCCGATTGATATGTTGCTGGAAAGTCAATTATATTCGCCGGAATTAAAATGGCCTTTGCGCGGCCTATTCCAATCCATTAAAATCCAGCAGTCGCTGTGGCCGCAGAGAGCGCGGCGGGAGGCAGCCGTAAAAGAGGCGCAGACAACCGCAGCTCTGCGATGCACGTTTCATCACGAAGTGACGAAGACGACACATTCACGCTGCACCTGTTGCCGGCTGCTGCATTAGCATTTAGCCGGTCTCGGATGTGTATACATCCGCATCTGAGCATTCGGACCACTTGCGCCGCATCCCTGCGCCCTAATTCATTCTGACACTGACGGCCATTTACAACCGCCATATAAGATAAAAGTAACGGGACGGAATCGCAGAGAAATATAGAGCGGAGGAAGATGCGGGAAATCATGAAATCATGAAATCATTTTGCCGGTCAAGAGGCCAACTGTGCGCCATCCATTTCGCTTGCTGACCGCGCCGAGGGCGACAGCATGCGGATTGCAATCCTTAATTGAACGTCACGACGAAATCAAGATGCCCATCGCCATCGTTATTGCTGCTGCTTCCCTTGCGCCATGGCTGTTTTTCTTTCAAAGGCTTCGTCATCGACGTCTTAAGTTACGTTAGGGAAATCGGAGGCGCCTGCACCGGCGTTATGATCGTGATTTGATCCATAACGGCGTAATTTATGGACTTTTATTGTTTATCGTAATTCAGTGTTACTTGTGCAGCATTTGTGGATATTGTTGAAAGGATTTCAAAGTGAAATGAATAATTTCAAAGCATAATTAATAATTTTTAATAAGTACTTTAGGCTTTACATCTAATGTGGCTAATGCGTAGGGTAAGAAGTATGTTTTAATTTTAGGATGTAATCAGGGAAGCAAACATTCGTACTGTTATGATCTGCAGTTCAAAGAATATTTCTGTGAGTATTCTCCGTTGTAGTCGGTTTGCAGAATTCTGCTTCCGATCGGCGATCGCCGTTGAATTGGTTGCATAAGCAAGAATGCCACAATAGCAGGAACACATGCCGGGCGCGCATGCACCGGTTGCTAATAATCCTCAAGCATCCATAATCTTCCTTGTCCATCTGACGCAAGAGTGCAGTGCCACTGACCGGTGTCCCATTGTCCGGCGTCTGTTGTCGCGTAACAGGCAGGCAGCGTTAAGACACCATATGTCTGCTCTCTTCACCCGATCAACCTGCTCGCATGCTCACATTCTCCTTGCACTTCTCTCTTGCGCCACACAGCGCCTGCTGCACAAGCACACATTGCATCACGCCGCGGAGTTTTTTTCCGCTTCATTGTGTTGTGCGCTATCAGTTTGTTATCCTGGCCTTTTCGCTCCGACTTTATTTTTATCAGTATTTTTATAAAATTTTTTGTTCAGCTACCGTTTTTATCGTGACCAGTGATACATTTTCTTAATGATGGATCAGCAACATGTTAACGCGGAGTCAACGAGCGCTGATTGGTGTCGTTTGACCCGTGAACAATGGGCCCAGTTGTCGTTGACGCAATGCATAACAGTTGAGGTCAGTGTCTGGCGCATTGCATGAACATGTGGCGCTGATCGCACCTGGCCGATCGTTTGCGCCGGCCGGACAATTAAGCTCCGGCGCAAGTCACTGGCGATTGGCAATTAATTATGCAAAGACACTCAGATCATTGGCCGACCGCACAACATTCTGGACAATTCCATTAAGTGCACCCAAGGTGCGCATGTGCACCGGACAAGACAGTCCAATGCAATCTAGGCTGTTTTTAATTAGATGCTGACTTAACTTCAACCGAGGTGCCAACCGCGTCACCTGCGAGCATGCAACTCCCTCAACGCGCCAACGACCGGCGCATGACCTGATGTGATTACGCGCGTGCCGGCGCAGGGGAATAACCGAGAATCAAAAATGTTAATCATAGCAATGCTTCCAGTGTTTCAGCCAAAAAATTTCCTTACCGAATTGTTAGCCTTGAAACGGCTCTGTGGCAGAAAAGTGCCAATAACAACGGAGAATTGTGCGCTGAATAAACATCAACACGGTTATACAACGGTTACATATTGAAGATCGGCATGAGTGTTATTGTTGACTTTTGCTTTACCGCCATGAAAATATGCGGCACTGATATAAAACGTCGCCAATGCGGATTTTCCACAGACCAAACAAAAATTGCCCAGAAAGTGTTGTAATCGGCTATAGTTGCACTTAATTTCACAGATCACGAGAATGCTTTTGAAATTTGTAGCAGTAGTAGCGGTGGCATGTCTGTTTACTGTACGGATACCACTGGCGCAGCCGTTCGGTGTCAACTTCTTAGCGTGCCACATCGATGTCCCGTGCGGCATTGCTGACAACGCTTTTATCGGGAACCTAACGGTACTGAAAGCCATGACCTTTGCCGTTAAGCGCGCCGTAATTTTAATCGGTGTGGGAATTTGTTTGCAGATTCACCAAGTGTTCTGGCCAGTGACCTGGACACTGACGTACTTGGGAGGTGACCCCACTGACAGCAACAGCGGCTACTTCGCCGTCTCCACCACTACCGGCCAGATCACCACCACAACGGCGGCCACCGTGCCTCGGCCCACGACTTACACGCAGCAGGTGTGGAAGGTGGACGGGACGGATGCGTCCGGCTCCAAGAATCTGGTGTCGGCTTACCTCATCGTGAGTGGCATACAAGCGGTTCCCCCACTTATTCGCTGACTTGTTCGCTGACTTGTTTTTTATCCAGATTAAATGGCCTGGCCACTGTAACGGCGCGACTGGATAAGGTTACCGGATGACGCACAATAAAATCGAATAGGCATAACGTTTTCACGCAGGCGTTGGACAATGCATGTTTTTTACGTTAAGCGCAGGATGTTAACTTGCTGTTCCATACGTTTATACTATTACGTACTCTCCTTAATCAAACACTGAAATAAAGTCTTGTTAAAAATAATTCGTGTGTGTGTCGATTTGGTCAAGCTTATTCGATTCAATGAGATGAAACCTGTATTTCAGCACTCTTGGGTTTTAATATTGATCGATTCGTATTTCTGTGGCAGGACCTGAAGAACTTAACGCACCCAAATTTTTACAGAACGTAAGTTCAGCGTGTCGAACTCGTACAATGAACGAAAACACATTCAGTTTTGCCGATAATGATGTACGATATATGGTCGGGACATGTGCTCGTAGTCGCGCAGGAGTCAAGATGCTTCGTTGGGTGCGAACACAGCACGGCGTTCTCGGTTATACTGTTCGGGCTTTTCCGACAGAAAGGCAGATGAGTTGTCAGAAAGGTTTGTTTGCCGTTGGATGAATAAACTGTAGGTTTGATATTAAACTTTGATTCCATGGTTGTACACATGTCACATACGAGTGCTTACTATCCTCGTTTCATGAGAAAATATTACTTCTGTTTGTATACGATTCAGTCTGAAAAGACAACCTTTTTATTTGCGTAATGTCATGATCGGCCTTCCGGTCACCATAAGCCCTATTAGCCGGCGGAATCAGTGGATCACAATGGACAATGGTGTCGTAGTTCCGTCAATGAAGAGTACTGAACATTCAGCCGTCCGGCGAAAAGGTGTACGTATCAAGTAGGTCCACCGGTGAAAATCATTTCTGTTGAAATGCATTCACCTGGTGAATGCATTTCAACAAGAAATGGTTTTCACCGGTGGACGACTCCTCCACCTATTTGCTGAACTTCGTCAGGGTTCGTATAACAGTTTTTCCATCAGTCCATCCACCTTCCTGCCGGATACAGACGCCCTCTGCCAGTACAACCTGCCGCCGAGATTGCCAAGCGCAAGTGGCCCCTTTGTGTAGATACATCTGGATCGATCTGCAAAAGCGGGAGAATATGATTCTGTGGTACAGATAGAAAGCTACCGTTGTGCCATTTGTTACGCGCTGATTACCTGCCAGTGCCATATACAGCGGCAATGCCACTGCATGACCCGCCGCAACCAAAGGTCGTACTCCCCCGCTTTTGTCCACTGAACGCAAGCAGAACGTGCAGTCATTAGGGCACTTTTCTTTAATTAAATCAAGATATACGTACAGGATACAAATTCTACATATAGAAAGTGTTCAAACGAGCAAGATGTCATTAGAATGTACCGAACAACAAAAACCACCGCAAAATGCAAAAGAAACAGAACGCTTGGAAAACCCGCTCGGACTAAACCATTCAAAAATGCAGGGTTTACACGCTACAAAACGAAATGGGACCCAAATTGAGCGGTGAGATTATTTTGTAACTAGTGCGTACGATTAATGCGAGGATGTATCAAAATACGTCAGGGTATTCACGCAACTAAATTAAACCCAGTAATTAATTTTCTGACCTTACTTCTTTTTCTATTTCAAATTTGTTTATATGCATGATGGGTATAGCAATACGCCATTTTACCTTTCCGTAAGCGTGCAATAACTAATAAAATATTTACCTTCTGTGGGCACTGGTCGGTTAAGCCAACCAAATTAATGGAGCCACTCGTGATCACAATATTTTGTAATTACCAATGGATCCATTAATCTGGCGAGCCGCAGCATACAGACGCTTCAGAAAACTGAAGAGTCTTTCAGTTAACGGTACTGATATAGCTCTAGAAATTTCCACCACTGATCTGATAATATTTACTCCTCCGTTTTCTTCTCACGATGTATGGATGTGCATTGCCAAACAAAATGATGGAAGCGCTGATGCCATTTCCAGTAAAAGGCGACGGGTTAAAAAATTCATCGTTGCACTTCGTTGTCCGTGCCGCGGATAGCGTTTTAACAATACGAGTGCACAACGACAGAGCAGCGTCACTTAAATCTTACCGCGTGGTGCGGTTCACGCTTCGGTGTCGTTGTTAGTCTCTAGGTGTTTCGTTAACAACAAATACAGAAATCTGCCATACCTTAATTTCACAAATATGGGTCAGCATTATGCTTTCCCATAAACATGGTGAAATTATCGTATGGCCAGTTTCTGCGTATGCTTGAACGTGAAGCATATTCCAAGGATTTCGGTGATGGGCGATGACTTCGATGTGTCAAAGGCTCTTATTAAATTCTAATACGTACTGGATTTACATGAACGCCAAAGAGCACTAATCGCATGCCCGATTTCCTAAATGCATGTAAATGATGGAATGTTACCGAGGAACGCAAGGCTTTTTGCCGATCCATCTCGCCGGTAACTTTCAAATAACATGAGCATACTTATTGATCGGCAAGATATTAGTATTGTACTAGCAAAGAGATGCATATTGCACAATCTGATATAGTGCGCCTGTCTTAACTCCACTGTCAATTTATGGCAAGGAACTTAAATCAACCGCCTGATTCGGCTGCGAAGGGCCGTCATCGTTCGAATAAAGTGAACATCCGTGCGCTCATGAAGAGAATCAAGTCAATATGTGTGCTGCCCTTTTTATCTCGACGAAGTTAATTCCGACAACGAGAAATTGTTGCAGGACGGACGGTTAGTCACGTACCTCCGCTTATACCCGGGTTACCGATCTAAAAAGTATCAAGCAGCTTAATGGTCCAAGTAACTACACGGAGAATAACGCTGGTTTTAGAGTGCAACCATTTCAAACACACCCGGATTAAAAGTTCATTGACGAAATTTGGACTGGACGCTTACAAGACACAACATAAACACAAAATGGCAGCAACAACAGCGGCCGCCGATTGTTCTCACGACGTACAAATATTACATAAATTACAAATCAACAACCAAGTGCATGCAGCGGCTAATCCTCCTCACCCAGCACCATTTGGCGCCCCATGCTGCCGCCGCCAATGGAACCCGGTTCGACACAAATGTCGGTCTCGCCGCCGGCCAACTGCGCGCGTGCCTCAAGGTACAGTGCCTCCATGGTGAGGCTATCGTCGTAAATCTCCGAGCCCTCGATATTATAAACCTGGGCGTTTTTACACATGAGCGCCACGTCGGCGCCAAAATCGTCCAGGCTCTGGTATTTGCCATCCTTCATCGCCTTTTCCACGCGCCGCAGATCCATGGGCTTACGGATGACGCGATAGTAATCCGGGAGATCCTTACGCGACGGCAACTGGATGAAGGCTGTCGCCACGATGCGCCCGTCCATGTCCTGATAACTTAGCAGTGTGTCGTAGATCTTCTGGATGTCCTGTTGCACCTATAACCCATCCCCATGAATCTGATTCATAATACCTGTAATTAAAAAAAATATTCCACGCTTTGTAACCTGCTGAGGCACGGCTGCTTTGGGCGTTCCGGTGCCCCGTCGTTTCTTGGCCGGCGGCCCAGTCTCTGCCTCATCCATCTCCGCATCTACGGATTCCTCTTTCGGGGTCTTTCCCCGCTTCTTCTTGCCGCTCTTCTTAACCTCCAGCTCCTCCAGTGTCCCCTCGTCCACCGCCTTCAACCACTCCCGCTCCGTGAACCCGTCCGAGTAGTCCACATCCTTGTGGACCCGCGAGCCACGCCCAAACTCCCGATCATCGTCGGAATTAGCTGTCAGGCGTTCAATCTCCTCGTCGTTCTTTAAGATCCACGGTGGCAGCTCAGATTCGCCCATTAGATTCGGCAGACCCCCATACACTGACTGCAAACAAGCATTTCCCGCTAAAAAATGTGATCGCAGTCACTGATTATACAACACATACAGCGGCAATTTCTTGGGCCCGTTCCTGATCGATTCGCTGGAAGAGATCAAACTCATCTTCCGTGCGTGCCAACATCTGGTTAATGGTCTCATCGTCGGGGATAGCGTCCTCTTCCTCATCGCCGTCACCCTCCTGGGTGAGGATCTGCTGCAGGAACTGCTGGCGCTCGTTCAGCGTGGATTTTTGATCAAACATGCCGGCCTGGATGACTTTTTCGTCCATGTTCAGTTTGTACTTGGCCGCCGCCAGAATCTTCTCCTCCACTGAGTTCACCGTCATCAAGCGCAATACACGCACTTCGTTCTTTTGGCCGATACGGTGGGCGCGGTCCTGCGCCTGCATGTCCTGGTGGGGATTCCAGTCCGAGTCGAAAATGATCACAGTGTCAGCCGTCTGAAATAATTCAACCCAAAACGTACAGATTAATCAAATCAACAAACAGGACTGAAAACGTTATTACGGCCGAGGCGGGGCGACAATCAAAATTTCCTTCGTTCGCAAAATATATACATAAGCAAAGAAAAAACGATCAAACTGAAGAATCAAACTTACTTCAAATCGTTTTATAAGCAGCATTAATATTTTAAACAAAGAACAAGCGCCAAACACCCTTTAACATATTCCCACCTGTAAATTCAATCCCAGACCGCCGGCACGAGTACTGAGAACAAAGATAAAATAATCGGAATCCTTAGCATTAAACTCTGCCAGCAACCTGCCACGGTCATCGGCCTTGGTCGTTCCATCCAGGCGCAGATAGCGGAAGCCCCTCCAGTTGAAATAGTCCTCCATGATGGTCATCAAACTGGTCATCTGACAGAACATAAGGATTCGATGCCCAGAGGCTTTGAACTTAGGCAGGATGCGGTCCAGCAGCTCAAATTTTCCTGATGCCCGGTACAGAGTGGGACCGGTGACAATGCCGTTTGGGAAATCCTTTTTGCAATGCTCCGCAATGGCTTCCTCAATGTGTTCGAACATGAAGGGATGGTTACACATTTTCCGCAACTGCATAATGGTGTTCATCAGCGTTTTAGCTCCCCCTGACGAAAACACATTTTCTATTAATACTACTTGGTAAATTAACCAAAATTTTTATGGGACGAAACCCAAATCTTTTGGCCTTTAAACTGCAACATACCTTTTCCCTTTTTATTATGTTCCGATCCATCAGTAAGGAGAACACCCTTGTTCTGCATGTGGCGATAAATGATCCGCTGCAGTGCCGACATATCGCATTTAATCAGATATTCGACCTTGTCCGGCAACTGCGATTCCACTTCCTTTTTCAATCGCCGCAAGAGGAAAGGTCGCAACACTTTGTGCAGACGGCGAATAATGAGAATGGTTTCCTCCTCGTTCAGTTCCACCTTCTCCCCCGTTGTGGCAAAGGGCGCATTAAACCACTGCTCGAATGTGGCCACCGATTTAAAGATGCTCGGCAAGAGGAAATTCAACAGTGCCCACAATTCTGGCAATTTATTTTGCAGCGGTGTACCTTTTAATTAAAAAGTTGCACCAGCCGTCAGCCACACAAAAACTCAAGAAACAAATAATAGTTTGTACAAACGAATGAAATCAAAACTACGTACTCGCATACAAGATAACGGAAATAATCCTTCTAAATTATTCTTACCAGTAAGTAGCAAACGATGGGGCGATGTGTAATACGTGTTTAAGATCTGCGTCAGTTTACAATGATGATTCTTCATACGATGGCCCTCATCAATGATCATATACTTCCAACGGACTTTCGATAAAGTGGCCTTGTCTTTCATGATGTATTCGTATGTGGTCAGCAGCACATTCAATTTGCCTGTTTTGATCTGATGGGCGTACATGCGCCGCGCGGCCGGCTGACCTAAACAAACCCACTGTCCAATTATAACGAGCGCAATGTATTAGATTCCTTATTTCAGCACTACAAATTACTTTGATAATAAACTGTTTCGCATTAACGCAAATCCAAGAACTTTCATTTGTTCCAAACCTTTATATGGAATGGTGATAACTGAAGGCGCCCATTTGGTAAACTCCAGCTGCCAGTTAGACAGGGTGGACAGCGGGACAATGATGAGGTAAGGACCGGGATTTTTCTTCTCCTCCATGAGATAGCAGATTAAAGAGATGGTCTGGATGGTCTTGCCCAGGCCCATCTCGTCGGCCAGAATGCCGTTGAGGTTGTTATTGTACAGTGACACTAACCACTCCAGTCCGCGCAGTTGATACTCCTTCAGCAGACCGCCCGTTAGGATCGCCGGTTGTGTACTGATCGGCTCGCGAATGGCATGCGCCATTTGGTAGTAGTTCTGGTTGGACAGTGCCGCCACCGCGGTGTATTCGTCGTCCTCCGCCTTAGCGCTTTGAATCACCTGACGAACACGAAATATCTTGAACTTTGTATAATTCATAACCAGTTATATTATCCGTACGAGATATTTGTGCTAAAATATCGTTTCTGAATTTACTTCCAACGAATCTGCAGTGCACAGCGGTGGTAAATGCGCTCTTACATGTTCTACTTCTACGTCTTCGGTGACCGGTTTCGTCTCGTCCTTCTTGGGCAACACTTCTTCCTCCTCATCAGAGCCGCTTTCGTCATCCCGCGGCGCCACTTCGTAGCCGGGATGCGCCTCCAGCCAGCTATCCAATTCACTGGCCTTGGGCGCCTCCTCTCCCTTCAAAATGATCCCCGTAGCCGTTTCCATTACGTGCACCGTCTGCTCGGCCTCCACTTCGCTCGACTGCGAATTCTCATCATTGGCGCTGTCCTGGGATGTATCATCCGCCGCCAGTTGTTGAATCTCCTCCATCTCCGCTTTACGGCGATCTCGCATCTCCTTCTGCAGCTTCTTCCGCACGGTAATCTTGTGATCCCGCACCATCTCGGTTAGACTGTTGACGTACTCATCCGTCTGTTTCAGCAGATAGGCCAGACGTCGGTCCTTCTTCTGATCAATCAGCTTCCGATAGCCTTCTTCATCCTCCGCCATCAGCCGGCGCATCCGCTCCCGTTCTAAGCGCTCCTGCTCCTTCTTTTGCTCGCGCTCCGTGTTGGCGTGGTATGTCATCACCGCGCGGTTCAATTTAACAGTCTTGGCTTGGTTATTTTTATGGAATTCGCGGAAGTCTTTCCCGTGCGCCAATACGGCCGACAAAAATTCCTGCCAGCAAAAAAATGTAGCAGCCTGCTCCAATGACAACACTTAAACCACCCTCACCTGGTGTTTCTGACGCTGCTTCCGTTCTGCTTCTACCTTCTTCTCGTTCTCGGATTTCTCTGTCAACCGGGAATCGCGCATGATTTGTTTCTTGGAGGAGCGTTTAAATTGCGCGGGGTTCAATGCGGTTTGAACGGTGGTATCTTTCCGGTAAGAATCGCAAACCTGAAAACAGACACGGTATTCGATGACTGTGTGTAAAATCAAGCGCGGTTAATTCATACGTACTTCGCGACGTAGTTGCCGTTGGAGCCCCAACAACCGCAACGCTTTGTACTCAATCAAGGCCTTCCTTCGCATCTCTTCCGGCAAATTTCCGGGAATGTCCCGCTCCAACTCCTGAAGGCGGTCGGCAATACGCAAGCTAATACTAAATAAGAAAATATAATTATGTTTTACGGCGCACAGCTTGACAGCACCAGAAGGCAGAACGGGAGGGAGGAATCAACTATCAAGCCAATATCAAGGAAGTATGAGGAATTTGCTTACATGTGCTCGCGCTCACGCATAATAACACTGGGATCGACGTTAGCCACTTTGACTGGCGTAGCGGCTCGGTCGCCTCGCATTTGCTGCATCTGGGATACCACCTGCGGATGGAACGGAGCCAAGATTTCCTTGGCAGGAGCCAAGATGCCTGCCGTCAGTGACGACTCACCTAGAAATCATAACTTTCACACACACTGACAACAAATTAAATCATCAGAGCGAAAGTTAAATTAAGACCAATTAAATTAAAAACCCATTAAATCCAGCAACTGAGCAACGCCAAAGATTGTGTTCGGTAGTCCGCTCACTCACTGCTGAAGTATAGTAAACCAATTTCAAAAACCGCCATAATGAAAAATGCAAAATAAAAACCCGCAAAAAAATCACAAACTGCCAAAAAAATTATTGTAGAAAAGAAAACCCACATAAACGGTAAATGATTAGATCATTAGGATTTATACTTCGAGGTTCGATCGAACTGAACTTCTGTTGTTTTACCACCTCCCATGAACGCGAAAGAAATTTTTTTACCGTTCTCTGTTGGTTCTGCACCATCTTTTTTCTCGCTTTTCTGCAATGACGTTCCAAAGACAACCGAGTAGTGCAGCGCTTCAGGCAGCGGTTGGTGGCGAGCCAGACACTTGTAGGCCAGCACCTGCGCATGCAGCAGCTCCTTTTGGGCGTCAGTCAATTTGGGAGATCCATGGTCGGCGGCGGAGTGCGTCCCGTTATGGGCCACTGCATTGGGAAACTGCGCACTCCACTCCAACAAACGGCTGTTTTCCGCCAACGGCGCCGCGGAGACAGGCATGGGCGCGAAGGACTGACGGATCCTCTCTTTCATCTGGCTGGAAATGTTAGCCAGTTGCTGGTAGCGTGGATCCGCCTGCATCCCCCGCTCCTCCATCTGCACGATGGCGCGTGAAACATGGGGAAGTAGCTCCATTACGTTTACGTTCATGCTGATGAGCCAAGCAGTAACTAGTACGCGGGATTCATTCACAGTCCGTGTTGACTTATGACCAACAGCAGTCGTTAGAATATCAAGGCAAACTGCAGGACTCTCAAAGCGAAAAGCTCACAAACAAATGAATTTATTGCAATTTTCTAAAAATCATGCACTCATGCTACAATACAACAATCAACGCCGTAATAACAAAACATGCTAGACGAAAACGGAACAATAAATAATTATAAATTATAAAAATTATCATTCCAGTGGCGGGAAGACGGATTATCCTCACAGGCTCACAAACCAAATTTTTCGAATTTTTTCGAAATGCGTCCTACACCACAGCTTCAATGGATACGCAGCGTTTATAACGGTGGTATGATCGTACTAGTACATATTAAATTTCTGTATTTATTAAAAAATGGGCATCGCATACGTGTAGATGCGTATTGCGTACGGTGCTACGTACGCAGTACTGCGGTCACTCCTAGTCGCGGTCACCGATCTCGCAGGATCTTGAAAACGGCACAGTAACATCAGGGAAAATTACTTCAGCCAACATCCTATTCAGCGTCCATTTTAGATTGAGTTTTAATTTCAATACACGTGATCTTCTTTAGCCTTTTTAATAATTATTTGCTTCCTTAAAGTCAGCACAAGGTACTTTCCTGAGCGCAGTAAATTAACACGGACCATGGCCGTCGTAAACGTTTTTCAGGATGGTGCGTGTAAGAACCTTGCGAAAGAGGTGATGCTCTCATCACCAGGAGCCACCGCACGAGTATTCTGGCACATTGACCAGCATAACTACCATACTGGCGACTTGTCGGAGCATTTCGTGGAAAACATCGCTGGCTCGCTAGCGCAGCTGATAGCGCAATACCACGCTCTGTCCGCTTCGGAGATCAGCGTGGAAGCCCACTGCAACTTTTCCAGCTGTAAAGTTCTGACGGATATGGTCTGGTATCTGGGCCAGTATCATGTACGTGCTTGACTATTGACTAGTAGAACAATACCGCTTGAATAATCAGTATATCTACTTCTCTACTTCGTATAGATAAAATTTTATATAAAATAAAAAGTTAACAATATTTTGCCTTTTTTACCATTGCATTTTACCTAATTAGTGTTCAACTGCAAAGCCTGCAATATGAACTACAGCTATTCAGCTTGTGTAACTTAAATTAACAATAAGTATTTATTTTGCTGCCGCTCTGCCTATTTTGCTGCCGCTCTGCTCTGTTTTTGCTGCCGCTCTGCAGAAAATAAAGTACTGTAAACGAGTTATCAATATGACAATAATTGTAAACATTGTATAATAGCAGAGGTACGGGCAACGACCTAAATATAAATCTATCCGTAATTATCGTATATTCCTAATGTCTATCTTATACAATACTCCTACTACGCTTCGGCTACGCTTCAAGTGCACCCGCCGAAAGCGAGTGCACTTTCCTAGTTATTTTTAATTGATACTGGACTGGATCTTGTTTCCATTCTTTGAATGTTACATTAATATAAAAATTTTTGAATTAATAAACTAGGTCTAAGGTTCAAATACACGCATAACCTTGGGAATTATTTCCCAAATCTGCTAAAAAAACAATGTATTACATTACTAACCATATCTACAAAGTACAAACTTGTTACTTCATGTTGTATGTACCTGTAGATTCCTGTAAAACGCCACATGAACCCTACTATAATGACTGCCCAGCAAGCCATAATGCTACGACTTCATTCATTGCACGGGAGCGACATGAATGGTGACACAAAGTTCCCCGTATGCCTTATTACCGGTGAGTGACTGCGCAACGGAATGCTTGCCCTATGCGCTGTTTATACATCAGCCGGATATTGACGAGTGATTACTTACTTTACAGTATTTATGTTTATGGAAGTAATGCTTTATTTTACCTTAGCCTTGGTATGCTTGTTGTATAGATGATGAAAGATTGATTTACGACTGCCTGCAATTACTGGAAACCCGTATGATCTTATGCACCACTCTTACGGAGTGGAATTCAGCGGGCGTCGTTCAGGTTCTGCAGAGCGGTGGGCACGTTTATCAATGGAGTAAAGAATACGGCGTCGGAGTCAAGTATCCGGTCTTTGACGGACTATTAAACCCCGCCATTCAGTATGGTTGAGCTACTGTCCATTTGTCAATACTTAAAATTAAGGAATTTGAGAGCATCGTTGCTAATTTGTTGCTGTCACTTAACCGTTAAGACTTACTGTTAAGAACACTGTACTGTACATAATTGAATTGTGCAGTTAAAATTACTCGTGTACATATACTATAGAACTATAATTAATGCGAAAGCTATTGATCAAGTATTGCCGCACGACTTGCGAGTACATACTTAATGTCGTACGCATCTGCGGGGGTATTTGTACATTGAAATTACGACAAAAGTTCGATCACTCCGGCGATTTACTAATTATGATCTAAACACTAAATTTAAAAGAGAATATTAAATTTTTATACATAAATTAACACCTGAAGGGTAAAATATTAAAAATTCCGTATGTACAGTTCATGAAATGAATACTGTTGAAGAACATTTTAAGTTACATATTGTTTTTTATTGTGCGTTTACTGGTGCAAGCATCGCTGTATGGTATTGTTTTTAGGAATTAAGATGCTACACTTAAATCTTATGGCGCTAGAATTAGCGTTGCAAACCTTATTAATGGTCTTGATTTACAAGTTAGTGGCGTTTACATAAACATATGCCGGCCGGATGGTGACGCGCCGATTAAAGGGGAGATTGGTCGTAAGGAGTTGTATAAGTAATACTTGAAAATGACTGGGGAAACATCTCATATAATCATATAATGACCTTTAGCGCCCAGTTGTACTGAAACTAGATTGTGGCCATCTGCGCCATTTGATACCAATATCGGCTTTTTCCTCGCAGCGACACAGAAGTCAGTGCATTGTACAATCGGTGACTTTAACCGTAGCGGCGTGTGATATTGCGATTTTTATCAGTTGATAGTTATCGATGATCGCATGTCTTCACAGTTGTCAGTTCGGTTTCCGCATACGGATTAGGTGGAAAACTAGTAACAGTTCGAGTTGTAATTGTAAGTTTTGTATCGGCGAAATCCAAATGCTTTAAGTCTTCGGTTTCTGCTGTATGAAAGTGATCGCGAAAGTTGGAAATTTCATAATCATTTTGAATCTGAAATCAGTGCATCTAGACGGGTGATATATGCATGATCCTTTGAAAGAGTGCCGGGACCGGAAGTCGACAAAATAGTACAACTATATTCCATTCGTTTAATTGGTGTAGCCTAAAAATCGTGTACCCTGCGGCTCCGCGTTGGTTATATAAGCAGCCATAATGCGCGCTGTTAATTCCAAGAGACGCCATCAGGAGGATTTCGCGTACGGGGAACCGGAAGTGGTCACTGACAAGATAGATTATTTCTTCCACAATGGCATACATCCGGCCGCTGAGGTCGTTACGGAACCCATGGTGTTACCGCGCTCGCGACACGATACATGGTACACGCAGAACTGCAAAATCTGAGGTTTAAGTCTGCACATAATTGCTAAGTATTTCGTAATGCGGCAGCCATGCAATATGCCTTATTTAAAGAAAATCGGCTTCATTAATTATTAGTTGTTACTTATTGGTTAGCATTTAAATCCTTTCATGTGGTATTACAGTGGTAATGTGGTATCAATTTGCCAGTTTCATAGTATGTATTCTTTGGGGATAAAAAATTTGATGAATGCATTATTGCAGCAATGAATTATGTAATGCGGCAACAACAATGACCGGATCATAATATTAATGACTCATAAAATTTTAATTATTACAAGTTTCTACAATTCATGTGCTCAGTGGGTTATAAATCGCTGCTACTGAAAAGAAATTATCCTCTATTTTGACTGGGTACAGTTAGATATTTGCCAGGTATTAAATTCTACCACAGTAAATATGATATAAAAACAAAGGTTATTCTTTCCGCAAGAACAAACGTTTTGGGGAATTATTTTTCACATCCGGTCGACAACAGCGAGAACCTTCAGAGACTGTAGAGCATATTGTTCAAGTGAGTCATTGCTGTTTTATGCCATTTGACGCAGCTGACGCAACGTGGTGCACTCCGCTGCTGATAAGTGAATTCTAAAATTTTACCGATGTTAAGATACCTAGTTTGACAGTGTACGACGTTTTGACGAAAATATTAGATTTAGCCATTCTGATTATTGATCCTTAGACAGTTATTTGTATTTTGTGAGAAGACTGCCAATTTCCCGAGTGGAAGTGTGAGAGTGATCGTGGTAGACAGTTGGTGTTGAGCTTGTCACTTGTGTTAAGGAACAGCGAAGAGTGCGAGGAGGAACCCCTGTTCGACCAGCGTAAACTGCACCGTTCGCGATCTCATCCGTGCAGCCGCGATCCCGAACACAGCCAAACGCACCTGCTGGCCCATCAGCAGCGTCTCAGCGAGGCCATGGAGGGCGGCGATCTAACGAAACTGCTCAGCGACGCTGACACTCTCGGTGAGCAACGAGAACAGCCACGAACCTCCTGGACTTCGTTTTGCACGAAAATCTATATAATCGAACAATTATCCATTTGAATCATCGTTTGCACTGTACAACGTAAAATTCTTGATTCGCTTGCAGAACGGAGTAAAAAGGTCCAGAGTCTGTGGCGCGCTCCGTCCGGAGAGCAGCGCCAGCAGCTGCGATTATACAACAGCTTTACGCGGAGAAAAGTGAGTGTTGTCACTTGGAAGTGTAGCACTTGGAATGGAACTGTCGTGATATTTATCATGATTGATCTGTAGGAGATCTTTGTCCCGGAGGATGGGGAGCGAGTGTCATGGTACACCTGTGGTCCGACGGTGTACGATGCTTCGCACATGGGCCATGCCAGGTGCGGCACGGTGTCTACAGTCTTCCTCTTCATGATTCTTTGAATTCTCTCTTTGAATTTTTGTGGTGCTTTCCTCAGAGCCTACATCTCCTTCGACATTCTCCGGCGCGTCCTCACCGACTACTTCAACTACGACGTGCAGTATGTGATGAACATCACCGACATCGATGACAAGGTGAACGAGTCGCGGTTGCGTCAGCCTCTTTTGCTTGATCGACATCAGAATGTTCTCAATGGCAGCAGTGAAAAAACTCGCTTTCATTCATTGATTAGATCATCAAGCGCGCACGGGTCCACTATCTCTTGGACCGCTACAAACAATCGAGCCATAAAAAAGATGTCATCCTCGCCGATTTACGCGAAGCACTGACGGTATGATTTGTTGGTTTTTTCGTTTTTATTAGTTATTGTCCTACTTGAGTTTTCGACTTTTCAAAAAATTTTAATTTTTATGTACAGTGTCATTATTGTGAAATGTTATTTGTTTCTTGTGTTTGTTATGGGATTTTTTTGTAGCAATTTTTGACGATGATCAACAAAGAAGACTGCCAGGATAAAAAGTCAGCCTACTCGAACATCGATAAGAAATGCCGCGATCTGCTCCAGGAGTACGAGCAGTTGACGACCCCCGACCCACCCACCGCGGAGTTGTACGAAGCCTTTAGTGAGCCTCTGGGAAACCATCTAGACCGCCGCGATGGCTTCAACGTCACCGACAACGCCATCTTCGCCGCACTGCCCAAATTCTGGGAGAACGACTTCCATGCTGACATGAGAGCGCTTAATGTTAGTCTAGCACTCTTGCATCTACTTTTATTTTTTACGGGTTATATTTTGTGAAGGTTTTGCCGGCGGATATCTTGACGCGGGTCAGCGAATACGTTCCGGAAATTGTGCAGTTTATCCAGAAGATCGTCTCCAGTGGATACGCGTAAGTACTGTACTATCCGATCATTTTATCTGTTATCACGTCTTTTGACTCTTTTCTGAGTTTGGATGCATTCGTTGCTTTGTGACAGTTATGAAGCCGATGGCTCGGTTTACTTTGACACCAAGGCCTTCGATCAGTCCGATAAGCATCACTATTGCAAGTTGGTACCGGAAGCGTTTGGAGACACGAAAGCCTTGGAGGAAGGCGAAGGTAATCTTAAATTGTTTTGTGGATGGCTTCCATTTCAGACTTAAGGAATGTTACAGGCGTTTTGTCGGAACAAAGCCGGGGCAAACGAACAGCCATGGACTTTGCGCTATGGAAAGCGTCGAAACCCGGTGAGCCGGCATGGGATTCGCCATGGGGCCGCGGTCGGCCGGGATGGCACATTGAGTGCTCTGCCATGGCTACCGAAGTTCTCGGTATGTCGCTAATTTACTGCACTACGCGTATTCCCAGTTCGTATTGCATTTGTTCATACATTGTTTACTTAAACGATTTGGCATTTTTTGAAAATAAACGGTTTGTTTAAAAACATTAGAATTTTTTCAAAAAGTTTACTTTTAAATTGATAATATTAAGCGAAAGAGTTGGAGGAAAATGGTGTGCAGGCGACAAACTGGACATTCACGCCGGTGGCGTGGATCTGCGCTTCCCCCACCACGACAACGAGATTGCTCAGTCGGAGGCGGCGTTTGGGAGCGACGCGTGGGTCAACTACTTCCTGCATTCGGGCCATCTAACCATCACAGGCTGCAAAATGAGCAAGAGTCTCAAGAACTTCATCACCATCAAGGAGGCGCTGAAGAAGAACACGGCCCGCCAGATCCGCATTGCTTTCTTGCTCCACTCCTGGAAGGACACGCTCGACTACTCCGACGCTGTCATGGACGGCGCAGTGCAGTTTGAAAAGACCATCAATGTAAAGTTGTAAACAGATTTATGGTTTTAAACGGATTTCGTCGCGTCCCACATTTTCTGCTGCTCTATGGAAGTCGTAATGTTTGTAGGAATTTTTTCTCAATATCAAGGATCTATTGCGATCTTCGGCAGCTGATGATCACTCAAAATGGAATGAAGAGGATTTAAAACTTAGAGACAAGTACATGCGCATAACTGCTTTGTAAAACTTTAGCATTACTATTTTCACTGAGGCCTTTTGTAGATTTTTCGCCGACAAAAAGACCATTCATAATGCACTGTGCGGTAAGTTGCGTTTTCTGAGCATTTTGACAGTGTGGCATACGTAAATTGGTATTTGATGTTTGTGGTGACCCTGATGGTTGTTATCTTACAGATTCTGTTGATACACGAACGGTGATGGACACGATTCGAAAGATGATCAGTGACACGAACGTGTACAACCGCGAAGCGGCATCCAACGGGCGCAGCCCACATCCGGCATTACTGAGGCTAATTGCGCTGTATCTGACGAAGATGATGCGTATCTTCGGTGTTTTCGATGCGGATGATAGTATTGGACCATCCGTCCAAATCGCCGGCGGCAGTGGAACGGTTAACGTAAGTTCGTATTACTCTCGTTGAACAACATAAAATAAGATGAGGAATTTCCTTGCAGCTGGAAGAAGTGGTATTGCCGTATGTTCGTGCTCTGGCTGACTTTCGTGACGAAATTCGACAGGAAGCGCGCGGCTTGGAGAAGGCCGGGAAGATCTTGCAGCTGTGCGATAAAGTTCGCGACGACATCCTGCCCAATCTGGGCGTCCGGCTGGAGGATCGCGAGGGCGACAACCAACCGTCGGCCATCAAACTGGTTGATCGGGAGACGCTGCTCCGGGAGAAGGAGGCCAAAGTGAAGGTCCGTGTTTTAAAATAAGAATGATTAACGGCGTTAAGGGTTAAATGTTATGGTCTAATTCAGGTGGAGCAGGAAAAAAAAGCGGAGAAGGAACGTAAACGGCTGGAACTGGAGCAAGCACGGTTGGCCAAGGAGAAGATCTTGCAAACCCCACCCGATCAGCTTTTCCGCTTGCAGATAGACAAATATTCACAGTTTGACGGCAAGGTACTTACACCTCAGTAATAATAACAACAGAATAGCTAACAGGAAAAAATGGAAAGCAGATATCAGCAGAAAAACCATACGTTTTTTATTTTTGGTAATTTTTGCTGGTACGAAAGCCGGGCGAATTCACCTTGTTTCCGATGGTTCTAGGGCATTCCGACGCACGATGAAAAGGGGCAGGAGCTAAGCAAAGGCCAGATAAAGAAACTGCAGAAAGCCTACGAACAGCACGAGGCGCAGTTCAACAAACGAGTAACCAATGGACACGCAGCACCGGTCAACGGCGAGGCCTGATGTGGCCAGATGAAGGGCGTTTAATTTATAATACAGAATCATTTATTTATTATCCCTTTGTGTAGTGCGTTTTTTTAGAGATTTGTACGGTTTTTAAGAAGACGATTTATTTAGCTTGAAGAGACTGTATGGAAACTGTATCTTGTGACCGGAAATAACCGCATGTGCGGAAGTAAACTGAATGAAAAAGAGCGGAGGTAATAACGATATCAGGTTATCCGGATTTCGACTAAACGCGATGCGCATGACAGAGTTCACACAACGTGGCGGCCTACATTAGGGCGACGTCACGTGATGGATGCATCCGTATCCCATCTGCTCCAGTTTCTGCAACTTCCGAGAATGCGCACATCTGACGTGCCACGCGGCATCTGATGCCGGCCGCAGCGCGATTGACGTAGCAGCCAGGCCAGGTTTCATCAACGTACTCGTTGTATCTGCATTGTAAAATTACTAAGTATTTCGCATGGTACCTTTAAGTAACGTAGAGATAGGTAAGCGGCATAGGCGTGCGCCAGTCAGATGTAAAATTGCTCAGCTGTTTTGCCGACTGCGATTTGACCACAGGTGAGACATCGAGTACTTTGTGCTTCATTCTGCTTACTTCGAGTACGAGTGCGCTATTCGGGAGAAGCCCTCTTTATGTTGCGAGGCAGCAATGCGATTCATTCGCTTAGTCGGACCGTGGCAGCGAATCCTGTTGGCGATCAAGGCAGGTGCAAGTGGTAATGTTAGTGGCCACTCAACACGTCATTACGCTAATGGAGGCAGGATACAGTGGTGATAATTGGCGGTGTCATGCACGCAATTCCTGTTATCGGTTTCCCCCAAGCTCAAGGGTAATGTTACAGTACCACGAACGGGTGCCCTTTCTTTAGTCTCAGTCGGCAAATTCCGTCCGGATAATAATTATAAATTACTCTTGAATCAGTGGCCAATTTCTTTAAGAGCGGTATTAAGGTATCTGAGCGCTGCACTGGAGTAGCAAGTTGTGCAGTCTTACCGCGCGATATCACAGTAGTTCCTACCATCCCCATTTCCAGCAACCTTAGCTTCGGTTCTACTGCGTGGCAGCGTGCACCAACATGCACTCCAGCTTCCTCTACGGTTTCCATGTAAAACCAAATACGCTGTGCTTGTGCAATGTACCTAACATCAGTAAATACAAGGCGCACCTTGGGACATCACGGAACGAAAGACCTAAACGGTGGTAGTACGAACTACACGAACGTTTCCCATTCCAATTCCACCAGAAACGCTAGCCTAGACGATGCCTGCCTCCATTATGGTAATTGGAGCGATCCGCAAACCGCCATCGAAATCGTCTCCATGTCGGCAGTTATCATAATCAGCGCCGCCGGTCTCGTCAGTCTCTTCCGCACCACATCCGTCAGCTCCTCATTTAAACCCTACATCGCCAACCTTCTCCTGGCCAACTTATCCCTAGCTGTTTTTGAAAATCCCCTGGACATTTTATTGGAGCTCTCCTGCCAACACTGGACGCTGTCGTGGGCGATCTGTGACCTTTATCTGTACTGCAACTACGTCATCACGGCGTGGGCGATACACGCCCACCTCCTCATCACCGTCAACCGCCTCTGGGCGCTGGTTTTTCCTTACAGTTATCGTGACCAACACATTATTAGCACCAGCTTCCTCTTTATAGGCGGCGCTCTTGTATACGTCCACATTTGGAGCGTTCCAGGCCTCGTTCTGGATTCCGTGTTCTACCGCAGCATGAATGACGAATGCGAGGTGAACAACGACGCCCAACGAACGTGGGCATTAGCGCTGCAGATCTGCTTGTTTCTGGCTCCTATCGTCTTCGTGGCGGGAGCCTATATGTACATTATCGACCGGCAGCGTATGCGATGGAAGACGCGTCCCGGAACAAGGGAAGCCCCTCTGTCGCAGAAGCCAACGGACGGGAAAAGCAGCGATCCTCCTGCAGCACAGAAGAACACCCGTCAGCAAAACAATCAGGCCTTCCTCATCCTCACCCTGTTGACCTGCAGTGTGGTGATTACATGGACGCCCTACCAGGTCTGCCAGTTATTGCAGATCCTGGACATGACGGTGGCCGATGACGTCATAGGCGCCCTGGATGTTTTGTGGATCATTCAGTCTGTCCTGGATCCGGTGCTGTCCACCAGCATTGTCTCGGACGTATGGGCCGCTTTCCAGCAGTGGCGTTGATGAGGAACATCTTTATATAATTATATGTGATTGTTTTAGTGTGTGGCAAAGCTTGGAACGAATGACCTTCCGTATGGAACCGGACCATGACTGGTTTCGTGTCCATCTAACAGTTTTGTAAAGAGTACGGTTGCAGATGCCTCATGATCAGTTGCACTGTATATGAGTAACATCTGAACATAACTGTCTTTCTGGGTTTAATTAGAGAACAGCAGTTTTACGTTAGTAACATTTTGAGCACTGGTACTTTTCGGGTCTATACGACTATAATTAGGTAACTGTTATCATGGAATTAAAGCACGGTATGTCTGAGAATATCGATACTGACACGCAATGGCCATCAGCTGCGTTGTATGTTTTCAGTTTGGATATCCTATTCTGCGTAGAAGTATACATGCAACGCAGTCCAGGTACTAGAGTGTTAACTCTTAAGAAAACGATGATACTGAACCATACATAAGCTTGAGGATTCAGCGTGGTATACTGTATTTTCTTGACGAAAATCAGGGAAATAAAGATTGTACTTCCATTTTTTTTATATCACGCCTATAGAACCGTTAACAGCCACTTCAGACTTTTGGTGCTGTTAAATAATTACTTTTTTATGTTTGCAGCACATTCTGAATTGTCAGACGTACTCGTAGTATTAAAACAAGTGTGAGTGAGTCAGTCTACTGGGATAAATTGAACAAAAAACTTGAGCACTTTGCAGTAGTTTCACCGACTACGGCGCCCCAACCAGTCGGATTTAAAACCTGGGACATCAGTTTTTTACATATACAACTTTTCTCATTATCATGGATTTTCTGCACCTAAACCATTGGAATTCGGATCGTAAGAAATGCAATATAGCTGGTTGGAAGCAAAGACCGGTTGGTGTAGGCGCGAGCTTCTTGAATTGCCGGAAAACCAAACATAAGGTCAGTAGCCATCTGCAAAAACAAAACTCATTAGCAGTGCTGCAAAATTATAAAGCCCTGAAACAGCAATGATGCAGTTTACGTGGAACGTTTTTCGCATAGTGGTAGAACGATCATCATTTTCAGCGAGTTTGTAATATTAATACTGCAGGAATCACGGTTTGATCCACCGTTTCCTCAAGGTTACAAGGGCGCAATAGGCGAGCGTTTTCTGTCACAACCTTTTTAGTAACGGGGAAGTCAAAAGTGGAGTTAGGTAAAAACAGCTCCCTTTAGGCCACTAGTTTTAAGGTTTAATTTTTGAATGTTCAGCCACTAGCTTTATTATAACATTAATTCTATTATGGATGGTTGCATATCTTTATGGGATTTTTTCGGTTTTTGAAATGTTAACGTTTCAAAAAATGAAAAACTCCCATAACGATTTGCAACAATAAAGTCAGACACTATCGTAAATGAGAACAGGTACTTGCACATTAGTAACAGCGATGAATCCTCCCGTAGATATCCTGTGATAAAGGTGCCTTCTCGTTTAGACTTGATTTGTTTTTGTTTGTTTATCATTTGCGCCTTTATACTCGTATGTTCGCAGTCGATCACAGGTCCAAACATGAACCACATCTGTGGACACTTACTGGTTAGCAAAACGTATATGGTAGAAATCAGTTACTAATTTATGCACCGATCGATAATACGTTTTGTATTTTAACAAGTGCATAGTTCCACAGTTGAGCGTATTTACCGAAATATTTTTACCGATGAGCTCGGTAACCTTTAGGAATTTCTCCAAGGGAGCTTCCTTTAAACACTGAACGACTTCTGCTTGTGTGGCGTTTAGGCATCCAAGTGCACTGGCCACCGTATCAGCACCAACTTTTGCAGCGTAATTGACAGACCGCGATGACAGGATGCTTCCACTCATTGCTATGCCGGCACGAACATTTTCTACAAAGAGAAGTTTTGGTTAGGCTGCAATATTGCCTGACGCTTTTATCCAGAAACACCGCTGAAGTCGGCGCGCCTCCTGCGCTTTCTCCAAAAATACTGCTTCCGGATCCTCACCGAATTTGGCAATGTTTTCCTTGACCCATTTTAGGGCCACTTTGATATCCCCGATTCCGTAATTACCGTTAATTGCCCCGTCTCCTGTGCTAAAAAACCCTAAAACTCTTTCGTGTTTTGTGTCGCAGCACTGGGTGCTTACTTGTTTGACAGGCAGCACAAAGATCTTGTGGTCAAAGACATGAGAAGTTTTATGTAAAATAATTTACCGTATGCGTACAGATAAATATTAAGGAAAATATCAAGAATTCGATTGCGTAGTACCGCATATATGTACGTACAGAGTAGAACATATGTTACACGATGCGTATAGCGATCCGAATCGAATTAAATCTTCAGCTCTAATCAAACTAATGTGTTTGAAAGCAAACGCAATGCCACATTAAGAGGTAATTTTTTTTTAAAAACCAAGTCAAAAAATTGAATATATTATTTACGGCAGGTTGACGACAATTAAATCATTATAGCTACACTGCACTGCATCTCTTTATGCATTGAGCCACAATGCGCGATTTCGTGTTCCTTGACGGCCGGGCAGTTAAAATTTCAACGTAGGTTAATATCTACGAGTACGTAGGGCAATAATTATCATGCAATTACAGTAGAGAAGCAAATTCGTGCGTGCTGCAGAGCCATTCGTACAAAGGTGCATATATCAGCCGCTACCAGTGCTGGCGCTAATAGGCCCGGCTGTATATAGGGAACGGGATACAGAAAAATTTCCATGAGGATATTTTGCCGGAAGCCATTATTGCCGGTCACTCGTGTGCATTACGCTGTTTCATGGGATGCATTTGTACGTCGAAATGTCATGTGCTCTAGCTATCTACGTAACCGACAGAAATCAAGATATACGGCACCATTGTATAAGGCCGCTACGAAGTACGAAGTCAGCAATGACTTCATATACACCAGCTGAGGTAACGTCATAGTGGTCAGCAGCGTGACTTCATAGTATTACTTCCGTAGCAAACTTCGGTAACGCACTTCCGTAACGAACTTCCGTAACGGACAGAAATCAGCAAATGCATTAGTCTGGAATATAGAGAACCTCCGCTACGCTCCGGTCGATCAGCTGGCTCGTCCCTGCACACCGGTCGGCCGCACGGGCATAGAGTCTGTTATGAGGTTGAGCTCTCCAGGTGTGCCGCAGCCACCGCTTCCCCCACAACCGGGTTTCGTAAGCATCCGGCGTTTGCAGATGGACACAACCGGCGTGGAGGGTAGCGGGTCTAAGATAGCTTGTACATTTAACAGCACATCCAGGCTGGCCACCAACGGACCGCTCACTGGCACTTTGACAATTAAAAGCAACTGACAGACCTGATACGGCGTCCACGTCATCAGAAGGACGTCACGACGTCCACGTCACGATAAGGAAGGCCTGGTTATTCTGCTGACGTGTTGTTTTGTTCACTGTGTCCACACTGGACCCGTCCATGGTCAGGCTCTGGTTCTTCTCCTGTCGAAGTGACCCGGGTCTCGTCCGCAGTCGCATCCGCTGTTTCAAGATGATGAACACATACGATCCCGCCACAAACGCGATGGGCGCCAGAATTAAGCAGACCTGCATTCCCACCACCCATGATCGCTGGGCGCCGTCGTTGTTCTCGCAGTCATTTTCCATATTCCGGTAGAAGAGGGAATCCAGGATTAAGCCGGGAATGCACCAAGCGTGGAGGTATATGAGCGCGCCGGTGATAACGAGGAAACTGGTAACGATGCTGTGGCGGTGCCGGTAGGCGTAAGGGAAGGTCAGCGCCCAGAGGCGATTAAGGGTGATGAGAAAGTGGGCGTGCATCGCCCAACCGGTTATGACGGAGTTGCAGTAAAGGAAAAGGTCACACGCCGCCCATGACAATGTCCAGCGCTGACAGGACAGCTCGAAGAGAATATCTAGAGGATTCTCCAGGATAGCCAGGGTCAGGTTGGCTAGGAGGTGATTGGCGATGTACGGTTTGAAAGTGGCGCTGACGGATGTGGTGCGAAAGAGACTTACGAGACCGGCGGTGTTCAAGACAATCACTGCCAACATTGCAGTTATTTCCACGATGACCAGTGGGACACTAAGATTCCCATAGCGGGAACAGATGGCATTCATGGTAGTGTTAGTTTTGTTGAACAGCGTCATTGCCTGCGAATAGTTTCCCTTGAGTATTTCGAAGCTCTTTGGATAGCAGTAAATTATCACCTTGACAGGAACGCAACTGGTGCTTATGCAGATTATTTCGTATATTTTGTAATTGCGCACAATCGACGCCATATAGCGATGATCACGCAAGGAGCTTTGAGGCAGCCGTGCCAGCACATGACTGTGCATCTTCGCAGTAAACGTCGTCATTAAGTACTAAAGTCAGAATAATGATGTAGGTGGTTGAATGGCTGTGAATTGCGGGTGGATAGAGTGCCGACCGGAAGGAGGGGACATACTGATTGGTTTGGTGGAAGCCAGCCAAAAATTTGTTGATGCAGAGCGGGGTGCGTGGTCTTACGGCTGGATTGTGTGTGCCATAATTATGATGTAACATTTGAATGGAATACTGCTCGATTCCCTTTGTCAGAGGTCGTCGATGCGACGGCGATTTCTGGCTCGACATGAAGCATGTAAAAGGAATGGAATGTAATGTGTTATTAATATGTGTTATTAATATGCTGGTCGGTTTTTTCCCGTGATTAGAAGGGGGTTGGGCAGGGATGCGCTATAGCTATGAAGTGCCAATCGAGCGGCATGGTCTTTCGCGGCTGATGACCCCCATTATGCATGGCTCTTACTTGTTATAATATAGCAAGTGCGCCATATTATGGCGCCATCTTAAAGCAAAGCAGCGTGTTCCTGCATTCCCGGCAAAGGTCACTTTATGCAGATCGCCACTCGCCCTGTTGAATGATCTTGATACAACAATCAGACTTGGTCGCGTCACCATCTCTAGACTTCGATCTTGTGCAATCGCAACCACATATATTTGGCAAAATGGTCCGAAACTAACGACTTTTAAAAAATCTGTGCTATTATATTTTTCTCCTTCAATTAAAAGCCCAGTTGGCTAGAAATTCTATGGTCGAAGTCGATCGGATTTCGCGCCAGCTCCGTTGGAAAATTGGACGTTCTGCAAAGTGCTGTTAAAATGTGCGCAAGCGATGAAGCGTCCGTATCTGAGCGCATACCTGGGATGCGATTTAGAGACGACCAACTAACTACATAATAGCAACACTCGAATTTGCGCAAAGTTAATTGGAAATATACAAAAACGACCAAATCAGCATAGTTTTCATGCGGGTCGCATTCTGGGACGGGGATATGGGAACACGATCTTTTCCGCATATAAACTGCAATACGTTTGCGTGCAAAGACTGCTGCTAATCGAAAGCACTGTCAACTGCAGATGGAAGTGTTATAGTACTGTACTTTCTCCCGAAAGCAAACAGACGTCACTGTACGGCGTATCTTTACAACGAGCGTACTTAATGAGTACGAGTACCCATCAGGGCATCGAAATTCCGGCACATTACTAAATGGCGAATAGTGACAGTATTTCAGTCATTCTATTTCATGGTAGGTAGGCCGCTTGTGCAGTTGTCAGCCGCTTTTGTTATTCATGTCTGACGATGTACAAAACATGGGGAAATATATCAGTACGTGCACTTTGGGAGACAATTGAAAACGGGACAAAATGGAGCGACAAAGTAAGGGAGCGACACCAGCCTTTGCTGCATTTTATTAAACTGGGAACAGGTATTTAAATTTAATCTGCCACATTATGCAGGTGAACGCCTATTGGAGGTGACGTGCCAGGTATGTGGTGACCGGTCCAGTGGCAAACACTACGGAATATTCAGCTGCGACGGCTGCTCGGGATTTTTTAAACGGAGTATTCACAAGTACGCTTGCAGAATACCTTACAGTTGCTTTTCCTGGATCGTGGATTAGGTATTTCTTGAGCTATCAACGGTGCATTGTTTTTAGGAATCGAGCCTATACCTGCAAAAATTCAGATCCTAACGGCGCACGCGGCGCCTGTGTTGTGGACAAGACACACAGAAATCAATGTCGCGCCTGCCGCTTGGAGAAATGTCTACGCGCTGGGATGAACAAAAATGGTAGTTAAATGGAACTTTTCGTGCAAAAATTTCCCGTAGCTATGGTGTGTCAACCTGGCAGTCAAGCGGATTTCTAATAACACCCGCTTTAATCGGCACATTTACTGCCGAAAGCTGGGATCCTCGATCTTATTTTGTACCTACTTCCCTATTATATAGTTTTGTTACTATGCAGTAATTTAAATATTGGTAAGATTCCCGGTAAACAAAGCATCGAACGGTTACAATCGGTCATTATATTACTGAGTGTACGTTGTAAATTTTGTGGAGGATGTAGAGCGGAATCGATGACCCAGCAGTAACTGAGCATCCTTGACTGGTCGCCGCAGTCGTTAGGCGCCGACAGCCGGGATTGCGTGCAAGTGTTTTCACAGGGATAAACACTTTGTCTAAAGATCAATTTGCATAGAGATACGCCACTGTCATCCCGAAATGCCGATGCGTCGTCAGCTGCTGTCGTTCTCAGCATTGGTCGCATACGTGGGAAATCGATGCGCTAGACTAACTGGTCAATATTTGCCGCGATGCAGTGGACGCTTAATCCGTCAATACAATCGGTGTTTGTCTTTTATAGCGCTGCAACATGAACGTGGTCCACGCCGACCCAAGTTGCACCCCGGATGTCACACCCACTTTTCTGCCACTGCTTTGCCGGCATTGACCAATCATCCATATCATTCGCTGCAAATCCGGCAGGAGTTTGTGGACGTGTTGGTGGAGAAGTGTATGCAATCGACGCGCAGACAGACCTTTGAGTTAGCAGTGGAAGGAGACACAGAAGCGGCGGAGCGACGAAATCGGCAGCTGAAGCAGACGCTGGCGGTACTTTACGAAGTTGCGTTGGGACTAGCGCAGACGGGAAGCGCCCTGAACATCGCTGTCCGCGACCAGGTGGGTTACGAATACCGCTTTTTTGGTAACTGTTAGATTGCTGCCTGGCGCCTTTTGATTGGAAATTTTTGGCTTAGCCAATCAGCGATGACCAGCACAAGCAAATTTGTGCTGGTTAACATTTCTCAAACCGTCGCGTGTTCGTAGGTGCTGCTGTTGTACGAGTCCTGGCAGGAGCTGTTCATCCTGACACTGTATCTGTGCGTGAAGAATGCCTGCAATCTGGAGCAGTACACTAGCTTTCAGGATGTACCGGACATGACGCTACAAGAACAGTGGAATGCCGTTCTCCACATTGTCAACCGCCTGCGGGTGCTGCGCGCTGAGCAACCAGAGATTAACCGGCTCAAGCAGATCTGTTTTCTGCGCTATGGTAAGGGTTTCCTGTCCACTGTCCACTGCATAACAACAGCCAGGGTGAACTGTGCCGAACTATACATTTTAGATGCGCCATTGGAGGCCCGTACGGTGTACAACATTGAGGCGTTGCAAAACCAGGCGCAGGGAATGCTGCGTGAGCAGATGTTATTCGATAGTTTACGCTTCGGGAAGCTGCTGCTTCTTGTCGCCGAGCTGCGGATGATCAAGAAGCGCGCCGTACAGCGCATATTCTTCCCAGACTGCATCGACTTTGAGCAGCTTTTTCAAATGGTTTTGGCTAATATTTTTCGTTGCCGTTTGTGACCTTTGCCAGGATTAAGTGCGTCAGGGCACATCTGATGCATAGTACGTATACCGGTATGCTGTTGTACACTCGCAGAGTCTCATACTTGGACAGTAAAAACACCTTTTAAATTTCAAATAAAGCCAACCATGTGTCAAAAAGCATCAAAACTCAGTCAGAAATTCAAAGCAGAGCATGACGTAATTGAAGTTGTTAAAGAAGCGAGGTTACATGATGAAGGTTACATGAGCAAGGTTTTTATCTGACTTCGTATACAAATTAAAGATCATTCATGTACGATACGTCCAACATCCTCTACACAGTACTTTGGGAATACCTATATATAAATAAAAAGCTTTTCGGCATAATACGAAACAAAAAGAGTTGGTTTATTTTGGTGTCTTATTTTGATGAGTTGGTTTATTTTGATGTCTAATTAAACTCGCAGTTATGAAATTACGATACTGATCATGAGCGGTCGTGCAGTCCATCATGCTTAGAATTAATAAACTCACAGAAAATGAATTGCTGCAGCATAGTATTGTCCCAAAACACTTTGCTATTGTCCCAAAACACTTTGTTCTTCTGAAATGCAGTACAGTTAGAGGAAATAGTCAGCCAATACACTGATCAAGTCTTAGCGGGAAACAGGAGTCAGGGATTTGACAAAGTCGTCATGGGAGCAGTATGGTTTATAAATTACGACGGATTGCCGAATGGGGAGTAGGGTACCGGTACAACGATGAATTAGTATGGATCGTTGGGGCCCCAGGGAAAGTCCTTACTCTCCAGCACGTTTTTGCTACACATCATAAATACCAGTAATTAGTACTCTAGATATTAGGTAAATAGATCACTGTAGGCATCAAACTGTTGTCTTTTATAATCACCTGAAGGGCAGTGCGTAGACACGCAGCTTCTGGTCCAGCTTGGCAATGTTGTCCATCTCCTCCGCTGTTAACTTGAAATCAAAGATGTCCAGGTTCTCCTGCATACGCTTTGGATTGGTGCTCTTCGGGATGACGATAATGTCACGCTGGATCTCCCAGCGCAGCAATATCTGCCGTGAACACACACAAATAAAAAAGTACTCTCGCTCCATCTTGTCGCGGGCGTCAAGTGTGAACAAAGTGTACATACCTGCGCAGCGGACTTGTTGTACTTCTTCATCAGCGGCTGCAGCGTAGGCTCATCAAGCACATTGGTGACCTGCTTGCCGGCAGCCTTGAGTTTGGCCATCAAACCGGGATTTCCCAAGGGACCGTAGCTGCAGGGCACACCGAAAAGGTCACGTCTAATGAAGATCATCGTGCCAGCGCGCTGAAAACAAAACGTACCCGGACACGGAAATCCCTTTGGAATGGCAGTAGTTGACAAGCTCTTTCTGTTGGTAGTAAATGTGGCACTCAATCTGTAGATTTTTGCAATCAATTAGAAAACACTTTCTAATTGTATTTTGTTAAAATCATGAGATCAACTGCCAGAAAATCAAAATACACTTGCTTAATTCTTGCATGTGTTTGTGTTGTGTAAAGCTAAAGCAGTACCACGGTACGCAAGGGACAAACATTGCAAAGGAATTGTACAAACGCATATACATGTATTTATATTCGTCAGAGGCGCAGATAATGTTGAGGTATAAAGTGCATGTCAGTTCTAAGTTCTAACCCGTGCGTACCTGGAGATTAGCCGGTTTGATAGTGGAATTATCGAGAATGAACTGGATCTGCCGGCGGTTGAAATTGGAGACGCCGATGGAGCGCACCTTTCCGGATTCCACAGCCTTCTCCATCTCCTGCAACAATATGGTTCATGTATCGCTGATAAGCTATGAGCAGTGTGAAGTGATCATATTAGCCGTTTAACATACACGCCAAACCGCCTTGTGGTCGACATCGTGGATAAGATGGTTGCCCTGCGCGTCGGTCGGGTACAGGTTGGTCTCATCTACACAAAGTCAGCGATGAGTTATTTTGGTTAATGTGCTGAAACTGCGGCATCCTCGGCCGGTATAGCTAGTTACCTTCGGTAGGCAGGAAGCCTAGCGGGGAGTGCATAAGGTATAGGTCGATATAGCCGATGTCCAGACGGGCCAGCGACTTCTCCAGCGCCACATGGACACGCTCCGGCGTCAGGTGGGTGTGCGGCAGCTGGAAAATGAACGTAGGCTGTTGTACAATACGGGGGAATAGCGAGGTTAAGCAAAGCAGCATAGGCTGCAGTCGCGCGCGCGTTAATTGTACCTTGGTGGTGAGAAAGATGTCCTCCCGTTTAATAACACCCTGCGCGATCTTGTTGCGGATGCCGCGGCCCACGCCGGCCTCGTTGAAGTACAGATAGGCCGTGTCGATGTGTCGATATCCCATATCAATAGCTGCCTCCACCGCGGCGGTAGTCTCGTCATCTGTCGCCTAGATATGTCCACCGCGTTTTTCACCTTTTGGTACAAGCATCAAGCAAAGTTTTGGCTTGGTTGCAATGTATACTCACGTGCAGCGTCCCCAGTCCAACCAACGGCATTTCGAAGCCGCGCTGTTTAGCTTAATGCAGCCTTTCTTGTCCTTATCGCACATTTTGACGGGATCGTGTCGGGTTAAGTACAAAAAAAAAACGAGAAAGGGGCGCTGCGATTAATTCGAAGCGGAGTTAGTGGAGTGTTGCTGAGAAGTGCAAAACTGCTGTGGCTTTATACACACCTGGTTAAAGCTTATCGTCTTCAGTAAGTCTCGTTTATCGATCGATTTGAATGTGTGTGAAAATATGTTTTACCGGTTAGGTAATAACATAACCGGTAATCTACTCTAGTATCAGTGCCGCTGTGTACACGGCTATTCAAGCTGCTAGATAGACTAACAAAGCCCGCTAAACAAACTCCTTTCTGCGACGTGGCAAGCGCACTTCCGCCAGATATGCACCATACGGGAAAGGAACAGGACGGGACTGTTCCAATATTGACGTGTTTGCTGCATCATGCTGATGCGACGCAATGTGAAATACTACACGTATCCGCTGTATGTATTGTACTCGTACCGTATGTCTGCAGCTATATCGCATTCTCATTAAATTACAGATATGTACATACAGGTGTCGGATCCAATCTTCTTCACTTATACCAAATTCATATACAAGCATTGCATGTGCACTTGGATAGTATCGTATCTGTAGTTGGCGGGAAGCGCGCTAAAGAATAAAAGTCAGTCAAGTTTGTACAGAGTTTACCGGAATATGTCGAATATCAGTCAGCATTGTATATGATCATGAACATATTACAAAGTATCTTTATCTTTATATTCATACAAGCTTACCGACCAAAGCGTATTTATGCGCCGTTTTTAACTCCTCGATAACTCGTGGTCAGTTTAAGTCTAGCTTGGTCTTAAAAAATTCCATATTTTCCATAGGTGTGCCAATAGATTTTTGTTTGTTTTTAATAACCAGTGGTCAAAAGATGGTTTCATCAGGTCTTAAGTACAGGAAACGTAAAGAGCAGTCGAAGAAGTATTCACTGCACAGCAATAAAAAGTGCTTTAAAACATAATGACTGTAACCACGGAGACTATAGCGGATGCATAAATACTCTTTAGGTAGAATTATATATTTTTACTGTACGTCATGCAAAAGTCCATACGTATTTCAGAGCGTCAAAACGTCAGAAATTCAATACGTATGAACGTCAGAACGTAACACCGTCAGAACGTCACAAAGTAAAAACATCGGAACGTTAGAACGCCAGAACGTCATAAAGTAAGAACATCAGAACGTTAGAACGTCAGAACGTCATAACTTTAGAACGTCATATAATCAGAACGTTATAACGTTAGACGTCAGAACGTCAGAACGTCAGAACGCCAGAACGTTAGAACGTCAGAACGTTATTAGAACGTCAGAACGCCAGAACGCCAGAACGTCATAACGTCAGAACGTCATAACGTCAGAAGGGCAAAACGTCATAAAGTAAGAACGTTAGAACGTCAGAACATCAGAACTTCAGAACGTGAAAAATTAAAATTGTCAGAATGTCAGAAATTCCAAACGTCAGCCTTTATATATTTATAATGGCCTTTCCAAAACAATGCCAATACTATCCAATACTTAAGTGCCGAGCGCGGATGCGCGAGGCTACCTTGTATTCATACAATCTTACCGACCAAAACGTATTTATGCGCCGTTTTTATAGACTCGTCAACGCGTGGTCAGTTTTAGTCCAGCTTGGTCTTAAAAAATTCCATATTTTCCATAGGTGTGCCAATAGATTTTTGTTTTTTTTAATTAACCAGTGGTCAGAAGATGGTTCCACCAGGTCTTAAGTATAGGAAACGTAAAGAGCACTCGAAGAAGTATTCACTACTGCAGTCTGCACAGCAACACAAAGTAAGTACTCGTACTTAACATGATGACTGTAACCACGGAGACTATAGCGGATACATATTAATACTTCCTTTTTAGTATAAATAATAATTGTTACGAGGTATGTGAGCAATAAATTAGTACCCAAACGTCCATAAAAGGTACATCGCCCCGTATGTCGCTTATACAGTATCTATACGTCACAACGTAAAAACATCAGAAGTCAGAACGTCAAAAAACAGAACGTCAGGTAATCCGAACGTGAAAAATCAAAAACGTCAGAAATTTAGAACGTAAAAATATCAGACGTTAGAACGTCAGAAGGTCAGAATGTCAGAACGTGAAAAATTAAAAAACGTCAGAACGTCAGAAATTCAAAATGTCAGAACGTTAGAACGTCAGAATGTCAGAACGTTAGAACGTCAGAATATCAGAACGTTAGAACGTCAGAAGGTCTGAAAGTCAGAACGTGAAAAATGAAAACGTCAGAACGTCAGAAATTCAGAATGTCAGAATATCAGAACGTTACAACGTCCGAATATTAGAACGTTAGAACGTCAGAAGGTCAGAAAGTCAGAACGTGAAAAATTAAAAACGTCAGAGCGTCAGAAATTCAGAATGTCAGAACGTTAGAACGTCAGAATGTCAGAACGTTAGAACGTCAGAATATCAGAACGTTAGAACGTCAGAAGGTCAGAAAGTCAGAACGTGAAAAATTAAAAACGTCAGAACGTCAGAAATTCAGAATGTCAGAATATCAGAACGTTACAACGTCCGAATATTAGAACGTTAGAACGTCAGAAGGTCAAAAAGTCAGAACGTGAAAAATTAAAAACGTCAGAAATTCAGAACGTCAGAATATCAGAACGTTAGAACGTCAGAATATCAGAACGTTAGACCTTCAGAAGGTCAGGAAGTCGGAACGTGAAAAATTAAAAACGTCAGAACTTTAAAACGTTAGAAGGTCAGAACGTAAGAACGTCCGAACGAAAAAAATTAAACCTTAGAACGTTATTACGTCTTATGAAATACGACTACGAAAGCGTATATACGATTTCAATCTAAGTCTTAAATAAATCACATTTTCCATACCCTCCCAATTATCCAAAATTTTTACAATTTCCTGTGTGCTTATGTCTCATTTGAAAATATTCATAATTTCCAGTACTTAAGTGCCGAGCGCGAATGCGCGAGGCTACCTTGTAGATATATACTACTTCATACTGTGCGCGTGACGCAAATTTGCCCGAATTAGATAACAGCAGAATGGTGCATCAATTATAGTACTCGTACTGCACTATTTATATTCACACATCTTCACATTACAGACTTTTTAAATATGTACAATTCATGCAGAACACAGGAAGAATCGCTGGCCTCTCACAAATCTAGTTCAAAACAACACACCTAATTTACTACTTAAAACAATTTTCTGTTTTTTGATTTTGCAGTTTTGCAGACGAAGACAAAAATTGAAAGCAAAAGATATGAAATGAAACACGAATTTTCAAAAACTTTCAAACCGAATCACGCTGGTAGATTTCTAATTTATGCTGAAGCAGATTACCATAATCAAAAGAGCCGCTTGCTTTATCGATTGACGGCTCATAATTAGGCTCAAAGCGAGAAGAATTTCGATAGAGAAAACTTTTTTAGCTTGCCTTTTTTAGCTTTGCAAGCTAATTTTTGACCAGTGAGCCAATAACGTGATCTTAACTGATACACATCAGTACCACATCAAGAATATAATTACTAAAATTAGCGGCTTAACCTTTCTCATAGCAAAACATCGTCACGACAGACCACGATTAACAACGAAGGTTCAAAATATTTAACAGCTAGATAGTTTTCTGTTCTTTAAGGCAATCAAAAGCCTGTACGGAAAACTTTTTCCGGAGTAGGCGAGCTCAAATTAAAATAAAAAACAAGTATATTGTAATTTACTGTCGGGCCGCATAGCACTGACCATAAATTATTTGCGTTGCTAAATTACGTTGCTAAATTACAAGAATTACAAACGGTAGCATCAGAATTACACGCAATTCGAATTACCTACTTCATCCGCTCTGGCGAACCGCACTCTGGCCGTTCCTGCAACCAGTACTTCTTGCGAGCGATTGTTCAGTTTAGCTGGTTTCGTCATGCATGACCGCCGAAATCAGTTTTGGCCTGAGAAGCTGGATGACCACACACATGTTACTTACTTAAAAGTTTTGAATAACTGTTTTTTATGCTGGAAAACGTTGGTTGTGAACTTGTGACATTTACTCAATAAGACCGAATTCTATTGTTATTTTTAAGGAGAAAATCCTTTTGATGCGGTATATTAATGGCGGCGATGTAGCTTAATCGATTATGCTAATAACTTTGTCGCATTAACTTTTTTTAAATAGGAAACTAAGCGCTAAATGTCGAGTGTGAATTTTTGGTTTTTAATAAAAATTGTCTTTTTGGACAATTATCCGATTAAATAATATTATACAAGCCCAGCACGGATGAATAATGTCTTAGGATTTCGAGCATGTAAAAAGGTTAACCGCATATGTATTAAATAATGGCACGATGTTTATTACATTAACAAAATAAACGGGCGTGAGCAGAACCTGTTATTTTTGCTAATTCGCAGTTCGCTAATTTCAATGACAATTTGATATAATAACACATAGTAACAATCTGGGGATTTACAAACAGCCCATGTTAAGCTAATGGCCACCATGGTAACAAGCTTTTGAGTGACCACTGGACTGTGGGAATTGGGCTTTTCAGAAATTTGATGATGCAGGATTACTCTCGACACTGAGAAGATTCTGTAGAACTTTAGAGCGTGCAGATTGGATGTGTAGAACGGGAGAACATTGAGTACAACGGCAAAGTGTCGAGGACCCTTGTTACTTAGTTAGTATTCATATAACCAGTTTACGGTATCTACATCCGCACCAAATTTTGTGTCGTGCACTAGTTCGACGAAGGTTGATTTCAGCCGCTCAAGAAAACTGGAAATATAATTTGAGCAAAACAAGTAACCTAACAAACCCTAAGAAACCCAAGAAAACTAAGAATGTGAGAATAATTCTGAGAAAATTTAAGAAGTCTAAGAAGACTAAGAAACCTAAGAAAACTTAAGACTCCGAAGAAATATAAGAAACCTTTATTTTGTAGCGTTTTTCACAGTTTTCCATGAATTATTAGCGAAGCGATGCCGAAGGGCGCGGTCTGTCTCTGTCATTCCGCATTAGCTTATGTTAGCCTACGGGGGCCCATGGCAACAGTTTGTTTTTGGGGGGTTCTGCTTCCCCGTTGGGGCGTATCGATGGCGCAATAACGTAAGAACATTCGCGCCGTTGAGACGAATCTAGCGCACTTGGCCGCGTCGAAATCGGTTCAGCCGTTCGCCCAAACATTAGCGACATTATCAATCGTGTATACGTGGTTACGGATGTAGATAACCAGTTTACGGAGGACTACATCCGTAAGCAGTTATGTGATAATACGGCGTCGGACGTAAATATTTTAATTTGTCAACGTTTTCCGGATAAATTTTGGTTTTTTACGCATGGAGGCCGGTGGCCGAGGTGCGCCCTCTACTTCACACCCTGAAGTAATAAGCAGTCAACATAGTTTACAACACTTTGCTTTAAACATAATATGAGATCAATGTCTGAAGCCGAGGCTGACAGGCCCATGGCAACAATTTGTTTTTTGAGGCACCTGCTTTCCCTTCGAGGCGCATCGAGTCGGCGATAGCGCAACATCACCCGCGTCGTTGCAACGATTCTGGCGCACTTTACCGCGTCAAAATCGGCCTACCCGTTCGTCCAAACATAATTTTCTTAGCAAAGGCCGTCACGGCTGTTACGGATGTAGTTAACTAGGATATCCGAGTATCGGATAAGGATAGGATAAGTATAAAGAAATAAAAAAAATTCGGATAAAAGGTCGGATTAGGATAATTTTAAAAAGTGCCGGATACGGCGGATAGTATAAGGATAAAGAAACCTTATCCGATGCCCATCTCCAGTGGCCTATGCTAATTTGCTAGCAAGCAATTGTATGCATGCCCGGGATGCTCGTGTAATTGCATGTAGGTATCCATATACCCGGTAACTACACCAACTATAGCGTTCAGTTTCTGTAGAGCAGGATGCGCTCTTGTTTTCAAAAAGTAATGGCACCCTAAAAAATCCATTGTTTGAAAAATAGTGGCATCCGCCAAAATAACGGCACCTCCCCGAAATAAGCGCACCTATACTAGGGCGTTTGAACTATCGCATTTGCCGCACAATGCCAGAAATTCGATAATTACGGTATTTCACGATTCCCTTCCCCACAAGTGCCTCATTTATTTGCTAATCGTGTTTTAATCAGTCCATAAGTCATATACATTTATGCGCATTCAAGGTCAGGTGTCTCCAGATAAATCTTCTGGTAACCTTTGGACCGTTCTGTGAGTGCGTACTGACAAATTTATCATATAGTAGCCACGACGTTTTACGCCAAATATTAGGGCGAACAGTCAATTTTCTGCGCATCCTGACCGGGCGCATAGCACTGACCAAAATTTTATGAATCGCACAAAAATTACGAATTGCATCAGCAGTTTTCTTTCCGACAGCGAACTTGCTTCTGTAAACGAAAGGTCGCTATCCGTATTAGCGAACACATTCCGAGAAAATGGAATCTAAAGTGAGCTATCTGGTCGGCCTCGTTTTTTCGTGAAGGTTCGTGCGGAACGTACACCTTTGGCTCAGTGGGGAGCGGAAGTTGACTGTGAATATCCACTTCCGCAACAGCTTCCCCACGTGCGTAAGTGGTGGCATGCAGCGAAAATACAATCAACTTAATCAAGCAGTAAGTATGCCATGTCGTTTACTCTAAAGTTTTGCTAGTACGTGCACATACTGCTTATAGACGACGTATGTTCAGATTTAATAGGCCACGTCCTTACGCTTACTTTACCTGGCCGCGCATAAAATCAAAGTTTTGAATTCCTAGTTCACCTGAAATGGTTTAGGCAAAAGTCAGAACCGCTACCTGATTTCAACGCTAAATGTAACAATGTTCTCCAAGTAAACCAAAGGGGCATAAGCTACTATTTTATCACCAGTGACGGCCAAAGCGCGCGGGCGTTTCGGAAAAAAATATTTCTTGGTACATAGCGCCGTAAAAACACTCTTCTTCACCTACGACATTCTCAGCAGAACTGGATATACCGAGATTTAGTCAATTATCGGCTGATGTCGACGCCAACAACCAGGCCTTAATCCACAGCTTAGAGCGCCACTCACCACCAGCGATGCAATTGGTTCGCTCTTAGCGAGACAGGCCAGCATTGTGGGAGAAGTTGAACAAGTGTGCTTTATTGTGCAATAAGACTCTTTTATGTTGGCATGTACACGTACAACGAGTATAGGCGACACTACAAGCCGGCGACCTTTGCCTTCTCAGCGGTTACAACGAGTAAAAATAGCAGGCAAGCATCATTAGACACGGAACAAATTAGCTTCGTTGTCGGCCTCCGTCGCCGCTGACTCTCTCTTTTTCGCGCCATAGTGTTGGGTTTACAGACGGCTGCGGTAATGTACCCACGCCAGGAAGGCGATGGCAAGAAAGCCCAAGAAAAGATAGCCGGTCAGCGTACCTGTTAACCATACCAGTCGTTATTCAGTGTTCTGACCAGTCAGAAAATAAGGCACCGACAAACTTTAAATCCGGCAAACTGACGCTCGGCGTAAAGCACTTACCGAGAACGATGATGACGTAGGTGGTCATCTTTTTGACGTAAGCCGTAATCACTACAGTGCAGCCGCGCCGGAGGTCGATGGGGTGCGGACAGGAGTCGGGGATCATCTGTCCAGATAATCTCATGACATTTGCGTTGCGCCGCACACATATGTACATGGCTATAGCGTTACTGTAAGTACTATTAAGTACCGTAGGATGTACAGACACTGCATAGTGCCTAGGATGTGCAGACACTGCATAGTGTAGAAACTGCCCCATTGCCGGAGACATGAAACTTAATATAATTGAGTGTGCTGTGTGACATTCGCCTTACGCTGCTTCGATTACAAGCGATTACGAGTGCGACGATTATGGTTCTTGTTCAATTTTACTCATTTTAACACGAACGCCACAGGAGGGCGCGTCCCGGTAATTGACGTTTACAGCGTTATTTAATTTTGATGTTAGAGATGCAGGTCACATCTGCTACTGGTAGATGACAATAACAACATCGACTACAAGCGTAATTTCGCAGAAAATGTCCTTGTAAATGTAGCAAGTAAATAAATATCACAGTTTACCTGGAAACTGGTGGCTAGCCAGTCCGCGGGTGAGTTGGCTCCGCAACAGCGGAAACGGCGTTGATAGGTATCCAGATCGTAACTAAAAACATTCCCACGTTACGCGTGACGGTTACGCGATTGACGCGGCCAACGTGCCAAAATTTAAATTTTTAGTTGTAATCCATTTATGATTAGTATTGATTACACCCTACGCGCGGTGTGTTGACCTTTACGTGGGGTAATCACCCGAAATAGGCCAATATGAGTCGCGTAATTGGGGTGATATCGTTCTCGCCAATAAGCTGTTGCATTAACCGAGTTTAACATTAATATAAATTGGGCGACAATATGATTACAAATACCATGTAAAATGATACGGAATAAGAGATAGAAAAAATAAAAAACTATCACAAAATATGTATAACGACCAACTTACGTCGTGGCTCTATCGTTGGGATTGTAGTTGACGATGGCCAGCCGCAGCGCAACCTCCACTTCCTGACAGGCATTTACCATCTCATCCTTAATAATGAGCGTGGTGGTCAGGAAGGCGGCCACAATTATGGCCAGAAACAACGCCGTAGAGACCACCACACAGAAACTGCGCATGCCCACACCGAAGCTTCCGGCAAAGCCTGCGAGCATTAGCAGCCCACCGGACAGCAGGGACAACCACACCGCCCAGTGGAATTCCGCGCTTCCGGTAAAACGCTGTTTTGTATACACGGCCCCGCCCACCAGCAACAGACCGATGAGGATGAATGAGACGGAGAAGAACATGACCAGCCAACGCAGCGGCCGATAACGCCGACCGGACACCGGGACATCTTCCTTCTTATCCAGCAGTCCGAGGTGGCTAGCCAGTGGCTGGCTGGTGAAGGATTCCGGCTGGTAGGAGGAGACCTCCGGCGTGAAGAGCAGCTGACCGGGCAACGGTTTCTTGGCCATGATGACCGTGTACGTGTGGGGATTCAGAAAATAATGAAGGCGAAATGCATGCCGGGTTGGTTATTGCAATCAGGAAAAATGCGCGCTGTGGTTACTGCCGGTGAAGCTCGTTAAGGAGCACTTGCCGCTTCCGGTTCAGGGAAAGGAAGCAGGAAGGTACGCGCGCAGACCGACTGGGACGGGCGCTTTCACCTGACTGAGTGGAGACTACAAGGACCGGTAGTAGAGTGGCGCTTATATGCCAGCCTTCTCCTACGGCCGACAATGAGGGAGCAATTAAGCTAAGTAGGGGATAAATGCTTAGCCGGCGGGTAAAGAGCGTCTGTCACGCAAATGTCACAGATTGCGTTGCTTCTGGTGCTACTGCTTGCTGTGCGCAGCCATCGCCGTATATCCGCGCAGCGGGAAGAGTACCGGGGCCTCCGTGATTGGATTGTACAGCACACAGGTTAATGATTATGGCTGGCATGGAAACAGACACCGCCCGCCGTTAACGAGTCAACATCTTCCACAATCAACAGTGAAGAACACATCAGCTGACTGCCTTCCGCCGGTAGCGAGCATTCTTCCGGTGGGATACGATGACAAGAGGGGCAAGCGTCACACGTCCGGGTAATTAATTAAGCAAAGCAAGACGTATTGATGTGTGTCATTGCTGGTCATGGCCAATTTATTTTTAATTAAATCTTAATTATCAAGCAGATAAACAAGCTATTCGGTTTTACCAAGGCACGATTTTTATTTGGGATTGCAATGGAATAAAGGATTGATGCAGTGCACAGAATCTGGGTATGTACGCAAACGCCTATGCGGTTGTTGTGCAGCTGAAAAATTTATTTAGAGCATCTTCAGGCAGTGCGTAAGAAAGACCGAAAGCAATCGTTTACGGCTGGAGCATTGGATAATTGTGGCCTTCTGTGGGCTGTGATTGCTGGCTACTGTAGCTCGCCAACACCATCGTTAACCTTTCTGTTCAAGGCGCCCGTCAAAATACACATTTATACCGCTGACGGTTACAGCAGTTAAACGAGATCACGGCTTGGGAGCACTCAGTATTACCGCAGGGCATGTACGATGATTGTGGCGTTGATCGGATGCGACTCGTAACAGCCCCCGCGACCTTTTCCCACGTGTGCAGCAGTGTATTGATCATCATATGTCGGTATAGAAGAAGAATACAATGCTGTACAACACACCTTTCCTGTACTGCTCCAGTCACCCTCCCGGGGTGTCGCGGCATGGCTGCACATATCGTCTATGTATCCGGTGGTCTATGGCCCATCAACTTCAAAATTTGTTTTTATGTTTGGTGACTGTGTGCAGCTAGAAGAAATTACCTTATTACTGTTCGTAATGTAAGTGTAGTGGTACGAGCTTGTCCACACGTAAACGTACGGTGATATTCAAAATTCGTTAAGTCTTAAGATTGTCAAGCTCATGGGAGCTCGATACTGAACTGTGGTATTAAGTATAGCAGATCGACAATTTACCTGCAATAATACTGACCTTTCATTAATTTTTGACATTGTTGTGAGCCTGCGTAAGCATACGGCGCGTTGTTTTGCATTTGTATCACTTGTGAATACGTGTCTAATAATAATTATCGCGTTTGGTCCACCGAGCCCAGCAGACTTAGTGTGCCGAAGTTGCGGATGGTGGTATGACGTAACAGAGCGACCCTGATCATACTTACTGCGTGGGTCAGCGCCGTCCAACAGGCTAGACCGCGCTGTACTACCTTTGCACGTTACCAGTCTCTAATGGCACTACACCTACAGAGTATGTATAGGAGGTCTAATGTCGTCCTGACGGTTGACAAGAGCACGTCAAGGCCAACTGACAAGTTTCGGCCAATCAGCATTGTGCAAACGTATACAGACAGGCAGCCTTTATCAACACCACAGCAACCGCTGTGCATTTCATCATGGACTTGTCCGTACAAAACCTTCATTGCGGTAAGAAGGTAAGTTCCTTGAATTCGTACGAAGAATCATAGCGCAAAAATCTAAACGAATTAAAATTTACTGACAGTAGTGTAGGTATCTCTACAATTCGGTGAGCATAGAATACCAGTCCATTACAATGATGATTACACTAATATATATCAGCATGCTTCGCGACTGTATAATTTTATGTTCATAACCGCGGCAAGGGTACTTTTCAACTTCAGGTCACACTAATTGAACATTGCCATTCATTCGTTGAATACTGCAAGAGCGTTTTGCTGATCCGTATCACGTATGGACGCTTATTGTACTTGTTAACGAATCGAGCACGCAGAATAACAGATGTGTTATATATTAACTTAATGCAAAATAAGCGTGCTACAGCAACAGTCCACCATTCTAGTGACAGTAATCATGAGCACCGAGTTCCTTCCGAGCGCTTAAAACGTGGAACATAAAAGGAACAGTTATGATAAACGTACATGCTGTTCACGTTTTAAAGGTCGTCAATTCAAACACATGCACCGCAAGTTAATCAGGACATGAGCACTTACAGTATTATACCGGTATATTCAGAGTAAACTGCTTGTCTGTGTGCCATATGTACACTTTCAAGGTGATGAAAATATTGCTAACGAGATAGAAAGCCTGATTAGCCGATACGCGGAACATGTTTGACATAGGCGGTCTTCTTCCCCTGTGGCGCATGCAGCTGCGCCTCCACTAGCTGTTCCCCTTCAGCGGCGAGTTCCTCCTTAAGGATACTCATCACCAGTCCGGCCAGGACGCCCTTGCCCAGGAGCTGGTTGGACATCAGCGGGCGCTTACTGTACTGGTAGCCCTGCATGGTGACCGCCCGCTGAGGCCGGGTCCAGTAGCGGTCGACCTGTGGCAGCATCATGCCCTGGAACAGAGCGGCGCGGCTGCGCTCCACTATCAACAACACCACGCCGGCGAAAATCCACAAACGAAACATCCTCAGGAAAATCGACGTCCGTTCAGACTGACTTACAAAATGCGCTGGAAGCGATCCGTCTGGATGGCTTGTTAGCGGGTGCAGCGATGAAGGATGGGCGTTATATCGGTGGGTAATCCGGGATGAGATGAATCCGAGAGCGTCGGTGTGAGTGGGTTAGTGATGCGGACAGGGTATTGGCACTTCCGGCATCTGCCGCGGTGGCGGCAATGTTTGTCTTGGCCGAGCGTTGGCTGCAGTACACTGCGGAAGAACTAGCTAGGCCAAGCCGTCTCAATGGGACCAGCGTCAGCGCATCTTTAAACACTAGCTGCGCCCATTGTATGTCAACGCCGGTGAGTGCGCACACCGGAAGTCCTTTGTCAACCAGTGATCCCCGTTTGTTTGCCGTGTTGAGTTGGTCGTATGTAAATGTGAGTGCTCTTGTGGGAGCATTACGCCTGTTCTAACAAACAAATTATGTCACTGTTTTTAGCTATCCGGCGTCCACAAAGGACAAATACACCGCACCGTTCTAAAGCAATCGATGTCGTTATTGGTACATTAAACCTAGTAGTACTGTGTGTCTAACAATGCCCATGCAACCAGTACAATGCTTTCTTGGTAGACTTCTTACCTTGAAGTCTTTCGAATGCCTTCCGCATTCTCGCTGACGTCATGAAACCTTAACCGGACTGAATCGACGTGCTCGTGCAGCCTTATTTTGTCATTGTACAGAAATACAAATCATGTAACATAATCTTAGAGGGTTGATTCAAAGATCGCATATCAAGATTACGGACGGAAATACGCAGGGAGGTATGTGGTGCTGATTCCGGTTACACAGTCAACTGATCAGCGATTGCCGCCATAACGTAAAATGCCACATATACATCGGAGTTTCAAGTAGTACGTACGAATAGCCATAAAAACAGATGGGAACACGTGATACAGCGTTATCATAAAGATGTAGCGGTCACAAGCGATATGGTACCTAAACGTATAAGGTTATGCGCCACCACCGTTGACAGATACTGACCTACTTCGCAGAATTCTGCGAGTTTTCTTCGAAAAAACTCAAGAAATTCACTTCCACGGATTGAAAGTCAACCACCCGTAGTTTTAGGGAGGGCTTTAGTCCTCTATCGCGTTTCGCGGGAGACCTTCGGGACAAAAACTGACTGACCTCTGGCTGGCCGTTTGATGTTACGCTGGCCGAATCATGCATCGATATCTGCAGGAAAAACGTGCGCACGGGACGTGGGCGTAGTGCGTCTGTAGAGGTCGCAATGTCATAAAAGCAGCCGCGGTACACCTAAAAGCGCGGGTGTTGCGGGCCGTACGTAAATCATATCTCTATTTCTTACATCTGTAGCTGGTTCTTACATCCCTTGGTCAGACGATGGAAGTGCCGACACACCGAAATTACAATGGGACGGGCAGCAAGCGTTTGCTCAAAAGTGAAGTATTCTTGCTGTGTTGTGCATGCATGAACTCTAGCAGAAACAACAATCTATATAAACAAGCATGTTTAACCATTCTGTGCTATGCTTCAGTCATCCAGTGCCCGCAAAAAGCGAATGCAGTTTCTTAGTACTATGGCTTGTATTCTTGTAAGTATCCGTAGCAGCATGTCCATAGAAAGACAGCAAAGGCAACATCCCCATTTTTTTCTTCTTTCACTTACAGTTGCAAGTCGGTTGCACGCACGTACGCTCGTGACCTTTACGATGTGTTAGGAGAAAAGCTGAATAGTTCGTTTAAATACCGTATAGCAATTCGTCGACAAAGTGACTTTAAAGCATTGCCTATGACAATATAGGGCCGTCGATCATCTCGCCGCTTGCAGATGCACACCTTTAGATTTCGCGACCATTTTTATCAACATTCCTCCGCTAATCAGCATTCAGCACTACCGGCATTCGACGAAAGGGTTACACGAAAGCTAGTTCGTTATACAGCGGCAGTATCCACAGCTGCCCGCGCCGCAGCTCTGTGTACAGTATTTACAATTAATAACATATTGGAAAGAGAACCTGCGACGCGTTGATGTACTTGGGCTAACATAAAATAGCTGCAAATTTTCGCTAACTGTACCACAGCTCTTCAAGCGTTCAACAGAAGCCTTCAGCAAATCATGCAAGCATCACGTCCAGCTTGTACATTCCCATGCAACTGAGGCAATCGACAAAGGTCAATCGCGATTTCAATCATCTTATTTTCTACGATACCGCATTTATTTTGTAAAATTGAGGTTCTGAAGTCCACAGCAGCCTTAGCAGTCGCATTTAACAAGGAAAATCGTCCGCTAATATAAAAAAGGATCGCTGTAAATTTTGTTCACCCAATTTTTTCCCACTTTTCAGTACTGCGGAGTATGTGGTTTTGCGGAGCGCTTTGCATAGCCCAGGCAGCTTTGCGAGAATGCTCGCATGACCTTTCCGGTCTAGCGTTCGGTTGCGTTCGTCCTTCCTTCAGATAAGATGTGACAGATTTTTTGTTGTTGGGCCCCATAAATTTACCGGCATCCAGTGGAATGCCGGTATGATTACTGAAATTTTACTAGCTATAAGTAGTATGTACGAGTATCTATAGGATATTGTAACAGTAGCCTATCTGGCTGCTGTTCTAGTGGGTTGGCGGGCTGACCGTACCACGATGTTGTGTGGGTTGTTGGGATGAAAGGTGGCACGGCCGGCAACGATGCTGACCGAGGACGCTCTTACTGACTTAACGACATAACAAAAGTAACAACGGAAGTTCACGGCATGTTTAATGACAAGAACAATGCAAGACAGGGAGCAAGGTTTGGGCAAGAGTTTAACAAGCTGATCAAGCTGATGCAAGCTGTAGCAAGCCGAGTACAAGACTGAATTGTAGAAATTGTAAAGAAGGACAGCTAGCCGGTAAAATAAAAAGAATTCGTAACGTAATGATAAATCTAACTGGGTGGTCTTATGGGTGATAAATCATAACTTGGTGGTCCCCAAGGAGTTGTAATTGTTTGGTCTTATTGGTGCTTTTCATCATGATGTTTTCATAATTTCCTGCCTTACTGTCCTGTCATCCTTCATCCGTTTTGGTACTTAGTTCGTACTTGAACTGCGATATTTATTAAAGATTGGCTTTATTAACTTCCCCATCGTTTACCGCTAAAGCTTTGTATATAATACTGTATCATAAAAAATAATAAAATCCTTTAAGGTCTAGATCGACAAGCGGTATTTTTTTGTTAAACGTTCGACCCGAAATGTTGCAGACAAGTAGAGATATGGATTAGATTTTGCCGAAGACCACTTGATAGTAGCTTCCTTGCTGGTCGGTCTATTCTGTACACGTCCTTGAACTCTATGGTTTTTAATCAGCACCATGATTTCTGGGATTGCGTTTTTAAAGTTTGAAGAGTTTTTTACGGGTAATGAAACCGGTTCTGTATTGTTATCTGTAGTATTGTCAACGCATAATGCAGCGGTGTCAGTTTTGTGACCGCTGCAAACGGTTCTGTGGGTTAGGTGTAACTGATCGCGTGAGCGGCGTGCACCGCCCGAAATGCCGCATTTACAATAGTTAGCACATGTCTAACCATAAGAGATAAAAATGTTAGAAATCGGACAAAAGCCTCATCGATGAGGAAATTCCGTTCATTGCTGCTTCTTCCCCAGCAGACGAGTTTTATATACGCATGCGTGCCGGTAGTGTAAATGCCTCCACTGTTGACGGAAAATTTCAGTTTAGCGGTACACTTGGTTACACAATGACGGCGTAACCCATTGGGAAGAGGCGCAATCCACGTCGCGTGCATCCGCTGCGGAAGTCAGAAGAGCGGCTAGCAAGTAAATTACACCAACCACGGCAGGTACTTATGCTGCAGGTGGAAAAAATGGCCCCACTGCGCAGTCCCTGGAAAACAACTGCGGCATCAACACGCAGCTCTATTGCCACTCCACGAAGTGGTGTATACGGCGAATGGTTTTCCATTGAGAGCGGATATTGGGTGCCACACAATACAGTATATACTATACACATTGGTGTATTATACTATACACATTGGTGTATTGTGGGCACGCGCTGGATGTTTAATTGATCAACAATTAACCGCCAGACCAGCAGCTTTTCCCAGTCCACCGGGGACTGCAACGGCCGTGTTGCCGGCATTGACTGCCGCCCGATGTATACTTCTGTGCATTGTTAACAGAGTTGATCAAGCCGCGGAATCAATAGCGTCAGCCATTGAGTGAACGCCGCGAGCCGGCTGCCAGTATAAACTTGGCGCTGTCATCAATATATCCGCCGCAGTAACCGCCTTCCACTTTTTTCCTCCTAACATATGTAATTGAAGCGCCCTTGACAGCGGCTGATTGAAGGTGTCATTACCGTTGGATGAACGCTGGATTAATAAACCCGGCGCTCCGTGGAGTGTGCTGTAATTTTCCCGCGGGATGACAAAACAATTCCGCCGAGCTGACGCATGCGATTATTATTAATTCACCGTTATCATCGGTAAGAAGCGGCAAGAAAGTAAGAATGCCCAGCCGGCGAGTTTCGTTCTCGGTGAAGAATAATGCGGTGGCGCCGGTTAATGGCGAGAAGGATTCGGTGGCCTCGGAGGACAGCGGCATCCACACCAGCGAGATAAAAATGACCGAAATAGTGGTGCCGGTGGTGGTTAAGCCGGATCCCGGTAAACGGCGCTCCACGGTGCAGAGCGAGACTGGCCAGATGACCAAGGATTTCCGCCAGTTCACCGATAATAACGCCTCGGTGCAGCGCAAGCGAGTGTTCAAGCTGTTCGTCATATTGGCCATTCCCATGCTGGTTGTCTTCATACAGGTCAGATCGCTTTTACAGACGCATCGCGATAAGCTTGCAAATACAGGCTGCAGTAAATGGTATACATAAAAAAGTGGTATCACGGATTAGGTTTCTTTAATGGCTTCCGCTAGAAACTTGAGAACGCATGCACGCATATAACAGTGAATTGCATCACCTCTGCACAGCACAGGTGATACCGATACGACATGTGACTACAAAGGATATAATACTACGAGTAGAACGTGTGCAAGGTGCGCTGCATCTGGTATGAGGTTTCTCGAGGTTTCGTTACTACTATACGATTGTGTTTCGCTTACCTGATTGTGTCCTGAATCATGATAACAAATACATTTCGTATTCATGCCATGATGTAGCTTATGCGGCAGCCACACACACAATCGCAGTCAATAACGCTACATAAATTGTAAATTAAAAATGGTATACTGCTTTCTAGTTTTAATTTGCATGACGTACAACTACAAATACTCGTATGTAAAAATATATAATAAAAACATGAACTGTTTATTTCGTCTTAAATATACACAGCATTTCGAAATTTGGTCCCGCTAATGAGAAGACATAGCACTTCTGGCATGTTTCAAAACGTAATGCAGGCGTAAGCGTAGGCGCTAATTAGTAATCGCTGTTCCTGAAATGCGAATATGATTGCGTAATTGAGACTTGAGGATGCCGATAAAATTGGCAGCGTGGGACGGCTAAATGTCATATTATTGCGGCTTATCCGTAATTGTATGTAGTGCGGCCTGATTATCAATAAAGCCGTCAACATCCAGTCGCTGACCACAACTACGAACGAAGGCATCGTGGCCAGTCTGGACATCGGGCGGCTGGTCAGCAGTTTGCAGCGGGAGCGCGGCATGACCAGCATCTTCCTCAGCTTTCGCGAGTAAGCCTGATTAAGACCAGTGCAGCTGTTCATTGACCTTTTGTTCTGCGCATGGATTTCACATAATCAATCAGTTGAAACAAACATATCTGGCTTGATGACGCAGTGCGGTGGCGTGGCGCGAAGTACAATCCTACCGCAACGAGACGGCGGCCATCGTGGCGCAGATGGGCCGGTGGCGCGGCCGGCAGGCCGACGGCTTCCCCTTCGACACCGTCGCCAACTTCCGGTGAGAGCCGAATTAGCACCCACTCAAGTGGCCCGCTCAATACGCGGCAATCGGCGATTGAATAGGCTGATTAATTATCGATCGCGCTTGATTACACCCGGCATTTTATATTGGCTTCTACTATAGACAGCGGCTGCAGGAACAGCGCGCCCGCCTGGACGCCGGATTGGTCTCCTCGCTGGAATCCTTGCGCTGGTACACCAACATCACCACAACGCTGATCAAGTGGGTCAGCAGGGAGATTTACATGGGCGGGGACAGCGACGGACAGCTGTGGCAGTACTTTGTCTCCTACGAACTCATGCTACTTAACAAGGACTGCGTCGGTAAGTAGCACTGAGCTTCAGCCGGCTTCCGCGTAATGCGGAAAAAATCCTGAGTGCTACGGATTTACCCCGCGGCTGGAGGAATTGTAGCGTGCTTATCTTCATACAGCTGCTGTTCACATGTCGGCTTACACTGCTGATGCTGAACGGGAATCCTTAATGACGCTGTTGTTCTCATCCAGGCTTGCAGCGTGCCTTGGGCGGGGTGTTCTTTGCGAAGGGCTTTTTCGCCGCCGACGAAAATCGCTGGTTTCAAGGTAAGCACAAATTTAAGTCCTATTGTAAGATGTAAGTAAGTTGCCCGTGCCTTCTGTTCGAATCCTGGTGCCTTTTTATATAGGGTTTTTTATTGCACTCGACAAATATTACCTCGACTCCTCGACACATTAACTCTTTAAAGTGGACAAATTATGCTTACATAAATATGATTAATCGTAAATTAGGTAATTCTAGAAAACCTAAGAAAAGGTCAGAAAGCAAAAAGGATTACAGAATCTGGATAGATGTATTTAAGTAATTCCCGGCAAAGGCGCTGAAGCAGCTGACGTTAATAAAGTTTGCAGAAATGGGCGGAGGTGCTCCTAGGTGTTTCGTTATATTTTAATTTCCCTTGTCATTAGCGTTTACTAAGTCATGCGAGCTGCACTACGTGGCGGAAACGCAAACTGATATTTACCATTAACTTGAAACACGAAATTTACACGTTAACCATTAAAAGTTTGTGTATAATGTTTACAGAGAACAACATCCGCGCGGACATCTTCTTAGATTCCTCGCTGCACTATTCCAACCGAACAAACCGCTTATACCGGCGCTTAAAAGATGAGCAGCAGCCCCTGATCAAGACTCTTGAGCAGCAGCAGCAGCTGATGCGCGCCATCTCCAACCTATCCCACGCCGGCAACACCTCCATCAATAACACCACCGAGATCCTGGCGGGACCGGAAGCCTCGCAGGTAGTGTTCACGTTACCCGCTGTATGGTCTCGTCCGCTGCTGCAATAAATGCCGTAATTACCCCAACAGCACCGTTAAACGTTCGGTCCCTCAGTGTGTCCACTGTGCGTGCTCGTGCTGCCGATGTGCCACTGCAGTGAGCCCTAACGTGCAAAGGTCACTGCCCAACAGTCTGCGTTGCATGTATTATGTAGATGACGGGACCGGCGGCGGTGCTGCACGATTGTGCCAAGCATGACGTCAGTGGTGAGCGTGAGTGTGCAGGTGCCCTAACATTTCAGAGATGGTTCGCCAATATGACCACCTACATGAACCGCGTCATCGGTGTCATCGAGATCGACCTCACCTCCTACATTCGGGAGCAACTTGGAGTACAGGTGCGCCTTCTTTCTGCAAATCTGATAATCACGTCAGGTTACCGGCACTTTTTTCTACGTTTACGACTTGCCTATCTGTATTTCCCATAATATTTTCGTTTCTGATGATATAAATGAGGCCGAATTTATTTACCGATAGCTGTCAACGGCCAGCGCCGAGTTCCACCAGGCCATCGGTCTCATGGTCTTCATCAGCGTGACCTGCCCACTGCTGTGCGTGTGGTACGTGTATTCAGCGAACAAGATCGCCACCACCATCAGCACATACGCCACCCACCTCTCGGAAAAAACAGCGGAGTTGTCCTTTGAGAAGAAGCGCACCGAGCACCTCTTGTATCAGATGCTGCCGCCCTCGGTAGCCGACAAATTACGCCACAACAAACAGGTCCCGGCAGAGCATTTCGACGCTGTCACTATCTATTTCTCCGATATTGTCGACTTTACACAGCTCTTCGCAGACAGCCCGCCACTCCATGTAAGTGTATATTGGTGACCTTTAGCTGAGTTAGTGCATTTGACCGCTGGCGGTTGATTCTTGACTAGGTGATCGAGTTCCTCAACCTTCTGTACACCATGTTCGACGCGCAGATGGATCGATTCGACGTGTACAAGGTGGAGACGATCGGTAAATAAGTAGTTCACAGTCAAACACGCAGCATTATTGGTAATCATTGAAATAAAATGTGATCAGCTGTTCTAATTCATTGACGTTTCCACAGGTGACGCATACATGGTAGGAGTCTAAGAGGTCACGCGCACGGCTGAGCTTTAGCGGCCACTTTGGATATTTGTATTATTATGTATGCAAATGATGCGCTGACATTGACGTTGCTCTAGGTGGCGAGCGGTCTGCCGGTGCGTAATGGCAACCGGCACGCCGGAGAGATCGGTCGCATGGGACTTTCGCTATTGCAACTAGTCTGGGACTTCTCCATTCCGCACCAGGATCCGGCGCGGAAACTGTTGCTGCGGATTGGCATGCATACCGGTATGGTACCGCAGAAAATTTAGTAAATACTTGCAAAATTACAAATTGACCGATGTGACCATTAACCTCAGATACAAAACAAGTAAAAACATACAGCAAGGCTCCAAATAATTATAGCATCAGTCTGTTACCTTTTTTTAGTTAAATCACTGAAAGATCGAGTCGTATTTGAAATTATTTTAAAACATAAAAATATAAGATGGTGATTGATAGGTCCGTGTGTGGCCGGTGTTATCGGACTGAAGATGCCACGCTACTGTTTATTCGGCGACACTGTCAACACGGCATCCCGAATGGAGTCGCGGGGATACCGTAAGTGTTGTCGTACTGTTAACAAGCATGGACAAATTATTATTAATGAATGTATTGCGCTACCGCAGCACTACGCATCCACATGAGCGACTCGGCCAAACTGGCGTTGGATGCCACCGGAGGATTTGAGTGCGCCAGTCGCGGCAATATTGACGTCAAGGTACAAACAATGTCATTCCCAATAACTAAATTTACCTCAGTACTTGTAAATTACAAGTACATTTGCTGCACATTTGACATTACACATTTGACGGGCAATACTGATACTAATTACAAGTTGTAATTAGTATCAGTATTGCCCGTCAAATGTGCAGCTAGCCAAATTTTATTGATTTGGCAACATTTAGCAATGGTAAGCTGCACGGCTTACCTGTTTTTATTATCAGGAACACGGATATCATAGCCACTCTGCTAACCAATTTAATACCTGCTCGAACCTTATGGTTTAGTTTATAACATTAACAGCGCACTAATTTAAAGTTTTCAAAGTTGATTGGCAGTATATATAAAGCGGTGAATTCTCGCACGCAGGGCAAAGGCATCATGCACACGTGGTGGCTGATTGGGCACGACACCGTAGACTTCCGGGTCAATCTGGATGAAACGCAGCGCATCTACGAAGACGTCCTGGCCACGGGCGGCTTCTCCAGTCATCACTAAGGCGCAGTTTTGCCAATCCTTTTTCCTACCAACACATCTGTGATAGCCATACATTTCGTGATAAAATTGATTTATTCCCTCGCCGACCTACCGAATGTTTATGCTGAAGGACTTTCCCAACCTTGGCAGTCTGAATAAAAACTGCGTCTCGGAAAGATGAATCGTTAGCGATTCATCAGCCGGCAAAACCTTTCTCCATCGCTGTTTTCACCACTAATCATATTCACACCGTCACCCATGGACATAGAGCGTAATCAATGCAAAGGAATGTCTTATTTTTGGGATACATCATACATCAATAAACCACAAGACATTTCTTTAAACCGACAAAAACCACATCCGCCACACCCGCTGACACGTAAGAAAGAATCACTCACACTTAGAAAATACCATTCCGTCCGTCTGCCATGAGCAAAAAGAACAAAGGCACGTTATTGCAAACCATGAATACAATCTGTGCAAAGGCACGTTAGGAACAATACAGAAAGGAAGAGACTCGTAGATCAGCGCCGACTGCTGCCCGGCTGCGGCGGCATACTGTGCTTCTCCGCCAAGGGATTCGGATAGGCCGCCGTGCGCACCGGCGCGCGACTGCTCTCCGCCAGATTCTTGTTGGCCTCCTTGATCATCTTTAGAGATTTGCCCACTACGACAAAAAGACCATGCTGATCGAATGCATCAAAGTGCAAAACAAGGTCCAGTGAGCGGAGAGCGTACCTTGCTTGCGTGCCGCTTTCTCCCACTTGTCAACACGGTCGGCCTTGGCGCGCAGATTTTCCTGATCGGCGGCTAATGCGTTGCGCTCTTCTTCCGCCGCGTGTAATTTATCTTCCAATCTAAAACATACAAAACTTTTAATAACCCGAAATCCAAATAAACACTTATTATATGTGAATAACTAGTTTCAGCTTTCGCAGTTCATTTCGAAATTTTACGTACTTCTTCGTAAACATCGGTTCTAAGGTTACGTTTATTAATTTGTGATCAAGATAAACTCACTCAGCCAGCGCTTCCGTCAAAGCGATCACTCGTTTCTCCAGCTCGTTTTTGGTCTCGAAGACCGTCTCCAGTTCGGTCGACACTCTACAATCACACCATGCATTCACGTTAAGCAAGACAGAGACGTTAGTTATTCTCCACCAACGTACAGGTCCAGTTTGTCAGTAACGGCGTGCAACTCGCGTGTCTTTTTGTCCAGCGCCAGTGCTGAGGACTGTTTCAGCGTCTCTAGATGGGCTTCCAGGTTCTCCACCTCAGTGACCAGCTTCTCTATAGTGTCCAACAAATTAGCCTTTTCCGCCTTCAAACTCTCCCACGAGAGATCGGTCTGCTGCGCCGCCGAGAAAGCTGGCGGGCTCTTGTCCAACAGCATCTGCTCGACGACGGCGTGGGCTTCCTGGGCTTTCTGCAACTCCACGCCCAAATCGTTCACTCTCAACTTCAGTCTACGATTTAAAACCAACCGAAATTCAGTTATTTATTGTTAAGCAATTATTCAGCAATCAGCAGCATACGCAGCAACTTCCTGCGTGGCCGTGTTAAGGTTTTCCTGCAGAGCGTTTTGGATGTTCGTCTTCGACTCCACCTCTTCCGTTAGGCTGCATCAAACCACAAACAGGTCGATAGTAAAAACAACAAACAAAGCTGATTTATTGCCACCCACCGCTCGATCGTCCCGTCCTTCTCTAGCAACTCCGCTCTCACGGCTTCTTGAAATTGGCCATAATGTTTGACGGTGGAATCTCGATCCACGGTGAGCAGCTTCAGGTCGCGGTCAAGGTCCTTCTTCTCACGTTCGCACTGTTCCACCCGCAATGACAATTCCTCAGCGTCCTGCTGCACAGCGGCCAGTTGGGCGGTCACCGCGGCATGCTCGGTTTCTTTAACGTCCAGCTTGTGCTGTGTGGACTGTAGCAAAGATTCCAATGGCTCACGAGACTGTTTTTCGCTGTCCAGCTGGGCGCTCATCCGCTGGATTGCCCCGTCCTTCTCATTAACGGCGGCTCGGAGTGCTTCTATATCAGCCGAGGAGAAGTCCGTCTGGGTCATTATATCCACTTCCGGCCGAGACTGTAAGCGCTCTAGCAGGATCTGCTGCTGCGCTTTAGTGTTCTGCATTTCATCTTCAAATCTGAAAAAAATTCGACTGGTCATTAATTTTCAATTTTTAATCTCGGGCGAAAAGAAATTAATTTCATTTGGACGAAAAGCGATCTGGAGTCGAGATACATACGCTGAAATGTCTTTGAGCAAGTCGCGCATTTCGCTTTCCAAATCGGCCTTCTCTGCATCCAGAGCGGCCAGTTTATGGGCCAAACTGTAGATGAAGCAAATGATTAGAGTAATGCTAACGACAAGAGCCAGTCCCAGCCCCTTACTCGTCGTTTTCCATTCGTAATTCTTCAATTTTCACCGCCAGATCGGTTTCCGTCTGCGCCGATTCTGTCTGCTGACGAGCTTTTTCGGCAGCCGCGTCGTCTAGTTTTGCCAAGGCATCATTTAGCTGAGCGCTCAGCGTTTCCACCTGACCAGCCAAATTGTCTTTTTCCGCTTTGAGGGCGCTCCAGTTCGCCTCTGCACCATCGTCATCCGCTTCTAGACTCATGGACAATTCACGGCTGAGCTCCAAAACTTCCTGCAGCTTATCAGCCAAAGAGAACGACACCCGACTTCCCTCACCACTTCCCATGTCTGCTGCAATACACATGGAGCTGCTTACTCGATTAGAAGATGAAAATTGATGCAATGTCACATCGGCTAATCAGATTGGACAACAGCGCGATTTTTACAAACAAGCTTCTATTTGGTTACGAAGGCACTTCTGTGAATCGTGCTTATGTGCTGCTTACCCATGAGGCTGATGTCAAGGGAAGTCGTTTCGCACAGAATCTGTGAGACGTTCAGAGACGTATTGCTCACATCAAACTGCCCGTTGAGACCGTTTTGCAAGAAAGCGACGACTTCCTGCAGATGCTTGATCAACATCTGAAACGTGCCGCGCTCGGCCGTGCCGATTCTCGCTTTGGCCGGCGACGGTGAAGCCGGCGAACGGATCAAAGCCACCGCTTTTTGGTCGGACAGCAAGGACGGGCGCGCAGACAAAACCGCTGGAAAATCCCTGTACTCGGTCGTATTAGCATCCATACTCTGCTCAGCATCTGCGTAAATCAAGAAACAAAATATTCAACGAAATACGACAATGATTTTAGTTAAAAAATTCTCCCATAACCGCATTTGTTCAGTTAAATCCGCACCATGCAACAACACCGCCTGAACCGCGGTGAGCTTGTCAACTGAGTCACATTTTAAAGGTACGTACGCAATTATTAACGACTCTGACACTGGCCTGAAACAGCCTCACGGTAGAGAAGCAATCACTTACCAGGAATAGGCAGCGGTATATCTTCGGCTGTTTGCAGCATGCTGGTTTGAACGGAGGAATCTCGCAGTGTCACATTTGATGCTGCCAGTTCTTCCCTGGCCTGCGTGTACCCTTGCATGCGCGCTTGTTCCAGTTCATCCTCTTGAAGATGTTTCATAAAGCTGGGCTGCTCAAAGTGAACGATATCAATTCAACTGCCTGAAGAATTTTCATCAGCTAGCAAATTATGGATGTTAAGTGCATACCCGAACGCATCTTTCTTTCTGACCCGACAACTCTTCACTAAAAAAATAATACATGCGACATTATTACAAGCCGCTACGAAGAAAACGCAAACATACTGTGTCAGATATACTGGCATAAGATAAGAGATAACAGCTTCATATTGTTCAAGGAAAAAACAATTTAACGACGCATACGCTTGCCAGATGCCAGTGAGTAAAGTACTGACAGAACTTACTCCTCTTTTCGCAAAGCATCACATTTCTCTCGAAGTTTTTCCGTTAGTGATTGCACTTTCTTTTCCAGGATCTTTTTCTGCACTTGCATATCGATGCACTAGAAAACAGACATCAGCTAAAAACTGCGCAAACCATCCTTAGCCATAAAGCCCAGATAAAAACAAAATATATAGTTAATTAAGTAATCACATCCAATAGTGACACATAGCTGATTTGCAGCTGCAAATAGGTAGCTGTGATCTGTGACCGTCTAACGGCGCAGCAAAAGTCCACAACCAAACGAAAAAGAACACGAAAAAACTGGTCTGCACTTACTGCTGAGCACGGTGAATCGGAATCCTCACAAAATCCAGCTTGTTGTTGCAACAGATGGCATTTGATTTTTAATTCCAAGTTCTCCTTCTGATATTTCGCAAGATTCTGTTTTAAAAAACAGGAAGTTAACGATCGCCAGACAATGTATATCAAATTTGTTTTCGCGCAAAACGCAATTTAGTATTTACTGTTCCTAAAGGATTTCATAATTGTACAAATGTGACTTAACTGGAATTTACTTTAATAAAAACCGAGTACCTACCTCGTTATACTCCTTGGTCGACATGAATTTCTTTTTTGCGGATAACGATTCTGAAACAAACAAAAATTCTTAAGCAACCGATATCGGAATAAGAAACTTACAATCAGGGAATTCAACTCGCTAACGGCTAATCAAAAAATTTTATATATCAAGTACGTGAGTAACATTTCCTGCGAGCTATCCATTTTTATACTACTGGATATTAATTTTTATTAAAATAAAAATCTCTAACAAAAAACCAACTCTGAAGCACAACCCCTGTGACAACTGACATGTAAACAAACCTTACAAAGCAAAACTTGAAGAAAAACATTTAAAATTCCCATAAAATGCAATATCAGCGTGGAGAACGGACTGGAAGGAGGCAAAACTCACCTTTCCGTCCCGAGTTTGACAGGGACCAGGAAGAAATGTTCTTGGTCCAAGTAGCCGGTCGTGGCGGCGGCGACAAGCGTGGTGAAGTCGGAGTGGCGTTGAAGACGCCCGTCACGGTGCGTCGCTGCAGTTTTTCGCGCTCGGCCTTGCTCTTCTTCACGTCCACCGCACCGCTCACGTTCTCTTTGTCCAGTTCCTCGGGGGAAATTATATCATTAAAATTCAGGATCCCTTCGCTGCAACAAATCATAAACTGTATTTAATGACCGAGATTGCACACGATCAGACTGTAATTGCAACCAAAAATTCTAAAAAATATAAAATTTGAAAAAGAAAACACTGAACTGGACCCCTCTAATAACTCGTACTCGTAATAATAACCGTCTATTCGGCTACAGGGACTGTCTGCACTGCGACCATATATTCTCTCCACCGACCTGTCCTCATAGTCCGAAAAGGACGGAGCGTTGTACGATGAAAACATGGGATCGCTGTGCCACGACCGATCATCCATGTTTCAAACGCCAACAGGATACGAAACGCAACAAAACAACAGATTATCCTACGTTGGAAAACCGTGAAATGAATTCAAACAAATCAACGATCCTCGAGAAAGGGCTTTCTGACAAATTCTTCGCATATGGATATGGTATGTATGCTGATGACTACAGCCAGAGCGCGCACAATCTAACAAGTTTAAAAATAGAACCTGTCAGCCACGTGCGCGATGCGTCTAATAAAACAACATCCTTTAGCACATAAAAATGACCCAGCTAGAATATACAGTTTCTGGAACTGAACCCTTAAAACAAAAACCAAAATAATTGCAAACTGGTGTTGAAGAACATTTGCAACGACTGGTGCAATGCTGGCACAGGTAGACAGGCCTTTGTAGGCAAAATGGCAAATAGCGGACGTTAACTGAATCATCGCAACAGAGAAACGGTCGTCACCGCTTGAATTCATTTGCCTTTTCTTTATGTCATTTTCGATGTCTCATCGTCCTACATACAGGGCACACATTAACAGTGATTAACAACCTCAATATTCTTGCGTTGTTCATCAAATAATGGGCGTGCCTTTCGGATTGCGCAAATCTTTTCCTTGCAAGAAGACCGGCGATGCTTTTGTAGTTTTGCGGAAAAGATCAACATTATATTGCAATAACAATTTATTTTTAATACATATCCAAGGTAGCAAGGTTTAAATCACAGATTTGATTAAATCACAGGAGTATTTTATAAAAAAATCACAAAACCATTCTCACAGCTTTACGAAGCGAATGAACTGTTGCACAAAATACAGTATACTGAGTTCTAACTGATCCATAAGCCCACGATCCGCTAAAGCGTCAAACATCAAAAGATAAAAATACTTTACGATTTAATTTGCAGTATGGCTTAAACGTGCAGCCAAAATCCTTTCGTACAGAAGAAAGCCAACAATGATTACTGCCTAAACAAACATATCGCAATTAGCATTGTAAATTTGTAATTAACAATTAGCATTGTAACTGGGAATGGGACACTCACCAGGACGAGCGACACGCCGGACGCGCCCGTCGTGGCCAAGGCGAAGCCATAGTTTTCCACAAACAAACCTCCTAAAGCTGCCCCGACAAATGTTCTGCAACACAGAACTGGCAATCGCAGTCAACATATTGTGAAACCTGAAAACCAGTGCCGCTTACGCCAGCGCTATAGCCGATCCGATAACGCCCGAAACTAATCCGTACGTGTGATAGTCATCAGAAAACCCGCGCCCTCTAAAAAAGCAATCAATTGCAATGAAAATGCGTAACGGTAAGCAGTGCGAAGGTAAGTTTATTCTTACATGGCCGTCTTGAGGCCGATATCAAAACAGGGGATAGCCCCCAGCGCCACGCCAACGCCCAAAAGACCACCACCAACCGAATACGTCCACACCGTGCTATAATCATTCCAATACAAGCACAGGTATTTTTTCTCAGACCAGAGCAGACGTACGGTTGGCTGGCGACGAAAGGAGAAGGTCCCACGACAATAAAAGCACCGGTAATTATCAACGATCCCACGGCCATCAAAGAAACGCCCATGTTCTTCTTATCGCTCAAATATCCCGCCAACGGCGCCGATACAATGTACGCCAAGCTGGGCAGGATGAAGATCAGGGCGATTGCGTACGTGGCTAAGTGTTGCTGCAAAAACGTACAATGCAGTCAAAACAACAGTCAGCAACGCAGGATAAATGTCGTACTTTATCCAGTTGATCAGCGAACGTAGCCGTTAAAAACCCAAGCGCGCCCAGCGCAGAAAATATCGACACGAGAGAAATAATCATCCTGGGCATCCGCAGCAGTTTCCAAGTGCCGGCATATTCGCTGGAAAGAATGTCAGTTTGGGAAGGCAACAGATACCATGCCAGGAAGCCACAGAGGATCTCCAGGGCGCCCAGGACGAGGAAAGGCATCTTGAAGCCCGCCAGCTGGTATAGGAGACTGCCCACCAACGGTCCAGATAGGTAGCCTAGCCCAGACATCATTTCGCCCAGGCCAAACACCGTTGACACCTGCTCCGGGAATTCCCTGGCGATGATTGCGAAGGCCGCTACGAAAGACATGCGTTCAACATCTGGGGCGTACAATGAAGAAAATTACTTAAGTACAATATTTCTATGATATTGTGAATAACTTGGGAAACATTAAAAGAAAGCATAGTTGTGACTGCAAATGACCGGTTACGCTAACGCAGAATTTGATTATGTAAACTGCAGGGATGACCCATTGACCTGTCAAATAAGCGGCGCCTCCGACGGCTTCGACAATCCGAATGGCGAAGGCTGAAGCAACGTAGGACGATCCCGGTGGGCAGTACTGGAGGATACCGAAGACGCACATGGAGTAGCCGCACACAATTAATCCGCACACGAAGAGGAATTTGGCACCAAAATGTGTTACCTAAAGAACACCACGCAGCCCCGATATCGATATATCAATACTTTCACGGTTTCACCACAACTGCCAACGTTCTAACAGTGACTAACACCATGCACCCAACGCAGACTTACATACTTGCCGAACACGGGAGAAACGAGAAACACCACCAACTGGAAGATGCCGATGATCAGCGCGATCTGTGTGTCCGTAGCGCCTCGCTTCGTGGCCTGACACGAAACACCTGACTGGTTAATTCACGCGTTCAGCAGTGGATGAGCGTCTACGCACCTCAAGCGGAAAGAACGGCGCCAGACACGAATACACTGCACTTTCGCAGTACCCCGCCTGTAAAAGCTGGCACTTAAAATACCATCACACACCGAAAAACTGTGCTCTTGCCAGTCTAGCATTTCCCATTGACAATGGCACATTATCGAACGCACCAAGCAGACGATGAGGAGGACAGTGCGGCCTCTCCAAGATAGTGCGCGCAACCAGTGCGTTGTCGCCGGTGTGCGGCTGATACTGTTCGCTTCGGCCTCCCCCTCGTGGGGGATTAGGGTGCCATGCTCCGCAGTCACTAGGGAATTCGCATCGGCGCCAACGCCTTCCAAATCCGCGCTTCCCTCAGCCATGATAGAGTCACCCGTGGGATTCGCAGTTCCCCCATCGACCCCATTTCCCAGGCTTTCCGACCGGTGTGCCTCCATCACATTGACAACAACGGTGTAATATGCAGTTCACTCATATCGCGCAAGGACGGAATCGTAGTCTGTTAGTACAACAAAACCGAACAGCGAAAAATTCAAAATTTAAATTGTTGGGTAGTGCAAATAACAAGGAGTCAGCCAGTCAGAGGACAATTAACTTAAGGTATGGAGTTGCTTAATTAAGTACTTACTTAAGCAACCGACTGGATGGTAATAATAAGTCACTCAACAGTCAACAACCAATTTTTGAGTCCGCTTATAGAGGCCTGTTCTTAAGTTTTAGCAATTTCTGAACCAAATATTTCATACACAACGTGACAACTGACAACAACTCTATAATCAACTGTTAGCAAGGAAAATACAAAAGTTAAATCTTACAGAAAAGAAAAGTTCGGGTGAAACCGTGAAAGTTTAACTTTTCTCACTTTTGCTGTTCCCGGTACCACGGGCGGAAAGCAAGTTATAGAGCTATCAAGGCGGCTAACGCCATGGAGAAAATGCTTCCGTTCGCCTGAACATACTCTGCGCAGCGTAACTGAATCAGACCATGCTCTGCGCTCGCTACCTACACAGTTCACATCATTTCCTGATTTCCGGTTTGGAATGCATATTATCAAGTGTCTGCAAACTGCAGTTTGCTTGGATTTCTCATTTCCTGAACAAAATTAATACTTTAACATTGATCGTTGGATTGGAAAGTGGCATCATTAAAGATGGACGATCTTATTCCGACGAAAAAACGACGTGTTAAGGGCAACAAGAATCGTCATCGTGCTGTATGGCGCAAAAGCAGTAATGTGGCAGATGTGGAGGACTTCATCGAGGAGCAGCGCGAAAACGATCGATTGGGTCTTGGGTACGTCATATTTGCAGCTATCCGCAGTTGAACCTGCGCTCCTTATCGCATAACTGCATTTGTAGTGGTGGCTTACACGAAAAGAAAGATGCGGAATTGTTCATTGTTGAGGATTCGCTGCCACAGCCTGAAACCAGTCGGGTCGCCGTCAAAGAGGAAACTCCCGATATTCCCCTCGGCTCGCCGTCCTTTCCTCTCTTCCCGCTGTCTAAGAGCTCTTTCAAACCAATATTACCAAGTAATGAACTATTTCTGCTAATTTTGGTTAGTTTGTAATGTATTACACTAAATTTCTCATGAAACTGCAAAATATTTATTTTTTTTTCATTTTCCCGTTTTCATGTACAGCATTAATATGAAATGTTTACTTTTCTATCGTTAATCTTTTTTAGAAGAATCCCTGTGGAAAGATTTACAATGCTTTAAATCATTATCCGGAGGGCGATCGTCCGAAAAGATGTAAGCAACAAATTTCTGTGTTACTTAATCATTAATCATTTGATGTTAATTGAACAAAGCCGCTTTAATTTAATGCTTGACGACTGTATGTGTCAGTTTGCCCTCATAATCGTAAAAATGTGGTGCGTGTGATTAGCAAGCCTCACGCTCGCAAGACCACGGAGATCAAAGCCTGCAAACTGCAGCGCTACCACGATGCCGTCGCTCTGCGAAAGGCCAGGAAGGCGGTCAGGGCAGCGCAGCCGAGAGGCGTGACGAAATCTCACAAGGATCCCCTCTTCAATCGCGATCTGTGGGCGGGAGACGGTGCTTCCGGTAGGTTTCTTGCGGTGTACTGCTGCTGTGACACGAAGTGCTTGAGACTGCATTTCCTCAGGGACTGGGAGCGAGGTGCCGGAGGAGCGGAAGCCGGCCATTTCCCGACCGCAGCGAGCGCCGATGACGCTGCAGTCGCGCGTCAAGTCCACGCTGGCCGCCGTCGAACTCCCGCATCCCGGGACGTCCTACAATCCCGCGCCCGCCGATCACCAGGTACATTCCATCGCGTGTTTCCCGGTTTGTCACAATGATTTTTATTTTTGATATTTGCTGTAGTTATAAACTATAAACTGACGCGAATATGATTGTTTAATGCGGCAGTTGTATTATTCCAAACCGTTGACGCTATAGATTATGTAATATGTAAGGCTTTAAAGCTGTGCAGTCTTTTTTGCGAGGAAAAATTATTTAGAAAGTTGTCATGATCATAGCCATGTATTGCATTGTGCAGATATATTTATTTTTAGGCTCAATAGTGGGCCGCTGGTGTAATGGGTGTTCTGATAGTTTTTCTTTCTTGCTCAGAGTCTCTTGTCGTCTGCCACCGAGAAAGCCCAAGCACAGCAACGCGAGGAAGAAAAACTGCGCGACTTCAGCAAGAAGCGCACCGTGGCCGATAAGTGTGCATCTGATTCCTGGATGGATGAGATGCGGCAAGGACTTCCGGGGGCAGAGGTAGAGAGCACTGTCGATGATGCTCCCGCAGGTGAAGATGTGGAAGAATTCGAGATCAACCGGAAGACGGCCGGCGATGCCAGAAAGACCAAAAAGGAGCGCAGAAAGCAGAAGCTCCTAGAAGAACAGGTAGGGAAAAGATAAAGCACAAAAGCAGGTTTTTCAACGATGGGAAGTGGTGGTTACCTGAGTTGCTGATGTTTTAGAAATCCCAGCGCTTAAAGTTAAAGGAAAAAAAGATTCTGGAGCATGAAGTGTTCAGGTAGCTGCCTGTCGTCCGTCCGTCTCACGTCGTGTTCTTGTTGCAGTAACCTGACACGCTGTCTTTCTTAGCGTTAAAAAAATTCTGAAACGGCTGGATGTTAAGGCCAAAGAGGACGCGGCACAGGCACTGGTCCGTAAGGCCAAGCGAGACGATCCCCTGCGACTTAGGAAACTGAGCAAATACAAGTACGTTTCCTTGGTCATTCTGAACGAGTCTCGTATTCTGCAACATTATTTACTTACTGCCGTCGGTTACAGATTCGAAGAAGCAAATCCTGATGTGCAGTTACCAGAGGATATGGCCGATAATCTACGCACGCTGCGGGTATGCGTATCTGTATTAGCGTAATACACAGTTAGTTATGTATACCTAATTTTCGCTGTTATGAATATCATAGCGAAATTTTGTACTGGATTTGTTGCTGTTGCACTTATTTAAATAAAACATAAAATTAAATAGGTATGCTTTTTTTAGCCGGAGGGCAATTTGCTGTTGGACCGTTACAAAAGTCTACAGCGGAGGAACATCGTGGAGCCGCGTCGACGCCAAAAGTAAGAGAATGAACGTACTGTGTGGGAGAATAATCAGCCAGTGTAAATGTGTTGGCATGTTTGCAGGATTAAACGCAAATACAAACTGAAATCCTACCAGATCGAAGGTCGCAAACTGGAGGAGTTGAAGACGTAGAATAATATGTTCTGAACAAAATCAAACAAATGCATTGTTTCCACCGTTGACTAAATGTTCGTGTGTGTCAGCTGTCAAGCGTGTATGTGTTGGCAGCGGCATCCAAGAAAGCCGGTGCGCGGAAAATGCTGACTGAGCAGTTTGTAGAATTGACTCAGGCATCTGACTGTGGTCGCTTTGCGCATCGAATGAAGCCGATTAAAGTTTTAATATTCTGTAATCTGTGGTGATTTATGACAGTAGAATGGCGAGTGAGATAGACGCGGGTCTGCAGTCTGTTGAATTCTATCCCCAAAATGTGGGGACATGTCGGGCGCGTTTTGAGTGTTTCCCGCTGTTGCTTCAGCGAGCCAATCAGTATCTCCAAGCCAATCCCGATCTGCAGCTGCGCAGTTGTGAGTCGATTTTGGTCAGCCATCGGGAACTGCGCGGTCACTGCGTGCACGAGGCGCAGGTGGTAGCGGGCACCCGCAAGGAGAGGATCGCGAGTCGTCGCAGTTTCGGCTGTATCCGGGGACTGCGCTTGTGGCTGCAGAATAAACCCGTTATGCGGTGAGTGCAATCTACCACTATGTAGTTAATTTTTCTACAAAATTTTTTAATAATTGCAGCTCCCACTTGACCGACAAATCGGTCGTTTTCCCGTTCCTCTCGGACGAAGTGGTTTTCCTGGATGTGCATATCCGGCCGCCCTCGGGGCCCAAACAGCGCCACCTGGATCAGCTGGTAGCGGCGGTGAACCATGCGTTGTCGGACAGTCTGCTGACCGGGCAGATTCTTAGCGTGGAGTCACTGCTGGTGCCATATGAAGGCCGTTTCACCGATTCCCACCGATCGCACTGGGTGGAGGGGGATAGTATGCGCTTCACGGAGTACGTACGGGTATTTATTGTCCGCGGTAAACAGCATTTGGAGCTGCTGGCGATACAAGATTTTTGGCCGGCTGTCGTTCGCAAAGAATCCAGAAAACGATCTGGACTGTATGAGAATTTCAGCGAAGTGTTCGCCCGCGTGCAGGTACGGTAGATTAATAGCACATGTTGATTGCGACTCGGCTGCACTAGGCTTTGGAAACATTCTGAATGACATTTCTTTGCCCTTTTTTCAAGGCTAAAACTTAAAATTAAAATCAGGTAATTCGTTACAGAAATCGCTTAGTACATAGATACCTACGAGTAGTAAGTAATAAGTTTTAAAATTAGTGCAGATAGGGAACGGGATTACTAATTTTATTATTGCTAGCCCGTTAGGTAACTTTTTAAAAAAATTCGTTTATTGCACCATCTGTGACTGTACGCATACAGTGAGTGTAACATTAACTGATTAACCTAAGTGATTATCAACCACAACAGTTAAAACACAAGTGCAGTAATAAATTAATCGTTTCAAACTGTCACTGAATTCAGTCTGACTGCAATTTATCGCAAATATTATTAGCAGAGATAAGTAAATGAAATGTAATCCATAGTTAAGTACTATCAAAGGCACGATTTTAGCAGGCAGCTAATTAAATGAAATGTAATCCATAGTTAAGTACTATCAAAGGCACGATTTTAGCAGGCAGCTAATTAAATGAAATGTAATCCATAGTTAAGTACTATCAAAGGCACGATTTTAGCAGGCAGCTAATTAAATGAAATGTAATCCATAGTTAAGTACTATCAAAGGCACGATTTTAGCAGGCAGCTAATTGATTGTTGCAGAACTGCCTAGCTGCTCTTCCGATCGGCTGCCGCGTTGTGAGCATCCGGGACATCTGCCGCTCGGTGAACAACCGGCACCGTCTGCCAGCCTCGTCAGCGGCCACCTGGCCGTCGCAATTCCGCAGTTTCCTGGAGGGTCTGCGTCTCGTGGTGTGCCTGAAGAATCCCGAGGAGACCCTCATCAAACGCGCCCACACCGTCGTCCCGCTGCAGTGCCAGACGTTTGCGCCCATGGTCTTGAAGAGTGAGCAGTTAGAGGCCGACGAGACAGTGCGACTGCGCATGGGCGATTGGCTGCGCGACGAGGGAAAGGGGCGGGTGCTGGCGGTGACCGGAATGCGCAAGCGGGTGCTGATGGGGGTGGATTTTTTGGGTGGTCTGGAGAGCATGTACCAAATGGGGATCCGGCGGGGTGGCGACCAGGGGGAGGGGAAGGTGGTGGTGGTGCCGACTTATCGGGTGTTCTTTCAGTGATGCATGGGTCTCTTGGATGCTATTGTGTCCTGCATTGCTGCCCAGCTGTTACCCTGATTCTTTTTGTAATTGTACAGCGCGAACACTACTGACATGCCTTATGTGATATGCCTATCCGACGGAAATATGTGTACAATCTGAAACACAATTACTATTCTTGTTCGTATATACTTTAATTTGTCAAGGATTGGTTACTGTAATTTTCATGACGCTAGTAATAAGTATGGCAGTTTGCTGGAGTTTCGTTTGGCTTGATCGACTCAGTGTTTTGACATGAGTAATATTTTTCCGATGCTGCGCAGATGGGCTCAACATCCTTGACCGACAGGGCCGTTTACATGCCGAGAGAAATGTCGGTGCGCAGAAGCCCCCGGTGCCGTTTCCGGTGTGGGTATTTGGGTGTTGATTGTTGCCGTTATTTCAACGCGAACTGCATCTACCGGGCCGCGTGGCCCAGTAACACACTGATAATCGTCGATCATTTACTGTAACATAATCTCCATTCTCGACCGATGACAGCTATATTAGGAAACAAATTACTGACGCATATTCGACTTCCTGCCGTGCAATTCAGTTGGCGCTTGGCCGTCCCTTTAATTTGCATTTCTTCCGTCGTCTCTGGTTTAGACGCCCGGCTGTTTCCTCAGCACGTGATCACCGCATACTTCAGGTGTCAACCAGATGGGCACAGCAGCGTGGATTTCACCAAGCACACCTAAATAACGTATGGCACTGAGTTTAATGGAGCTACTAATGCGGACGTGCGTGTGGCCAGCCAGGAGTGGCCACAAGAGGTGAGGACGGGTGTTGGCCGTTTCCGTTTGGCTCACTTATCTTCCTAGAAATATGACGGCTTTCCTGGAAGATACTAATAGTGTAGCCGAATTAGTATGTATTTTTAATGCAGCCCACTGACGCACGCACGCAGACAGACAGTTCGTCAACGGTAAGTGCGCCCCGATATACATTATTAGTAACTTTGCAGTACGCCGGCTGTAAGAAATCTCCAGCCAAGTTAGCTAATGGGCTAGCCGCATTCGCAAACCGGAAGGAAGTCCATAATTATTAGTCCTCTTTACTGACTTCCGCTTAAACTGACACGTTGTATTGTACAACAGAACAGTAAACGCTCTTATAAGCCTGCAGGCAACTGGATGAGCTAACTGCAGGAAAGTGACCTTTGTGTAATTACATTGACAGTAAGTACAGTACTTCTAGTGCTGATAACTTGGTGCATCTAAGTAATGCTGTCGCTACGTGGGCATTGCAAACGTAAAGAAAGAAAGGCAATTAATATAAGATGGTGGGTGAGAAAATCGAGCAATCAAGCAGTACAACGTACAAAGACAACTGTGATTGTTCGCAAAGGAAATCGATCGCCCGGACAAAAAATTACTCATTTCTCCAGACTGTGGGCTTGTCTAGCGGAGTACAAACATGGCATGGCACTGGAATTCTGCAGTGTTGCAACTGGGCTGCCAACTGCAACGTGAGCATCCGGGAAGAAATCGCACTGGAGTGGGATTACTCACCTTGCTGGCTCATCGCAGCTTTGCACATTATCATAGCACAAATGAAGGTCTGTTATATTATTATGCGCCTTAATATGCGCCTTCATTCCTGCTATGACATTATACATGTGTGCGCTTGTCGTTGGTCATCCTCGCAGTTATCTCTGACATCATTCGATATAATAGGCTGATGCCTGCGTACGCCGCGCTAGCTACCGTCAAGCCTTAAATACCTCGAACTGGAACATCCTGCATTAGTTGCTGTCGATTTGACCCGGAAGCGATCTAAATTAGCGCTCACTGGCGTCCGCTTCCCAGTTATTGCCGGCATTCAGACTACTTGCTGGGCCGTGATCGACGATTGCGTTTGCAGTCAGAATTAATTGATCTCATTATCACCGCCTTACCTCACGCTAACCTGTTGACGCGCGCGCATTTATGTCAGCGGATGGTCGCCTTTTGTTGTGCGTTAAATGTCGTTGGCCTCCGTGGCGCAGTCGGCGAAAGGTCAAGGTTATTCTCCCCGAGCGCGGTCAAAGCGAAGTCCGCTTAATAAGACACGACAGCCGCCCGTACACGGCTTCCTGTTAGTTTTCCGTTAGGTGTCGGCACGCAAAGAGCATTCTTGTTTAGAAACAACCCACTAAGTCACTGGTAAGACGCAGCACCGGAGCATCGAGCCCGCCATTTCCCGGGCGAAAGCCGCGTGATGGTAATGCGTTGACCAGTGGGATTGCTCGGCATGTAAACATCCGCGAGCCACATCCAACGCCAGTTCCGGTGTGAATGTGTACATGCAGCCGGTGACCTTTAAGCAGTGCAAATGTCATCAGCGAGAGTCTGATCGTCTTGCATATGTGGGCCAGATTGATTACGCGCCTGTCACCCTGGACAGCGTGTTGACAGTTAACAATTAGCCGCCCAGGTGAGTTTCTGCTGCAGCCGCCGTTTGGCCTTTCCTATAAATACCGTTCACAACACGACTTAGCTGCCTTGTACGTGGTAACTGGAGTCTGGAGCTAAGTTCTGGTTGGAGACAAAAACGGGGTCTTTAATCAATCAAAAGCGGTTCATGTTACGTTACATCTTTTTGCATAAGTCACGCTTCTTGTAGATTTCCGGTGCGTATCGGTCTCTGTTAGTGGTACACTACCGCTGATACCACTATTCACCGTCACCAGTTGCACGACCTTCGCATATATCTTGGCTCCGAACCGCTGTGTTTGCGCGGTGTGATTTATGTCACTGCCCAAGTGGCTCTTGTGGCGTGTCCTTTATACTGTGTGAACTACTTCGGTTGGACTGACTGTTTTGACAGAATTGCATACGAGTCGGCCATATTTGTATCTGTCCGGAACCGGCTACATAATCTAGCAATAAAGTACGACCCTCACAGTCAGTTGCCGGCTTTTCTAGAATAGTTGCATCGGGTTCGTTCAGGCGTATTCCGCCGGTGGCAGCCAGTCTGCCACGGTATTCTGGCCATCGTTTGTCGTTAACGTTTGTGTTGCATTTATATACAGCCAGCAACATGGCTGCTTACTCGTGGAGGTCGGCAGTGGTGCAGTGTGCCGTCTGTGCTGTCCTTCTGCAGGCGGCACTCGATGCACCCGTCGTCGTGGCCAGTCCAGCCGTCGCTCCGGTAAGAGTACAATATGTTGACCTATGGCCACTGGCCAACATGCTCGGACCAAGGTCTCCTTGCTCAAAAATTATGCAGGTTGTGTACCAAACCATTAGAATCTACTTTGTTTGGTTTCAAAGCCCGCAACTCCTAATGACACTAAGACTAATGGTGACAGGATGTACCTACGTTCAGTACTATGTGTGTATTAGGATAAAATACGAATTCCATGCACACTACGGAAGTTGTCGCTGATGGATATATCGTTATAATTTACAGATATCAGGATCCAGTATCCGCAAGGCATTCTTGTTTTCTCCACCAACTTCGTGGGGATCACCATCGGAGCGGACACGGACAAGCCGCAGTCTGGCCAAGCAGAAAGCGTTACAGGAGCGACCGGAGTGCGAAGTGCACGTTGACAACGTAAGTACCTGCCGATTAGGAATTCAAGACAAAAAACAGTCTCCGCTCACCATATCGACGTTGGTAGGCAGCATTACTGTACTATATTATTCTGCACATTCATACCATACCTTCCCTATGGTGCAGAAACCTTACAATGCAGCAATATTAATTAATTACGTACTCGTGAAGAGCGTAATAAGAAATGTCGGGATCACGCGCGCATCCATAACTTGCGTAGGTTTGCTGCCGGCCAGCAAAATAATCCCACAACGCTATGGTACCATCGTCCCTGGCATTTGCTTTATATTATACCGACACACGAAGGTCGCATTAGTCTTTCCCTTGTCGCAATCGCTTAATTTAATTTGCCTGTGCATATATTGACGAAGATCAGGTCGTATTGTGGCCGGTTGGATTCAGTTAAGTCAGTTGAGGAAGCTGACCTTTACGAGGGAAATATCCATAAGATATGTCAACAATTTTATTTAACAGTTTGACGATATCTAGCCCGATTGGATGCAATTATTACATATAAGTATCACAGAAACCGCGCGTCGTTGACTACGTGGCTATTGATTAGGTCTCGACTCTCAGTCGCATGCTTATTATGCATTACCCCAAACCCATGTCATTGTTAACTATTAAGTTATGTTTAATTATGTCCATGACGGCATGATCATATTAATTACGCATTCCTGCCGCTGAACAGCCACAACCTTTCTAAGCAGTGAAATCGAGGCGTTTGCCGGAAGTAGATGCATGACTTCTCAAACGGCGTCGTGCTGCATCGCAGTAAATAATGCAAAGACTCGACTGTCAAACACTCGCATAACGGTTAGAACTCCTGCTGAGGAAGCGGGAATCCAGGTCGGCATAACTGTAACTTGTGTAAACAAATATTACAGAATTATGAGGTCAGAGCCTGAAGTTTTGACATTAAATTATTACATTTCTAGTAAGAGGAATCAGGAGTAGTGAAAACAATCGCATGCCCTTTATCCGTTTCAAATATTTTCTCAAAGACGTCATTAAAACGTCGCCGTGGCGTTGTTCTTAATTCGTTAGATGTCTTATCTGGTAATATGTGTTCCCAACGCAGGCAACGCTCACAGGGGCCTACCATTACGATCGCGTTTAACCGGAAGCGGATTACGCTGTTGAGTTGAGACTAGCATAGTAATAATAAATTTAATATTCCTTCTGCAGCAGAAAACGCGGGAGCCGGGTCGGTGCCTGTACACTTTCGGCGTGGAGGGCCTAGCCGGCATCTGCCAGACTTATGACCGCACCTACATCGGCTTCTCTGTCCTCTGCGTCAAGCACGTCCGCCCCGGGATACCCAGTATGGCGGCCAAGAAACACAAACGCGCCCATCGCTCCCAGCGGATAACTGCACATTCCCAGTGACCGGCGCTTCGGCGCAACCACTGCCCCGCCCTAACGCTGCCACCTTTTCCACCACTTACATTCCGGTGGCAACCTAGTCCAGAAGACAGTCACCTTAGGTGACGCTCGTTCCCACCGATGAAGACAATCACTTAATACACTTTCGGTACGCACACCGCCACGCTCGGACAAAAGCATGCAATGAAACGATTTACTGTTTATTTTCCATGTTATACAATAGGATGCCGTTATATGCAGCAGTTTCATTTGTCGACACTACACTCGATATTCTCTGCGTTTGATAGCAGGCTTGCAGTATGATTGCATCACTTATGGTTGGCCATGTTATTGATTACTCTTTGCATTGTAATAATCATTAATTTTGTGCTCATTAAAACATAATTTCGTGCTGAGTTGACTGGTGGAGATTTTCAGCAGCTGTTGACGTTAACTTTTCAATGGTATAATGGTAATTAAATACGTGTCTTATGCCGTATATGGGAAGGTCATCCGAGAATAGTTACCGGTAAATCTGTACAAGAAACTGGTCCCACTGACTGTGGTGATCACTTAATTTGTTGGTTGTTGTGAGAAAGACATACGAACTGATAAAGTTACTGAGTTATTCAAAGTTATTGCGTTAATTCGTTCTTGGTTGGTCAGTTGAGGGTGGTGCCGAACTCGGCGACGACGGTGCGGTGGGCCTCGATAATGGCCTCGAAGGTCTCGATGCCGCTGGGCACAATATGGCTGGGCGGTAGGATGAAGCCGTAGCCCAGGTCACGCAACTCCACCGTGTACGAATATTTGACGCCGGCCTTGGCTTTGCCCCAATCGTCCGTAGCACCGGCTGCCGCGCCTACTCATTAACAACACGATATACAACACGATATATTGCATTATTAATAACGCTAAGTTGATCGATACTGACCTAAGAGATACGTGGAGCTGCCCACTTGGTAGCGGACACCATACTGCGCCGTAATGGCGTTGGCCATGCGCCGGCCCAGAGCTTCCTAGTAAATTGTAAAGCACGACGTTAAAGGTCACTGTCGGATCACACAGCAAGAACCGTAAAATACTGACCAGATCAGCAATATCGCTGGGATATTCCAGCGCGTAGCCCCAGGGTGTGAGGATCATCTGGGCGGCGGAGTGAATGGTAAGGAATACTTTGAGCTGATCCTTGACCTCCAGCGCCGTGTCGGTTAGATGGAGGTTCTCGACCTCCGAGAAGGGAAAGGCGCCGGCGTTGATGTCACTGCACGGCGGCGATTGCACCGCGCCAGACACTGATACAAAAAACGTCGTTAAATTTACTGGTTTGGCTACGCGGTACCTAGTCAGATACAAGCGGGACGTACACATCCACTTGAAATCGTAGTTGCGGTTGGGATCAGCGCCCAAGCATTCGGCGAAGGGGCTGATGCGGCGGGTGCGGCGCCACATGCGTGTCTGAAATTACACTGTGTAAAGGTCACCGGTAATGAGCAAGGTAATGCGAGAAGCACCTACCGAGTAGGAAGAGTCGGAGTGGGTGTGCTCCAGACCGTCGGGATTGACCACTGGCAGGATGTACCAGTCCAGGTCGTCCACCATGCGTCTGACGGTGCTGTTGCGCGAGTATTCCGTCACCAGCTTATTCGTCCTGCCCAACAGCAAATGTATTTGTAGCTCTACTGGGAATTAACTGCGTATCCATTGTTGTGCTTACATGTACAGCAATGTGGCGCTGGCGATCCACTCACGGGCGTGAATATCTGTAATTAGCGTATGTTTGCATATTTGCGCATAGTATAGTTGAGATGAGTGCGTTTTTAGAAAGCGTTGAGTGTGTGGGGACGTACGGGAGTCCATCCAAATGGCCGGCTTCTTCTTGCCGTCGGCGCGCGGCTTCCCCACCTTCAGCCGGTACATGCTGCGGCCTTCGTAGCTCTTTCCAATCATCTTCAGCTCCACAATGTCAGAATAATCCTGCGCTAGACTTTGCACGAATGCCTCCATCTATGCAAAGTAGGCATTTCGTGCACTATTGCAATCGTGAGACATTGGAGTAGTGGAATTTTTTTTATAAAGCACACATTTTTTTAGTCATATGATTTGAAAACGCAGTGGTCAACGCAAGTGCACAGCAAGCGCACTACTTTATTTACGGGTTTTGAAAACCCGTAAATAAAGCGGTTACAGTACGCGGAAACACTTACCGTGGCGTATCTATGGTACGCCGTCCAGCTCATCTTGCCGGCGTCGGCGGCCTTCTGGTCAGCCGGCGACATAAACGACTCCGCTTCCACAGCGCTGCAAAATATTACCACTGTCAATAACAAGCACGTGACCTCCATTAATACACGCGTCAGCTTTATAGTAGCATTCCCATATTAAATGCAATGCATGCAGCATTATCTAATCTCAGGAAGATGGCTAAACAGTAGTCGGTGTGTGTGTGTCAGAAATACATTCTCTTTCGTTTCCGTTAGCGTTGCTGATAAGAAAGGTAATAACGTACGGCAATCTTGCGAAAGAGGTGTGATTCCTTTAACGCACGAAGAGTACGGCACTTACGCGGCCACATCGTCGATGGAAACCTTGTACGCAATCCCCTGCTCTTCTAACAGGGCCAGCACTTCCGGCTGCTTCTCGGGTGAGATAATGACGTTGATGGGCATCTTCAGGTCCAGCACGGCCTGGCTCAGGTGAGTCCAGATGTCCACCTAGCCCACAACCAATTTGCAATGTGGACACACCATCATACATAAATAGGTAATTATTAAGAGCCGGCAAACAGCAAACCTTGTCTTGAAGGTCTTTGTATTCAATTTCCTGGTCCAAAGCTCGTAAAAATTCCAGCTGCTCCTGGGTGGACACTTGCAGCCGGTATAATTTGTACCTACATCGCCACGGCATGTGATATAATAATTGATACAAAGTACAAATGAATGCCGCCTGATTGCGCACAATTTGTATGTACGGCACTAATTTTCCCTTAATTAAGCAGCTGAGTTGGGTATTCTTATGCTGCTACTGTTATTGCAATAATGTATGATTAATTTATTACTTAACTTTTAGCATCCGTTATTTTTAAAATATAGTTTATTTATTAAACTTAAACTTGTCGTTCTTAAAAAATGGAAGTTACAATTATTACGTTGATGGATACTTCTGATGACGCATGTGCGCCCCTTCTTACTCTAGAGCAGATTATTAGATGGCAACCTTACCCGAGCCAATGGTTTTTCACCGCTGCCGAACTACACAGCGTGACGGTCATCGCGACCAAAAGAACGACCGCACGAATCTCCATCTTCTCCGTTGAATGGTAATTTCAGTTAAAAATCACAACCAAAACACTAATCACAAACAAACACTACCACTGCCTAGAAAAATTACCGCCGAAGAAACCCGTTACGTAAAAACCGTCCTGCTGACTGAAAACAGCCAACAGTAACCACATTGTCGTGCTTTCCTGATTCATTGAAGCGTCACTTATCAGCAGCTGACTATTGTTGTGCCGCGATAAGCCTTATCACATAAATGGGTGTTTATCGTTAATTCAGGTGTCTGACCATGTGGGAATGCGCCGGTGAATGGTGCGAGAGATTACGGCAACTTCTGGCTATCACCGGCACGCGATAATCATTGCAAGGTCACGGCCTTCTTTTCCCAACACGTCCTGCTTATGATAACGGCGTAGATAGTTTTATTGCATTTAATCGTTAAACCTATCTGTATTTATCGATAATCGCAGTTCGCAGATATTCTTTATTTACAGGTTAATATCTGTTTATCTCATTACTTCTAGTTATAAAAAATTGCTATTATTATGCAATCACTTAACCTTAATTCATTCTTTCTTTTGTAATAACTAGATGTATAATTAGTCACAATTTTCTCCATTATTGGTTAGGTTTTGACAGTTTGGAATCTTGCTATAATGGGATTTATTAACATCATTGGAGTATTATTCGTCAGTTGCCTGAGACACAAATCAAAATACTAAAACCGTTCAATCCGAAGAGAGAAAGAGGAAGGAGAGAATGAGGATACAAAAAACGAAACTAAACTTCTCTTAGCTGCCACGTTGTTGAGCGTGTCTGTTTGTTCATTAGTTAATCGGTTCTTGCGTCGTTCAGGTGGGATCCGGCTCTGGCGAATGCGCCGTATGGGTCTGCTTCTTCAGTTTATCTTTGGGGTTGGACTCCAACGAGGGCTTACGCGTGTGACTGCCCGGCTGCAGAGTTACAAGTGCCGAGCCGACGCACAGGCCAGTCTGCCCCCAGGGCGCGTAACCGGGGCCGCCGCCGTTGGGCAGAGCGATCAGTGCCGACACCACGCCGTGCCGACCATCCGCCAGGGCCTCACTGGACACAAGGGCCGGCCGCAGCAGATTCTTCAAAGGACGCTTCAGAGGACGGACTGTTCCGGTTGCGCGATCCACTTCCGAACTCGCTCCTAAACAACACATGTTAGCTATCTATATGTCAAATAAATGAACTAATGATTTCAGTAATTTCAAACTTCTTCGTCAATGTCACAAAAGCTTAAAATCGCGCATTAAAGTTTACACAGTCGTTAATTAAATTCAGTAGTACAGATTAAATCTACAAATTAATTTTCATAGATCGCGCTGATACATAAATGATCCTAAACAGATTACACAACAATAAATACCACTAATTACCCAACAAGCAAGTTCGGTAATCAACAGGTTGGACAGTAAAACTATAAAGTAATTTAAGAAACCATTAACTAATTTCAAACAGAGATTTTTCAGTAGACCACCGCTGCCTACCTCTGGTCAAATCGAGATTGATGCAAGCAAAGGGCCGCTTGGCCATCTGCTCCATCTCAACGAACATGCGCTGGCGCCGGCGGTAGAGATCGTAACGCTGTTTCACCTTCCATCCCACCGCAGCCAGTAGCAGCAGCGACAGGAAGCAGCAGGCGAAGACGACGAAGAAGTGCAACAGATCGAGACTGGCGTGCTGCGCAAAGGAGATGACGATGACGGAGGGCGTGGCAAAGTCATGGACGTAGACGAAGACGGTGGTGTTGAGGCCCTCCTGGCCGAATGGCAGCTGATCGTGCGAAAATACTCGATCCAGCTTGTGCTCCAAACTGCACACCGCAGATCCGATCAACAGCTCCTCGCGGGCCATTACCGCCGTCTTGTACGACACATTTACCAGCGAGGAATTCCTGCCAATCGTCAGCGTTTAACCAAAGCAAAAGCAGTAAATCAAATGTACACTTACGTGCAGACCAGAGTAAACTTGACGTCAAAGTCGCGTTCCGGCGGTGATGATTTGAAGTTGATGCTGGTGAAGTGGCTATCCTCCACTTTCGTCAAGTTAAACGTGAATCTGTTCAAAGCAAAATTTTTTAGCGGCCACCAAGTTCAGTTTCAGTCACATGGTAAATCCCTATACAAATTACTACCGCACAATGACAATTTCTCTGAGGTAGCGGATTATTTGAAGTAAATTTAGCCTTATCCATTTGAACAATTTATTAATCAGCCATGATTATCACAACGGTCTTTATAACTTAAATTATATATACAAACATGCTTCAGCTGCCCATAAGCAGATTAACGAACGACACGATTCGATTTCCGGCGTTTGTCTGCCCCAACTTACTGGTATCCGATGGGCAGTTCGTAAAAGCATGCTCCATTGTGGCTGCTGTAGTGATTCAGCTCATCGCACTTATCACACATCCTGCCCGTTGTCCCCTTCGTGCTGCACTTGCAGTTGCCCGTCTCCGAGTCACATCCGTAAGCATTATCGGGACAATTGCACTCCGTGCAGTTGCCGCCGTTGCGCGGATCTCCGTAGAAATCTGAGACGCACTTCTCGCAGTTATTTCCCTCGGTGAAATCCTGACAGGGTTGGCAGGTGTGACTGTTGTTGACGCACTGCGCGTGGCCGTTACAATTACACGCCGGACAACTGCTAAAATACCACAATTTGGACGGACATGTTTCCGTCTCCCAAGGACCGCGTTGCGATCCCATTCCACACTGACCGCGTCCTGTTCCGCTTCCGTCATCACACCAGCCGCAATCCGGATTCTCCAAACACGACCGGCACGATTTGTACCCGTGGCACTTGCCCAGCGTTGGGCATTTCCGGCTCGTACTCGTCCAGTCCCGACATTGTCCGTAGGAGAAGACCACATTGTACGCCATGGGATCCACGCAGCGCTCCTCGTTGGCGCACCACATACACAATCCGTTGGAATTGGTGCACGTTTCACAGGTGCTGCGCTGCGTGCAGGGAATATCACAGCTGGAGCTGACCGTTTCCGCCAGATCCTGCGGCGGTCCGGGCACCACTCGCGGCACACAGTCTCCGCCGCGCCCGACACCCTCTCGCTGCCACATGCACGTGTTGTTGGACAGCGTCACGCAGCCCTGACAGTTGAAGAACGTACTGCAGAACACGTCCGGCTCGCGGGGACATGAGGAGATGGCCGTCAGCAGACTGCCCTCATCGCGGCACGGCTGCATAGTGCAGCCATATAGTCCGCTTCCTTTGCACCAGTGGCAATCCAGCGAGGTGCCAAGGCACATGTTGCAGCCCATGCCCACTTCACGGGAACACTTAAACTCGTCGGCGTCTTTGTTGGCCGAAGCGCACTTAACGTGCTCGTAGCCCGGAAGGAGGGTGCTGCCGTCCGTGCACTGTTTAGAGCGCTCGTTCCACGCGCACTTGCGACCGACCATCGCGATGGACAGACACGTCTCCCGGCTGGGGGCGAAGCGGCACTGGCCAGGACTGAAGCGCAGGACTTCATTCAACAGTTTGCCTTGGAAGCCGCCTAACACGTACATTTGATCCTTGAACATAAATGCTGCGTGTCCATATCTAAAAGAAGAAAAAAAATCGTCTCCACTAGTTACAGTTATTTACAGAAAAAGTTACACAATGGTAAGGCCACATGGATTACGTAAAAAATCGTGAATTCTCAGTAAGTCAGCGTATTTTAAAGAAAACACATTAACAACCCAAAGAAATCAATGTAACTATCAGTACGGTACGAGCATTAAAAATCGACAAACTGACAGTGCAAAATAGATCATGCGGTCACCTTGCAAGACGAATGCTGTCGAAATTCATCTTGGGTGTCTTCATCACGTGCCACTGATCACAACGAATATCGTACGCCACCATGTCACCGGTGTAGCACGGCGCACTGCGGCTAACGAAGGTCTCGTTGCGCGGGTTGCCGCCAAAAAACCACAAGATGCCGTCATCCATGCCCGCGTCGGCGCTGAAGAGGACGCCCGTGTGCAGGAAACGCGGCATGGGCGAATCGCGCATTCGCTTGAAGTAGGCTTTCTGCGGATCGTAGGCTAACAATCGCACCCACAGATTGTCCAGGAAAAGCCGCTTCGGCGAATCGGCATTCAACGGATCGCGGCCTTGATTAGGCAGGAAGCCACCGTAAATGTACACCATACTACAAAGAAATACCATTAAGTGGTTATATTGTTCAATTTTAACACCGAGAGTCTTTTCACTATCAACAGAATACTTCACATTAGACTGCATCATTGCACTAAACAAAAAGCTCGCAGAGAGTGCCAAAATAAGCACCTACTAAATTAATAATAACGGTTTCTCTACTAAACTTCTGAAATCTTTTAATGGGGCGTGTGCGGAATTCAGCGCTCAAGATAATAACGAATAATTTGTTAAATTATTCGCCCCATAGTGCAGACTGCAAGTTTTACAAACTTATCAACTACAGGAAGAATTTCAATTTCAACTTTTATTTACTAAAAGGTAGCATACTTTGATTTGGCATCGTAGACAGAGGAATGGCCGTAGGTACCGTAGACGTAGGTGCCGCTGGTGGGAACGATGGACCAGCGTTTATTGTGTGGAGGCGAACGCAGATTAATCTCCTGGACAATATTGAGAAAACCGTATTCCGGACCCCCGTAGCCGAAGAAGATGAGCATCTTGTGGTCAACCACATGCGCAGTGTGGCCGGCTGTCGGAATGGGCAGGCAGCCTACCCGGCACTCCTTATTAAACTGTCGCAGAACCCACACCTAGACCACATGCATATTTTTAATACAAACGGCCCAAAGAACGCCAATAACTGGATAACGTACTTCGTGCTTCGGCTCCCACTGCCACAGTTCATTGCTGACGATGGTGCTGTTGACGAAGCCGCCGTACATGTAAATACTGTCGTTATACCTGCAAGAATTAATCACGATTTTATTTGCGTAATTTTTTCCATTTTATTTTTCCGCAAACACCCTTGCAATTTTTGAACGAGTTTTTATAAGAAGATTAATTTGCTGGGGTGATTAGTTGGCGTAAATCATCCAGCAATCCAATCATTGCTGGCTGACATTCGTGTCAATAGAAGGATGAAAGAACACGCAAATGAGTGCGCGCCGCGACGTCAACAGCGGCGGAGTCGGTTGGGGAGCGAGAAAAAACGTCGCAGCTCAGCGGCGTTCGCACTGGCCCCAACTGTTCCGCTCAACTTAATCCATAATCCGCATTGACGGGGCAGCGATGCGCGACGAAACAACAATTACAAGTGCGCCGCAACACCGCCGAAGACGTCCAACTAATTCACCAGATAATGAACAATTCAACAACCCACGCATCTCGTGCAGTTGGACGCTTATTGCGTAACTACGCAGATCATAATCAAAAGGACATATATATGATTTTAAAAATACTTATTATTTATCAACAATTTTTGCAAAAAATAATACTTTTACAACAAAATTTTACAACAACATCCGTAAGAAACTGCAAGAAATAAGATGGCACTTACGCCACGGTGGTGTGGGCGTATCGCTTCTGAGGATTGGCACCGCTGGTGCTGGAGAGTAACTGCCACTCCATGCTGGCCAGATCCAGTCGATGGACACGTTTCATGTCCTTCTCCGCCCCGAAACTTTCCCCGCCCACCCAGTATACATCCTGCCGATCGGCTAGCACCGCCGAGTGAGAGGCCGACGGCGCCGGCACTGGTTGGTCGCCGGGGAAAGGCACCCGCTCCCACAGACCCTCCCAGGTGGGCACGCTGCAGTCGACGCCACGAAAGGCCGGTGGGCATTGGCACGCACCCGAATCTGCGCAGCGGCCGCCGTTTTGGCAGGAGTAACTGTCCGGGCATCCTTTCGGCTCGTCACACGAGGGACCGGTCCAACCCTTTTCACAAAGGCATAACGGGCCGTCTGAAGGGCGCTCTACGCATTGTCCGTGCATAGACGAACAGTTGCAACTGCAATCAATTCCGAGTGAATTAACAGTTAGATACCTCTTCGCCAATTGTGTTCATTGTGTTCACATTACATTTTTTATTTCAAATTATAATCAAAACAATAAAAAATTAGCAAGCTGATTAGTGATTGCCACGATAGTAACTCAGTGCCCATCGCACAAAGATTCCATCGAAACTGAAATTACCGAGAAGGGCAAAAATTCCTAAACAAAACTTTTTTATCGTAAAAGCTGGGTTTGCTCTTGTTGTTTTCCTGGTATAGTAAGTAATACGTATCATCACTCGAATAACAAAACTAAAATCATCCACTAGCTACTGCTATGCCAGCTGGTTAGGGAAAAATGCTATGAACTTCCCGCTCGACTAGTAAAGGTGGATTATGTAATTGTCAAGATGACAGCAATGCGAGAAGAACGGAACGCGAAGAATGCGCTGGTCAATAAATCAATAAGCTCGATCTAACAAGAAAAGTAATCGGTCGGGCGTTAGTAATCAGCGAAGAGGGAATAGCTAGTGGGGGGCACAAGTGGCAGCAAGGTGCGACAGGCCATGGCAAATCGATGCCAAAATAGCGGACAATTACAACTGCGATTCGCTTGGATTCCCCTGCTCAAATGGAACATAGGCCGGCGAAGGCCAACACGGCGAAAGGCAAAGACAAACAGTCATAAATAGCCATTTTCCAGGCATTCGCCATCGATTGGCCGGTCGAAGGTTACCTTGAAATTTTACGCGCATATCCGCTACGCATCCCATTCCGATTAAATTATTGCGGAATTCATCTGTCGGAATGTGATATCCGTGTCCCGGCAAAAAATATCGATTGTCGCAATAAAGGGTGGCTTATTATACGGGAAAACAGATCTGATTAAATTTACCTACCCATAAAACCCACACAATTAATTCTTAACACCGGCAAATTATGCTGTGACTGTAAATCCACTGCAACTCAAGGAAAATTGATATCGAAAAAGATTTCAAAAAAATATTACATAGTCCGACTGAATTATGTACTCTGTATGTTGCTCCTGTTAAAACACTCTTTGTGTATAATATTCTGCTTCAAATTTTACTGCTGTTTGGGAAGCCAGAATCAATTCTCGTAAATACGTATCTAACATTACAATACGGGAAATATTTTCGAAAAACCGCAAGCGCGTTTAACAGTCTACAGTGAGCAAAAAATCTTACAAAATTAAGAGCCTAGAAAAAAGTAAAAATACAAGACATGAAGAATCCACAAACTAATAGCACAGCAAAATATTATAGTAGCATGAGCATCCGGCTTTTACTTTGCGTTTCAAAATTTTCTCTGACCTACCGATTGACTTCATAGGAAATGTTGAATCCGGGCATGGTGAGGGCGACATCACTGAAGAAGTGGACGTAGGCCATGCCCGAGTAGGCCGTCAGCTCGAAGGGGCTGTTTCCCTCGTCCTGGATGTTGCCCGACAGCGTGGCCAACAACGGCTCCCGCGTGCTGTCCCCGTCCCACACGTATACATTATCCCAGCCGCACTCCGTCTGCAGACTCTCTACGCGCAGATGTACCCGCGCTCCTTCTCCCGTCCCCGCGGTACTGCGGCCATCAATCAACCAGGTGCAGTGCATGCTGACCGAGTAATTGCCCGGACCGTCCGTCAGCAGGCCACGCGTCCCGTTCAAATACCATCGTGTCTCCTTATCACAGTTGTCCGTTGAGCAGCGTCCCTCACGGCAGGCGGAGCCGGGGAGGAGGCGCGTGGAGGGGGGTGTCAGGGGAATGGCCAAGGGAGCCAGCAAGGCCAGGAGCAGTATCACAGCGCAGGGCAAGGGGCACAGCCAGGGGCAGGGGTAGGGGCGCCCAGGCCGCGCCATCTTCCATTCTAACATGGGGGTGAGGAAGACAGCGGGACAGAGGGCACTCCGGAGGAACGGAAACGGCCCATCAGTTAGTGATGAGGGTAATCAGGTCAGTGGAGGAATGCATCATTCAGCATCCGTACAGTCAACCGTGCCAGCATCACACGCAGCATGCAAGCTGCAGCAAACATCAACAAAACAGCTTCTATTTTGCGCTGGCGGAAATAGGAAACAACAGACAGCAAACAAATTCCAAAGAATTTCTAACAGATGAATTACTAGTGCAGAACAAATCCAGGTTTAGAACTGATAACGCAAAACATAAACAGATAAACTGATAAAAACATAAAAACTGGTAAAATCGCGAAAGATGTGACTTACAAGAGTGGCAGAAATCTGCGCAGATGAAGCTGAAGCTTCTCACGTTTGTGCGTGCCAGCACAGTCAGGCATGAATGCATAATTCAAACAGGGAACTTGTGTGAGTAAAGCTGTGAACATGTTAAAGCAGGCGCACTTTGCAAATGTCCTTGTTTGCTTCACGCATTTATCGTGAAGGGCTAACGCAATCGTGTGCGCTTGCGCATAAGCTGAGCTATGTGACCGAGACAACAATTTCATTTCCTGTTGCGGAATGTTCAAACAAGGAAATTACTAAAATTCTACACGAAGTGTTTGCCGATTTTCAAAACCGACAGTGGTTTCAATTTCTTCCATTCCCCGTTTCCAGTTCTGCCTATGTACGATCTCCAGGTATGGAAAACTAGAGAAGTACTGTAGCTTACTGGTTAGTGGTTAGTAGATGCATTAAAACTGCTGCCTTCCGGCGATGTTATGGCTAGCATAGTGGCAGCACAGCTTTGTTATCCGTAGTAGTGGGACAAGTGGCTGATGAAAGGAAAGCTACGGTGTTGTACGTAGTATTCCTGAAGAAGCATCAAGTGTGAATCGAATTACTGAACATCCGTGAACACAGAATTGGACTTGCAAATTTTCCTCAGCCAGCGATTTTGGCTTTAACCATCGCATCACGGCATGACGAAGCAAAGGAACGTGCAGCCGGTAGAAAAACGAAAAATGTTTAACACGGCAAACCGGCATTAACGACTCAAAGTTGCAAATTTCCAAAGACCAGTGCTCATTACAGGAAATACTTCTGCGACTAGCGGGCCAGTAAGCATACAACTGCAATCAGACTATCAGAAGGGATTAAGTCGGGGTCCGTACTGCGGTTTCGAAGCCGGTGCACTGGCCTCACCGGGAGACTCGGTTTCGGCCTGAAAAGCGTCCCATTTGCGCTTCTTCCGGTTGGTCATTTCCCGCAGATCCTTCTGATTGCGCCACAGTCGGTAGGCCACTTCCTTCCGGCGCGCCTCCAGTTTGGTGACCGTCTCCTCCGGACTCTCCAGTTCCGGCGCGTAGTGAACGTGCAAGATCGAGCCATGGAAATTGTAGTCATCTAGCTTCCGCTTGGCCAATCTACCGATACAACTACATTAAATTCGCATGAATTCCGCTATTACATTTGCCATTAATAATTTAATACTATTAATTTTGAGCAAATGAAAAATTTTACGCGTATCGAACTTTAATTACGGACGTATATACGATCAAATCATCAATCGGAGTTGGACATACATATATATTGTACTTCTACGGTATTTCCGTCACATCGTTTACATGCATAAGCCATACAGTGCTACAATATACCATTTTATTCATTTTTTTATTATTGTAAATAAAACCAGTAAATGGAGGCTTTTTTATTTCGCCTTCACCAAATTCCACTACCGACTAAGAATTCTTAAATGTAAAAGCCAGTAAAACTGAACAGCAATTTGTTGCGGAAAAGTAGCGCAAACCGTAACTCATATAAAAAAGGAGAAAAATGCAGGACACCGAGTTCGATAATGGGATGCTAAAGGACAACCCGCGTACCTGGCGCTAGAAAAACTGGCAAACTGAACCAAATGGACTTCCATGAACTGCTGGTGCGGATAATCAGTCAGGACGCGATGCTGGAGGAGTTGGCCGTACTGGAGACACAGCGCCCGCAACTCCTCCTGCAGCTGCAGCGCGGGTACGTGGTGGATCAGCAGGTAGACAGACTCATCGCACACGCTGAACACCTACGCAGTTTTATACAACAATCGTGTCAGCCTAACTACTCGAAATAGTGAAGACTATTGTCACTATTCCAGTATTTGGCAATGCAGTACGCACTTTGACGGCTGTGCTTCGGTGTCCGTCGCGGTAAGGCAGGCGCGTGCTGCAGATGTTGGCTCGTTGGTGATGTGCTGCGGGGGCGATGGACACCGTCTCGTCGTCGGCTGCTGGGAAAGGGTTCATTGTCACTCACTCATCCTTCGCTGCCGATTCAGTCAAAACCTCGAAAGAGGAGCGACAGATAACAGAAAGCCAAAAACATTTACACTTCTACTCTTCGCTTCTGCCATGGCTCCAGAGCGGTGAGAATCGTACGATCTAACAGGAGCAAGGAGCGCAGGGCTTATTGAAAGTGCTCTTGATTACATTTATAATTGAACTACTCCTTTCGAAAACGTAATTTAAATTAGTTATTTCAAAATTTAGCAGCACTTAAACAAATAGGTAAATGAGAAATCGAAGTGCTGGCTACTGCCGCTTTTGCTAATTTGCTGGCTGCGCTTGCCTTATCGGACCACGAGACTGCTACATTGGGTGGCACGAAATGCTACTATGAACTCCATTGCCTCCCCCTTTGGTGACTGCAGTATCCAGCCACGACCGGCGCGACGGTTGCCGGCTTTCATCGATCGCTCTTTGTAAGATGAGCTCCGCCAAAACGAGTTCCGTGGGATTTGTTAATTTTTTGATGGCTATCCATCCATTCAGCAAGACAATAAGCGAAGTGTTTAAATTGTGATGATCAGATTTGTTCGTCATTTTATCGACAATACGTGAAATCATGACCACAAGGTGCACGGTTGCGCGATGTCATTCTCTAAAAGCGTGACAACAATAAAGCGGTACGATAAGTAATCGGCAACGCTTTCTTCGTTCTGGCATTAATATTGTGACGCAGTAATTTGATGATAAACTCATAAGCGTCAGCAAAGCCGTGACAGCAACAGCTTTTGTTTGCTCAACGTGCACCGACAAACTGATCGCTCGTACATACAGTACTGAGTACTCGTACTGACGTTGCCTGTTTGCTCAACGGCCCGCAGCGTGTGACGAGCCCTGAAAATGAGTAATCGCTGTCGTCAAAATGATCCTAATAATTTTCATCGCGCTGCGCTTCAAAAAAAGAATAAAACCTTCCGGAAAGGTTTTTCTTAGTTATTTGCAAAGTTTGGTTCCATTTACAGTTAGGCATATTAATATTGTATACGGTATAATTGTAGTATTACCGTAAACTGTAGAGGCAATCTGCATTAATATTATAAGATCGACTTCCGGTTGTCTTTTTTATTACCACTAATTTAATCCTTTGGATGGAGTCGCAAAAAGCCAAAGAAGCTGAAGCATCCGCCAGCGGGGCGGGTGGTCTAACCTACGTGGACTTCGTCCCAAAATGTCTGCGTCCCGATTCCCTGTTGCACTGGCCGGAATTCGAGCCCTTCTCTACGCTGATCGGTCCAGCCAACGCCTACCTGCGCGAACACCCCCACCTGACGATCAGCGGCTGTGAGACCATCCATCTGCAGGTGGAAAAGGATCACATCCGCAATCCCGACCAAAGCGAGTTTGACCTGTTCGGCGAGACCGCCAAGCCTTTCGTCAAGGCGCTGCGCATCTGGCTACAACCTCGCGACAAGAACGAATCCCATGAGGTGCGATGATAATGCCTGCGTATATTCAACCATCAAGATATAGTCATGTAACACTCATTGCACTTTAAATAATAATTAAGATTTAATTTTTTTATTTGTTTTACTGAAGTCTTTTTTCAATACATTACTCCAAAGATCACCATTTTGTTTACTTAACAAAATCACTTCCTTTTACCTATTTTGCTTCATTTCCTTCAGATTTAATACTCGTACAGATTATGAGGTCTTTAACCGGCATTAGTTTTTAAATGTGTAAATTAGTAATGTAAAATGCAAAATTTTTGCAAAATCTTAGGCACAACAGATCGGTTACGTCAGCTTCATTCCCAGCGTATTGCCGAACGTTAGTCAGACACTGGCCGACCTGACCAAGCAAGCCAACGACTGGCTGCACGCCAATCCCCTCCCGGGGCGCATCCTCAGTGTGGAGACACTGCTGATCCGCGGCGTTCACGGAGAAATCAACCCCGACGCCAGCGCTTGGAAGCAGAAGACGTCGCTGGCCGCCCTCACCAAACAGACCTTCATCCAGTCCTTCCGTATTTTCTATCACACAACGCCTCATCCCGCCCACGAAGACATTGGCTTCGTGGACTTTCTTCCGCGTATGGTGGAGTCCGGCGGGATGTTCAGCTTCCCCCGCGGGGAGCAGTTCACTGACGTGCTGCGGGCCCTCAACCAGTGGGTGACCTCGGTGCCCGGGAACGTCCGCTTGCTGAACATCCAGACCCTGCTGACGCGCGCCACCCGCCATGGGGACCCGCTAAACATATACACGGCCTGCTACACCGACGCGGAATTCCACGAGTTCCATTGGCGCTTCTTGCGGTTAGCCTTCGCCGCTCCGCGCCTGGAGCCCTCGGCACCGCCGGTCTACGCCCTGCCGACCATCTGTAGCCGGCTCTTCGTGGCCGGCTTGACTCGCGATCCCAAATGGTATCGCCGGGCTGAACTGGAGCGGCTGAGTGTGGTCAGGGAACGGCTGGACAGGTGGGTGCGGGGCAGCGGCTGCCGTGTGTTATTCGTGGAGACGGTGACCTACAAGACCTTCACGGGCAACGAGAGGGCGGCCGGCTTCGATTCGATGCACACGTGGAACGAGTACCACTACGATTCGTCTAGTAAGAGCCACCGGCCGCAAGTGGAGCAGTACGTCGTCGGCTTCCGGGTGTACTTCCAGGGTGAAGTCAGAGAAGTCACGGGAACGACGCCCGCCCGCAGCCTGGATGACTACCGACTGGAGAATCAGGATAAATGCGTAATATCCTGAATTCTTCGCTGATTGTGACCTATCGTCTGTTTTGATTTAACTCGGAGTCTTACTCCTGGAATTAAGTTATAGTACTACAGGAATGACTCACTCGGATTGAGTTTTATGAATATTTTCCGGTATCGGCCCTTTCTTTTTCTAAAGTTTACGATCCTAATGTTAAGAAACAGATTTTTGGAACTATGTGAAATGTTTGTAAAACATGTACTGTACAGCAATAAATTAATTCCGCAAGAAAAACAAATATCCTAGGCTACCGGAAGCGCGGACACGATGGGACGATTTTGAGCAGTTAGACTGGATCGATTGTGCATTTCTCGCCCTTGTTTAGTTGACAATGTGACACACGTCAACATGTACTCGTATGACGGCAACAACAACGCTCGCTGGTCGGTTTTTCAGATTGCAAGATCGCTTGGCCCCGCATTTTGTTTCTGGCAAGAAGAACGACAGAACAAGGTTTAACTGCCTGCATAATTCGAGTACTTACTGGCCAGTGCTTAAGATTAAGTAGGTAAATTCAATTAATCGTAAGTATGCTGAAATTGCGCACGTCCCTTCAGTACCGCTAAAGTACTGAATTTTTCTGGGTTGCTGGTCTTTACATACGCAAGAAGCTGTGGTTTACAGACTAATTTCAGCGATAGTTAGTTCTCGATCTTTGCCTGGATAAACACCGCTTATTTGCCGCCGGTATTTTTAGCATTTTCGAAACATATTTTAATCAGCGCCGCATGCAACGTTTAGTAAATTGTAATTACAGTGACTGTATAAAATTAATATTTTATTTCCTTTCATTCTTCATGAACCTCAAGGATCAACCAGTAGGATATAGCGTAATACGCCAAAAACTATTTATAAAGATGCTTAAAACTACTTTTTTCACGGATAACATTCATGCATGATCAGATGTCATAATCTCGCTTACAATAACTGTAGGAGATGGTGTTTAAGTTTTAACCAACATTCTGAGAACAATAATTAACTATGCGTCAGTGTAAAGCAAATATCCACGACAGCCGGACCTTTGACACAGTTAGACGGCGTCCGTTGGGCATTTTTCTCCTTTCTTCAGCACACAACATCTTTCAATGAAGCCAATATCCGACTTGGGTCTGCCCGGCGCATCACAGGACTTGGTGCCGCATTTTGTTTCTGACAAGAAGAACAACAGATAAAGGTCAACCACATGCACGTGTTACTGCTGGACTTGCGTCGTGGACACTCCTTCGCAAATCATTTATTTCATTTGCAAAAAGCAAAATAAAAACAAAAAGAAGCTTTAGTCCTATCTATTTTATAATAAACGTTATTGCAAGAGGCATATGTATTTCGTAAAATTGCATCGCGGTTGCAACGACGTGCGGGCGTTGTCGTACCTGATTTGGTGCACTCAGTCTTGTCGGGGACTCCGTTCTTGAAGTAAGGCCGGCATTTCGTGCGCCGACACGAGGCATCCACGGACGCCAAGTACAGCAGACTCAGCAGAACGGCCAGCATGACGATGTGCAGCTTCATGGTTGATGGCTAGCAATGGTTTCTGGTCCAATAAAACAACTAACAGCACTCACACCAGCAAACACTTATTGGCAAAATTAGAGAAGTCCACTGTTACGATATTCGAACGACTGAATTTCGTTCGTGCGTCTTTATATACCTACTTAAAGTAGGTATATGCAAAGAATAATACGTGTTCTTAGTTCAGACCCAATTCCGTTATGGCTATTACTGTATTCCTTGCCCGGAGGGCTGGAGAGTACCGCTTTGTTGGACGTCAGTATTTTCTGTATGCATTATACTGTATTTGGCCAATTCCGCATGCAACAGTATTTTCCTTTCATTCTTTTTAAAATCGTTTACGCATACAACAGGGGAGTCGCACACCAACCAGCCGGATACACTACAACATGACAAAAACTATTCTATGCAGTTGCTTAATTTAAACAGTAGCAGGGACAACTCGGCCCACCATTGTTACTAATTTTATTGTTCAGAATCCGGGATGGTCAAACCTTTTGTCATTATAACCCAGACACTGCTGCAATACTAATTATACGAATTTTTTACCTTTTTTACGTGAGTATTTTGCATTAGACAGTATCCTACAAGTGCATCAAGTAGTAAAACATCGAGCCGCTGTCTAATAATATTAGGAAGTATCTCAGCGGCTCGATATTTTACGAGTATTACTTGCTTTAAGTTGCTTCTGACTATTTACGTTTTATTAATGTAAAACGGAAATTGCTACCCGGGTAGAAGCTAATTCCAGTCGTTTCCAATCATTCAAGCAGCCGCGGCACAGTACTTAAATACGAAAAAAACTACTCGCTTAAACTTACTTAAGAGCTGGCAAACGTAAACACTTTATTAAGTTGGCTTAAAAGAAAAGCGGAAGAACGAGTTTTCCTGTGTGTACGATCCCGAATCTTCAAGCCGAGAACCCACACAAGTTTTAAGTTCAGTAAATTGTGGCCTAAAAGAGGGGTTTCGGAGTTTTATTATTTTATATAATGGATAAAAAGAGAAAGTATTGATGAAATATCATTGTAGACTATGAACACAATCTCTTGCAGCAATCAAATACTGCCGCGCTTGCATTTGACATATTTTGGTAAAGCAAAGCAAAAGATGTTAGTTAACCGGCATTTTGCTGAAAAACACATTTACGAGTTTGTTAAGTTTAGCAGTTTTAGTTTTTAGTGAACTATCTGTACAGTTGCATGCTATTTACTTAATTATTAATTACCAATGGTAAAATTTTGCTGAATTTTGCGAATTTGCCCAAATGATCATTTTTGCGTCATTATGAATTAAAACGTGTTATGAAATTTTCTGCAGATCTCTTTTGTTGCTTTTTGTTGCTGTTTTTCACAAATCCCGCTATTATGAGAATTGCTTTCAACTTAAAATGAATAGAATTATAGCGCAAATCTCTTATACCGGTACGGAATCATTTCCGTCATCGGGAACCGTCGTCAGTAATCTGCCAATGAATGCCTCCGAACGTGTTCACTGAAACAGTAACCAGCTAAATGGTCAGAAAATTTTGGTCTTTGCACATTTTTTTGTCACATTTTTTTTAATCAGCAAGAAATGTCCAAATGCGGAGGAAAAGTATAACGCTCCTTCTCAAGTGGTAGTTTATAAAAGCAGTTTTGATTTCTTATGTAGCAACTGTACCGCAGTTAATGTTAGATCTAGAGTAGTTAGAGTTTGGTTTTTTGTGAACAGTTAACACAAAGTCTATGCAAACGCTGCGGGGTTATTTAGATGGACTAATTACCGATAACGTGCACAATTATACAAGCGGTGTCATGTGTGGACAGTGGAAGTATGCAGATTGCAGAGATGCGGTACTGGGGTCATCAGCTACCGTCTGTGTACCTGTCTGTACATGGCTCGAAAGCAAAACCCGCGATAGCAAAAACGCTGATAACTCATAATATGGATAAGATTACGTCTGCAACTAGCACGAAACATATCATACATTTTGGCCGATTATATTATGAGATCAAATGCAATGAATTAATACAGATGGAATTGTATACCACAACAAATAGGAGCTGGCTTCCGGGAATGCGCGCAGCGTGTGAGAGTTGACAGCCATTTAACATTAAAACAATGCCCTATACACCAGTGACCTTTGACTTGGTTTTGTTACGCAGCATATACACTTGCAGCGATAGCGTGCAGCTGCATGCGCATGCATATGCATGCATGGAGCCTGGCCCGGCCTAGTGTCGTCTACAACAAGCAGTCAGAAATTCCTGCAGGTGCTGAGTTCCCGTCAACACAATGAAGATGCGATGTGTATCATTAATCCTGTTGTTACCGTTATTCAGTGTAGTGGCAACGGAAACGAGGAACAGCGACCGCAATGGGTTTGCCGGGTAGGTAGACGCATCAACAACAGAACGTTCTACCATGCTAAAGAGCAGAATATATTTTCTGCTATAGTCCATATAATTATATCGTAGTACGACCATTACTTACTTATATAAATATGTGGCAGGTATAAAGTGTATGCAGTGCGAGCCATCTCCAAAGTGCATAATGATATCCTGACGCTGCTCTACAACACCTACCTGGACAGCGAAGAGGTAAGCGAACACATCGACGCTGCAGTCCCTAACAGTTACGGAAGGGATTGTAGCGTATTAAAGATGCCGGAGCCATGACGGTTATCTGCACATTCAGGTTCAGTTCTGGGGAGAACCCGGCGAAGAAGGTTTCTGGCTACGCAGTGCTCCGTTGCTTTTGATGGTATCGCCCGCTCAAGATCAGCATATTCGCAATCTCTTTACAAACGCGGAAATACCCTTTGAAGTGACCATTCAGGATGTGGCAGAGTATGTGCATTTACTGCTATAGTGAGTTATTTAAGATATATGAAGCAACCGGAAGTTGTTCAAAATAAAATATATATAGAGCCATGCGGATGGAGCTGCCGGTGCTGGCGGAGTCAGTCAGCCGGGATGACAGTTTCAAGCAGACATCCATGACCTGGACAGCTTATCATCCCTATGCTACGGTGAGACGCCAGCACTGTCGTTGCCGATGGTAAAAAAGGTTTAACGGGTGAAGCGTGGCATTATAGATCGAGCGATTCGCGCAGGAAATTGCCCGTCTTTATCCCAACTTTGCCCAGATTTCCACCATCGGCCGCAGCTATGAGGGCCGCACCATGTATCTTCTGAAGGTGGGGAAGCCGCGCGCCGACGGCAAAGTGAAGCCGGTCATCTGGATCGACTCCCGTGAGTTTAATATATGTGCCCACGCTAAGGCAGGTGACATTATTCGTACTATTTTTGTCTGTTTTAGAGATCCATGCTCGAGAATGGGTGACTAGCGCCGTGCTGACTTACTTGTACGTTTGATGGGAAAAATTTTACACATGTATCGCACAGTGGTATCCCCCATTGCCGCTCTACTTTAGTGCAGATAGACAGAGTCAAACGAACTCTATCTGTCTGCACTATTTATAGAGCGGCAATGGGTATACTTACGCAGGAAGACCATGATGAAGACATACTGGTGTACATAACGATTGCACAGAATATATGTTATGCAATTTATGCTGTAGAGAAACGACGGGTGCAAAGTCTTAATTATTAATATTATGCAGAAAGTGAAATTTGTGCTTTCATGTATAGCGTGAACTTTCTGGTGAGCGAATACGACACTAACAGTATGGCCCGGCGGATGATGGAAGAGATCGATTGGTACTTCGTGCCGGTAGTCAATCCCGATGGATTCGACTTCACTCACACGAGCGCTAACGTAATTAACTGTTCCCACACGGATGCTTTTGATTCCGGATCCTTAACGAAGTTAAACTGCACTGATTATTATCTCTCATTTAGAACCGGATGTGGAGGCGAACGCGCCGCGTAAATCCCTTCAGCCAATGTCTGGGCGCTGACCCCAACCGCAACATGGACCAGTACTGGATGGGTCCGTCTTTTAGTTTTCAGTTTGGGTTAACAGTTCCGTGGTCGGACCAGTGTGGGTCAATTTATTAATTTGCAGTTGCGGGAGCGACGCAGAATCCCTGTCAGGATACGTATGCCGGTGCTTTCCCGTATTCGGAAGTGGAAAACCTGCACGTCACTGAGGCAATACTAGAGCACCGCCAAAAGGTCAAAGCCTTCATTGGCGTCCACTCCTTCTCCCAGGTGTGGCTAGTGCCATGGGGCCACAATAACAGCTATCCAAAGGACATTGCCGACATGGTCAGTGCATTAAGTGGCGCTTTCTTACTCGATTTAAAAAACATTTAAACAATTCGTGTTGCACTTGCAGCGCCGCATGGGCGAACAAGCTATTGCCAGCCTAAAGAAGCGCTACAACACGCAGTACACTTTTGGAAATCCCCAGGCCACCCTCGGCTCACCGGGCGCCGGCGGTACCATGGATTGGACATACGCCAAGGCCGGTATCAAGTACTCGCAGAGTCTGGAGCTGCGCGATAAAGGCCAGTTCGGCTTCATTCTTCCCGCCAACCAGATCATTCCCACTGCACTAGAGACCATCGACTCCATTAACGAGGTGGCTAAGATCGTCTACGACGAATATCCACCCACTACAGCCACCAGTTGACCTATGTCATCTTATGTTTGTGTTTACAACGGGAGATCTACATAAAGATTTATATAAACTGCGTTGCGCTTTTATGAACATTTATATAAAAACACACTTATACGGACATCAACAATAAAATCAGTTCACGAGCGTAACGACCAGAAGTGCGGTTTCGAAGCTGGCGGCGTCGTGGTCGGCCCCGACTCGCTCGGTTTGGACGGCATCAACTGTGCGCTGCCGGTGATAGGTATTTGTTGTTCCACGTGCGCTTCCGCTTCCGGCAGCTGAATGGTCGGCATGAGTTGGTGGCGCCGCAGCGGCATGGCGCCGTAGTACTGTACCAGGTTGCGCTCGTGTGTGCTGGGCTGGCGGACGCGGTGCAATCGCTCCGAGGTATCGTTGGCTGCGCTGGCCAACAGGAAAAAGCTGTTGGTCATAAACAGCGGCAGCCCGAAAAACGGCAGCTTCATCGTCTCCAGGATATGATTCAGGAAGCCCGATATGCACGTCGACAAGGCCGCTACATACACAAAATACAGATATACTCGTACATACAGAATTACATAATTATATATGTAGCATATGTTATGTACAGCGGCACGAATAGGTTTTCAGCATTGTAATCGATCGGTTTAAAGTTACTGATATTAGCATTGCCGGAGTAAACTTGTTGCAGGGTGTTATACAACTCAATGTAAATGTACGTATACAAGTTGTATTTCGACTGTTGAGTTTGAACGAAAGAAAACCGAATACCAACCTCCCAGGAGAGCGACCACAAACGAATAGCCATTGAGTACATAGAAGAAACCACCGAGCGACATGCCCACTAGCAACGCATTGAGACTGTATTCGCCGCTGAAGAGGGGATCGTGCGCCACGCCCAGTACCATGGCCACGCCCGCTCCCACTGCGGCGCCCACGAACGCCATCAGGCAGAGGAGCGGGGAGGCTACAAGCAAGGCCGCCCAGCACAGAATAACCGGTGCCCGGTCGTCGCAGAAGTATACTTTGCCCAGGGCGTGGAAGATCCCATGGAAAGCCTGATTAGAAGCATTAGTCAGCTCAGCTGTAAAAATATGCCAAATAGCAAGGGCGCAGATGTCTACCGTTTGCGGAGAGTGGTCGAAGATGGATTGCACAGCGATAGTAACGGTGCGGGCGGTCACCGGAATCGGGAGAGTGTTGTTGAAATCTTCCAGTGGTGATTCCAGTCGCTGTGTAGAAATTCCGGTGCCGGCAAAGTAGGCGAAAGGCATCGCCAGCTGGCTGCCCAGATGGATGAGCGCCAGCACCGAAAAGGGCAGGTTCATAGTGTGGATGTGGAAAACGTGGCAAATGGCATCCAGCGCCACCTTCAGGAAACCGCTCAGACAGCCATAGAAGGCCACCGGAAAAATGAACCAGAAAGCCTTGGTTTCCCGCTGCGCGGATGTGGAGCCCACAAACATTCCCACCAAGAAGCCGTTAAAGTAGGCCACGCCGTTGTGCAGGCGGGTGCGACCCACGTTCAGGCAGTAGGTGGTGACGGCGGCACACAGGAGCCCCAGGATGCCGAACAAGAGGATGTAGATGTTCTGCACACCAACGGCAACCACGAAGAGAATGCCGCTCCAGGGATTGTTCACGAACGCCGGTGGTCCGAAACCCCGCATCACATCAATTAGCCACACCAGGTACCATATGGGAACGCATAGGATCATCCGACGGTGCTTGGCGTCCAGACTGCGCTGCTGAGAGACGTACCTAAAAAGTTATCATTGCTAAGCTGCCTACGGGAGAACAACAGACCCGCCTCCAAGGGTACGTACATACTTTGTTAAGGCGGCGCAATCCCCCATGACGTACTGCCACCACCAGTGATCCAAAACGGACGTCCCGTCCTCTTGCACCCGGAACAGCCAGCGCACGAAGGCGCCCGGGGGATCATCAAGACTTGGAGCGGCGCTAGGGGTGTCCGGGAGGTCAGCCTCGGCCATGTCCGCCGGAGCATTGAAAGAGAGACTACGTGGACCAGCAGAGGAAAGGGAGCCGGCCTCCTGAATGGAATAGCTGCGGAGATCGGCCGGACTGATGGCCAGGTAATAGGAAGGGGCGTGTGAGCGGGAGGCGGCGCTGGGGCTCAGTTTCGGGGTCTCCACGCCAGACATGGTGTAGGCTGGGGTTTTTGGAAGAGGTTCCTAAATGAAAGTGCTCCTAACTTGCTGATACTCTGCGTCTTTCTGGAATCGTTCTGGATTCAGTAATGGACCCATTTCATGACCTTTTGCGCTCAGACATACTGAATCGTGGTCGCTGCCTAAGCAGCGCTAGCAACGTTTTCACAATTTCATTTAGAAGTCTGAGTCTGACATCCGATTTTTTCAGAACTCAAGGTTCGGCAGTCCAGTACCGTGTATGTAATTGCTGAAACAAGCAAATTGGGGTTGCAATTGAGGAGGCGTTTTGACGACATTGCTAAACCATTGGGAAACGATGGCGACAGTTATTAGTAGTAAGTTTTTAAAAGTCTAAAAGACAAGCAAAATTTTGTTTAGGTAAAGAACCACAAAACCCGTTTGAAAATTCGAAGTACATACCGTAGAATATGAGTACTACGAGCACCAGAATGCTGTGACCGAGATCTTGTTACGTGGGCTAACTTGGAGCTTCCGGTAGAATTACTTAGCATGACCAATACGTTCGGTGTATACAGCCATGATTTGACGACAACCATGATCGAAAGCGCTTGTTATTACGTACCGACAAAATTTAATGATAAATTAATAATAATAAAAAAATTTTAATTTAATAATAATATTTAATTTAATAAAATATAGATATTATGTACATTTATACAGTACATACTCAACCGTCCATGTACCAGGCCTAGGTAGAAACAGACTGTGTAGTGTGTGCAATACGCAGCACCGTATAGACAGGCCGTAACCTGAAAGACAAAGTACATCTCCTTACGGGGCGATCGGAGTCTTGGAGAGGATTGTCGAGCCGAGTGCGGCTGCTGGCTTAACCTGTTGCCCGGCAACAGCGAGATGTTGGCAAACTACTCGTGTATTCTCATCATGCACTGCCAGCTCTGGTGCCACACGTGCATACACTGACCGCCTGACCGGTACGAAAGTTTGACCTTTTTTCTAAATCTTAGATTTTCTTGGCTTCCACAAATGGCCTGCATCATATTCATAGCTCGCGGATTTGACGCACAATGGTCATCCACTCATTATGATTAGGTGTCGATCACGGGATCGTGTTGCCGGTATCCTCCCTCGAGCCATGTTCTTGTGCATGGTACATGCTGGCCGGATATTGCATTTGTTCACGTACTGTATAGGATAAATTCACGTGCTTGATATATCATATTCCATATTCCGGCCCCTAACGGGCGGATTGTGTTCAAAATCTGGTATTTTAGCTTACGTGCGCATTATGTCACACCGTAATACATACATATATGGGACGTCGGAGCTGTTGTTAATATCAATGGTCCAGCATTTCGTCGTCACTTGTACATCTGTATGTATCCACGATCCAGTAGATGATGGATGCACTTGTTATAATTTTCAGCAAATTTTTCCGCTGCGCCACATTCATGCTGCCAAACTCACTGCTTAATTACACCCGTCTAAATATATTATATTCTCATTTATTTCCGGCGCTAATGCAGAGTGCTTAATGTTGCACATCTTTGCACCCCATTCGGCACAACTCAACAAGTATGCACTACTGGACAACGCCGGAATGGAGCTGTCAGGACGAGTGTCAAGAGGAACGTGCCGGGTCGTTGACGCCGTGAAGATGACATAACTAATAACCACTACACAACCAGCACAGGAACATCTCGCATTGTATTTGTTTTTTCCCTTGCGGGTTGCGTATGTGTGCGAGTTTTTCAAAACTTAAGCACGTATGTCTATGTATTTTGCAAAAGTTACTACAGAGTGCAGACCTGTTACATTTTGAGCCAGTTACATTTTTTACACTTTTAATTTGTATTTTCAAAACTGCATGACAGCAATCGTACAGCACTGCCGATGCAATATAGCGCTGTACAAAAGATTACTGGTTTGCGTTGAGTTTTTTATGTCCAGTTCTGGGTAACGGGAGCCGGCGGAAACTAGTGAGAAATTACATATAATAATTCCGGACTGGCGCTGGTGCGACAGCCAGCGACAGTGCGGTATAATATTATTGCATAAGAATACGATTGTTGAAAGGGATGTGGGAGCGAATGTCAAGTATAGCTAAGGAGTCGGGCAGCCAATCAACCGGATGCGTATTACACAGCTGAGCGGCGCCCGTCTTCCCTGCGCTCTCCGCCTAACACGCACCCATCGCATATATCCCGGTCCGACTGCGCATTAGCATCTCATCTGCTGCGGAAATCACAGCGCCGGGCTAAGATGCGGAAACGGAGCAGATTGCGGAAGCCAAAGCCATCAGGCAGCGATGCAAGCCAGGCAAAACACGCAAATGGTAGAAGCAACGCTAGCTGCGGCTTAGGATACCATTAACGCCAATCCCCGATTACGGAATGCTTTTTCGCTATAAGGATCAGCTGTACACTGGACCCGCCCCTGTATGCACTGTGCCAATGAGGAAAAGCATCGATGGCATTGACTATTCACTGAAAATGCAGTTGCACTCGCTGACGCTAAATCCCGGCCAATTCACTTGTCACGCCGCAGTACATACAAGCGTTAAGCGGCAAGTGTCTCTTTTTTTGTCGCTGGAGAACAGATGTAAGTTTGTCCAGCTGCCGTCGTTCCTTCCATCGGCGGCGACGTTGGAGTGTGTGGTGAAACATGCGCTGCACGGGATTGTTATGACAACATAATCTGCCGGCTGGCAACACACTGCCGGTTGCGCGATGATTTGACGTTTGAGCATGAACTGCAACGACAGTTGTGTGGATGCGGAAGAATGGGACACCGCCGGCTACTGGTACTTCTTCGACCCTTTCCACCTGGCTTTCACCGGACTACTCATCGTGGCGCTGCAGACGGTGATGTGCCTGGCCGTGGTCGGTTGTCGGCTGCGGCGTTTTAAGGAAGTAGCCGGTGGGATCACCTTCTGCGCGGTCGCCGGCACCACATTCGCTTTCTCTCAGGTAAAACTGTGTTATGCAGTTAAGCAGATATACAAGTATTTTACTATATTAGCACATTTTAGCTTAAATTTGTACCTAAATACTTTGCGTAGGAGTAAGAAATGAAGAAATAATATAATCGTATTGTAAAAAACATCAGCGTATACACATACGTACTCTGAACCAGGTAGTAGTTTTACGTTACACATACCGTATGTACATAAGTGCAATACATAATTATATAAGGTTTTACTTATGGAATTATATAATTATGTGCATCACAAACACAGAACAACGTTATATTTAATTATTATTTATTGAAACTTTTAAAATATTGGTAAGATAAAATAATTACATAAAAAGAGCACAAATTACATAAGTTTCGGTACGGGTAGGAGTAATCCATAGTATTCTATGGTGATTGTTGCGCGCATACTTATATAGTATACCGTACATAAACTTTTCCGGTTGTTTTGTTGCTAATGCGTAGCGTGTAGGAGACGCAATGTCAACAGCGAGACGATTTTTTGGGCATAGATAATCGGTATTGTATGTGGGAGTGAAATCGATCGCTGCTGCTGTATGTAGCGGGAGAAAAATTGAGCCAAGGCGAATGGAGAGCGCCGTGAACATGGCTGCTTTAACCAGCATCTGGAGAAAGCTGCCAGTAATGTCGCTTATCATTTCCGGTACCGGTTCAGGGAGAGTGAGCGGTAATGTACGCTGCAGTGTGGATGAACTGTTTATCATAGCTACTCTAAACAAACGATTTGTGGAGAGCATTACAGAAATAGCTGTGGGTGATGCTGAATAAACACAGGGTACTGCGGCGATAATCAATAAATCCATCCTTCAATAAACAATCCAGTGCGGGAAAATAATTTTACTTGAATTCTAATTTAATTAGATATACCGATTTAATCACGTACGATAATATGTGTCACAATTATTACTTATTACGGGGGATGTGTGAACATAGATGAGACGACGTGTTAATTGCAGCATTATTATCTGCGGCAAATCCTCCTGACGAGCTTCGTCTGTCTGTGGGCCATCCGGCTGGCCGCTTATCTGTGCTACCGGTGAGACGCTGTACTCCAGTGTACTGCAATCAACTGCCACTTTTATTATATCAGCAGTGAAGCGACGGTTAATGATGATTGGGGTAATTGCAGGCAAACGGTGTTGGAAGAAGAGCAGCGTGATATGCTGGTCCAGTTGCAAGCGACGACGGTGATCGGCAAGGAAGACGACCAGCCGCCTTCATTTTCAGCGCAGCGGAAGTGGGCGCGGCTTCTGGTATTCTGGACATTCCAGGCGTTTTGGGCTTTCATCGTTAGCATTCCCTTAGTTTTGGTAAGTTAGCTGCTTAAAACAGAAAGCAAGACGAATCGCATCAGCACCGTGCGACAGCACTGACAGCGCTGAAGTGTTTCTTGCATGTCCGTTGCGTTGTGCGGTCGGTATGACATGAATACTTGTAATGTACACAATACATATACGATATTTCGAAAGAGCGCAGTAAGTAACCTCTGGAACAATTAGCGACGTTGCTCCAATTGGCATCCACTTAGCGCATCCGTTGACTCACCATTAACGCGAATATTCAGTCGGGTCACACCGGTCGCGTTAAATGAGGAATGAGTATCAGCGGCATGTGCTTGGGTACCGCTGCCGGTGCGTGTTGGTGGGCGCTCATCCATATTTAATAAGGCCAATGTGTATTTTATTCCGGGACGTTTGCGTGCAATCACAAAGACCGTTGAGGCTTGCAGTGTGCCAGTGATTTAGTACAACCTGTAAGTGCATATTGCACCGCAGAGCAATTCCCCGGTGATGGATCACCTTCATGTGGCGGGGATGCCGGCGGACCAGCCGCTGTACGTCACCGATCTGGACATTATGGGCATCGTCATGTGGGCGGTCGGCTTCCTCATCGAGTTCTGCGCCGATTGTCAGAAGTTCCGCTTCCGCCGGAAGCCCAGCAACGAGGACAAATTCTGTGATGACGGTATGCGACATTAAAAGTTATGTGTACTGTACATTGTTGCAGTCGCCCACGCCGTGGGAAATGATTGTCTCCTCCGAAAGGTCGACACCCCGAATAACAATCGACATTTACTTTATTACGTTTTGGCCCAGATACGTGCTGAGAATGCACCTAATATGTTGTGCACAAGCAGGTCTGTGGACATGGTCGCGACATCCGAATTACTTCGGGGAGCTGCTACAGTGGTGGGGCATCTTCGTGATGTACAGTCAGCTGATCAGCGAGCGCCGGCGCTGGATGTGGTTGGGCTTGTGCAGTCCGTTGGCCGTCAGCGGTGCCATTCTCTTCCTCAGCGGGATGCCACCGCAGGAGCAGAGCGCCCACCTCCGTTACGGCCAGTAAGCTCAAACGTTTTTAGGCGCATTCCGCTGGCTGCAACCTAATGTTTGTATGTATACCGTTTAGTGATGAAGACTACCAGGACTACAAATACTCGACCAGTCCACTGGTTCCCATGCCGCCCGAGCTGTATGTCAAATTCCCGCGTTTTGTGCAAATGTGCTGCCTGTTTGAACTGCCTCTCTACGACTTCTTGGCCAAAAAGCCCAGTAAGCAGTAAAACATTTGTGCACACCGAGTGTTTTGAATAACACCGCTAAGTGTCGTTGCAGAAACTGATAGCCAGCCGGCCAAACCGGCGCGACGCTTGGAGATGCCCTACTGAAGCCGAAATAACGGACAATCTCCATCAACTCAGAACCCAGTATTATAATACTTCGCAATAAATGGGGAAAACTTTGTATTAATAACCAGCAATGCAATGTATTTTCTGATGGCTGATAAAATCCACTGTGACGCTAATGATAAAAACTATGCAGCGGCAGTCGGGTGTAAATAAACAATGTGGTGAAATTATTGAAAGACAGCAGTTTACATTTCGGTCTTGGGTCGTTTGTCCACCCACTCCTTGATGCCGGGCAGATTATGGACGCGCTCGCCGTGCGCCTTCAACTGCGGGAAGTTGTCTAACACAGTGGGGTAGAACTTCTGGATGGTGAAGAAGAATGACGCGATGCTAAAGTCGGCGAAGCTGGGTCCGGAGGCGGCGAAAAAGTGGCCCTCGCTGTGGCTGGCGGCCAGTTGGCGCTGCAGATTGACCAGGTGCTGCTGCAGATCCTCGGCGAAAAACTTCTCCCGCAGACGCGCCTGCTTCTCCTTGTCTTCCTCGCGCCACCAGATGGCCATTGCGGCCTGGATGTCTGAGAGAAGAAATCGCATTACGGAGTGCGCTCGCACCAATAACTTACGAGGAATTCTGTACCTTTCTGGTAGTCGATGATAGCATCCACCTGGGCCTGCTCGAACTCATCCTTCCCGGCGAGACCGTACCGCTTGGCCAGCAGACGAGCAAACGCTATGCAATAACAACAATCACGCCACTCGGCAAAATGCTCGAAAATCAAGTCAACACAGTTTGATAAACTTTGATGCGATCAGGTCAACACTACGGTCTATTTGCAATTGAATTTACCAACGTATGCCACTGCCCAGTAAATTACAGGAAAAAGAGTTTCCAGTTTTTTCAATAATTACCAAAAGCACCAAATGGTGTAAATTAAATTAAATTATACTGCAGCGTTGTGTCTTGGCGCCCGTTGGCGGAGACAAGTGTTATTACAGCGGTAAACGATGAGTTTCCAGTCTGTGTTCTTACCGGCACTTTGGCCGAACATCTTGCCGTCGATTTCCAAGAGGGGCAACTGGCCGAAGGGAGTACTGGCTTTCATGGCCGGCCAATCTGCAACATCCCCAAGGCCAAAACTAATATACGATAGCAGCCAAATTGCCGAATAACTTGTAATAGCCTGAGTGGTGTAGGTGCGCCAAACATGTCAGTAAGCAAAAAATCACCAACTTCATAAATGCAGTTTTGCATCTACCGGTATACGGACATAAATTCACAATTTGTAAAGCAAACCGAAGTGGTCACGGAGAACAGCCATAAATTAATGCCGAGTAAAATAGGTTAAACTAAAGCTTGTGTTCTTGTTTTAATTAATAATGTTTTTGCTGTCATAATCAATTTTGTGAAAACAGCAAAACGTTTGGCCCAAATACATGTTAAACAAGGTTAAATCATTTGTACCTTCTCTGGCAATCCGGACATCTTCGAAAGGGACGCCGGCGTAGGCGAAAATGAAACGGGTCGTCTCCGCCACACCGCGGGCATCGAAGTACGTCAGCTTGTACTGGGAATGCGACATTCTCCTTTCTGGGTGCAGAAACAATCGACCGAGACACGATCGCCAGGGAAATTCGAAGAGTTTAACTGAATTCAGTAACTGAAGCGCTGGTTAACAAGCCGCTGCCACCGACATGCACATGGAGCGTAAACCAAGAAAACCAGCCAGCCAATCCTACGAAGTCCACAAATCATATCCAGACAACCGCCGTTATTACTGCAAGATAAGCGCTATTGTTTCGCGTTTAATTAAGTACGCCTGATGCGCTGATTGCGTACTAGTTTGCCCGAATTTGTTTCCGGGTAATAATAAACACCGCACAGCAAGTAACAAGTGCACTGTCACTGATGGCGATAACTGATTATCAGCGCGCGATACGGCCAGCGTCATGCCGATAAGACACGCCAACAGCAACGGACAAGGCCATGTCGGCAACATTATTAGCGGTAAATAAATATTAGCCGAAAGAAAGAAAAGTGCCGTGTCATCCGGCATTTTTGATGCTGCTGACAGCCTGCTGTAACATTTCGTCAGTAACAAACTCTTTAATTCCGCAAGCAAACTCTACAGTCAGATTGGTTTATGAAATAACGGAAACAGAACGGGCAAAAGAGAGCTGGTGACATTACATTGCGTTACATCCGCTCACACAACAAACCATTCGACTGACTAACTGCTTCCGTCCACAAGTGAACCACCGCCCGCGTCCAAGGGACAGCCTAGAGCTCCTCCTCCAGCTCGCGGCCATTCTGCAGCAAAGTGATCTTTTCGGTCAGCTGCTTGGCGATAGCGTTGAATGCCTGTTTTGAATGATCGTGGTAACGCATCTGCAGCAAACGCCGCTGCTGGTATTCGGCGGCCACACGCAACCGAATTTCCTCGCGCCAACTGCGCTTCCGGAAGGCGGCCAGCTCTTCCCGTGACAGCGAGCATAGCGGACAGTGTTTGGTGTGCTCTGCCACCGGCTCATCCGACGGGTCCCATCCCTCCAGATCCTAAAACCAATATCAACTCCGTTATTCCCACTTCTATTGTCAATATTCCTAATCAAATAAAACCAATCCTTTCAAATGTCAGTAACATCTACAGTAATAAAAATGAATAAATAACAGATTCATCGTCAAATCAAACATGGTTATGGGAAACCATTTGATTTTTTCGAAAATTTTCTAGTGACGTTCGTCACTTTCTTTTATAATCAATCTGAGGAAGTTTGTTAAAAGAAATTACTTAAGCAGAAAGGTAAATTTTCGCTCGCCGCTGCGTAGCTTATTTCTTTGCTTAGGTATTTGAGGTTTTTCTTCAAATTTCGGTCGCACAGGCACTTTAAATTCTCCATAATTTTGTTATTTCGATTATTGTGTGACTGTGTCCATTAATGATAAGGGCCAAGGCTCAACGTCCAAAAGCAAGTGTGGTGCTTCATCCTTAATTTCTACTTTCTATTAACATTAAGCGGAATCAAGCAAGCACGACGCACCTTGAGGCAAGCATAGCACTTGGCAGATTCAGTTCCGGTGCAGTAGAATCCCGCCGCAGCCATCTTTTTGGGATTCGTCAATCGCGATTTGGTCAGCGTGGCTTTCCACTTCATCGTCTCGAAGGAGCGCAGTCGTGCACCGTAATCGTCCATGGGCCCACGGCGCTCTGCGTTGTCTTGTGCTAATTCCGGTGCGTAGGCGAACTGTGCGGGCTCCTGCTGCGGGTGGTCCAAGGAAGTTGCGTTGATGGCCGCTGGTGCTCTTCTGGCGTTGTTATTGTTAACGCTGCCAGAGTTCTGCCTGTTGCGCTCCTCCGGACCATTGTCGGGCGTCCAGTTCTCATTGTCGCTCATTCTTCTAATGGCCAAATCACCTGCCTAACAGATTCTCAAGTTAGCAGTCAACAGTCAAGTGAAAATTTGTCTGATAATAACATAAACTGTAAACGGTCAAATTCGACTCAAAAAATGAAATAAACATGAAAACTACGAGTAGATCGCCAAGCTCAAATCGAAGAAACGTTGGAAGACCAAAGCGCGCTGGGAGCCTAGGAGCTATCGATTCCAATACAAAGATCTTTGGACGCTGAAGACGTAATGGAAACCACAACGATGGTTGGATTTGGAATTGGAAACGTCTATCTTAGCGGCGTTGGAATCACAATTGCACCTTTCGAAACTGTCGATCGATTAAATTTCCATTTACATACAATGTACGACAAAAAGAGGTTGAACCGATCATTCCGCGTTCAAACCTGCAACGACGCCACCACTAAAACAGCTTCTCTACTTTCAGACGCTCGCGCTCCGTGAATATCAAAGTGCAGCTATACTAGTTGCATATTAAAAGTGTAGAAAAAAGTTTTAAACTTTTTGATACTAAACCTGTGGCTGTTTATGACGAACAGCACAAATTCTAGCCATTTTGCTTTCTCGTAGGCACATCATAGGATCTGTGCGCATAACCGTTTGGCTTGCAATCAATGCTTAAGTCTATGGGAAAGCAAAATGGCTAGAATTTGTGCTGTTCGCCATAAACAGCCACAGGTTTAGTATCAAAAAGTTTAAAACTTTTTCTACACCTTTAATATGCAACTAGTATAGCTGCACTTTGATATTCACGGAGCGAGCGTCTGAAAGTAGAGGAAGCGTCCAAGTTTTAGTGGTGGCGTGTCGTTGCGAGGTTATTTTGAACCGCGGACCGACTGATCGGTTCAACCTCTTTTTGTCGTACATTGTATTTTGCTGTAGGCAGGCTAGGCAGCGCACTGAGCGCAGCGGAACACACGGAGCGCACAGTCGTAATGTCCGTTGCTTCAGTTTTGGATATTTTGGAATTCTTGTTTTCTTCTCTCTAACTTTTCTCAGACTTATCAGGAGTGAATTGATTGAATATAATTATTTGTAAAGACTTTGAGGGGGACCCCTTCGGCGTGCTGTTAGAACCCTGAGTTCAGTGAGTTGTGCGAAAATCAAGTGTTAAAGACTTAAAGGCTTAAAGCCTTGGCAACTTAGCGTGAGTCAGAGCGAACTCAACAGCTGTGCAGCGCCAATGGTACTCTCATTTTGGTCGGGGATGGTTTGAGGACGGGGCAGTGCACGAAATACTGCAGATTGCTGATTTATTCCTTGACGGAGGAAAGCCACAAGTGACGGACCGTGTGGCCAGCACGCCATGGGCTTCGACTGTGATCGCTTCGAGAATCCATCACAAGTCGACGCCGAACTCATCTGCTCCATTTGCTCAGGAGTCTTCGATAATCCTGTGCAGGTCTGTGACAACATGTACACTGTTCAGATAGAGATAACACGACTTTCGCGTTCACGGTTTTACTGCATTTTATTACTTCTACTCTGTGAATCATAAGGTCGATAAGGGGGTTCCAGTTTTCTGTACCGTACTGCGGGGGCTTTTCAGTGTACGAACGGTAACAAACCGTACCAGACGGTCTGTTTTCTAGTTATTCGCGTCGTTGATTTCATTGATATTAAATTTTTATATTTACGAATTGTGTAGCGTTTTTATTTTCATGTCAGTCTTTCGGGGCTTATGATGTTGCATTTTTGTCAAAGACTTCGGCTAGCAGGTGCAAAATTTGCACAGCGGCAGTCATTTCACTGGTTAATCACCGTTAATGAGAGGGAAAATTCCCCTGTGTATAGTGTATTCAGCCAACGATCCGGTGTCTTGGTTGTTGTGACCTCGCTTCCTGTTCCTCTTCCCCTGGCTGCGGTCTGGAAGAGAAACAGGATGCCCGGTTAGCGTCGTGCCTCCGCATGAAATCGTTGAGATAATCTGGCAATAAATCTGTTTTTATCACCATTTCACAGTCAGTGCGTGTACTACGTACAATCTGACTAAATGAGGAGGCTACGGTCTATGTTAAAAAGCCAGCGAACAGCCTTTTTTGCCCGCTGAGGCTGGTTGATCAATGCAGCCTCTCTGTTGTGACTATAAATAGACTGAAGACAGCGCATTCCGGTGCTGCCAAAAAGCGCAAGCGGAGTGCTGCCTTGCTGTATCGATCGATCGCGCACATGTGTGTGTGAGTGGGTAAATCCGCTCGCATTCACTTACACACGTATGAGTGTGGCTGTCTGTGCGCGTACTAGCTGTACAAACCGGTTTTCGCTGTCTTCGCTACAACGCATACCCTAAACCCGTAGCTTCCTTTCTTGCTCGCATTGTACTTGATTTCCCGCATCCAAGGTGGGTATATACAGTGACAGCTCTGAATAGAATTTACGGATAATCGAGCGTAACGGGCACTTCGCGCAGCGGCCGGGGAATCGATACGCTGATCGATACGCTACGCTACGTAAACTCTACGGAGTGTACTTCACGCACGCAACTTTACGTATCACGTCTGCCGATTTTAATAACTATTTATAGGGAATGAAAAAAAATCCCAAAACATTCATTGCAGCTAAAATAAAATTATGAACCCGTGTGAATTTTCAGTTTTCGCTTCTTAGATTCGGCACTTTTCGACCATTTTTTGCCAACTTTATCATTCAACAACTTGACATAGAAATGAATCCTTATTTGGAAATAATAAAATGCACTTTTACGAAAAATTTCAGTCCACGAACAATCTGCAAGGCATGGAGACCGCAGATTACTTTTTCTGGCAACGAAATCCTCCATGACATATCTTTCAGCAAATGCGAGAAGTGACTGACGCGGAGAAAAGTAGAGGACTTCGTCAATGTGTTTTTGAAATATCTGCTCCAGACTGCATATCATTTCATAAAAAACAACTCCAACGAAGTTCAAACCTCCATCGTCTTTCATTTCGGTAAGCTGAGCAAAATCAGGAGCTTGGTTCGAGGAACCTAACCAAAATAGCTCCGAACGACAAGAGTCACAAACATCGGCCTCCAGCTCTTTTCTTTTATTTGTGAATCCGCTTAGGTAGTAAACCACATTTTTCACAATGCTATCAAGTTGAGCACCTTCCGGTAAAGGCTCCAGTTCTGGGGTAACTGGATCAGATTGGGAAATCAGTGCCAAGATTTTAGCAGCTTCGAGTTTTTTTGAAAACTCTTCGGACAAATCCAGCATATTCATTGAACCAATAACAAGTTCATCGTCACTTGGCTCGATGTTCGTCTTCGAACGCTCGCACACTTTCTGCATATTGTGGCACGACAGAATTCGGAAAATTGCCAGCATGTTCTCAACAGTTGGATTATTACAAGATCCACCCAGTTGTCGACACTGTGCGAAGTATCTCTAAAAACCAAGACTCGTGTAAAAGCTTAAAAGCTTTTAATTAGCACGGTTAAGTATTACCTCCTGCATATCGTTGTTGAGATTTTTCGTTTGTACGTAAAGCATCCCTTCGGCGAGGAGTTCGGTTGAAAGTCTCTTTATGCTATCCAGGGTCACAACGAGGTGGTTAATGGTGCGGTTGCATAGCCTGTCCTTCTTGTCAACAGTCTTTTTCCAGCACAGCAGTCGATTGATAGCCGCTTGAATTTTGTCCAGCACATCGTTCTCGAAACGAATGGGAGTGCGCGCAATATTACGATCGCCCGCACATGAATTCGTGTAATCGATAATATTGTTAAAAAATTCGCAGTACCGCTGAGTGCACAAGGTTTTTTTCATAAGGCCAGCTTCTTCAAGCATTTTCAAAACCCTTGCGGTTGTCGCTGACAGCAGTACAGCCGCGTAACTAACTCGCTGTTGGTTGAATCCATCAGGGTTAACCATAGGACCTTTTAGCTTGGGATGCAGTTTGATTCCTTTGCGATCCGGATGAGTGTCGATGTCGTACATTTGCCGAAAATGGCCGAAATCGACATGTAGAACACTCCCGTCTTCGTCCGTATATAAGTTTCCGCTTTCATCCACGAACTACAATGCAGTTTCTTAAGAGTTTTCAAACATCTAAGAAGATGAAATATGAAACTTTCGTTTTTACCTTCAGCAGTCGGCTTGTAATTTCGCCAGTTTTTCGGTCGCGCTTAAACATTCCGTTTCGCACGTTTTTCCAGTCATGCGGTGGGTCCACGATGATGTACCTCGGCTTTCCGTTCACCGTGACAGTGGGTGTGTCATAATCTTCAAAATCAAATCCGAACTTCGTAAGCGCTTGAATGTTGCCTGTCCCGGCATCCAAGATGAAACCGCGTAGCCGTATTCCAGTTTGATCCAAAAGCTCAACGCCTTCCTCAATTATTTTTTTAAGAATACGACCAGGGGTTTGGGAGTTGGAAAAAAAATCGCTATTGGCTGAAACAATTTACGCTTTATGCTTCGCACACAAACCACCAGGGCGTGGTCGGCAGGCTTCATGAGCTCTTCTTCCGAAAGTTCAGCATTATGTTTCCCGAAATCCACCAGGCCCAGAACGCGGTCTTCCGATTGCACATACCGCTTATTTCGCCGGCTAAGTTGTATTTCGTCGCAGGTCAAATTGTAGTCTCGCTCACTTTCAGGTTGTCTTTTTGCATACTCTCCAAAGCAATGGAGCACAAGTTTGTCATAACCCGTATCTTTAGAGAAGCGAGATACGCGTCTCCTTACAGTGTCCGAATGCGGCAATGGAACTCCACGATCACGCAAAAACGTGTAGGCTCTTGGGCTATAAAAGTGCAAGCGCACAGCAAAATCCATGAAATCTGAATTGTACTTGGTAGTGTCATGACTTTTTTTGCGAGATATTTCAATAAATTCCGTCAATAGATTCTGCGACTCTTTAGGCACGGGTTCGAATTCTTCTAACTCTTTCACCAGTGTCCGTAATCGTTCTAGTTCTTCGTCCTTTTTGCGAATCTTCGTTTCACGGCGACTTATACGCGCTCTCATGGCGCCTTTACAGTTAGAAGCCGATTCAGAGCGACTTCGGAGACTTTTAACGTAATTTGCAGTGGAAAGGTATCGCTTCCGATAATCTTTGCATGAAGAGCAACTGGACTTTTTTCCCAGATAAGCCAGTTCGCATGCTGCGTTTGCTTCATAAGATGGACACAATGTGCTGGATTCCAGAGCTGTGGCAAGGTCTACAATAGTTTGGAAACTTGAGACCTGGCACACACTAATTTCGGTTCCGGTATACAGCCTATTTCGAATGCGCACCGTAGTTTCTAGCGTTCCTTGGATTCCAATGGTGAAAATGTTTTCAAATGTCAGCGGATCTACACGAAAAACCACAACTGCCTTTTCTGTTTCCACCACGAACGCAGCCCAGAACGGAGGAAGACGCAGCAAATCCAAGTTGTTTTCCAGCATTCCAAAACTGAATACGACATTTTCCAGGTCAATTTCAATGGGGTCGCAGGTGGACAATCCTCCGAAGCTAGCGTTCAGTTCACTGATGCTATCGTTAAGGCTTTTCTTTTTATCCTTACGTGGTAAATCACCAGAGGAGTTCATTTGCCGCTTTCCGCGACCAATAAGCAACGGTTCGAGAGCATCGACTTTTGGTAATTTGTCTAATTTCTGGTGAGGACCCATTGCAGTACTTTGATTTTCTTCAACGGAGACATTCCCGAGAAGGATGGAGGGTACGGCGGTTGGCCTGAGACGAAAACCTCCTCCTTTCAAAGCTTCGTAACAGTCGCGGTGGAAATGGGCGGAGCACAAATAGGAGTGAGCAGTAGGCTTCCAAGATGGACCTTGCCGAGCAAAAGCTATCCAAAGTGCATACCGCGAACTGTCAGTGCCCCCATCGGGAAATTTGTGGTATGTTTGCGAGCATTCAGAAGCTGGCTGGCTTGCTGGCCGGAAATTCAAGCAACCAGAAGCAACACACCGTCGGCCACCCATTGCATCTAAAATTTAAGAGCAGTTACGCTTTTGTGCTTTAACAAATGACATAACTACATTGACAACGTGCTAATTTAAATTTTGCCTGTTTTGGTTTTTTTGGGATTTGTTTGTTCACAAGTCTGCTTTGATCAATGACATATTCGATTTTATTATTTCGCATCAAGACCATTACACCAAACGTTGAAATTTCGCAGGGGCAGACTTATTGTGAACCCGTGCGTCCGCCAGTTCCATACAACGAATCTTCAATCTCACAACGTTCTCAAAGCCCATGTTCTTTGCAGCGAAATCAGTATTTGATTCTTCTTCTTCATCAAACTTTTTGCGCGCTACTTCAAAATTCGTGCAGCGATCATCTAAAACAGTCAACAAGAAACCCCATCGCATGTCTTCTTGACGCTGCAGATCCTCACGGCTCACGTATTCCGGATATTCGACCTTAGGAGCGTTCATCAGGTTGCGAAAATCTGATGGCAAGTTTTCCGGAATAGTGCCGCTCGCAACTTGCTTTCGCCAGCAGACATGAGCTTTCGTTTTGGGTATCAGCTGGATGCGCTTTTCAAACAACACCACAAAACGTTCAGACCAATACTCCACCCAGCCATCACATGTAGCCTGGTTATTGATGGTGGCCAGCACTTCGTCGGGGATGACCTTATTCTGTGTCAACTGGTGCTGATAAAGGATGTTTTGGTGCGTTAGATCCCGGTTGGATTTCAGAATTTCGGCAATTCTGGCCACGTCCCGCTGCCGATCTTTTTTTCAGCGTTATAATTTCTGCTTCCATTTCATCTTTGGTCTTTTCGAGGATTCGCGGAATCTTGTAAGACATTCTATAAAATTTTATGAAACTTCACACAAAAAATTTTATTTGATAAAAGATTAATTTTGAAGCGCAAAATACATTACATATTCAAGGTCAGCGAATTTTTTTATTAGAAAAAACACTGGAGCCGGTATATTTTGGTTTCTGCCCTTTTTCAAATTTTGCCCGGGGGAACTTTACTGAAGCTATGTTAAAATGTAATCGTCACTAGTAAAATTTCACCTCCAAGAACGTTTAGCTTGTTTGGAGCCGAAACCGTTCTGTTTGGAGCCTTGATAAAATTGCTTAATTAAAATGCTTAGTTAAAACAGAATCAGCGTATATTTCTGATGCAGAAAGCAATACAAATGAAAATATTAATTATTTTATTTTTACGCCTATTCGAAATTTAGGCCCCGGGCAAGATTTACTATGCGTGTATGAAAAATGCTGGCCAGCAGTAAATTTTGCCCCTGAATCTGATTGTTTAACATAGAGGGAAATCGATTGCATACCACACACCTTCGCTGTGCTGTCCAGTCACCTATATGGATTTTTGCAACCATAGTTGCGCCCAAAAACTAAAAAATCAAGAGGATGGAAAATTTCGAATTCTCTCAAAATGTGAGCCAAATCACGGTGCCACACTGGGCGGTGCCATTTGCGTCACGCGCCGGAGGTCTTTGAAATTCTTTTTTTTATAAGGTTTGGTTTTGATGTCTTTGTGAATTCGTTACGCAAAAACCAGAAAGATATTTAACAGGAATATAGGGCAGTGTGATTGTACTCACTCATACGCATTTCGAAATACGTTCGCTAAAGCGACTGTTAAATAGTAACCAATGTGCAGTATAAATGTGGCGCTTATAAAAATCCCTGTTCAGCTGTGACGTGGAAAGCCATACGGATGATTTGAGCAGTACAGAGAAGGTCATATTATGCAATCGATTTCCTTTTGTATGCATCAGCGAACGGTATGGATGACGTAATTTTTGCCTCGTGATTTTTGGTCACGTGTTTTTTTAAAAAATTGAAATTGCCCTCTTCCTCTCAGTGCATTCAAGTAAATAAACATCAAAATGCATGCATTTTGTGTTTATGAATACTGACACTGCTGTACAGTGTGGTTTAGTGTGCGTGCACAAGGTAAAAAGGTAGAACAGAATGAATACAAGGTGAAGAACCTTTGGAGTACCTGTTGCGTGTTTACGTACTTGGAGTATGACGGATAAGAGATCACTATGACGAAGCAAGAACGGTCGCACGATGTCACGATCTCGAATTAAACAAGTTTATTGTGATAGGTTCTGCTGTTTTCTCCACAGTTGCGTGCGGATAACATCTGTTTCGCTAAATTCAACAAAACATCAGAAGAGCTTATAAAAGATAAGATCTAGCTGTCGGAACAACGCAATCAATTTCGGAAAAACGTCATGAGGCACTGCGTCAAACGCCAGAGCATGTACACCTACTGGCAGGGAGCAGAGTGTATATTAACATTTTCATTTTCCCCGACCGCTGCGCGAAGTGCCCGTTACGCGTGATGATCTGTAAATTGAATTCAATGCTGTCACTGTATATACCCATTATGCCGCATCGGTCCTTACTTGTTAGTTGTTCCGCATTATTTAGCAGCTGAGGTCCGGCTTGTATTATTTTTGTTTTGTCCTGCTTTGTTGCTTTCGCCAATTTTATGGAACAAGATATACACTATACAGTTTATTGTTACTGTAAGAGCGTTGGCAATCAGATTTTGCATTTGACGATAAGTGGGCTGATTAATACTTACAGTACTATATTAGAAATTATTAAAATTTAGCTGCGTTCAGTGCCGACATTTCGTCTACGGTCGTATATCATGTTATTAGTGTCAGTCTCTCAGACACCATTAGGCCCTAATGATAAGGGATGTGATTGTTTGGATCAGGTTGGATAAATCGCGCCAAATAGGAAAAATGGTTGATCGTTTTGTTGTTTAGCTTCCCGAGTGTGAGCACGTCTTCTGCGCCGTGTGCATCGAGCGCTGGCTGCTGGGAGTCATCCAAGTGTCCTCTGGACCGGAAATCTATCCAGTCGTCGCCCGGTGAACCCCGCGGCCGTTACGCCCCACGGCCTGCCCCGCGCATCTTCCGCACACTACTCGGTCGAATGCGCATCCGCTGCTTGTTTCACACGCACGGGTGCAGTCAGCTGCTCAACCTGGAGCATCTCGAGCAGCACCAGCTCACCTGCCCCCATAATCCCGAAGGCAAGCGCACCAGTTTGCTTTTACCATAATACGCACGACGCAGTGTTACACTTGCATCATACGTTTATGCTGTTCGCGACTGTAGCAATAATCTGCTTGTTTTGTAGGTTTGGTGACATGTGATAAGGGCTGTGGCACCGATTATAAGAAGTCAGCTGGGCGCGAGCACAACTGTGTGACAGTATTAAAGGATAAACTGGAGGAGGCCATGACGCTAATCCAGCTGATGAGCGGGGAGATTGGCGAGCTGAAACGGAAAGTAAAGGAACTGGAGCAGGAGCCGCCGATGGCTAATGGACGTGCCAGTGTTGGCCGACGCAGCCGTGCGGCGCTGTGGACTCCTGAGGCCATCATGGCCTGGGCGCGCCACCTATCGCTTGCGCAGGTGACGTACTGGGGTGGATTGATTAGCACTCCGGACGCATTCCTGCAGAACCAGGTACTTATTGCTCGGAGAGTTTGGTTCGGCTGGTGTGAAGAATGTTGGATTTATGATAAAGGTACGAGAGGCCCTGGAAAACAGTTGTGCCGCAGCTAACGGCCCGCTGGAGCTCATAGAGGCGTTGATGCACAATTCGCATGAGCGCGCCTGGCCGCCGGGACTCCGTACACTGGAGCGGCGTCTCTTCAACCGCACCATCTACGAAGCCTACGCTTGCCGCCGGGTGCCGGGCAATCAGGCCGTCATCATCCTTTCGGAGGATAATCGCCATGTTAGTGCTGCGGTTTTGTTCGAATTTAAAGTCTGATATCCAGCTTAAGATACATACTATTATTAACCTTTTTTGCCTCACACTGACTTTGATAAACTGCACTGTGATATTGTATTCAATAAAATTTATACGTGCTGAATTTTAGATGAGCGACGACATGATCCTGCACCCGGGTCTGGTGGTGATCTTCGCTCACGGCGTGGAGGACTGTGATCCGCTGCAGAATATGCCCAACGGCGACAGCCGTTGTTGATTTCTTCTGCTGCAGAAATGTTTTGTTTGTGTTATTCCTCGCCATGGATCTCGGTTCCCGCTAATTCTTGTTTCGCCATCTTATCGCTCTAATTTGTCAAACCCGAACTCACCGTAGGAAGCTGGTTAATTTTAATTAATTTAGTCAGATTATTTATTTTATGCAATAATTATTTCAAATGCCAAAGATGTGTGACCCTATTTTCTCTCCGTTGAATATTTTTAATGCGTTGGTTCTACGTTTTTTTTGACAAAGCTATTTTCGGATATCGATGATTGTGCGACTGTTGTACTTTTTGTTTGGCAAAGAGTGAAAGAATTTACACTTGTTACCAAATGGCATTTAATTGCCAAACAACAGCAGGTGATGAAACTGTCTTGTTTCGTAGAAGATAATGTAAAATAAGTAAGTAATGATGGATTTATAAGCAGTAAGCTATGTAACTATATCTGTACAAGCGCTTGATTTATTATGTTTTTCTAAACTGGACCAGGAAACACGCATTATTGCTTACATGCTGTACTCACGAGTCACTACTCGTAGAATACGTAATACAAGTACTCAAACCAACGTGCCACAGTGAATTATTTTTTACGTATTGGGATGTTTCTTATTAAGCGTTAGATTATTGACGGTTGCACTATAATTTATTGATTTGAATCTGGGCGTCTTACAAATGTCTACAGAACTATATTCTTGGATATATTTGCACCTGTGTCCCTGGCAATTGCTGTTGTTTATTGGTTTTCCGAACTCATATATCTGTATTGCCGCCGGAAGTAGTAGTCCCAACGACGTCTCTGCAGTAATAAGTTGGTGTAGTCATTTCACTTTTATAACTCGATTTCCTAGATAGCTTAAATTGCCCAGAAAACAGCCACACTTGTTGCAGAAACCGATGACATAAACAATGAAGAAGTGAAAGTTAAGGATACCCATGCAACGCTAATAACCGCTCTGATCTGTGCCTTCGTGGTAGGTCACCGTACCATCGTTATTCACGCATAATGAGGGCTTTTTGAAAGGTGTACAGTATTATAATTATTTATAAGTTTATAACCGACCACGATAAAAATTAGTTATACACGTACACTCATATGTAATTAAGTATAAAATTGCCGACTGTTGCAAATTGTAGTTAAGCGTGGTGTGTGCCATTTTGATTTATCTGCTATTCTACCGCTGGAAATGGGATTCGTCCCCAGAGATTGATATCGATAACCTGGATGACGACGATGATGAGCTGCCTTGATCCGCATCACCGCTTTATCCTACATGTTCTTCACAGTGAAGCATATAAATGCTTCAGAATATTAGCACTCAGCAGTATCGATTCCAGCTTTCATTGTGAAATACCTGCTGGATGCTGCTGCATGTCGCAGTTGCTTTGGAAGTTCGACACCTTCGATCAGCGCGCGTCTACTGGCAGCCGACCGGAAGTAAAGTATTATGTACCGTGTGAACTGTGCCGATTTAGAACACTGGTTCTGTAGTCGTTCGCTGTGGAATGCAAATTATGTCGCAGTTACGGCTTTGGGAAATTTAGGAAAGCCGAAATTTTATCCATTTTATTATTTTATACCAGAGACGAGACCACTGTAAACTTGTAAAGGCAGTATTAGACTGTTAGACAGGTGAACTTTGAATGGGAAAAAGTACTGTATTCGAATATGAGATCAATAAACTGTATTGTATTTTTAGACAAGTGGTAAGTACTTAAAATCAATAATTTCGAATTTTATCTCCTTTTCAAGCATTCCAAACGAGTGCACTCTCCAACTACGGTGCTTTTCACACCGAAACAGGATAAACGGACAGCGAAGATGAAAACGAACGGCTAAGCTGAAATAATTAGCAGCGCATTCAGAAACTACCCGGTTAACACCAGTAAAACAGAACAGAAAACTCGCCATACTGGCACCATTAAAACCTAACGGGCGAAATTATATTAGACTTAAAGGCGTGTGGAGTTATCCCAGTACGACAGCATCGGAAAGAGTAGACTAATTACCGGAACGTCAGGGCATGCGCGGCAATTATTCGTAGATCCAAGCCTTGCTGTGATGATCCCACTGGACGATCTCCTCCTTGGTGAACCACAAGCCGATCTCCCGTTCAGCGCTTTCCACCGAGTCACTGCCGTGGCAGATGTTGCGGCCGGTCTGGATGCAGAAGTCGCCGCGGATGGTGCCGGGAGCGCTGTCGAGCGGATTGGTGGCGCCGAGCATTTTGCGCCCGGTGGAGACCGCTTGCAGTCCCTCCCACACCATGGCCACCACCGGGCCCGATCCCATATACTTGACCAGTCCGGCGTAAAAGGGCTTCTGCGCCAAATCCTTGTAGTGCTCCTCCAGCAGCTTCTTCTCCGCCTGAACCATCTTCAGCGCGAGGAGCTTGTAACCACGTTGCTCGAAGCGCTTGATGATTTCCCCGACGAGACCGCGGTGAACACCGTCTGGCTTCACGGCAATGAAGGTGCGTTCGGTAGTGGAGGACATTGTGGCGATTTACAAACAATTAACCGTGACAATAAGCTGGAAAAACAGACGGAATGTCAGCGATCGGTCGAGGCAGCCGGGAAGAACTGGGACTGGTCTGATGACTGGTCTGTCTGCTTATTAGTCGGCAATCTGCATGTAAAGTGACGGTAGGTAGTCGGCAGAAGACGCAAGCCTGATGCAGCCAGACGATTTTGTGCTAGCCCCGCCTTGTTACCATTCACTAGCCATAAGCAAGGTTCTGAATGGTGCAAGGAGCAGATAAAGAGCGATTCCGATTGGCATAACGCCATCGTTCCGCCTATTTCCTATCCAACCAGGCTGAACCAGCTGACTAGCGTTCCGGGCCCCGGCTCACTTCTCAAGAGTTAAGGCTGCAGAAAAGCATGGCATATTAATGATTTACTAGTAGACCCCGCGCAAACTGCGCGGAATAAATCGGCGATAAATTGTTATTTATGGAAAGCTACAAAGTACAAACCCATGACTGCAAATTTAGTTTTATTGAGCGGAGCGTATAAGAATATTAATAATAATATAGTTTGATTAGTTTCATTGGCAGAGACAAACGGTATTTGCTCAATACCTGTTTGGTTATGCTTATCATAACTAATGTCGTAAATTATTCTTTATTTTGGGCCTTTGACCATAGTTGACTGACAGATTGGTAGCAGTTAGAATGTATCACAGTTTAATAATTAAATGTTTAAGGCCGTTTTGAGAAAACATTGTCGCGTTCCGCTGACTTAACCCGAAATTAGACCCGAAAAATTAGAAAATTTCCAGGAATATGTCCTTTTTGTTTGCAATTATAAAACAAAGTTTTTAAGCTTCGCAAATCAATCAGCAGCATATGCCGGTCAGTTGTCAAGAACTACAAATAAAAAAAAGCTCCATAATTACTGAAATTTTTGTAGCCGTATTTCAGTACTTCTACTGGTTCAGATACCATTCGGAGCTTCGTTAAATTTTAGTTAGTGCGTCCCGACAAAACAATCCAGTGATGCGACCGTACGACCACCGATGTCAACCTTTAGACCACTTAGAATAAAAAATACTTTCCAGTTTCCTCCAACTGTTTACACAGACAATTTAAACCTGATGAAGACTTCAAAATTTCGTTGTGTTCTTTGGTGAATTTTTTATTGATTAACGTCGACAACTTAAGCACAGTGTCTTGCTTGCGACCCCCGCTGCAGATAGGCGCCGCCTATGATTCCGCTTTCTGTTACGTGCTTATAAAATTTGTTTCAAGTTTGGCAAAAATCTATGCATTTGTATAGTACATCCCCAACGCATTGTCGCCTCCCCAATCCCAACCCCAACCCATCCCAAACCCAACCCATTTAACGCCAACAACATCCCCAACCCATTAAACGCATTGTCGCTTCACGCTTACGTCCTCACAGATGGTTCATTAATGTAGCTTGTCGCACCCAGGCGCACCGGAGAGGGTATTCCCTAATTTTTTGTTTTGACCTTTGATGGGAGCTGATCTGACGGAATGCTTTATAGCTGGCGGAAACATAGATTAGAATGCGGATAAGCTTCGCTTTTAAATTTTCTGTTTATTTTAAATTTTTGAATGCTAAAATGCGGTTTTTGTTTTTATAAACCGTTTTTGTCTACGTTCCTTAGCGGAAAAATATCCCTTCTGAAAAATATTTTTACCTTCTCTACCTTCCCTGCTGGAGGCTCGCGCGCCTCATTTAGGTCGCCGTGAAAAGATTTGCCTTGGGCCGCTTTCTCCCCGGGCGGCGGTTAGACTCGAATCCTAGTGCGTACGCCCGGTGGGACTGGGACTCGCTGTTTTGCTCGAGTAGTCCACATCATTTCCAGTCGAACACCAAAATTCTCAAAATCGACTTTCAGTCTCTCACAAAATGATGTTTATTTGAGATTTGAAAAAAAGGATAAAATATTCCACTTTATTGGCACGGCAGCAAAAGCCAACCGCCCTTTGGAAGCAGTTTTAAATTTTAATAATACATCTAATCAACCCGTTGCGAAAGGCAACTACTTTATCTTTGGAATTTGGGTCGCTCCCACTTTCCAGGAGATTCTGCATGTTCAGTCTTTAAGAAACATCACTTTCCGAGCCTACATATTTTAAAAACTAACTCTTAATAAAAATCTTATGAACTAAAGGCAGTCCGATAACTAACGGACACCAAAGTTCCATCAAGTGTAGATGTCTTTTCCTGTGCTGTTCGTGACAGTGGTGGCTTGGGTGGGTTTGCAGTGGTGGGTTCTGCACTTTTCCCGTAGACTTTGTATGTTAAGTTCTTTTAAGATTTTCTCTAAAACTTCACATACTTTCAAAAAAACTAACTGGTTTCTGCAAATCTGCAAACTCGCGGCTATTGAATGACATATAGACATCAAAGTTTGGTTCAGTGGATCGCTCAAAAAAGGGTGACAGAAATGGAATTCGCTAAGGCTTATTTTATTAATATATAGGATACTGTATCTACTGTATCTATATAAATCATTACCGTACAGTAATGATTTATACTGTATCTACTATCTATATTTAATTTTTTCATTTTATTTTATTTTTTTTTGAAATAATAGCTAGTACAAGCGTTCAAATTTCAAACTAGCCAGCACTGCAACATACACTAAAGCACGCATATATTAAATTTAACACAAGAAAACGGCTTTTAAGTTTTACGACAAAAGAAATTATAATTAAGACTAAGGTCTAAGTGCGATCACTTTGAAATACGTCGTGCTTGTAGTTCGTAAATCGTAAGTCGTACACAATACTAAATTCTGATGTTATGGATGTTAGGAAGATCATTCAGGTCTGTAATGGTCTGTTTCAGAAATGTGTTCACTCTTTACTAAGTGCTAAAATTAAGTATGTATCCAAGTTAGCTGTACCGTCACTACCGCCTTATACAATATGTCTGTACTATCTGTTGACTGTTGTATATGATAATATACAGACAGTCAGCTGATTAGTTTTCGTCGCGTTCCACCACCATCTAGCATACTGCATGGTAGGTGGATTACAGGGTTTTCGATCGATAGTAGCGTATCTCCGTGGCGAAAATGTCAGTAACCCCGGGAGAAACCGGCATTGGCTGGGCATACGGCGGCGAGAGGATCGTCCTGGCCCTCGTCAGTATCGTGGCAGGATGGTTGTTCCTGCAGCGTTTACTGCGCTCCCCCTATCGTCTACCTCCGGGACCGTGGAGTGTGCCCGTGCTGGGTTCCATGCTGTGGATCGACCACAAGGCGCCCTTCCGCACCTTCTCGCAGTGGGCCGATAAGTACGGGCGTTTCTTCTACGCCCGTCTGGGCAAGGATCCGGTGGTCGTCGTAAACGACGCTGCCCTGGTGCGGCAAATATTCTCAAGTGATGCCTTTCAGAAACGGCCGCATATGCCTGGCACGACGCAACGTCTGCAGGAAACGCACGGTCTTCACTGCGGTAGGTCGCAATGGCACTTCCGGTTACCTGGCCTATCAGTGTTGTTTATGGTATAATAATGTTGTATATTTCAATACACGCGTACACATTTATTTTGTTCCTCTGTATGGACCATTGGTAAAGCTTAAGAAAACAGAAACTGGCTGATTTCGGACTAGGTTTGATTTTCGATGACGGAGATTCATGGAAAGAACACCGGCGCTTCGTCCTGCGCGCCCTGAAGGACTTTGGCATGGGTGGGCGGAGCATCGAGGAGAAGGTAGCGGAAGAGGCGGGATATCTGATGGAGCTCTTCCGGGACACCCGGGAGGCGCCTTTCGACGACAAGATCTTTATCAGCACCGCCGTGGCCAATGTCATTTCTAACGTGGTTGCCAACCGGCGCTACGATGTCAACGACCCGGAGTTTGTGAATCTCCTGAACTGCATCGCCCGACTGTTTCGTTCCAGCTTCGCCAGTGCCCTGCTCGGCTCTTATCCCGCTCTCAAGGCGATCCCGCCCTTCCGCGCCGTCTGGCAAGGCTTTCAGTCGGCCGCCGATACCATCACAGCATTCTTCGACCGGCAGGTGCAGGACCACCTCGGATCTTCGCGGGAGAATGACCAACGCGATCTCATCGATGCCTACATCACGGCGCTGCGGCGGCAAGAATTTGGGACTTTCGCCGAGCGCCAGCTGCTTTATATAGTGGAGGATCTCATGGAGGCTGGGTACGAGACCACTACCACCACACTGCGCTGGGTAAATCAGTCTCCTTGGACACGGTGACCCTTGTAATTACGTTTTGAAATCCATTTTAGGCGTTTCTTCTAATGTGCGCGTACCCGGAGGTCCAGGATCGGGTGCAGAAAGAGTTGGACAGCTGCGTTCCCGCCGGTTCCGGCGCGCGCCCTTCGGAGCAGCTCTCCCTGCCCTTCACGGAGGCCGTATTGGCGGAGGTGCACCGCTACGCCAGCATCGTCCCGTGGGGAGTCATGCACGTGGCCTCCGCCGACAGCCAGTTGGAGGGTTATGACCTGCCACGTGGCACCTGGATCCTGCCCAACCTCTACCACATCCACCACGACCCCGCCCTGTGGGAGGAACCACACCAGTTCCGGCCGGAGCGTTTCCTGACGGCGGATGGCCAGCTGCAGCGGCTGCCCGACTACTGGATGCCGTTTTCGGTCGGCAAGCGACGGTGTCCAGGAGAGAGTTTGGCGCAGGTGGAATTTCTCATGTTCTTCACGGCGGTGTTGAGGAATTTCCGTCTTCAGCTGCCGGGTGGACCACAATCAGCGGATCTGCGCCCGGTGCCGGGCGCCACGTCCGACACAGCCTTGCATTCATTGATGGCAATTCCGCGATCGTAATCGTCTTGACTTGTCAGACCTGCTTGAAGCTGCTTCGCTTCAATACCGCCGTTTTATGGCTCTAGTTTTTTTATTTAAGTTTTACCTATAATTTTTGAAATTTGAATCATTTTGGTGTCCATCAGCGCGGTCCAATCAGTCCACAGATACTTATTAGTTATTAGTACGTAAATATTCCAGCAAAAAAACCAATCTGGAAAGATAATTAGTGATAATCAACAATCATAATAATATTTAATAATTTACTGCACCTGTTATAATATGTATAGATGCATCCACGACCAGATTACCAAACAACAATACTCGTACAAAAAATATGACTTTGTTGTGCAAGAAAATAAGCAGATCTAGACCGTTATCATTATCAAAGCTTAAGTTTCTTGATTTCATCGGGTCGGAAGTCGGTGCGGAGCAAAAGCACTTGTCGCGCTTCACTCGGCGTGATGCGCCAGGCCAGGCTAATATTGGAACTGGGATTCCATAGCTCCTGAAATTCCGCCAAACTGTCCACGTTGAGAATGGTGACAATCTGGGAGATACGGGAGAATTTGTCCCGAATGGACCAACTGGTCAACGAGCTGAGGTAGTGGATCAGCACGCGGATTTCTTTGTCCAGCTGAATGCCACCCAACTGCAAATTTACAAATAGAAAAACTACGGAAGGAATTAGCAAGAAAAAGCCGCACCCGTGAATATTTTAGTTTGACAATGGCCTTTTCCAACTGATCGGCAATCTCCGCTCCAACATATTTAACCAATAACTCCAAGACGTTGCTGGTCAAAGAAGGCTGCGGAAAGGTTTATTATTATCCATAATTCCATTATTTAATTTCTCAGCTGACCTTTACCTACCTTAAAGAGACCCAACAAGGTCTGAATGTTACATATGAAATTCTCGACAAACGGGTCACTAATTTCGTACGACTGGAAGTCATCGTCGCTGATGTTGTGACTGACACTGATGAACCCATCCACAAGCGGCTTAATCCGCGGCTTTAGAATGGCCGTGTGCAACAGCGAGATACCGGTGTCCAGCACTACCTGGAAGGAGTGCGTGGCGGCGAATAAATCTTGGAGTGTTGTCTAAAATTGTACTGATTTTGTCCAGGTCATTGTACAAAAGTAAAACATACGCCAATAGCTACCTGGATTTTCTGTAGTTCATGCTGCGACACGTTCCCCAGTACCACCGTCAGCTCGCTCTGCAGCGTCTCCACCAGCCGTTTAATATTGCCAATACTGACGTCCGCGTCACAGAGGTGCGCGAGAAAAGCACGACGGTTTTTGTCGGTAACGCTATTGTCCACCGGCGTACTGGTACCGATCATGGTGTAGTAGGCCTGCGACAAATCAATTGTATACGCCACGTAGACGTTGTTCTTCAGTTTGGCCAGGAGGACGTCGGCCAGGTCCTCCTGCAGCAGACTGACGGCGTGATTGAGCGTGGCACAAATGGCGTGCACACTGCAGGAGGACAGGGCGCGCCGGATGCTCTTGCGCACGACGAAGAAGACTTCGTCGACCATCGAGGAGGTCAGGGAGGCTTCCTCCATCTGCTCCATTGCCACCGCCTTCCGCATTGACTGCCGCATGTAGTACTCTTCCAGACTGACGTAGTCACCCATCAACTCCTGCATGCGCCGACTAAGTTGGCTACTGCTCAACAGTGTCTCCACTTCGCGAGCATGTGCTACAATTCATCACACACCGCAATTTCCGTATTAACAATTTTATTATTACGGGTATGACGGTTGGTCCGCTAGTTTTATTAAACTACAGTTTATCCAATTTTACCTTCTCTGTTCTTGGAACTCTGATCAACAGCCACGTAATCCGCCAAGAGTTTCTTGCGCATGAAGTTCAAATACAACTCCACACGGGCATTCATCACCGTCACTTCCAGCAGCAGCGCATCCAACTCCAGCGGATCGATCCTGTCAAGGACAGCTTATTAGATACTTGTCGACTCGACAGCGACAAGACTTATTACACTGAATGCAGACCACCACCGGTCGATTTGATGGTTTTGCGGACAAGTAAACGGATCTCCTTAGCGCGCTCGGCAAAGCGGCGCTGGCGCAGAACTCCTCGATCAGTCTCACGCTCTGCCGATCGCATTCCGCCTGGATGTTGCGGACAAAATGCAGGAGATATCCAGCACCGTAATAGGTCTCCACCAGCGGCTGGTACGTTTCCACCACGCCGGCCACCGTCTCCACCAACCGCGTCATTAACTCCACGAACACGCTGGCGCTCTTCTTCGTGTTCGGATCGTTCAGACGCGCGGCCAGATCTTCCATCAACTTCTGAGCTTTGTCTGAAATCTACATAAAATGCGAATTCGCTAACCAACGTAATTAAACAAAAAAGTACTTCCGGACTTAAAAATTTCTTTATATGAAAACGATAAAAATATAAAAATACGAGTTTTAACCACTCAAAAAATCACAAATAATGCGCAAACTTGTTCGAAAATCTTGCGAAGTCATTAATTTATTCAAAACTTTCGTGAACGCACATCTGATGACAAATACGTGCAGAACTTATTCAATCCATGCTGGTGCAAATTCATCAGAGGGAAAATTTTGAACAGCCGCTCCACATTAGCTGAATCCGCAACGTTCAGTGCCTCATCAAACTTGGCATTAATGATGCTTTTCAGCTGGTGATGCGCCTGGTGGAGGAGCGCCAGCGACTGCTGGAGATTGTTCTGCTGGCGCATTTCTTCGGCGCTGCGCATCAACAGGTTCTCGTCCATCTTCAAAAACCTACAAGCACTGCACACTGACCAAAGAGGCAGAAAAAGGAACAGCAAAGAGGCAAGAATCTGAATTCTGACCGGTGAATGTGGCCGGCGGCGATCTCGTACTCCTCGTTCTGCATGGCCACCTGCACGCCTTCGGTGCAGAAGCGCAGATCCAACACGTCCTCGATGCGCTGCAGCGTCTCCTCCACGCGCTGCTTAGCCGCGTCCAGATGGCGGATCTTGCCGCTGACGTTCTCCGCCAGCCGACCGGAGAACTCCAGTGTCTGCTGCAGGTGCCCGGCGTCCGACTCCAGAAGGACCAGCGATTCTCTGCAAGGGCGGAGGCCAGTTACTTAAATGCGCTCGACAGTCGTTCGCTTCTAAAAACGCGCATGATCGCTTCTTACTGGATTCGCACCAGCTCTGATTCCGCATGCTGTATATCCGCACTTTTGACAACAAGCCTCTCAATCTGCTCATTTAATTCAGCCTAAACGCAATATACAAACCCTTGTTAAAACAATTCAGTGGATGGCTTCCGGAACGTGAAAGAAAAGTTTCCAAAAATTACTGGTTATTCCTTTCCGAAATCTCCCTCGTACCTCTTCCACGTCCAAACGTCGCAGAGCATTTTCGACTTCTTCCACGCTCATGTATCCTAACATCTCCCGCATCCTGCTTGACATTTTTCTATCTGCAAATTTTACAAAAATACACTCTTCGAGAAATAAAAAGGGCTAAATAAAAAACACAAAATGGATTTTTAAATTTAAAGTAATAAAACCTTCAAACACGATTAAAATTCAATCAAGCAGTTTAAAGTAATATCAGCGCTGTCGCTGTCCACGTAAAATGTGCAACATCTGCTTCTGCGGGCGGTGTATCAGCTTCGTTTGGTTCCGCTTCTACGGGTGGCAGCGTCAGCGCTGTTCGGATCGATTTTTTCAGCAGCGCCGCTCGGGTTGATTCAATTTCGTGCCAGTCAATAGATTAGACCCCTCAGGTGCACGTGCTAGCAAAATCGATAAAAGTCGTACTCCATTTCTCAGGTTGCAGCTGTTTCAGTTGTGTTTGTGCAGTTTGCCTGCAGGCAAAACGTCCAATTCAAATTGCTTCAGTTCTTGCAGACCCTGGATGCGTTATTTCCTGATCCTAATCCGAGTTCTTTGCTACTAAGGCAAACTGAAAGTACCTATAAGCAGTCATTTTCTTCGTGTTGAATCGTGAACTGATTGCACTCGGTGGCATGTGAGGCACTACGGTCGGAGCCACATTGAAACAGTTTCCATTGCAATTGTCATATTATTATCCTCTCTGTTCAAGCAGTTTGTTTCGTGAGAGTTCATAGCTAGTCAACCAGTTGATGGTGGACTGGTCGCGGCGTCCCATGGGAACTCAAAAGTGTGCGAATCTCGTCGAGCAGATGGCGGGCTTGGAACCTCAGCGTGCCCAGCGCAGGAATGGCGTGTGGGGCGCCCCGGTTAAACAGGGCCAGAAGCGATTGTATTCCCAGGTTGACACGGTAGTTGTGCCGACGACGGCCCCCAACAACAAGCGGTACGCCCCCTCCGACGGCGGCGGTTTCTTGCTGTTCCAGCCAGACGAGATCATCCAGGAACGCTACCAACTCCTAACCACTATTGGCGAGGGGAACTTCGGTAAAGTGGTGAAGGTGCTGGACATATACGACCGGACGGCCAATACGCTGGCCATGAAGATCACACGGAACCAAGAACCCTTCCGGGTGGCGGGGCGCCGCGAGGCCGAAATCCTGGAGCGTATCCGGAGACACGACACTGGGGGACAGTCGAAGTGTGTGGAGCTATGGGCACATTTCGAATGGAAGGGCCACTACTGCCTCGTCTTCCCCAAACTGGGTCCCAGTCTGTACGATACTCTCAAACACAACGGCCACTTACCCTTCTCGGTGGAGCAGATCCGCCACATCGCCAAGCAGCTCATCCATGGCGTCCACTTCATCCACGAACTGGGCTATATCCATACGGATCTGAAGCCCGAGAACATCCTCTTCGTCCAGTCTGACACTGGCACTCAGATCACGCAGCGGCCTGTCAAGAACAGCGAGACGCAGTGGTTCCGGGTAGGCAGGAGAGCGCTGCTTCCCTTTCTTCAGCTTTAAATAAAAAAAAAATGTCCATGGTGTATTACAGGCTCCAAAAGGCAGTCTCATCAGCCAGCGCACTGATACCGAGATCCGTATTATTGACTTTGGCACGACGGTGCACGAGGGGGAAGCGAAGCATCCCAAGATCCAGACACAGCACTATAGAGCGCCGGAAGTCCTGCTCGGTATTAAAGCTGCCTTTCGCTTTCTAAAATAATTCTTTCAGTGGCCTGGTTTTTTCAGAACTGGGATGGGATCATAGCAGCGACATCTTTAGTATCGGCTGTATAATGTACGAATTGTATAGCGGCTCTACGCTATTCCAGACTCAAGACGATCGTGAACACTTGGCCATGATGATCAGGTTGGTCTGCCATTTATTGCCACCTTTAGCGGGCCGTAGTGGGTTGACATAATCTTGCTTGCTTTCGTGCTTAGGACGCTAGGAGACATTCCGCGAAAAATGATCAGAAATTCAAAACTCGGCCACTTCGATAGCGATGGAAGGCTGTTGTTCGATGAGCACAGCTCGGAAGGGGAATTCGTCCGCCGCTACTACAAGCCGTTGATGGTACGATGCGTATCGTATGCTGTAATCACATCTTGACAGTTAAATTATTGAGGAAATATGTCTTGACAGGAGCTCATTCGAGAGAAGGACCAGTCTAATAAAGAGGTGTTAGCGCTGTTTGACCTCATCGGGCGTCTGCTGCATTATCAGCCCAAGCATCGCTTCCCGCTGCTGCCCGCGCTTTCCCACAATTTCTTCGTCCGAAACTCTACGACGAAACAGGCGCGGTCCGGTCCCAAGAAAAATCCGTGAACAGGGCCGATTACGGGGACGAGGAGTGTGTCTAGAGATTAACAGTATTTAACAATGCCGTCGCTCTTAAACTTGCCTTGTATTTGTTTCCTCTGACTTTTTACAAGTCTTTCGCTGCAGTCGACTGCAGGAATGAACCGGATTGCAGTTTAGTCTACGGCAGAGCGGATTTTCCACGGCGTTTCGCCGCTTCCGCCTTGTACAGTGGTTTTTAGCCTGTTTGATTGTTTGTTATTTCTGTATCCTGAAAGAACGACGACTGACAGGATTTACTTTTTTGGAATAGTTTTTTCATCACAGTGTAATGAGCATGCATCGATCAAAACAAAGATAAAAATGTCAGAAAATTCAAAATAGGCAAAAAACACAAATATGGTGAAAAATGTCAACTATAAAGAACCGATGCGGAGAACACCGGAAGGGCTGCGTTAGTAGAAGCGAACATCCAAGACAAAGGCATTGTGCGGATCGCTGAAATCCTGCCGGAAAAGCTGAGCATGCTGCCATGCGCTTTCCCCGTCCCCACCAGTCAGCTGCACACAGATCTCCAGTTTCGTGACGCTGTCGCTTAGAAATGTCTGCGAGTAAACTTCCGGTATGTCCGTTTTTGAATGATCGCTGACGGCGAGCGATACGGACACTTGGCCCGAGTGGAAGACCGTCCGATTGGTCTGCAGTGAGACAGACTTGATACTGAGACCTGCAATATTTATGCAGTTACTTTGATGATTTCCAATGGAAGAAACACAACATGAGCGTACCGCTGTCAGCGCAGCTAATCTTCCATACAATCCGGCCAATCGCCGTCCCGGGCAGGCGCGCCAGGTAGGTCTTCTTCCAGTCGTCTTCTTCCTTACGCAAGATGTTTTCTTGCTCGAACATTAAAGATCCGAAGCCTAAAATTATGCAATTACAGAATTTCAATAAGGGAAGGTAAAACGCAGAATGCGCCAACCGGATAGCGTCTGATCTGCGCGCGTGTACTGATCACGAGCGCAATTGTAGGAGACGAGCAGGCGTTTGTTGGCCACTTCCTTCTCGTTCGGCCGAATTACAAATGATGAACGCTCAGCTCCACCATCACCCGTTTCACCGCGGGCTAACCGCCACGCCAAGGAGCCGGAGTTGCGGCCAGTCTGTCAAAGAATTCCTTGGTAGATGGCTAATTTACTACGACTAAGAGACCCAAGTACACCTTTTCACTATCTTTAGCCGAACGGGGAAACAGCGTCTCCGACAATTCATCCCAGCGGCGTTTCCACAGCACCGCTTTCCGCTCGGCTGACAGTGGACGCTGCAATTGCCCGTTGAGTGTTTTCAGCGTCGTTCGCAGCCACACTTCCGGTATGGCCACCCGCCGGCGCCGCATGGCGGTGTGGTCAGCCGAGTAGCGCCAAGAGACGTCGGCCACCTCGTCCTTTGAAAATGCAAGCACGTGGCCGAGCTTTTTGCCCCAACCCGACTCATACCTGTGTAATAGCGGAGATATAACCTCTGTTTAAAGCAAGAGAATCACAGAAATCGTACAACAGTGGCTGGTCGAACGCCGTCTCGCAGGCATCGCAGTGCATCCAACGCTCCTCTTCCTCACTCCACACCTCCGTCCACACATGGTCCGCATCGTCCATCACCCAGCGCGCCTCATACCCTAACGCCACACAGATCCCCGTAAAACAGTTGGCCCATTCGCCGCAGCGGCCGCGTCGCGTCTCAAGCAGTTTGCTGGGATTGTTGTAGCGCGGGAAGCGCGTGACACCGGCACATTGCTGGCAGAGGTATATCTCCACCCGACTGGCTCCGAACTGCGCTTCTGTCGGCGTGGGCAGCGGGGAATGCGCCGAGGAATGACCCGGGGGTAAAGGGGACGTGGCGGAGGAGTGGCAGTGTTCACAGGGCGGCTGATTAACCCAGGTGAAAAAGTCCGTTTTGAACCAGCGTAATAGGGTATACAAAAAGGCGGTTCGCAGCATCCCCGGCTGGTGAGGAAAGGCAGATAACAACCGGGCGGATTCCGTTGTGAGACGCGCAACGGGAACCGTATTCATCACATTCACCTGTTTAAACAACGCAAAACAGTTACGATCAAGTAACCACACCAGTATCATTCGAAACGAACCAGCAAAACTGAGGAAGAAAATATATTATAAATCGAGTTAATTGTGTATTAACAGTTAACAGCCAACAGTATTAACAGTTAATTCCAATGAAGCAAACAATATTTAAATTAAGAAATAACAAACGAAATCTACATATTAACCAATCAAAACGTTGAAATCAAATAAATATAAATTAAAAATAAAAAATTACGGTATTCAGTTTTATTTTCTACAGTTTAATTTTGTTCTGAATTTTTGTGTCGTGAACCTGGAAGCGCGGATTTTGGTACTGCTGGACCTGCCGTATGTGGCTCGTCATCATATGTAGCATTCGCAAACATCCTTCCCGCGTTGCCTGCTGGGAGAGGGAAGGCGCAGGCATAGCGGCACTCGGTTCATCCCGTTCAACAGCCACCACCGCGGGCGGTGGCGCAGTGCAGGCGCTCGTTTCCCTGCGCGCCGCCTCCTGCGCCAGGACAATCCGACAGAAAGACAACGGCTGCACAGGGCTATCAGGCGGCAAAAAAAGGTGCTCATTGGAGACAGAATCCTCCTGGAATCCCACCTGGAAGAGCAACTCTAGCGTCCCGGGAAAGGCATCCATGCAGCTGATAAGGCTGCCCGAAGATAGGTTCAGGCTGAAAAGACAAAACACCAGTCGTCGCAGACAGGCTTGACTTACAACAAGTAAGCCCTTACCGTCGCAGCTTGGGGTTGGAATGGGAAGGATCGCTGAGGATGTTATCAAAAACGCGCAGGAAGAAAGGCGCCGCGCGCTGCCATTCGCTGGGCGCTAAGCTCAGTAGATCGCGCAGCGCGGGGTACTCTTCCATCGAAGTAGAGGATGTGTTTGCGTTTAAGAATACAGGTGGCATGGCGAATCTTTAAACAGGGCAACAGACAATCAAACTCTCCAAATTTACACTCAAAAAGGAAACTCAACGTAAAATAATCAAGTCGGTTTGTTACAAACCAAACTTCCATTCGAATATACCGATACGATTAAGTACTGTAATCGGATTACACTTACAGTATTCACTATTCACCACTCACACGTAACCGTAACAAGCCAACTCAGCAATATTTTCCAGCTGCACGTAGCCTCACGTCCAGAGCGGAAGGTTGCGGTTGGTATGTAATGTAAGTACTTAAATTCTCATCTTCCCATTATTATTATTGTTCTCGTATTAAATTACGTCCCTAATTGATAATAATAACAAGTTAAAGTAATGTCCTTGTTACTTTATCTTGTTTACTTTTTTCTTATAAAGCAATTTTGTACGTGGTTTTTCTTAATATATACTTCCGTCCAGTTGGGTGACTCTGGATTGTGCACAGCCAGACACGGCTTTCCCACAAACAAAGTTTTAATTGCGAAGCATACACTTGAAATCGCAGAGTGCAGTTGAGCAAGCGCATTAACCTGAAACATAATAAACTAACGAAGGCATAAAAACAGAAACACATCACAGATAAAAATAGAGCAGCACTATCCGTGCCCTCGACTACGTGCCCAAGCCCCGGCCTCCACCAGCGCCTACTCGCGGTGATGTTTACGCGTCCGCTGCGTACCGTTCCTCCTGCGAGAAGATCTTTTTGAGGATAGCCGCTCCAGAAACTCCGGCGAGCGGTAATCCTGGTATCGGCGATGCAGCGAACGTGCCTGATGGACGATATTGTCGAAATCCGCCACATTCTGATCCTCCGCCACTGCAACACCAGAACAATTATGTAACTGGCAGAACACAAGTTTAGCCTGCAGAATAAAATCTGATACTTACCGGCCAAGTCGCTGGGGTTAGAATAGGTAAACACTAACTCCACGTCCTGGTAGACGCGTTGATCGAAGGCCGTCTGGTTGAATGCCTTCTCCCCGGCCAAACTGGCTACCACCTCATCGATGAACATCCGCCAACGCGGCTGATAATAGTACGCCACCACGCCGCTCCATTGCTTGGTGGCATAATCGAGAATCTGCGCATGCGGGCCCCACACCGAAATCTGATTGAGGGCGTTCCACTGGTAGAATTCCGTCTGGTTCTCACCGCGCGCCCACGATTTGGCGGCCTCGATCCAGGGTGTCAGCTGGAAACTGGGATGCAGCGACAAGACGGACGACAGGTCCAGCAGAATCAGCTCCAAGGCTTCACCGTACAACCTGCAGAAGGATCAATCAGACCAAAAGCTGTCATCATATACTGTTCTGCTGAACGCACACTACACGATCCACGCGCTTGTCGCTGTAAGCCTGTTCCAGGTTCTGGTAGAAGTAGGCAAATGCTATCTGCAGGGTTTGCCGCGTTACGTCCACCATGTCATAGAGGAAGCCCGGAGCGCCCTGCTTGGGGAGGGTGCTGCTCTGCTCCAGCAACATATCCAGCGCGGTAAACACTTGATCCGGTTCATACCACATCTATGTATAACTGTCACCCTTCAAGAAACCATACAAATCCTGGGAAATTTGTAATCTCACCGGCTCCCACAAACCGAAACGCGGTCGTCGTGTGATGGTGTACTGGCCGTTATCGTGGATGCTAGCCGGGCATTCCCAGACGGAAGTGCGGAGAACGTGGTACGCTCGCTGGCCGTCGCGGGTCTCCCCGCCGTATCGACGCTCCGTGTAGGCGGCCACCCTGTCAGCTAACATTCATGTGTTTATCTTTTAAGGGAAAATGACTGACCCACCATTTATCGACGTCGGGGATCTGCGTGCGCCAGGCCATCTCGTTCATGAATTCGTAAATCATATCGTTCTGGTTGATACCTTCCGGGGAAATGCCAACACCCACCATGGAGGTGTTGACGTACTGACGGGCTGCCGGTGGACCCTGATAATAGCGCATTAATTTGTTGAAAGAAACTCGAGCAACAAACTATAAACAAGTATACCGTGCTGACGGACGTCAGCCGCCCGTACAGTCCGAGTACGCCGCCGAAGTTATGCAACATGCACCAGATGAAGGGCTGGCCGTAGAAGGAACGCGTTGTGTTGTAGGTGGGCAGAACTTCCGCGTACAGATCCAGCATGATTAGGCGTCCCTGCAGTTAAAACTATTAATGAAAACTGCTACGGATCAGCCAATCAATTTCAGAACGTACCGTTGGAATGGCAGTCAACAGTGCCGCCGTTCTGTCTAAAATTTGAACACAGATTGAACACCTACGGTCATAAGCAGTCGTAGCACGGTTTGACCTATTAACACCAGCGCCGCGTCACCAACCTGGTGTCCAGAACTCTGTGTCGAATGTTAGCATCCAGGCTTGCATTACCCTGCACACAACACCAAGATGAATTGCCGATGTAGCTCAAATACAACGATAATTGGGCAGCATACCAGAAGGCGTTGGGATCAGCCTGCCGCATTCCGGCATAGCTAACGGCGATCGTTTCACGGATAAATTCAGCGTCCCAACTATTACGCAGAAATCATATATAAACTTTTCTTGGGAACATATCCAACAGCCAAGAATTACCCGCTGGGATCTCGCGGCTTCTGCTCGTTGAAGGTATCAACATTGTAAAAGTGGCTTGTGTATTTGTATTCCGCATTCATCTGTCAGAAAAAACCACCATAAGAGAATGGTTTCAAGATTCTACCGAAAAGGTGACACACTGTCAGTATTCAACCTCTGTGATAAAGAGATCCGCTAATTCCCCGAATAACACTTCGTGCGGATCCAAGAAGTAAGACCTAGAATATACAATGAACCGCATTATTGCATTCTCCACTCCTTACAGTTTTCTGCATTGCATACCCAGTCAGGTCGTCGGGAAAGCCGGCCCAGTTGGTCATCCGGGTCATGTTCAGCTTAGGATACAATCTAATTAAAATATGCGAAACAATTAGTACTAGATAAAAAATTGAATGAAGAAAACCTACCGAAGAAGCGAAACTGGAACGATGCCGCTAAAAGCCGGCAGTATAGGAATCATGCCTGTTCACAACGATAAGATACTGTACAAATGCCCCCCAGTCAAACAAAGAATGTGTCACTCACCGAACGACTGCATTCTGGCCAGTATCTGGTGTTGCAGCTGCACCTGCTCGTCCATCCACTGCCGCGGTAAGGGCCCACCCCACGCGCGAATGTTACCCATGCGGCCCCTAAATCGCCACCAATTAACCGTGTAATTTATTTCTGGTGTCACACTTACCACTACTCTCTTACCAAGCAAGAAAAGCCGGTCCGACAAAGAAACCGTCCAGTTCCTCCTCGGTTAGACCCAGGCGAGTGTAAACCTAATGAAAACCATTTAGAGAACTGAAAAAGCACCGACTGAATAATCACACACCCGCCGCCAAATCTCTTCTTGGCCCGTAAAAGCCAGCGGGAAGTTTATTCCCTGCAGCGCCATCCAGTCGATCTCTTCTTCCCAACGTGTCCAATTCCACCACACGAAAGAATAACTGGACGTGCACACGTTCTGGTAATAATGCAGTCTGCAATAATAATTTTATCAGCACGTTTCTTTATACAAAAATCATCAACGCGTACAGGTCGGCTTTTTTGACGATTACGGATACATCGGGCAATATCGCTGGAAGCTGCAACTGGCGGGCCGACCAGGAAATATGCGCACCGCAGTAGTATTTGAGGAAGTGGTAGAAAGCGAAAGAACATGCCGTGCCAGAGTTGCCGGTGATGCGGACAGTTCCATTGACGCTGCTGATCTGCCGACAAACCTCACATTGTTATTTGTTATCAGTCGGTAATCGAATGCAATAGAAGTACATTAGCGGTGTCAAGTGCCGGATCGTCAAACGCCGAAGGAACGACAGAGAAGGTGAAGAGGTCGGCCTGTTCCCGCGGCAGAAGTCGGTTTACCATGTCGCGCACCGTGTTCTCTTGGCTTTCGGCACTGACAAAGTGCTTGGTGCGCAGGATTTGCTGGCGCAGCTCAGGAAACTGGCTGCTGGCTAGTTCTGGGCAAGAGATTCCGTTAGCAATCAGACGAATTCAGATTAATGGCGATAATTGCGATCAGTACCAATGACCGAAAAATACAAACCTGCTGAGGATGCAGATAGACTTGGCTGCCAGTGATCATGACGGCCGGCACGCATTTCCACGATGATGCCAACTGTGAGGCCCAGGATGATCAGCTGCAAGTATCACACCCGCTATGAAATTCATTTGCAGCAAATGTTTAAAAAAAATATACAGCAACTTTCATTTTCTTCGGCTAAAATATTCTCATGAGTGCATTAAACCAAAAATTAAGGAGAATTACTAAATGCAGAAAAATTAGCAATAAACATTTACGAGGCTCAAAGGCGAATTATAATTAAGTAACACAAAAAATATGTCAATATCAGGTGTAACGATCTGGAGAAGAAACACCACCCAAAGATAAGGGTAAAAAAATGTAATCAAAAACAGCGCATATCGGAAACAGCTTATCTATCATCAGTTTAAACAAATATTCGAAAACCACAAAAATGATCAAGCGCATGCAAGCGTGATTTCCTGTCTTCCTTACCACAACAACGGCGACAAAGCCCAGCTTGGCCTTGCTGCAGCCCTCGCGGTGGGCGGGCAGGGGCAGCACGCGGTCGCTGAACTGCACAAACTTGTGACCGCCCCCGGGGGCGCCGCGGCCCCTGGGCAGGGGAAAGGAGCCGTATCCGCGCTGCGTCAGATGCAGCACCTTGTCGCCCAGCCGGTGCAGTGTGCCGGTCTTGCTGCGGGGAGCGGGATTGGCGGCGGGAAGGGGGAAATAGCAGAGGTCGTCGTCCTCGGGCTCTTCGCGGATCGACTGCTCCAACAGGTTGGCGCGGCTGCGATTAGCGTGATAGCTGTTATTGGCGGTTGATTCAGGGACGCCAGAAGTGAGCGCTGGGTCACCCGTCCCGTGATAACGCCACTGGCCCTGTCAGTGGACAGCACAAATGACAACGTTTATTTGCGTTGGATGGCTTTCCCACTTGCCTGTTGGTTCATGTTGGCGTTGGGACTGGGTGTAAGCGGCTCGTCCAGGAGTTTCGTCATGCTCGCTCACACGCCAGATGTCCTTTAAATACAGTTAATACAGTGAATACACTTCAAAGCAATGGTGGCACAAAACAAGAAAATAAAAATGACTAGCGTCGGTCCAACACAGGCATAAACTGAACAAATTGCTAGAGCATTGCGCGCGAGTGCAGCCTATGCCTTGTTTGTGCCTGAGGAGATAAGGCACAACACTAACAGCTGACAGCAGATTGTGAAGGCAGACCAAAGCTTGTTATGTTTGGACTTTTTCGCATGAGATAACGCGATGGCACTCGTCAACAACAAATTAAAGAATGATCACCTATGCTTGATGGAATGTTCATGACTGCACTACTCTTCATGCAGAGAGTTCCAACAGAAAGTACTGTACTAAGTAGTATTCCAATAGAGTGAATAGACGTATAAACAAACACAGTTCCGATCCCGTGCCAAACAAATTCCTTATCATGCCTTTTATCGGTTGTTGGCGCTAGTGAGGTAACGAGTCAACGACCTAAGGGTCCACTTCAATCATCGCACCGCTTATCTGCTCTTGCAGTCCTACTCATCTTTTAATGTGATAATATGACTTTCTCAAAAATCATATCCCAATATCAGAGATCCCGAATATCAGATTTTCACAAATATTTATGCACTTGCAGAAAAATAACAAATCGGCCAGTCGATCGAAAAAATTAATCAAGAGTTAAGACTAATAAGTACGACGTACGTAAATAATTTGAACAGTTGCTCAGGGGGGCACATGGCTATATTCTTTTGAGGATGACCACGCTACTAGACTTTTGTGTCTTTTCCTGCCAGCCCGAGCAGGCAGACGCCAGACAGACAACAGAAAACGATGACGGTGGCATTTTGTTTGGAAACTCATTTGTTTTAATTTTATGATTTCTGGTTTCATGATTTAATAACTGTTTGGAAAATTCGTCCACGAGTCCACGACCACGATTGATTAGCCAGTCGAATCTTTACATTTGTTTAGTTTACAAGTTAATCACTGGCATTTTACTGTCGAAATTAATTGCGCTTTTCTTATCTGTACTTTATTGATTAGCCAGTCGAATCTTTACATTTGTTTAGTTTACAAGTTAATCACTGGCATTTTACTGTCGAAATTAATTGCGCTTTTCTTATCTGTACTTTATTGCGTGTAGCTCTCGACGGACAATGGACGAAAGCGGAGACAGAGCGATCACGGATGACTCGATGGCTGATTCCCGAGTCGAGCAAGTCGATGCCGCCAGTTTGCTCCAGCAGAAACGATGCTGTGAAGTGGAATTGCCCGTGAGAAGAGACCTGCTGGACGCTCAGTTCCAGGGCTACAAACTTTCTCTGGAGGAGCTGCCTTCCTTGCGGATTGCCACGTTGGCGGGTACGTGAGTTGTAAATGGCGTTGGACAGCGTTCTGCACCTAAACTTCTCTCGCATTTCATCAAGATGCATCTATACCGTTGCTCCTGTTGTTCGCCAAGATTACCTTGGTGTGTAAAATCGTAGGGGCAGTGGGAAGCGAGTGGGGTGCCTCGCAGGCGCAGGAGTTGACGTCGCTGCAGCATTTCCGCGCCTTCGCCGTCATCAACGGGCTCAGCATCGACCCGTGGTCGGCAGCCGCCGGCGATCATTTTGCCGTCTACTATTTCAACCAGCAACGCCAGCTGGTCTGCCACTTTGTGCCATCTCAACCGCAGGTTTGTTACAATTATCTTTACTGCGACTTTAGACTGAAGCCATTTCCGGTGTCGGCGGTTGATCACGGTGCACCGACTGTCAAAATATAGTTTCTAAAAGTTTTTCAGTAGAAATATTTTTTCTACGTTATCCGTTGAAATTTAGATTTAGTTTTTGTTTGCTGTGTGAGCCTGTGTCTACTTTTTTCTTTCTTTCAGATTATTTCTTTCTTTCTTTCTTTATTCTTTTTTCTTTCTTTCGAGGTGGATCTGTATCTTCTAATTTCATTAGGTTTTCTTAAAATTGAAATTTTGTGAAATTTTTCTTAAATTTCTTGTGTTGCTATTGATTCTCTTGCCAACTGGAATTTGCTAATTTTGGTGGATTTGAAAATTAGATAAAACTGAATTTCAGGCGAGCCTGCCAGCCAACTCCGCGGGTCAGATCGTCGGAAGTTTTTCAGATAACGCAACAGTGGAGAGCACCGCGACGGACGCCGTTCCCCTCTGTGGATCCGTCCAATTCGCTGACGCCCAGCACTGCGTCGTGACCAACGGACGGGGGCGCCTGTTCGTCCACACTGGCGCTCGCCACACCCAGACTGGCCAAGAGTGGACTTGGGGGCCCGTGGTCGATTACGTCTGCCCGGAGAGCTGTCTACTACAAACGGCTCGCACTGTTGTATCCGGTGGAGCAGTCTCCATCCATCTTGTGGTGCTCTATGTCGGCAAACAGGCCAGCAAAGACGCCTCCCGCTTCGTCACCGTCCTGGAGTGGATTGTCCTACAGGCTGTCGGTTCCTCCTGGAAGACCCAACGCGTGCGTCGCCTGGAAGGCACATCGGCGCCACACTACATCGCCGTAGAGCCGCCCGGGGACGGGTTGAGCTTGGTGGGCGAAGGGATTTTCAAGATCGTCTTTGATTCGCAGCGAGTAGTGACGGACACCGCTACTCCGGCGGATGAAGTTATGGAGGAGCAGCCACCGGTGGACCACGCCGGTTTGGGAAAGCGGAGCTGTTTCAACACTGGGCTGGCGGCACCTGATGACATGCCCAGCAGCTTCGGTCCGGATGATCTGGAAGAGTGCGATTCCTTTGCGGATGAGACATACAACGCTGCGTGGATGCGTTTTGACGGGTCAACTGAGGCTGTCAGCCATCGTGCCGATCTCTCTGGCCGGCAGCTGCTTTTCACGGCCACGGTCAGCCCCGATCAGATGCCGGTGATGTGCATTCGCTATGATGTTGACGGATTAGTGTATCAACCAATTCCGCCGGAAGCCGGCTCGGAGAAGGTTCCATGGGAACACATTGCCACTTTCAACGCTCTAGGTTAGTGATCCAGATTCCAGTGCATGCAAGTTACTGGCGTGGCAGTTAATCTGGGTGTTGCATAGGTTACGTGGTTGCTTCCAAGCAAGAGAAGAAGTTTGCCGTTTGTTCCACTGCGCTTCGTTTTGCCTGCGTCTGCGATGGTAACCGCAATGTGTATCTGTACCGGAATGAGGTGCCGGTGGGGGAACAGTCGGTACTGAAGAATCGTAAGACCGGCCAGACCATCAGCCATGTGGCCCGCCAGCATGTCCTGACGTTGAATGATGCCGAGTTGCCTATTGTTGGCTTAGCGGCCACTCAACAAGCGGTGGTGATCCTCAAGAAGAACGCACTCACGCTCATCTATCTGTAATACAAATACACGTTCACATTCGTTAATCGACATTCATCGATTTTCTACGATTTGTTGCGGTTGGCTCTGGTCTGTTCTCGGGTTGATTATGTAACAGGGTCGTATAAGCTGAACAAGAAAGCAAACGGGAGAGGGATGCGGTGCGGTGCCTTGATTATCGATCGCTTCCTTGCATGGGAAATATCAGGCGATTATACACATACTGAGACATACAAGCTCACAAATCACAAGTTTTGCTGCAGTTCTATTAGTTTTTAATTTACTTTATTAAAAAGTCACAAAATGACCGAACAATTAGAAAGCACAGAAACTCAGCCTTTGGCCAAAAATCGACGATCACTGCAAGTGCAGGAGACGCTTTTTGAGCATGTTGTTAAGGTATGTGGGATCTTTACAAATATCACCAGCGAATATTACGATGACACCGTGCGACATCGTTATGGCTTGTGCTAACAACAGGTACGCACGAAGAAAGCAGGCAAGTCCGAATCGGCGAAAAGTGTGCCGACCATTCAGCTCCCGGATCCATCGAAGATGATATATGTGGATGACGCCGAACAATATCAAACCGACCTGCCGCACAACGGCACCGTCGACACCCAGCTGTTGGCCCCGCCAGCGGCCGTTCCCGTTCACAACGATCGCAACAAACAGCTTGTGGTTACGCATGGAGCCGAAAACGCCGGTTACCTTACCCGCGACCAGCTGGCCAAGTACGTCTACGCCGGCAAAGGCCGCGGTTGGCGCTGCTTGCGGATGAGCTTGTTGCTGCTGTTTTGGGTGCTCCTCATCGGTCTGCTGGTGGCCACCGCCCTTTTGGTTTACTGGGATCCACGCCGCACTGTCGGAGCGCAGTGGGAACGAGCATGGTGGAAACGGGGCGTCATCTACCAGGTCAACGTCAAGAGCTACCAGGACGGCAACAGTGACGGCGTTGGCGATCTCCAAGGTGATTACTCGGAACGTACGTTGAGGATAAATGATATCGAAAATACATTTTCTGCCCAGGGCTTAGAAGCAGGCTAGAGTACATCTCTCAGCTGGGCGTGTCCACTGTCCTCATCACGCCCATCTTCCTGTCGCTGAGCGGCAACAGTTTCGCGGTACAAGACTTCAAGGACATCGACCCGGCAGTGGGCACCCTGGACGACTTCGACCAATTAATGAACGACGTCCACACTCGAAGTACGCCTTGTATTACCTTTTTTTGCAGCTCTTAAGATGTACGGTGAAATTGGTTTTACAGACATGAGTCTGGTGATGGACATGATCGTCTCACGCACTAGCCAGGAGCACGCGTGGTTCAAAGCGGAAGCGGGACCGGACCGGCGCAGCCAGACAGCCTATTACGTGTGGCACGGTGGTGCCTGGGATCAAAGCATCCTTTTCGATGGGGAGTACATCCCTGGCGTGCCCAACGCCATGTCCATCCAGGCAAGATTGGTATAGGCCATATCCGTGTCAGCTCGCATTGACTCGGTTGTCGTTGCAGCGGTCGGAACGGGGTCCGGGCTATCCCTCGCAGTCGGCATGGGAGTGGTCGGCCAACCGGCGCCAGTACTTTCTGCATCACTCCTCTGCTGACCTGCCTGAGCTGGACTACAGCAACCCGGCGCTGCGTCGCCAGATGGACGAGGTCATCCGCTTCTGGATGGGCCGCGGGGTTGACGGGATCCGCTTGTTGGACACTCAGGACATGATCTTCGCCGCCAATGTTCAGCGCGATTATATGAACCAGATTAATCAGCACCAACCGCGGCGCCTGTCCAACGAGGCGTTGGACGTCATCCGCCACTGGCGCCGCGTCATGGACGAGCCGATGATCAATCCCACGCGCAAGCACAAGCAAGTTGCCTGTTCTTGCAAAATCAGCTCAGTTTTGTACGTTTTCTTGTGGTAGATTGCTGGTGGTCAAAGGTGAGAATCTCCAGGAGGATGCCGCCGGTTTAGTAACGGCGGGAGTGGATCTGGTGATGAATGACAATCTTCTCACCATCGACTCCGTCAGCACCGGAAATCAAATTGCACGGATCATCGAGAGTGCCCTGAAGAGCGTCTCCATAAGCCACCCTGATGCGGTGGGCTGGGCGGTAAGCGAATGCTTTGGAATTTATAAGGGTAACCGAAAGCGAACCCGATGGCCTGGTTGCAGTTAACGGATTACGACCAGCACCGTCTTACCTCCAGGATGGGCAGCCTGGAGTTGATTGACGGAATGAACATGGTCTGTCTACTGCTGCCCGGTTCCTGTGTGACATTCTACGGGGATGAGCTAGGTCTGAAGGACGGACCCGGCAGTCGACAAATGCGCCGACAAGATCCGAATTTCGTGGTACGCGGCCCTCACCTGAGCCCGATGCCGTGGTCCAGCGAGCACTTGGCCGGTTTCACCAACTTCACAACCGCTTGGCTGGCCGTTCTCGATCCACGCATCAACTTCCACCAAACGGTCTCTTTCCAGCAGCGCACCGACAAGTCCCACCTTAAAATCTTCCAGCAGTTGGCGCGGCTGCGCCAAGACAATGAGGCGGTGCGCGGCGGAACGTACCACAGCGGCGTGGTGGGGCAAAACCTCTTCTCCTTCATCCGGCAGGCGGCCGATGGTAGCGGAGTCTTGGTGGCCGTCGACTTGCGGAAAACAGGGAAGGAGGTTCAGGAGTATGCGTTGCTGCCCGGCGGCATCAAGCTGCAGCACAAAGGCAGAGCGCCGCCGGCCGGCGAGACGCATCCGCTGTACTGGGCCGATGTAGCCGTCGGCTCTGAGACGGTGTTCAAACGCAGTGATCCCAGCGTGCAGTTGGCAGCCAGTAATGCCACCGTCAACCTGTATGCCAGTCTATATTTGCGACCCGCTGAGGCGGTGGTGCTCAAGTTCCCCAGCGTGTGGGCAGAGAACGGCATGGCCAAACGGGGAGTGGACGTCACCAGCACGACATATAAGCCATAACTAAACTGCTGCTGTAATCAATACTGATTACTGACCAATGCATGTTACCCCCTGAATACGTACTAGAATCATTCTATTGTCGTTTTATTCGGCGATGCAGAACCAATTTGGCCGATGAGCACTTCTACTGTTCGCCGCCACCAGTACTCGTACCAATACCAGTACAGTAAATCATTCGTACGCTCGTTCATATTTTATTAACTTCAATGAATTCGCTATAAAACCAGCACTCGCTTTGCGAGGTGGTATAATATTGCATCACATCAATTTTTGCTGTTAAGCTATTCAGCGGAGGTTTAAGTATTACGTAAAAAAGTAGGGAAACAAATAAAAATATATCACCACTTATCACGTGGAAGAGCCAGTCTGTGAGAGATGTTTGATGACATCCACCCAGTTCCATCCTCGCGGATGCTCCTTATCCTCCACAGCACGCACAACCGCCTCCACCGTCTTCTCTCGCTCCTTCTCCCTCTCGGGAGCGCGAGCAACCTGGAGGTCCTCGGCCAGCAGGAGACTGTCCACATTTTGGCTGACGTACTCGAAGAGGCTGTAAGTCATGGGGCAGCCCAGCAGCGTGCTGGCTTCCTGCAGGAGCTGCGCGCGGATGCGCTCCTTGCTGGCGTGCGAGAGATGATTATTGTAGAAGATGTCTAGACTGATATCGGGCAGGGCGTCGGGATAGCTGGCCGGCCAGTGGACCTGTACCAGCAGGCGCTTAGCCGGCTCAGTGGAGGATTCCACGCGCAGCTGGTACGTGGAGGGATCGACGCTGTGGAAGGCTGCGTCGCCGCTGTAAATAGACTGCAGGACTTCGGCTTCTTCGGCGCGCTGGCTCGATTGGAGGGCAGCGGCGTCGTCCATGCTGTCTTGCTGGAGCGCTGCAGATGCTTGAGCAACCTGAGTTGGTGAGCGCACAAGTCACGGTCTCACGGGTGAATGTCGTCACTGGCCAGATTGATGCTGTTTGTAAGATCGTCCGCACAGCGGTTGAAGGAGCTACGCTCAACTGTGTAATTGTCAGCTTATGAGCGCACCTACTGTCTACAGGCTTACAACCACATCCGCGCGTTAACAAAGTTTAAGCATCCATCCACAGCAGTGCTCGACTTCAGCAAGGACTGTAAAATGTCAATTAAATTGGTTCAAAGAAAACGCAAGCTAATCGTGGTCATACAGTTATGAAGCATTTTGATTTCTTTTGAAAATTGAATATTGTTTACTGGACCTTTAATAAGTATCACGTGAAAGTACGAACTAAGTACTAGAAAAGAGAAGTTTGATTAAGTATGCAAACGAGACAGCGGCAACTACTGCTCCTTAGGGGTGAACTGCCATTCACGCACCCCGATGTTAGGGGGCCAGTTGTCTGCCGTGAACATTTTTTCAGACTCACTGGCGTAAGAACCAACACGTGCGAACAAACTATTCTTACGACCCTTTTTAGCAGAATAAATTGAGACAAATCTGACAGAGATCCCGATGGATTCGATGGTTGCCTTCAAATCCCTACTGTAGTCGTCAGGGGTCTGGTGCTCAGTCTGCTCCAGCGGGGGATGCCGTGTAGACAGAAATCCTTTTTTCTCTTTCCTTGTCGGTTTTAGAGACACGCTTAAGCTGTAGGGTCGACATGATGATGTCATTTGAAGCGTTAGAAGCCTTCTCGCGAGTACCGCGAACCACTTTTCCCTTTTAACGATGGTTGTCCAGGATTCTTTGGTAGCGGGCCCACTGAGAGGGTTTCATCGAAGCAAGGAGGGGAAACCTTGCAGTCAGGGGTTGACGCTTGTGAAACTTCATTGGACGGGGAACCTTTCACTGGTGTGTCGACAGGTGTCGTTGTGGTGGATCGAAACCCGGAGGGTTGAGGAACTAATCCACCAGTTGCGACGGTATTCGTAGGTAATTTGACAGTGGTTGCTTTCAAGGCTGTAACTTCGTCCCGGAGTGCCTGCAGTGTTGCAGAGGCCTCATCGTACCTTTTCTGTCGTTCTTGTAGTTCGCGTATCTGGGCCTTCACCGTAGTTAGCTCTGCATTAAGGCGCTTGTTTTCTTCCACGATCGGGGTGATAAGCGGGGAGACTTGGGCCTGGAAGCACTTGGTAATCAAGCCGTTCAAATCCTCGTGGTATACAGGGTACTTTTGTACGCATTCCAGATCGCTGGCTATGGCTGGGATCATCTGTCGTATCAAAGGATAAGCTTGGTAAAAGACCACTGATCCTTGGCCGTTCCATCAGGGAATAGCTTGGCAAGTTTCTCAATGGAGAAAGGCTCGTAGCCATCATCCTCGCTGGCATTGTCAGGCATGGTTGTCCAAAAGGTCCGGCCCCAGATCCGTTGACAATGAATAAATCAGCCAAATTCTTTACACTCCCAGTCTTTGATTAAAAAGTGAAGGACTACCGGTCACTTGCTTCAAAACAAAACGGAGCGAACACAACCTTAAACTAACGGTATCACTAACCGTAAGTGAAAATTAATCGTCGCAGCAGATCGAGCTTTATTTGCAAGTACCAACAATACAATAAATTGAATATTTGTAACTTGTTTGATGGTTCAAAATATGAAACTGACTGGTTGAGTATTTTATGAAGTGCAAACGCTATCCGGCTAAAAATGTTTGTTTACGTTTGTTGTGCTGATCAACCAACCGCATGCGGACGCTTGTTAGAATCGACTTCTGGCGACTCAAAATTGGAAAAATTTCTGAAATCTTTCTCCAAAACCCGAGAAGTGAGAAAACTGACTAATTTTAAATTTCGCAGTTTTGTATCAACGAATCTTGGAAGTGCTTTTGTTCTGCTTTTGTTCGGTTAATGTTAATGCCACTTCTTCACCTGTTGACTATTAAGTAGTTCTTTTGCAGGCAGTGCCAGTGGGCATTTAGGTTACGTGAACCTTGATTCGCATAAACTTACAACGATATACCGTAAGTTGCCGTAAGAAAGTTTCAGAAAAATACTGAAAGACGGTACGATTACTGCGATTCTGTTGATTTAGGGATGGGATGATGCTAATTATGGGTCTTGATTCTGTTGATGCGATGCTGGCCGAGCCTGCAAGGTGGGCCAGGAACGCAGTCGCATAGGCTGTTCTGTCGCTGACGCAGCGGTGGATCCCGTTAATCTTGGTACGGCACGGCTAGGATGTCGCTGCCAGCCAGCTGTCATTTATCCCTTTTCCCGTATGTATTGCGCCCGCTCCGTATCTCATCCCGCAACCCCTTGGCCACTGCGGCCAGGCGTCCTCATCTGGCAGTAAGAAGGACCATCCATGCCTGGGCGCAGAGCAGCCGCTTCCTCGCCAGGCTGTCCCCACGCCCCTCATGGTGGTCATGCAGTCGTGCAGGCTTCCTACAGCCTCCGCTCAGTCGACACGCTGCGATTCCCCCCGCCAGTGCGGCGGCAACGGTGGCAGCGGAGGAGCAGCTAGACACCGGGTCGACATCTGACGATCCCGACAAGATCCCCGATCTCCGCCGATTTCCCCCGGAGCGGATCCGCAACTTCTCCATCGTGGCTCACGTCGACCACGGCAAATCCACGCTGGCCGACCGCCTCCTGGAGATGGCCGGTAGGCGCTGTTTGCTGCACTTCCGTTGCTCCAGTAATATTTCATTCTGTTATGTAGGAAATATTCGAGCGGGAACACACGATCACCAAGTGATGGACCGCTTGGAAGTGGAGCGCGAGGTTAGTCCATGTGCCAGATTTTGTTGTGTTGCCGGCGTGTGCTGATTATCAAGCCGCATCTTTTCGCAGCGCGGAATCACCGTTAAGGCGCAGACGGCCACCCTCTTCTACACCTTCCAGGGCCAAGAATACCTCCTCAATTTAATCGATGTGGGATTTGTTCCATGTCGTGTAAGCGCAGTGCAACGCATCTGATATCTGCGCTTTTGACAGACACCTGGGCATGTGGACTTCAGCTACGAAGTCCAGCGCTCCCTGACGGCGTCGCAAGGCGTCGTGCTGTTGGTGGACGCCAACCAGGTATGGTTGTGTCATCTCTCGGGATTTCTTCTTGCCACACATCTGCCTTTATGCACCATGTTACATGCAGGGCGTGCAGGCGCAGACACTGGCCAACTTCTACGCCGCCTTCGAGGGCGATCTGAAAATCATCCCCGTACTGAATAAGATCGACCTCAAGACTGCCGACCCCGACGCCGTCACGGAACAGATGAACAAGGCCATGGATATTGATCCGCAAGAAGTCCTGCGCGTCTCCGCCAAAACCGGTTTCGGCGTCGCTGAGCTCTTTCAGGCCATTATACAGCGGGTGCCGCCGTAAGTAGCCCATAAAAGGCATGTCGGCCGTAGGGATCAGATGTCTGATGAAGGTGTGGCGTGTGTCCCCTAGGTAGGCCGAAGGGCAGCGCGACGGGTGCCTTCCGGGCGGTGTTGTTTGACTCTTGGTACGATAAGTACCGGGGGGTTGTGGCGCTCATTGCAGTGCAGGTAGGTTGGTGGTGTCGCCCGCTCATTTATGGTTGGAGTTGAAACATGTTCGTCGGTTGTTACTCAGGACGGGGAGTTGAAAAGAGGCGACCAGATCACGTTTCTCAGCTCGGACAAAACCTATGAAGTGAGAGATGTGGGAATCATGCGGCCGGACCGCGTCAGTACATCGTTCCTGTGAGACTTCTGGCATTTGGAGTTTGAGTTGAACATCGGAATTTTAGCTGCACATTTGCAACGTAGGTTGGCGGGTCAAGTAGGATATATTACCTGCAACATGAAGACAACCAAAGAAGCGCAGATCGGTGATACGCTGTTCGGGAAGGAGCGCCCGGCGCAAGAAGGCAGCCGAATTCCTAGAGCAAAGCCAATGGTAAGCCAACGCTTGTGTTTTCGTGCGCCCATTAGTTTAGGGGAGGCGTAAACGGTAGGAGCCAGGTTGAAGGGGGAGAGGAAGGAGACTGTCTGCTGTGTGTGTAGGTATTTCGGTCTTTGTCGCCTGGTCGGCCCCGGGCGGCGGACGTGGTGCTGGCCTACATCCGGCAGCGGCGCTTCCCCTCGTGGACGTCGTTCTTCCTCTCCCGGTGGACAGTGCGCAATAGCCATTTTGGCCAGTCGCACTTCAACCTGGCCGTGGACGGGCATAACTATCATGTGCTGCGCACCGGTTGTTTTCCCTTCCTCAAGTACCACTGCACGCGCCGGCCGTACGCTGATCTATCGGCGGAGAACCGGGCGATGCGCTGGCTCAAAGTGATGAATTTAGGTCTGCCTATGCTGGCCTATGGGATAACAGCATGTTTTCTCATTAAGCACGTCGATTATGTGATGGTCAAGGGTCGACGTGTCCCGGTTTATTTTCTGATTAAAGAGACGCACGATTGAGAAGCGATGGTGAAAGAAATTGAACACACCATGTTTTTTAACAACATAAGCGGCAACATACACTAGCGGAACAAAATATGCTTTCCCCATCCGATTATATTAAATCGTGCTAGGTAAAACGCCACAGAAGCAACCAAGTCTTCACTATTCTGAGCAGCGTTTAAAGCCAGGACATTTTTCAGGGCAGAGCAGTGCGAGTAGGCAGAGTAGCTACGGTTTTCGGTTTGTTTAAAGCTGGTCTGCAAATTTGCGAAATTTTTCTAGTTGAGAACTTGGCAGATTGTGGAAGAATCGCACACAACACAGATAGTACGTAAGTTAATTGCGCCGTTGTAGGTTTATGCTGGAATCTTCCCGGAAGACCAAAGCGACAACGAGGCGTTACGCGATGCTCTAGACCGGTTAATCCTGAATGATTCCAGTGTGTCAGTATCCTTAGAGCAGAAGTAGGTTGGTTTAATGGCAGTCACAAACATCCGGCACCGAATGGAAACATGTGTTGCAGTGCAGCGTTAGGGCAAGGATGGCGGTTAGGCTTCCTGGGCTTATTGCACATGGAGGTGTTTCTGCAGCGGCTGGAGTATGAGCACGGCAAGTGCTGCATCGCCACCATCCCTAGTGTGCCGTATAAGGCCCGTTTAAAGTCCAACCTCAACGAAAAGACCGCTAAGGAATACGGCACGGACGTGTTGACCATTGTTAGCCCCGAACAGGTCTCGTTTGGTTTAGTTTTTTGTTTGCGTTGATGGGATGTTGCAACCGATGACGTGTTTGCTGCAGTTGCCGGCACAGGGCGTTGTGGAGGAATTTCAAGAACCATGGGTCATATCCACCATCATCACGCCGGCCAAGTACATTGGTGACATTTTGGCAATGTGTCTGGTACGAAAACGGTGGCTGTGCCAAATGAACAGAAGAAGAATGACTAATTGTTAATGTGGACTGCTTACAGGAGCGGCGTGGTCAGCAAAAGAACGTGACATTTCTGGACCAAACCCGTGCCATGATGCAGGTGCGTTAGAGCGCACTGATGCTGATTTAATTTCATTGTTTATTGAATTTCATGGTAAATTTTGCAGTTTTATTTGCCTTTGAGCGAAGTGATTGTCGACTTTTTCGACGAGCTTAAATCAAAGACGTCGGGCTACGCCAGTTTCGACTACGAGGATGCCGACTACAGACCGGTGAATCTGATTAAGGTTGGTCTCGTTGAAGCGTTAGTTTCGGTTTTTGTTGTAAAAAAAAGTGGCAATCAGAATGCTGCTTTACAGGTGGATTTCCTGCTGAACGGGAAAGAAGTCAACGAGCTGAGCATGCTGGTCCCGGGTGAACGGGCCCGCTATCTCGCCCGTCGCGTCTGCGAGCGGCTGAAGGATGCCGTCCCCCAGCAGCAGTTTCCCGTGTCGGTACGCTTGTAGTGTTATTTAAAATGCCACATAGTGATATGTTCCGCTTATGGTTATGCAGATCCAAGCGGCTATTGGCTCAAAGATCGTCGCTCGCGAAGACCTGAAGGCCCTGCGCAAGGACGTGGTGGGCCTGAAGATTTACAGTCACGGCGGCCGCGACAAAGGTCGCAAGCAGAAGCTGCTGCAGCGTCAAAAGGAAGGAAAGGAGCGCATGCGCATGATCGGTAACATCCAGATCCCACGAGACTGCTTCATCAAAGTCCTACGCAAATCCTAAACCGCTGCAGCGGTCTTTGCCGCTGGCAGACACTGTTCTGTGACAAATATTGCCCTTTCAGTGGATTGTGTCTTCTTAATGCCATTAAATTGAATGGAAAACATCGTTGTACGCGCACATAATCAGAGGCGCAGTACGCGGTACATTATCTTTACGTATAGAACACAAAGAAATGCTTTAACAATTTACAATGGTTATCTTGAGCAAAGCCGGAACAGTCAGGGACTACCGCGGCTGTTTATCGTGAGTACTGCGCATTGACGGATTTGACTTTGTACGGCTGAGTGCACGTGAGCACCTGGTACAGTGCGAAACGGAACCGTCGGCTCATGATGTTGTACAGATACGGATTGATGGCGCAGTTGATGTACACGCAGGTTTTAGCGAATAGCAGGTAGTAGGCGTTGAGCCACGGTGCTGCAGCAAAGCAGTTGTAGACCAGGACGCCTCGGTAAGGTAGCCAGGTGACGGCAAATAGCACCACGATGACCACCAGCATCCGGTATACCTGCGACGACAGTTTAAGCAATGTTGTTCTATTCGTGTTACTCACTTGTTAGACTAATAAAATCCACACTCACTCGCGTTCTCGACCTGACTAGCTTCTGCAAACGGTTTTTGGGCGCCTCGCGGATCCACACCGCGGCCATGGAGGATTCGGTGAGATCGCGCCGCATGGCCATCAGCCGGGCGGTGGTCTGCTCGGCGGTTGGGGTGGGCGCATCGTCTTTTGCACTGGCGGCACGCACTTTTTTAAACGAAGCCCTTTTGAGGCTCTTTTGGGTGCCCGGGAAGGAGACCGCCTCCTGACAGTTTCCCTTGGACTGGACAGAAGGTTCGTTGGGCTTCTGGCGAAGAAAGATGGGGTCTGCACTGAGGCGATGGATAGGCGGCGCAGAGGGTCCGCCTTCCATTGGCGTCATCACATCGAGAGCTCCGACGACACTGCTGCCTTCGCCAGCCGGTACCGGCTGCTGTAGGAGTGGTTCCTTTAGCTCGCGCTGCACGGGCCGATTTGTACTGGATGAATCCGAACTGTCACGCGGTTTGATGAGCAGAAAAGCGGGATCCGCGCTGAGCCGGTGCTGCGGCGAGCGTAATGCTTCAGAGCTGGCATCATCCCCGTGCTCAGGCGGCGGATGATGCGGGGTGTTTCCTCTGGAGTGAGCGAGGGCGGCTGGTGCAGAGATATGGGGCCTGTCGTAGTGGTCGGTAAGGTCGGAGGCCGGGGAGTTGTCGGATTGCGGGGATTGGACGCGGAAGTCCTTGAGGCTGTTGTGGAGGATGATGCCCAGTTTTAGATAGACGCCGCCGGCGAAGAGCAGCGGAATGACGTAGAAGATAAGCAGGTCGGAGATAAAAAGGGCCGTGTACTGATTGTGCGATAGCCGGAAATCGCAGATGACCTGACCGGGCTGCCGGGGATAAGGTTTGATCTGGGTGAGGCCTAGCCAGGGTGAGCAGTAGACGAAGGCCACAATCCACAACGCCAGGGATACTTTGCGGGCGAACTGCCACTTGCAGACGCGCAGCACCAGGAGTGGCCGGCAGGCAGCGATGTACCGGTCCACCGTGAAGGCTAGAATGCTGTGAAACAAAAGGTCATCTTAATAGAATTAACAAAATATTACGCGGCAACGCCTTTTGGCGCCGCGAATGAAAGCACGACTGCCGGTGTTTATATTACGCGGCAGGACGCGGTTGCCGCTGTGCTCTTGGCTGATGATGTTTCTCTATTGCGCAACGGGAGGTGTGCAGTGTGTGTGTGACTGGACGCTCTGTGGCCGTATGCGCCGCGCCGGCACTTAACCGGCTTAATTGCACTTCCGTTGTCATCTGTGATTAGTTTTGGCTGGCAGGCGAGGGGAATTAAAAATCCGGGCGCAGCAACCACGAGACAGCCCGTTTGTGCTCATAATTCTTTTAAACGGCCCAAACGCTCAACACACTAGTGTCGCGCGGCATGTGGTGCCGTTTCGCGTGTCGCCGGTGGCCGCCTTCCTGCGTGCGTGCATCCCGCCAAAAAAGTTACACTTGTGACTTGGACCATGTTGTGTCAATAAAAATGTTTCCAAGTGGAAAATTAAAATATTAATTATTATCGATTTCCGGTAACATAATGCATCAGGGAGGTTATAGCCGGAGCATGCATACTGATCATCAGTGGATAGAATTGCAGTTAAATTTGGCGCTAATCGATTGGCAATGGACCAAGTCGTAAATCAATGTCATGCATCGGACGGGTCGAATCCCGTCAATGGGAGAAAACGAGCCGACAACAATCGCTGGCTTCCCTGCTCTTTTATTGCTGCTGTTAAGCAGTCAGTTTTTTGCTAACGTCATCGATCAGAAATGCCGGTCGAAGATACGAGATGAGACAGAGTTACCTGAGGCTGCCGGCGTTGATGCCGAGGAAATTGGCGAAGACCATCAGGGAACAGCCGGCCTGACCAGATATCCATTTATTCCCGATGTGATGCGCCACAATCTGGTCGGGTACCGCCGAGAACAGCACCAGTAGATCGGCAGTAGCCAGCGACACCTAATACACCTTTTTCGTTAATAAATTTATTGAACTTAGCTGTTAAATGACGCACCAAGTAGCAGTAAGTGGAGGTGTGGAGGGAGCGCGTCCGGCGCACGGCGATGACCAGGAGTACGTTGCCGGTGACGCCCAGGATGAAGATAGCCAAATGAAGAAGAGTGGCCAGGATGCGGTAGGTCAGGGAGTGCAGGTCGCCCGGACCGCCGTTGGGCGCACCGTTCCACACCCCGGAGGATGCGGCGTAACTGTAGCCTGTGGCCGGGTTGAGCAGCAGCTGGAAATTGTTCTGCATGGACTGACTCTGGCGTTCGGCAGCCGCGGCGGCGGCGGCCCGTTCGGCACCGGTCTGCTGCAGCTGTGACATAACGCGCAGTAGCTCGTAGGCGCGTTTTCCCTCCAGAGCGAAGCTGCTGCCCGGCTGGACAGTGGTACGGTTGAAGATGCTGACCCCGGTGGTCAGTTCCATCTTGGCGCGCGCAGGTCACTCCGCACCGGCGCGGCTAAATTGGGCGCTGTGTGGCTGGCGCAATTACATGTACGGCGGCAATAGCATGCTAGGACTTGTGGTGAATTCAGTCCACTTGTCAATCACGGTTAACGAAATTTCATTACCGACAGAGTAAACAAGCCAACAATGAATTCGATCAAAATCAAATGGCATTTATCAGCGGTGGATAATGATAATTATTGTCATTGGCTGACAGGTTGTTGTCGCTTGAACGCGCCGCTAATGACTGTCGGTTGAGAATATTATGTAAGCAGAACCTTTCCGGAACGTTAAGTAAGGGAAGATGATGAATAGAGGAGTAGATGAATTAAGTAATATCCTTCGTTATGCGGAGGATGTGCTGTCTGAACGGGAGAAAGTGATATAGGCGCGTGCGTGCACTGGCAGCACTTCTTTTCTAAAAAGCCGGCCGGATGATCAGTGACAGATCCGACGTCGCGATTAAGATAATAGTCCAATCAAAAATGTCAATATTGCCGATATCTGACAAGGGTTGTCCATGTTGTCGCATTACCACAGCACTCTAATTCCGGCTGCCAAGCAGTCTCGCCTGTGTACATGCAACTTCCGCACAACATCCATCGCTTGTTCATTTTGGTGCGTACTTGTGAGTTGTGCCGTATGCATTTTCACATACGTACGGACGGTACGGTATTTGTGCACAACAAGACCACCAATCAACGAAGCACGCAGTTATTCGTATGTCTTTTTCAGATCAATTTTTTTCATTGAATATTTGCGGAAAGCATCTGAAGTTAAAGTGAATGTACATCGTACATATACCGTATCAGTAAAATTAATAACAGTTGGTCAATCGATCGTACGTACAAAATATGCGCAACCAGGGGCCCACCACCGGCAAAATGCGAACACCCACGCAAAAAATTCTGCACGGAAAATAAATACGATATTTTTGTCAACATAACATTCATCACAGCGGATAAATGGACGCGCACGACAATAGAGTAAGCAAGTAATCCTGTTTGCCAGATTAATGCTAGGTCGGTTGCGGATGAAGAGATAAAGGTCACCTATATCCGACAGCCTGCCATGCAAGTAGCCGGAAGCGCGAACAGGAGAAAACAATTAATGTGTGTGAGCAGGCTGTCGAATGCCGATCGATGGTTTTGCCGAAGACACAGTCGGGAGAGTACGTGTTTATTTTAGAACGGCACTCACTCAATCATTCGGCTGCAGCGCAGTGGAGGCTCAAGAGCGAAAACGATGAGCGTGCAGAAAATGTTTTTTTGCTCATTGTAATGGAATTTTTTTTGCTGGCAGCCTGGTGCAGCATGCCATGCGCATTGTTGTGAAAATTAGCACAACAGCCGACTGCTGTGGCACGATTAATGTCATCCACCGCAGTCCATATTCACAACGCAAGTATGTAACCATCTTCTGACTGTGCACAAACATCATAAGAGTCCATAAAGCCTCCGGAATAATGCGGGTTACACTCGAAACAAAATTTTTTAATGTCAGTTATTGCTCAAGTATCGTACAGCGTTAACAAAGTTTGCTGTCTTCGTGTTTTTCGATGTAAACATGTTTAGTTTTTTAAATTCACATTGGGCTAGTCTCCGGTGTAAAATCGGACGTATAGTTCTATATCCGCTAGTGTTCTATATCCGACAATCCTGTGTGGGCTGTCTTACAAGTAATACTCGTACGCGTATTATTTTTGCTGTATTGTATTGTGCACTTGCGGCAAAATCTGTTATAACAACACTGCACGGAGGCTACGGCAATCGACTACGTAGTATTCGACTACGTAGTATTCGACTACGTAGTTCAATATCCGCTCTCAACCGAGGCCAGGTGCTTATGGCGGGCCCCCGCCTTGGCGGGTGCGATAAGGCGGGCATCAATATCAGTGGCGGGCACAGACGAATTGCACACTGCACTGAGGCATCAGTTGCGCTGCACTTGCCTAATCGCTAGTGCACTTCTACTGTGTCACGAGCCTTTTCGATTTAAACAGCTATGTGTATTCGCCTTTTTGTTTTTCGTGGCTGAACAGTTTTTTCAATTTCTAAGTCATAAAAACGAACGTTTACACATTTCTTGACATTCATACATCTAAGGAGCAGCTTCATACACGTTTTACGTTAACGCAGAAGACCGATTAAAAGCCGAAAATAATGGAAAGCTATTTGACATAGATCGCTTTACACTTTCAGATTTTAAATAAGATTTAAAAAAGTTAAACACGAGAGACACCATATCCTGACAGCATCCTAATTTTTCGAAGCAGCCGTTAATAGTTATCTACTCCAAAGCACCTAACAAAATAAAAGAACTTTTGTGAAAAATTAACGGTAAATTAAAAATAGTAAGTCACGCAGATCAGAAAAAGTGACCACATTTAAACATAACAGTAGGTACCGTAAATTAGCCGCAATACGTACAGAACGATATTATAGATGTTAGCAATTTACCAAGCATAATGCATTTAAATGCTCAAAAAACTATTGACCGTATTTTCTCCGAATCTCGTCAATATCGTAATGCCGGAAGGTTAAGGAGTTATTTCTCTAATAATCTTAGTTTTCTATTGCTAATAGGAAAACTTCAAGAGGCCTTCTAACCATGCCGTAAAAATCTGCGAGACATTCAATCGAACAGTCAGTGAAATGCAAACCAAAAACGCAAATCGATCTATTAACAGTTTATATATAATATGTAGTTTTTGCGATGCCCAATAGTCCCCATACAACTTGGTTTACACCCACAATGGTTTCGAAACACAAATAAAAAGAGGTTACATCTGTATGAATTAGATGAGGTGAGTAAAGCGCGATTTTACGCTGTAACGTTTCGATTTTTTTTATTAACTGAGGCTACAGCCTAAGTTTTCTGACTTCCGTTCACTTCATTCACAAAACCTTTCTCCCAACTGATTCTATCTCAGAGTACAAGCGAAATAAGAAAGAATTATTTGGTATGCATTCCTTGATATCAAGACACAATTATTGATTTAGGTTGTAGCCTAAGTTGCTATTTTATTGTTTTCCAAAACATTCTTTTGAATTTAGGTTGCAGCCTATTTTATTGCGGTATACTACAAGCTTTCCCTTTTCTGTGTCAATAGAAGCTGCGACTTATTTTCTTCCGCATATGTAATTTTCAACGGTGAGACTACCTTTAAGCTGAAGTAGGATATTCTTTGTGAGTCAAAGTACTTCTTTCTTCGGCTTTATCGAAAACTGTTGGCATTTTTTAATTGTTGCTTTTTAATCAGACAACTATATTAGAAGGCAAAATTAAAAGGACGTCGCTGCAAACAATAGTCGTAGATATTGGTTTGTGTGGTCAAGTCACCTGAAGTTGCTTTCTTTTTTAAATGCGGGCTTTGAATTTATTTAGTAGTTTTGTACTGCTTGTCTTAATGTCATAGATTTAATCGCTTTCACAGACGGCTGGTAACTTATGTAGGCAAACTATATCTATTTAAATATTTTGCAACTATGCCTTTTACGGTAACAATCGTGTAAAAGAAATAGGTTTTCTGAAATTGGAGGCATAAAAATTCTCTGGCAACTTAAGTGAGTCTCTTGAAGCCATTAAAATAAGTGGTTTACCAAAGTAGCAGTCACTGGGGACAAGACCTGCATCTTGCATTACGCATTTTTTCAAATTACAACCAAGTTGCCCAACAAAACGATTTAGAAAGATCTGCATATTTTTTTGTAAACAATGTTACAAGGGGTGATTTTTGAAGGTCTCAAAGTTATAAAGCGTGCAGCAGCGGGAGCAAATAGAGTGTATATGAATTGCACTGCGGCAAGGATGCGCTCTAGCGGGAAAGTGCGCTGTGCAAATGCATTTCTGCAATGCCCGCCTGATGGTTAAGACCCGCCTCATCGCACCCGCCAAGGCGGGTGCCCGCCATAAGCACCTGGCCCTCAACCGACTAAAAACGGCAGTTATCGATATCAACTGGAAATGTAAACAAGCGGCTGGGCGACGGGGGCCAGGGTGGGCGTCACAGGGATCGACCCAGGCCAGCCGGATATGGCTGCACAAATTACCGGATAACCAACGCACTCGATTGCGAGTTAGTAACTGTCTGTCGGCAACGGCTGGATAATTGGCCGCTCTGATTGATAAGCATCCCGAAAACGCACGGCAGGAACGACTGGCAGCGGAAGCGGAAAAAGAGAATCAATGCACGACGTCTGGCGGATGTCCATTACACGCCGCTTATGGATGCGCCCAAATCTTGCTGCACGCATTCTTCTCACATCGGAAGCAATTTCTTTCGCTACGATATGGCGAAATTTAGATGACAGCGCAGTAGACCAAATGTTGTTATTAACGCGTAATCGAATTAAGCGGTAAAGATCCGCCAATTTTTTGCCGTCTGCGTACGAATTAACTCAGATTACGTCAGCGTCTGCCAAAATAAAGTGAATACTAGTAGACCCCGCGCAAACTGCGCGGAATAAATTAGCAATAAATTGTTATTTACGAAAACTACAAAGGACAAACCCAAGACTACAAAATACAAATTTAGTTTAATTGAGCGGAGCGTATAATAATAATAATATAGTTTTACTGACAGAGACAGACAGTATTTGCCATATACCGTACCTATTTGGTTGACTACTTATCATAACTTATGTCAGAGAGAAAGATAAGGATCTTTATCTTTATCTATCTATAAGATAAAGATCCTTATCTTTCTCTCTGCTTATGTCGTAAATTATTCTTTATTTTGGCCATAGTTCACTGACATATTAAAAGGAGTTAAAATGTATCCCAGTTTACTAATTAAATTTTTAAGGCCGCTTTGAGAAAACATTGTCGCGTTCCGCTGACTTCAGATTGAACCTTAAATTAGACCCGAAAAACCTGACGATTTCCAGGGATACATGTATGCCTTTTTTTGCAGTTATAAAAAAAGTTTTTATGCTTTTCCCAAATCAATCAGCAGCATATGCTGGCCAGTTGTTAAGAACTACAAATAAGAAAAACTCCATAATTACTGGAGTTTTTATAGCCGTATTACAGTAATTCTACTGGTTCAGATACCATTCTGAGCTTTGTTAAATTTTAGCCGGTGCGTTGAGACCGACAAAACTATCCAGTGATACGACGGTACGACCACCGATGTTAACCTTTAGACCACTTAGAATAAAAATACTTTTCGGTGTCCAGTTTCCCTCCTACTGCTTACACACAAAACAATTTAAACTTGATGAAGACTTCAAAATTTCGTTGTATTCTTTGGTGAATTTTTTATCAATAATTAACGTCGACAACTTTAGCGCAGTGTCTTGGTTGCGACCCCCGCTGCAGATAGGCGTCGCCTGTGCCTCCGCTTTCCGTTACGTGCTTATAAGAAGTTCCCGTGTTTTTTAGTTTTGACCTTTGATGGGAGATGATCTGACGGTTTGCATTATAGCTGGCGGAAAGATAGATTAGAAAACGGATAAGTTTGATTTTTGTATCTTCTGTTTGTTTTAAATTTTTTAATGCTAAAAATGCGTTTTTTGTTTTAATAAAACCGTTTTTCTATGTTCCGTACTCGTAGTCTTTCGGAAACATATTTTAACCTCCACTCCCTCCCCTTGCGAACATTTAAAATACGCGCTCCTCACTTCAGTCGCCGGAAAAGATTTGGGCCGCCTTCCCTCCTTCCCCTCCCCCCGGCGGTGGTTAGGCCCGAACCCCAGTCCTTACACCCGGCGGGACTGGAACTCGTTGTTTTGCTCGCTGTTTTGCTCAATGATGTGGACTCATCATTTCCAGTCGAACACCAAAATTCCCGAAATCGACTTTCAGTCTCTCACAAAATAATATGTTTATTGGTGATTTCCAAAGAAGGTTTTTTGGCACGTCAGCACGATATTACCAAAGCCAACCGCCCTGTGGAAGCAGTTTCAATATTAAATCCGTAATGCTAAATCAGAAGATTTCGCATGTTCGGTTTATAAGAAACATCACTTTCAAAGCCTAATTTTTTTAAAAACTAACTCTTAACAAAAATTTTATAAACTAAAGGTAATCGGATAACTAATGGACACCAAAGTTCCATCAAGTGTAGATGAATGCTTTTCCTATGCTGTTCATGACGGTGGTGGCGTGGGTGGGTTTGCAGTGGTGGGTTCTCCACTTTTCCCGTAGACTTTGTATGTTAAGATCTTTTAAGACTTTCTCTGAAACTTCGCATACTTTCAAAAAACTGACTGGTTTCTGCAAATCTGCAAACTAACGGCTATTAAATGACATATAGACATCAAATTTTGGTGCAGTGGCTCGCTCAAAAAAGGGAGACGGAAATGGAATTCGCTAAGGCTTATTTTATTAATATATAGGATGGCGCATCAAGTGTCGAGGGAGATGTGTTTGCTTAGCG